TTTTAATTAATTTCTCTAATTATATATCTAAGAATATCTAGACTATTAATACTCTAGATTTCTAATAGATTCTTATAATAATATTAAAGAAATTAAATAAATCAGTTTTTATCTATTTTATTTCTAGTAATTTCTTTTATAAAATTCTAAAGTATTTTATATAAAAATTAAAGTTAATATTTTTTTAGTTTATTTATATAATTTAGGGAATTGTTATTTGGACAAGACGCTAGTTATTTGGACGAGACGCTATACTATAATAGGAAGGTAAATTCAGTCATGTGATCATAAAACCGCACTAGTAAATCCCTTTCAAATATATATATACAATATCCCCTATAAAAAGGTGCTTCCTAAAAGCCTATAAAAAGTGCTTAAAATAGATGATTTCCTTGATGATTATAAGGTTATTTTCTCTGACCAATCAGAGCCTGAGGATCAAAACAAAAATAATAAGAATATTATTCTAGAGCTATCTTTATCTCAGTTATTTAGCTTAGTAGATAAGGCTTTTAACTTACTACAGGTCTTTAGTCTAATTAATAGCTTTATAATTGTTCGATGTCGCTCTACTAAGGATAAATAAACTGGAATTCTTAGATATGTTAATATAGCCTGTAATAGAGACTGTACAGCAGAGAATTAATCTTAGGGAATGTATGTTAGCCAGTCTTAATAAATTAACTGTCCTTTTACTGCACGGCTTAAATATAATCCTATATTTGAAGTATAGTATTTGACTATTTAAGAAGGCAGTCATAATCATAGTCCAGTAGATATATCAGTACTTCCAGCTCACTGGCAGAGTGAGCTCCGCAAGCGATATAATCAGATTATTAGAATACTTAATAAAGATCTTCTAATACGCTATATTATATCTGTTCTACACCGGGAAGGCTGTGTATAGTTAATTAGAGCCCGAGATCTCTATAACATATAATATAGAGTTAATATTAAATGCCTTAATAGCTATATACTAATTCAAGCCTTAATCAGCTTAATACCACATGAAGGCAATTAGTATATAAAATATTAAATATATAAGAATTATTATATTTCTATAGTCTTTCTTAGTTATTAATTATCAATTAAAAATCTATATAGAAATCCCTACATTTTAATGATAGACTATACGTACAAAACAAATCAATATAATATGCTACTTTTCAGTATTATTGATTTAATACCATAGGGAGGCACTTTCTATGTTGCTTTTAGCTTTATATCAGATAAGTAAGAAGGCTTATTCCACTATATAATAGAGCACCTTACTGATATATATACCTTTCTATAACTTCAACCACTAACTGCAGTGGTCACTGATAAAGATAACTCTTTATTAAGCGCTATACAAAACATATGGCTATCTACAGCCTCACTTTTATATATATAGCATATTAATAAGAATATCCTTAGTCACATGAAATGGGCTATATATAATTATTTACTTATACAATCTACAGAGATAGCAGCCAATAAGAAAAAATTTCTTAAGGCAATTGATACTTAATAGAAGACTATACTAGCTAATTAGTATAGTATTATATCTACATAATCTATTAAAGTAAAAGACTATAAATAGACCTATTTTAAGTGGATATATTAATATCCTACATTTTAGAAGCTCTTACTTTATATAGAATCTGAATAGCTTTATAGTCAAACAGAAAGAGCTTTTCTCCACTGCTATATAAATACTTATCTATATTTTGGTTAGCTAGCTATATCTCAGAGTAAGGAATCTCACTAGTAAATTAAATAAGATCTCTAAAGCTCTTTAGAAGATCTACTAAATATAATTAGATTAATTAAGTATATAATCACTAATCATTATCTTCAGATTAAGCAAGCACTTGCAGATGAGTATATTTAGATATCTAGTGATCTATAGGCTGAATCACTATTCCACAATATTATTTATTATATCTTAACCTACGCGCTGAATAAGATACTTAATATATAAAATTATTATTTACTGATAGGCCCAGAAAAGCCACTGATTAAGTATTATATAGGGATTACTACTAAAATATTAGAAATCCCTTGTATTTATATTATTCTATATTATCGTGTATCTAGGGAGCCGCTGCCTATCTTAATCTTCCATTCTCAGTGACTAATATCACGGGATAATCTGTCTAAGCTAATTAATCTATCTAATCTAGATCCAGATCCATCAATTAAATGGCCTCATCTATTAGAACCGCTGGTTATACGGGCATGTAGGAGGCCTAGAGGTTCTAGAAATCGAGAGATCTCAGGCTTTGAATGGACTGAACAAGCGCTCCGGCAGCAAGGTGCTCAGGCAGGCATTCAGGCAGGCATTCAGGCAGGCAATAATCCTATTATAGTAGAATATCCTTCCTAAATAGGAAAGATCAAAAGCTTCAAAGCCATCGAGTAAGCCAATATACAGTATTACCAATACACGGTATATCGCCTTCCTATCATGGTTTAGCGTCTCGTCCAAATAACTAGCGTCTCGTCCAAATAACACATCCCATAATTTATAAGCTCTTTAGACTATTAATTATTAAGAATTTACTGATTTTTATATTATATCTCTCTTAATTATTATTTTTCTTAATAATATTTTAATAAGATTTACTGGTATATACTAAACTCTTTTATAATTTTAGTTAAATTAATTAATTTATTAGATTTTAATAAATTAATTACTGCTAATATCTCTTTAATTAGAGTTATATTAATTAAGATATAAAGATTTAAATTATTAAGATTTAAAAATCAGTAAATATAAATATTATACAGTAGATAATAACCTATATTAAAGGATTCAGATTTCCTGTTAAAGACCAAACTGTTGATGGCCTGATGTTCCTTATCAGTGGCCAATTGTCCATTCACCTGGGTCTGGGTATCCTGTACAGCCATCAGGCTGAATTGCTATTCAATCTGTGACACTTCTTATTTAATGGACATTAACATATGACTATTTATATATATTTCTATGTGTAGATTTATTTCTTGTGGTTATCAACAGAGGATAGCTTCAGATATTTAGAATATATTAATAGATTTTTAATTTTTTTTATTTTTATTTTGAATGGCTGAAATAGCCATATGTATTCAATTTTCATGAGAAAGAGGTATTTTTTAATGACATAATAGTATAAATATAGGTTAAAAGAGGTGCAAAGAGTAAAATATTTAGGTGTGGCAGCCAAACCATGTCACAGCTGTGTGCATCACTCAAGGCATGGAATATGTTATGTTATATTTAATTTTGTTTATAATTTATAGAACCCTATATAATACATATTTCTAAATTTAAATACCATTCTAAGAGGTCTGGAATTTAATCTCCACTACCCCGTTTGCCAGTCTATAAATAATATAATTTAGCTGCAGAAGATGAGTATAAGTTTGTGATTTGCCATACAGATTCAGATTAAGAATGGTTTTTAATCTATATCATAATTTGAAAAAGCTACACAGCAAAGTACACATATATAACATTCAGTCATCAGGATACTCATCTTTGATGTTGCTCACAAAGGACCGAGTTTCCTCATCCCATCGCTTGAAATGCCTCCCTGCTACTGCAGTCAGGGTTTGAGGTAACTCAGAGATATGAGGAGCTATAAGCTCAATATTCTCCTCTGCTACATACCGCACGCTTCTATCCTCGACACTAGGGAATACATAGTTAGCCTAGCAGTGCGCATAATCGCACGAGTAGACCTACAGAACGTGGTAGAAGCTTTGGTGTCTACCGCCCTGCAGGCGATCTACCCCCATCCTCCTCATCCATTGTTCGCCAGCGTCGCATTCGGTGTCCCAGCCAGTTATGATAGCTTTGTAATCATAGCGACGATGCCGGAAAACCTGGCCGACGTGGTAATTCACATTACATGGGCTTGAACAGCGCCTCTTCACTTGTTTGGGGATTTCATCCACTGCTCGCATGACGTGGAGGCTTTCTAGGATATGCTCATATTCGAGCAGCCCACGAAACATCGGAGCTACATACTGTTCGATGAGATAAATATCTGATGGGAACTCCGTCGCGAACAGCTCCATCAACCAGGGTAGATAAGGTCGGAACTCCGCCGGCCGGGAAGGATCGGAAAGAAGCATTGTCGACCAAAGAGCGGCATACTTCGCACTGAAGGCATCCACCTGTACCAGATTTGCGCCTTGAAACTGTGACACACGCTGGATCGAATTCAGGATATTCTTGCTACATCGTAGAACAATTTCCGAGATCCGAGATTCACCGAGGAAGGTCAATTGCTCTGAGGTAGACGCACCTAGATAGTTCAGCTGATTCCGTAGGTTTGTGACTGGTGTCTCCCTGTCCGAGCGAAATGGGTCCATATAGATAGGATCTCCGTAAGCGTCGAGCCCGAGTACATTGCCATCCACATCGAACCCTGGTGGCGGTTTGACTATGACATGCACGTGGAAAGGGAACCCACAAGGTCGGGCATTTAAACCAAGTCTCTGTGCAACGTGGCAATATATTACCGCAGACACTAGGGGGAGTGAATTGTGGTGCGGGTCGTTCAGTGCAAGCCCAAGGAAGTTGTGCTCTAGGCAATGGTATTCCCGCTCCGGTTGGATACCCATCAGGTTGTTTGACCTCAGATATACCGCGACCGCTCTCGCCTTCTCGCGGGATGTAAACATGTTAATGTTGGCATAAGACGACGAAAGCCGCCCAACGATCTCGTCGAGTTTGTTTGTTATCTGTATTTCAGTTAAAAGGAATACTATCCCCTCGGCCGAGCACTAGGTGTACATACTTCGTCGAGACTTCCATATCCGCTTTCTGGAATGAAAAGGTCAAAGGCGCCCAATGCTTGTTCCAGGGTCACATTTTCACCGTTCCTTAGCCTCGCCCATACTGGTAACGCAATACGCCGGTGTAGGCAAGTCAGAAGCGCCTTGGCATAGTACCTTTTGTTCGTCGCCAGAGTCCGGTTAAAGAGGATTTCAGATAGGAGCGAGTAAGTAAAACAAACCTTCTTGCTAGACAGTCATCTGTCTCGAGATCTGATGTAATGTTCCTTATGAGTGTGTCTTTAATATCATATCCGAAGTCGACAATTGTTCGGAACTTTTCGATTCTCCCAGTTTGCCCTGCAAGTATGCTATCCAGGAGATGACTAGTTATGCAGTCGATCTGGTGTCTGGATACGTATAAAGTCTTCCAGTCAATGGCACGGGTAGGTGCTGAGAGTTTTCGTGATATATCATGCTTGCTATCCCAGTGCTTGAAGTGTGCCTGGCAGTAGAACCGCCAAAGCAGGGGTTCATTGGTAACATATTTGAATCGATGGGCTGTTCGTTGTAGTGCAGCCGCGGAACTGGGATGGCAGTAGCATAGAATAGTGTGGAGTATCTCTTCGGGAAGACAGTCAAGAGACAAAACCATCCCGCTGCATTGGGTGTGTCGACCGGTTATTGAATTGAAGTAAACCTTGCCCCTCGATGTGAGGATGAGTAGGTGAGTATCTGAAAATGCGGCGCCGGTGGTCTGTACCAACTGTTTTCATTGGCCTTACTTGGCTTTTGGGGGAAGTGGTTACAAACTACGTGCAACATCGTTGAATCTTCTGGTTCCTTAGTACATATAGAATTTTCGACCTTCGTTGCTTACAGACACTTATGGGTGTTTGTTTTCATTCTTTATCTATGGTAATTGGTATGAACCAAGACTACTGCGGATATATTAGATATTGTGACATGTAAGTATATGTACACACTTATATATATATACTGAGACATAGCGGCTATCCCCACAACCCTCCCCTTTCATTATTAGACACACTAGATGCAGGAAAGTTCTCCCACTAATGCCATCATCACACGTCGACCACATAGAATTTAATACCTCACCTTGGCGCGGAAGTACATATGGGGCAATCACACTCCTCAAGCAGCCATGCGGGAACAGGCTCAGACCGAAACCAACCGGAGGAAACAAAGGTGGATTATTACGAGCTGCTTCAGGTAGAGCAGAATGCATCTTCAGAGGAGTAGGTTTCCTGTGAATCATATCATATTAACAAAACATACTCTAACAACACATACTCTCAGGATAAAGAAAGCCTACAGAAGAAGAGCCCTGGAGCTACATCCAGATAGAAATTATGGCAACACGGAAGCTGCTACCAAACTGTTCGCCGAAATCCAATCTGCATACGAAGTCCTTTCAGACGCACAAGAGCGTGCATGGTACGACTCCCATCGTGACGTCTTCCTAGGGAACAAGAGCAGCACAGCCTCGGGAGCCGACTACTCATATAACATGAGGATGACAACCTGTGACGACATATTGAAGTTGTTTTCAAAATTCAGTCCTCGGATGGATTTTACAGATGCACCAGCCGGATTTTACGGTGGCTTGCGTGAAACGTTTGCACAACTTGCTGTAGAGGAAAAGATGGCTTGTCTCTGGGAAGATGTCGCATATGTAGATTATCCTACATTTGGAAACCGCGACGACACCGAAGAGACCGTACGGTCGTTCTACGCCATATGGGGAAGTTTCTCTACAAAAAAGTCGTTTGCATGGAAAGATATTTATCGCTACTCCGAAGCCCCAGATCGTCGTGTTCGCAGGCTGATGGAAAAAGAGAACAAACGTCTCAGAGAAGAAGCGATTCGGGAGTTTAATGAGGCCGTCAGATCGCTCGTGGCTTTCGTGAAGAAGCGCGACCCGCGTTATAGGACTAACACGCAAAGTGAATCGCATCGGCAGGAGATTCTCCGTCAATCAGCCGCCGCGCAAGCAGCCAGATCACGAGCAGCAAACCAGGCGAAACTAGGTGAGCATGTAATACAAGACTGGGCAAAGGCAGAGAATCTCGAGGACAACTCCAGCGATACAAGTGAGAATGAAGTTGAGCACCTCGAATGTATCGCGTGCCACAAAATTTTCAAAAGTCATAACCAATTCAAGGCACATGAACGCAGCAAGAAACACATAAAAGCCTTAAAACAGCTACGCTGGGAGATGAGGGCGCAAAATGAAGAGCTGGACCTGGAAGGAAATGCATCTGATCACGATGAAGAGCCCCAACGGGGGTGCCATCCAACCCATAGCAATACAAAGGACAACCTGGCGTGCATCATAGAGCCACCAACCGAACAAACACAGGATAGCGGAACGAGAGCCACTACGAGTACAGACGAATATACCTCTCCTGATAGCAGTATTGACGTCAAACTTAACAAAGGTTCCTTGCAGCATACAGGTAGTTACGAGAGCTCCCAGTCAGACCCCAAAGAGGCTGACTATGCACCCAGGGAGTATGTTGAACAGCGACTAGGCCCCCAGACCACAATACAGGAAGAGGGAGAGATAGAAGCGATGGAAAACTTGTCCCACCAGTTCTCAAGAACCGAAATAAGGGACACGCAGATGGCTGCACCTAAAATGGGAAAGGCCAAGCAGAAGCGTGCAAAAAAGGCTCAGCGTGCATTGGGACAGCTACAAGACATAAAGTGCGCTACCTGTGACTCTACCTTCTCCTCAAAGACTCGTTTATTTACCCATATCAGAGAGTTCAATCACGCGCAGCCTCTACGTGTGACCCACGCAGGGAAAAAAAAGGGAGGCTGAAGAGAGTAGAGAAAAGGGCGTGCTGTCATATCTTGTCTGGTTGTTGTTCCAATACGGTTGTAATACGGTTGCAAACTTCTATAGTGGCTCATCTGTTATAGTTAAGGGCTCATTTTATTCACTAACCCGGAAGTATTGAGATATTTGCTCGGGCAGCAGATTGTGTAGTATTTCTTGTTCGAGGTGGTATTTCTTCGATACAAGACCGACCACGGTTCAAGACACTAAGGCGACTACTCGACAGGGAAAGCCTATCCTAGGCCAGCCTTGGAGTTTTTCACCACATGTGGAACAGGTAAAAGAATACCCTTGTTGTTAGTAGCACCAAGAGCGGTTCCTGTACTCCAACCCATTTTCTCTAGCATTGCCCTCCCTTTATTTTCTGCCCCTATCTCAGGTGCAGACGCGCCGACAATATCCCCATCCATGTAGGAGACAGAACTGTCAGGGCGACCACGGCGACTCTTAGCAGACTTTGTGACATTTTGTTCCCACGATCTAATAGCCCCACGTTTAGAATGCCCCCCTGAGAATATCTTGTCGATATGAGAGATTGTCTTTTGTGTGTGCCTCGGGGTTCGGGACGTTTTATGGAGAATAGGAAATCTCGAGGACCCTTTACCTCGTGATTGTGAACCCAAAGCCAATTCATTTGCCAGGTCATGTACCAATTTTCTGCGGTGCTTAGTCATAGGGGGAAGGGCCAGGCTAAACACAAAGTTAGTGGGCACATCGCTGCCTTAGTTCTGCAAACATACCTATTCCTCGCCGACATCAGGAAAGTGCGTATTTCAGATTTCAAATCATCGAAACCTATGCCGTTGGAATATTTGCTCTTGAGATCGGGGTCATGTCTACCTCGGCTCAGTAGACCTTGGGAGCGGAGTTCTTCTCGTTTCTGCTTTCGGGCCTTTTTCTTCTCTCGGTCATTTCGCCAGGCGTTCTGCAGTCCTATTTCGAGTTCACTGTCTGACAACACCATATCTAGAGCGCGAGACCCTCCTTTTTGCCTTTTCCTGAGGCTTGGCCTGTTGAAATCCATGATATCCAGGCCATAATAAGGATCAGTCTCCAACGCATCGGCGAAGGCAGTAGCCGAGGCAAAGAAGCCGCCCCTCGAATTCCCCCGTTTCTGTTGAGGCCTAATGTATCGCCCTTGTACTTGGCGTCGCAGAGCCTCGAGTCCCTCGATATCTAGATCACTGTCAAACATATTCTTCTCGTCAGAGTCGCTGACTTGCAAGCCGTCCACGTCAACATTGCTCGCTGATGCGGCGGCATCATCGGATGGATAGATGTCTACGTCGTTAGCAGCGTTTACTTCATGCTCGACACCTGCTAATCTCAGCACAAGCTCGGAGAGGGTGGTTGTATCGCGCTCGTGTTCTGGATAACTTCCACCCGGTGGATATTTCTCTTTATCGGTAAGATCACTCGAATCAGATGTGGTCATATGACTTTGAGAGTTCTGTGGTAGTATCCCTGTGGCGCGCACTGGCCCGTTCGCTTTAGCTTTATGTAGATCTTCGTAGTAATGTTCGGCCATGTTCGCTATATAGTCATCTAGGATGTCATCATCTTCATCCGCCGATGCCTTCCAGACTACATTCGCGGTGTGCGACCCTTCAGTCTTTTTGTGTTGTGTACTATTCTTTTCTGGAGGATTGATCGGTAGGCCATGGCTTGCTTGGGGAACATCACGAGCTGGGCACGCACTAGGATTAAGCGGGGTCAACTTTGCCTTGGGTGATGATGTGGGTGTAGATGGCAACGTATTAGTTGTTGAGGCGACCTTCGGGACATATCCTGGTTCAACGATAACATGGGGTCTGGCCTCAAGCCTACGTCGCCCATGAAACACTACTTCGTCTTCGCTAGAATCATCACACTCGGACAATGATAGTGCAGTAGTTGGGTCCGCCAGCCCGGTATATGTGGCACGATCACCTAAGAGGTCGATAAAAAATAGCGCATTATCTGTTGCCGGTTCGTCTTTTGAGTTGCTTAAGTCGTCATTTGACTTCGCTTCATTTGTTGGTGGTTGCTGGAGGTTTTCTTCTAGCTCGGTGACTTCTTTTTCACTCTGTTCGTCTGGTGAGGTGTTCCCTGCCCTCACGAACCGGACTCCTTGGTGACGCAGGTTTGAACCTGGACGCCATAAGTTGCGCCCCTCTGTGTTCCGCGCTTCTTGTTGCATCGTCAGGTGTCCCGGTTGATGGTCTTTGAGCAGTCAGCTAAAACATGATCAAAACGCTGACCGTTCCTGGTCCATGGTAGCAATACCTCTGCTGGCCTTACTCGTAGGCTTCTGCCTCTTGAGTCGCACCTTTACCTTGCCATGGCGTGCCATTTCGAGTGACGTGTTTTGGCTAGCTTTCGGTGCGGCGACATTCGGCAGGTAGACCTCTCGTTTGTTCATAAAAATACAGAGTCGGGCTGGGTGTTGACTGCTTAGTAATCTCGGGTGACTAACTTCTTGAACCCGAGCGTGGCCTGGAGCCAACAGCCTAGGCTATATCAAGATCCCGATTTAGGGACATCCATATCTTACCTAGAGCACATGTTCGTTTCTGGGATCCTAATAGTGTCGTATTTGGACCCTTATGCACTTTTTATCTACCCTTGGGCCTGTATTTATAGGTATCAATATTACAGATATTGTGAAATACTGTTATATTATCATTATCATGGATGCATTCAACTAATCACAATACAGTTTACAGAACTATGTTTTGGGATCCTTTTAGGGTAGAGAATCATATACTACTTATATCGAATTACATTGTACACCTTCGTTATACTCCTATGATATAGTCTTAGTTGGGATTTGTCTTAAAAATTCGGTTGTTTTCTGTACGGAGTACACTCCGTACCCGTACAGTTGGCCTGCCCGCTTGCTCACTAGTTACGCCAATCTTCAATCGATCGCCGAGACTTATTAGGTAACACTGCCTCCAACATCCCGCTCTATTGATTAATGATACAGGTTCAGCATTTAGGGGATTTGATGTCCCATGAGCAATCATTGATGTAGTTTTATATGTATTTCAAGTGCATGGGCTGCCATTATAACTCGGTTCGGCTACATGTATGTTACCTGACTGATGTAAGTAGTGATGTTTACATAACTTCATGCCTCGTGACCGACAGTAATGAACCCCTCCCGGTGGCGGATAGGATAGGTCCCTTTCGCTGGACAGTCACTGGTACTTACTGGTTGTATACGACATTTGTCTTCTTACTGACGCCTGTTGTATTTGCTTTGGTTTTTCCTGTAGTATCAGACTTAAGCTGGTACATGCATGATATATGTAGGTGCACAGAAACACGCACATATATACATACATATATATATATACGCGCGTGTGTGTATGTGTGCTGATTACAGTGCAAACCACTACAGCACCCACAACACCCGCAAGGAAGACACCAACAGCGCTGCCCGCTACACATACGATGCACACAAACATGAACAGCGTGGACATAGGGCGATGCAGCAAACGTATCGTACAATATCTGTGGGATCCTGAGCCTAGGAATGACGAAGAGCCGGATGCTCCCATCTGGTGCTTGGGAATAGAGTACATGTCCCACCCCCAGAAACATCCACCCCAGACGACACCCAGTAAGCCAGAAAATCGATCTATTATGCAGATCGCAGGTGTTGAAAGTTTCTAATATACACGGCCGGAATAGATCGAGATGCATTCGAGACGGGAACAATCGCTATAGATGATGTAACAGCCCATGGCTGGCCAGAGGCATTCGTGTCAGACTTCGAGTCGAAGATCTGGATGACGTACCGATCTAATTTCCCCCCAATACCAAGACTGGACAATGACGAAGCAAAGCATCCCATGACACTAACTGTACGACTGAGAAGCCAGCTAATGGACACTCATGGCTTCACCTCAGACACAGGATGGGGCTGCATGATCAGATCCGGGCAGAGCCTGTTAGCAAATGCAATTCTCATACTGGACTTGGGACGAGGTATGTTTTCTCTTTGACCCTATATACACCCACACTGCTTTCGCCCACCTCCCCTGTTCCTCGCATCCAGCATGGTAACATACTCTAGCTTGGCGTCGCGGGGACAAAGTGGAAGAAGAGGCTCGCTTGCTGTCGCTGTTCGCTGACCACCCCAACGCACCGCTCTCGATACACGAATTTGTTAGACACGGCGCCGAGTCATGTGGTAAATACCCCGGGGAATGGTTCGGGCCATCCGCAACCGCCAGATGTATCGAGTATGCGTCCAGTACCACCATCCCAGCTGAGCATAATACTCATGAGGAAACAGGGCACTCTCAGCGCAATGCGGAGACATAGCACCCAAGGTATACGTAACAAATGACACTTCAGACGTCTACGAAGATAGTTTCAGACGTGTTGCCTGCAGTGGTTCGGGCCGTATACAACCCACCCTCATACTTATAGGGACACGACTAGGGATTGATAACGTCACGCCTGTGTACTGGGATGGACTCAGGGCAGTTTTAAAGTTTCCCCAGTCGGTAGGAATCGCAGGGTATGTTTATTTCGCTGGTCTGGCCATAATCCGTGACAAGAAACACTGATATCCTGACATGCGCCAGAGGTCGCCCCTCAGCATCCCACTACTTTATTGGAACGCAAGGTTCCTATCTGTTCTATCTTGATCCCCATAACACGCGCCCCGCATCCCCATACAAGACCGCTGGTAATTTCCTGCCCAAAGAGGAAGTACATACGTACCATACTCGTCGCCTCAGACGTATCCATATGCAAGATATGGACCCTAGTATGTTAATAGGGTTTCTTGTCAAGAATGAAGACGACTGGGAGGATTGGAAACACCGCATAGCTTCGACAGCTGGCAAACCAATCATAAACGTATTCAGTGAAGTGGACAGTACTCACTGCCCGGCTAGAGAGGAGGCACTTGACGAAGTGGAGGCGCTGGATGATGAATGAATGCAATCGAATATTTCATAGCGCCAGCACCCCCTGAAGCCTTTTAGTAGAAGCAACCAGTATACATATGAAAGTAATTCAGATTTCGAACCCTCGTTTGTAAGTCGCTACTGCGCAACCAGACCTAGGAGCACCGAGTTATGTTACAACGCATTCACGTCTCAAATAAAACCATGAAAAACATTTGGCCCAATGGGGAAAAACAAAGCCATCCCGTGACGCATTAAAAATCCCGCGAACACCCTGTACCCACCACCTCAAACCATAACAGATAACGAGGTAGTAAAAGACAATCCTGCATGAAAGAAACAAAAAGAAAAGGAAAAAGGAACAACCTATTTGGCAGACGACGAATACTTGGTAACAGCCTTGGTGCCTTCCGACACAGCATGCTTCGCCAATTCGCCAGGCAGAATGAGTCTGACACTAAGGAACTGTGAGTAGTGGCCTTCATTTGAAGAATAGCGATGCGACTTACGAGGTCTGGATCTCCCTTGACGAGATCGTGGACTTCTTGTTGTAAGCGGCCAGTTTGGAAGCCTCAGTCGCGACGCGCTCGAAGATGTCTGATAAAACGTCAGAAACCCACATATCCACAAAGTAAGCTGGACATACCATTGACGAAAGAATTCAAGATAGACATAGCACGAGTCGAAATACCAGTATCGGGATGAACTTGCTTCAGCACTGCGTCGGATATTAGTTTACTAGACATGAGAACACGCAACATAGCCGGTCACACACCCTTGTAAATGTAGGAAGAGTAGGTTTCCTTCCTGGTCTTTCCACGCTTCTTCTTGTCGCCAGAGGCGGCGGCCGCGGTCTTCTTGCCAGCCTCCTTCTTTTCAGCCGGGGCCTTGCCGCCAGCTGGGGCCTTGCCACCAGTGCTGGGCTTCTTCTCAGCAGCCTTGGGTGCCATTTTAAAAGTGAGTTGGAAAAGGGTTTGGTTTTAAAACGACTGAAGTTGAGAATTAAATAATGGTAAAAGTGCAGGCGTTGAAGTCGTTGATAAAGGTAGACGTAGAATGAGGAGGAGAACAAGAATAATGAAGACGCGGTGACGAGGGAGGCGCGCTACTTATACTAGCCCGCGAAAGCGCAGTTGATCTGGGTGCGCAAAGGAAGCAAAATTTCAATACCGTCACAGACGTGTATGATCTGTATGATTAGATGAGGGGAAACGCGTCGGGTGCCGTATATACCCGACTATGATCATGCCAAGATGATGGTATTGAAAAGCCTATACATATATTACAACCCTAACCGAATTTGGAACCATACCACAACAACTACACTCAAAATCATGGTAGGCACATCTGGCCAAGCTATGGGTGCGTCGGAGCATGATCTCCACTGTGATTGGCCAACCCCGCTAAGCGAGAGGGTGATCTGAAGGGCGTCTGGGCGGCCCAACGTCACCCTCACCGCGTCGTTATAAATGTCCGCCGCTTCCTGGCGCTGGCCAGTTATTTCTGACACTGTACCCCGAAAACATTGCCATCGCATTTTCATCGACAACCTCAGCCTCTTCCCTCTATCTCTTCGTCTCATACTTTGTTAACCGAACCACTCTCACCACCGCAAAAATGACTGGAGGCAAGTCTGGAGGCAAGGCCAGTGGAAGCAAGAACGCGCAATCGTATGTATACACCTGTTCTCCATCGTTGTCCTCGCTAATACCGTTCCCTAGCCGTTCGTCCAAGGCTGGTCTCGCGTTCCCCGTTGGACGTGTCCACCGTTTGCTCCGCAAGGGTAACTACGCTCAACGTGTTGGTGCTGGTAAGTGACGCCTTGACAAGATATTGTTGATATCCTTGCTTATCATCTTTAGGTGCTCCTGTTTACCTCGCCGCTGTACTGGAGTACCTTGCTGCCGAAATCCTCGAGTTGGCTGGTAACGCCGCTCGTGACAACAAGAAGACTCGTATCATCCCCCGTCACCTCCAGCTCGCCATCCGCAACGATGAGGAGTTGAACAAGTTATTGGGTCACGTTACCATCGCCCAGGGTGGTGTTCTTCCCAACATTCATCAAAGTGAGTTTAAGAAACAACGGCGTCTATTGAGTTTGGTGCTAACCTCATACCAGACCTCCTTCCTAAGAAGACCCCGAAGAGTGGCAAGGGTCCTAGCCAGGAGCTGTGAATTGTTTATTTTCGTTTGGGTTTTCTCCTTCGGCGTGGTTTGGTTCTCTTATTGATGTGATAACGGGGTTCTGGACTGGGCACGTTTATGGCTCTGCGTTTTTTTTCTTCTTTCCGAGTCTTTCTGTTTTAATTTTATGGTTGTACATTATGTCTACGGACATGGAATGATACCGGCAGCTTTCAAAGGATAGGGGCTTTCGGCCATTAGCTTGAAAGGGAGTTACTACCCCCAATTATAAGTGACGCATTCTGAAATGGCAGTTGGCCCTACTTTTCAATAGATGCCCACAGGTCTTACTATGAGAACTACATTCTTGAATTGCAGTAGATTAACTGCGTCTGCGTTAAGCAGAGGCGAATCATGTAATTTTACATTGTCCATTTACTATCTAGAATCACTAACGATTGGACCCAAAAATTTGGAACCTTTCAATGGATTTCCGTAGCGTCTAATTCTGTTAGCGAGCGATGATAGTCCATGGGCCTCCCTAATTCACGTACAAGGCAATTGCCGGGCAGGCAGATTTCTTTCATATTTGTTGCCTTCAGGTAAATGTTAGTTATTAATCTAGAGAAAGCAAGCCTTGCATCTTTTATAAGACATACCTCCTGGAGCCGTAGGCGCCCGGTAGGGGTCTGGGTGTTTCCAGCTTTCCAATAGTTTCTCCGTCTCTCGCAACAGCACCTGCCAGTTTGTAAGACGGTGTTACATAGGTTCTATAGCTTAGATCGCCAAGGAATATATGTATACCTTCTGTTGACGCGGATCGCGGACATCCTTGTTCGCATCGAAAAGGGAACGAATGTACACTGCTTGCCCACGCCAAACCTGCCTTTGCACAGCCCAGTCAAGGGCAAGCTTTAGGGAACGTCGATAGAGCGATCTGCGAGTAGGGTTAACATTGCTGTTTCATGATCGTTGCTTCAATTACAGCGAACTCACGCAACAGGGTGAAGGGCCATGATGCGTCCTGTGATGCAAAGCAATATACCCTCAATTGTAATTCACAGTTGAGATGGGAACTGACGTGACCGAATTTGGATAAGTCTTTGCACAGAATCTTAAGGCAGTATGTTTCGATGCTCACCTGGTTTTCTACACGAGTTCAGGTCCGCCTTACTCAAGCTGAATTCCTGAAAGAGGTGACTTGCCAAAGTGGTGCTTATGGATCACCGAAAAAGCGTAATAATAATACTCCGTTCATTTGCCGGTCGCAGGGAATGCAGGGCCCTTTTGAGGGAAATTCCGGTTGTCTCGGCCCGGTCTTCTACCCTTTGGGCCGCTTAAGTTTCGTCACTCACTTTACTCCTGCAGGTCGAAGAACCTTTAGCTCTAAGTCAGCCCGGGGGAGAAAAAAGGAGAAAGAAGAAGGCAGAATTCTTCACATTTTTCTTTGCGCATCCCTATTATACTCCAAGGAGAGTTTCTATCCTACTTTCTTTCAATTGGCGAATTCCACAGTTGTGGACTTTGGCTCATCATGGCTTTCCGCTTCCCTCTTCACCGTCTCTCGGAACAACATCTCAGGGTCATACCTCGAGTTGCTCAAAGCTCTCGTAACGTCTGCCTGGGTGGTCGCCGGGGTCTTACCTCAGCTGCTCTCCGCCCATGGGTTAGCAATATCAGCAGACCTGCTTCTGGTCTGCCGCAAGTTCTGGGGTAAACTCACACACTCGTGGTTTTTCTATGCTCCCTTAATACAGACTGGCTTATAGCCTTGTAGGGTTAACGTTTCACGGTCTAGCCTTGCTTCATTTGGGGGTTACCAGGTTCGCACTTATGGTAGGTAGTACGGCATCTCTTTCTCGTTGAATTTTGCGCTGACTACCCTCCAGCGGACACTATAGTCAAAGTTCCCCAGATGGCAGAGTCAATCACCGAGGGCACCTTGAAACAGTTTTCAAAACGTATGTTCGCTGATCTCTAGTTACAGGCTTATACTGACGCTAGCAAAAGAGGTCGGGGATTATGTTGAAAGAGATGAGGAAATAGCAACAATCGAGACCGATAAGGTAAGGCGAATTTAATCATTTTGTTCATTGGAAAATATTCTGCCGATTGCTCACTGTTACAGATTGATGTGTCAGTCAATGCTCCTGAATCTGGAACCATCAAAGAACTTCTCGTAAACGAGGAAGACACTGTTACTGTTGGGCAAGAATTAGCCAAGCTGGAGCTGGGAGGTGCGCCTGAGACTAAGAAGGAGGATGCGACCGAAAAGCCAAAGGAGCCCGCACCTACTAAAGAACCTAAGGCCGCTGAGCAAGAACAGCCAAAGACACCAGAGACTTCCCCAGCTTCCACAAAGCCTGCCACACCTGAGCCTGAGCCTTCCAAGAAGCCAGAGCCCTCGTCCTCCAAGGCAGAGAATCGCGACGATGCTAAGCCCAGCCCTGGAATTCGTGAAGAGCGAAGGGTACGTTCTCTTTTCCTGCCCTATGTTTCCTTCGCGTTATCCTTTCCCCCTGAAATTATACTGACTAGCCCTTCTCCAGGTGAAAATGAATAGAATGAGACTGAGGATAGCCGAGCGACTAAAGCAGTCTCAGAATACGGCTGCTTCCTTGACTACCTTCAACGAGGTTGATATGTCTTCCCTTATGGAGTTTCGGAAGTTATACAAGGACGATGTGCTCAAGAAAACTGGTGTTAAGCTCGGTTTCATGAGCGCCTTCTCTCGTGCTTGTGTACTAGCAATGAAGGATGTCCCCGCTGTCAATGCATCGATCGAGGGACCCAATGGCGGCGATACTATTGTCTACCGTGACTACGTGGATATAAGTGTTGCTGTTGCCACCGAGAAGGGTCTCGTAACACCGGTGGTGCGTAACGCCGAGACTATGGACCTTGTTGGAATTGAGAAGGCCATTGCGGATCTCGGGAAGAAGGTAGGCCATAGGGCTTGGTTGTCCGTCTCGCTTCTGTATTTCTGACCATCAATTGGCTTAGGCACGCGACAATAAGTTGACCATTGAGGACATGGCTGGTGGCTCTTTCACCATCAGCAATGTGAGTGACCACGTGCATGTACATGGCGGAGTATATCCGTAGTAACATCGATGTAGGGCGGCGTCTTTGGATCTCTCATGGGTACACCGATCATCAATCTGCCACAGACCGGTAAGGAGCAGCCCCGTCTTACTCCCAGCAAACAAATTATCTAACCTGACGAAGCTGTACTCGGGCTCCATGCCATCAAGGAGAAGCCTGTTGCTGTGAATGGTAAAATCGAGATACGTCCTGTAAGTTGGCCTTTATTATACCTTGTCATGACCGAAGGACCTTTGCTGATGTAATATAGATGATGTATCTTGCTCTAACTTACGACCATCGCCTCTTGGATGGTCGGGAAGCTGTTACTTTCCTTGTCAAGGTTTGTTTACCCAATCGTTGAATTCAGTATCCTGGATTGTTCACTAAGTGCAATTTAATATAGGTTAAGGAATATATCGAGGATCCGCGTCGCATGCTCCTTGGCTAAGCATCTTAGCAGGACAAAGTATGTTTCAACAACCAGTCTCAGGGCCTAGATATTCTATGTAGATTAACCGTCTTGTGCACAAGATATATATTATCATTTCTAAGCTAATCGAGTGATGTAAGCATTGCAGCTTTTGTCCATCTTGAATTTCATACCCGTTCTAGTTGTTTCCCCATCTTTCAACGCCAAATGCACCCGCTTTGAGTACATAGCTTGGTCAGCTTTTAGCCATCACTTAAGTCCCACTCTATCTTTCAATTGCCTCGTCTCCGCCCGACTCAGCCCCTCGAGCTTCCCACGTTCGAGTTGGATAAGCACAGGAGACTCGAGGACTTTCATGATATCAAGCAAAACATCCAAAACCGCGGACCTGAACTGAGGTAATGGGAAATTTGCGGAAACGGCATCCAAGTGGATATTGAGGGGGGTTCCATCTGGTGGTCGAAGGTGACTCATGTACCGTCTAGATGCGGGGTTCGTATTTGCTGCCTGACCTAAGATTTCTTCGGCCCATGCTATACGCTTACTGAGACCATCTGAGGACTCGGATGTTCTGTATTCTTCAACCGCAGCTTGCATGAAGAACAGTGCTGCCGTATCAGCCCATCTCGCGCCCGACAGCTTCGCGCCAACAGTGCGGCAGAGGGATATGAAGGCCACTGCCAACTCAGGCAGGGGAGCTGATTTTGCTTGCAGGCAATCATTATCTGTACCTAACTGGGACCCGTGAGGTTGAAGGGGGAGACATGCGCCTGGATAGGATCGGAAGTCTCTGGCGAATTCAAGGAGTTGTACCTTGACCAGCATGTCATCAGAAAAAAATCCCGATAGTTGAAGTGCTGACTTTAAGGCTAGAAATTGATAGACGGGAAGTCAGTGTGTCCGCGTGAGTAACCTAGGAGGCACATACTGTGTACTGTGTCAACATGCCAGTTGAGATCGTGTTCATCAGGTTGCTGTTGAGTCTCCAATCTGCCCGCGTATATCAAGCCGTATATGGAGGTGCAAAGTAGGTAGTCCAATATCAGGAGGTCTACTTCGTGTTGAGTATCGGGATCTGCTCTATACAGTTCCATTATGTATTATTGCACAAGATCATCCTTCACTGTGGGATAGTGAGGATTACCCAATTAGGGGGTTACTGTGAACTAGGGATTAGAAGGCCATCGTGCCAAGGACCTGAGACTAAAGAGTGAAAGATGACAAAAGCGGTAGCGGGCGGTGACTTTTGGGGGAAAGGCTTAAGTTAGTATCAATGTTCTCGTGACCCATGTCGGAACCTATGGCGTCATATAGATGGCACCTTCCAAATTAATTCATTCAATCACCTCTTACTCCATATATACGCTAATTTTACCTCAGAGACCACATGAACTCTACGAGAGTATAGCTCCTATGAATGAATGATCCCAGGTCTACTGAATCCATATCTACTGCAGCGAAAGGCTACCACAAAGTGTTTCTCAATGGCGTGGTACTGCTCTGGTTCAACTAATGCGGAACTGGTCGAGAATCTCTTCAGGACGGGCTTAGTGAAGAATGAAAGAGTGAAAAGGGCTATGCTGGGGGTGAGTGGCCTTCCTAATTCCTAACCTCCGATGTGCTTTGCCACCTCCCACCTCCCACCCCTCAACACAGGGGTTCGGAGGGCTCACAGTAGGGTTGAATGATGTAGGGTGGGATTGAGGGAAATGTGTGGATGAAGGCATTTGGTTGCGCGTGCATCTCCTACTAGACGTGTTTCTGACATTAAGGTGCAAGGTTGATCGGGCCCACTATGCACCTTCGCGGCCTTATTCGGACTCCCCACAGCCTATTGGGCATGGTGCAACAATATCCGCTCCTCACATGCATGGTCACGCATGTGAGTATCTCATTGATTTCCTCAAGCCGGGTTCGCGGGTGTTGGATATTGGCTCCGGTTCCGGATACCTGACCCATGTTCTCGCTAATCTCGTCACAAACCCTTCCGCGTCTGATGGCTTAGACGGTCATGTTATTGGGATTGATCATATACCGGAACTTGTCGACCTGTCGCGTGAAAATATGCGCAAATCTGACCAAGGGCGTACATTACTCGATTCAGCAAAGGTTGAGTTTATTACCGCTGACGGCCGCCTGGGATGGAAGGAAGGAGCACCATATGATGCTATCCATGTTGGCGCAGCAGCGGAAAAGCTTCACCCAGTATTAATTGAGCAGCTTCGCGCCCCAGGACGAATGTTTATCCCTGTTGACGTTGAATCTGACGGCACTGCCCCAAGTTTCGGATTTGGTGGTGGGCAATATATTTGGGTAGTCGACAAGAAGGTGGACGGGTCAGTTCACAAGGAGAAGGTATTCCAGGTTAGCTATGTTCCATTGACCGACCCACCGAAAAAGTAAACTCTGTGGCATGTAGGTTGGAGATGATATCGTTCTTTTATTCTATAGGCAATCGAGCAAACAAGGAAGTATAGGAGGACTGCAGGCATGATATGTTACGCCAACAATATAACAAAAGCAAGTATTGTGTTCTTGAAAAATTAAACCAATCATAATAGGATTGTTTCAAGTAGCAAAGTAAGAAAATATGTAAATAACCCCCCTGAGGAATACAGGAGTAAGCACGAAGATCAGCGGAAAGGGAAACCACCCGGGAAGTTGAACCCTTGACCCGAGAACTTGAATCCTTGACCCGAGAACTGTGGTCCGCCCTGTTGAAAAAAGAAGTGTTGACCACCTCCAGGCCCGAATGGACTTCCTTGAAACGGGTTGCCTCTTTGCGATTCATGGTCATTGGGGTCATCGCCACTGTCATAACGTGCTTTGAGTTCGGGGTCAGAAAGCACTTCATACGCTTCATTGATATTGGCCATCTTCTTTTCAGCTTCCTCTTTTGTGACACCTTGGGACTTGGCTTTATCAGGGTGATGTTGTTTAGTGAGCTGGCGGTATGCTCTTTTAATTGTCCGGTCATCAGCATCACGGCTGACACCTAAGACTTTGTAGTAGTCCTTGTGCTTAGAACGCTTCAGTAGGATGTGCGCTTTTTGTAAAAGTGATTGCACATCTTTGGAGCCAGGATGGTGCTCTTTGGCTGTATTTAGCATGTTTATAGCGTCGTCAAAACGCTCTTCATCAAGAGCTGTTTCACTCTTGAAGAGCAGCGCCGGTAGAGAGGAGGGGTTCACTTCGAGAGCCTTAGAACAGTACGGAGAAGCTCGCTTGGGCATATGTGCCTGAGTACTCAATGCATTAGCTAGCTAGCGCCATTTCGAACAAGACCTTTCCTAGGAGCACATACCTCACGATAAGCTTCGCAGGTCCGCTCCACCAGTAAGCCATGAAGATTGCTGGGGGCCGCAGGGTGGATGCGGCCTGCTTCCTTCGCCTCCTTTACATCGCCTGTCACATCATCAAGAAGCCCCCTTTCATCACCTACCCCCACAAGCAAGTTGATGGCATTGGTGAACTTTCGCGAGTCAATCACATCTTGTAGTTTCTGTAACTGCTTGAGAAGTTTCTTCTCCTTCCGATAGAGGCGGTTGCACGGCTTTGAATCGGGATCGAAATGTAAACACTTCCGAATTTGTGAGATACCCCGCTCCTGGTCTCCCAGAGAATAAAATAGCATGTAAGACATCTGTAAATATGGTTCCACTAGACTGGGGGAGATATGCAGGACATGGGCCAGGTCGTTAATTCCTTCCTCTATGTCGCCCTTTTCAAAGCGGCAATGTGCTCGAGTTTGTCGCAGAGCTAATGATGAGCCCGCTTTGAGAACGGCCACATTCGCGTAATTTACGCAGGCTTCCCAGACACCATGTTGTTCTGCATCCCGTGCATGCGCTGCAGCATCGCGTGCCTCTTGAAGTTCAGTGTATTCTGAGGATGTCTTCTTGCCGGCCTTTTCAAGATCCTCCAATGCGCCTTCCCAATCAGCAGTATTAGCTCGAAGGCGAGCTCGCTGTAGGAGGGCATTCTCAAAGTCCGGTTTTAGTTGGAGAACCCGGTCGAAGTCATCGAATGCCTGTGAGCTTTTACCCAGTGACAAATAAGCGGCACCTCGCTGGAAGATGGTGATATAATTTGTGGGATCTCTCGACACAGCCGCATCAAAGTAAACCAACGCATCGCGGGGCGAACCAGCAGCGAGGTAGGTTTTCGCCGATGCGATCAGAGACGACAGAGGAGTGTCTGGGATTATCTGCGAGGGTTGGAGGCCATAACTGGCTGAAAAGAAGGCTAAAAAGACTGTCAGGGATTCCACGGAGAGAAGCATTGTTCTTTGCACCGAGATACCAGGGGAGACTATAGTCGAGGGGACATAACAATTAGAGGACCTTCCTTAGTCTGATGAACTTTGTCAGATAATGTGCTGGTACGACACGAAGTCTGCGACTGTATGAGTAGAACAGATGCTCCTTTAAAAGAAATGGAGAAGACAAGTTTACATGATCGGGGTCTCCTATAGCAGTTGAGGTTGACAAAAGGACTTAATATGAGCAATACGTTCGCTCATTGGCGGGTATGCCAAGCTTCCAGTCTGGCCTTTACGCCTGGGTGGTAACATTACCCCCGATAAATTACGAACAACACGTGACCTGATATCATGGAGAATGTACCAGATGAACCAGATCTTGTGCGCGCGCCGAGTTGAACATTGGACTGCTTCATATGCATTATATACCTCCTCTAGACTACAAAGCATGCTGAATATCCCATTGGTATGCTCTCGATGTCTGACGCTGTTTGGGACTAGAACTCCTGTGAGAAGGCCGTGGCCGATTCGCCAATGGCGGGGATTTTATACAAGTACAGGTTGTTCAAAAGCCATCATCTACCACCTTTCAGTATATGTTGAGTTCTCCGCGAGGAGCTTGAGCGACTGACGAGTCAAAGTAGGGTCTGATCTCTCCGCATCTCTACTCTCCCGCGCTCGCTCTCTAGCAGCCGAGCATTCTAAGCTTTCGGCCAATTTGGCAGATTTCTTTGATGGAAAAATTGCAAAGCGAGTTGGTGAGCTAGCACCCGTTGCCGACGTTCTGAAGGAATGGGATAAAACCAATGAGGTATGCCAGCGATCCAAAATTCTTTACAATCTGACCAGCATGACTTGCTGATAGAGCGGCTTTTGATCCTTTCTCCAGGCCATAACAGAGCTCAATACTCTACTGGGTGACCCGAATACAGATGCCGAACTTAAGTCTTTAGCCCTCGAAGATCTGGAAATCAGCATGGCTGCTTTGCCAACTATATCGGAGAAGTTGAAACAAGCCCTTATCCCCCGTCACCCTTTCGCAACGCTTCCTTGTCTTCTCGAGATTCGCCCTGGCGCAGGTGGAGACGAAGCGGGCCTGTTTGCTTTTGAACTTCTACGGATGTATACTGCATTTTGCTCTCATCGTGGCTTTCGGTCGAATATCATCAAGCTGGAGGTGGGAGATGGCCCTGCAGAAGATCGGCTAAGCGAAGCAGTAATAGAAATCGAGGCAGACGGTGCTTATGATATACTAAGGACCGAGTCGGGGGTCCACCGTGTGCAGAGAGTCCCAGCCACAGAGACTAAGGGACGTACTCACACCAGTGCTGTGAGCGTGATGATCCTTCCTAGCTTTCCAGAGGCAGGTGGTGTGGATAATGCGCTCAACTTTGACGACCCGAGCAGTGACTATTACATTGATCCCCAGGAAGTTCGCAGTGAGAAAATGCGAGCTGGGGGTGCTGGCGGCCAACACGTGAACAAGACAGAGTCTGCTATTCGCTTGACTCACGTACCGACGGGTATCGTTGTTTCCATGCAAGATTCACGCTCCCAACACGCCAACCGCAAAAAGGCCTGGCAAATCCTACGCTCGAGATTGGCTGAGGCAAGACAAGCGGCCCGAGAACACGAACTTGTGGAACTCAGGAGGGGGGTACTGGGCGGCGTCGCTCGCATGGGTCGTGGAGACAAAATTCGCACGTACAATTATGGCCAGAGTCGTTGTACAGACCATCGGAGTGGCATCACCATACACAACTTAGATGATGTTTTGGATGGTGGCGAGGGACTTGAGACGGTCATGGAAAGTGTGCGGTCCTGGCTGATTGACCAAGAATTGGCAGCCTTGGCTGCTGATGAGCTAGCAAAAGCCAAAGGAGCTTCACGCTCCTAGAAACGAGCCAAGGTATCAAAAAGGCGCTGATGTGTCTTTCGGTACCATTGCTATTCCTAAATTCGAGGCTGTAGATACAGGGTAAGATGCGGACCTTTCCTGTCAGCGTGACAAATTAAAATACAGTGTATATTAGCTGCGGAGCTGTGATATGGCCCTTGGGAAGACCTGTCACTGCCTAATATCCCCTTCTAACATCAGATATATTGTCTCTTCGGGTCTAGAGTGTCGAGAGCATCCATCGTTTTCTCGTACCTGTCGATTTTAAGCAGTTAGCTAATAGGTCTAAATGATGGATGAGTTTAGTAGTGTTAACGAACATTGTGAACACTATTCCTCCGCTCAAGATCAGCCTAGCGAGTCGCGGAACGGCTCCGGACCAGAAAGTGAATATCCCTTCGTCTTTGAAGATCCTTGCTGCACAGACAAAACTGTTCTTATAGTTCTTAGACGCTTCTAGCGATTGCATCCTGCCTTTGAATTAGCCCCTGCCGACATACAGATCTCTCAGGGTAGAGCTATCATCAAACCTGGTTTTGACGGTATCAAGGGGCTGTGTGACATATCTATAAAGAAACGTGTGTTGTTAACCTTTGCTACTTGTTGGCGGGGAGTAGCCCCTCGAATGCTTTATTGACTTACACAGTTATAAAGCCCGCCATACCGCCGATGGCAAAGGTGCTTGCAGTTCCCAGCTTCTCCCCAGGTGCGACATAGCTTTCAGCTAGTTGCTTTAACATAGTATAGCTTGAGAATCTTGTCGCAGAGTTGGCAGCTTGCCTTGCCGTTGTAGGAACGAAGCCCTGGAAAAAACCTCGAACACCTCGCTCCTTAAATATCAGTTTACTGCCATGCAAGAATCCGCGCATACGAGGGTTCGCAGATTTGCGATCGTCAATCCTGCGGATATGTCATCCATCAGTTTCACCATGCATTATAGCATAAACTAGTGAGTTACGTAGCTAAGGGGGAGGAAGCTTTGAGGCAACGGACAATTGCGTTTTAATGCTTTCAAATGGTGTCACTGCGAAAAGGGATTCAGTGAAGCCAGCTCCAAACCCGGCAATCACCGTTCGTGGGCCTGATATCTTGCCATTTTCGTCCTGCAGAAGTGATTTTATTCTATCGAAAGCGACGAATCCTGCGAAAAAGATCCTAATGTGAGCCTACGAAGGACTCGGGACCCGATTGTTACCATGAGAGCGTGGTGAAACTTACGAATGCCTGCTTTGAGAGAATTTCCTATGATCAGAGTAGTGCAACCAGCGTACCACTGCGTCCCAAATGGGGGCCATGGCAGTTTCTGCCCGTCTGGTAGTTTGCGATTGAGTTGTGACCGAGTCTTCGCAACTAGATACAGTAAGTAACTCGGTATACAGGGTGGACGACATGGAGCATACATTCAGCCGGATAGGTGATTGCTAGTGAAATTAACAGTTGTTCATGCATACGAGAGTAGATGAATGATACCTATTTCAATGGCACCGGCGGTCGAGCCTGCAAAAATCGACCGCAAACTGCTGGGCTATGTGCAATGCATTAGTATTCGGCCCTAGAGACTGGAAAGAGCTTTTCACACCTTTCGTCCCCGATCGTTTTCTGCAGCGCTCATTTTGTGTGTAGAAGGATCAGTATTGACCAGCGCCAAGAGATGTGGAACTAGACAGGCTTATGAGACTATATGCGATAATTGGAATACGGGCATCGGAAGGAGCAGGATACGCAATCCATTTGATGTCACTCCGTACCTTGCCAGCAAAGCAACCTTATTCTACCATGATATTCTGTGTGGAACTGTGGGACTTTTCTTCTTATCGAAGGGTGTACTTGTCATTTCGTAGATGCTACCAGGATAAGCTCGACTATTGGCTACAGGCGCAAAAACATCTAGCGGAAACCCTTTTTTGCTCACTTTCGCGGATTTTCAATTTTTTTTTTTTTTTTTTTTTTGCTTCTTTTCTTCCTCCTTTTCTCCGGTTGGTTCCTTCATAACCTCGTCGAAAACATTCATAACTATTTCCCTTGCATCCTATTTTCCCCGTGTTCTCCTCTTCCGATCATCTCAAGCGCCTTATCCAGGTGGTGACCCTGTTACATAATTCAGATAATTGTCTCTTCGGCACTGTCACAAATTGACACTGTACCGATATTTAGGTTGTTTCTCATCTGAGGCGTAGCGAAATGGACACCCTTTGGTTAGGACGGAAAAGCACATCCATAAAGCGGTTTGAACACCACCCATAGATAAAGTGAATCCTTCGTTGTGCCGATGATAACCAGATAGAGAAGAATAGCCCGCGACAAGAAACGGCCCATAAAGCCAACGCCGAACACAGAACACCAAACAACCATACAGTAGCTCAAGAAAACAAGAGAACGGGAAAAAAAAAACCAAGCATCAACGTAGGCTGTCCCAAATGTCCGGAATATGATACCGCGACAATAGCTTAGATCATCCAAAGTTGCATGATATGCGCTGCTGAAAGGAGAGGGACAAGTCAGAAGGGAGAGAAACAACCCGGACAATGAGATGATAACTGGGTGATAGGCTGTCCGAAAGCTATCCACAAACGCCGGTGTCATGATATTCTGCTGGATGGAAACCTGTAAACGCCGACCATTGGGCTTAGAAACCACAGGACGTAGTATCAATATGTACAAATGAACCAAACTAGGAAAGGGGTAAGAACTGGAGAAAGTAAAGTACGAAGGAAAACAGAACATAATCGAATAGAAGAATATGATACAGATGTGATCACCGTTATCATATCACTGCTGTCAAAAAGTAGGTAGACAGACTCATTAACGAAGAAATACATAAACACCCCGCACACTTTGCAATAGTAAATGAGATGAAGGAAAGGTGGAAAGGGTTGATTGTGATTATCAGGCAATATGGCTAAGGTCGTTTAAGATAAAGAGCATTCATTGGCAGCAACATAAAAAGACAGAAACAGAGATCAGAAAAATGAGGTAGGAAAACGAACAATGCTCTTACCAAGTTGCTGCTAATCTTATGACACCTGCGCAGGCTGAGTCTTGCCACTTTGCTGTTGATTTTGGGAGCCACCAAATTTGTTCATCTCATTTTGGATATTGCGGCGCTGACCTTGGCCACGACCTCCGCGATATGAACCCCGTGTCCGACCATACTGATAATGCCCCCCATTCAAGTGGTTGTTGTGGCGACGTTCTCCAGGATTTTGGGTTAGGTTTGCATTCGTTGCTAACTGTGTTTGCGAAGAGTTGGCAATTGGGCGCGGAATGGTTTCTGGCGATTCATATACGTATAACTTTTTGTCGATATTTTGCGGAATAGGCTGTATTTCGGTTCCCAGCTCTTGCTCAATCTTATATAGGTTGAAACGATCATCCCAATTTATGAGATTGATTGCTAGGCCCAAATGACCAAACCGACCAGACCGGCCAATTCGATGGAGGTAGGTTTCAGCGTTCTTGGGGAAATCAAAGTTGATAACAACATTCACTGCTTGAATGTCGATACCTCTAGTTAGCAAGTCAGAGCAGACAAGATTGCGGCATACACCATTCCGGAAATCATGAAAGACTCGATTCCGATGTTGCTGCAGCATCCTTGCATGTGAATAGAAGCAGGAATAGCCCAATTCGGTGATCTTCTTTGCAAGAAGCTCGACTCGATTTGTTGAATTGCAGAAAATGATTGATTGGTTGATTTGTAGCTTGGAAAAGAGAGTATTAAGGCAATGGACTTTCTGCTTTTCCTCAACGAAAGCATAGTACTGAGTGATTCCCCGGAGAGTAAGTTCATCCATAAGATTGATCTCGTAAGGGTTGCGCATATGTTTGTCCTGGAAACGGTGTTAGTTTGAGGGTAACAAGTACAGAAGTTTCCCACGGAACGCACCTTGAAAGACTTCACGATCAATGGAAAAGTTGCGCTGAAGAGCATGACCTGACGGTCTTTAGGATGGAACGACAATAACTGCTCAATTACAGGAGTGAATTCAGGGGACAGTAACTTGTCGGCTTCATCCATGACGAATGTAGGGCATTCGGAAAGATCAGCAACACCCTTACTAGCCAAGTCTAGGACTCGTCCTGGAGTTCCAACAAGGATATGCACAGCGTCGTTCAACCTAATGATGTCATCCATCAACCCAGTTCCTCCAGTGGTGACCATCACATTGATCCCCAGATGTTTCCCGAGAGTTTTACAAACATGAGATGTTTGAAGTGCAAGCTCTCTGGTTGGCACAAGAATGAGTGCTTGAGTTTTGGTGCTTTTGGGATTTATGCGTTCTAATGTAGGAATGACGAAAGCCGCTGTCTTTCCAGTGCCATTCTTTGCTCGGGCCAAAATATCCCTGCCAGTAAGAGCAACTGGTATTGTTTCTTCCTGAATAGGGGAGGGTTTTTCGAAACCAGCTTCGAAAATGCCCATCATAAGCTCGCGTTTAATGTAGAAGTCTTCAAACTCAAGACCTTTGGTAGCAGTCACATCCTAAGATGGTGTTAGATTTCGAATAGGTGAACGTCAACGTAAGAGGTAGCAAACCTCGGTCTGCGGCCGTGCATCTTTTGCAGGGGCTTTTAGTTGGTCCTTCCACCTTGCGTCTGAGCTTGCTTCCCTAATGAAGAAACAACTGAGTAAATTTGTCTAGGACTAGCATAATATGTAAGAGGCAACATACCCTAGGGTTGTGTTGTTAAGTTGTGAGGCAAGAGCGTCGGCCATGATGATCACTCGTCCCGTCCAGAGAGAGGATTATAGAGAACTTATGTGTCGGGGAAGTTTGTGAGTATGAGCCTCTCTAGATCATAAACAGTACAGTAGACGGGATCAGATCAGAACAAATGGTAGCTTTTGCTATTCGAAACCTTGCGGCGGATCCAAGTAAAACGTTAGGAGGAAAGTGGAAGAGTGAAAGTGGACTATCTGCAACTTGGTCTTGAGGATAGAGCTCTCAACTCTAAACGCGGCCAAGCCTCTTGAAACGTAAAGATGGGAGGTTAAAAAATGTGGGTGCTTTTTATGACTGGGTTGAGATAGTAAGAAACTGGTTGAGTGTGGTGGTAATAGGAATAAAACTGGTTTCAGCTATACAGACACTGTTTAACCACAGAGCTGCTAATGAAGACAGGTGAGATGGCACAAAATCCCAGGAGAGTTGAAACAATATGATGATTATGTGAATATCAGTTCAGTTGGGTTTGTAGGTTTCGTACGGAGAAGAGTGATCAACCAGATGTAGTGGAAAATATAATAAGGGTGTGAGGTCGAAGAGAAAAAGTTCTGTGGTGAAGTGGGCAGTAGTGCCTCGCCGCCTTTACCTACTAGGTACCCTCCCGTACCGGGTCCGTACGTAGCATTACTAGAGAGGTCTTTCTGACTAGCCACTAACATAAGCCTAATGAACTCAGTGCTTTACCACCTCCACTATCAAGTCACTAATGACGCTGCTTTAAAGTGCGACCACGTGATACTGCTCTACTACTATCCTATACAAGCTTCTAAAGCACCTGGTACTGTTTGAACAGTAAGCGTCACCCTCTGTACGCTCTTCAGGTAGCATTGCTGCTGAAAGCATCGAGTTTTGTGTTGGTATTAGTAGCTGCTTTTAGGACATTCGTTGCCTAATTTTTCATGTGCATTTCCTTCGTACGTTATTTACTGGTACATACGATGATGTGCAATGCAAGTTGTCATCCTCCCAGCCTACGGGTGAAATGTTAATCGTGTTTGCCCTCGTTCAGGCTCTGCTAATCTGGATAGAGAGCATCTGTTAGTAGCGGTCTCGACAACTATATTTGGTTTTGATATTTGTACTTACTCCTTCACGCGGACATCAGGAGCTAAGCTAATCTCGGCCCTTGAACCCGGTGTGATGAGTATAAATTGCACACCTACTGACCGTCTGGCGGCAAGCATCTGTCATTTCGCCAATTAGCCAACCTAGTGGTACAGGACCTGGAGTCAATAGACGCACAAGCATATCAATCGCCATCTTCCTATTAATGTGGTCCATGTACACATCGCTACCCGGTTTATGTTAGAGATATTCAATGTACTTGATAGCTATTGACTCACAATTCATCTAAGCAGCGTATGGGGGATCCCATAGCCTCCCAAAGCGCTAATAAAAGGCAAACTTGTGAGAAAGACTTTTCACCACCAGAAAGCGTCTTTGCACCACGACCAGCGCTGTCTTTCGTTATGTCGGGTTCGACCTACAATGCTTTATCAGATTCCGTCACAGGACAACAATATCCAAGACTCTCTTACTTGTAAATCTAGTAGCTTGCCATCGTGATCAGTTAAGAGTCGACCACGAAAACTCCTCTCGCTGAGAAGATATGTGAATTGTGCCTTGGCACGCGATGAAATGTGTGACCTGAAAATTTCCCAACGTTTCTTGCGATGTTGGAGAGTTTCTATAAGAACCTGGAAAGCGTCAGCAGAGCTGGGTCCCCTCAAGAGTGTGCAAAGAAGAAAGGGGAGAAGGAATGGGATTGTGGGAGCGTACATCAGCAAGTAGCCTAAACTCCTCTATTTGCTTGAGCGCTCGGTTGTAGGCTGCGTTTGCCTTCGAGGCTTCGCCCGCGATTTCGTCCCGAGATGCGCCCAGTCTAAAATTCAGTTAGAGGCTGTGATACCGTTATTTCGAGGTAACTTACTGTTGGTTATAGCGTTGTATGTCCTTATTAAGCCTGTCTAGTTTCTTGTCGAGACTAGCAGCAGTCTCCCCTTCAGGGACTGAAACCCGCGGTGAGACAAGACTGGCTTTCTCATTGAAAACGATAACACGTGCAGCAACCTCCTCTCTTTTCTGTTCTATCCTGTCTCTTTCTCGTTTACTATCATCGATTCGCTCAATCGCAGCATTTTTATTACGGATCATCTTCCGGCGTTTTTCATGCCCCATGAGTTCTTCACTCTGAGCCACCCGAAGCTCTTCCTGCGATGCAGCTATGTCACCATCTTTAGAAGCGAGTTGTTGCTTAGTAGCTTTAAGTGTTTTCACCATAGTATCCATGGCCTCCATGCTGTCTTCCAATGACCCTTCGTTGAGACGTTTCTCCTCCTCGGCCTCCTGGAGGGTGGCTCGCAGCACATCAAGATGGTCGACTTCAGGTTCTTTATCGAGCGCATCTGCGAGTTCTTCGGCTTGGTCTTCCTTCCTTTGGAGTGCGATTCGCAAGTTGTTTGTCTTTCTTTCATGGCTCGTGAGAGCCTGCTGGCAGCCTTCCACACGAGATTGAGCTGATCGAACTTGCTCTTCTTGGTCGCTCAGCTTACGCCTAAGGTCCGCCACTACATCACGTTGAATCCTGTGACAATAATCGTCAGCAATTGTGCGAAGTGCCGGCGGATATATAAAAAGGTCACCTAGTTTGTGAAGCTAGATCCGATTTCATTCGTGGACTGCCCTTGTATACAGGGACTGGCGCTTGGCCCGGGTCGCCAGCACGATTATAAGACAAATGAATGCCCCGCCGCCTGTCTGTTTGGTCAATACAGTAACATCGCTTTACATTCCTGGGTTTCTGTCCATCAAAGAGTACTGAAGATGCTTCTTCTAGCCGCTCAATTAGAAGCATTTGCTCTATACCATGGTTGATGATCAGGTGTCGATGGACTAGTTCATTGTCGATCTACAAATTGAAATATGTCAGCATACATCAAGTTGTCTGCGATAGAGAAGCACTTACTTGAAGCACCCGCAATGCCGTATCAAACTGAGGATCAGGCTCGTATTCCGATGTATTGATGTAGCCACCACTTCCTATGAAGATAGGGCATATGCTTGGAGCGTTGTTAAAAGGGGTCAATTCGAAGAATCGCAAGCGGTGGGAGCATACCAGTCAACCTTGTGCATTATCTGAGAAAGAATGTTCATGTCTCTCTTCGATGTCACAATAAAGCTGTTCAATGTTGTACCGAGCGAGCTCTCTAGGATAGATGACCATTCAGGTTTTAGCAAGGTCACATGGTGACCGATGGGACCGACAGGCCTTTCGGTAAAGGCCCGTTCTTGCTGAACGGCCTTCAGAAGAGACGGCATTTGCTTGTGGAATCCTGAATTTCTAGGCCCTCCTTCTTTATTTAGACTTCGAAGAAGGATTTCAGCTTGCTCAATATCGGCTTTCATGCCGTCGATTGGCGCTGCTGCTGAATTCACTTCTTTTCTAGCAACATCCAATTCTAGTCGTAGACGACCTGTGGTGCGTTGGTGCTCCTCGTACCGTGTACGAGTATCTGCAGCATCTGCTCTTGCTTCCTTGAGTTCTTCCTGCTTTCGCGTATAACTGCCTCCACTTAGGTCGGCCAAACGTTGGTTTTCTTCGTCAATCATTCTTTGTGTTGCATGGATCCTGGCTTCTGCAGCTTTCAAATACTCCCGTATCTGACGTTGCTCGGACTGTGGTGACCATTAGGAAGAACGACGGAGATCCTGGGCAGGGGAACATTACCTGCAAGTCATGACGTTGATTCAATTCTTCATCCCACCTAACCTTGATCTCCTCTTTTTCGCTTTCAACCAGCGCGAGTCTGGTAGTAGCCTGTCTGACGTATTCAGCTGCAGCTCCAGTTTCACTCTCAGCTTCTTGAATAGCAGTGTCAAAGCTGCCTAACTCAGCTTCAGCATCTGCAATTTTCTTGTCCACTTTAGCTAGCTCAATTTCTAAAGAAGTCCTGATCTATAATTCATCAGACACAGGCGGTAGGAAAACATTCGAGCTTCTTACCCTTTCCTGTTCCTCGACCTGAGCCCAAGCCATTTGGCTCCGGACATTCCTAACCCTGTTCCTTAGAGATTCATGTTGATCAGATATGTCCAGTTTTTGCTTTGCCGCATCTTTGAGGTTCTCCAATATCACAATGTCTTGCTCTCGACTCCTGAGCTTTTCCTCAATTTGATCTGCGGATTCTTCAATGAGCCGGTAGTCTTGATCAAGCTGCTCCAGCTGAACTCCCTTCACGAAAAATTTGTATTTATCGGCAGGGCTTGAGCTGCTCAGGAACTGACGGGCCATATCTTGTGAAAGAACGTTCATCGGGTTGTCAAATTGTAATGTGAAGAAGTCAATGATAGCATCCAATTCAGCCTTTTTGGTAGAAACTATACGCCCATTTTCTGCCTTGATTTTGAAGCCACTTGTTCCGGTTTTTGAAAAATGGCGCTCAACAATGATGGATTTTCCATAGTCATCTGGCATATAGGCACCGTCCCCTTGATTTTTGATGCGCACAATGATAGTTGCACTCCTACACAGATTTAAGTGGTAAGCATGTAAAGTGACCAGTCTAGTGATCAGATACCCTTACTCTTTGCCTTCCTTGATGAAGCTTTTTAGACTCTGGCCACGATTTGTAGCAGACGCCTTGCCACCTAGGCAAAGGGTTATAGCTGTTAGTACTGCACTCTTGCCGCTGCCATTCTTTCCAACGATGAAGTTAATCAAGGGCCCTAGTTCGACATGAAAGTGGTCATGGCACATGAAATTATAACATTCAACACGTTCAAGAATGCCATGTTCAGCAGGGACATTGGCTTCATCACTAGCAAAAGAGTATTTCTCCTGGATCAGCTGTGTTGCGCGCAACTCCAGCTCATCCTCGTCAAGCTCTAAAGCGTGGCTTATGGAATTACGACTTCCTCCCTTGTCGTTGTCGCTCGCTTCGGTGACTTCGTAGGAGGCTGGAGAATTAGACGTACGGAGACGTTTTCGCTTCCCGTACGTGTCAGCTCATGTATAAGGAGGGGCATAAGGAATGCACACCGGATGAAGAGGGTTGGATGATAATCCTGATCTGTCATCTTCTCCATCCCATTCTCCAGGCTCCAAGGGTTCCTGCAGGCGCTTCAACGATAACATTGGGGAAACGCGACAGGGTCAACCGGAAAAAGAAGGGTTTTCCATACACGGGAAATGGAAAATTACGATGTGGTGCGGGGCAATAAGCAACTGGAAAGAGTATTATCTGCCTTACAGTCAAGGATGCCAGACGCATGGAAGCGTAGGTAGTATGTATGTACGCGGTTGAAGTTAGACGCGTATCGGTCGCGTAACTCGATGCATTAATTTGATCTGTCTTCCCGCCATTGGCGGTAGCAAACTACGGAGTATGCCCAGAGTACTGGATACGGAGTTCTACAATTATAGAAGTGAATTAATATCTTCCCTCTTTCCATTTTAAATATTGATGCTGTAACCAATAATTATTACAGCTGCTGATTGACAATTACGCCACCATAGGCTCTTCTGCAACATAGTGCAGGTAAGCTCCAAGCAACTTCACGCCTTCAATATAATTTCTCTTGTCAAGCTTCTCGTTGATAGAATGTGCAGCATCGGTTGAACTGCCCATTGGCAAAAGCAAAACATTCTTGCCTGTCGCTTGTTCAAAGCTCAATGTGACGGGAATGCTGTGTTAATGTTAGCTTTAATCGCATGTCATAGCGTCGGAAACTTGGGAGGAAACATACCTGCCACCTTCACGTGTCATATCCGGCTCAACGCCGAACACCTGCCTCACTGCTTTGCTTGCAGCAGTGAAGTTCCAGTGTTTTGGGCTTGCGACCCACCATTTCCCATCATGCTGCAGCCATACGTTCAAAGTGTTTTTGCTGTTCAATTTTGCAAATTCTGCCTTAATATAATCAAAGACGAGCTCATTCACATCTTCGCTTTCCATGTTCGGAACAGTCCGAATCGAAAATTTGCCAATGACCTTCGCCGGTATAACTGTTTTGGCGCCAGGGGCCGAATATGCGCCTTCAATCCCATGAAGGGACAAAGATGGATACCTCCATCTGGCCATGAGCGTTCTTTCTTTCGTGGGGTGAATGCTAGTTTTGCTTCCCAGTGATTGATGGAGATCGTCCATTGTGTAGCTGATATCGGGGTAGAGGGCTTTTTCTTCTTCTGTCAACGGCTCAACGAGGTCCATGATGCCGGGGATTAAAATATTGCCATGGGTGTCAACAAGTTTAGACATCACATGGACCAGATCTGTCATAGGCTCATGAGCAGAGCCACCGAAGACTCCGCTGTGTAAATCCTGAGCAGGCCCTGTCACACTGATAGAGTAATAGTTGCAGCCTCGCAGGCCATAGGTTAGGCAAGGTTTCTCCGTCCCAAGCCAATAATTATCAGAAATGCAGACAGCATCTGCATCCTTGAAAAAGCCCTTGCTTTCAGCTTGAATGAACTCCTCCAGCCCTTCTGAGCCATACTCCTCCATGCCCTCGAAACAGCAAAGAAGGTTGACTGGCAACTCAACACCAGCTTTTCTGTGAGCCTCAATCACATTCAACCATCCCAGAACAGGGCCTTTGTCATCCGTGCTTCCGCGGCCGTACATTCTTCCTTGGTCATCAACGGTCAATTCGAACGGCTCGGTGGTCCACCCGTCTTCCTTTAAGGCTGGCTGCACGTCATAATGGCCATAAACCAAGATGGTTCGCTTGTTTTTATCATTGCCATACCGGGCAATGACAACTGGGGGTAGGTCAAGGTGTTCTTTCCCAGGCTGTTTGCCCAATGGCCTTTGATGCACTTCGGCGCCAAGAGCTTCCAGCTCTGAGGCGAGAAACTGTGCCATCTTTAAGGAGGGTCAGGGGTCAATTATTAGCCGTACGGAGCAACAAAGCGTTACATACCCTGAAAACATCCTTTCTATTCTCATCTTGTGCAGAAATAGAAGGGATCGCAACAGCCTTTCGCAACCCTTAGGGTCTATTAGCGTGCTTTACGGGCAGATATGATGAGCATTGTTAGACTCACGTTCAATAAAAGAACCGGAAAGGCCGTCAACCCTAGAAAACCGAAGCGCCAGATCTTTAATATATGTCCATCCTCTGAGTTGTAGAGAACAAAGAGGCAAGAAGATGGAGTAAATAAAGAGAGGAAAGAAAGAAAAAAATGGAAAAATGGAAGAAAACAAGAGAGAGGGGAGGGGAACAACGCTTGAACGAGGAACCTACTGTTTGAAAAATGGTTCAAGTTGGGGCGCCATTTTTTGGTCACTGATATATCCGTAAAATGAGCGGTGACAGGAGAAGTAAGGTGTGCCAAGGAGGGGGATGTGTGGTGTCCGATATCCTTTAGGGAAAACTGAGGAAGATAAACAAGGCTTATATTCTCTTAGTGACGTTCCGATGCGACGGAGGGGGAGGGGCATTTGGGTGCGTGCGGAAGGATATTGAAGTGATGCGATTTGCTGATCGAGAGGGGAAGTTTACCTAGCGTTTAATAAGGGTCTAGGTTCACTCTTATTAGTGGTTGGTAACAAGCGACCTCCGTTTGCCGCAGCTAAGCGATCGTGCACTATCTCCAGGGTTCCATTGCATTAGGCAATTCTAAACAAAAACCTACTAGAGTCCAATGAGGTCCTAATCATAGTTACAATGAGAGTCCAAAAACATAACGCTAGAGCTAGAATACAGGTTTTTATATAGCAGCCCAGATCTTACCATAGGTCATGGGCAAGAAACACAGCAAGCATCAACACATTTGGCCTTCTTCACACGACCAAACGGGGACAAAAGATAATGGGTAGTGAGATAATATCAAAATCCTTTTTCATTCGTCTCTACCCCAGGATTCTTTCCGCAATTGTCGGTCTTCTCTAGCCATCCGACGTTTCGCGCCCCATCTTGATTGTACCGCTTCCAGGACTTGTTTCTGTATTTCTTTCTTTTGTGGACCAGCTTCACACACCATAGCAATGAACATCGGAGAACAGTCAAAGTGCTTAGCCAATTTCCAGCGGCTCCAAGTCATCGGGTCGCTTAGTCGCAGTCTGCGGATCTCCTTGATGTCTGAAGGATTCAAATGGTATCTCTTCTCTGAAGATGTTTTGAATACGGAAGGGAACTCAGCGGAACTTCCATGGTTCACTGTAGCGCCACGGAGGGTTCTCCGGATATCATCGGAAGGGAGAAACTTTGTCGGCGTGTGGTATACCGAGGGGGCGCTCGAAGGTGGGTTGTGGATGATATGATCATGAGAATGGGTCGACGAAGCACCAAATGAAGCATCTGGTTTGACACGTAGGCGTTGTTTCGTCCGTCTATAAGAGGACTGGTGACGGCGCGCTTGCAACGTGATAGCCTCACACGAAGATGGAAATAGAAATGGCAGGGCCTGGAACGACCGTCTGGGAGCAGTAAGACAAGTTGACATTTTCTTTTCTCTTCTCCTCTAGGGCCTCCGGATTTTCAGAGTTATGCTGAAACGGTCCCAAATCACCAAATAAAAACCGACGTCGGCTGATCTCAATATAGGGTAACTAGAAGAACGAACAAACAACAGGTGTTAGTAATCAAACTCATGTTAAAGAGCATCAAGGGTGTTATATAATGGGTGAAAACACTTTGGAACATACTGTTGCGAGTTGAGCTCATAGCGTTATTTTCCAGCCGCGTTGGAGCCAGGCAAAGACGAACATTCGGGAGTGTCCAAAACCAACTTTTTCCCTCCAAGTCGCGAGTCCCGTGACAGGGACAGATCATTAACCTCTAGCCTGCCTCCTTGAGCCGTAATTTACAATGGCTTAGAAATAATTACAAATGTATAGTACAGTACATGCTGTATGATCTGTAAAAATATATCATCTTGGCCTAATGTCAGGTACGGTACCAATACATGTTTATAGCTTACCTAATGTTGCATGGTAACTTAACGTAATCAATAACCGAGTTGCGAATTTTCCCCGCTCCACCATCAAAATAATTCAAGCAACATTTATCAACGTGTTACTTCATTATTTATTAGGAAATGTCTCTTTTCTAAAGAAGCTGTATTCAAATGGCCATTTCTGCATATAAAAATCACCAAAAGTTAAATCGAAATTGTAAGCTGCTGAAATATTTGGCGTTCCTGAATCTACCTAGCGCTATCGGCTTCGATCAGAAACATACGCTAATGGCCATAAATTAACTGCTATTGAAGAAGAATTGCTTCTCAAGTAATTGCTGGGTATAGATAAACATCGATTTTCTATTTAACTGGAATTCCTACAAGAAATGGCTCAGATATTGCTTCGTGAATGTCTAAGGGATTCTATTGCAGTTCTTAGTATCAATTGGGCCTATAAATTTACTAAGCGCTATCCTGAGCTTTATCTACAATATACAAGACAAATGATATACCACCAGCATGCAAGACAGAAGAATTTAAGAGCTATAAAACTATAGCTCCAGATTGTATATACAGCTATTTAAGAACATAGTATATATAAAGTTAATATCTGGAACTTTGGTAAGACTGGCTTTGCGATAGGATTCTGCTCTACTTCTAAAGTTATTATCGTAGCTGATTGCAGTGAGTGACCGCGCAGAGTTATTCAAGGCAATTATGAATAGGTTACAATCTGTTACAATCTGTTACAGGCCCTTGCCTAGTGCACTTATCGAACGCGGACACGAACGGCAGAATCAGTAACGAGTAACGCAACAATCAAATGGGCAAGGATGACCACCTCAAGTATTTGAGGACTGAGCTGATCACTGAGTGGCTCACCCGCCCCACTGAGCTCTAGTACCGATATGGCAAGCACGGTAGAAAGTCCGATATATTAGTGCCTTCCAGCGCACCCCCACCGCCTTCGGCTAGGGCACTAATATATGTTTCTCTATGAATCGGATATTGTCAACACTAGTGCTTACCCGAAGAAGCCACCACGTGATATGGTATATGGTATATACCATAGTATACGGATCGGTATATGGACACGGGATATATAAGGATATTACTCATGTACTTAGTTTAGTTCTTCGTGATCAATCTCAATTGTTACTAGAGTTACCTTTAGTATCAAGACCGGCATTCAACTCGTTTGTACTCTTGTAACTATCAAGTATACGGTACTTGGTAGGCCTGGCCTTCTAGACTCGAGCTATTCATGGATTAGTTATCGTCTCTCGATCGGACCTTGGATTAGGTCACCCCACGGCACCATAGCATCTTGTTACTGAATCTCAGTGGATTCTAACATTCAGGTTTGACCCTCGGTACGCAAGCACAGCTAACTGGTCACAAGAGGTCCTGCCCGAATACCCAGGCGTAACAATATACTAACGCTATTGCTAATTAAAAACTTAATTTTCTCTGCTTTTCAGACTTCTCAGATACTCGCTAGCTAGATCAGAAGATTCATAGTTTGTAGAATAGCCTTAGCGCAAAACAGAAGCTTTCTAGTAGTCTAATTGCTCATATTCAATATCTTGAAAAATTCCGCGCAAATGGCATGTATACTAACCTTCTTTTATAGCAAGAAATTAGGTTTTTACGAGTTGAGAATGAGCGGAAATATAAAAGAAAGACTAGAAGATGTGCTATAATAGGGAATAATAGGCTTTTGATAGTACAGGAAAGTGAAAATCGCGTTCTGCAGCTTGATACACAGCTTAATGAGCAGCCGGAGGAATATACACCTGTGCCTCCCCGACGGGCTTCTCAACGCTACAGTGGCTGTGGCATAGTTAGACATACTATCAGAATCTACCTTAGTAAATGGCCCATATTTCATTACGATGTAATTGAGTGTTATTTTTATGGTTGAAAAGCGTCAAATTGTAGTGGTTTGGTCAAAATTCGCAACTCGATGGTTGATTATGTTAGTGTATAGTGCTGATACATTCACTAGACCGGTAGTAAGTATTTGATAACAAATCGTTCTGTTGAGTTTGTATAAATTTTATCATCTAGGTCCAATTTATCTATCTTTTTTTGGTACTCATAGTTGCACTCTCAGACAAGGTATGTTCAAGAACTCAATTCGACTTTCATCACATCCGGTCGTACCTTTCCACCCAATCCACCTTGAAAAGTATACGCGTCTGGGAAGATCAATTACGTATTCTATCTATATTCTATTCTGATACAACGAGGTGGCCGAGCCTTCTGTTGATGACCATTTACAGATGTACTTTTTAGGATTTTGTTACAGAATAAACAATTGTGATATACACCTGACATCTTGGTGCTTAGTTGTGTGCAAGGTAGGTCAAGAACTGGCAGTATACATGTCCCTATCGTTGACAGACGCAAGTGGGACCTATACAACGGGGTTCGGTTATGGATCTACCACTACCATTTACTAGTTTGAATGGATATCACCTTAGGTACTAACTAATAGTAGACGTCTCCTAACCGTGCCCTTGGTTTAATTAGGAAGTCTGTCTCTTTGGAGACATAGTCTGTTTGTGAATTAGTAAAAAGTGACAGAACCTCCAAATTGCTCTTATTCCATTCAGTTGGATGTTGTTGCTGTTATGCATACTGTACATCACCGTAAAATTAACTTCAAAAGTATCTCGGAAAAATTCTTGAAGGCGAGAACTTCCCGACTGCGCCCTACTCCGCCCTACGCCTTGACCTTTGCTACTGCGTCCAATGCACGTTGAAGCCGACAACGGAGATCGGGCACATCCTCCAATCCAACGCTTATCCTCACTAGGTCGAATTCTACGCCAAAGGAGCTTGCCTGCGTAACGGTATTAGAACCGAACCAAATGAGAGAGAATAACAAGAGAAAGGGAAAAGGACATTAACATACCCATCCCAGCTCACTGTAATGGGCCAATAGTGTATATGGACAACTGCGTTCCTAGTTAACTATGTATGTCTTTTCAGGGATTTGACAATTTGTACTGACCTCAAGGTAAAGTTGGTACCCAGACTTGGCCCTTTGAGAACCTCCAAGTGATCAAAAAAGGCAACGGCCTCAGTTGTTGAATAGAATGTAACAGAGAATAGACCACCATAGCCTCCGTGGGGATGGCGAAAGGTATCATATAAAGGTCTCGATGGGTTATACTTTGGATAATATACATTTTTCACTATGTCTCAAGTCAGATACGTGCTGCTAGAGCCAAGAATATGAAAGAAACCTACCAAGTGGAGAGTCCTTCAACATTGCTGTGATTTCTTCGGTGGTGCTATTGATCTGCTCAATTCTTGAGACAAAATCGCGGCTATTCCTTTCTAGGAAAATGGCATCTTCAGCCCAGAGGTTATCTTCATACTCGCGGGTAAACGTATGACTGAGAGATGAATAATAGCGTCCATGTGGATTCAGCACAGCACTACCCCCCATGACATTACTATCCCCACTAAATATCTTTGTTAGACTGCTGACTACAATATCGGCATATGGCAGCACATTGATATTGAGAAAATTTCCCACTGTCTCGTCCACTACCACCGCGAAATCGTATTTATCCGCGAGTAAACGGATACGCTTGAGGTCTGGAGATTTAAGCAACGGATTGCCAGGGAACTCGGTGAAGATAGCAAGGAATCTTTCCCCACTGTCCAATCGCGTCTCTAAATCGTCCAGATCCACAGACGAGCCGTTTCCGTAGAATAAACAGCCAGGGCCCCATTTCTCGAGAGTTTTCAGCGTGTCAATATAAGGAAAACCAAAACAAATGCTTTTCATGGCACCTCTGGCAGCCATCAACATCTGGTGGGAGTTAAAAATTGAGCTCATACCAGTGGGAAAAAGGAACACATCAGACTCTGTCAGCCCTGCTACCCTTCCTTCCCCAGATGCCTTTTCGAGAGCTTCACTCAACTCCACATCGGCTTTAAGGACGCCGGCTATACGTCTGCGCACAGCCGCTTTTGCTTGATCCGCTAGGGAAGTACTCAAATTCCGACCAAAACGCTCTTCAATAAACTGGATATATTCTCGTCCATCCTGTAGACGAAGGGACGAGTCTGCTGCCGAGGTAGGTGTTCCACCTGTCCGAAAGGCACCATTTACCGAGTCCTTTCCTTGGTACCTTCGCGGACCTTTGCGTATTCGCTGGGCTACCGTATCTATCGTAGTAGATCTCTTTTCCACAAGGAAACCGTCCCTCAATGCGCTGTGACAGAATTCACCGCGACGGCTTGATAGACCATTGCCTGTATGTTGCCATACCTGCTTAGCAACAGGCCCGAATTCTTTTGGGTATATCACGCACGACAAAAGCGAAGTGACGTTTACTGACTCGGTTTCTGTACGAGAATAAGGGATAAAATCTACAACACGCACTTTATGCGAGTCGTCCGCGGATATTCTTAACAGGATGAATGAATGACAAATCTGTGCAGTTTTAGGGGAAGGGAAGAGCATGGCGGATTCTGTGACGGGATTTCCGTAGCGCTGCAAAACCTCCTTCGCAAGTTCTTGAATGGTTGGATGTATAAAGAATCGGGGATAGCCGCACTGCATCTTACTCACAACCCACGTTTCTCCTTCTTCATAGCCAACGTTTGCTTTCCATGTTGGTAGCGACACACTGACTGCCTTTGCTTCCGTCAGTAATATGAGACAGAGTGCCCGCGGGCATACGCATACGCATTGTGATAGCGCCAGTGGTAATGAATTGTAATAAACAGTACTCATAATGCAGTGATTGTTTCAAATAAGGCGAAGCTTTTAACATGTCCGGCTGGGCAGAGAGAAACGCGGGGTCAACGTACATGGTCGGTATTGGGTGGCACAGGGCCCCCAATGTCCTGGAGCATTATGAGGGCGGAGATTAATAGAGTACTAACTGTCTTTAAACAACCAATATCGCTATGAGGGGATAGAATAACAGCGAATATGAGAAACTGATGGTAGTGAAAAGGAGCACTTGCCACGAAAGTACTAGTGTAAGGTATGAATGAATACTCCGACGAGCGACTTCGGCAATGTGTATGGAGAGAGTTTCTAGAGACTGGCCAATGACATTCCGCCTCGAATCCTCCTGTACGGCGACTAATACCTACCTGAGTACAGTACACAGAGTACTTTGTACGTAGTGAGTAGGGATGTTAGGAGCTCTGTAGCGATCCGTGTCTCATAGTGAAGGCAGTCGCTCGCATGCTGCAACAGGTAGTATATGGGTAATGTCTTCATGGTTGCAGTCGTTTGACTATGGGTCGTCTACATGTACTGTACTTGTACTGTACATTAGTTCGATAGCATTGTGTATTGAATCATGTAATTACTCGTAATTACCACTTCTCTTACAAGTGGTTATCATTAGAAATTCAATTTACCTAGCATGTACAATACAGTACATAGCAGTACGCGTGTATGTATTATATCTTACCGTCCCTATTTCGTAAAACGTGGGAAAAAAAAGGCCCGAGTTTTTTTTATCATGTCCACAACCACACTGACTTAGGTTCACTTTCATCTACAAAAAGTTGAAAGCGCCCTCTCTTTCTTCTTTGTTCTCCCTTCCACTTCATCTCTGCTTGCTTATACTTCTACTATCTATATCCGTCTAGCATGTCGGCTCATACAGCGAAGAGGAGGAAGATCAGCCCATCTCCGCATATTACCCACAAAGACGAGCAATTGAATGCGTCAAGTCAAAATGATCCCTCAAAGACGACTAGGAACGAGATTTCGGGTATAGATAGCACGGCTAGACGAGGAAACAATGATTGCTCTGCAGAGCTTGCGCTGGCCAGCGGATTCTACAAGTCTAATCTTTTCAAGCTACAATTAGACGAACTGCTCGCTGATTCGAGACCAAACTATGATAAACATGTGTCAAGGCTTCAGGATACCCTTAATAGGCTTAAGGAAATTATTGAAAACATACCTGAGAGACCTCCGAAACCCGCCTTTGAAGCCGAGAAGGATTTTCGCAGCGTGCATGGCATTGTCGTTCCATATCCCGAACCACGTCCAGGGAAAGACACGAAGTATTCCGTATCATATAGCAAGCCAACAAACGTTAACGTGGTAGGGAGCTTTGCTCTTAGGACAGGGGTCAGAGCATCAGGACCTTGCACGGTCGATTTGGCGGTGACGATGCCGAACACTCTTTTCCAGGAGAAGGATTATGTTAATCGTCGGTATTTCCATAAAAGGGCATATTACATCGCGTGCCTCGCGGCTGGAATCAAGGAGGCTGGGAGCTTAGGCTTTGAGGTCAAATTTGCACAACAGGACGGAGATAGCCTTCGGCCACTTGTTCTCATGGAATCTATAGATTCCGCTAGCAACGGGTCCAAAGCCACGAGACAACAAATTCGCATCTTCACTGCTACTGAAGAATCCTTGTTTCCCATCATCCGTACTCTGCCGATGAAAAACAATGTGCGCCAGGGTTCAACAGATTGGCCTGAACATCATGAGCCTACTCCCTTTTACAATGCAGCCCTCCGCTCCGAAGCTACAGTGGCACCCTTTCACGAGCTTTTGTATTCGACGGCCCAGGTGTGTGATTCTTTTAGGGACGCTTGCATTCTAGGACGGATATGGCTCCGTCAACGAGGATTTGGAACTTCTTTTCAAAGCGGCGGATTCGGAGGATTCGAGTGGACTGTTCTCATGTCTCTTCTCTTTGACGGAGGTGGCATCAACGGAAAGCCGGTTCTTCTAAAATCGTACAGTAGCTACCAGCTATTCAAAGCAACCATTCAGTTTCTTGCAGGAAGGAATCTGACAAATCCGCTCCTGCTCTTCGCATCCGATGTCCCTTCTCCTAGTGGTACGCCTATGCTCTATGACGGCAAAAGGGGGCTGAATATACTTTACAAAATGTCGCCTTGGTCCTATTCTCTCCTTCGTCATGAAGCAAGCACCACTCTGAGGATGTTGAACGAGTCTCGTGATGATAACTTCGAAAAAGTCTTTATCTATAAAGTAAACGAACCTCTGCTAAGGTTTGATCGACTTGTCGTACTCCCAATGCCTGATTATGGCGATATCCTTCGGACCATTAGTAACCAAAACGCCATATATGAGGTCCTCACGAAAGCCTTGGGGGATAGGGTGGAGCTTATATGTTTGTTTGGCCATGGCACTGAACCTTGGTCTGTGGGGAGAAAATACTGTTGCAGAAAGGCGAGCACAACCCTTTTTGTTGGATTAAACTTGAATCCTGAAAATACGATGCGAGCCGTTGATCATGGTCCGTTCGCGGAACAGAAGGAGGAAGCAGCAACTTTCCGGTCTTTCTGGGGGGAAAAGGCCGAGCTGAGACGTTTCAAGGATGGTACTATTCGCGAGAGCTTGGTCTGGTCTGACCAGCCGTCATTCTCTATAGTATATCAGCTTCTAGTATACATCCTTCAACGACATTTCAATTATGCAGAAAATGAGGTCAGGTATATCGGCGATGAATATGACAAAAAGCTCTGCAATAGCGGGGATGGGATATTCTCGTATTCTAGTCCTTCATTCCAGCTGGTTACCGATGCTTTCAATTCACTGGAGAAATCTTTCCAGGGGTTGGATGAAGTTCCGTTGACTGTTAGACAGTTGACTCCAGCTAGTCCACTTAGCCGGTACTCAGCTCTTAGAGTCCAAAGCGCTTCTGGCGTTATTCGTGGTCCCGTGGATATTGTTCTCCAGTTCGAAAGTTCCTCAAGGTGGCCAGATGATTTGGTAGCTATTCAGATGACTAAAGTGGCCTTTCTAGTCAAGATAGGTGACTCCTTAGTGTCGGCTGGAGCTGCTTCGTCATGCAAAGTTGGGCTAGAGAACGAATCGAGCCGCATGTTAAACAACGCCTTTTTGGACATATCCCACACATCGGGGGTCATTTTCCGGCTTAGGATACATCATGATCGGGAACAGTTATTACTAGAGCGTCAGCTGAAAGAAAAAGCGGCGAGCCCGCAAGCAAAACAAGAAGTTGCATATACCCTATCAGCGTACAAGCGACTCTTCATCCAGTCTCCTCGCCTGACTCAAGCAATTCGTACTCTATGTACGCGTTTCCCCTTACTATCACCCACAACCCGCCTCGTCAAACATTGGTTCAATTGCCACCTTTTTACCGGCCTTATTAAAGAAGAAGTAATTGAGTTATTGGTGGCTCGAGTCTTTACTCAACCGTACCCCTGGGATAGTCCTTCAAGTGTTATGGTCGGCTTGCTGAGGACTCTTCATTTCCTTTCGCGGTGGGACTGGCAGCAAGACCCATTGATCGTCGATTTGGGCGGCGGGCTTGACCAGGATGCTACTAGAGCTATACACAATCGCTTTTCAGGATGGAGAAGCGTCGACCCGGCAATGAACACTGTTGCTTTGTTTGTGGCTTCAGATATGGATCCTGATGGGGTAACTTGGACGCAGTACGAAATGCCTCCGAAGGTAGTTGCAGCCCGGATGTCCATGTTGGCGAAGGGGGCCGTAAAGTTGGTGCGGGAAAGGGGCCTTGCCCTTACTATTTCCGACTTATTCGAAACATCATTGGCACCTTACGATTTCATTGTTCATTTGCGCTCGAAAATACTGGATGATCGCCCAGTGTCATTTACAAAGTATAAGAACTTGAACGGACCAGATAAAAAGGGCCAGAGCGTCAAATCCACAGCCGTGGAGTCCTTCATCCATGATTTGCAAGCCTGTTTCAGTCCGAATATTCTCTTCTTCCATGGAGACGAATGTGATGTGATTGCAGGGCTTTGGAACCCACAGGCAATGAGATCCAGGAGCTGGAGTCTGAAAATGGCATTCTCGTCATCCCCATCGACATTGAAAACTTCTGGAAAGGGCGAGGTTTCGATCAACTGTGATGCAATTCTCAACGAAATATCTAGGCTAGGGGGTGCTTTGGTTGACAGCATTGAAGTTTTGGGCGTAGATTAGGGTTCTTATGAATCGTCTGTATATTTTCATATGTATTGTATTATACCTAGGAGCGCCGTTGCAATGCAAGCATATTGAAATCAAACAAGAGAGTAAAGGTGAGAATACAACACAACAACCAAAGCAAAAACAAAGCTTTTTTCTCTAAAAATAAAGAGAAAGAAAGAGCGAAGTGTGACTCTTAACATTACATCACGTATCAATCTCTGTCCTCAGCCTTACGGTGCAGCTGCTTTCTCAGACTTCTCTAGATGTGTCTGAGATGAGAATGAACAGAACTTGTCCTTGATTGCCACAACCTCATAAGTTCCCTCGTCCGAGGTTTTAATCGTCTTGATATGTTCGAAGGAAATGTCATGCTTAATGTCAAGTATTTCCGATTTCTTTCCTTTTCGTGCGATAGAGCTACGAATATACCTAAAGAGATAATTAGTCTTTAGGTGGGAGCAAAAAAGAAAAGAAAAAAGACAAAACATACGTGAATTCAAAGGGTGGTGTCCCCCAGAACTCAAAATGAAGTTCTGCTTCTCCACCTTCGTGTATATCAATGATAGAGGTCTTGCCTCTACTGATTCTAACACTCGGCATCTCGTGTATGGTTTTCGTGATGTTTTTGTGCGCTTTGCATTTGCCACTTGCACCATCGCTTACAGCAGTGATCGTGAATACGCCTGGCCTCTCTGCGATGCGACGAAAATTCGTCGCTCGGGAGGTAGCCTTTCTGGCAGCCCCATCGAATGTGTAGAACACGTCAAATGGTGCATGCCCTGAAAGTGAGAAAGAAAGCCGCTCACCAACACAATAGTCAGACTTAGATTCAAGTGGGATCACCGTAGGCACATCAGAGACTGCAACCCTCACGGATGAGGTATCATATTCAGTAGCTCGCTGACATCCGCGCGCGTCTCTGACCTTGTGAATACTGACGACGTGCTGGCCCAGGTCTAAATGACGTCGTGGTATGGGAAGGCTGTGCCTGTTTGAATTAATATTCGAGATTGATATGAATTCCGGCTTTGCTTTTGAATGGTGTTTGATCGATATTTCCAGAGAGAATGGTGGGACGCCATCCAAAGTGATGGGGATTAATTCTTCGCCGCTGACATCCTCTTTGCAAAATCCGTAAATACGGCCAGGAGCATCAAATCGAGCAGATGGCAAGGGGTTCACCTTCTGTGTCACTGTCACCGGGCTGCTTCTGGGGTCATGATCGTAGAGATTGTCACCGATTTCCGTAAACTTGTATGTATATATCCCAGCTTCGGAGGTATCCATTTCCATAGAAGCTGCATGAAGAGCTGTTCTCAGGCTGTGTAGCCGAACAGATGGAGAACCACGAGTAGTCTTGCGCTGCTGCTCATACTTAACACTGTACGGTGGACTACCCGACAACCGAAGCTCAAGACTGTCATCGTCCCCTTGACAAACATCGCGCTTCCCTATATGCCCGCCCGCTATGACGGGAGAGCCATCCACAGCAGTGATCTGCGGCCGAGGTATCCAGGTCACCTCGAATGTCTTAGCTGCTTGGTCAACAAATCCTGGGCAGGAACTATCGGTTACTCCAAGGAGCTGATAATGCCCTTCTTGTTCTATCGTTAAAGCGCTGTTTTCCTGCCAAAATGTTTTCTCAAAGATCGGAGAATCGTGATTCGTTTTGTACCTCACAGACCATGGTCGCTCACCACTCAATCTGACGGGAATTTCGACTTTGGAGCTCTGCAAAGCCGAGTATTTCCGGGCTTTCTCAATCTCGCCGAAAGATACGTGGGGCGGTTTCGATCGAGCATCGATTTGAATACTATCCTTCAGGGTTCGTTTGCAGTTTGAGCGGTCCTTAACGCTCGTTAACACAAGGTTATATTCACCACCACTGACGAGCTTTTCGGTCACAATGCTTGATGTGTCACTCTCTGAATTCAAGATATGCTTGGTTTTTTTGCCATTATGAACCAGTTCATACTGCAAAACCCACGGTCCCTCGCCAAGGAAGGCTACATCCACAGATACAGGTTCACCGAAGCAAGCCTTGCGCAACTCTCGGGACCCAAGAAAATGGGCAGAAGCGGGGGGTTTAACGTGTTGCTCCAGAATGGGCGCCTTATCCTTGAGAGAACGCGGCGCATATACCGTGTCTGCAATATCCAAGAAGCGATAGCGATAGAAACCCGCTTCAGATGGGGTGAAGTCCAGTTGAGTTCGCAGCCCCTCGATTGTTTGGGTCTTGGTTTCAATGCCTTTGGAATGCTCAATAACGTACCGGAGCCGGAATGGCGGTGATCCAGTGAGATCTAGGTCAACAAGCAACCCAACCGGGTTGTTTGCGCATTTATCGAAAATCTTCTCGTACCTAACACCCAACTCAGGTTCTGGTGGGTTGTGCAGATAGCATGACGATGGTTCCAAGATTTCTCCCGAGCAAAACTGACTTGAGATAGAATTTAAACTGTACCATCCCGGGTCCTTTATCTGGGGCTTCTGATCCAGACTCTTCAACGACAACTTCCGGACTTTGCCAGGCATATCATCAGCAGCCTCTTGGTCGTTATTATTAAACGAGTATATGAGAGAAAAGGGCCCATCGTTGCCATATCCTTGTCCCGATTGATGAAACTTGACAGGCAGGTCCACATTATCACCTCGTGCAACTTCTATGAAGTGCTGATCATTGCATCCAAACAAAGACAACCGGGGTCTTTCATGGACAGAGAACTGATGCCATTGAGACAGCGATTTCATGGGTGGTCGATCGACTTCATCCAAGAGCGCTGTATAATTTGCCACGTTCCCACTGCCATCATGCACTTCCTCAATCGCATAAAGCCACTCTCCGCCGAGGTTCAGTGACTCGTTTAACGGAACCTCGATTGTTTGGCTCTGAGCCCAAGCAACATCTGGCTCTCGCGCGTTAAAAAGAGTACCAGGATTCCTCTGACCCAGTAACGGTGATCGTAAGTAGTCTGGTTGGATGTTTTGGAAAGAGAAGCCCCGATCACGACGATTCACCTGTCTGCTATATTTGATCTTCAACGGTGGTGTACCCTCGACTGTCAAGACCAAGTTAGAAAGCTCGCCTCGACACTTGTGGGTGTGAGCGCTTTTAATCAAAGCTCGGGGACAGGAAACAACAAGCGCATCAGATCTTCGCATACGAACGTCAAGATTAGATTCATCTACTACCCTCTGGAGACGGTATATCCCAGGTCGCCGAATTGGGAATAGAAGGTCGCGATGCAACTCGGAGCCAGAGGCTCGGTACTTTTTGTCTGCTTGACGCTTAATCTGCTTGAGCTGCTTCGAAGGTATCGTAATCGTTTCATTCTCGCCGCTATTGAAATCTAAGCGGAATAGCTCGATTAGAATAGGGTCGGTCTGGTTGACTCGAATGGGCAAATTGACAGTGCTCTTCTGCGAATCTATACAGAAAGATATCTGATCAGGATTTAATACGGCGGATCTAAATAAGTTCATTAGTATCCTAAATTGGAAAACCAATGTCATGTAGGGGCCAAACCCTTCAGGTAATATATGAACTATTTGCTTTCCTAGTATGAGTGAAGCATTGTGGATAATATCGCCGGGCTTTACACTCCGTTCGGATATCGACAATTCTCTATCATAGGCCAGTTTGACCATACCTGATATCCACACACCAATTGGGATCTAGTCAAGGTTAGCGAGTTTAGGTACTGTGAGAGCAGGCATTTCACCACATACGGGGATTCGGAACATCAGGAATATGTTGCCAACTACATGAATCAGAAACACCGCAAGCGTTGTAGGGAAAGCCCATTCTAGCCAAGGTATGCGTAAGGCCTGAAGTCCGAAAAGGAACACCCCATCAATACAAGCCCACTTCAGAAATAACCAGGTTGCATCCAAATCATCCGAGGCTTTCCAAGACTCATAAAGCCGCCAAGCGTTGAGCGCGACATAAAAAGCCACTATATAGAGCCGCTGTGACGGGGCATCTACCATCCCAACCGGAATAAGTGGCGGACTTGCATCCTGGATAGTGGGCGAAGCATTTGAAGGGGACCGCTGCAAGCCGATATCGTGCGGTTTTGATACAGAATGAGAGGCGTAAAAGTCTCGCGAGTTCCGCGCCGTCTGGGGCGTCTGAGGGAAAGCAGACCGAAGTCGGGGAGTGCCGTTCATGGCATGCTGTGGTGGCCGAGTACCTACGGTATAGTGATATCACCTTTATGACCAGTCAGCGTATTTGTGAATGGGTTGTCAACGAGGTATCATCCACTATTGTGAGCTCAAGCACCACCGAGAGTATACCTCTGATGAATATGAAATTTTCTACCTTTTGGCCGGTCTGGGGCCAATACTAGGTATACAAACAGGAACGGCAAAAGGTCCTTGCACGTTCGTGATACCTTGAATTAGGAGTAGGCGCCGTCCAAAGGCCGTCATCTATCTCTCATCACTCACTGCCAAAATGGTGCTGGAACTGACTTGAGGCGACAATTTAGTGTAAGCGCAGTTTTCTTCTTTGTTAAAAGGGAAATGGAAAAGGTCGTCACAGCACAAGAACTTCGGCTGGCAATAACCTTCAACGCGTGGAGTCGTGTTGGAGGGTAATTTCAGCCAATGGGAAAGCCGAAGTGGCTGTGGGCGGTCAGGTTGAACCCTGTAGTGTAATACTTCGTAAGTACAGTACTACTAGCATTTTAGATACTTCAATACTCTGTACTGCTAGGCACTGATTGAAGAAACACATGACTTTACTAAACCCGCCAGGTACATCATCCTGTATGTTCTTCGCTTTACAACTTTCAGAGCAGTCCTTTCAAACCCTTTTTATTTTCGTAATTCTCCAGTTGTCTTGCTCTTAGTCCATGACGGGACATTAGTATACCTAGTAAGGACCGCCTCCAATCATAATAACATCTCCTACCCAATGCCAACACATTTAACATATTTCACGCCCTGATACTTTGGTATCTTTATGGTGTCCACAATACCTTCATGTACCCGAATTTTTAGAATTCCCTGAAAATTGAATTACACCCATACACATGGCTCAACGCACAAAACGACGACGGTTGAATCTTCAGCCAGGTCTTAATTCCGCCAGTGAACCATTCCAGCCAGCAACAGCGAAGGAGAAGGAAATCTGGAATGGCTTTTGTGAGCTGGAGTCGGAACCTGTAATTGCTATTGTCGATACACAATTTTCTAGTCTGTACTAACCCTCATCTAAGGCTCTTTTTAATGTGATGTTGCGAGAGTTCGGGGTTAAAGGCGTCAAAGTCCAGGAAGTTGTATCATTAGAAGAAGAGATGATGGCATTCTTAAAGTAAGGGCCCTTGAGAGTAATGTCCATTTTATACTAACTAGAGTACCCTCGATTGCATAGCAAGCCTGTCTTTGGTTTAATCTTTCTGTTTCGTTGGCGTGAAGATGATCCTGACAAGCAAGAAGCAAGCTGCCCAGAGGGACTCTGGTTTGCAAACCAGGTCAGTTTTATCTCACACACCCACACTCAGTCTCCCCTGGCGCCTTTGAGGGACTCACTTGCTGATATTTTTCGATTAGACCGCCAGTAATGCCTGCGCCAGTGTAGCGCTCCTGAATATTGTTAACAATATAGAAGGCATTGAGCTCGGGGCCAATCTGCAACATTTTAAAGATTTTACTATGCCGTTTACCCCGGCGCTTAGAGGAGATGCCATCAGCAACTTTGAGTTCGTCAAACGAATACACAATTCATTTGCAAGGTGAGGATGCCATTGACAGCAAGGCTTTCGTGTCTTACCCTCACTGCCATGAATTTATCTTACTCTGGTACAGGAAAATGGATATGCTCACTTCAGATCTTCAACTTAAACAAGAGGCGACATCTAGGAGACCTCACTCGACCAAAAACAATCACAATGAAACGGAAACGGACGCAGGATTCCACTTCATTGCATTCGTCCCTGCATTGGGAAAAGTCTGGAAGTTCGACGGTTTGGAACGCCAGCCTCAGGCACTCGGTACGCGAAGCCAATCATGAGAATTATATGGGAAGTACAAGCCGCTGACGCGACGTGACTTACAGGGCCTTGTACTCCCGGTGAGGATTGGTTGGAGCTAGTGAAACCGAACCTGATCACCAGGATGACTGCATATGAAGAAGATCAGATTGAGTTTTCAATCCTCGGTCTCGTCAGAGATCCGCTTCTCGACCTTATTGACAAACTAGCGGTTAATATAAAGTGTCTGGAAATTCTTAATCAGCGCTTAACTACGCAAGATCCTGCAGCGGCACACCTGGGATTGGCGTTTGCAAGCCCCGTCCTTGAAAACATTATCTTGGGACCCGAAAAATCCTATAATATGACCAGGGAATGTATCGACCAGGCCATTATCCCGGTAGAGCTAGAGACGTGCGACTCATTCTCTATGGAAGAGATATCCGGGCGCCGACAAAAGCTGTGCAATGAACAGCAAGAGTTACGAGCTGCGATTCGGGAAGAGCAGCAAACCCAGCGGGCGGATGACGACCATGCGGTGGGGCGGAGGTACGATTACGGGCCAGCGATAAGAACGTGGCTGCGAACCTTGGCCCGTAAAGGGATGATTGAGAGCCTAATAGTACCCGTAGGAGTATGACACCGTCGAGAGGAGAGAGCCTTGTTCCCATGATAGTGGGGGTTTTGGGGGCAAGAATGGAATGGGTCGTAAATACCAGATGATAAAAAAAAGAAACAAATATTTGGTTACGAGTACTATTCTCAGTAGTAGTATCGGTACTTTACCTAGTACTCTGTGCTACCTACTTGTAGGTAGTAGGAAACGTGATGCGCCGATTGGATGATAGCTAATCTCTCTAACGAGGTGTATGTACAGGACTACTAGGCTACTTACGAGTACAGCCTTAGTAGTAAGTACATACTACTCTGGGGTACTCCTCCCGGTACTAGGTACTCCATACTAAATGTATTGATTTAATAGGAGTTAAGTAATTTACCCGGCAATTTCCATGCTATCCATGAACAATCAATCAATCAGATCAGTTCCCTATATGACTGTGACGTACGGTGAAATATTTCCCAAACGTCACCGCCTCTGGACGAAGAACAAACTTGTCGCCGCTTTTTTCTTATTCAAGCTCAACTTCTTGAGTCCGGAGTCAACTCTTTTCTTTTCCCTTTCTTGATTTACTCCTCGTAGCTCCCCGCAGGTGGACCGTTGAGAGTACAGGCTCTCTTATCTTTATTTATTTAGCTGCTTTTGGTCATAATTGCCCTCTTTTCCTGGTCAGTGGTGGGGGTGGGAAGCAGAACCTGGTGGAATTCCCCTTGCGTTTTTAGTCGCCACACTGATTCTGCCTATTAAGAAGACAATCCTATATTGTCGCTTTCCCGGCCATATATCTACTCCTTTCCCCTTTGTCCCAACCATCTGAAACGCTAGAACCGCTATGTCTTCCGCCACAACATCAAATGTTCCCGAGAAAACTCCTGACGACTCTTCCAAATTGAAGACCTTCCTTTCCATTTTAAAGAAGTACGTGTAGCTGTTTCATATACCAGTCGGTCTATGTTAATTCAACCGTTCTGCGGCTTTATAGATTCATCGGAGTCGCCGATATTGCATCTGTTCGCTTTTCATTACCTGCCCATCTTCTAGAGCCGACGCCCAACCTGGGTAGGTTGTCACCTGTTGAAGGCTGTGCTGGTGCGCTCCAAACAAAGTGATTACTGACTGGGTTGGTGAACTGGTAGAATACTGGAACTACTTGGATAGACCAGAGACCTTTGCAAGGTCAGCAAGGTAGCCTATCTTCCACCAAGGCTCGTTTTCTGACGGGAGAGTCACAGCATTGGTAAATCAGAAGATCCGCTGGGCCGGACGCTGGAGGTCTTAAGGTTTTGGTTTACAAAGGACTTGGTATAGCTCTCCGCGCAACTTCGGCTGTTTGGGGAACAGTTTCACTGAACATGTCATAGAAATACATCAAGGGAAAGCCGTGCAAGCCATATAATTCTACACTGGGTGAATTCTTTAGGGTGGGTTAGACCTTCTATCGGGGTTGTTTGATTTTTTGTGAATCACCAACCAACTCATGACTGACACACACAAACTCACAGGCCACTTGGGAAGTTGATGCCACCCTCCCGGAGATACAGGTGCGTTCTGAGGCTAGGACAGCGGATGGAATATCCACCATAAAGGACGGCGATGGGGAGGCGGTCAAGGTATGCTACCTGACTGAACAGACATCTCACCACCCACCAGTATCCGCTTTCTTCATCGACTGCCCACAGCGCGGAGTCTCAGCACGTGGCTTCGACCAGATTAGTGCTAAATTCACAGGCACAAGTATTCGCGTTGCGCCCGGTCAGCACAACTTAGGAATATTCGTCAACATTGCTTCCAGGGATAATGAAGAATACCAGTTGACGCACCCGGCTGCTCATTTGGGCGGCCTACTGAGGGGTGCACTGGCTATTACTGTGTCGGATACATGTTATGTTACTTGCCGCAAAACACGAATCAAGGTGATTTTGCAATACCTCGAAGATGGCTGGATCGGCCGAGCTCAGAACAGGGTCGAGGGCGTGATTTTCCGATACGACCCTGATATGGACACCACAACGAAAGTAAAAGACGTGCCGGAAAGCGATATTCTTGCGAAAATCACCGGGTCGTGGCATGGAAAAATCCATTTCACTTTGTCTGGGACAAGTGAGCCTCAGCTTCTAATCGATATTAGCCCGCTTTTCCCTGTCGCGAAGAGTGTCCCCCCCGAGGAGATCCAACTATCGAATGAGTCTCGCAAGTTTTGGTCCAGCGTCACCCAGGCGATACTGGATAAAAATTATAGCCAGGCTACCAAATATAAGCAGGATATTGAAGAAAAACAGCGCCAAAAGGCTGCTGAAAGACAGGCAACGAGCGAGACGTGGCGGCCGCGGTTCTTTACTGACGCTGTTACTCCATTGGGCAAGCCAGAGTTGACTGAAGAAGGGCGCAAGGCTCTGGAAGGGCTTCGTATTGGCGACTACTGTTTGAAGGAAAGTGAGACAAAAGGCGCATAGACTTCACGTTCTGGTGCGATTGTACATACATACATAGGGTTGGTTCATCCCCGGCGTGTAAAAAAGGAGACCGCCGATAGGTATCGATGCCCTCTGCCTACCATTACAGAGTACTTTTCCTCGAAATCCCTTCCTTTTTGGTAACAGATTTCTCTGGATTTGGGACGTGCTTCCTCTCTGTGCCTTGGAGGACATAAGATCAGCTTCATCTTTTTTCTTTTTTTCTGACTCGACAGACTACCACGTGAAAGCCGCGAGATCTGATTGGCCCTTGTTTCCAGTTGGGACAGTGAGGGTGTCAATCTTCGCAAATAGATCACAGACGAGACGGTAAACACCAACTTTATACCACTACTACTACTGACATGTAAGGACTACTTAGAAATGCACATGGTTATCATGCCGTTACCATGGATAATCACCGGACTAACAGCGGAGAGAAGACGCGGGAGTGATGATGAGAGTATAAAAAGTAACATCAATAAAATGGATAGCAATCCAAATGATAAACAGGCGTCAGGGTAATCATACAGCCCAGCACATTTGATCATTCACAATTCCTGAAATGACCGTAACCCCAAAACCCATGTAGTACACCATTGCGCCGATGTTAAAACCTTCAAGAACCACCCATGAGTGGCATGGCATCATTCGTTGACCTAAGCATTTGCAGTAACTATTTTGTTGAAACCTGCACTCACTGTCTTAGTTATCTCTTCATTCTTATGTGGCAGCAGTGACAAGGCATAGGCCACATCATTCCATTGCCGCTCGGTTTCACACCGCGGAAGTCGGGCAGCGAGCTTGTCTGCTAACTGTCGGGCATGTTTCTCCTGAAAAGACGCAGATAGGGTTAGAAACTGCACATGGGGAGGCAACAGATTTTTGGAGTACCTACCTTTTCAACGAACCCGATCAGGAACTTGACGATACGTCTCAACGAAGCCTCTTCGAGGTTCCGCTCTGCGCTCAAGAGACTGAACATATCAACAAAGTGATTGTACACTGCATTATCTTTGCTCGCAAGCTCTGTGAAGAACATGCGTGCCAGATCAGCAATCCTTTTGTCGTCATCTTCCAAGCATTTAGCCATCTCGCCTAATTGTCCCTTGACTTTGACCTGGCCAGCCAAGATAAGAAACGTCAGGGTCATGAGACAAGTGCGTTTGACAGAAACATCATCATCATTGAGTCTGCGGTATAGAAAATCCGTATTCTCGTCAATAAGATGGTTGAAGCACACTGCCATATCGCCAAGTGTAATTACTGCATTGCTGCGAACGATCGGGTCTTCGGAACGTTCCATAACAGTGATCAGGAGGGGAAGGTTTTTCTCGCAGTACTCGGCTGAAACACACATTAATTTAGCCATGCACAAAGTTGCTGCTGCCTGAAGATTACGGTCAGAGTACGTGTTGCTGTTGGCGCAGATTTCTGTAACCAACGGCCCAAAATTGGACAAGAGAGAGCTCTTCCCGTAGAGCAGCTCTCGTTCACGGATGTGTGCCATAGCATCTGTGAAGTCGTCTTCTGTTGTCCCGCCAATAAGATCAAGTTCATCATCTTCAGTGACGTCTTTGCCCATTTGGGGTGCTGTGAAGGATGTCTTATTTTTCTCTTGTTCCGCTTTGCGGCGCTTGAAGTCAAGTTCGCAAAGCTCGAGGTGTACGATTTGCTTAATCGCAATATGTCCAACAACAAAAAGCAACTGAGAAAGCGCAGCGGATGAAGATTTTAGGGGGCTTTGAATCTCGGTTGAAGCTGTCCCAGGGCGTTGCTCGTCCCCATCGCCAGTACCTCTCGAAGACGAGCTTTGGTGGAAGACAGACCTAGTCTTCCGTTTGAGGATATCAGAGCATAGAACGTCTGGGTGTTTAGATAGTGCATATATCGCACTAATGGCTTGCTCTGCTACCCCATACCATTCCTTGTTATCGGACACGATCTCAACAGTAGCCGCAAGTTGAGTCAGAATGGCATGGTCATTAGTCAATTTAGGAATACCGACTTCCTTAGACTTCGCTTGGCGGCCTGGGACCATTCGTCTCAGCGCTACACATGTATATTTCGCAAGCACAAGGTCGGATCTCCCCAAGCTTCCGAGGCCAATTCGCAGCATTACCTCAATCTCCTTGATGACTACTTCGGGGTCAGCTAGAGCAAGCATTCCAAGGACGATGATAGCACCCCGACGTTGGGTCTTCGAGATCTCCTTCCTCTGAACGCCATACACCTGCCATAGCTTGGCAATGACAGCGTCCGAGATATGGCCGGCCTTCATCATGGTACTCAGTAGTTGCTCGAGACATGTCAGCTCAGCGGGCGTAGAACCAAATGTCAGACTAATCATGTTCCGAGCAACGTAGTTTGCCGTGTCGTTGAGGCTAAAAGAATCCGGTGCTTCGAAGAAAAGACCTCTATAGCAGTCAATGAGATGAGTTTGCACGCCTTTTCCTTCGTCGCTGTTGCCTTTTGTCCAGATAAGTCGGAGCATTCGTCGAATTCCGCTCCGAGATGTTTCCACCTTGTATGCATCGAGCACCACAAAAAAGTCCATGGCTTCTATAGCCTCGCTTTTATTTCGGGACGACAGTAACTGTGAGACGACCCCAGAGGCGGTGTGGAGAACCTCAATAAACCGAATGGCTTCGTTGTAGTATTTTCGAGTCAACTGAAGCCGCGCGAGCAATTCAGAGGTTGCTGCTTGTTCGGCAGCTTTTTTGACCGCTGCGGCCTTCTCTTCCTCAGTCATGCGCGGTGCTTTAGACGGAGATTCATCTGGTATTTGTGTTGCATCATCTAACAGTTCACTATCAACATGCGAGGCCTCCCCACCGTCAAAACCTGGCGTCTCAGGGGGTCGCAGAGCATTCAGTTCGATATCCACGGCATCAAGCCTAGCCATCCACTCTGTATATGAGAGTTGCCCACCGTGCATGACACTGAATGGGTGAGTAGAGACCAACTTTGAGAGTAATTTGATTGCGTTTCGTCGTACGTTGCTGCTCTTGTCTTCCAGGCTCCTCGCCGCTAGTTCGGCGACCGCCTGCCGTCTTTTGGGGAACTTCTGATCCAAATCACAGATCCTCATATAAACTTGAATAGCACGGCACCGACAATATGGGTTGATATCCAAAAAACGTTCCTCGAGCACATCGAAGAATGCATTAATCTGGGTCTTGTAGTTGTCACTGCGCTCCTCCTGTCGACTGAGGTCACCGATAAGATTCCCGCAAACCTCAACAACTGCACACCGAAGGGTATAGGACTATGGCTCAGTCAGATTGAAAACTTGTTTAAAATAAAAAGAACAAGACTGTAGTACTTCGCTATCAAGCTGTTTAGCTAAGAGCGTCATTTGCTTTATTATCAATCGGGGGGCAAGCTCGGAGAGTTTGACGATAAATGCTGAGACCGATTTCGGACCACGTGTGTCATTGGAGTTGAATTCCTTATTTCCAAGCTCCCTGCTACATATTAGCTACCATCCAGGTGGTTACGATGTGAAGGTTCAGTACTTCAGTATCTCATCTGAAAGCTGGGGATAGTCGTATTGCTCAGCAAGGATATGTAAAAACTCGGCCATTGGCTCGGACAGATGCTCAAAGTACGTTAAGCTCTGAACGATAGATGTCTGAGCACCTTCACAGTGGGTTAGAGCTGTTGAAGAAAATTCATTCATCGCAAGGACTCACCGAACGCATGGCCATGGTGTTTGACAGCAACACACAGGACTTTGAAGGCATGCATGCGAATGGCCATGCTCTTCACACGCTGCTCACTCTCGAGGATGAGATAAATTGAACGAGTAAATAAGTTGATGAATGTGTCGCGGTCTGAAGTGGTCAAGAAGATCCTACTCAGCTTGAGCTTCATGATCTTGCACATCGTTTCCATCGAGATCTGTATCTGAGCTGTCCAGTCCCAATTACCATCTTTGGCGCTGGCTTTCGACCGGCCAGACTTTCCTAAGCCTCTTCGAGCAGGTATAGTATCTGCGGGCTTCTCTGCCGCCTTAACCTCCACGGCAGAAAGCGCCCATTGTAGTAAGAACCCATACATTTCCAGTAGCTGTTTATGATGTTGAATGCTATCCGGCTCGTCAGACTCGAGGTCTCCGTAGATAATATCCCCTTCGACGGATAATCCAGACACTACCAGATCAAGAAGCTTGCTCAGGGACTTTGTGGGTAAGAAAGAGGAGTATCTGCAATATGACCGAGTTAGGATGCATCCTTTATCTTTCCTTTGAGGGCCGGGGAGGGGCACTTTAAGAGAAATAGCAAAGAGTCAAAGAAGGCTGGCCTGGCCAGTCCTTCCGGGGTCTCAGCTACCGCATCAACAATCGTATTAAGAACGTTATCAATCAAGGCAGTTGATAATTGATCCGGATCGGCTTCGCAATCCAAAAGTTCGGGTTCAGCATCGGCGGTTGGAACCGAGGTTGGGTCACTCAAATAATATTTAAGTGACTCGTTGATATCGAATTGGACCCTATCCTCCATGGTGGAAGCGACCGCGAGGAGTATCCTCAAGGGGCGAGTGGAAATTGGCAGGCCGAATTAGGTGGAGATACGGTGTCGTGGGGTAGGGTGGGAAGAGCAGAGTGAAAGCGGAAGATAGTTCTCAAAATGGTCTTAAGTTTTGTTTGTATTTTTCCACTTTCGTGATATGATAAGATGGCGCTGCGAGTCATGGTGTAACAATACAACTCGATACAGTTCCCTGTACAGTATACGTACAGTACAGCCATTCATTACTTCGTCGCTGATCCCCCAGCCACTGATTTTGTCCCGCACATGTTATTTTTCTTTATTTTCCCGTATATACAATACATATATACAGGGACAAAAGCGCGTATCCGATACAGTATCTGATAGACACAAACACAACCTTACCAAATCTTTGCATGCTTTTACTTCAAACTCCGCGGGACTAGTTCATGGGCCATCTCGAAGACGCCCAACTGTACAACGCATGCATCATCTGACGTCTTCCACACACGCGCCATGGACTAAACATATTTCGTGTCACACTTTATCTATCGAGCTTCAGCTTCTCTGCTTTTCTCCGACTATCTGTTCCCGTTGTATGCAAGGCTTTATTGAACCACTCAGTGAAACCCGAGAGGCCTCCTATTGCGGCAGTGTCTTGTGGATTTGTATGGTATCATGTCCACTCTTCACACGGCACCTACCGGTATCTTTGAGCTACAAAAACATGAAATTTTGAAATCATCACGTGCCACAGCAAGGCATGAATATGCAAGAGAAGATGGCACGGCTACGGACAGCAATGCGTCGGTAGAAGACTACGAAGAGGAAGCCCCTCAAGACGAGGAAGATGTCGACGATTCAGTGAAAGAGGATATGAAGAAACTTGAGGATACCTTTCCCGGTATCTCGGATAGATTTCGCTTGGTCAATAGAATTGGCGAAGGTACAATAACGTTCTTAATGGCTTGTTGCTTTGCGTACAGTTTTAGTGCCCTGTGGCTGACACATTGCGAACGTGTAGGTACTTTCTCCACCGTGTACAAAGCGGAAGATCTGCTGTACGATCACTATAGGAATGACTGGGATATGTTTCAAGGCTACCAATGCAATAGTTGGGCGAGCCCTCCCTCAAAGAGGCGACGAGTAGATGGAGACTATGGACAATCTCTACCTTTAAAGCAACAGAAACCTCGTTATGTCGCGTTAAAAAAAATTTACGTGACTAGCAGTCCATTTCGTATCCAGAATGAACTTGAGCTGCTACATGACCTTCGGGGCTGTCGATCCGTATGCCCTCTGATTACGGCTTTCCGGTATCAGGACCAGGTTGTGGCGGTCTTGCCGTTCTTCCCTCATACAGATTTCCGTATACAATATCGCACTTTCATGGTTGCGGATATGCGACATTACTTTCGATCCCTTTTTACCGCCTTACACTCTGTCCATAAGCACAATATCCTTCACCGGGATATCAAACCGACGTAAGAAGACATGCTCGTGGATTTTCTGATCTTACTTTACTGATAATTTGATGACCCTTCAGTAATTTCCTCTATAACCCAGAAATCCGGGAAGGTGTTTTGGTGGATTTCGGCCTTGCTGAGGTAGGTCTATTTTATATCCTCACCACCCAATGTGCCCTGGCCGCATTGTCTGATCACTCATGGCAGCGCGAGGGGTCCGAATATACCGGCACGTGTCTATGTGCCAACCCAAGCTATGTCCGTCGCAGCCGATTACTACAGAGCTACTTCTCTACCCATTGCTCAAACTCGACACCGTCGGCTGGCTACCCGAAGAACGACTCCAGGCCATCGAGACGTGCTAACCGGGCAGGAACCCGAGGTTTTCGTGCACCAGAAGTGCTTTTTAAATGCACATCCCAGACGACAAAGATAGATATGTGGTCAGCAGGAGTTATTCTTCTAACCTTGCTTGGACGCCGATTTCCTTTCTTCAACTCGGCTGACGATGTCGACGCTACGATAGAAATGTCTAGCATTTTCGGGACGCGTCGCATGAAGAGCGCAGCAGCTATGCACGGTCAAATTTTTGAAACAAATATTCCAACTATTGGCGAGAAAGGATATAGCTGGGAGAAACTCGTAAAATGGGCCAGCTGCGTGGAAGAGTTGACGGAGAGCGAAAAACAAGCCACTCGTCTTCTGGCTGGCCTCATGGAGTTGGATCCCTACAAAAGGCTGAGCGCCAGAGACGCCCTACAGCACGAATTCTTTACTGATCCCATTGAACATGACGTCGAGTGGGGAGGACACCCGGAAGACAGCGGTGACTCCGGGGAGGAAGACGAAGCGGATAAAGATGATGAACCTGACGAGGTTGCAATGATTTAAATCCTCGAAATAATATATTATTGTAAAAGATATATTATTGCTAAGCCTAGGACATTCCTCGTAATAGGATCACCTGCCACTAGATACTGTAGTATTTACATGCCGACTACAGTGTAGTCGTTGATCAATTATCGACGGTTTGTTGATTTTGATATTTTATAGGATTCCAAGCGCGTGGCATTCTTAGTTAAGCGTCTCAGCTTATAACTGATCTTCAGGGCATTTTAGCTCCACGTTTACCCTCGCGCTCCCCAACTATCCCTTTCCAATAGTATAGTTAATTTAAGATGATACGGTCGATCGTATTCCAATGATGGTATATACGTCGCTCATAACTCTATTCGGTTACTATACTAGGCGGTTCATCACACTTAATCCGTTACTGTACACTTCTAACCAGCCTCCCCGAAACTATAATGTCCCGTCTGCGTTGCGTGCTGAGTAGCTCCCTTTTCCCCAATTAAAACCCTACCGCATGTATTGCAGCGAATACGGAAACCTGCTGTATCAGTATAGTAGTGCTTACTCTGCAATACCTTACAGAGCTCTAACGCTTTTTCTAGCACTAGGTTATCTGTAGAGTCAAAGACCTTGGTGTCAAATTCGGGGGGCGCATGCGCATGAATGAAAGGATGGTCGGACGGAGACAGCGCAACGGTATCATAATGGATACCAGAGTAAACTAAGATGCAGCGTGTGGGTGGTCCCTCGTTGAAACGATCAATCCGGAGGGTTTGCACATCGATTGAGCATATCTCAATATCGAAATGTTTGCTGATGATACTAAGTTCGATCCCTCCGCCCCATGAATCCTCGTTGTGAATCCAGCGGCAATAGTCATCCGGCTTCTTCTCCAGAACCGCCTCAGAGTAAATGTCAGGATTCTCTTGGATCGTTTGTGCAACAACAGACCTCAACTCATTCATCGCATCCATACCTCCCATGAGGGCACTACCCACAGCGCGGAACATGCACGAATTATCATCCGGCATGATGCGTAAGACGAAGGTACCCGCATGCTCGGAGGATGGGATTTCGGGTGGGTCATCTGAGATAGCGTCGCTGGACTCGTGTGATACGGGATGCTCCTCAGGTAATTCTTGCGACGTGAAAGTTAACCCCTCATCACGACTAAGAGGCGCTTGCATCCAGCCCTCTTTCTTAGTTATCAGGAGCTGCTCCCCGTTCAGCGTGATCCCGACATCGGAAATCATTTGGTTTGGTTGAAACTCATCCAGTGGGAAATGCTTGAGATCGGGGTATCCATATTTCACGTCATATGATGTCAATCCAGTCTTATCCACAATATGCGTTCGGAGATCATCCACGGTAGCATGGTCGTCGAGACTGACAGTAGACTGTCCGTCTGGCCCGCGGATGCGGAATCTCATCCTGAGAGGTGAATACTTAATAAAAGAAGAGAGGGAATAGCAGAGAGTAGCAAAAGGGAAAAAAACGATGACAGGAAGAGAGCAAGAAACAAGAGCAGCCAGTTCCGTAGCACGGGCAACGACGATCGAAATCAGCACTTGGAAGTGGGGCAGGAGGAAGGGGAAAGCTCTTTCCTCTTTGGACTACTGGTATTTTATTGACTGGCAGGTACAGTACCAAGATTATATAATGATAGTAATTAGTTAATGGTAGTTAACTGAAGCAAATCTACTATTATTACTAGTATTACGCATTGATCAAGGAAAGGAGGGAAATGGATAGAGAGATATACATACATACATATATATATGTACACGTACATTTTGGGCTATTAGTACTGGATATTGCACCCCAACCCCGCATAATGAGTGATGATGTGGTAATTCACTTTTGATATTTTAAACTCTTTTGCGGAGTGGGGAGATCCTGAATGATGTGTATTTAAGATAATACATACAATTTAGACACCTAGGTGTAACTCCGTATGAAATACGACCTCGAAGACGTCCGTTTGTACAGTACAGTAGCTATATACATACTTAACTATGGGGATCATTAGAGTTCCATAAATTGCAGTACATGCCCTACTCCGTACAATACCAGTGCACACATTGTAGGTATCAAACCAGGTACTCCTTATGTCTATCATGTATGTGTGTATTGTATGTACATACACATAGCTCGCAGTGCACGTACTGTACTGTTATATATATTAAATATACATACATACGGGGAACTACCTGTACCTAGGCACTGTACCTTTGCGTAACACGGTGTAAAGAAACAGATCATGTACCCGATGACTCAGCTGCGCGGACCTCCTCTGTTGCGAGTTGCGCGCTCTTTCAGCATTTCTCATCGACCGAGTAATTTCGAGAAGCTCCCGCTGGCCTACATTTAGTGTCATCGGCGGTTTTTGGGCTTTGCGATCGTGGTTGCATACAGCATGGAGAAAGAGTCGGAGCCGTCGCAAGTCCAACCCACACCTGAGGAGCCTGTTAAGTCGATTGAGGACGATGGGAAGGGCGATAGCGCTGCGGCGGCTGAGAGTGTCACTGACGAACAATGGAGGTCAATGATGGAAGTTGTCATGGCCATCTATGAGTTCAGGGAGGAAGAGTAAGTGCTTGATAAACAAAACCCCCTCTCTAGGATTATTTCCTGGTCACGTTGCGAAGCTCACGATCTCCGTCTTCCCAGTGGTCATGATCCGTCGAAACTATTCCAACGCAGCGTTAATAAGCGCAATGTCCCTGACTATTACGATATTATAAAAGAGCCGATGGCTCTCAGTATTTTAAAGCAGAAGATAAACAAGAGGGAATACGTAAATTTCTCTCAATTCGTACGAGACTGCGCTCTCGTAAGGCACAGCCGTTCCTATGATGCATTGGTTATCGGAGCTAATCCTACTCACTAGATTCCCCATAACGCGCAAACCTACAACCGCCCTAAATCCCAGGCATATGAAGACGCACTCGTGATCAAGGTCTGCAGAAGAACATTTCAACCCCGCCCCCCTGTGGTTTGGACGCATTTATTGACGACAGTCACCAGGATGTTTTTATTACTGAATTTCAGAAATTGGTAGATCAAGGAATCATTTCCACTGAGGTAGCTGAGCTTCCAGATCTCGGCGAGATCCCTGAAGCAGATCCTCTTCCGGAAGAGGAAGAAGAGGAAGAGGAAGACGATGAGGATGATGAGGATGATGAAGACTCGGATGACGATGGTCGGCGGAAAAAAAAACGGGGACCCCGTCCTGGAAGCAAACGAGACGGTGGAAAAGATGACGGGCAAAAGTCTAATGATCCTGAGATGAGGAAGAAACGAGGTCGTCCGCCGCGCGTGGACACTCCGATGGAGGCCAGGATCAAAGCTGTTTTGAAGGGAATGCGAAAGTTGAAGGGGCCGAGTGGTGCGCTCAAGGTTCGACACTTCGAGCGTTTGCCTGATAAGGCTACTTATCCCGACTATTATGTGGAGATCAAAGAGCCGATTGCCATTGACATAATCAAACGAAAGTCTAAGCGGAAGAAGTACAACTCTGTGGATCATTTCATGAGGGATATGGACTTAATGTTCAACAACGCCAAAGTATACAACCAGCCTGAGAGTCAGATTTATAAAGATGCCGCGGACTTGCAAGTTGAATCGCGAAAACTCGCTGAAATCGAGAAAAAGAAACCGGACAGTGAGTATCTTATGGAAGATGGGCGTCTGCCATTACCGGACGGAATTCTCTATAAAGGCGAGTTGTGGAAGGTCGGTGATTGGGTTCATATACAGAACCCTAACGATGTAACCAAACCCATCGTGGCGCAGATCTATCGTACTTGGCAAGATTCTGAGGGCGACAAATGGGTCAATGCCTGTTGGTACTACCGTCCCGAGCAGACCGTCCACCACCTTGAGAAGCACTTCTATCCAAACGAAGTAGTGAAGACTGGCCAGTACAGAGATCATCGGATCGAGGAAGTGGTGGATCGCTGTTTTGTGATGTTTTTCACTCGTTACAACCGCGGTCGACCCAGAGGCCTCCCTCCTGATAAGGATGTATATGTCTGTGAAGCTCGGTACAATGAAGAGAAACACAAGCTGAACAAGATCAAGACTTGGGCAAGCTGCCTTCCAGACGAGGTGAGGGAAAAGGACTACGAAATGGATTTGTTTGATGTACCTCGGAGGATCAAGAAGATCCCAAGCCCTATAAAGCATTTGCTCAAAAGCGACGCAAAGGAGACAGATGATCTTCCAAAACCGACTTGGGGAGCCGAGAACGCGCCCCCAATCGTTGGTGCTGTTCATCGTCGCCCGCGAGATGAGAATGTGAGTTTTTACCATTTTGTAGAGTCGCCCCCACGAGCCCTAGCGAAATTCTTGAAGCTGATAGCAACTTTTTTCCCGTCTCTAGGAATCACCTCCACCTGAGCCAACACCTTCCCCACCCCCATCTTTACCTCCACAGAATGTGCCTTCTGCTCCCGCCCGGCAGGCCTCGATCAGTCAGCCTCCACAGCGGCCGAGTGTGGATAGCCAAGGTAACTCTACTGTAGCTGGAACCACTCCCGTACCACCACGCTCGCCTGCGGCGCCGATCCCTCCTATCCAAAACGCGCCCGTTCCAGTTCCTTCGGCAACTTATCAACCTCAGTTACCCCCTGCTCCTGCATATCAGCCCGCCTTACAGAGACGTTCTAGCGGCTTTGTACCGCAGACTCCACACCCCTCCTACCAGACATCGGCCGTATCTCATCCGTACGCAGCTGTCCAGCCAGCACCACCATATACACCATATCAGGCAAACCGCATGCAGATTCCACCAGGGGCGGTGTACAACCCCAATGCTCCTCGCCCAATTGAAGTGTTCCATTTAAGCGATGCTGCTAATGCTGCCATTCCGGAAGATATTCGAGAACAGTTCCACTGTGATAATCAAGGTCACGTACTGTTTTTTTCGTCGCCGCCTCTGGATATCATTCCGCCCTTCCAGCAAAAGTTAGGCCATTCGCTTAAATATTTAGCAGTGAAAGAAGAGCGGCGGAGACTGGTCGAAACGAAGAAGCGCAAGGAGAGAGAAGAATGGGTGGAACAAGATAAAAGAGCAAAGCGTCAGCGGGCTAACGAGGAGGCGGCGCTTGTTGCTAGGGTTGAGTCTCTTACCACGAAGGCTATTAGCACCATGGTAGATCACATTGGGGCCGGTACTGAGATGCTCTATAAGTTCTTATATCGTGACCAGGCAGAAAGAGCTAAACAGATAAATGCTAGAACTCTTGAGCAGAGGGTTCTTACCGACCAGATTAACAGAGAGAAGACCGCGCAAATTCAGGCACGGTCAAAGGGAGCGGCGGCGTTTGTCCCTCTCAACGGGGATACCATGTGCACGGACGAGACTTGACCCATAAGCCTAATAGAAAGGCAAATGCAGTTCCCAATTCAATCAACGGAGTGCTAGTTCTCTATTACCATTGCTGTTACCGTTGTCATTGTGCTGTTCTTTTCTTTTTTTTTACCGAGACGTTGAGTCGGGTGGCACTGTTATATTGGGATAATCTTATGTAGCTTCGTCTAGATATTTACCTAGACCATCGGCTGGGTAGTTTGATGATTAATTGAACGGTTTCCTCATCTTAGGCGTCGGTATGCCTATGTGGAGGTTTTATGTAGATCGTAGATCTCTGGCAAATACTCCGGGTTCAATTGCGCTCCATATAGCCGAAGCGGTACAAGTATTTTGCGAACCCCTTCGCTGACTTCAAACCTGTACTGTCCTGCGCTTAGGGGATGGGAAGGGAAAAAGGATATAGAAGAAACATATAAAGCACATCGTCGACTCGTGAGATAAGTAGTTACATGAGGTGAGAGACTGTAGAAAATGAGAATCGAGGGGGTGAAAAGAGAACAAAAAGGGGGAATGTACACGCATTGACAAGTATCCAAGTAAAATGAAGTGGTAATCTTAACAGCTAGTAAACAGCATTTGTTCCCTTTGGTTCAGAACCCAAATCGTATAATCCTAGAAGGGCCCAGAGGCACAAAGAATAAAATAAACAAGATGAGACTCAACAATAAGATTTTGAGCCTCTTCAATTCTCTGAAACACCATCCACATCCCTTTAAAAAAAGAAATCCAAACTTTGTCTAAGCCAAATAAATGCAAGACGAGAGAAGGCTGTAGTAAAATGCCCAGAGATCGCTTAACTTGGTTGTTCTATGCAAAATGCCTGTCAGATATGGCTGGCATTTGTTATGTTCTTCAGTAATAACTCATGAACGAAGTCGTGGACTGGTGCCAATTTATAATGCTGCTTTTCCTTGCCCCCTCCGTTGTTGAGCGGTTGGTATTGTTCACCTTGACAGGAGATGATGAGTTCTAATTATTCATTGTCGAAATGGTGGTTATCTCCTGCTTTTGAGCTTCCTTGGGAGCAAATCAGGGCTGAAACTCTGGGTTACTCGTTGGAGTAGTGTCGTCGTCATGGGAATCGGCCTTGCTGGTGCTCCAGGAGGCGCTATTCCGCTTGTTGTTCTCTTCTTCTTCCATGGAGAAAACCAAGTCCCCTTGCTCCTCATCGATTCTGCTGGTACTAACAGGTGACGAGACACTGCGGTCTAGACGGCTACTTGCCCCGACTGACGAATGACGGGCAGCGCCAGGGTGAAGAGACATACCGCTAAGTTGTTGAGAGATCATAGATGTTGGCTGTTGCCGGGAGGGGGTGGAGACAAAGGGTGAGACGTCACCAGAAGTTTGTCGGCTTCCGATGGGGCCAAGGCTGGGACTCGTACCGAAGTTTAATGAAGACTCACGGAGGGGAGATCCGACTTGTGGGAGCGAGGTACCATGCGCATCTTCCTCCTTCTTCTGTCGTTGCTTGGCAAACAAAGCACCAAACCTGGACGGACTGGATGCTAGAGGGGAACCGACTTTCGATAGACTAGTGCCGGTCATACCAAGTCCACTGAGATCACGATGGCTTGAACTGAGTTCATAGTCTGTACGCGAAAGACGTCGTAGCCTCTCCTGCGGCGTGAGCACATCGTCATGCAAGTTAATCGGCAGGTAGTCCTCCTCCATCGGAAAATTGCTGTCATCCCAGTCATCCAAGGCGGTAAGCCGCGGTACACTCGCGGAGAGCATGCGTGGTTTCACCGACCGCTGAGAGTGTAAAAATCGAGGTCCGGGGCCATCCTCAGGTATCGCAGGTGGGGAAGACCCCATGAACGAAGAAGGCTTCCTTAGATCTGATCCATACGCGGTATCGCGGAGACTCCGGAGAGCATCAGGGGGGGCGCCGGTTCTTTGTGCCGGCGGAGATAGTTCCAGCCCGAACTTCGACGGCATGGAAGCGGCTACCGGTCCATAACGGGCGGCGTGCGAAATTCCTTGGCTATCAAAGGAGGCAGGAAGAGGTGCATCAAGTGCAGTTAAATGGCGGTGATTCGGAGACATCGGAAATCGTATATCATCAACCGGGGATCCATACTTAGAACCGGCGTCTGAAGCCAGGCCTGCGTCAATTGTGGGAATAACATCGTACGGTTGTTGTGGAGAATGTAAAGTAGCGTAATCCTCTTGAGATTGAACTTGAGGCCCATATCGGGTCTCGTGTCCGTTCATCCGCTGTTGCGAGAGGACGGAATTCGTCAAAGCTGAATCCTGATTTACGTACGCTTGCGGATTGACGCGGCCACCCAGGTTGAGATGGCTGCCACCCATGCCCATTCCTGGGTTGGGCCGATTAACCCGTCGTCCATCGGGAAGAATATGCGCCAGCGCACATTTGGCTCCGAACTTGCAGTTACCCTAGAATGATGACGAATGTAGTCAGCCCGTATTTATTCGCTAGTGAAAAAAATAGCGGACAACCGGTGATCTTAGGCACTGGATTGTCCAAAGTGCCTTCTATGGATTCATACCTTAGTGAAGTATTTACATGGCGCATAGTCAATCGCAGCATCGGTAGAATGTAAGAAAGGACAGGCAGGTCCAGCCTGGCAAGCTCCCTGACGAAAGAATTTGCACGGAACGTGCTTGGTATCTATTATCCGTCACAAGTAGGTCAACACTGGTTTCGCTTCGCAGGGGAAAAGATCCACATGGGGATGTTGAGCTTCTTCATGAGCTCAATAGGTATGGGGTAAAGAATCTTACTGCTTTGATTGGGAGGACTGCGGGCAGCCATGTCGAAGCCTGAAAGATTGCGAGAATGGCCGTTCTGGAGAGTTCCAGAGGGAACTGGAAGAGGGGCACGATTTTTCATTTCGCCTGAAAGGCGAATATGGTCACGAGAGGTGTGGGAAGGTGGATGTTGAGGAGGGGGGAGTTGCGAGAAGCCGACACTTGCATGGCCGAGAAAAAGAGAAGGCGGACTACTGACCTCAACGCCCACAAAATCCGGAGGGGTTTACTTTATCGGGTGGGGTGGAGATACTAAGGCAAAATGGCACTAAAGAATCGTAGTGAATTGGAAAGGGTACCTTTTTTTTTGTTCCCTTTTCTCTTCTTTCTCTTGAGATCAAGTATGGCAGGATAATAAGTGAATGAGAACGGTTGGAAACAAACCCATGGAAAAAAGAGAGACAAAGAGGAGTGTTGTTATCTTGGTCATCCTCGGCCTCGAGGGCAAAAATCCAAGCCAGGGTTCTGGATCCAAAAGTCACGTAGTACTCTCAACGACGACAACGATGGTAATAACAATACTCCAAGAGAATGAGAATAACTTAAATAATCAATTTGACTGATTATCCGTTAGCCATGCCAAATCTCGTCCTACCAGTATAACCTAAATCTTTGTGCTCAATATCGTCGGTAGGTGGCGGAGATGTGTCCATTAATAGATATATTGTACTAAGTAATATCCATGGCTCTTTGATCACCACAATAATTCTTCTTATTACCATTCGATAATATGTTTTTGTATGTATGTTTAAACTCCTGGGAATAACCGTACTATGGCGCAAGAAGACAACCCCTACTGTATAACTATAAGAAGGTAGATGAGGATAGAGGCTACACTTTTCAATATACGGAGAGAAGGACAAGAATGAAAAAGAGTACAACATCTTTCTCCCTCACGCATAATCAAGATACCATTACCTCTCTTTTATTCTCCACCTCGATCAGTCACCATCTCCTATTCCAATTTGGTAAGGAAAAGGCGTTATGAGACACCACTTCAGTAATATATGAGGAGAGTTGGTGGTTTATGGTGACATGCATCAACTTCGGCCTTAAGAGATTGCGCGAGAGGCCATCGATCATACACACCTCTTGTCCCCACGTAATGTGAGTATTTCGCAGAGTCGGTCACGCTCATATTGTAGATATTTGCATCGGCGATGTCCATCTGTACAACGGGATGGATGACCATTCTAAAGCAAGCTAAAACCATACTATAGAAAAGTAAGTGACAAGGAGGAGAGCCATCAATATTCCAGCTCCATCCTTACTACGCATGTAATCATTGTGATCAGCTGTGGAGAGGGATTCCTTCTAGCCCCAAGAATTCCTGTTTGTTACCGTGAGCAGTTTGGATGAGAATGGTCAATCAGGGATTGAAATACCCAAAACTCCTCTTGGCTCATTCCTTCTGCCACCACACTCAAGCATCTTCTCCATAAATCGTGACAGATACGCCTCCGAACATTGACCCGTTTCTGCCAATGTTTCCATTCTCTCTCGGTCTCAGTTTGGTCTTCCTTTTCCACATGCACCGCGTTAGTCCTCCGGGTTTGAGCCAAATTTGCAATGGCAGTCTCCTTTTCCTGCTTAAGATGGTTGATATTCTGCCGGATGTCAGAGGTTAATGGTGTTGTACAAAGTGTCGTTAACTCTGCTCGTGTTGCTTTTGCATAAGCTTTGAGGCCAGTAAGTTGCTCCTGCAGCTGTTGAGTCTTATCTTCCAGGAGTATGACCGTTTCCAACGTGGCTTCATTGGACACTTTCTGTAGGGCATGGTAAACCACTTGTTTTCCTAGTCTCATATTAGCGCTAGTACTCCGTGATCTATAATCCTTCCCCCACCTCACGTCCCAAAGGTGATATAATGCAATGCACACATGATTCACTTACCGGATATCCTTCCTTCAATTTCTTTATTTTGATGTAGCTCTCGCAACGCCTTTACCGCATGTGCTTTAGAGGCCGCGTTATCAAAAAGCCTATTGAGGCCTGAACTGAATATGGGAATTGCTCACACTTGGTGACTTTATTGTGCAAATTTGCTGAAACATCTGTGGCCTATATGGCATCAGTCATAAGACCTCATTTAATAGATCTCTTTGAGGCTACAAACCGAATAGGGACGACTGCTCTCCTAGGTCAGCCACCTCACCACAAAAAAGGGAGACACGAGCGTGGTTCTAGGGCGCTAGTAGACCCTTACTTCTGCTTTCCTAGAACTCCCAAGAGTAATCAGGTCAGTCTGACAACCTTACTACATACTAGTTAAAAGGCTATATGCTTAGAACATAAGGGATAAAACAGTCTCTTACGGAGATAGTCCAGAATCAAACTAAGCCCATCATTGGCAGCTTCTAGGGATTAGAGATCCGCCGAATCTTAGCCCTCGAATGACAAACTCACGGGCGCTGCTTGGCATCTTCTCATTTAGTCCCGCCTGTCTCATCTTGAGGGTGAGAAGCCCACTGCGTAGTCGTGAATAATGGTCGAAGAGAAGCGAAGAACGTTGCTGCTACAAGGAATTACCTCAATACACTGTATTACACGCTATTGCATCGAACGTGACTATCACGTGGGCTACAAACAGTGGAATTCTTTACGAGGCATTTTAGTAGTATATGTAGATCGCCTGGAGCTCATAAGAGTATAGAATACATGCTTCGAGTAGAATAGGCAACTGTCAGCCGATCCAACCATCCAAAAATCGAATACCAAAGGATTGTGCTGTATCCGTCAACCAAGATGCTATCTTAAGAAAGCAAGATAAAAATAAAAAAAAAAGGAAGAGGAAGAGAGACGAAGAGGGTGGCAAGTTAGGATTAAGAACGAATATATTGCATGAAACGAAAGGGGGAAAAGGGGGGCGGAGTTCAGCTCGCCAATCACATATTGCCGTTGCCCATATCTTAGATTCTTCCTTTGTTATCTCCAGATAACAAACTGTTTCTCCTTCAACCCTATCCCCGAGAACTGTCCGGATAAGAAACAGGTGGAATACAGCGCCGAGGTTACAACGACTCAAGGGTATCACATGACGATCTATGTTGAGGTCAGTTTCTGCAAGATAACAAGAACGTATCGAGAAGAATGGGAGGCTTACGCAATCATTGTCTTTCTGGGCAGTCGGGACTCCCATTTCCTCAAATGTCTTGGGGCCCTTGCCTGGTAAGCCGCCTTGAGACTTGGCTGGCTGTGCTGCAGGCTTCTGGCTGGCTGAGGCCGACACAGGTGAGGGCTTCGGCGTTGAGGATGCCGAAGGTGCATTTGGCGGCGCCATGGATTCACTACGCTGAGGAAATGTTGCAGAAGAAGGAGAGGCCATTGGCTTTGGGGAGCCTACAGGGCCGCCCTGAGTAGAGATAGGCGTTCTGACGGGTCGTCGATCGGGTGGTGTATTGTCCAACCGGTGGGGACGTCTCGAGTTTGGAGATTCAATCGGTGCGGAGTAGCCAATGTCGAGCTTGGGTGCTGCCGACGTGGGGCTTGCCGGGCCGCTGGTCGTCGGCGTCACAGGGGCAGGAGAGCGATACCCCATCGGCCCAGGCCCATATGAAGCCGCACGGTTATAGTTAGGAGTATTGGAGCGAATGTTCGGATTGATGCCGAATGCTGAGCTTGGCCGTGGGTCAGGCATCGAGTAGCCTGGCGGGTACACTGGCCGAGCTCGGGACGGTGGCCGGTCGGGATATGGAGCACTTGGTGGGGGATTGTCTGAAAGACTCATTCGTGAAGGATCCGGCATTTCAAGATTCTCTGAAACTGATTGGATGGAGTCCTTTCGCTGGTGAGAGCCGTAGCGTGACTTGATCCGAGCAATTGCAACCTGCTCATGGTCCCTTCGGGACAACGTCTTTGAACGTGAGATACTGTCGATTCGACTGGTGGCATCTTTGTTTCCGTTTGCTGCGGCTTTTGCATACCAGCTTCTAGCTTCTTTAATATCGACTTGAACAAAGATACCGACCTCGTAGAAGTATCCCAGCGCAAATTCAGCAGTTGGGAACCCGCTTTGCGCCGCACGCTGAGCGTATGTGAATGCTAGCTCGTCATTTTTCTCAAATACGCCCTCATGTCCACAAAGGAACCATTTACTGATGGCCATTTCTGCTTCAGGCTCTCCTTGCCGTGCAGCCAATGCGTTGTAATGCAGAGATAACGCGGGGTTAAAGTCGCAGCCAAGTTGGCATAGTTCATATGCGGCACCTATCTTGACTTGTGCTTTAGCAAATCCGTGGTACGCAGCTTTTTCGATATTAACGCGAGCGGCATTGAGATCAAGAGGAAGAAAATTCTCCGGAACGCTCACTTGGGGCAGCTCCCGCGCCAGAAGCATGCCATAAACCTGCAAGAGCCCATGTTAGATCAGTACGTGCGAATAAACTTTTAGGGAAATACGCACATAGGCACCCTGAGGCGCATTCTCGTCGCAGGATTGCGCAGCGAGCTGGATATAATCAAGACCGGTTTGATAGTCTTGACGCTGCCCATGCTGGCCAAGCAAGATCATCATTCCCAAACGCTGTCAATCCAAGCGGTTAGCGTACGCCGTCACGATTGGTAGTGGTGAAGAAGCATACGTAGAAAGAGGCAGAATCCGCAAGAGCAACGCCTTTTTCGTAATGTCGGATGGCCTTTTCGGGCTCACCGGAACTCTCGAACTGCATCCCCATGCGATACTCAGCCCTGGCATACCCTTTCTCCGCAGCTCTCGAGTAAGATCTGAATGCTTCCTTCTTATCGACGCGATACCCGAATTTACCAAACTCCAGCCACATGCCTTTTATGAACTCAGCCTTAGGGTGGTGTTGATCGGCTAAGAAATTAACGATGTTCATCGCGTCGACCTTCAACTGATGCTCCACTTGCGGGGTTTGGGGACGTGGAGGCTGAATTAGAGAAAGACGAGCTTCATTCTGCATAGCGACCTCGACATAAGCCAGGGAGTCTTGGGCCCAAGCCAATTGCATTTCGGGATCATTGGAGGAAAGTACTGCCATCCGAGCCCTCTCCAAACTCGCTTCTCTCTGCTCATCAGTAGGAGGCACATTTGGTGGAGGGTTGCGCAGGACAGGGAACGCCGAAAAATTAGGAGGTTCCATGGTATCGTAGACTGCCGACTGTTCATAGTGAGTACTGTCGTCGTAGCCGGCAGTAATAGGCTGTCCCTGGACTACGGCGGCAGAGGAAGTCCGCTCGGGGAAATGAGACCGATCATATTGTACAGGAGCATATTGAATGCGATGGGGAGATCGGGCTTCATGTTCGAGGTGGGCAATATTGTCCTGCATCGTCTCCGGAACTTCAGGCATAACTCTGCTGGTGGGACAAGAGATCTCCGATTAGCAACACACTCATCCACGGAAGGAAAAGTCGAAAAGGCAGGTGTGGGAATAGTAGACTTTCTTTCTTTTTTTCTTTTCTTTTCTTTTTCCCCCCCCTTTTTTGTTCTTTTTTTTTAAAAAAAATTTTTTTAACAAGTGGGATGGGGCGGTCGCACCTTTGGGGAGAAGGGGATATGACTTCTGGCATGTAAAAGTCGTCCTGACCCCCTGGATACCATGTAGCACCCAGCCTTGGCTGACCGCGACCTTGCGGTGGTCTATTCATTGTAGGCGTCTTTCCTCCTTATTGTTATAATTTCCTATTTTTTTTTTTAACCCCTCCTTATTACTCCAGACTATTGAGCTGCTCTGTTTCGTTCTTGTCCTTCGTTACCTTGTCAATTAATTTGGGTTTGCGAGTCAGACTAGAGCTAATGATACGATTAGGCTCTTCAGGCTCAACGGTTCTTCGATACGTAAAAAAGGAGACAAAGAGAGAGCGCGCGTGACAAAGAAGAGAAAGAGGGCCAGGTGGGGGGAGTTTTATTGCCGAAGGACCTGACAAGACTGAGACTTCGCTAGATATACACAACACGTTGGAAGAACTATAAGGGACTTGCAGAAGAGATGGATAATTACCTAGAAATCCACTGAATGATAAGTTATCAGCCAGTGAGAGCTGTCTCACTAAGGAGTGAAACTGAAAGGATGGGGGAACGGAGAAGTGTAGTATGGGATGAGTGGGGTATGAGAGTTGATAATTACTGTTGTTTTTCTTTCTAATTTCTTTTTTTACTCCGTGAACCACATCCCCATTTCTCTCTCACTCTAGTATTATCTGCACCCTCCTCCCAAGGCAAATAAGTAATCATGGGAAATATATTACTATTTGTAAGGTAACTAAATATTTTATTCTCTAGCTTTTTTACTGAGTATGAACGAAGAGAAATGGAGAAAGCGCCTAGTCAACTGACAACGCTACTGACTCTGAAACTAATTATAGATTTATATGACAAAAAATAACAAACAGTTGAGGTACTGTTACCGCCTTCTCTATTAAGCAGGATCCATGGCAGTTGACTGAGCGAGTTGTAGCCAGTAGTACTATGCCTGTCAGGTAGTTGTAGGTGAGCTGGGGTCCCCTTTTAGGGTGGTTACAGGTCGGTCGACCTCCTTAAAAGTTCCAGCGCGCCGAAACTGATTAATAAGCAACAATGGAGTCATGTGATCGACACAGGACCGACGGCCTTAAAAATATTTTTCATCACGCGGGACCTTTTTCAAGGCCTTCCATTACCAGCCAACACCAACAAGTGGTTGATTCAGTTAAAATTTCAACGTAGTCAGTGACCCTCCATACTCCGTACAAGTATGTACTGTCCACACTGGAACTTGCTCAGTGCGAATCGCCCAACAAGGAAGGCGGTAACAATACGAAATACTGATACATACAGTACTACATACTTAAAGTTCTTCGCTCCACCACCGGCCGGCCTTTGCATTATCATTATCTGCTCGAGGCCCCTTCCCCCCCTTTTCGATTATTCGATGATAGGAGATTAGCACAATGCACCTGTACTTATCTTGAACCACCGATCTACAACGTATAAAGCGTGTGACTTTAGGAATCATGGAGCTCCAGGCAGACGATTTCCATCACCCTTTTTCGCCGTACGACATTCAGCTCCAGTTCATGCGGGCCCTATACACTTGTATCGAAAAGGGTAATGTGGCTGTGTTTGAGTCTCCTACTGGTAAGTTGGCCTTCGCTCGAAGTCAGATTTCGTTCGTCTGACATCATTGGCGATAGGCACTGTGAGTTAAAAGTTTGGACCAGTTGTTATTTCTCCTTGCGTTCTTGCTGGATATCTGCCGTAGTAGAAAATAACAAAGTGTAAATTAGCTGAGGGCCCAACTATCACACTGACAAGATGCATTTGCTCGATTGCTGAGACATGTCTGTACTAGGGAAAATCTTTGAGCATAATATGTGGTTCATTGACCTGGCTACGGGATCATAAGCGCAAAGCTTTCCAGGAGACTATCAACAACACTACTTGTTAGACTATCAGTTGGATATCATATGAATGTGATCTAACGTGTAACGTTACAGATGATGACGGGGAACCGGAATGGATGCTGGAGTATGCGAAACGTGAATCCAGTCGCGCTATTTCTGAAAGGAGGAAAAATCTTGAGATACGACTAGCAAATGCAAGACAGGAAGAAGAGAAGCAGAAGGCTACCCTGGAGAGCTCGGACGCACCCCGTAAAAGACAGGTATAGTCACTGCCGATTCCGCCCGTATGATAATTCTTTGCTGAAATACGGCTCAGAAGCTCGGCGTGTCATCTAGAGCTCCAGATGGACTAATTGCAGATGATTTCGCCTTGGATGACTACAATAGTGAAGGCGAAGAGGAAAGCTCTCCGCGGAAACGAGGGAATTATTCCAGTGACCTGTCTGCCGGCACGTTAGAGTTATTGGAGCGTTTCAAACACAATATCTCAAAACGGTCCGAGAAAGATAAAGATGACGGGGATGAGGATGTCAGAATATTCTACTGTTCGAGGACACATTCTCAACTGACACAATTCGCAAGGGAATTGCGGAGAGTCAATATGCCGTCGAGCCTGCCAAAGGATTTTAGCGAAGCCTCCACAGATACGTATGGGCTCGAGGAAGGTATAAAACACTTGTCTCTCGGGTCTCGAAAAAATCTATGTATAAATCCTCGAGTGTTTTCCTTGGAGAATGTAACAGCAATTAATGAACGCTGTTTAGACCTGCAGCAACCAGGTGTTGCTGCAAAACAGAAATGCCCGTTCCTGCCATCAAATGAGAAGGGCACGCAAGTTTTGCAATTTCGAGATCATGCTCTAGCAACAGTTAAAGACATTGAAGATATGGGCAAACTAGGAAAGAACATTGGGATATGCCCCTACTACGCATCTCGCTCAGTCATTCAACACAGTGAGGTAGGCTGTTCACCGAACCTTCAATCGGATACCCGTTGCTAATATGCAGAAGATTGTGACGCTTCCATATCCTCTGCTGCTTCAACGCTCGGCTAGAGAAGCCCTTGACTTATCTGTAAAGGGCCATGTCATTATTATTGACGAGGCTCATAATCTCATGGATGCTATATCCAGCCTCCATTCGGTGACAATCACACTTTCGCAGCTGCAAGCCTCTATATTTCAATTGACAACATACGCACGAAAATTCAAAACTCGATTGAAAGGAAAGAACCGGAACTATGTTGCACAGGTCATCCGACTTGTTGCATCAATTTCTGACCATCTTCGGGCAATTCTCGAAAGAAACCAAGCTCCTGAAGGCCCTGTCCAGCCCTCAGACCTCATGTCTGGGAAAGGCGTTGATCAGATCAACCCCTACAAGTTATGCCGATACTTGCAGGAGAGCAAGTTGGCAAGGAAGGTTGATGGGTATGTTGAATTTTCAAAGGAGCAAGAAGACCGCCAAGCAGGTAGAAAACCTTCTACTCCGGTCTTATTTCATATTCAGAGCTTCCTTCTACCATTGATGAACCCGTCAGCCGAGGGGCAGTTGTTTTATCAAAAGATCCAAGGCGACATCCAGTTAAGATATATGCTTCTTGACCCAATGAATCATTTCCGCGAAATTGTTGACGATGCGAGGGCTGTTATATTAGCTGGCGGAACTATGTCCCCTGTGCGTTTATTTTCATCTATTGCGCCCCTGCCTATGAGCTAACAAAAGCTTCAGATGACCGACTACTTAAACCATTTGTTTTCCTATCTGCCCTCGAGTCGCCTGGACACCTTTAGCTATGGCCATGTCATCCCGCCAGAAAATCTGATCGCACATGTGCTAAATAAGGGAGTTATTGGCACGGAATTTGACTTCACCTTTGATACACGGGATTCGGAGAGAATGGTACGGATATTAGAGCCCGAAAATCTCTTCTGTTTCCACTATCTAACATACATGCGTACACAGATAATTGACCTGGGACGAACAATGGCCGCCCTATGCCAGGTTATCCCAGACGGTGTCGTTGCTTTTTTCCCAAGTTATAACTATCTAAGTCAAGTATTGAGTATATGGAAAAGATCCCTTGTAGGAGAGAAGGCCCAGACAGTCTATAACCTAATCGAGCAGAAAAAGAATATTCTGCATGAGTCACGAGATATGACTATGAGCACCGAGGAGCTTTTGGGAGCATACGCAAATATTGTTAGGTTGGGGAAAGGGGCTTTACTTCTTTCTGTCGTCGGTGGGAAGCTGTCAGAGGGTATCAACTTCTCTGATGAATTAGGAAGAGGTGTCCTGATCGTTGGCCTGCCCTTCCCAAACATACGCAGCGCAGTTTGGCAAGCGAAAGTCCAGTATGTTGAGCACAAGGCTTACAAAGAATGCTCAGGCTCTGAGGCAAGCCGGCAGTTGGCAGCAAAAGCTGCAGGAAAGGATTTCTATGAGAACTCTTGCATGCGGGCAGTTAACCAGTGTATTGGACGAGCTATTAGACATCGCAATGATTACGCTGCCATCATTTTGATAGATAAACGATACGATAAACCCGTCATACAAGGGAAACTGCCCGCTTGGATCAAACAGAGCATGGCGAGCAGTTCCGTTCTGCGGCCAACTGGGGCAACAATAGGAAGTCTTTCAAGGTTTTTTGCGGCACGGAGGGCAAGGCAAATAAAGTAAATGTTCATGAAAAGGAAGACCTTCTTGCTGTATTATGCATATTTTTTCAACAGTAACTATAGCCTGAGGATACGTCCGGAGCCCTAGCACGTGATTAACTATGTGACTATTTGCCAAGAATCGAAGGGTTGACCCTACTTAGGGCAAGCGAAGTTAGCGCACAATCTAGAGCCGCCCTCCCAAGCTTTGATTTCAACATCTGAGCGAGCAGCACACACGACCGCATCCCCCCATCGCCAAACACTCAGACCGGTCTTGTCGAGCACACCACCGTCGACAAGATGCCTACCCGTTTCTCGAAGACAAGGAAATCGTGAGTCGAAAATTTCTTCTTTTATCGCCACGGGTGGTCGAGCGTTCCCGTTTGTCGTGGTGTAATGCGACAAGCAGATGTGTCCGGCTTCGATACGAACACCGTGAAAATGTGAGACCAGATGAAACTAACTTGCATCTCTCTCTTCTTCTAGCCGCGGTCATGTGTCCGCCGGTTACGGTCGTATTGGCAAGCACCGTAAGCACCCCGGTGGTCGTGGTATGGCCGGTGGTCAGCACCACCACCGTACCAATCTCGACAAGTACCACCCCGGTTACTTCGGTAAGGTTGGTATGAGATACTTCCACAAGACCAACCAGCAGTTCTGGAAGCCAGTGATCAACCTCGACAAGGTACGTGGAGCTGCGCATAATTTCCTAGTGTGACGACGAGTGAAGAAATGTTGGCTTGCATGGGGTGTGTGACGTGATGGGGAGATCTAGGATAGGAGGGCTAGATGAGACGCGAATGAATCGGCGAGGCTGAGAGGAGCAAGAAGCTAGCATTGAGTGCGATGAATATTTAACTAACTGGTGAATTGTTGGTTATTAGCTGTGGTCCCTCGTCCCCGCCGAGCAGCGCGAGGCCTATGTGAGTGGCCAGAAGACCGACACTGCTCCCGTTATCGATCTCCTCCCCCTTGGATACTCGAAGGTTCTCGGCAAGGGCCGTATCCCCGAGATCCCCATCGTTGTCCGCGCTAGGTACTTCAGCCGGGATGCTGAGCGGAAGATCAAAGAAGCTGGTGGTGTTGTTGAGTTGGTTGCTTAGATGTGGACTATGGCGCTGTCTAGAGAAGGTTAAGATGCTGCACTGGCTGCGGTCGGTGTAATCGAAGCTCAATTTCTGTCAAGGGAAGAATGACTCGAAAATGGGAGCCGTGGATCAGGCACACAGATCCGTGTATTTACAGAACAAAGGGTTTTTGTTTGTGATGAGCATAACATAGCCTCCGGACACCCTTACGATCTCACTTTCTCACAAAATACCATACGGGAGGATTTCTTTTCGCGTTGTCTAAACCTAAAGCCACTTTTGGCAATACTATCATACTCAACGTAGGCTTACGTTGGAGCCCTATTCCTGGTGGGTTCGCACATCAACCATAATCCCATTCCGGCTCTTCAAGGACAAGGCACTGCTCGGTATCATTTTTGATATTACATTACTCCAATGCTACGTAGATGTGCCATGCCTGCTTGTGGCGGTATCCATGGCTACGATTGTCTCGTTATAGGTGGATGGGCATATGCCAGTATGAGGGCATTAAGCTCAGATGTTATTCAGGATCTCATGGCCTGCCACCGTACGTCTAAACCCTTCACTACCTCATTTATATTTTGAATTCACGGACAGATCCGAGGTTCTTTGAAACATGGCCATTGGCGGCGAGTACGTCGCTGATGAATCGCACAGCTTCATCAACCATCTTGGGGGTCACCTCATGAGCCGCACCCTCGTCGATAACGTCTTCGAAAGTCACCGCGCCATCGGAAAACCAGCCACTCGGCGAAATGGCCTGTTTCAGCCAAGTTAGAAAGGCCTCTCCTCGATGATACGGAACCAATTTATCTAGCCCGCCGGAAAGGTTGAGTATCTTTTTGCCTGCCAAGCAGCGCGTCAACAGTGGCCGCAGGGCCGCCTTCTCTTTCTCTGACGGCTCCCGTAAAGAACCGTTACGCTGAGGTGCGGCATTTGCTTCCATATCCGTATGGCTTAAAAACAGGCTTGCTGGATCATACTTGCGGACAGTATCTAGGAGAGATGCGGGAAACGCCTCAGAGCCTAAGAACTGGGAGCCTTGAGGGTCACTGCTCGTCCATGCTGGGAGTTTTGACAGTTTCGCACGATCTGTCATGAGGTTTACATAGTCGGGACAACCAATAATGACCACACCAGCACTCACACGCGGCTCATGTAGAATGCAGCTCCATGCTGCATGTCCACCCAGGGAAACACCGAGGACGAGATTTTCAGTGATTTCGTGCTCAGAACCGGGAAACACATAGGATGGGAGAAAGTCGATCAAAAGAGAAACATCCCGTGCAGTGCCCTCTAAGTTCCGATTGAGTCAGACTAGGGAATTCTGGCTATGATAGTAGAGAGCACTCACGGATGATAGAGAACATGTCCTGCGCATGTCGAGGGTTTCCCTGTTTCCATGCTTCATTGCCAAGAGGATCGACTAACCGCGTGCCGTGATTTCGCTGATCAAATGAGACAGCGATCAACCCTTTTATACAACGGCTGCTAGAATTGGCTTGACTCGCCTTGATTCGGCTGTTCCAATCCGTGATGGCCGCCGTGGCAATTCCCGTCATGCGTTCTTTATTCGCTAGTCTAGGGTGTAGCAGCCAGAGACACGAGACTTCCGAAGCCTGCGAAGGTAGCTCATTTAAGCCGAACACCGTAGTAAGTATCCCCGCAACCGGATATGTCGTTTGAGAGATAGGCGCCGGGGTCGCGGTGCCAGTGCGGGGTGAAGCATCCAAAGTTTTGAAAGGGTTTGTCATTTTCTTCATCACACGTGGACTATGGAGGGTGTTGTAGAAAAAGATAGATAGAAAGGGAGAAAATATCTAAGAGTCCCAGACGAGAGGAAATGGCAGAAATAAGCTAGGTCGGAATTACTATTTAACTGTCTGTGCGGAGCATGTGGAGGTAGAGTAGTGATCATACCAGGGGCACAGCCAGTGGCTGTTCTTGTTTTTTTCTCGTCAGTCGTATCTCGTGTCTTTAAAAACCTACTTACTACCCAAGTGTCTATGTAAAAGTCGTTCAAAAGATAGGTCTTTTTTCCTTCTTTTTCTTCCCTCCCCCTTTTGCCCTATCTTATTTGTTGTTGGTGTATTCACAAACCATCACAAATGTCCCCATAACCAACGCCCCTTTACTGTACCCAAACTTTCCCATTCCCACCCCAAAGCGGGCCTTCCGTCTACAAGTTGGATTGGGGTTGATTATATGGGTCGGGACTCCACTGCGGCTCGGGACTGTTGGGACTTGAACATCAACTCTCCTTTTGAATTCTAACTCCCTAGCTTGACAGTCCATCCTTAGACTAATTGATCAAGAAAACACAGACCTTGAACAACGTTAGTATGATATTACTATGATTCATATATGGTCGATTCTGATAGGATCATATTGATCCTCGCCCTTGTCCTCCCTCTGACCTCTCCCATTGGGGTACTTTACCCTTGTCACGCACCATGGCTGGCTCTACAGTCTACCCCCCGGCAGCGAATATTCCTGAAGATTCCTCTGATCGACTCGACTCTCAAGATCCAGAGCAACTCTCGCTGGCGAATCGCCCTAACTTGTCCACACCGTTTCCTTCTACTGACGCCAAGCGTTCACCTTCAGACATTTGGGAAAGGAAGGAGGCTGCTGTCGAGGAAGACCAGCAGGAAGCGAACACTATCACAGATGGAACGAAAGATAAACCACTTTCAGTGGAGGCCAGTGGGACATGGGAATCATGGGACGGGTGTCTGGGGGCCAAACCCGCATCTTTGAACGTTCGGCGGCCGAACGAATCGCTTGGCAATCACCAGAAGGCCTTGAGCCAAAAATCACAGGTTTCCCACCCTGGGATGTCGTCGCGGCGCCCAAGCGTTCAGTTTACCGGCGAAGCTGCCGAAAATGACCCCCCCGCAGAGTTTACACGGTCAAGACCTCCTTCCGTCACAGGTGACGATAGCGATGCGGATTTGAGAGGGAAGCAATCAATATTCGGCAAGCTAAAGGCTTTTGCAGCCTCCCCATCTTTTGCCTCTCATTCCCGCTCAGCTAGTGCGGCAACAGTCGGAGATTCTAGGCATGCTAACCATGACCTCGCCACTCCGGGTTCGGAAAGGGGGGAGTTCCGTTTCCCCAACACTCTAGAAGAGGAAGGGAGCGATATCGACGCTGATGCTGAAGAGAGTGCGGGAGAACAACAATCCCGGCAGCGAAAAAAGAAGAAAAAGCAGCTGCGTCGCCGGACGGAAGATGACTCTGCACCTCAAACAGAACCAAACACACCAAAAGTCTCAGGTCGGCCCTCCTTTCACCTACCTAGTTCTTTCGCTCCTTTCGAAAATTATCGGACGAACTTCTTCCCACGGCGAAATAACGGGGACTATGCTCAGCACCGTGAGGGGGTGTCAGAAGACGAGGGCCGTGACCGTCTCAATCGCGATAACGCTTGGAGACGGAGAAGTGTCTGGCTTGCCAACACTCGTGGGTTTAGCTATGGGGGACGGCAGGTAGATCCACAAACAAACCAGGATGACAGACGCCCTAGCAACCTGAGGCGATTTACTGGCCTGGCAGCCCCGTCAGAAAATACAGAAAGCCTTGGCGCGCCCTGGAAGCGCCATCGAGCCGAGCGTGGCTCCAGCCTGAGTGCTCAAAGATGGCGACAGATTAAGGCTGGTTTGAAGTTAATTGGACAGCGGCGCAAGGTCGACAACACCGTTGATCATGCAAAGTCAGCCGAACTGCTAGCCGAGCTGACCTCGGGGGTACCTGCGGCCCTCATTCTGGCCAGCATGTTTCAACGCGATGAGCATGGCAGTAAACGCATTCCGATCCTTCTTGAGCAGCTCAAGGTTCGAGTAACGGACAGTAAGATTGATTCCCATTCCGGAGACCGCCACCTTGTCTTCAGAATTGAACTTGAGTATGGAAGTGGTATGACTCGGATGAAATGGATCATTTATCGAACACTAAGAGATTTCGCCAATCTTCATCTAAAATACAAATTACACTTTGGAACGCAAAAGTATATCCAACTGCGAAATACTGAAGGTGCACAGAATCTTCCCCGCTTCCCTCGAAGTGCATTCCCTTATTTGCGAGGAGTTCGGGGCTTAGAAAGTGATATGGAGGACGAAGAAGATGACGGTGGGTACGAAACTGCAGCTGAGGTGACAAGTGGCAACGAGAGAGCTGCGAAGAAGCAGCAAACCCGACGGCGATCATCCGGTAATATATCCCGGCGACAGTCGTCTATAACGAACCCAGACGCAGAGAATGCTGCTGGAGCCACAGCGGAAGGCGGCCCGACCAAAAAAGAAACCTACCCGGAAAGACAAAGAAAAAAACTTGAATCATATCTACAAAAGCTGATTCGGTTCCTCATCTTTAAACCCGATAGCAATCGTCTATGTAAATTCTTGGAACTATCTGCATTAGGCGTGCGCCTTGCTGCTGAAGGGAGCTATCATGGCAAGGAAGGGTATCTGATTATACAATCCTCGAAAGGCCTAGACTTCCGGAGGGCCTTGACTCCTGCGATGGTAAAGAATCGGCATTCACCAAAGTGGTTCCTTGTCAGGCATAGCTACGTTGTTTGTGTCGATTCTCCCGAAGCGATGAATATCTATGATGTATTTTTGATAGACCCTTTCTTCAAGCTCCAAACACAGAAGATGAGTCTACGAAACCAGAAAGCGAAGGAGCTTGCAAAATCAGCAAAGGAGTCAGCTAGGCACCCACAGCATCACACGCTAAGACTTGAGAATTCAGAGCGGAAACTCAAGCTATTGGCGAGAAACGAGCGCCAACTGCATCAGTTTGAAGATTCTATTCGGTTCATGGTCAACAATACCCCTTGGGCAAGGCCAAACAGGTTTGACAGTTTTGCTCCGGTGCGTCACCATTGTTTTGCCCAGTGGCTAGTTGATGCTCGGGATCATATGTGGATGGTGTCACGGGCGATCAATCAGGCCAAGGATGTCATATACATACATGACTGGTGGCTTAGTCCGGAGCTCTACATGCGACGACCAGCTGCAATTAGTCAGAAGTGGCGCTTAGATCGCCTGCTCCAGCGAAAGGCACGCGAAGGCGTCAAGATCTTCGTCATCATGTATCGAAATATCAACTCTGCCATCCCAATTGATTCAGAATACTCAAAGTTCTCTCTTCTTGACCTGCATCCCAATATCTTCGTGCAAAGATCTCCCAATCAATTTCGGCAAAATACTTTCTTTTGGGCACACCATGAGAAATTGTGCATAATAGATCACACGTTGGCGTTTGTGGGGGGAATTGACCTATGTTTTGGAAGATGGGATACGCCTCAACATCTTCTCACCGATGATAAACCAACAGGGTTCGAGACCTCAGATGGACCCAAAGACGCTGACCACTGTCAGCTTTGGCCTGGTAAGGACTATTCGAACCCACGAGTTCAGGACTTTTATGATTTGGATAAACCGTACGAAGAGATGTATGATCGAAACGTCATTCCTAGGATGCCCTGGCATGATATATCAATGCATGTTGTCGGTCAACCGGCCCGGGATCTCACTCGCCATTTTGTCCAACGATGGAACTACATTCTACGCCAGCGAAAGCCAACTCGGCCAACCCCATTTCTGCTTCCTCCACCTGATTTTGACACTGCAGATCTGGAAGCTCTTGGCCTAGATGGGACATGCGAAGTCCAGATCTTACGGTCGAGTAGCGCATGGTCCACTGGCACCTCGGACATCACGGAACACAGCATCATGAATGCCTATGTTAAGTTAATCGAAGAATCGGATCATTTTGTCTATATCGAAAATCAATTTTTTGTAAGTACCTGTGAAATAGACGGCAGGAAAATCGAAAATTTGATTGGCGATGCTCTGGTGGAGCGGATTATCCGGGCGGCGAAGAATAAAGAGGCATGGCGTGCCGTCATCGTTATTCCACTGATACCAGGATTCCAAAACACGGTAGACAGTGAGGGTGGGACAAGTGTCCGTCTGATTATGATGTGTCAGTACCGCAGCATCTGTCGAGGGGAGACGTCTATCTTTGGTCGACTTCGAGCTTTGGGTATTGAACCTGAGGATTATATTCAATTTTTCAGCTTGCGGGCTTGGGGCAAGATCGGCCCTCAGAAGCAGCTTGTTACTGAGCAGCTTTACATACATGCTAAATGCATGATTGTTGACGATCGAGCAGCAATCATCGGGTCTGCAAACATCAACGAACGGTCTATGTTGGGATCGCGAGACTCAGAAGTAGCGGCTGTTGTGCGTGACACTGACATGACCTGGTCCACCATGAATGGACGTCCTTATCTCGTTGGACGGTTCCCCCACACTCTGCGGATGCGTCTCATGAGAGAGCATCTTGGAATTGATGTAGATGAGCTAATGGAGCATTCCATGGCAACAGAAGAAGAACTACGAAGAATTCAGATTGCCGAGGAAGGCTCCAAGTCGCCGGGGGATCGTGAGAGACCCGATCCTGAGTCACTGATGTTGGAGAAACAAGACGAGAGAGACATGATCGAGCGTCGGCACCGTATACAGGATGAATTTCTCTCGCGATCTGAAGACATGCATAGTTTCAATCATGATGTCGACTGGGAGCAGGGTAATAACCCAAACCTAAAGTCAAACAGAAAGCTTACCGCAGATGCAAGAGTGACAGCCAATCCCGAACACAAGAAAGACGTGGATGGTCTTGGGCCTGATCATCTTAGCGCTGCTTTGCAAGCCGGCTTAGGAGACGCTCGTGATTCTCAACTCGTAAACGACAAGATAGAGGTCTTGATCTCCCCGATTGCGAGCGAGGGCAAGGGTACTGTCCAGCAACCGAGACGTTCCCCACAACAAAACACCAACGGGGACAAAGAAACAAAGAAAGCACCATGCATCTTACCAGATAATGCCAGTGAACGAGATTCGGTTGTTGAGGGACTACCGGCTGCTCGTCATCCAGTCTTACTAGGACATGAGACCGAGAGCAGTGGCAATGATGCTTTCCCGACATCTAAGGATAAATTTGACATGTCAAAATATCCACACCCCCTAAGCCCAGACATGAAGCATATCTTCATTGATAAAGACTGCATGAGGGATCCGGTGATCGACGTGTTCTACCTGGATACCTGGCACGCCGTTGCCGACAAAAATACAAAGCTGTACCGGAGCGTTTTCCGTTGCATGCCTGACAGTGAAGTGAAGTCCTGGAAAGAGTATAAAGAATACGCTGATTATGGGGAACGTTTCGCTGAAATGCAGAACCAACACAGTGCTAAAGCATTTCGCCAGGCTAATGCTAGGCAAACTGGGCCGCCTGGGACCGGTGCCAGTTTGACTACAGGTGGTCTCACTACCAAGTCCCATTTATTGGCTGCCGCTCAAAACGCCGAGGGGCCAACGATGGGTCAGAAGTCCATATCATCATCCACTGAGAAGGCTGACCACCGACAAGTTGAAGGTGCTCAGGACCTGAATGACCGCACACAGTCAGATTTGGTACAACAGGAAAAGCGACCTTCTAAAGATGAAAAAACTGGGTCGAGAGCGGTAGATGTGTCATCATCTGGAAACTTACAAAACGGGCAATACGACGAAAATGGCTCGTCCGGAGAAGACCATGAGAAACAGCTTTCAGATCCTCCTGTTGTTGATTATTCAGAGGCTCTGAACCGAAATGCTACGGCCCAGTCACGACGACGACGCCGAAGAGCCACGACTCTTGGCTCGAAACGAGAGCTCTATGCATCGGATGAAGTGATGGACAAACAACGAGCGGAGGACCTGCTGAACCAGGTCCAAGGACATTTGATTCTTTGGCCTTATGACTGGTCAGTCAACCATTTGATTACATTATAGATTATGATCCCTTGTGCTAACTGCCTTAATTAGGCTCGAGAAGGAAGAACAAGGTGGTAATTGGCTGTACACACTGGACCAACTTTCGCCCTTGGAGATTTAGTAAGTTATCCTACTCCCCTTATTCGAAGTCTCGGACAAGTTGCTGATTATTGTGCAGTAATTGATCTACTACATAATCCGCTATTCATTCACTGTGTCTTTTCACTGTGTCTACTGCTCTTCATGGGTCTCGAACTGAGATTAGAAGCAGGGGCCTTCAGTCCCCATGCTCTGCTCTGCAGCCTTGCTTTCTCCTTTCTCTCCCCTCACCGTCAGTATGTGCTTCTCTAGTACTTCGTACATATGTTGGTTTCGCTGCCTTCCTCTTTCTCCGACCAGATTTCCCCTGTTCCTTCGGTTTGTTCTCTTTTAATTTGCCGTCTCTTCTTTATTCCTAATACGTCTTCTGCATAGCGGCCGCTCTTTCTTTCCCCTTCTTTTCATTCCTTCTGGTTCACAGGAACGTTCTAATTTCTGTTGCAAATGCTGGGGATTTCCAGTACTGTCAATGAACATGAGCCGAAGGAAATATCTCAAGCAGTGTGAATTCCATATGATATAGTACAATAGGATGGTTTTTGTTTAGATCCAGTTATGTATCATGGCAATGCAGTACCCTACTTTTCAAGTATTGATAGTCGACCCTCATGTGTGTGTGTGGTGTAAAGAGAACCTCTTCCAGCCCAAATAATTTGCGCTCGCGCCTTGCCAAAGTCATCAAAATTTGCCTGTAGAGCTGAGGCCAGAAGGCTGTTTATCGAACCATCACGTTTCCACGCACCGAGGCACACGCTGAGACTGTCGTACGCGCGTGCAAAGACATATTGGAGTTCACGAGTACGAGAACATGCACGGCCGATATCATTCATGTAATTGGCAGGATCCTGTAGGCATAATCTTGAGGCTGCGGTTAAGTTGCCCTTGGCGGTCGCCGTTCTTTTCTGGTTAACAAGTGCACGCTGACCGCGAAGGTGGGCCGGCAAGTACTCTGCGTCGTAAGTTCGGACTATATCTTTCACAGTATCTTCATTGAAAAAGCTCGGTGGATCCACGGAAACACCGGTTCTTGTCAGATCGACCCCAGAGCCGTGCACATTTAAAAAGGCAAGGAGCTGTTCCCCTAGGCTCCCTGGGCCCTGAAATCGGCCGTGGTTCATTTTCAAAAATGCCACAAGAAGCATCACGAGCGTATCAGGTCCGATAGATGCTTTATGTCTACCGAATAACTCCCGCGCCTCCAAGATCAGACGAGTGACCATGTATAGTGGTCGGATCGCAGGATATTCTGCATAATAGTCGTGTATATATTCAACAGATGATGGTAAGCCTTCACCACAGTGGAGCTGCACTCGCACGCCAGTCTCATGGTGAACGGCAATCAAAATAGAGTTCCGTTTGCCAATCGACTCAACGCGGCCGTTAAACGCTGAACATTGCTCAAGGGTACATTTCACACGACGTAACAGGTTACTATAAAGATCGAGGACCTGTGGCCGTGTCGGACTCGGTTTCCGAACCCTGTCGCTCGATCGGGCTGGATCCGGCACGGGCAGGATGAAGTCCAAACTTGAATGGCTCATTGCGAATCCAGTTCTCCGAGAACCGATCACCAGAGGCGCATAAGGCATAGTATTTGTGAGTGCGCTGGTAACTTCTGAAACAATGAGGTTTATCTTATCCTGCTCTGAAGGTGTTGGTAACAAGTATTCCTCAAGTGCGCGGATCTCCGCATCTAATTGCGAGAGTCCATCAGGCCATTGACGACCTGCGTCCCAGCGATCCATCCATGGAGACTGCACCCGTCGGTCCTGTTCTGCATTGACACTCCATTGTATCCGGCTACGTAGTATATTCCTGGAAGTGATACCGAGATCTTTCCTAAATTTACCCAGACTCCTTGCTGTCCGTGTCGGTAACACAGACGAAACAAGCTGTGCCGCAGTGCCTGGAGATGACGCCTTCTCGGGTGGTTTCAGGGACGAAGCTTCTCGAGCCGGAATTGTACGGCGAGTGGGGTCTGTAGAAGATGTCCGGTCAAATACTTTACGAACTAGACTGGCCCTATTCGAATTTCGATGGGCCTCAAGCGTTCTCTCGAGACTATCTTTGAAGATAGCCCGGTCATTCGAGTAAAGTCGTGTTCCAACAACGACTCGATGACTTGATTGGTTCGGAAGAAACGCGCATTGGCGAAGGACAGAAAAAGAAGAGAGTGTACCAGCCCAGAGGCAGAAGCGCATGGTCGCGCGATTAGCAAGGCAATTGAGGCATTGCGAATGACTGGCAAGGATCCGGGGCATATACCAGACTTGAATCTATGTTGATATGAGAGAGCGGGGAATAGAAAGAAGAGAAGATTCAAGGGCGATGAAATATTCAGGTGAGTTAGTAGAGAAAGACTTGGCAGCTGAGAAAGAGACCATATCACATGACTGATATGCCGTACTATAGTAGTAAGCAGAAGAGCATCCCGTGATTTATTCAGCCCTAGCTCTCTGGAGGTGTGATGGGTTACATAAGCACATGGGCAGGACCATAATTCAATGGCACGTTTATGGTGGCGGGGGAGGAGGGAAAGAGAGAGAAGGGGGGAAGAGAGGGAAAGTACCAAAGGAATGGAAAAAAGGAAAGGAAAGTATCTACGGGTGATATGACGTATATATATACAGTATAGCATAATATATAATAACTTGAACGATTTGGCGGGTGGGGGGAAGAAAAGGAAGGTCGGGATTGAAAAGGAAACAAACCGGTTATCTTTGGGGTTGACATGGATTCATTCATCATTATAGTATCATGCGAATACCAATACTCTCTAATTGTTCCCCCAGGAAATCAAAACCAATAACAATAAGAAAATACTACACTACCAATATCATACCATATAATAAATCGTACCTATTCAGTTCAATAGGTCAAGTAACTAAAGTAGGTAGGTCTAGACGCGTTTTCCGACTCGCCGGCCTGGAACAGTCCGTCCGTTCGTTCTGGCTCCAGTCTTCCCTCTCCCTCTATCTCCTTCTGCGCCATTCTACCTTATATCCCTCATGCTTCTCTTCCCTGGCTCGTGAACAATCCAGCTCTTCCTATTGCTTGAGTATATTAAGCAGCCCCCCTCATCCACAACCGAGTGAAGTGATTGAAACCACGTTCGTCAGGTCTTCACCGCCTGTGACTTAAAACGGTCCCGCCCCTCTTTCTCTAGTCCTTCCCTCCCCCACTCTCCCTCTCTCTTTCTCTCTTACTCTTTCTTTCTTTCTTTCTTTCTTCTCTTGATAGAAGGCTCTCTATATATTACAAGATAAAATAAGGTCAATACCTCATCGGCAGTGCCCAGTCCCAATTCATTCCAGAAAAAATTTCCCTGAGAGTCTCGTTCTGCCGTCCATGGCATAGTTCGCGGTTCCTTCCCCACCAAACTACTACCTTATCTCTCTCTTCTTATTCCATTCCTCCGAGGTACCTGCGATCCTAAAGTCCTACAATACGTCCACACTCCCTTGGTTGGCCGTCCAATCCTTGCACAGAAGCAAAACAAAGGTCGAAGACAATGTCGTTTCTCTGACTAATCTTTGATACTTCAGATCGAGTCTGATAGATATTCGCCCCGCTGTCATTCTCCCCTTCTTGCATTGCCCTGCTTACCTGTCTTTTCCATTCCTCATCATGCCCTCGGAGCAAATGATGACGCCTGCACATATTCCAGGTGATCAGCCGGACCCAGTTCTGGTTGGTTCGGGTGTGAGAGTCCTAGGTGAGGAGGCTTACACTATAGCCTCAACTGCCACACCTATTCCAGGAGGCGAGGAGAAGAAGTCTTCAATTACCGATGCACCCTCTTACTTCTCTAAACCTCTTGGCGACGAGGGGTCGTCGGATGCTGCCCTCAATACTCCTGCTCAGGCAGCTAAGGATGCGAGGTCTGGAATTGAACTCTTGCGCCGTTTGAGTCTGAGAGAGACACCCAAGGCACTAGAAGCGGATCTTCGTCAGCAACACCCAGGTCTGTGTCTTTCTGGGAGGATCATTAGCGCTGCGTTTTGCATTCCATACAAGGTTTATTATCGACCGGGCTCTTATTGGGTATGTACTGGTTATATCCCCTCGCTCCCTCTTCCACCCTTGGCAGCCAGTAGAGCCCTTCACGCAGATCGACTAACCAGTTAACAGGAGCTCAAACCTCGTCCGGGAACCTCAGCACTTTTTGATTCTTTGGCATATTTAGGTTCCGGTGAGACGAGCTGGTCTCATACACTCGTTGGCTGGACCGGCGAAGTAGAACCGGTCCCAGAGGACACAGTACCTCTACAGCAAGTTCCCATAAACACCAGTGCGAAGCTTCCAGCTGCAGTTAATGGTACCGCAATACCTCTCAACAAAGCAGCGGCCCCAGTCCCAGTAGATGCAAATCAACGACCACCTAGCCATCCTCTTCTAGACGGTTTCACTGTCGGTCAGGAGGATCGAAGTCGGCTTGACAAGCAATTAAGCTCCGGCCGTTATGGTAAAATCGCCCCCGTGTGGCTGTCTGCTGAAACAGAAACACCCGAGGATATAATTTCCTTGGAGGATCAAGGTAGATGGAGACGTTATGCAGAAAGGGAGCTGTACCCTCTATTGCACTACAAGCAACATGGTCCCACAGACGGCCGGTCGGAACGCAAGTGGTGGGTAGATTACGTTCGAATGAATCGGTTATTTGCGGAGCGGATCCTGAAAGAATACCAGGAAGGTGATATTGTTTGGATCCATGACTATCATCTTTTTCTTCTTCCCAGTATGTTGCGGCAACGGATCCCAAACGTATACATTGGCTTCTTCCTACATGCCCCATTTCCTAGCAGTGAATTTATGCGCTGCCTAGCTAAGCGCAAAGAGGTGCTTACCGGAGTGCTGGGTGCGAACATGATCGGTTTCCAGACTTTTTCCTACTCTCGCCATTTTTCATCCTGCTGCACCCGAGTGCTCGGATTCGACTCCAATTCTGCTGGGGTTGATGCGTATGGCGCTCACGTGGCTGTGGACGTCTTCCCTATTGGTATCGATGCCAAGGCGATCCAGAATATTGCCTTTGGATCCGCCGAGATCGAGAAAGCTGTTGCGGGAATCCGCAAGCTTTATGCCGGGAAAAAGATCATTGTCGGCCGTGATCGACTGGACAGTGTCCGTGGTGTGGCACAGAAGTTGCAGTCATTCGAAGTATTTTTGGAGCGGTACCCCGAATGGCGTGACAAGGTGGTGCTTATCCAAGTGACCAGTCCGACCAGTGTCGAAGAGGAAAAAGAGGAGAACAAAATCGCAAGTCAGATATCCAATCTTGTTTCTACCATAAATGGTCGGTTTGGGTCTTTGAGCTTCTCGCCCGTCAAGTATTACCCGCAGTATCTCTCCCAGCATGAGTATTTCGCCTTACTGCGCGTAGCCGATGTTGGTCTGATCACCACTGTTCGTGATGGCATGAACACGACTAGTTTGGAGTATATTATTTGCCAACAGCAGAGCCATGGTCCTTTGATCCTCTCCGAATTTTCGGGGACCGCCGGGACTCTCTCTAGTGCGATACACATCAATCCATGGGATACGGCAGGGGTGGCTGGAGCCATCAATCAAGCCTTGACGATGTCCCCCAACGAGAGAGAGGCAAGCCACTTGAAGCTCTATAAGCATGTTACAACAAACACAGTCTCGGCTTGGTCCACGCAATATCTCTCGCGTCTGCTGACCAATCTTTCTTCTTTTGACCAGTCTGTGGCTACCCCGGCTCTCGATCGAGCTAAGCTATTGAAGCAGTACCGTAAGGCACGAAAAAGGCTTTTCATGTTTGACTACGATGGCACACTTACCCCCATCGTTAAAGATCCCCAGGCCGCTATACCATCAGATCGCGTCTTGCGAACCATCAAAACTTTAGCTGCGGACTCCCGGAATGCAGTTTGGATCATCAGTGGGCGTGATCAGGCTTTTCTCGATGAGTGGATGGGCCATATACCAGAATTAGGACTGAGTGCGGAGCATGGTTGTTTCATCCGGAAACCTCGCTCGGACGATTGGGAGAATCTGGCCGAACGATCGAACATGGGATGGCAGAAGGAAGTCATGGAGATATTTCAGCACTACACTGAGCGAACCCAAGGATCCTTCATTGAGAGGAAACGGGTTGCGTTGACGTGGCACTATCGGCGTGCAGACCCTGAATATGGTGCGTTCCAGGCGCGAGAGTGCCGAAGACACCTAGAGGAGACCGTTGGGAAGAGATGGGACGTGGAAGTCATGGCAGGAAAGGCCAATTTGGAGGTTAGGCCGACATTTGTCAACAAAGGGTTCATCGCAAGCCGATTAGTCAATGAATATGGGATCGGCCCTGGGAAAGTTCCTGAATTTATCTTTTGCTCGGGAGACGACTTTACTGATGAAGGTATGTTTATGCGCCTTCTTTGCTGCTGTTGCGAGTGCCATCAGTGATGGCTAACCTAGTATAGACATGTTCCGGGCCCTTCAAAATTTTGACCTCCCGCAAGATCATGTCTATTCAGTGACCGTTGGTGCCAGTTCAAAACAGACTTCCGCCAGTTGGCATCTTCTAGAGCCAGCCGATGTCATTGAGACAATCACAATGCTAAACAGTAGTTCTGCACAAGAATATTGACACTGACTGGCTTTCTATTTTGGTCTGTGGTAACTTTGAACATGACCGCCTTCCCTGCAACAATGTGGGTTGTGTGCCATGTTCGTGCTCTTATCAATTTATAAATTATATCATTCTGGTGTAGAGGAGATGAATACTTCGGGGGACTGGCCATTTATTGAAGGCGTCCTGATGGGGTTTTGGGTTTTGGCATAAACACTGTTGTTTTGTGGCACTCCACATACATACATCAGTTAGCGAAGGTGGTTTTTTTCTCTCTTACTCTTCCCCTTTCTCTTTTTGCTTTTTTTTGGTTCTATGCCTTTCCATAATTTGTTATAGATGGACTTATTCACACGGCCACTGTTTTCAATAGGTTAGAAATAGATAGACAGGGAATGAAAATCATATAGAAACTATAGATAGCCAGGCCTTGCTTGTTTCCTGCTCATTATAGAGAAACCCTAAGCAACAACTACCTACGGTATGGCATGTAATTGATTGATAAGAATCTTCGAAGGTGTGGTGGTAAAAGCTCATATAAAGTGTGGGGTAAGAATGCAGAGTCTATGTATATTGTACAGTATCGTATGTCTACCTAATGCTAGGTACTGACAGGCAGAATAGGAGCCGCCAAAGTCACCGCCCTCAACCATCTCATCAGCCTACTTACTTGCTTCTCACCTAAATGTATTTTATGAGAGTATCTCCTAGAGAACCAGAGAATGGATGAATGAGTTGATTGCTGCCCTTAAGCACTAGCAATCCTGGTGCGGTGTTTTCAGTACTGTACATACTGCATTAACCTTCACTCATTCCGTAGGTTGTATATTGATCAGCATTTGATATTAACTACAGTTCGGACTTCTGTGCGAAGCGATTCCTGTAATCACTCATAGGTTCCATAGGGGAACAGTTAACTATATATGTATATGGATTTCCCCCCTCTTTTTCTCTTGTTAAAAATCTGAATTCCTGGGAATGAGCTCTATCTTGCCTGAGTTATATATAGTTCCAAATATATTCGGTGAACAAGCCGTGTATAGATACTGAAAAAGATAGTCTTTTCTTTTGTTCCTTTATTATTCTCAGATCCTATGTGCGTATACATGAATTTATATGAAATTTAACCTAATAGTATATTTCCCAGTGCGAAACAGTAGCCTATTTTCTCAATAACCTGGGTGTATATATATAACTCTCAGTACTAGTTGCTAAATTCATACTCTCTCAACTAGCAATATAGTAGACCAAACGCCCGACGATCCTAGCTATTCTGAATCTATGATCTATGAGAAAGAAGACGACGAATGTCAGGATGAGACTGCAAGCGGCATTGGGGGACTCTCGGCGACGAAGAATCGAACATGGATCACGGCCGGACAAAGGAACTCTCTAAGACACCCACAAACGTTAGCAACATCGGCACGTTGGCATCAAGGACATTGTCCCTGGTCCCTACCAGGGTCCGGTAAAGGCTCTCTCCTGCCGACGGTGGTTTTGTGGTCTGGTATCTAGTAGCCTTGGATGACTTTGTCATTTCCAGCACATGGGGCTACATCAATGACTTTGGTGCATTTCACACCTACTATACCGAAACACTGGGACATCCGTCATCTGGCATCTCCTGGATAAGAAGTATTCCAATTTTCTTGCTCTTTTTCATCGGGACTTTCTCTGGCCAGGCAACCTATGCCGGATACTCTAAGGCTACTTTGATCCTGGGACGGTGCTGGAGTTTTGCATATTTATGAGTTCATTGTCAACCATGTACTGGTAGCTGTTCCTGGCCTAAGGCGTCGGACAGGGAATTGGATGTAGGCTCATGTTTTGCCCAACTATAGTCCTCATACCCACATATTTTGCCAAAAAGCGCTCAATTGCCATGGGAATCGTAGCATCTAGATCAGAGACGGGGGGCTTGGTCTTCCCCGCTCTCGGTATACGTCAGCTACCCCAGCTTAGATATGGATAGATGATGCAAATCCTTGACTTCATTTCATTAGGTACACTAATTCCCTAGTTAATCTTTTTTAAGTAAAGATTGCCACCTTGCCTAAGCGGCCTACTTGTTAAATAGTCTACCTTCAAGGAGTCTTTATATATATTATTTGCTATTGCTATATTCCTTGACTTCTGGGAAATTTATATAGCTTTTTTTATATTAGCAGCTTTGCCCGCGATATTATAGATATTATTCAGGTAATCTTAATTAATATACTTTTGGTCATAAATAGTATTGGGCTGCTAGATCAGCTGATTCTGAACCTTATAACTAACTAGTATAGCAGACTATTGAATCTGCTAATTCTCTATAGCTTGGCTACTAGAATAGTTGTATACTATTAGACTGCGGTAAGTAGTCTAAGAGATATATATATCTTTAGCATCTTTTTTAGCCTTGCTGCAGCTGGGATTCAGTCTCTTTTCCCGATAATCTTAAGTACTCTCACAAGAGACCTGAGAAAAGCCAGTATAAGAATAGATATAGTATTCAGCGTTGTGACTGTCACTGTTCTTATAGGCTCTCCAATTACAGGATCATTGGTCCAATTAGGTAATGGACAGTGTTTGTGTGCTCAGATGTTCATGGGCAGCGCTATGATTGCCAGCGTAATAACCTTGCAGCGAGAGTGACCAAACTGGGGTTTACCTGGCAACGGGAGTGAGAGGATTAAAATGTTGAAAAGCGCATGAGGGAAAGATGGAGCCCCTTTGAGAGATCCCACTAACATTTGTATGGGAATCGGCGAAGTCATTATATAGCCCTTATACTACAAATGGGATTGTGGCTGTTCAAGTGTATCTCTATATCAATCTAATGATGATGATTGGTGGATTTATGCATGGGCCCCGTGGATGCCTGAGGACGGGTGATCGTTTGATTCCCCCGCCTATTTAGTGCTAATACCTGAAATCTTGATCAACTACCATTTGTCGTTCCTCGCCGATCGGTTACCTAACCTCCATGACTCAACCTTTTTAGCATATGGTAGTTTGCCTTGAGAGCACTTCTGGGGATAAAGTATTGTATGTACCCGTGATATAATATGCTATGCCTCCACGCTCTGCCTTTTCCACTGCTCCCTGTTTGACCACAAGTATCTCTTATAGACCCCGATACCTTTCGTTGTATCCAATCGTCGCACCTTGTTTTTTCGGACCACCCACACTATGGCGCCTCGAGGTCGTGGAAAGTTCTCCAAGCCTTCGCGTGGAGGTACGCGCAATACTTGGGAGTTGTCCCAAACCATAAACAATTAGGAGTACTTGAGACTGATGGATGCTTTTGAGAAAGGTGGAAAACACTATAGTCGTGACGTTCAACCGATCGATAAGCACGGTAACCCCGTTGGTCTATGGAGAGTATGTTGACCCACGGCAGGACCATGGATATCATTCTACTATAAACTGAACCCCTAACGCTGCCCGCCAATCACACAGGAACCGGACGAGGATGCCGCATCTTCATCGCAGGAGGAGGAAGTGTCCGGATCAGGAGAGGAATCTCCAGAAGAAGACGACGCTAGTGCCGGACCTAGTTCCTCAGCAGCCCCAGAGATGACACGTGAGGAGCGCCGTGCAGCGGCAAAAGCCAAGAAGCAAGCCGCTATAGCAAAACGGAATCAAGTTCAGCCTGGCGATCTACCGCCGTCCGACTCGGAACCGGATAATGTCAAGGAAAGCGAAGAAGACGAAGAGTTGCCAGCCAACCCGAACCACACAGCCAAGTCGCGCTCGCAATTAAAGGACGCAAGCCCCAATGACGACATGTCGCAGTTATCTAGGAGAGAGCGTGAAGCCATTGAAGCGCAGCAGGAACGTGAACGCTATCTGAAGCTGCATGCGGAAGGTAAGACGGAGGAGGCTCGTGCGGATTTGGCACGTCTGGCTATTATTCGGGAAAGGAGAGAGGAAGAAAGGTTACGCAAGGAAGCCGAAAAGGAAGAGAAGGCAGAGCTAGCCAAGCAGCGGGCTGCGGAGATAGAGGCAAAGCTGAATGCAAAGAAGAAGGGGGGTCCTAAGAAGAAATAATGACTAAGGTTGGGTGTTGAACCCTTGATATGAGTGGTTCCATCTAAAGGTATTTATGACCTTGACTTGGGTGTGATAGTGCTAATGTGGCCCACCATTGTTGATAGCGTATTGCACAGATAAAACGAAAACAGTTGCTCTATTCAGGACTAACATAACAATTCAATTCCAATGAGACCAGCAACACCTGCGGGGTTTAAATTTCTAAGCACATTTATAACGCTGAAATTTACAATGTTGTAGGTAGTAGCCTTTCTCTTCACCCGTCCATAGATAAATTCAATAAATAATATATAGACCAGTGTATTCGTGAGGGTGGAGCAAAAAAATAAGGAAAAGGCATGCGTATCCTTAGGCTTAGATCCCTAAAAACAAGCAAAATAGTACATATTGGACACGGGCATGATTACAGTATATCCCAACGCCTTGCTTGCCTAGAGGTACAGGTGAAAAGGGCTGTGGAAAAGGTTCCATATATCAGGCGCCCCAGAAGAGCCCTTCCACACTACGTCCTTGCGCTACAATTCCCCATCCCGCAATCAGACTCACAAGCCACAGGATGGCGAACGCTAAGATGGGGAGTAAGAGCAATTCAGTATTATGCAAGAACGGAAGGGCATTGTACCCTAAGAATGTAATGTAAGTGTAATAGGTCAGGGCGGAGAGGTAGAGCGTGTTCCCAAGGAACGTGGCGAGAAAATTGCTCGGACTGCGCGTAAGAAGTGGCAGGAGAAGAAACTGCACGACATACAGATGAAGGTAAAGAGGGAAGAATGCCCGGTTGGAGACCTAAGTATGATGGTTAATTCAGCTCAAATGCCTATCTAGCAAGGGTACCTCAGTTGCTGACGTACATCAAAGCAATATCCGAATTCCAACTGATCTTTTTCGCCCGGTTGCACGAACAAGCCTTGAGCTGCACCACGTCTCCGTCCATTTCCGCCTCGCAGCCCAGTAAGGGACGCCGCCGCTCCATCTGGGCCGAAAAGACGGCCGATGGCGAAATACCCTATAGTCGACACCAGAAGTGATGACCCAATGAAGTGGAAGAAAATGAATAGCAAGGATAGACGGACGATAGCCCCGAAAGAAGGCGCGTATGCGAGACCCCACGCGAGGGCTGTGAGGAGCAGAAAAAAGGAGAGGAGATATGTGAAAGACGGGTCAGGACGATGCCAGGTATTTTTAGTCTCTGTGGAATTAAAGAGCCAGTCAATAAAATATTATCTTTGTGGTACAAACTTTGCCCGTCGTCTCGTTGGCTGGGCTGGCCGGCACGTACGTTTCTAAAGAGGAAGAGAATCAGTACTGTGGCACCATAGTAAGGTAAGTATTGAAGCAAACACTCACATGGTAGTAGATCGATTTGAAAACTTTCTTGGGAGCGATCAGCAGTGATGTCATCTCCCAGATAGCCATTTCGAAGTCCATTTGTGGGAACTTGAACATCCTGATCAACATTAACACCGATCAGTAATCGCCCGGGCCTCGTCCAGAAAAGCCGCGAATAGGCTCAGTGGTTGTTCTCCGTGCTAATATACCTTCACAGCCACGGGAAATATCAAAGAGCGCACCTTTTGAAAAAACGAGGCATCCGTATACTGGAGCTGCGGCTTGTGGGTGTCGTACCACCGAAGTTCGACGAGTTAACATGCTGACGTGGAACAGATATGTGAGGATTCATTCTGCACAGGGTAAGAAAGCCCTAAAGGACTCCAGAAGCCTAAAGAAGATGTAGATATCATGTATCTCTCTGAGTGCCGATAGTGTTCCTGATTCTTCTTCTGTGGTGTAGAGTTGGGTTCACCAAAGGTTATGTCATCTGTCCGCCAGCTGGTTCCTCGGATCAACTAGCGGCCCGTTACAATGTTCTTGTTATATATAATTGTACTGTACAAATATACATCAAGAAATTATCATGATCCTTCAATACGATATATATATTTTCTTTTGGTTGGGGCAGAGTGAAAAGGAATAAAACAAAAAGAATTACCTACAGATTAATGCTGTTACAACCTGCCTTGTTTAACAATGTGAGAAAGTTGAATCTAGATGACGAGTCTCATCGTAGTCCCAGTAACATAATTGGGTACTTTCCACTATATGCTTAGGTAAATAACTCTTGAAGTGACCCAGGAGTTGACCTGTAGATACGTACCTGATCTAGCGATTGGTAGATATTATTTGTCAGTCAAAAGTTTGTTACTCAACATATTATTGAATGGTGGTTTTTATATCAATCCCCTTCAGAATAAATGAAAGGACGTAAGGCACCAGAGACTTTAAATATCAATCACACTTGCGGGGATAAAAATATAAGTTATTTTAAAATATCCTTGTACATATCTACTACCTCTCTGCTCTGTAATACCCTTACTCCGGAAGTACTCTATCCAACTTGGTTTCATTTGAATGGGGTTAAGAGACGCTCCGAGCGAACCCAAATCCGTACTAAATGTAATTCCCAACCGAGCGCCGCACCTCACGCGTTTCTCGGGCGGTTGAAACTCGCTCAGTTTAACCACTCACCATGCCACCAAAAGCACATACAAGTTCAAAAATTCAGCTGAGAAGGAGGGAAGGATCCTGATTACAGATTCCGCTATTAGAAAGCAAGAAATAGAGTCAATTCATGAGGCTGCATATATCTTTAATATCTCTAATAGAACAATACGTCGTTGTTTAAATGGCATTCTATCACACAGTGAAAAATGCGTAAATTGCTATAGATTAACTGAAGCACAAGAGAATTCGCTTGTATAATAGATATTATCTATAGATTAATGTGGAGCAGCTTCCCGGCTGTCTCAGGCCTAAAATATGGCCAATATTCTTCTTACAGACTCTGATTTCAATATATCTCAATTAATTGGCAAAAACTGTGTCAGCAAATTTATTAAATACTATAGTAAAATAAAGACTATTTATTCTTGTCAACATAATTATCAGCGCGCTAAATATAAGGATCTAAAGATTCTAAAAAAGTAATTTAATCCTATTTAGATCACTATAATACAGTACAGTATTGCTACTGCAGATATCTATAACTTTGACAAAACTGGATATATAATAGGTCTTAAAGCTACCGCAAAAGTAGTTACTAGATCTAATCTACATACTATCTTATTCCTTAAATAATCTTTAACCGTGTTAGGTGTGGTGGTGTGCGTCACCTAGCCAGTGCGATACTATATAAGGCGCTTAGGTATGTTTGAACCCATCAGGGTCCAAACATAGTAGTCTTTTTGACTAGTGGAAAGTTCAGACCCTAAGCTGAGCCTAACAAACCGCTTGATGTTAGTATTTCTTTCGCCTTCAAAAAAGGCGTACAGACTCTTAGTTCAAGATAAAATGCTCGGAGAAATCAACTATATAGACAAGCTTGTATTTATCAAGATCTATCCTAAAGCTCGTGATATAGAATTTACTACAGATAATATTTCCAGTGCTTTTCAAGCTACTGGTATAGTTCTATTTAATCCAGAAGAGATTCTCGGATACCTTACTATAAGTGTCACAGATCAAATAGGGATTCAGCCTGTAACTGTACAGGATACCCTGACTCAGGTGCATGGACAATAGTGTTTCGGCCTGATGACCGTACAGGATACCCTGACCCAGGTGCGTAGACAATCGGCCACCGATGAGGAACATCAGGCCATACGACAGATCGGGTTCAAGGGGGATTCTGAACCCTTTAGGCATGGAGCCTTCAGCTATAAATTAGCGAATCGTTAGTAGTAGTAGGAGATCAAGAATCAGTCTCCTGTCTGAATATTATCTACTGCCTGACTTTGACTTCTCTCTTTCCTTTAGCCTAAGTACCCTTACCTAGTTGACAAGTCCTCTACCCTGAATAGTAGATACCCTCGACAATAAGGCTTAAGACCCCTACACCACCAGGCAGTTAATCAACTAATTCAGTACTGAAAACATCCTATAATATTAAGCAGCTACAGAAGCAGATAACTACAATTAAAGGGCTTGTACGCAGAGCCCTTCTTCTTCTACAAAGACTGCTTTAAACCAGTAATTTAGAAATGTGAAATGATATAAAATAAAGGGGCATTTTTAGCTTAAGAAAACCAATATTTATGGGCTACAATCAATAAACTATAGCAGAAAAAGAAGAAATCTAATTGCTAAATCACCAATACTGAAAGCCTCTCAGTCCAGGAAGCTCGGGAGTATATACAGCATGAAAATGAGGTTAAAGAAGCTCAAGATACTATACTTATAGATCAAGAGCTATCTCCAATTAGGCCGCGCGTATGAGCGCCCCCGCGCTGTAGTGATTGTCATATTCTAGAGCATACTCGCAGATAATGTCCTAATTAATGTCCTAATTCGCTTTTATATAGAAATATAATTGTTTTGTTGATAAAGGCACTAATAGTTCAGCCACGGGCAGAATTTTATATGAGGTGCGGCGCTCGGTCGGGTGCGGCGCTCGGTTGGGAATTACGTTAGTTATTTAACTAAGGCATTATTTATTAGTCAGTGCCATGAGTTGAGCTAGTCCATTAGCTAAGTAGATATTTAGTGAATTAGTGGTGTAACCGACAACATTTCGAGAAGGGAGATGTTTTTCTGAGAAGAAAGAGCAAAGAAGAGAAGAAGAAGATTAAGATTTTTGATACATGGAAGGTACACATTCTCTGACACCAAGTGGCTTGAGCCCAACAAGGTATAAGTTCTCTCCCCTTTGGGAAACATTTAAACGGTACATAACCCTGCAAGAGAGTGGTTCTAGCCAAGACGCCCGATGCCCCTGACCATCGGCACTAGTACTGACTAGTACAACACTTCCTGTCTCAATGTCTTCGTTCGGTTTTGAGAATTGATCATGCATTATTACTCCGTATACCCATCCATTCTTTCCCACCCTCCCTGTCAACTTTCTGGGGGATGTAGCGGTTCATCATCGCTCCCTTTAATCCTTTTCGTTACCATCCACCGTTTACCATTCACCTGGATGGTAAGTAGCAATTCTATTTCTATCTCTGCTTCCCTTTAAGGAACCAAAATCACTCTCCACTATATCCACAGTTCCTGTGGCACCTTGCCTAACTCATCTCCGCCTACCTTTTGAGCCTTGAATCCCCTCCTAGTATGCTCCTTCTGCCCATCTATACCTTGCGATTCTGGCCTACGACATGAAACTGACAGTTACTTACACCGTTGATATAGACCGTCTCTCAATACCCGATTGATTGTCATATTCCTTGACTACAGTTTCCTTACATCTGTCGTCTCCCCTACGCAATGACCGACAAATGACCCATACATACCACCCTCTGTTTTGCGTTTAGCCGTGCAGTCCACCAACAGGAAATCAATCGATCCCCTCTTACAGGGGAACAGGGGTAAGGGAAAAAACAAAGAAACAGAGAACTGGGCAGGGAAAAAAAGAGCCAGTGACTTTGTATCATTGGAGATCAACCTATAAGAGCAGGTAGACGGCACATCTACCTACAGACATCGCGCCGAAAATTCCTAGGTCAATTGCTTCGCTGCTTAAGTGTCATCAGAATCACGAGCTTCTCTCTCAGCGAGCTTATTCGCGCAATCAGATAGCCTCAGAATGTCTCAGCAACATCCAGAGATGCATACAAGTAATAATTCCCCACCGAGCACGCCCCTTGTAGCGGCACCCAACTGCAGAGTTGCGAAAAAGACAAATCAATCACGGCCGTCAGGGCGCGAAACCTTCCTGGATGATTATAACGCTGGCGATAACACAAGTAACGCCATAGACTCTATTGATGAGCGCGATCCCCATGACCTGTCTTTGTCGCCCAAACATGCGGCTCGCACTTCCATTGTCGATAATATGCTCCTTTCGCTAGATCAATTTGCATCTTCAAATGCGTCCTTACTAGATGACTACCGTCTGTTCAATTCTGTTTTCGAGACCGACCTATATGGCCGCTGTTCGCCAGATTCTATGACCCAGCGTCGTTATCGCGGCCATACATTTTCGTCGTCTTTGTCTTCAGAAGTAGACTATAACGCGGACGATGCGGCTGGCCGCTATGTGGCTCAACCGGGAAGGGCTCGTCGGAGTACTAGCAGCTCTAATTATAACCCCAACCTGAGAAGATTTGGTAGTGCTCGCAGCCCGGAAGGTCCCAGTTCGCGCGGTCAACTATACGATTATCGTTTGAACTCGGGAGGTAATATTTCTGGAACAATACAAGGCAGCAAGGGGAGTTCCTCTTCTCACATGGATTTTGGCCCACCCCTTCATGGGAATCATCAAGCCGACCCGACAACCGAGCGACGTTCTGCAAGCTTCGACTTTGGTTCAAGACACCCATTCATCCCATTTGCAGCAAAGTCTTCTGATTATGACCCGTTGTCGATTGACGGAGCCGATGCGGCCCCGACACCCAGTATTCCAGGCGGACCAAGGAAGTACCAAGCTTCGTCACAAGGCGAATATCCCGGAACTTTAAGTCTTCAGTCTTCGCGCACACCGGCGGCCTCTCGAAGGAACAGCGTGAAGTCGGCACGAACGAAGGGTACGGCGGCTACTAGCAGCCGTGAAAATGATATAGCACATCTTGGTGCACCTATTTTAGAACCTCCAGCTATACCGGCAGCCTCGCTTGACCCTCCTGCCCCAAGCCCTACGATATCATTCAACAAACCTATTTTCCCAATGTCCTCGGACCCAGCCCCGACCGCCAAGGAACGTCCGGGATTTTTCCGCCGCGTGTTCGGGTCGTCCAAACATCCTACACCGGAGAACAACCAAGGCGATCCTTCATTCGCCCAAGAAAATGACCCGAGAGATTTTAATGGTTCTCATACGAATCTCAAGGACCGGCGACTTCCGCTGAAGAGCAGCACGGCGGGTGCTAATACGGTCCGCCAAGGAGCTCATCAAGTGGTGAACAAGAAATCTTCTTTCTTCCGCCGGCGGAGGAGATCGGTGACTGAGATTATTCCACCTCCTGTATTAATCCCCCCAGAATCTGGTTCCAAACCACAGGAAATGACGAAGCCACAACCCAGCCCCGTCAGCAGCTTGCGGAAGGTGATGAATCCGTATATTGCAGACGCTGGCGCTTCAGAGCTGGTACCCCCCATCGAATCCCGCAGCCAAAGCACAAACACAGATAATCTAGAGAACAAAAGAGTTGACTTACCTACGAGGAAACCAAAGGAAATTCTTCATGCTACACCGAAACCCAAATACAGTCTTTATCCCCCAACTTTCTCTAGCACTGCACGTGATACCTCGTTTCGGGGAAGCAACAGTGAAGACGAAGATATTCCCAAATCCATCCAGATGGATTCCACTTCTTCAACCGATCCACAGGAGCCGGGTTCTAGAGATTGTATAGATTCACGCCAGAGTGCGCCTGAACTGGAGAGTGACCGGGCGAGCGGTATACGGACCAGGCTGACACCCCAGGACCTTGCCGCTCCGTCACTATCGCCTGTAGCTGAGCGTTTCTCCCAAAAGAGTGCATCGCCTATCGAAAGTCCAGAGGAAGCACGCCTGTTCAATCCAGAGGAATCCGAAGAGATCAAGCGCAAGAGCAGACCCAAGCTATCCAATCATGAAGATGAGTCTAACCAGACGTTGCCTCTTCCTGTGGTTACGAATGGCTCTTTGAAAGCGTCAACGTGGAACATTTCTACTTACTACACGGCTTCTAACACGACTGTGGTTTCACCAGTGGAGTCGAAGTCCATTGAATCGCCGGAAAGCAAGGCCGATTGTCCTGGTGCCGGTATAGGAGACCAACCGGAAGGGTTGGACAAAGAACAGGCGCAAAGGCTCTACGACAGCCAGGATCAAGTTGTAGGAAATGAGCCGGCTGCTGCATGGCTTGGTGACCCCGAACGCGCCACAATTCGGAAGGCATACATGGATTTTTTTGATTGGTCTAATATGAATATCCTGGCAGCACTCCGAAGTCTATGTACTCGATTGATATTGAAGGGAGAGACACAGCAGGTTGATCGGGTTCTGGATGCTTTTTCTATGCGATGGTGCGAGTGCAATCCCAACCATGGCTTCAAAGCCTCAGGTTTGTCTACACTTATATTCTTGGTTGGTTTTCTCATACGTTTAAGTTGTATACTCATCATTTCCTTAGATGTTGTGCACACTATATGTTACTCTCTTCTTCTCTTGAACACCGACCTTCACCTTGCCGATATCGAACAGAAGATGACCAAAAACCAATTTGTTCGGAACACAATGCCCACTATACATCGAGTAGCCGTCGATGCAGCCCCGGATGGGTTCGAGACTGTTCATTCGATTTATAATAAATCGAAGTTTTCGACACGGGAATCTCTGACATCTCCTATGGATGAGTCCGATCGTACGGCCCCGACTACGGACAAGCCCGCAAATACGCCAGCAAAGCTCGTGAATCGACTTTCTCGAACTGATCTCTCTGTTAAACTGGCGGGTGATCCCGATACAGACACGGGCCCATTGGTGAATATGCCATTTAATGGGACCATAAGGGCCTGGGAGCAGCAAGTTGAGACTGTTCTTAGAGATTTTTATACTTCGATTCAGAAGCAGAGACTCCCACTGCATGGTGCTCAAACAGAGAAGGAGACGCCTCGGGCTTTATCGAACAACTTATTGTCTCCCAACCCGGGTGGTTTGCGTAGGAGCCCTAGTACCGTGAGCAGGAGCGGCTCCGACATATACCCACGCGGCCGCTCTGCTGATTCTCGCTACGGAACCGCGCGCTGGTCTTCCAAAAACCGTTCACGGGCGAGATTATATCCGCCTTCCGCCATGGGTTCCAGCCGGACTAGCCTAGATGAGCAGTCGTCTTTCTGGAGCCCATCTGCGTCTAGTACTTGGAGTAAACAGTCTTTAGGAAAGCTGACATCTGTGTCAGTAGACTCTTTCGGGTCAGACTACATGCGCGGTGACTATCAGCAATCTATCGGATTCGCTAATGCACTAAGTCAAGCGATAATCCGAGAGGATGCTGCTCATTCCATCGCGATTAACGAAGAGATTGAGGGAACTGCACCGCTTCTGGAAGACGAGACTCTTCAACTCGCTGGTGCCCCTTGGGCCAAAGAAGGGAGCTTAAAGCATAAACACCACTTAGATTCAGTCGACAAGAGAGCTAAGGACCGAAATTGGAGTGAATGCTTCGCTGTCATACAACAAGGCTGGATGCGATTATTTTCATTCAATTCTTCAACTAAGTCGGTTCGGCAAAAGCCTAAAACTCACCCGCATGTCGGGGTGGTGGTGGGAGGAGGGAACTGGACAGAGAATGCCGAGGAGATATGGAAGTTCCTCCTACGCCAAACAATTGCAAGCGCACTTCCACCACCGGGGTACTCCAAGTCTCGCCCTCACGTCTGGGCTTTGAGCCTACCTACTGGTGCAGTACACCTCTTCCAGGCTGGTACTCCGGAGATTGTCCGCGAGTTCGTTTCTACGGCTAACTACTGGAGTGCGAGATTATCCAAAGAGCCTTTGGTTGGTGGAGTCAGCAATATGGAATACGGTTGGAGCGATGCAGTCATCAACAGTGCCCTGATAACGGCGGAGAACAACAGGTCGCCTCCATCCTCCTCTGGGGCACGGCCTAGCATTCAAAGTTCCATCCGCAGCTCTGTTGACCAACAGGGCGGTGTACGCCCTCGACTCCCGGCCGACCGGGTACACATCAGTGACTGGGTTCCGCCTCAGCAGAGCATGGTCGCTTCAAATTTACCTGAAGCCGATCAGCTGAAGGCTTTGCAGGCGTACGTTAAGAATGTTGAGGATGAGTTACAGCGGCATAATGAGCTCCGACCGGCCATGGTCCTGGCCTTTTCCCCTCGACATCCCAATGCCACAAAGTCAATGGCTAATTGGGAGCGCAAATCATCGTACTTGCTCCGAGAAATCGTCAAGTTCCGTACGTACATTGATTCTTTACAAGGAGCGCTTGGCCTGAAGAACAAAATTTATGCATCCCGTGACGGGAGCAATCCTCTAGAATAAAGTCAACGAGTCATCTAAATCTGACTTCAGGGACCCGGGAGCTGAACCAGTTATGGCCGCTTTTTTATGGGGGGATTTTTTGCGTGCGATTTTGCAATGATTGAATATACTCTTCGCATCCTCTATTAGACCTGTCTAATAAAGCACTTGTTCATATTTCCTTTTCGTCAACTTTACCTCACTTTCCTGTACTTTGCGCATTTTCTCCATCCCTTTTGCAATGCGACGAGGATAACGTTATGGGTACTACGAGCGTCTGTTGGTATGGATATTCTTGATACAACCATATAATATAATTTGGGCCGCGTGGAACTTCCAGTGTAGACAAACAACTTTGACCTCAGGGCTTCTTAGCGGTGTTTCCTATTTGGGAAAGTTGTGGCAGGTGACCATTGGTCGGCCCGAAGTAAACAAATACGGAGAATTTGAAGGCCCCACTGGTCATTTCTCTCAGAGACATCATTTCGCCACAGTCATCGATTTTTGTCTCGTTTTCAGAGAGAGGAGCCTAAAACCTCCGAGAATCATTGAAGGGGTACAAAAAGAGAGAGAGAGACAGACGAGATCAGCATTGAGCCAATCCTGGGCCAGACGCAAGTCTAAACTTAGTTGATGATTCGCGGTAAAGCTACCGTGCCAAGTGGGTAGGTAGAGTCAGACCTCCGCCATTAAGATCTCAAGGTTCAAAGTGGAAGTGGAGAAAATCGACACGGTGCCTAGTCTCTCGGTCACCATGTCGACGGGATCCGCCCAACTGCTATCCCCTTCATTCAAGACCCTCAATGCGTTCGAACCCGCGCTTCCGCGGTCATCTTCCTCACCCATTCCAAGTAGCTTGGATACTGGATACGAACTTTCGTCCCTAGAGGACAAGTTCCACGCTACCGACTTGATGGAGACGGTTGCGCGGGGAAGCTATTCCCTAAAAATCTCGGACACCACTAGTGGAGCTCATCACACGCAAGATGGAACTACAGCCGACGCGAAACGAGATGGCCAATTTACATCCACAGCTGAACAGCCGGAACTTGATGACTCGAATGCTTCCCTGAGCCTACCTCCCTTACCCGATAACGATGATAGCAGCCTTTTACTCTTGTCCAGCGATGATGGTGACCATGAACGCATGGATAACCAGACCTTAATGGAGGAGAAGGAAATGCGAAGGAAATTAATGGATATGGAGTCAAGCTTTTTACCGGAGCCCTCAACAATCCACGTCGCAGCAATGAACCAACACTCGCGTGCCGACGATACCTATCTGGTTGGGGTTGATGAGCATGCGCCGGGATCCGACAAGCCAGATCATACCCAGTCGTCCTTTGTGGTACGGGATGACTCAAGTCGGGATCTTACATCAACTTATGAGGGCGTTCCAATACCACAAACCCCTAGTTCAAGGCCCGAAGACGTCACGACTGTAGACTTAGAGGCTACACCCGCCGCTCCCTCCGAGCGATATGAGAACAATACGACGGATCTAGGGTTGCAGTCATCGCCCGCCGCAGCGGCAGCAGCTAGGACTGTTAACCGGGATCACCATTCCATATCTGAGGGCGCCCATAAGTCTAGTCAGTTTCCCCAAGACTCAACCGATAGACTACATGCATTCGATCTCGATCAACCCAAACAACCAGCTCGTCAGGACCTACGCACAACTTCGCGAAGCCTATCACCCTCACAATCAAGACTCTTCGGTGGCAATATTAGCAATGATACGGAGGCGGCCTCGCGCACAAGCAACCGTAGAGGGAATAGACCGAAATATCTGAACAGTCGCCAGTCAGCTCACCGTCTCTCGTATTCCTCGGTGACAAGCAACAATACAGAAATGACAAATAGCGATGCAACATTGGGCGCTGACTACGCGCTCCAGTCGGGAGGCGCGGTGCCAGGCGCCACTGGCGCTGTCCAACATGGGCATCGTAACAACCTGGCTAGATCAGTGAGCTTAGGAAGTATGGCTTCCGGTATATCTGGGTATAGCGATGAGAATCTCCTTGATAAGAAAAATCCTAGCAGTACTACGGAGGGCGGCTTACATACACTGAATGAAGAGGAAGCACCCTCGCAGTCACGCCCCGGATCATCCCAGCAAGAGCATGGGCAAATTCAACATCAGCCCGTGACCGAAGATACTACCGGACCAATGACACCAAAAGCGAGACCTCAAGATAACAGTTTTCCCACAGACACGGCCATTGCAGAGCGTGTCAAAGATGTTCAGGTACCAAGCACATTTGTAAAGCAATTCAGAGAAGACTACGCCAGCCGCGGGCTATCACCGGACAAGCGTGCAGGTGCCACTCCAGCCTTTGCCAGGAGTGGTCGGTCCATGACCCTCAAGGAGCAGAGCAGCACCATTGATCGTCTGTCTAAAGAGAATTTTGATTTGAAGATGAGAATCCATTTTCTCAATGAAGCACTGAATCGTCGCTCAGAGGAAGGGATTAAGGAAATGATATCCGAAAATGTTGAGCTCAAGTCGGATAAATTGAAGCTGCAGAAAGACAACCAAACCCTGAAAAGGAAAATCCGCGATCTAGAGAAGCAGCTCAAGGACCAGCAGTCTGACAAGGAATCTATGGTCAATCATGATCCCGAAGGATCCGAAGACGATGGTCGTGACCCAGCGCAGGAAGAAGAGATACTATTTCTGCGGGAGAGGGTGGATAGTTATGAGCTCGAGATCGAGAGACTGAGGTCTGAAAGCATTGCCAGGGAAAGCGAGAAAAGGATACTAGCAGAAATTCTCAAATCACTTAATGATGGACGGCCGATGGGTTCGGATGTAGGGGCAAGGGAGGAGAGAGTGAGTCCAGAACATCTCCGGTTTTTTAGTTACCCTTGTGCTGAATTAAAAACTAGGACATGTGGAAAGACATGCTCGAAGCAGAAACGGCTGCTCGTGAGCAGGCAGAGGAAGAAAACAAAAGGCTACGAGATGAGGCATTACGTCTAAAGAGTGAAATGAACTCGATCATAGTCTCCGCAAGACCAGCACAACGTGACCGGATGGGGTCGATGAATTCATACTCTGCAGCCTCCGATAGAGAATTTAGTCGCAATGCAAACCCCGGTAGTTCCTCCAGTTCAACGTTTGTGATGGAACTGGAACTCCTGAAACAAGAGAATGCAGAGTTGAGGAAAGAAGTCAGTGCCCAGACTTCAATGCTTACATCTCGAAATAGAGAAAAGGAACGTCTCTATCAAGAAATTGAAGAGCTGAAGCTCGGTCAGAGGCCCGACGGTGGGCGGTCTATCGCCGGAGATAGCATTTTCGACCGTTCCGCATCTCGAGCTCATGGTAGACCTTCCTCTAGAGCGAGTGACGGGACTGCTCCATACCCAAGCGACGATGCGGAACGTGAAGACCTGGAGGTCCGGAACGGTCAGTTGCGAGACCAAGTTTCTACACTAAAGCTCGACAACCAAGCTGTTCGAGCGGAGCTGGAGGAGTATAAGAGGGAGCTGGAAGAGTACAAGAAAGAGCTAGAGACACTTGACAAGTCATACCAGGAGCGTGGCAAAGAGATCGAGGCTTTCGATAAGGCGTATCAAGCTGACATGGATCAAGCCGAGGAGGAAATGCAAAAGCTACAACAAGACATGCAGAACCTAGAACAGGAACGTGACCGAGCACTGCTAATGGCGGATGAACATAATGCAGCTTTTCAGGACTTGAGGGCTGAAGCCCAAGATGAGTTGGATGCCCTTGGAGAGGAGCTTGACCAGAAGACCGAAGAGTGCCAACGACTAGGAGAGGAACTGAAAATCCAAGACGACAATCTTCGGGCGCTGCAAGCAGAAATGCGCTCAGCTAGCGAAGGCATCATTCGGCTAGAAGAAGACGCACAAAACAACATGCAACGATATAAAGCTGTCCAGCAGGAACTTGAGGATTGTAACCGAGAGACGGAATCCCTTGAAAAGAGCCTCTTCGAAGCAAACACAAAGGTTCAGCGGTTGATAGTCCAAATTGAGTCGAGTCAGAACGAGATCGCTTTTTTGCGAGAAGAGCAGGATGGTGATAAGATCAAGATTGGCGATCTGGAGTCAGAGCTCAAAACATACAAGATGAGCCTTCAAAGTGAGAAAGACAAGGCCAGTGAATTAGAAAATCGGCTAGCAGAAGAGAGGCATCAGCGAGAGGTCGTAGGAAGCAAGGAGAAGCAGGAGGTCCAGCGGATCGTCAACGAGTTGAACCGTGAAGCGTCTGCTGCTAAGGAGGAAGCTCGTAAAGCCAAAAAGAGTCTATCGGCTCAAGAGATTGAAACCAATACATGGAGAAAACGGCTGATGGATCTCGAAAACAACCTTCGCGAGACCTTAGGTGATCTGACTGGCAGTCGCTCCAGCTTGATTTCAAAGATCATGGAGTTGCAAAAGAATCTTGAGTCGACTGCCTGGGAGCTTGAAAATACTCGCTCTAAGCTGGACGAGACGGAGTCGCTATTGCGAAACCGCGATGCTCTTCTCGAAAGTCATGGGCTGGAATCTCGAAAGCTAGCCGAACTTCTTGAACGCGAGCGACATTCTCGTCGAGCAGATAAGCAGTCGTTTGAGCAGGCGCTTAAATCTCACCATCAAGCTTCGCGAACCATCACCCAAAATAATTCACGTATCACGGAGTTAGAAAACGCTCGCATCCAAGATCGCAAGCGGTTTACGAATCTCGAGCAGCAATTCAAGGACCAACTCAGCGAGAGGAATACGATGCTTCTAACCATCTGGAAGCGTTTGTCAGCCATGTGTGGGCCGGACTGGGCGCACTCCAACAGTTTAATCAACGGTAACCTGCCGAGTCAAGAGGTCATAGGAAACATCCTTTTCTGGCCAGGCTTCAGCCGCAACCTCTTGCTTGCCGTCAAGACACTGGAGAATGTGATCTCAGGCTTCAAAAATCGCATTAAGGGTGTCGAGCGTGACCTAACCAAGCAATATCAGGCCGTTGAGCACACCTTGAGCTTACGCATCAAAAAGCTTGATCGCTTAGAAGAGTCGATGATGAATATGCGTGCCCAACAGCATAAGCTAGGCCAAGCTGGTCTGTCACCAGAAATGGCCAGGCTTCGAGGAGAGAACCGGTTGTTGAAAGCTGAACTAAACCTACTACAATCTCACTCACGCAGCCGCGGTCCTGCTGGCATGGGACCAAGCTCCCCACGCATAGACCCTGGGGCAGACATAGATCCAACTTCTTTGGTTCGTCACAATTCAATGGTTGAGAAGCCCCATAATTCCCGTGGCCTGACGCGGAGTTCAACTAGTGGCATACCTCAACCATCCCATGTCTCATCAACCACGACACTTGCCGACGGCGCTGGAGCTATGGTGCATAGCGCTCGTGCACGACACGCTGTGGCTGACCCAGGGACTATCGAAAAATGGAGACAGCGCTTACATGAAATGGAAAGGAGACTAAAGCAAGAACGTGAGGCACGTCTGTTAGATCGTATTGGGGCTCGCAAGCGACTTGAGGAGCGAGATGCTGACAATGAAAGGCTCCGAGCTCAATTAGAGGAAAGGGGACTTGTGGGCAAGGACAGGCTGACGTACATCACTGTCGATAATGACGTTGGTCAAGCTCGAGTTCAAAACCCAAGGATTCAAGGATCTGACCATGGCTCCGATAAAGGTTACGGTCATCGCAGGGATGATGATCCAAGCTCGAGTGATGGAGAAGGGATTTGTGTCGACATAGAGGTTTAAACCAAGCCCCTCTCCCCGCATTCTTCCCGGATTCATTTTTCTGTTCTGACTTGATCCGCGTCTCGTTTTACGTATCAAGCGATTTTGGCCTTCCAGTCTGACTGGACCAATCGGTGCGCTTTATGTTTGTTCCGGTCCTCTGCGAGGTCATTCCTGCATACCTTACTTATATACCCATCGCTGTTGGCTTTCACTTCTCTTTGCTTCTGACATATCTATCCGTTTCATGGTAACAATCACAGCCAGTCCTGGTGTTCATGGAAATTGCTCAACTCGGTTTGGTATTGTATGGAGTTTAGAAGGTTAAAATGCTCTTAATACTCAGTTTAAAGGATTTGATCAGAGCTACACCATGGCCAGGCGGGAGTGAATGTAAACCAGAGGTTCTCCATACCATGAGCGATACAATATATAATGAGCGTAATCGAACATACTCTGCACGATCATCATGTTGCATTGCGGGGCTGATAGGTATTCATACATAAAATTTTCATATAAATCTACAAATGGCGTTGTGACTCGGCCCTGTTACCGCGTATCAGATCCTCAACCATAGGATATCACCGCAGCGCAACCTTGAGAGAAAAGTCGACGATGCTGGTGCCCTGATGGATCGAACTAGTGGAGATGATGTCGACGTCCGAGCAGGCGTAAGAAGCAGCATTGGTCTCGTTCAGCCCACCACTTACTTCAATGAGGAACGATTGTTTCTTGCCGGCCCAATTTTGCTTCAGGTTCCTAGCTGCTTCACGAACACCGTCCGGGGTGAAATTATCCAGCATTATAATATCCGCACCGGCCTCAATTGCTGCATTTGCCTCCTCGACACACCGGCATTCAACTTCAACCTTGGTCGCAAAGCCACCAGCCATCTTAGCTGCGTTAACCGCCCGAGGTATAGCAGCGGCGATGGACTCGGTCGAAGCGGAAGCGCCGCCATCCTTAGCTGCCCTGTTATTTGCACAAGCCCAGACATGATTATCTTTGAGCATCGTCATCGAACTGAGATCGTGCCGGTGCGGATCAGCACCTCCAACAAGGATACCATATTTCTCAACCACACGAAATCCAGGTGTGGTCTTACGAGTACCAGCGAGTGTCCCACCCCAGCCGTGGGCACGAAGAGCAGCTACTAACGAGGCACTTTTGGTTGCGATGCCAGAGCACCGGGCGAGAATATTGAGGGCGACACGCTCTCCGAGGAGGATCTTGCGGATTGGCCCGCGAACGGTAGCGCAATGTCTGATGGGCTCGATAGATTCGCCTTCTTGGACGTGCCATTCCACTCTTTTTTTAAAAAATTTCGTTTAGAAACTGGTCTTATAATATGGGGTCAGAGCTACCGGCCATATAGATTTGACTCACATGCATCCTAATTGGGCAAAAACTTCATCAAAAAATGGAACACCTGCAACTATTCCCTATGGATAGGATGGATGGGTTAGCCCACAAGGATGAGTAAGTAGCCCGCGAGTTAGATAATCACTCATTTCCCACAGAGAGATAACAACGAGAGTTACCTGGGATTTCCCCAACAACCTTGCCTCACCATCTGACTCCCCGACGACGAATCCACCATAGTCAAAACTGGGGCAGTCCTCCTCTAGCCAGGAGGTGACCAAGCGTTTGTAGTTGCCCGGTAATAAGTGATGGAGATCTCCATAAACGGAAGCCATTGCTTTGTCTGCCCCGTTCTGGAAATGAACGTTTGTTGAAACAAAAGGGTGGAAATGAGGGGGAATTAATATCAACCCCGCGCGGGGCAGGTTATCGGGAAGTTCCGGTTTAATCACGTGAATGTTGCGCCTTTCCTATCTGTTTGCTATGTAACGTATTTCACTAGCGAGCGGCCACCTCCACTCCAATTCCTGCCCGCGGGCCATATATAAGGACCTTTATCAACAAAATGATTGCATTTCTATATAGAAACTAATTACTAAGTGGATAAGGACATCTAACTCTAGTATATCCCCGAATATGACAATTAGAACACTGTGGGGGCGCTCGTACGCGCGGCCCAGCTGTAGAAAGCGCTGGATCTATAGGAAGCGTATCTTGAGCTTTATAAACCTCGTTCTCGCACTGAAATCGCTCTAGGCCTTTCTCTATAGTTAATCCCTCTGCAATAGCTAGCTGTCTATTAGAACGCTTCCGCTTTTGGCTTTGCCATTCATTATCAGCACATAATTTGCGTATTTCTTCACGTGCAAGAACAAGCTTATTAAGATGTAATTCATGACCTTTAATAAGCTTGTCTAAGCGGTTTTCTAGTGAAGATAAAGGACTTTGAGTATGTTTCCTAAGCAGTTTTCTTGCTGCAGATGCCTGCCTTTCTAGTTGCCTAGTGGTGTATAGTGTCTTAGGTGCTAAATTGATTGACTGACTGCCTGGTGGTGTAGGAGTCTTTAGTTGGATATCCAATTTGCTAAGCACTCTATCAGGATCAAATGAAACAAGACCAGTGCCTGTAAAGCTATTCTAAATATTTTCTGCCGTAAAAGCGCTTTTGCAAGCTTCTGGAAAGATCTTCAGAAAATCAAGCTTATTAATATGATTAATCCCTAAGCATATTTTATGCTGCACTAAGGTGCTGTACGCGCCTTTTAGAGACCGAAAACAGCCTACATCTAAAGGCTGGAGTGTATTAGAAGAATGCGCAGGTATACAGACAGGAATAATATTATTCTTACTGTATATTTGGTTAAATTAAGATATAAGATGGCTGCTGTGGCTATCAAGAATTAAAAGGCAGTATGTACCTCTTTCCAGATAATCAGTTTCCTTCCTCCATCCGTTCACGGTCCATATATCTATCTATACTTACCCTATTGAGAACCAAATCCACGTAGGTACTGTTTCTCTATATGCCAGACGTTGTCTTTGGATAAATCTAACCTACGAAAACCACGTGACAATGATTGGCTTCAAACACCAAACTTTAAGCCACCACGACGTATTTCGTATACTAATACTAGACAAAGGGAGCAGCCCCCTCCCCACTTAATAACACAGCCCACCTTCAAGTGACTCCTTATTTCATGATGTGCTGGGCAGTTCCATCTTCCAATATTAGTCAGGAATGTCAACCCAACGCAAGGCTAAGAGGGTGTGGAGTCGCACTGACCCGCCTGTAGGCAACAAGAATACAAACTTATGCATCTGGCGAAGGGAATGGGTGTACATATGTACATATGTACGTACATACGGACATGGAGAGTCCTTACAGTACACATTCCCTTCGTATCTACTTCGTATGGAATAGAAGAGTGCGGGGTAAACCAATATCCATGCTTGCTGTACTTGATACTTATGCCAGAGTGCTGGTGCCTGCTTCGTACTCGCTTCCTTCGGGCAAGGGAAGGATGTGAGCCGGCCATCTACTTTTAGATAGCCCCGGAGTCCACGGGGCTGGAGGGTATTTTTCCTTGAAGATATGTACATACCTCTTATTATTTTTTGCAGTATTGTACTGTACTATGCTGCCCCACAGCTCGGACGATTGTCAAAGCTTTCGTCGCTAAGTTTGTTGTCCATTCCGGGTCTACAGAGCAGAGCACAGTATGTACAGTACAGTATATACTCTATCCAATGGTTATGGTAATTTGAATTGATTTTTTTTGAGTAACCTATTATACGGTATTATAGAAATACACCTTGATTACCTAGTCCTATGCTATGTATCATGCTAGGAGGAGTGAAAGCCAGTGTTATGTTTTTCCTTTTCTTTTTCTTTTCAATGTATGTCTATACGTACATACTCCATACCCTGATCTCAATCTTTTTCCTATAACTATCGCTCCTATTAGGTGCGCCATGCCCTTGGTACTGTGCATTCTTTGCATAACTACAGCCTCTAGATATAGGCTGCTTTAAATCTCTGAAAGATATGTATAGAGCTTTAGTGTAAAAGATAATACATTTAGGCTATAATTATATTGACAAGCTTGACTTTCTAAAGGTCATCCCTGCAGCTTGTACAGCTGCTTTTAAAGCAGAAACTATCCAGAATAGCTTTATGGGAGCTGGACTGGTTCCATTTAATCCAGAAAGAGTATTGGAGGAGTGGAATATTCAACTAAAAGCCCCTATGCCACCAGGCAGTCAATCTACCAACTCAGCACCTAAAACGCCATATACAACTAGACAGCTAGAAAAGCAGGCATCTACAGTGAAAAAGCTACTCAAAGAGCATGTATGTGAGCATATACAGAGCCCTTCATCTTTACTAGCATCGCGATTAGACAAGATTATTAAAGGTCATGAACTGGCCTTAAATGAAGTGATTCTTACACGTGAAGAAATACACAAACTATGTGCTTTTAATGAGAAGCAGCTTTAAAAATAAAAGCGCTCTACTAGACAGCTAGCTACTGCAGAGGTTTTACTATTCAGGAAGGTTTAGAGCGATTCCAGCATGAGAATAAGATTCATGAAGCGCAGGATACTATATCTATAGATCCAGCGCTATTTGCAGTTGGGTCACACGTACGAGCGCCTCCGCGCTGCAGTGGTTGTCATATTCTAGGACATAAGCGATTGCAATGTCCTAATCGGGTTCCTAATTAGTTTTTATATAGAAATGCTATTGTTTTGTTGATAAAGGCCCTAATATCTCGCCTGCGGGCAGGAATCGGTGGTGGTGGCCCATTCATTTTGGGTGGCCCACTCGCTTGTGAAATAGTTACTCTGTTCTGCTGACAAACTTGACCTTGGGAACCAAGAGGGAAATAAATAATACTTGTATGTGTGTATGGATCACTTTCCCGACTTAATACCGAGGCCTTTTTTAGTCAATGTCCCGTAATATATTACTGTGGAACGTATGGAATTTGAGGATAGATGCATTTCACGTGTGATATGGGTAATTGGCACATCATGTGACAATCGAATGATTTTGCAAAGGGCCCTTAACTGGTGTTATGACACAGTCCTGGAGTTGGCAATTTATTGCGGGTCTTTCCAGGTCTTATACACGATCTTGCTTCCGTACCTATCGCCTTTCTTCAAAACAACCATGTGCCGCCAATCCGATTTGTTGATCGCATTGACAAAGCGACTAGGTTCAATGCAGAAGCCGGAGAATGGACCTCGACTCGGGTTGCCGTCAACTGCCGGCACGTTCGTACCTTGGCCCGTGTAGAACTGAAACGCGGGCTCCGTGCTGTGAACCTGCAGGTTGATTCGCGATTCTGGGTGGTGAAACTCAGCTAGCAGCTGGAGCGGTCTCTCGCGCGTATCCAATGGAATCCTGGCGACGTCTCGATCCATCACAAAGACGTCGTCAAAAGCTTCTTTGTTTGGCCCGATCGTGAAAGGCTCAGTGACTTTACTGGGATGTTGTTCAATGCTGCCAAACGGGATGCCGGTGTTGTCGAGCGGCAGGTATTGTTGGGTAAAGAGTTTAGCCGAAGTGCCATCGACGGTCTCGCCGCCGTTGAGGTTGAAGTAACTATTAGATCATCAGCAACTGATTCATCAATTCTTTGAGCCAGCGTAAATCGCGCTAGGTGGGACTGCACCCAGTACGTACCTGTGGTTGGTCACGTTGACAACCGTCTCGTTACACTCATCACCCACCAACTCGACTTCATACTCGATTGTAAGCACCGAACAGTTGTTTTCCTCACTCGTCGTATAGAAGACCTTGACCTCTACCGTACCAGGGTATCCCCCTTCAAGGTGAGAACTTGTATATGTATAAAGTAAGGTGTTTTTCCCGTTCCGATGCAGTATAGTCGGGCCCTCAAAGTCCCGTCTGCCCCATCCACGGCTGCCTCCATGCAGCGCGTTGGGATCATTATTCTTCTCAAGCTCATATTCTTGGTCATTGAGGCTTTGAATTCTGGCGTCCTTGATCCTGTTGGCTACGCGACCAATGGTCGCTCCAAACCAAGGGGTGTTGTATTTCTCGTACAGTTCCTTTTTGGTAAACCCTAGGACGATATTTTGACCATCCACATTGAGCTCTTGGATGATTGCACCCAAGGATGTGAACTTAACTGACGAATCATTGATCATTTTAACTGCTTTGATTGCCCTAACCAGAGCCTCTTGAAGATGCTTCAGAAGAAAGCAGCTAATTGCGTGAGTTGATCGGTGCAACAGGGCGGAGAAATCGATATAAATGAGGGGCACTACTTCATACCCCGCAAAAAGGCCTTTAGGCTAATATCCTATCCGCAGCCCGTTTACGACGCCATAATGATCCGACATGAATGGCCTTGATATATTAACCGAGGGATAATAATTTGCCAGCATATGCCCGATCTACCACGGCGGTTTGCTGATTTGCAGTGTACCTGCCAAGCTAAGCTTCCCTTGCGGCAATATTCCGGAGAATTTGCTGCAGCCTGTCTACTAGTGTCCAGATGTATTTATTACACATAGGTCTTCAGAATCAGATAAGAGTGCAGGGTGAGGCTCTGCAGTCGCAGGTAGACTCAACTAGACTCGATAAAGCACTCTACGATCCGCTTACTATTCCTGGGTGAATCTTTAGTGATGTAGAATATGGAAATCACCAGTGAAAATCGCCGAGCTAGCTTGTGTCATAATGTACTAACACATGTTGTGCTATTCAAACTCTCTTTTCTATCTTAGCAACGGAGATTTATCTCTCTGATGCTGTAGTTGGAAGATACGTGATATTCGAACTATGATAATAGATTCGCAGGATCGGCCTCAAGGCCATTTATTTAGTGCCTAAAAAACCCAGGCTTCCGTATCGAACCATGTAATAAATTAATACCCCAGTTTTTAGGGTATGTACTAATAAAACGCGATAATTAATAATGAAACACCTCAAACATACTCACCCGAATACGACTTCTGTTTCGGGACATTTGTAAGGAGTACAGTAATTATTATGTTTAAATGGGTCATCTAGCCCCCTGATTAACAATTCAGAGTCTCGGAACATAGACGTACCGATCGAACGGATCTATCGGTGCCCTCGGGAGCGGACGTGCCGATACCGAATCCATGATGCAGAGAGCCTCCCTATTCGGTATCCTATTACTCTCCAGCACTCGGATGAAACTCAAGTCTTCTGATTACATATGCCTAATTTTTTCTTCTTTCTACTAACACCTCGCCCCCCACCTGCACCAATGTAAAGTATCCTCACGTTTAGTAATTACTTTACATCTGCATCGTATTTGATGTCAAGGATTGCTTCTCACTGGTTGGTCTGCATAAGGATCCAGATGTAGAGCCACAATTAAGCCACCGAGAACGAGAAGAGTAACTAAGCATAATGACGGCGATTATTAATCGGCCGTCAGTCAAGATGACATTAGCATTACTACATTGTGACACAGATGTTTCTATGGGCAAAGAAGGGCCTGGATTAGTAGTTATTCCTAAATATGTCAACCTTACCTGACCCGATACATCGATGATTAATTATTACAAACGCGAGTAGCACGTGTCCTCGTAAAGAAAAGAAAAGAAAAGAAAAGAAAGAAGACGAAAACAAACCAAAAAAAAAAGCCGTTGGATAAGACTAGGAAATAAATAGATTAAATAGATAGACCTGAACAAGTTTTAACTTATGTTGATTGCGCCGGAATACGGAGGAACAAAAGGATTTAATCCCAACCAACCTAGACCAGCATTTGGGGGAAGCTAAGAATACTCCGTATGTATGTATTGTAAAAAAAGCCAAAGAAAAAAGGGTGTCAGTAATTGGCTCGGCCTTTCGGGTTTTGACGGCTACGGAATTATCTTAGAGCGGAATTATATCAAGAGGGGCAAAAAAAAGAAACTTTTTTATGGGACGAACATTCCACAAGTTCGGTTGGGCTGGACTGGCACCGCCCCGGAGGGTCTACGGGTGGGGCTCTGACCCTCCTCATAGTTCTCGATGATCCAACCGCCCTTCATACTCCGTAGTAGTCCTACTGGAAGTAGTAACAGTAAAGGGAATGCCATATTTACCTGGGTTTGTGGATGCCAAGTCCTCTCATCATTTGCTATCATTGTCAATCATCTCAAACGACTATATCCAAAGATCAGATCCGCCAATTACTTCGTTCACTGGCCTTCTAGAATTTTTTTCTTTTTTTCTTTTGCCCATATGTTCTTTTAATTGGAGCGTCATCAAGAAGTAGGCGCGGGACGGAGATAAGAATCGGAGATGAATCATGAGTGATATCCGTTGCCGATTAGTCATCTACTCTCAACGTCACACTACCCGTTCCTGGACTGGTCTATGGAAGTTAATTTTCTTAAAAAGACAAGCAGATCAATGACAAAATAGTCGACAATTATATTGACCGAATTGTACCGTTCAGTGGTTCTATATAGTGATATGTAAGACATCCTAGACCAGACACCGGAATACCCAACCACTCGCAAAAGTAACACTCGGAATAAAAAAATGGAAGCAATTAGAGAAATATCCCTTCCATGGCTCCATAAACCCAGTCAATGTTTTATCCACCAACTCCAGAACACCTAGGGGCCTGGTTATATCGGGTCGCATTGGACTCTCGCATTTCCGATGTAACGCTGATAACCCTCTCAAACAAACCTCAAAACAGATGGAAAAGACTGTACAGTGTGCGGCAAGGTATTCAGCCCTGTCTTCTAAAGAGCGTGGCCGTCCAATTCGAGTCAAACCTCACAAAAAAGGTGTAGCAAAATAAAAATGTATAGTGTACATGCGTCACATCATAGGCGTATGCAAGTGTTGTTAAGGCAGTGGCCATGATTTTCGTCGATATACAAGGTTCAAGTAGACGTTATCTCCGGTGGATTGGCATTCAAGAATTGACTGATGTCTTCGTAATCATTCTTTGTGTCCATATACGATATGCAATTCATTGGGATTTGGCGATTGAACATTGGGGAAGAGATCGGGTCATCAAAAGATAGATTGTAGTCAGTAGTCGCCATTAGATCCATATCGTCAAAGTTCCCAAGGCTATTCGGCCATTGTTGTGGGTCTTGTAGAGCAATAGGGTTGACCACATCCCCATGCATGGCCATCGGTGGAATAAAGCTAGGCGTATGTGGTGCCATTTGAGGCTCAGTCTTGATCGTAGGCCCTTGTCGTGAAGAGGGACTGAAAGTGGGGGGCGTAAGTGGTTGTCGCGCAAAAACATCTGAGAAACGGGAGGAAAGAACGGGTGACTGCGCGCTTTCTGAGCTACCATCTGACGAGTCCTGGCGCTGCATATGCCCCGAATTCTGCTTCCACAGTTCTTGCTGCATAGATTCGGTGTTCTCTTCAAAGCGCTCGCCTTTGCTCTGGTCCAAAGCGCCTAGACGTGTGAGCAGATCGTGAGTGAGAGGGTGGCCATTGGCTTCGCATTTCAATGGTTCCCCGGGCCACCCCTCGCCTTCGCTGGTGCGTCGATACAGTTCTTGCAACCCATACACTAGCCATGCCTGTTGTTGCTCAAGCATCTCAACATACCTATACCCGAATAGTTTATGGTCAGCGACAAAGCCCCGGGCAGAAACCACAAAACAAAATCATCATTGCCAGGTGCAAGCTCACCCCTTAGGGTATACTTTATCATGAGCCTTCTTCCTCTCGCCAAAGACACAAATGGCATTGTCCGTCCTACAGCGACCACATGGGTTGCCTCCATCACACTGCACCGGTCAGTGCATCAGATCGTTCTGATGCTTGGGCCTCGACCTTGCTTACCTTAGATTTCTTCAGTCTACACCGATCGCATGCCTTACATACCCTCTTGCGAACATTGCTGTCCGAATGAGAGTTGTCTGACGTAGGTGATGATTGACGTGCTGTCATTGTGTAGTATAGCTTTATAGATATAGTGGTGACGGAAAGTAAAATGTAGAAGACAGCAAGAGTGGTATTGGATAGAATTGTCCAAAAACAATAAAGAATAAATTGGAGGGTGAAAGGGGAAAAAAGGATAGAAAAAGAATAAGGAATAAAGAATATGACCACCAGAACTAAAAGTCGGTTTTGTCTGTGTTATTTTTTTTGTTCTTCTCTCGTGTTCTGGAGGTCCTTGTTCCGTGGTGGTGTTGCAATAGTCTGGGGTCGACGATATGTTAAGGTTGATCGATGATATAACGATGTCGGGGAGAAGAGGTAGAAGGTTTGAGACAACCCACGGGTGGACAATCAAGAACCAATGCGAGGCGTCGATAGCATGAGAAGACGATGTAATGAGTAATGACCAGAGTGATTGTAACCAAGAACTGGAAGGGCGAAGGTTGCAGTGACTTTAGGGGTATGTGAGTAAGAGAGACTAGAAAACGAAAGTATGGGCTCTGGAGGATTTGAACTTGCTTTTTAACTAATCTGGAGGTTGATGATGAAGGGCAACAAACTACGTAATGTAATATTACGGGGGATTACTCTCTTCCCTTTTCTTTTGCATTTTTTATTTTAATTTTTTTTATTCTCTCACTTTAATTTCTTTATTTGCTTCTCCGATGGATCTAGCTCTTAATTCCAATTAATATTATTAAAGCCTGACGAAGGAACGCAGGTCCTCCATCTTATTGATGCAGAGCAAAGTATGGGATGGGGTTTCTTGGGTCGGCGATCATTGGTCTAGTCCTAGTTCAATAGGTTATGCAGTGGACCTCTTGTAATTTTGGTACGCCATACATACTACTCTGTAACGACCACGGTTACTCTTGCCAGAAACAACAAAAAGGTCATTCATGCAAGTTATTCTATAGTATGATTCTTGAGCTGCTGCAATCGACATTCTCAAATCACAAGGGCCAATTCATGTTGAGTGTGACATACTTCCTTTACTGTAATGCATATATAAAATCTTTGCGTATTGAATAGTATATACATAACCACCCATCGTACCTTACTGTAGGGGGTTTCTAAACCGGATACGGGCTACGGAGCACGGAAGTGCGGGTAAAGCGGGAGACTGACCTGGGTCCTGTACTCGGGGTCGGAGGCCTTGGCTCGGACCTCGGAGGTCCCATCTTCCCTAGCTGATGTTTGAATTTCCCAAAACAGCAATAACGCCCGATTGAGTAAGCGTTGATTACACGAACAAAGAAATCAACATAAGAAAAAATATTCTAAATAAAAAAACAGTGGTTAAATTCATCTTTTCTCTTTCTCTTCCCTCAAACAAATAGTAAAAATTCTTGACACTTTGTTCCCAAAATGCTGAACATCAAGCTTTGTAAGGTTGGATTGAGATTTGCTCAGATTGCCGTATTCCGTATATCCGAGTATGTACCATGAGACCTCCGTTCTCCGTCAACCTTGGATAGATGGCTGGCTTGGAACACCTTAATTCTTAGAAATCGGAAGAGGTTTACGGAGTAGATCATCAAAGATAGGTGAAATTTGTCAAAATATCATCAAGCATATACGGTCATTATTCAATGTACTTGATGCTTCAAATCAACACACCGCACATACATATACTTACAATATCATGCAATATATATGTATGTATTTTCGTATGACATCTCACCTTTGCATAAAACGGCATTACGGCACAGCAATTTTCTCTGTGATCACCGTTTCTACCTTCACTCGGCAAACACATGCCGAACAATCAAACCGGAGGGTTTGGTCTTTTTAGTCTTAGTCGTATCTTGTTTTACTTGCGTGGTAAATAGTCCATGCATCGAATGTTCTCCCTCCGGCTATTTAGTACCCATCTACGATCACGAGCCCAACCCTGGGAACTCAGATGATTCTCCTGAAAGCTTAACAGAGATGGACCCCCAAATGATCATTGCCACTTGTTATACGCTGCATCGTGCCAGATCATAGTGATGAGGTATTTTCCTCTTTTCCTTCATTATTTTAGTGATCCCACTTATGCTATCCACCCAAATCGAGTATAGAAAAGAGCATGCTGACGGGTCGTGTACCGTATTTCTAGTTCCACGACCGAATCCACATATTATAATAGTCGATGACGTTACCACATGAAGCGAGAATCATTATATAGAAATCCGGAGATGATGATTCGCAGACTTCTCCCTATTTTCCCCCTATGATTATGTGTTACTAATCCATATCAAGATCCCTAACTAACCTATTCCCTGGGCCCCCAAAAAATAAATTAAATTAAATCTACGCTTAAGAGATCATGTCAATATCACGTTATCTCCATAATCGCTGTTTGCTCGGCGATCGGTTTCAAAGATCTTCCCCGGGATTTGACTTCATCCTTGCGCAATTGTTTTGGGCATATATCAAAGATTGGGTTTGACTTTATGATCGATGACCCGAGGACTTTTGCTGTATGAGATCTGATTCGTTGATTTCTTTGCATTCCTGTCCTTTAGGTAGGAGGAAGCAACATTCTTTTCTAGAATCTGGATTTGCAGCCCAAATCACAGCTTGACCTTGGCTCGACCTCCACTGAGGCAATTCCAATGTTCAAGCCTTCCAAGCTTACAAGGTGTTACGTTAGCGTCATCGCACAACCTTGCTAGGGATCTCTGTCCCACTATCACTTAATCGAATAGCTTTCACCACCATTCACCGGAATTGATTTTGTCTGTTTTCGCCATACCAACTGATGGGCATGTCAATGTATAGATATTGTTCGTTGATCTCCCGCATGTCCAGTTGGATCTCACATGACCTCATCATTGCCATTTTCGGGCGTTACTTTCAAAACTTTGACTATCATCGGAGTTCCACTGTTATTGATCTTGGCAGTGAGATGTCTAAGGTTGTGAGATATAGAAAGGGAAGGAAAATGTGGGAAGGGCTTATATCCATATCAAAGCTATGAAAAGCTGTGCCATAGGTAGTGGGCCAGCAATGCGGCAAGCCGACCGGAGGGGTTATGAACATATGAACAAAGAAGGGGGAAAAGGAAAGAAAAGAAAGAAAAGGAAACAAGGCATACCCTTGGGCTTACCAGCAACTCAAACGCTTCAACAAGAGCGACACGGTCGATTTTGATGTTTTCTGCCCCGATGCGGCGTCCTTGGATGCATTCACTTGTTCCTGATCTGGTATTGGTGTCTTCCTTCTACTGGACATTCCGTATAGGCAGTGAGTCCGTGAACCTTTCTTATTATTAGGTGATTTTGCTGCAGCATCCTTGTTTTGACCCGTATCCGCAAGATTCCTTGCAGACGAAGATCCCGCAGCTTCTGGTAGTGATCCATTCTGGTAATGCTGTTGGCGAGCCTCCACAACACGACGAACCAAAACTATGAAATTATCAAACCCTGTTTATCGACCCAAAAGTGATTTAGAAAGGGGTGAAACATACGGGCAAATGTTTCTTCGATGTTGACCATTTCTCTTGCACTGGTCTCCATGAAACCACAGCCATGTTTCCGAGCATACTCCAGGCCCTCTCTAGCACCTACGACCCGACCTTCCTTCAGGTCGCATTTATTCCCTGCAATAATTTTGACCGGGGGAGGCATGCCTACTTCTAAGCCCTGTGCACTATCGCCGAGTTCTTTCAGCAAACGCTGGTTGTCTTCCACTCGTTGCTCAGCCTCAATATCGATCATCTCCATGAAGTAGTCCAATGCGCTTAAGCTAGACGCGTTGGTGATGTCGTAAACAAGAAGGAAAGCGTCTGATTTCAGGTTGGATGCCGCCCAGAGCCCACGATACTCCTCCTGGCCAGCGGTATCGGTGATGGCCAGGAAATAGGGAACGCCGTCGACAGTCCGTGTAACCGAATACGAATCTTCTGCAGCTCCCAACAAAATGGATCGATGTTAGAAGGGTCAAATCCAGGATAGGCGGACGAGAGTGGCGGATTACCGATAGTAGGATCATACCTGGAAAGGTTGCACGAGATCAGTCCGGTTGATCAATGGATCCATTTGATGCACTAGACCGTCCATGTTGATTAAACAGAGACTTACTCGTGAATCCATTGGCTGCGCACTAATCGAATTGTGATGGATGACTTTCCTATGTAGCATACTAGTCAGACAAACAATTCTTGAAGACTATATAAATTCCGGTCGCAAACATGGGGGACCTCATGTCTCTCAGACGCAGAAACCGTGTACTGGGCATCATAGTAACCATCATTGAACCCTTCCATGCTGCAGCTAATCTCCTCCAAGATAGCGGCCGAAAAGGAAGTATGAGATTCATTGCGCAACATACCACACCCGCCATCTCCACATATTGTGATGGTGATTTTGTTTGGCGCGTCCGCCATTTCGCGTTTGCGCCAGTGGGGGTCAATTTGCGGTCCAAATGGTATAATCGATCAAGAAAGTAGAGCAATAATGCCCGATCTATCGAACAAGTTGAGAAACGGGAGGACAAATTATCTTTCTTTTTCCAACCCGTTAATTGTTGATGGGTGCTGAGAGGGGAGGGGCATTAAGAAGAATGAAAAAGAAAGGGGGAGGGAGAGAAAATGAGCTATGTAAGTCAATCAACAAATCAGGGAAAAAAAGTTTACCGATAAGCGGCACAATCTGATAGTGATAATTTAAGATGAATGATTAATAAAAAAGAAAAAAGGAAGGAAGGAAGAAAAGCAAGAGACAAGGAATGTACATATAAAGCGACGACTGCTCTTCCTTTTAGGGGACAAACAACAATAACCAGTTGAAGGATGATTGATGGTAATAATAATAGGTTATTAATAAGGTTTGATATTCAGTTCTAAACGTGGAGTACAGTAAATACCCTTCCAATTGATGTGTTTAATATGGTCAGATCTTATGTTTTATCTCATCTCTGTAGTATAGGGTTATATGTTTGTTCCTAACTTTGTAAATTGATTGTGTAGATGGATGGATGTTAGATGTAAACGTATGTACTCAGTAAATTAATTCAATCACTTGATCCTCTCATCTCACCTCTCTTCTCCCTTATCCTCATCAATCAATACTCTACCATTTCTCTCTCTCCCTCTCCCATCTCTTCAGAATCTATTCAGCATTCTTCTTCTTCTTTCTTTCTTGCTTTTCTTCCTCCATTGCCCAAGTGATTGATTGATTCATCACAAACCCAAGTCTACTTGTGGAGACTTTCCTCTCTCTCCCCTCTCTCTCTTACTCTCTTTCTTTTCTTTTTGGGACACATCAATTGGTGAGAAACCCCCTTCTCTTATTGGCAGAATCCCGCTTTGCTACGGCCCACCCTTGCAGTTCGACCTTCAAGGGATCCATATATTACGTCCTATGTTCTGACATAGATCATTAGCGGATGCCAAATTGATATTAGGTCTCTCGTTTTTTTGCCTTCTACCATTCCCGCTCGGATTAATGTAATGTATGTATCATCATTGAATTGTCTTATATTAAGCGTGCGATAATCGTGCCCACCTTTCTGGTTTCTTCCCCTTTCCCCCTCCCCTCTCTCCCCTCTTTTCTAACTTGGCGCTCCGATTCTTGATTGAATCCTGGTCCTACATGGACCTTTGAGTGCGCCGAGTGGTCTTCATCTCCCCAACGCATCCATCGATGCGTCCTTCTCATTGGTCTAAATTTTCGAATCGAATCGATCGGCCACCATCTTGGAGGAGATTAGCTGCAGCATGGAAGGGTTCAATGATGGTTACTATGATGCCCAGTACACGGTTTCTGCGTCTGACCATCAAATGGGGTATTCGCAATCCTCCAATGATCACTATGCCCCGACGATGATGTCCTTTACGACCCCCGACCAGATGCAGGCGGCAAGCTTTGCCTATCAGTCAGATTTGGTTGCTAATAGCGCTTCGTTTGTCTTCCCGTCGCACACGGCTGGGCTGTCCCTGAATCCGTCTGAGCATTCTGAGAACCTCGGAGACCGAATGTCTAATGCTATGCTCCCGTATGATCCCCTCTCTGCTCTCGGAGGTCCAACACCCATGCCTATAAATACGGCCAATCCGTTCACCTACAATGCCTTCACATCCCCCTTCCCCACTATGCCACTGGAAAACTTCCAGGAACAGCAGCCCGTACCTTATCACAGCGCTGCGTTGCAACCGCAGCCCGTGAATCTGAATCCTACCACGACCTACTCTACCATGCAAACCCACGGGCCCGTCTTGCAGATGTATCAGGCACCACCAAGCCACGCTGAGCCGCCCACTCGTGCACAACCGACTTTCAACAAGCAACCTCTTAGTGTTCCTCAACCCACAGGTCAATCGTCCCAACGTAGGCGAAACCGTGGACTTCAGTCGCCGGCTCAATCGTCGAGCTCCTCCCATCGTTTCATTCAACCCAAAAGGCCATCGCCAGTGAAGGGTATGTTTACACTTGTCCGACCTGAGTTCCTAAAATCTATGTACGTTTATGTATCGCTAATACGGGGCAACCTCTGAAAGCTCCCCTACAACCTCACCCTAAATTGGTGACGGGCGAGGGCTCACAGTATGCCAGCATCTATTCAAGTAGCGGGTTCAATATAATGGGCGTCTTGGTAGGTTTCCCGCCGGGATTTCGAACCCGAGCGTCATAGAACATTTCAGCATCTGACTTCCACCCATTGGTTTCCTTTTGTAGGCCGAAGTAGTGTCAAGGCCGAATCCTAAGATTAGTATCGGTGCGGTCGATTTATCGTGCGCGTTTGTACTCTGCGACATCACCAAAAATGACCACCCGATTATCTATGTCTCCGAGGCATTTGAACGTCTCACTGGCTATACTGAGCAGGAGATCGTTGGCAAAAACTGCAGGTTTCTTCAAGGGCCGGATGGTGTTGTCCAAAAAGGCGTGAGGCGGACATTCGTCGATGACCAAACAACTTCGCGTCTACGGTCCACGCTCGAGGAACGAACGGAGATCCAGGTCAGTCTTATCAATTACAGGAAGGGTGGGCAGCCGTTCATGAATCTGATAACAATGATTCCCATTCGCTGGAGCTCCCATGATTATCGATTCTATGTGGGTTTTCAGGTTGATCTAGTCGAGACGCCCGATGCTGTCACAAGGAAAAATCCAAGTAGGGCCCAAGCTTGATGGTGATTAGCACACTAGGCTGACAGACGTGTCTAGACGGTACTTATACGATCGACTATCGACGTAACCGACTACCAAATTATGTGGTGCCATCTCCTGACATCTACCGATCGCACCCCGATTTGGCGACTTGGTTCACACCAGTCCAGGTGTCGACCATCCTGGGGAGTCTCGATAATCCAACTCTAAATTATAGAAGCTATCTGGATCGCGTATTAGTCGAGAACACAGATGATGTAATACATGCTCTATCGTTCGAAGGCGAATTCCTCTATCTATCGCCGTCCTGCCGGAAAGTCTTAGAGTACGAGCCGGTTGAACTCGTGGGGAAAACGCTATCAACGGTCTGCCATCCTAGTGATATTGGCCCTGTAATCCGCGACCTACGGGCCTGTACTACTACCGATCCGATCAGTGTCGTGTTTAGAATGCGGAAGAAATGCAGCGGATACATTTGGTTCGAAAGCCGTGGCTCGTGGCGCATGGGAGAGCGAGGGCGGCAGTTCATGGTCCTTGTTGGACGACCTCGTCTCGTATACTGTCTCGACCATATTGCGAACATTGGACACGGTATCTTGGCAGAAACTGATATCTGGGCCAAGTTGTCAAAGTCCGGGATTGTTCTGTTCATGACCTCGAAGGCACGCCCAGTACTGGGCCGTATACCTGATGAGCTTGTTGGCAAGAGCTTACAAGATCTGATAGATTCGCGAGTGGAGGCACAAAGAGCCTTTCGAGTGGCTCGTAGTGGTCAACAGATCACTTTCAGCCATAAAATTCGTCATAAAAAAGGCCACATGCTGCCGGCGCAGACCACATTATACCCAGGGGATACCAAGGAAGGTATTAGGCCCTCATTCCTGGTCGCCCAAATTAGCTTTCCAAAACCAAGACAGGCAGGCGATGACGAGTCGAGTCCAGCGCCCCCGCTGCCCAGCGGAGACTTGGGCGATCCTATGACTTCCCGTCAATCAGGCTCAAGCGTGTCTGGCATGGGGACACAAGGCCAATTGTCTTCCGGTAAACAAATCGCCACACAGGCCCAAGAACTCCCATTTTTCGAAGAATTGGTGCCAACCAGGGGCTCAAGTTGGCAGGTTGAACTTAGGGAGTTGGAAAAGCAAAACCGGATACTATCCGATGAACTGCAGAAATTACTTACCCGAAGAAAGAAGCGGAAACGCAAGCAGAGTACCGCGTCTGTTGAGAAGAGCTGCGCTATGTGCCAGACCAAGAAAACACCAGAATGGCGCAGGGGACCCAGTGGGGAACGCGATCTTTGTAACAGTTGCGGATTGCGTTGGGCTAAGCAAGCCCGTAACGCAGCACAGTCGGTGGGGAGGCCCAATACTTGTTGATCGAGGTCACAGGGCAAACAATTATCTGTTTATCTGTTTCTTTTTCTTCTCTCTCTCTCTCTCTCTCTCTCTCCCCCTCTCTCTCGTGTGGGGGAAGTGACAATGTTGGAGCATTAGCGCTTGATACCATTTCTTTCAACCCCTTCCCATGAAGATAATCGACTCCTGTGATGGTGCAGAAGTGTATTATAGAGGGAGGTACGGGCATATGGCGATAAATGAGCGAGCGTAAACTGACCATTTATTGTACAGTAGATATCTGGACTTGCAATGGTAATTGTTCGATACAAAGGGAAAACAAAGCAATTGTATCTAGATATCTGCATCTACCGATTTTGAACCAGACCCGCTAATTTACAAAGTACACTGAATCTAGAGAGTACATATTATTCAATGCGGGAACTTACCTCCTCTCCAACCACTTTTCCAGCCACCGTCGCTCATCCCTCTCTGCATCCCAACCCTCTTTACCTTCCGCCACACCGACACCACCGCGCTCCTCAACCGCAATTTTAACCTCCACACTCTCCATCGCCGGAACACCCCCACAGCGTTGAATCAACTGATCATCTAAGCGCAAGTATTCTGCATACCGTCGCAACCTCGCCCGATACAATGTCACCAATCCGGAAGGTCTGGTATGCGCCTTCACCAGATTCAACACCGCGCACGCACGCAGGATCTCCTCGGCGCTCGCACGCTCGATCCATTCAGGATTTGTATACACCTTAACCAGAAGATCCAGCTCCTGATCGGATCCCGTGGCAGGCGGCGTAATAGATCCATCTGTCGCCGCCTGCTGCGCCACCAAGGCAGCGCGCTTCCGGCCCATCCACTGGATGCGGTCCTTCTCAATCTGCCGTGGGACGCGACAGGTGAATGGCGTGACAGCATTGCCGAAAGCCAGGACAGCCAAGGGGGTCAACTCCCCGCACACGATAAGGATCAATGTGAAAGGGATCATGCGCCGGACATCGTAGGCGGCGCGTCGGACCAATTGGAAGCTTGAGCGGCTGAGTTGAACCGACTCGATCGCCTTGTGGAACGCAGCGCTCTTTTTGTCCTGGGAACTGCTGGGTGATGACGCAGGCGGAGGAGAGATGGGAAGGTACGGGGGGAGACCGAGCGAGCGACGAATGGGCACTGAGGCGCGATAGTTATGGTAAACATTTTTGAGACCGGTCTTGTAGAAAGATAAGTATGCGCGTCCCATTGCGACATAGCGCTTGAGCTTATCGGCCGCTGCGGTGGAGGGTGAGGCTGGGTCTGGAAGGTTGAGATCTGCCGGGCGAGTGCTGGGTGGCGGGTTGACATCATTGGCTAAAGATGTCGTTACGGTTGAGGATGTGGAAGGGACTGTGGATGTGGAAGGCTGGGCAGAGGATGAGGGGCGTGTATGAGTTTTGGAAGATAAGGCGTAGCCACGGAAAGCGAGGTAGACGCCACAACGCCAAAGGTCATGTCGTTGAGTAGCTGATGTAAGAGAGAAGGAGACTAGAGGATGGGATCGAGTGACGAGGGCCCTAGGGGCGCAGAGAGAGGATGACATTCTCCCAGACCATGGAGGGAATAGGGGTGAATGGGATATTGTAGAACTGAAGTGTCGGAGTTCGGAGGTAAGGCGATGTGATTAATGCCTGGGGCATGCAAAACAAATGACACAACAGCCCTGAGTCGCCGAGGCAGTCATTTTCGTGCTATAAACCGTCGAACTTGTTCCCCTTAGGTTTCCTACAGCTCACTGTAAAACATAATTGTCATCTTAATTCATGAACTATTATGTAACTGCCAAAATTGGTCATCGGAGAAAGAATTACCAATTCCATCTGATGACTCACCCTAAATCTTGAAATATAATAGCTTAACTTTCTGATACTCTCTATTCCAACAACAAAACGCATATCATCTCAACAACAAACACCCCCCCTCCCCTTCAGAATGTCTCTTGACTTGAATGTTCCTACAGCCCTAGTGCTTATCGACAACCAAGCAGCCTTCACTCACCCTACCTACTGGGGCACCTCTCGCTCCAATCCCTCCTATGAGCGCAACATCCAATCTCTTATTCAAGTCTTCCGAGCAGCTATTAAGAGCAAATCAAGAGCGGGGATCGCCAAAGAAATCATTCATATCTTTCACTCGTCTACTACGCCAATTTCTCCACTCCATTCCAATGATCCCGGGAACGGTATTCGGCCACTTGAGTTCGCCCAGCCGGCGTCTGATGGCTCCGAAGTGGTCATGTGGAAGTGTGTCAATTCTGGCTTCATAGGTACCGATCTGGAGGCTCATCTTCGTGTGCGGGGTATTCGGCAGGTCCTCTTTGCAGGGCTTACGACGGACCACTGTGTGTCGACCACGGTACGCATGGCGGCGAACTTAGGGGTTGTGGACCAGTATCCTGATGGGCCGCTTACGCTTAATCCGGAACATGGCATCCATAACCAGGCCTGCGTGGATCGGGGGCGTATCATACTTGTTGCAGATGCCACAGCAACATGGGCAAAGGGGGGCTTTGATGCGGAAACTATCCATGCGGTCTCGGTGGCGAGTCTAGAAGGCGAGTTCGCCGACGTGATGAAAACTGAAGATGTTGTGAAAGCCCTTAGGCGGTCGAACGAAATTGATCTTTGATGACCTTGTTACATTTGTTTGAAACATCCTCATAGCTAGCCCATGTTTTCTATTAGCCATGCTCCATTCATCTGCTTTCATATCACCACAGCCCTGCAATCCACATGCCTTAGTAAACGTTCCCTTGTACACAGCACGACAAAGTATATCCAATAAAAAGCATTACAGAAAGACCTCAACAGCAATAACGTTTTCTGAGACAAACCCAGTCACAAAAAGCCATGCTTTTTTCTTTTCTCCGGGCTGCAGCTCGATGGGAACTAACAGTGCTGTGCTACTCGACCGGATGTTCGATCCGTCATCTTCAAAGATCAAGCGGGTTTGCCATTCGACAGCGCTTCCTTCCTTCGGAGTATTGGGCCGTGCATACCACACCATAACTCCATCCTTGCCATTTGGATCTGCATGGTTCTTAGCTAGATCAATGGGTCGTAGTAGCCCTGCGAGCACGTAGCCGCTGGCGTCACCAGAGGAAGTACGATATGGATCCATATAATAGCTCGGGTTGTCGATAGAACTATCAAAGTGAACCTCGTCTAAGATGGAGATATTGCGGGTTTCAGGGTTCGCTCGGCCACGATACATAATACCGCCGATGGCATTTGAAATGAGTATTTCCTCCTTGGATTGACCATGCCCCAGACCGTTATTGTTTTGTAATCCAACCAATGCCACCTTGGCATTCACGCCGATCTCCGCCTGCTCGGATTCAAGGCTGTCCACTTGAACATGCACGACATTAGACCATTTCGCTGCAGGAACAAGGTCTTCGACCTGACGCTTGAATCCCTCACGGTAAAAGTGGTCGTTGGTAACATAGAAGGAGAGAGGACTCTCGGCATAGATATCATTGGGGGTAACGATCAATGAATGAAGGATAGAGCGCACGTGCCGGACAGTGTTGGATCCCAGAGCATGGTGGAAGAGCTCAACCTGCGAGCGCGCCTTCGGGACATCTTGGGCACGCGAATCACCTTGGTAATATTCCATGTTCGGCATATGGTTTACAACAAAGATGTAGACGGCACCAGGATTGTCGGGGTCTTCAAGGACCTCAATTCCATGAGTGATCAAAGGGCCGGAGAAATTTTCAAAGACTAAACGTGTCGATCTCATCGTCTATACGGGGTATATTTAAATCAGTTCTACCTTTTCGCACGGATTCAAAAATCTCAAAGGAGGCAGACGGGGGCAAGCTCACCTTGGGATCAATAACATGGATGGACCCTGTCGAACTCACCGGTCCTTCGAAATTTCCCAAGGGAGGAAACCACTTGAATCGAGGCAGGACTGAGTCCTCACAGGCCGTAAAAATCTTATGGGATGGCCTGTGGAAATGCAGATCTTCGCAGTGCATCGTGTCCTCAATCTTATAAAAGGCCTGTTGTTCTGCCAGTCTAGCTTCATCTGTCGCTTTTCGGAGCACCCCCAGCACCGTCATCTGCCGGTGTACAGGGCCATAGAACGTCGCCACCAGGACGGTGAGAATGGCAAGGTTGAGTAAACTCCCCATACCGGCAATACTCTTTCCCTGTCTGTCGTTTCTGGGTGGTTCCGTCAGGAGAGCTTTTTGAGAGCCTATTTCATAGTATCAAGTACGATATGCCGATGTGGGAGGAGGGATGAAAGGGCAGTGGTCGAAAGTATAGCTAAACTCATATAGATTATGATAGGGCTTTTAAGGAGCGGAAGTCCCCACTCGGCAGGTGCGATGCTGCGATGAGTGAATCTTCTAATAATTAACAGCACTGCGAGCATTTCCAAGGGATGATCACCGTCAACAATACTATAGTAGTAATAAGAAGAGTTGAGCTTAGCTAAGAATTTTGACAAATCAAACTTTGCAGGTTAAGCCGAAAAGAAAAGAGGAAATAAAGAAAAAGTAGCCTCAGAATGTCAGACTGATTCGAGCAGTGAAGAAGAGATCGTCACGGCTAGATAGGGAGAGTGCGTGCATGTATCGCTAGCGCAAGAACACAAGTGTATACCGACCACTTCGTGACCAACCCTTAGGTTAAGCCGAATGTTATGCATGAAAACCAATTCTACGGAACAGTCACCTTGATTGCGAAATCAGGTCGTATTATGAACGGTTTAGAGAAGAGAAACAAGTATTATTCCCAAGAACAATTATTTAGGAAGGGCAAAAAAGAAAAAAACAGAAAGACAAGAAAATTTCCAGACTGACTTGCATGGTTTTTTTTTTCCAAAGACACAGCAAATTATTTCCATCCTTACCTGACCAACTCCTTCCTCCCTTTCCTAGAACAAAACCTGTCGTCAAAATCATAGTAGCACCCGATAAATTGCCCAAAATCAATTAGTTACGCGACTTGGCATCCATGTACTCCTGGTCGCTGGCGTCCAAAATGTCATACTCCTCATCGGTCAAGAACCCAGTCTCCGTGTCATGATCACCAAGGGACAGACTCGCCACATCCTCCAGAATATCTTGCTCAGACGAGTTGGACACAGATGGAGCTACCGGCGCCACAATGCTTGCCTCGTGGGCGCTTGCTTCAGGAGATTCTTTCTCCAATTTAGGGAAGATCATTTGACTTTCTGTGCGACCCGAGTCATGCTCCCTCTCTTTTCCAAACTCTGTTGAGTCGTTCGTAGAAGGCGCATCTTCCCGTACTTGAATTTCGCACCATAGTCTATGACCAAAGGGCATGCCATTTGGGAGCTTCAGTCGCCAGTAGGAAATGCCAGTACCTACTCGGCTGGGGGCTTTAAGCGTCACAGTGAAGTCGGCGCTCTGGCCTGACTCTAATGGCCTAGACAATTTGTTGCTTTCCATAGCAGCGGAGATAGAGTCAAGGCTCAACGGGTGGTTCGTGTCAACGTTGAACATCGAATCACCGCCAACGAAACGCACGTTACTTCCAGCAGGCCACGCAAGCGGACCGGGGTTATAAAGAGTCCAGGTCTGGCAGAATACCTTGTTTGGCGGCATAATGGTGCTGTCGGGCACAGTGTCACGTATGAAGAGGGCCTCGTGCCCGGAAGCCGCGTTATTGTCGGGCTTCTCGGATTTCACCTGCTGCTCTCCCGAAGGCGAACGAGCTTGCTCCACAGAATTACTCTCCTGTGAAAGAACTGACTCCTCTTTAACGGACACTCCAGGTGTGGGAACTTCAGGTTCAACTGGGTTAACGGCCTGGGTGGATGTGGATCTTTGAGCACGATCACCGAGGGTGACCGTAGATCCTCCGAATCTATCCTCTTGAAGAGTGCTAACAGTAACATTGCGAACAGGTGTCTTGAGCATAACCATTGGGTGAGTTCTATTGTGCGTGTTGGTCGGAAGTGCCTCACAATTGGAGCAGAAATCTAGATCGTAGCACACAGAGCACTTGTACCGGACTCCGGTTATGTAGCCAGGGACCGTCTTGTTCTTGCAAAGGGGGCCATCACAGAAGATGCCATAATGAACCTCGTGAGACTGAGTAGGCTCGGCAATAGCCTCATAAAGTGGAGCAAATCGATGGCCAGGATGGGTCTCCTGCGCATTTGAAAAGCACTCAGTGCAATAATCCCAATCAGGGCAGGTGAGACACTTGTGGCGCACGCCGACAACATTCTTCTAGCATGTTAGCCCTCGCAGTAACAAATTGTAGCATGACGAGGCCTACCTTCTCACAGCCATCACAGATGGCAGCATGTTGATAGCGACGCCCAGGTTTGCAGCGCGACAAAACCAAATTCTTCAAACAGAACGGGCGGTCGTGAAGAAGAGAAAAATTGTGAGCTGGATGATGACCATGAGCGTCCTTTAGCAGACACGTGATGCAAAGATCATAATCCTTGCACTTAACACATGTGACCATTTTAGTTTCATCGAATTCTACTTCTACTTAGCACATCACTTATCTGGTTGAAGATGCAAGAGTAAAGGAAAAGTTCAGGTAACATACCCTTGAGACAAGCATTGCAAATCCGGGCTTCCGACTGAACGGGGAATTCTGGGGCAACTGGGGGAGTCTCTGGAATGTCTTCAGTGGCGGGTTCAGCGACAGGCTCCAACTCTTTTTCGACACATTCGGGTGCTTCCTCGGAATCATCAACCTGAAGCTTTCGAGGAGCGACTGTCTCGGTGATACTGTTGGTGACAATGCCATCCGTAACAATGCGTCTAATCAACCAGTGGTTCTCATTTGGGCAGGTAAGCCCCGAGTCTACACAATGGAGGCATAAGTCGTAGTCACCATCATCGCAGATACTGCAGTGATAGTGTTCATTAGGAATGGACCGACCGCAATGATTACAGTCAATGCAAAAAACACCCGTAGGAGACTTGTGCGAGACGACTGGAGTGCCAAGACTGTCTTGGTCCGATTTGAACTCTCGGTATTGTTCCTCGGATGCCGCAACATCCGCGTTAGACCACGGCATGGGACTGGACTCAGCAGAGACAGCTTTCCCAGCATCATGTGGCAAGTCGTAGAGAGACTCAGCTGAGCCTTCAGGGAGAGGGGAGCTCAAAACCGTTTCAAGGTAGCTGTATCTCGTCTGATTCGGGTAATCGGGAGAATCCTCTACCGGCAATGGTGATTGAGAGGCAGTATCGTTGACTTCAGTGACCTTGATTCGAAGCTTCAGTTTGGCCTTTGCAGCACGGTAGAGTTGCTTATAGACAGCATTGTTTTCGCTGTCCAAGTGGATGTAGCAACCGGCGCTATCGGAGTAACGTTCAAGAATGACGTTAACGTCTGCCGGGACGCCAAGAAGCTGGCGGAGCTATACGCGAGAACACATCAGTATCGAGGCTCCAGGTTTCAGAATTTCAGTGAGGTGAGCTTCTTCATTTGAGGAGAGATTAATGATATCAGGTCAGGGAGTGTAGGGTCCGTGTGGCTGTTGCTTTGAAAAGGAAAAGTCTCGGGGTGGCAACGAGTATCTACTCCATCCAAACTAGGGAAGATCGTAAGCTCCGGTCGGAGCTAGGGTGGAGACACACCTTCTGGGGAAGAACGTGGGCATCGAGCTCTTTCAAGGGAATCTTGAAGCGACGAGTATTGTCATTATAGAGCAGCTTAACCGTAATCAGGGTACTCGGGTTGACCGAAGCCGCTTGAGGCACAGATGCTGACATGGTGCTTCTACAAGAACTCCCCAGTCGATGATATAATCACTGGAGTTGCCGAAATACGCCCCCAGAGATAAGGGAGCGGGCACACTAGTGATGAGGATGGACTAAAGATAAGAATTCAGCTACTGAGGTGAAGTTGATGAAAAGGGGGGAATAAGAGCGAGAGACAGAGGGGAAGAGAATTAGAATGATAGCAACAAAACTGGGTGGGGGATGAGATGTTGGAAAGAGGTGAGGAGGTCAGGCAAAGTAGGCAAGAAGAGAAGCGGAGAAGAGGGATGATTGATGTTAAAGGGCGGCAACTACTAGTCTTGACGGGGGTTGGTGGTCATCTGCTTTTGCTGCATTCAGCTGGGGAGGGGGCGGTGAAGGGTAGGTGCTAGGCTTCCCCGTTGGTGGTTGGCTGATGGCTGTTGGCCTACGTAAGGTAAACTTATTAGTAGAAGTGGACTTCTACTTCCATCTCTTTTCACCGTATGGAATGTAATGTAAATGTAATCTACGTCACAAATTTTTACGTACTGTACTGTTTCTTACTATCGTCTGCTTTCCCAAGATTTGTTTAAACGCGATAATATAAATTAACCTAAAAATATAGACCTTCCAAAAAAGAAAAAAAGGAAAGCCCCCGTTTCAAATTGACCTTTCACTTCACTCACACTTCCTTTTACCCTTGACTCCTCCCCTCTTTCCCCCTCTACCTCCTTTTCTTTCTTTTCTTTTCTTTCTCTTTACCCTAACTTTTTTGTTTTGGATTCAGGTTACACTATTGCTCAGAGCTGGCCCTATAGTATCGGATAAAAGTTTAATCATGGATCAGCATGGAAAAGTTACGTCAGACTACATGCGACATGGAGTACTGATCACTCTGTCCCTTGACAGTTGAAGTATATGCCCGAGATCGCAGAGAAAACGGCTTACAGCCACCTAAAATTAAAAGGCCCTCGTCATATCATCCTTCAAATGAAAAAGATGGTATCCATATAAAACGTGAGACATCTTCCGACATAGATCCGTTGACAATAGACAATGATGAGAAACAAGCGCTAGAAATATGCAGGAAATCCTAATCTACCCAGGATTAAGACAGTATGGATGGGAAGGGTAGGGCCGACGGGACCGTATCCGAAAAGTAGTAGTAAAGGAAAGGAAGCTCCAGCGAAAACACATCGTTCAAGGCTAGGCGGGAATGAGCGGTCATCATCGATCTTAAGAATGAACATATAACATCTCCACAGGGTAGTGAAACCAAGACAAAGAAAGAAGAGAACAGGGAAACAAGTAGAAAAGTCGCAAAGAGAATAAAACTGAATAGAGAATAAGAGCGAAAGCGGAAACGATATTTTGGGAATTGAAAGTGAGAAGGGATCAAAGTAGGAGATAGGGAGGAGGAAAGGAGCTCATACAATGTATGCCCGTCGAAGGCTTACTGCGAAGGGTAATAAACTCCGCCTTGAGGGTAGGGATAATAATAGAATGGGACAGGGGGGGTACCCATATCCACAACTCCACCAAGCCCAGGCGCAGCAGGCATTGCGTACGAGGAGTTAGGCATTTGTGTAGCATCGTAGAAATATACTGTGCCACCAGCTTCATGTGCAACAGTGCCCGGCAATGACGGTTGTTCTGCCGAACCATGGGAAACGGGAACCATATATGGGGGCTGTTGTCCAGGAGGCAAGGGCGGCACGGGTGCACCAGGTCCCACGGCAGATGTATATGGTGGAAACTCAGCTCCCGAACTAGGGTAGTAGACAGCACCAGAAGGATAAGAAGCAGGCCAGAATGCCTGCTGGTAGGCGTGCATTTGAGACGGAGCATGAAATGCACGGTCCTGTATGTGAGACATTGGCGTTAAAGATCTATGAGCGGAAAGAGAGGGGTGGCCAGAGGCATCAGGACCATAACTGGAGCTATTTGCAGATACTGGAACCTGATGATGGAAGGGTTGTTCCTGTTGTGGCTGTGGAGGATTGAAGGGAAATCTGGCTGGCGTTTCAATATCCGCAAGGGAAACTGCCTTCTGAGGACGGGGCTGATGCATGGGTATTGGGGCCGGACGACTCTCGCGAAAGGCAGAGTTTGGTGGTTGGGGATGGGGAAGAGGCTGCGGTATGGTGGATGGAACAGCTCCTGGCCCAGCAGTTGTATGTGGAACCGTTCCAAGGCTTCCAGATGGTCTGCCAGGTGGAGGAAGGCGGACCACCGGTTTGCCGTTCTCTGTCGCGACCATCGTGTGCCTCGAGAGAACCGAGCCCGCCGGCGAGTGGTACCCCTCTTGAGATGGTGCCTTTCCGAATGACGATCTTCGACTCATGGTGATACTTGATGTGTAGTTTGAGTTTGCATAGAAGCTGGGACGCCGTCCTCCGTAGAATCCACCACGACCCCGACCACGAAATGCCTGTTGATTGGGCCGTAAAGCTCGCGGGATAAATATGAAAGATCTCTCTGTCGCGGGTAGAATATACCTCGGGGGCTGGCCTGGAAGCGAGATCCGAACAGGCTTGTCTCGACGTAGAGGAGGCCGATGCTGAGGTAAACGGGTGTGCTGCTTCTTTGAAACAGAAGGGTAAGGGATTGGGTTCTCCATTCCCGGCAAAGATACTACAACGGGCACATTTCCGATCAATGTAGTGCTCGAGAAAGACCTGTTCGGCGGCGATGATCTAGGGGCCGTGGGAACGGGCTTCGGAGGGACGATAGATGTAAGTGCTGATGTAGTAGAGGGCTTCGAGACGGATGGCTCATCTCCAACGACTGTATCGTGAAGATCATGCGTCCACAGTCCTTCGCTGGCAACTGGTCTCACGGGAGTTCTAGAAATAGTCAGTGATACATGATCATCCAAGTGTCTACTTGTTGCTGTTGACATGGATCAACGCGACCTTAGGATGGTCATACCTGCGAACGTTACCATCCACAATAAGGCCATACGGTCTTGATTTCGATTTGTTGAATGGCTTGTGGCCGTTTGTCACTGTTTCTGTGGAGCGCTTGTCATGAAGGAAGAAACTACCGCGGGTAGGCACAAACGCTGGGCTTTCATCCCTTTCCTTTATGTACTTTTCTTGCTCACGACACTTTCTATCCGCAAAAGCGTCTCTTTTTGGTTCTGTAGGGGGTGCAGACGGCGTTCTCTCGGTCTGCTGGCCTGGTTCACCCTTCAAGTCATCGAAGTGCACCTCGGTCACTTCGCTCGTTTCGTCCGATATTCTCAGCCCGTTCATCATCGCTTCTGTATCCGACATGGTAGTAACCAAGAGACGCTTCCCAGACGAGGGAGGATGCTGTCGTGCCGACTGGTGACTTGTTTCGGACACACGACCATTGACCTGATGGCGGCCGTTGGCGTCCACTTGCGGGGAGGTAGAAACTACATCGTCATCGCTGTCATCACTGCCTTCAACATCGGCATCATCGTCATCAGGATTGCTGATGCCAGACCCGTCGCTCAATGAATCATCCTCCAATTCTCCATTTACAGAACCTTCATCCTCTCCTTCCTCATCTCTCCTCTTTCGCCGGCTAGCACCGATATTGTGACGACGTGGAGCCATCCGAGCTGAAGGAAGGTAAACAGTGCGATTTCGCAGTCGTGTCCGATATTTTGGTTCGTTTCTTTTTGGTGTTTTTGTTTATTTTTTGGCGTTATAGTGTGTTGGAAGCAGATCAAGGAACGGTCGCAGCTACCTAGGATGAACTGCGGCGAGAGCGGCAGCTTTGCAAGGCAAGGTGGGCCAGACTGTACACTACAATAATGGAAGGGAAACAACTATGATGTTCCTTCGCGGGAAAGGATAGGAACGGCGCGAGGAATAGTATTGAAAAAAGGAGATGCACCTCAAAAATGAGGGCAAGTAGTGTGGAAAAGGGCGGATAGATAGGAAGGCGCAACAGCTTTGGTGGTTTTTGAGCATGAGCCTTGAGCCATGACATCTCTGGTCGATGTCAAACCTCTAAATCCGGTTAGCGCCCCCCAAACCACATCAGCGATTCTAGAACTACGAGGATCTGTCCACGGCTTAGGATATACGACGCTGAGAAAAGGAAGAGAAAACCCAACCTATACCAGTTCAGAGCTTTAATACGCTTGTCATTCAACGTCATATTAATTTATGCCTGTTACTCCAGCAATTAGTTTTATCATCAAGACAAAAACTGCAGGCGATTGCAGAGGTACTACGATCGACACCGTTATGATAAATATTAGTTAACTATGTTTACGGCTTACTAAGCTACTTAATTCAATCATTTGGTTGTTACGCAAGGAAAAGGATGCAGGGTAGAAACAAATTTTATAGACAGCTGTTTGCCAGCTATTTTATTTCAGACACGTTATCGTTGCTCTCCAGGTATAAGGTGGGGATATACTCGCCAGATAGTGTAACAAATGCTCGGGAAAGAGCAAATTGTTGATTACTACTCCGTACTATGCAAGGCTTCACTATCCCCGAACGGCAACAGATTCATCGGCGTGAGCTGAAATAATGAATAACTCGTGCCTGCAGTGCATCTTTTCCCCAGTAAGGGTTTCCTAGACACAAAGGATTTTGTCATTGGCCACCAATTATTCTCAATCGAAAGTGATCTTCTTTCCCTGAGACTCAACGATGGCACCGCTAAGCTTTTGCACGGTTTCCTTGTCGTACCTCGAGTAATCCGCCTTGCCCTGCTTGAGTGTCGCGGGTCCTGACCGTTGGGATTGTTCTCCGGTTGCCTCTTGGACAGAAGGCTCTGCTTCACTGATATCTGCAGTCCGAATTTTCTTGCCTTCGCCGTCCTTGCCATAGCGCTTCTTGTATCGTGTTGTTGCATCTTCTGCGAACTCCATCCGCATACGCCGGCCCAAAAGTTGATTTACCCATGCCCTTCTCTGTTTTGGCTTCTTCGACTTCTTGCGATTCTCAGAGTCGGGCTCACTATCTCCTTCGTCTTCGTCTTCGTCAACCATAACGAAGCCCCTCACCGCTGCTTCAGCAGCCATGAGATCTTCAAATGTCACCCAAGCATAACCCTTGCATTTTCCGGAGTCTTGAAATGTTGCTACATGTACATGGGCCACAGGTCCGCATTTTCCAAAGTGTTCCTCGATGATTTCTTTTGTGGCATCAAAGCCGAGGTTGCCGACAAATATACGCTTGGAGGGAGGGTTGCCAGAGGCTGCCGTAGTAGAGCCGTTCTTCTGAACCTCTTCACGGGACTTTTCTGGTCTACCAGCAAAGCTCTTTGCATCCTTTATAAGTACACGGCGCCCAGTTAGGAGACTTTCACTCAGCCCCAATGCCTCATTCGTGGCCTTCTGGTTGGAGAAATCGATATAGGCAAATCCTTTGTTCTGGGCTTTCCCGTGCCTCTCCAATGATCTAGGTAAATGTATCCGAGTGATTGTGGTATCTGGGAAAGAGCAATTGCTTGTTAAGAAATTGCGCAGGTCGTCTTTGGTAACGGAAAACGCCAAGTTCCCAATCCAAATGCCGTATTCCGAACGTTTTTTGGGGGCTTCTTCGTTGCCAGTGACGGCTTTGGTCTGTTCGCTGATAACCTCCGATGATGCATCAGCAGCCTTCTTCTTTGCTTTACGCAGAGCTTTCTTTGATGGGGGTTCAGGTGCAGAGACGTCGATCTCGATCTCGGATTCCTCTGGTAGCTTTCGCTTTTTGCAAATTGCTTCTTCAGCAGCTGCCATTTTGTTTCCACGACCAACGCGGCAAAATGACCTACTCTCGAGCGCAAAGGTACGATCAGGAATTGAATCAATACTAAGTCAGAATGTCGTAAATGTACTGAGATGAACTTTCTTGAAGTAGAAATAGAAGTTCGTCGGAATCTTTTTTTTTTTTTTTGCGCGGGCAGAAACACTCCGCCCGACACACCCTTTTAAGTCACTTGCTGTCCCATAAGGCTTCTTGGCAACACTACAACTACGAGATCCTATCCATAGCCGCTGGACGCGATCCAAATTATTATTGTTGAAACTCCCTCAATCTTCGCACTTTCTCAAAGCTGCTTGCTTATGACAAATATTGTATTTTCAAGTTAATGCTTATCCTACTGTCTTAACCTTATTATGTCGCAAGAAGCAGATGAGGTCCAGTCCATGGCTGAAAGCCTCCCCGATGCTCCCGCAGGTGCCCCTGCCAAACAATCATACCGTTCTTTTAAGTAGGCGCAGCTGTTAACGCCCCGATCCCTTGCGTAGGCTAATCCTACATCTTTACAGGAAGAAGTTTGCGAAGCTCAAAGTAAATTTTGAGCTTGGAATGAGAGAGAGTGAATCGCTTATTCGTGAGGAGTTGCGCATCCAGGACCTCTCAAAGAGAATACAGGAACAGAATGAGTGTGTTCCCCCAACCTATCTCCCCTTCATGTATAACTTATATAATAATAATTTGCAGTCAACTATTAGAGACTCTTTTGGAATTTAACGACAGCCTACACATATCACCAGATCTACGATATGATCTGAGTGCCCCCGGAGACGATTTCTTCTTACCAACTCCTGAAAGAGAGGTCTCTCCATCACAAAACGATCCTTTCGTGGCTAGTTCAGTTTTGAAAAGTGCTAAAGCGGAGCTGGCAGCCGGGAACTTGTCGGCTGAACACTACCGTGACTTAGAAAATACTGTTAAACGAAACAAAGCCTTTGCGCCGCGCATGCAGTATACCTCTTTGATAAAAATTCCTCATACACGCACTAAACTAGAGGAAAATCAGTCTGGGGATATTGATTCCGAATATAGTCTTGGGTTCTTCACGCCTGAACACGAGACTGAATATTATCTAGCTACCGATGCCAGACTAGGCGATGAATCAGCAGCCTTACAACTCAGCCGCGCCCCCGATAAGCCCTCATTTGTTGAACGAGAAAGAGAGGCTGCACTCCGGAATCCCATATCAGTATATAATTGGTTACGAAGAAATCAGCCGCATATCTTTTTACAGGATAACGAAAATGCTTCCGAAAAATCTGCCTCTCGACCATCGAATTTACGCACGTCCAAGAGAGCAGCCCCCAACCAGCTGCAGAAAGACCAAGATGTACATGATGATGATAGCATCCTAATGGAAACTGGGCCTGGATCCGGCGGTTCTAAGGGCAAACGCAAGCGTGAAGAAGACGTTGGCTCTAGATCCAAAGGCGGTAGCAGCCGCTCAAGTCGAAAAAAGAAGGACGATGGCAACTCTGGCGTGGTCAAGCGTTCATCTAAAAGAGCATCAGGGGTAGGTTCTTGAAAGCTTCCTACTTGCATTTTCTATTTGTATTAATAATACTTTTCTCTTCTTTGCTTTCCTTCCTTCTCTCAGCCTCCCCTTCTTTTTATTTCCTTTATTTTTATTTTTATTATTTACACAAAAAGATTTTGTCTGCATTTATCTATTTGTCTGTTGCTGAGGAAGTGGTCAAAGATGGATAGCGCCAGCTCATCAGAATGATCTTGAAGACGGTGTTCAACGCCAACGACGCCAAGTGCTACATGATCTTCTGGTCCACATGGTTATATCATATCTATTTCCTGTGTCCTTCAGATCTCGAAAGTATTTTCCTGACATGTCTCCATACTTTTCCTATAATTTATGTACCTTATTCTTCATTTTTCTTTTCATGCTGTCGGGAGTACCCTGTCCAAAATAGAGCATGAGACTGGAGTAGAACATCATCACTGTTAATCTAGAGATGCAGGTGTTTTTCTACGCGTGTGGAGATCACGTGTGTCTAGGGCAGGGACGAACAAAGCACCTAATATCATAATACGAATAGTTTGAATTACATAGTATGAAGTGTTAGGTTATCACTACTACATGCTTGATATAATTCGAAAAAAACTCCCAAGAGGTATGAATATATATACACTATCATCTGATCTTAAATGTACAGTTGGGGGAGGGTCCTTGATGGGAGTAGTTTGCATCATCGAATGTTGAGTCTCCACTTCGTGTTTGCCATGTTTGCTCTTCACTCCGAAAGTCTTTGCGATTACGATCATATTTCAGAATCCTTTCGTATCACACATCATCCACGTAACACTTTCCATACATATATTGACAGCCAGGCTTCTGGCAGTTAATACCTTTTGAGAGAATGGCCATCACTATTCTTCCCCCGGTTATCGACGATGTCGACACATCCTACTCAGATTCGGACGTTGATCCAATGTGCGTGGACTCGGACGGAGTAGATCTAGCGATAGGAAAGGCCTCGAGACCGAGTAGACGACCTCGCTTAGTGGAAGGGACAAATATCACCTCAGGAGTGGTTACGCCCGGAGAAGTTGTGACAGATGATCCGCAATGGATGAGGTTGGTTGGCCCCTTCTAAGGTTTTCGAACTGTTTGAACAATATGGACACACATTGACAAGTATACAGAGGACATGGTACCTATACAAACCCCCTTTCGACATCCATAGTCGCCACTGTTGCAGGTACTGTTCAAAAGACCAACAAACTTCTCTCCGTACAGCCACTTCGAGCTCGTTACACTCCAGAAATAGGCGACCTTGTGGTAGGGCGCATTGTGGAAGTTCAGTCCAGACGATGGAAGGTCGATGTTGCCGCCCCGCTCCTTGCACAACTTCCACTCTCTGCTATTAATCTTCCTGGTGGAATCTTGCGTCGGCGAACGAGCGCCGATGAATTACAAATCAGAACTTTCTTCAGTGAAGGTGACCTAGTAGTCGCTGAAGTTCAAACTGTACACTCTGATGGCGCAGCCTCGCTACATACGCGGTCTTTGAAGTACGGAAAACTCAGAAATGGCGTGTTTCTCGCTGTTACCGGGACAGGCGGAAGTGGCGCTTCGAGTTCGACGATAAAGGGTGGAGTTGGCTCCGGGTCTGCTGCTGTAGGGCCAATGGGCGCATCAGGCAGCGGGGGGGTAGTTCGATCTCGAAGGCAGGTGTGGACAGTCAATACCGCCAATGGAGGTGGCGACGTGGATGTCATACTTGGAGTTAACGGCTACATATGGATTTCAAAACATGCCGACGATACCGCTGCTGCATCCTCAACCACAGATAGCGTGTCAATTACCCGCATGGAGGAAATGGTTTCGAGTTCTATATATTCCAGTCAAAACGATGATATCCCGCCTCAGACAAGGCGAGAAATTGCACGGCTGGCGCAGTGTATCAGGGTCCTTGTTCAGGGGGGTGTGCGGGTCGATGAGGAAACTGTGATGAGTGCATACGAAGCTAGCTTACAAGTGGATTTGGAGATCGGGGAGGAAGATGAGGAGGAATACCAGGGAAGAGAAGGAAGAGAGTATCTTGAGGGCAACAAAGCGCGGAGCATATTGGAACAGGTCTTGGAACGCAAATAGATCTTTCTTTTTGGGATGGTTTCTTGTATGTCTGTGGAAAATTTAGATACCCCAAGGTGATCGGTCCTGTCTATATTATAATGTATGTAGTTGCCATTATTTTATTTCCCTTTACTTTTTCCCCTTCCAGCGACGATAGAAGATAAGCCAGACCCCGCATCACGTGGTGATAACCGGCTCAATCATTGGCGAGATGGAATGATAATGATTAGTAGACATCACACTAGTAGTACTCTGTACTAGAAGACAAGGTGAATGGCGGTGAAAATAGACTCGACGTCACGGGGTCTTATCAAGTATGGCAAATCTGCATCGGAATTCCTCGATCTTTCCTTGACTCTTAGCGCTCAAAATTCCTCTACTTGAAGACACCGTATCCCGGCTATTGAACCCTCACTCTACCATGAACTTTCACTCTGAGAAAATATTCTTACTATCAACTATTTCCATACCAGTTGCATAGCGCAGTACAACCAACTCCCTTGTCGCACCTTCGCCTCTGGATCTTTCCCTCTTCCCCATCCCCCCTTTCCTTCTTCTATTGTTGCGGACCCTTGTCGCTTTTCTTCGTCACTCACGGAACATATTCGTTTTCTCAAACAATAATCCGCTGAGCTTGGGGTTTAATCATGCCTGACCTCCGCCGTCAAGTCTTGGAGAGTGGCAAAACCATATCTCGGAAAGCAGCTTCGCGTGAAGGTTCTCGCCGAAATTCACACGCAAATTCTGCTCAAAACTCCCATCAATCTTCTCGAAATGCAAGCAGGCATCCATCCGATGAGGAAGATGCTGGGAACCTCAGCGATGATACAGCCTTGAGGTGAGTTCCCAACTTTTTGTGTTTCTTGTTCCTTTGTGGCGGAATGATGTCATTGTGTCAAAAAAAATTATACTGGCGTTTACTAATGGTAAATCCTCTCACCAGCATTGGTTCACTGGATGATCTGACCGATAACCCTGAGGTTGATAACAACAACTGGACTCAAGAGCTCGGCGATGTCATACAAGATATCTTGGATCGCAAACGTAGCAGTGTATTGAGCCGCGAAGAGTGCTACGGTGCATTCTGCCGTCTGTTGAAATGCCATTATGCCGAGGAACATATTCGCAACCACGTCAACGATCTTTTGGTCGCTTTTTGCCGAAGCGTCAAATTTGAGTCTAGTGTGCGCGAGGCTACTCTAGCTTTGCGAGCCCTTGAACTTCTTGTCATCACAGCGTTCGATAACACCATCTATGAAAATGTAGAACCTGTACTCACTCGTACGATTCGAGACTCGACATCCAATCCTGTCAAGGCTGCCGCTCTTCATTGTCTGAGCGCCTGCACTATCTTTGGGGGCGCAGGAGAGGATGGCATCTTAGATCAAATGACATTCTTCCTGGATATTGCAGCCTCCGATGGGCAGTCGATCGATGCTGCTGATGACCCAAGCAGTGTCACTGCGGCTCTTCAGGAATGGGGAGTTCTAGCAGTCGAAATAGAAGATCTCGAGGGCGAAAGCGAAGATGCAATCCAAATTTTTATGGACCAGCTAAACAGTAGTGAGTCATCTGTCCAAATTGCAGCAGGTGAAAATATCGCACTACTGTACGAAAAGAGCTACACCCCTCAAGAAGATGAGGATGACGAGGTTAGCGAGGACGACTTAGAAGATGAAGCCTTAAGCGACAGACAGGGCCCTAGACTCATCAAGCGCTATGATGCATACCACAATACACATGAACTTGAACTGCAACTTCAGTCGCTGGCCACGGTACATAGCAAACGGATCAGCAAAAAGGATAAGAAGAGCCTACACAGCAACTTTGCCTCGATTTTGACCACAATCGAGAATCCTCGACGAGGGCCGATGTACAACACAGCCATCGATCAAGACACCAATCGACACTACGGTAGCAAGCTAACCGTGAAGATCGGCCGCCAGGGTGTGATGAACATCGACCGGTGGTGGAAATGGATTCGACTGAATTCGCTCCGCAGAATACTTCAGGGAGGCTTTGCAGTCCATTACTATCAAGGCAACCGAGCTGTGTTAGACAGCCTCCCGGTCATGGTTCGCCAGAGCACCCCGGCTGACCGAGGAACAGCAAAGAGGACCACGAAATCACGGAATAGCCGACGATGGGCTGTCCATGGGCAATCGGATGAGGATTATTAGTTTCAGTCAGTCCTTAGATGTTCTATAATCTCAGACTAGTTATCTACACATAAACCGTATACTAAGATGCACCGAAATTCATCTTGTCGATGATCGATGCTATCCGTAAATATATTTTTTTGCAAGTATCGTAGGATATGCTTGATAAGTCGTTCTTATGGAGGGAATTATCATGCTGAAAGGCCATTGAATGGCCATCCACAGCCAAGAAAAATTGTGAACCGCCAGAATTCTAAACGGATCATAGCGACTTAGTTATATACTAAGCAAACATACATACGCATCGATTCTAATGCACAAAAGAACCGCTTCACGGCTCAAACACAGGTATCACGCCGGTCCAGGTCCCTTTCGACCGCTCTTCCCAATATCCCTCTTTACCCGATCTCAAACGCCACATTACCTCGCCTTCATTTCCGGTGGCGTCATCGTCCACTCGAGTAAACCACCTAGGATTCCACGTTTGGCCGGCAGATTCCAGCTCGCGGCGGCGAGCACGTTGAGCTTCTTCTAGCTTGACCTTGACTTCCTCTGCCCGGTCAACGTCACCGTCTTCCAAGGCCCGTTGGTCGGGACGGAGACGAGAGTCCGTCTGGGGAAGCTTGTGGTCTTCGATTGGGGTGATCTCATTCAGAGTGGCCGCAAACGCTGTGAGGCCGTAGTGTTTGGGTGCGTTGGGCACTAACGGTCCGGCATTCCACACAGTTCTTGTGGGAGAGCCATTGTTGGTCATCTGGAGCGAGGTAGTCCAGGTACCCGTCAGCCCCAGAGCTAGTTCACGACCGTTAGTGTCTACCGCTTTCGTGGTGACCTCCTCGCTGCGGCCGGAGAACATGCCCCCTGCTTTGAAGGTTGACACGGTTTTTTGGCCCGTCGTTTCATTCACAATAGACATTTCGCCAACAGGCTCAGAGTATTTCTCACCAGCGATGATGTTGCGCAAGAAGGACGTGGCATTGGACCAGCTAAAATGCTCACCCGTCGTGTGTAGCGTTAATCTCATCTTTCCTTCGGTCACAATCTCTGCGGACTTTCCCCAAAACTTCTGCGTTGGCATCGGTGACTGTGCAATACTCCAATCCTTACCGTCTGCTTGGTAAGCTAATTGTACGGGTCTGTGGGAGACCTTCTCTGCAATGAATCGATACCCAAGGTCTTCGCGTACAAGCTCGTATGTTTCTCCCAGCATGGGATTGAACGGCTTCCGGATGGACCGCTCCTTCACTCGGTTGCAAGACAGTGACGAGAGTGCGAAGACAGTCACATACATAAGCCGTTCAATGGAATCCGAAGCGCTGGCGGCCTGGTCTAAAAGCATAGAATACTCCATAACCTCGGCTGCACGTTGTAACAACGAGAACGGTTCATTAGATGACACCGGCATCGAGATCTGGGATAGGTCTTTTCCGACATTCTTGCGGAGGAACCCGATCAAACTAGGGGGCATGACTGTCGGAGCTGGTATGTTCGAACGACGAGGAACTTTGCTAAGCGGTAGAGGAGTGAGTGATTTGGGTTTCGCAGGAAACAGCGGGGCGTATCGATCACCGTGAGGTGTAGGAGCCTCAGAGACATCGTCCTCACTGTCCGACGGCGCATCGTCCGCTACAACTTTATCTTCTGCTTGCCGGGCGGCGGCATCGGCGAAGTCAGCTGCCCCTTCATCGTCACTGTCACCCTTAATTTTCAACAACGGGGACGCACTGCCCCCGTCCACAGCATCGAAAAATTCCTGGGACATGTCCGATTCCATGCTGAGTCGTGACTGGGTCGTCAGACCCGGTGGGTGTCGTCGCTGTTTACTTTCCGCAATCAGAGTCGAGAACTCAGTGACAGAATCGTCCAAATCGCGTAGCACAGCCATAATTTGGTCATGTATTTCTTCCATCTGATCTGGGTGGCTGGTGACACTGCTTGATTTACGGTCACCGGCAAGCGAAGCAGTGTCTCCTGAGGGGGGCGTTGGCACGGCCAGCTGTGTGGAGGAGGGCGTCATCGTCGTACGCTTGACCCCGCCAAGTTGAGAACTTCCACTGGCTTTCCGTTTCCAGAAATGACGTTTTTCGCGCGCTTCTATGGACTCGTCACCATTTGCCTCAGGACGCGGACTCGGAGAGCGGCCGCTCGGCCGCTCCGAAGCACCATAACCCAAATACTTCGGATCTGTGTCTTTGGCCAATCGGCGAACAGCAGCCCTGGAGCCGGATATCTTGCTCACGAGGCTTTCAACCTGCGTCCATTCCCGCTCTTCCGCAGCGTTAGTGAGGATACGCTGCGACGGTACGCGTAACAGGGGCTCAGGATAGCTCTCCTCCACCGCTGGGGTTTTGGAAGATGCCCTTTCCAAAGCCCGCTTCCACAAAATGAATTCTTGATCATTGCTGGCTCGGAGATGCCAAACTTCGGTGCCTGAGTCAATTGAAATCTCACGCGAATTCTCGTTGCACGCGACGGCTGCTAAGTTTAAGGGAATGGAGCCACGTAGGGCGGACGAGTTCGGATCGTGGTAGTAGGACAGTGTGGATGATGTAAAATCCAAGGAGAAGAATCGTCTTGCCCAGCCCTGATGGCGCTTTCTCCGCCGCTTCTGCAGGATGCCGGTGTGGACGGAGGCTGAGTCGGTGTTGATAGATGGCGGTAGGGCCTTCGCAGAGCTATTTCCGCGTCTTCGCGAAGCCAGCGGCTTTCCAGATTCAGAGGAATCGGTTCCACGAGCCGGGAGGAGTGCAGCATGGGGTACTGGTGCCGACTGCGGGGACAAGGCTGTTGGATAGGTGAGTAGTACAAGGGTCACAGTCTTGGAGATCTGTTTAGAAAAGGTATTGTCAAAGACGAGCGCGTAATTCCCACCCTCATTAGCAGGTACATCGTAGGTGCCCTTCACAATCTTGTCTGCCTCGCATTTGCCGATCCAATGAATCTGCTTTAGTCCAATGCCAATTAGCCGCTCAACGATGGGCGTAGAAGCATTCTGACGAGAGCTCGCATTCAAAGCAGTGGCTGGTAGATTTTCATTCGAGTCAGTGCTTTGCGAGTCGGCAGGTGGCAAATTGCTCGATCCCAGGATGGCTGAATGGCCGGGATGCTTGAAGATGCCGAAGTTGAGAGACTTCTTATGCGGCTGAATGCTCCAGGAGATAGTATGACCGGGTTTGACATTGACCCAACGAACAAAGTAAGACTGGGGGAGAGAAGGCCATGTTTACCAGTCAGCGGAGGCTCCTATGATATATTACTTGGGACCGCATGAATCAAGTGCGTCATATCGTCACACTCCCCTTACCTTGCTGTGGATCTCCAACTCCTCCATGGCCGCCATGACTGCGCGATAAGGCCAGGTACACAATCACTTCGTCACAAGTAAATTGTTGTGATGGGATTCTAATTTTGAGCGAGGTCGAAACGGAGGAGAAGGGGGAGAAGCGATGATGTTATGTCGCTGAGAAGGGGAACATGGATTGATTGATTGATTAAACAATCGATCGATGACTTCAGTCTGTAGATGGGAATACCAGTGCCCTGTAAGGCAAGACAGCAAGATCTATAAATAGAGCAACCCAACCTTGGGTTTTCATAAAATAAGGTCCGAGGGATTCTTATGTAATTAAATTAACTGCACGGAGAATTGAATGAGTACTTAAAAAGGGGAGGGAGACGACTAAGAGAGGCTACGGAGAGTGCGGAGTTGCAACTTTTGAGGCTCCGAGAATCAATCACATGTCCTAGTCAAGTAACCGAATGAGGGTGACTTTCTACTCCTCTACATCCTTTAAACCTAGGTTCTAGAAGTCTTATTTCTTTCTATCAATTTTGGAAAGCAAATGGATGATCGTTTTCCAGCAAAGAAGAGAGGAAAAAAATTGGGGGAAAATAATAAGAAAACGTTCCATCTTTTCTACCCCTCGCAATCGAAATTCGGAGAATGTAAAATCAACTCCATCCAGAATCGTAAGGATATTTGTTACACAGTATACAGGAGAATACAAAAATAACATAAAAATATAAAGAATAAAGAAAGCACATTCCTATCTTTACCTCCGCTTCCCTGCTTGCATGTTGGTAAATAGCAACTTAAATCCATTGCATAACGCCCGCATATCAGGATATGGGTTGCGTTGGAGCTCGTAGCCTTGAGGAATCACCTTCACCGGCCAACTCTGCAGTCGCGCATTTTCCCCGGCTTTAAAGCAGAGGAAGAAATACCCGGCATGTTTGGGATCGATACAGAATGCGTAGGCGGACCGTTTTGGATTCGCTTTTGTATACGTCTCCAACCAGGAGTCTGTAGAATTGGTCAGCCATGGGCCAAGTCCTCCAGTGTTCATTGAAAAACGACAAAGGGGGGGGGGGGGGGGGGGGGGGGGGGGCGGGGGGGTAAGAAAAGAAAAGCTTACAAGTGGCGTCCTTGATGCCATCCTGATACTTCTCATGCAGCATCATTTCATCAACCTTCTTGGCCATCGCTTTAACGTGGTTGAAAATCAGATCATCCAGATCGCTGTAGGTGTAACGGCCCCCAACCTTGAGAGTCCGTCCGACGGAGAACTCGTTTTCCTTGTCCAACTCCAGCACATCAATGTGCTGGAAGATGCCATCAGCCACCTTCCATGTCACAGCCAGATGGTCTGGGCCCTTGGACGACGGTCGAATAACCACATCGCCTCGACTTTGCGAACCCAGGAACTCTTCTGCCTGAGTGGAATTGAATGGCCGGAACAAGGGATGCTTGATGACACGCATTGTTCGTCCACCACTTTGCGTTTTCTCCTGCATGGACTCACGATCCTGTTGCTCCTGCCGCTCATCCCATTCCCCACGTAAGCGATCCTGGACATTGGACACTGGTCGACTGACTTGCTCCTCCCGTAGAGAGGCGTTGCAAGTGAAATTCTTCCGGTTCAGGAACAGGATCTTAGCCGGCACGGTCTGATGTGGTGAGTATAACGCCCGAACGGGGATATCATATCGGTCGGTGAGCTCCGACTCGGGAACTAGGGCGTCGATACCACAATCCAACTTGCCGTCGATGTGGTCGTCTGAAACCCGCTTAATGGAGATCGGCACCACCATGCCTTCAGCCAACGTGTCCGGTGTCTCGCCCGTGAGCATGGTAAAGATGTCATCCGTACTAAGGAAGACATATTGCTTCCGCAGCTCCTCATACGGTTGTTGGAGTTCCGCCCGAATCGTTTCAAGTGTAGCACGTTTTCTTTGGTTCAAATTCTTTTCCAACTGTTCGGCGTACTCCTCCAGGATCAGATCATTGACTCGGTCTTGTGCTTCTTCCCGGAACAGTTTACGCACGATAGCGCCCGGGCCGTTCTCATCCGTTTCCGCTTTGATGTCCTCCTCATCCAACTCCAAGGCATCGGCAGCCATCTTCCGAGCAATATCATAGTCTTCGGGGTGTACCCGGGTGTTGTCTAGTGGATCTGCGTCCGGATCGACATTCTCAAAATCAATATACAAGAAGCTAGCGCAGTTGTTCCAGACCTTCACACCCATTGCTGGGTACTGTGCATTCACTCCTAGTAGCTCCACACGATTGTTCACTACACCGCCGTTCATGTTAACGATCTTGAGCAAGTGCGCTGCCTTACGTGGACCAAGACCACAGACGTAAGGAAGAAGATTGGCTGTTGCGGTATCTGTCACTGCTTCATTGATATCCACACCAACCAGATTGACCATATCCACCAAAGCTGTTTCTAGTTGTTTCAGGAGTAACTCTTGGGTGACCAACTGCTGGCCTGGTTTGAACTGAATAGAAACAATATCCCGGCCTAGTGAGGCATATTCCTTCAAGGGGCTCTGCAGATATTTGGCCAAAGCAACGCAGTAATGTGTCAAAGGAGCAAAGCTGGGGTGGTCCTTCTTTGCCCGTTCGCTGTGCTGGTAGAGTCGCGCCACCTCGTCGTTGACAATGACCACTTCCAAGCGATCACTGATCTCCTCGTCATGGTCATCAGTGTACGGAGCACCGCGTAAGTCTTTCTTATCGACAACCTCAGCCAGAAGTTTATATAACCGACGGGTCTCGGGGGACATGCCGCTAACGCCAATGACGTCTGGTCGTCGACGATCCACAAGCTCCACAAAGGCCTCAACATCCTTGCCGTCTGGGATATTGCGATCACGGTCTCCAATCGACAAGTCCACGAACTTTCCATTCTCTAGCACACGACCGTCCTCTTCAATATAGGTCCAATGTATAGGCTCCCGTCCGACAATACCAGTCCCAGTAGACAAAGCCAGGACACGGGGAACAGTTCCCAGCACCATTCCCTTCGGCTTATAAGGGGCTTGATCCAATCGCTGAGAGAAAGTTTCTCGACATTCCTTCGCCACATGATTTTCACATTCTTGACGGATGTTCTCCTTCACGCTGCGGTTGATCAGTCGCTCTAGCTTCCCAAGAGCCATATCCAAGACGTCCCGACGTGCACGATTCCAGCCGTCCGCGATTTCGCTATAGTTATCAGACTCAATGTCGGGATAGAGACGTTGGCGAAATTGGTCAAAATTCTCAAAGCGGACCTTGACTTCCACTAAGCCCTCCTCTTCGGCCTTGAGCATGCGAAGATAGAGTTCAGGTCGACGAGCGATGTCACTCAGTTGCTGGTTTCGGAGGTATTTAAACTCGTAGTACGGATGTTGCTCATCGATCCTACGCAGGCCCTTCTCCGTTCGAAAGCAGTCAACAGCACCATTCATGTAGTACGCCTGGCGCACCACCTTGCGCATCTTAGGACTCATCACAATTTCCTCGGCAAACAGGCTCTTAGCTGCTTTGACAACATGCGATGCATTAGAAAAGTCATTATCCACGAACCCATCGGCCATCTCCTCCGGCCGCTCTGCTGGGTCTTCCGTGTACTGACGACGACCCTCCTTCAGAGCATTTTGCGCAAAAGCGTCTGCTGAAATACCGAATGCGCGCACCAAGCCATATGCCTTACCATTCCGAACACGCTCGAAGAAGGTCTTGCTTGACGCCTTTCGCCGGTGTGTTTCACCGTTGGCATCGCCGTTCATGAGAGTCATGTCCCGTAGTTGAGACGCGTATTGGAAGTGAATATAATCCTGTACATCTTGGAGCTCCTCCATGGTAACAGCTGCTGGAAGCATCTCCTCCACAACAGGATCGCTCACATTGAACAGACTCTGCAGATTATCATAGGTTTTCTGGATAGTACTTCGTTTCTCTACCAGAGCCTTGAATTTAAGGTCGTGCTCAAATATGTCCCAGAGATCTGTCATGTTTAAAAGTTTTTCCGCCCGTATCGTGTACTGAGACGCATCGCCATCTTCACCGGTGCCCTCAGCAGTAGCCTTGACAGCGTGGATCATGTAGTCCTTGCGATGCTGAAATATGAATGGGACTTCCCAATCGTCTGTCACCAGGAATTCAAGCACCTTGGCTACAGAGCGTTGGAAAGGTTCGCGCAGCTCGGGCTCAATACGCTTCTTGAGGAGCATGAGGTTGGAGATCCAGGCGGCTTCTTCTCGGAATTGGTCTTCAGTCAAGACAACATTGCGATACGGTTTTCGAGCAATCTGATGTCTTTCTGGTTCATCCAACAGACGGATCTGGTTGTCCTCCTCCGTTAGCATCTTCTCCGCCAGCTGAGATGGCTCAAAGACATCCTTAAGGTCCAGGTGTTTCTCGTCAACTTCGTCCTGCTCTTCTTCATGGTCCTCCATCTCCAAGGCAAATAAGTATTCGTTTCCATCTCCGAAGGCGGCGCGCATGTCCTCCAGGGCGTTCTCATCCAAGCCGGCAGCATCAGTACCTCCAAGACCGGTCATACCCTTCCTCGCAGGACGCGCAATCTCCAGATCCTCTCGTTCTCGTTGTAGCTCCTCATCTGAAAAGACATCCTCCTCGATGAAGTCATCCATCTCATCATGCATAGGCCTTCTATGTCCAAGTCTGCCATAGTCACCTGCAGTTTCCTCTTCTTCGTCCGAATTGAAGATATCGTCAATACCCTGAGATGGTTGTCGAAGGTCACGATCTTTGTGTCCACGTTTCAAGCGCTTGAATTTAGACTAAGAGGATCGTAGCCTGGATTAGCCGCATATACTTGTCATACTTACACTCACCGGAGGATAGGGTAATGGGATTTTGACATACCTCTGCAGCAACCGGGGCCTGGAGCGATGGATTGAGTTCTCCAATAAGTTCTAAATCTTCCTCATCTAGATGCTCATCTTCACGCTCGCGTTCTTCCCTACGGCGCTTCCTTTTCTCGCGCCGGCGCTCTGCGCGTTCCTCGAGTTCCTCATCTTCATCGACAATGAAACCTTCTCGAACCTAGTCATAAAGTTATATCAGCAATATTCCAAGCCTGACTGTGGTCCCTCAGACAGAAAACCTACTGCGCGGGCAGCCTCCTCGTCGTCCTCGTCATCCTCGTCCTCTTCACTTGAGTCGTAGTGATTCGCAGGGCCAGCACCCTGATGGACTTCACCACCTTCACCGTCGTAGTCATCGGCCAATTCCTCTTCATTCTCCTCATCGTCTAACATGGCCTCCCCCTCGACAAAATCGTGGGCGCTCATTTTGTGTTTGCCGGGGAAGACAAGGTTCGATATACAAGGAGAAAGGTTACCGGTGTTTCGGGAAGAATGCGAAAGAGGATCAAAAAGACAAGAGGTAAAGCAAGCCGCCACTAAAGACAGCACCACAGAAAATTTGGTCCACTGGACACCGATGAATTATGGGTATTGAAGATACTTTTGAAGACTAACTCAATGAGACGGGGAGTTGTCGGCGAGCAAAGAAGCTCTGTGGCGCAGGACAAAGCTTCACCGCCCGGTGGAGCTAGATGTGGCTTGAATGCGATATCACGTGTGGTCGATGAACGAAACTTCTGATAACATCATGTGACCAGGGTACAGGGAAAGTAGACCATCCAAGCCCATGAAAAGATGAAACGCAATAATTCTCGGGGATATGGAACATCTGTAAATGCTTATAGTTTTATGCTGTACATCTCGTCGTCGAGCTCATCGCCTTATTACAGCGTCACGATGTTGCAGGATCATACTTCTCCTGTCAATGGAGTTACTCTGTATATACCCCATGCATCGACAAAGACTTAACGGAGATCGGGGGCTATGTATCTGGAAATTCTAGCTCACTGGCCTAGGAAAGAAATATTTCCGTTACTAAACCAAGTGTGGGTTAATTGAAGATATTGGGTATACATGTGGCGCATCTACTACAGTGATTGTACCTGTGATGATAAGTAAATCAATACTGGGATCAAAGCAGGAACTGAGAATTATTCAAGAACCATGCAAGAATGATTGTAATATATAATTAGAAAAGCGAATTAATTGATTGCCATCCCAACTCTTGTAAAGCCTTTTCTCAATTTCTTTTTCGAATCCTTTTCCCTTTAGAGAGAGCAAAAAGAGAACAGAAAAGGGGACTTGCTCGTTAAGTATATATCTATATAATATACAGGTATCTTGTACTATAGTCCTGTTCTATCCCATACAACTATTTGTCCATAGTTCATTCAATGAGACCCGCGCGGTTGTTCCTGGTGGGGATCCAGACTCACTCTCTTACACTATCTTTCCTCCACCCAAACAGAAACTCCCACCATACTCTGTCAACGCCTAACTTGGGCATTTCACCTACCTAAGACCCTTTAGATACGCTCCCTCTCGTATTGGTTTACTTATCCCCCTCATCGAGAATACCCCGAGACGCTCTTCAACTTGTCACTGTCCGCTGGGTTAAGTATAAATCGACGTCAGGGATTCTAAACACCCCCTCACCTTGTCTGCCTTAGAATACACGGCGCTTGTACACACCTCGGTGCCAATATAAGGCCCCGGTCTTTTTGTTTTATTTTTTATTTTTTATTTTTTATTTTATTTTTTCTCTCTCCTTCTCTCCCCTCTTTTCTATCGCCGGTCACTGGATAATTATCAATCCCTTCTCATCATTCACAACATTTCCAACCGCATTAGAGGGTCGAGCGCAACTGTGCAGAGTAGACAAGGAGCGCTCTCTAAACCACATTTAATTTGATCTCTGGATTTATTCCTTAGCGACTGCGACGGAGTCACTCTGTCGTCCAACCATGGCCGATCAATTCAAAGCTCGAACGCTGAAACGCAAAAATGTTAAAGGTCTCGCCCTGAATGCAGCTCCCAAACCCCCTTCCAACCCGTCCGATGGTGATGCCCAAATCCCCGGTGCGATTGGGAATACCGACAGCAACCGTACCGACACGCTAGAGATCGGGCTAGAATTCCGTCTCGATCTTCGCAGTGAGGATCTGATTACCTTGAAAGAACTCGGGGCTGGGAATGGTGGTACAGTTTCTAAGGTCATGCATGCCTCTACAAAGGTTGTCATGGCTAGAAAGGTGCGAATGATTTATTAAGCGCCAAAGGGGACTCTGCTGACCTTCCCGTAGATCAAGGAGAGCGTTCGAAAGCAGATATTGCGAGAGCTTCAAGTGGGACACGACTGCAATTCCCCGAACATTGTGACTTTTTACGGAGCATTTCAAAACGAAGCCAGGGACATTGTTCTGTGTATGGAATACATGGACTGTGGGTGAGTGTAAAGGGATTTTCGCAGATGCCAGTGTAATTAATTCATATCTAATGGTCTCCCTCGATAGCTCCCTCGATCGTATATCAAAGGACTTCGGCCCCGTCCGAGTGGATGTGCTAGGCAAGATTACGGAATCGATTCTGGCAGGTCTTGTGTATCTCTATGAAGCGCACCGCATTATGCACCGTGATATCAAGCCATCTAATATACTCGTCAACTCGCGGGGAAACATTAAACTTTGTGATTTTGGCGTCGCTACTGAGACGGTCAATTCGATCGCGGACACCTTTGTCGGCACCTCGACTTACATGGCACCTGAGCGTATCCAAGGTGGGGCGTATACTGTGCGTTCGGATGTCTGGAGTGTAGGCTTGACCGTCATGGAATTGGCTGTAGGCCGATTTCCATTCGATACCTCAGATTCCTCGGCAGGTGATCGAGCCAGTGCCGGTCCCATGGGCATTTTGGATCTTTTGCAACAAATTGTTCATGAGCCCGCCCCGAAGCTTCCAAAGAGCGATGCCTTCCCCCCGATTTTGCACGAGTTTGTCGCCAAATGCCTACTCAAGAAATCCGAAGAGCGGCCAACACCGCGAGAATTATATGTGATACCCACTTTCTCCTGTGCATTTACCTAGAACATCGCCTTGCTGACCCTGGATGTAGGATAAGGATGCATTCCTTCAAGCTGCTAAGCGTACTCCGGTTGATCTTCAAGAATGGGCTATTAGCATGATGGAGCGACACAACCGAAAGTCTTATCTAGCCCCCCCGCCGCCTAAATCTCTCAAGGATGAAAAAGAAGAATCGCCGCGCTGTAGCCCCGCTCCCAAACCGGCAGTTAGCAAGTCGTCTCGTACCGCACATTACACGTCAACTTCCGGAGAGATCCCGTTGAATATGGCCAACGAAAAGTCTTCACATAGCCGCCATTATCATATACCGCCGAACCCATCTCCTCGTCCCAGTCGGTCGACCAGGTCCCCACCCCCTATTTCACTCGAACATCTATCTCTAGAAACCAAGGATGACGAGTACCGTTCGGGGCGCCGTCCCTCGCGTGCGCACGTGGGGGACCCGATCTCCGCACTTGAGCCTCCTCATCAGCATATAGCGTCTCGCTCCGCGAGCTCGCACAACATGAAGTCAAGAATGCCTCTTCAGACATCGGCTCTACCTGTTCGTGCAGCTCCCCCTCCCAGTGGACCCTTACCCCCGGCTCCGGCGTCCGGTGCCTCGTGGCAACGTTAAGTAACTGGGTGCGTCACAATAACTGCGCGCAATACTTTCATCTGATCATAGGCGTCACTGCAAGCAAGACTAGCTGATCGATTTTAACTTTCAACCCGAAGAAATTGCGTTTGGCCTACTGTCATTGAACATTGCCCAGCCTTTTATTTTCTTTGTGTCCTTGTCAATAACACGCCCGTTCCATTACCTTTTCAATTCTGAACCATTTAGATGTCGAACTCACCAATGACCGCTTGCTTGGCTATGTTTGTCATGATTTTTGCATCGGTAAGGCGTATATTCATTGATTGGCTTTTTTTTTTAAATTTGTATTTTCCCCCCCATTCTGTTCATTAAAGGGACCCTTGAGCTGGCTACATATGTTTTGATAGCAATACTTTGTTATTTATGTGGAAGTATATTTCTTGTTTACTCTACTTTTGCCGGGATGTCGAGCTGGCACTCTTGCATCTATGTTGTTTGTCTCATTATCTGGCATTTCGGCCAATACTTCGTCGATGCAAGGATAAAAAATTACGTGAATTCTGCATGCGTTAATATAAGCGTCCCCTCTCCTTGCTTGCGGAAATAAGTATGTATGTCAGGATATTTGGACTTAGGTTGGGATATTTACAAGATACTTTAGCTTTCTTGTGATGAGATGGTCTCCTGTAGAATAGCACGGGCTGGAGCTCATCGCTGGATAAGACTTGCGTTTTCCATGATCTGACATCACACTGTATACCTGATATAGCAGCCATAATCAAACCGAACCCTCCCCACTGAGTCCCTTTTAAAATAGAAACATATAACTTCGCCGCATATTGAGCGGCAGACACATAAACGAGATAATATAAAAAAGACACCACCCGGATCATGTAGAAACATAGAACACCATCCAACCACAAAGTTTGGAAAGAGAAGAAGCCAAAGAAACCACTGTTAAGAAACACATAACAGGTATGCAATACCGAATAAAAGCACAGTAATAGCCTCGCAGCAGAAGCAACCATTCTACAAATACCCTTTCATCGTTCCCTTTGTACCCAGGTCCAGTGACGCCAACAAAAGCAAGAAACCACATAACTTGATGCCTAGACCATGAATCGTGTTCGGGGAGGTTTGATGGAGACAAAAGGAGACTGATGGGTAATCATATCTACTTCATCACCAGCTCAGAACCTGCTACCGGATTGGAACCCGGGGGCGCGGGGGCGAGATTGGGACGCGGTGCTAATTCGACCATTGACGGTGCCTTTCCCCCTCGAGTGCTTGTTGAGCCTCCCCGGCCAGCGCCGCCGCCGCCTCGTCCATGAGGCGTGGAAGATGCTCCGCCCGATTTGTCCTGCTCCGCCTTGGGCTTTGTGCGCGGACGCCGAGTCGTACTGCCACCCCGTGACCCAGGGCCTCGTACAGGGAGGCCTGTCTCCTGCGAGATCGGGACGGCGGCGGCTAATGGTGTTTGATGGGCAGCAGACTGAGGTCCTCGATTGCGACCGCCGCGACCCCGACCCCGGCCGCGTTTGATCGTGCCATCGGCCCTTTTTCAATACATTAGTGATTGAGGTAGCGAAGGCATATACACCAGAGGCAACTTACCGTTCTACTTGTACCTTTTCGCCCTCTGGCACGAGAGGGCCACTATACACGAAGAAACCGTCTTTGCTGGCAGCGGCCTGTTCCTGCCAAGCCAGCTCACTATCATCAACAAAGGGATCGTCCCGATCATATTCCTCCATCTTCTTGCGGCGCTTCTTTTTCCCCTCCGGGGCCTCGGGCCCATTTGTGCGAGCCGCTGCACCGCCCAGCGCACTGTCGCCATCCAGATCGCTGTCACGCTCAACCTCGAGACTGAGATCTTCATCGGCGCTCTCGCCGGCGGAAAGTCCGCGAACCGACTTGTCATTTCGCTCTAAAGCAGCACCTGCTGCGGCTACGCGGGCCAGTCGTTCCTTGTGAGCTGCCAGGCGAGGATGCAAAGCGGCAAAGCCATATTGTTCCTCAGCCAAACGCGCAAAATTGACAATTCTGTTGCCGGTCCCTTGCAGTGGAATGTGTAAGACAATACTCGGCGTCCGCCGAGAAGTAGGATCGTCGGTCGACGCGGTATCACCCACACCGAACAACGCATTGGAAATAAGTCCTGAACCTTGAGGCAATGGAGGTGGTGGCTCTTTGGTCGCACGAGATGGCTTCGGCGAGGCAGCATTGGATGTGGCGGCTGTTGCAGGAGCTTTGGTGTCCTTCTTAGTTGCTTTAGGTGCAGCCTGTTGGTCCGTATCTACATCCATTGGCATAGGCCCGGGTGAAGGCGCACGATGATTGTTTGGTGGTGTTGGCACCGAAGGCTCTGGCGCTGCTGACTGCCTTGGTGGTGGCGGGGGCGGGCCTTGAGACGAAGAATGGCCAGAGGACTGCGAATCGTGCGACGGCTGCAGTTGTGAAGGGGTGGGATAGGGTGACCGATGGCTGTAGGGTGAGATCGGCTGCGGTGGTTGTGGACGTGGCGTCTGAGCGATGACAGGTGTGGCTATAGGGGAAGAAGAGTATATTGATGCGCCATGATTGGGAGAAGCATATGGTCGGGGAGCATAAACGGACGGCGAGGTGTGTGTGGGCGGATCGATGATGCTGGCTATGGCGGGCGAGGCGCTAGCGCGGAATGGTGGGCGGGGGGAGATAGGACGCGCCGGAGGACTGAAGGTCGATGTCGGCCCTGAATTTGGGGCCGGGGAAGCTGTATCGAAGGCGGACCGAATGGGATCGAAATTCTGACCGCTAGTTCGAGTTGGTAGGGGAGGTGGTGGCTGGGATTGAGGCTGCGGAGGTCCTGCGGGAGCCATCGTTGGATAAGATGACGGATGAGCAAGGGCCGCGGGCGGCGGAGTGGGATGAGAGGAGGATGGCAGAGGGGGGGATGGCTGCAATGGTGACCGATGTTGCTGTTGTAGGTGAGATTGAAGCAGGTTAATCGAGCCCGACGACGCCGGAGGGCTAGCAGCGGGCGTACTTGGGAGTTGGACGGAAACTGGAGCTGGAGCTGCTGCTGCCGCTGCAGCAGCAGTGACAGTAACAGTAGTAGGAGCTGGGGTGGAAGCTGCAGAAGCCGCCGGAGCACTTGGACTCTGGTCCGGCGGCGTTGCTTCCAACTTAGGCTTCTTTCGAGCGTGAGTAGAGGAATTGGAAGGATTGGCTGACGTCGACGACGATTTGTCTCTTTGGCGACGACTGCCGCGTTTCGACTCTCTTGGATCCTGCTCTTTATCCCTGCTGTCCTTGTCCTTCGTTTCCTTATGATTCTCCTTGTCCAGTTCCCTGTCGGGCTCCCTCTCCTTTTCTTTCTCTTTCTCTTTGGCCTTTGATTTGGTAGGCTTGGAATTGTCCTTTCGTTCAACGTCCTGTCCCTCGTCCTTCTTGCGACGCGACCGTCTAGGGCGAGCTTCACGGGGTGTTTGGTCGATAGAAGTGCGCGACTCGAGATCGTCCTGAGCCGTCCGTATGGCCGGCTCGGTGGACATGATGGGAGAAGAGATTTAAAGAGAAACCATCGAGAAGAGTTGCCTCAAGAATGGAGAAAGCGGACGTAGTCGGAGAGTTATGAGAAACGGTTTGGGGGGAGAACTGTTCGTCAAGCTAATTTTTTTTCTCGCTCTTCTCTTCTGTTTTTGATCTTAATTGTAAAGGGTGAACATATAAATGGAATAATAGAACGAAGGTGATGAAAGAGAAAAGGAAAGAAAATAAAAGAAATAGGGAAAAACAATAAAAAGGAAAGGAAAAAGTAAATCAGATAAAGAAGACAGATGGTGATGGCGAAACACAAGAGGATGAAGGTTGGTAGAAAAGGAACGCGAAAAGGAAAAGAGAGGAGAAAAGGGGAGCGAGATTCTGTTATGTTCTCGGGTAGAGAGAGAGGAGAACGGATCAAGTCAAAAGAGATTCTTCCAACTATTACTGTAGAAAAGTATGGCAAGGGGGAAAGCAAAAGGGAATCAAACTAAAAAGATAGAGATAGCTTACAGGCAAAGGAGGAACATCAAAGAAATGAAATGAAGTAGAGAAATGAAAGGGAAATATCATTCTGACTTGTTTTTGTTCTCATCCAGAAATACTAAGTGGAATAGACGGTCGGCCGAATATCCAGGATAAATTATATATATAAATATATATATATACTTATCTGTCTATGGTACAGATAAAGATCATCTCGCATAGATTGTTTATATAATACTGAACATATTTTCTTTTTCTCTCTTTTTTTTTTCACTGAAAAACCCCCTCCCCCCAATATATCTAGTCTTTTGTAAGAAGAGACATTGAATATATACTTCCATTTTCATCTATACTCCAGTTTCAAATCAGATGATCAGACTTGCGTTTCCCAATCGGGAAACTCTATCAGGTGACACGCCATTCCCGGGGAGAGTTAGCGCGTCTTTATTTAGCTTTTGAGCCGCATGCTGAGTCAGCAATCTAATTTCAGTTCTTGATCTTTTTTTATCTACGAGAAGAACCAATTATATATATATACTACCACAGCAAGTTTGTTCTTTTAGTGGGATTCATATAGCCAGAGCCACCATGGCATTTCGCGGTGAAAGATTTGTCCTTGACTTAGACTCTGACAATGGCCAGCCTTCATCTGCACCTCCAGCTTCCTCTATCTCCATTCCGGGCCTGATCGGCGAAGTCCGCGAGCGCTCACCTGCTGCCGCTCCAGCTCCCCCCAAACCTGCTGTAGCTGGATTTCCTGCCCATCGTCGCCGCGCCAAGCAGTCGGGATTCAAACAACGCCGAGAACTCTTTTCAGACAGTCCATCTATAAATACAGCCCAAAATGATGAGAAAAGGATCATTGATGATGAAAACCGTCGGCAGTTAGCCACTATGTCCGACGACCAGATTCAACAAGAACGAGAGGAATTAATGACATCTATGGATCCCTCATTGCTTGAGCGTTTCCTTCGCAGAGCCCGTATTGATTCCGAAGAGTTCAAGTCTGATCTTCAGCCAGACCCATCACCGTCTATTGAACTTCCGGCAAAACCCGCCGACGCAGTAGCTCCTCGACCCAAGTCTGTATGCGAATCAAAACCTCCGACCCCTCGAGATGACCTACCTCCCGCGCAAATGCCCGACGACCTTCATCCTGCCTCTGAATCTCTCCCCAGCTCCATCCACTTCCCTACCCCGCCGTCAAAATCGAATGCAATGCCCGATCTAGACCCGTCATCACCGTCGTTTCTGTCCGACCTTCAAGCCCACTATTTCCCAAATATCACCCACGATTCCTCCGCTCTTTCCTGGCTTCAACCGCCTTCCACAGACTCGGATGCCCCAGACGCGACCTCCGCCTACCATCCGGCTAGCAATGCTGAAGCCGTCCACCCTGCCGCGCTCCGGTTCTCCTTCTTTGGGACGCTGCTTTCACCCAGCACTTCTCTTGCTCTGCCGACTAATTTAGGTCTCCACCACCATGGCAAAGACCCCCATGCCGCTGGTTACACTGTACCTGAACTAGCCATCCTTAGCCGCTCCTCCTTCCCCGCCCAACGTTGCATTGCGTGGCAGGTCCTTGGCCGCATCCTCTTTCGTCTTGGGAAAGGTCAGTTTGGAGAACGGGGGAGTACACTGGTAGAGGGGCTATGGTCTGTCATTGAACGCGAGGGTGTGGTCGCTGGCATGCTAGCTGAGGCCGATGGTACATCAACCGGAGCGACGCGCGCAGAGAAGGGGCCTGCAGCAGAAAAACAGCAGGAACAGACGCCAAGGCCTAAGGGAGTCGTTGGTCGTCATGCTAGTGCTAGTGCGTGGGCTGTTGAGGGCGTATGGCTTTGGCAGATGGGTGGTGGTGGAGACCGGGGGATTTTGAAAGAAGGGACTGTTAGATCTCAATAAGTCCTTTCTTCTCCCCACTTGATGCGTGTGATTTCTCTTTCAAACGACCGGATGTCCCCAGATAATGAACATATAATGAACAGAACTAAAGTTATTCACTAGCTGTGACGTTTCTTGGATCTCTCATGGCTTGGCATGCGGTAACCTACTGTACTCCTGACTATGCTATAAAAGAAACCTTGACCCTAACAAGAAGGAACGACAGGATTGTAAATCATTAGAAAAGGACGAGGAAGGCCAACAGTTTTTCCGTATTCAGCCTTCAAGTCATATCATGCGTAATAACATAAGTATACACCTTCAAAAATAATCACCAGACTGAACGCCCAAGATCTTCCAGCGTGCCTCTTCTACGAAATCTCGCCGTAGCCACAGTCCCTCGGACTCGCTCGCCATCCTTGTGGCTAGATCCTCCGATGTTCCAGTCTCTTCTTCGAGTTCTTGCATGCTCTCATCGGAATGAAAGCCGAGAAAGTTGAACAGAAGCCGCAATTGCCAGATTCGATCGCGAATTTCATCAGGATGTGCACCACGACCTTGTTCTGTGCGGATGATATCCTGCACTGTGTTCTCAATCACGAGCTTACTGTCAACCGCCGACTGTCGTAACCATGGCGCATAGGAGACAACATTGGTGCCTGGGGTGCGAGTACGGGCTGGGAAAGATGATGGTAAGACGAGAGCCTTCTCACGAACATCTAACGCCTGGAGCGACCTAAGGCTGAAAATCCACTCCCACATGCTCAGCGATGGCGAGGACGGAGGAGTGGGAGCAGTCACTCCGGTGAGCGGAGCAGCAAGGGTTGGCCTTGCCGCTGGCGGTAGTCCCTTGCCATGGTTTGATGCAGTTGTGGACGAGGGAAGAACGTCCTGGGCTTCGCTGAGCCCCACTAATGTCGAAACAAAGGCAGACGAGCCTGTTGGGTTGTATGTCGCTTTTCGTCGTAAATAGACCGACTGGTCGCCGCGTCGGAATTTCTCCCGGAGAGGAGGGTGGCGCGTGAAGTCAAGCACCAGCGGCCAATAATCGGCGCTGTGAACTTCTACTTTCGCGATGGAGCCCAGTTCAGGCAGGAGACAGGGGGCGGTGATTTTTCGGCTACTGCCGCTGGCGCTTGTCACTGTGATAGGAATGGATATGGGCCGGCGAGAATCAATGTCTCGGGGCACGAAACAGCGCGGCTCGGCAGCGAGAACCCATAAGTGGCGGAATGCCTGTAAATGACATTTGTTATCAAGTACTGTTGTCGGGAAGACCGGGTATAAGGAACAGATGAGCGACGCTATAGCCAGATCGGACGTGCCGAGAGTGTAACTGCCTCCGCCCAGGAAAAGCAGCCCGATCGCCATATGTGCTGCCATATGACTGCCATAGGGTGTATCAGCATCCACACGCCCATGCAAAGAGCGTAAGCGGCGGAACAACGCTAGGTCCCCCGTCCCTGCCATTACAGTTGCTGCTGAGAGCGCCACGACATCCTGACAGTGCCGGACGGAATTCCTCGCGAGCTTCCCGTCGTAGTTGATAGCCGGAAGTCTACAGATGCGGATAAACTGATCAAGATATGAAAGGAGGATGTCACGCACTGTTGTCTGCGCAGAACCCGCATAGCGGAGACCAAGTGTGAAGCAAAGACCAGCAATGATATTGAAAAATGGCATATCCTCGCTTTTCAGTCGCCGGACTCCCGTCAGACGGTACCGGCGGCGGTAAAGCCCTGGAAGGTTTTGAATGAACCATTCGTCACTGGGTTGGATACTATCCCACATGATGACATGCCGGGCAAGTGTACGAAGGAGGAACAAGTCTGGTCGTACATAGTCGTAGCGTACTGTGGTGTCAGGGATATTGATCTTCTGGGCCAGGATCTTGTCATTCGTCTTCATGAAGATAATTGCCAGGGCAATCGTTGCACCGGCAGTAGCCCTGTCAAGGACATGTGCTAAGTCAACGTTCTTCGTCCCTACCGCCACGGCCAACAGTCTTTCTACAATATGCATGTCTCGCATCCCTCGTAGATCCTTTCCCTTCGCTAAGTTGATAAAACCAAGAGCCATCCCGGCAGCTAAACGGTAGCCTTCGTCACGCAAATCTTCTCGACCTGCGGAGGTTTCCTCCTGATCCACGTTTTCGATCTCTGATAGCATCACTTCACTCATTCTTCGATGTTGGGAGCCGCAGTACAGTAAGCCAATCCCCATAATACCGGCGGTTTGGGTTAGCGGCGATAGATTCAGCTCGGCGGCACCGAGAGGGAGCATTCTCGTTACATGGACTGACAAGAGCCGGGTGATTAATGTATCCATCGTGCCCAGGTAAGAGGCAGATAGGCCTAGTAATAGACCAATAGACGTCATTGTATGCTTGGGAGTCAAGTACTTAAAAGCTACCCATTTCGCCAAAGACTTCAGATGGCCATTGAGTCCCAGGGCTAACAAAAAGCCAGCGTGCCGATTGGTTAGCTCTTGCGGTTTGTTAAAAAGAATCCACGAGGTGTCAATACCCCTGGAGTTCCTCGATATTGCGAGACCGGTAGAAACACCATTATGAAAGAAGGCCCAGCATACCTTTTCCTCGCTAAATGATGTCCGATCCGCGCTTATCGTTACATTCGAAGGTTTCATGATACACTGCAGCGAGAATGAAGGAATTGGGAGCTTCTCAGTTAGCAGAGGTAGTCGCCCACTGAATGCTAGCATAGCCCGTCCTATAGGAATGGATAACGTTCGAAGCGTAACAAGTTGCACCAGCTCTTTCTGCGCCTCTAGTAAATCCGAGTCGTTCCAATCGGGCTCTGGGATACACTCCGCTGCAGGGGGTTTAGACTGATTTAGCAGCCTAGCGGCTTCGATGAAACGCTTGTCCTCACGAAAGATTAGTCTAGTCACGGAAAACCTATCTGCCTCGGCAGATGCCTCGAAGGAATTGATCGTATCGATATCCAGGGAGGAAACGCCAATATGATGAACATCGCGTATCGCGTCATGCGACACAGCAGGGTGCCATGCTGACGGCGTGCAAGGGTTATAAGTACACATCGATATACTTAGATCTTCGCGATCGACTAGCTCTAGGAGTGTTGAGCCCCATGACGTTGAAGCATGCATCTGAGACTGCATGATGGCTTCGTACAAATGAATACTGATGCCCTCTGGGAATGTCTCAATGACACTTCTAGTGAAGCCCCAGCGATGAAGAAGCTTTGTCCGGTCGAGAGACGTTGAGGCGTTATGTACTTCGGAGAGAAAACCATCCAATGCCAGTGTTCTTGGGGTGAGCATAAAGCATTCTTGCCATAATTTCCCCTTTCTCGGAGTGTGTTCTGACCCGGTTACCAGGTTAAGAAGGGTGAAAAGGGGGAAAGGAAACTGACGCCACGCAGTCTCTACATAACTGAAGACTGAAGGGGGCGTAAAAAGCTCTTGTGGTACATCTAACATGGAAATCCGGGTATCTTCGAACTGCCAGCGGTCAATACTAGCAATCTCCATGCCATAATATGCATCTTCGGCCCATGTCCAAGACTTCCATCCTAACCACCCTCCAATTTGTGCTAAAACTGGAGCCAGTAGACCCAAGGCTTTGCGAGACTCCTCGCTTTCACAGATCGACAGCTTTTGTTCTTCACGAAGTAGATGTAGCCCGACAAGTATTGTACACAGAGCGGTCTGTCGTAGACTCTGGCTGTAAGAAAGCGCTGTTGGAAGATGGCCGTCTGAACCTACAACCGCGATACCCTTGGGAGTTTGCAAGAATTCGCGGGTTAAAGCTGCACATCGGAGCAAATAAGTATTCTTGCGGTATGTTGGCCGGCTCGAGCCTGTTTGCTCAGTCTTCATGGACTTTTTCCCGAAGCAAGTACTGCGATCTTCTCTAGCATCTCGTTCGACAACCCAACCCCAGGAGCTGGTGTTTATCCATGATGACACAACACCAGCAGACCCTGACTCTTGGTCTAACATCGTCTCCCAACTTTCCAAGTCCACATGGCTGCCGCTGCTTGACCGTAGCAGGGCTTTCTTTTTACGTATGCGCTGTGCAGGCGCCCGTGACTGGTCACTATTAATAAATGGAATTGCCATTGCAAACAGGACCACTACCATTGCGGTCCACTCGAGGTCTTTTTCGGTTGTTTCCCTTTCGCGAAGCCAGTTCACTGTTTCCCACCAAGCTGCTAGCATTCCGTCGCCGGCTTTCTCTGAGTCTGGCAAAACAAATCGACAGGTCCTAAAGATATTCTTCACAAGTTCATTTCTAGGCTCCATATGGATCTGTAGCCTATGCTTCCGCCTTTCGGAATCGATCAGGTCAACCTTCCCTTGAATGGTGGCGTGATCTAGACCGGTAATTGTGAAAGAATCAGTCATGAGCCGATGCATACCGCTTTCCCTCGGCCGATTTACAGATGCAGTGGGAGAGACTCCGTATGGCTCATATAACAGAAGTTTCTTCGGCACATCAACAGTGATTGGGCTGCTCCAAGGACTTTGTAAAAGAAGCTCTTGCTGTCCGTTATCTGTCGTGCTCAAGGTCATGATCCGTGAAATCTGTCCATCAACAATCTTACAAGCATCACATATACCTGAGAAGTGCTGTACGCTGGTCGCATGAACAAGTAACGAGCGCTCATCTGGGCTTTTTCTCTCCTTCATTCTCTTGGAAAACAATGATTCTTTCTTCGGGATTGAGACCCTGTCTGCTCGTAAGTTAACAACTGTCATCGACTTGGCGTCTTGGTCTACAACACAAAGAGCTAGAACAGCTGAATTCCCATTCTGCGAGCCCGTGCATTCCGAGGGACATATTGTAATAGTCCTCGGCTTTCGGGACGGCTTCGACTTGACTGGAGTATGAAAATTGTTAGAGAACCGGGAGGAAAAGCTCTCAACTTTTGACAGCAGAACCTCCTCGGGAAGACCCGATGCTGATTCTTTGAGGTCCATGTTCTCAAATCCTTCAAATAAACTTTCACTGTTAAGCTCCTCCAGGAGCCTGTCAACCGGAGCATCAACGAAGCTGGTGGTTGTGCTATATACCGAGCCATTTCCAGGCGGTAGAGAAGCCCTAGGGTTGAAACCGAAGCTTCCGCGGCTGCTTGCAGCACCTATCGACTGTCGGAGGTTTCCGTGCGGAATAGAGCTCGATTGGCTTCCTGTAGCAAGGTCCGAGAATGTTATCCTATCTTGACCAGTCGCAAGGTCGGCTCGAGCGAGCAGAGAGCTCACCCGCCTTGAAGTTTTCAGTGGAACTCCAATATCACCAAAATCCTGGCCCAGTTTAGAGGCAAGGTCGTCGTCATCTGGTATTCCATCGGTAGAGTATTGCGAATGAGACAGGCCCGGTGTATTCCAATTATCGCCCCTAGGGCCAAAGCTCTCCCTGGTAGCAGAGGGGCGAGCGCCAGGAGTTGTTGTTCCTGTTGCCACTCCAAAATGCGAGCTACGTCGCTTGGACCAGGTACCACCTGTCTCGCGCCGTCCCCTCTTCTTAGACGAGGGATTAGCTCCATCTTCCCTGTAACGTGCTGTCCAGATAGTGTACAGCCCCGTATTGACATTGACGGTCAACACTAGAATTAGGGGACCGTTAATTAGATTCCTATTAGACTCTAAGAGCTCGTCTCTGGAAGAGACATAAATGATCTCATCCGCTGCGCCCAATACGTCCAACCCAGAAGGTCCGCTGGTAATACTACTTTGTAGAAAACGAGATGTCTGGTTGGTCACAACGAGTCCCATTTCTGAATGCGGGTCCATGAGGGAGAACACCCTAGGTAGTTCGGGCTGTTTGTGCGGCGACCTTAGACCAGTGCCTTGAGCAGGGGATACAGTCAACGACGGTCTTTTGCCTCTAGAAGGGACTTCTAGAGATTGGGATATGCGCAAGTCCACTGTTGTAGGTAACGACGACATGAACGAGTTGGGCGGCGCCATTGGGTAGAGACTCGTATCTTTATTGTCCTCCTCGTACATTTTTCTCTGAAATAAAAGACCCTTGGGGGTTGCGAATACTGAATCCACCTCGAATGGTAATGGAACGACATGACTGTTGCCCGCCAGGAAGAAGATATGGGCTTGAGATTTTAGGACCACAACCAACGCTCTAGTCGATTCGAAGTCATTGGCTCCTTGAGCACCTCGTCCACGTATATTCAAGGTCACTCCTGTGGTTTCTAGTCTCGATTCTTCCCCATCCTGTTGACCTTGTGAACCACGACCTCGGCCGGGATCGTTGTTTTTTCGAAAAAGGCCCTCATTCGTCGCTGGAGAAACCTTGCCATTGGGTCTATTCAACTGACTAACCGAAAAGTTTGTCAGAAGAGCATGCCTGATCTCCTCCTTTTCAAGATCTAGCCGGTACACCCTCTGCACAGTCCTTGCTCGAGACCAGACTACGCAAGTCTTCGTCCAAACGATCTCATCCTCGACGGCGCCATTCTGGCCTGTATCGACACTAGTCAACCATGCATAGTGATTATCGGACGGATCGGGAGGCAGTAATCCCTCTGCGACGAGAAAAGGTATGGCCGAGGGCTGGTGAAGGCCAAGGGATCGGACAGTAGCCATTATCGGCGCGAATAAACAGATGTCGTCGTAGAATCACTGGCAATGGGAGCCAGGGGCGAGAACATGTTCATTGCCCATTGGGACTGCGTGACCTGATGTTAAACTGAGCGCTGTGTCCTGACTTATGGTGCAGTGTGGAAAATGCTTGGGAGGGGTGACGCGCTGGACGCGGCGGAGCTTTCTCCATTTATTTCTTTAATCAGCTGCTTTTTTCTCTCCGCAACACACCAAAAACAACTTCGTCTTTCCTCCACATTGAGTGCGCCACCCCTTACGCTTGACTAGATTCGAGGGTATTCTCACTCACGATATCCCATAGTTTCTTCGATTAACCCTCACCCGGTTTAATTTCTTCATATATTGCTTGCTATACGGGATTAGTCGCCCTGCGGTTGTTTGCAGCTCTACAACCCAGCAAGGACCCCAATCGCATTCATCAACCACCATGCCATCCTTTCCCTCTAGGCCCTTGGCCCGGCCTAGAGATGACGGCCTGCAGCTAAGGTACATGGCCTTTGTATCCTCACCCTTGAACAGCGCTAACAGAAATCTTCACATATAGCTACCAACTTCCTCACCGCGTTTACACCGCCAAGGGCTACCCTGTCCTCGCACATAATGGCTCGTCAATTATAATCTACGGCTATGAAAACGGATTGAAGGTAATTTGGAGAGGCGGAAGACCGTTTGCAAATGGGAAACCGTCGGCCCCCCCAGACAAACCGCAAGAGAAAACTAACCGAGGCAACGACGACGCCATCATGATCATCGATTCTGATGACGAGAGCCCCGCGGAACCCCTCAAAAGTGATGAAGCAAGTTATCAATTTGAAGATGAAGTACCGGAGATTGATCCCATTTTCCCATTTGAGAGTGTACTGCACCAGATCGACATCCCCCTTGGGGCCAGAGTTCTCGAGTTGGCTGTTCCTCGCATTCTTCCCGAGGGCGCACGCTCATCGCTCGATCATTTCCCACCTATTCTGAAGAAACACATGGTCATCTCGGCTGTATGCGCTGATCTTTCTACCCGGGTTGTGACACTGCCTTTGTCCCCCCCTCATCCTGCCCGATTCGAAGTCTCCTCGTGGGTTCAGGCGTTATCCATTAGCGGAGGAGTATCGCACCAGGATGTGCCAAGGGGAGTGAGCCTTGCCTTCACTTATCAAGAGGCGGAGCTGCAGGAAGGTCAAGATAAGGCTCGAAGCCAAAGTGGATCTAATGGAAATGGCCCGGGGAGGTGGGATCTCCTTGTGGCCACTCATTCAGCCGAGTCATCGGGCCTACTCATAATACACCGAATTCCAATTGTAGAACAGACTGATCATGGCGAAGTGCAGTATCGTTTAGATGATAGTGATATCGACTCAAAGCGACGTTACCTGCCGAACCCGGCCCAAAATATCGCCTTCAACCCATCATCCTACCCGTCACCCCGACACTCAACGTTACTTGTCACCTTTCATAGTGGATGTGTCAAAATTTACTCTTGTTTCTCTACGAAACCACTTAAAGTATCGCGCAGGACTTCCAGTCCTCAAAATGATTTCGGGACGTCGGATACAGAAGGAAAGTGGCTGATCAGTCTTTATCCCGGATTTGAGCAGTCGCCAAATGGGCTTCCACGGCGGAAAACTATCATAAATGCGGAATGGGTGCTTGGTGGACGAGCCATTATGGTTCTCATGGCGGATGGTGAATGGGGGGTGTGGGATGTTGAAGGGGCGGGCCCGGGAACTGTGAAGGGCCCGCTCCAGCGTCAATCCAGCGTACAGGGAGTTACTGGCGGATCATTGACCGCATTTTCCGTCAGTGGTCGGATCTTGAGTCCGCTGTCTGGGGCCCTGTCTGAAACGGGCGTTTCTCTCACAGAACAGCGTCCCAGATTCGCGCCCTTGACACCACATACCAAGCGTGTACGCGAAGATACCTTATTGAAAGGTGCCACGATTGGATCGACCGTTCCGTCTCTGTGCGGAGAAATTTCCGTTTACCAAACTAATTCATACCGTGATGCCCTAGCTGACGAGTCGATTCTGCTGCGACACGGCAACCAGAGTGCTGTCATTCCAAGTCTGCTGTCCTTGTGGCGGAATGCTGTAAAGGTAACTGGTACTTTTGATGCATCTAATCGCTGTCGAGTCTCTGCCATCCAAGGTATCACTTTAATGGGCGAAAACTTAAAGGGCATTGGGCACTTGCCTGCAGTTTCTCGCCAGACTTGCCAGGCCGAAAGTGGAGGATTCGATACTCTTCTCACTGCAGAACGCCGAATCATAATCCTTGCTCCACGACTGATCACGCCAGATGAGTCTTGTGCATCTCTGGGATCAGTGAATGAGACCTCGGCCGTAGAAACCGACCAACTGAGGCTTCGCCGTGGTGAACTTGACGTGGAAGGAATGGACCGGTTACTAAGTGGGATGGCTAGCGGTAATCAATCTCTCCAAATGGGGAGTCCTATGAAGCGAGCACGAATTTTCACCTAAGCAGTGAATAATTGACCCGCTCGTGGAGATTAGATTCCACAAAGTACAACCACTGATATGCAGCTGCGAATATGTTGTCGGCAAGGGGCGCTAGGTACACTCTGCCCATTGAAGGCATGTTTAATCGTCAAGTAATGGAGAGATATCGATGCAGATTTAGCGACCCTCCCACAAGTCTGGATACCTGTCTAGTGGGCTATATGACAAGCTAGAGATGGTAGATGTGGCTAACCATCGAAATCGAAGATACCCAAATGATCATATCAACGGCCCAAACGTCTTCCTTCCTTCCTTTCTTTATTTGATAGCCTATCGAATGCATTCGCGCTGCAAGGTGGAGCGCAAGGCGAGAACCATGCCTTGAAATCCTTCCCTCAAAGAAAAGGATAAGCTCTGTATCGGCTGCGATATATCAAAGGGCCTCCGGCCATGCCCATCCATCCAGTTCGCTGGACCTCGGTTTCCATACGGTGGCATTGTTCTAGCTATCATCCCCTACTAGTAGGATTTGGATTGACTGTTCCATCTTGTCGGCCTAGGCTGTTCCTGGTCTGTCTTTTGGCAAGGACGATTGCCTATTGACATCGTTCTAGACGGCTCCACATCAGTATCAGTACTAGGAGACGGACAGATAACAGCCATACCAACTGGTAGGGATGGGACCAAGGAAACCGGAGAAGTGGGTGGGCTACATTGTTGACCTGATTAAAAGCATAGTAGTAGCAAGTAAATAAATAGTAGTAGAATTAAGTATGTACGGGAAATTGCCTTCAACGACAGCGGAAATTAGACCGGATCGGATTTAATGACTAAGTAACCTTTTGATTCTCACTGATAAGATCGAATTCAATTTCCCCCAGACTCCCCGAGGCAGATCATTATACTCTCTCATTACATTTACAATTTCTCGACTGAACTCAGTTTCTAGGTTAGCCCACAAAATGATTCAATCGTCGCCTTCGCACCAAAAAGGGGGTAAGTGAGCATACAATCAATAAATTCACCTCAGCAACACAATGAATATACACCCGATATTATCTTGTTACACATGCACAGCCAAACAAAGGAACTCTAGTAGCTAGGCTAACAACCCCGAAATTGAATAGAAAAGGTCTGGGCCTCCCTGATAACGAACCTCTCCTACCTCCCAGGCATCCTTACCCTCTCACACTCCCTCAAAGCTACCCAAACGGTTTACCCTTTCATCGCACTCTACACCCCCACCTTCCCCACCGAGGGCCTAGCAGCGCTTCAAGCGCGCGGAATCCGCACCCAGGCCGTCTCCACCGTGCAACCAGGCCAGAGCAGAGTCTTCGTCCGAGACCCACGGTTCAACGAGACATGGAACAAACTGATTGTATTCTCTCTGGTGGAGTACGATCGCATTGTTCTCTTGGACGGGGACATGCTGGTTCGGAAGAATATGGATGAGTTGATGGACGTACCGCTGGACGAACCGAACTCGGAGTTGGACGGCGAGGAGAACACGAAGGGGAGGGTATTCGCAGCAAGTCATGCGTGCGCTTGTAATCCGTTGCAAAAGCCTCATTATCCCAAGACTTGGTATGTATATGCAGACCAGTCCCTTCCTTTGGGATCGCAGACTATAATCGGGCTAGTGTACTGATGCGATGTGCGCACACAAAGGGTCCCCTTGAATTGTGCTTTCACAAGCCAGCACTCTGATCCCGTCCAAGCCCAGTCGTCCGGTGCCCCCGCCGCAGCCGGTGTTGCTATGCTGAACAGTGGCCTATTAGTTGTGCGACCTAGCTTGTCTACCTGGGCGGAGATCCAGGCGGGTCTCCAAATGCCTGAGCGCACAGATAGATACGATTTCCCCGATCAAGAGCTCTTGTCAGACGTGTTTCGAGGTCGATGGGTGGCATTGCCGTATGTGTATAATGCGCTAAAGACGTTACGGTGGGCTGGAGTGCATGATGCAATCTGGAGGGACGACGAAGTGAAGAACGTGCATTACATCTTTGACAAGAAGCCGTGGCAGGAAGACCCTGATAATGGGATGGATGAAACAAGCCGTTGGTGGTGGGAGGCGAATAGACACAGGAAAAAACTGGAAGTAGAAGTGGGGATTACAGATGGACATTGAGGCAGCAACCTAGAGATTTTTTTTCTGTTAAGCTCATGACTCATGTGGGCCTTTTCACTCATCCAATGTATATACAGTACATATACCCCAGCTCTCCCGATAGAGATGGACAAAACGCCATAGATAGACATCAGATGATAGAAAGAGTCGGGACAAAGCAAGATTAGTCACGTAGACTATATTTACACTCAGAATAATGAACCCAAAAAGATTTTGAATCATATCCAAGACGTGCGATCTAACACTTCAGCGCACCTCTATCCAATGTAACCCAGCGACTCCAGCTCCTTGCGCACTGCCTCCTCGGTCTGGATCTTCTTCAGCTGCGTATCCTCTAACTTCTCTCCACCCGCAAGACGCATTTTCAGCTCGTCAATCGCACGGATCTTTTTCAAAAGCCCGCGGATCTTCTTATCCTGTGCGGTTGGCGCAGCGGCAGCTTCTACTGTAGCGTTGCTGTTTGGCTTGGTCGAAGCAGGTGATGCGCCATTGGCCTGGTTTGCGTTCTTACGCTCGGTATTATTGACCTTAGACCGGCTACGCTCGTGACCCTTATCCCCATGGCCTTCCGGATTGCGGACAGGTTGCCCATCCTCGCCTTCCTTCAGCTTCTTTGCCTCACGCTTCTTCTTATTCCTGGCAGCAGACTTGGATAGCTTCTCCGCCTGATCCACACCCGGAGGCAGAGCAACACCTCCTCCAGGAGCGGCTCCCGGAGGAAGATATTCCTCAACCGGCTCGGCGCCAGGAACCTCACGCCTCCGTGGCTTACCAAAGCCATTCAAAGCACCACCATTTGCACCATCCCGGACAAAAGCGGCACCACCCTGGTCTTCCCGCTTGAATGCAAGTGGCGTAAGTTGACCACGGGCGCCCGGTGGACGGTAGGCACCTGCAGGCTTCACAGGAGCTTTCCTCGTGCTCAGATATGCAACTGCGGATGGGTGGGGCGTTGGGAGTGGGTGGAATGGATCACCCAGAGGATGTTGGGTGGTGGACTGCGGTCTCCAACACACATCGTAGAGCTCGTTCATGTCCTCATTGTACATCAAGGCACCACTGACATGCCACAGACGGATGCCGTTATCAACTCTAAGACGGGGGCTAGTGGTAGCCGTCAGAATGTACTTTCCATCGGGAGACCACTCGCAAACACTGGCATTCGACGCTTCCACGGTGGCGATCTTAAAGTAGTTCCTTTCCAGATCATAGATATCCATTTGGCCAGCCAAATTACCAAAGCCAGCAACCAGGACAAAGCGTCCGTGAGGGGAGAACGAGATGGTGTTTCGGGGGGCGAGGGGGAAACTGTGCTGCGGCACCCCACGGAAATTGAAGATTGTGGTCTTGGCTGGCATATAACCGTAGACGACACCAAATTCTCTAGAGTTGGGAGACCAGGTCACATCGTGAATCGGTCCCTCCTTATCTACAAAAAATCCAATTAGCATCTGTTCCTTAGCATTCGACGTGCGATGTGAAACACATACCCAAGTCGACTCGATAATCAAAACCACCCGTAGCACCGAGCAGGTACAGCGTGGTCTCTCCATAGTAACTCTTGCCCGTCCGATCAACGTCAGTCTGGGCAAGAACAAGCAGAGTAGTTCCAGAAGCGTTCCATTTCAATTGGACCTTGTCACCCTTAAAGAAAGTTTTCTGCGAGACCGGAGCTCCAAATTGAGGCACCATAAACACTTTGACTGCAGCGGGTTGGCCCTGTGAGAACAGCGTCAACAAAAGATGCGAGCGATAGATATCAGCTCTTACTGACCTTGCGTTCAGGGATGAAAACGGCAACAGACTGATTCTTTCCTGGCGAGACCGCAAAGTCAATCACCCCCTCCACGCGCAGCTTATTCCAAACCTTCGATAGGTTATCGCTTTGGTAGAATTGGACCTCATTAGTGACAACCCGAGCGCAGTAACACTCGTCGGACGTGTATTGAAGGTTCCAGCCCGTCTGTGACTTCTGGACGTAACTGCCCACGATTGTGCGCTCATCTCCGTTGCTGTCTAATGAAGTCTCCACTACCTTCCAAACCTTCAAATTCTTAACTGCGTCGCCATTCGCATCCTTCGTCGGACGCTGCCAAGTAATCAGATAGGTCCCAAGAGGTGAGAATCCCAATTCGAAAACATTGTCGGCAGGGATATTCGTGATAACATGTCCGACCGAAGGATCGATGATAGTGACCCTGACAACCAGTTAATAGACACATCACTTTCCTCTTGAGAGAGATGGCATACTTCTCAGGAGATGCCCACGCAAAATACCGGCCACAGGGGGAATAAGCGCTACAGCGAAGGTTTCCCTCAGGTCTGCGAATATGATACGAATTAGATCGGTATACTTGAGCGAGCGCCCGTAGTCGCCAAAGCGAAGGGTTGAGAAAGAGACCTACCTCTCAAAACCTGACAAAGACTCATAAACCGGGGCCGCATCCAAGATGCCAATACCCTTGACAGTCCGGACTGCAGAAAGTTAGCAAATCATTGTTCATCGTACCCTCAATGCGTCTATCCGCAATGGCAGTTATATGCCGGGACACAACGCAGGTAGGAAGACTCACAAGCAACCTGAGTAGGAGCTGCCATGTCGACTTTCTAGCTTCGGTTATTTATACAATGAAATGAAGATGTTTATCAGCGCAGCGGAACGGGAGCGCAGATGCAACGTTTCCGTAATCAGTCCAGACACAATCTCCCAGAGAAGCTATCGCTGGGATTGTGTATTGTAACGGATTACAATAAGGCAGTGTTTCCAACACACAAGTTCGGTGATTATGCGTTACCGGTTGAGTAGGGAGTAAGAGCGAGGACTCGATCGTGAATAATGACAATGGTAGAGGTGCTGTAACTATGCGTGGCGAGATGTTGTTTGTCTGACGCAGCGAGACACTCAGCCGCCCACACACAAAGGAACCGAAATCAAAAAAAGTTGGCCGGTTAAAATAGCCGTCGGGTCTCCAGTCTAAGAATTCCTCGGTGCTTGACAAGTCAATGCCAGCAATGAATGGGACAGGAACACTGTAGGGGAGCGTGAGTGGGAGGTGGTGGACGAGGATAGATTTGAAGGGGGGGGGGGGGAGTAAAGAACGAGGGAAGCGGTGGAAGGAAGAGAGGAAAATTTATTTGGGGCAGAAAAAACACTTTCAATGCGGCGGCAATTCTGCAGAAAAACTAAACCCGCTAACAAGGAGATAGATCCATAGTATTCAATTACCTCCCTTTCCTTGATATATGACACTCTATGTTTGCTGATCAGTCCTAAATTCATTTATATTTGTTTTCCATCATCTTTGGTGTGGTGATCATTTCTAATTAAGAGTTCTATCAACAAACTACGAGTTCAAAACACATGCATACGCACGCAACCACCAAAAAAGGCACTTTCTGAGATCAAATCATACCGTTCCAATTTAATAAACAATAAATGGAGACAAGCGGACAAGAAGAGGAAGAAGGAATAGGAAAAGAAGCATTCAGTCCTACTACTTATACAATGCCATTAGAAAGAGAGTGTGTATTTGTGTGTGTGAGCCTAATCCCTCCGAGAAACATCGTGTGCTTTTGATTATTTCCCCTACGGTAAGCCCGATTTTCTGTCAGTCGACAGATCGCTAGGTTCTTCCTGACTTAAAGGTGTGGCAAGCCGAGGGGTTCTCACGGTGGTATCAACCACATCCGGATCGTAGGTCATCCCATCGACCATTCGAGCGTCCTGTAGTGGCTCGGGTGTAGTTGATCCGGTAGGCGACAATGCCACCGGTATCATTCCGCTGTCGCCGGAATGTTGAGATGATGATGGGATGAGATTGGCTCGAGTGATGCTAGGACTACCTAAAGAACTTGGCCGGCCTGTCGATGATGCCCTGTTCAAAGTTGGATGCGAAGTCGGCCCGCTGATGGTGCTAGCCCCTTCTCCAAACCCGACGAGACTAACATCTCCTTCATCGCTGAGATTACCAACACTCGAAGTTCCGTCGTCCGGCTCCTCACTCATCTTGTCAGCGTCGAAGGCATCGCTGCCGCTTGCCCATGTAGTGCGGGCGCCCACACTTCCTGTGGCACTGGCGCTACCAACGGTGCTTCTCTCCTTCAAGGTTGAACTGGTGTCAAAATAGCCTGGGATGTGGGACACGGGGACTGTGATGTTCGATTGCGACGCCCCACCAGTACGGGCAGCTACCACCCGCTCCAAACCAGCTAAACGGGAAATGCGGTCGGCTCGTTCTGCCTCTAGAGTTGTGGCAGAGGTTGTTGATGCAGAGGACGAGTGGTGCGCATGGCGGCCATGGGGGAGCGGCTGGCCGGTATGTCCATCTTTGATAGCGGTGGTTGACAAAGCTGATAGGGACGTTGTTCCAGAATTTGGAGTTCCTCTGAATTGCACGTTAGACAATTTTCAGAAGAATTTGTAAATCAGCCCAGTAAGAGGGAAGGAAGCGCTTACGGCCCCATGTCCGACGGGGTGACAGGATCAGAGGGAGGGGGAGGGAGGTTGATCAAGGTCGGCGTCGTCATTTTCTTCTTTTCGGTAGGAAAAGTGGCAAGAGATAGAATAATTCAACGGCAAGAGGTGTAATATTTGCTGTGAAATTATATCTAGGCTAACAGGTGGAAGTGAGATGGGTTGCAAAAACCGTCGCAAAATGGCTAGAGAGATGAGGATAAATAAGGTGGATATGAAACGATAGCGCCTCAAGACTCCACTGCGGCTTAAGGTTTGAAGTTAGGAAGAGACTAGAGTATGCGGGATTGGGTGTTAATGATTAATCAGTAGAATGAAGGATACTACTAATGAATAGAGAAGGTGTGGGAGGCAACTTCCATGGGGAGAGTTCCAATAGGAGTGAGTTCGGTTATGCAGATGGGAAAGTTGGAAAAGGACAATGGGTGGGTTTAGTTATTCTCAGAGTAGTAGTAGTAATAGTAACTTAAGGATAAATGTATAAAATGAAAGTGAGGCTAGATGGGCTGCATCCCTAGTCATGATCTGTTTTCCCTCAATTTTTGTCCGCCTCGATTTTTCCTTCCTTTCTTTCGTTCTCTCCCCCTTTTATTTTTCTCCCTCTTCATAATCAAGAATAGTCGCAACAAGAATTACCACTGAATACTAAACTACCCTAAAAGGATCATCGATAACGTTCCAACAAAAGACCCTACAGGAATGAATGATGTCATTGTCATGGGGTTCCTCTGGGTCATCCAATCATATATCATAGTGGGGCCGTGTTGGATCTGAAGAGATACTCCAAAGTACTGGCTACCCTACCTCACCGAGGTTCATTGGTCTTTCAAGGTCCCTCGTACCAAAGGCAAGTACTAGTAAGGAATACGTATATTTACTACTAGTAGTACTAAGTACTGATAACAACTCTCTATTCCCTAGCAGGCAGATGAACCTGAAGTCAATACAACATCCTATGGTCGACAGTAGCGTTTGGACTATCGTAATTCATTCATCATCCGAATATGTTGAAGTAAAGCAAGTTATATATGCACCAGGTAGTAGAAGGCACCCTCCACGCATGTTCCATCGCCTAACAAAACTTCCAACTTCTTCCTGACCAAAAAGGTTATCAATGGCTGGCCTTACGACTTTCGTAGTGAACCCGAAGATCATCTACTTCCTTTTGCAGACGCGACAAATCAGCCAGAATACCACTGGCATTAGACGGGTGAGGAATATATTCTTTAGGTACTTCCGGTTGCTTTTCCGACTGGAGACTCGGTCGGGTACTATCATTACTCTGGCTGCTAGAACCCCGGGTGCGCCGTGGGGGCGGAGGCGGCGGCAGAGGGTTACCTATCGATGATCGTTTCGTAGGTGTCCGGGAATTGGACCGAGACGATGGAGTTGAGACCTCGGTGCCCAGCGTCGATATTGCCGCACCAGAGTTTTGATGCTGTAGCGAAGGCCTCCGAGGAGTTTCCCCAGATGAAGCACTAAGTTCGGCATCCCGGGCCCGCGAAGGGTTCAAGGTCCAGGAGCTTGGACTAGGAGGGGGTGATTCGGTGCCCTCCATCTTTACGGCTGGCATAGAAAGCCTACTTGGGTTTGGCTTGGATAAAGTGGTTTTGGATCTTCTCATCTGGCTATGCCGCCTACTCAGCGGTGGGGTTGGTGGTCGCTTGTACTGGGATTGGCTGCGTCTTAAAGGCTCACTTGGCTTTTCGAGTTCACTACCAGCCGACCCAGTGAAGCAATCCTTTTCCACCTGCGATGGCCCGGGTGGAGATGAAGAATCCGGAGAGTAGCTATGAAAGGAAAGGCAGTTTGCATGTTTGGGAGGTGTGGGCTGGGGAGAGGGCGATGAGCCGGCACCGGAATTGATCAACTTCCCATGGTGACTTTTGGGTGGAGGCGGCGGCACCTTCTCCTTGTTGGCTGAACGGCTGGCTAGGGGCTTTGCATCTGTATTGAATGTTGGTAACGCTTCTCCTGTCGCAGGATGTTTTGATGTGTCCGTCCGTACGGTGCTTTGAAGAACATCCGTGGCGCAATTACCTGCAGTATTGGGCCTTCCATGAGGGGTCAATGATCGGATAGAGCTACTAGACATCGTGTTGCGAGAGCTTTTATAGTTTTCCCGATCTATGGAGCGTTCTCGATTGCTATCCTTCCTAGCCTGTCCTGTAGACTGCGCTGGTTGATATGGAGCTGTGTGTGGAGGAATACTGTGGATGGAAGCCTGGGAACGATAGTCGTCATGAGACGTTAAGGAGGGATGCGAGGAACCCCTTGCCGTAGATGATACAGTTACCCTTCGTCTCTCCATATCGTCTTCACTCATGTATGCATCCTGATGAAATGGGTCCGATATGGATTGATCGTCGGAGGACATCGAATCATCGAGGTCAGGTACGTGGGATGTGGGTGGGGTTCCGGAAAGGCCATTCGGCTCGAAGGAGACATTCTGGGAGGTTGCAGTAGATGATTGAGGTGTTAAGAAAGTTGTATTTGCAGAGATTGAGGTAGAGGATGAATGATGATGGATTGGGGGATCTAGGATGGTTAGCACTTAGCATCAGCACCTTCACTTACGCTCAATCATCCCCAAGATTCCGGAAGCGGCGGATCAAACTCACTCTCTGGCTTTCTAGGGCGGAATGGATTTAACCCAGACATCGCAGAGAAGATGGAAGGCACCAATCATGAGAGCGATGGAAGACAAGCTGGAAAAGAAAGTCCAGAAGGGAGAGAATAACAAACACCAGTCGGCAAAGGCAGTCAACGGCCGCTGACCACTCGCGCGGCTTCCGGAAAGCGCAACTAAACGACCAACGGTTCGCACAAGTGTCAATTAGGTACCTAATTCTACTGCCTAAGGAAGGTACCTTTAACCACTAATAGTATATTAACTAAGCTCGGTACCTGCTACCCGTACTTACTTTGGATAGTACTCTACTTCAGTAGTAGTATTATTATACGGAGTTTGTAGAATCAGTCTAAAAAATCGCCAATAATTTCTGCAGCGTGTGCGTTCTTGTCTGTCTTGCATTCCGATGAAGGAGGGAGAGAAACAAAAGAGAATAGAAAGAATAGGTATATGTTACAGGGAAAAATTAACCAAAAAAAAAGAAAATGAATAAGTAAAGAGAGATAAAAAAAAAAGCCCTCAAACGAAGACTAACCACCCAAACACCAGGGTTATACAATACGAAATGATAAATGGTCGTCACAGTATTCCTCCCTCGAGTTCCATTGTCCGAGAAAGGAGGGTATCAGCTCGCCCGTTTATTAAGAAAAATAAGAAACGTGTATCGCCCCTCCACAAGACTGGTTCCCTCCGGGTGTTACTGGTATGCAATTTTCGTTCAGCTCTCCTCATATACATGCCACTCATCATCCCCAAAGAACGACTGGGCTAAGGCTTTGCCACTTTCAGTAGGCTGGCTAAAAGCCATCTGCTCCTTGGGAATTTCCATGCCGTAAATGAAATTGCTAACCACGCAGTCCAAAAGGTCCATCGCGATTCCCTTCCGCCGAGATGAACCCGATGTCCATATGCGTGATATGCCCACAATCGCTGGATGAGTCTCGTTGCGAACTGTGATTGCAGAATCGGTGCGATTGGTTTGGGTGCAAGGTTTCTCAACCGGCCGTGATTCCCAAATTCGCTCCGTTAAGCAGGCACCGACGCATCGACTGTCCTTCATGTGCAGGAAAACTTTGTAGCGGTCCACTTTCTCCGATACGCCACTTTTTCGCAAATGTTTCGGGGATTCAGTCTGGCTCCATAGAATATCATCATCGATCTGAGGAGAAGACAACTCCTTGTTGATAACTTCGAGCACCTTCTTGGCCTGATTCTTCGCGGTCGGAGACGCTTTCCGATCGACAATGACCACATATCCCTCATCGAAGCGAGTTGCCTCGTAAACCCACCGCGAAGCATTTGCCCTCATAAACGCTTTGCCCAAATCCACCCCTGTTGAATTCATATCATGGAACTTTTTATGCAGGGCTGCATCCTCCGAGTTCGACGGCACATACTCCATCCCACAGGTCGCGCAAGTTCTCCTCACTTCGTGCCCCAGGTCAAGTTGCATCTGTTTCAAAGCGGGTTGTTGTGATGCTGCCTTCTTCTTGGGTGGATCTAGCGATGCGCGTACACTGTTGGAGTTGACTTCGGTGAGCGGGGAGCCATTGCTGACATCTTTATTCGCCGATTGTTGTTTGCGTTTAAGAAACGCGAAAGTGGGTTTTCGCGTGTTGGTGGGAGGGGGGCTCAACCGAGGCGGCGGTGAGGACGGAGGTGTAGACAGGTCATCATCATGTGTTCCTTCAGAAAGAAGGATGGAATTGCGACGCGAGGGACTGGACAGAACAGCGGCGGACGACTCGCGAATAGCATATTGGATGCTGTTCTCTGCCTCGTCCGATTCATTCCCAGATTGGACGCGTCTTTTCTTGGCCGCCGGGCTCTGTTCATCATCGTAGACGCGCCATAGGGGTCTACCGTACGTTTTCATCATAAGACCTCTAGGTTTTCACACTTGTTAGCCAAAGTGGCGGAATTCAAGGGGTGGAATCACGTACCGCTTAAATGAATTTGTTACAGTCCACGGCATCTCCCTATTTCAAATCATATATCCGACCGAGCCGAGCATCTATGGCCTTTTTTAGAGTCTATGCGATGAAGAGTGGGATGAAAACTGTATGTTGAAAGTCAAAAAAGTGGGAGGATGTTTATTATGATTTCACTGATGATGATTTATTTTCAAACGGGCGGAAGGCTTCGGCGGCCAACTGATCGACGGGTGACGGAACGCGTGCCCAGGAACTAGTCCCCATTTAGTCATATTACTCGCCGGGCGCAAGAACCCATAATGAAAGACTCCTGACTGTCGAAAGGGAATTTACTTACTCCCAAGTCTCTAGGAGAGAATAATCGCCCTAGATAGATGTAGCTGATGCTTTTGTTCTTTCTTTCTTCCCTCCCTTCCTTTCTTGGTTTTCCCTCCTTATATTTGTATTGTTTCGGAGAGTATCTATTATTCAGTCAATAAAAACGCTGTGAAGAATGAAAAGCATCACCATCAAGGGGGGAAGTGCGGAGGAGGTAAGTGTAAGTAGGAAGTAGGGAGGCACTCGCCAGCTTATAAGGGAAGTGACTGCTATCAAGTTGGGTTTTTGTTAGATTTTTGTCGGTTAGAAAAGGATCAAGTTCCAGGAGGATGCTAAGAATTCATCATCTAATATATACAATCAGTCAGGAACAAGGCATCCACTAATACTCGCTGTGGGCTTGAGATTGTGGAACTCTGGACACGGCATCAGCTCTCCTGTCTCTTTTTGCTGTCGTGTTATGTTTCCCGAACTTATACTTGACTTCGCCTCCTTAAATAATGAACAACGGTATGACCACCAACCACTTCAGTACTTAGAGCGTACGTTGCAGTATGTTAGGGTACTGGATAGTCATATGCTAGGTAGATAACCTAGGGGCCAGCTAGCTTCTAGGATAATGTGGCAAGTTCATCCATTCTCTTATTTCTATTTGTTTTGAAATCCATGGAAGGAAGTTCAAAGAACTCTCAGTGAAGGGATTTTCTCCTCTGTTTTATTTTAGGTTAATCGCCATTAGTGGCCTAAAATTCCCAGCAAACTATCCCCAGTGCATACCTTGAGTGGATGTGAACAGATCAAAGTGGAGGTTTGATCATCCATGCCCTTGCTGGTGAATCCCAAGACCCTACTGGACAAGAGTTGTGACGGGGTTTGCGCCTTATAAGTCTTCTCCCTCTCTCTCTGTGTTGCCATTTGGACTCTCATTGGCGTCCTTCTTATCTTCTATTTTTGACCGGAATCCAAGACAGGGGCACCAAATAGGGCGTCACATATATTCTTTTCAAGTCGATCTGCCCCTGTACTTGGCATGCCTAATGTGATCTACAACGTAGTCCGTATACATTTATCTCCCAATATTCATCCGTGACACAACGAAATCTTTTGATGAGTTGACTGCTCATCCATTTATTCATTTTTTTTTTCCTTAACAAAAAAAAATTGAAAATGAAGGAAGAAAAAAGCAGTCTCTCCCCTTCCCTGTTTCCCATAACTTCTTACCACTACCGCTACGTATAACTATGTACCACCTACCTTGGGACAGTGGATGACAAGCTAATTAAATTTAGACCTAGACCCAACAATAAGCATGTGTTTTGTACATGTACAGAGTACTACCGACCGAATATTAACAGATCTGTGTCACTTATTGTGGCGACTTGGATCAGTCTTCTTTCAAGCGGCAAATTCATGCAGGAATTCATGGCGGTGGCCTGTAAGGCGTCTGATAATTGCCCCGCCAAGTCTACCACTTACAAGGTAGAGGAAGGTCAGAAGGGATCGACAGAAGAACACTCTAGTTTGGTTGCACGTATAGTGGAGCGACAGCGTTCCCGTCGTATCAGACCCCGCAGTGTGCAGCAGCGCAGTAGAGACGTGATACAATGCCAGTCGATTAACCTCAGGTTATGGCGAGATACTACGCATAGAGGTCTAAAGCGTGTTTTTCCCTCCTTTTCCCCCTCTACACTGCGTTTCACTTTCCATATTTCTAAGACGGATGCCTGCATTTAACGTACATTGTTGCAAGATGCTTCCTCCACAAGAAACCTACGTGCTTCGATGAAGTATAGTATGTCCATGTCTACAAGCGTAAGCGTTCATGAAAGGCGCGGTGAGCTGTACTCTGTCCTTGGAGACTGCGAAAACAAGCTCAAACTACACAGGTGTAACCTTGAAAGTAGTGGTGTGGCTGCCATGGTATTCTCAATGGCCGGAGTGCTTTCTCCCTACGTGTATGAGGTCGCACATCAAGTCATCTGAAAGCCAGTACGGAGTATAACGAACGGCCCTTAAACTTGGCAGTGTTGCCATGTCGCTTTCCAATTTATCGAATACCCCTGGAGGACTTTAGGATTTGGGTAAGCACATTCGAAATTCACGGTCGGCCAAGGGTCCATGACGTACTTTGCCTATTGTAACCTCAAAAGGCGTGACAACATTGGTACGGAACATCTGTATTCGTGGGCGCCAATGATGGTCTATTATGTATATTATTGATGATTGATTAGTGCTGACCCGAAATGAGAATGAGACACGAATCATCATGTCAAGACTTGTAAGCTTATTAAGGGTTGGTTGAAATATATACCTAGGATCAGCATAGAGATGAACCTGGAGAACAATGACGCTGTCCATAAATTGGTAACTTTGAGAGTTGGAGAGCCTACCTATAGTAGGCAATACATACTACTAAGGTTAGATAGTAGTATGTTCTTACTTTCTAAACCGACGATGCGGAGGTCTGGGAAAGGAAAAGTGGAGCAGTTTGAGGGAGAAAGGGATTGACTTATCCCACCTGAGTTTAGTTGGTCCGGAGCAGACTTGTTTGATTCCTGAGGCGGACCGATGGTGCAGCTGTGTTTGGTCTGAATTTTTCTTCTTCTTCTTTCCGCTGTCTGCGAATCAACCCGCAGTCATCACACCCTTCTCATCTTCTCAACTCCGAGATCTTTGTAGAAGCGCACGCTTGAGTTAATCTACGGAGTAGGCGACAAACAGAGAAGAAGGATTGTGTCTTTTAATTCAGTCCTTTTATACTTTGGGTCACAAGTGATCGGCTCATCTTATTATCTGGCAATTTTTTTCCTCCCCCTCTCTTGCCTTCCTTTTTCTTCCTATTTCCAATTCTCATATTCGAGGGAAAGAAAGAACAAACGAAACCTCTTTAAATCTACTTCAAATCACCTCCGACATCATGTCACAGGATATTCAAGCGGCAGGGAAGAGAAAGCGTGCGAGTATGTTCCCTGTGGAGATCCCCATTATCTCAGTTATATCCACCACCTTCCGTTCATGCTCAGAGGCTTTTTGTCCTCTGCTTGGTTATTATTAAATCCCTTGACCATCCCCGTTTGCTTTCTTTCGTGACTAGCGCTTCAAGCCGAAGATCTCGCTACTTGAACTTGCCTCAAGACACCGTCCTATCCATTTATTATTTTCCGCCCTGCGTTCATTTTACGAACGTTTTGAGACAACACCTGTGTCACCCCAAATAAATTCATTACCCCCGCTTTCATCGTGGTTCTCCCAGTCCAGCCCCGCGACCATCGACCCCTCCCTAAACCTTCCGTCCAACATGCAATCAGAATATACCGCACAGTATGCTAACCGCATTCAACCTTCAGGGACTCAGTCTTGTCCGCCCCCCGAATTACCTCAGCTTGTTGCAGAGCAACATGTTCCCATTGCTGCCCAGGACAAGGAAACTCAACGCCTAATCGTTGTCCTCTCTCATGCTAGCCTGGAAACCTATCGAGCCTCTCACGGCGGGCGCAATGGGGCTGGTCGTGATGAGAAGTACTCATTGCTAAACAGCGACGAGCATATTGGTGTGATGCGCAAGATGAACAGAGACATCAGCGAAGCTCGACCAGATATCACGCATCAGGTACACCCCTGTTGTCTTAGTCACACCGAATATGAGCCTCTAGTTAGGGAAGCTGACCGGGCTCTCGTCATAGTGTCTCCTCACTCTCCTCGACTCCCCTGTCAATAAGGCTGGCAAGCTTCAAATTTACATACACACGGCCAAAGGCGTCCTGATCGAAGTGAATCCGAGTGTTCGCATTCCACGTACCTTCAAGCGTTTTGCTGGCCTTATGGTCCAGCTCCTGCACCGGCTTTCCATCCGATCCACCAATTCCCAGGAGAAGCTACTTAAAGTAATCAAGAATCCTATCACTGATCACTTGCCTCCAAACTGCCGCAAGGTGACCCTCAGTTATGAGGCTCCTGTGGTGCGGACCAGAGACTACATCGAGTCGTTGGGTCCTAAGGAGAGCGTCTGTATATTTGTGGGCGCCATGGCCAAGGGCCATGACGACTTCGCGGATTCGTTCAAAGACGACACAATTAGTATCAGTAACTATAGTCTGAGTGCTAGCGTTGCGTGCAGCAAGTTTTGTCACGCGGCTGAGGAAGTGTGGGATATTGTATGATTTGTACGCTTCGAATACAGTCTTCCATCGATAGGAACGGCCGAAGCTTGACGAGGTAACGAATTTCCTTGCGACTACTCACCCAATTTGAGCTCTAAGGGGTAGCCAAGTACCAGCTTTGGAAGGACGTGCCTCTTCTGTGCCACTTCCTTGCTACCTTTCGGGGCTCACTACCTGCAGTCTCTTGTTGCTTTTTTTACGTCTTTTGCGTTTCCGGTTCCTTGTGTATCGTGGCAACCTTCAGCGTCGCGCGATACCGAAGGTTACATGGTCACTATATTAGGGTTCTTTTCTAGCGCTGTCGGCTTCCGTTTGGATAGCTTTCCCTTATCAAGTGGGCACCAGAGACCTCTGCGGTAGAACGTGGTGAGGGTGTGGTCTGGGTTCTTTTAAGAGTTCTTCTACCACCAGTGTTTGCAGTTCGGCCATCCCCAGCGAGGTTCTGCGTTCTTCCACACTCTGAATCTCTTCGATTTCCTTCGTGTGAAGGCTTGTACAGTGCTGGTGCTTTGTATCGCGCCTGAAGACCAAGAGATGATGTGACTGTTAATACTAGAATTAAGTACACGGATATCATGGGGAAATAAACTACTAAGGATGTCTTTGGGACAAGACGCTCAGCGCTCATGCTTAATCAGTCACCTTTACCCCCTTTTTCTTTTCTTTCGTCTTTTTTGCTTTTCTCTCTCTTTTTGGTTCCTTTCCATAGTAGGGTAACAGGCTATCAAACTTATAAATATTCGCAGTAAATGCCCGCATACATTAAGAAAGTGAGATGTATGCATTACACACACACTACATCCAGTAAAATGCAGGACTGCAAAGAAAAGGAAGAAAAAGAAAACGAAAAAAAAGGGGGTTCATGACAAGGAGAAGAGATTGCTACTTAACTATCAGGTGGTGATCACTGAAGGTAAAGAAAAGAAAGAACGGCTGCCTGAGGTCTCTCAGCTCTTCCACTCTCTCTTTTTCATCCCCTCCCTCATCTTCTTGCCTCCTTCCCCTTTTCTCTGACTCACATCAGGTCTTCTTCTGCGTGGAGTCCCAGAGCCAATGCACGAGTGACCCAGAATGGAGAATTGCATCGCTTCATATGCAAGTATTGATCGGGGTGGTTCGAGTGGCTGGGAATGAGGGTCTCTCTTCAACGTGGCATGCAGACATCGCAGCGATTCCTTGAGGTGGATCTCCCGCTTCACTTCACTTGTGGACGAGTTGATTTCATGTGGCATTTCTAGAGGGGAAATTCGGTTACGCGCAAAATCATCCAACGAAGGATAGGCTGATCATTACTAGAGCTAACCAATGCTATGGCCCAGTCTCCTGAAACACAGTAAGGCCAGCTCATTCACTTTCTTCACTTTCCTTCCGGAAAAAAATAACCCTCGAAGTCACATTCCCTCATTCGTCGACTTTGATCCACGATGAGTGGATGTTGTTTGGCGGTCAGAGAGCGCCATCCAGCGACTAACAGCAGCAGAAGTGCCCAAAGCAGGAACCAAATCAATCATCTTCAACACAAAGCATCGAGTCACCCCTTGCAAGTTTCATTCAAGACCGGAAGCCCAATCCATTGATCTTGTGAAGTCTAATTAGCTCCTATTCAAATTATATAAAATTTATCATCTCTACTTTGAAGTATGGAGTATCTACTCCCGGCTCCTTTTTTTCCTTCTCTCTTGCGGTCAATACCACCGACTCCACCACTAACTACCAATCGTCATCCTCCACCTCAACCCTGGTATCGTCGCCTCATTCACTTCAACTTCTGACATGATGCGGTTTGTGCTCGGCTCATCTGCAGTATCCACCGTTTCCTGATAGGCGCCCCATCCGATGCCGGACAGGGCCACCTACAGGACCGTCCGTCAGGCTCCCCCACGATGACCTGGCGTGTGCGGGCTTTCCATTCCCCTCGTTTCTAGCTTCACCGATAGGTAGCATCATGGGTCTCTTGACCGTCTCCTAACAAGATTTCATCTTTTCCGGTAAGAGTACTCAGAGACCGGTCTTGGTGGTGCATACCTCGTTCAAGGTGGTTTGCCTTCAGACGCATGACGAGCTTATGCTATAATGCCTGCTATGCTAGACCGTGTTTTGCATCACTAGAGCGGGCAGTTTCCTTCCGGAACAAATCCATCTTTTCGTTAGCTTCCGATCATCCCTGATTGGATATAAGTTGGGCACCTTTGGGATATCCCTCCGTCCAGATAGCTTGGCCTTGAAATAATATATCTTGTCACTTTGTTGCTCCCTGCTCTTCCTTTCATTTCACTCTTACGTGGCATTGGTGTGCGTACATTTTTACATTCTTCATATTGCCATACGTTCTCCTTTCAACCTTTGCAACCTTTTCCAATCTACTCTGCCTTTGCTTGTGAGCACGAAGTCTTGAAAGCATCTGGCATCTCCTCGACATCCTACAGCATATCCCTTCTTAAGTGACCCAGCCTTCACGTGCGTACTCGCCGAAGACTTAGCGAGTCTACTCCTTCATCAGATAGACATGCCTGTGTCACATCTTACTTTAACCGTCTCCCATCTCCCCACGTCAACCTCATTTTTTCTCTCCTGCCTACAACCCTTGGGCTACCATTTTATTGGTCGCCATGACGACTATATTGGCTTCGGCCAGAACCCCGGGGAGCCGGCGGATTTTTGGATAACAGAGCAGAAACCGGGGTAAGGGAAAAAACCGGGAAATAAAATGAATCCCGCCCCCTTTCAGCAGAGTTTTGCGCTTGACCGTGTGTTGACTTGCTTCTAGAGTGCCAGCTGGTGCCGCACATGTCGCATTCCCTGCCCCATCAAAGGATGCAGTAGGCTCATTCTTCATTCATGCATTGAAAGCTGGTGGAAAGATTCATGGGGAGCCGAAGACCCGCGATTCAGAATCTGGTTACTACAGTGCAGCCATCATCGATGTTGATGGCAATAGCATAGAGGCCGTTTACCGACCGAGCAGCTCCTCAGCCAGGTCAGAGGTCAGCAGGTCAGCTTTAGCTCTGCTTGAAAATGGCTCGGTGGTATCTAAGGCGGCTCCCTCGATTGTCTCCAAAGCGACGAGTCGAGCCAGCTCTGTCAAGCCTGAAAGTGTGGCCCCTCCCAGGTCTGAAACCAGATCATATGTGTCCAGGGCGACAACTGCCGTAGAGCGGGCTGCTCCCTTGGAACGGGGAGCGCCGTCGGTCGTTTCGCGCGACATTCAGCCGGCGCCGTCGCCAACATATGTAGTGCATCATACCACCCAGAAAACTGACGACGGTAAGGCAGCGAAGACCATTGTTGGTACTCTTATTGGAGCTGCTGCAGGCGCAGCTATTGCATACGCAATGTCGAAGGGCGACTCAGAACCCTCCGAGGTTACACCCCCGCCGCGATATTCTCCCCGTGATTTCGCTCAGCTTATATCCCCATCTCAAGCCTCAACGCCCACGCAGGAACTACAAGAATTTAGAGCTATCGAGGCTCCCCCTGCCAGAAGTACATACTCCCAGTCAGAAGTCCGTCCAACCTTGACTCGCAGTGTCACCTCAAAGAACCCTCGTGCAAGCACCATCTACGAAGGCACCGAATATATTCCACGAGGAGGTGGGGATAGTGTATACCTTGATCAGAATGGTCGCCGGGCCTCTGAGGGAAGTGTGTACAGCGGCAGCGACGTCCCTATCAGGGCGATCGAATACCAACCACCGATGGATTCCCGAGGTTATGAAAGCACTTTGATCAGCAGCTTCCTTGACAAGTCACGGGCGATGGATTCGGGCAGTGTGTATTCATCATCGACGATCAAACCGTCCAAGTCAAACTACCAAGACCGTCACTCACCACACAGCTCGCACCATTCGTCTCGCCACTCAATAGCAAGATCCCATTCCAGCAGCACTATCTCAGCAACCCGTAGTGCTCGCAACGTACCGCTCCCCGAAGGCTCCATAGCGTCATTTGCATCCTACCGCAGCGGTGCTAAATCGGGTGTTTCTGCTCGCAACATTCCACTCCCAGAGAGTGTTTATGACGATGTCGACGTCGAAACCAACGTCACTCCTGATGACTCGATCAGCCAAGTTGATGATTCGAGGAGATCTTCCGTCTCTCATCGCTCCCACGCCTCTAAATCAGCCTCCCGTGTTTCCAAACATTCCAGCAAATTTGACGAGCCTGTCAAACCGAGTGACAGTGTGAGTCAGGTCTCCAGTCATGCCTCCAGAGCGTCACAGCGGACCATCAAGGCAGGCGGCAACGTAGCGGGAGGCTCCAAAGCGCCATCCAAGGTCGGCAGCCGGAGGGGAAGTCAAGTTGCATAGGGATGATTTTTGCTCTCTGTGCCCGTCTTGTCTCTTTTTTATTTCCTCTTCTCTATGTCTCTACATCCCTTCTTCTTTTTTCTTGCTCTTTTTCTTCTATAACGTTCTATGTTATGGCGACTTATAATCTCAGTGTGGCATGTTCATAGCATCGCAACCGGCGTCTCGTTTGTCATATATTAGGAGAAACTATCGTTATTTGGGATCGAATTTACAGTCGACCATGTTTTCATATTGATGAATACGTCTTAAGAAAGAGGGACAATACGAACAGGAAGCCTCCAGCCTGACAGAACACAACGCAGATAGGGAATGGACCCCATGAGATAAATGTCATCTAATCCCCAGCTTTAGGCCAGTGCATATTACTAGGTGTCCAGAGATATTTACGTTTGTATATACCACTGTGAAGTTGTCTTTTTCCCTTGGAACGGCCGCAAAACTATGTGACAAATGCACATGTAGACCTCAGCTCATACTCAGGAAGGTAAATTCAATATCTATGGCCAACTTACATACCCTCCCTAATAATAATATATCGCCGGTAAACTGGGTTGGATTACTACTCTTGCCTCGATAGTTGCTATCTGTTATAAACGCCAACACCAGTACACCATCACACCGACATCCTCACACGATCTCAGAGCCTTCACGACCGTACCAGCACCATCCTCCTCCATCCATCCCCGACCCAAGGAAGAACCCACGAGCCTTGGGCTATATGCTCATCACGTAATTTGCCCGACTCCATTGAATGAAACAAAAAGATGCCATGAATGCATGAGTATTGGTCATAATGATCGTTGGATATGACATTTCCCGCCGAGAGGAGAAAACGATAAAGAAAATGGGTAACAGGTAATTTAAGACACGCAAATGGAAAACAAGGAAAGGATCTACGATCACGGTACAACAGGCTTCGGATCTGATCTAACGGAATGAAAGACGCAGAAGCGATTTGGAAGACCGAAGCGGCCGTGTTACATTGAATTTCGAAGATCAAATAGCATATTTCCGGGTCCATTCGCGGGCGGTCGCTTCATACCGGGGGCGGTCAGTCTTGTACACATGCGCGATTTCAGGCACCAACGGATCGTCCGGGTTGGGGTCTGTGAGCATCGAACAGATCGACAGTAGCACTGAGAAGTTATGGTTAGTCTCCAAAGTGATGACCACGGGATGTGAGATGACGAACCTTTAGAGATTGTCAGAGCAGGGCTCCATTGATCTCTAAGAATGTCGAGACAGATACTGCCGTTTGAGTTGATGTTGGGGTGGTAGATACGAGTGGTGAAGTTGACCTTTGGCGGCTTAAATGGGTAGTCGGTGGGGAAGTGGATTGTGAGGAAGAAAACGCCTCCCGAGTATGGAGAGTCACCCTAATTGGTAAGTTGCGTCAGTAGGAAATTCTTAAGTATGCCAGAAGGTCGGGCCACGAAGACCCCTATCCGCCAAAAGAAAAGTATTCCAGCCGACGTCAAGACGCATGATCGGGATTTAACTCACAGGACCCATGATAGTTGCTTGCCAGTGGAACTATAAACAGAACTGTCTGTCAGTAAACCCGCTCGACAACAGTTTGCAATGTAAGGATGATAAAGAGGTGGTGAGTTGGTTCGCAGAGTTGGTCCCGCGACACCATGAAAAAACCCCAACCGAACCGAGTTGGAATGGACGGGGTTTCCGGGAAATCATACCAGATCTTCACCAAGAGGTCCAGCGGAGCAGGAGGACGGGGGATCACTATGAAAATCGTGGATGTAAGCATTTCGGAAGACGGCGAGTAAATCAAATGACGGTGTGTGGTTTAGAAAGCGATTTATAACACCCCGCAGTGGTGGGGTGTCGCACCCAGAGCATGACGGGGGAATAAGGGGAGATCAAGACAGAGAGTAATTACCGGCCGAGGTCAGTGAGTTCCTTGTTAATTCTCTTGAGAGCCATTTTTTGTAGGGGTGTGATGTGAAAAGGGAGAGTAGGTCTTCTAGAGTTACCACTCAGCTAACAGAGCGGTTGGTATCGAATTTAGAAATCTGCACCACAGGAACCAGTCAGTAAGGTGGAAAGCGAAATAGAAACATTTGGATAGAAGGAGAGTAAAAAGTACATTATTGTTTTTAAAAGGGGGTGGGGAAAGAACAAAAGGTGTGGTGGTGAAGTTACTCACAGTGAGACTGATTACGTCGGAAAGAGGGGAATTGGGCTGAAAGAAGAAAAAGAGAAAGAAGAGAGAGGGAGCGAGAGAAGGGAAAGGTGGATGAGCGAGGAGGCGGGATCCAGTGACCGTATTACAGGTCATAACACCTTACCGTACCGTACCTCCCCTCTCAGCCACAGTCACCGCTATCTGATGAGAGATTTTCTTGCCAGAAATCTTAGTGAACTTGTACTCCGTACTTAGTAATGTATTACACACACGCACACACAATTAACTATCACCTGAAGTTGTGCAGCTGCTTGGAAAGATTAAAGTATCGCCACTCTCAGCCATGGCTTCTTGTCTATCTTGCCTATGACTGGTCAAACTCAGTTCTGAAACGGGTCCTCCTTAATTTTTTCTGTTTCTTCTATATATATTTACGTATATGTATATATCTTTTTGGGGGTCCTAAATAAGTTAGATAAAGGAACATTCCCATCAAATTGACACATACGGTATATACTGTGCCAATTAAAGGTCTGCCAAATTACATATGTACATTACTATTTGTTTTCACTCCACTCTCTTCAGTTATATTTCGTACCGCAGTGACATTGTAGAAAGCTCTACTGCATTCTTAAATTCCTATTCAATATGGTGACACATGTATGTACCTACTAAATCACCAATAATAGGAGGGTAACGGTTCTTTGTTACATACATACACGTGTCCACGTGGCGCAGTCTACTATCACGTGCATATAGGGCACCGGTTCTCGAAGGGTCTACTAATAGGGAATGAAGTCAAAGAGGAAGGAGTAAGATAAACTGTCATTTTGTGGGACTTCATGTAGCGCCTACAATGTTGTATTCTGTTGCGTTCAGCCCGACTCTTATATTATCATGTACACTTGACATTTTTCTCTCAGTAATCCAAGCCTTTCTACATTGGCATCGGGTTCTAAACAAACGCCTGGACTCCAGTGATCGCACGCCCCAGGATCAATGCTAGACCAATCAGCATGAAGAGAAAAGAGATGGAGATTTCAACTCGGTCGGGTACTCACTGTGAATGTCACTCTGTCCCTCATACGTTTGCACCACAAACAGGTTAGCTACATGCCGGGCAATATGGTATTCGTCGCTCGTCGCATTCCCGCCGAAAACTTCCTGGAGACTGTTGGATGGTCAAGGAGTAATATTAGCATCAGGGTCTCAACTAGTAACGAGAGTACGGGGTAGGGCCGCATACACTCGAGAATTGGCCAGAGCCCGGTCACAGTTTTGTCTTTTGACCATGGAGATCATTTCAGGCGTCGATTTGCCTGCATCCTTAAGCCTGGCAACTTGAGTCGCTGCCAACGTTCCATATGCTGCATCTGTGGCTGCATCTGCCAACTTCTTCTGGATTAACTGATATTTGGCCAGCGGGTTGCCCTTGAACTGCTTTCGCTCAAGAGCATAGGTCCGGGCACGGCTGAGGCAGTCTTCAAGAGCCCCCATGGCGCCAAAGGCGATGCCCAGTCTAGCGCTGTTAAGACAGGTGAAAGGTCCCGCAAGGCCCTCAACCTCGGGAAACATATTCTCCTTAGGGACCGGGCAGCCATCCATCTGAATCATACCGGTGATAGATGCCCGAAGAGCGGTTTTATTTTTGATGGCCGGAGTCTCCAAGGTGCCTGGCGGACATTGGTCGCGTTCGACCACAAACCCACGGATCTTACCCGTGCTCTCCAACTTGGCCCATACTATCATAATATCGGAGATGGGGGAGTTAGTAATCCAGGTCTTCGCGCCCGAAAGCGAGTAATAGCCCTTCTTAGTAGGATGCTCTCGCGCAACTGTTTCCATAGAACCAGGGTCTGAGCCGTGGTTAGGTTCTGTGAGACCAAAACAACCAGCAATCTTTCCCTTAGCCAACCCTGGCAAAAGTCTATCCTTCAGCTCCGGAGATCCAAACTCGTAGATAGCCGTCATTGCCAGTGAGCTCTGCACAGACATCCCTGATCGGTATCCGGAATCTACCCGCTCAACTTCCTTTGTGATAAGGCCTGAAGCGACGGTGCTGGTGCCTGCACAACCGTAGCCGTCGATGCTAGCGCCGAGAAGACCCAGTTCACCCATTTCTTCTAGTATTTTGCGATCATAGTTCTCATTTCGATAGGCATCTGATAGAGGCTCGTGAATCAGCATTCATGCCGGCCATTATCACACCGCAAAATGACTCGGAGTCTCATGGGCACTCAGCTCTGCCAGGGGGGAAACGCATACCGAGAACCCGGGGTAACAAGCGTTCTTGGCAATACTGTCGTGCCGTGTCCTGAATTGCTAATTCCTCTTCCGTGTACAGCTCTGACGCAGCCAAAGGATCTTCCCAGTTGAAGGCGGTGGCGAAGCTGCGTACTGAAGCATTGAATGAAGCTGCGGGTGACTTGCGCAAGTGAGTTGCCGACTGGAGGAGGCGTGAAGTCGCCCGGAGCAATGATTGATTCATGATAGAGTATCAGTAGATGGGATGAATTTCACACACAGTGCAAGTGACAGCAATGGGAACCAGTTCTCGCTCTATATATAGGCACTGCAATATAGAGCAATAAACAATAGTTAGTAGGTAGTCGTGATGTGAACAGAAATACTAACTAGATGTTGCGGGGAAGCTGTTTGATTCGCCGGAACTCCAAAGGGAAGGCTTGACCTCGGCAATCGCCCCGGCTGTCGGTCTCCATGGTTTGTATACTTCCGCATCCACTTTCCGCAAACCCAGGGCAATAGCCGCCTCGTACATACTTTGTAGTACTATGGTATCGGCTTCGGCTCATATTCTGTTTTCGCCGGCGGTGTTTTCCAATGAAGAAAAGAGAACTTCGCCATCTTCACGCTATACCTTACTGAGTACTATAGTGCTCTGTTGCTTGGCTCGTGGGCACCTTGCCATCCACGTTATGCTATACACGACGGCCTGACATCAAGTCAAATTGCTCACTCCTCGACTCTTATGTACAATACATCAGGATATCTACCCAGTTGGCTCATCGGCCTGAAAAACCGTGAAGCATTATCCGTAACTAGTGCTTCTACTTTGTATGAACGCTCCAGCGTTCCCAGTTAATAATTAGTATAACATCATCTCCCCCAATAAGTAAAGCTAAGCGCCCAGGGTGCGAGAGTTGGTAAAGGCCCGGCCATTCTGCAGCATGTCGCCTTCAAGAACTCGACAGATATGCCTATAGATCACACAGCAGTATCCTGCGAAGCTGACGGGCTGCATTAGGCCGGCATTTGGGATTGAAGAAAATCAAAAACCCCTGTAGGGAAATAGTCCTCGTCGAAGCCCCACAGGTCAGCCATCATAGGATCCACGGACCCCTGTGAGAGACCTGGCTGTTGGTTGGATTGTGCCACAGCAGGGTCAACCCCACTACCTCTCTCAGCAGACAGGGGAGCTATGCCTAATAGCGGAGGCGGGTGGCCCAATATATTATCCCGCTCGCCCAGCGGCTGGGCCCCTGGAATAATTATCGGCTTGAATATTAAGCTTGAAGATGAGCCATGAAATCTCTGTCCTGTGGTCTGGCCGTTGTGCGAATTCCTTTTCTCCCACTCCTCAAGCCCTGTGAGCATTTTTCTCAGGCCACGGGCTATATGGTGACTGAGATGGCGCTCACTAGCTCGCTTACTACATGAAACCATCAACTCGATAATCCGTCCGACCAAAGCCCGCACGTATGCAATATCAATGGACAAACCCGCTGATGCAATAGAATTCTGCTTTCCCGGTTTACTAGGAATGCAGCTGGAACAGCTTCTTGCTGCAATCTTCAACAGGAATACAGCAGCAAAAGTGATCATGCTATGCAGATACAGCGGAACACCCACCAAAGCCCTCTGGATGTCAGGTTCGTCCAAAACGACCAATAGCGTGCCAATGGCAGACTCAATGGCCAGGTTTGCACGCTTCTTTCGCTCGTTAGATAAGGGGCGCGCTGATAGTGAACAATGATACGTCCGCAATGCAACGGAATTCAGCTGTAAGCGGGAAAAATGATAGTGTAGGTAGACGGCTTTATAAGGATACGCACCAACATAACGGCTTCCGGCTGTTCAGTCCGTTATGTTAGACTGCAAAGACTCAGCGAGCAAGGTTGGTAAATAACTATACCTAAACGGGGTAACCACGCAGATTGCCATTCTTCAATATCGGTGTCAAATTTGTCAATTGTAGCAAATTCGCTTTCAGGAACTTCCAAGTCGACGTCGGGACCGAAAGCGTGGTATATACGAGTAAGAGTAATAAACAAGTCCACCTGACTGTGCAACCGTAGGTCGGATTGTGTCACTGTGGGAGACATTATAAATGTGTTATGATTGGTGATACTCTTATCTTCATGGATTATGGGTGGTCGGCCATAAGCGATGGAAAAGTGGTGCTCCAGAGTCTGCTCAAGTTAGATACTCAGATGTATTGTGCTGATGAGTAAGTCTTACATAGAGGAGGTACCATAGTCTCGCTTGTTCTTGGTGCTCAGGTGAACCTTGGGTAGCCTTCCTGTATGACTGATGTAGATTGCGCTCGGTTGCAATACGAACTGCGTACCCTGAGAGCTTCCAACTGACATCTGCAAGCCAAAATGCGCCTATACATAATGCGCGTAAGTCATCCAGAGTGTGGTGTCTATCAAGCATTGACTCCGATGCCAATTTCGCGAATTCGGTGTAGCAGGTATCAAAAAGACTTTCTTTGTTAGGCATATGTAAGGCTGTAACTGTGAGGATGACAGCAGACAACATGGAAGAAGAGGTTCGGACAGATGTAAGGTCCTTGTGCACAAGAGCTATACCATCCCAGAGATAGCGATTGAGTACTTGATCAAAGAAGTAGAACAATTCCTCCGCTTCTTGTAAGTCCACAACCCCTCTCGAAATAAGGTCGGTGTCACGGTCCGAGATATGATGCCGCTTAGGGGTACTTTCGTGAATATCGCTCAACTGGGTAACCTCATACAAGCTGCCCATCGGAGCAGTGACCAATAGTTTCTCTTCCCTATCGATAGCAGTTTGCGATCGCTGCTGGGCGGCGTGGGAGCCTGGGTGGGATTCTCCTGTTGGCGATATAGCATCTGTCTCGACTGCATCTGTTCTTCTAACGTCGCCCCTTGAGACATGTACAATATCCTCCGTAGATACCGTGGACCCTCGCCGATCGCTTCTCTTGTGTGATGTTTCCGCTGACTTGCCGACCGCCTGGTAGTATGAGAGCTCCGGCAATTGCGCCTTTCTGAGTAAATCAGTCATTGCATGCTCTATCGTTGTCTTCCATCTACACGGCAAGCACGATCGGGTTAGCGGCAAGGTACACTTTATTGGACCGGGATTGAATCAACTTAGACAAGGAAGTGCACTTACTCGGCTTCATCGTCTAGCAGTGTCTGGAGACTCTTATTAACGACACAATCTAGACCCATGCGGCAACATCTGAAGCAGACCGACTCTCCTGCCTTCATATCACATCGAACTTTATGCCTTTTGCATTCGGTACATGCACGTATTCGTCGTGATATCTTCGGTATGTGTACCGATCCCTGTCGAGAGTCTGCCTCCGGCGCAGGATGGAGCAGAACACCCCGTGGAGGGGGGGCGGATGATGCATCGCCATTAGCTTCAAAATCAAGGCGACTGCGTTTCATGGTCCAGGATCATTCATTGTTAAAAGCCACCGCTAGAAGTTGACTTTCTGTGTCTTTCTCTTTCTTTTCCTTTCCTTTCTTTTTTTTTCTTGTTAGCTTTTATCTACGGTCACGATAACGAAGTCAAAGCAGAGGAGGGTGACTCAGGGAATGATAACTCCTCATTGCCTGAAGGCCCATATTGTTTGAAGCTTGGTAATTCACTGGCCAGACCTTGAGGGGACCTTACAGCCTGAGGCAAAAAGAATGGGGAAACGTTCGGCGGGGGAAATCACGTGTGATGCATATCACCGGGAGCTAACCCCGATGAGGTCTAATGATGTAGTCCCAGGCCAGGTCAGTCGCGTGTTGGCGCGTTTGATCGCGGCTCATCTCACACCGTGCTTTTCTATGATTTTTCTTGAATCAAGGATTGGATTTGACTAATCTTCCTTTCAATTGTTATTTGACAACAACAGCAGTGACGCCATCATGGGTATTAAGCGTATGTCGAACTTTTCCAACCTCCTGTCGTAGAAGGTCATCTGGCACTGACTTGAGAGTCTTGCAGAACTATACCAGGTGATCGCGGAGAATGCCCCCGATGCAATAAAGGCAGGGGATATAAAGAACCACTTCGGCCGAAAGGTTGCTATAGTATGTCATACCTTTACTCCTGAGCTATAGTCTAGAGCGCTGTTTAGACTTACGGGTGATTTCCGGATTCTAGGATGCGTATGTAACTCGATCAGCCGTAGATGGAACAAACAGAGCCCTGGCGCTAACATAATACAGGTCCATGAGTATCTACAGTTTCCTAATTGCCGTACGCTCAGAGGGCCAACAACTCATGAGCGACACCGGGGAGACCACGTCCCATCTGATGGGCATGTTCTACCGCACTTTGCGCATGGTCGACAACGGAATCAAACCCCTTTATGTCTTTGATGGAGCCCCGCCAAAGCTCAAGTCTGGCGAGCTAGCCAAGCGTACCGCCCGAAAAGCCGAAGCTACAGAGGCACATGAGGAGGCTAAGGAAACTGGCACAGCGGAGGACGTTGAGAAGTTTTCGCGGCGTACAGTACGGGTTACGAGGGATCACAATGCAGAGTGTAAGAAGCTGTTGAAGTTGATGGGTATTCCATACATTGATGCCCCAACTGAGGCAGAAGCGCAGTGTGCTGTCCTCGCACGGGCAGGAAAGGTCTACGCTGCCGCTTCCGAGGACATGGACACATTGTGCTTCGAAGCACCCATTCTGCTTAGGCATCTTACATTCAGCGAACAGCGGAAAGAACCCATCCAGGAAATCCATCTTAGCCGCGCGCTGGAGGGACTCGATATGGACCGAAACCAGGTAAAATCTCTCAGGCATAATCCTAACGCAGCACTTCGTTTTGCTCATTCTCTACGACATAGTTTATTGATCTTTGTATCTTACTCGGCTGCGACTATTTGGAGCCGATCCCCAAGGTTGGGCCAAATACTGCCTTGAAACTGATTCGGGAATTTGGAAGCCTCGAGAAGGTGGTTGAACATATGGAGAGCGATCCCAAAAAGAAATATGTTGTCCCAGAAGACTGGCCGTACCAGGATGCAAGGGAACTCTTTCTTAATCCAGACGTAAGGGACGCTAGCCATCCCGACTGTGATTTCAAATGGGAGGCACCGGACGTCGAGGGTTTGGTGGAGTTCTTGGTGAAGGATAAGGGTTTCAACGAAGACCGGGTGCGCAACGGCGCAGCTCGGCTACAGAAGAACTTGAAGACTGCCCAGCAGTCACGTCTGGAAGGGTTTTTCAAGCCTGTGGCCCGGACCGATGAGGAGAAGGCAAATCTCAAGCGTAAGCATGACGAGAAACTTCAGGAGCAAAGGAAGCGTAAGAAGGAAGAGGCCAAAGCTAAGAAAGAAGCCAAGGCAAGACCCCGCGGTGCCGGATAAGGTACTGGCATGATTTGGTCCGATCAGTGTTTGGCATGAAGGGGGTAGCCCTTTGAACAGGCAAGGCATCGTGTGGCGGGTGCAAAACAATAAAATGGCGTCGGCGTTGTAGGTAATCTCATTGGGTTGTCGGTAGTATCGCTGTCGGCTATGAAATACGGCGTTTCATCAATATAGTAGGTGGATTTATCATTTATACATCATAATGTTATCTTCTCCTGGTGGCAGATTGTAGAGGCCTTTGTCCATCGAATGCTAAACTCCGAGTAGTTTATTGTAGCCCGTAAGATCAAACCTCCATGCGCCGAGAGACGCGCACTGTGAGATCAAGCTTATGTTTCGTGATCCCCAAATGAAGGAGCATGGGAGCGGAGTATATAAAACTTAATCGGATCCGCACACCTGTTCTTCATCTCTAGGAATTACAAGGACTCGTGGTTCGCTTCTTGTGGTGGTTGGTGGTGTGGCGTTACGCGTTGTCACCAGTTGTTGTAACATGGATAACATTGGGCCTCAACACAACGGAGGTTGATTTCGCTAACCACATCGAGGGAACGGGAACAATTTCTAGCCTATGGGACACTATCGCTGCGTAGCAGTCTCTAGGCGGTGGAGTTTGTTTATTGTCTCCGTTGTGGTCCTAGAAATCAGACTCAAAAGGTTCTAGTCGAGGGATGCATAGTAAACATAGTATTATAGTAGTAGGTGGTGGTATACCACCCTTATTAGGCCGGAAGCGGATAGGCCATTCGTTGCACGGTGATAGGGCTACCGAACGATTGCGACTCTTCATGACATCGAAACATCCGCGGTAATATATCAAACACCAGTGGAATAGTCGCAGAGCTCATGAATCCGTGCTGTAGAAACACGGGAGATAAATTTGTCGCTCTGGGTGTCCCGTCAATGAGCACTACCGCGAGGTGTCCAGATACTGGAATGGGATGGGACATATGACATGGAGTCTGAGCCCGGAGGATTCTTGCTATGAGTTGTCAGACTCAATATGATTTGCCACGAGTGCTAGAAGGAAAAATGAAATACACCCTGCTACCCTGGGAGGATTATGAGAAAGGATCTAGCAAGGATATCAGAGTGGAGAATGATCTTCTTTAGGTATATGTGCTATGTATCTAGATTCATAATCCATGGTCATCCACAGCGCATCCACTGCAGCACAAGTGGGTTTTAGCCAGGTAGACTAATTCCCCTCATTTTACCATATTTGAGGAACAGGTCCACCACAAGCAATAGTACTAGTACCGATCCAATTCCAAGAAGGTGTCAGTAGATGTATTGGCAAAGTGCAAACACATGATTCATACCATACATATATCTATGACCAACGCACGGATCAGGCCTTACAACCAATCGTCGGCGCACCAACCATGGGACGAGATCTATATCCTTCGACCAAAGGGCCAATAAAGACACAACCCGTTGGTGTTTCAAGAATGGAATCTTGTTCAGTAAGAGGGAAACTCAAACGGGCGATCCATACATCATCTCTCCTCGTGACTTGAACGGCACGAGGCGGCCAAATGGAAACCTCCACAAGCTCTGTTCTCCTCCCCCCACCCCCCCAAAAATGACAATGGGATATGCAAGGGACAGACTGCTTGGTACTCCCCGTATAGCTTTAATTCATATGGTCATCAGCAACGCTGTTAGGAGGCCATGAGCTTGATCGAACGCTATGTTCTGACATTGACTTCAATGGAACAACAAAATAAGTATAACTGAGAACGCTACCTATGATTATAGGAGTTACAATGATCCACCAGGTTGAATTTTCCAACTCAATACCATATCATGTTTACATCCTTATAACAGAAAAGGGGTGGGAAGTGCTATCAGCGGATTCAGAAAAGATAATACAAGTACTAATATCAACATAGGGTAATATGGACGAGGGCGAGTTCCTTTTCCTCCCTTCTTCTTGTCAACTCCACAAAAAAGAAAAAAAAAAAAAGACAGGCCACACTGATCCCACCTTTTGTATTGATCTTGAGTGCATTTTTGAGGTTAGAAGTATTTAGAAAAGGGGGAATCATGAGGGGTGTAAGGAGGGCAGAACGCGTAGGGAAAAAGACAGCAGAGGATGCGCGTTGGAGTGAGAAACTACTGTGATCAGTTGATGAAATGCACTTCCTATCCACTTTATTAACAGAAGATAGCCTTAAGGATAAACTCGTATCATAATACAGATGACCTGAGAATTTGGCCCTACCAATAATCTACCGAGAAAATGCACAAAGAAAAAGGCCCAAAAAAATAAGTGGAAAAAAAGAGGAGAAACAGCAGAGGGACTTTGACGTGTAGGTGCTTGCGAGTGATCTTGTGTCAACACCCGCTGCCCTATAAAGCGCGGATGCCCCGCGGCCTTCCACCCCTTCCGTCGTCGACTGCTTTTTCTTCTTCTGTTTCCACCACCAAATCCACCTTTTCACCTGTCAACTTGATTACTGCCCTGCAGACCCCGGTCTCTCATCTAACTTCAACTTGAATTACAAGTCATACATCCTACTCTCAAGATGCCCCCCAAGAAAGCTTCCACTGGCACAGCCAAGAAGACTGGCTCGACTCACGCCTCCTATCGTGGTATGATTTCACTGATCTTTCGTCACCACAACATCGCGCTGGGAAGATCTTAGTATCGTATTTGTCGCGAATGACTGCTGATTCTTTTGATATAGATATGATTAAGGATGCTATCCTGAATGTGAGTTAATCACGATGTTGCCGAGGCGCCTTGGATTGACGGGCGTTGGGTCCCAACTTCTCCGACCGTGACACGTCTACATGGTCCTTGACTATCCCTACGTCACGTCGGTTTTTTATGTATAAGTTGATCGCTAACATCCCTTTCTATAGCTGAAAGAGCGCAATGGTAGCAGGTATGTTAATTTTGTTCTCGTCGCCCCGCGCAGGGTCCTGTCCCTCTGCGACGTGGCAACCCCAGAAGGCGTCCCTAGGCTAACTTGTTCTTCCCCCATGGCAGCCGCCAGTCCATCAAGAAATATGTTCTGGCAAACAACAAGATTGCTCCTGCATCCACCAATGCCTTCGATAGCCAGTTCAACAAGGCGATCAAGGCCGGCGTTGAGAAGGGTGAATTCACCCAGCCTAAGGGTAAGTCTCACTTTATCTCGCGCGCATTTGAGACCCATTTGCTCTGTGGCCACCTAACTAGGCACGCTATTGTGTGCACGCCACGGTCTATGATCGTCGCGTATCATTTGTTTTGATGGGACGTGGGCTGACGCGTCTTATCCAAGGTCCCTCTGGACCCGTGAAGCTCGCCAAGAAGGAAGCTGCTGCAAAGCCTGCTGCCAAGGTAAGTACTCTATGACTTCTTCTTGCCCAGAAGTCAACATTAATATGATGATCAGAAGACCACCGCCGCTAAGCCTAAGAAGGCTACTACTACCACCACTGGTACTAAGAAGGCCGAGAAAGTCGAAAAAGCCGAAAAGCCTAAGACTACCGCCAAGAAGGCTGGCACTACTACCAAGCGGCCTGTTGGTAGACCCAAGGCGAACACCGCTAAGCCTCGCAAGGCGTCTACTACTGTACGCAACACCGTCGGCAACCCTCTGTATTGCATACTAACCTCGAAGCAGGCTCCTGCCGTTGTTGACCAGCCCAAGGTCATCGGCAAGACGAAGTCCGGTCGTGTGACCAAGACAACGGCCAAACCTGCAGAAAAGGTTACCAAGAAGTCGACCAAGAAGGCCTAAAACAAATCTAGCGCGGGAGATTTTTTGAGCGACTAGTTGATTTTGTTTTTGATTTGGTTGTCTTGACGTGGGCTTCGGGCTGTATCTTTTTTTGGGCTGTATCCCTTCTTTCTTCGGTTGTAATTTCTTTTTTGCTTTTCATGTCTTATTTTTTGTCGATGCGGTGACTGCTTCTGGGATATGTTGATCGTTTATTCTTTCGTTATAGGTAGGGCTGGCGTCTTGTGGTGGATACGGGAAACGTTTCTTTTTTTTTCTTTTCCTGCTTGATATTTATTTACTGCACGCGTCTACTGACGGTGCTACGTGGAATGGAATTGATAGCCATGCTTCTTCAATGAGGTTCCTTTTAGCTCCGATGTATGGTTGTAGAGGCCGATCAGCTCGGTTTTTGGTTGAAGAATAGCTAGAGGTAGTATATACCGAAATTACCTCTTGACCCTGACAGCTATGCTAGGAGCAAAGTACACAAATGCGTACTACCTATGGGAGCGGAGAAAGCCGTCACTAGAATAAACGCGGGACTTAGGTTAGTCAATGGGTCCATGCTGCTTACAATTAATCGGTCTCTACTATACTACAAGTATACATACATAGTATAATGATGCATATTTGTTCCTATGCAATCTGGATGGATGTTGGATGCTGCTTCCGTGGAGGCAGGCCCACTGCTTGGGTCGATTCCAAAAATAGCAAGGAGATTGGTGAAAACTACCCACTCAGTGTGCAGTAGTTTGTATCCAAGGAATCACCAATGTAAGCACCTTACTTACAGAAATATTCTAGGAGCCGTCGGAGACAAAACCAGCTTCTTGCCGAGGCATAAGCTACTTACCCATTACAAGCGCATGTAAGAATGTTCATCAGATCGGGAAGTTACAATGATAACGCGCTCAAGGGGCTCATTGCGTCAGGATAAGGCAGGACGTTTGGGTGTGACGTTGGCACGATCGATCATTAGCACAGCATCCGCCGCGGTAGGATTAGGAGTAAAGTCTATAGGCTTATATGGCGTAATTTGTGTAATAGAATGCTCATCGTAGCTTCAAAACACAGGAAAAAGGAGAAGAAGAAGAAAAGGTAGTGAAAAGTATCTACAGAGTAGGCTTCTGTCTGAGACTTTGGTCTAGTTTCATCCATAAATTCCATAATAGTAATAGTATGCAACTTACAGACCTGGATAATGCGAGTAAGCTCCACTGGAAATCATTTCTTCAGCTAAAGATGAATTACCGGGCTATATACACGGCCTATCTAATATATCCACGCATAATATTTAGTATGACCACATCCTGCCTCAATAACTGCACCGCAACTTTCAGGCATAGATTTCAGTAGATCTTGCAGAAAACTAGCTGGAATAGTATCTAAGCCTCTCTAAGGGCTATCCTTAACTCTGATAGTGTTATATGTTTAGGGAGATTTGCCTGAATATAGTTCTCTATCCAAGTCCACCCTATTTCAATTAGATTAAGATCGAGAGAGAAAGATCGCTATCTAATTATATAGACTCCACCCCTCTCAAGTACTAGAATAGTAGATTATGCACTATGGCCTAGAGCACCATCCTGTATTAGTTGAAGATGAGGATAGTGATAGATATGCTCTATTATAAGAGGAACTGTATATTGTGATACGAAGCTCAAAAAACATGATATTGGTAGCTAAAATCTAGAACACTGAACGTGGGAGGAAAGAAGTACCACAGGTGGTGTATACTAACACGCGTCCCGTAACCAACCAATCAGAGCTCAGAGAATCTAGTAACTGTCAAAGCCTTCACATATTGAATACAGCTTTGAGTATTTATTGTACTCTATTTCTTCTCCTAGAGTACTACAGGGCTTTTAGTAGTTCCATAAAATAAGCCTAAATTATCTATCCTATCTTATGTGGGTGCCGTTTAATAATATAGTCTTTCGGCGAGTAACCCACGTATGTGTATGACGACCCTAGATTTACCCGTTTCATCAGACCATAGTATAGCTTCCCATTGACTAGAAGTCCAGTTAGGGTGCTCTTGTACTCAGAGAAGTTATTTCTATTTATTCTTAAGGAATAGTGATAGTTCCCTTCGAGCAATATATCTTCGATAGTCTCTAGAAAGTAAGGCTGATCGGATTGCTGTTACGCCTGGGTATTCGGGCTAGAGTTAGCTGCGCTTGTGTAGCGACGGTCAAACCTGAATGTCAGAATCCACTGAGATCCAGTAACGAGGTGCCGTAAGGCCGTGAGGGTGACGTAATCCGAGGTCCGATCGAAGATGCGATAACTAATCCGTGAATAGCTCTAGTCCAAAGGCCAGACCTATTAAGTACGTATACACGATAGTTAGGAGAGTACGAACGAGTTGATGCTGGTCTTGATACTAAAGGTAACTCTAGTAACAATTGATATTGATCACGAGGAACTAACTGAGTACATGAAATGAGTGTCCTTGAAATGAGTGTCCTTATATATCCCTTGGTCCTATACCGATCTGTATCCCATGGTATATGCCATATACCATATACTGTAGTCTAACCCATATACCCGACCATGTACAATGCCACGTGATATCTATTGTACTCCGTAATTGGCCTCCTTATGGTAACCCCGGTTCTACATTCAGACAAACTGAACCAACGCCTTTCTGCCCATTGCTTCCGCTTTTCTGATAAGGCACGCTAGACAAGAGCCTGTAACAATTGTCCATTAAGAATAGCCTAGATCAAGATATAAGAGCTAATTCTCTATAAGTTAGGTATCTTATATACCTTGATAAGGCGACAAATCTAAGAAGATAGTCAATTTTCTTATTTTTCATTACTAATGATCGACCAGGTCTTTTAGAGTGGGTAGGGTGGCCAGCCTGGCAGGCTAATTAGACCTGACGTATAGAAATCTCTATGTCACGGTGTACCTGCGGGCCACCTACCTGCCTGCCTGAATCCTGAACATGCTTATATATGTGAGTGCAGTACAAAGCCTTTGGATTTGTATCCTAGTCTTTTGCTGATAACGCAGCGGTTACGCTTCTGAATGCACCCAGAGGCCACACCGTGACACAGAGTCAAGATTTGCAGGCGCTCATCTTTAGTTAGCTGGAAATGAGAGGGTGTAGAAGGAGCCATATTGCTATATAGACATATATAAAGAATTAATTAATGGTGATGGTCACGGTCTATTAGATATCCCTAGATGATAATGGCACGGAATTTATCCTATTTCTACGCAGTCCGGTGACCCACCATACTAACGTTACATACTCAACATACCTGAGCATGTATGTAACTTGGGCAAAGACTGCTAGTGCATGCACATACCTAGTATCTTGGCGGTTTGCTATACACCATACAACTTGATCAATAGGTCTTATGTGTTCTTTAGGATATGTATAGAGCTTCCGTCCATTTCAGACCTCGATAGCCATTAAACAGGCAGTAACTCTTTACTTCTATTGTATATATAGCATATATTATATACATATATAATGTGTGTGTGTGTGTATGTATGTATATTTAAATGTACGTACACACGACGTTTGAAATGGTGTCATATGACCTCAAATTTTGCCTTACTAGTAGTATTGTATATATGTGTACGTATTTAATACAACTAATGATTGTAGAGAATTAGATATCCTTGAGTTCTCCTAGATGAGATCTGTGGCTAATTTAACAATAACCCATATCATATCTTGGAATGATACAGCCGGTGCTCTATACTATAAGTATTGAAACTCATCACTATCGGTACCCACGGAGTATGATTGATTATATACAGCATGTCCTCCCCGGTCTTCTGAAGGTCCGTAATCACTCAATTCTGTACTATTAACCAGTACTAGTTCAAGCTGAAGAGTGGAGCCATCCTGCAATGACTGACACAGATGGGTCCATCAGCGTCCTTGTTCTCTTAAGACCCACCAACCTGCCTTTTATTTGTGTCGGTGGTCAATCTTATGTTATAAAGCAAACCAGTGTATGTACAACACTATTTGGAAAGATTGATCGAAAAGGAAAGAAAGAAGGAAGCGGTCTTGTCTCCCTTTCTGTCATCCATCCATTTCCAGACTTCTTGGATACTGCAAGTAGACATGCCCCTCATTTACCATTACTTCCTTCAACATCAGGTACAGTACGGCCTCAAACATACAGAGTACACCGTGTGTAATAATACCATCCCTTCTTCAGGCACCCTCTTTTTTTTTTTCTTTTCTCCCCTTCCTTTGCCCAGACCCCAAATTACAGTACCAAACCATACTCCAGTACTGTAGTACCAAGTCGTTCTCCCCTTCCCATAATAATAATACTACTACTACTACTACTAGTACTACTAATTATAATACAGGCAGGCAGTATTTCGCTCTCCCGCTGTCCGTCTCTGTCTCATAATCTTGTTCCTCTTCCAACCAACCATCCCATAACATCGACTTGTGCCTACTTTCACTCACTTGCTCTTCTTCCTTTTCCCTCTTTCTCTAATTCTCCCTTTAATCAAACTAGTCTCCTTCCTGCGTCTTTCCCCCCGCTTCTCCTTCCCGCACTCATTAGTCGCCTTAAACTCGAACACGTTTGCCTGTGCTGGTATCTGTCGACATATCCTTCGCCATTTTTTTCTCTCTTTCTTTTGATGAACATGCCAATCCGTCGCTAAATTTGATGCCACGCCCTCCCCGGCTGGCTGCTTCAGCTCGACTCCTGCCATTGTTCTGTCGCTGCTACTCGTCACCCCCCTTCCTTTCCTCGCTATCTTCCCTCCCGTCGCTGGCCAGAGGAATAGTCTACCCCAGTCCACGCTGGCTGTTCGCTAAGCTTCATACGCCCGCGCAGATCTCACGTCACCGTTCTATCCCCTCCTTTGTGTACAATACATACTGTTTGGCGCCTCTACTCCGCGCCGAAATCGAAACCTAGCGACCATGCCATCATTTTCTAACGACAGTTCTTATCAGACAGCCACCACCACGGCTTCTCACCCTCGTTCTTTTGACTCGCCGCCGGGAAAACCGCACGATAAAAGCCCGGTGGGTAACACTTTTCTGTGGACAAACTGGCCCAATGGCGACAATCACCTCGACACGCCCCCAAACGACCGCCAACCGCTCGCGAATGGTAGCGTATATTCTCTGAATGGGGCTCGATCAAGCGCCAGTTCATACAACCGGGATCTGTCGCACTCGAAAGATGGGAGCATGCACTCATTCGGACATGGTTCGACCCGAGACCTTCGGGATGGTGGACGGTCTTCCATGACGCAGGAACAGGATTTCGTGCGGAATTCCACTGATGCAGGTGCTGGAGCCGGTTCAGCGACCGCGTCAATAGCCAGCCAGCTGCCTAACGGCACGTCAGTCAACCCACGATCGCTAAATGGGAAACCCATGGTGAATGGGGAACATGCCCGACCCTCTACCGACGGACTGGTTTCCTCAGAATCGACAGGCAACGTTTCAGAAACATGGCAATCAACCTCGCAGCCTAATGACGCCGGACGACTCTCTCCAGATCCAGGTCGATTATCCCCTTCGCAGAAAAGCCCCCACCGATACTCTTCCCCCCCAGTTCCCTCTACCACCGAACAACCAGAGCCGGCAAACTCCGGTCTTCGACATCGACATACACTGCAAGTTCCAAGGAATACAAGCGGCCGTCGAAGCAGTCGTGATAATTCCGAGGATGCCGCTTATAGCAGTGGCCGATTGTCTCCAACAGGAGGAATCCGTCGTACTTCTTTCAGTCTGGGCCGTCGGGCCAGCAAGACCAATCGCTCGGATACCTTACTCGACGATGCTAACCCTGATGAAGATGCAGCCCGATGGGCAGAGGCCATCAAACAACGGAGAGCTTCAAAAAGGAGGCGTCGGGATGACGACGATGAGGATCGTGTCATTGTGGGAACAAAGGTCGATCAAAACCACGTGAACTGGGTTACGGCCTACAACATGCTCACAGGGATTCGGTTCACCGTCTCGAGGATCAATGCGAAGATGGATCGGGAATTGACCCCTGCCGACTTTGAGGCCAAACATAAGTTTTCTTTTGACATGTATGCCTCAATTAACCACCCCTACTCCTGTTCCAATGCTGTTTTGTTCCTTCGCTTACACTAGATTGTGGATAGAACTGGTAATGAGTTAACGCCCTCCGCCAAATACGATTTCAAATTTAAGGACTATGCACCTTGGGTCTTCCGACGCCTGCGGACGAAGTTCAGAATTGATCCTGCCGACTACCTAATGTCTCTTACAAGCAAGTATATCCTCTCGGAATTGGGCTCGCCTGGTAAAAGTGGCAGCTTCTTTTACTTCTCGAGAGACTATAAATACATCATCAAAACGATACACCACTCCGAGCACAAGTTGTTACGCAAGATTCTCCCAGAGTATTATAAACACGTCGAGCAGAATCCAAACACATTGATCTCGCAGTTCTATGGCCTTCATCGTGTCAAGATGGCGTATGGTCGCAAGATTCATTTTGTGGTCATGAATAACCTCTTCCCGCCTCATCGGGATATCCACCAGACCTTCGACTTGAAGGGCTCAACTATCGGTCGCGACTTACGTGAAGAAGATCTTGAAAAGAATCCACGAGCCACTTTGAAGGACTTGAACTGGGTCCGAAGAGATCGTCATATCGAATGTGGACCATCCAAACGGGAGTTTTTCCTAGCGCAGCTCCAGCGAGATGTTGAATTATTGAAGCGGCTCAAGATCATGGACTACTCCCTATTAGTGGGCATTCATGATCGGGAGAGGGGAAACGAGGAGAAGCTTCGTGACAGGACCCTGCAAGTTTTCCAGCCCGGTGGCGATCGAGAAGAAGAAGCGAGCCCGAACATGCTCATGCGCACACCGTCGAAATTGGAAAATGAGCGCAAGGCCCGTGAGCTACGCATGTCCCTCAAACGTGAACGCCCAGTGCCTCTAGACCAAGCAGCCGCAAAAATGCCTGAAGAAATTCTCGATGAAAGAAAGTTCCACGTTTTCTATTCCGACGATGGGGGGTTCAGAGCCACTCATGAGAATGGCCAACCCGGGGAGGAGATTTATTACCTCGGGATTATCGATTGTTTAACCCACGTGAGTCAATGTCCGACACAATGTATCAGTTATCCAATGAAAAGCTGACTTGGAATAAGTATGGCATGGTGAAAAGGTTGGAACATTTCTTCAAGGGTCTGTCCCATGATCGGAATCAGATCTCACCGGTCCCCCCCGAGGGTTATGGTGATCGGTTTGTGAATTTCATAAAGGGCATCACTATGTCGAAGGAGGAAGCGGTACGTTGTCGCGAATCTCGACAACTGGGCAGAACATCTGCTGAACGTACTCCTTCCGTTGAGCGGACAATGCAGGCGGCGGAGAAAGAAGCGGCCAAGGACGTTTCATTAACGCACCCTCGGACGTTATCGACAGTTCGGGATCCGTCCGATACCACCGGAGCTGGTCCAACCTCGACCCTACCTATCGTAGACGAGGCTGGCGAGGCTAGCAGTGTTGGTGGGCAGAGTCAACATAGCCGACACGGCGCTCCGCTAGCTTCAGAGAAGAAACTGCCACCACTGCCAAGCCAAGGCTATTTACGACCTGAGGGTAAAAGAACAGCGGTCGCTTGAGACGCCCACCCCTGCTTCCTTCTAGCGAACCGCACTTCCAGACTCGGGCAATGAACCTTGGTCGACTCTCGTGATACCCTTATTTGCAGCTGATAACGCTTTTATTTGTCGTATTTTGGCGCCGTGGGGTTCTCTCTTTCCTGCCTGCGCAACGCATTTCGCTTTCCATCTGCCTCCCTTCAACCGTTCAGAAACCACTCTTGTGATACTGGTCATGTTACCACGATTGATGTGAGTTTCTTTCGCTCTCGGGCCTCTGTGGCTGTCTTCATTGGACATTTCCTCCTGTCCATTCAATTTCCTCCCAGCTTTCGTTTTGAGTAATTACCAACTTGGTCCTAATTTTAGAACCGTTCCTTCTTTTAAACAGCATGGCAAGCGATATTTGATCATGTATCCCATCTTTGAACCTCCTACTTACATCCCTCTCCTTATATCTTCAATTATATTTCTTTTTGTCTATTTGTGTTTCTATCCTTGTTGCTTTCTGTGAGAGCGACTCAAGAATTTGCGTCCTGTGAGCGTTGACATCTGGTCTGCGCTGACTGGACTGGTTCTGGCTTTGTCTTTGCTCTATTATATTCCTTGTATCAATTTCTCCTTTGTTCGAAGCAAAGTCGGTCTCTCGACTCTGTCCTCTCTTTTGTTAATCTTTTCTTATCTCCTTTCTTACCCCACCACCTTTCTCTCCTTTGCCATTTCGATCCGCGTGCCATTGTCCCGATTGATAATCATTACCGTCTTTTGTATACATGGATGGGAGAACCGAATGCGTTTAATTTTGCATGAGCTGGTCTGAGCGGTTTAATCCTGTGTTTTTCTGAGTTCTTTTGATGTTAGATTGATAGAAGACGCACAGTAGGCGCTATACCTAGAGAATTGATACCAATCTGCCCTTGTTTCAGTAAAGCCACAATTTCTGAACGTAAGTATACTTGGTAGAAGTTCAAGTCTGCATTCAAGGATGGATATAGCTACATCATGCATTCCCAACCGAATCCTGGCCTTCGATTATTGAAAATGTACCAAATAGCTTCGTGCCTGAAGTTTTTTATATCTCAACTCAAGTATCTTTTCGAACCTTTATCTTAAATTCATCCAACTTTCCCAAAGTAGGTATATCATTCGTTACTCGAGAAACATCCATGAGAAACGCCATTGTGCATGCCAATTCAGTGCAGCCAGAATATTTCAGGAACAGGACAGAAAAAAAAAAGAACAAAGGCACGAAAGTGATGAAAAAGCCACCCAGTGACGCCAACCAACAAAGCCATAAATTAAAAAGGTTGGGGGAATCAGGCTAGAACAGTGTTGTTAAGACAATCTCTTAGAACATTAGGGAAAAGAAGCGTCTGGGAAATAGGCGGTAAGCAGAAGAATCATTCAGCTTTCCCTTGCGTCACCTTAGCGGCTTGAATGGCTGACATCTTCTGAGTCCAGCCTTGTGTGGCCTGAGGCTTCTTGACGGTGCGAAGATCATCGGTAGAGAATCCGGAGATGCGCATGTTGTAGTTACGTTCGAGAACGAGCTGAATATCCCGAATTTCAAGCGTAGATGATGGACGTAGTTTGGCGAGACGGCAGGCAGCAGTAATCACGTCGTCAACGAAGTCATCGGCCATTTGGAGGATGAACTGGTCAATGTTAGACGATTCCCATCGAAAGGATGGGCAGGATGTGAAGATGGCAAGGTAGGTGGAGCAGCATACCTCTTCAGCATCTGGCGTAAGTCCCTCTCCCTCTCCTCCTCCAGTAACCTGACGAACCAATATGTCAAGCATCTTCTTGCTCAGGACTCGCTGGCCTTCACCTTCAAGGACGTACCCAGGGTGCTTTTGGATTGCAGGTTGACCCATCATACCCATAGCACCGTGGCTGGGGCCACCCGATAAGGTTGGCCGCGCTGGTGCCATCGTGACTGGTTCCGGAGTAGGGACATTCAGGGTCTTTGGAATGGCCATATTGATGTTTCGCGCCGAATTCTCAGAGGCTCTGTTGGGAATGTAGCCTTGGGGATGTGCATGCGAGTTTGCTGCAGGCTGTGGCATGTTTTGTTGCTGGCCCATGTTGCTGTTCGCGTTGTTGTTCGTATAGTTCTGAGCAGCTTGAGCCATAGCAGCTTGCTGGGACAAAGGACGTGGGGGACCTTGTACGCTCACTGGCTGGGCGGTAGTAGGCGTGGGTGTAGAGCCGTCCAAGTTAGGTACTTGGGTAAAGGTAACCTGTGAGCCAGGCGCTCCTGGCTGGGACTGGACTTGTGGTGGCGGTTGTGGATGCTGCTGTGGCTGCGGCTGCGGCTGCGACTGTGCTTGAGGAGGAACAGCTTGAGGTGCGGCAGGTGCAACAGGGGTGGCAACCGGGGCCGCCTGTGCAACCGGTACTTGGCCTTGTTGGGAAACTGATGGTGACATGGCTGTCTGCCCAGCTTGGCTCCGCGCGGCACTTACCGCTGAGGTGATAGTATGAGGGGCGGGCGTTGGGGCCTGTCCAGGATGCATTGACACGGGCGTGTTTGCGGGGCGACCATCAGCACCGGCCGGGACAGTGGGAGCTGGTGTGACAGTAGCACCTTGTGGTTGGCCTGTAACGGCCTGTACGCCTGTTCTCTGTTGCTGAGCTTTGAAGGTCTCTTGTTGCTCTTTGAACTTGGCTAAAAAGTCACCCCCTTCCCGGAAAAGCTTTTCCGCCGCAAGCTGCCTGTTTTTGAACTCCTGTAGCTCCTCCTGTGTCATATTTCCGGCAGTTTGGCGTTGCCCGAACTGTTGACGTAGCTCCGCTATGCGCGCCCTTCCAATCTCTTGCTTCTGTAGCGCAATGCCGTACCGTAGCCTGGCCTCTGGAAGCCATGACTGTGCTTGTTCCTGGCTGATATTGGGAGGGAGAGAGAACTGCAGACTATTGACTTTCTGTTGGATCTGAGGTAGCAGCTGATTGAAAGTTTGAGGGTTGACGGACTGTGGCCGCTGACCTGACTGACCTGACTGAACCGGCTGGCCCTGAAGCTGTTGTTGCTGGAGCTGGCGATTTTGTTGGAATGCCCGCATGCCCTTCATCAAATTTTGCGAGATCTGGGTGAGTCTCGTGTGTGCATGTTGGTATTCTGCACTCTGGGGGTCGCGATTGTTGAGGACCTCCCAAAAGTTGCGCACTAGCTGGGTGTGCTGACTTTTCTGTTGCTCGTTGAGATGAGGGAGCTTTTGGACCTGGTCGGTCCGGATCAGATTCGAATGCTGGGTAACCATGGGCTGAGCCGCAGGGACCTGTGAGCCGTCCATCTCCTCGAGAAGACGTTTGACACAAGGCGGAAGTGAACTTATGGGTTACTATAGATACCAGTGGGCCGACGGTAGATGTAGCCCGGAGAACAAGGGAATGACGGGGTGGAATCCGTGCGACGGAGCGTTAAGGGAATGTGGATGAGGCCCACTCGAGTGACAGGACAAGAGTAGATGGCAGTTCCGTACAAGAACAGATAGTTGACAGCGAATACCACCGTCCCCTCCAGGAGAAATGGGTTTCAACGGAGGAATTGGATTCAAGTTGATGATGGCGGAGAGTTTGGAGCCTCACGGTCTTGGCAAACCCGTGGTGGTCCGAAAACGGTAATCTTGGTCCAGTGACTTTTAGAAGGCCTACTTTAGCATTAGGATGGAATTTTTGGTTTTCTCTCTCTCTCTCTCTCTTTCTTTTCTTTTTTAAATGTATCTATAAGTATACCCTTACTGCTCAACACTGAGTGGATATTCAGAGTCACACTATCACGATTCCTAGTAGTAACAGTATGGTCGTTTACACAAAATGAATGTCAAACCCCAGACGTAGAAGACGTAGAAATCTCAGTTTTGTATCATTAAAACCATGTACTATACTAATAGATAAAGAGGGCTCCAGCAAAGTAGCACACATCTATTATCTACTATAAGACCATGACCTTAAGAGTCGGTGACTGACAAGCAACTCAAACAGTTCAACATCTTTAGTTAGAGAGCATAGTACCATAAACCTAGCCAAAAAGAAAAGGAAAGAAAAAGAAAAATGTTAAAATTAAGAAAAAGTACAGGTCTATTAAATGATTGGCCCACCATAAGTTAAATCATTATATTAGTTTCGATATGCAAGAGTCATTAGAAGTCACAGGGGCGTATCAAAGCATCTCTGCAGCCTCGTAGACTTGCTGTGAGTTGTATTAGTTAGTTCATGACATCGAGAAATGTACAGAGATCTCAGTAAATGAATATAATTGAGGGCACATTTCCTATACGGCCGATCCTGATAAACTAGCGCAGCAATCAGATCCCCAAGTTAGCTGAAGCATGTGAAGGTAGGAGAAGAATTCGTCCGTGGCATCTTCACTAGATTAAAGTGCCACTTCTCGACCGTGAAACCCACTCTGTAACATGTGAAGCCTATATCGCACGGGTTCGAGAAATGGCTGTTGTAGGGTGATTCACCGCAGGCATCTGCAGCTCGTAGGAGAACTGGTCAACGGTTGGACTAGCCTGGTACTACACCCCTCTTGCGTGTTATCTAAGCCATAAGGCCAGAGCATAAAGAGCAAATCATCCTATCAAGCCACCCAAGTCTCTCTCTATACCACTGACGCGGGCCTCTAAGGTTCGTCTTCTTTTCTCTAGCTCTCTGATTTCTTCCATTTCCCGCTCAATATCGGCATCGGTCACACTGCCCGCATCATCTAGTTGCAGCCTACCTGTAGCTTCGTCATTGTTATCGTCGTCTTCGTATGAGTGGCTGATTTTCTCTAATTCTGCAGTATTTGTCGCCACCCGGTCTTCTAGATCAAGAATTGAGTCTGTTATCAGCTGATAGCGATAACGGAGACTCGCAATCTTTTCCTGCGCCCCTGAGACTGGACTTTGCAAAAGGTTAGCAAATGTCAGTCATAAGCCCGAAGAGCGAAGCTACGGTTGCTTACTAGACGTTACAAAGGATCTCCGCGCCTTTCAGAAGAATGTTGACGTTGACTTCACCGCGCCCCCTGGTTGATGTGCCAGCTGATCGTTTGATTTCCTCCATCATATCTGATCCTAGTACTTTTGCCACGGCTGAATGGTTTCTATTATTCCTGGCTGCATAGATTCGACTGGCCATCGACTCCCCCTCCGCCTCCGATGGGAATCCCGTTCCTCGCCGGTTTGACCGTCGCTGTGAATATTTGATTGACCTCACTGAAGGATCGGTTTGAAATAAAGCCCGTTCATGTGTCTCCGTGTCGCGGATAAGAGCGGTAATGTCGTGGGGGCCTAAAAGAGCGTTTGTGAAGATCCGTGGAGGGGGAAAACTGAGGGGATTGATTAGCAACTTTTTTGAGTCTTTGACAAGAAGTGACAAACGGCAGCTCAGCAATGGCATTGGAAGAGAGCATAATCTGCTCCAAATGACTATCAAGCAACGACATGGCGACTGTATTCCTGGTGTTACCGTAGAGTCATGTCCCAGGTAGAAGTAAACACCGATACCAAATGTGGTTGCCAAGAGGAGCTGCCAATCTTAGGTGCCTCAGGCGACAGCTACGGAATTGAGTGGCAACCCAGCTACAGCGGAACCCATAGGGAGGAAGAATCTCACCAGTCTCCAGTAACTAGGGATTTTTTTTCGTATTTGTTTCTTTATTTTTTAAAATCTCAAATCATCGTTACTTGAGTATCATCTGACAATCGTTAATAGCAGATAGTGAGGCGAACCTGCACCTCGTGCAGGTGACCTGTTTACTTTGAGGTAAGCTGCTGATTTATACACTGACTAAGCCCCGGTTGTTCTCTCGCTGTCGCCCAAACCCTTGACATCACATCAACCACCTCATCAACCTTCTTCCCCCTAACGGCCATCTTCCCCCATCATCCTCATTGTTCACCATTCTCCTGCTCGTTACCCCTGTTTTTTTATTTTCTCCAAGTCATTTTCAGTGTCTCTCCGACCTGATTTCCATCCTCTTCACCACACCCCTTCTTCTGCTTCCGGTACCGCGGTCCTCATTGCTCAGCTGAGCTTCCAGTTGGGAACCGAAAAGATGCCGGCCGAGAGGCGTTCCTTGAGATCGAACAGCAAGTCGGATAGCTCCTCATCTGCTAACGGTGACAAGACACACTCTACTTCTCAGAACTCAAGCTCCAACAAAGACAAGGTTGCGCCTACCCGCGCGGCTGCCAACAAGGCTAAAAGCACGAAAGCTGCTTCGTCCAATAACACTTCGAATTCCGGTATGGGTGAACAGCGGGATCAGCCGCACACCAACGGCTCGGAGCCAATGGAGAACGGTGTGAATGGCTCTGAGGATGTTGAGATGGGAGAGGATACGGCAGGTGCGCCTACATCCTCATTCAACGCCAGTCAGGACCGGAAAGGTGACGAGAAGATGACTGTTGTAGTGCCCCCTACCAAGGGTTCGAGGTTATCCGGCGATAAAGGTCAGGACCAGGAAGGTGATGTCGCAATGGAAGGTGCGGAGGGCGATGAGAAGCCTGAGCCTGAGGTTGGTCCCAGAGCCAAGGCCATCCAAGGTTGGTGTCTTTGTATGGTGTGTCCTGGGAGCTTGCTAATGAGGCCACCCCTTTATTGGATTCAGACATCAAGACCAACTTTACCCTGCTCGAGCGAGCCGTCGCCCATTTCGACCCCAGATTCACCCTCCGTGTCTTGCGGTCGATATCCTCAATGCGCAAACATATTGCATCTGATGTGCTGGCAGAGGTCATTGTCGAAACTTATCCCCCATCAAGCCCCGCGGCATCCTTCTTACTTGAAGCTATCGGTGAAACTGGTGCATTTGAGAGTGTGGTAAAGATGGACGTCGAATCGGAGAAAACCAAGTCCAATCCCAAAGAAATTTTACCAGAGATCGATGCTTATTTGTCCATACTCGTCCAGATCTATCTTTACGACCAGAAGGAGACTCAGCGAGGCGCTGAGTTTTCAACTAGCTTGATCGAGCGCCTGCGGTCTATTAACCGCCGTACTCTTGACTCTCTCGCAGCTCGTGTGTATTTTTATTATTCCCTCTTCTTCGAGCAAATTGCGCCTCTTCCCCCGTCCCCCACTGCCACGGTTACGACAATCCGTCAGCCGTTGCTTGCAGCTCTCAGGACAGCTGTGCTTCGCAAAGACGTTGACACCCAAGCCACCGTCATGACCCTGCTACTGCGCAACTACTTGTCCACGTCTCATATCTCCCAGGCGGATTTGCTTATCTCCCACAATCGTTTCCCTCAGTCCGCATCGAACAATCAGATTGCCCGGTACTTGTATTACTTGGGCCGTATCCGGGCTATCCAATTACAATACACTGATGCCCACGGACACCTGATTGGCGCTACCCGGAAGTCACCCTCAAGCCATAGTGCGCGTGGGTTCTATCAAGCTTCTCACAAGTTACTCGTGGTCGTAGAGCTCCTCATGGGAGACATCCCTGACCGTGCAATCTTCCGCCAGCCTGCTCTGGAACGTGCCATGCACCCTTACTTCTTGCTCGTCCAAGCTGTGGGTGTAGGTGACCTAGACGGCTTTTTGGGCATTGTAAATACACACAGCACAACATTTCGCAAGGATGGCACGTACACTCTCATCTTGCGCTTGAGGCAAAACGTTATCAAGACCGGTATCCGGATGATGTCGCTCTCCTATTCTCGCATTTCTCTGCGGGATATTTGCCTCCGCCTTGGCTTGGATAGTGAAGAGTCAGCAGAGTACATCGTTGCTAAGGCAATCCGGGACGGTGTGATCGAGGCCACTTTGGACCATGAACGAGGATTCATGAAGAGTAAGGAAGTTGGAGATATATATGCAACTAGAGAGCCTGGCGAGGTATTCCACGAGCGCATTAGAGCGTGTTTGAGTCTTCATGATGAAAGTGTTAAGGTGAGTTACACTCCACCCCATTGCTCTACCTTGCACAGCGGTGTAGGTTGGGAGACTAATAACTTTAAATACTTCTAGGCTATGAGATTCCCCATGAACCAGCACCGCTTGGAACTGAAGAGTGCACAAGAGGCTCGGGAACGCGAACGGGAATTGGCCAAGGAGATCCAGGACGGTGATATGGATGATGAAGATGCTGGCGCCGACTTTGACGCTATTTAATGGTCACAAAACTTATCATACGGTGATTTCTAATCCTGCCATATGTTGGGCTGCGGCCAGACGGCCGAGGATCGTTCCGTTTTTGTGCTTTTATCTGCGAATCTGTTGTTTCGGGTGCGTATGAGGGGAATGTGCAGGATTAGGCTTTGCCGGCGTGATGTGCCCTGTTCCCTATATCGTACCAAATCATTCATTTGTGCAATAGGGCATGTTTGCCTTGTAGATGTTGTCCGATCAGCTCGTCCCTTACGGTCCTGCTGGGCATGAGAGCCTTGGTCCCTCTGTAATTTCCGTTCATATTCTAGACGAAGGCTTCCTCTACACCTTTTTACGGTCTCTACCTTTTTTTTTTGTTTGCTCTCTTCTTTTCTTTTTATATCTGTCGGCACAGGAAAATGCCGTCAGACCAAGATGCGGATGTGTATACCGCGCTGTTATTTATCTAGGGTTTTATATTGAAATTGCGTGAAAGTTGCTTTCAGCGATCCGTCCCGGCCCGAGCCAAACTCCGTCGGCAAGCTCTCTCAACTAAAATCTTCCGGCCAGCTAATATTTGCGGATTTCCTCAACTACGTTCCCAAAAAAGCTGCAACGTCCCTCGACCTACATTCTTTCCTCTTTCCGTTCCTCACCTGTACTATATTTATATTGCTTAATTTATCTTTCATTCATTACTTTTGGTCAATTAGCGCCTGCTGAGCATGAAAGCTCGAGCAGTTCTGGCCGCTGGTCTCGTCCTCTCATCACGAGTGCCCTCGACGTCAATATGTTGGCAATGCCTCCGCAATGATCTCATCTCCATTCAAGCAAATTCGCAAAGGCGAGCATATCATCCCACCCGTCGGAAATCCGTTTCTCCGTTTGGCGCCGCCGTCACCGCTGCCCAGACTCTCTTCAAAGGACTTCCAAAAGCTCCTCCGGGGATCTCAGTCGACCCCTTAAGAATCGTGGGTAAGGAGCTCAAGTTCTTGACGAAGAATATTCGCCAATTGCTGGGATCAGGCCACCCTACGTTGGATAGGGTGGCCAAATATTACACAAGGAGCGAGGGTAAGCACATGCGCCCGCTTCTAGTTTTGCTTATGTCTAAAGCAACTGCATTAACTCCTCGGCACGGTCGGCCGAGCTCTACCCCATCTTATACTGTGAATGATCCTATTAGCTCTCCATCGGTACTTGTGGATAGCAATCCTGACCTCGAGCCACTCGCATCTCCTTCCGCAGAAGCTAAATATGACTTTACCGGTGACGAAAATATCCTGCCTACTCAACGACGGCTTGCCGAAATCACAGAACTAATTCACACCGCATCGCTATTGCACGATGATGTTATCGATAATGCTATCACTCGCCGGTCATCTAGCTCTGCTAACCTTCAATTCGGAAATAAGATGGCTGTGCTGGCGGGTGATTTTCTCCTGGGACGTGCATCCGTTGCTCTGGCGCGCCTGAGGGACCCTGAAGTCGTTGAGCTGCTGGCGACCGTCATTGCCAATCTGGTGGAAGGAGAGTTTATGCAATTGAAGAACACCGCCTCCGATGAGAAGAACCCTGTCTTCACGGATGAAACCATCTCCTATTACCTGCAGAAAACGTACCTGAAGACTGCTAGCTTGATTAGTAAATCCTGTCGTGCGGCTGCCTTACTTGGCGACAGCACCCCCGAGGTGGTCGAGGCTGCGTATTCCTACGGACGCAACCTGGGACTGGCATTTCAGTTGGTGGACGACATGCTGGATTATTCCGTCAGTGACGCGGAATTGGGTAAGCCATCAGGGGCGGATTTGGAACTGGGTTTGGCAACTGCTCCGCTCCTGTTTGCTTGGAAGGAGAACTCTGAGCTAGGACCGTTGGTTGGCCGGAAATTCAGTAAGGAAGGCGATGTGCACAGGGTATGTGATTTGCAAATTGAATGAGCGAGTAATGGGGCCGTGTGACTGACTGTTATTGACATATAGGCCCGTGAACTCGTTTATCAGAGTAACGGTGTTGAAAAGACTCGTCTTTTGGCCCAGGAGTATGCTGATAAGGCCAAGGCCGCCATTGGCGACTTCCCCGACAGTGAAGCCAAGGATGGTCTTATGCAAATGTGTGAAAAGACAATGAACCGGAGGAAGTAGGGGCATGTGCAAGACATCCATCTATAATCTCCAGCGGTGGATATCATGGTTGGTTGATGCCCAGGTATTGTTGCGCAACCGGTTCCCAATGGTTATATGGGGCAGGACTTCCTATAGTGACCTTGTATATGTTTATGTATCACTAAAATTACTTCTACACTATTTGTCTGTTTGGGTGTTCTTTTCAATATATGTCGCGTTGAGAACATATGTGCTTGGCTTATCGACTTGACAACTGTATGCACATATTGTGTACTCCTGGAACGCGGCCTATTTTTTTTTTTTTTTTTTTTTTTCGAATGTATGAGTGTGTAAATAGATCTAGATTCTTATAAAGAGAATTGCAGCAGATTATTGGGCATTGGAAGGTGCCTATACATCCGTGTTTCATCAACCGTCGGTTCTCGGTCAGTCAGTATGTATACAGTATGAAAGGTACATACGTAAAGGACTGCAAGGCTGGTATCAATTCACCCTACGACTACCTCATACTCATTACTACTTTGAGACCGAGGTATTGATATGTGTGTATGTCTGCACATACAGGTTTCTTTGCTATAAAGGATTAAGTACCTGAATATATGGAGTTGTGTCATCTGACCAGCAATGATACCATGGTATGTATTAGGGTTTCAGAGAGATTAATACTGTACATTCGCAATACTCCGGCACTAATTTTGCTCGGAGTTCAAACTATACAACTAAATCAGCCGTTGATATTGTTGAAGAGTATCTATACTGTATTCCGGAAGTAAAGTATTGAGGAGAGTTTTTATCGCGTTGAAAAGAGGTGGAGCGACACATTGAATGGATGAGGCGGGCCAACTTTGTTCCAGGGAGGGTCCACCGACACTCCGTCATAGGATCGGCCTTGTAAACTGGTAAGGGAATGGTATTGATTGATACGAACAGTCCGCTTTCCATACCTCTCTCTTGCACACTCACACCTCTCTTATCCTTCATCACCCCGTGTCCTTTTCTGAACTCCATTCCATATTGCCTCGTTCACCCCCTCGACTCCTCCTTCTGTCCTATTCTCTCTCCCAGGGCTGCTGGTCAAGGTCTGGTCTGGATTGGTGTCTCCACAGTTTCTCCAGTTTCCGTCCCATCCTCATGATGGACCTTTCGATGCTGCCACTTTGATTGACCGGCTCCCAATGGGTTCACTCGGCAGCTTCCTCTTTGTATATCTCCTCGGCGGGCTGACATTTATTCCACTAACCCTGTCTTTGATTCTTCTCCATGCCTATTTAACTCTTCCGTCCCCTTCCCCAGCTGAGCAAACATGCGATCTGGCGAAAGACCCCCTTCGATGTCCTGATGACGACCAATATAGTCTGAAGTCCGGCACGGATGAGCTAGCAGAGAAATTTCACCGTACGCACGAGTCTGATGTTGCGGCAGGCTACTTTGCTGTATGTCGCGAATATGTCCCTGGTGGAGTCAATGGAAAGCCACCCGAGAGAACCACGCCGGCGGGTGAGGTGATCGCCGCGGAAAGCCCGAGCGTCTATCAGACGATGTATAGAAGCCTGTTTGACCGGAAGCAAACGCCAACTATCGAACCTTCTAAAAACAACGGGAAAAGCGGCAAAAAGGCACGAAATGTATTTTATATTGTCCTCCGGTAATTATTCCTTTCTCGCTCAGGGTCCTTTACGGATGCTGACAATCATTACATGAGAGATAGACACGGCCATTTGATGCTTTACGATGATGCCAACCAGGTTGAGGTGCGATATGTCATCTCCCTTGCGCACCATGATGTGAATATCTGTGGTGGGGAAGGGGAAATACAGGAAGGCGAGCTGTGGCTGAAGAGAAATGCTATCTGTCTTTCGCGACGACTGGAGTCTCTTGCTGATTTAGGGGGGCCGACGCCTCCCTTCTTTCTATTCTCGGAAAACCTGTCTGAGAAAGAAGACTTCTATTTTGCTATGCTCCAGAACCAATCCAGGATGTGGAACTTCCCCGACGCCCCTCCTAAGCATCAACCTTTCGATGTTAAGCATATCGTCACCCTTGTCCAACGCTTGCATTCATCTGAAGAACAGTTGCAGACGCGGTGGATTAATGCGGTCCTTGGGCGACTGTTTCTTGCAATGTACAAGACACCAGAGATGGAGGAATTTGTCAGAAAAAAGATTACGAAGAAAATCTCTCGGGTTAACAAACCGAACTTCATCAGTAAAATTGGTCTCCAAAAGATTGACATGGGAGAAGGGGCACCCTTCATCATCAACCCGAGGTTGAAGGATCTGACTGTTGATGGGAACTGTTGCGTAGAGACTGACGTTCAATACAACGGCAACTTTCGAGTGGAGATCTCCGCTACCGTGCGCATCGACCTTGGACCTCGTTTCAAGGCTAGAGAAGTAGACATCGTCCTGGCCGTGGTTCTGAAAAAGCTGGAAGGCCATTTGTTGATACGGTTTAAGCCTCCTCCGAGCAATCGAGCCTGGATCTCCTTCGAAACGATGCCGAGCATGGATATGGACATCGAACCAATTGTTAGCTCGAAGCAGATTACCTACGGTATTATCCTACGTACCATTGAAAGTCGAATCAGGGAGGTGGTTGCAGAAAGCATTGTTCAACCCTTCTGGGATGATATTCCCTTTTTAGACACCTTCGCACAACGTTTCCGTGGAGGAATCTGGCAACGAGAAATCCCGATACCGGACAATAAAATCGACATTCCAGACGAGTCCGGGGCCCAGCCTCAGTCATCAGGTGGGGAGAAGGGAGATTCGGTCGAGGTACTTAAAGCAAAGGATGAGCGCACGATGAGCGCGCCTGTGCTCTCTGAGTCTACGCCTATCACGGTGAAATCACAGAAGGGGTCCAAAACACACCCCGGGGAAATTGAAAGGAACAATTCAAGTTCATCGTCTTCTGCTATTAACAAATTCGGCAGCTCACCACCGCGAGCCATTCAGTCTCAGACTTTCTCAAACGCTGCTGATCCCGTGCTTACAGCTGACAATGCGAATATCGAAAAAGTTGCGCATGATGGTAAAGACACAGAAAAGAGCAGTGCTACCAGTGCTATGATCGAAATATCGAGCCGCTCCCCTCCCGGATCACCTAATAGATCGCCAGGTGGCTCACTGCCCACTGACAGTCATATACCCCAAGCAAGCGCATCTCAGAGTCGAAATCCGTCTATAGTAGAGTCTATCGAAAGTGTTGGGGTATTCAGCACCGACTCTTCTATCCCCCACTCTGCTGTGCACAAAATGAGCAGTTCCTCTCTTCGGAGCATGGCTGCGAGTTCCACCACCTCACTGACTAGTAACCAAGCCAAACGACGGAGCACCCTCGAGACTCTAACGCGCTCGATGACCTCTTCCACTAGCGCCGAAAAGTCTCAAGTTTCCCTCACACTGGGCACGGCAACGTCTGTTGCAAAGAAATGGGGCTGGAACATGTTTGGAAAGGGAGAGCAGAACATTAGTCAGGAGACGTCTCGACCTGCTGGTACACCCGAGGAACCGATAGGTCGTGGGCATCCTCTTCCTCCGCCAGGGACCCCATTGCCGCGCCCCGAAATGTTCTCTTTCAAGAGAAGCTCCGTTCCTGTAACGAAACGAAAGCCTGTCCCGCCCAATGCATCTCCCGAGCAGCTGCCCAAAGGAGATAGTAAGCGGCGTGTTTCCAAGCCGCCTTTGCCTAGAAGAAAGCCCATTTTTAACCCAGAAGACTCGGAGAACCTCCCTGATGAGTTGCTGGTGGTCGAAGCCCCTTATGACTCGGGCCCCAATAGCCCCGTTGTCGATGTTGCGCCCAACAATGCATTGCTCGGACCCAGTACACGGCGAGACTCGTCTATGACCGAAATGGAGATAGAAAAGTCTAGCGATCTCTGGGGTAAAGCGAATGGACATCAGACAAAATATGAAAATCTCGGGACCGAGGACTCCGAGGCTGACAAGCACGGCATGGCAATCTTATCAGCGACTGATGGCATTATTCCGTAACAGGCAACGAAGAGGTCTGGTGATGCGGCCACACCTACCGAGTAGAGCTGGGAGTTGAGGTGGACGGGTAGAGATATCCAACCTACCTGTGAGCCTTCGTGTCTATCTTTTCGTCTTGATCTTGTTCTTGTCCTTCTTCATTTTACTTTACGACATGGTCCCCGCTATCCTGTGTATACCCTCTCGCCCGTGATATGATCTGAGCCACTTTTATCCGATGGAGTTATAAGGAGCGATGTTCGATTTTGCATTCAATCATAGTTTGGTGTTTACTTAGACTGGCATGGACATACGGTGAAATTTATTTTTGAAAGAAACAAAACGATTAACAGAAAAGACGCTGCCTAAAGTAGAGAGTTAGGCATCCTAAAAGTGGTTGTATACCATTTCCACTAGAAGACCCTAGATGTATGCCCAATCAGAAGGGAAGAGGAATCAGGAGGTGACGACGCGGATAGCGCCAAGATGCCTGAGTGCGCAGGCGTCAGCTTTCCCGCCAAACGTCATTTAATACATGACAAACTATCGTTTTTGCTCCTCCTCACTCTTTGCTCTTATCGTGCTATCCACCACCCCCCTCCCCCTTTTGCGTCTTTTCCTTTCGTCACTTCGTTCCTTGCCGGTCAGCGCAGGCTCTCCTCTCAGGGTACAATCCAATTGCGCTGTTCGGATTCGGGCCCACCGGCTCCCGCCGCCCATAGTTATCTGTTCCCCTGACCCCCGACAGTCAACAGGTCTGCAGCCGTCACAATGAGTCGGTAGGTGCTCTGGGATGCTTGGCAGTGGAGCTTGCAGCTATTAGATAATAAACTAATCCGGATCAATAGCACGGAGGCAGATTTGGCGATTAACATTCGCAAAGCTACCAGCATTGGTAAGTTGTGCCCAAGTATCTCATCGGCTTCCGGTAGCTGATCTTAACGCTATTATCCAGAGGAAACCGCTCCCAAACGTATGGTCTATCTTCCCTTACTATCGTGTCCTCTCTCGGATCTATACGCTCCCCGCTGTCATAACTTGTCGCCCCCGGCTAACCCATTACACCAGGGAAGCATGTCCGGAGTTGCATTGTGTATACATGGGATCACAAGTCCTCTGCCGCCTTCTGGGCTGGCATGAAAGTGTATGTGCTATATGCTTTTCTTCGTGCTTCGAATTCCAGCTGACCGCGTCACGATTCATCCAGTCAACCGGTCCTTGCCGACGAGGTACAGACATTTAAAGCCTTGATAACGATACATAAGGTTCTGCAGGAGGGGCATCCGGTTGTGGTTCGGGAGGCGCAGCAGCATGCCAATTGGATAGACAGCTTGATGCGTGGTGTGGGAGGCGATGGTATTCGCGGTATGCAGAGCCCGAGAGCCGTATGATGCACTCGCTTCTGTTGATATTGATGAGCGGCATAGGCTATGGTCCTCTTATCCGGGAATATGTATTCTTCCTCGAATCGAAGTTGACCTTCCACCGGAACCACCCCGAATTTAACGGTAACGCGAAACAACGAAGTTTTCATCTCCGTGCGCCGCTAAGTGCTAAGCAGGTCTGTTTGAATACGAGGAGTACATCAGTCTCAAGACGATCAATGATCCAAACGAGGGGTAGGCACGCTTATTGATTCTTGCTATACTCTCTCACTGACGGCGATCTAGTTACGAGACTATCTCGGATCTTATGACTTTGCAGGACCAGATCGATGCGTTCCAGAAATTGATCTTTTCGCATTTCCAATCGGGAACGAACAACGAGTGTCGGATCTCTGCATTGGTGCCACTGGTACAGGAGAGCTACGGCATCTATAAATTTATCACGAGCATGTTGAGAGCCATGCATACAAGTAGGCATTGTTTCCCCTCTTGTTTACAGAAGTTGACTAGATCATAGCCACGGGAGATGCCGAGGCACTGGAGCCTCTTCGTGGTCGCTACGATGCTCAGCACTACCGACTTGTTCGGTTCTACTACGAGTGCTCAAACTTGCGCTACCTAACCAGCCTTATCACCATCCCCAAGTTGCCCCAGAACCCACCTAACCTGCTTGCTGATGATGATGAACGTCCCGCTTTGCCCAAACGGCCGACGAAGGAGGTGGAGCACGAGCCATCTCCGCCGCCAAAGTCGGGGCCCGCTGATCCCGAGCCCATCAATGACTTCTGGACTACCGAAGCCAAGCGCCAGCAGGAGGAATTCGAAGCGGAGCAGCAACGTCTGCAGCAGCAATGGGAGGAACAGCAGCGACAGCAGATCCTTGCACAGCAACAAGCTCAGCGCGATTTCGAGGAACAGCAACGTCTTCAGGCGGAGCAACAGCGACTTGCGCAAGAACAACTCTTACGCGACCAGTACCAGACACAGACCCAAGGTCGGCTAGCCGAGCTCGAGCAGGAGAATCTGACCGCGCGGGCCCAGTATGAGCGGGACCAGTTGATGTTGCAACAGTACGACCGCCGCGTGAAGGACCTCGAAGAGCAGCTCAACCAATTGACCTCGAACGTGAACATGCAGAATGCTTCGAGAGACGAACAGATTCGGTCTCTCCAGGAGCAAGTCAACACATGGCGGTCCAAATACGAGGCGCTAGCTAAGCTCTACTCCCAGCTCCGACAGGAGCACCTGGACCTTTTGCAGACAACCAAGAGTCTCAAACTCAAGGCAGCATCGGCGCAGGAGGCGATCGATCGGCGCGAGAAGCTTGAACGAGAACTCAAGACGAAGAACCTCGAACTGGCAGATATGATTCGGGAAAGGGACCGTGCCCTGCACGATCGGGATCGTTTGACTGGAAATAACAAGGAGGAGTTGGAGAAGGTCAAGCGAGAGCTGCGCCTTGCAATCGAGCGGGCAGAGAATGCCGAACGACAAAAGGGTACCGAAATCTCCACCCTGTTGTCAAAATACAACCGTGAGATGGCCGATTTGGAAGAAGCCCTTCGGGTAAGTATTCCTGCAGATGTTGAATTAGACGGCGGGGCACTGACCAGAAGTAGAATAAGAACCGTGCTCTCGAGGAAGCCTCTTCTCGGAATACGGACCGCCAGGGCGGCCATGACGCCCTGCTCCGTGAAAAAGATGAGGAGATCGAGGTTTACAAGTCCGGGATGGAACAGGCCCTGATGGAGTTGGAGGAACTGAAATTGGTATGCATCTGGATTCACGCAAAGAAAGTTGGATCGTAAAACGCCAGCTAACCTCTGCCAGAACCAAGGTGATGTCGACAACGCGCTGGATTCCCAGATCGACACCGTTTTGCTTAGCACCGTGGCCAAGATCAACGACATTATCGACTCTGTGCTCCAGGCTGGTGTACAGCGGGTGGACGATGCTCTGTATGAGCTCGACTCCAGCATGCAGGCTGGTAACCAGAACGCGTCCCCACCATATGTACTGTCGCAAATCGAAAAGGCATCGGCATCCGCGACCGAGTTCTCCACGGCTTTCAACAACTTCATCGCCGACGGCCCGAATAGCACCCACGCTGAGATCATTCGGACAGTTTCCATCTTTTCCGGCTCAGTTGCCGATGTCCTTAGTAATACCAAAGGACTGATGCGGTTTGCTAACGATGACAGAAGTGCCGACCAGTTGATCAACGCTGCGCGAAAGTCCGCACAGGCCACGGTACGGTTCTTCCGGGGCCTCCAATCTTTCCGGCTCGAGGGCTTGGAAGCTGATCACAAGACCGACGTGGTCATCAACAATAATCTCGAGGTGCAGCGGGACCTGCAGGCGCTGTCCAAATTGGTCGAAACCTTTGCGCCCAAGAGCAGCAAGATTAGCACTAATGGCGATTTGGGCGACCTGGTGGATCAGGAACTAACCAAAGCAGCCGACGCCATTGACGCCGCCGCTGCCCGATTGGCCAAACTCAAGAAAAAGCCCCGTGATGGATTCTCCACATATGAGCTACGTATCAACGATGTGATTGTGGAGGCCGCTATCGCAGTGACTAACGCCATTGCGGAACTGATTAAAGCCGCCACCGAGTCGCAGCAGGAAATAGTTCGCGAAGGCCGTGGTAGTTCGTCAAGAACTGCGTTCTACAAGAAAAACAACCGCTGGACAGAGGGCCTGATCTCGGCCGCCAAGGCTGTCGCCAACTCCACCAACACGCTTATCGAGACTGCTGACGGTGTCATTTCCGGCCGCAACTCTCCGGAACAGCTGATTGTGGCCAGTAACGATGTGGCCGCCAGTACGGCCCAGCTTGTGGCCGCCAGTCGTGTCAAAGCGTCCTTCATGAGCAAGACCCAAGATCGTTTGGAGGCCGCCAGTAAGGCTGTCGGCGCCGCCTGTCGGGCACTCGTCCGGCAGGTACAGGAGATTATTGCCGAGCGCAACCAGGACGATTCGGAGAAGGTCGACTACACTAAGCTTAGCTCGCACGAGTTCAAGGTGCGGGAGATGGAGCAACAGGTACGTTCTACGCATGCTACCATTAATAGATTTCGCCCCGTCTCTCTTACTTTCGGTTCTGCGACGCTCTCTGCGGGATCTCGCTGCGGACTGAATTCCCTGGGGGCGCGTGTGGAACATCACTAACGGGGTTTAATTCCAGGTCGAAATCCTCCAACTAGAAAACAGCCTGGCTCAGGCGCGGCAACGCCTGGGCGAGATGCGCAAGATCTCGTACCAGGAGGACTGAGTTCCGCGCGATGTGTCCCGCGTGGGACAGGTGTCAACAGTGGATATGGAGGAGGTGTTCGTGGGATCATGTATGCGTGGGTAGAGCAGATGAAGCTTATCCTTTGAGTGGTAGGACATTGACTCAGTGCACGGCTCCTTTACTTCGTTTCTTTCTTTCTCTTCCCCCTGTGTCTTAATCTTCGTGACTATCTTCTATGGTTGGCATCTCCCTCCTACCTATTTGGAATATACTAGTAGAAACAACACACGATCCCTCCCCACGAGAAAGGCGTAAAAGAAGAAAAAGAACAAGAAAATGAAAATGAAAATGAAAGAATCCCAACAAAAGAACCACCGCCACGACCCAAGGGAAATTGTCCTCCAAGGAGCCACTATTTCCCTTTGGCACAATGCACCCAGGAGCTGTCCTCCAGATGAGATAAGATTCCCATCCTTTGTCCGTTTGTCTGGGGTTCACCACTAATCTAGCGCGGAGTCTGCAACCGAAGTATTGGGCGCATTGGAAGGGGGCTCGTCCCACCTCATCTTGGGTACGATCCAGTCCAATGCGCCCAATACTTCGGTTGCAGACTCCGCGCTAGATTAGTGGTGAACCTTGTGGCTTTGTGACTTTGTTGGGAGTTGCGGTTCTAGGTCTTCTGTGTATGTTTGTATGGTTGTATATACTATTTGGGCTATGGGTTTGGAGACTATGGGGAGGAGGTGGTTTAAATCCTGTCATGGTGTCATGTCCTTATTTCTTCTTCCAATTTTTTGGTTCTTCATTGTTATGCGAACTAAGGTTTTCTTTAGCTGGCATTTATTATCTTCTGATTCTTCTGATTCTTCCTATTCTGCTTCGGTTCCCTCGTTCAGTGAGGATCTAAAATATCTAAAGTACTGATCTGTTAACAAAACTTGTCATTGCAATGCCGGTACGTCATTATCGCGAATGGGGTGAAGCGAAGGCGGAGAATGGCACGTGGGATACAATAAAGAATTGAGGGAAGAAAGGCGATCAAGGGATAAAGCAGACGCCCATGTGGAATGGAGCCAGTGGGGAGGCTCATTGTGTGGTGGCTGGCGTGCATCGTGAAATCGGTTTCTGGGGCGTGCTGCTACTTACGCTAGGATGGAGGTATTGATTTGTCGACGGGTGGGTGCTGAGGTGGATGTATGCCCTCGATGCAGGAAAAAAAAAGAAAAAAAAGAAAGAAAAGAAAGAAAAGAAAAGAAAAGAAAAGAAAGAAAAGAAAGAAAGAAACGGGGATCCCTAAATACACAAATTATACTTGCTTTAGATATCAAGGTAGCGAGAGAAGTCGTAGGACTCAAGTGGGTCGCAGTATAGCTGGTCATAGGGCATCATTGGTGTATGCAATGACGCATCGTAGGTCAAAATAGCGTTCTCCTCACCCCAGCCTGGCAAACCAATGTTATCGAGATCAATATCACTTATTATACCTGGTTCTGGGAAAGGCTGAGGACGGTTGCAGGTGCCAACTACTTCCATTGCACCGAGCGGAGTTTCATCAGCCACTGTGCTCAAGTCGCTTGTGTTGGGTGAGAGTGTATCATCGATTTGCTCCGGCGAAGATATCTCCATAGCTGAATTCGTTTTGTAAACATCGGTCACAATAGTATGGTTGCCAGAGACCCGGATGCTGTCGTCTTTATGGACAACCAAGGTCGGCTGAGTGGCAAAAGCCATAACAGGAGCGCTCCCGTTACAAATTGCTTTGCTCTTTCGGTTTCCTTTGGAGACATAGCCAGTGGTGTAGCAATGTTTGACTATGTCATTGACCGAGTAGTTGGTCGAAGTATCGGCTTCGTATGAGCTCGTCGCCTTAACTCTAGCCATGGTGTATTGCTGCTGATCGTCGACATCCAGTTGCCAGCCCATGACGTTAAGATAACGACTTGGTTCAATTATGCCTATGAACTGTGCATTCAGGCCTAGAAAAGATTCCAGAGAAACATTACTGTCGTGGTCATCGCGAATAATGGAGTAGGCTTTGGCAAGGATTGCCCATTTGGCTTTGAATGGATCATTCTGCCATAGGAAGCGAAGAATGCCCGACTTTGCTTTCTGAGTGAGGTCAGGGAACACAATGGAGTAATAGCCTGTTATTGTTAGATTGTGGAATTTATCCAATTTTCACAAAGGAGTACTCACTTCTGAAGGCGATGAAATTGTTCAGCGGCCGTCTTTTTGCTTCTGAGCCACGCTTTCCCCGCGAAGTTGAGGACCGAGTATTAGCACTCGCAGGGATTACAGCTCCATTATTGTTGTCAGTGTTGAACTCTAAACGAGCTTGGAGAATTTCGTTTTCATGAGAAGGTTGAGAAATTTCCTGGGGTCTGCCGTCCTGGATGTACTTGACCAGCTCCTCCAACTGTTCAGGTGGCATGGTCAGCAGAAATGCGTTGAACGCACGCTGGAGGGGCGACATTGTGGCTTCCATCCTGACGGAAACCCGGGTGGGTTGAGGCCAAAGTCACTGTATGTAATAGTACCTTATCAACTAGGGCCAGACGAAGGTTGAAGAGAATAATGCGGAAGACGAGAATGCTCTGTGAGATTTATGAAATTTCGACAGAGTAGGGCCAGAGAATATAGAAAGAGAAGAAGAGGAGTAAAAGAAAAAGACAAAAAAATGTACTATGTGTTGGTCCAGCACAGTGGTACACTTGGTGAGTTGGGGTTCGGCTAGACAAAGAAATACTCCCTGGTTCGCCGGGCTGGGACACCCCCAAAGCCCATTCACTTCACTAAAGGGATGGATAGACGTCTTGGATATAGGGAACATATGGGGTTTTAAGAGGACGGTATAGTCTGATTCCCTCATCAAAGACTCGCTGTATCTACATATACTATTAGCATATTCTATCGATGTATCTTCGAGGGACTCATCATACACTCCAAAGTCTCCAATAGCAGGATACACGCTTTCATTGCACTGTATGAAATGCGATTCTTATCCGACCAGTTCCCTGGTGAATGGTTAGAAACTTGACAACAGCAACACTAGGGTACTTACAGAATTTGTACGCATCTTCCCGTTCACAGTCAGTAGCTTGCATCGGAGCTCCATTTTCCGCATCATTTAAGCACGGCCACATTTCCATCGTGTTATAGCAGAGCTTCCGAGCATTAACCTTGTAGTTATTGCCATGTGAACATGATTGTCAGCAGTTAACATTCTCCGCGACAGTTTTGCTACAGAAGTTAGAACTTATTGAAGGTATGAGAAACTTAGACTCACGTCATCACGTAATAAACCCTAAGAGGCCAGCCCTGAAGATATAACGGTAACTATATTTTTGGGTGCATTTGACAAGGTCTTTGTTTACTTTTCTTTCCATGTCAAGAAGGGCCGCGTCAAACTGAAACGCTTCTTACCAGGGATGCAATGCTCGATAGTAGGATCAAGAGTATTAACAAGCTTGAGAGGATAGCCTTCAAACCCGAAACATGAGCCATGAGTCAACATGTGTGCTTATGAGCGAGGAACAAGACACCAATGTCCATTGCCTGCTCCCTCTGCTCAGGAAAGCGGCATGCATCATGTGCTATGGGATCGAGTAGCTTGAGAACTCTGTAGAGAGAGATTATATTGAAAAAAGGGTACAAATGCTTCTTGTCAAGTTTTAGTGATATAGATAACTCACGGCTTGAAGAGGACTGGTAAACGGTGATTGAAGTTCAAAAGACGAGTGACCAAGCATTGTGTTAACCACGAAAGTATAACTGAAGAAAAGTAATTAAATGTTAGGTTCCTATGAAAGACACCGGAAGAAAAATTAAGGGAATCCCTGTAAGCGAAGATAACACAAAAGTGATTTCACTGCAGCATTCACCACACGCGCATTTAATGTTCAACAAAGAAGTGTACCAGCCTAGTATTCTTCAGAAACACAATCCAATTCGTCATGTTCTACTGCTTCTCTTACTTTCTTTTTCACTAGAAGTATCCCCCTATCAGTTACTGTCGTTAAGTTTTTCACTAGAAGTGTCCTATCCTTGGTTACTGTCGTTAAGATACGTTCTTCTATACTAGTTTCCGTTTACTCCCAATACTCTCTACAATATTTCCGCTGGGATATAGGTCCTAGTATCCTCAGATTTCTTGATTAATTTATACATAAGTACAAATATCGAAAAATGGCTACTGTACCTATTGCTATGAGGTCAGCAGCAGAGTCAACAGACACACTTACAGAGCTGCTTTGGCAGGATGCTTTGCGCCACCTTGAATCTACAAATAATGAAGTTCTTTTACCGATTAACGTTACCAATATGATCGGTCAGCGCAATGTTGATAAGATCAAGACTCGCCTTGGGTAAAAAGAACCCCCAAGTTCACTTGATATGTAAACTCACGCTTGATAATAGTGCTCTTATCGGTGCCCCTGTTGTTACTTTCATTGACGAAACTATTAATGCTCTTCGTGTTATGCGCACGCCTGCTTTCTCAGGCTCTGTCGTGTCTATCGCATCTCATGACGGAATCTCCAACCTGAAGAGAGAAGTAACCGAATCCTCTGCTAGAATGCATGGGAGACCAGCGTTATCCGCCAAATCCGTGAAAGTCCCTCGACCACCAAACGCATTCATTCTTTATCGTCAACATCATCATCCCAGAATTAAGGAGGCATATCCGGATTTCACAAATAATGAGATATGTAAGTCCTACTTTCCACTATCTACCCAACTGTGAACATGCTAACGGCATCAGCAATCATGCTAGGGAAACAGTGGAAGGCCGAGTCCGAAGAAGCCAAAGTGCAATTCCGCAGCATGGCGGAAGAACTGAAGAGAAAGCACGCGGAAGATCATCCCGACTACCACTACACTCCTCGCAAGCCATCCGAGAAGAAGCGCAGAGCTTCGTCACGCCAGTGCTCTAAGCCAAACAAGAGACAGAAGTCACCGGCTTTGACAAACGACACCTCTGATACCTCCACGCCCTCGATGTATTCTGGCATACAGCTGGATAATACGCCTGTGGACGCATCCTTGGATAATATAGCTGACATCGACATCGTGCTCAGTCCCGATGAATTTTCTGGAGATTATGGACTACACTTTGACACTGATGCCTTTGATAACTTTCTCCAACAAGTGCAGAGCGATCGTGGCAAGTCAGCCACTACCCTGTACCCACAGCTTACTATTGCTGAACGGCCTGTGGCAGAGTCTTTCGAATTCTCAGATCTCATTTCTGACTGCTACTAAACAACCATATGGCACTTGTAATTTGGGGATCATCTCTTTTTTATTTTCTTCATTCTGCTTTGCATTCGTGCTATCGTCTCTTGATGATAAATTTCCATTTTTCTGTACACATGATGCATATCTTATACCAACCCTTGCGTTCTGCCCAACTTCTCATTACGCAGCATTGAAATCTTCGATCATTTAGGATCAAAGGAATCAAAGATATGGATCAATACTCATACAATGAGCATAGAAGATACCATACCAAATAAGAAAATTTAGTTCTATCCTTTCCATTTGTACACCAACCTTTATTGCTCTGCCGCAGTTAGATAGTCTATGTTTATATTGTGTTCGTTTTCACTTTGCAGAGAGAACGTAATTGAGAATAGTATTATTTTAAGTATACTTGATATTTGATAGGGCAATGAACCGAGTGGATATCATCCGAATCCGGGATATAATTACTATTCATCGAAAGCCAAATATCTCATTTTAGGGATTCCAATCACTAGCCCAGATGAATGTTGAGCAACGCCATTGCGTTCCCCTTTCCTTGTTCCCACTGGGCCCCAAGGGTCGTGAGCAAATCCAAAAGGACCGACCACAGTTGATTCCGGGCTTTTTCGTTGATAAAGTGATACATGGCTCTTGGTGCCCTTCACATTTTGGCGCGGGTTTCTTTGTAAAAAGCTTCGACCAATCTTCTTTACTAACAATTGGATCGATAACGCTTTCGCTATCTTGATTTGCAGGTGATGCCGCTGGCCCGGATAAATTGATGTTGTTTGTGGAGGCGGTTGATACATTGCGTACACTTCGTAGGCCTTCCTGCTTCTCGGGGGGTGTTGTGATCGAAGGTGGGGAAAGGGATTCGGATGAACATCCTATGGCCTGCACAGGCACCCCATGAATGCCTGTTGCGTTGGTTTGGTTAGTATCGGTACCTTTTGGCTTGAAGAACCTTTTGATGTTTTTTTGTGAAGCTAAAGAAGTTGTTGATGTTTGAGAGGCTAAGGATTTCGAACGCTTGATCGAAGGTAAAGGGCCACTTCTTTCAGAACGTTTACGAATGGTGCCTTTAGCTGAAAAGCTGCTGTCAGAGATAGGGATCGGTGGGCTGCGGTTGCCCTCCTGACCAATTCCCTTTCTGTCCTGGAATGATTTAGAAGGTCCAAATCCAGAGACTGGGGACGACTTCTGAGGGAAATTGGTTGGCTTTTGCGAAAACATATCCTTAATACTTCTTCGCTTATCAAAATCCGGTATCAAACGCCCCGATGTGGGCAGAAGAAGTTTTGTCGAGTACTCTTCTTGCCGTTTGCCCTTTTCAAATATACTAGGTGGGTTCATGATATCGAGTATATTTGTCTGCTGCCCATTTACAGACACGAAGTCTTTGAAGACGGCATATACCGGGCAGTGGTCTGATCCCTATGTCTTGCTCAGCCTCATAGTCTACTCGTGTCTAGAACAGGATCTTACCATAAGCCCCTCTTGTATGTTTGAATCGCTAAACCAATCTTGCATGTCCAGGCTGCACAAGACATAATCTATTCTCGAACCATAGTTGCCAGGCCGAGCATTGATCTTCTGCTCCCAACAAGTATACATACCCCTGCGATTCGGATTGAAAGACCTGCAGATGTCGTATAAAACAGGTCGCTCCCTCCCTACATCCCGCTCCCCAACGACCTCCCCATCAGACAGCAGTTGATTGAATAAACGTCGAGCTGGTGCGGAGATAAACTCATCCTCCGTCATAGTGCCTTTCCGAATGTTCTCTGACGCATGTGCTGCATCAATTTCCCCTCTTGAGATATTGATATCACCAGTGACAAAAACCCTTTTCCCCATGGCAACAAGATTCCGGACTCGAGCATCCATTAGATCGAGAAAGCTCTGGCGAAAGTTGTCGCGGCTTTCGTCCCGATTAGCAGGGCAATACAGTCCGAACAAAACGAATGCTGGAAATTCTAAGATGACACAACGGCCCTCGGAGTCGAGGGTAGCTGCATCTAGATCGAACTTTAATAATTGATCCATGGTTGGATAACCGCCGATTTGTTGGTCACGAGGAAGATCCCGGAACGAGACCGACGAGTTCGGTGGACAGAGTACACCAGTAAGGCCCTCTTCGGCGCGGATTGGAGCACATGTTGCGTTACGGGTGTATATTACCACACCAGAGTAGCCTTCATAGGGTCAAATTGCAGCCGGCGGTTTAGTTGAGGGGGAGACGAACCCTTTTTAATTCTGGGTAAACTGAAGTAGCAATCCCATCCAGGTACCAAGACCATGTCATCTCGAAGATCTTTTAGTTGGATTTTCGTTTCTTGAAAGACAACAATATCGGCCTCTAATATTTCAAACATAGACTTTTGTGCTTTAGCCTATGCATTGACAAAGAAAGGTCGAACGCTAGAAATGTATACCTCGAAAGTGCGCTTGCCTCTCCATGGCTCATAGGAGAACGGATTTCTACGGGAGACTTAGTAAATATACAGAGAATAGACATACAGAGAAAGCTGTGAGTGTTACCGAATGCCATTGACTATTCAGAGGGATCAGTTTCTCGAACATTGTTTGCTTGTATTTTCTGTTTCATTCGATGGATTAAGCTTACCGTTCCACGTAGTGATGCGAAATCCCATTCCGGCAGCGGTCAAGAAGGATTGAACATAACGACGAGTTCAACGTACACGCCAGGATGAAACTGTTGGAGTAAGGTCATCAACCCAGGTGCAGTGGTGGATGTCGGATGGAAGTAGTGTAGCCTGTATATCGGCCAGCGTTAATCAGCTTGTCCCACGTGACCGCATTTGGGTGACATCACGCGGTGCTGACTAACGGGGACAGCGAATCACGGGGCCGCTAAACCTCGTCAACCGGAAGAGCCGACGTCCGCATAATCCCACCTTCTGTCTGTCAAACGCAGAACGACCAGACGTTCACCCTCGACCTGCCCGGCCACAACAACCATGTTCCCTCAACGCAATATCCTTCGTTTGTCTCAGCGCTCTGCGCAGCAGCTGCGTTCCACCCCGGTTCGCTCTGCCATCCCGCGCCGGTTCAACAGCACCGACTCCAAGCTTCCCTGGATGGTCGACAACGAATTCAACCGCGAGAGAGCGGCTGTCAAGCACCACGCTGCCTCCACCAGTGGTGCGTATATTTAATTGGCCCGTTGTCTAACTATGTCGGCAATATGAGACGGAACCTCGCATGATACTAACCCATTGCCACTCTAGATCTCTGGCGCAAGCTCTCCATTTAGTGCGTATTGCCTGATCAATCAATTCGTCGGGTCTCACGTCAATGTATACTTACAATCCTAGCGCCGTCATTCCCTGCCTTATCCTCGGCGGCCTCAATGCCTACAACCTCTGGTCAGAGCACTGGGAGCACTGGGAGCATATGCCTCCCCTTGAGGAACGTGTGGAATATCCCTACCAGAACATCCGTGTGAAGAACTTCCCTTGGGGAGATGGTGACAAGGTAAGCCTATTAGCTCCAAAGCCGGATTGATATACTGACTGACACGTTTTTGTAGACCATCTTGTAAGTTCCAATCTTTTGTTCCTCACCGAGGTTGGCGGATGATTTCGAGTGCCAAAGACCGGATTAATCCCAGGTGGAAATATGACTTCTCTGAACCGAAGCTAACAACTTGACAGCTGGAACGACAGCGTTAACTACCACAACAAGGACAAGGCTACCTAAGCCTTGGGCGTACGGTGTTATAGACTTCAATCGGAGAGTCTTGAAGCATGGGGCGAGCAACGAAATGTATATTTATCGCAAAGAGCAGCAGACAGAGCGAGGTGTGATGGAGGCTGTAGACAAATTGACTATTCTACCACAGTGCGGATGTTAGTCTAGTTTGACTAGTTAGAATCGAAGCTTTGTATCCTTTGGTTTCGTGGCTCCACAAGGAGTTAACTTGAAAAGATGAATTCGAGTATTCTATGACCTATCTGTGCTACCGAGCCGCCGCAGATCCAAATATTTCGCCGCATAATCATTCGCCAGGACTAAATCACCGGTCAGATGCATAACGGTAGCTTTTTTGGCCATCATTTCACACTGTCCTTGAATATCTTCGATCTCTTCATACTGGTCATAAGCGCAATCTAGATATTCCAGCGCCCGGTTCATGTACTCCTTTCTAATAGGAGCATTGTGTCCGGATACCTGACTCCGTAAATTTCCCGCGATGCCCATATTTGCATCCACTAGAAGAGAGTATGCTCGGGCTGCAAGGTCACAGTCGCTGGACTCGAGAATTTGAGGCATAACACTTTCTACCATTGCCACAACAGCTTCGAATTCCCGAAGACTGAGAAGGACTCCGGATAGGACGCAGATAGCTTCCCAAAGACCAGGCAGAAGCCTCGACTGGTAGGCGATGCTGGCGGCCCTCATTGCTAAGGAGAACCCACGCTGGGGTTGAGAGGTCTTCTCAAGTATACGAGCTTTAAGGCATAGGAGCTTTACTTGACAGTGGATGTCAAAGTTGTCCCGGTGGATGGTTTGGGCTATGTGCTCGACGATCTCCAATGCGCGAGTGTAATTGCCTTGTCGGATCAAATACTCAACCTGGAGGAAATCCAATAGTGTTGCTGTGTCATTATCTGGGAGTTGAATTGCTTGAAGCTGCGAGAGTAGGCAGTCGGTTGCCACTTTATCATCACTGAGGGGCGTTAGAAATATGAAAACATAATCGTCAAAAGACGAGCAACTTACCGATTCACTTGCCGTTTAAGCTGCAACGCTCCAGAGAAGAACGTCCAATATTGATTTGATTTTAGAGAGCGTAGCTTGTCGGGAGTGATTTGATTCATACGCGCCGAGGCCTCTTTAAATCGACCTTGCTGCGCTAGCTTCGGGGTGTAAGCGACAGTTACGCATGTAGGTGATAACTAGCATACCAATTGAGAGCTGCGGAAGGTGCTCTTTAGAAAATCTTCAAACGGTGCTTTGGTTGCGTAGCATTCCTGGAAGGTTTCGCAACTTAACAATGCCATATGTGTAATGCCTACTGCGCATTAGCCGTATGTACACATCTGCGTTTTAGCGGAAGAAGTACCGATTCTGGCATAAAGCGTAGTTTGTAGTAGAAGCTGTGGCCCGGTTGAATTCGCAAGGTTCTTGACTACATTAAGGTGCGACGCTCGGATTATGTTTTCCATGGAAGAGGCAAGGCTCTCACCCTAAAACTTGTCAAAGGCACTGCAAAAATTAGAGGGAGAACAAAACTCACATTCTGCAGTTCTAGTTTGGCCTCACTTAGTAAGGTTGTACTCAAGAGACTCCACATTTCTGTCTCTTTCGCTTTCGCCTTGAGAAAAGTTAGGCCTTCCTTCTCGTTTCCAAGCATTCCTGTGTTTTGAACATCCTCCATATGTTCTGGAAAAGCTTTGCCGAAGTGATATAACCAGCTCATGCAGAAATTGAGACAGTTCATATCATGAGATTCTCGGGCAATAGAAACAGCTTCCTGCATCGCAGATACAGCTTCCCCGTAGCAACCAAAGTCCGCTTGAAGAATAGCTAAATTCAACAAAGCGTATTGATAAGAGCTTCGATCCCTACTATGCATCGTATAGTCGAAGTAGCGATGAAGATTGTCAAACGATGATGGGTAATCTCCAGCCCTCCAAGCGTCCAAGAATCTATAGAATCAGAATCCGGTAGCTGTTAAGGTGGTCAAAGTACTTACCTTAAGTAGTGCACCAGGTTGGGAAGTGTCACTCCAGATGCAATAATGCGTTGTAGGCGCAGTTTCATGCCATCCGGCACTCTACCTCCCATTCCTATATTAGTTAGAAAAAGTTATGTTTGATAGACAGAAATTACATACGTTGTAGCTCGCTAATTTGGAACTCCAGCAAGAGTTCCACGTCTTTTGTGCTGATATAGCTGTCCTCCTCCGAGTCGACGTGAACGTTACCGTATGCCACCTGAGCAAGTTGACTACTAGTGTCTAAACCAAGCTCAAGTAGGTTCATATCAACCATAGCCTGTTCATCGGACGGATTTCGCTTTGCCCATGCGTGGTAAGTGGGGAGGCGATACTGGACAAGCCCCTTCCAGAGCTTAACTGAGTCATGAAATTGGAGCCTTGTAAATTCAAGTTGGGCTCGTCTCACAAACGCTCCCAGTGGCGAACACCGAGAGAGACGCATACAGCCTACCCCCGGAGCCAAGCCGTTGTCTCTGTCGCGGATCTGCTCCTCCCGCGACTTGGCCAACATGTCTAACACATTGGAGAAGAATACTTCTAGTCCATCGCATGAATCAATAGACCAAACCTTTTTGAGAAACAAGTCCCAAATTGAGCGACCAGGGATTGATGATGACTGGGTAGCCAAAGCTCGTTCAAGGTCCACTATAGATACTGAGCAAAGAGACTTCCATTCTGGGGGCGAAGAGCTTGGGTCGCAGTCCCAAGGACTTAGACACGCGACCAAGAATGAGAGAATATGGACAGCCGAGGAGTTGGGGACAACCCCTTCTGTGTAGATAGAGATGAGGCACAGTAATGCAACCTTGGATGGCGTGAGGTAGCGACTCATTGTGTATACATACGGTCCATCTCTTGTTTTTCTAATTGGTAATGCCAAAGAGGAAAAGTATGGACAACCCACCTTGACAATGTGAAGTGTCGAATTTGCGCGGCGACGCGTTAAAATAAGACCGCTGCGCAGGTGCGATTATATGTATGAATATTACAGTTAGTGTCGTGATCAGTAATTTCAGCGACCCAAAGGATCGAATGCATTTAGCCCTGGCGATGCTGCAGAGCTAGCACGCGATATGGACGACGGCAGGATAGAAAATGTGGGAAATGTGGTTGGTCTTTCCAAGTTGGGGTTTTGTAAGTACTTTAATTCTCTAGGAGGACAAGAAGGTACATACGACCACAGGGTGTGGAGAACAGGGCTTCCCGTCCGCTCAGCCGTACTTAAGCCACACGCCGGCCGGTTAGTAGTTGGGTGGGTGACCACCAGCGAATCCCGGCTGTTGTATGTTTTTTATTTTTTTTTATATAAAAAATATCTTTTATGTACACGACCTAAATATGTATACAAACCTATATAATTTATATAATATATATCATTAACGATGTATAGAGGGATTCAACTGGCGAGCTCACCATCTACGACAGGGACGTAAGAATTGTAAGTCATATGGAATCACTGGGGTTTAAACGCTAGTCTAATAGCCTAGATAGATCCTTATTGTCACGGATAGAGAGTTTTAGGCAATCAGTGAAGGGAGTGGTAGTCATGTGACCCTTTGACTATAAGGGCAACGCATGACAGCTTCATGTTTTCTTTTTTTCCTCTCTTTAGCTTAACCTTAAGCTGTCTCTTCGTGATAGACTACCTAGTCAACTATTGATTCAGCTAGAGTCCCTTACACTTATCTCCTTATCTTTAACAGTGTAGCCTTGATCTTACTTCCAGACAGGTATATACTGTGTACATATTTGGTGCATTATAATTCAGAGTTCCTTCTATAGGAACCTCTATTTCTCCGAGTGACGCTACTGTGATATGAACATACCCTAGATGTTAATTAGAGAAATCGGAGAAATTTCGCGTCTCATCCAAGCTCCTAAAGTATCCCAGGAGTAAAGTCAACAGCCTGCGCTTTTTCGATGACTCCGCCAAGGCTCTTTACAAATTCTCGATGGACAGGATCGTCCTTAACATAGTAGTCTCGGTCTGCAGCACTCGCAAACTCAACAACGAAGGCATGTGTGATGCCATGCTATTTATTTCCAAGAAGACAATCAGTAAGGGGGTGCATATAATACAGTTTCATATGGTTAACAGACCTGGATACCTTCGGGAGAGTTATCTCTGCCACCGGATGAAGTTCGAATATAAGGTTTTTGTGACGACGGGTGAAGACAGTTGTCTCTTAGGGCAAGCATACGATTGCAAACCTAAACAAGAACATGTTAATTCTCATGCCCTCTTAGGCTCATCGGCAATTGACGAGGAATTCCGAGCATACATCTTCGATGACTTCGGCGCTAGTGCCTGCTTTGAACTGGAAGAGAACAATATGGGTGACTGACATTGCGAAGTCAGGGCGTTATCTAGATATGTACAGTACCTCAAGTAGTGGTGGGATAAATCAATGGCAAGAAGGTGGGGGGAAATAAAGGTTGACATCAGGTGATTTATTGATCGAATCTTAGTTCTAAATTTATCCATTTATTAGTTTACCTTAACTAGTGTACTATAATACAACTATTATTATTATTCTTCTTATTTCGTACAGATAAGTATGGATTACATAGTTGACGAATTGCCGTGACCATAACTTGGTAATACGTGGATTCATAGCCCTAACCATGCGGTAACCTGCAAACAAGAGTTCCTCACTATGGATAATATTGCCTAAATAGAGAGATTCTCTGGCTGTCCATGGGAACTCATTCGTACAATCAACATAGGCAATGTGTCGAATACATATCAATATGCTCCATGAGTGGCGAGGTATCCTTCAGCGCCCTGGACATTATTCAATGATACGAAAGATGCAACAACGCATAATAATTAGCGTTGATACCAGGAAAAGGACATATCAGTGGCGGTTCCGACCACCCACCGCCTTCCGCCACTGATATAGCAAAACTAACCAGCCCGGGGAAAGCCGCTGCGATGCTTTATCATGCATCCTTCTCTTGAAAGCGATAACGACCATAATAAAAAAAAAGCCGAAGGAGACCAGCTGAATTAATAAATTCCACCACGTTGATCATATTGGAGTCAGGTTTCTGCCAAGGGTTCCGATGAGATAAATATATGGATAGGATCTTCTCCATCATCCCGAATATTATTATGCCCATTACTGGCGCTTACGGGTCGATTTGATTAGCTGGAGTCCGTCGCTATTTACGGCGTTCTCCTTGTTTCTTAGTATGTCTAGATTTATATTCTGATGGAGAGAGTTCCTTTTGGTCTTGGTCTGTTTCTGTTCGACTGGAATATCCATTCATTCAGTTTAGGAAAGTTTTGGGTTGATACCAACAATCCAGGGAAAGCTAACAAGGCCCTCTCATTCGAGAAAACTGAGAAACGCTGGTAATAAAATTATTTCATGGTAGCAATGGCATTAATCCCTGGCTATTGGGTATAGCCCGACGGAGGACCGCGACTAGGATAAGGTCTTTCTTTGCTACGCCGAGTGACTTTAAAGTATTTGTCTATACTCTCGACCTCAACTGAGGCGCAGTATATTAATTCGGGATCATAGAAAGACTCACAGGGTAAATGTAGAGGCCCACGACCTGAAAAGATCATCACCATCAAAGGACTAACGGATCATCAAGGAATTCGTCTCTACCACCAATAAAATGAGGCCCTAAGACGGCAGGTTCGTATTCAACGTATTAGTCCCCAGTCTAGGCCTCTGATGCGGGGAGTATACAGATTACCACTGTTTATCCAAAATTAACGTCTGCACGATCCGAAATTCTGAGTGGCGGCGGGTTTGACTTACCTCGTATTGACTTGATAATGAAACCCGTGATGAGGCACTTCGCATCACATACTGGATCGGTGATGTAGGATGCGTATATAAATCCATGCACACACACTCTCTCTTTCTCTCAGGCTCAGCTAAGTCAGTGCATCTACCTCCAACTCCATCAGTCGTTTCCAACCAACATCCAAAATGAACAAGTTTCTCACCCTCGTCGCCCTCCTGGCAACTACAGCTCTCGCGACAAACCGCAGTCCAGCCCTGGCCGCCCGTCAGGTAGTTGAGCTTCCCTGTTCCTACCAGGGTGAAAAGGACTGTGGCCAGAATTGCATTCCTCTCTCCTACACCTGCTGCCCCAATGGGCTCGGTGGCTGTCCCCCGGGCTCCTACTGTGATGGCCTGGGCTGCTGTCCTATTGGAAATATTTGCACTGGTCCAGGAGGCGTCACCACTCGCCCCGGGTCGACTCTCTCTATTACTAGCACTCTGACAAACACTCTCACGGATATCCTCACAAATACCTTGACCTATACCAGTACCTCATCTAGCGAGGTCGAGACTCTAACTTCTACTCCTAACTCTCCCCCTACGCCTAACTCGAACCCCTCGTCACCGCGGAGCGTCATCCCCTCCAGCCCGAGCGCAGTGTCCCCCTCATCGTCTACCCCGGCTGTGTCGACTACTTCTCCGCTTCATACTGGCGCAGCTTCGCACTTGACCCCGGGCTTCTATGCCGCTGCTGGCCTTATTGCTGGCGTTGCCATTCTGTAAATGGACAAGCCTCGTTCCATGGTAGCATGGCTTATGCAAGTATGCGGCGGAGATCTATTATGGGACCCATCGGTCTACTGGATATACCGAGATGCCTCTATTGACATGACAAGGGGTGAGAGGGAAATGGCGCTAAGAAGTTAATAGAGTGTATACTTTAATATTATATAATATGTCGATTTTCCCCCTCTTCTCCCGCAATTGTCTTCGTAAGTTGTAGAATATCTACATACAACATGCTTCCTCTTTAATAGCCTATGGTTGTTTCTTCGGTTCATGCCTCTCGGTCGAATCAATCACTACGAGCAAGAATACGTTCGATATTGGCTTGCAGGTATTGTGTTTCAACGGCCTAGTGAAGTTGCTTCAAAGGTAGGTTAGCCACATCGGCCCATCATTAGGTGAGGTACAAGATGGATGACCATTTCCTAGTCAAGCCGAACTTGGATCGCTTCGCGAGAGAAATATATATATTCAGCTGTAGGAAGCGTGTAGTGAGATATATACTCAGTGAGGCGGATCAACTCTCTCCTCTCTAAACTCAAACGCAGACAGTAACAAACACGATACGATACTATGTGTCCCAGCAAACATCACAAAACAAAGCTAAAGTATTGGGAATAATGCACTGTACAAGAAAACACTAACAAGGACGGTAATACCCTCGCCCCGGGAAACCAAACAGAATGAAACAAAAATGCGCCTGATATTGCTGCTTTTAGCATCGCCGAAAGGAAACGTCAGGCCGATAAGTAGAGGGAATAAATGGGGATTACGACAAGAAATAAAACAATCACATCTACCACATTACTTCCCACCCACGACATCTCCACTTGGAGTCGTGATCTGAAATTGGTCAAAGTTTAGGGTATAGATTCCTTTGACGCCCGATTTGTTAAGATCGATGGTGTATTTGCGGTTCGAGCTCAAGTACGAACCACTAAGGTACGTTTCGAGTTTTTCTTCTGAGAGCAGGGCCGCATCAAGCGTACCGGTTTTCTCAAAAATGTAGAGAACAGCAATTCGAGAGAAATCCAGGGCTTCCCTGGAGACAATGGTGGTCGGTGTGGCCGTGGCTGTCGAGGTCCCTACCGGGCTCTCACTGGTTGTTGACGATGTTGTGCTTGTCGGTCGTCCGTGGACCTCTGTTGGCTCCGAGCCATCGAATATGATGCCGTTCATCGTAGACGTAGAGCCGCGAGCAGCAAGGGTTCGCGTGGGGGTGTTCGTTGGGGTGGCGGTAGGTATCGGTGCACTGTTTGACTCTTGTTCATCTTGCAATAAGGAATTTGGGAGAGCGCGGCGGGCTTTGCTGTTGGGCACGTTTCGGAATGACACAAGAGCGTTCTCTGTAGTACAGGAAACGTCGTTTTGACTGAAGAGAGCCATGATGGTGAGAGAGTCTAGCGGGATGCTATAGTTATTTTGAGAGTCTTCGAATAGGCGCGGGAGTTCACTCCCCATCGTGGCGTTTCGGGATTTGGATCCGTCATCTATCTCAGTCGTGGTGCAGCTGGCGTCCCCAGTTATTGTGCACCGGGAACCTGTAAAGCCATTTGCGCAGACGCAAGAGCAGACATCCCCACTCGAGACACTGACACCGCCGTTTTCACATGGCGCGGACTTCGCACATCCTGTCTCAGCGCTGCTTGCCTTGTGCTTCGGTACTGCGACAACAAAGATGGGTACGAGAACAGCAATGAGGATAAGGATGAGGAGCAGGACGCAGAGAACAACAAACAGCCGAAGGGACATTCCGCAGCAACGACGGGATCGCTTTTGACCTTTCTCCTGGGCCTCCCTAGGCCCCGATTCTCGGGAATTCAACTGATGCAGGGTTGACCGCCTGAAGAAAAAAGGCCAGGATGAATGACCGTTCTCCGGCGTTGCAGCTGGCGGGGGAAACGAGGCCAAAATATCCTTGATAGATCCCGACCCACGATGTTGGTGACCTTGAAGTAGAGTTAGCCTTAACCCATTGACTACGGAGCTTCAGGTGCTTACCAAATGGATGCCTGGAGATTCCACCACCTAGAAGATCGTTCCTGCTCGCTGTTCTCCCATGCTCCAAATTTGATGCAAGTTTCGTGGCACGTCGGATCAGGTCAGGCAAACTTGTAAGGCTTCCCCGCTTCTCTGCGGCACGAACAGCGCCCATGTTCAACGGAGGTGGTCTACGGCCACCTGGTCTCTTATCACTCATCGTTAGCATGGCCCTCGGGAGTACTTCCATCTCTTTTGCAAGAGCTCCAGAGCCGGCGTGGTCCGAACTTTGCGGGCCAATATCCAACACAAACGGTGCCTTGTCTAGATCGAAATGAGATGACACGGATGAAGATGAAGATGTCAGAAATGAGCCTCTCTTTGCCTTACCAGTTGAAACCTCCTTTGAGAATGCTGGAGGGGGGCGGCCTCCGGGAGTAGCAGGTCTAGCTCTTGCAAGATCCTCTGGAGGCGGTATAGGCGACTCGGCAGTAGATCTACGGATCATACACACTGAAGGCTGGCCCCGTTTTCCTATACTTGCCTGTCTCACCAGGGCGGAATTCTTCCCATGGGAAGCATGGCCAGAATCTCCGTCATCGTCTGAAACACCGTCAAGATAGGTTCCTAAAATTTCGGATTCGGCCTTTGCCGAGGCCCACGATGGAACCACCCTGCTTGACCCATAGGAGTTTTTACTGTCAGACAATTCCTCCGGGATAGGTGACACAGAAGACCTGCGTTTGATAATCGGCCGTCCCATAGGTGGAGGCGCAAGATTTGCTACTGTTCGGTGAGTCGGATCGGCAGGCAAACGTTGAGAAGGGAACGGGAAGTCAGAGATCGATGCCATGGATGCGGCCGAGGAAACTGTGGAATGTCTCATAAGATCCTCTGTCGCAACCGAGATGCGAGGCTGGGAGAATGACGGGGCTGGTCGTTTAATATGTAGGGGGCTCGGGGCCACATCTGGGAAGCTTCTTTCCGAGTATACAGACGGGGATGGCATGTCGGGGCGTGGGGGCCGCTGAGGCGGAGGGCCATGGGGAGTGATATGTCTTACGTGAGGATCGGTCACGTTCGTCCGCGAGTCCTCGGTTGGCAAGGACCATTGTGCCATATTCGCAACATCTCCTGGAGGAGGCGGTACCCCTGCGTCCATCTGAGGTTTGTGACGCCTCCCAGCTTCCAACATTTCTCTTGCCCGCCGAACGGATCCCTTTCTTTCCATAGTCCAAGTAAAGTCTGATTCAGGAGCCGCGATAGATTCCGGAAGCATATACTGTGAGAACTGGAGAATGAAGTGTGAGACAACTGTCACAATGTTGTTCTTGTGAGATATAATATAGGCTAGAACAAAAGATGGAACTGATATTGCGGCGCTATTGTATGTCGACCTGTTTTTGCGATAGTTGGATACCAGCCCGACGCATCTAAGGTCAATGAATGAATCTAAGGAGGAATGACGAAATATTTTTGATAAGCTGGTGAAAAATGTTCTTGCAGCAGTGGCTGTTGATTACGCTGTCAATGCGCGAAAAGCGAATGGCACTTGAGGACCCTGTGCTCAAGTATAAGAGAGATAGAGAGAGAGAGAGAAGGACAAAAGAACGTGTAGATGGAAAAATTGCAATGGCACTCAATGCCTTTGCTATTGAGGCAGATATGGTACGAAGTCAGCGAGGTCATGGTTCCATACAACACAATAATAGTTAAACGAGAGTATGGCATACCATTACTAGAAGACCATCTGGTGTATGAAATGAATGAATAAGGATAGAGGCGACAAATCAAAGAGCCATCGTATCCAAAGAAGACCCGTGTAATGTCTTACTGGAATAATGAGCCCCTGAAGGCGCAGGTATTAGCCCCATCTAGTAATCCATGCGTAGATTTTGTAGACTTACGAACTCAACAACAGGGGTCAAGAAAATCAAAGGAAACAAAAGGAGCTTCTAGCTCTGAAAGAGAAAATATAAAGGGAGGATAAGAATGTAGAGAAGGTAGCAAGCAGCCTCTAGAAGCGTAAGTACTACGTCGCAAGAATGAGTAATAAGAATCAGGGTTTTCCAGCAATCCCCCGAGAATCTAAATCAGAATCAGGCGTTGTTACTTCGTTTCCGCACTATGCATGGGCACAGGACGAGAAGGGCGCGGGTGGTTTTAGGGCCCGGTCCATGCCAAAATCAAGTGGAGCACGTAGCGTGGGAGCGGACGCGAAAGGGTCATTTGATAGAATCGCAAGTGCGACAAAGGATCAATCAACCAAACAGAATACATGCAGGTGCTAGTCCTCGTTCAAGTATGACAATTCCCAGACTTGTGTGTAACATGCATCCGGAGGCGAGAATCGAGAAGGCAGGTCAAGACGAGGGACTTTGAAGAATGCATAGTGCTTGTTCCATAAGTCGTGGCAACATCAACATTTAGAGTTGAGTACTAGAAAATGGCCACGGATTGGCTCGTAGAGTTTTGAGATAGGAACAACTTTTGGAAGCGAAGTGACTGAATTATTGGGCCTGCGGCCATTCTTGCGCCCCATTGGCCCGGTGGAGACCTCCAAGACGATAGCGGTTGACGGTACGTCTCAAGTTGAGGAAAAGGTGCCACTCGACCATTTCAACTTGAAACCAGGCTTCCCGTCTGCATAATCCAATGGGCGTTGGGAGACAAACGGCAGTCGCCGAGAGATCCATCAAAGAAATGTTGGACGATTAGATATGACAACCGAAGCGAGGAAACATAACAAAGAGTCGAGAGATAACTAACCAGCTAACATTCATAAATGAGTATGATAAAGTCTGTAGAATGGCACCCATCTGGTTGCTTTATGATGGGTCAACTATCGTTAGACTAATTTATTAGCTCATGCGTTAACTTATTAAAAGGAAAATATGGATTGATTAAGAGAGGTAAGGATTTAAAAGAGAGACATGCACAGCTATAAAGCAGATGGCGCCACTAACGAGAATATTCTGAATTCAAGCAAGGAGTGAAGTAGTAGTAGTAGTAGAAGTAGAAGTAATTGTTGTTGTTGCATGTAGGATGCAAGAATCAGCGGGCGTTGGAGATTCAGTGATAACGTGTGTACCAATACTGTACAATACAATGTACAGTTCATACGTACATAGTACATCTATTAGAGGTACATTCAGGCGCATCAGGTACATACTAGTACATATGTATGTATGTTCGTATGAACTGCCGGAGTATATCCGCGCACATGGCACCGTTTATTTATTTTTATATCTAAAATCGAAGCTATTGATCCTAACTATAGTAAGTAATAGATTAAAACAGCGAAGCCACCATTAATGGTTCAGACCAAAATTAATTGCGTTGAATTCCACTCGCTCCACTAGGTTCTGGCCTGTGCTTCTGAAGGTGATACTATTAGACATGATCACAAAATGCCGAGGTTGAGATAATCAATGGGCTAGAAGAATCTTTTTGCTCTTATGTTTTCCCGATTCTCTTTATCTCTCCCTCCTCCTCCAGGAGCTTGGTCCAAGATCTATTCTAATAATAATGAGCGATGATAGTTCCCACTTGACCATGTAATCTTAACTTATGTGGTATGTTCTGAATCAATTTGGCTCGATACCAAACGCACGAAACCAATCTGATATGCACTGTACTTTATATTCGAACGGAAATGCTCCATATATATATACGGATACATAGATTATGAGGTATATTGAGAATTACAATTTCCCTATTTCACCGCGCATCCGTTTCACTTGCTTTTCCACAACCTGCAACTCGATCACCACACTTGCCAACTCAGGCAATGGACCCCCTACAGCCTCCGTAAAAGATTTTTGGGCGCTACGAAGAAAAGGTGACACCAAGATTCCGTACCATCTGATAGGGTCAGAAGAGCGGGGCTTCTTTTCTGTCAATTTAGGTCCTGTGTCGGCCGATGGTTGTGGTTCAGAATTGTCCGGTGAAGCTGTGGGATCCCTCTTCTCCAAACTCGTATGTTCTGACGTGCAGGTGTCACTCGACTTTGACTGGTTCTCCTTTCCACTCGGCTCCGGCTGTTCCTCTGCAGTGTCGCTTGTAGCTGGTTGAATGGTGAAGATGTGTCGAGAATGGTCGCGCTCGGTAGGCTTTTCGGAAGACGGTTTTACACTGGGTCCCTCAACATTTTGGCAATAGGATGTTGGGGGTTCTAGGTCCCTAATGGTTCCCGGTCTGTTAGTATCGGAGGCCTTTGGAAGCGACACAAAACGGCGCAAGGCTTAGATCTCACGTACACCCTCCTTGTTGCTTTCATGCGTTCATCGTAGTAATCCGCCCCATATCTTCGGCCAGGCGGGCAGGTATAATTGGCTTGAGCGAGTGAGAGGAACCCCTATCCTGTCATTAGCGACCTGTTTCTTTAAACAACCGGTGAACTACCAGCGTTCTTGTACCGAAGATAGCACTGTAGCCAGTTCGGCCTGTAATTCCTGATGACGATCTAAGAGATGCAGATAGCGTTCCAGAAGTGTGTCCAGTGACTGCAACAAGTCAACAGAGGAGTCAACTACCGGGGGCGGTTTAGACTCGACATCAGGCGATTCCGAGCCCTGGGGAGACGCTGGAGGTGTGGGGATTTGCGCCATTGGGAGGAGGGTCCAATCGTGGTAGTCAAGTTGGATGAGGAGAAAGCTTCAGTTGATCTCCGAGTCGCTTCTCCATAAAATTATGGGGATCGGCCGAGGAGTCCGATAACTCCGTCATCGCTCCTCCGAGAAAACCAAAAGAATTTCCCGCGAACAAGTGATTCATTTCGTCCACCTTCTGTCGACCATCCATGCCAGGAGATGACTTCTAGTTTCGTCATTTGATATAACTGTACTGTCTTACTCCTGAACAGACACAATCCAGCTCTCGTTCCCCCGGAAAGTGTGACTTTCCCCCCAACGCCACTTGTTTCGATACTTTGTGAATAACTTCTTGCAATCGATGATCTTTCCCCGGGAGAACCTCATCGATCCAGTCATCTTATTGTAATTAATGCTTGAGTCTGTTCGCGACTATAGCCTCCAAGGACCAAAGCATTCGGACTAGCGGCTTGAGGCACTAAAGCCGAAGACGATTACGTTTTTGGATCTACCGAACCTCCCTTAAGCTTGGCGATTTGTATCTTCTCTGCTTTGCTGCCGTTGTTATACATAAGTCTACTCGCTCTCAGGCTTTTCTCCACTCTTTGCGCTTGCAACTCAGTCATCATGACTGTGCCGGCATTACAGCGGGACACTGCCTTCCAGGTGCGATCCTTGGTATGTACACTCAAGAGATGCTCTCATACTATGAATGGGGTTGAGCTGACCTAGTTAATTCTTTGTGGCAACAGTTTCGCTCCTTGCTCCGTCAGTCGTCTCAGTTCTCCAATTATAACTTCCGCGAGTACGCCCGTCGGCGCACGAGGGACGCTTTTCGTGAACACCAGCGTGAGGCAGAAGACAGGAGGGTACAAGAATTGATTCAGGAAGGCCTACAGAATTTGCGGATGATGAAGGTTAGTAATGGATTTCTTTCTTGCGATGTTCTTCAAGCTTCCGCCGTTGTTTCCCCCTGCCCCTTTCCCCGGGAACCACGATAACGACTGCACTCCGGAATCGCTGACACCTAATTTAGAGGCAAACCGTCATTAGCCAGTTCTTCCAAATGGACAGGCTAGTTGTAGAGGGCCAAAAGACGGTTAGTGATGCCCCTTGATGTGCCACCAGGAGCGCACTCGGCATAGCACTTACAAGTCCTCTACAGGGAAAGCAAACCGGAAGAGAAGGGGATATCGTTCGCCAGAAGGATACTGGGTAAGAAGATTGTGAATAGCTTCATATCATGGCCCCACTAACCTACGTTACAGTTGGGATTAGTTGGATCAAGGCATTTACGGTTGGAAAAAAGCACCTGGTAGATAACAGGAGGTAACAGTGCTGCGCTGGCTTGATCTCCAAACACGATGGCGACAGAGGATGATTCAATAGACTTGAAGTGTTTCCTGTATTATTAATGAAACAGATCCATATGTAGGTATCGCAACCTTTTCATTTTCAAAACGCCAATTCTTCTCTCATCCTGCTTGTAAGGATAGAGTGTAAACGTAGCATATTTCCGGCGTAGAATTAGATCACGTGACATAACCGTTCCCTTTCCCGCGACTCCATCGCATTGCAACATCCATTAATACCTGACAACCCTTCCGACGTTGGGCTCACTGGCCAACGATCACTTTCTTTAGTCATCCCACTCTCATCCAATTGTATATTCAACGGCACGGGGGTTACTTGGTTGGTTCCTTTCTTTTTTCTCGGGTAGCGGAGGGAAGATTGCGAAACGCTTCTCACCATGCCACCTACTGTAGGTCTTTCTGCGGTGTCATCGCTATCGGATACTCAGAACCTCCCTCACGTGCAACAAGGGTGGAGATCATCTTCCAAGGGCAATTGACGTACTGACAACTCCTTAGTTCAGGTCCTCACGCTCTGGTCGTCAATTTGGCGACGGCGCCAACCGAACTAGAACAGGCCAGATCGACCACGATGTCTTTGAAGGACTCCCCGTTCGACGATGGACGCGCCAGCTACAGACCGTCTCCCAAACTCCGAAGCTGGATGGTCAGGAATCATTTGTCGAGGGTCCAGGCGGAAAGCAAACGATACCCGAACATCCTATGCCCAAAGACAGCCACCTGTTAACGCCGATGAGTAGAGCGCTCCTCCGTGCGGCACGTGCGGGTTGCATATACATTCGCAAAGCCCCAAAAGATGTAGAAGATGAGGAAAAGGAAGTAATGGATGTGGAAGAACAGCCGACCTTACAGACTACGGAGCGTAGCTTTGTTACCCGCAAGTGGACCACTGTACCTAGGCACTTGGAGAATCCTGAAGTTGAGTTCCTGGCTAAGAGACGACCGGGTTTGCCGTCATTATATGGCGCGATGACTGCCGGCGCCAATGGTGCTGAGAACGGATCTGCGCCGATGAGGAGGACCCGTTTCAAGAAGGTTGACCCGAGAAGCGGAAACATCTCTGTATACGAAGCCTGGGTGCCAGAAGGGCATAAGATTGAAGGAGAAATTACCGACGATTCTTCACTCATACCGGAAAACGGCGAAACAACTGTAACACCTGAGGCGCCTGCTCCTGGAACGGTTATTGAAGGTGTCGGTGTGGTCAATGGTGAAGGCGTGGTTGTTGCAGATCCAGCCTCGGCGGCCGTTATGACTCCTCCAAAGAGACGCCCACCTCCTCCTAAACGCAAGGCGAAGGGCTTTGGAAAGGGAAGAAGAAAGAAGGTCATGTTCGCTCCTGGCGAGGGAGCCGATGCGAACGCAGTACATGGAGCTGGAGCTGCTGATGTCGCCGCTGAAACGGGCTATAGTAAGGAGGGTGCAGACAGGTCGCGGATTTCAAATGGACAGGACGACGAGGATGACGATGGCGACGATGGCGAGGAAAGCGACGAGGGTGATGAGTCTATGCTAGATGCTAAGACACCAGAAACCCCGCTTCATCAACCCAGCGCAGAACCGCCAGTTGTATCCGCACCTGGACCTGTAGCTGACCCAATTCCTACTTCTACTGCACCCACGACGGAAACAGTGGTTGCTTCACAGCCGCCAGCTGCCACCTCAGAACCGCCTTCGCACCTACCTCTACAGTCCTCTGCAATGCCTACTATGCCATTCACACTCCAGCAGCCCTTACAGCCTGTACAGCCGACCACACGTATATTAGGTTCCAATTCTCCCGAAAATTTGGACCTAAAGGTGCCACCTGCGGAAGATGTGGAGATGACCGGTGTCCATCCCGAGTTACCGTCCGTCGATGCCCATACCGCATTCATGCCCAAGGCAACACCGAATACACAACAACAAGTGGCTCCAGATATCATTCGAGCTTCGTCTGTTGATGCTGTTACCAAACCTCAAGAGAACCCTCAGGTCCCAGCCCCAGGTCCGTCCCTAGATGTGAAAAAGGAAGAATCGACCGAAACACCATTAGAAATTCCTTCAACAGGGCAGGCTATATCGGTAGCCCAAACAGGTGTTGAGGATATGGATGTGAAACTAGACCCCTCGGCTACCCCCACTCAAGCACCGCCAGGGCAAGCTTCCCAGCCAGAGCAGGTACCCCAGCCACAACAAACGCCCCAGCCAGAACAAGCTCGCCAGCCAGAGCAGGTTCCCCAACTTGAAATAGCTTCGCATTCAGAGCCAGCTCGAGAGCAGCTCATCATGGAGACAACCGATGATATGGAGGAGAGCAACGGTACCGGCCTCTTAGACAGTTTAGAAGCAAGCTTGGGACGTGCTCCCAGCGTAGGCCCGAACAGTGCTCTATTTGATGCGCAAATAAAAGCTCACTTCGAAGACAATGCCGCCCAGACCAGTACGGAAATAACCCAGGAGCCTAGCATGAATATAGGGGTTGACACCATTGGTCAGTCAAAAGAGACAGCTTTGCAGTCAGTTTCACCACAGTCTGCAGAACCAACCGACCCGGTGGTGGGCCAACCATCCGCATATGTCCCTAAGCAGTTTGCTGTTGGGCACAGCGAAGAGCAAGCCGCAGAATCGCCTACGGAACAACATATGCAACATACGGCAGAGCCCCCGATAAAACCATCAATAGAGCAAGCTCCTCAAGAACTGGAGCAATCTCCTGTTGAGCAGCCGACTGAACCTACCATGGAACAGACTGAGATGCAAGTGGAGGAGCTGAACCCCGTTTCGGTAGAGAAACCACTTGAAGAGCTTCAAGGAGTTCAACAAATCGAAGCAGAACCAGATTCGGCGTTTCAGCGGTACATAACACAAGACACAGAGCTTACTTCAACTGATGCTTCAGAGCCACCTGCAGCGTCGTTCGCGGAACCACCAAGAGAAATACCCGCTGAGCAGCTCTCACAGCCCACAGAACACGCAACAGCGCAACCTTCGGTGACACCGCCAACGGAACAAGTAGTAGAGCAACCGGATATTTCTCAACCAGCGGCGACGCAACCTCTCCAACCCTCCCCACCACCCCAGCAGCAAGTTGAACACCAACCACCCCAAGTTGGGACTCCACACGTACCAACTGCAACTGGCTCGGAAAACCCTCAGCCTGATCCCATTCAAGCCAGCGAAACCCACGACTTCACTGCGCCTAATTTCTCGCCAATCTCCGACCTTAACCCTGAACCCGAGAAGAAGGAGGAAACAGATTCGCAACCGAAGACAGTAGAAGCAAGGGGGACTGGGGAGCCAGTGCCGTCGGGACATGGCACAGTTCCAAACCCCCAATCAAACTGATTTGCACATAGTACTTTGCTTAGAGACAGGGGACGATGTATCGATTCACTGGAAATCTTTTTCTTTTTCACGAGGCGTAAATCGGCGTCCGGTACCATCTCGGGTTGGAAATGGGCTTTTGGATATTACTCACATTAGGATTCAAGGCATGTTGGTTGTATCATAGGAGTATTTTCGTATATGAGCCACCACCATTTAAATACACACATAGTATAAGCCGTCTGTTGCTGACTCCTTCGTGGTGGGACGCTCGAAACAGTATTCGTAGAAAAAGATAACTCGAAATAACTAATTAGATGGGCTTAAAAATTTATATATCACTGGTGCCGCCATTCCAAAAAGGAATGGGGGTGGTTTTCAGGTGTATGCTATTAATATAATCAGTGCATTGGGTGGTTTGAGATTCAGCAGGAACGGAACGATATAAATCAGGCATAATGTAGTGCACAGGACATTCCTGGGTTCACAAAACACGACTCCACGAATCATAAACTAGAGAGATATCACCATCTCGTTAAGTAAAAACAATATCGATCCAGTTAATTAAGCAAGCTAGTGATGACGATATCAAACTGCTAGACAACTGAACTGTATCCCAGCTAAAACACAACACCGCCTCTGCAATCCAGTCTCGTAACACAGCAATAACATCAACTCAGTGAATAGGAGTATTGGACAAAAGAAGAGAAATACAACACCATCAGACCATACCAACGTTTGAACCAAATTCGATCAATGACGACGCAAAAGGCGGGTAGAGGAAGCGAATAGGGGAGGAAAAAACATAACATTAGGCCAAAATACAGGGGTAACTTATCATCAATTGGGATAGAACCTGCAAAAAACAAAAACCCTCCCCCTTCTGCCAGCGAGAAAAGGGGTGTTTCCAACTAGGATAAGATAAGAGAAAATTGGAGCAAGTTCCCCAAGAAGTTAGAAAAAAAGATATTTGTGTCCGACAAGACACAGCATTCACACTGTAGGTCGGCTCCGAATAAAAACAACACCTGAAGCATCGTCATTAAACATGTACAAGTCAATCATGCCTTAGTTTTCTTGACAGCCTTGGTTGTTGTCTTCGCCCGGGGACTTGCGTCTTTGGTTTTGGAAGTTCGCTTTGCAGGACTCTTGGGCTTGGGGCCTTCTTTTTTCACTATACGTCTGCGGGGGTTCGCCCCCTTTGCAGCCTGAAGGATCTTCGCTTTGGTCTTCTCTGATGGGCGGCTTAGTGCGGAAGGTGATGGAGTTGACTGGGTCTTTGAGGCTTTTGTGGTCTTTGCGGTCTTTGCTGATTTCTGGACACGCACCGGGCCCCTGGCTTTGGCCTTGGTGGGTTTGACCTTGGGCAGTTTAACATCCTTCTTCGCCTGGCGCTTCGTGATTGATGCTGTGGCTTTCTTGCTTGTGGCCTTGGAGCTGACGGTCGTTTTTGAGCTGGTTTTTGATGTTGTAGTGGCCTTGGAAACAGCCTTCTTCACACTTGACTTGATGGACCGTGAACCAAGAAGCTGCCGTTTCTTATTAAGACGAGAAGTAGACCCGTCCATCACCTTCTTATTTCTTCGCTTTGCAGCTGTGGATTTCTTATTAGTGTTCTTCGAACTGGATTTCTTCTGATTCTCAGCCCTCATTTCTTTCTCCTTGGAACGCTGTTCTTTTTCCCGCGGTCGCGGTCCCAAAATACCACGGCATCTGTCTGATCCACATCGGCATTGCTGAACGTTTTTCTGAGAATATGGGCTGCCGAAAAAAGTTCAGTATCAGTATCAGCTGTTCTGAGCCACAGGGTAAAAACATCCTTACTCAAAATTATAGTCGTAGGTCAGTTCTTCTCCTGTCATAATCCCACGATCTCCAGCAAAAAGCGCCATACGTGGTTTTCCTGCGACGGTCCATTTCTCCATCCGACAGTTAGGCGCGCAAGAATGGTTCACAAAACGGGCGATAGAGCCTCTAGTAGCATCAATGATCATATTCTGATCAAAGTACATCAAGTAATAGCACTGACAGAGTGTAAGTAAGTCGTCCGAAAGGATAGCGTCAATGAAGGGAAGGATACCTCATTATTTTTGTAAAGCGACCTCATTCGTTTCTCACATTCCGCTTGCGTTATGATCTCCCCGGTATATTCGACGATGATCTGATTGGGCTCGAATGTTCGGTTGCTACGTACCCCATATCCTCGGTCTTCCGTCTTGATGACCTCGACTCCAATGTTGTATTTACCCCCGGCTTTAGTTCTCTGTTTAAGCTCCTCGAAGTTCCGATTTCCACAATGGGAACCTAATCCACAGTTGCTGTCATCACACTCGTAGAACATATAACGGTTCTGACATTCCTCGTCGCAGCCAGTCTCTTCCGCACACATGCACTTGGACAGTTCCAATGGCTTGTTTGCTCTCCATATACTGGATGCTTCACCAACAAAGACATCTGTTGCACAAGTTAGCGATCGTGGCGTGTTATTCAGCAGATATTACGTACTTTTGTTCGTCTTTCGCCACTCATTGGGCTTGGGCTGGCCCGGAGGAAGTGGTGAAAAGATATCGAAAGGCAGCTGAAAGTCCCTTCCTTGTTTCAATAACCGGTCTCCTGCAAACATTGGCATTGGGAGCAGTTTGCGTTGCGTGGCACCTTGGCTTCTCCGCTTTGCGTTTTTATTCCTATTTTGCAAGGGCCGAGACTCTGTATACAGCTGGCCCGTATATAATCCATGAGCTAACCAGCGCTTTGACTTGGACTGTGTCACAGGCTTAGGGGTTTCCTGTGCAGCTTCCTCAATTTCCTTAATTTTGGTAGGGAGATCACTTTCAGAGACACGCCTCTTCTTCGTCGCAGGAGCCTCGCTGGCAGACTTGGCTGGTTCCTCCCTGAAAGCAGTAATTCGAGGTCGTAGACTGGCCCGCCGGCCTAGTTCTTTCCCTTTTTCCATCACGTCACGCGAGCGTTTGCCCAAAACGCTGCTAGCTCGGCCAACAAGATCTGAAGCCTTTTCCAATAGACTCAGGCGAGACGAGCGTCTTACCGGAGACTTCGTTTCCTCTTTGGCCATTATCGTAACCTTGCCCTTGTTGTCGCCTCCCTTTTCAGTCAGGACCCGTTCTATGCGCTTTCGTAAAGTGCGTTGTTGCAGGGACGTGCCCATGCCACTGGACGGCGCTTCTTGAGAGGACTTTGAAACCGGGGTATCCGGAGCCATTGGGTGATCTCCTTCATTGTCCACATTGTCTTGTGCCAGCGTTGTTTCGCTCCAGGACTCCATAACCGCAATGCTGTGTCGGAGGCTGGAGGCCTGGGAACTATGTCCTTTCTCAGTATTGCTGCCCAGAGTCACCCCCGAGACTGCTGGGTCGTTGTCACCAGCCGTAGACAAAGTGTCTTGGTTATCCACCTCCATATCATCGTCGGGTTCTGCTTCCCTCCGTAGGGAGGCGCGTGCTACACGTGTAGACCTCCGCCGTCCCGCTGGCTTGTCATCGGTAGACGCGTTTTCATTGTTACTAGACGTCTCCGAGCGACTATTCTCGGGGGTGAGGAGTTGTTCCGAATACTCAAAGGCCATTGTGTCGTCAGTGGGCTCGTGCGTGTGCTTACTGATGTCTGAAAGGGTCGCGGGTGTCGCGCCGGCTGATGTGAGTTGACTTGCCATTCCAAGGGTCTTGGGACTGATTTGCGGTGGGTTATTGGGCGTGTCGAGAGTGAGAAACCGCCTGCCAGGGTGAAAAAATAGTGCCTTTGAGAGGTTTATGCGTCAAATAAGGGGGGAACTGAGTTCCGGGCTGAGCTGAGCTGATTTCCCAGGGACGGGGGTAGAGGAGTAGCCTCTTATCAGGAGTGACCGTGTTACTCCCTATACCTGGGAGATCATATTAGAAACACGAAATAGATAGCTCTGATGGCACAAATTCTGACGGGGAAAAGGCGACGAAAGGGCTGACTTGGGGGTTACGGGCGTTGTATGGAGAGGGAATGGAGGAAGAAGAGGTGCGGAGAGGGAGAATAGAAGAGATGGCGGAATGCAGAACCAAAAGGGAAGCGAAAACCACCAGCAGGACAACAATCCCCCCACGCAAGAGTAACAGAACCCTTCCGATGTCATGTCATGTAATTGTGTGTTTGTTTCAATTGCTTGGCTCTCGGACTCATCCATCTCTTCCTTCCTCCGTTCTGATACTACCCGATTCTCTATCCATTTGGCGCTTACTATCAAGTCTAATGACCCCTCCATTACATGCTTCTCTATGTACTACTTGCCATTTTCGATCCGGTTGGGTTATTCACGGTCTATCTGTAGCTTCGAGTTCCGATATCATACAAAATATCCCTCGTATAACGTAATATCAGAGTCCAAATCAACAATAGCCTCAGATACATCTATTTCGAGGTTAAGGGAAAAAAGACACCTAGAGATTCAGGTCACGAGAAAGAGAACGTGATAGTAGATAGTTTAAAGAAATAAAAAAAAGCAGGCGCAAAATTGCCTGGGAAAGATTGACGCGGGAGAAAGTAGGGAGGAGGACGTGATATACCTACTCCTTCATTCCTGCGGGATTGTGATCCAAAAGAAAACAGGGAGAAAATAATGGGAAAGGACCGTAACCCCCATTTATATTTTAATACATCTGAAGAAGGAAGAAGAAGAGAGGAAGAACCAAGCTAAGGACGGCTGATGCCTGAGAACAGAAGCCCTATCTATAAAAATGTTGCTTAGTGGACGGTCCATGAGATATTCAAAGCGATTTCGAAAGGCCTCAGTTCTGCGGCTGACTAGAAGGCACAGGCTGCATCTCGATGTCTGCTTGCGCTTCAACGTCCCGAGGAAGGTATTTCCGTTTCATTATACTTAAGCGTTGGTCACCCTCACGGTAGGATTTCTTGAACTGCATGTATGTCGGTGGCCGTGGTCGCCCGAAGACAGATATCCAATTTTGGAAGATACTTCCTTGGGTAAAGGGCCGATGACGGTCGGCTTTCACGAACTTGTGGGAGTTTAGATATTCCCTGGTAGTCTCGCCCCGGCCAACTAGGAAGAGATGGTAGGCCCAAAGAGAGGCTGGATATGGAGCAGCAATGGCCCCATAGAGGACCATAGCCCAAGGCACCCTCCACTTATCGATTGCGGCGCCGAAAGATATCCCCTCTTGCGATCGATAAACGAGAATATGTGCCAGGCTCGCCCCAATTAAGAACAGGGCGAGAACTGTCGAGGAGCTCACAAAAGTGAAGAAATACCGATAATTACGGCGGCCAACACAATTGTTAAGCCAGACGCAATGATGATCGAGCGTCTCAATACAATTGTCGCACACACGACAATGATAGCATCGCGGGGGTCGCCAAATATTGCATGTCTTGCAGAATTTCACCGGGACATCCATTGCTGCAACCTCAGAGGTTGCCAACTTAACCATCACCCAGTCATTTGTCGGCGGGCCGATCACAAGTGGATCATCCGAAGGGTCTGGCGGAGGCATTGAGTGAAGGTTACGGGGAATGATCTGACATTAGGGAATTAGTGACAAACGTGTCGGGTCATATATGAGGGCTTCTTACTCCAGGATCAACAACAGAGGCGTGCAAGAAGGATGAAAAGCATAGACAAAAGAGATAAGCGAATAATATGGGAATAGCAGGTGAAATATTACTCCAAAGCCAAGGAGCCCTTTACGAGGTCAGCAATCAATCCCATGCATCTTGACTCAAAACAGAAAGGGGACTTTACGAAAATCCAAAAAACAAAGCCGATGGTACAACTACCAATATCCCAGTTGCAACATTAACGGGCTTGTCTCGAGAATTCTGGAACCTCCCACCACCAAAGAAGATAGTATTGCCAAGGAAATATTCATAGTTCTTGCCCAGGCGGCTCTTGCGTATTGTCCGATCGTGCTTCTCAATAGACCCAGGAGACGAACCAGCTGAAGACAGCCGCTCATGGTTTCGGGTATCACGGTGCTCTTGGCTATCGTTCCTATTTTGTGGAGATAAAAAAGAGAGAGGGGATCTTTGGGAGATGTCATGACCGCTTGGACCAGTCGAGCTCACTCCCAGGTTTAGGTGTGGCTGAGAACTTTGGTTGCCTCTTTCTTTGTCGCGTAGAAGTTTAGCACTTTCGCCTATACTCCGTGCTGTTGTATTGCCGATCGGACTGGCGTTTGAAGTGTTTCGGTCAGGGATAATGGGGTCTGTGAACTCCGTGCCTCGAGATGGAGGAGCCTCTTGTTCCTGTGGGCTAGAGCTTTGAGCGAGTGTGCTATTCGATACTAAACTGCGCCTGTTTTGGTTTTGACTTGCGTGATCACCCCAATCTTCGGATGATTCTGTTCCTTTTGTCATAGGACGACCTCGATGGGCTTGGAGTCGTTGAGAAGACAAGGGTCGGAAGAATCCTTGCGCCGTCAGTGAGGGAATGTGGCTTCGGCTCAATCTGCTATTCGAACTTCCGGGTCTGTTTGTGCCATGGCTAGTGATGGAACTCCTCACGGGGGGAGGCCCGGGCCGACTGGAAACGGATGGTCGTGACCGATGTGGTGCGTATGACGAAACGCCGGTATATGACTGCGACTGCTCTCCATCTTCAGAAGCCATGTCCTCCGTCACTCGAGACGAGATCCCGCCGACGGAGGGAGGCCGAGGTATACCCAGTGCATGTTGCATGGGCGCAGGATTTGACGCATCGCTTGTTTCCGAGTTGGCTGACGAGAACGTCATGATGTTCTAAGCGAGTAGTAATGATGCCGCTAGCAAGGCCTGCTGCGAATCATGTTGTGGGAATACGAGGGAAAGGGTTATTGGGATTGAGTAGTCCTGGGGTCGTTGTAATCGAATGGGCGAATGTTAAACAGGAGAGGAGTCGATTAAGGAATGACAGCAAAAGGCATAAAAGAAATAAAAGTCCGAAACAGTTTAGAAATATAAAGAGTGTAAGCAACCTAGAGTCAGGACCGTCAGTCAGCTGTATGCGATTGAGGACGCGGCGCGGAACATGACCTCCCTGTCCGAGTGGAAAAAAGGGATTCGGAATAATACGAACCTTCAAATAAAGTTGCGACTTGACTGCAGAGCAGCTAATTCAAGTTGCTTCACGGCTGCGATGTGAACTGCATGCTGTGCCGGACCAAGGGATTGAAAGCAGACAGCCTTCGCCAGTGCAAGAAGGCGACGAGCATTCCAATCGCATTCGCTGAGAACCTCCCTAACCTAACCCAACCTGGTCAACCGGGGCCTAACCCGAATCAGGGCTAGGAGTCCTGACTAAGCCTCGGGAGCTGATGGGCCAACGGGAATGTCACCTGATGTGATGCGCCGGCAACATCATCGTCCGACGACCCACGGATTCTCCCACCTCCCCCAAGACCTCCGATTACCTGACAACTTCCTATATCTCGCAACTACCCAAAATGTCGTCAATTGCCGCCATGGCCTCCCGCCGGGCCTTTGCCCGCCAGTCTCTTTTCCGTACCCCCGCCCGCCGTTTCTACAGCTCCAAGGTGGAGGAGGCTAGCCTCGACAAGGCTCCTCGTCGTGACCCTGAGCTTTACGTACGCTATTTTCGCCAGACCAATTGAGCCTGTAGGAAGGATTTCTAATTGACTATAGGTTTTGCTCGGTGTCATGTCTGGTGCTTTCCTTGTCGCTGGATGGTGAATGCCCTTCCCCGTACCCACTTTTACAGAACACGACCGACCGCAAAAATTCCACAATTGTGCTTGGAAGCAGAACAGGACACTAACAACGCCTTCCTCCTGATAGGTACTTCGGAAAGAAGCCCACATCCGTGACCTCCGAGAGCAACGTGCGTATTGGCGATAGCGCTATGCCCTGGGAACGTGAGGACGACGGCAAGGTCTACAAGTACCAGTATCACCCTCACGGCGACAAGAGCCAGCCTCTCAGGAACGCCCCCAGCGCCCTGAACACTGTCATTGTGCCTAATGTTACTCTGCCAGCTGTATGTTTCACTCCCGCCTCGCTCCAGAATGCATCTTTATATCCGGATATCATGATGTTCAAGGGGGAACACTTGCTAAAATAATATCTCAGGACCTCCACGAGCGTTTCAACAAGTACGGCAAGGAGGAGTGGGACTACTAAATGGACATACAGCTACATCGAAGGCTATAGTGGTAAAGGTTGAGAGGCACCGGTCGCTGTATACTAAAATCGCTTTGAAGAGTAGAGAAGCGTTGTGCATCGTACATTTTGAGGAATCAATTGGAGATTGCTTTTATTGCATTACAATCAGGGGCTTCTGGGGTGTAAATGATATACGGTAGGGCACAGACCCAGTGGAAAGTAGTCATGTACAAGGTCGCATTTCGTTAGATCAAAGGAAGTAAAAAAAATTAGTCTTCGGAAAGGAAGTACAGGAGAAGAGGATTGCCAAGATTGACATGTGTTAAAGCAACATAAAAGAAAAATTTCGCAGCAGGAGGATGCAAAACCAAAGATTACTCGATTCTGTTCTCCTAGCAGGTTAGTTGGTCGCCTCGTTCCCTTCGCTGGCGGGTTTTGCTTCGGGAGAATTTGGCTCCCCCACAGAGCTTCCTCCAGTGGCCGAGGCCGGGCCATCATCTACAGCCTGTTGTTCCTGTTTCCCAAGTGTCTCAGGATTCTGACCTTCAACGTCCGGGTGCGGTGGGGCAACTTGACCATTGACCATCTCGACCTCATGGCCATTTGCCAGCAGGGTCCGAGTCTCATGGCGTGTCTCAAAGGATACTTTGCCCTCCTTTGCTAAGGCAGCGACAAGAGCCTCGTCCAGAACATTACCATCTTGATCACGGTATTCAACCCGCGCCTTAGCACGGCGGGGCTCAGGCTCCGGGGTGACACTAGCGTCCTGCACTTCTTCCTGAAGTACTCGTTCGTTTTGCTGCGGTGGGGGGGCTACAGGAGCCTCAGAAGGAGCAGCCTGCGCAGTTGGTACAGCGCCATTGGTGCTTGAAAAGCGAGTCACATATTGGCCAAGCTAATGTTACTCCGTCAGTCGTTATGGTGCGACAAGCCTAGTACCCCCGCCGTGGAGGCTTCCAGTTCGGAACACTTACGTCAGTATGGAAAGTGTTGCAGTCAAAGTCCCAGGTATCCAAAAGTTTCACCTTGCGGCAAGCATCTTGGGTCCAGGGATTGCCATAGACCAAAGGAGAGTAGAGAGTGAAGGTAAAGATGCTCATAGCCAAGAAAATCCCAGCCAACGCCTTGCCAATGGCGGGTTTGGATGGTAGACCAAGAGATTGGATACGATTAGCAAAGAAGTCAAATTCTTGGCATAAGGTGATTATGGCAAAGTAAAGCGCTGGAAGATAATGATGGAGAAAGAGCTGCCGGGCCATGAGATAGAAGGGGAAATAGTGGAAGGCCCATCCGAGGACACTGGTGCCAACTTCGTAGTCGAATCTCTTGAAATTGACGTTGCGATAGTCACCACAATTACGTTGCCAGCGAAGAATGGAAATGCCCTTGAACAGTACGTATATGCCAATGGCCAAGGTCGACGACCACCAGATAAGTGGGTTACCAAGGAGATAAATTTGACGATGATCTCTACCCCAGAAGTTGATGCCGCGGAGCAGCGTAGGCCACGACGGGGGGCGTGAATCCCAAGCATGGGATTCGGTCAATCCAGCGTTGGTAGTCCACATCACCTTCTGAAGCTCCCAAAACTTACCCAAAAACCCGGGGTTCCGGTACGTGACCTTCTCCGCATCCTCGGGCAGCATCGGGTGACTGTTAGACTCGATGTACCAAACACTGTTGGGCAGAGTGCCTCCTTTCGCGCAGGTCACCTCTTGCTGTTCCCAACCCCAGTCAGGAAGCTTGACTTTGTGGGAGAACAAGACACAGCCAGTCATAACGTGTACCAACTTGAATTTGGACTGAATCGTCCGCAGGCGCTTCTTCGCTTCTTCACCCTCTGACATCGACTTGACAATTTCAACGCGGAACATATCATTTGCATCGCCAGCGAAGCCGTCGAAGCCATAGGCGGACACCTCGAATTGCCAATCCACATCTGTCACGGGGGGCCGCTCATCGTGGGAATGAATTCTTCTGCGAGTCATCAAGTGGTTCAATCTAATGACAGCACCATCTTCAATATACTCGGTAGTGATGTTATCCCAAGCCAATGGACCCTCGATTTCTCCATCAGGACCAAGGGGCTGAGTTTGATTCTCAGCAATGAAAATGTTGTTTTCATCCTTATGAGGATAGAGTGTGACCTGCTGTTGCTTACTTCCCGTTGGGTACATGTGGTTGTGAGAATGAAGGTAGCCACCCTGCGTATTGTGGTGACGGATAGAGATACGGGAACCGAACACGACGTCAGCGGGAACGGCTTGCATCGCTTTGGAATTTAGTGTAGCCTGGAACTCAGATGACATGAATCCATCACCTTCTCCTGGGTTTACCAAGCACAGGAAATGGATTGCGAACATTCCACAGTAGAAGCCCAATGGAATAATGATAAGACAGAAGAATCGAGCAAAGAAGTGCTTGAACCACAAACGCTATAGAGACATTAGCCAGCAACTAGGCAACGTTTGGCACCCGAACACATACCGGTGTGACGTTCTTCGTGTCACCGAGGAGAACCCACAGTTGAAGGATGGTCAGAGAGCCAACCCAAGCAACCGTGAAAAGGCCCACCCACTTGACACTCAAAGTAGCGCCTAGACAAACGCCACTGGCCACCAACCAGAACCACCAGGGTCCACGGAAGGCATGCGACGGGCCCAGTTCCTGCTGATTCGTGAAAGAGGTAAACGACATGGCCGTGAGAGCAGTGAAGAACACCAACGGGGAGTCCAAGAGGATTAGGCGAGACTGAGTGACCAGGGCATTCTCTGCGACGAGATCAGCATGTGCATCCAGACTCTTGACCGTGGTCCAAACTTACCGAAGATCACCACACCAGCTCCCAGCACAGCAGTCGACGTGCGGCATCCCGATGCTTTCAAAGTCAAAAACATTAAGGACACCGTAAGCACACCGAGAATCGCGGGAAGCATTCGCATGGCCACATATGGAACTCCTGGTTCCAGGTAGTCCTTTCCAATTTCCTTGAAATCGAAATCGCCATTGAATCCAGCCAACCAGCCCGCAAGTGTGATGAGAAGCTTCGCCAGAGGGGGATGAACATCCATGAAAAAGCGGCCCTTGATATATTTCGATGCAAAGCCACCGAAACTGTGCGTCAAATAATTAGCCCGATGCGGCCTGCTTCGCACGGCTGGGGAAGTATGAGGACATACTGGACTTCATCGAAGACGACGCTCGTCGGCTGATAGATTCTGAACAGACGAACCGCGGCAGCGATCAAGGTGACAAGAACAAGGAGCTTGTAGTCGGAAGTGGGAAGGTTGAATATGTTATAGTCCTTGACGCCATCCGATCCATAGCTCAGCGTCTGTGGGGGTGCTTCCTTGCGGTTTTTCGGTCTCGGAGAACGACTCGAGGAGCGGGAAGACTTCGCTGGAGGCTGGACCTCCAGGGCGTTCCTGGATTTGGGTGGCATTTTGGCGCCAATGGGTGGGGAAAGACTATAGAGAAGGAGGGGAAGAAAGGGACAGTATCCAAAGTTAAGAAAAAGGAACGAAGAGCATGAAAGAGATATCACAGATATGCGGAAGATAGTAAGGACGAGCTAAGGCAGGCTCCGACTCCAGAGGGAGCTTTCAACAACCCCACGCCCAGCAATGAAGCCAAGTAAGAAATGTCAATCAATGAGAGTAGTAGGTTAGGATACTATGCGCCATGACAAAACTAAAACAAAAAAACTAGAAAAGATACATCGACTTTGGAGTCGGAGTTGAAGGAACAACACGTGTGGGACAAATTAGGGAGACGAATGAAAGCGTAGAGTCCGGTTTAAGGCCAGATCGTCGGCGGACAAGGACGAAGGTGAGCTTTTGGAACTACGGAGGTGGATAAAGGTAGTAATCCGGGTTTGGCCTGACATTCCCCACGAAAACAATTTGGAACCCTCTCCCCTTGGTAGCCAATTTTGCTGAATCCGAATGGACTTCCTTTCTTGTATTGAAAAAAAGTATTGACCAAAGTTAATTGAATTGATAAGTTCCAACTTCAATTCATGATGAAAATGGTGGACCATTTCTTTCTTCCTTTTTGGGTTTAGTTCGTGACCAAAACTGTCCCCCACTAGTAAATCTGTTCCAAAGTGACCACTAGCGCGCGGCTACTACTTGAACCATTAGCCGCGCCAGATGAGGTAAGGCAAATTGGATGGAAGTCACGGCTTTCTCCCAATTATCCTTTATCAAGTTGCATCCCCACCCAACCCATCGCCTTGACCTGTGTTTTGAACATGGCGTCTGTAAGCAATGGAAATACCCCAACCATCACGGAGGAGGTGGGTAAACCTCCGGAGGGAGTAGTCTTGCCACCTAAAGATATACGAGGTATGGTTTGAAATTCCCCCATCCTTTTCCTCCTTTGTTGTTGTCTCTGTATATCTTTCCTGGTATAGTGACTGACGGACTCTGACAGCCATTGTGGAGAAGACCGCAGGTTATGTTGCAAGGAATGGTATTGTCTTTGAAGGTGAGTCGACAAATGCACCAGCATTCTTTTTTACTCGATCTGAGAAATTGACCATCCGCCTGTAGATCGCGTACGCGAAAAGGAACGCAATAACCCTAAATTCTCCTTCCTGAATCCTGACGATCCTTATGCAAGCTTTTATCAATGGCGACTTGTCGAAATAAAGGAGGGCAGAGGAACATCTGTATCTGCAGGCCGATCGGGCGAACCTGCTGCAGCTCCTGAGCCGGAGCAACCTACGGGGCCCGAACCACCTACTGACTTTCACTTTTCCGCGCGGATGCCTATTATAAACGCGCAAGATCTGGAAGTTGTTAAGCTCACGGCTCTTTTCGTTGCCAAGAGGGGGAAATCGTTTATGACGGCTCTGTCTCAGCGAGAAGCCAGGAACTTCCAGTTTGATTTCTTACGTCCGCAACACAGCCTTTATCAATTCTTTACCCGACTGGTAGACCAATATATTATCCTACTGCGATCTGAAGGCCTCGATCAGGCGTCGTCGGAGAAAACCCGTCTGGTAGAGCTGGAGCATAATGTTCAAAATAAGTATCATGTTTTGGATCGCGCCAAGAAGCGTGCCGAGTGGGTGAAATACCAGGAACAGCAGAAGCAGAAGAAAGAAGAGGAAGAAGAACAGGAGCGCATTGCTTATGCGCAGATTGACTGGCATGATTTCGTGGTCGTTGAAACCGTGCTATTCACAGAGACCGATGATCAAGTTGACCTCCCACCACCCACCTCTCTCAACGATCTCCAATCTGCTTCTCTGGAGCAGAAAGCTATGATGTCTCTGAACCCTCTCCGTATCGAAGAAGCAATGCCGACAGACGAGGAGGTACCGACTTATTACAATGCCTACCCTGCCCAACCAGAACCAATTCCTCAACCGGCTGTCCAACCCGCCGGACCTGCATTCCATCCTCAATTACAACCTCCCCAGCCTATCCCGGTTGCTTCCACCACCGCACCGGAAGAGGAACAGCGTATTCGCGAACGAATGGAGGCCCGTGAGAAAGCCGCTGCCACTCAAGCAGCCGCCAAAGCCGCCCCGGGTCAACAACCTATGCGCATCCGCTCCGATTATGTTCCACGTGCACAGGCGCGCCGTCTCAACCAATCTGGCACCACTGCACTCTGTCCCAACTGTCACCAGCAGATTCCAGTTGCTGAACTGGACCAGCATATGCGTATCGAGTTGCTCGACCCGCGCTGGAAGGAACAGCGCGCTAAGGCCGAATCCCGAAGCGCTACAACTAACTTGTCGACCGCAGACGTGGTCAACAATCTCAAACGTCTCGCCAGCCAGCGAAGCGACGTCTTCGACTCGACAGTGCTTCCGGGCGTACCCGACCCGGAAGAAGAGGCGAGGAAAAAGCGCATGGCATTCGAGACTGCCCCCGGCGCAGGACCTACGCCACCCATTGTCGGCCCTGCCGGTGGCCCACCCAATCCTCAGAATATGAATATCGAGGAACAGATCAGACATCTTCACGAGCGTTACAGGCAATGATCGATCGGCAATTCGTTTGGGTCTTTGATTCTTTGGACCGTTCATCGGCGTTTATCATGTGGAGTTTGCGGTCTTTCTTAACTTATTGAGACGGCAGATGTAAAATATTCTTTCCGTCTTGTCATACTTCACGATGGATTTAAAATTCAAGGCGGGAAATCTATAGTAGTAAGATATTTATACCAAATGTTCATTGCTCAGCATGATTTACGTCTCCTGGTTTGGAGTTGGCCTATGATAATCCAATTTTTCCATGAATTAGTCCTCAAACTACCATTTCCTCTAATAAATCCCCTTTGGAGCTCAATTCTATAGATGAAATCTCGGATCATGAATTATCAGAACCTCTATACCTGATGTGCATATAATAGCTATAGGCTGACGTGCCCTTGCATCATTCCATACATTAGAACCGTGGACGTTTCCATCGCCATGTATATCGCATAAAAGCAACAACCGCAAAGAAACTAGCAAAGGAGAACACCCGAATTGATATACGCAAACGCCAGCGATCAATGAAGAGAAAGAAGAAATGAAACGTGTCAGGTGTGCCTAGTCTATGTATCCATCTGAGCCACCCGCCAGGGCATGAAACTCAGGTGGACCATCGCGGTCTAGTGGCGCTCAAAAGCAGGTCAATGAAAAGCCAGTAATAATAATGGGGGGGTGGGAAACTATCCAAAAAGAGATGTAAGAGATAGCAAAGAAAGAAAAGAGGCCGCAAGTGTACAGCAAAGAAGGCAGGAGAAAAGAAAAAACATTAGGTACGGATTAATATTAATACAGGACTTAGGAGGTTAAGGAGAAACCCATGAGTATGTAAAATGGGGAGCAAGGAAGTAGGTATGAATCGGAGGAAGATCAGCATCAAAGCTAGAATAGGAATGAGAAAGTGTATCCAAGGCCGTGTTGAGGAGGAGGGAGAGGATGCCGTCGTTTTTCCACTTCTGAATTTTGCGCATCGTCTATTTCACCGCTGCTGGTTGACGACTGATGCTTCGGGCTGTAACGTGATTTTGGAATCTTCGTTCTCGCTGGAATTGGCAGTCACGCAGACTTTTAATTTTTCATTGGGCTGTTCGGAAAATTCGACTTCGACATGATTCTGAGCTTCGCTGTTATCATACGGCGCCGACACTGCTGTGCTACTAGCTGGGGATTCCGTAGCATCCTCAAATGGATCCTCACTCAAGGACGGCCTGCGTGGGTTGTGAATGTTCAATTCCTCGCCATCATCATTGCCATTCTTAGCCAAATCGTTAGGGACATCCTTCACCTCGATGGGGATATCGCCCTGATCATCAGCCACAGGCCCTGGATATTGTTCATTGGCACCTTGAAGACTCTCCAAGCGGTTCCTCTGTGCAAGAATAGGGACTATGCCACCCCCAATCCGGGACCAGAACATTCTCTCTCTTAAACGAACTGTTTCTTCCCAGGCATCCTTTTCGTCTTCGGTATCACCAACACGGATATGCGAGTCAAGGATGAGGCGGAGATAGCCAGTGAACTCGCACGAGGAACGGACTTTTTCTAGACAAAGAACGCATAAGGGGTACCGCTGAGCCGTTTCACTGTCAGACGTCCGGAACCGATGGGTTCTTTCGTTGATAGACCCCGTTCTACGCTCGCCACAGAGTGAGCAAGGGAATTCATATTTCTTCGCCGATGATGGCATGGGTTCAACCACAAGACTTCCGTCGCAGATACCACTCAGGACTGAACGTCGAGTCAGCCACGAGATCCCAGGGGCTGCATCAAGTCTGAGCGTTGGTTCAATGTCTTCGCTAAGCACACGCTTGTAAAAGCGAGTCTCCTTCAAAGGGATATGCGAATTCGCTGGCTGTGGTGAGGAGATACTTCCATTGGGAGAGTGTGGTTGGGATTTGGCGGGTGATGATGATGCTGATCCAAAACCCCCACTGCTGAAGCCAGCGGCCAGACTCATAACGTTCAAGCCAGTATATGATCCACTTGTAGCACGACTAGGAGGTTTAGAGATACTGGATAAGGTGAATAACTCCTTGAACTCTTCGAACGCATGGATGTCCATTCGACACACAGGCTTAATCAGATGAGGGAAGCTGGTGGATGGACCAGGTGTTAATTCTTCCAGGACTGGAGCTGGATGCGAAAGTACAGTCGTTTCCGTACATTGCTTTGTGATTGCCGAGGTTTTTTGCTGCTGGTGATTCGCGGGAGATGACGGTGCGGTAGAGGTAATTGTCCGGGCTTCAATGTCGTCCTTGGAAATGTTCATCCCCTGCAGAACGGACTTTAGCTCTGCCAACTGTTCTTGGTGCGATGCAAGTAGAGATTCCGTGTCTTTTATTTGAGCACGTAATTGTTCATTTTTCTTCTCAACCGCCTCACGCTCGAGCTTAGCAGCAGCTACCATCTATGGAAGACCAAGTTAGAACGTCCGCTTATTCGAACAATAGGGGATTATCGGATAATATACCTTATTAGCTTCCTCGAAGAGAGCAGCAGTAAGGGTCTCGAGCTCTTGCTCGATACCCTTCTTCTCCTTCTCGACAAGAGCGCGTTGTGCCTTCTCGTCTGCCAGCGCAGCCTTTAGGCGTAAGATCTCATAGTCCACATCAGCTTTCTTGATTAGGACTTCCTGATCGATATCTCGTCGATGCTTCTCATTCTCTGATTCTAACGCTCTGATCTTAGTCTGGGCATGCTCGAGCTCTTGACGAGTGGCGACTAAAGTGTCATCCAGAGTGGTTTGATTGTTAATCGCTTGCACGAGTTTCACGCTCAAGGCAGCAACCTCGTTACTCAAATCTGGATGATGGGATGGTGATTGCGAAGGCTCTGTCCCTTCTGGGGTGGTCAGGAGTCTTGGATCTTGTAGGGTACTAAACCCACTTTCGGGGAAGCCTCCCACGCTGGTTGAGCGTACAGCCGGCGCAGGTTTACCGGTTGCGACACCGGCGAGATCATTGGCGGATCTCGCTTTCGTCAGGGTCCTATCGGGGGAAGGAGACCTGTTGTCGGAAGAATTGGATCGCTTGTGGTTGTTGGTACGCGAAATCATTGTGGATGGAGAGAGGAAGCTATGACGAGAATAATAGCTGTGAAAGGCGATTAGACTATCCAGGTATTAGCGACTATATCGTAACCGTGCCTCAAGGGTGGGATCAACGTACTCGGCCATGATGACGAACAGGTCGGGTTAAGGTTTTCAAAAAAAATACGGAAAGAACGGGGTGTCACAACGATGTAGAATTCAGTTGGACCGTTTTTTCCATCTGAAATTCGCCGAGTAAGGATCAGAGAGCGTCTGGCATATAGCAGAAGTAGGGTAGGAGTAAGGCCAAGATAAGGTAATCCCCGCCAGCGCGCAGACTGGAGCGTGACTAGCCGGTCGGCATACGAAGCATTGAGTCTGATAAAGGATCGAGAGGGCGATCGGAAAGGGAGCGGAAGTTGAGGGGGAAGGAAAAGTGAAAGAAAGTGAGGTTGTAAAAGGATAGACTGGAAGGGGAGAGGGGGAGTGTGACGTGACGAAAGAAGGGCAGAAGAAGAAGTGACCCCTCTTTTTTTGGGAATGATTGAAGGTATCGATCGTAAAGTAGGAGTAAATGGATCGAAGCAACTTTTAGTTTAGTCCCCGGGGTTCACTAGTAGTTAAAGAGGAATTGGAAAGATGGTTCAATTGGTTCAATTCATTTGCAGAGGCAAATCACGCCGGCGCTTAGTCACCCGGATTGGGGCACGCCGATCGCCTCGGTCATTGGACCAGTCACGGGCCTGTCCTTTTTTATTTTCCTAGGTACTACATTCAAGAGTAGCTAACTACTGTGTACAAAAGTATTATTGTACCTAGTAGGTACATTCATTCATTCGTTCAGTACCGTCCCTGTGCCACGTTCCCATCTGGTCCCTCTTCGGATAGTTTAAGTGGTATTTTCGCAAGATCTTCCAATGCGTCATTAATTACTTTCAAGCGATAACGTTCCGAAGTCCGGACCTGAGTAAAATAGTCAAGAAAATTGGGTAATTATTACACGGACCTTGGACCGTGCCATTTTCTCCGACTATTTAACCTTGATCATAATAAATATTAACAGAAAGGATTAAATAGTACAAGACAAGACGTAATACGACTACTTATATTTAGTTTTAATTTCTTTTTTTTATTTTTATTTTTGGACGATCGGACATTATCTAGTAGATAATGAGATATCGGAAGTGGATAAAACACAGCGACTCATTTCTTGGCAAAACGGCGATGACGACACATGCGTTATCTTGTATGAAATCTGAGGCTAAATTTGCAAGGAATTATAGATAGAAAATCCGAGACATAACCGGTTGCTGTGTACAGAGTCGCTCTTGTAGCATCAAATCTTACTACCGAAGTACACTTAATTATCTAATATTATCTATCTATTTACGGACCTCGATAGAATGAATTCCAACTTGTAGTCTATCTACTAGTGAACTGGACTAAAGACTAAGTTACTCATGGCGCCCCACACCCGTCGGGAACCGAACCCCAAGTGGCCTGAGTGCCTCAGGCTGCAGTCCAGGTGGGGTTGGAAACTCTTTCTCCAACAAATCCACATTTCGAGATGTTCACGTGTGTATACCTTTTGTGCAATCAGACCATAATCCATTCCGGAAAGGATTATATTATCAGTTCTCTCGACAAATCGACCGTGCTTATCGCCTCCCTATCGTGAATTGAGTGACTGTCGCAGTAAAAACACCATGGCCGACGCAGAGTTGGAAGAGGTGCGGATATAATTTCGGAGGCTGAGTTCTCATGGTCTTAAATGGCCATGGTAAATCGTGCGAACCATCTGCTGATAATTGATATAGATTAGGAGGGCCCGACTGGCACAGCTCCAACAGCAACAGGGCGGGCCACGAGGTGGTGGTGGTGCTCCGGACGGCCAGGATGATCAGAGAAAGTAAGTCTTACTCTCAATCCTTTTACCAGGTAAAATAAAAAAGAAAAGAAAAGAAAAGAAAAGAAAAGAGAAAGAGAAAATATTTCGATTTCTTGAGTTCCAAAAACGCAGAGGGGAAAAATTGGACTAACTGGTCGCTGTATAGACAAGCTGAAGGTATGCCACTGCTCCCGTAGCCAACAAGACCCCGCAAGTTTCAAAGAGGAGCACGAAGAGGGCTCTAATCGCCTTCCTTGTTACCTAAGATCGATCCTAACAAATTTCTACTAATAGCCGAACGTCGCTCTGCCATCCTGAACCAGATTCTCGAACCCGAAGCCGCTGACCGCTTGGGTCGCATTCGCCTCGTGAAGGAGTCGCGCGCCGCCGACATTGAGAGCAGACTGATCATGCTGGCCCAGACGGGCCAGTTGCGGCAAAAGGTCTCGGAGGATCAACTCAAGCAGCTCTTGAATGCTGTTGCCGAGAACCAGCGCAAGGACGAGGAAGAGCATAAGGTTGTGTTCAATCGGCGCAAAGGTGGCTGGGATGACGACGATGACTTGTTGGATTTGTGAAAAAAGAAAAGTTGAATTGCAATCAGCGATGTCGTTTAACCCTCTGAGGGGATTCTTACAGGGGGGTTTCTTGATATGTTCATTTCCTTTGTCCACGAGCTATGAAACTGAAAAACTTGGTCAAAGGAGTGTGCGGCTTCTACATAGTGCAACTCGTCGACGGCACTCCATCCTCCTAGTTGTCAACCACCTTCTAACACTAATTGCCATCTCAACCATAATTGGACATGTACGGAGATAAGGGAAGAGTTCATGTCTTTATCAAATCACGGCTATTGAATGCCATATAATAACTAATATACATCAATGCTAACCTCACCGCAGTAAAACCTATGCGTTCTGCTGCAACTTCTCTTTCTCCCGCCTTTTTTGTTCTCTAATCATCCGCCTAATCTCCCTCATATCAGGAGGCTTCTCAATGCCGAGTTCACTCCGTAACTCATCCACGTCCTTCTCTAAAATTTTCTCCCAATAGACGTTAATCAATTCCTTACTAGAGAGTCCACTCCGGACCGCCCACGGCAACCACAACTCAAAGAACCGCTCCCGTTCCGCAGGCTTCAGCCTCACCGCAGCAAACATACTCAACCCCGTCATGGGAATCAGCGTGTTCAAGTATTCAAATGCCTTGAGCGCCAACTCCCCCTCAACAAAGGTCGGAAGGCCCGTCAGAGCATGGTAAAAGTCGTGACACTCCCGGTACCGCTGCATGACGTATGCGCATTCTTCGTCGTCGATGTACTGGACGTTATCGCGGGTATCTGGGGAGACGCCTTCGCGGTCGAGCCAGATGGCGTAAGTCCGACCGACGGAGTTCTCGGGTAGAGAGCGGAGGTAAGGGAGTGGGAGGGTCTCAGAGGTTATGCGCGGACGTTCGCGGAGGATCTGACGGCCGGTTGGGTCTGAGAGCATAGCATCACGGAGACGGTATATGAAGTAGGGGGTTGCGGTGGCTTCGCCGCAAGCTGCGATGAGATCTATATAGTTTCAAAGTATAGAGTTAGCATGTTAGTTTCTTGTGATTGCCAATCTTCACGTGGGCTTAATTGCGCGGCCGGAAGGATAATCGAAGAATAAGATGCTTCTTACCTGCCCTTCGAGGATTTAACAAAGCGCCCACAGCGGATCCGACAGCTAAAGCACCACGCTCTACAAAGTTCAACCGGACATGGCCGGGATAATTTGGCGGCGGTCGATTGTTCACGGAGAAATGCCGGGCGCGACAAGCTACTACCGTGGCAGATGTTGATCGAGACAATTCGCGGAGACCTAAAACCCTGCACCTCCTGAGGACCGACATTTTGAACGCAGAAGGTCAGTCACACGTCTCAATGGACATGACCCTTTGCAAGAATGCGACAAGAATGTTGATGAGTGGTACGATGCTCGGGGAAGATCTCCGGTTAGCGTCCTTGGTCCGCACGCCGTGCCGTACCACTGATAAAGATCGATAAGCTTTTATCGCCGAGCCCTACAATGCTGCATTTTTCTAGATATGAGGTCTCAGCATTCTAATTTGGCGGACTAGAACCGTGCGGGATATTCCAATGGCTGGTTCTCTATAGGAGGTATAAGGGTTGCGTTCACTTTGCTATAACAAATCTACCTTTACGTATTTTTACTTCCCCCCCCCCCTCCATTTTCCTAGTTATACTTCCCCGCCGATCATTCAACTATTCCCCGCAATAATGAAGCCAGACTGGTGGCCTGGAGAGGAGCATGAGTCCTTCACAGAGTGGGCTATCTCTCAGGGAATCATCGCAAATGGAGTCGGGCCCGCGCGGTTCGGCGGCCGTGGCTTGGGAATGATAGCCAAACGAAATATAGAGGTATGGCACCGTTACTTGGCCATCAGCACTATTGTGATTTGAAGCTGCACATGCTTACCTTAATTTAGGAAGATGAAGCCATAGTAACAGTACCATTGAAGGCAATGCTAACCTCTGAGCGTATCCCGTCATCTTTCACCAGCAAGTTCCCAGTCGGGGTGCCCACTCATGCGCTATTCGCTGCATTTCTCACGAATGGCAACGAAGAAGACCTCAAAGAATTTGAGATGTGGAGAAAGACTTGGCCTAGTCGGCAAGACTTTGAAGTTAGCATGCCGATTTTATGGTCAGAGTCCCTGCGAAACTACTTGCCACCGTCCATTTCAGGTCTTTGGAGTAGTATACAGAGCCGGCAGGGCAAGCTTCAGTACGAGACATCTCATCAGAACCTCCTTTCCCAGCAGGAACAAAGGCTGCGTGCGGCGTGGAATATTGTTGTTTCTGTTTTCCCAGGTACCAACCGGGAGACGTTCACATATCATTGGCTTATCGTCAATACAAGAAGCTTCTTCTACTTGCTGCCTGGACAGGAACCACCGGAAGATCGAAATGATGCTATGGCATTACTGCCCTTTGCTGACTACTTTAATCATTCCGATGTTGCGGTATGTCGATGCAACTGTAATGTGGGTTTCCTTAAACATTAATTTGAATGCTTGGGTAATATAGTGCAATGTAAAATTCGATGGTGAGAAATATGTTTTCCGAGCCATCAAACACTATGGTACGTGTTGGTCTGTCATCGTTCCTTGGGGCAGTCCGAAGATCTTCTGACTTTGTGTGCCGCAGACGAAGGAGAAGAGATATATATGAGCTACGGACCTCATCCTAATGATTTCTTATTTGCTGAATGTGAGAATCAATCATGTCTTCCTGTTTCGTGGCGCCAAACTAACCTAAGCAGACGGCTTTTATCTCGACGAGAATGAGTCAGAAACTCTATACCTCGACGATATAATATTCAAAGACCTTAGCCTATCGCTTCAAGAGGAACTAGATTTTCAACAGTATTACGGGTATGTTCACCAAATCCGAATAGTTATATCTATTACATTTCTCCTACCTAAGATAATCCCATCGATACCTAACCCATGATTTCAGTAATTACCAGTTAACGGCCACTGGCGTGTGCTATCGCACTGAAATTGCCGCATGCATGAAATATATGCCATTGGAAGACTGGCGAAACTATGTCCTCGGTTACTCCACCAAAGGTGTTGATGAGAAGAAATCGGAGGGTATCATCCAACAGTGGATTAGAGCGTATCTGGGTGAAGTGGACAAGACATTCACTGCTCTGGAGAAAACTGGATCTGGCCAAGCGGAGTTGAAAGATCAGCAAAAGATAAAGATGCTGATGAAGCGATGGACCCAAATCAGGGACCTATGTGCCAAGGCTTCGGAAGCTGTTTCCTGTTAGATCCATATATTCAATAAAGTGGATTTGCTTGCGCATGGTGTCACGAAGTCGAATTTATTATATGTATACAGATGTGAGAGTAGGTTCACATTTTGGGCTCTCGGGGCAAATCAATCGGAATGGCACCCGATTCCATCTGTTTTGTTTGTAGATGTTTGGCGAGAACCAGGTGTTTGATTGTATAATTCACCACACATTTAATGCCAAGTTCCTCGCCCCTCCGTATGATGTAACCGTTCATGTACTCAATTTCCGTGGTTTTCCTTGACAACACGTCCTGCAGCATGGAACTATGGTTCTTTGCAGTTTTGTTTGCCAGCTGCGTAACCATCATTCGCAGTCGTTCGGGAGAGAAACGACTTTCGATTCCAGGAACTGCTTGCAGCTCGGGGAGAGCACAGATGACGCTTGAGATCTCGATGAGAAGCAATCGCATAATGCGCGTGAAGCTGTAGTTGTAGAGAAGTTCACCGTTCTTGCAGTTCATTATAGCTGTTAAAGGATTGATAACACTATTCATTGCAAGCTTCTCAAGCTGGTATAGTATGAGGGAGGAAGGGGTTTCCGCAACAGCAACCAGAGGCGGGGTGAGCGTCAATGTGCGCAACAGGTATTTGGTGCTTGGGGCCCAGTTCGAATCCCCCTCATTTGTTGAGGTCACAGCACCGGCCAGTGGAACAGAGCCCAAGATAGTTGTGCCAACACCGGTGTGAGAGACTTGAAATGGCTCTTTTCTCCGCGCCAAACCGTGAGAGATAATACCACACATGTAGTGCGGACGATACCGGGGGTCCGGGAAAACTTTCTCATTAACCTCATCGATGGCACCCATGCCGTTCTGGAGAAACAAAACTGTTGAATCAGGCGTCAGACGGTGCTTGACAGACTCCATAGCCGTTGCGGTCACTGGCGCTTTGACGGCGACGATCAGACATTCAATCCGCTCGTCTTCGGCCGAAGCTCCATCAGTAGCGGCTTGTTGGGCGTATTCATCAATGCTTTCATTGCCATTCTCCGTCGTACCATCCTGGTTCCAATACGGTACCGAAAGCCATGTCTTATCATTCAATACATTGACATCGAAGCCCGTTTTTATATCATCCAGGCCATTAGTATTGATTGCTAAGCATTTCTTCCTCTCCAGCCAGGACCTATAGAGGTTGGGCGTGTGCATCATAAGCGTAACAGGTGGCGGAGATGACCGGCTTGCCAGTGAGTGAGCAACGAATGTACCAATGTTCCCAAGGCCCAGAATATGTATGCGGCCTGACAGCCGGCGTTTCCCGCTGCCTCTTGACGCTTCGTCGGCATCCTGGTGCCATGTCGCCAGGAAACGAACATTGAGACCACGCTGGGCATCGCCTGCCATAGCGAGGCAGAATTGGGAAATGCCAGTCCGCAAAAGCGGACGGCGTCCTGTTGGGAACAACACTTTGAGAGAGATGGCGTGATATGCAAAGGAGGATGGTCGTCGGGACGCTTGAAGTCTGAGCAATGGCCGCAGAAACCAGCTAGTTTCGCATTATAGAATAACGAGTCCTCAATAAGCGGTCCAAGAACACGGTAAGCAACCAGAGCCTAACAAGGCTAACTTGATCAATGATGTGCGCAGGCGACGCGATAAATTGATAAGATCATGGCCCAGCTCCCGACCGCCCTTCACACCGCCTGCAGATAAAAATTTGAGATTATCTACGAAATCATTATCCGGAAGAACTACAATCGTTATCCACAAGATGGATGCAACTGACTTACTACCGCTGCTTGAGCAGCTGGATGATCATATCGACGATCTGGATGAAGCTCTATGCCCTGTCCTGAATAGTGCTGTGGCTGCGACGTCAAAAAAGCTTCCTGTTCTGGACAAAGCAAAATTTCACGTTCTGATCACTTACGCCTTGGAATCTCTCATATTTTGTACGGAAACCTCGACTTCAAATTTTCAACCTGCGGCCTACTGATCTACCCCTAGCTTATCTACGTCTTCATGGCGTTAATGCTAAAGAGCACCCTGTGTTCCGAGAACTAACCAGAGTGAAACAATACTTTGACAAGATTAAGGCGCTAGAAACAGAGCCGGAGCAGCGGACGTTGACACTTGACAAGCAGGCTGCAAGCCGCTTCATTAAGCATGGTCTTGTATGTGCTTTTAAACATGTAAAAGATTGAGAATGCTAACTTCGCTAGGCTGGAAATGACAAAATCGATCTGGAGCGCAAAGAACAACAAGCGAAAGAAAAGGCGCGTGCCCAGTTGAAGGCATCTCTACTAGCTAAGAAGGCGGCTACAGCGGCAGTCCCTGAGAGCGCATCGAAGAGCCCTGCGAACAGATCGGAATCCGACTCAGACAGTGAATCCGATGGCGGTGAAAAACCGACAGAAAAGACACAACCCGAAGACTCTGCGAAGAAGATGAAAAAGAAGAAAGTAGAAAAAAGTGCCAAGCGCGAATCCACCAAGGCCAAGAAGAAGCGCAGCGAGGAGGGTCGTAAAGATAAAGACAAGAAAAAGGAACGGAGAAAGAAGAAGCAAGAAACCCGGAAAGCAAGGATGGCCCAATGAGTAATCTAATCACCGGATCGTACCGCTTTTTTAATGGTCGAAGAGGTGAAGACTGTGTCGTTATGATCGGCTGGTTCCGATCTTAGGGTTTGCATTGACGGCTCATTGAGCCGTCAGTTCCAACAGCAAGCATACGTCCTGGGACCGTTATGCCTTTCCCTCAGAACAGATGATAAAGGCGCTTTCATTTAACGACGGCTGCCTTCTCTAGTCCTATTCATTCAGTACTTCGCCGCAATATGCATCTTTACACGCATGAACTATGAGGATACCTTAAGACAGCGCGGACGCAAGCCACTGGGTTGGGTTTGACTCTTCCTGTGGTGCTCTGTCAATTATCCATCGGATATAGGGCCTCTCCATGGGCTCGATCCTATAGAACCTACCCTAGTCAACTAAATAAATAAAATGGCAACTTGGAATTTTAAGATCTCATGAACTCAACCTCCCCTCCCCGTAAGCCCCAGTCTGTGAATCAGGACCAGGATCAGAGGGAGAGGTGTAGAAATGAGTCATAAGCATGGAAATTCGAGTAGCTTCCCCATAGATGAAGAGTCACCAGGTATAAAGATAATCATCTAAAGTCCGGCGGACTTTACGCCACAGCGAAGAGAATCCCGGTATCCGGAAAACACAAGATACAGATATAATACCAGGCCCAAAGCAAATAATATATTACCACATGTAATACGGGTACCACACATGGTTTTCGCCGTTCCGAGTGCCATTGCGGATCACCCAACCAATCAGCGAGGAGGAAATCAGCAGCAGCACGGAGTTTTCGACGACTTCTCCGCCGACTTTCGAGCGTCTTCTTTATATAACCATCCGTTTGCCTTCGCAAAGTTATCTCTATCTCTCCCCATCCATACATAACTCCCTTCATTCTCTAACAACAAAACCTTCATCCACACTAACCAAAATGCCTCGTCAACGCCGCGGAGCTCCTACCCCTGCGCGCAGCGCTCCTACCAGACCTACCGCCGCTCCCGCCAGGCCAGCCGCTGCTCCTTCAGCCCAGCAGAGCCAGCCTCACTCGACCGCTGCTCACCCCCAGTCGGCTCCCCAGCAGGCCTATCCTCATCCCCCTCCCCAGGCCGCTCCTGTCCAGCAGAGCGCCGGACCCGGCCTGTTCGGCCAGATGGCCTCTACCGCCGCGTAAGTCCTCCATATGCCTGGCGGACTGAGAGAGAAATCAGGAAAAAAAATAAAAATAAAAAAACTAACATCAAGCAGTGGTGTCGCAGTCGGTTCTTCGATCGGCCACGCCATCGGCGGCCTCTTCAGCGGTGGCTCCAGCGCCCCTGCCGAAACCCAACAGGCGGCTCCTGCACAGGCGCAGCCCATGGACACCGGATTGTGGCAGAGCAACACCACCAACAGCTCTTACGGCAACCCGGCCTGCGAGACAGACATTCGCAACTTCCGTCAGTGTATGGATGAGAACCAGGGTAACATGGGCATTTGCGGGTGGTACCTAGACCAGCTTGTATGTTTCTGCCCTTCCCTACAAGCCTTTCTAAGGTTGTTTCTGGGTATAAGTACTAACGGGTTCTATAGAAAGCTTGCCAGGCTGCTGCTAAGCCGTACTAAATTTAATGTTTTATGTTTCGCGCCGGGGGTATACTTGGTGCAGGGTTCTGGGTTTGAAGCCGGTTGAGTGTGGATTTGATCGGGACGGTGCTATGTTTGGATTGGACTGTGTTTGCATAGCGGCGTAATATTCCTCTACTGTATACTAATTCAGTCGGGGTTGAACTGATGAACTTTTTTATTTTGTTTTGCTATATTTCTTATTCACGGGATTTGCTCCTGAGATAGAGACAGATGAATACCTAAAGACAACAACTATTCCACTCTTCATGATACTGGTTGATGAGCAGGTATACACTGGGTAGTGAAAAGAGCAAGGCTAGGGTCCAGCTTCTAGATCAGGCTCCTCAAGGATTTTGTAGTAAACGTGAATTGTGCCAATCTAACGAATGTCTTGGATGTAAGAATACGTAGCACGCTATCGCTGTTAAAGTCGCAGAAAGAACCAATCAGGCAGCAAAAATTAGAACTAAAACCGTGGGCTTAGTTTACATCAACTAGCTAGCATCATTCCTATTGCCTCTCTGTGTCTCTTGGCTCAAAATTAAGCTATGCATGTCAGCGGACCCAACTAGTCTGATAATACATGTTCAGATTACATACCTGATTCCCATTATAAAGTTGGCTACCATTTTGCTCATTACGCTGGTCCCTTAGTGTTCGGATGATAGGGCCTCTGAATGCAGACGGCCGTGGCCTGGCTGCACTGTTACCAGATGAAACTGGGGTAGATGTGCTAGCTGGAGAGGCCTCGGACGTAGTTGATGCTAGTTGGCCATAGCCAAAGAAGGAACCCACTAGACCCGTGGCAGTGCCAACGGCAGAGGAAACAAGACCATACGCAGATGATACAGCCCGAGCGGGTAAGCTGGACCCAGACGTCGAATATGCCTCAGTATACGTATTGATCGGAACCATTACCAGGTTCGCTGTCGAGCCGACTCCAAGCTCTGCCAGAGTTTGTTCCTCCTCGGCGATGGTGAGCGTGCGGTTCGGTAGAGGTGTCAGGATATGCTTGAGATTGTACGGGCGTTTTCCGTCCGCAGACTGTTCATCAATCCAAGGACGGACATGTCCCCTGATGGTCTGGGAGGGCATAAAGCTGGACCGGATAGAGCTCCCATCAAAGAGGCGCACTTGAAGCCGATATTGCTTGGGTGGCGCTGGTGTTTGTGGCTTGCGCTCCTCTGCAGGCGTGCTACTGCTTTCGGCGGGTGCACGAAATTTTGTAGCTTTCGTTTCTGATTCGCTATTTTTTGTACTATCTGTGGATTTCACTTTATCTTGTGGTTTCGGAGTTGCTTCTTGCTTCTTTGGTTGAGGCTTCTGTGCGTGGATAGGGGTTTCCACCTTATATGTACTCCGGCCGGCATGTAGGCTGTTGTGGCCCTGTTGAGCTGACCGAGGTTGCGGTCTGCTTCTTTGCGACCCAGCTGAAGCTGAAGCTCGCGATGGGGCAACAGCATCAACAGAAGGGGAGGAGGCGGGTTCAGACCGTGGTGTAGTCTCAGAAGCAGTAGATGAACTAGTGGCATGGCTCTGGGTACCCTGGGCAGGCAACTTCGAACTTGCCTGGTCGGCCGGCTTACTGTCTTCTAAGACAGCCTTTAGCCGACTATGAAAGTCTTCTTTCGAGATATCCGGTATAATATATTCCCGCAACATTCCATTCCTGTACGATAGTCAATCGAACGTCCAACGACCCTAACACCTAGGAAGAATTCTCCACTCATACTTAATGGCTATGACGGCAGGGAACTTCGTAATGGGGCAGAAGGAAGTCAAAAACCCGGCTTCTTGAGAATCCTTGGTGAGTCGCAACAGGACAGATCTCGACGCGACTAAGTCCGCGAACTGTGTTTCGCCGCCGATTAGTGATCATATACGGGAAAAAAAAATCGGTGATATGATATGCATACTTCGCTGTCTGCGAAGTAACCCTCTTCCCAGAGAATACTTGTTTGCTCGTCATCTGTACGAGTTCATTCAGCTGGTTAGCGTGTGGGTAACGGTGGAGCTTGTTAGATGTATAGAAGGATGGATGCTTGGATGCATTCATGAGTATCGCACCTCGAACAAAACATATTACCGCTTTAGCTTGAGAAACCGCCAAAGCGATCCCTTCCTGCAGACTTCCGGAGAAAAACATGGTGAGCGAGTGCTGTTTGTTGTACAGCGGTAGATACCTTTTAACTCCGTCGGGGGAAAAAGAAGGCCGTTGCCGATCACGAGCCCCTCGGGATTCAATTCAACTTTAGCTCGAATTGTTGCTGCTCTCTTACACCCTTTCCCTCGCCCAGATTAAAACCGCAATTAGCTCTTCGATAAGAGCAAATTGATAATTGGTCATGCGGTCCATCTTTTCGGTCTTGCAACGGACCGCAGCAACTTCATGGCAGCCGCCAATCGCCGCGTCGATTCGGGGTCCCCGGATGGCCCTTAAAGTGGACTCGATTTGCGCCAGATGTCGCCGTCAACAGATTCGCTTTTATAGCAGGCAGCTAGCTGATGACCCGCGATGGCTGTCGGTTGTGGATCAGCCTGCACAAATTGTTCGGACAGGTCGTAAACATGGACCGGGTCTCATTATTTTAGGTACGGTAGCAAGATGGCCAGACCAATAGCTGGTGAATTTTGGCCGGACGCTAATTGATGTATTCCCCAATATAGCTCTAATTCCTATTCTCTCGTTCGCGCTCGGGACTTGGCAAATCCAGCGTCTCGATTGGAAGACCAAGTTGATAGCAAAATATGAAGACCGACTTGTTAAACCTCCGCTGCCGCTGCCGCCACAAGTCGATCCGCACGCGATCTCTGAGTTTGATTACCGACGGGTCTACACTACGGGACGCTTCAGGCACGACCAGGAGATGCTGGTTGGCCCTCGTATGCACGAGGGTGAGGATGGCTTCATCGTTGTGACTCCACTCGAGAGGGGGGAAGGGCAGAGTACTGTCCTGGTCAACAGAGGCTGGATCTCAAGAAAGATGAAGGACCAGAAAGACAGGGCTGATGGTCTTCCACAGGGGGAGGTCACGGTTGAAGGCTTGCTACGGGAACCTTGGAAGAAGAACATGTTTACACCGGAGAATAGTCCGGAGAATGGAAAATTCTATTTCCCTGACGTTGAACAGATGGCAGAGTTTACTGGCAGCCAGCCAGTGTGGATTGAAGAGACTATGAGTGAGTCTATCTCTAGTATGGGGACCGACACGATCGACACTAACTCCATTAGTCCCGGACTTGGTTGAATGGTATAACAGAAGCGGCAAGGGTATCCCTATCGGTCGCGCCGCCGAAGTGAATCTGAGAAACAACCACAGCCAGTACATCTTCACATGGTAGGTTTTCGATGAATTACCCCCAATATCCTGCAATCGAAACTGCTGGCTTACCTTGAGTAGGTACGGGTTGTGCTTGGCAACATCAATCATGCTGTGGATGATTATCCGTAAGAGGCCTAATGAGGCAACTCGTCGTGTCCGTCAGAATGTAAATTGGTGATATCTGTCAACCTCTTTTTCTGTTTGCGACCATCGGTGGTGTTTAGTTTGCTTGGTACAGAATACGTATTATGTATATTATTCACGGAGGCATTGACAATCTCATGTCCTGTAACAGCTCCTTGGGTAAATGTTTCGATGCCAAAGAGAAAATGGTCGTAGAATTGTTAAGATGGCGTTGTCTAGCAGGTAGGCGGGTCAGCATAGCTAAAAGAAGGGGCATGGGGATTGTCCTAGCTCACCGTCTCATCAAGGTGGTAACATCGCTCTCGTCGATTGTCTTACGTCCAGCATGTGTGGAATACGCTGCCAAGTCTTCAGCGACTTGCTCAAAATACCACGATGTTGCTTGCTCAATGGCTGTCAGGGTTGCCTTGCTGATCTTCGCTTTAGATCCGGCCCTCGCTGGTGCAAACCGGGTGGCCAGCTTTTTAATCACTCCTGATGGCATATTGGGGATAGGAATGCCGTGCCGGGAGAGCTTCTTTTGTTTCCCCTGTACGATGACAGTGTCTTCATCATGCAACCCTCCACCGATGATCCCGGGACTTTCGCTCAGAGAGGCACGGGATGGCAGGTTGAGATCCAGACCAAAATCACCAGCTGTGATGCCGGCATCATCACTGTCATCTGACATTGGAGCTGTGTCCTGTGCCAGGTCAACGGGCGGAAGCTCGAATCCTTCGTCGTCGTTGAGAGGCTCGTCCATATTATTCGCTGGAGGCGGAGGGGGAGATGGAAAATTGAAGTCAAAATTGAACCTCCCAAGGTCTTCCGTATCTCCTCTGCATCTATATTAGCCAAAGGAGCCGCAGGTTAATGAGAGATACGCCACTCACCCTCTATCAAAGGCACCTTGACTCATCACAGTTTCGTCTGGGTTCTCCCTATTGTCATCATGCTCAATGCCAGTTTCATCATCTTCCGAGTCACTTTCTAACCGGGTCGCGTCACCGAAATTCTCACTCAGGCGAGGATTACCGAAACTCATCATAGACAATCTTGCTCTATCATGTTCGCTAGTAGCCCGTCGAGGGTATTCGACCGTAATGTCCTCTTCCTCAAACGCTAAAGAGAGCCTGGGTGGGCGCGGTTCCGGACTCGCCTCGTACTGTTCCTCTACTTCTTCTAAAGGCAAGGATAGTCGTGGACGTTCGATCTCCGGTTCGTTGTCAAGCTCGTCGATCTCATCTCTTTTGGGCTCTGGTTCGGGCTCCGGTTTCTCTTCTTGCGGCGATGAACCAATGGGCTGTGATACAGGAGCAAGAGCTAGCATTTGCATTTAGTATATATCTATCGCACTCATTGTATGCAAATAGCATGCTCATAACATAAAACTATCTGGATCACCTACCTCTACCGAGATTCCGTAGAATATCAAACGTCGTCTCCCTCTGCATCCGCCCGCTTTTCCTACGGTCACGCGCAGGTGTATTAGCCGCTCGGCGCTGCATCGCCCGTAATCCATGAGGCGTTGAGGGAGCCGCAGCGCCTCTGTTCCGTGGCGTTCGTCGCGACGGGGTTGCTGAACTGAGCCTGCTGGGGGTGAGGGGATACTTGGTATGAATGGGAAGACGCTGAAGCTGCAACAGACTACTAGTTAGCATGCACAAGTTTGCGATAGAGGAGGAATAGCGGACTCACTCCTGTCAGCGTTGTGTCTGCTATTGGAGTGAATGTTTCCGAAACCTCGGAGTCTCGCAGTGACCGGCGGCCACGCGGGTTAGGGGTTGTTGACATTGATGTTTTGTATGGGATAAAGTGGAATTGGATGATTCATCAAACTGGGTCAAGAGCAATCGTAAAGAGTTTAAAACCTGTTATTGAGAAAATGCGATGATGAGTGAAGACTTCAGCGCATGCCAATAATTCACCAGAGGGGTTGTTTTCAGAAAACGCGCGTTGACGGAGATCAAATCGATAAGTGAACTTGTTATCGATAAGCCGTCTGACTCAGCATAAAAAAGTTGCTGCGAATTCCAAGGTCTGATAATCAACACAGCTGGAACTCGACCATTGAATTCTCTTCTTGGGTTGTGGATCGGTCAAAGAGAGGACTAAGGGGAAATGCCTGCGGAAGCTGCTAATCCATCCGGCCTTTCGGCCAAACTTGACAAGAAGCGCAAGAGGCAAGCTGAGGAATCCTCGAAAAAGGCCAAAGCTGGTGTTGCGCCCAGCGGCAATGCAGATGGACCTAGTAACAAGAAAAGAAAGAATGGCAAACCTAAGCCCAACAAGAAGGGTGGAAAAGACAAGACAGAGGACGCTCCGCAGAAAGAGCAGAGGGACACCAAGCAAACTGAGACCAAAGGTGGGATTGATGAAGCCATCGGAAAGATGGACGGCCGCCTGTTGGCGGATCATTTCATGCAGAAGGCCAAGCGCCACAACAAGGAGCTGACAGCTGTTGAACTGAGTGATCTGAGCGTTCCAGGTACGTTGTTGCCCAGCTCCAAGTCTAGACTTTGCCCCTATGGTTTCACAAGACTGAGTCTAACGGTACAAAGAATCTTCATTTCTGGACACATCATCTTTCGACTCGCCCAGACAGCTTGAGAATCTTCCGGCTTTCTTGAAAGCTTTCAGCCCTAAAGGCTCTGATCTCTCGAAACCATCAGTAGAGAAAGGCACGCCGCACACCCTGGTGGTCTCTCCCTCCGGGCTTCGAGCGGCCGACGCAGTGAGGTGAGTTCAAGCAGATGAACTCTATGTATCGGGGATTCATCAGTACTAACTATTCCGTTACAGAGCTCTCCGTACGTTCCAAACTAAGGAATCCCCTATTGGCAAGCTTTTTGCAAAGCATATCAAGCTGGAAGAAGCCAAGCAATTTCTAGACCGATCGCGGTATGTTCCCCCTTAGTGCAACTCCAATGCCAGTAGACTAACTATTGTTTAGCATTGCCATCGGAGGCGGGACCCCTGCTCGTATCTCCGACTTAATTACTGCTGGTATGTATCTTGGAATTAAGTTCGTTCGTGTAGCAGGTTGAACAAAAACTAACTGCCGCAGGTTCCCTCAAGCTTGACGAACTACAGCGGATTGTGATTGATGGATCTTACGTTGATCAGAAGCAGCGTGGTATCTTTGATATGAAGGAAACTCATCTTCCACTTCTGCAATTGCTGACGCGACCTGAGTTTCGCGAACGATATGGAACGAAGGAAAAGCGAATCCAGATCCTCGTTTTTTAAGTACTTACATTGATGTATAATGTGGTTGGCGTTAACCAAGGCTTGGTGTTAATAATTTGCTTTCTGGACTTATTCTGGGTAGTGATACCGTACATGCAAATATCGGTCTACGTCCATACATACACTTGTTCCCGTATGAGTTTGCCGACAAGTGCAGATAAATGTAGCCTCGACCGTATGTATTCTATGTCGGGCTATCAAAGTCATGGTCAAAATTACCAATGGTAAATGCTCTCCGTGAAACTTTATATTCATGAGACGATGCTATTGTTGAGACTATATGCCAATGCTAACCCATATGCTATGAACTACCCACCCGGTATACGCCAGACCCTCTCTATATACATAACCCATAAATAAAATTGAGAAAAAAATAAAAAATATTGCAGCTAGATGTGTCGCCAAAAGGCCTAGTCACTGAAAGAGTCTCGCAATGCTTGGAAGGACATCGAATATGCAAAGGGACGATGATGACGACAAAACAAAATGGCAGAACTGAATGTGTGATCGCGTCAAAGGGTGTAATCATGTTTCATGATCAGAGGCAAAGCTAAAGCTATATGCAGGTGGAGATGGTATCAAGCGGCGAACAAGAACAAACCCGGAATCAGGAGAAGGAAAACTATGTACGAATATATGAAGAAAACTGGAGACGTAGGCCGCTCAGAAAATCTAAGCTCGGACTCGCCGAGCATCGAAGTATTTCAGATTGACTGCGGTATCGTTCACGCCAACAATGGGTGCTGCATCTTCAAGGAGCTCCCAAGGGCGTACTGGGTAGGGTCCCATAACACGGCCCCGGTATTGAAGGCGGAGGTGGCTGGCGACGCAATTAATGCCTTCAGAGAGTCCCATTGAGGTACCTGCAGGGGCTGTAGCAGGCGTTTGTGCAGTAGACAGACCACCCGGCAGAGCGCTCGACGGGGTTGGAGTTGGAGTAGAACCACCAGCTGCAGGTGATGGAAGAGAAGCAGGCTGTAAGCTATTTAGTGATGCTGAATCACTCATGGGGCCGAGAAGGTAGATAAATCGGGAGTCGTTTTGGTACTGAACGAAGGGAGGACATTTTTCTTTGAGAAAACGGGCGCACTGTTGCCGAGCATCATCTGGGAATGTGTCGATCAGCGAGGCTGCAACGTCCAACGCATGGGTCTGAAGCAGAATCCCTGGACAGGGCTGATAGCCCTGAGATGGTACGGGGTGAGGGAAATAGTCAGCTGCCGGGAAAAGTCGTATCACGCTGTCCGGAAGACGTGCAAGCGATATGCAAAGAATCGAGATCAGTAAGCGAGACTGCTCCTGCGGGCTACTGGGCTTAGGCGCCAGAGATGGTACGTTAAATGCAGCTCGATGTATCACAATCATCCGTAGTAAAGCAGAGAACCAGAATGCGAGTGCCCTCTCAAAGTTCGACCGGGACTGAAGTATTTGACTCGTAGTCGCACTGTGCTTATTCGTAGCGACATTGTTGAGATGGGTTTGCATGATGACAAGCTTGTGGAGTAGAAGGTCCATTCTCTCGACAAGAACAGGAGCCACAGATTGCACACCTCCATCAGGTACGCTGTAAGCAAGCTTCTCGATAATTGTAAGGTATAACTTCGCGGTCTCTAGAGACTTGGCATTATTGGCTGTGGTCGAGGGTCCATGGGCATCAAGATGTTCTTCAAATAATGGTATTGAAAAGAGAGCTCGTTCGGCACGCTCTCGAATCTAGAAAGTCAGTTTAGAAGGAAACCTTGAAGTGACCACAGCGTTTCCGTACCTGTCTTATTACATCTTGGCTCATCAGGCCGACAAAACCAATCCAATTCGATCCTTTTGAACGGGTATCTTCTACAGCGGCCTTGAACATCACATCTACGATACCATTTCCTACATTTTGACCAGATTCTGCGTTGAAAAGCATCTGGAGTTTCAACTGGCAAAACGGAAGGGAAAAGTCATCAGTCATACGGACGACCCTTTCAGCTTCGGACAATGAGGGTGGACCTTAGCGGCATGTTAGTAAAATAAGGACAGCGAGTTGATAATCACTTGGCTTACCAGCATGCGCGTCAAAGCGCAAGAGATGATCAAGAGCCCTCTGCAAGATGCTTGTTGATACCGAGTGCTTCCCAACAAAGCCTTGCAGACAGTATTGGGCCGTGACTTCCGGATTCTGAGTAAGAAGGATATCGAGTAATTTAATCGCACAACCTGTGATGTCGGGCTGTCCTGGAACGAGTCCAGCTATTTGCTCTTCCGAATGGGCGGACGCAACCGCATCGCAAATGATGTCAAGCGTTTCTTGGGGGTGCTTCGCAAAGAACTCATGTTGCGCAAGATGGAAACGGTATGTAACCTGCACAAATTAGTTAAGAGAAAGGCTCTAAAAGAACACAAGGGAAGATACATACCATATCAGCATATCTACACTGCTCTGACCCCGGTGGAACAAGAAGCTGAAGCAGGTCCACTCGCAATCCGGCCAAGTTAGGAATTACAGCAGCTACTTCTCCCGAATTCAACAGCTTTTTCACCAAAAACACAAAAGCATGTATAGTGACGCACCCAACTCCGATAAGAGGGGGAAGTATTCGAGACATAGGCTGAGTGGAGGATTTCAGAAGCCCACAAATCCATCGTATCAACATAGTGTCGAAATGCTTCGGATGGAAAGGCCGCACATAAGCTAGATACCTAGCGGTTTCATTTGCGGGCAGCTTTGCGGCTGCCTCACTGCTTTCCAATATCTTTATAAGGGAATAGAAGACTGTATCCATTGTGGACTCGTCCATGCCACCTCCAGATGAGAGAAGCTGATTCAACTTCTCCTGGAATGCAGGATCGACATCAGTGAGTGTTATGGGAATGCTGTCCGAGAGCGGGGAGGGGGCTGCTAAAGCTGATTTGCTCTCTATCCGAGTAAGATCCTGACGCAAGAGAGCCACGGTGTTAAATTCACTAGGTAGTCGGAGCCCTAGTTCAATGAGTGAAAAAAGCAAGTCCAAACTTGCAGTGCCTAGCCTCTTCAGACGAGCATATGACTCGACAAGACCCCTGAATAGATCAGATGTGGCACCAATTACACAGAAACAATCAAAATGATAGTTGATTGTATCGGCAACAGAAGCTAGGACAACGTCATCATTGCAGCGTGTAGCTTGTTTCAGTATATCTGCCAGCATTGAGAGATCACCAAAGGTCTCCAAGATCTCCCTAATCCTATAAAACTCATCGGGAGTGAGAGCAGATACACCTGAGTCAATTGCAACGGACACGCCGGACAATTTCCTAAGATTGTTAGCTGAGACAGCACCACTAGAAACCAGAAAGGCTTACCTAGGTGAATCGCGACAGTGCCCAGCAACTCCGCATCGAATCCACTGCCCGATTTCAGATTTGACAGCCCAAGTGGGGTTCGGCTGTGACGATTCATTGGGCATCGCACTGCCCATCTCAGCGCCGAAGATAGCGGGTAGGCGTTGAGAAATCGATAGTTTAAGCTCTGCGATCGCTGACTCCTCCTGCAACACCGGGATTCCAGCCTGATAGAGGAGCGTGTTGCGAAGATTGCGCATATGGTCCGGAAGTCGACTGGGAGGTAGTTGCTTTAAGAGATAGAGTTCGCCTGATGCGGCCTGCGAGCTGCTCGTGACACCTTTTGCCATCAGCCACTGCAGGTACCTACCTACAGAGAATGTCTGAGATCGGACTAGCTCCGAAATGATATGGTAGATATTCTCCATGTTTAATGTGCTAGTCATTCGAACCTCAGCAAGGAAAGGAAGGATATATGAGTCAATATCGACCCCAGATGCCTTCCACTTCCGCAGAAGGCGGACGCCAGTATATACACGGCAAAGACCATAACGGAACGGAGTGGCCGCCCACTCGAGAAGCTTGGAAATGAGAACAGCTTTATCTTCTATCGTCTTCAGGCATGCAACCGAGGCAGTTGAAATATCATGAGCGGAGCGAATAGAGTCAAATAACTGAATCACACGTTGTTGTGGTGATCGTTGGGTTGTCTCTTGATGATTCTTGGGTAGCTGCAGCCGCGAATTACGTTCGGAAAGATTCTGAAATATCGTTTTGTGGATATTGTCCTTCAAGTCCAGACAGGAAGAAATAAGGTCTTTGTGCTTTTCCCAAGAACTCGGAAGAACGGCTGACGAAGTGTGCTCGAGAACAAGTCTCCTGATATAAAGGGATAATCGATCCACGAGGGGCTGCAGGGGTCCGACATTTTCTGGTTGGGAGACCTGCCGTTGCATTAACAAAAAATATCAAAAACCAACGTCGGCACGCCTACCTGGCGTAACTTCTCAACCAGCAACTCGGCGAGCCGTCGCCCACGCTTCCGGTACCGCATGAGATTATCCCAATATATACCTAGCATCAAAAGCCAAACTGGAACTGTACTGACTGGCGCAGCCTCCAGTGAGGATAAGAACCATCCAAGGTACTGGTCGTGGTCTAGTAGACGCTCAAAGAACAAGCGAGCAGTCAAGCTCACCCTGTTTACTGTTAGAACACAAATCACACGAAAGCTGAGTGGAAATACGTACGCATATGTCATCTTCGTTTTCCATTGCGCAGACCCACAGGTACCTACTACACCTTCTAAGAAGTGCTGAACGGTCGTTGTCCAGTCACGGACCCATTTTGCTTCTAGGCCCAGCGCTAGTGTACCACTCGTGCCTTTTCTTTTGAACGCACGGATTTCGTTAGCACCAACACACTTTGCCAGCCACACAGCTCGGCCGACTGGGATGCCTTTGTTCAGGCATTGATCTAGAAGAGCCTTTCCCCGGATGCCGTGGGGAATCGTTCGACTTAACTTGCGTAAGGGGACAGACGGATTTGCCAGGTCACGAAGCCAGGCCTCGCGTTTGTTATCTGTTAGGGTCACCCGTGGTGGGGGTTTGAAGGTCGATGGCGCCGTAACCAGGCTATGGTTCTGTCTTTTCTCAAGAGCCGCAGCAAAAACGGAAGAAAGCATTTGCAAACCGGAGCGATGTTTCAACTGTGCGTATAACGAGGGTCGTGCGGTGTTTGACTCATTTTGAGACACCTGTGTGCGGTCATAGTGCCCCTGCTTTGCCGTCTGTTCGTTGAGGACATCTTCAGGGTGATTTCCAGTCCACGGTGAGAAATCCGCAACCTCTAAATGTTGGTTCCTGGTCAAATTCATTCCTTGTGTATACAAACCACCCGGCGGGGGACTTACTCTCTCCTTTAAGCACAGGTGCGACTGAAGGTATCTCAATACGATAGGGGGTCGTCTGTACTTCCTTCCCGGGCGAACAGGCTCGTGACGTTGAATTATTACTTCCCAACGACTCCGAGGGGGCATACTTCCAAGGCAAGCCGGGCAAAGGAGGCGGCGATGCTGGTTTTCCTCCCTGCGTGACAGCTGCCGCATCTTCCTCATTCCTCGCATTACTCCCTGGGACCTCTGATAGCATAGCCTGGAACGACCATACAGGCCGATTGCGCCAAGAGAGCGAAGGTTTTGAACCCCCCGTTCCTGGCGTACTTCTCAGCTCTCCACCGCTCCCCGGCGCAGGGCTCACATCTCGGGCGGAAGGTGCCGTAGGTAGATCCAACCGAAGCTTTTTTGGCGGGGGCTCTATTTCTTGCGCATCACCACCACTCGTTGTAAGGTCAATGACTGCCGGCGGTCTAGTTTGCGGCGGCGGTACAGTTGTCGGTAGCTTCTCGGGCTGAGGGTCAGACGGTCTCACGGTTTGAGATGCATCCACACGTCCAGAGCCGCTGGTAACGGCGCGCAGGGGATGACCCCACGATTGGACGCCGGCAGAAGAATGAGGTATCATCTCAGCTTCATGGTGTATCACCGCGCCTGAGATTGGTCATTGGAACTGCAGGATAGACTCGGTTCGAGCACGCGCAAACAATCGTTGAAGACTCTCCAGAGGAACGACCGAAAGAACCCCCTCCGAGCTTTGTGTATACTCTTCCTGCCAGTCCTCCAGAGAGAAGTCGGAAATGGACGGCAAAGTGGTTAAAGGCCGGGGAATAATCAGTGCAGACTTAGGAGGGAACGAAGCAGTCGGCCCTGAATGTCGCCAGGCACCCAAACGGATGATAAGGACGGGAAATTGATTGGGGAAGGCTGATTCCGAGGAACAAAAGGAAAAAGAACAGAAAGAAGAAGGAGAAGAGGAAGAAGGGTGATGAGATTGGGGGAAAAGCCGAGTACGGCGGACGATAGGGAAGATCTCCAGATAACGTAAGGACCAACTGGCAGTCCGTCTTTTTGGTTATGGGTATGAGTATGGAGGATGTATCCATACCGTCCGGAGTTGATGGGAAGTTCGTTTCCTAAGGAAGAGGGGCGACTTGGATTGGTACCGGGATGACGGGTAATTAACGATGGATTAGTGCAGCGTGGGTAACCGATCCATTACTGATGTATTACTGTATGCCGAATGCGTCTTGAAGCTTGAATATTGTACTTTTTCTTTGTTTAACCTTATTAGGAGTCTAAAAAAGAAATTGCACCATTAGATTGTGATCGATCATGTTTCTCCTATTTCTCTCTTTCTTTCTTTTCTTTTTTCCCGCATTCTTTCCCTCTCTCTCTTCGTGCTTTGCTTATATACCGTCTAGAATCTCATAATCACTAATCAAATAGAGTATGTATGTGTACGTATACGTACTAGAAAAGTACTAGATAACTACGGGGTAAATACTCTCTTTCCAAAGATATGGAGCTCTATAAAATTTACCCGCAAACCAAATAGTATAGATTCATGGATTATCTCCCATGTGCTCCATAGCTATTTCTTTTCTTTTCCTTTTTCTTTTCTTTTAAAGAAAAAATGAATAGAATAAAGGAAAGAGAGGAACGAAAGAAGAAAAAAAGAAAGCAAGGAAAAGGGATACTAAACAATTAGCAAATGACAGGATGAGATAATTGAAGACAATAATATTACCCAACTAAAAAAGGGTCATTCATCGGATTCTCCGGCAAATCAATGGGGTTCCTCTTGGCAATCAGATGATGGGCTCCATATTGCCCCATTCTTGTCCCAGATCAGAATCAGAGTTATCTTATGAACAATGATGAGTAACAATTTCCGACAGTGCTGGCATTGACAAAACCTTCGTCCCCCTCTGGAAATAGATCTTTTGACTCCGGAATCGGTTTCTGGGGCTGTATTCCCATGGATGAGTGGTATTATTGTTAGTATGTACATGTACTGTAAGTACGTATCTAGCATGCAGTGACAATGATTTGCATCCCATTCGGGATATCTATCGTCTGCATTGGCTACGATCTATCTAGTTCACCTTTAATACCACTTAATCTAGGACAATCCAAATTGCACCTTCAAAGCCCATCTTTCGCCTTTTGAAATATTCTCGAACCGTGTGTTTTGAAAGGTAATGTGTGGTGAGAAGGAGCCGCCGATCCATTCACACCGTATTCCGCCACTCTCTGTTTACTTTTAAGATGATCATGAACCATCAGATATTAAACTAGTTCCTCCTCCGCCTGACAATCCCCCAATGTGGCATGATGTGGTTGTCTGATTTACCTTCTCCTCCCCGCATCTCCACTTGTATATTTCTTCGTTGGTATATATGATTTCCCTCAAAAAAAAAAAAAAAAAAAAAACCTAGGGTTACCCTCAGACATCCCCTGTTGCAACCCCCCCAATCATAAGAGTTGAGTGTAACGGGATTAAAGAAGTCAATGCTCAGTCCGCCGCTGCGTAAGCCTTGACGCTGAAATCCCCGGCCATAGGACATTCGGCCCATGCCAACACCACACAGCATTCCTGACTGCAGTGCTACCTTGGCTGTCACGCAATTTACATACTTGTTTTACTGGTTGTCAAACATTTCCATGGTATAGCTGCATGAAGACAATGAAGTTTTAAGAAACAAAGCAAGTCTTCTGCAATCCCGATCCGCTATCATGTATCTGTGCCTTGCCTACTAGCATGTAAACTTTATGCAAGCATACTAGTAATATATTCAATCTGGGCAACAAGACATGGCTACCTGATAGACCACTACTTACTAGTACTAGTACCTAATGCTCGGACCTTCGCCAATCCACGGAGTCATTCGATATTGTTTTTCCGAGTTTGAGCCAAACTCGGTTTCCGTTGTTCCTTAACACTCGACTAAGCCGTGCTAGTGTTTTCGGCGATTCTTAATGTAGATCCAAATATTTTTTTTTTCTCTTGTCGCTTTCATGTTCTCTGCCTGAACCAGTCTTAACGAAAGATGAGGCAAGAATGAAGTAAGAAAAGCAGTTCCAGGAGAGTAAAAGGCCAATCCCTATCATAATACACCTACGGAGTTACTAGTACTCTAGTAGTACTCCGTGTGTAGTAGTACTTTCTAATGGTTTTTCCGACCGCGGGAGATAAAGAATTGGAGATAAAGACTGGCCAATAAACGGACTGCCGCTTTAGTTCTTGGCGTCAACGACCGCTTGGCTGGTGAGTTCATCTTTTTGACAGCATCGCAACCACAGTAGCACCAATCGTTCCCAAAATTAAGAATGGCGTCAAAAAAGGACATGCGGAGGTTAGACCTCGGTTTGTTAACCTCAAATCCCCCTCCAAACCGGTGTGACGAAAGCGCAGTCACTAATTGCTGATCTGATCTCCGACTCCAGCCATCCCCTATGTCGACCCGCCCGTCAGCAAGAACGATGCCGATATGTCTGGTATATAATTGATTTCCTATTTGAAGATCTTGATTTGAATCGCTTTGTTGACGGTCTGGCATAGGCGCAATGTCCAGCACCATGCCCATGGCTGCGGTAGGTTAACGTCTACATCGCTCATGGTTCCGCGCTGCAGGGATGCTGACATTTACAGTAGATGTTCACCCGTAATAGGTGAGATAGTCCATGTCCATCCATGCTACTAGGGATTTAATATCTGACAAACCCTTGGTACATAGGATGATCGGCTGGTAAGCTGCTCCCTGCCCGTTAATCGTGAACATGTCTTAAGTGAAACTCAGGGTCTCGTTCGTCTTTTCGCTTCAATCCTGGCTCGGTGAAACACCTGAGCAGAAGAGGACCGCGTCTACGCCGGCGTATATGTCCGTTTTCATGTCCCGTTCGTCTTCCTGTCTCCACATACTAAGACAAACATATGTACTAACTATTGACGTGGTTATAAAGTGATGGCGTTGGTTGTTGTACGTCTCAAGATTTCCTGCCAGTCTTTTCTTGCCTAATTGATTGGATTTGGTTCTGGTTCTAATTTATATCGCGCAGACATACTTCCCCATTTTTATGCCTCCGCCGGCCGCACGGGCAGGTGCTGCCACCACCGCCCCTTCCCCTTAAAAAAATGCCGACAGTGTGATCTATTGGGAGAAGTTTAATTGTGTGATTCGATACCCTCTATATGTCCCTGCTTGAAAGAATGGGGTAGGACAGTTTCGAAGTTAGGAATAATACCCAAAGTTCCACACGCCCATGTGGTGATGGATTTGCCACCTCCAGTGCATCACGATCACGTGGCATTGTATCAATAGTTACTCTAATACAACTCTTCAGTTTGCTTATTATCCCTGAGTTATGTATAGTTTCACACATCCCGGGGGTCCAAGCATAAAAAAAAATAGGGAACTTTCTGGCCACACTATATATAGCATACGTACAGTAATGGCAATATTTATGTACCAGTTTGGTCGATCATCTGGAAGCAAGCAGATGAGCAACGGGGGCTTAGTCACTGGTTCACCGCCTTCCCCCACAACGGCGCTAAATCGAGTCGCGCCCCTCAAAAGGCTCTTTCTCTTCCACAACCTTCTTTCTTGACAACCACCTTCACATCCAACGCTAAGCTCTCCTACAAACACTCGCGATCGCTAAACTTGCCCAGAGTTTTAACTCTCATCCCTCTCTTTCATACTATAACCGCTTTTAAGGGCCAGTTTCGAGAAAAGGCCGAGTTTATGTCCATCGAAAACCTCAAGACCTTCGGTAAGCCCATTTTGCCACCTCCCTTATTCGATCGGTGACTCCCCTCAACGCTTGCTTCCGCTCTGGACGAGTGAGGATGTCGCTACAGCAAGTTTTATCAGTGGTTTTGTGCCGCAGAATCAGGCTTGTGTTGCCTGCAGACGGCTTTGTCGTCGTATTGTGGCGCATGGCATTTTTGGCGGGGTACGTCCTGACAGCCTGAGGCTAACACGTGCTGTCCACAGACCCCTTCGCCGAAGCTGACGAAGACACCGGCGAGACCAAGCAGTCTCAAAATTACATCCACATACGGATTCAGCGTACGTCCTCCTGTCGCTACTTTTACTGTTTATTTATTATTCTATTTCTTGTCCTCCCCCTTGAACGTCGAACTGCCTCATTGTCTCGGAGACTGGTGACTCACACATTGTCAATACAGAGCGCAATGGTCGAAAAACCTTGACTACCGTTCAGGGTCTGCCTAAGAAGTTCGACCAGAAGAAGATCCTCAAGGTGATCAAGAAGAAGTTCGGTAAGCTACTTCTCTATGTTTATTATAATTTCAAGGACTACTGCTGACGGATTTCCAGCTTGCAATGGCACCATCGTCGCCGATAGTGAGATGGGCGAGGTGATTCAGCTGCAAGGAGATCAGCGTAAAGATGTTCAGGAGTTCTTGACTGACAAGAAGGAGGGTCTCGAGCTGGATGCCAAGACCATCAAGGTCCACGGTTTCTAAAGGAGACGCCACGCCCCGTTCCGATCCCTTCTTCCCAGTCTACTTTGCCCTCGGAGTGGTTGGATAGAAGGCATGTATCGCCTATCCTTCGTCTAACTCTGCATTGCATCGTCCGCAATCGCAGCATCTAGGTGGTTCGGTTAAGCCTCTTGTCTTTTACATTCAACTCTCGGTGTCCGGCAATTGGACTTGGGTCTGTCGTTATTATGCACTGTCTAATATGATCCCAACAATTGCGACGCGCGATTGATGGGAGCGGGCCTGTTGGCTCGACTGCTATACTCGGAATGGGATTATGACGGAACGAGGCGTTGGTAGATACCCAATACATGCATAGATGTTCTTCTTCTGTTTCTTGCTTCTTATCCTGTCGTTACTCGACTGGAGGGGAATGCGTGTCGGAAGATCTTTCATCAGACGGACGTTCTACTTGGGTGATGGAAGGTTGCCTGGAATGTGAAGGCCGATCTCTCGTTTTCCACTGACGTTCTACGTCTTCCACATTGTTTCCTCAACTTGTCGTTACAGCACTATCCTTTTCAGAATAGGATGTATGCAATATTCTGCGAATATCAAAAAAAAAAATCCAGTAGTACTTCGACGTAATGAACGAATCTATGAGTAGGAAGGTAGATGAATAGGCAAGGGGTTTTTGGTCTCTCATTTCATGTGCTCGGTTTGAACTAAGGCATATGCTTCAAGACATCGTTCACAACTCGCGCGCCCCAATTCGATCATCTGCCACCCGCATGCGAAGGAAAATTGCAACAGCCCAGTCCCATAACTTCCGTGTGATAACAAAGATCGGAACCTCCGGTTCATTCTCCCGAGTCAGATGTAACTGCAGCAGAAGCGAGGACATGCTCACGAAACTCGCAACGGAGACTACTAAAAGGGCTGCTGCTGTTTCGCGCTTGATCATGGCGCGGTTTTGCGTGGCATGGTAAAGGAATGTGAGGGTCTCCATCCGGGAATAAGACGTTAGCTATGTAATTCATCAATAGGGTAGGAAAGGTAAGACTTACGGTTGTGATGGATACCCAGGCTGGAAGGAGAAGGCGAGGATCCGAAGAAGCACCTGAAAGGTAGAGGACCCACGAAGATATATAAGCAATCAACCCGTTGGTGGTGAGGAGACGAATAACAACAGCCGGCGGGGTATAATTCAAAAGCCTGTAGAGCATAAGTATGGGGACTAAGGTATAGAATGGCCAGGGACACAAACGAACCATCGAGACATCATACAATCAGCAAAAAAATACGAAAGGTAAGCAGATGCACAGCACTAAGAGTAGACGGCCGTTAGTTCAATATGCATGGAAGTTGAAGTGGTCGGCGAAAGATGCTGAAATAGCGATCCATGTTCCTGACCAGGTAGGACTGTACATACCCACATAATCGCCAAAGCCACTTCAGTCACCCGGAATCTTCTTTCAACATCCCACTCTTGATTAATACTATCGACAATCGCCGCCGTCCACCCTTCGTGCCCCATTCCCGGTTGGATGTAGAGCAACTCAGCCAGGAAGGTGAAGGCGCACCGAAGCCCCCACCACGCTGCCGGTACTGTGCTCAGAGCACGACAGATGAGTAGAGGTAGATACCATTTTCGGTCTACCCCCAAGATGACCGCCACTCGCGGATGCAGTGCCGAAGGGACGGTTGTCTGCTCGGTGTCATTGTCACTGGGGCTTCCGGGCGTGGAGGGGTCGAGGGACGGCGGGATGATAGTGGATGCGGTAGATGGGGAAGCCACGTCTTTCTCGTAGGCGTCCGCCGGGAAGTTATGAATCGAGGCCAAGAGACGCGAGCGTAATTCCGGAGGGAGATTACTCAAATGAGCAGCTTCAGGGGGGTATCGGGCATGGGGAGAGAAGGGCGGGGGTGCATCACGAGGAGGAGCCAGCCTTATGATCCGGCATATGCGGCCGTTGCGCAGAAATATTGGGAAACTGGTATGTGTGTAAGAGATAGAGAGAGAGAGAGAGAACGAAGACAGAAGAGATAGGAGTCAATCCTATCGAGGCCTATCGGTCTGGCCACAGATAAACAACAGATCGGTTTCTTTCTCCGAAGATGACGGACGGTTGTTGACAGCAAGTCGCAACACAGCACAGCACAGCGCACAGTAAGGGACAAAACAACTTCGTGTGCCAGCGATTGATCCGTCCTTCACAATGATAGTGTCAACGCCATGACAAGCGTGCGAATGGGGAAAGCACAGTTGGCCGAACGACGGCTGAGAAACGGCGGGCGGACTTGATATCACGTGAGCGGAGCGTGATCAATGGCCCGGGATTTCTTTTGCGGTTTTGATTAATGGCTCAGCATCGATTCCCATTCCATCCTGCTCCAGGTTCCTTGGGCCCGCTCGTTCACAATGGCGTCCTCGCTGTCAAAGGGGCCTCTTCTCACGTCCGTTCGATCCAACAACCCCGTTTCTCAACTATACTCATGCCAATACCGGTTCTTTTCGCAATCTTCCCAGCGCAGCGCTCTGCGGGGGGTTCCCGAAAACATCACCTTGAAGCAGCCGCCCCAGCCGAGTATGAAGACGAGGGGGGCGGCGTTGTCGAGGTATGAATTGCCTCAGGATCTTGGATTGCTGCCAGGCACGTACGTCAAACAACTTTGGAGGGATATGCCCTCGATCTTTCAACAGCCGAAAGAGCGTCTGCAATTGGAGTGGCTTTGGTTGAAGTCGGGATTCCAGAATTTCATCGGGTATGCTGTTTCTTTTTGTGGCTTGTGGTATCCTTTCCTTCTCGATGCGTGGGAAGACGAAGTATCGCAATGCACAGATGTGGTCTCCTGAATGGATGATATATTAAACTAACTTACGAATAGTATTCTTGCCTATTGCAGATGGCTCAATAAAGGGCTACCGCTTCGCTTGAAAGAGCGCAGGCAAGTTGCTCGTGAACTCCATGAGCGCATGTACTCTGCCTTTGCCGAGTGAGTCCCTACTCATTCTACACAGCCGACGCCGATGGTATGCTGACCACATTCTGCGTCCCTCACAGGGGAGACATTGCCGCCCTACGCAAGATCTGCTGCACCGGCCTCGCCAACAATCTTGCTTCCCGTATCAGTAGCCGCCCTAAGAATGAGAGGGTCGCTTGGTCTCTGGATAGATATAATCGTACCCCGGCTACATTCCTCACCGGAGTCCGTGTTGTGTCGGACCGTGCTACTCAAATCCCTGAGATCCCCGACTCCGGAGTGCGACAGGTCGTGGTGCGTATTACAAGCAGACAGTCCACCGGAAAATCCAAGGTGGCCAAGTCCGGCAAGTCGACAGTTACCGTCCAGACCTCTGCACCAGTCAAGCAGCAAGACTGTACTGAATACATCGTTATCCAGAGGCTTCGGTGGTACGGCGAGGATGAGGACTGGCGTATCTGGGGCCATGCTACACCAACCACCGTAGAAGACCTAACCAACCCCCTGTATATGTCCGGTCTGACGCTCTCTGAGCGTCTGCAAGCCGTGAAGGACCAGATGGGCGGTCATTAAATAACCCCGCCCTACGCAGAAATTCTCAGAATGCTGTATAATGATCCCCTAATCTGGTAAGGGTGATCTGAATATCTAGCCTTCCTCTTGCCAGAATAAGTGGGACATGTTTACGGCAGTCATCGCCCTATCACGACGTATCAAAAATGCCTTTTGACTTTTTCGTTGAGAATCTCTTCTCTACTCCCATTACAGGATTATGCTGTGCTTCTGACAGCTAATTTTGATTCTACCCATGTGTTAACACCGCCCACATTCCTGGGTTTTCCCATTCTCACTGTATTCAGCGGGCCCTCGAACGACTTCGCATTGCTAACCCTTATCATATGTATTATATCCGATTATTGCTGTCATTTCCAATTTGTAATTACCCACCAGGCTACTTCAGTCCAATTATAGAAGAAGAATGTGTCATGATCGAATGGGATGCGCTAAATCCATTAGAATTACGTCCTGGGCAACGATATCTCGTCAGAATGTTTCATCGGTCCAAATATCATTATATACATGCATCCACCGAGGATCAAGAAAGGCTAGAAGGAGAGAAGGGGAGAAGGAGAGAAAAACAAGGGGGTGTCGCGATGCAAGATCAAAGGACAGAGGTCAGTTTATGCCCTTTCTACGAGGCGAACCTAATCATCGTCGAAGAGCTGGAAGGTGTTCAAAAGAACCGTTTCAATAACGCGGACCTGCCAACCAGCGTCGGCGACGTTACCCCCGGAGCTGGCACCCATAAGAGTAGGTCTAATGGCAGAAATTAGGGTTAGCTTCGACTGCACTTGAAGGGTGTGGATGGCTTGACTTACCCGAAACAGATAGCGATGTTTCCTGCGTTCATACGGTTCTGGGTGTAATGTTCTTGCACCTTGTTAAGATGCTAGCAGTCAATTAGACCAGGTTCCAAGATCTAGAGCAGTTAGGGCTTGAAGGATGAACATACCAATACCAAGGCTCTCAATGTAGCGTAATGTGCATCTGGGAGATTATTTACCAGTGCATGAAGCGAGTCCCGACGCTGGACATCATCATCGATGCCTAAAATCGACGTTAGGATCATGAACAATAGCCCCGACAATTGCTACTTACGGGCTGCATTGATGAAGTCAGAATAGCTATGCGAAGTGAACAGCGGATCGGGTAAATCTCTAAAGAACTGCTTGAGCAATCCCGCAACGCTGTTCACATCATGATAGAAATTTTCTGGATTCGTAAAATCCACCTGGGATGAATCTAATGATGAAACATCAGAGAAATCCCTTGCATATATGTGACAAAGGCTAACTCACCATTATCAAAGAGTTGTTTCATCTGGTTGATATGATTCGCACTGCCGGAAAGACGATAGATGCCCTCCATATCCAAACCAAAAAGTTCAATGGCTTGGAAACATTGGTATACAATCATAGGAACTGCAGTCCCATCTCTTGCATACAGATCCTCGAGAGAAACTCCAAACACTGGTTTTAGTGGGGGGAGATGTTGCTGAAAGTTGCCTCCAGCTGGTGGTAGCGGGCTTGGCGCCGCTGCCATGGTTGGGGGAATTAAGGGTTGCTTTTCAGGCACGGCTGGGCCGTCACCTACTGGATAAGGTGGCTGGAACGTTGGCGACGCGTACGAATCTGGATTGTGCGGGTAAGATGTCTGCTGAGTACTTGGAGCGGGAGGAGCGGCGGCGGGTGCTGGGGATTGTTGAGCAGAATGAGTAGGGAGATGTTGCTGGGAAAATGACTGAAGCAACATGGACGAATTGCGTTTGTTTTGCGTATTGGGTTGAGAAGCTGGAGCAACAGGTCCAGAAGTACCTCCAAGTGTCTAGAAGATGGGATTAATGGACAAGAACAAGGCCAGGGCAGTGAAACTTACCGGATGACGTTTATACTCGATCTGTTCCGACGTGATCGCCCCGGGGTTGTTTTGATGGCTTAGAATATAGTCGCGGTAATCTTTCTGGTTATCGATTTGTTGGATCACCTCATAGAGGCTCTTTGGTGCTGTAGCAGTATTTCCTGCGCCTTCTTTCAGAGGGCTGATAGACAAGCCCTGGCCCAGCAAGAGCTTCTCATTAAAGGTTGCTAAGCACAGTCAGTAACGGCACCAACGTATGCGGAGTACTGAAAATGGAAAAGCATACCAAACTTCTGCAGCTGCAACGTAAGGCCGGAATCGCTTTCCGAGATCAATTGTTGGATATTGTGCACTGCCTGAGGTCGGTGGGTGGAAACTAGCTCTTGTCGGGCCGCCTGGGCAGCCTGGACCTTGGACGCATAGTCCGAGTCTGCGTTCTGGACCTTGCGCAACAACTCCTCCTCGTGCTGAGCGGCGGACTTCGGGCCCTTAAGGCCAAATTTCCCACCCTGCTTATCTCCAGTCTTCACCCGATCATACTGCTCCGCAAGCGACTCATACTTGGCCTTCGCTTTCTCCGCTGCTGCCTCCGCCTCCAGTACTCTCTTTTCCGCGCTCAGGCCGGTTTGCTTCCATTGCTTGCGACCCTTCTCGATATTCGACGCCAACTCGTGAAGATCATCAGCCATCTGTTGCAGGGAAACTGCGAACTGTAGTCCATGATCTGCCATGCGATCGTGGAAGCGGCTGAGGTCATTATTACTCTGACTATAGGTGCCTTGACGGTTATCGGTGCGAACGGAAGCATCGAGGAGAGAGCGGGACAGTTTTCGCAAGCCTTGAGCATGTTCCTCTTCTAAAATAGATCGTTTCTTGAGGAACGTTGAGAAATCCTGGGTTGACCAGTGATATTAGTATGATGAGCCAAGTTCTGGAGGTCGCTGAAACATGAACGAACCCTAGCTGAGGCGACACTTTGTTTCAACCGGGTCAAGAGGGTTGTAATACCGATCTATTGACGCGATTTCGAATCAGTGATCTAGCGTTCTCTAGATAGAATCTGTTATACGGCCACCTACATCGGAGTAAATAACTTTGTCCATGCGAGCCTTCACCTCGTCCGAGATCACAGGGGATGCGGAGTGGGCGTCGGAACCAGCACTTGTTGGTGGCGCATCGGCATCTCGGGGTGACTGCGAAAGCGCAGGGCCATCGTTGAGACCAACGTCTGCCATAGGGAAGGAGAATGATAATAATTATGTGACTAGCGAATGGTTCGGGATAAAAAAAAAGGATAATTAAGAAAGAGAGAAATGAAGTTGGTCTTGTAGATTGCGGAAGCCTAATCTCCGTAGTAAGTAATAATACGTAAGTGGGAGGAGTGGAAAGAGTGAGAGTGGATTGGGCGGTGGGATGGAATCGTAGTTTAGCTGTTCAGGTACCAACCAACCACTTAGTCTCTAGTGCTAAGTACTAGTAGTAAGAAGGTAGTGAACTTAACCACATGGTGTGGCTTTGCCCTCCTACTAATTTCCCACTTACGTCATCCGTCTTTGTCCTCCGTACATTACCTCTGTATCTAGTATTCTCGTGACTTTCATGGACAGGCAATTCCGTATGTACATATGTATGGAGTACCTAAATAAACAGAGTAAATACTAGTAGGACACTACTGGAGTCGAAGAGCTAATATGAGGATCATTCGTTATGTATATACTCGTCTATTGTTGTCTTTTAAGATGTGGCTTCGGGAATTGGGGGAAAAAAAAGGAAGAGATTTTTATGAATGTACGTACCACTGTAGACAGCGTATATAAAATATGAAGTGTAGACAGCTCCATGATAGAACTGCCTGAGGCCACTGGATGACTCAGCCCGGTACATTCAACCGCCGAGTTTCGCGACACTTCAACACCTAAACTTTTCTTCCGATTTCCGGCACATAATCTTGGTTCTTGGACCGTTTTTCCCTTGCAATTTGCATGTGTTAATGGGCCCCGCGGTTCCATACCGACGGGCGAAACGTTTGGTTTATACTGATGGACTTGGAGTTCCGGGGTGTCATGGCACCGCATGGGCTGCCTACACATGCGAGTCTCTTAACGCCCTTGGGCACCTCCAGCGACCTTCGGAATAACCCCAGAATGCCCCGGCCCGTTACAGGATTTGATCTATCAGCTAGGAGCTCCGAACCTTGCGACATGGAGAAGGTTCCTCCAATCACGGGGAAGCGCCGGGGTGGTAGCAGAAAGGCCTGTAACGAGTGTAAGCAACAAAAAGTACAATCCCCCACCACTCCCACCATCTCTGGTCATATCCCCCTCTACATAGTATAACCGTACCGTTTCTTCTAATTTGGGCTTTGTGGTCCGCCCATTGCCCTCTCTGATCATCTCTCTTCCTTGAACCACTAGCTAAACATAGGGGAATTTGGAACCCATAGTTACGGTGTGATATTGTACAGACGCCTGCCGCAGCGTGTTCACGCTGTCGGCGGCTTCAGATAGAATGCAAAGTTGAACCAAGCTTCAAGCGCATTTCGAAAAGAAGGTAACTGGCCAGTATCAACCGAATCTCGCCATTGCTGACCAGGCTCCGCGCAGGCGCAATGCTGAGATGGAAAAGGAGATTGCAGATCTCCGTCGACGGCTTGCTACTTCTGCGGACCACCCTCATGGCGCAGAAGCAACAGTCAGCGATGAGCTATCCCAGTGCTCGGAAGAGGTGTTCTGTGGCCCTGATTCGGCCGTCTCGAATAGAACACGCACTTTATCAGCTCCGCTGGAAGCACAGCCCCTGGCAACCCCGTTAAGCATCCAGAGGGCCACTTCCATCATGTCCCAGGAGGACAACCTATGGAGATTAGAAGATGTTTCACTTTCCCGACAAAGAGTCGCACGGTTGTTTGACCAGTAACTAGCCCTCCTCGAACCTGGGCCCTTGCCAACTCTAACAATACGTCAGGTTCTTCAAGTATTATCATCCTTTCCTGCCGCTTTTGAACCCCCAAAAGCCCCCCGATGAATATCTTCGTCGCTGCCCCTTGCAGGCATGGACGATTATCTGTGTTGCAAGCCGAAGGGCCCCATCAGAACCCGGGCTTCTAACCGCGCTCTCTGGGCCGTTTAGTCGGCTCCTATGGTCGACTATCACCGGAGTTCCGCAAGACTATCGTGTGGTGAAAGCCCTTTGTCTTCTCTGCACGTGGCCGCTCCCCACGACCAGCCAGAGAACGGACGCAACATTTATGCTTAGTGGATTGATGATGCAGATTGCCATGCAACTGGGTTTGCATCGCCCGGTGCAACCAGAAGAGTTCACAACCTTCCGGATGGAAGTCCAAGGGGAGGCGGTAAAGGATCGAATACAAACTTGGGCTATATGTAATATTGTAGCTCAGAAGTAAGCATTCCTATCCTACATTGAGTGGTTCGTAGAGCTGTCGCTCACGGTTACTAGTGTTGCTACGGGCTACGGGCAACCACCGGGCACAATTTACGATTGGGCGCTTGAGCCAGCGTCTCTCCAAGACGCAGATTACCACCCTTCCCATGACCTCCAAACTCGGTTGCGCATCGAAAAGTTCTGTGACCGAGTAACCAAGTCACTATATAGCAGTAAACCGGAACCAGCAGAGTTTATTAGCGCCGAGAAGTTGTTGATTGTGCAGCTCCTGGAGAATGAGCTGAGAGACATGGAAGTCGAGCTTGGCCGAGATATTTCCAGTACGTGGTCGACCCTTGGATCCCTTGACTTCGAATAAAGTCTAATGTGCACATGGTCAGATATCAACATGATCCATCTTCGAGCAGCTGAGCTGCATTTGCGGTACTTTGTATTTCTAGGTTCCAATCCACGAAGCGATGACTTAACGAAACTCTTCATTGCGACCACGTCGTTCCTTGGTCGTGTATTAGATCTCGAAACGTCTCCCGGAGAGCTCATTGGTCATGCAACCAATTACATTCTCCAAATGACCGTGTCTGCTGCGTTTGCGCTGATGAAGCTGTTGAAGAGTGACTTCAGCCGCCACATTGACTTCGACCACGGGAAGCTCCTGTTCAATGGGGCAATCTCGGCCATCCGGCGGATCAGCGTCATGGACCACGACCGTCCCGTGCGCCTGGCGGACATTCTGGCGCAAATGTGGAATGCGGGAGGCTCTGATCCGAGCGGAGAAGAGGCTCTCCTTCTGAAGGTACGCTGCCGAATGAGCATGAGCCACGTCTATGATACCGTTTGGCGTTGGCGACAGCGCTTTCGGCCGATCAAGAGCGTCGAAGATGCACAAGGTATGTTCCCCTCCCTTCTATCTCGGGCCCGTAGCTCATCATGTGCAGCTACCCTGGCCAATCCAAACATGTCGACAACAGCTGGACCTGTTTCACGGCAGGACGATTCACTCGAGGACCCCGGGTTGATGTACGCACCTAACTTCGACCAAGGAGGAGCGTTCATTAGCGAAGTTGGGTTCTCCGAAGTCTTCGATTCGCTCAACTGGGTGTTTGACGGGATTCCGGACTCATTCGTTGCTCCACCCGTGATGTAGACGAATACCAGTACTGTATTTGTGTGACTACCGTGTTCCTTCCGGGTTCACAATTATATTTCAGCGTTAGACAGAAAAAGAGTTCCTTGTTGATACCAACTTTCGTTGTACATACACTCAATTAGAAGTTCAATGAGATACCAATCGGAAGGGAAGGGGAAGTAAAAGCACACTACTGTGGCAACCTCTCAATCCCACCGCATTCATCGATCGATCACATACCGGGCAGGTTTAGTCATCGCAGGGGTGAAAATGAGCCCCCGCATCGACACGTCTCCTTTGCTCCTACTTACGATTCTTGATCAGATTGGCAAGTGGTAGTTAATAAATCATATAACTCGTGATAATTGCAAAATGGTTTTCGGCGAGGTGAATGTGGTGGCCATCATGTACCCTAAGCCCGGCAAGCATGACGAAGTAAGTCCCTTCCTGCCCGTCTTTACATTCGTCTCATATTTGGTTGTCAATGGAATTGACTGAGCAGCGATTCAACTAGTTGTCGCGTCACTTGGCAGAACTCACCCGTCAGGTGCATGCCACGGAACCCGATACGCTAGTTTACTACGCCTTTTCCATTAAAGATGGGGACGAGATTATGGTCGTCGAGAAGTATGCATGAGCGCAGTATCCCCGTCCGATCCGATCGCTGATAGATCAACAGGTACAGGGATCAGGATGCGCTTCATATGCATCTACTCAGTCCGCATTTCCAGGAGTTCGGCAATAAGGCGGCTGGGTTGATGGAGCGGCCATACGATGTGAAGGTTGGGCATGGGATTCTTCCGGAGTCTGTTGGGGTCACTCGAGTTCACACTTAAAAAAATTATTCTTCTTGCTTTCTATTGAGGTCTTCATCCCTTCCTTCGGTTAGCTTGATCCGGGAGATAGTAATATAATGGATGGTGATATAGTACCAAATTTTTTACGAAAGCGATAGACCACCGGGGTTAGCGAGAAGGAATCCGATTGAGCGCCACCTGTAGGGCCATGGCAGTATGCATATTTGGCTTGCATGATATCACACTGGGATGGAGGTATAAATGCGGAGAGTCCAACCCAGTCGCAAGCATGGCTGAGATCTAAAAATATTCTCTCTTTGTCTCTAATTTTTTTTAAGGAGGGGTTCTATTGGTGGCGGTCAATGTAGTCCAGTCGGTGTCATCTGTTGTTGTTTGTTCGGTTTCTTTTCATGAAAAAATATTTTTCGTTCTCTCTTCTCTTTTGGATAAGTTCGAAAGTGGGCTTTACATTAAAGTAGGGTCTTGTTTCCATGTCGATGGAGGCTGAAAGATACATATGTATGTACAGAGTATGTATGTAAGGTATTTACGTCTATGTGCTGTCTTCCCCCGATAAGAAAGAGAGTGAGAGAGAGAGATTTAAGAGAAGTCAAAAAGTTCCAGGTAATTAATTAATTGATAGGAAATGTATGCAAGTTCCTCCAAAAACGACCTCTGGTACCGCCCCTGAACCAAACTTTCCCCCAGCGACCGTACCTTGGAATGGGAGAGGATAGGATAAATAGTAAGTAAGAGGATAATCAGGTAGTATGAAGTACTAGAAGTCTCTAGAGGATGCGAAGAATACTTACTAACTAGTAAAGAGTTATCAGCAAGCCCCAGCCAATGCTATTTTCTGGTTCTCTTTAACCCTTATCATTGGCGCTTAATCCCCAGCCATTCAGTGTTGGTTTCCTGCCTTTGGAGTATTATTCTTAGATCTCCCTACGATTTTGGTTGTTCTGGTCAAGTAAACCAGCCGAGGAAGAAGAATAACTTTACTTGTCTCTTATAATAGTTGAAAACAATCTCGTTAGATATATAGAGATTCATTAAATTAAACAAAACGATTAATTAATTAACTATTTAATTGTGTTTCCTCTCCCCAATTTATTTTCCCACATTGTATACCTTAAAATTCAGGTGAGCTATCGACTTCTGGCATTTGCGTCGCCCCCCCCCTCTTAGTCTCTAACTTCCTTGCCCCCTCTTACTCTTCCTTCTCTTCTCTCTCTCTCTTTTCCTTTACCTTTAACTCTCTACTACTCTCTCCGCATCCCTTCCCCCCAATTTCCCCTCCCCCCCCCAAATCGACCACATCGGGTGGTTGTTTTGTTTAACCTCCCTCTCCCCTTCTGCCACTTCTTCTGTCTCTATTTTAATCTTGCATTTATCGTCTTCTCTATCTAACGATCCATAGCGTCCTGTGATTCGCCGTGTTGAATCCCATCGATCTCTGTCCGATTTGCAGATACCCGCCCACGTTGCTCTTCCACCGCCAACAACTCAAACCTCCTTATAGTGCTCTGACTCTCCGTTTGACTGTTTCTCCCCACCCTTCACACTCCCTCTGATCGCTGCAATTACCTTCCCTCCCTCCCCCCTTTTTTTTTATTCCGTCGACATACCGCAGAATTTGAAAGAATGGCGACCGGTCCCGCTACCCAATCCCTGAAGGTCAGCATCCGTGGCTTATCTGTCGGTCGATCACACCGCGACTAATAGACGACCATGTATATAGTGTGTAGTCACTGGTGACGGTGCTGTTGGAAAAGTGAGTCGCTAGTCGCTTTGCTCTCTGGTTCTTATCGTCTTTCTTAGAGCTGTCTCAGATCGATACCATCTGTATCATCGGCTAATCATGAACCCACCTAGACGTGTCTCCTGATCTCCTATACAACCAACGCTTTCCCCGGGGAATATATACCGACCGTGTCCGTGGCCTTTGGTCCCCTGTACTCGTCTTGAAAAGAATTCGTGGTTAACCTATCCTCAGATTTGACAACTACACGGCCAGTGTGATGGTAGATGGCAGACCGATTAGCCTAGGACTGTGGGATACTGCTGGACAGGAAGATTATGATCGACTTCGGCCGTTGTCCTATCCGCAAACCGATGTCTTTCTCATCTGTTTCTCTATCGTCAGCCCGCCATCCTTCGACAACGTCAAAGCCAAGGTGCTTAGTCCTCGGAAATTCCTATACTCGATGTCGAATGCGTCCAGCCTAACTAACCCTCCTGCAGTGGTTCCCGGAGATTGAACACCACGCCCCGAACGTCCCCATTATCCTGGTCGGCACAAAGCTCGATCTGAGGGACGATGCCGCGACGACAGAAGCCCTCCGTCAAAGGAAGATGGAACCCGTTTCGTACGAGCAAGCTCTCGCCGTGGCCAAGGAAATCCGTGCACATAAGTATCTCGAATGTTCCGCCCTCACACAGCGCAACCTGAAGAGCGTGTTCGACGAGGCGATTCGGTATGTGGCCCATGTCTCGACGAAAAGCATATGGGGGCACTTTGAGGTTGACTCCTGATTCTAGTGCTGTTCTCAATCCCCGACCCACCACGAAGCCCAAGAAGAGCAAATGTTCGATTCTGTAGATCCATTCCTATAATTCTTGTTCCTTCCGACTATAATATAAAGAACTAATACGGCGCCTGGGTTGTTGGGAAATCTATTCCCTATGATGACAATATCTTTCATTTCTCTTCCTTTTTCTTTGACTGCATTTCCCCCACTACCTCTCCTTGGCTTGATGCTACGATTATGATGTTGTTTTGGGGGCTCAGTCGCTTTCACCCCCACATCTCTTCACCCTTTCCTTTAATACAGTATAAAGATGTAACACGCCATACAATATCATGCAATGAACGTCGCTCGATGGGGTTAGTGTTCTTTTTTTTCTCTCCTTTTTCTTTTATCTGCTGTGGTTTTGTTTTTTTTTTTCGGTCTTTCGATCTCGGGGGTTGGGTCTCATAGATGGGATGTAGTGACATCCACAATGCACGCTGCGGGTGTGATTGCGATGGATGCATCTTAGCGAACGCTAGTCATTTGGAAATGGACGAGCATGCATAACATTTCTTTTTATTCCTTGTCACCCTCATTTAACCAAGTATCCACAGAACGAAGAGAACGGAAAGGATATCTCTAAACTGAATACAAGAACAAACACAACATGAGCGTACATGAAAGTGAAGGCGAGAATCTCGAGGGAAGGAGAATCTATGCCATGCGACTCAGCCGGCTGGGGTGCACACCCGCAAAATCACCACCAGTCTCCCCGGCCTGGGTTTTCACCTCCCGCTCCTTCTGAATATTCTTGGCATTGCGCTGCCTCTCTTCAAAGAGCTTCTTGTTCTTTGCTTCGATCTTGGCTTTGCGGTTGTCGGTGTTACCGCCACCGCCGGCACTAGGGAAATATCAACGTCAGTAAGATGCATAGTGAATCGACGTTTATAGAGATAGTGTACTCACGTCAATTCAACATTGATCCGGCGAGGGGGGTATTTCTTATCATCAAACATCGAGTGGTGGTACAACTTGAGGCAGGTCTTCATGCGATCGTAGTTATCGAACTCGATGAAGCCGAATCCACGGCTCTTGGTGGGCTTGTCCTTATGTGTAGCAACTCGTACAGAGACCGGAGCAATCTTTGCGAAGTGCTCGGACAAGGACTCGTGGTTGGCAGAGTATGGGAGGTTTCCTAGTCAAACACATTAGGGTCGGCGAAATTTTCATGGGTAAGAAAAGGGTCAAAACATACCAACGAAGCAAATGAATCGAGAACCTCTCTGCTTAGAGTTATCATTCTCAGCAGGTTCAGCCTGAGATTGCTGCTCGTTGGACTCCTGTTTCTGTTCATGATCCTGGGCCTCTGCAGCCTCCGCCTTCTTCTTTTCCTTTTTGGCTTTCTTCTTCTCTTTCTTCTCCTTCTTCGCCTGGGCCTTTTCTTCGCTCCCTTCGGCTGGCTTCTCATCCACCTCCATTGCGTCGGCGGATTCCTGCTTCTCTTCCTCGGCGCCATTTACCTCGGACGCATCTTCTTGGATCTCTCCCTCCTCCTCCTTCTTTGCCTTCTTTTCTTTCTTCTCCTTCTTTTCTTTCTTCTCCTTCTTTTCCTTTTTGTCCTTCTTCTCCTTTTTCTCTTTCTTGTCCTTCTTCTCCTTCTTGTCCGGCTTAGTTGGTTCCTCAACACTGGTCTCCTCCACCTTTACATCTTCCACAACATCCTTAGACTTGCGCTTCTTCTCCTTCTTTTCCTCACGCTTTGCCTTCTTTCCCTCTGGTTGGATGGCTTCCCCAGGGTTATTCTCGATGATCTTGCGCTTCTTGTCGCCCATTTTGTCAATAGCAGTCACCGTGGACTGAGATAAATGTGGAAACTGGGAAGTTGACAGGACGTTAGGCAATGATATGAATCCCGAATAAGCCAAAAACAGGATAAGTTCCAAGAAGAAAACAAACAACCAGATGGAAAGATAAATGAACCACAATGATAGGGGAAAAAAGTTCGGCAAAATTGGAAATTTACTTTTTTTGCCGGGCGGAGATGGCGGGGCGGTGTGACATTGTTTCACATGTTTGGTATTTGACGCCTGAGGCAGAAAGCATCTGTACAATATACTTGTAGAGATATATGATAGGTTGTCAAATAATAGCTTCGTTGAACTGGTAGAGTATATAATTATCCGGATTTCAATGGTCTATAAAGGAGATTTACTTAGTACAGGCTGGACTGTCAAATATGATGTTTGTAAAGAGAGCTAAGGCATGGAAGGAGCTGGCTTTACGGCCTCATTGGCTGAAATATATATACACATTTGGTCCAATTTAGGTTGAAGTAAGTTAGGGCTTACTAGAACTTATGGAGTGCATCACTGAAGTAGATGATACTTAATATACTGGCTTATAATTGAGCCACTCTTTCCCAACCCTTCTATTTATTCCCCCTAACAATGTTTTTTCCTTGAATAGAAAGGCAATATCTCTCTATGGTCTTGTTTGGCATTTATGGTTAGTCTAGAGCATTGAACAACCTAAGACTCCTTCTAGATAAGATCACCTACTTTTGGTACTTATTCCTATTAGCTTAAATACAGAGACCAAAGACTTGAATTAGACCAAAACAGAGGATTATCTGGCTAAAAGGCAAAAAAATTTACACGCTGACGCTGTGGTACTCCCTATACTGTATCTATTCTGAGATTGCTAATAATAATATTCCACCGCTCAGTTCCGCAAGAGACATGCTTTATCTATTTATTTATTTTCGCTCCCTTTTTTTGGCTTCTAGTTTTGTAGGGATTCTGACAATATTGTGGCCTTCCGATGGTTCCAACCCAAGTCTCTGAAGCGTCTTGCAATTTTTCCCACCGTCCCCATGCTTTCTCGCCCTCATCCTGAGGGAACAGGTATTTCTATTTATGTTCCTCCACCCACGCCGCATCTAAGATCTCTCCTTCTGTGAAGACTGGGTAGAGTGTGCGTATATAAACGTTAGCTGACGCCTCGAAAGATCTCTCTGTGCCCTAAGAGGCCGGCCTACGAGCAGAGAATCAAAGACCCCAGAAGACAAGCCCAGAAGGGATACCGGGACTGCTTGAGTCTGCTCATCCTCAGACACGGCTGATTCTTCTTCCACAGGTGGAGTGGATACCTGGGAAGTCGGGGCTGATTCTGCTTCCAGAGGCGCAGTGGATGCCCCAGAAGTCGAGGTTGACATGTCGTCGTCCCGCGGAGGGCTGGATGTGTGTTCTCCAGCAAGGCGAATCTCACCATTGGTGAGTGATTTGTCGCGGGGGTTCTTGGGACCATAGTAAAGACCATTCTCAAAGTAACAGCCTGGAATCAAGCTATCGTAGTAACGGCCGGTCTCGGGGTCCTTGTGAAAGCGGTCCTCGTGCTTATACCATTGACCGACATTGGAATTCCAGATATGGCCGTTGTCGGGCTGAAGGTCATGCCCATTGTTTGGCTCGTAGTCATGGTCGTTGTTGGGCTCACAGTAGTAGCCGTTGTGAGATATCGTCTGCCTAGGTGCAGCCTGCCATTGCTGGGCAGACAGGTAGTCACGATTGGTAGGCGGGTGACCCATAGGGTATGGCACGCCGCCTCCCATATTTGCAGGCGGCATGTAGTTTGGCTGTGGATCTGGCTGATAGAGATATGCCTGTCCCGCAGGGTAGTAATTGTGTGCCACTGACCCATTATTAAGGGGCAATGGCTGATTTGGCCCCATTTGCAGTCCAGGTGCTTGCGTGCCTATATTATATATTAATATCGTGGATCATGTTCTCTATAAATGATCATGAGCACTTACGATTTCCGGTATTCCCGGTTTTTCCTCTGGGTCCCATTGCTTTCTCGACCCTCAAAGGACGGTGTAAGATCCTCGTCCCATTCTTCTCATTAAAAGCTGTCTCGGCAGCCTGGGCGTTCTATATCTTTTCTTAGGAACTTGTCGACGGTAGATAAGAACTACTAGCTAGATGACTTACTGTGAACTGGACGAAAGCACCAACAAGTGAATTCTGTGTGTTGGTGTGCAAGCGCACACGGCATTCACCGCATTGGCTGAATATGTCACATAGATTATGTGCTAGTTCCTCTCGAGTGCACTTGTTTGGAAGACTAAGGACATGTTAGTTAGTTATCCTCTGAAACCCAGACATGTGATACTTACTTTCCAATAAAGAGACGAGCATCTACCCCATATCGGCTTTGGTACTCGTGGAATTCAGCCAAAGACTGTTCAGGCTGGTGGCTGTTGGGGACATGAAGTTGTTGAGCGCCGGGAGCAGACATTTTCAAGGTAGTGGAGGAAGTTGTTGCCTAAGGAGTGGGGAAAAGTATATATTATCTTTCTGGATGATAATATAGTGGATAATTGGTGGTCCTAACGAGCTGAATCTGTGTTTTTAGCGTGAAGACTAATGAGCAGAGTGGTGTATATAGAACGAGTGTAGGGGTTGGGGAAAATAGAAAGCAAGAAGGGGAGTCCTGGAGAGGAAGACTCTCCTAATGGAAACTTTAATGAGATCAGGATGCTCTCAATTCTTTACAAATGTTGAAAAGCATGTGAGTCAACAATAAAGGGCCTGCTACCGTGGTTTATGTTCTCCTACAGGCCACAATTCCCGGCGATCATGGGGTGGCAAGGCGCAAAAAGTACAACATTTGTAATATAGGATCACTCGGATGAATAGGGTTTTACTGTTCTGCGGCATGACGATATCTCGAGAAGTCAAGCCCACGGAACTATACAGAACTATATGCCACTGGCTCGGTCTTAAGATAGACTAGGGGCACCAAACCCATAAGGTTAATCTACAGATAGCTCTGAAATTCCCGATAGTTTAAGATTATCCCCAGAATTCATAAGGTTAATCCACAGGTAGCTTTAAAATCCAAGTTAATTTGGTATTGTTCACTTAGATCGCAGGAGACGCTCTCGGATCTACGTCAGTGTTCCCTCCCTGACTAGGCGAAGCCGGAAAGGCCCTCCAATGTCGCCGCCAGTGACACATAATACTACATTTGGATGCCATTCGGCGAAGTGATACCATGGAAGCTCTCTGTACCAGCCGGATGTAGATTCCTCCGACGCAATTACGCCAAACAGCCTCCCCCCAAACTGGGCCCCCTTCCTAGAGGATACGAATCCAGTGGGTGTAGTAAAGGAGGTCTAACCAATCAGATAAAACAGTAATTCAACCTGGCCAGTTCCCAGTCCGGGGCCAAACATTGACTATTGTTATTCGATGCGGACGTCACGACTAGCGAACATTGCAAGCACGAGTCACAACCACAACAGAATGAGGTTTTTGATTTTTGATTATCTTTTACATATTTATTTTTCAATTTCTGTCAGGATGTTCCAAGATTCTATATACAATCCAAAGAATGAAGTCACTAACAAAAGTAACTGTTGGCATTGAAAAGGTCAGAAACAATCGTCTTGTGGTTTTGTATACCATGTAAGTAGGGTTGATCAGATAACTAGTCATACTTCCGCCTTAGCCAATAGCATCCATGAATTCCCTTTGACCCACGTCCCTCGGGTCCATCCATCCGGAAGTACTAGTCCGCTCTCTTCCGTTATTCTTTTTTTATTTTTATTCTTACCTTTATTTTATTTTATTTTACTTTATTTATTAATTACTTTAAGGCACTATGCTGTGTAAAGTATTTGATTACTCTCTTTTATTTTATTTCTTATGTTTTATAAGCTATCTAGGCGAGAAGTCGAGTTAAAGAGGTAAATAGGGTTGGGTTTGTACACTACCTAGTACGATTTCCGAAATTTCTTTTGCCTATGCTACCCATGATTTCTCCTTAAGCATAATTCTTAAGCTTTAAAGAATGGAAACTAGGCCACAGCCGCCAGATTTCGGTCTGGCTGTAATTATGTCCTATATTTTCGTTATATTTTATTAAAATTATGTAAGCCAAAGAGTCCTGCTTGAGCTAATTAGGTTCTTATTGTATAAAAAGGCCAGAAAAGCCTTGAAATTGCAAAACTTGTAATTACAATAACACCCCAAATGTACAGTCAGCCGTGTTGCAATGAGTCAAGTGACAAGCTCAGCCTCAAGCCTCTAACCATTCCATTACCAGTACATACGAGTGGCAAGTACTGCAAAAACCCCAAGCCCGGGGATAAGGAAGCCCAATGTCCACCACTTAAAAGCAAGAAGATATCCAGACAAAATTTCATAAAATTATTCTACCCTCTACGGAGTACATAAAATTTCTTATATAGGGGTATAGTGGAGCTATACAGAGTACTAGTTAGTTATTTCAGAAGGTCAGCTCATTTGATTGCTTATAGAGGGGGTTTACAGTAAATCTTATAAAGTGGACCAAAGGCGGTGAGCAATTTTGATCAGTTCGTTCCTTTACGCGACGTCATTCGAACTTGCTGATCTTGTTCTTCTTCTGACCACTAGTAATTGCACCATGATCCCAACGGCAAGGTGCTTGGCCGCTAAGCCGGCCGGTTTCTTCAAGCGCAGCGCAGACGAGCTGAGTAGGCTGTCGAAAATAGGTGCTGACATCCAAACAATCCCTGGTCGGATCACCCCCAGTTCTTTCGCAATCTACTAATACCTTGGGTCAACATAGCTTGGAACTCGGAAGCTTTACACACGCCGACAAAGCCCTATGTCCTCCTCGACTTCGAAGATGATGCCACTGTCTCAGGTTGCAAGACAATGGCTGACCGCGCCGTCGGAGGATTCAGCACTGCTAGTCTAGATTATGTCCCCGCCGACGCAGCAGCGAAATCGCCAGCACACGCTCGATTCCACGGAAGTATCTCAACAAAGCTACCCAATAACTGGCGGGTCGAGCGGACCGGTACGGTAGCTCCCGAAACCCAAATTACCTAGTAGCAAGCGATTGATTGAATATAAAACAGGATATGCCGCCTTCCGCAACAAAGATCGTGGCCTCTGGATCTTTGGTCGACTCTTCTGGGACGTGGATCCCTACTCCTACCTTGCATTGCGTGTCAAGTCTGACGGACGCCGCTACACCGTGAACATCCAGACCGATTCGATCGTCGAGACCGATATCCATCAGCACCGACTGTATACGCGCCATCATAGGGTCCAGGAGGCCTCTCCGGACGAATTTCTCTCGGCCGCCGAGGCAACGGAGTCACCCGAATTTGCGGAGACGCAGTATCCCCATGGTATACCGCCTGCTCTTTCGGATGTGCCTCCTGAGTCGACCATCATGTCGACGTCGACCAGTGCCACAACGTCCGGAACCACCGGCTGGGAAACGATTCTGTTACCGTTTAACTCCTTTGTTCGCACGAACCATGGGATGGTGGTTGAGCCGCAGACTTCTATAATAAGAAACCGGGTGAAGAGTATCGGGATTGGGCTGACGGATCGGGTGGAAGGCCCGTATGATCTACGGATTCACAAGATCTGGGCTACGAATGGCATGAGCGATGCGGAGATTGAAGAGGAGAGACGCATCTGCGGTACGGATGCTTTGCCGATTGATGAGGGCGTCCGGACTGGCTGGACGGGGGAGTCTGTACCGCATACAAGTCAGCAGGAGGCGCCGAAAGCGAAGAAGGGATTGAAGGCATTGCGTGATGAGTGGGATCAATAAATGGATACCAGGTTAAATTGTATAGTAATATTTTTATTTCTATTTCTAGGCCCCTATACCACTTCTTCCGTTTAGTCTTTGATTGGATCGACATTTTCAGACTTTTTACAAATTAAAAGTTACAAACTTGACAGGCTTCATTTTATATTAGACCACCACTGTGACTAGATCTGATGGCTACCGCCCGTGATCCGCTCCCACGCCTCACGGTACTTGGCGCTAGTCTTCTGCGCGATCTCGTCCGTCATCCGCACACCAGGCTTGCCCTTCAGCCCCTCGCTGGTCAACCAGTCGCGCAAGAACTGCTTATCGAAGCTCTGCTGCCCGCGACCAACCGCATAGGAGTCCTTGGGCCAGAAGCGCGACGAATCAGGAGTGAGAACCTCATCCGCCAGCACCACCTCATTTGTCTCCGGGTCCAAGCCGAACTCGAACTTAGTATCGGCAATGATCACACCGCGGGTGAGGGCGTACTCATGCGCGGCCTTATAAAGCTGGATTGAAAGGGAAGCAATGGTAGAGGCGTAGGGTTCACCGACAATAGCAGCCGCTACGGCACAAAGAAAGAAATTAGCAAACGACTCAATACTACGAAAACAGGGCCCCGAAATTGGACACCCCAGAAGGTTCAAGACATGAACATACCCTGGTCAGGATGAATATTTTCATCATGCTCGCCCTGCTCGGCCTTGGTGCTGGGGGTATAGATAGGACCGTCGGGGAATGCCTGACTTTCCTGCAGACCCTCGGCGACCTTGATACCGTGCACCGTGCCGGATTTCTTGTACTCGCTCCAGGCGGACCCAGTGATGTAGCCGCGGACGATGGCCTCAATGGGGAGAATCTTCAGCTTGCGCACCTGCATGCTTCGGTTCTGGAGCACGGGGCGGAGCGACTCGGGAATCTGAGGGGGGAGGTCGAGGGTGAGGAAGTGGGTGCGGAGGGAGGGGATGGCATCGGTGAGGATCTTGAACCAGGTTTTCGTGCAAAGGGTCAGGAGGACACCTTTTTCGGGAATACCCTTTGGATTGTCATGTTAGTTGTATTGCAGTGGGGTGATAGATGAGTGGAAGAGCGAGAGGAAAGCTGTACATTCTCCATGATCACATCGTAGGCGGAGATGCGGTCCGTTGCGACAAAGAGGAGGGTCTTCTCGTCGACATCGTACAGGTCGCGAACCTTTCCTCGTGCGATGAGGGGGAGGGCGCCCTGGAGATCGGTATTCGTAAGAGCTTCAGGCATGATGGGGTTTTTGTTGAATTGGGGGAGGAATGAATGGCACGGAGAGTATCGAGTCATTTAAGTATAAATCGATAAGCGGGTCGCTTTTTCTCTGCCGCGGGGTTCATGGCCTGAGGCTGCAAACCCCACCAGGTCATATCAAAGAACCCCTACTTGAACTAATTGATTTGCAAGTGAATACAGTCTCGTTATGGGTCGGTTCTCGGATTGTGGCTTATCGATTGGTAACCTAATTGCAACGCAGTCTTTTGTTGACTATCCGCTAGCAGTATAGAAGAGGTATAATTAATCTACAAACGTAGCCTGGCGAGCTCGAATGTACTCTTGTCTCTCTTCAGCAAACTCTGGCTTTAGGACAGACAATGGTGATGGCTGTTCTGCCTTGGGGAGGAGGATATCAGGATCGACTGTGCGAATCTTAGTTCCCCGAGGCAGGCGTAGATAATCCTCTGCATGCGGCCCTTTTTCGATGTATTTGATTATCTCCAATCCCTGGGAGTCAACCTTACTCTTCAAGAGCTCCCAAAATTCACGATCCGATCGGCTCCATAGCACCCTTTCTTGCAATGCTCCACGCTTTACCAGGTCTCCAATCAACTGACCAACCTTCCGGGACATGACAGCATGAGCTGGGTTGCACCACACGTTCCTATCGCATTCCATATAAGCTCTAGCATAAGTCAGAGCCAGGTCAATGTCTTGAAGGACCAACAAACGACGCGATGAAGACGGGTCTGGAAACGCTGTCAAAGAGTCGTACACGCGCCGCGCATCCTCAATCGTAAGTTTACCGAAGGCAACTGCATCTCGCAGAGAGTAATCGAGGCGATCGGCACAGAGATGAGGAGCGGGCATCTCGACGAGTGGATATAGCTCCTCGTCGAACGGCTTGAGATCAGTAAATCCATATTTAATGAGTATCTGCGGCAGCTCGGTCGTCAAGATATATCGCGATTTCTGAACCTCATGGAAGCTCTCTCCTGGTTTCGACAAGGCCCCGTCAACGTCATGGCTGAGGACAGTGTGGCTAATGTCGTGTAGGAGACCAGCAACTTGGTCTGCAACACTAGCACCGACTTTGCGCACTAATAGTGACGCGCCAATGGAGTGTTCTAATCGCGTGACCGTGTGGGTGATCCCAAGAAGATCGGTTTGACCATGGAGACCAATGCCTTCAAGTCGGAGAACAGCTGGGGACCGCAGGAGCTCGGCTAGAACCGGCTCGGAGATTGTATGTTTGCCGTAGATTTTGTCCTGTATAACAACAGTATTATCAGGAAGAAAATCCAGCGTTTGGAAGGAACCAGAGCTCAGAGAGGAAGACATCGCGTGGAGGTCGAGTGTTTTGAGTTGGGAATCAATTAATAAATTTATTGTTGGTGGTAAACTTGAGCTTGATCTGTTAGCGCTTGCTTATTTAAACCCCGCATTAATTCCGATCAATATATTCTCTGAGACAGACTGTGCGGATCAAACCAGTATTGTTGGGCAAGTTGACCAAACGATCCGGTGAGAAGACGAGACCTTTGATATAGGCGAGCCAACGCAAAAGAAATGTTTAGAGATCTAGAGAGGCCTTTGATCATATCATACAAAGGATTGATGGCACCATTCTAGGGTCATTTGTTCAGTATTTATATCGGATTGCCACAAGGCAGTACACTTCCCATAAGTGGACGATGTGTACAACTACCTCTTGTAGTCTTGAACATGGGTCTCTGTAACAAACCTAAAGCGCACTATGGTCATTCAAGCTGAGTGCAAGGGGGGTAGAGGGGTGTACGGTGGTTTAAGGACAAACAATGTCTAGTAGCACAACAAGCAAGCACAAGATCCAAAATAGAAACACACTGCGCATCAATCACCGCAAACGAACGTCGAGATCACCTCGCAGAGGGAGTATCAACAGGTTGCGGTACCGAACAAAGAGAGAATCGGTTAGTGACGCTACCGTTCTGGTTTATATATTAGAAGCTATATGGAGTGGTATAAGTGCTTAAGGCATTTATAATAATCTTATTTTGTCAGATTGGACAAGGCGTATAGTTAGGTTATTGTTTTTCAGAGCTTCAAATATTGGTCTGACTATTACACATACTGATTTTAGGTACTGATCCTTTTGGGTCTATTGGTCTTCCAACTGATCCTATCTTCTAGATCTACTGATCCTTCTGATTTCATAGGTCCTCCTGATCCCCTGATCCTTCTCCTGATCCTACTGATCTACTAGATTTATAAATTATATTGGTTCGTTTGGTCCTGCTGATTCTATCAGATCTGTGGTTATATTATTTGGATTTCTTGTACAGTATTTATAGCTTTTATAGCTTTTAATATATTGACTGCTTCTGTTGACTTAGCATTCTATTAGGACCGTAGATTATATAAGTCCTAGTAGATCTGTTAGTCTCCACTACACTCCTTGTAAGATGTACCTATCTTATGAAATTCTCTATAGATTTTACCAGGTTGTAGAAATGAGACAGGAAGTGGATACTAAGAATTCAGCATGGGCGGGCGTAAAGCTAATAAAATTTATCCGTTGCAGTAAGTCTAGAATCGTACACTATATACATAGTAGAGAAAGAGCATATTTTCTAAGAAATTATCAACCAATGTATACATGTGCATAAAGAGTTCGCAACAAACCATGCAAGGCCTTTTGATTCTTGCGGTGAGCGTTGAATTAACAAACCCAGGCTTAATTTTCTGGCATGGGTTACTGGGAGGTATGCTTCCAGTGAACATGTTCAGGTTTTGCGCATTGAGGAGATTGACATACTGGGCCAACACACTCACCATAGCCAGGAAGTCCTCGCGAGCCACCTCTTGGTTGGGGTCACCTTCACCGTTTAGTCTGATCAGATTATCGATCTTAGGGTGGCTCTCGCAGAGAAATTCCGTGCCCACGTAACCAAGGAATTTAGCCGGGACGGTGACAAGCTCGCTATAGAGTAATTAACTGATGGAGATCAAACTCGGGATGTGTCGCCACAACCTTAAGAATGTTATCTAGAATATAATAGCTAAGGCTTCAGAGAGAACATGGTAGCGAAGCAAGAACCGTTTGAGCCAGGCCTTTTATTTTGCTCGGCCACTATGTATGCTATTAATATTAATATCTTGAGCGATACCGGTCCAAGACCTCTCCGTCTAATGATTGAATAAATTAGCAAGGCTTTAACATTAGCTAGAAGAGCCAGTAGATTACCTCTTTATGGACTTCTTCAACAAGGGCCTTTACCCCTCTGGTTACATCGGTTCGTTGAAGACGAAGCGACAGGGTTTTAGGGTCGGGCTCCAGCATGGAAGTATCCCAAAGAACTACCTCAATAGGTTGCTTCGTCTCGTATTGACATCTCCGAAGCTCATGCCCAACCCAGCGCAGCTTCTCTAAATCCTCAGGGATGATGTTCGCACAACGGGCCGCGGGGTGGCTTTCAGTCACTGGGTCATACTTGATGGCTAAGTGCTGGAGCTTAGAAAGAAATACAGTACCATTGGGCTCATCGGCTCTGCCCGGAACATTGTACTGAGGGTTGCTGTACTACATACCTATCATCAATATGAATGTAGGTTGAGGCAGAGAACGAACGCACTCACAATCAAGGCTTCGGGTAGAACACGGTGATATAAATGGTCCCCCGAGACTAAAGCATGTGTCTGGAGAGAGCGAAATGGCAATGTATCCCAGAAGAAGTTGACTAGCGTTGGGTTCAAGCCATGCATCTTCACTGTCGCGGTCATATTAAGCTTGGGCCACTTGTCCCTGAGTTGACGAAGTATCCAGGGATCCTCAATGGAGCACACGTTTGAGATAAGGAAAACGGATGATAGGATATACAGAACTGAGGAGATATGAATATAAGCTGTCCGTTGTCTTGAGTCTTACTGGCCTCTTATAGTTATAATCAGCTAATATAGGCTATTGTATTATGTATTTTGAGTGAGCCCAGGCCTTGAAAGGCGTGAACCTAGGGTGTTTTCGGTGTATAAAGATCTTTAGTTTAATCATACTGTGCAATCGTATGGCTTACCTGCCAGGCTATAAAATTGTGGTTGAACGCCACTGGGGAGAACTTGGTGACTTGAGACAGCCCTAGTTTCCCCCCGAATATCGAGGATTCCAAGACCTTGCTTACAATATGAGTTTATGATGCGCCTTTAACATTGGGACAAGTCCTGTGAAGGTATAAAGCTTCTTCCATGAAGACCCTCTTCCCCAAGGATTTGCTACATACCTAGATATACAATACTAAATAGTCTGTTCACTTTCCACACCATAAACATATCCTCAATTGTTTCCCATCTTAAATCAATCCAAAACCATTTCAACATTCCGACCCTACAACTTACAAGCCAATACCTCATAACTGTCCTCCCCCACCAAGCCACCACGCCACTCTACAATCCCACCATGGCTACGCACGTGGAAGGAGAGGAAGGCCCCCACCGAAGAACCTGCTTAGTCCCATATATCAACCCTTACCCCTGATCGTCTTGCGAACCGCCACCGTGCTTAACGCTAAATATAAATTCGACGTGAACTGGCCTGTGGCTGAAGTATATGGGTTTCCTTGGGAGAAGATCGATGCTATGTGGAGGAAGTGTCTACGGGGAAGGAGCCGTGGGCATCGGGTGATTCTTCGGCTGGTGGATGAGCAGTTGGGTACGTATGATAATCAGCCTGGGACGGTTCATGATGCGTTGAGGTTGCTTGGTGAAGACGAGGTGGTGGAGGTGGAGCTGTTGATTGGGGTTTATGCGCTGTTGGCGAGTGTTATTAAGGGATTGAAGAAGAAATTCCAGGATTAAAGGAGATGATTTAGTCAGCTATTACAGGTAAGGGAAATTTTGATATTGATTTTTAGAGTTTGTTCTAGTCTGCTTTCCCTTTTCTGGGTGTGTGATATGGTGTAGACTTATAATGCTTCAATGGTAGGGTTGTATGAGATTGATGCTGAGGATATTATGCCAAAGTTTCAATGCTCTATAGCGGAAGCTATCGACCGGGATAAATCCCCATTGATACCCGCAGCCCCACAGCCTCATCTTGTCCTAGAGGCTGAGATTGTATGATGTGAGAAACTGTTGCTTATAAACATCTGTCATGTATAGGAACGGGTAAACACAAAGTATACCGGTAAAGATGATACTTTAAATGTCACCTTCACACTTCCTGACATCCACCACAGGTCCATCATACTCATACCGGCCTTTCAAAAAGTACATGGCAAGACTGAGAATAAGGACTCCACAGAAGATAAGAACACTCCAGTTGAAAGTCTCCGGGTTGGTTGGTGTTGTCTGGGGCCAGAAGGACCAGAACAAGGCGAAAAGAACATAGAGCCAGCCGATGATATTCATAATGATACCGTACCTTCCAAGACTCCATCGTCCCTGTGGTAGTGTCTCAGGGTGGTATAACTTGCGCCAGATGAGGCAGCTCATCGAGATAGAGTAAGAATACATCAGAGCCGCAACATTCAGTGAGATAATGGCGTTGAACGCGGTCTCGGAGCCAATATTGATCAGAGCTAGGAGAGAACTGATGACACAGGTAATGATGACAGAGTTGACAGGGAGCTTACGCTTTTTGTCAACCTTAGCCATCCAGTTGGAGAAAGGGAGGCCCTTGTCCCGGGCGAAAGAAAAGGTCTGGCGAGCGGTGGAGGCGTTGAACAGAATATTGCTGAGAATGACGGGAATTAGAATGATAGCCATAAGTCCATTTACCCCATTGACGTTTGTAGCTTGCTTGAACACATAGATCAAAGGAAAGCCACTGCTGTCGTCTAGAGCGTCCTCTACCGAGGGTGTCGCAAAAAGCATGGTAATTAGAGAAACTAGGGCAAGGATGGTATTCCCAAAAAAAGACCAGGTGATAGCAATCGGGACGTAGCGACCGGCATCCTTGATCTCCTCAGACATGTGGGCAGTGGCATCTGAGCCTTAGAACGCATCAGTGAACACGTCCAAATAAATTGGAAGGGCGCACATACTAAGGCAGCCATAGATTGCTGAGATCTGACCGATCATCAAGCTTAGCCCCATGGAAGACCATCCACCACCATTCTCGAACTTAGTGAACACTGCCTCTGCCGACTGTAGGGGAGACAGAACCCAGAGAGCAACTATTACCACTACCCAGCAGAGGATGTGAGTCGCAAGCAGAATGTTTTGCATACGAACCATGAGATCGGACCAGTAGATATTGAAGCCGTAAGCTAGCAGAATCATCGCAAATACAAACAAAGTTCCCTGCCATCCCTGGGGCTCATATGTTGGGCTACGCACGCTGATAAGACCTTGAATGATTGTGCCCGTCAAAAATGCCCCTGACGCGGTTCCTGCCTGCCAGGCAAGAACGGACATCCATCCGGTGATATAGCTCAAAAACTTCTGGTAACGCGGAGATGCAAATTCCGAGACCCAGTGGTATTGTCCACCAGAGGTGGGAGCCCTATACCAAATACGTAGTTAGAACACCAAATGAACGAATTGATCGGGAGGCAGACGAGGCTCGGTGCCCACATAGAGGCCATCTCAGCCAAAGAGACGATAATGAATCCAAAACCAATTGTAGTCCATACGTAGGACCACAGCACTCCTGCCAGACCACCGTTCTGCAACCCTTCGTAGTCAGAACTGGTTAATTAGTCAACATATGTTTGAGTACAGCTTTATGCGTCTCACTGCTTACAGCATAATATATTCCCAAGTAGCTTGCAGCACCGCAGAAAAGCTGACAGCTGCGAGAGGCCGGATATTCCTCTGTGGCCGAAGTATTAGCATTGGGAAGGTGATATAGCACTGGTTATGTTAATTACTTTAAATTGCTGAGCCTTGCCCATGCGGCCCATGTCTCCCTTGTCATAGCTCGTTCCATCTGGGTCGTCTGGTTTATCGCTACCGGAATTGAGCTCCATCTGCTGGAGGCCAGTTACGACTTGCTCCTTCGGTAGGTCATGCTGGTGAGGGGTTTCAGTCTCCATTTTGCAAAGGCCCTGTTTCACGCAATCGAGGCGAGGCGTCTGAACTAACAGCAGGGGGAACTGCCAATCTGCGGCTCCGGAGAGAAAAGTGGGTTGATGCGGAAGTGAAGGGGTTTATAATTATGTAAGGGAGGTCGATCCTGGACGAAAATGATCAGAAATCCAATTCGATGCGACGTGCATGAATTCCTAGCTAGTCAAATTCTCATGGGTGTTCACTGTGATCGGACGATGGAGACAAATGCTATATATTTCAGCTCTAGTATTTCCACAGGCACATCATCTGAGGGACAATACATTAGTTCTAGCCACACCGGTGACCATTCTTATCGTTAATGCCCCAGATCAATGAAAACTAGTGTGGCCCTAACTCTTTCATTATTGCAACAGAGACCCACCATGGTTAGATTAACGACTAATGGCTTAACCATGGTCAATGGAGCTAAGCTGACTAGACGTCTAGTCGGCTAAGGCTTGTCAATCTGGGCTTTTTCTTGGCCCGGAAGAGCTTATTAGTATCCACAGATTGGTAAGGCATTATACAGGGGCGTGTCTCCCATTGGAGCTGCGAGTTATATACGAAGGCTACAGGACTACATACATCACTGAAAGGATAGTCATAAACAGCCAGACACTATCAGTAGCGTAGTAATGAAAATAACCAAGAAAGTCATAGAAACCGCCCATGAAAACACATGTCACTATTCGTTTCATACAGAAGTCCAGGACCGGATATACGTTAAACGTAAAGCGATATTATAGCTTTTGATAGCCAGGAGATCCCAAATTACGTCCTTCATCAAGACATTAATAATCAGCAGTGGTCAGTGGCCTTGCACCACCCAACACATATCGCTACTATAATCGCGATAATAAGAACTTCATACATTGTCAGCTCACCCACTCTAATCAGCATCCAAAGAGTAGAATAGGATACTTACTGCACACAAGTAGGATATACCACTTGTACTTCCTCGCATTCCGAGCGCTTACAATGGCCTGACTGACCTTCTCATTCCCTTTTTCATAGTTCTCCGCCGCTTCCATCGCATTGTGCTCGATCTTTTCAACAACCGGCTCTTGACAGAGAACAAGCTCAGCAACTTGTTCAGAAAGCTCACTGAGATTGTTCAGATCCTGCTCAATCTTGCGAATGGCAGCTGATCGTTCTATAACAGCAGCCTGTGCATCCCTCGCCTGTCGAGACCGAGCCCCTTGTACCTGGAACCAGTCAGCCCAATACGTCCTCACAATTCAATAACCCACAATGGTGGGAAAGATAGAGGAGAAAGTACCTGAAAAACCATCTGTTTCCCCACCAACACATCATGAACCCCCTGCGCTACCTCCTCGGCCGATGCATCAGGATTGGCAATCTCATACCGCCGCCACACCTGGTCCCGGAGCGCCCGATCAAACTCCGTCCGCGACCGATAATAATCCTGAATAGCCTGCTGCACTTGGTTCTTCGTGGTATCGACCTGCGACTGCACGCGAGGATCGCTCGGATCCGCGAGATGTTTCAACTCATCGACGAGACCGCGAATCAGATGGAAGGTCTCGTTGACCCGGGACTCGACATCCTCAAGGTCCCGGCGGGCTACTTGATCGTCTAATACGGTGGTCGAGTCGAGGAGCGCATGTTGGGCGGAATGGAGATTGGTATCACGGAGGGTTTGAAGGTTGGCGAGTTGGTGGGTAATTTCTTCACGTTTGATGAGGACTGAGGTTAAGTTGTTGGCTACAGGCTCTAAGATAGGATTGTTAGTTAGGGCTTGGGGCCTAATTGGTGTATGGATGTTGCAAACCATAATAGCCTTGTTCTAAAGCACTGTAGTTAATTTTTGTCGAGGCCATTCTATTTGTTTGATGAAGAGAGAGAAAAAAAAAATGGTATGAAAATTCACGACAGACTTGTCGACGGAGGTTTATAAGTCCAAAAGATCCTGGTTCTATTTTAAGGCTTAAATTGTGGCCTGGATTAGCGCAAGGCAGTGCTGCATTGATATCTTGAAGCCGCAAGGATTGATCTTCGAAAGTCAGCACTAAGATCTTGGGGGCCGAGGCGGTGCTACATCCCATTTCATTGGTGCCTTCGTATGCTCTCTAACTCACTTTCTTCTTAAACGCCATATAAATAACTATATGCAGTGTCTCGTAACTTAAGAATGTTCAGCGGACAAGATCGGATCGGAGATGCACCTCCTCCACCTCCCAAACGAGCTCCTACAATTAATCGCCGGTAACCTGACGATCGACCAAGACCTAAACGCATTAATCCAAACTCACAGTCGGTTTTATCATTTGCTGGAGACCCAGCTATATGAACAGAATGCTCATTTCGGCGAGAGTTCCGCGTTAGCCTGGGCCGCAGCGCACGGCCGAATAGAGATCGCAAAGAAATGCCTTCGAGCTAACGCCGACGCCGACACTACTGGTCCTCTCCACAAATCCAATTTTAAATTGAACTTGAGGACTTGTCCAAGTATCATATTGCCTTCGGGATATGTCTATGAATGTGGCTATCCCGACAATCGACGCCGGTCAACGCCGGTCATGCTTGCAGCAGTGTGCGGACATGTGGAGATCCTCGACCTGCTAGTCACGCACGGAGCCGACATTAATCGTGTGATTGGAGATTGTACCCCAATACTCGGCACGATAGGTCATGGGCAAATTGCGGCATTTGGATGTCATGCTGGGAGAGTACCCATACAGTCCTGCGCTCGAGCTCGCAGTGCATGAAGACCATATAGACATAGTGAATCTGCTGCTTCAGTACGGTATCGATCCCTACAAGCACTCACCACTCGCACGGGCAGCACACTGGGGTAAAGTGAACGCAGCTCGTGCATTACTAGAGGGAGGTGCAGGTGTCGAGGGAACAGGTGAACCCTATGAAGACGCGTTGTTCAGCGCAGTAGACAGTGATAGACCAGAAGCAATCAGCCTATTGCTTGAAAAATGGGGCCCATTGAACGCAGATACTCCGAAGGACTGACTCTCCTCGCATTTGCCGCTCGATGGGATTATGTCAAATCTGCTGAGGTGCTTGTCAGTCAAGGTGCCAGCGCCAACTCCGTGATGCATGGTTCTACGACGTTAGCTATAGCGATTGATTATGATAGTGTGTCAATGGTAAAGTTCCTTGAGAATGGGGCTGACTTGAACATCACGGACATTCGAACTTCAGGAACAAGGCCACTGCTTTTACGAGCAATTAAGAAACCAGATGGCGAAGAAGTAGGCCAGGAAATAGTGAGGTTGCTACTTATTCATGGAGCTGATCCCAACTGCTAGGATTGAAAAGGGAGAACACCGTTATTCTTTGCCACAGTTAAACAGAATCTGGACACTATGAGGCTGTTGCTCGGACATGGCGCCGACCCAACCTGAGAAAACGGTGGAATTAACTTGATATCCTGGGCCTTCTTGAAAGGCCCCGAAGAAGTGGTGCAGATACTACTGAACTGTGACTAGGTGTGGGCTACCTGGTGACAATATCTCAAGGGCGAGGGCAGATTTCATGTCAGGATGACTACAATGCTCTTTGCAGCTTGACTAGCCCCGTCTCATATTTCATCGAGACACCAGATAGTGGCAAAAGTCTCTGTCTCAGCTCCCAAAAGCGCAAATCGGCGATGACTTGGTGACTTCGGCAGCGCAAAAACTATCCTTGAGGGGCAGAGAATGTAGTGCAGGTAGGGATATCTTGTTAGCCTGATACATTGGGTATGCCATGGGAGAATCGGAAATTGCCCGGGAATATCTTATAAACCCTTGGAGACGGAAGCTGTAGTATTTCCTCAATTGATTCAAATTGATTTAGACTCTCCTCGTATTCGGCAAGCTAGCGTGAATTGATCTCCAATCCTGGTTTGAGGGAGGCTGGTACTTTTTCATTTATCCGTATATCCTTCCCGGAATAGAGATATTCACCTCTGGCGCGCATTCTAGAAGGCAATACTCTATCTCATTCAAGACAAGCTTTGAATTATGGCTCAGGCAGAGGAACTTGAAAGTAGCTCGATGCCCTCCACTCCGCGCGAGTCCAGGGGGTTGTACAAATACGAGCCATTACCAACTTCCACATCTATCAGGCTCATACGGGTCAATAGCAAAGACCCAGATGGCACCGTCCATGTGCAATTGAAGACAGTTGACTTGAATGACCGGCCTTGGTATAACGCCGTCTCCTACACCTGGGGAAACCCCCATACCGAGTTGCCCCACGTCCAAGACGCCCACGCAGCGTATTCGCAAAAATATCCTCCTGAGCATCGAGAGCCTATAATAGCAAATGGGCAAATTCTATACGTCAGCCGAAGTGCATACGATGTACTGGCATCTGTACCGACGGACGCTTGGGCAAAGCGGTGCAACAGGAGAAACCCCAGGAATCAACTTCGCGCGACTATCCATACGGCTTGTATGACCAGCAAGAAAGATTTTGTCGAAGAGCTGATCTGCGCCGGGGTAGATGTTAATGTTCAAGATGAATATGGTAGAACTCCGCTATGCTATGCCGCTAGACTCGGAAAGCTTGAATTCGTGGAGCTTTTGCTCGCTGCCGGTGCGGATATCTACATTACTGGAGAGAACAAGAATCTCCCCCTTGAATATGCCCGAGAGGGTGGATCTGAAGATGTTATCAAATGTCTTGAAGAAGCAGAGAAAACGGAAGGGTTAGATGTGCCTCGTAGATCGTGGCCCGAAGGACCCCAAATGTGGTGCTGGATTGACCAGATCTGCATTGATCAGGGTAACCTTGAAGAGAGAGCCTCACAAGTGTCAATTATGGATCAGATCTACGAATGTGCATCTTACACCCTTATATGGCTCGGACCCGAAGACGCGCATACCCAAACCGCGGTTGACACGATCCTAAAACTGGATTCTGCGAAAGGAGATCTTATTCATGCCAATGAAATTATCCCTTATGAGCAACAATCCGAGGAGGTATATGCCGCAGCTGATATTCCGTATGTTTCGCAAATGGAGTGGACAGCCCTTGCCGTGCTTTTCCTCCGCCCATATCTCAGAAGGCTGTGGGTGATTCAAGAGAATATTCTCTCACATACATGTCTTGGATATTGTGGTAGATTCGAGATTCCTTGGCAGGCATTCTGCACAGTTGCACAGCAGGTCTACTTCCGACAGACCCTTTTAGGAAGGGTTACTTCAACTAACTTCATTGGTATAAACAGTCCTGTGGTGGCCATAGAGAGCGAAATAGTGCATCTCACACAGTGGAAGGATCGGCTACAGAATCAAGCTTCTATGCCTAAGACCCTCTCCTTGGAAAACCTCCTTTTTGAGACCTGGACCTTTCGCGCCACAGATCCGAGAGATAAAATATTCGGACTTTATGGCCTTCTTGCCAAAGCTGGGACTGTGTCCTGGCGACCGGACTATAAGAAATCAGTTGCACATGTCTACGCGGATGCTACAAAAGAGATAATGGAAAACGCTGGTGAGCTGCGTATGCTCTCTGCGGTTCTTGATAGGTCGCTTCGCAATATCTCGGACCTTCCTTCATGGGTCCCAGATTACAGCGTTCCGTTCTGTAACATGATGTGCGCTAACTATAACGCTGCTGGGAATCTTCCTCAAGCGCCGATCCAGCCCAGTCCCTGGGATGTGCTCGCAGTATCCGGGGTTCGAATTGATACCGTCTTGCAAACGGGAAACGCGACATCTGGGCCCAACCAACTCTCTATGTTCTTTGATGCCCGCTGGTTCGAGCTCGCATTGCTCCTCCCACACCCCTATCACAACGGTCAGGCAAGAACTGAGGTACTATGGCGCACATTATGCGCGGACCAGAAGACTGATGGATCATTCCCAGCCCCTGCAGACTACGGTGGTTACTTTCGGCAAATGCTATGTAGACTTTCCTGCGTGAAAGTAGAGGAGACTGCCAGGACTTCCGCGGTAGAGCCAAATACAGTCTTTCTTGAAGCGGTCCTCCACCGCATCCGACAAGTATTGTCAACGCCCCCCATTTCAGATCTCTCCACTGACGAGATCCAACGTACTTTTGGAGACCCTGACACAAACCTCAGCCGTCCTGACCTCCAGACTTTAACTTATCTCCTCTATAAACTCCATGTTCTCGGAGTGGTAGAGGATAGCTCATGGACACCAACTATTGGTGAGATCGAGAGAGCCTACAACAGCTCTAGGTGGCAGACATGGGACGAGAGTAGCACGCTTCCTGGAGATGGGATCGAATTCCACGGAGCACTTAGGAGTAAGCATGGTAGACGGCGTCTATTTGTGACCGAGAGGCGATATCTTGGACTGGGCCCTGCATCGATGGTCGAAGGGGATGAGGTATGGGTTATACCTGGTGCTGGTGCTACATTCGTTCTTAGACCTCTGGAAGACGGGGCATTTGCTTTGATTGGCGAGGCGTATGTACATGGGGTTATGAATGGGGAGGCTGTTCCAGACGGGGATGTAAATCTTTCTCATATTCGTCTTGTTTAGGGGGTAAAAGAGGGAAACGTAAAAGAAACTGGATTCGAACCTGGGGGGTTTATTTAATTCTTTAGTAGAATTTCTGAATTGCCCTGTATGCGCTATTAAACAGTCACTTTTGTTATAGTGATTTGTTCAATTATACCAATTATACCCCTTCCTCACAGTACTACTATAGATTCAGCAATATCAATACGTTCAGAACAACCATGATGTGGTACCAATCTCGCTCTCCATCTCTTTGTCATTATTGTGTCTTCTCTTAGGAGCCTGTATTATCACAACACCCTTCTTCTAACCATTATCGAGCCCCTTAAATACAGACGTAGTGGTATACAAACGCTGAAACAGGCGCAAATGAAATTTCGTTAGACACTGTGCGCTATTGGCTTCAAAGTCCGCGATCAGGTCTTTTGTCTTCCGCAGCTGGAATGCGAGGTTATGTCGGGCTCATTCGCATTTCTTTCCTAATGGACAAGGTATTCGCCATGTTCCCTGAGTGGGTAAGTATTTTATTGGACGACGTTTGGTGAGGCAGCTATGTTGGTCTGCTAGTAATTCAATCAGCAATCTCTCTTTTCTCAACCACAAAAGACTAGGGACACCGTAGCACTCTTTGGAGGTACGGCTGCTAGAGCAAGATTGTCCGGGTTGATATGGTATATCGACGGTGCTTCGAATTCCGTGAGCATCCCAAAGCACTGGTGTCGGTTGACAGATATGAGATGACCGTGTGGTTGGCCACGATAACATGAGAAATCTGCGTCAATTGTATAATAGATATATGTAAAGGAGTTATGCTGGGGTGGTCCAACGAGATAATATCTGTCGGTGGGTAGGTCGGGTTTACGGCGTACCGGGACTGAGATGGTGCTCTGAAGATAGGACTGTCAAGCGTTTTTATATACGAAGATGGAATGTTGTGGTTGACAATGAAATAGTAGCAGACACGGACGGGATTCTTGCTGTCTCCGTGTATCGGCTCCAGTTAGTATATTTAGCTTGAGACTCTCTTACAGCTGAGTATCTATTTGCAACAGTAGTGGTCAATGGAACTAATATCCTAAGATCCGTGATAAAGGAATGATTTAGTATACAGTTATATTGACGTAGATACATATCAGGACATAAGCAAGCTGAAATCTAAGATGCAATAAATACAAGAGAAACACCGTCATTCTGTCTATAGTGATGTTTGAGGCATCAAAGCCCTTCCTAGCGTTCAAGTCTCACAGCTTGCTGGGAACGAAGTAAGGAATGTTCTTCTGCTCGTACAGTTCCTTGTACTGTGCCTTGATGATATCGGCACCCTGTAATACGATTAATATTAGTTATAATTCGTCTTAATACTCGAAGGATCTCTGTGTTCTCACCTTTTCACCGATCATGTAGACCGAATTCTGGATACGGCAGTCAGGGATAACGGGCATGATCGAGGCATCAGCAATGCGGAGGTTCTTGATGCCATGAACCCGCAGCTTGTCATCGACGACACCCTGGTGGATGGCCTTGGACAAACGAGCGGTACCGCAGGGATCTGATATAAAATTAGCCGTTGCATCTCAGATAATGTGGGATAATGATATATTTACGGAATCCAGTCTGGCTGCGCTCCAAGACGGCCTTGTTCATGGCCTCGTCAGAATCAATCGGCATATCCCAAGGATACTCCTGGACAACAAGATCCTTGAAGCCCTGGCCGTTTAAGAGGACATCGTAGGTCCACCTGACACCTTCGCGCATAGCCAAGACATCGAGATCGCTGCCAAAGAAGTTGAGGTTGATGTTAGGCTGCATAAGAGGATCCGCACTGTTCAGGGTGACTTCACCACCTTCAGATACCGGGCGAAGCAAGTCGACAATGACTGTCATGTGGCTACCGGATGGGGGCACAGGGTAATGCCACTGGAATGCGGAGCTGAACATTCCAACGAAGTCGAGTTCGAAATGGGGCTGGCCACCAGGACCGAAGGGATCGAGACCACCATTGGCAGCCTTAGCTTCGCGGTAGGCAGCGTATCTGTTCAAGCGCTCATCAATACGAGGGAAGCCAACCAGCTCCAGGAGACCGGAGCCCACTGGGCCGGTCTTGTCACGGCGGTAGGCAGCAACAGCAGCTTCGTTGGCTGGTCCAGCACGCAGAAGGTGATCATCCAGGCCAACGCCATCCTTGAGGCGCATAACGAATGGTACAATAGGGTGATCGAGGAGATTCTTTCCGACATGGGGAGAGTCAACAACAACATCAATACCGTGCTTGTTCAGCTCAGCGGCAGGTCCAATACCGCTCAGCAGCAGAAGCTTGGGGGTCTCAAATACACCCTGAGAGACAATAACTTCGCGAGTGGCATAGAGGTTGACTTCAGCTCCATTGGTTGGGTCGATCACCGTCACGCCAGTACAGGTTTGGGTCGTGCGGTCAATGATAAGGCGCTTAGAGTGGACCTGAGACAAGATAGTGACATTTGGCTTGTTCTCGAGGTACAGCCAACTACCTTGACGCTGACCCTTGTAGATAGTGTCTACACAGTGGGTAAGACCGTGCATCTCACCAGAGTAGATATCCTCGGTAAGCGGCTCGCCCTTGGAGGTCCAGGCCGAGGTCAGAGCGTTACGGAAGGTCTCGAGCTCAGGGACAAGCTCAGCGTGGGCGATCTGGACAGGTCCACTGGCGCCAATCTTGTTGAGATCGGTGGGGTAGAGTCTCTCGTCATCGTGGTAGGTAGCACACTTGCGGAGGTACTCCACACAGTTGTCCCAGGTCCACTCATTGCCACCGAACTCAGCCCAGTCATCAAAGGTAGCCTTAGATCCGGGGATCCAGGTAAAATAGTTGGCACAAGAGCTTCCACCAAGAGCTTTACCACGAGTGTTTGGCTTTTCGATGCGCTCATAGTCGTCACGTTTGATCATGGTAGTCTTGTATGCCCAATCATACTGGCTGCCACGGAGTCCGAAGGCCTTGGACGGGGTGGTAATGTCCTCGATCTGGCCAGGATTGGCGATACCAGCTTCGACAACGGCAACGCGAACGCTGGGGTTTTCAGCGAGGCGACCAGCAATAGCATTGCCAGCGGTTCCACCTCCGACAACGATGAAGTCGAATTGGCTTCCGTTTGCTTGGGCACTCATGGTTATGGGTGGAGAAGTAGAAGTGGTTCTAAAATAGATAGAGTTAATTTATTGAAAATATCGGAAGAAATGTTGATGTTGTTGCTCTTGCTTTTGTTATTGTAATTGTGATTGTGATGATGATGAGGAGGATATTTTGGAGCATGGGATTCATGGCTCCTTTATACTGACAATTTCCATCGCATTGAGGTTCCAGATGTTCAACGACATCGCCTCGTGTGAGGGGGTTGCCGGGTATCCGTGAGTAAGTGTCAAAGTCTTCGAAAATAACTCGTCGATGGTGACGCATGGGGAAAAACGCACAAGGTGAAGCTAACGCTGGCATCATTCTAGTAGAAGATGGCTCGGCGATCGATCGGGAGCGGAGATACTACTGCCCAAAAGGGAGATAGTACACAAACTCCAGCTAGTACTAAGTGGTATTAGTACTAAAAAAAGCCACTTGTGGCGCGGATCAGGTCAGCCTCACGTGAGAAAACTCGGGTTCCCCTCACGAGTTACCCCTCATGAGGGGGAAACCATCACCAAACAGAAATGTTGATGCTCCACTATAGCTTCAAAATTTCTCGTATCCACATACTTCAATGTGCCACTAACAATTCTTGGATTACATCTTCTCGAGATAACGAACCCGAACTATCCCAATGAGGCGTCACCACCGGCCCGAGTGCCCACCTCCGAGAATAGACCGGATACCTTCAATGGGGAAAATGGATATCAAATTGAGTCGGTCCACTCCGGGAAGAAAAGTATATAAGAGACGATGGGCCTAGATCAGTGTGAACCCCAGATCCTCAGATCCTACTCCAGAAAACCGCAATCAGAGCAATTGCGTCAAACGTCTACGTATCTTCATCCACACCATGACGAAAACACCACGCCAATATACTCTGGCTGAGGGTAAGCGTTGCTCAATGGAATACTGTATAATATGATAATCCAATGACAACTGACGGCTGTCCTTGTAGGGCAACCTATCTCGGACCCCGCGGTCTCCACGACTCTCCCAACTTTCGGTGGTGGCAGCCTGACCACTCTCGGTGACACTCTTCTTCTCGAGACTTTGGCTCATTTCAACCGCGAACGGATTCCGGAAAGGTGAGCTCAGTTAAGCAGTGACTTGCGACACACAGTCATGCTTATTGTATCTAGAGTTGTTCATGCCAAGGCAGCCGGTGCCTGGGGAGAATTCGAAGTTACCCATGATATCTCCCATCTTACTACTGCCAAGTTCCTCAACGGGGTTGGCAAGAAGTCGCCAGTACTTTGCCGGATCAGTACCACCGGTGGTGAAAAGGGTAGTGCCGATACCGTTCGTGATGTTCGTGGATTTGGTGTGAAGTTCTTCACTGAGGAGGGCAACCACGATATTGTTGGCAACCACACGGTATGAAGCATGACATACATATCGAGTAGTGCAGTCATACTGATATGGATAGCCTGTTTTCTGGATCCGTGATCCTCTTAAGTTCCCGGCGGTGAACCGTTCTCATAAGAAGAACCCTCAAACAAACGCACATGACCCCACAATGGTAAGGAAACTCTTGCTCCTCGGGTCTTTGTCGGTACTGACATCGAAGCAAGTTCTGGGATTTCCATGTCAACAGTCCTGAGAGTGTGCACGGTCTCCTTCACCTATTCGGCTCCCGCGGCATTCCTTCCTCTGTTCGCCGTATCACTGGCTTTGGTCTTCACACATTCAAGCTTATCGCTCCCAATGGATCCTTCAACTATTGCAAGTTCCACTTCCGTCCCATGGAGGGCACGGACAACTTTTCGGAAGACGAAGCTACCCGACTTGCTGGTGCCAATCCCGACTATCATACCACGGAATTGTTTGACTCCATCGCGCGCAAGAACTATCCAGTTTGGGGTCTCTACATTCAGGTTATGAAGCCTGAGCAGGCCGAGAAGTGCGGCCTTATGACCTTTGATATCACCAAGGTCTGGCCACACAAAGATTTTCCCCTCATCCCGGTGGGCAAGATGACTTTGAATAAGAATGTAAGTGCCACCACATCTCCCGTCTCAGGTGCGTCCGTTGCTAAAGCAAAATCACTAGCCTGCCAACTACTTCGCCGAAATTGAACAGGCGGCATTCTCTCCTTCCAACATGGTCCCCGGTATTACCTACACACCGGATCCCAGTAAGTGATAACCCCAGTCTACCATCGTCTAAGCATATCTTGAATACGAACTGATCACCTTTTCAACAGTGCTCCAAGCCCGTATGTTCGCCTACCCAGACGCTCAGCGTTACCGCCTCGGGGCAAACTACACACATCTGCCACCCAACCGCCCTATAGCACCTGTATATGCGCCCTTTGAGCGTGACGGTGTGCTTCAAACTACCAACTACGGTGCCGACCCGAACTATAACCCCAACATGTTCACACCTGCCATCCAGAGCCAGCAGTCCACGCAAGATGTGCGTCATGGGGAGTTTCTGAAGGGAGGGTCTGTTTTGGGGTTGAATAACATCTCTGTGACCGAAGAAGACTTCGTGCAGCCAAGGGCACTTTGGAGGAATGTCTTTGATGACGCTGAGCGCAGAAAATGCGTATCAAACATCTCGGAGACTCTAGTGACTCTGCCCGCGGACTTAAAGGCGCGAGTCATCGACATGTTTAACAAGGTGGATCCAGAAATTGGCAGAATGCTCTCGGCCAAGCTAAATGAAGCGGCTAGACTGTGAGAGGAGGTTTATCCTTTATCGTCGAGGCCCACGGAACAGTGTATGATCAAGAACCAGATTTCGTTCCATGCTGACGAGGGTGCTTCTTATTATGATTTTGACGCTTCTTATCGCTTCGGGTATATGTATATTGGCTAGATTATTAGATTTTCTTCTAGACTCAGTCTATCTTTAATAACGCTTAACTTGCTAGCTCCTATTTTTTATCTCTAAAATAAGCCCATCTATGACACATAGATGAATTCGCCTCATTGCATAGTATTGGATTCTCTCGACAATAATATGTATATATATCATTACAGGCAAAGACACTATACCAATGCTATCGTTCCATAATAATCAGATACAATAGATAATAGACTATTAAATTACAAAGTTTCCAAGACCAGGATTTCTCTAAGACCTTCTAACAACTCACGCAAGAGTACCCATGCATGACTTTCTTCTAGAGCACAGAGATAAAAGACGACACGCGGCGCGGGATCACGTGCAATGTCAATCCACATTAAAAATTTCCCGTGTGTATCAGCGCAGTGGATCCTCGAAAGGGAAAAAGAAAAAGAAGGGGGAAAAAAAATGCCCAATCCAGGATAACTAGAAGGTAATCATGTTGGAGATGTTAATTGTACCCCTCACAGTAGTAGAACCCCCCCCTCGAGGTAAGGATTAATAGATTCCAATCTGAGACTAGTGTATTGCAAATTTTTTTTCTCTTATCTTCCTTAACACTAGTGAATATTCTGGATCTGCCTGCCCCTGGATTTTGGTGATCCATGATACATATCGCGGATGTTTGGAGATCGTTCATGATTCAGTTTAGCTATCGTGAGAGATAGTCTGTAAAAGCGGCCTATATATTGAATAGTGTTAATTAGGGACATTAGCCGAGCTCACTTATATTTAATAAATGTTATTTAGTCAGCAGGTAGACCGTAGTTAAGTACAGTATCTAGGCCAATGTTGCCCATAATAAATTATACCTACCCTCGGCATGATTTCGAAATGAGTGTTTGGGACTTGAGTGTCAAGTTGTACCGTATCTTACCGTACCGAATCGGGACGTCGGGACTCAATCGGCTGACCGAGCTTCCTCACCGGTAGGTCTTCCAACCACGGTTCCCCGTGCGGGGGCGGGCCGTTGGAGAAGTGGCTTGTGAGTCGGGATTTCATAGGTGTACAAACCTAGCACCAAGATCAGTTGCTGCAGGGTTCATTTAATATATCTATTGCACAATTGCAGATCATTAATAGAGAGCATCCATGTGAGATACCAGATAATATCACCAAAAGGCCTTATATCATCCCAGCATCAACCAAATTTCACTTAAAATCTCCGAATCTCTCCAAAACGAAAAACAGTTCACTACCATTGGGGTCACCCTTAGAATCCACAGCTCCAAGCAACGCATTTTCATCTAGACGCTGGAAGACCTCGGTAGAAGAACGCTCGTCATATATCATGGCTGCCGAGACAACCCCACGGTATCTCGCTTCACGCAACTGGTCCCTACAGATTAACCAACAAGTACTCCCAAGTTTCGATGGAACTGGATAAAGTCCATCAAAAAATTGGAACTTTGAATTCACTTACCTAGGCCTTATCCCATCTCATATCCGGCTTGCTCGCGCCATTTTCATCAGAGAAGATCACGAGATCCACGTCATCGATTGTATGCACAGTTTTTCCGGCCCAATTGAGATCACGGATTACCTTGATGTCCTTGTGTCCAGTTTCGACGAGGTCCCCGCTCCAGACACCCAAGAGGCACTCTGGCTCAATAGGTGGGAGGGCATCGAAGACCATGGCCACATCCTGGACATTGGTCTTCTGTTTCTGGCGGACCAATGTTATCAGGTTGTCTCTAGTACTTAAATATTAGTCAGAACTAAAGCTCAAAAGGTGAAGAGAAAACAAATGCCAACACGTCTGCCATGGTGATTTAAGTTGATATATAGCCAGAAAGAGCATAGAATGATGTCTCGAAGTGATGTGCGGATGAAGGTGAGAGAAAGTGCACTGGCTTTAAATAGCACTGTCTGTCAATATCCTGATTTCGTAGCTCAATTTAATTATCCCTATATTGTCATACTTGGTCCTGAATGATGTTGAGAGGGGAGGCTTTACAATAGGAAAGACCATCCAGGTCAACTATACATAGCCCCAATGATGATGGGGATGGACTATTTAGATGCAAGATAGCATTTTACCTGTCGGGATCTATAATGAGAGGTCGTGCTATTTTCGGCGACTTGCAGGTTGACCAAGGCTTATTTCCACGTCACGTTTCGATAAATAATGTGTACACACTACGATATGAAATATTTGAATTTAGATATTTTTAATTTATGTATAATCAATTCCTGAATGACGCAATATACATTATGCGATGTTTTACAAGGAAGAGAGAGGAAAAGCAGAAGAGAACCAAAGAGCGAGAGAGAGAGAGAGAGGTGAAAACCCCAGGCCCATTTGAACTTACCAACAATCGGGAACAGTGTAAGTATAAAGCCAATCTGACAGAGTGCTAATATATCAAAAGCACAAGTGATTATTATTCAATTGCGACTTCTACGCCTGCAGATTTTCACGTTATATTGGCGTCTTCCTTCGCTATCTAGACTAGAGAAGCATAACGGCGAGGGGACCAATGACAATAGAGTCAAACGAAGGACTTTGGCCTAAAGAATCCGCATTTAATGGGATCTACCAAAATATGAAATTGTATGAGGGTATGATTCTCTCTTAGATCTGGGACAAGTGAAAAAGATTTTCCGTGAATGGGAAACATGCTTCTTGGCACTTAGGCCCCAAGGATAGGGCCGACTGAAGACTTGGCAGGCTCAAGAGTTTAGAGATGGAGAGGGCCAATAGGGATTGAAAGATTCTTCAGCTCTAGAACCCTACACTGTTTACTGTTTATGTTAATATTCGGTAAATAGTATCCATGAAACACTCTCTTGGCGGTTTCTAAGTAAAGAAACCAAATGTCCTCCTTAATCTGCATGTAAGTACATCATTGTATGGACTACTAGATGCTCGTGGTAGGGCTATGTGGTACCTGCTGATCTCGCGGTTTACTTCCTGATTGGGAAAGGAGCTTCCACTTCAAGTTCCACTTTAATTTCTATTTCTGCTACTTTGACCCTATCTAGTATACCAGCAATCGAAATACCTCTGGAATAGAAAAAATTGGGAGAGTTGATACACTGCCACCATGTTAGCACCTCAAACGCACTAATCAACCTGGCTTTTATACTGCCGATATTGGTTCTCTCTCGTACCATACTAACCAAAAAGGACCTCCTCCGAACACACTGAAGGGTTGTATCGCCCCTAGACTGCCCCGTTTTAGGTTATCTATATCCACCCAACATGCGAAATCTTAGGCAAAAGTCTCGAGAACTAACCCCCTACCAACCGGATATTAAACAGAAAGCCCTTACCACGCCATCACTAGACTAGTAGCTAACCGAACTCTCAGATATATAAGGGTCCATGAACGCACATTATCAAGGGATCATTAGCCCGGCCCATCATTGGCATAACAGAAATGAGGGTCAATCGAATGACGCAGGCGTTGCATCTTTGCTTTGCCAGTCTGGCACTGTTTACACTCGTATTTGCAACCCCTTCCCTCACTGGGGAGCTACTACCTTTCGAGGAGATTGCTGCTCAGATGAAGGCTCCTGGTGACAACTCTTTCCCTTGAGCATTATACCCCTCGGGCCTCTATCACGTTTGGATTGAAGTCGACCGATGGTAATGGATACCGGAGTTGGGTGCGGAAGGAGTTGCCGGCAGAGAGGTAAATATGGTGGGCAGCGTGCAAACTGGCTCCATGCATGACAACGTACGTATATCTTTTAATAGCTTCCGCGCCATAAATATATTAACTAATATAAACTGTTTGCCCTTAGGATAATGAAGGACAGTGGTTACAGAGTCGCTGAGGTAGCTGGATGGAAGAACGAATGGATGGCTGAACAAAGGGGAAAACAGCTTCGAGTCTCTTGGTCAAGTCAAACGCACTCAGGGTTACTATTATTATTATTAATCAAGTTTAACGTCTGTATCGAGCCGTTCGCTATGACAGACACTTGTGCCTAGGTAGTGGCCTAGGCCAATGCCTCTAAATGGCCCCTAGGGGCTCTGTCAGCCCCCTCTCCCGTTTTTGTGTTCATTCTAGTCCTTTTCCTCGCCCGAGCCACCTATCTGCGCCAGAGCCTTTGGGCTATGCCCTCCTCGGTGTTCATTACTTGCTGGGCGTCGTCTAGGTGTGCCTAGATTGCCCTTTCTACTATCCTTCCCGTCTACTTTCTGCTTCTTCCACCAGCTCTACGCCCCAAAGGTTATCCCTAGAGGCACTATCTATCTCCCTAGTCGCCTCCCCTGGGAAGCAGCCAATATTTGTTGTAGCCAGGAAGGTCATTAGGGTCTTTGTGGCTCTCTGACCCTCAAAGAGGCAGCATTCTAGGGCTGTTTCTCCCCACCCAGGTGGTGATACTCCTGCCTTGACTAGGGCCTGTACAAGGCCTGAGATGTAGATGGTACAGTCTCGCCTCTGAAGTCCTAAAGTTCCTTGAACCAAGTTCATTATGCTCATTCCCTCTCAGGTGATGAACACGCCGACTTCCTATGTGTTGACAAATTCTTGGGAGGCAGCCTGGCGTGGGTGAACAAGGGCCGTTTTCCTACGATGTGCTCCAACTGGAAATGGGAATTGTTGGATGGCCCGCGATATCAAGGATCCGCTCGAAGAGTCAGCAACACCAATCTTCTATATGGATTTGGGATTTGGATAAACAGGTACTAATGCTGCACAGGCTAATCTGGACTACCCCAACCTCGGACTGAGCCGTCCTGATATGCACAATGTCATTCCCCGCACAAATCTTGTGAGTCCCTCGAAGATAAGCTCTCACAATAGCGCATATGCTCATCAAGCTAGGCATACACATGGTTCAATACCTGCCCTGGGGGTGACAGAAACGCCATGGATGAGGTCGACAACTCCAAGGATCCGAATTGCCACCCTTCACGAACCTCAAACAGCCTATACCCACCGGCTGGCCACCTATCATCCCAACTCCAACCGATACCCCAGATGATTGAGTTCTAGACGGCTGTTAGCATGTTTGTATCCTTAGCTTTGTTCATATTTGTCTACATGGTTAAAGCGGAAAATGCAGTGACCATTGGCCGTTTTTGTACCCGTCGGTACGCCCATTCTCTGAATCTGGTCTGACTTCACCATTTTGGTCCTTTACCTTTCACTCGCATGTATAGTCTTGTTGGTATATAGCCTGATTTATTTCTTCATTCTTTCACCATTCTTGGAAATTTGGCTAAACGGCATAACAGTCTAGTTAAAGGGCCTAGCGCACACATAACTGTCCGTTCTAGACGTTTAATAGCAGGCGATGATTCTCAATGGGCATAAAGCCCTTGCATAAATGGCGTTATATATTGATACCTGTATGTGTTCTGTTATACCTGCATGTGCTCAATCATTCGCTTCCTGGCTTCCTCCGCCTGCTTCTGGATATCTAAATCCCAGAGCCAACGAAGCCTCTGGTTCCATGTCTCCTTGAGCTTCTCTTCGTCATCCCCCACACCGTCCAAACATAGACAAAGGAGATACGCATTTTCTTTGCTGCTGGTAACGACCCTCTGACTTCGAGGTCGCCGGATCTCATCATACGCTTTGAAGGCAGCCACGACATCCTCCGCCTTCGTAACGCGGGGATCTCCAAGGAGTTCAGCTAGAACATGAGCATCTTCAATTGCCTGACCGGCGCCAGCGCCCTGGTGCGGTGTCGAGGCATGTGCTGCATCACCAAGGATGGCAACTCGCGACCGGGCGTATGTCGAAATGTGAGGATGCTCAAATATCGCCCATTGAGAAGGATCGGGCATGCGCTAGGGGTCGAGTGAGTATGTGTTCCCGTTGAGAATAGATCAAATTGATTCCACGTACCTCAATAAGCGCATTCACGTATCTACCCATATCTTTCGCGTCCCTTCGCATTTCCTCCCGCTCCGCGGGCCGGACCCAGGTATCACAATCCCATTTCTCACTCAGAATATAGAGCCCAAAGTTGACCTTCTTAGCCCGCATGATTGGATACGAGATCCCGTATGCCCCCTTCCCAACGTACATGGTGGATACCCTCGCCCGTTGCTCGCCTACCGCCTCTACCATCTCCTCCATATCCAGGACCGCACGGTACCCGTACATTCCACTATACTGCGGCTGTTTCTCCTTGGACTCCTCCGGTAGCATGGACTCCTTGACCTTGGATTTGATCCCGTCGCACCCCACCACAACGTCCGCAGGAGCAGTCGTCCCATCGTCAAATCGTAACGTGACCCCCTCCACCGTCTCCTCAAGACCCTCAAGTCTCTTTCCAAACTGCACAATCTCCGGGGGAATCAACTCCACCAACGCATCGAGAAAGTCTGCCCGGCGCAAGGTCGTCTGGCCCGACGGCAGCGCCTTTAGATTCATCAAAGTCTCACCCTCCCGGGCCCCGCTGGCCCAAACGATCTCAAACCATGTTTGTCGAAACTGCTCAAAGCCAGGGCTATCGGCATGAGTGGTGACGAGCGAGTCATAGATATCTCGAATCTGTGGATCAATGAGGGGCATAGTCCGGTGAGCGGCAGGACCGATGGACAGGCCGAGTCCGATCTCCGCGAAGACGGGGGCGGCTTCATAGATGCGAACGGGCACTTTGCGTCGCAAGAGGCCGGCGGCGAGCACGAGGCCGCCGATTCCCCCGCCGACAATGGAGACGGTGAAGTCTTTGGATGGTTCTGTGCTGCCCATTTTTTGATTCCTTTTTCTCTCTATTTCTTTTGCTTGTCGAGAGAGACAGATCTGGTAATGATCGTTAAGCTTTTCGTGTGGCTACAGGGGGCTGGGAATGTGCGTCAATATCACAGCCCAGGCTATGTGGAGTTCAGGGCAGTCCCAGTGACAACTCAGGACGTGGTATGATTTGGGGCCAATTCGTTCGTGGCGAGAGTGTGTACCTTTTCTCGTAATTGTAATCAAACTCGGCCGTGGTCCAGCCGGCCTTGCACCGTAAAAGCGGAGATCTCCGAGTGATCCGTGAGAGGGTAGGGAAGATACCCACGAGGGGCATCCATGATTCGCATTCTCCCAGACATGAGGTCGTATTATGACAGGGATCCTGTGGAGTCCAGAGTTCGACGGCGTCGGGCCGTGTGGGGCAATTTGAAGGGTTCGCCCAGACAATTATATTTATATGACTTCTATGGATGGTAAATGTAATTAATTATACCTTTTTTATATGAAAAAGATTCACAAAATGTAATAAAGAAGAGACATTTCCCCTAAAGAATTGCAACGTAAGATCCATATTGGGAACAGGGTCCTGCCTCGGCATGCTTCGTTTTGCTTGTACAAGCCTCAAGGTATCTCTGTTGATTAAATCGAAATTCTTCTACCTAGATTCCCCTTCGGCAGTTTCTGGACTTAATTAAAAATTTTTTGGCGGTTTTCAATTTTTTTTTTCCCTCATTCTCTTTTGTTTCGCTTCCTGGTCTCAGCGATAAAACAAAAGTTATGGCGGCCCCTGCTCCATAACCCTCGCAATTCCTTGTATATTGCTACCACATGGCATACCCTATGGAGAGGCCAATAGACCCATCCGTTGAAGATGTCTCTAGAGCGTCGATGGTTACAGTCCCGACCATTGTCACCACCGTCATAGCCCTAATTCTCACATTATTACGGTTATACGTGCGTCGATACATGATCCGGATGCTGTCATGGGACGACTGCTTTAATGTGTTTGCCATGGTGAATCTTCGAGCTTATGGGCCATGCATACTCCATATGGTTGTCTAACTCAATGCCATTGCAGGTGACACAACTGATTGTTCTGGGGCTGATCCTTGGAGCAACGTCGCACGGCTTCGGACGACATGCAACTTTGGTGGGTCACGATAACACGACCTACAGTATGAAGCTATTGCGGATTGCCGAGTTCTTCTTGATCTTTACAACAATCTTTCTCAAAATCTCAATTAGTCTGTTCCTCAAAAGACTCTTGTAAGTATCGACCCTGAGAGAGGAATCCCAGCCATGCCGTGGTTAATGATCCTGGTTCTAGTCTCAAAAGCAAGAAATGGAAGACCTTCTTCTGGTGCTTCATCGCCTTCAATACCATCACCAGTGCACTCGATGCGGCCTTCATCTTTCCTCAATGTACTCCGGTTGAACTAAACTGGGACAAGACTGTGGAGGGACATTGTTGGTCCCCTACTGCCATCGATGCGATTGGCATCGCCCAAGGATGTACGACGCTAACCCTTAGAGTTACGACATAAGCTAACACTTGTGTGTAGCGATTGCTGCGGTCACAGACTTTGCTTTATCCATTCTACCGATTGTTTTTTTATGGAACGTCAAGCTCCCCAAAAGAGTCAAAGTGGGCATATGCGGAATTATGGCTCTGGGCTTCGCGTGAGTTTATGTCGCTGAGGTTACAATGTTTAAAGAAGATAGCTAATCGTAAGATCGGTCCATCAGGAGTGGCGCTTTTGCAATTGCTCGCACTGCACTCGTTCCCAGTTTATTGAAGACGGACGATCCAACGTGTAAGTAGGCCTCTTGTTCGCAGCAGTCGGATAGAGTTTTGATTGATGGACTCATAATCTAGGGGATCTGGTCGACCTATTCTTGTGGGCCGTGTAAGTTGTCATTAGCTATCCGGCATCTCAGCAACTGAGGAGCTCGCGCTAACTTGTCTACACCATAGATTAGAGGCGACATTTGGAATTATCGCCGCCGCCGCTCCATCTGTCCGACCGCTCATCGGCCACAACTCCGTGACTACAAACTATTACTCTCGTTCCAAATCGCATTCTCTACCACTCCGGAACACACGCACAGGAAGAACCTCCCGAATCGATTGGGGCCATAGTGCATATGATACGAGGAATGAACCAGACGAGAGAGATGAATACATTGGGGACAACGAGTCACAGCTACACCTAGATGACCGGGGAATCATGAAAACAACGTCTATCGAGGTGGTCACGACTCTAGGGGCAGCCCTGGAGAGCGAAACGGATGGGAGGCCAACGTCGGAGGAGAGCTCCGACCGAAGATATGTCTAGACGCAAAAATAGAATTACAATGCGATCTGATCTGAATTCGAAACAAACACTCCACTTGGTCAGACTGGAAATGAATACAAGCCAATAAAGATCCATCACCACCAGTAGTAATAAGCGTTGCTAGTATCTTTTAGTTTCGCGCCATCTCGTGCACTAACAAACCCTAACTGCGGACCCGTCGCCCTTTGGTCGCCCGCGGAATGCGAGCCGGGTCCAAGTAAGCATTTCCACCGATCGCGTAGAGATTTCTACCTGAGACGGGCAGTTAATGGATTTCTATTGATACTGCGGATCCCAAACGCCGCAGTGAGCATGAGGCCGAGGTTACATCGGCACATTCAGTCATGCAGGGGGTTACCATTGCTCTTCGCTTCTCCCTAGTGTAATTTACTACGCAAATAATCCTTGTAGGGGAGACTCTCATGAATAACAAATTCTGTAAATTAACGGTTTTAGTATAAATCACATGTTCTGCAGCTCATTAAAATAAAATCTTCAGACTGATAACCCCTTTTGCTTTTTCTCCTTCTCTATCACCCTCTGATAAGCTCTCTGCAACTGGTTACACATTTACCATGTCTGCGATGGACCCGGAGGACAAGTATCCCTCGTCGAATGTGAGGGTCGCAACTGGAAGTGATGAATCTTCCAAACAGTCCAAGAAGGATGATCATGGAATCGTTCTTATTCCTCAACCGACCGATGACCCGGAAGATCCATTAGTATGTAAACCAAGCTTGAGCATCCGCGTACTATGCCTGAAGATGGATCTCTAACTGTGCATCAGAACTGGCCCCTCCCCAAGAAGATTCTCATCTTCGCCTGTATCTGCTTGGCCGGTTTCGCGGGTCAGATGTCGCCCAATTCGAACCAGCTCACCTTCGTTTACCAAATCCCAGCATACCACAAGACTCAAACCGACCTCCTCAACTCAGTCGCAGCAGGGCTGGCAGGATGGGTCGCAGGCCCATTCTTTATTGTCCCTCTTGTGGCCGTGGTCGGTCGCAGCTCGGTAGTGCTCTGGAGTCTGGTGGCCATCTTTGTCTGTCAGATCTGGGCTGCCGAGATGACGGGTCCGAATGACTACATTTCATTCACCATCTCCCGACTCTTCTGTGGTATGTTCGGCGGTATCCCTGCTATTCTGGGTAGCGGCTACATTATGGATATGTTCTTTCTCCACCAGCGGGGTAAGGCATTTGCCATCTTCGAAGTCCTTATCATCTTTGCTGTAGTCGGTGGCGGTACACTAGGCGGTTTCATTGCGGAGCATAAGCCTTGGAACTATGTTTTTTGGTGGACTTTAGGCCCTGTTGGCGCTGCCATTCTCGCTGTGTTCTTCTTCGTTGAGGATACCACTTTCCTTAGGGACCCTTCAATGCCAAAACGCGCTGCCCTTCCAAAGGGCTGGCTTGCAAATCGCATCGCCACCTATTTACCGGGGTCGAGAACGCAGCCCTCAGGCAAGGGTAAAGAGTTTGTATGCTTTCTTCACAATGTCTCACTACTCAGGCTTTAGATAGCTGACAATAAACCAAGGTCCGAAAAGCAATCATCCCCCTCCAGATCACCTTCACCCCCATCACCCTCCTAACAGGAACCTACATTTTCATCGCCCTCGGCCTCCCCATCATGCAAGCCTCCACACTCGCCACCTACCTGGAGCCCCCAGAGGAAGCAGGCGGCTACGGCTTCTCCTCCCTCCAAATGGCCTTCTTCACCATGACAGCCTGGGTAGGAATCATCAGCGCCCAAGTCTACGGCTTCTTCTTCAACGACAAGACGCCCCTCTGGCTTGCCCGTCGCCGCGGCGGAACCTGGCACACAGAGTACCGGCTCTCCAACACGATCCTACCCAGCATCATCCTCCCCATCGGACTGGGCATCTACGGCGCCGGTCTTGAATACCACCTACATTTCATGGTTCTAGCTCTGGGCTCATTCCTAGTCTGGTTCGGCGCTATGCTCGCTCTCCCCGTCTGTTATAATTATATCATAGAGTGCTTCCTGAATAATCCCGTCGAGGCATCGGTGTCGCTGAACGCATACCGGGTCTCGTTCGGACTGATGTCCGTGTTCATCGTCACGCAGTGGCAGTCTTCTGTGGGTGTAGGCTGGATGTGGGGCATGGGGGCGTTTCTGATTATTTTTGTCGATCTTATTATGGCGGGGATTATTCTGAAGGGCCATTTGGTTAGGAAGTGGACTTCGACGTTGAGTAGTTCCTTGGATGTTACGGAGGATGGGGAAAATATTAGTGCGAAGAAGGTGGATGGGGTATGAGATTTGATGGCTCTGAATTCTCTTGGGGGATTATATTGATGGGACTGTCCAAAAGTTCTTGTAATTTTAGATAGATCATAGATTAGTTGTTTCATGGGGAGATTATATAGCCTAAAGTGGTGTCAAGGTGGTTTTGTTCGAGCTCTTTCGCATAGTATTCTTATTACCTTCCAACCATGTTCGTGTTCCAGGGATTGGTCATCCACAAATTATAAAGATTTAGATAGCAGTGCTCTGCTTCTCTAGAATGGTTAAGTTTCAGGCGCTGGAACGCGGAGAATGATAACTCTGAGAAAATTAGAACACAGGCGCGTTTTTAGCCTGGTATATACAGCAGCCATGCAGGAACAGTAGTTTGAAAGAGTACAAACCAAGGAATAAGAGCCGGGATACAAGTTATTTAACCCATGGATAGCCATCCACCAGATGACCCCATTGGTTAAGCAAGGTCACAGAAGCACAACACTCCTATTTTTGGGTACAATTAATGGAATACATGACTCGAGTGAGAAATAGGAAAACTGAGGTTGATATGCCAAGTCACATGGTCCAGGAAACCATGCCTCATAGGGACTAGAGTTTATGCCAATCGGAATACAATTGTACCCTGTGGGATTACTTACTACTAGTTCACCGACCTCTTCCTCTCCTTTGCTGCTGCGCTGCTAACTACAATGCGCCTAATTCACACAGAGCGGTTACAGCTCGAAGAATTCACGGATGATATCCCACCTTACGCGATTCTCTCGCATAGATGGGGAAAGCAGGAGGTTTCGTTCCAAGATATACTTAATCGAAACCAACATGCGGAAGGCTACAGAAAAGTGGAACGATTCTGTGAAGTAGCCAATCAAAATGGCTTTGAGTATGCCTGGATTGACACTTGTTGCATCAACAAAGAAAGTAGCGCTGAGCTGTCCGAAGCAATCAACTCAATGTTTAGATGGTATGAATCGGCCGGACGGTGTTATGCCTACCTCTACGATATCTCATCTGATGGGGACCAGTCTGATTTGTCCACCAAGATTAGGAGCAGTGAATACTTCAAGCGAGGTTGGACTCTACAAGAGCTAATCGCCCCACCAGATGTGCGCTTGCTTGCAGATGACTGGAGTGAAATAGGTTCAAGAGACTCTTGGTGTTCTTTAATACACGACATCACCAATATAGATGAATCAATTCTGCGAGGGTCGGCGCAATTGTCTGGTTTCAGCATTGCCAGACGAATGTCATGGGCCGCTGGGAGGAAGACGACACGAACTGAAGATGTAGCATACTGTCTCATGGGAATATTCCACGTTAATATGCCATTACTCTATGGAGAGGGCGAGAAGGCCTTTGTCAGATTACAAGAAGAGATCATGAAGGAGTCAGCTGACCAGACACTTTTCGCATGGGAAGCACGTGAGACTTCCGAGAGACTTGCAACTGGCTTGCTTGCACAATCGCCCGCCGACTTCAAAAACTCCGGGGATATCGTACCTTTTTACTTCTCGAAGAAGGATGCTGCTCCCTTCTCGGTAACGAACCGAGGCATACGGCTACATTTGCCCTTCTATAACAACCTGCTGGTGAAAGACATACTGGTTCTTGAGTGTCAGGACACTGCACAAAGCTATAGAACCCTTGTGGGCATTTACTTGCTGCCGAGTCCTGCCGGGCAGCTTCAATATATGAGACATAACTCTAGACTCAACAGGGCAATACCGCTGGGTAAGATGCGTCACGTCAAGGCTCAAACGATATATGTTCTAAAAACCTCTAACGGTGAAGGAGGGAGCTCTCTGCTACATGAACATAAGCCGTACCATTATACAGAACCACGCCTCCGTAAGGAGATAGGTCAATCAGGAGAGCTTCCGAAAAAGCTTATTCTTTGTTTCGACGGGGGAATTACTAGATATGACGCAAAACATCAATCCAATATTGAAAAAATCCATGATATGCTCTATGGAACTAACGGCTCCCAGCTTTGCCATTACCAACGAGTCAATTCTGATCGTGCTAGTGACTTTATAGCGTGTATGGATGATGGATACACTGTAGGCTACTCTATTAGCCTAATGAATGCCAAACCGCTAATGATACTTTCAATAGTGGCTGGTAGATTACTACAACGTTGGCGATGAGATTTTCCTTTTTGGCTTCTCTCACGGGGCCTACATGGCTCAGGCACTTGCGAAAATGCTTCAATTTATTGGGATCTTACCTGAAAGCAACGGAAGGTTCAAAGCTGTCTGGGAGATCTATCAACACTGGAATAATTACGCCTTGAGAGCCGAGCCTGATGAAATGTGGGAAGAAAGGGAAAGCTATTTTAAAATGAAGGAGTTTAGGGAAAGATTCTGCAAGCCAGCCAACTTGATCCCATTTCTTGGTCTATTCGACACGACTGTCATCCGACCTAGATTTCTCAAAGAAGAAGACGAGCAAACTCCAATAGCCTCAGAAATCTCAAAGTCAGCCGGCACCATCTGTCACGCGGTGTCAATAGATGAATATCAGGCTGCATTACGCCCAATCCTCCTGAGAGAAGAGCTGGGCGATGGGCTGCGCATGAAAGGTATTAAGCAAGTTTGGTTCCCGGGTGGCCATGCTGTAAGTACTTATCATTGATGTTATGATCCTCCCTTTGCTCATTTCCGTAGGATATTGGCGGGCTCGTGCCTCTAGAGCCCGGTGAGTTTTGGAGTCTCGGCCACATCCCTCTGGTCTGGATGGTACGCGAGGCCACAAAAGCCGGTCTATCATTCAGACTCACCACACAGTTCGGATGTGATGAGCATACACAAGTCAGCCCGCTCAATCTAACCAATATAATGGAGAGTGGCATTCTAAGTGAACAGTACAACGCATACAGAGTGAGCCCAGAGTCGGTATTTTCTACTGATCAATTGAAAGACTCGCTGCATCTTGCGTCCATACAAGGACACTTACACAACTCCGTAGGCCGCCAGCACACGATCAAGCGAGAGATAGCCCAAGCTCTTCTTCCTTATGCCGCATACCGAAAGCTGCCCTTTACAAAGCCTCGGGATCTTCCACTCTTTGCTAAAGTGCATGCTTCTGCTATCCGCAGAATGACCCTGAGATCAAGCGATTACCGTCCTGCTAATGTGATCATGAATCGCGAACCGGGGAGAAACACGACCTTATATTCAGCGTATAAAAAGAAATCCTTGATCACATTCACCGGTTTTGGCGATATGATTGGGCAATGCTACATTGTTGTCAACAAAGCTGAAGCTCGGTCAATTGCGCCAGTCTGATACGGATTCGATTCCAGAATATGCCATGATGCAACCCTTTCCGCCTATAGGATGGAAAAGGTACTCTAGTACTTTTAAGGATCGAATGAGGGTGCCTCTGGGGCCTTTCCCATTCACTAACCCGCCAGGTACTGCATTTAGATGTCCTCGTTCTGTCAGGACCTCTATTGCCATTGGCCGTTTCAACATCCTAGCAAAAAGAACAAAGGCACGGGCGAAGACTTCACTCACTAGGAATCGTGCGCAAAATTTAGCCTTGCTAAACACGCACTGGCCAGCCTGACATCATGCAGCCTCTGTATCTACGATAAAATTCCCCAAGTCTACCAATTTACACCGAGGAATTTTTACTTTCTGGTGTTTTTAATCTTGCCTCCTTCTGGGCAATGCCTTCTAATCACTCACTCTTGTCGCGCCTTTCCGGAATGTTCCGCATGGCTATCATATCTACTATGAGCCTTTTCTATGGACGAGAGCTGTGGTATCACTGGTGACTAGAACGTTCCTTTTTTGACCAAAATATGCCGTTCTCGCAAACAGCTTAAATTAGAGTATTCTCACCTAGGATATGCCTATACATACAATGGGTGTGGAAAACTGTATCGCAAGAGAGGCATCTAGTGTCTAGGAAACTTTCAACCTCTCAGTGTCATTAGAAATCATCTATATACGTCTGCTCATATATACACGTTGAAGTGATCTACTCAGAGTAACTATCAATCATACCCTTAGGCAGTGTAATCTCCCCGCTGCTGCAGGTTCTTAATGCGACCAAGCAAGAACTCCAGCTGGCGGTATCCGGCGCCAGGGGCATACTGGGGAATTTCTAAATTTATTGTCAATATTATGATCCAGGCTAGTCACCAATAGTTAATATGGAGCTTACCGTGACCAGACAGGTAGACACTGGAGAAGGTCAATCCACGCTCTGTGTGGGCTGTGCCCAAATATCCGGCGCCGGCATCCAGGTTGAAGGGTTGTGGGGGGTTACCGTAGGCGAGCTCCGCCAGGCCGTAATGGTAAGGGACGAAAAGAGGTTCGACGGGGGGCTTCTGGAACCCTTGGGCGCCGTTCCAAGTCATATTCTGGATAGTCACCAGCGATCCGTTCAGGAAGAGGAGGTAATCGAGCCACCCGTGACCGATGATGGTGTTGTTCGTCCGCTCAATCACGCTGGGAAGGGGGCCCAGGGCACTGGGGGGAGATTGATCACCATGCTTGAAGATAGTGGTTTCCCCACAGACTGAGTAATCTGTGTGAGGGACGTGAAGGGCCTTTTGAACGTCGGTGCGGTTGAAGTAGTTGTTGGGCCCGCCTGCAAGGGAAGGGAAGCCCATCTCACTCCAGAGGTAAGGACAGAAGTCGGTGAGATGGTAAATGTTGAAGCAAGGGTTGACATTATAAGCGGCAGCAATAATGTCGTCCCAGATAGCGCACTCAGAGGTCACCTTCGGAGCGGCAGGGAAGTCCTTCGGCGGAGGATATGTCAATGCTTCATCAAGGAACTTGTTGTAGCCGCACTTGTCAGCGCGGGAGTTAACGTCGGCCAGAAAGGTCTCGTTCAGCGCGAAAACACTCGCAAAATGATTCAAATGCCTAACAGCCGGGGCTGTGATGGTGTCAGAATAACCCTTGCTCTCGGTTGCAAAAGATCTACGTGAGCCGTACCGTAAATCATCACCGAGTCATCGTTGATAGAGGGATCATTAATCTGGATACCCTTCACATTGAAATACTTGGTGTTCTTCTCATCCAACATTGCTGAGGCGATATACGGAATGTATTGCCCGGCATAGCTCTCACCAGTAAGGTACACCTTGCGGCCGTGCAGGGCAAAAGTGTCGACAAAGTGCTTGAACCAGCTTTTGAATTGGGCAGCAACTCCTTCCTCGTCGTTCACGGTAGACGGACCTGGGGAAAAGCCCGTTCCAGCTGGCTGGTCAATATACACCACGTTCGTCAAGTTGGTCCACGAGTATGGGTTCCGAATAGGCTTATATGTTCCAGGAAGCCACAGGAAGGGGCCATTTTCCTGCAGTAACCCATCGAGTGAACTGCATCCGGGGCCACCGTTCAGCCAAATTGTGATCTAGAGATCTGTCAGATCCAACGTCGTTCGGTCAGAACTCGCTTTCAAAGCATACCTCATCATTCGCTTTCGGGTTCTCAGAAGGGAAAAACCAGAAAAAGAGGCTGGAATTTCCAGCGGGCGAATTGGGAAGGAGACCTGCGTAAGACTCTCCAACGTCAAAGTCCACTTCTGGGATGCTAGTACCGTTGACAAGGAACCCTAGACAACACAAAGGCACATCAGCATAATCAATCCAGATTTCTTAGAATAATATAGCACTGACTTTGAGTCTTGTTGGTCAAGTACTTGTAGTCTTCGTCACGTGTAACTGTGAGAGCCCGAGTAGACAGTGTCTTGTGCTGGTGAGCTCTCTGGATAGCTTTGGCTTTATGATGGGGATTCTGCAGGCCGACAGCGGAGCCGACCAGCAGGAGAGAAGCGATGGCTGTTGCAGCACGCATCGTGGATAAACTTGGCTGAGTGAGCAGGATCCCTTGGGTGCAACTTCATGATGGTCGATCGGCAGGGGCACCGCACTCTTTTAAACCGCGAGAAACGAGGGTGCGGTAGGCAGACACCATTTGATCGACATGATTAGGGTGGAGAAGCTTGTGTCCGACGGAAGGCTGCCATTGTCTGCAAGCGTTGGGCTTACTTGGGAGAAGCTTTCAGGGTTGGAGTCAATCATTCCTCGATCGGGAAGGTAACTGTGGGAAGCTCAGAGATCCAGCGGGATACGCCGACGGGGATCCGACTGTTGGCCAACCGAAAGCTGTCGTGGTAATCTAAATATTGGTGACCTATTTCGCCGGCCATTCCGGATGGTACTGAATTGGGGTTGCATGTGGAGCTCTAGCGGATGCAACAGTCGGCTATTGAGGTCAATTAAGCAAGGATAGTAAGTATATCACGACATACTGACCCACATCTGCAGTGATAAAACATCACCACTCACTTGTCATGGTGAAATCTGTGGAGTTCCTTTTCATTTCCCCTCATGCGAGGGAGAGCAAGATAGGAAGAAGACAACAATTGCATTGAGTAATGGAAAAAGAACAAACAAACCACGCAAACATATCACGATGGGAGCTGACAAATTTCTCGAACACGCCATGCCAGAATTTAATAACACACTTGCTGGTCACCAGCGATCATATCACGTCATGCAATATACAGTTGTTCATTCTCAGATTCGAGGCCTTTGTTCCGAAGGCACAGACTTATCATTGATGATTCCCAATGTCATATGACGTATACAAATATGTTCAGTAAATACAGGCATTTTGTGAACCGACAAAGACCCCTAGATGCTAAACTCGCCTCAAACTCCTGGTATAACCGCCCCGTCAAAAGACACTCAAATGATATCATACAAATAATGAGCTATTGGGCGCAATCCCCTCAAGCCCAGACTCCCCATCAATGATCGGCCGAAGTCTCCGGATCCGATCGTCGAGAATCAGACTCTCTGCTTCCCATCTTTTTCGTTCTAGGGACTTGGCATCGATCTGCTTCTGGCCGCCAAACCAGGAGTGTTCCGCTTTCTGAATGCTCTCCAGCTCTTCCCTTTCGGCCTGGGCAACAAGCCTAGAAACCATCGTCTTCCAATTATCCAAGCCCACGCGGAGACATTCCGCGCAGCGGTGGTGAGTAGGGTCCTTGGACTCGCCTAGTTCAAAAACGGTGGCTTCGGCCGTGTCGACGGCCTCGCGGGTCCAGGCAAGCCCGGTCTCCTTGGAGGACGAAGCATAGATAATCTCGCCAATATATGTCATGAGCCCTGCCTCGTCGCAGACAGATGAAGCAGTTCGGAGTGGAGGCTCATCTCCAGATGGGAGAGGTGCGGGGTACTCAACAGGGACCAGCATGATCTTGATGGAGTTGAAAAGGGAACGGAAAGGGTCATTAGACTTGTGTAGAGATGGGAGTTTGGGGATGATTGCGCCAGAGGGTGGCGGTGGTAGAGAACGGCGAGTTTTCAGTATGGAGGTGAAAACGGACAGGGCGGTGGGAAGGTTACCATGCCGGGCATGATGAACCGCAAGCGCGGTCGAGACACGTATAATATTTTCCGATGGCAATGTTTTGCCATCGTGTTTGAGGACGCCCGTTTTCACATCCACCACTTTTCCAGCGTCGGTCGGGAACCCAGAGGCAGCGATGTCCATTGCCCAGTTGTACATATCGCTCGCAGTACCTTGCAAGCCCTTATAATCCAGCCAGTCCGCATAGGCAAGCGCGGCATCAAGCTTCTGCCGAGTGTCAAATCCACGCGTAGTCAGAATCTTCATGTAGAAGACCTCCGGGCTTGGAGAAGCAGGCTCGCAATTCTCCTCCTGTGGCACCTTTTTCTGCTTCGCAGGCATAGGTTTCGGGCGGGGATTAGAGGGACCAACAACATATTCGGCCGGCGCAGAGATGCGTTGCTTCCGATCTGTCAACCATCCCTCAAGGTTCTCCGCGGCTTTCGCGGCGCCCATAAGCGCCTGGAAGTACCCCCTTCGCCACGGTTCACTCTTACTGGACACGTCGAATCCTGTCTTTCCAACACCCTCAACTAGGAATCCGCCATCGCCTTGTTCAACAATTCCCTTACCCTCACCCTCGGGATCTTCCAATCGCTGCAGCAATTCCTTCAGGTACCCTGCAACCATTGGCCAATTGGTCATCAGCTTCCCGATCTCCTCCGGATGTTGCAGGGCTTGCGCAGACCGCAAACACCACCGGCTCTTCCATGACCATTCTGGTGGCGTAGGCCATTGGTGTTCGATTTCTTCTTGATAGACGCCCAGCTTGATTACCTGAAACAAGACCAGGATGGCGTAAAACGACAGACCGATACGGAGGCCGCGCGAAATACGACGTTTGTAATGTTCGCGACTTTCCGTAGAAATTAACCGCGCAACATGCTGTCGGAGATGAATGGAATATGGCGGAAGAGGGCGACTGCCCGCTAACGGAGAGAGGAAGGGTAGCTGTGGTCTGAGGTATGGAGGGGATACCAGTTGGAGTCGAGACTTTTGGGTGAATGGGCGCGAAGAATGGCGTAAAACATAGCGGCCGGGTATCCGAAACGGACGAGTGGCAGGAATCCGGCTAACAGGAAGGCGAGGAGGTAGCATCTCTTACGCTTTGTAGGTATTGTGTCGAGATGTTCTCGAGGACCGTCAATTCCGCTTTTCTGCGGTTGGAGATCAACCAGTCTGTTTGCACTGTTTGCATAAATTGCGGAGTGCAAGTAATGCCGATGCAACCAGACCAATGGCAATCAAAAGTACTACAGAAACAATGACAGTCGAAGTTTTAGCAAAGAAACACAGGGACTACGGTTTTCGGTAGTAACAGTGGCATCATGTCTATCACGTCCTGCCGATTGTGACGGGACGCGCTCCCGTATACATATTAGTAAACTTTGAGTGACATCATAGGGAATCAAAGATAGTCCATTAAAGCAATACATTCTATGATATCTTTCCAATATTCAGTTCAAAGTCCCTCTAAACTTCATGACAACAAGAAATCCATCCCAAAACACCTTTAAGCGCGGTCAAAGAAGCCCTCAGTCTCAAGCAGAAGGATGATCTCGTGGACAATGCTGCGAACAGTCTGCTTAGAGAGATCGACAGTGAGATCAGCGCGGGTAGGAGTCTCATAAGGATCATCAACACCAGTGAAGCCCTTGACCTCGCCGGCACGGGCCTTGGCGTAGATGCCGCGCTTGTCGGTCTTCTCGCAGTATTCCAGAGGAGTAGCGACGTGGACCAAGAAGAAGGAGCCGTGCTGAGAGACAGCCTCACGGGCGGCCTTCCGAGAATGCTCATAAGGAGCAATGGGAGCAGCAATAACCGCAGCACCGGCCTTTGTCAGCTCACTGGCAACGAAGGCAATACGTTGAATGTTGGTGTGGCGGTCCTCACGGCTGAAGCCCAATTCCGAGGAGAGCTCGTGGCGGACAGTGTCACCCAGAAGGAGAGAGACTGCACGACCACCCTGCTGGTTCAGGGTGACCTGCAGAGCACGAGCAATAGCGTCCTTGCCGGAGTTCATGTAACCAGTAAGGAAGATGGTAAATCCTTGGGTGGCGCGTGGGGGGCTAGATTCGCGCAGGATCTTAACAACCTCGGGGTAGGAGAACCACTCCGGAATGTGGGCACCAGTGCGGAGGCGATTACGAAGCTCAGTGCCGGAGATGTCCAGGGTCTTGACACCGGCAGGGACCTCATCCTTGGGCTTGTATTCATCGGTGTCGGGCAGGTATGTGACCTGCTGGAACTCGACAACCTCGATACCCAGCTCGTCCCTGTACTTCTCGACAGCGTGCTGGGCGTCGTACGGCCCGTAGAATTCCTCGCCCTTGGAATTCTTACCGGGACCGGCGTGGTCACGGCCGACGATGAAGTGGGTAGCACCGTGGTTCTTACGGATGATGGCGTGCCAGATGGCCTCACGGGGACCACCCATACGCATGGCAAGGGGCAGCAGACCAAGGACTGCCATTCCGTTAGGGTAGCGGGGCAAGAGAGCCTGGTAAGCACGGACACGGGTGAAGTGGTCAATGTCACCGGGCTTGGTAAGACCGACAACGGGGTGGATCAGGACGTTGGCCTGGCGAGCACGAGCCGCACGGACGGTCAGCTCACGGTGAGCTCTGTGCATGGGGTTTCTGCGGTTGACCGTTAATACACGGCCGTACAGGGTTACGTTCGATGAAAGTACCTAGTCTGGAAAGCGACAACTCGGTTCCAGCCGAGCTTATCAAAGTGGATGCGCAGCTCCGCGGGTGTGTCTTGAAACACGTTAGCACTCGAGATCAAGGTGTTCAATCGCATACGGGCAGCAAAACCTACAGCGCAGGGCAACATAGTCGTAGTGGTTCAGCTTGTTGACGGCCTCGATCTTTCCACCAATGTAGAACTCCTCAACCTTGGTGTTGAGATACTTGATAGCAGGGTGCTCAGCATCACCGCCAAAGACCAGCTTGGCTTCCTTCTCCCTATAGCAGTGGGAACAGATTGTCAGTCACTAATACCCTGCCATATGGGAGAGCTCCATTGAGTCACTGTCGGATCATCAAGAATGATTGCCTGGGCCACCAGACAAGCACATCAATGGGTTGTAATCGCCAAGGGCAAGAACCCGAGTCAAAAGCGCAGAACGGAGGAGTCGACTCACTTGTCAGCACGGTAGATATCGTCGATAGTCAGGATGGCCAGATTGCGGTCATCACGGAAGTCGCGAAGTGTGACACGAGAGCCGGCCTGCAGCTTGCTTTCGCTGATAGCCTGCTGGGAGGCATCGAGGGTAATGGGCATGGAGAAAAGGTTCCCATCGGCAAGACGGCAGTTCTCACAGACACTAGAGGGGTAATCCATTAGCGCTTAGCTCCAATTATTTGAATTTTTTCCCCCTCCAAGACCGTCAATGAGTCTCTCTTTCTTCTTTCCGAGCTACGATTGGTCCTCTTGGGGTATACGAAGATAGTGCAGCATACCTGTCGAAATCCTTCTGGTTCATGAAGCCTGCGGGGAGATTTCGGAGTCAGCCACCAAGTCAACTTTCCAACCCCACCATATGCCAAGCGCTGTCGCAATAAGACCAAGAAAAAGGATCATTATGGAATTCAAAGCATACCCTCAAGGGGACTGAAACCACCGTTCATGATCAGTTCAAGATCACAGAGCTGGCGCTCAGTGAGGACAATAGCGGGCAGAGTCTCCGCCTCTGCGGCCAACTGGTCGTGGCGGGGAGCATCGCGGGCAAGAAGGTCCTTGAGGACACCACCGTGAGGAGAGTTGGCCATTTCGCAGATGTGAATAGATTGACCTTTACAGTATACACAAGAAAAAATTGAAGAGAGAAAAGAAAAAGAAAAAGAAAGAAAAAAGACAGTAGGAGGGTGAGGGTTTGGAGAAATAAAACAGGAAGAGAAGGTAGCGGGAGGGGAAGAAGTAGTAGTAGTAATAAGAAAATAGTGGGGGGAAGGGAGAATTTAATGCAGAAGCCGATGGATTGATTTTAAAAGAAAAAAAAGGTTCAACCCAAGGAACCTTTCCTTTCAGACGGATTGAATGGATATCTCCAAGGAGGTACAAGGCAAACGTGGAGTTCTCGAATCCCCAATTGCCTCGTTCCAGGCAAATCCAAGTAAAGTCGTCAGGCTGTGGAGCATCCCAAGTCTTGGAAGACGTAGGCCGATGGAGTCGTGAAGATGCTGATACTCCATCCCCATCGTCTCTTTGGTCTTGCCTTTTTTCTTTTGTTTTTCTCTCTCCAATCCACTCGATTAATTTTACTTTTCTATTCTAAGAATACTCTTTACTCCCTTTCCTATCCTTTTCCTTGGTTCGCCCACGTCTGTTCACTGCCGTCGGCCATCCATATCTACTTGGTATACAAGCATCTGATATCGCCGGTATTGAATCCTAGAACGTATCATTTTTCACTTTTTATTTCGCGATTTTTTTCTATTAGTCTGAAACTTGTCGTATTCCAGCTTATCCCACTCCCCATGACCTTCGCTGCCTATACTGAAGCTTCAAATGACCGTCTCCCTCGGCTGAAAAGGATCATCAAACCGAGACGAGTCATGATTTTCAGGGGCGCGCAATGGATCCTTAACAAACAGATTTTTTGTTTTCGTAGTCCGGAGAAAAATGCCACACATACACATACGACGAAGAGTTACATTCAGCCAAACTCGTATTGAGGCCGAATTGCTCATCCAAGAAGCGAGATCGGATCGACAGGTACTCAAATGCCGGAATCCCAAAGTAATATCAAGTATCACGACATTCTCCACGCGGCTTGCGTGATTGCTTCCTCCCTTTAGGTTTAGTCACTCTTGGCACCCCCATATGGCAGGGCGGATCAGGTGATCTGCACGGCCCTAAAGCTGCAACCGGATTTCCGCTCCGAAGCCGACGGCTGACGTATAATATATCTGGTCACAGCTTCCGTTTCACCGTCGGCAGATTGGTCAAGGTTATCATATCAGCCTCTTATATATAATCGGAAGCTGTGATGCCAAAGCGACACGTGAACAAATATTATTCCGGTCGTGTATCCTCCGCAGTCTAGATGACGATCTGCTTTTCAAGTCCCCCGCAGAAACGTCATATTAATTGAAGATAGTCGTCAGCAACGGCCGTTTCATACACATGAGACGACATTTGCCCAGGGTCTTTATCAATGAAGTACCCCTGCCAAGAAACCCATGGAACCCTACCCGCAATACCTCTCCCGCTTGCTTCCGTTCGGCGAGTGGACTGCTGCTCACTCACAGTATCCATGTGATCGTGCTTAACTCGTGGCACTGGTAAAATGGATTCACCCTGCGAGACACTTCATCTGCGCTCAATGCCTCATGCAATCTGAGACATCTGGAGTACAATATGCACAAAGCGATTTTGTTTCGGTTTGGAGCTGCCAGGACTCTATCAAATGCTCCGCACTCCCTACTATTACGTGCTGAGTAACTAAGTGGAGCGGGATGACATGTTTATAATCTAGCTCTACCGTACCGTTATAGCGAAGTGTTTCTCGGCAGGGGCCTCATATCACGGAATAGACATCCGAGCTCTGAGAAGCTTTCAGAGCATCACTAACCCCCTAGGGATAGGTAGTCTGGCCCCAGGCCAATATTGACCCTACTCCATATAGACCATATACACCAACGCCTCATCCGGCCGCACATCCCCCTTTGTCAGCCGGTCCCACCCTCCATCGAGTCCCTCCGTGCCCGTAACCCCTTTCCCCCAGACCAGACGCCTGTCAGGAACTGTGGACGCGCGGTCATCAAGCCATTGCTCCCACCGCCGGTGGATACGAGTGAAATATTCCTTCGGACCATCAGGCTCAATAGCCGCATCCTGAGCCCCGGAGGCATTAGACTGGATCTTTCCCAGCTGTTGTATGGCTGTAGACCAATCCCGGTTGTCAGCCTCAGTGTATACCTACTCAATAACGTTAGTGAACGGTTGCAGCACATTCCTCTTGTATTTACACCATACCTTCTGCTGGCCACTAACCAGGATGATCACAAACTTGGCACTCTGTATCTCCGGGTGGGCTTGCACCAGGTCGCGAAGTTGCACAAGCACATCCCCCGGGGCATCGCAATCAATAACCACCAGCTTAGACGGCTCCAGACGAGCCAGCCATAGCACAGTCTGATCCACATCAGAATACGCCAAGGCTTTTACTGGCCCAGTTACCAACTGATGCTTCGCAATCCGTTGCTCAGCGGCCTGCTCCAGAGTCTCCGGCACAGACGTAACCTGCAGAACACCCAACGGCCCTGTCCCAGGCGGGCGACACAAAAGATTAGACGTCAGGGAACGCGCCGTCTTAGTCGACACACCCAAGTTAACAACAACCGCAGTCGACAGAACCCCATCCTCCGCAGACCAATTGACCCCCGGCACAGTACCGAGAGGATGACAAGCTGGCCAAGCATGCGAGAAAAAAAATACTCGCTAGGCAGGTACCCAGCGCCCCAGATCGCGCGGAAAGCGGCAGTCCAAGCCATCTGCTCCCAATCATCTTCACTCACGGCCACGTAGCGATTATAGTACGTCATCAGCTGCTTGCGGTGCTCGCTGACCTCAATCCAGTGGCCGCTAGGTTTCCCGGGAACGAGCGTGAGGTCCGTCGGAAGGCCTGAGGTCGGCCAGAACCCCCACAGAGTCGACCCGAGCGCGATGTCCGTCGTGCTTTCGAGGACGGTGGCATACCCCCATGCCGGGACTATACCCCATGCTGATTAATCGTTGTACGGGGCGGGAGTTCCGCTTAGGACGGGGTATGTATCCCATCTTTTAGAGAATGAAACTTAGCATAACCCTGAGAAACGGTAGTCCGTAGCTCGTAACCTACGAACGAAGAATTTCGCCAGTACGTGCATAGGCGAGGTTATTAGAAATCAAACTAAGCAAAAGCGGTCGCACGCGGACCGATGAAGGCGACAAATCGGAAGCTGGAACCTCAACAGTTGATAACAGCATGTTGGCTGTTATCGGTTTCGAAAACGACGTGAACGGTCTCGGTTTGGGCCATATTACATAGGATATTCGGTTCTCGCTGGTCTTTTAGACTCTACGGCTCTTACCATATGCCCTTTGCCTCTTTTTGTACTCGTTTCCTTCTCATCATTATACGGACTGTAAGGTTCACTCACTTCTCGATTTCAGCCCCTTCTTAGCGCCTGGAAATCTGACGCTCAGTGGCAACCTCGTGTAGCTTGCGTATCGGATTATAGTGCACGATTGAGTGACTAACCAACTTTAAACCATGTCAGGGAAATAATCGAAAAGAGCTTAAGTCCATATGCGGGACCCCCAAACACAACCTTAGCTATGTATTTGTTAGTAGTTAACAACCCTATGGCCCAAGCTCTTAGTGTACCAGGATCGTGTGCACAACATGTAGGGATAGATTTGCTGTGCGAATGTCATGCTCAGCTCTAACGCTGATATACTAGTAGATGCTTATACGGAGTACCTAATAAGGTATTGCTAAATTAACTGCGGGTCTGGGCAACTGTTTAAATTCCAGAAATTTTCATTGATCTTTAGCGTTTCAACTACAAGAGTGGTTCATGTCTACTGGAAACCAAGTTTCTAGGGATTGAGCCCCACATGACTTTTTGAAACACCACAAAGTTCAAACTACCGATTATAAAAAATGGTTATTAAGACAGGATCAAGGTCGTGTTATTTTTATCATATTGATCATTATCATAATTGACCACTAGGCCATCTTTTGTAAACTAAATAAGAAAAATGCCACCCGCTATGTACAAGCTCCTTTCGGGAGTAGGGCTAGCATGAGGTAATCTTTTGTCCCCAGAAGTCATAACATGGTAAAGTCCATGCCCATATGAAAGAAAGGTAAATCAAAGCCGCATCGCTAGATATTGTAACTCCAATCCCAAACGCCATTATCGTTGCAACTCAAAAGGGCAAGAGACATTGTTCATTAGGCAGTGGTCAGTTGGTTCTGCAACGCCTGAGACAGGGCCTCTTCCTGTCGCTTGCGCTCTAAGTCCATCAGGTACTGGGCGTACTTGGAGCGAGGGTTGTGGATTCCACATTCGGTCTTGGCTTGACCCTTCCAGCGACCGGACCGTTCATCTTCGTTCTCCTTGACAGGTTGGGTGGAGTGGTAGTCACCAATGCTCTTGTAGCCGCGGTCAAGCAGCTCATTGTAGGGCACATCATTGTCTTTGATGTACTGCTTGACCTGGTCGAAGGTCCAGTTGGCGAGAGGGTTAATCTTGATCAGACCAGCTTCGTCAACCTCAATGATGTCGAGGTCGCCACGCTTGCCACCCTGGCTGCGGCGACGACCGGTAAGGACAGCATGAACGTTCAGCTCACGGTAGGCACGCTGGGCTGGCTCTACTTTGGCAACCCAGTCGTAGAACTGATCATCCCGTTCCCAGAGACGGGCACCAAACTTCTTGGCAAATTCTTCTTCGGAGTTGAGGCCCTTGGGCTTGTAGACATGGATGTTGTTCAAGGGATACTTCTGACGAACCTTGTCTACCAGAGTTAGGGTTTCGGAGAAGTGATGAAGAGTGTCGAGGAAGATCAGGTCGACCATCTGAGGACGGGGGACCTCCAGCTTAGAAAGCATATCCAGAGTGACGAGCCCCGTCAGACCAAACGCAGTGGTCTGGAAGAGGTGAGGAAGTGATGTAACACACCATCTCAGGACATCTACAGTGGATTAGCAACCTGCATAGGGGCTTAGGGGGACCACCTTATGCTCACCTTGGGGCTCGAGGAACTGCAGCTGTCTGTTGAGAAACTGCAGGTGTGGCTTGGTGAAGACAATCTCAGGAAGATAGTCGTCACTAGAGCTGCCACTGACATAACCCGAATCCGTGGCAGTATCTTTGGATTCAATGTCCTCGGGATGAGAGGGGTAGGTGTCAGGCATCTTTGCGGGCATCTTGACCAGAATAGAGTTGAATCTAGGGAAAGGAAGAAAGAGTATGATATGAAGAAACAAGAGTGAGATTCTAGCAAGTCTATATGTCTATGAACGATGGCAAGCGGATGACGAACGGCAGGGAGCAAATTGCGAGAGATGATGTGTAACGACAACGGTCACATCAAGGGAGGAGAACTCTCGAGACCGCTCAGATATAAAAAACAAGGGGCGAGCACGACATCATCGGCAATCGGAACCTGATCTCGCTGATGAATCGCTCATACATGCCGATTCATTCTGCCGCCCTCGATCACGACATTGGCTGTGACCGCCTGCGACTTCGGGGGCGCCTACAGAAAAAATCAATTCCCTCATGGCCTGGGGAAATCACGCAATATCTGCGTCTTGGGTCCCTGTGGGCCCCCCTATCGCCTCTTTTACTCAGCAACATTATTTCAGAGCTGATAAATGGACCCTTTTGTCCTTTCTAGAACATGGTCGAATGCCCCGTCATGTTAAATCAGAATGACAGACTATCGATTCATACGGGGCTTCAAAGTTCTTGGGCAGTGGGACCTCTGGTTTCTTGTACGCAGGGTCCCCTTCCTGACTCAGGATTGGCCTATATAGTTATTAGCACTTAGTCAATCAACAAAAGAATGAAAGCGCTAGAGTCATCATAGTTTCTCACCGGTCATTATTAAGCTACTGTCCTGTTCAGTGAATGTACAATGTACCCTCTCCCCCACTCAAGTCCATATGGATCAGTTGGACTCTGTTTTCCCACTTCAAAGTCGATGCTGAAGTTCCTTCCATTCTGCCAGGATGGAGGGCGGTGAAGGTCAACCTCTATCAGAATAATCATGTGACCTGCGCGGACTGGGTTAAGTCACCCCGCCACGTGCCTGCGGATCGGCGTGCAGGAAACGAAGGTGTATTTTCCATTCTCTACTACTGTATCTTCATCTACAGCTTACTTGAGGGTACGGTCCCAACGGGCAAGTTTCCGTGGATCATTTTGGAATCTCTACGATTATCTTCTGGTCATTTCCCTCCCCTTTCTCCCTAACATCCTAGACCCAATCCAGCAAAGAAATGGCAGCGATCAACCCCGCTGCCGCACGTCCACAGCGGCCGACGCTACAGGAATCGCTCAGGAGCAAATCTTTTCTTCATGATCATCAACAATATAAGCCCTCGGTTCCCGTTAGCAGCATTGGCAACGTCCTTGGGACCTCCTTCGAGTCGGGAGTAGGATCGATGTCTCTCAATCCGATAAGCCCTGATCCCGAGAAGGTGACCGACAGTGGCATCACTCACAGCCTATTCAATCACCAAGCGAACGCTCTTCCCACCGGTACGGCGCAAGTCGTCGCAACCCTCTTTTACAAGTCGTCCGACCCAATCCACCCCCATCTCCATCCTGATTCGTCGCCAAGTGGCCGAGCTGGGGTTAAACTTCCATCCCCCACGGTTCCCGTCGGTTCGGCTCCGACTATTGATATTGAAAAGATTCCACGGGAGCCTCCAGCACCAGAGCCGGAGCCTTTAGATCATCTTTACGGACCATACGTGTCGCAACTGTGTTTGACGAATTTTCTCCAAATCCTGGAAACCCTTCCGACACCCTATCAGCGCATGAATACCTCCCATCGCTGCCTCGATCAGCATGAACAACCTCGCGTGGTAGAAGTTACATTCTCCCCACCCCCCAACCCGGAATATCTCACATTTGGGGATCTACGCAAACATGAAAGCATATGGCGGTTTGAGCGCGAGTGGAATGTAGAGGTTGTGCTCCAGAAGGAGAGCGTCTTCCGCCGTCACAAGCGGTTGGTGGTCTTTGATATGGACAGCACCTTGATCCAGAACGAAGTGATTGACGAGATTGCTAAATTTATTGGTGTGGAGAAGGAAGTTTCGGTCAGTCTATTTGCATTTCTTCCCCCGGCGCAATGCGCTCGCAAGTACTAACTATGACCACAGGAGATCACGGAACGTGCCATGAACGGCGAGCTGGACTTTTCTGCATCGCTCAGGGAACGTGTCGGTTTGCTGAAGGGAGTGCCAGCGGATGTTTTCGAGAAGCTGAAGTCCGTCATTACTATTTCTCCCGGTGCACGTGAATTGTGCAAGGCCTTGAAGGCCCTTGGATGCAAGCTGGCGGTTTTGAGTGGCGGCTTCCAGCCCCTTGCCGAGTGGTTGGCCGGTGAACTTGGTATCGATTACGCTTTCGCCAATCATGTAAGTCTCTTCTATTCTATTGGGTCTTTGTTTCAAAAATCCTTTTAGGGCTATTTAGTGGTCCGATGTATACTGATCACGATGTGTAGCTCGAGGTCGACCCCGTATCTCAAACTCTGACTGGCAAGCTTGTCCCGACATATCCCATCATCGACGCCAGCCAAAAGCGCAAGCTTCTCCAGTCTATTGCGGCCGAGAACAACATTCCTATCGCCCAGACCGCCGCCGTGGGTGACGGTGCCAACGACCTTCTCATGCTTCATTCTGCTGGGCTCGGAGTTGCCTGGCGCGCTAAGAGCATGGTTCAGCTCGAAGCACCCACCCGTTTGAACGGAGAGACCATGGTGGACATTCTTCACCTCCTTGGTCTCAGCAGGGAAGACGTCAAGGAATTACTTGCCGGTTCAGCATGAACATTTCCTGACCCATAGGTGTACTACGAGCACAAAAAAAGAAACGTTCAGTCTCGAATGACTTCTGGGACTTCGCCAGGTGCGGATTTTCTATTTGGACTTTGTCAGCAGGGATTACAGGGGTACCGTTTGATCGGTATGCCTTTTCTTTTCTTTTCGGATCTTTCCCTTTTTACGCCAAAGGGCCCAGCTTTGGCACGCACGTATGGGCTACCCGCGTCTTCAATTCGCGATGAGAATAGTCAAAGAGGACAATTGATCCTAGAAGACAGCAGCATTTTAATGTAGGCGTAGCGGTGTGACAAATTTAGGTACATATAAGCAGAACCACGGACTTTATTGAAATGAATATGCTGATTATATTATTAATTCAATCAGAGAATCTATGTGTTGAACTAATTGGACTTGCCTTTCTATTTTTACCTCCCAAAACCCAAGTAACGAATATATCCAGATGACGGACCACCTCCATCGATACCAACACATTTCAGAAAAATGATAGAATTTAAGCTGCAATGGAAGCAACAAATGCAAACGTAAACCTGCGCCAAGATGTAGAAAGTAATGCAAAAACGACATGACCTGATACCAATCACCCGGTAGCCTCATCAGCAGCAATCTTCCGATCAGTGACAGACTCGCCCGTAGTACCAGCAGTCCGTCTCTTCTTCAACACATTCTCAATAAATGCCTCACCAGCCTTGTAACTACTGCGCACCAAAGGACCAGACGCACAGTAAAGGAAGCCCATATCTAGGGCGCGCTGGCGCCAGAGCTCAAACTGGTCAGGAGTAACATATTCATGAACAGCCATATGGCGCTTCGTAGGACGCATATACTGACCGAAGGTCACGACATCAACATCAACAGCGCGCAACTGCCGGAGCGCATCCCAGATCTGGTCCTCCGTCTCTCCAAAACCAAGCATAATAGAAGTTTTCGTAATAAGACCAGGACTAGCCTTCTTCGCAGCCTCCAGAACACGGATCGACTGCTGGAACGTAGCACGACGGTCCCGAACAAACGGCGTCAGAGCTTCGACGGTCTCAACGTTATGCGCATACACGTCCAGTCCGGATCGAGCCACCAGGGCCACCATATCCAGATCACCCGAGTAATCACCCGTCAAACACTCGACCAGCATACTGGGCTTCTTCTGCTTGATCTTGATAACCGTCTCGGCGAAGTGGCGAGCGCCACCATCGGCCAGATCGTCACGATCCACACTGGTCAAAACCACGTATCCCAAACTCCACCTCGAGATCGCCTCGGCCGTATTCTCAGGCTCATGCGGGTCCAGCGGAGGAGGCTTGCGGAGGGTCTTCACACTGCAAAACCGACACCCACGGGTACAAGTATCACCCATGAGCATGATCGTAGCGGTAGCAGCGGACTTGTCGCTACCGCCCCAGCAATCGGAGATGTTGGGGCATCGAGCCTCCTCGCAAACAGTGTGCAGATTCAAGCCTCGCAAATCCTTCTTTAAGCGCTGGTAGTTCTTTGAGTCTGGGATTGGGGTCTTGAGCCACGAGGGCAAACGGGTCATTTCCTTCTTGCGGCCGGCGGGGCCGACCATGGCGGTTTTGAGGGCATAGGCTTCGGATGAATCGAGCGGGGAGTTATCAGCGCCTCCGGAGACGAAATCTGCGAAGGAAGGGCCGGCGTTCAACTTGTCTGTGAACTTTGTCTGTTTGCGCGGCGTTGCCGGGGCGCCGGTGGCGGACGGTGATGGGTCTGTTGTGGCATAGGTACGGCGGCAAATGGGGGCAAAGGAGCCTGTATGAGGGATTGTCCTCGAGGAGGAATAAAGGAATCGCAGCCGGTTCGTCGAGGCGGCCATGGTGACGCTATTCAGGTTGTAAAGTTGCGAAAGTTGAATTCCGCGGGAAAGATCAATGAAGCTCCGACAAGATAACGGGGAGTCCGTTACCATTACTCAGCGGGCGTTAACCCAATGGGGCTAGAACCATGTTGCCTAAGGCTTAACAACCTTTGCCCTAACAGATAACGTGAACTATTTGTCAGATGACGACAGCCAATAAGTTATCTACATTTGATAGGAAAAGTTGTATATGCTGATGCAATGGTTTCATTGTTCAATATATATTCTATTTAATATTCAATTAGTGATTATAAATTAACCACTTTGATGGGTCAGATGGACAAATGAAATATGGTGGGTGACAGTCAAGCACCTGTTCATAGTGAAGATAAGCAAAATGAGATATGTAGAGAAAGACGAAGGCGGTCGGTCAATAATACAATAGTAAAGACAGGGTTGAATCAGAATGAGGGGCCGAGATCTATGCAATTTAGGGTGCGAAAAGATGAAAACAAAGAAAGTAAAGAGTGTGAGTTGAAATAAGGAACTAGAGAGAGGATATGATTAAACCTTGGGTGACAGTAAGAGGCACAAAGAAAGGATAGATGATGGGATTTGTGATCGTGGTTCAAGCGAGGGTATATAATCGAAACGGAAACAAAGTCTATGTTTTGGTCTCCAGGACCTGGGTTAAGACAAGCACGGCGGACTTCAATGTGTCGTCCTTCTTGCCACAAATAGCAAATAGCAGATCGTCAATTATCCGATCTAAGCCTTTATTAAGTTCTCCACTTCGAGAACCCAGGACCCTATCTTTAATTCGGGATGGCGATGACGGAGTAATATGAGCTCCCAACATCGCACTCGCTCTCTCAGGAACGGTGTCAAGGCGAGATAGTTTCGGTTTATGACCATAGATGGCAGTCTTTCGTTTAGAGGATGCTAACGAGAGCACATAATTTCGTGCTATGAGAGCCGCGCAGAGACTATCTAGTAGATTATCCGCGGCGTCGGGGAAGATTTGTCTGAACCTCCGCATGATGTCTTTTTCATCGCTATGCCGAACGAGGATGATGACCGGAGAGGTTAATCTCAGCATGCTCCGAGGGAATTCTTTGACCGAGTTTTCTAGTTGGTCCATAGTCCACTCATGGTCCCACCATTTCTTCAACTCGCCATTCTCAGCTGTGTTGGACGAGCGCACAGATCCCCGCGTCTTAGATGGCGGCTTCACAGTTTGTGCAACATGTGGCTTTACCGTTTGCGCAATCTCGGGCTTTGGAGGTTGGCCTAACAAAGTCATGCTACTCGAGGTTTTGTCGCAGACAACTGTCTCACTAACGCTCCCTATCGAACTGACGTCGGTGAAGTCGTCATCCTTATCTTGTTTGTAGTCGCCTGGTGAGTTACAGGAAGGACCGCTCGTGACATATCCACTGTCTGACATTTCCAATGGTGTATCAGGACTGAAAGCGGATATTTCCAGGTGGCCTTGATCCGGCGTGGAAGGTATTGGACGCTGTGGCGGAGTTGGGATGGAATAGCTCATAGCAGGAGAAGATTGACGGGCGATATCAACCAGTTTTGGTTTCGTTTTGCTGGCAACAGCAAACATCTAAAGCTGTGTAAGTATGATGTATAAGGTGAGGAGGATTGGAGTGTGCCTACCACTGGTTCGTCCGCTGGGGCCCTCATCTCACGTCTACGCTCAGGAGGCGGGTGACTTTGGACTATTTGAATTCTTCTTCTGTTGCTTTCTTTTGACCTCTCTCCCACAGTCTCTACCTCGACAGGGGCGCGTTGGAGCCATGTCTCACAATAAGAAAGGCTACTTGGAACCCAGCTTCCTTCACTCGACATGGTCCCCGACCTGCTTCGCTGTGACCCTATAGATGATCTGGAAAAGCTTCTTTTTCCACAGATGCCTATATCCGGTGAGACGGCCGATGGTGAGGTCCGTGGCGAGTCAGTAGAAATCGGCGTCAACTTCCCATCATCGGACCCATATTGCTTCATTAAATTCGAGTGTGCCATGCGCACATTCGTTGTTTCATCTGCTCTTCTTGGAGGCTCCTCGTTCCTAGGAACGCCGTAGACCTCACTCGTTGGTGTATATATGCTGCTCTTTGGTGTCCCATGTTCAGTGTCTAGATCAGATTCGGGTTTAGGGGAGAAATATGCAGAAGATGGGGACGGGTGTGACACTCTCGAGTCCGATAATGGAGGGCTAGGGAGAAGCCCAAATGTTTCCATGCTTGTCGTTGTGAGGTTCTGATCTGATCGCCAAGTCCTCAGCGTTTGGTTTCCCGACGGGGTTCGAGATAGCCTAGACTCTCTCGCAGCAGATTTAATACTCTCCAGCGAGGGAGACGACGGTAGGCGTAGCTGGAAGGGTTGCTTCATTCTCCGGACAGATCGAAATGGTGAGACAGGAGCAGGAGAAACGCGGTCTGCTGATCGTTTTGGTTGCGCCGTGGTGTACTCAGCTTGCTCTGGCTGAGGAGACGTTGAAGGGATGAAGGAAAGAGAGCTCTGCGGTTGTTGTCTTCTCCAGGGCTGCACAGTTGGGGAATAACGAGGATGAGCCATGATGCTTCCTTGAGCTGTGGGATATTCATCTGTTACGTAGTATGAGGGAATGCTCCTGTTTGCGTACGTTGGAATATTATTAGTCGACAAGGCATATTGGTGATGAGGATAATTCGTTTTCATGTCCATGTTTGCGTTATGACAGTCCATGGAGGACATGCCAGGTCAAGAATGTAAAGTAAACAACACAAAGATACCAGATCTTCGAGCAATAATATCAATAAATGATACAGGAAATCGAGCGGAGCAAAAGCAGTATGATCCACAGAGGCGGTCGACAAGCCCTTATACTAGCAAACAGACCTGCACCCAACCATCCCTTGGCTACCTGGCGGTCACAGAAAGCCAGACATTGGGCATGTGTATTCGCCCCCTTCGAGAGGGTCACCAAACACCCTGGAACAAGAGTGAACTGTAAAGGGTCGCTACGCCTACCGTCCTTGCATTCCGGAGAGAGGAGCGATCGGGCAGCCGTGATGACCATTGGTTCTAAGTCTCGATATGCGCCACCTGCAGGAGGGTCACAACGTGGAGGGTCCGCTTTTCAGGGCCATTGCAGTTCGTCATTACAGAAGGAATGAGACATGGAGCCCCAGCGAAACAGTGACGGCCCCTAAAGGGACCAGTAGAGGATGTCACGGGCCTATCTTGGGCAGAACTGTTGCACCGGGCAATCAAAGTCAGCGCCCCTAGAATGACCCCCTTGCTTCGGTTGCTGTGGGTGCGGTGATTTGCTCCATAATTGGCGGTGGCCACAATACCCAGCATGTGCGAAGCCTCCAATTGTCTGTAGGTACGGAGATTTCGAGTGTATTAAAATGCCACAAATTCCACTTGAGGGCGGGTAATTACTTATTAGAAGATAAGTTCTTCAATCCTGGTGGCTTCTGCCATAACCAGACAGAGCTATGTTCTTCTGATAAGGGCAGGAGTAGGATGGATTTGTATTCAAGGATCAACCCAAGGATTCTCCTTAGGAAGGAGACGAGGGGCCTTGGAAGTGATAATGAATCGAGAGGACAATATGAAGAGTCCAAAGAAATTACTGGGAGAAGTACTCCGGTAGGGTAAGTATTAGTATACTTACTAACTCGATAGTTGCATCTCCCTTTTTGGGCGACCAATCACCAAGACAAACAGTGCAAACTCCTTTATCGCTGCTTTTATCGCCGATCCAAAAGAGAAAAAAAATGTAGAGCCCAAGAAAAGAACAGTAACTTTGCCCTCTTTTTCAACCCTTTGACTCGCATAACCTATCTTTACCTTTCAGTAGGTCTTCTCATGCTTTCGGAGTGCTTTATCGCGTCTACCTTGACGTCAGGCAAAGCCCCGGCGTCAGCGAGTCTCCGAGATGTAGGGATCTGCGTGCACGAGTTCCAACCGTCACCCAACCTACACTCCACCTTCAAGAAAAGCTCGACTCCTGCCAATTGTTTGGCTGTGAGCCCATCACATGTATACGCAGCCCAGGCAGAGAAAGCCATTGTACATGTGTATAGCAGAGAGAAAGGAAACCAGGAGGCAGTGATTCCCTTCCCGGAGCGCATTCGCAGCATTGCGATCGCGGGGGGCAAGAATGGTGATGTCCTGGTATTGGGTACTGAAGGAGGCCGTTTAATATTGTGGGAGGTGTGTTTAACTTTATATCCACTGCATCGATGTGCGGAGGGAAAGACAATTGGGCGAATAATTCTAACATAAGCTCGGATCATAGACCTGCACCGGACGACAAGTCGCGACAACGGCATCCCATTTGAGTCCAGTGACCTCCCTGATCGTTGATCCCAGCGACAACTTCATTCTATCCGGCTCGGCCGATGCCAGTATCCATGTTTGGTCCTTAGTCGAAATCCTCTCCTTCACAAAGCTCCCGTCCGGCCGCGATCGGCAACCGCCGAACTCACCCATCCGTACATTCTCAAACCACCGCGCTGCCATCACTTCACTTGCAGTGGGACATAGCTCCGGCCGCTACAATATCGCCGTTTCAACCGCACAAGATAATACAGCCATCGCTTGGGATTACCACACTGGACGTGTTCTGAGAACATTCCTCCTGCCTGCCAGCGCAGTCTCCTCAGCTCTTGACCCAGTTGACCGCGCATTCTATGTGGGCTATGACGATGGCAGCATCCAATCAGTCGATTTATACAAAGCTCAGTCTATCCAGCATCCTCTGCATGACCCATCATTACAGTCTACCCCCGCCCAGCCGTCAGCGGACGATAAATGGACACCGCCGTCCGCCGACTGCGGCATGGCGCATTCTCTTTCACTCTCACACGACGGAATGACCTTACTCTCCGGCCATCAGAACGGAAAGGTCCTTTCATGGAACGTCGGTAGAAAGAAATACGCCTCGACTATAGCAGACTATACTCATCCCGTAACGAACCTGCTTATGATCCCGTTGAGTGGCCTTGCCCAGCCCGGCCAGGAGCTGAAGAGGATAGCACACACAATTGTCAAACCCCGGTACGATAGTACACTATCGGAATCATCGCAGACTGTAGGCACCGTACCCGCCGATTACACATTCAGCACCCATCTCCTCACGTCGACATCCTCCAAGCCCGCCACAACAAGGAGTCTCGGTGGTTCTGAGGGAACCAACCAGTTCACAGAAGCTTTCACCCATGCATTCTTCCCTGACTCGATGATCGAAGAAGGACTCGCCGAGCTAGCTGTCTTTAGCCAACCAGGAGGCAGCACAGTCCAAGTCTCCACCTTGATGGCACAGGCCACAAACGACGAAGACCTAGCAGCGAAGGACTCCCACATCGCATGCCTCGAAAACGAGATCGCAGCCCTCAAAAAGAAAGCAGCAGCCAATGAGGCCGCCCGTCAGCTCACCACAGACGAGGCCACAAAGCTCCGCTCCGACCTCGTCAATCTCCACGACTATATCAACGAACTTCACCAGAAGCAAGACCAATCACAAAAGGAAAAGGTCCTCCGGCAAGCGCGGAAAGAAGAGCGCGAGACCCACAAACGGGAAGCCTGGTTTGCCGCAGAGAAGAAGGGAAAGAAAGGCGATGCCGTTCTGCGAAGAATGGAAGCCGAAGATCCTGCGCAAACCAGTGACTCGGACGACCGGAGCAGTGACGAGTGATTTCTTCCTACCTTGTTTAGTTATATTCTTTTCTTTCTGTTATGATTTTCCAATAAACTGTGTACGGCCCTGTCGTGTCTAATTTACCTGGGTTTACGAAGGCGCTCTGGTTTAAAAGTTTCAGGTTCATCTTGATAGACGATGGAGAGCTAGTTAGCCTATACTCTGTATGTTTGCATTGTATATAGAAATGATTGGCCTTGGGTCGTTTTACCATGTCTCTTGTTTTGCCTTCTACAATCTCTCGAAACGAGGCGCTTAATCAATAAACATAACAACGGCATGCCTTCGAATGGAATGTGGGATTTTTAATTTCCACAATACGCTACGCTAATTTAACTAATCCCCCAAGCGCTCATTCCAGATGCATCGGCAGAGTTAAGAGAAAAAAGACAGTATTCCAGATGACGTCAGATCATACTTCCACCAATAAAGCAGAAGGGTAAAATACCGATACGTACTAGGTCACTCACTTTAATCCAGATCAGGTTCTTTGCGTGACATAAGTGACAAGTCGCATACTTAAGCGTTTGATCGCCGGTCATTGACGGACGGCATGTTTGGTGGTGGCAAGTAATAGGTTGCTATCGATGATGGTCCCCACTGCTGGCCAAGACAGTTCTATACGCCCGTTCCAGACGGGGCCATTGCAAAAGGATGAAGGTATGAAGGGAAATAAAGCAAAGAAGGTGAAGCACAAGGCTCACCTGGAATGTGGCGATGCGAATCGGCGTCCGGTCTCTCCTCGTAATTCGTCAGAGTTTAAAGGCCGTTCGATTTATACGATGGCCTCGGTCGATGGCTACCTTCCACCAAGCCACGAAGGCTCGTCAGGCCCAGCCAGACGGCCTCTTCGGTGCGGATTGTTCTGCTCCCTTGACCAGGGAGGAGGTTGACCCAATAATCGAAAAGCTTCCCGGCTTCAGTCGGGCTAATGTCCATGTCGCAGAGTTGAGGATCGTTGCGAATTGCAGATTCGATACCTGCTATGCCACCGAACACGATAAGGAGATGTTTATAGTCCGGGGGGCTTCTCCGCCAGTCATAACGGTCATGTTCTTGCCGATCCTCTTCTAGAACAGAATAGACCGGGGCGCCTCGCTCGGACGTGCCAAAGGAGAGGTCATAGCCGCCGTCAAACGGGCATTCAGTGAACACAGACGATAAAGATCGGCAGCGGCGCACATAGTAACCCCAATAATACCCGGCCTCAGAGCGGGGGGTAGAAGGGTGTACGGGCTCCGCATAGTGCTCTGGACCATGCTCGGAGAATCGCACAGTTACGCGGGCATGTTCGGGGAGCCGGATGTCGGGGAGAACGACCTTCTTAGAGAGGCCGGTATCGACGACGGTAGCACTAAAATTAGTAGGGCTACTAGAAGAACGACGACGGTTGTAACGATGGTTGCTCATCTGAGTACTATTCCTTCGCTGCCCGTCACGGCCAGAGCTAGACACAACGATCCCCTCTCGGTAATGACACCATTCATTGGCGCGAAGATGGTGCGGCATATCGAGGCTGGGCAGTAAGCCGGCGCCACGAAGGTTAGGGTGCATAGGGAATAGGTGTTTGCGGAGATATGGTGGGGTTTCAAGGTACGAAAGTATATGCGCCAGGAAGTGTGAAGGATCCGAATATGCGGTATTTCTTTTGGCAGAGGGTTCGTTGCCGTTAAGTTCGTCACTTGTTTTGTCTAGAGGGGAATCGTAGAAATTTTCTTGGCTGTAGTATTCATCGTGCGGACTATTCTCATCGTCATCAAATACCACGACCTCATCAACACAGAAGACGGCGAGAGCACGTGCAATGATACCGGCCAACAGAGTCTTTTGCTCCATGGAATGAGCACTGCCAAGGACTCATTTAGTGTCGATTCTTCTATCGCTACCTTCACCCCTAGTAGAAGAGAAGAGAAGAGAGGCCAATCATGAGACACGGCGTATACTTACTTAGCTACAATGCTACCTGGGATAGCGACAGTCAATGTGTGAGGTCGGCCACCAGTCGGTGTGAACGTGGCAGTGGGCTTGGACGTGAAGACATTGTCTGAGTGAATATAGTGCTCAGATTGACCATGATCACACGAGGTCTTGCGTTTCTGAGAAGGCCAATGGGTCAGTACCCGGCGGTAAGGGGAGGTGGAAAAGTTAACAAGTATATACCTTGAAGTTCGGACGTCGCATCCTGGGCTGCGTTCGAGGGGGAAGAAAGGTGGTTTGGAGAAGGAATGAAGGTGAATTGGACCAGGAATTGAGAATTTGCATTGGATAGCAGATCTTTTCAACCATTGACTAATGGTCAACAAAGACATTGTGGTCCCAAATCGTTTGACCGATGAGGATGGTTGTTGATGACGTCGGGCTCCACAAGGTCGGTTCTTATGGATCCTTTAGCGTCTCCCGCACCTTTAATCTTTCATCATCGCTAAGGTACACACCTCTGGATCAACAGGAACATACTAAATTTGAACTATCTAATACGCACTGGGTTGTGCTCCTCGCTCGCTGGTGGCCTCTCCTCCCAACTCCTGCATAATCTTCACCCCCGAACTCGCGCCAATACGCTCGGCCCCTGTTTTCAACATCCGAATACAATCCTCCGCTGAACGCACTCCTCCACTCGCCTTAACCTTGCAGCCGTTGCCGACGACACCCGCAGTGGCTCGCATGAGAGCCACATTGTCAACGTTGGCACCGGGTCCATTGAAGCCCGTGCTAGTTTTGATGAAATCAGCCCCAGCCAAATCGGTAATGACCGACCCCGCTATAATCTCCTCACGAGTGAGTTGCGAAGTCTCCAAGATGACCTTGAGTTTGGTCGGTAACGGAGCCGCTTTCCGCACTCCTAATATATCCTTGTAGACATCCGTATACTTGCCCTCCTTCAGCAGAGGGTATTTGAGGACCATATCCAGCTCGGAGGCTCCCTGCTCTACCGCATCCCGAGCTTCTTGTTCTTTCTCCGAAGTCTCATACATGCCCTCATGGAATCCCACAACGCAAGCCACCTTCACTTCAGAACTCCCCTTGAGTTCCTGCACGGCACGACGGACATGGTTAAGGCGAACACAGACTGTCGCAAACTGATACTTGAGGGCTTCGGCGCACAGTTGGTCGATCTGCTGTTCTGTTGCAGTCAACGCTAGCTGGGTATGATCAATCGTGCGATTAACTTCTGACGGCAGTGGCGTTTTATATTCAGGGAAAGTCTCCGGAAGCGAGTCTTTAACAGTAGAAATCAGAGCAGCCCACTCTGCGTCGTCTCTTGGAATAGACATTTTGCTGTCGCACGGTCTTCGAAGTAACTGTTTGTAAATGCGTACGACAAAGACTTGCGCCCGTCTCAGCCAACGCTTGGATTTGAGTTTAGTCTCTTTTATTGCTTCGGCTTGCAGTTTTGCAAGTTTCTGAAACTGTTACGCTTCTCTGGAACAGCGAATTTCTCTCACGTAAATGCGGAGAAATTGCATCACGTGATAATGTCTTCAATCAGTATGTGGGGGAAACGTGCAACAAGACAAGGCCGCCAGAATCATCTAATAACCTGTGCGTGCGACTCAGAGCGCTATTGATATAAAGCGCTCATCCTATCACAATACAAATATAGAAAAATCAACCGGTATCTTGTCAATCCAAATCAAATCCACAGCTTTCCCATCGCGCCATTTGAGCATTCCTTATTTAACCCCCAAGAAAATCAGAATCCCACGGGGCCTATTTCAGCGACAACTCTTGCACTCCGGCCCTCGAATATCATCCACGCGCCCAATCCTCCTAGGTCCAAATCCACCACCAGGTCCGCCGCCGCCACTACCCCCAGAGCCAGATCCACCACTACCTCCCCAGCGAGGCCTGGTGTTGGGATGATTTTCGAAACGATTGATATTAAATTTGGAGTTCTGCGCCGCAGTATACGCGTCAAACTGAAAGTCAGGTCAGTACGAAACGGACAAAATAGGGCGGTCGCAGGGGACAAAGCCATTGCACGGTGCGAAATGCGCTGAGCATATTCTAATAACATATGAAAAGGATAAACCACGTACTGAGAAAAGGCTCACGAAATAGAGGCCCAAGAAGAGATAAACATTGTCGATAAAGCGGTTGATGCGAACCCAAAACGGCGGGCTGAGTTAAGGATTCGTCAGTGGGTTGTTATCCGGAACATAGAATGGCCATCTTTATACCTGTCAAGAACTTGTCCATTGGACATGTAGGTTTTGGGTGTTGATGACATGATGCGGTCGCAGCCAGACAATGATTGTTCTGTTGACGACTATACAGCGAGGGTGGTGAGATGATTGACATTCATGAGATAGGGAATGGCGTAGTTATCTTAGCGCCGGAGCTCGTGATTTACGGGTCCACTCCTAAGGCAACGGTTTCCATATCGGGTAAATGAGCCTGTGTCCTCTTGCTCGAACATGCTCCCTTGTCATGTTAAACTGGTATTTCTTTATATCTCATGGGTTCATCGTAAGTACACTACTATATAGACCGAGAATTTATACTTGTCTATTGTCCTATTACTTATAGCTGGTGTTATCCTCGGATCTACCAAAGGAACAAAGGAGACATTATAAATAATAGCCAGTCGCAAGTAATAATTCTTTCCGAAACCTAGTGCAAAAGGGTATCTCGATTCTCTATATACAACTCTAGGGCTTCAGTGCCTTCCCGCAACATCGTTGGCCATAAGACGTCATTGGAAATATAGCCCTGTTCAATCATGTTCCTGGTTATTCTGAGATACGATTTCATCTCGTAGTTCATCTAATCCTCGGAAACCCTCTTCCACAGTCCACTTCTGATTTCCGCGTGGATGTAATATGTGGCAGCTAGCTCCAACGACTAACAATCCGGGAGGTCGCGACCCTTCAGCTTCAAATGCAAGGCATACATTCTCCAGTGTAGAGCGGATCACTCTCTGATCAGTGCAGGAAGCCCGCTCAATGATGGCACACGGGGTATCCTTCGGCCAAGGCATTCGTGGCCGCGAACCATCTTGGGGTAGCGTGGTTAGCGACTCCACTAGCGCCGATAGTCTGTGTAAAGCCATCAAAAAGACGACTGTCTGAGTGGGCACGTAAGTAGGAGGCTCGGGAGCCGCACCCTTTCTCCCAGTACCGGTGCAAATTAGGACTTGGTCAGACACGCCTCGGTGAGTCGCTGGGATCTCTGCGAATAATGAGGCGCTCAGGGCACTAGTGATTCCAGGCAAGACAATCGGTGTAAACCCTTCACCCCGGAAGAATTCAAACTCCTCACCTCCTCTTCCGTACAAATAAGGGTCTCCCTGCTTCAGCCGAAGAACACACCGTCCCCGACGCAGGGAGTCTAGTCCCATCTGCAGAAATTCCTCTTGCGCCTGATCTGCGTTTCCAGGGAACTTCCTTGCAATATGAACTTCTGTCCTCCGCGGAATTAGTTTCAAGACGGGTTCCGGCACCAGCTTATCTGCGAGAATAACGTCCGCATTCTGCATCGCATTGTAGGTTGCTCGCGTAAGCATATCCGGATGACCGGGCCCAGAGCCTGCCAAAACAATTTTCCCTTTCCTTTGCGGGTGTCCAACGCCATTCGCGTTCTCCAGGATATTTTTACCAGACGAGTATGCCTGAAGAATGGTGTCGATATCAGCATCACTGATAGCGGCCAGCTTGTGGAGCGGCCAATACTCGCATATTTGTGAAAGCCAGCGTATCCGCCGTGTTTTTGCGGCAGATATGTCATCTTCCGTCACCAACTTATTGAACATATGGTTTTGGCCTGTAGAGTCATCTTCGTCCCCTTCAAGCGGTGCAGCGCAAAGTCCTGCTGCATAATCCTCTGCCCAAAGGCGCCTTCTTACTGCCCCCAACCGATCTATGGCAGTTCCAAGATTGGAAGGAAGAGAACAAGAAATTTCTCTTCTTAAACGGGATGCAAGCTTACAACCACGTCCCGATGTCGTAATCCCGATGTGGAGAGGGCCGTCAGAGTATGTGGAGAGCAAGCTGAAAGTACACAGCTCAGGGGCGTCAGAGACATTGACAGGAATCCTCAGTCGCCGGCAAAGCTTTGAAATGTGCGCACCTAACAGATAATTAGATTATACTACTCAACGTCTGCGGAACCAGCACATACTCAACGGGTGAGCTCCACCCAGGGTGACAAAAACCATGTCGACGACATGGTCAACTTCTTCTCTCCCTAAACATTTCAAGTCATCATCCTGGAACTCTCTGCGGAGCCATTGTGCAGAGCCATTCTCTATATGCTCAGACAAGCTGAAGTGCAAGCCCCCAGTGTCTGACGCAACGATGATCGGCTTTGCGCCGGCTTCTAGAGATTTCGCACAACGGGCTGCAGCAAGAGGGCTTGATCCCACAATTAGATGCACTTGGGATTCAGAATAGACCGCTGCCAGCAATGGTGCTGAAGAGGCGTTATCGCACGAAGCATCTTTCATTGTGAAGTCGCCACCGTAAGTAGAGCCTGCTGTTCTAAACGGCCTTTTCCGTTGCTAAAAGAGACAACTGGAAAGATGGAGGAGGTCCAAAATCCAGGGAAGTCGGGGGTTTTTATCTCTTTACCCCACAATCATCAGAAGTGGCAGACGGACCCTCAGTCACCTATGATTGCTTGCGTGTACGAACGTCCGCGGAAATAGACTCGGTGCAACCGAACAAGAGGCGAACTGGAGATAAGGATTTGAGTTTCTCCTGATTATGATAGTTACACGGTCTGATAAGCCTATCTAGGCGATGAATAAAGCACATCCCATAGACCACAGTAGTTATAAGTCAATAGAAATTGTGACTCTTTTCTTTATATACATTTCTCTACAACTCCCAATGCGGTTAAAGCGATATTGCGTGATCGTAGCTCTCATGCTTAGATAAGCCCGGCACATGGTCATCGCGCATCAGCCTGAAGCTCATTCGCAATAAATATGTACGTACATATCTAGTATGTTTAACTTCTGCTCCGGTTGTGCTGTTCCTCGATTAATATATTTGTATCTCCGCTAAATAGTCCTAGATCTAGCGCCATGATATGTTTTTTCTTGCCTATTAACATATTGGAGATTGGAATGGTCAAGGAAAAGAAACCAAAGAGCTTCTATCAGGATGAGATTAGTAGGATTAAGTAGGAACAACATTACTAGGCTCTTCCAAAGAGGATAGAAGAGTAAACAAGATCAGGAACCTCTTCCTACCGTGGGTGGTGTTTGGTGTTTGGTGTTTGGTGCCTTAGTCACGACCGGAGAAGAGTAGCGTATGTCACGTGGTGCAGAGCTTCGGGCAGCTTGACTGGCAAGTAGACGTCAAGCTCCATGCCCGTTCCCATCCCCAGCCCGTCATTGTCCCATCAGAAACATCTTCTCACAAACTACCTCACATCCCTCGGTTTTGAACCTCTTATTCATTTCCCTTTAATACCCCCTACAATAGCCTCCGAACACATCCCTCATACCTAGTCCCAACGCCCCGTCATCATGGCTGACGGAGTATTGAAGGCGGAGAAGGACTTCTCCAAGGATGCTGACAAGTTAATCCCCGAGGCTGAGCAGACCGCCAAGGTTGGACTCAAACAAGATGTCTGCGCTGGATTGTGATACTGACATGACGGGTAGACCGACGTTCAACGCGCGATTGATAGTCTGCTTGTATTGGAGAAACAAGCAAGGCAGGTATGACATGTCGCCGTCCCCAGGTGATGGTTGTTGCGATGCAAAACTAAACATGAACTCAGGCCTCTGATCTACCAACTACATCCCGCCTTCTTGTCACTATCGTAACGATCAGCAAAAACTCCGGAGACTGGAACCTTCTCAACGATCAAGTCCTCCTCCTCTCCAAGAAGCATGGTCAGCTCAAGCAAGCCATCACGAAGATGGTGCAGGTGGTGATGGGATTCCTGGATGAGACACCTAACGTGGATGTTAAATTGTCTGTCATCCAGACCCTCCGGACTGTGACCGAGGGAAAGGTTTGTAACTCCGCAGTCTCGTTCTTGGTAGCCTGTAGCTAATACACGAAACAGATCTTTGTCGAAGTCGAAAGAGCCCGTGTCACCCGCATTCTATCGAATATCAAAAAGACCCAAGGCGATCTCACTGCCGCCGCCGACATCCTTTGCGAGTTGCAAGTTGAGACGTTCGGATCCATGACCAGAAGGGAGAAGACAGAGTTCATCCTGGAACAAGTGGCCCTTTGTATAGAGCGTGGCGACTGGACGCAAGCAACAATTTTGAGCCGCAAGATCAATAAGCGTTATTTCAACCGCAAGCCCAAGAAGAGTCCCGAGGAGATTGAGAAGCTCAAGAAGGAAGCCGAGGAGAGGGAGAAGACCCGTGGTCCGGATGAGCCTCCAATGGAAGTTGATGACGACGTAACGGATTTAAAGCTTCGTTACTATGAACAACAGATCATCCTTTCGAACCACGACTACAAGTATCTGGATGTGTGCAAACACTACCGGGAAGTGCTGGATACCGACTCCGTACAGAACAACCCAGAGCAACTGCGAGCAGTAAGTGTCTCCATATACTATCTTCATTGATCACGAGCTAACCACAACTAGGTACTTGCTCGTATTGTGTTTTATATTATCCTGTCTCCGTATGATAATGAACAGTCAGATCTGTTGCACCGCATCCAATCGGACTCACGACTCTCCATGGTCCCCGTGGAATCCCGACTTCTGAAGTTTTTCACCATCCACGAACTCATGCGCTGGCCGGTAATTGGACAGCAATTTGGCCCTCATCTTTGCAACACCGATGTGTTTAGCCCCAAACCCAGCCAGTCTGCAGAGGACCAGCCATTCAAACGGTGGCAAGATCTTCGGAAGCGGGTTATTGAACACAACGTTCGTGTCGTGGCCAAATATTACACTCGCATCCAGATGGGCCGGTTGACTCAGCTTTTGGACCTGACCGAGGAAGAGACGGAAAAATATATCAGTGAACTGGTTACATCGAAGACGATCTATGCGAAGATCGATCGTCCCGCGCGGCTCGTCAACTTTGCCAAGCCGCGCGATGCCGACGATGTGCTGAACGAATGGAGCAGCGACATGAAGAGCCTCCTGGGGCTCTTGGAGCGCATCGACCATTTGATCACCAAAGAAGAAATGATGGCCCGCATCCTGCCTACTCGGGAGAAGGGCAAGGCCCGCTAAATGAGCCGATTGAAGATGTGGACAGCGATTATGAATCGGCGCTGAATGCACGGCGTGTAAAACTACGAGATAGTATCTAGAAATGGATTAATGCTTTTGCATGCTATATACATACATGGCATCGCTCTATGTATCATCAAATGGTCTCCATGAAATCTATAGACAACAACCATAGTACACAAACTCTATATGAAGATCTACGCAAGTCTAAAACGGCAGATCCATATCATTAACATCCTCCTCCTCGGCATCCTTCTTCGCACCCCCCTCCAATTGCTCCCTAATAAACCTCACTGCAGCATCCAAATACGGCCTCTGACTGGGCAAAAAATGTCCACCAGGATGCCACACCACCTTCCCCTCCTTCTCAGGATTCCCAGCACAAGCCGCAACCAAAGCCTTACTCCTCGACTCTTCCACAACCGCATCCAACGACCCCAAAACATGCAAAATCGGCGTTTGAACAGCCGGACTCTCATAGAAACCCCGATACCTCGCCCCAGGCGAGCGAAACCCACTATAACACAGCGCAAACTTAAACGGCGGATGCGCAAGCCCCTCAAACGACTTCGGAAACGACACACCACCCACAACCTCCTCCGCCTCGCCCTTCCCCTCCGACGCAACCACCGGATCCAAAAACCGCGCAAACGCCTCCTTTCTCCCATCCTCCAGCAACGACACGACCATCGCAGCCATAGCTGCACCCTGCGAGAACCCAATCACGCCGTCAAACGGCCCCTCCTCGGCCATCACTTTCGCGATGGCAGCGAGCCCATCCTCCAGACCCAGGTATTCGGGGGGATTGGCGGTGTTGGAGCGGCGGAACCAGCCGTAGGCTTCGAGGGGTTCAGTCGAGGGTTCCTGAGTGGGTTCGTAGCCGGGGATGTCGGCGGGATTGAGGCGGAGGGGGCCGGTGGGATAGGTTGCGGACACATCGTGGAGGGGGAAAGCTTTCGTGAGGTGTTTGATAAGGGCGCGGCTTTTGGCATGGAAGAGGGGGCCGGATTGGGTGTAGCCGTGGAGCATAAGGAGTTTGAGGGGTTGGCGTTTGGACATTTTCGGGTTTCCTTTTCTTTTCTTTTTTCTCTTTTTTTTTTTTCGGCTCACTTCGTTTTGGCTTTTGGAGAGTAGGTTGGTTTGAGAGTTGTTTTATAGGAGTGATGGTGTGATCGGGGACCTCGTATGGCCTGGTTGAATTGAATTGAATTGTACATAGAGCTGATAAGATAAGGAAGGCGGGAAAGGGTGGCCGTATATGCAATGAATGTGCAAGTTGCATGCTGTCGACTATGGATACAATGAGCAATAGAGGCTTATAGGCATGCCAATTGAGCAGGTACAGGTACAGAGAGTTCATAATATATTTAACTACATAATACCCCTCTATTTGAATATCAGTCTAGCAATACGGGCTGAGCTAAGGAGAAACATTAGGCATCGCATAAGACAAGTATGGGTTTCTGCCGTACCTAAGAATCAAGGAGCGTTTACCCTCGACCCAGTACACAACATCATAAAAAAAAAAAAAAATTTCCATCGTCCCTCATATCAGATCAACCCATCTAAAACTCTCCAAAATGAGCGGCACCAACATTGAAACGCTCGACGCCCGCATGGCTGGACTCCTCGAGTATGCCCCACAACATACCCTTACCCCCACTATCTAGAGCACCAACCGAAAGAAGTATGAAGGAGAAATCCTCAAAGACGAACTAATCAATCAAGCCCTAAACCAGAGCCCTCGATTCCCACCCTATGGAAGCCACCAGCCCGCCCAATCCAGCAGGCGTCTACATCCTCGACTTCATCCGCACCAGTCACAAAAAGCTGAAGAGCCTCGACGCCTATAAACTTCAGTCGGGAGACCAGAACGCTCATGCAGAGCTGCAGGATATCCAGGGCCACAACGTTCTCGCTGGACAACTCATCAATGGTGGCGGCCCTATGGCGCAGAGAATGGCTATGATGGGAGGCCCGGTGGACTTTGTTCGGAGATTAGGCAAAAGGCTGAGACAGTCAGTTCTGTCTAGTTTATCTTCCAGATAGGCTTCTATGGTAGGATATGGCATTGTAGGCTTTTATAGGAGTTGTGGATGAATATACCGTGTAGTCATGCCGGTAATATTTGAGAATTCAGTTTCTGCCAACGAACCATCTATTATCGATCAGAATGGCACAAGGCACCCGAAAGTTATGAAACAGGTGGTACGGTCCGGGCGGAGGATTGTAGCTTGAATAGTCATGCCTCATGGATTCCTCAAATACTACTAGGAACCTCATCTAGAAGCTCTTCCTTTGATATGGGATGGCTTGTCTTAAACTCCCTAGACCTTATATATTGTCCTGAGTGAGGTCAGGAGGCTACCCTATCCACTAGGAAGAATAAAGAAAAGGAGGGGGAGAAGGAGAGGAGGATTCCATGCTTGATTGATAGACCACAGAGCACAACGGATAATATTTACGGTTCTACAAGGATCTAATCTTGTGAACCAATGCTCTTTCGCCCAGCAGTGATGATGGCCTGATCAAGTGTCCAACTATCTTGTAAAGGTTGAACCACATGGGGAAATCTGTAAGATGCAGGATGCACTGTAGATTAGCTTAATGTTAGTGAACGGAGTAGACGGGACGGTATTCGAAGAGCCGTTGGATATCAGGTAAGATCTCGTGAACATTCTCATCCTGACAGGATATCGATAGGCATTATAGTATGAACAGTTAATACTGGTACATTGCAACTTCTAGGCACTTGTTGACCTCAAAGATATGGAGGGAAAACGAAAGAGCGTCCGTGTCTACGTACAAAGATGTCGAACATGAACTCCTCCACTGTGGGGCTGCCGATTAACAACCCTACGGAAAATTTTAGAAGTCCTATGACGGATGCGGTTTAAGCAGTACTCCACCATTGAAAGAGATATACGAGCTTGCCGGGATAGGCCTGTACAACTACTGCGCAGTGGGACCAGTCACTGCTGGTCTTCTACAAGGGTACTACGGACAATCCACAGAACAATCTGGAACAAGCATACAATTGCAAGTGTCGAGGGATGTACACGGCTTGAACGTTCCGGTCAGAAAGGCCAGCCTACAACAGGACCGTATCTCTACATCCTGCCAAACCAAGCGCCATCTGCCAGACTATATCCAAGATTCGCCCGTAGTCACACCCGCCGTCCTAGCAATGCCAGTATCCAGTGATTCATCTTCGTCAATGGCGAGGATCTACACTCGATTCCCATGACATCTGAACTCGTGGATCAACCGGCAATGCTCATGCAGATATGCCCAATCGTGGTAACATCTCGCCATATCGTTCCATGACGAGAGTCGAGAGAACAACGTGTCGTACGGGTCCCAAAGCATAAACAAGAAAGAAAGAAAAAACCAACAACGTTTCGATAGTAGTCAAAAAAGAGGCAAAGGTTGATATAGTATGGGACCGATCATTGCCAGATATCCGGAACTCCCTCCATGTACGCTTTTGGTGGAAAACTTGGTAAAGAAATGGCTGCGCCTGCTTGGGTACTTCTCATTCCCTTCGAACCTTTGTATTTTTTTGAGGGGCTTTCTCGCAAGGGGGCGAGGACTCCATCTTCTATCTGAGTTTTGCTCAAGAAAAAGATAAGATTAATCCATCGAAAAACGCCACATGTCTTTCATCATCGCTCCAGCCTGGTTGCGTCGTAACGTCTACTTTCTGCGGAAAGAGCATCCCTCGGTGAGGCGGGCCTTGCCACCGGTGGGCTGGCAAAGGACGGTCGAGCAGCCGGCGCAAACGACGACGGTCTGGGCGTGGGAGAACACGGTGGTGATGGTGAAGCAACCGGGGCACTTGACGTCCATGAAGAAAGAACGGGGGGCAGGCACAAGTTGCTAATCGCGCCATCCAGTCAGCTATTCACCAACTCTACATATTCCCAGAATTAGTGTTATCATACCTTGAGCTTGTGCTTGCGAGCCTCGGCCTGAGGCGTGGGGTTGAGAAGGTCGACCGCGAGAACCTGTCCGGGAAAAAAAAAAATCCTGTTAGCAGCGTGGCCTTGGATGATATTCGATAGGAACGGGGCTCCGGGGAGGCGACGGCGACGGCGAGCACGAGATGGAAAGTAGTCCCCTTATCTCTGCTTATGTCGAAGAATATCCGCGATATAATAAAAGGACGAGGCGGGCAGAACCTACCATCTTGACGAGACTAAAAGTCGATCAGCGATGAAAGTTGAATGGTGCGCTGATGGAGATGGCCTGCTTGAAGGGTGAAAACGAAGAAGGTGGTCTCGTGGAGAGGGCAAACTCTGAAGGGAATTCCTGCTCCCGTTCAACCCACTGGCCCTTTCTGGGAAAGTAGGGCTCAAGCCCTCGCTAACACTACTCCTTTGAGTTGACTTGGCGCATCTGGCGGCTTTACCCCGTACCGTTTGGCAGAATCACCAATCAGAGAGGCGGTCATTGCTTACGTCACGGGGCCCAAAGGTCCTCTGATGGATGGACTCTTCCAGAGCGACCTCTGGCGTTCCGTCACCTCTATCTCTACGTCCCCTCGTCCCATGGATACTCAGACTCGATATAGAAGGCCAACATTCGACATCGTTCTACTTCCAATCACCGTTATATCTTAAACAACTCACATCATTAAAGTTAATAGTCTCTATCACTAATCAAACACATATTTAGACCTCCCCCATGTGACACAAAGGTTTCCAGCCCACATGCATCGCGGGATGAATGGCCCTACATTTTTTTTTGGAAGCCCGACTCTAATTTGCAGAAGGCTAACCCAACGCTCCAATGCTCTTTGAAGCGGAATATGAATGGGGCGAATTCAATTCGAAAGAAAAAAGGAGAAAGAAAGCCTCACTTGATATGAAATAAACCACCATAGGATGTGAAACGGCGTCAGGTCTTGGCATAGTTGATATGCTATCGACGTGCTGACGCTTGTTTCTCTATCACCGCATCTTCTTCGCAACTTTGTCAACTTGTCCATTTACAGTCTGTGTCTCGACATAGGGATGCTTGATAGAGAGGCACCAGATGTCGATGTAGTCACATATCGTCGTGATAATGTCGTGCTATGACCGAATCAGTCTCGAGCTCAGGAACGTTTTGAACAAGTAGGACTTACGATGAAGCTTCCATAAACACCCACTGCCAGGCCGAGACACACGTAAACGAATGCAATCTGGCGATTCCCATCTTCAAGCGCACTAGGCCACAGACCCAAAGCGGGACCAGCACTGTCAAGAACGGCAAGAGCAAGGGGACAGAGAAGTACGTTGATGTAAGGGAAGCTGGCCTTGACCAGGTGTGCCGTGATCATTCTGCCCACCGCGTATGCGTTAATCAATCCCACGTAAAGTGCAAATGGAACCATGTAGTTCTCCAGAATGATTGGCTGCAGATACAGATAGGCCGGCACGAACACCCAAACCGCAGCAAGAGGAAGGAGACCAAAGAGCGGCGTAATAGGGTTTTGACCGCGCTCTTTGCGAATCTGCATGACATGCAGGATACTTGAGCCGGTGGCGAAGAAGAGCACAACGGCGCCGTAGATTATATACCACTGCGTGAAAGGCATGTCATATAGCTGCTCTGGGATAGCGTCTAACTTGGGAACACCGATGGTCTCCAACATTGGCTGGTGCCAGAAGCTACCGCCTCCCATGTAGGCCGTAAAGCCAAAAACGACGCAAAGCGTCAGCACGCCTTCCACGGGACCAGAAATAATACCGAGGGTAAGCACTTGGGTGTAGTACTCATCCCAGGTCTGGACATAGAAAGTCATTGTTGCTGTCTCACATTAGTCTTCTCTGAGAGATGCTTCTTGGACAGGGGATCTAACGTACATCCCCAAAGAATCAGGACAGTAGCCCATGACTGGCCAAGGTTCATTGCCGCACAGAAGATCAACACCCCCAAAGTGGTGTTGCATGCATCGACACCTGCAGGTTAAACTGAATCAGTGCCGATCTTTCACCTAAGGACAGGCTCGACTTACTGTGATCAAATAGTTCTCCTAGAGGACCACTTTGCTTGGTTCTCCGCCTGTTACGAAACAATTTAGCGTCGATGGCTATCACGAGACCGGGAACGGGAGCCATACGCTTGAATGCCGTCTACTCCGTCAAAAGTCTGGTACAAGAACAATCCCACGGCGCAGCTGGCATAGACCCAAGACGGGCAATCCTGGTCTAGTCCAGGATTATACCATAATATCGTGAGGAAGTTGATTACCACAAAGAAGAAGCCGGTTAGGGTGATCTACCAGTCCTCTGTTATTTTCCGTTCTTGCCATAAATCGGAGAATTAAAGACTTACAGCGTTAGGACTAAGGCAAGCAGGCTGTTAGCCAGGCAAGACACCGGTAAGGTTGGAGAAGCGTCACTACTCACGCCATGCTCATCGGGAAACATTTGATCACAACATTGTTATAGAATGGCTTGAGGATATATTGGCTTATTAGCGAGTGGTCGACTCCCGCGTACCGGTATTCCCGCAGGTTAGGCAGCTGATGCTGCCGGATGTACACCATGTTGCGTTGGTCTCCTTCTTCTCTCGGGATAGTCCTTTCTTTCCGTCCGGCTACGGAGAATACGTTGGGGAAATTTTTTTTTCTCTTTCTTGGGGTGTCTTTGGGGCTTTACAAAGATAGCGGTGTAATAGGAAAGTAAAGGCAAGGTGTCACTCTGCAAAAGGGGTAAGATAAGTTCAGAAAAGGAAAGTCAGGGAATAGATGGTGGACAGTCAAGAAGATCAAAGACAGGATTTCAAACAAGACACAGGGAGGAAGAAGAGAATTAAAATGAGACGAAAAGAAAAACAGATACGCGCAGCTCTTGTTGATTGATGTTTCCTTTTAGTGCCAAATTTTTAGTAGTTGGTATTTATTTGTACTCTCTTTTTTTTTCTGCCGGTCAAAAACAACCTTGGAAGGAAATGCCGCGCGGAGTTGCAAAAGAATTCCGATGGTCCGCCTTTGAAATTACCGTACTCCGTCTGCATGAGGTAGTCAGAATTGAGAAGTCGGTGGAGAACTTCGGCAACCCACGTGTGCGCTTTCATTCGCTGGCTCAACTTTGTTGAGGGGATCGGGCCATCTTCCAAGACTTCTGTGCTTCCCACAGGTCACGGTCACTTTCCTGATCGTCGTTGATAATTTGCAGAAAAAAGAGGGGTAGAAGACAAAGCATGCTGGCAACCCGAGGCAACATATGAAGATGCGAAGCAATGCGCCATATGGGAGGGGAAGTAACGTAATATACGGGGGCATGGGAAAAGACTGGTGGAACAATGTTTTTGAATCCATTTCTAAATACAAATGATAAACGAAATGACGATGCTAGTGCAGTTTGGATACACTAAAAACCCTATGGCTGCTTTAGTTGGAATTGATAGCGGATAGTGGAGCGACCAAGCTTTTCGTAGATACTGTGCGAAACTTGGAGCAACCGTTACATTCTCCTCCCAATACACCGGCAGACCCTGCTCTCCAAACCATCCCATGTACTCACGCCCCATGACCTCGGTCCATTCACAACCCTGATGCTTGGTTTCCTTCAGCAGGGTATTTGCTGTGTGCTGGGCGCTCATCAAGGACCTTGCCGGTGATCGCAAATCGACTAGGCTACGGGGTACGATGCACTCAACCAACAGGGCTCCAGGGCATAGGAATTAGGATCCGGCTCTGCATGCTTTGAATGAGAGGGACGGTCTTGTGCACCGTCTCTGCCCATCCTTCGATACCCCACGACTGCTCCCGGCGAACCTTGCGTTCTTCCAAGTTCGCAAATTGCCATAAATGGTGCACAGTGTTGAGGTCGCCAATCTGGACAAACCAGGCACCGACTCCCTCCATGACCTCACGGCGAGCCCTGAGGCCCCGTCTCCAGTGCGACTCCCACTCCAGGAGGTTACCGGGATGAAGGGTGTAGGATCGGAGTTCGAAAAGACCGCCCAGTCGTCGTGGTGGGGTCGTTGGCCAGAAGGAGAATTCCTGCATCAGCGACGTCTTCTTGCTCTTGATCAAGCTTTTCAGCTTGCGGTCAAACTCGGGGAACTCCGGATGGCAGGAGATATTATGGAGGGATGCATGATAGCCCTCATATCGCTGATATTCCCAGATATGAACTGCAGACCTAGTATTAGCATTCCAACCACACGAAGACGGCCAGCATGGGGTTCAGGAAAGGGCTGATCTTGATTGAAAATACCAAAGGTGTCGTTATCTCCTACTTGTGTCCTCCAACTTCCGACCAGATTTACTCTGTTTTCCTCCGTGGCGGCCATGCGAGGGTACCACTGCCCTACCAAGTCGACATATTCATCTACTCTGTCGGGCTTGACTTCATGGAAGACGATCGAATGAACGTATTTACCACGAGCGAGGACTTGCGAGAACGAGCGTTCTATATCTTTATCGAGCTGTTGGCCTTCCTTCGTTCCGTAGATAAGCGAAGATAAGGGACCGCGCTTGGGGGATTGATCCAGCTGTTGTTCCTCTCCTAAAATACGGTGGGTAGATAGTGAGCCCAATGCCTTATTATCAAGTACCTGGGCGGCATCAAAGACAGCAGGGCTATAGTTACTGCTCGCATTGCTCGCACCCGGAGCAGTGGGAGCGGTAGCGTACTCACGGAAGCGATCACGGGAGACAGGGGATGATGAGGTAGAAGCAGAGGCATCGACAGACTGACTCTCTTGCTGTTCTTTCTTCTTGCGAGCCACCTCCAAATTCTCGCGGAACTCCTTTTGACGCGCAGTAAATTCCTCGGCTGAGGTGGGGGTGATGTCACGAATAGAGGGAGCGCGGTAGGCAGTGGCAGAGGAACTGAAGGGCCGGACCAGCGAAGACACCGGTCGGAAAATGCGTGGTGTGAGCATATTTGCTATTTATACAAAGACACAATGCTTTGCAAAAACAAAAAGTGGCAATGCTGAGACAAATGCTTTATGGCGGAAAAGAAATGAAAAAGGGCAACCAAGACGGTTGTTTGACCCTTACTGTGGCGGACCGAAGGGACAACAACAAAGTAACAATAAGTCGACGCAGCTGTGAAGAAATACAGGAGGGGGTTGAAGAGAGGGGAAGAATGAGGTAGCACAGACGAAAAGACAGGGGTAAAGGTGTGGTCGACACGCGATGAGTGACTTGCGGGACGGCTAAAAAGGGAGTAATCAAACAAGAGTGGTTACTTTGTTCGTCAGCAATCCCGGCCGATGGTCAGGCGGAAAAGACGATAGCTACCGGATACTGCGCAGAGTTAGTAAACTGATTGACACACCGATTGCAGAATATGGAAAAGCTGATAGGAAGGGAGGTGAAGGTCGAAGGTCGAAGGTCGAGGGCGAAAGCTGGGGAAAGCAGTTTGAGTGCGGGGAAAGAGTCTTGACGCTCTTGTAGTCACGACACCCAATCCTCAGAATAGACCAGTAATTATTGGCCACGCCCCAGACTTGCGGCCTAGGCTTTTTATATAAGGCAACGTCACCAATTGCAAGCCGTCTAAAAAAACAACAACAATTTGTGACCCATGTGAAATGAATAATAACTCCGATATTGACACACGCGACGGACTCTGTAATTTGCTGAATTGCTCTAATCTCGCCGATCTCTAGTGCAGTTTTGCTCCATAACTTGAGTTATCATGACGAAAACGATGCTTATCCTTCTCCACGCCGAATGACCTCAAATATGACGAGACAACCATCGTGTCAATCTCTACCCTATTATTGGAAACAAACAAGCTACCAAGATCTACAGGAGTACGAGTAAGGGGATTAAGGAGTAAACTAAACGAAGAGCTTCAATGCCCGATGACGTCGAAAGGAAAGCGGAAGCCGCTCCATGGTCCGAGCTTGATCCGAGCCAAAGGCGGACTAGGGCTTCCGGCTCAATGCGGTTACGACCGCCGGATCCCCGCCTCAGCTTCACTGGACGACGCTCGCCGTGCCTTTTGAGAAGCGGCTCAAACTTGAATCGACAGCGAAGATCAAGGTCGGAACCACTAAATAAAATATTGTACAACACGGCTTAGCTAGTGCTATATACGCTGTGCCAACGCGATGACGGATTCCTTGAACCCTCCCCTCTCATATGAGGCATCAGCCACGACCACCCATCCACATGTGGCAAACACGCTACCCCAAGAGGTCATCTCATGCTTGAAGAATTCGCGATTTGTAGGTACCTGTCCTTCTTCCAAGGAAATTGAATTAATTGTCTGTCTTCTTTGTGGTGATAACGACTTATCCTTTGGTAGCTTCACCTTGCGACATGTGACGGTCTGACCCCTCATGTCTCTCTCATGTCCTACACCTATCTGCCCTCGACTCCTTACGACCAGTATCCCACGATTATTATGACTACAAATCCATCCTCTCGCAAGACCAATCACCTGCTGACCAATCCTCGAGTTTCCTTACTTGTCCACGATTGGGTGTCACACCGTCCGCCTACCCGTGCACCCAACCCCGGAGGTCAGCGCGACGGGTCCCCGCCGCCGGCTGCGACCCGGTCTTCCTTGGCCAGTCTTCTGTTGAATCTGAACACGAGTGCATTGTCGAGTATCTCTACCACCATCACCGGTTCAGCTCGCGTCCTGGAGCCGGGCTCTGAGGAAGAAGCATGGTATAAGGAGCAGCATTTGGAGAACAATACTTTTGAAGAGGAAATGGGGCTTTTTGGCCAGCAGCAGCAGCAACAACCAGGCCAACGGAGGCCGAGTATCTCCATCGACGATGATGTCCGGGTGGTCACCGTTCAAGTGCGTGAAGGCCGGATTGCAGACTGGAAAGGAGGCGTGCGGGATTGGAAAGTTGTCCGCGAGGGTGAAGACCAACCAGCGACGCTAGTCAATGGGACTTCAGACTCGCAATAGCCGTAATTACTTATTTCGCGATAGCTCCAGCTTCCCCTCTACAAATCAACAAAAGTCTACTTACTGACCGACTGTACAAGCATTATTATCTGTGTGCATTGGAGCCTTTATTTCACATGTGTACAATAAGATAACAATATTGTGATATCTTGGGTGGTAGCTCTGACATTATCAGATGTCTAGTCTATATAGTTGAACTACAGTTCACAACCAAACCATTCAACCAGACGCAACACACAACTACACCAAACAAAAAGCGCATTATAGATCCAAACACTACACAGATATCATAAAACAACATTCAAAGTTCAGTCATACCTCACATAAGAAAAGATGATCCACAGCGACCACCCACAATCACATCCGATCACATGATCTCATACCAATACTACTTACTCCACAGTATCGATGGATACAATCGGAGTAACTCTCAACCTCCATCAAGCGCAAACCACCTCACCAATCCCTCCAAAACCAACAATCGCAAGCACCCCTCCAAATAATGCAACCCTAACTACCAATCCAAGATAACCAAGAATCCAAATCCTCGCCAAAATGCGCCTCGCCCACCTCCACATCCCAGACATAACGTCGTTCACTCGAGTCTCCAATCTCCAACAAATCCTAACAACACGCCTCCTCGCCCACAAAAAGCTCATCCCCAAGGGAACAACACCAAGCACATCGTCCATTAAACCCCCAGACCCAACCATCATCACATTCACCCCGAACCCGGTCTACACAACGGGCCGCCGCGACCTCCCACCCTCCAACACCAGTCCGACAGCACACCTCTCCCTCCCGCCCTCCCTCGAACCAATCCGCTCACTCCTCACCTCCTCCGCCGGCGCGGAATACCACCCCACGCTGCGCGGCGGGCAAACGACATACCATGGCCCGGGCCAAATGGTAGCATATACGATCCTCGACCTGCGACGACTGGGTCTAACGCCGCGATGCCACATCCGGGTGCTCGAGAACAGCGTCGTGGATGTATTGCGCGGCTACGGGGTTCAAGGGATAATTACGGAGGATCCGGGGGTATGGGTGCCACCGAAGACGGAAGGGGAGGGCGAAGCGAAGAAGATCACGGCGGTGGGGGTTCATCTGCGACGGAACATTAGCAGTTACGGGGTCGGGTTCAATGTGACAGCGGAGCCGATGTGGTGGTTTCGGCAGATTGTAGCGTGTGGGCTTGAGGGGAGGGAGGCGACGAGTTTGGAGGGGCAGGGGGTGTCCGGGGTTGAGATTGGGGAGGTTGCGGAGCGGTTTGTGAGTGCGTTTGTGGAGAGGGTGAATCGGGATTTTGCGTGTGAGGATGGGGGTGGGACTGGGGAGAAGATTGAGGGGGTTTATAAAGCTACGGAAGAGGATCTTCTTTGATTGGGTAGAATGGTTGCTATTGGGTAACGGGGGGCGATTCTCCGCGGACGTATTTGTATAGATGAGCTAGATGATGAGATGTGTAGCTTGGAACTGGAAAACCAAAATTAGAGTCATCATTGGCAGATAGTACAAGTGCGCAAGTCTAGCAAACATAATAAAACAAACCCGGTCCTCCCTGTCTTCTACTCTTCTAGCCCAGAAACCAGATACCAGACCCTAAAAGATCCAATTGAACAGAGCATGTGTAACGAGAGTCGTCCGATCCAAGCTGGGCTAGTTGTTCTTCTCCAGGGCATTAAGCGTACATGATTAGAAAAAGGGATTCATAAGAAGTATATATATAGAAGAGAAAGAAAAGCAAAATAGCCAAGCAAATAGGCTGAAGGGCTGACGAAGTAATAAAGAGTCAAAAATGTCAGTTGCAGCAAGCTCTGGGCGTTTAGAGCTCGTGCTGGACACACCTGAGGATGCAACAAGAAACAAATCGAATGGGTATACGGACAAGTGGTTGAAACCGTTAAAGAAGCCGAAAATCAAAACGAGCGACGCGTTTACAGGATGACACATCCTTCCTTGGATCCGTTCGACCCTTGGGCTTTCACTTCAAGAGCAACCTTAGCTGCTTCGTAGAAAGTCTCCATGATACCGCGATTCTGAACGGCGGAACATTCTGTAATTGAATAGATTAGGACCTTGCTCGCAAGAATCGCAAGTAATCATCAAACACCTACCCAAATATTTCACGGCACCGATTTCCTTTGCCTTTGCTAGGCCTTGCTCGTATGCAATTGCGTTCGGGTTGGGGTTCTCGTACTCGTCCTTTCTCAAGTCACACTTGAGCGCCGTGAGGACCATCTTCACGCCGGGACAGTTCTCTGATATCTCGTCGACCCATTTACTTGCGACGTTTTCGAACGAATCCGGGCTATCAACCTGCATTCGAGGTGCATTTAGTCGCTGTTCTTGGAAACTGGGGTATGGAGGTCCCTCACGCTAAAACAAAGCATAATCACATGTGTGTCCTCGTATGATAGCGCACGCAATCGGTCAAATTCCTCCTGGCCGGCTGTATCCCATAGCGATAATTCGACGTGTACATTGTCGACGAAGATGTCTATGTAATCATGAACACATGAGTTGGGCAAAGGAGGGGTTAGGAGCGATTACCGTGGACATAGTTCTCTGAAGCGATGATGGTCAGTAAATGTAATCAGTTAAGTAGGGGTTACGCACGCACCGAAAACAGTGGGTTCACTAGGTGAGGGTCGCGGTCAATATCGCAAGGCATATAATCATCTGGAGAAGAAGTTATATCTTACTATACTGTTGGGAAGAACCTATGCAGCAAGGATTAGTTGACCTTGTTAGCAGGAAAAACAGGGGACGTTAATTACCCTCTGGTAAAAACGTTCAAGGCCGAAGTCTTGCCACAAGCACCGTCGCCTCTATTCCAGTGGTTAGAACATTGTCATCTGAGGGTTAAGCAATGCCAGGCTTCACTAACAGCAGCACCATCTTGCGCCGGACAACCGTCTGACGCCCGCACAAGCCCATCGTGGAAGGATAGTATTCGAGAATTCGGTTTGGTATGCGCGAGATTAGGGGGGAGCGGAAGGGATGCGATCATTCGGCCTGGGGACAGAACAGGCGTATATAACCAGTAAAAAAAAAAGGGTATTATATGAGAAGGTGGGAGAAGGATAATTTCGGGCTTCAGAGATAAGCAAATGAGGAGTTTTGTGGCACTGGTGGTAAGAAAGCAAAGCCACCGGTCCTGAGCCGTGCAGACGATGTCATCGGACCTTGAAAGGGTCAGCGAATGAGACGATCCTCATCTGCCAAGGCTTCAAGTCTAATTCCGCCTCGCCCAGTGCCTGAACCTCACATTCACAAAGTATCCCACAACTGGACCTCCAAACTGCATCGTATTTAATGTTGTTGATGTGGAATCTCAAGTGGTTGTGGTATCCGCATGTGCTCCATTTATGGGGTTTCGTCTTTTTGGTACTGTGATGGACAAGCTTCAAGCTAAGAATGGCTTTTGTCTCAAACGTTGGAGCTTTCTTTTACACGCTTACTTATTCTCAGCTTCACTGCGTAGACCCCATTGCCTAGTCCTTACTAACTCAGGTGGTTTTATTTTTATCCTCATGAGAATAGCACAGGAAAGAAATCGATCCATTTTGCTCTCAATCGCATACCGACTAGACCTGCTCTATGCCGTCATTAGGGCAATTGGCACCATGACCCACACTGCCTTAACCTGAGGTTATAAATTTAGAAAGCATAGCCCTCCTGTTATGGATTAACACTTTTGATGATGAATATAGTAGTTCACTGCTTAGATCACTACTCACAGTTAATTCTTCTCGTTACAATTGTTTCAAGGTAGTGAGTGACACAACTTCTTGTCATGGCTATCCTATCATGTCTCCCCGGCGACATATAAATATCCCATGATTAGTACGAATGATACCTTAATCGCGAATGGTATTCTATCCACATCGTTGGTCCATCTTAGTCTTGAACCTATCATTTTAAACAAAGATATCACTACCATCGCCAATGTAGTGAAGTAAATTTTACATATATATAATTCTTTCTATACACGGTTGCGTATCTTTTATTCTCACCGACCCTATTATACTAATACATATAGGTAGTTGATCAATTCGAAGTAGACCTAGAGTAAAATCACCCTAGAATGTCAATAAATCCCACACACTAGACACAATGTTCCAGATTGATTCCTGAACCAGAAGCAGAGAAAAAGTCCTGTCGGACCCATCGAGACTAAAGTCAGCCGTAGCGCGGGGAACGTAAGAAAGAGGCGTTGACAGCCCGGGCCTCCGATAGGCCGGGAAGCTCCATTTGTCTCTCACTCTCTTTATCCTCCATTATCTACCTCCTCAACAATAACAAACTGAACGACCCTCACGTGTACCCTTACGAAGCACCTTAATCTACATTTAAGAATACCAATAGACACGAAATACCCAGAGACACGGGAAAAGAACTTTACGAGAGACAAAAAAAATGTCGGACGATGACTTCATGCAAGATTCTGGCGACGAAGAGTGTGTCCCTTCCGTGTGATACCGTGGCCCGGGGGATGTTCGATTGACCCGTTCTGCTAGGTACGACTTCGAATACGAAGATGCGGATGATGATGAGTTGGGAGACATCGGGATCGAGAATAAATACTACAATGCCAAACAGATGAAGGTAGACAACCCGGAGGAGGCGATCGATGAGTTCCTGGAAGTACCGGCTCTGGAGCAGGAGAAAGGCGATTGGTAAATATAATTCGTACTTTTTCGGGCTGGCTGGTCAGGCCGCTGATGATCTCAAGGGGTTTTAAAGGGCTCAAGCAAGCAATCAAACTGGAATTCAAACTCGGACGATATAGCGATGTAGGTCTTCCTTCGTGCCCTCCACGAGCCTTTTATTCCTTGCTGATTGGTCCAGGCGGTTGAACACTACAGAGAACTCCTTACTTATGTCAAATCGGCCGTCACACGAAACTATTCCGAAAAATCGATCAACAACATGCTGGATTACATTGAGAAAGGCTCGGACGACGACAAGGCCTACCAGTGCATGGAAGAGTTCTATTCGTTGACGCTACATTCTTTCCAAAACACGAACAACGAGCGTTTGTGGCTGAAGACCAATATCAAACTGGCCCGCCTATGGCTAGAACGCAAGGAGTACGGTCAACTGAGCAAGAAGGTGCGGGAGTTGCATCGGGCATGTCAACGGGAAGACGGGTCCGATGATCCCAGCAAAGGGACGTACCTACTGGAGTTATACGCGCTGGAAATACAAATGTATGCCGAGACCAAGAACAACAAACGGCTCAAGGCCCTGTATCAGCGTGCGCTGCGCGTGCGGTCGGCTGTGCCACACCCTAAGATCATGGGCATTATCCGGGAATGCGGAGGAAAGATGCACATGAGCGAGGAAAACTGGGAAGAGGCGCAGAGCGATTTCTTTGAGTCATTCCGCAACTACGACGAGGCGGGTTCGATGCAACGTATCCAGGTTCTGAAGTATCTGGTGCTGACCACCATGTTGATGAAATCCGACATCAACCCCTTCCATTCGCAAGAAACCAAGCCATACAAGAGCGACCCCCGCATCTCGGCTATGACCGACCTCGTGGATGCCTTCCAGCGAGATGATATTCACGCATATGAAGCGGTTCTGAGCAAAAACCCGGATGTCCTGGCGGATCCGTTCATCGCGGAGAATATCGACGAGGTCAGCCGAAACATGCGAACCAAGGCCGTCCTCAAGCTGATCGCCCCTTACACGAGGTTTACGCTGGCATTTATCTCCAAGCACATTAAAATCTCCATCCCCGAGGTGCAGGACATTCTGAGTTTCCTGATCTTGGACAAGAAACTCAACGCGAAAATTGACCAAGAAAATGGAGCGGTTGTAGTGGAAAGCGCTAGTGACGTGGATCGACTGCGGTCCCTTGAGGAGTGGAACGCATCGCTTCGGACGCTTTGGCGGGCCACATTAAATGATGGGGAAGGGTTCAGAACGGACGACACCTCTCAACTTCACGGGATGAGAGGAGGATCCCTCTTCCAATCGGGATTCGGCGACGAAGCACCACCTGCAGTGAGTTTACGTACTGGGCGCCGATTACGGAGTGGGTGGAAGGGCAAAGGCTCAGGACACGGGAACAAGACTACTGCTACAGGTGCAGGCGGATATTAGGTGGAGGGGGTGTTAGTGTGTGTGTGTGTGTGTGTGTATACGGAGTATGTGTGACTGTGCAGGCAGTCTGTGGGCGTGGAAAGGAACAGACGTAATCCTAGTTTACTGCAGAGTCTAATAATAAAAGAAACATGAAAGATGGGAAAGCACACGAACAATCAATCACTCCACCAATCCATTAGCTATTTGTTTGATTTAAACTGAGTGGCACTGCAACAATCCCACATACATACATGCACTTGCCAGCAAAGGAAAACAAGAATCAAGTAAAATATGCAAAAATGAAATCCAAAAACTGAAATTTCAACCAGGGACCAAAGGACACGCAAAAGAAAATTCTGCATGATGCATCTACTAAAGAGACAAAGTCAGGAGGATCCAGCTTCATCACTCATCACCGTAACCATCATCCATAGCTTTGCAGGATGCATTACTCCTCGGCGGTTCACGATAGGACCAAATCACCAGTTGTAGGAAGCCCATGGTCCACACCTCTAGGGAGGGGGATCCACAGAGACAACATCCGCTGTGGGGACCCGAATCCCACCTTCTCTCGGCGTTAGAATGCCGTGTCGGTCGAAATTGAACGAAGAGAAGAACGGAAGAAAAGAAAGGAGAAGCAGGTAGACCAATAGAGTTTTCTTTTTTCTTTTTTCTTTTTTCTCTTTTATTTTTTCTCATTCTGTTTTTCGGCTGTACGTATGTATGTACATGTATTGTTTGTCCATCTGTTTCTCTCTCTCTCTCCACTTGACACGAATACAATGAGTATTTGACATTACCAAGATATTCAACAGGACTGGATGGTTAGTTAATAGTATCCAACAGAGGTATCGGGGAAGAAAAGAAGGGATTGGGACTGTCGGGCTTCCACCGGGGGTAATATTGATCGATAGGTAAAGAATAGACACTAGCAGGCATTGATGTGGACACGGGTCGTACCGACTTAACTAAAGGTCTTGCCATCTGCCACCTACACTTTAGATTGCTAACTAGGGTCAATCAATCAATGACCTCAAGAGTCGAAACAACAAAGACAGGGATTCCTCCCCACCCAAAAAATAAATAAGGGAAAGAAAGAAGGGAGGAAAGAAGAAAACAGTCCGAAAAAATTGATGATCAACCGGTAGCGCCCGGAGCATTTATTGGATGCTAATGATGTGATGAGGAGAGGGAAAACCATACTTCTCTAACTATCGTGATAATTGCTACATGGTAAGTTACTGGATTTTGTTTGAGTAACATCCAGGTAGCTTAGATGTAATAGTCCACACTATTATACGTCCAACAGAGTCAAAACGTAAAATTGTGGTGGGTGCGTTTATTGATTGTCAAATTTTGATTTGTTCGTTTGATTTTATTTTTATTTTCTTCGATTTAACATTTCCATATTTTTTTTCCCTTCCCCTTCGCCTTGCCAAGAGGGGACAGAACCAGGTTACTGGACTCACCTTCGCCAATTGGCCACCTGGCATCACAGAATCCCCGCTATAGTTGGGCTATCGTTGGGAGGGGACGGAGAAGTCCCGTGGGTTTGTCTTCCTTTCATTGTTCATTACCGAGGCGCTTGGAAAAGCTAGGGAAGGCTAGGTAGATTTTGATTTGTGGATACAAGGGCTTTGGTGATGATAACGTTAGGCTAAATGATGTACTGATTCATACCTGCTCAGTAAACATTGAGTTTGTTTGCTTCCTGGAATCAATCATCTACTAAGGAGCCTTGCGAATGTATGATCGCGATGCTATTGGACGGAAGCTACACATTAACTTTTGGTGATGAGGTATACTTGTCCCACTTACGTGTCTTTAGGTACCTAGGAAATAAGCCCTCATAGACATTCATGTCAGGTACCTAATTCTCGGTGTGTAATCGGTCATATTGGAATATACCGAGAGTTCATCCTGGCCTGGATGGTTAGGGCACCGAGGAATCTCCGTGGGTCCGCATCCGCACACTTGAGTCCCTACGTCACCTCTCTTGATTGAGACAAATAAGTATGCCAGGTACCTGGGTTTATGAGAGCCACCGAGTCTATATCTTAGCAGCGGACGATTCCAGCCACCCATAGGTCAGGAAAAAGAAACCTCGATCTATTCCGTCCATAATTTGAATGTGATCGTGATTGTGGTCACATCAGAACTCTAAGTACAGGGGGCGGCTCTTGCTCTTTGCGTCTTATGTTGTATTTGGTATTTTCCTCTTTACATCTTTTTCTCTTTTGTTGGTCATGTTTCGAACACTGCTTTATGGGAAATTGAATGGTGGGGACGAGAAAGGCGGTATTCCAGCACACTGGGATAGGTGTCGAAAATCCGGAACCCGGTCCAGTGGGTATCACTCTGTAGCTTGTTGACTAGGCTTGGACAGTTGTAAAACAAAATCATCTCAGCATTCAGGTACCCGCGAAGTATGTGCAACGGGAGGATGCAACGAGAGAAAGGCAACCGCTAACCAGCGACCCAGAATAGGTACTTAATATTTGAGAAGCCCACACACGCATACATAATCACGAATCAATCCCTGGTAAGTGATAGCTTCGGAGACACAGCCGAGGTAGCATATGCAAGCCTGCTCCTAGTTGGATCGTAAACCATCCCGGACAGTGGGAAGTCCTAAGGGGATGATTGGCAAAACTATACGTGCAGGAGACGAGAGAGAGAAGAAGGAGGGAGGAGGGGGGGGGTTTAACAGCGAATTAACACTCCAACCAGACAGGTTGGAGAGGGCTTGTAGCCGAGGACATGGATGTGCCGGCCAGATGGGCCAGCGGCGTCAGTCGGTTCATCCCATTGACCATTGTCGATGGACAGGGTGGTGGTCTGATCTCAGCATCTTACCCGGTGGGCTCGCTAGTATTTGAGTTATAGTATTGCCGCTTATAGGGTGGTAGGGTAAGTACTAAACAATCTATAGGTGATGGAGGATGTCTATCCGCATAATTACGATCCTAGCGTGATCACCGCAACGTTGCTTTTTTTTTTGAGGCACTGTTCATGTACCGTGATCATTGGAGGCCTTACCAAGTAGCTCAGCATTAAGTATATATGGTTCTGGATCGATCACCGATTATGAGAGTAGGGATGCGATAACTGAAGAGAGCTTACATTCGGGGTGTGTGTATTAAGATAACCCGCTATTTCTCCTAAAGCGGGCCACACAAAGTTACCCGGGGCTGTAGGTAAAGTGGTCATTATTGACTAGTCGCAGATAGTAAGAGAGTAGTAGAGGTACTACTAATACTACTACCTACTACTACTACTACTACTTACTACTTACTCCGCACTCGTATGCTGCATGCAAGACGGCAAGTATCAGGGGCCGCCTAGAGGATTTAGATTAGGATAAAATCTTAAGGTGTAACCCCCCTTGTGTCGTTATTTCTAGGACTGAGGGCACTAGTTGGACCCAGTTCGTACTCCTCTTCCGAAGGGAAGGATGGAGTATTGCGACTAGTGAGCTTCTTAGGGCGAATCTCGAGTTCTCAACAGCGGCGTTAGCTTCCGCTTAGTGTCGCTCCACCAGCGTTTGTCATCCATGCCGGGACATGTGGCCGCTTTCCACTGCATGGCGATCGAGGACGTTGCATTCAGATCGGGCGTTTCCTCATTGTTTCCCTTTGTGCCTATCAAAAGGGGAGATTACCTGTTGTTCGGCTGAGATCCTTCGGCTGAGATCCCATGGTTGAGTTCTGCACAGACAGCTGCGATCTGAGCACTCGGCTTAATCCCGTGGATTTGAGGCGCAGGTAGACAGGATCCAGGAATAATATAAAAATAAAAAAATAAAAATAAAATAAGAGAGGAGAGATAGAACAACACTATCACCGAAGACCCCACAGGCCCCAATCGAACAAACACCGTTCGGCATTTGCATTTTAATGTGATATGATGGTCTTCCTGCTTCACGGATATCGTTTCATACTGCTAATGTTGTACAGTATACTGTACATCCAGTAGAAGCGCCATTTTGGTTTCAATTATTTCGAGCATTCTTTTGTATCACGTTCAACCTTTTTTTTTTTAAAAAAAAATAAAAAATGATCAGATATCGTTATCATATTCATGATCCACTTTTAAGGAATGTCACTCCTAGGAGAATATCACTGGGCTTAAGTCACCGCAACTAGTACTACGTCTCTATTCAATCACCTAAAGCGGCATCTTCTAAATATTGGTCACCACTAATAACAGGCTGATAATAGATTAATTTGATCGTAAGTCATACTTACAGAGAGATAATTTAACAGGATAGGAAAAGGCAAAGGTTCAGTAGATGGAATAGAAAAGGAAAAAAAGAAACCCGGAAAAAAGAAAAGGGTAGCTGTGGATGGATCGTCATCTGGAGACCCATACAAGTTCCCAAGTCCACCACTTAACCGGTTATTCCGCTGCATTTTGCTTGCGCTAACTGACGTCCACTACTTTCACCTCCATTACTCTGATCATTACATACACTTGTACTCTCTATTCCCTCGTTCAAGTGTAATATTATTTTATGTGATGCATGTATTTCTTATCGGCCTGTTTCAATATTACAATATTTACTTTTTATTTTTCTTCCCTCTCTTGTTATCAGCATCCAGCTGCGTCTTTTTCATTATTGATGTTTGGCTAGGGATGGATTTCCTTAGTGTCTGCTTCATGCGCAGGTCATTCATTCTTCCTTTTTTTTACCCTTCCCCACCCACAAACCAATTCCATCCGTCCAGTCACCCTATGACAGCCCAGTCGTAACTAAGTAAAAAGAGTCCACTGACCGTATTTCTTTATTGGTTTGTGTGTTAGCCTACCCTTTCGTTTTTCTCCCACATAATTTCTTATTCCTATTTTTTAATATTTTCTTTTTCTTTTCTTTGAAATTCAAAAAAAAAAATAAAAAGGAAAAAGGGAAATGGGAAAAGCCTCTGATCGGCTACACTTCATGTATTACCTTCTTACGAATGGTTTTGACTGGAGCAAGCTGCGACTAGTGGTTTGTTTTCTACCAACAGGACCTTATTAGTTTCACCACTGGCCATCCACTACTAAAGAAATCAAAACCCCGCGCTGTCCACCGATCCTCAAACATCCACGAAGAAGCTTCTCCCCACGAATGTGTCTGTCATATTAAATTCCCTTATTAAACCCAGATCGTCGTCCGACACTATCCCATTTCTTCGTCCTTAGGTCCCTCAGACCCCTGTCATTTTTCGTTTTTACTTTTACATTTATTTTTTTTTTTTATTTTTTTTTCCCCTTTTCTTTACCACGATAATACTATTCTCGATCATTGATCTCGTCCATCCTCCTTAACAAGGGAAATAAGTATTTCCCATCCCATCATCTCCTTCTACTTTACATATCGCATATACCTCAGGCACGTGTATGCACCGTTGTCGTAAGAGACGTCAGAAGAAGGTCTGAGCCCTCTCTGTTTATTTTTCCTTTATATATATTTTCCATTATTGTTATTTTGCATTTTTATGAATGCAAGAAAAAAAGCCCTTCCCTTTTTTTTCTTTTTTGACTCGCTTTGTTATTTATTATTTCTTTATTTTCTATTATTATTGTCTACGCCCTTTTTACAACATAGAGTTATTAATTACCCACCTTTACATATCCCCTCCCCTCCGCGGATCTTCCATCACTTTTCTTTCAACCCTTCTGGTTGAAAGTAGTAACTCTCGACCATTGATTGGAGTTAGCTCCCTTCAAAGGCCCTCAGTCTTGAGTGGAATCATTTCCCGACTTAACTCCCTACAATCATTCGTTCTCGTACCGACCCTTGTGACACTCATGAGGGGACAGACTTACCGATGTAAAGTCTGTTGGATCCTCACGTTGTTGATGTGTGTTTAACTCGAATAAGGCTTACACGCAGCTTTGCCTGTTTCCTACCTAATCTTCAACTTGTCATCCATGCCATCCTTTCCTGTCCCCCTTGCCCCATTGGCTTTTTTCTATTTCGGTCTCGCCTCCAGCTGTCCACTCTCAATGCTTTGTTACACAAGCCTCCACATCGGGTGCGGCTATGGCTATTGTTCCTCCCTGATCACTTCTTGTACGCCCACCATTGGTGCATCTGATGGCTAGATCGTACCGCTTACTTGGATTATCTTTGCACCTTACTTACATACCGTTGTTTGGTCTGTGCGCTAAGATCGTGATTAGTAGGTCGTGGTCATCGTCGACGATCCTCCGCGCTGGTCCGGTCCAAATTCTCCCTGGAGCATAAGGCGCAGCAGGGGAGATAGGAACCTTACCTGGAAGATGCTTCTTTGCCTTGTGCGTATTACATGGTGGAATTCCATGAATCCTGTTGGGATCAAGGCACACTGACTCTCTATGACGTTATTTCGACTACAAAAGACATCGAATTATTTGTGAATCTGCACTTCGAAGGCTCTCGCGGCTCAATCGTTCCTTGAATCTTTATGCGATGTCCTTGGCGGATGTCCCTTGGAATCACCCTGGTCTTCTGAATCATTCTCTCCCTTCGAGGCAAGGCCCCACAGCCGATTTCTATCACTATTCTCCCCATCTATCAACTTTCTTCCATCCTGGGTATTATCAACCAAGTGCGGTATATCCTAGCAACGCCACTTTCTTCAACATGAACACCCTCTCGACTGAAGAAATGGAGCGATTCCAGAAACTATCCAACGAGTTTGAGCCGGACATCCAGGTGAGTACTCTGAGTCCCGGAATGAAAACGCATCGTTGTTGACTCCAAACGAAGGGCCCCTTGGTCTCAGCCAAACAATCGAGCAGTGCCATCGCCATAGAGTATGCAACTGCGGATCCAACATTTGCTGCAAAAACTAGCGTATGTGGATAGCCGCCGGAACTCTGCGGGGCTGCCCAGTGCTAAACATATTGTCAATAGGCGCTTGCGGTAACACATCCTTTCACCCGTGTTATGAAAGGAGACGGTAATTGTGGCTGGAGAGGTGACGATTTGCGCCCTTCTGGGATTCTATACGCTACTGACTCACTTGGTGTATAGCTGTCGCATTTGGTTACTTCGAGAATCTCTTTAACCTACGAGACGCGCTCCGGGTGCACCGCGAGTTGACCCGAATCAAGTCGTTAAATCTGCTCCTTAACCAGGTCGGCCATGAGGAACACCTGTATGAAATCTTCGTGGATGCGACGGAAATCATCTTTTCGCAAATTTTAGACGCAATACAAAGTGGTGTTCACGATGACTTATTCCTCGTGGACGCATTCAATAATGAATACAATTCCAACGGCATCATAACGCATTTCAGAGTTAGTAGCAACCTTTGAGCGTCATCGTACTTCTTCCCTTTGTGAATGCCTGACACTCAGGTCTTTGTGGCCGACAGTGACTAACTTTTGCAAATACAATAGCTCTTAACCAGTGCGTGGATGAAACTCAACCCCCACCGGTATCAAGCCTTTCTCTCGCTGTCGCTGGACCAGTACTGCGCGACTCGAATCGAGACGGTCAAGACCGAAATTGACGAAGTCGGTCTCCAAGCTTTGATCGATGGTGTGATCGAGGCCTCTGGATTTGCAGTTGAGATCTTGTATCTCGACCGCAGTGAAGGTGACGCAGTTACTCCCCATATTGTCACTCCTGCTCGCCCGAGCGCTGCGACTATTCGTCTCTTATACCGCCCGTGAGTTGAAGCCAGGACAATGACACCGTTCAGGACTCACCAAATGCGCTAATATGTTATTACAGGGGCCACTACGACCTACTCTACCCGGCTGAACCTCTTGTGAATGTTGAACCTGTGGTCAATTACCAATACGCCTTGACTTCTAGCTACGCGGCCTGGGACCAAAGCGCCCTCTCGTTCGATGTAAATTCGAGTTTAATGTCAGTCCCTAATCTCATGATGGATCCAACTTTTGGGCTTGCTCCCTCGCCGATCCCTGCCGCCCCGCCTAGTCCGTTCCGAGTCTCATCGCCTCAAGAAGTTTATCCACCTCCCATGCACACCCCGCCCCCTGTCCCTGTGGCATCCCCGCCACCTCTCCGAATGTCGGCGCCTCCACCGATGAGCTCTTTACCTAGCCGCTCGTCTGACGGGCCTCAGATTCGGTTGAATCCACTGGTTATGAAGCCTAATCTAAGCCACTCTCTTCCAGTCACAACACCGTTTAAGAAGTATGCCCGCTCTTTTTTAGACCCCCGATGACAAGATATTAAGGTTGTATTAGTTCTCCCTATAACCAAGCACATTTCCAAAATCAAGATTTCGAACCGATCCATTGGGAACCTAGCGAATCTCGCAAATGAACCTCGACTTTGACCCTACCTTTAGTGCTTAACGGCCCTAAATAAGGATAGCTACCGAACATCACATTCAACTTGTCCTCTCTTATGGCTATCAAGCAACGAATTCGCTCCACGCTCGTTTTTAGTTAATAGGCTCTCTAGCGAACGTTCTATCAAGGGAAGGCTGCCACCATCGCCGCTCACTCGACGGAGGATCTTTAAATGTGTCAATTGCTTTCGGTGAAATTGAGATCTCACACCTCTACTCGCTTCCTTTTTTTCCCCCTTCCATCTATTTATGTGTCTGTAAGTTTGACGCTTAGCGTGTCTTACGCGTTGCATGGGTATGAGCGTGATTATCGGGTTTTGGATTCCAGATCATTACAACAGACATTTTCCGGGTGGAAATCGTTTATTGAAATTTGTTATTTAATGAACGAAAATGTTCTTGCCCTCATGTTTGGCGGAAGGGCTTCTATTGACACGATGCCTTTCCCCATGCTTGGAAACGAAAATTGGATCAGGCTGTACTCGCCTGGGACAGTAAACAAGGGCCCCGATCTACTTTGTGCATCTTCTAGTAGTATATTCATCATGGTGGATTCCGGTGGATCATACCCCACCCTTCTTAGGCGCAACCTCAACCCTCTCTTTCTGTTTACAACCTGCGGCGTATTCAGAAGAGATTAATCTTGATGAATGTTAAGTCTAGATCTTAATAGGCTCCCTATGTATTAGATGGGCCAATACATTGCGTCTCTTAAGCGCCACCCCTACCCTGATATACGTGCATGAGGCAATCATTAAACCAAATCATTCTCATCCGCCACAACACCGTCGTCGTAACGCAAAGGATGACTGAAAATATCTACCGGAGCGAGCACAGCATTAATCAAAGGAGGAGGATACATATCCTTGAGATACTCAACAAGATCGTGGCCGGTAGTAATAGCACCCATCACAATATCAATTAGCCAACTTCACCAACACCGAGAAATCCAGAACCAAAGTGCCCGCACAAATATGCAGGATCGTGGTGCCGAACTCGTTCTGCTTTCTCAGAAACTCCAGGTACGGCTCTGTCAAGGTTACGTGGTTGCCGATGCGGAGGGGTTGGAGGGCATCGTGAAGGCGGCCATCTGTATATCCTTGAACGGGGATTGACAGTATAATATGAGAGATTCGAGTACTATAGGGTCTCCTTTAAATTTTATATGAGATGATTGAGGTATTGTGTTTGCGCCAAGTGGCTACTATTGTAAAATGGCGTGAGGTTTACTCTGTATGGATGATTATGAAAGATTTCACAACTCGGGAAGAGTCTGTGGGCTCCGGGAAAATAGAATGATTACATGAAAAATTATACGCCGTTGGGGTCTTTATTGAGAAAAAGATCTGATAAATCTAAGGCCTACGAGCAATTGAGAAGAATATGATATCGCAGCTATCGGCACTAAATGAGGTTGTTCAATAAATATTTAGTTCTTGCATGTCAGTCCTGAGGTGTCTAGGCTTCCACGTATGACTTCAAGCCATGTTGGTTCTATCATGAATTGATAGCTTGAAAGGAGGGATTCGGACTTGTAATGGGGGTTTCCGGGTTTCCAAAATCTGTTAATCCGTTCTTTCGCTACTCAAGTATGTTTATGTGCTTTAGGAGGTAGATACAGCCCTAGCTTATCAAATATCAGGGTTTAGTATTGTCCCGTCGGCGACTTCGACGCCCGAACCCGTCGGCTCAATATTTGGCCCCGAATCCCTGTCGGCCCACATTGTCTTTGCTTGAACAGGCAGGACCATCACTGGTATTCACGGTGTAGACCCCTATCAATGGACTATGAGATAGGTTTAGATACAGCTCCGTATTAATAGCTGCTACTATAACTAATGCAAATAATGAGCTTGTACAGGATGTCAGCATGCCAAACTTATCAGTAGAGATTATTCTTGGACTCATCAGAACTAACTCGACTTGACCTTTTGCATCAGCGTCATCCTCTCCTTGCAAATTTGAACAAAGAGTCATTTATATATATGATCGCTAGATTTCGTTGAATTCATAGATATGGATACAGAACTGGTTTGGGAATGTATTACCATACCGTTACAGACCCGTATGAGGTGGGCTTCTAGTTTTTAAGTTTCAACTAAATTCAGTGAAAGTAACCCCGTCGGCGCTGAGTCAGCCACTTCGGGACGGTAGATAAAACGATAGAATCCCACCCCTAGTCAGTCTTCTTTTTTCTCAACCTCACTACACCTCCTGGTCCTGCACGAAGGGCTCGAAAGCAACTTTTCTTTTCTTCATTCTAATACCCTAACGGGCCTAGCTTAGGCCCGTCCGCGTCATACAATCATGGCCGCCGCAGCATCTTCCGCCGCCGCATGCGCCATCCTTTCAGGATTCATTTTCTTCCAGCCGAACCAACAGTAGTTCCGATTCGCAACGAAACCACCACCTCTATCACGCAGATCTATACCTGCAGTCCTATGATCCGCTCTATCACCCCAATCCTCATTCCTATTCTCCGCAGTCGTCCCTAGATTTACAATTTAACCCGTCCAGTGATGAATTCACTGGCTTCGAATCTTGGGATTCTTTGGCTACGTTCGATGCCAGTTACTATCAGCCATCGATAGCCAGTTCGACACCTCTCTATCCTACACCCGTTGCCGAATCGTTACCTACTCGTATTAATAATGATCTTGCTTTGGCCCTGGAACTTAATGACTCCCGAAACTTCTTCCAATCCCTTGACGCTAGATTGATGTGTCCTGAAGGTTCGTTGGAGATTTGCTCTCGATTAATAGTCTATAATTTGTCTAACCGTGTCTCAAGAGTACTATCCTGAGCCTGCTACGACTCTGCCGCCTCCACCTTCAACAATGGGGTCGTCTCCCAACTCATCGACTCCTCCTAGCGACTCTGCTTCTACTCCTTCCGTTTCTTCTCATGCGAAAACCACTGGCGCCTCTCGGATTGAGAAGCGTCAGCAGAACACACTTGCTGCTCGCCGGTACCGCCAAAGGCGAGTGGACCAGTTGAAGAATATGGAAGATGAGCTGCGCAAAGTCAAGGAGGAGCGCGATGCGTTGAAGATGCGTGTTTCGAAGTTGGAAGGTGAAACGGAAGCCCTGAGATGCCTTCTTGGCCGGGAAAAGAAGTAGTGTGCTTGTTTTGTATTCGGAAAGATTCATTAATCAGTGTCATTGCAATTGAGAAGAACCTTGCTATCATCCTTTGTTTCTAATCTACCACGTGCCGTTTAGTAGGAACTAATATCTGTAAGGATCACATAGTAAGCAATCACGATTATCCAACCGGATGGGGTGCAATAACGAGAAATTTATTACCGGGGCTCTGACGATGTCGACAGATAAAATTATCCCTTCATGACAAAGATTATAAAATCTTTCAGAGATGGATTTGCTCTTCATGCCCGTGGAAAATGTAAAATGTGGAGTAAAAAACGACAATATGGGTGGGGGGAGAAAGGTGTGGGTGGAATCGCAATAAGGGACAGTCCAAGTGGGCTCAACTGACCTTTGTCAATCATGGTTTCCGTGGATCGCCCCGAAGCCGAAAGGTAATACCAAGCTTAACGAGTGTCCTTCTATGTATGATACAAGATATACTTGCTAGCATTCCAACTCATTTCTCTAGAATATCAAAGTCGAATTGAGGTAGAAGATGCGATTGTGTCGTGTCTTCCAATATTTACTCCCAGAACGTGTCCCATATTTATACCAGAGAGATGAGCACGCCAGGGATGGGGTATGCATCCTTGTATTGAGCGTGCATGCAAGGTGCATACAGAATGATTACATGGGCCATCATTCGCTAGTAAGCATGAGCGAGAATGACTCACGAGGGCGCATTCCAATTGGTGAAATAGGCCCCACTTGCCTTGTAGCCCGGTCCCGCTAAATATTTGTTGTCTGATCGATTTTGACGCCCTTGCTTTCATTGACCAGGAATATGTGTAAGGAATACCCCTAGTAGATACAAGCTGTAGATTCAGGTTTACTGCATTATGGGCATAAGTAGGGAATGGAAAGTCGGGTACTCCGCATCTCCTGTGGCCGTGATATTAATTAGCCTATACTGCCAATTTCACATTCTTTGACCTAGCATGGTCGAGAAGGGTCTCGCCATTCACCTACTCGTACTACGAACTAACAGAATGCGCCTCCTCTAAGAATGAGATCAATTCAAGTCTACATCGCCGACTAGCGATTTGAAGTTGTCCGACATCCTTCTAAATTTTCTGTTTAGCGTGGCTACACTGTATACTGTATACAGTTGGCAAACATTGAATCATAGATTTGTAGCTATTGCTAGGCTGTAAGTAACTCATTAAGTACTGAAACTGTGAACAACCCGTATATACCTCAGAATCACCATGTGCTAACAAATTGAACCACTCAACCAATGACTGGGGACATCATCTCTTTCACGTCGAATATCCTGTTAACCTGGATTCCAGTACTAGTAGAATGGGGAGAAAGGCCTGCAGCATCCCTAGGCCAAACATTCTCGGCATGGGACAGATCAGCACCACCACATACAGTCCGCGTAATTATGATGGATATAGTAACAGCCTTTTAGTGCGATGGGATAGAACCGGTCCGTAGCGCTTGCCAAAATGTGTGAATTGTGTCAACGGAGAATCCTCGCACGATGTCTCGCGAAGGTAAGAAATAAATAATGTTGAACTCTTGCAGTAACGTAATCCACGGCCGAGCGGTCTATTTTCTCCGCGCGCCTACTAAATATGAGCCTTTTTGACCATAAAAACAAAACTCATCTAGCCTAACTCCTAATAAATTATAAAATTTTTTATTGGGGCAATTTCTTATAGTATGTCCAACTATCCCACAGCCACTGGAGCGTTGTGGATCTCGTCGTCGAGGTACCGGGATAGATTCCTCAGGCTACTTATTAAGCCGGGTATCAAGCTACTGAACTCGATTTTAGTTTTCCTGTACAAAGTATTATTATTCTCTATTATAGTACGTTTTCTAGCCTTTTATCAATATTTTCGCTTATTCTCGGCTCGTAAAACCTTAATTTCTTGCTATAAAAGAAGATTAGTATATACCACTATTTACGTTGTTTTCTGAAAATAATAAATTCAAGTAATTAGGCTACTAGAAAGCTTTTATTTAGCGTTAAAGCCATTCTATAGACTGCGGATCTTCCGATCTAGCTAACGAGTATCCTAAGAAATTTAAAAAGCAGAAGAAATCAAGCCTTTAACTAGAGATAGTATTGGTATATATAGTTAACTTCAAGAGTTACTGTGGGTATTTGAAGTTGCTCACGAAGTAGCATCTGCGCCATTCCACGTAGAAACACTAAACAAATAAGAAAACCACGTCAATTTATATTTAGTAATTGCTTTAGAAGAGCTTTCTTTTCAGTGGCTTGTAATTCATGGCTATTAGCGCGTGTTTTGAATCGCGATTTGATGCAATGAAGCCCATCTAAGTAATATTGTTTACGTACGCCGAATATTTCAGCAGCACGCGTTTTTAATGGAACTTTTTCTGTTTTTGAAGCGAGTACTGCCATTTGAGCCCGATTTTCTTGAGAGAGAGGCAAATTTTTTATACTTGTGGTAGAAAAACAACGCGTAGAGAGATGATTCTAACAGAGTGTTGGGGTGCGCGGAGAGAATGGACCGCTCGAACGTGGAATACGTTAGTGTTGATGGTTATCATGTCAGCAACCTGGAGGCGCGAGTTAAAGGGCTATAATGGTCCATTATCTAGGATAGGACTTCGAGATCCGTAATATCATCAACCAAAGTTGTCTTTTCCAATCCACCGACGCGAGAGCAGACCCCCAATACTTGGGGGTCCGTCCAGTGGATCATTCTTCATTAGAATTGTTGTAACAGGGCTGGGGCGAAAAGTCTAGATGGAACAAGCACCCTTTCTAGAAATAAACGATAACCTTGCTTTTCCAGCCGAGCTGCGCCAAGTCCAACCAAAAGAGTTCCTACCTCGTCTTTAGTCCAGAAATGCTCGTCCGTTTCTCAAAGGTCCAATACCAAGATCGCAATAAAACCCTCATTGCACTCAATCTTGCGCGCCACTTCATCTGCAACAGCCTTGCCCTCGGAGGAGCCGCGAAACACGCATGTCAGACCCATGATGATACAGCTTTCTCAAGTCAATCGACTGCAACAATTGAAAGGAATGTAAAGATCATCCCACCCCTCCAAGGCTCGAAGACTTTATAGTACGGAGTAGTTATTATGTAGATAGCTACTAATCGAGAGAGTCTTTCGGCTAGTTATAGAGAACTTTGCTGACTGGTGATGTCCGTTAAACTGTATGGGAACTGTCGCAGATGTGTGTCTGTCCCGTCACCATGCAAATTACCACCCTTCAGTCATTTTAAACAGCAGAATTCAAGATTAGTAGTACTGACTTGGCAAGTGAAAATATTCAGAAATCAAGCTTTTAAGCTCTATTAGATTCTGAGACCTGTGGAATCCAATCACACTATACCATGTACAGTACATACGTATATACATACAGAGAGCCCTAGGTTGGTATCTCGCCAAGCAAAAGGCTTTAGAAGGCATCAGCCTGATGCCTATGCTCACTGATGTTCTGTATATCTGCTTATCACCTCCTCTTAGTGAGGCTAGGTAGCCGTGTGTTGATTCATCTAGTTAATGAAAATCTACTATATACCTGGTTTACTTCCATCAGAAGTTCTCGGTGTTGGATTAGGGTTGCCATACCCATTAGTATTCATGTCAGAAATTACAGTATGTGCATACAAAACATAAATAACCTCTAACCACAATAATGTTAGCGTGTTCTTGGCTTGAGGGCATCATGAAATACTCTCTTTCATGCTTCTGGGGTTATTCTTGCAATCACCAGTCTGGAAAACGAGGAACCCTTCACCTTCGCCCGAGAAGTCGGCTTATTCCCCTCATCCATGGCCGATCCAAACCATTTTGGGGTTCGACGGCTTTCTGGGTAGTCAATAGCGCAACTTGTACAACCACAACAGTTGGAGATCTTCAACCCCAGATATTCCCCCCCAATGATAAAGCAGGTCGGAGTTGTGCCGCGATGACTGGCTGAAGCCGCCGAGAGACGAGGAAAAAGCCTCCCCGCGAAGAATTTCCCCCGCATTTTTGGCATCCTTCTATATCGTCCGCCCGTACACAAATTCCTCATTGGTCGGAACACTGCTCTCCGTTGCCCTTATACATGATATTTAGACGGAGCACTGTCGTGCGATGAACTTCAATCCCTCGGAGCTCGACCGACTGACAACAATCCTGAAAAAGATAGTGTTTATATAAAGAGTTGTTGTTCCCGATTTACTATCGTGAAGCTATACAATGCATTAATTACTAGTAATGGAATCAACAGACATAGATCATCCCTCTACAGGGGGCTTTGCCCTCATCTACCAGAATCCCTACTTGCTGGGGGTTGCTTCGGTGAGTAGAGCTGCGTGCGCGAATCCATAAGAGTGACTGACCATGATGTTGGCTGCAGTTCTCGACTCTGGGAGGTCTACTCTTTGGGTATGATCAAGGCGTTGTGTCAGGAGTTATCACAATGGAATCCTTTGGTGCTCGGTTCCCTCGAATATACTCGGACAGTGGTTTCAAAGGGTGGTTTGTCTCAACACTGCTCCTTGGTATGCAGTCTCGAACACTATCTTGTGAACTCGGAAAGAGAGTAACTAACATTGGATAGCCGCATGGTTCGGCTCCCTTATCAACGGCCCGATTGCAGATAGATTGGGCCGTAAGCTGTCCATGAACGTTGCGGTCGCCATCTTCGTCGTAGGGTCAGCTATCCAATGCGGTGCTGTGAATATTCCCATGCTCTTTATTGGTACGTGCTAGGCATGCCCAGAACCGTCAACAATGCTGAAATCAGCACAGGGCGTGCCATCGCCGGTCTGGCGGTTGGTCAATTGACCATGATCGTGCCTCTCTACATCTCAGAGGTATAGTAGCCCAATACACTATGGCAATCCAACCGAAGTGAGGTACTCAGCTTTTGCAGGTTTCCATACCCGACATTCGCGGTGGTCTCGTCGTACTCCAACAGCGTGAGCCCAACACCCCAGTTAGCATACGTATACCCACTAATACACTAAGAATAGTTTCAATAACAATCGGCATCCTAGTTAGCTACTGGATCGACTACGGCACAAACTACATCGGTGGCACCCGTTGTGCCCCCAGTATTCCATACACCGGCCACACAAAGAACACGCTCACATTCAACCCGTACACAGACGTACCGCCCAGCGGCTGCACCGGTCAATCTGAGGCCTCATGGCGACTCCCACTTGCCATCCAGATTCTCCCTGCCCTCATCCTAGGCCTAGGAATAACCTTCTTTCCCGACTCCCCCCGCTGGCTACTGATGAAGGAACGTGATGACGACGCTATAACAGCCCTCTCCGAACTCCGCCGCCAGGCAAGAGAAAGCCCCCAGCTAATCCATGAATACCTAGAGATCAAAGCATCGATCATGCTAGAGAGTGCTTTTGCCCGGGACCATTTTCCGAACTTGTCCGGTGTCCAGCTGCACGCAGCTCAGTACATGTCTTTTCTCACCACGTGGGCGCGGTTTAAGCGTCTAGCTATTGGATGTTGTGTTATGTTTTTTCAGCAGTTTATGGGATGTAATGCAATGATTTATTACGCACCCACCATCTTTGGGCAATTGGGGCTTGATGGGAATACTGTAAGTTCTATGTTATTGCTCGTATTGCATTGCCTGACTTGGATAGACTTCCCTACTTGCTACGGGCGTGTACGGAATCGTCAATTGTCTCAGTACTCTGCCAGCGCTCTTCTTGATTGATAAGATAGGTCGTCGGATTCTACTCATGTCTGGTGCTGTAGGGACATGCATATCGCTGGTCATTGTGGGCGCGCTTATTGGGGCCTACGGATCAGATCTGATCAATCATAGATCTGCCGGGTGGGCAGGCATCGCCTTCATTTATATTTATGACATCAACTTTTCCTATTCTTTTGGTTGGTTTATCCTTACAGATCCACTTCCTTCTCTTCTTGGAGTTGTGGTAGGGGGGAATGAGTCAATTACTGACTAGATACAATATAGCACCCATAGGCTGGGTCCTGCCATCAGAAATCTTCAACCTTTCAATTCGTTCCAAAGCCATTTCAATCACAACATCGGCAACTTGGATGTGCAATTTGTGCGTTGGTTTTATTTTTCTTTGGGATTCCGTGTCATTTTTTAACTGACTTATCATGATAGCATCATTGGGCTGATCACACCCGATATGCTCGATTCCATCACTTGGGGTACCTATATTTTCTTTGCGGCATTCTGTCTCCTCGCGCTGGCATTCACATATTTCTGCATCCCCGAGACTCGTGGAAAGGTTAGTGATTCATGGCTTTTACAGTCGTACTTCAAGATCTGCCCTGTACTAACGAAGCCCATTATCAGACTTTGGAAGATATGGATCTCATCTTCGGGGATACGGCAGCCCATGAAGAAAAGCAACGCATTGTCCAAATTGAGGCCGAGCTCCGGGGTACGCAGGCGCCTGACAAAGACAACTTAGTCAAGCCCTCCGTACAGCAAGAAGAGTACGTCGTTTGAGGTTCCCTCAATGACTCCCTTCGCACATAACGCTACACGGTGATATCCGACATCGTCTGTTTGGGACAGGTAAATCTCCCACGAAAACATCGCTAAAATAAGCGAGGAAGAAGTCGACCAATTTTGTATACGATACAGCTAGTTATCCCCAGAATGCTGACTACGACCCTAGTGGTAGCCGTGTCGTAACTGTCGCCGCAGTCAAGAAAACTCAGCCGGGGGCGCGTAATTGACCCATTCAGAGAAATCCATTCCACCCAAGTTCAGCTCTTGATCAACGTCCGGGAACATAGTACCAAAGGTGGGGTCATTGAACAGCTGGTCAGCAAATGGCATCATAATAGGATGTTGTCCCGCTGTCCTATTAGCAGTGGTTCCCGTGTACGCCGGCGAGCAAAGCCGATTCACGACTTCCAGACAACGAGCGGCAAGCCGATTGCTACTCAGTGAGGGATGCAATAAGAGGTTCTTCGTAGCTTCAATGTCCTGAAGCCAAGCGGGGGCATCCGTGCTAGTAGGGTCCGTCATGAGCAAGATGATAGGGACGACACCAGCTTGAAACAGAAAGTAAAGCATATACCATGCTCCTATCCGCGTGCAAATATAGTTTGTCATGAAATCGCTGATCGAAGAAATGGTCAACCGAGCATTTCGGAGACAGAGCATTCGGCATTCGGCTTCAAGAGGATCTTCCGGCTCGGAAGATGAGCCGGGCGTCCATCTTCTCGACGCCCAACGGAGGAGGATAGGCCTATACAGAAGGATCCTTAGGTTCCAGTGTCGCCACATAAGCCGGTTTCGAACCAGAGCAAAGGGATCCGACTCTGATGTGAATGTTGGCTGTTTGAAATAATCGGGAAGACCGTTGTACCATTCCTCTAATGGTTTCTGGAGAGTTCGCGTCTCTTCTGGGGTAAGACTTGGAGTGGAGATGAGGCGCTGGTAGACGCTGTTCGTGAGCAGGTGAAACCTGGCTTGGGCGATCATTCCGGAATAAATAGTCGGACCGTTAACCTCCGGCGGTAGTGTCGTCGTCGTCGCGGTTAGGGCCTGATTGTCATCGTTAGCAAAGATGTCTACAAATATGCCGCAAGAATCCTTACATCATCCTGGATATTGAGAACAGGCTTTGCATCCATAACACTCTCCTCCGGCAGTAGAATAGGTCGACCGAATGTCTTCGCCGCACCGCTGTCAAAGATAAATACTCCCCACCACAATCTTCTCCTCATCTCTTTCTGGAGGAGACTAATTTTCCAGCCTGGAAACTCTTTATGTAGCCCAAGGCTCATCGCCATTCTAACCGCCAACCCCAAAAAGTTCCATCCAGTATTTGGCTTGTTTCTCTTCTGTGCATAGTTGCTCAAGAGTAGCAACGCTTGAACAAGGGTAAGGTTGCCAGTCTCAAATACAGACACTTGCTGCAAGTGGCCTCTTGCTTCCTGGTAGAAGGTAATGTCCAAATCTGAGTTGTCATCTCCAATACTCCAGGCTCCCAGAGCTAAAATGGTGTTCAAAAGGATTTGCCACGCTTGACCATGTCGGCGAGGGACTTGCTCGTAGAACTGAGCCCTAAAGGTGCTTTCATGCACAAAGGGATAACTCCTATGGTAATTCAAGAAGAATGCATCTATGAAAGCTTGCTCCACCACGCCGGATGGAGCAGTGTTCAGAAGCTGGGACTTCAAGGGTATTCCTTCCGGGCGAGTATTTGACTTTGTTGATGGAAAGTTCAGATCGAATCCGTGTTTCAATAGCGCCCGAAGCGGCACAACGCTTGAAGATGCCCCTGGAATAATAAGAGTCAGTAAGACAGGTAAGACAAAACATCAAAGAATACCAACCGAAATAACCAGTACCCTCCGGCTTGATGGATAGAGCTGCCATACCATCCGTCAGATCGCCGACGGTTATTTTGTTTTCAGTCCAGTCAAATCCATCAGCCTGTTGGGGTAAGGCCTCCGGAGCAGGTTCCGTCCTGTCTGCTTCAGTCTTGGCAGGAGTTGAATGTCTAGAGGAAGATTTAGACGAGGGAGCTGGTTTTGGACCCTCATGATCGTGTAGGAGTGATCGAACCGTTGCATCCAGATCACCTCCTGGGAAAAGTCTACCTAGAGCTGTCTCAAAGGCTTGTAGACGGTCCTCCACATAGGTTAAATGCCTGAGATCATATCAGTGAGTATGACGGCCTGGCAGCAAGCCAGTGGGAAAAAGGATTCATACTGTCGTGTTAGAGGGCTCCGGGTCACTTTCGGGCTATATCTGCAGTCCTTGTTCAGCTGCCTGCATTGCGCACAAGTTGGCTTCTCCTTGGAGCACTACGTCCTATGTTAGCTTGATACCTATGGTCTACCTGGACAGTATAGTCATCCAACCTTGGACTTGCGCAGGCGGCATTCGTCACACTATCACGACGGTTATATTAGTGAAATCACTTTTTCTCATGGATCGAGAAAACTTACAGCATAGGAGTGAGAATCACGAGTACTGGCCATCTTTATCATTAGGAATCTGTCTTCTGATATCGGAAGTCTCGTGCACGCTGACAGTTACACAAAACGGATGTCATCTGTTAAGGAACAGTTAGCCATCAGCTATTAGGCTTTATGATTTCCGATATAAACTGATAGCGTTGGATGAGGTAAAGATTTGAACAGGCATGGTAATGCTTGCCATTTTGGGCGATTCGGTTCCAATTTACAAAACTTTTTAACGTGTTCAAGACGGATGGAATATCGTCTGGACAAAGCATTAATCTAGAAGCGAAGGGCTATACCGTTGGTGGTAGTGGGGTATTCATAATGGACGGACATAAAAAAATAAAAAAAGACATCGGGACGCGGACATGAGAGGACATGGGGCCAACTCACGACAGGCATGAAAAGGTGTCAATTGTTCATGTCCCCTAGGACTGAACCGGAGGGGAAGATATTAAAGACAGATGTAGGCCCCCGAACCCACGTAAGAGGAGAGAGAAGGGCAAAATCTGGCTGATCGGATGAATGCTTCCGCATTGAAGGATTTCACGATGCTGATTGACGCTCTGGGCAATGTGGGGGAATGTACCCAGTCAGGTGACGTGTCCACCAGTTTGGCTCCTGGGATTTCAGGAACCAACGTCTGAAGGCAAACCTTGGAAGTTCATGGAGAAATTACTTCGGGTTTATATACACAAATAACCAACAGGGCCCTGTCTCCGATACAAGATACTTGATTAAGTATAAAAAGTCCTCTTGAACTTACCCCGCTCTTCAAAGTTGCTGTTTCAGCTTAAGGTTGAGATACAACTATATATAGTACGACCATGATAGGGCCGGTTCATAGTTGATATGCAACCTCATGCGCTGCATGTGTCCCTAACAGCGTCATGCGGTTTTATTCCATAGAAGGAGAGACCCCATTGGGAAGCAGAACATGCTAAGTAAGGTAAGGACACATTAGCTACCTAATATACTATGTCTATATGCTTTTGGGTAGATATGCTTCTTAATAGGATAACCCTTCCATTTGCCCCCAAAGAGCCCATGATCGTTGCGTCAGGCAGTGGAACAAGCTTGCAATGAGAACATAAACCAATTTTTTTTTTTTTTTTTTTTTTTTTAAAATAATAATGAGAAAGGGAAAAAAAGAAACTTTAGATTGTTAATGTCACAATGCATGCTTTTTGAGGTATGAAAAGTCTTGGCGCCGCGGGAAAGAATATCAACCAATCATACAATCATTCAGGACTTTCTTTGCTACAACGTCATTTTTTCCCAGAGTCTTCGCCCCAAAAATAAAAAAAAAATTCAAAGAACCCCGTGCTGCGAACAGATTCGCTTTTCAATTGTCTATACCAGAATAAGCCCGTCTCCCTTGCACCAACGGGGCGATCTCTCGACTATGCCCAGTCAACCACCCCTCCCACCCCTCCTTGCGCCTTATGTATCTTCTCTGCCGCACTCCTCTCTCACAGTCCTATCCTCCGTACTAGGCGCCACAGGGAATTGGTTGGTATTGCGGTTTCTTTATGCAGCGCTAAGCGCGCCTTCCAATCCCGAAACAGCATTCGGGCTGAACGGAAGCAATGGAGTGAAGAACAGAAAAGTCGTGCTTGTGAGTTTTCTGCGGGGCTGGGAATTTTGGAGATCCGAAGCGAAAAGATTGGTGAGCAATTGCCCCTCCAGGCATATCATCTGTTGCTATTCGGAAAGTTTGAGATATGTGCCCTTCTCTAGCACTTCATAATTCTCTTAAAACTAATTCTCTTTTCATCTGTTGTACAATGACCCTAATATTGACAATGTACTAGGGCTTGGACCTTGCGCGTCTCACAGACAAGCGTCAATTTGCATTCGTCGATGGGCTATCCGATCTATTCTATAACTCTTCAACTGCCACAGCACCTTCGCAACCCTCATTCCCAGGCCCGACCCCTCCTCGGACAGTCCTCCCCATACGATCCCAGCCAGGCCCTGTCCAAGCGCGAACCCCGCACCCTGTCCCGCGGCCGGGCAATGTCAGTGCAAACCCAGCTTCAAAGGAGATCGGACCAGTGAAGCGACTACAGTTATCGGGCAATGGCACGGCAGCCCTGGATGCACTCGAAAGAGACATCGCTGCTGTGATTAAAGATTTGAAGACCCCCACACCGGGCGAGGCAGAGGAACCAGAAGTTTTATTGATCGTTGATGAGCCGGATTTACTACTTGTCGCTACAGGTCCAAGCAAGGGCATCGGGGCTACGGAGATGGGAGAGTGGATTATGGGATTACAGGAGGTACGTGCGAATGACATGATTGGCCATTACGTGGATGGTGGATATAGACCTCGTGCTGACCATACCCGATTGTTGTTTAGAATGTCCATGCAACGATATTGACGCTCGCGGCCGATTCCCCGTTGATACATAATGCATCTGCATCGGCCCATCAGCTGGCAACACCCCTGGAAACTGAGCATGCCGCGTTCGCTATAGGTTCGGCCCATAGGGCTCAAATGGTCATGCAGCTCCGTAACCTGGAAACTGGTGCGGCCAGGGATGTAAGCGGTGTGCTAAGGATTAGCAAAGGAGGTGCGTGGGGACAGAATGATGTGGGTGCAGAGGGAAACTGGGAGGAGAGAGAAGTATTATACTTCGGGCAGAGGGATGGCGGCGTGAGCGCGTTTGGTAGAGGGGAATAGGCTGCCGAGTCTGGGAAAATTGGTGTCCATAGATCCAGTACGGGGCGTTAAGGCGCATGGAAATAGAACAGGCTCTGACAATGGTAAATTGCCGTAATTCCATAACCCATACTAAATAGCTCGGCCGAAAGTGGTCTATAGAGCTAGAGAAACAAGCCCATACGCAGCGGAGTTTGGGTGAACACAGGTAGACAGATCACATTGGAGATATCTCAATATTGTATCTGCCAGGACATGGGATATCCGCCAGCCATTAACAAGAAAGGAAATTCATGCATGCTTTCCCTTTTGATACTCCCTTTCGAAAACCCCAAGAAATTTTCCGTCTTTCATTTGTCGTCGTTATTCTAGGATAAACATGCTATGACGGCAAAAGGAAAGACCATCCCAACACCAACTCCAGGGGAAAGCGTCTTTTTTTCGCCTTGCATTGAAACTTGGCTACTTCAAATGCCAGGCCTTGTCATACCAGCCCTCTCCAGCCTCCGAGAACGAAAACGCGACGTCGGGATTGATTTACTGGCTCTCGGGGCCACGGGCGCCCTTGGGGGTGCCGACCTGGAAGCCGTTCTTGAAGCGACGGTGAACCTCCTTGAGGTGCCTCATGCGGCCGGTACCGGTGGTCTTGCGGCGCTTGGCCTTCTCGCTCCAGTTGACTGTTCCAAGAAAATTCGTAAGCCTCACAATCCTCACTATTCACAGCACCTTCCCCAACAGATCCACGATCGGCCAACCAAAGGGATAGGGCTTAGGTATCATTCGGGGGATTCGTACACTTGCGAGTCTTAGCGGCGGGGTAGCCGCAGTTAGCACATGTCGACTTCTGGATGTGGAAGGAGCGGCGGCCTGAATATCCCAAACGAAAAATCGCAACCAGTTAGCTTATCTGAATCAATCTTCCGACCTTCCTAGCTGTATCCCGGAAGAGATCCGCAAATTTTGTCGGGCGACAATTCGGAGTGATGGAGTACTGACCACAACGCCTGCAAAGAGTGTGAGTCTTGTTATGGCGCTTGCCAAAGCTGGAGGTACCCTTCGCTGTGATCGGTGTTAGTCTGCAAAGTCTCGTCGGCGTCGTTGCTGTTCGGTTGGATAATCGAGATTGTACGTACTCATCTTGAATTATGGAACTGCAAAAGAACACGGCAATTGTCAGCAAAAATAAATCGTCCGTCACGAAATCCTGCGCACGGAAATGATATAGGGGCTAGTGACTTACCTGGCGATTCCGCTGAAGGGCTGGTTGTCGTTGTCGTCGTCGCTGGGCGTATCGGAAGTTGCGGCGCTGAGATCTGGGGCGCCTGCCGCTTAGCGAGTGTGTGTCACCAGGGCTTGTGCCCTGGTCCCGTGATTCCGTACTGCCCAAAGGCCCCAAACAGACCTATCCATCACATGACTTGTGCCCATCCCCACCTGAGGACTGGAACCTAAGTCGAATATGGATTAGTACAGATTTAAGGTATCCTCTTTGGCATCTTCTTAGTATACTGATACTAGAGGGGGAGAATTGGATTCCATGGTGTCTTCATCACATATCTCGTCCTTCTCCTTTTTTCTTTCTTTGTATATTTTCATGATTCATATAATACTAATTAATGGCCACAAAAGAAGAAATGTATCCTATTATACACTCTTTACAGGGTATTTCATCGAAAGCGCCCGGCGCCCGGCATTGAACTGCTGCATATGACCAAGTAGAAAGTTGAGAAAGGTAGGAAATCAAAAAACATAGGCTACTGATCAATGACATCATCCCCTATGAACTTAGCCATGGGATCATCCGCGGCGAGACGGCTCCGTTTATACGACTCCAGCTCTTCCTCCGAGATACCAGATTGTACCTCCATCAATGTTCTCTTTTTCGACTGAGCACCTGATCCTTCTCTTCGGTGACCATCATTTCCCTGTCCTTGATCCTGACGTTCTACTGACTCTTCGGTTTCAGATTCAGGTTGTTTTTCAGCGGCGTCCTCGGCTTCCCGGAGCAACAGCATCTTATCTGCCTCTTCGAACGCCTTCTTGCCATCTTCGCCGGTGCAGTAACTGTTCTTCACCGTGGAGAAACAGCAAGCATATCCCCATTCAAAATTGTGCCACCAGCTGCCCCATACTGATGTGTGATTGTTGGTGAGGATGTCCTCTGGGTACTTCGATTTTGCGGCCTTCTTGGGCGCGCCCTTGATGGCTCCGGTCTCGTCATATTCAACGAATCTTTCGTTTTCAACGACCATTGTATCTCGTAGCGGTGTCGAGGCCAGGTGCTCTTCACCACCGTATTTGTCCAAAAGTGCTTTGCGCTGGGACTGACGCTTAGCTTCGCTCTCTGCTTGCTCTCTCTTCCGTAATATCTCCCCAGATGTTGGGTTTGCCTGCAGATGAATCTTCTGTCGACCGCTTTCTTGGGCTTCCCAAGCATATTTTTGCGCCTTCTCAAACTCTGCTGCGTCACCAGAAGCGCGAACAAAATTTTCCTCTGCAACTAGCGCTGCGGCCTGATCTTCCTGAGCGCCCATATCAACCATCCGACGTGTCTTGGGATCATACTTGGCAGAGTCAAGGTCGAGGTTCAACAAATATTTCGCGGTGTCTTCTCGAATACGTAGGTTGCGAGTGGCTGTGCTTTGTTGTCTGCCCATATCGGATTCTTCAGCATACCGTGCCTCTTCTTCCGCACCGTCTTCCTCATCTTCACCATCGGTAATCTTCTTTTGCCCAGTGACCCGTTTTAGCCTTTCTAGCTCCTCGTACTCCTCTACAACCTGGGAGTATTCGCTAGCATCGTAGCCATTCCATCGATCTCTTTTGGCATCCCATCCCATATCAACTTTCTGCACCACTTCGTCGGCCTGAATATCTTTACCAGTCCATTTGGCACCCTGCTTCCGAGGCCGGCTAAGGCATTCCTTCGTTTTGTGGGTCATAGCACCGCAATTCTCACACGCTCCCTTCCGATACTTGGTCGCCGCTGGACCAGCACGCTTTCCGCGCTCGTACCATTTTGACTGGTCTGTAGTCTGTTTGTGTAGACGCTGATGCTCCAGGTAGTCATTTGTGGTATCGTCGTCTATATAGAACGGCTTCTTTGAGATGAAGGCCGGGATATATTCATTGCGTTCCTTGGACGCCACATCGGCGGGCTTTCGCGACGACGACATGGTGATAATATGTATTTCAATGGTGTAATAGATCAAAGTACTGGCAACCTCTCCGTACTGTGATTGACACCGTGGAACGAGGGAAAATCTGTTTGGCGGCCAGCAGTTTGCCGCGTGAGAATAGGACAAACAGGTGCTTGAGTTTGGAAGAATCACGGATCCCCGATAGGTTCGATAACGGGCACGTGACCTGGTGTATTACCCGCGCCTTTCGATGCGCGTCATTCTCTGGTGGCTACTATTACTACTACTTCTATACGTCATGTTTGCAATCAGCCTCGAGTAAATTGAAATTCCGGAATGGCGATACCAGTAGCGCGCCAGGACGGGTGATATGAGTCTATTGTATATATGCTGGTGATGTCTCTGACAGCTTGCGCTACTTGCACCGCAACCAATGGAGCCCTTTCAAGTACGCCTTAATTGCGTGGATCATTACCAAGCCGCCCCGTCAGAATTTGATCCTCCGTTCCCTTACAGGGATGGCTCTACAGGGAAATGTGACAGGCCAAAAGTGCCCGTAATTAGGGTATTCGGCGCTACAGAAACAGGTCAAAAAGTATGCGTCCATGTTCATGGCGCGTTTCCATACTTGTACGTGCCGTATGATGGTGATTTGAGTCCAGAGGAAGGTTTGTTGATTTAGCGCGTATCTTGGCTTGATAACACCCCTGACTAAATTCTGTATAGTCGGCCGCGCTACAAAAGATCTTCATATCGCGATTGACCATGCACTGGCTTTAAATTACCGTCGCAATGCGAATGACAAAAAGGCCGCATTTGTTGCCCATATCACTTTAGTAAAGGGCGTTCCCTTTTATGGCTATCATGTGGGCTATCGCTTTTTTTTCAAGATCTATCTTCTTTGCCCGACTCATACGACAAGGGTAGCAGACCTGTTACTTCAAGGAGCTGTACTGAAACAATCATTGCAACCTTACGAAAGTCATCTACAATACATTCCGCAATGGATGTGCGATTATAGTTTGTACGGCTGTGCGTATATGAAGTGTAGCAAAGTGAAATTCCGGTCTCCAATACCAGAATATCTCGAGTTATCCGATCTATCCCACCGCTGGCATGATCGATCTATACAACCCGACAATATCTCGGATGCATCAGACCTACCAAAGCAAAGCCACTGCCCTCTAGAAGTTGATGTCTGCGTACAAGATATATTGAATCGTCTCGAAGTCCGTGAGAGACCTATACATCATGATTTCACGGAATATCTGAACCCACCCACACAGAATGAGCGACTCGTTCCGAGCATGCAAGGGCTATGGCAGGACGAGACACGCAGGCGAAAGAAGCGCCTGGGACTAATTGACCCTGGGAGTAGCCCATTTGGCGCTGAGGAGCTGGTTTCGCTCTCGGCTGATCCAAGGAGTCCTTATAGTGGGGTGTGGATCCATGAGGATGAATATCGTCAAATGACCCTCCGAGCAGTTGCTGAGGAAAGACGTCAACATGGCGGTGGGGAAGTCAATATCGAAGACGTTCTCGTACCGGACCCACTCGGGGAGAGTGTCAAAACTGTGCTAGAGAGCGTTGAGGATCTCTATCCGGATAAACATGAGTTTCTAAATTTACAAGCACCTCGGGATTTTGAGATAAATGAATCAGCGAACGCGGACGCCTATATCAATGAAAATGTGTCCCTATCTGCAGCGTTCGATGACGGCTCATACTGCTCAGACAATGATGACATTACCGACCTTTTCTCAGAGGAAGATGACGAGGAAGAGGAAACAGATGCTGTTGATGACCCGCTGGCAGATGCGCTCTCTAGGTCACCCTCTGAAAATTCCCTTGAGCCGAATACACGCCTAGCGAATGATTCTACCAAGGATACGCAACTCATCAACCCGACTGGAGGCTATCGTTCTGGTTCCTATGCATTAGGTAGACTAGAATATCCCAACACCCAGGAGAAGATCAGAGACGACTTACAGGTGGTAGAGAGGTCTCTTAAGCGCTCAGAAAGTGAAGTAATCAATCAAATCCAACATAACAAGAGGCCAAGACACACGAACAAGCCCCTCCAGAATCCAAAAATCAAGTCTAAAGTGTGGCCCCAGCCTGAAGTTGCTCGAGCCGATATCGCAGAGTTTGAGGACATGGCACACAGACACGCATCATTCAAGGGCTCGCAGTCACGGCCTCTTCCACAATCGAGGGTTTATCCCCAAGGTAACGGACAAAATAGTAGACTTCATTTTCCTGTCGTCAAGGATCCCAACGATCCCATGACGATCTTGCGCTTCAGCCAGGATGGCGAGCCTTCGAAGGCAACACAGGGCATAGCGGGCAAGACAAATTTCTCCGAATCTGATATAGAAGTATCGAAAGATATGAGCGAGATGGAAAGCTCGCCACCATTGCCCTCGTCTTCGTCAGAAACCAAATCGAATGAACTAAACCATCATTTGTTAGATTTGGTCCCTAAAATCTATGAAACGTTCAACATACGGCCAAACGCGCGGATAGGTTGTTTGCGGCTTGTCTGCCCCAGTCCTAGTGAGGTGTTGTCTACCTTTAGCGAGTACGGCTATCCGTCTGTTATCTATACAAAAGCTCATTACAGCAACGAGGATGATGTCCCAGATCGCCCACGAGACTATGCAGGTAGGCAATTCCGCTTGCAAGGTAGTGGCATACACTATCTTCCAGATTTTGATTCCTCTGGGCGGTCTCCTGCGATGCTTGGAGGACAAAATGCAATGTTAAGGGACAGGCAAGAGCAAGAGCAAATTGACCAGTGGCTCAGAGAGTCCTCCACCTCTAAGACCTGGGAGTTCGCACCTATGCCGCCAAGCCGTTCCGAAGTTATACAGTGGTTCGAGAGCAGACAATCGGAACCGGAGGGTGAAACTGTACAGTCAGAGCAGCATTCACGCGAACCGAAACCGAAAACGAAACTTAACATCCTCTCACAAATTGAGGGTCCTACACAAAAGAATGAATATGGATTCAAGTACTCGCAGAAAGATGCCAGCGTCGAATACCAAACACAATACATGAGCATAATGAGCTTAGAGGTTCATGTGAATACGCGCGGTGTACTTGCTCCGAACCCAGAAGAAGATGAGATAGCTTGCATCTCCTGGTGCATACAAACGGATGATGAGGACCTCGATGTCAACAGTCACATCTCAGGCGTTCACGTTGGAATGGTTTTTCAAGGAGAATATGATGCACCTGAAGTAAAACTTACTAAGGCTCTGAGAATTGATATAGAGCACGAGTCAACGGAGTTGGATTTGATCAACCGACTAATAGATATTGTCCGGCTGTATGATCCAGATATAATCACCGGCTATGAAGTTCACAATGGCTCTTGGGGATATGTGATTGAGAGGGCTAGAAAGAAGTATGACTTTGATATTTGTGACGAACTCTCGAGAGTGAAGTCACAGGCGCATGGTAGGTTTGGTAAAGATGCTGATCGATGGGGATTTAATCACACCTCTTCTATTCGAGTGACTGGACGACATATGATCAATATCTGGCGAGCTATGAGAGGTGAGCTGAATCTGCTCCAATACAGCATGGAGAACGTTGTGTTCCATTTACTACATCGTCGGATACCTCATTATTCGTTTCGTGATCTCACCGAATGGTATCAAAGCGGAAAGCCTCGCGATCTCATGAAACTTGTCGATTATTTTGTGTCGCGAGTGCAAATGAACCTTGAAATCCTAGAATCAAATGAGTTTGTACCGAGAACCAGTGAACAGGCACGACTATTAGGCATCGACTTTTTTTCGGTCTTTTCTCGAGGTTCCCAGTTCAAAGTCGAGTCGTTGATGTTCCGTATCGCAAAACCCGAGAACTTCCTACTCGTGTCGCCGAGCAAGAAACAAGTTGGCCAACAGAATGCCCTTGAATGCCTCCCATTGGTAATGGAACCTCAGAGCGACTTCTATACCAACCCTCTTCTGGTCTTGGATTTCCAGTCACTATACCCTAGCATCATGATCGCGTATAATTACTGCTATTCTACATTTCTTGGAAGAGTACACCAATGGAGAGGCCGAGATAAAATGGGGTTCACCGAGTACGAAAGACAACCACGAATTCTAGAATTGTTAAAGGACAAGATCAACATCGCCCCAAACGGCATGATGTATGCGAAGTCAGAAGTGCGCAAGTCACTCCTTGCAAGAATGCTTGCCGAGATACTGGAGACTCGAGTGATGGTAAAGACCGGAATGAAATTGGACAAAGATGACAAAGCGCTGCAACGTCTTCTCAACAATAGACAGCTCGCTCTCAAGCTGATTGCGAACGTCACATACGGCTACACATCCGCATCGTTCTCTGGGCGAATGCCTTGTTCTGAGATAGCCGATAGCATCGTTCAATCGGGACGAGAGACACTAGAGAAGGCCATTGCTCTGATTCATTCTGTCGAGCGTTGGGGCGCTGAGGTCGTATACGGAGACACGGACAGTCTCTTCGTACACCTCAAGGGACGCACAAGAGACGAAGCCTTCGATATAGGAGAAGAGATCGCCAAAGCCGTCACAGACATGAATCCAACCCCGGTAAAACTCAAGTTCGAAAAGGTCTACCACCCATGCATACTCCTAGCCAAGAAACGCTACGTCGGTTTCAAATATGAACACAGAGACCAAAAGGAACCCGAGTTCGACGCTAAGGGAATTGAAACGGTCCGACGAGACGGCACGCCTGCCGAACAGAAGATCGAAGAAAAAGCACTCAAACTCCTCTTCCGAACGGCGGACCTAAGCCAAGTCAAACGATACTTCCAGAAACAGTGTACAAAGATCCTACAAGGACGAGTCTCCATCCAAGACTTTTGCTTCGCCCGAGAAGTAAAACTCGGCAAATACAGCGAGCGCGGCCTCCCTCCGCCAGGCGCTCTAATCAGCACCAAGAAAATGCTCGAAGACCCCCGCCTTGAACCCCAATACGGAGAACGTATCCCCTACGTCGTCGTAGCCGGCGCCCCAGGCTCAAGACTAATCGACCGTTGTGTTCCACCAGAGACACTCCTACAAGACGCGCAACTAGACCTCGACGCCGAATACTACATCGCCAAAAACATCATCCCGCCCTTAGAACGAATCTTCAATCTCGTCGGCGCCAACGTCCGCCAATGGTACGACGAGATGCCGAAAGTACAACGCATCCGCCGCGTAGAAGGAACAGCCACTTCCTCCGGCAAGGACGCCAAAAAGACTACCCTCGAATCATACATGAAATCTTCAACGTGCATCGTCTGCAAAGCCAAACTAGACGATACCGATGTTCCGGTCTGTACTGAGTGCATGCGGCAGCCGCATATTTCTCTGCTTGATTTGGTTACTCGTCAGCGACATGCAGAGAAGAGCGTTTCTGATCTGTTGCGTGTTTGTCGGTCTTGTATGGGCGTTCCGTTTGATGATGAGGTGAAGTGTGATAGCAAGGATTGTCCTGTTTTCTATTCTAGGACTAGATATGTGGCTAATTGGAGACATACCAAAGCGGTTTTGGATCCTGTGGTCAACTTATTGCAGGATAAGAGTGAGAATGCGTTGGAATGGTAGGTGGAGGATTGGAGGCTGTTATACACTAATAATGCTTAATGTTATTGTACTGTGCAATGTGGCGTTGGTTATTAGGGGAGGTTTTTGTGTTTATCACCATGGAGGTGCAATATCCTGGGATCCGGTGTGTTGAACTGGGCTGAGTTATGAAATCATACACATTTATTTGTATTGCTCGAACCTGAATAAGCTATAACCTAGCGGCATATGACCATTGACCCGTATTATGCTAATATCGAACCTTTCATCAACCATCTCTTCTTCGGGTCGTAGGATAGAGACGTTTTCGGCAAGCCTCAAGAAAAAAAAGAAAAAAGATCATTACACCACATTTTCAAAACTGACACTCGTCGCCTAAATTGCTAATTTGTCCCTTTACCATTTATTATCTTCGTCCTTTTCAGAAACCCAGCAACTCCTGAAGCTTGTCAAGAGCATTAGGCTGAAGATCATCCTCTTCCTCCACGATTTCATGACACCTGTCACTATTAATTTCTTCTTTGAGCGTGTTATTAATCATGTCTACAATTTGAACAATACACCCATCCCCGCTGGAACCGCCGCCGCTTGGGCTGCTGCCGCGCTGTGAGAGGTCAATAGGCTGGGTGGTCGTATCAATGCTTTGCACGATACATCCACCACCGGCACTGCCACCGCCACTTGGGCTCTCACATTGCTTTATATTGGATTTAGCGTTAGCCTTGAAGTCCGTGGGTTGCACGATACATCCGTTGCTGCTGCTCTCCGGAATATCAGCAATATCCAGCAAGTTGAGACCTGTATCGATAGCGCCGTTAGGTGCCGCTGCAGACGAAGCTAATTCATATGGGTCAGAGGCTGAGAGCCCAAAATCAAGAAGCTGCTCCAAAGATTTCACGTGTTCACCGTGGTTCTGGGGCATAGGGGCAACCATGCGTGTATCACAATGGTAGGGAACAGAAGGGTTAGGCTCCGGGTCATCGGTGAACAGGCCGAAAGGGTCAGTATTGGCATTTGAAGCGTGCGCCGGGAATTCATAATGACCTAGCGCGATCTTCCCTAATATATGCGGGAAAATCCATGGGAAGCTGATCAAAGGCAATTGGCCAATCTTGGGTGCCGGTTTGCGGAAAAGTTTGTTGTCCACCGTCAGGTTCTCAGCGCGATATTTGTTAAGCGCGGTGGACATTTCTTTGTTAGCGACGCGGTACATGGCGAGAGCCAGAGGAGCAATTTGGTCAAAATTTCGGCCTCCAACTCTTTCGTAGCATTGTTTTTTGAATGTCTCGCGGAGAGAAGTGGAGATCGCACCAATTTCCTCATGGAACTTATAGTCCTTGCTTGCATTGGCATGGCTTAGAATAAATGTCGACCAGACTTCGAATTCCGTTTTGATCTCGTGCTGTGCCATGATTCGGCGCATTGCGTCATCATATTGACCCTTGAGGTTCTTTGCAAATGCAAGAAGGTCGTCGGGTACTTCTATGTCGCAGCTGAGGAGTCGCTTATCGAATGACATTTCGAGGCTGGGGACGAAGTCAATACGCTCAACGGCGTCGTACAGTTGACCCAGGATCTTGTTTGAGTGGTATATTCTGTCCTTGGGCTTATGGAACTTCTCCATGAAGTGCGGCCATTTTCGGGGTTCTAGGTTGCGTGTCAGTATGGCCGGGATGCCTGTCTTGTTGTAGTCTACTGCGACGGAATGTAGCTGGGCAAGCCGGATGCATTTTTCCTCATTGACACCATCTTCAAGGAAGTCGGCCAAGGCGAGATGGGCATGGGCGATCCTAGGAAGAAAGTCGTTCTTCATGTACATGACAAAGAAGGATGTGATGTCATTGACTGTCACGTCCCTATTGAGATCCTGAGCTTTGTTGCTAGCATATTTCATAGGCTCCCGAAACCAGTCCTTGGGCAGCAGGTCGCGGTCCCAGATAACGACGTAATCGTCGCCATCTAGATCTCCGCCCGAGCACATGCTTGGTATATCTCGGTCGCCTGTCTGTGGCAAGACAACCACATCGTGAAGATGGTGCAACTGGGGAACATTGATGGCTTTCACGACACGAATATCACCTGGGTGTAAGGAAGGGTTACGGGCCAGGATGCAGGGGCCTTCAACTATTTCGGGCTTTCCACCAGTTTCGGGACGAGACACCTGAAGAAATATCTCAGGCAGGGCAGCCACTTTTTCTTCCGCCGAGGCATCCTGCCTAGGCTTTTTGTCGTGGAAATAGCCCTGAAGAACCCCTGTCTCATCCATACAGCCTAATAGACATGCTCCCTTGTCGATGGCGACCCTAGCTTTTTCTTTCAAGTACTTGAGATGCCACGCCCTCCACAATGTCAGAATTGACGTCAGGAAAGGCTCTTTCGATCTCCTGAAACCATCGAGAACCATCTGACTGATCGTAAGGGTCATTTGGTTTGGATCCACATATTTCCTGAGCCAGTAGATGGCTTGTGGGTCACTTTCTAAGGCCTCCTCGAGCCCCTGTACCATGGTGCAGAGCTTCGCATGGAATACTTGGTCGGGGACTCCCAGTGTTGACAACACAATGATGAGCTGTCTGTTCAAAGTGGCCGTAGAGAACTGAGACCAGCGGACGATCTCTAAACCGTTATGGATAGCCGCAAATTTGAACTGGCTTTTTCGGATGTGTACTTCCTGGCGTAGAGCCTTGGGAGAGATAACGAGCATTCCCTTACAGCCACCTAGACGGAACTGAAATGCAGAGGGAGGCTCTCCCGTTGGCGTTTTGATCTTGAGCTCCGACATAGACATTTGCGCCAGAAATCGCGAGATCCTACCGACACCATCGGAGAAGGTATACCCGTTACGTTCAACATCCTCGATCTTAACCATCTCCACTGGACAACTGGCAATAGCTCGAGTGGTCGAGAAACATTGCCCCAGCCTGGCGGCATGCTTCGCAACATTGCGTATGCTATTGAAATGGCCCATCCATGCACGGATATTGGCAGCTGTGAGGTTTGACAAAGGAGCGAAGAAGTAGGCGCCGTGTTCCCGGAATTGGGAGTTTCCAAACGCGAGAAATTCGTAGCGTCTATCACCAATTACAATTCCATTTGTCAATGCTCTTTTGATACGAGTGAACACCTCATCCATCGTACTGTCAGTCGTGCAGTTGATCCGACCAAGCACTTTCTCGTCCGTGAATCGCACTCGAAGGAAACGGTCTGCATGCTCGATATAGCGACGGACGATACGGTTGGAGATGTCTACTGTCGGCGTATTGTAATAGATGGTACTAGGTGTAATTCTAGCAGAGCGCATATAGCAGCAGTAAGGGGGAATCTTTATATGAGTCACTCCCTTAATGAACTTCAATTCAAAGATCTTCATCGGGTCGTGATAAACATGCTTCTTCGTGGACACATGTTCCAGGAGTTTTACTGCGTGCGCCTCTTCTAGTTCAGACAGCTTTACAGCAAACTCACGAGTCATTGTAAACTCAGAGAGATATCCGTTCGAGATGCAGACTTCGAGTTGATAACGGACAGGGAAGGTTAAATGGACAAAATCATGGTCGAAGAGATCTTTTAGTGAGAATGTTTTCTTTGGTGATGGGGGGTCAGACGTGTCTATCCATTTCCAGACAGGGGGCCTTATCTCCGTCTGCGTGTCCCATTGAGTAAATCGATCTATGTTCTGGATCTTGACGTTGTAGTCCTTGAGGGCATTACATAGCAATTCTAGCTTGTCCTTGGTATTGGCGTCTTTAGGGTATACTATCTTGAAAACTTTCCAACGACCTAAGAGACCTATTAAGCCAATTTCTAAGGTATTGAGGATAGGGCCTTACCAATATCTATTACGGCTTTCGATTTTTTGAGTCCGATAGGAAGAGCTGATATCTCCAATGCATTGTGGACGATATAGGTCTGCCGGTACCAGGTGTCCGACTCTCTCCACGAGTTGCTGTCCTCTGAAAGCGTTACGTCGATGTTGTTGATTCGACGATGATATAGTGGAGGAGAGTCTAGAACTATAAAGTGCGAAAGACTTTCTGTAGCACTATCGCACGTCTGGAGAATCTGAGTTAGTTGAACGAAGGGTATTTTCAAGCGGTATTCCTGGAGGACACCAGCGGTTGGAGTTAGTTTCTGTCCCTGGTTGAAAATAGGAAGTTGAAAGTAGACGAGAAGAGCTCTTTGCCTCAGATTAAGAACTACTGATGCGTGCTCATCTCTGCCAGAGCCGACAGAGCGCATTGGCAACATTGTCGTCTTGTTCAGTAGAATGCCGACATCCATAGACAAGATTGGCATTTTCTACATGAAAGGTCAGACCTTCGTAATGTTGATTCGCCGCGTAATATACTCACGACTTCAACTGGATAAAAGATGTCCGGACGAACAGGACTTGCAATCTGTGGTTTATCGCGGTTGAAATCAAGAGCAATGTTGACGAGTGCTGCTCGACCATTGGGAACTTTGATGAGGTATGATCCCTTCCTCCAGAAGTCTGTCTTAGGAGGCGGCCTGTCGGATACAGCTTTTAGAGCAATGAACATAAAGTGACAGAGAACTGAGTCTTACTTGAAACGGATCTTCGCTTTAGAATCTCTGTTGCCGTGAGAGTCCTCGAATAGATCTATGGAACTGACGTTGCCCTCTTGGGAAAATACATGCCACAGGATACGTGTATTCACATCTTTTGGCAAGTGGAACAGGTTCACAGCTACAGAATCCCAGAAGGACCACGGGGACATGAGTAGTTGGGTAGGTTGTTGCTGTAGCTGAGATGAGTTTTGGACTTGGCGTGAGGGACCCTGACTTTGACGGCCAAGGTCTCTCGAGCTTCTGTTATGATGCTTATGAGGCATGGTAGTCAATGATCGTGGTGAGTGAGGCTTGTTAGAAGAGAAGGTAAAGGAGGGGGTTCTTCGGGTAGAGGATGAATGAAAAGAATGTGAAAGGTGGGAAGTATTATTATTACTATTATTATTATTAGTAGTAGTAGTAGTATTCCGGTGAAGCGTGAGATGGGGGTCCTACTAGTTCGATCACTTGTGTTGTGACCAGAGGAACCCTCATTCACTTCTGAACACCGTGTGTTCTTCTTCTTTCCCTTTCCATGCCTCTTGCTAGACCGTCCCCCATACAGTCTCTACCCCAGGTCTTCAGGTCATTTTCTGCCTCTCAACACTTCTTCTGGTAGGAGACTGTAATCCTGATTGTCATGTTTACTGGAGAAAGGTACAGGGTACTATTATATCAAGGGGGGTAGGAATGCCCTGGAAAGTACACTAAGATCAATGAAATTCAAAAAAAATAGAAAATGAAGAAGAAAAAGTTCACCTCTTTCAATCTGTGGACAAAGAGAGAACCTTTTGTTTCTATCTTTATATGAATAATTCTATCTATTGCTGTTAGTGATCCTATCCTCAAGAGACAGGCAGGAGTCAACGTAGAAAGGATTGATTAAATATCCAATCCATTCACTTCAAAGTTGCCAGTGAATACTATAGTTGGTTCTAGACAGATGGGGCAGAGTATGGAAAGAACTGTAAAGCAGTCCTGAACAGCTCTTTCACCTTGTTCCAATTCCTTTTAATGTAGAAATGTTTCATACACTATCCTCAATCAATTATTTACATATGAATATCTGAATAAATAAAGCGAGTCGTTATTCATCACAACCCAACCAAAATTTTGGAACAATCAACACTGGGTCCCTGGCGAAGGGTTGCCTTCATCATTCGCCTGGGAAAGAGAAGTACTGGTGAAAATGAAATCCTTGGAGAGCTCAAGGTCCATATCTAGGTCTATATCCTGGAGACGGTTCTTGTTAGTAGCATTATAATGTTGGCCGTCTTTGAAAGAACCCCGTCGTTGGAGGGAGTTCGATTTCCTGCTTTCTTGGGAACTGGGCTGGCTATTTTGATCCGTGTCCCCGAGCGCCATTCGCTCGCGTTGCTGTCTTGTACTACCTCTCCGGCAAACCGAATGTCTCGATTTCTTGTCTGTAACACCATGGGGACCTACAGGTAATTCAGCGACGGGGAAAGCGGTATTCCTAGACCTCTTCGGACTACGCTCGCCAAGATGAGACGTATCAGATTCGAAGGACGCGGCAAGAATCTCATCGGCTTGCTGTGAATGTTCATCCCCTGAACGCGTCTGCCGCTGTATCGTTGCCGCTTGCGACGGCCCCAATGTTGGTCTGGGCCGCGGTTGTTTGCCTGATGTTTTCGTATTTTCAGAGTCTGGCTTCCAGCCCATTACTGTCATCAGTCGGCTGATGTGTTGCTGGGCTTCTGAAAATTCACGCGCTTTAGCTGCTCGCTCGTCCCGTAGAAGTTGGACCTAGATTTATGATTAGTATTGATAAAAGAAGCGAAGAATAAAGTCTCATACCTTCTTCTCCAAATACTGCAGCCTCTTTTCTTTTGTTTGCAGCTCCTTACTGGCAGTAGAGGCGGCAGCATGCATGATAGCTTGTAAAGATACAATCTCCTCTTTCTGTTTTGCGCACTACAGGCTAGGTCAGAATAGCCCTAGAAACTTTTATTATCGTCTGGGTGCCTCACCTCTGCAGAATTTTCAGACAACTGCAGCTCGAAATGCTCTCTAAGTGTAGCCATCTCTGTTTTGAAATTCACTTCCGCTTCGCGCAGGGCGCATCTGGTATTATCGGATTCCGAAACCTCTTCGTTTAACTGTCGGGAAGATTCAGCAACTCTCCAACGGTTCCAACCAAGCACAAGATGTCTTACCTTGCCCTGTAAGGTTTCCATCAAGGCTTCTATATCTTCCTTAGCGGCTAGTAGTCGGTCAATCTCCTCGTCCTTTCTTGTTAAGAGCAACTGATTTTCCTTTGCACATTCACGAAGCTTCGATATGTCCTGTTCCAATATAGCATTAAGATCGATGGCGACATCTCTCTCATTTGAGATAGTGTCAAGTGCCTGCCGGAGTTGACCGTTCTCTTCCTTCTGTCGAAGGACTTCTTCCTGTAGCTGTTCTAGCTGCTCTTCTTTCTCGGCCACAGAAGCAATTAAGTCTAGCTCCCTAGTTCTTGCGTTCTCCCGGTCCCGGTTGGCAGCCTCCTGGGAGTCACGCCGCTGATCTTCTAGTTGACTTTGTGCCGCATCAAGGCCTGCTGTTAACTCCTCAATGCGAGCGGATGCAGCTTCAGCATGGACCTCAAGATGAGACATGCTTTGTTGAAGCTCAGCAACTGTGCCAGATGCTCGCTGTAACTGTGACTCCAACTCGCTATTGTGGCGTTTCACTTCCTCTGCCTCGAGCGAGATCTTGTGTCGCTCTTCTTCGACCGCTTTTAGTGGAGCCTCGATACTACCACAACGACGCTCCAGATCGTAACATATCTCCTCAACCTTTTGCATCATGTTGTCGTGAGACATGCGTGCGCCTACCATGATCATTTCAGTCAATCCAGCTCTCCAATCAGTTCTTGAACTAGGACGCTTATCCCGGATCGTCAGCGATGAGAAAGTTTCTCGAAGATCGAGTGGCTTGATATCGGAAAATGAGCAGCGATTGTGCAACATAGACTTTCTAGATTTAGTCATAAACACCCGGAATGAATTAGTGTGAGCCGTACAAGAAGTTTCTTGGTCTGGGCTTGACGAAAGAGAAGCCTGGAAATACAGTGAGAATAACTTATGAAGCAACTCATTTTCCGATTCCGAAATGGACGTATAGCATATAGTGGAACCATGGCACGAGGGTAAATGAGGTCGTCTTGGGAAGCTTTCGATTAGTTCACCGATAGATCCCTTAAGACGTGTCAAAATAGCTTCTGCTTCTGTAGAACTGAAACCTTGTGAGATCACATTTTGCAACCCGACCACAAGTGATCGTGCCACTTGGATAGTGTCCGCATTTTCAGTGTCTGCAGAACGCTTCGGGTTCAATGCGGCAATCACGTAATCCATAATTCTACATATCGCAGACTGCCCTGGGCAGAGCTTCACAGAAAAAAAAATTAGGGTTGTTTTCTGAATGCGCATAGCTCCTACTTACGATATTTGCCTCTGCAAGTCGTGAGATATACTCCTGTGGTAACACCGCCAGGACGCGTGTGCTATTCTCCGACAAGAGCCAGTGCAAAGTAACCTCAGGTAAACCGGATGGTACGGCAGCAGCTGGCAGGAGGGAGATTAAGAATGTGATACCCTTTAAGGATGGTTAACCGCGAATGACCTCCATTATTTCTTCTGACGTATCAAGACATACCAGGATTTGCACGTCAGGATCAATACTGCCTTTCGTTACTTTCTCGCAAAGCTTGGCAATCTTGGACGAGTTGGCCTGAATCCAAGACACCTTCTGAGCCTTCTCAACGGTCGCGGAAATCTCTGTTCCTAGTTTGATGCTTTCGGCAGCTTGATCAGCTATCAGGCTTTTGCAACTGGTCGAGCAAGCAAGGATTACACGCAGGACAACTAGGTCCAGAGTTTTCAGGCCCCGTCTTGCACCAAAGAAGTGTTTAACATTCTGTAACCAAACTGGAACCTGCTGTCCGCACTCATCCCCTGTATATGCCTTTTGAGAAGATGCAATACGGGCAAATGTAGCGAGGCAGAGAAGATTCCCCATATGATCGTCCAGATTGCGCAACGTTCTTGTGAGCTCCGTTTGAAGGCTAGACATGATTTCCAAGGGGATGCTGTGGAGAATCCTTGGCGATGCCTGCAAGCCAGTCATGATCTTGTAGATGGGGAGGATTCTTTCCGCACATGGGTTGTCTCCCATTGTACCGATTAATTTCATTAAGAAAGGTGCAAGACGCGCAGGTGGAGTGAAATCAGCCGGAAGAGGAGACGATAAGATCACAGTGCACACGAGTATATACTAGGTCGGTCAGTTTGAAGAAAATAGAAGCTGAGGAGCTTGTATTCGGATACTAGGATATCGAATATGAAGCATTTTGAAAGGAGACCGACCTCAGCTCCATCATCCTCAATAGCCTTTTGAAGAAACTGGTCGAAGAGGCATGGATAGCGCTCCAGTAAACCATCGCGAAAAGTGGATAGTGATGCTATAATACGTGAGCATAATTCCAGTACTCAAGTTTTATAAGAAGCTCTTACCAAAGGTACCAATCAAATGCAACGCGCGGCTGGAACGAGACAGTCCGTCTACTAGAGCATCAACTAGAGCCCCCACTTGGCACGATTTATGGGATGCCCAAGAGTGGAGCGATGCAGAAGATGTATGTTGAGCCAAGTCATAAAGATCCTGCAGCTTTTATTAGCTAATTAGACTATGGAGTTAGACGGTCTGAGTATACCTGGAGGGAGGGCGCATATGGGGCTGTAATGAGGCGCTCCACCTCACGTCCAATAAGGTCGACACTGTCTTGCATGGCTCGAGCTACTTTCCCATGGGCTTGCCGTCAATGAGTTTCCTGGTCTATAATGGCAGGCCACGATGCCGTTTATCTGAGTCCGGAATACTCCGCTCGATTAAATGCAGGTCCCGTTGCCCCACCAACTATCAATATTATCCTAATTGCTTATCATAGAATGAGTCCTAAAAGGGAAAAAAAGAAGAATAGGATGAAAATGAGAAAGGGGAGGAGAAATAAAAAGAAGAGACTATGAATTAAATGCCAGTGCATGAAAGAGCTTCAGAATAGTACCATCACAAATACATAGCTCTATATATATAATTGAAGAGGAATTGCAAAGGTAAGGCTGCAATGTCTTACTACTATCTGCTTGAAATAGTGCAGCCACCTATAGTCTACTCGATGCGGTACATATCGTAAACTCTCCGTAGGAGTCAATGCTTTCTAAAGTACTACTAAATATATGAATCTCACAATAGAACCCTGTAAGATATCCAGAGATTTCTTAGGCTGTATAGTAATAATCTGTACCTGCCAAGCATTGAGTGTGGGGTGAATTCCGCACTGTCGGACTTGAGTCCGAGCACGTCAGGAACACGAAGAATGATAGCCGAACTAACATGAAGGGTCTATTATGCCTCAGCCATAAAGATAAAACCTTTTGACTACCACCCCCACTCGGCCGATATCCGATACGACTCCTCATTCTTAGTGTCGATGGCGTGTGAGCTTACCGCATGAAGAACCTGCAGTCAAGTGTAGTGTATAAAGATGTCGGCGTACCTCGCCTCGCCGAGAAGTAGTAAGAGGAATTGATCCAAATGCTGAGACCCTCGACATTGTCTCATATTCCCAAGTCCAAGTTATACCTTTTTCCAATTCTGAGCCATGCGAGCGCTTTCCCGCCTGCCTCGGGGTTTCCCCGCAAATCCCCGCGCACTCCATCGCCGGCCCACTCTCTTACAACCAGAAGTCTCGATGGTCGCTCGGTTCAATAGCTCGATTTCGAGTGGCAATAGCAGTGGAAAGGATAAGGACGCTGTGAGCCTCCAGTCGCCCACCCAATCGAGCTCTTGGACCGCGAGTCGAACGCTCCTTATTTCTGCCCTGGCCGCTGGTCTCAGCTACGCTTACGCAGTCTCGGATCAAACATCTCAATCGCAGGGCCTGAAGCAGCCTCACTATGGCTCTGCGCAGGATTTTAAGAAGGTATGGGATCAGTTTAGGGCTTCTTCTTCTTCTTCTTCTTCTTTTTTTTTTTTAACATATATTTCACGTCGTATAAAGGGCGCAACCAGCTAATGACTGCTGTACGACTAGGCCATTGTCGAATTGCGGGCCAAATTGGGCGATAATGCTGTCAGCACGGATGAGGATGACCTCCAACTACACGGGTTCTCGGAGTGGTCTAGTGTCAACGCAGACCGGTTCCCTGTTGCTATCGCGTATCCGAAGAGCACGGAGGACGTCTCCGAAATTGCTAGGATTTGCCACAAATACAAGATGCCAATGATTCCTTACTCGGGAGGATCTAGCCTTGAGGCCAATTTCTCGGCAGTACATGGCGGCCTGACAATTGACTTCGCCTCTATGAACAAGATATTGGAGCTTCATGAGGATGATATGGATGTGGTCGTCCAACCATCTATTAGATGGATGGAGTTGAATGAGAAACTTAGGGATTCTGGCCTTTTCTTCCCTGTTGACCCCGGACCTTCGGCAATGATTGGAGGAATGATCGGGACGAATTGCAGCGGAACCAATGCGGTGAGGTATGGAACAATGAAGGATTGGGTGATTAACCTGACGGTTGTTCTCGCAGATGGGCGCATCGTGAAAACACGCAGACGTCCACGCAAGACTTCTGCTGGCTACAACTTGACTGGCATGTTTGTAGGGTCCGAGGGAACGCTTGGTATAGTCACCGAGGCGACTCTCAAGTTAACGCCGATCCCAGAGGAAACTCGCGTTGGAGTTGTAACATTTCCTACCATGCGCGACGCTGCATCTACTGCCATGCAGCTGATAAAAAAAGGGATTCCGGTACAGTGCATGGAAATTCTAGACGATGTCCAGATGGATGTTATCAACCGCGCTGGCGGTACTGGGCGACATTGGACAACGCTACCCACGCTGTTTTTCAAATTCTCTGGCACGAGTGCTGGTATTCTGGACAGTGTTACGCGAACCAGAGACCTGGCCAAAAAGAACCATGCCACATCCTTCGAGTTTGCTCGAGATGAGCGTGAGGCGCATGATTTATGGTCGGCACGAAAGCAGGCTTTGTGGAGCATGCTAGCGTTGAGAAAAGAAGGTTCACAAGTATGGTCCACTGATGTCTCTGTGCCGATCTCAAGACTTCCTGATATTATCGGTATGTCCCTGTGCGGAAACGGACTTCCATGGCCCATGCTAAAGTTACTAGAAATCACGAAAAAGGAGCTTGATGATCTTGGAGTCTTTGCAAGCGTCCTCGGCCATATTGGTGACGGAAATTTCCACACGTGTATTCTCTATGACCGCAAAGATCCAGCAGAGACGGAGCGCGTGGAGAAAGTGGTACATGACATGGTTGATCGTGCTTTGGAAATGGAGGGTTCTTGCACTGTAACATATCCCTGCTTAACGTACGATGTATCCCTGTGGCTGACTTTCGACTAGGGCGAACATGGTATTGGGCTGGGCAAGAAAAAGTCCCTTAAAAAGGAGCTTGGCTCAGAGACTGTTGAGGTCATGCGCAGCTTCAAGAAGGCGCTTGACCCTCATTGGTTGTTGAATCCCGGAAAAATCTTCGACTTCGATGAGGAATCATGATCATAAAACCTTCTGATAAATATCTATGCATTGGGCAGTAGATTAGTCGACGAACCAGATTTGTATATAGTAAGTAGTAGTAGTTATAGACAAAGAAATGTCAGTGCTCAAATGTTTTTGTCCAATCGCAATGAAGGGGAAAATCGATCTACCGCTTTAGGCTGAGGGTGGGGGCTGAGTCATCGCGTGGTGGGTGAGCAACTTTAGAGCGATATCGCAAGTCTTGTCGCAAGTATCCTTCGTTACGCCACTCTCTACCTGTGCTTAGCTGGTGAGTATTTTTCCTTCGTGAAGACGTCAATGGCTGTTTTATTACGTTTTTGAAAATCGTTAACGGCCTCTACGTCAATTCCTTAAAACTTTTGGCTGATTAGTGGTGTTAGTTAAATTATTTGACTCTTCCACTTTTGAACAAGATGGCATCGTATCCTAAGAAGAAGTGCGGTACGAGACATTAGTCCCTCATAAATCAGCCAACGCCTTGCTGACAGTGAATAGGTGTCCTTGGTGCCACAGGCTCCGTGGGCCAGAGGTTTATCCTCTTGCTCGCCGACCATCCTTTCTTGGAGCTCCACGCCGTCGGTGCTTCGGAGCGTTCTGCCGGCAAGGCTTATAAGGACGCTGTAAGATGGAAACAGACCAAAGCTATGTCCGAGGAGCTCAGCAACCTGGTTCTCCGGGATTGTAAGGCCTCTAAGTTTGCCGACTGTGACCTTGTGTTTTCTGGTCTGAACAGTGATATTGCGGGTGAAGTTGGTATGTGTAATGCCTCCTCTAGTAGCAAGGCGGTTGCTTACGAGTGCCTTTTCAGAGATGGAATTCATCAAGGCCGAAATTCCTGTGTTCTCAAACGCAAAGAACTACCGCAAGCATCCCTTGGTGCCCCTCATTGTGCCTACGGTCAATCCTCATCACTTTGACCTAATCCCCCACCAAAGGAAAGAATTCGGTCTGAAAAAGGGTTTCCTGGTGTGCAACTCCAACTGTGCGGTGATCGGTATCGTCATCCCCTTCGCCGCTCTCCAGGCCAAGTTTGGCCCTGTCGAAGAGGTTGAAGTCTTCACTGAACAGGCCGTGTCGGGGGCTGGCTACCCCGGTGTGCCCAGCATGGATGTTATGGACAACGTGATCCCTTTCATTAGTGGTGAAGAAGATAAGCTTGAGAACGAGGCCCAGAAGATCTTGGGTTCTTTGAATGTAGATGCCACCGCTTTCGAGGAGCAGGCTGGTCTTCGAGTTGGAGCCACATGCACTCGGGTCGGCGTTACCGATGGTCATATGGCGTTTGTTTCGCTGAGATTCAAGAACCGTCCAGGTCCTAGCGCTGAGCAGGTTGTGCAGGCGATGAGGGAATATCAGTCCGAAGCGCAGAAATTAGGGGCGCCTTCGGCCCCTAAGGAGGCGATTCGGGTGTTCGACGAGCCTGACAGGCCACAACCAAGACTCGACAGAGACATCTCGGGCGGATACACTGTCAGCGTGGGTCGCGTGCGTGAAGGCGCCCAGGGAGGCTACTTCGACCTCCGGTTTGCTGCGCTCTCACACAACACGGTCCTTGGAGCCGCTGGGTCCTCGATCCTCAATGCAGAGGTTGCTGTCATCAAGGGATACGTTTGATTAAAATAGAGGCATAGATTTGAGTACATAGGTAATTAGAGCGTTCGATACCATTCTCACCAGAAAACTATAGATCCATGGGAGTCAATAGTATATGGGTTATGTAATCACCAACAGGAAGGGGGTGGAGAAAGGAGTGGGCCTAGATCAGGACTAGCGTTAAAACAGTACACCCTAGCCCTAATTGCCTAATTCGGCCAAGCACAAACTCCACTAAGCGAGGTTTTCGCAAAGTGGATCAGGATAACTCGACAACTTCAAGGCTTCCTTCTGGATTTTCTCCTTCGGACACTTCGACAACTAACCGGTTTCAAGTCGACAAAGCAGTCAAGATGCCTCGCGGACCGTAAGTATACCATTACTCCCATCACACTATTTGATTGAGATATGCGATCAACGGCCACTGCTCCAAAAACTACGCCTTGAAGGGGCGGATGGGCACAGTTGGATTCAAAAACCATCAAACAAACTCAACGCTGACGGCGATGTCTACAGTACCAAGCACCAGAAGCGCCTCAGTGCGCCTTCGCACTGGCTCCTGGACAAAATGTCCGGAACCTATGCTCCCAAGGCTTCTCCCGGTCCTCACAAGCTCCGTGACTGCCTTCCCCTCATCGTGTTCATCCGTAACCGCCTCAAGTACGCCCTGAACGGTCGTGAGGTCAAGGCCATCATGATGCAGCGTCTCATCAAGGTCGACGGCAAGGTCCGCACTGACCCGACCTTCCCCGCTGGTTTCATGGACGTTATCGGTATCGAGAAGACCGGCGAGAACTTCCGTCTCATCTACGACACCAAGGGTCGTTTCACCGTCCACCGTATCCAGGCTGAGGAGGCCGAATACAAGCTGTGCAAGGTTAAGCGTGTTCAGCTCGGAAAGGGTGGGATCCCATTCTTGGTTACGCACGATGCGAGAACGTGAGTGCATACTCTCCACAAGTTCCGCGTCCATCAGTCGTTGGACCAAGCTTTGGTTGATCGGCGGAGGACGAAAAACTTGGAAATCACAATACGACTTGCTGGATATCAGTAAGGAGTGAGGTTCTGGAACTCTGTACGCTAACGATCGTAATTACAGCATCCGTTACCCCGACCCTGCCATCAAGGTCAATGACACCGTGAAGGTTGACATTACCACTGGCAAGATTACCGACTTCGCTCGCTTCGACACTGGTGTTGTCATCATGGTCACTGGTGGTCGTAACATGGGTCGTGTCGGTGTCGTCACCCACCGTGAGCGCCACGACGGAGGTTTCAACATTGTCCACGTCAAGGACGCTGTTGACAACACCTTCGCCACCCGTGAGTCCAACGTCTTCGTCATTGGCCAAGACAAGCCCTGGATCTCCCTCCCCAAGGGCAAGGGTGTCAAGGTACGTTTATTATCCGTTTATTATCCGTTCCACATATATGTGGCTTGAATACGTGGTACTAAGTATAATTGTTACAGCTCTCCATCGCTGAGGAGCGTGACCGCCGCCGTGCCTATGCCATTGCCTCGAACTAGATGTATCCTGGTAGGTGAGATTAGACTGCAAAATTTAAAAGCCTTGAAAAATCCGCTAGTGACGACATCTTGTCTTGCTTTGTGGGCCTGTATGACACCGGTTACGATTCTATGATGCGTTTCTAGGAAGAAGAAAAAGAGATTGTCTACAGGACGCAGAATGGGGCTTATTGCCATTTCCATGTCGCGTAGCGTCACACCATAGGAAGCAAAACAGGGACTGATGTCTCGATCGATATGATACCTCTAATTAGTTTTCCTTTCCCAAGTGACCTCCTCGCCCTAAGTAGTAGCAGTATTAGACCAAAGTAGATATCACCTTTTCGTCATGTGGGAGGGATGGTTCGCCACGAATAGTCCGACGGGGGATGAACTGTCCCACTGCGGCCCGTTCGCTGTCAACGCCTTTTTAGGTAGCGGAATATCCGCCACTTTACTCCTCACATTAACAAAAACTCTCCAACTCAATCTCGAAATCGATGCGGTAGAGATTAGATAACATAACCTGGCATGTGGAGTGAGCGTACGCCTATCACGGCTGGTCCAACTCGCTACCTCGATCTATACGAAAAAGGCACAAGTAGGAATGGAACACGTCGAATTCGCTGCAGGTTTTATACGGATCCTTTCCCCCTCTGGCATGCACCTCTCCCGTCCGAGTCGTGCCCTAAGTCCCTTTTGTAGCGCTTCAACCCCCCCCCCCCCCCCTGGCCCCCCCCCCCCCCCCCCGAGCCGGGCCCCAAAGCCCCTTTTTAGGCCTTCCACCCCCCCCCCCCCCGTTGAGACCGATCCTCGGCATTCTCCTATCGACGTAAAGTGCGCTGACCATGCAGCATGAGACAGGAATTACCGGCCTAAACCGTTCCCCACCGCGACGGTTCACAACTTTGGTACGGGGGCGTTTAGGATGGACTGACAAGTCATTGTTGTGGCCAATCTTCCTTCTGGCAGGTTGAGTGATAGAAAAGCAATCATCAAGGGGCGAGGAAGGCTTTGAACAAAGTAGGAACAGATAGGAGAACTTTACCTTATCGGGGAATAGTTCACTTTGGGAAGCTTGATTTTGGAGGATTGAGTTTGAAAATCGAGCCGGGACTGTAAAGATGGATACCGACATAGTGTGATTCCTATCTTGTCATCTAACGATGGGAACCAGCAGCGGCCTTGCATTTTGTACCACTATCCCTGTTCCTAACTTGAGGGCATCTGCCTAACAGCTCATATGCGGTTCCTCGCCTTCCCTCTCCCCTTTTGTCTTGGGTCTCATTCTTCACGGCCGGAGGTAGTCTGCATTGGAGATGATCTCTTGCCATGTTGGGATAGGCAACAAATTATAGGGTGGAGTTAAGGGACATATGTACATACATACAAATAGTTGAGTTGACTTAGTACATTTATGCCCCATACCAAAGGCACGGTACTTGAATCGGGAGATATTTTTCTATGCATGTCACAAATGATGAGCCAATCTAGTTCTTTGATCTTGATAGACGAGCTGCAACCAGGGATGCCCAAGGTTTTGATAGGATTTCAGTGTTTTTTTTTTTTTTTTCCCTTTTTTCCTTTCTGTTGATACTCGAATTCCAAACCCATATCTGATGGTCTAGACATAGTGGAAGTACATGAATTTAGTACTCCAGTCCAAAGAACGGAAAAAAAGAAATATATATATATATAAATAAACTATTGTTTGACGGGGAAAACGCCACACCTTCTTTCCAATGCAAATGTTATGTATGTATGACTGAATATGTACAGCAAGCAAAAGGCGAGCCGGTTCATGAACCGACAACTGTACTTCCTTTTTGTTCTTTCTGCTTTCTTTTTTTTACTTTTCTCTCTTTTATCGGCTTTCACTCCAGGTCAAGCCAACTCCCACTCATTGTCCCGATTTAGGAAATAGAATAGGACCAATGGCTCATTGGGAAAGGAGACGAAGAAGAAGTGAACAGATCACGACACTACTGCAAGCGACTGACTCGACTGTTCATTGTCTGTACTTGATTTGATGTATATGCCCTGTATGTCTTCATTTCTGGCCAGAAATCAAGAAGGGGACCGTTACACAAGTCTGGGGCAAATTGAACGCCAGCTTCCATTCTATTTTATTTCTTTTTTCAAAGTGGAAGCGGGGCTTATTGCACTTATGTTGTCTACTTTTCAGCTCTCCCTGGTCTGGAGGCGGTTGACATTCGCATCTGTGTGGCCGGTGAATCTCCGCCTGTAGTTCGACGATGTGGAGAGCCTTTTAGCAGTCCATGCAAGCCAATGCGCACCATCCTTAGTTCTCGGAAGATGACTCGGGTCTCACGTTTTCCTATGGTTTAATTTTATTGACATGGGGTGTGGATTCTTTACTGAAGAAGGAAATTAAAAGAAAAATCCCCAACAACGGCTCCATGACACGAATTGTCAATTTACCTTCGGCGGGGAACTCCGACTCGATCCGTTTCTACTGCGCCACAGGAACAACATCTATCATCTTCGCCTTTTCTTTTTTCCCTCACATTGTACAAGTGGGAACTCATCGGCAGATGCGGGCCTAGACAACCAATGGATAATCCGTTATTGGACAGGGTTGTGTTCGGTTGATCACAGCATAATGGGCTGGCCGTTATTTTCGACGGCCGGCAACAGCCGCTGAGTTCTTTTTGCAAATGTCCCCACCAGAGAGGTATAGTATGTACTATACCATCCTACGGGCTGTCATACCCAATGATTAATGGTTAGTTCCTTGGTAACGTTGCCATTTGATCATGGTCAGCTAATCGAACTTAGAATTTTTTTTTTTTTTTATTTCCTCTGTTCTTCGAAAAGAGGTACAGAGTTTGAAAAAAAAAAAAAAAAAAAAAAAAAACGGCTCAGGGCGCGGGTACTACGGAAATGCCGCCGGCCCCCCATAGGTTGCGTTCTTTAGGACCCGAATCGGATCGACAAGTCTCCCCGAGCATCGGCGATACGCTTCACGAGGTACCTACATACTATTACAACCCTGGTAGTAGTAGTAGTAGAGTAGTAACATACTAGTGTGGCACCACGGATAACGGAGAGAAAAGAAAGAGAGAAAAGAAAGAGACAAAATATGGCAAAGAGAAAAAGAAAAATAGAGAAAGAGTGAGAGACAGACACAAGAGACGAGCGACTAATTTAGCCCACAGGATTAGCAGTGCTCACTAGCGGTTCCTTTGTTCCACCGTACTCCATAAGCAGTTTCTAGCGTGTATCCGCATGCAGGGAGCCATGGAGCTGAGAGGTGGCGATCTAAATTACTGGTCAATCCAGGTAGGATGATGTTACGCTCATCTATCGTTGCCGTTATCATCAGAATTATGACTAGTATCGACCGATTCTCTCCCTCCAAGGCCTGCCAAATCCCGAGCTCCCTGTTCAGAAGGAAGTCTAGAGTTGACTTCACCGCTACAGCACTACTAGTTAAACCACATTACATGTCAATTGAACAATGCTGGATCTTCCAGAAAATGGCTACTGCAACTTATTCGGCCCCATGCAAATGGTCTATGCCGATGGTTGACCGCTTCTCCCTCACGCCATCCAATTGTTGGAGAGGAGATTGCAGCCGTTGGCTTCTATTATTGCTGGTCGGTACTATTACCCTTCTGAACCAGCCTAATTTCGTGAAGTCTAAGATGAATGGTGATTCTCCTTTTCCCATGTGGAGACTTTTTTTCCCCCTTCTACTTCCTCTTCTACGTTTCTTATTTTCTTTTGAGAATAATGATAATAATAAACAAGTAAAAAAAAATAAAAATCTTTTAGCTTTTTTGTCTTTTTGCCTTTCTGTGGCCGGAATCCTGTTGGACTCTAGAAGTCATTATTTTCTAAACGGCATCTCAGGGGCTATGTTGTCATCCTCCAACGCTTTACATATATTATCTCTTGATCAAGGCGATTGATTGATCGACCTGGCCCACTTGGCAGCTCCAGGCTTTCCCTACTTTCTGGCTGCTTTAATTTTCTAGCCCTTCTATGGCCAATCCCCGTTTCTGAAGCCTAACCTGGATTCCGGGAGACCCAGTGGTTTGGAACAGATCAGCCCCCTTCTACGTTTCTTTTCTTTTGAGGCGCCACTCCCCGGCATGTACAGCTCGTTCAGACGCGAAAGCTACTACAGGCATTAGCACAACGTCCATCTACTTAGTTGCCCTCGTTAGTTGAACGTGGCAAAACTGCAGAATCAGCTAGTTGGGGGTTTGGAGAGGATAAGTAAGGACCACGAGGGGAAAAAAAAAAATTAAATACAATCAAACACCGAAGAAGAAAACGCAGGCGAATACTGGAGTCTGGTGCATTGAAGAAAAGCGAGAGAGAGAGAGAGAGAGAAAGAGAGAGGAAAAAAAAAAAAAGGGCCCGGACCCTCATTTCCCACTACTGTCTGTCTGTTCCAGATATCCCCTCATTATCTACCTAAGAGGAATCAGTCAGCCTGCTGTGGCTGTCGTGACCCGCTTCTTGGATCTTGTTCTCTATTACCACAACCGTATTTATATATTCGTTCTGGCATTATCCTATCCCACATCACGCCAGATTTTGCCCCCACTTCTTGTTTGGCACATCCTTGTACATCTTCAGGATCCCGATTCTCTAGGTCTTAGACTGGTGGCGCTTGTTTCGGAAGTCATTCAGCTGCTTGTACGCCGTGACGGCCCAACTAGAGAAAGTAACGGAAGGAATAAGAAGGTATGGACCACCAGGTGCCCAATACTTGGGGAAGCTATCATTTGTCGTTTTGCTGAAAGATATTTCTCCTGATCAGTGTATAGATTGAGTCATTGAGTCACCGCCTGAGGCATCTTCGTATATCCGGAGACTGGTCGCATGACTGGGGTTCCACTCCTGGGTGCGATGGACGGGTCGATGTGTGCAGCGTCCATGCCTGGACAGTCGAGCTATCCATCTCTCTTTCAGCCAAGCGCGGAGATCCCTCCATTCTTCGTCACATACCGTTGGTGGGAGGATGAAGCAACCACCGTCCTTTGGGCCTTCGATGTGGACGACATCAAGCGAGTGATCCAGTACGGTCTTTATCGGGACGAGAACCTGCCTCGTAATTCTCTGCAGAGTCGGAATGCATCGGCTGTGGACAACTTCCTTCTCACTCTTATCCAACCCACAGAGGGGGCCTTTATCGCCAACCTAGCGTTTATTCAGAAGGTTGAAGAGGTTATCCGCCGATGCAAAACCAACGGTCCTTCCCTCGTTGCTTGGAGTTGGTTCCCACCACAAGTGAACCGTGACTTGGATCCGGCTGCGCTTGCGGACGCCATCGATGCCGAAAGCCACCTGCACTTCACTCGGATTCCCTTCGAAGACCTGGTCCGTTACTCTTTAGGATATCCTGCGGTCTCTGTCGAGTGGTTCTTACAGCAGCATACCGCGCTGTACATTCATTTACTGAATTACTTCAATACATTTCCAGAAGAGATGGTGAGGTATGCTGAAGTTGAACAAGTATGTGTTCAGACTACCTTTGCGTGCTATTTAGGGCTTCGCATCTGATGGCTAATGTGACCGTGAAGCATCTTCGAAACCGCAGCCCATTCGCTCACCGCGTCTTGCTTCATTGCCTGCTCACCCTGCAATCGGGAGGAAAGTATGAGATACCGAGCACAGCACCCGGCTTCGAATTTATAGCCGGCCCGATTCAAGCTCTGTTCAAGGACCTCCCTCCCAGTCTGACGTCGATATTGAAAGTGCTGTGTGTTCTGAAAGTCCGCTTCCAACGGCACTATGTGCACGCCCGAACGATGGACTGGATTCAGCCCTTTAATATCGACTTCTCCCTCTACGAAGACTTGACCGGATCGACATCGGCGGCGGATTTCGCCCGCACGATAACGACTGTAGATGAGCGCAGTTTCTCCGCGCTGACGCCGCAGCAGGTTATGGCGGAGGATGCCGTGGTTAAGCGACTGCTGACCGGGTGGGAGTCGCTCAGTATCGACGTATGGGAATGCTGCACTGCGCTGCCGGACATGATACCTTATATTCAAGATTGTGTACGGGTAAGAGTTAATTTTTTTTTCCTTCCGATTTATTCCGACGGGTCTTCGGTTTGGCTAACTGAGCTGCTTGAGGCTCTCCTTGTTCTTCGGAACTACCATTCCTTCTCTGCCATCGTCAACGGACTCCGAAAATATAGCATCACCGACTCAATCTTTAACAGCAACTGTGCCGCTAGCGTGACGCCTGTAAACCCGGTTGTTCCACCAGATTTGTTGTTCCTCGTCGTGCCCTATCAGAATTACGCCGCCTACCGACAACAGTTCCAGTCATCGCCCGGCATTCCCTGTCTGATTCCCCATATCAGAGAATACCAACAGCACGGACAGCCAGCCTTACTACAAATGTTCCAGAGGATGCAAACCGCTATGCGGTGATTGAGCCCACTTGTGCTGGACACACGGCGTCTGTTCTTGGATATAATGGCGCAGCTTTGAAGAGGGTATGAAGCGGATATGGGATGGATTTGCATTTCGCATGAAGGGTGTACGGGAGTTGTAATAAATTGGCGCTGGATTTCAGGATCCTTTTTTTTCCCCCTTTGGTCATGCATTAGTATTTCATTCCTTTCTCAGCGATAATCCGTGGAACAATATCTTGAAGTTGTTCCTGGGCATGTACTCCATTGGAGTAGTACATCTTTTCACTTTCTCGGGGAATACGTTTGTGTGTCAAGGTCTAATTATCATTCCAGTAAACCAGTACTGAGAGAAAACTAAATAACAAAGAAATAAATAAGACAATTCTTCATCACTACCAAAAACATTTCATCAACCCACTTCTAAGTTCACCGGACATATAACAACAACCAACAACAACAACAACAAAAACCAACAACCCCTATCAATGTTCACACCCATCCCACCAATTCCTCACCTCACCACCTCAATCCCTCTTCTTCGACCTCTCCCCGGCTCTCGCCTCCCCGAAAACCCCCAACAAAAACAAAACCCGATTCACCAGCATAAAAACCGTCATCCCCACATTCCCCCAGGTAAGCACATTCTGCCACGCCCAGGGATCCACGAATGTCGCCCACCCCAGACCACGGTAAGTGGCGTAGAGATGATTAACGTCGCTGAAGCAGTAGGCCATGACATACCTGCGGAGGACCTTGGGATTATCGGCGCTGTAAAGGACAAGGAAGCTGATGAGGCCGAGCACGGCGTAGATATTGCCGAGTTGGCCGGCTAGGACTACGCTGCTGGGGTGGATGGATTCCGGGGGTGGGACGTTGGGCGTGGAGTCCACGATGAATTTGTTAATGTCCATTAGGGGGAAGATGTAACCGCCGAAGCTGGTGTGGGTTTAGTTATTAGTTACTAGTTTCTTAAGGGTGATATGAATGTACATACCAGGATAAGGGCTCGAAGAGGGCGAAGAGGAAGTGTGGCCAGGGAGGGAAGCGGGCGGACATGATGATTGGTCTTTGGATTTTCTTTGTCTTTTTTTCTTTTTTAAAAATACAGGGGGGTTATGGTTATGGATGGATTCAAAGGGGGATCTTTGCTTGCTAGCTTTGTTTGTAAAGGAGGGTTGACGCTAACAAGGGAAGTAAGGAAGTAAGTACCAAAGGTATCGGCTGGGGACAACACAAAGAGAAAATAAAAGAGGAGGGGAAAAAAAGGACCCAATGGTAGTGGAAAAGCTTATGTGCTGGCTACCAAATTCTAGGAAGATTGATTCACAGGGATTGAAGATAACATTTGCCGGGAGGCTGGCAAACGAACTTCCTCTTTGGGAAAATTCTGGAGAATCCAACGTGGGGGCCATGCTGACTCATCCGTGCACGTGCCACCCAAGAAAACCAGATCTGGATTTACTTTTGACTAGTACGGGGCTGACTGAATCTTGAATTAATTCTAACTCCGGTCCCCCCTCCCGCAGTCCACCTTGTATTAAATCGATCATCCCAACTTCTATGGGTCCGATATGTATCAAGTCGTCGACGCAAAATGGCCTGTATGATTAATTCCGATCTCTCTGCGGTGCTCAATAACCATATGTGACGCATACCCCTCTCATGGCCGGATCGCAAATGATGGATTCCAATGGCACCTTTACCCGGTCTTTCGATGAATCTCTGATCCGCGAACTACCCCAGCTACAAAGCTTTCGCATCGCTCCTCTCCGCCAACCTGTCTCTTCCCGCATCCTGAGCGTCCCGTCGCCACTTGAACCGAATGCGAGTGGGGCTCGGGAGCGAAGCTCCATCTCCAAACCCAACAATACAGCTGGAGTACTACCAGGCCGCAATGACTCCTCCAGTAGGGTCACGGAGAGCGTCAACACGGCACGGGCAAAGAAGAACGATTATGCCGCGGATTCCCTCTCGAGCCTGCAACTCCCTCCCAAGCCTATATTACCGGAATTTGTCAACCTGCGCGCCCTGGAACGGTTTCCTTACTCCTCATTCGACGATGACTCCCATGCACGGAAACGCCGACGCATGGACGTGCAAGCGGATTCTTTCCAAGAACATCTGCAGCTACCCATTCCGCAGGCACATAAAGAACCACGTCCACCCCCGTTCGGGCCTTTTGCCATTCTTAATGGTCTAAATGAGCCTCCCCCCAATGCCGCCCTCCTCCCCCCAATTGAAGCCGGCTCCATAACTCAGCTTCTGACCAAACCCTCGCGTGATGCTTCCTTTGTGGAACCTGCATTGTTGACTACCAACACCGTTATGGAGAGCCAAAGTGGCGAGAAGAGGGAGGGCAGGATCCACGAGATTCTCGATTCCCCTGTTGGTGAGAAGGCTGTGGATGGCGATCAGGCTAATGTAGAGAGTGGTCTGTTCGACGATGCAACCCTCGGTCAGCTCGGACATGAGAAATGTGATTCTCAGACGGACAAAGAGGCCCTACCTCCCGCGGAAGAGAACGTGCCGCTGTCCCCGAAGACTAGAGGTCGTTCCCGCAAGAATCTCCGTAAATGGACGGAGGAGGAGACGACCGCTCTGCTGCGTGGCGTGGTCAAGTGTGGGATTGGCAATTGGACCGCTATTCTGGCGCAACCAGAACTCAAGTTCAACAAGCGGAGCGCTTCAAACCTAAAGGACAGGTATGGCATTGGCTGGCCCCCCCGTTGAGAATAAATGGACTGACAGAAGACTAGATTTCGTGTCTGCTGTCCTTGGGCGTATCGGTAGGTTTATATTGTATATTGTCTTACCTAGCTTTGCCTTCTAATCGTTCGAAGGGCTGCCGACCCTAATGAGGCTACAAAGAAACTTCGGGATACCCTGGCCGATGCACTCTCGCGGGCCGAAACAGAGGGTTCCGACGGCACCCCGGGGAAGATCCGCCTTCCACACCCGTGGCCTGCCTCCGAGACACCTTCTGGTGGGATTTCTGCTGGAAGCTCACAGGAGTCTCTCTCATCTAGCAGCACCCCGACCGAAGAAACCGAGCCTAAAATCTCGAATTCTCAGGCCAAACAAGGCTCCGCAAAAACTGGGCCTACCCTTTCTAGCAAATCCAAATCCACCCTGGCATCCCTTGGCATCCCAGAGCCTCATTTCACCATGAAATCTCGCCGCCGCTCCCGGCGTCCATTCACGGTCGCTGAAGATGAAGCATTGTTGAAGGGCTATGCGGTGCACGGTTTCCAGTGGACACTAATCCAACAGGACAAGCGATTGAACCTTGGTCATCGTAGAGCCACCGATCTGCGGGACCGGTTTAGGACCAAATTCCCGCACGCGTACCGTGACGGTGGTTCAGTCAGTGGTAACTCATTCAACCAGCCCGATGAGTCTGGCTCGAAAGATGGCAAAGACCAGGCGTCCGGTAGCAAGCGGAACGTGCAGCCGTCCAAGCATCCTCCTAGCGGCCAAAATGCCAAGTCAGATAACTCTGAGCAGTCCACATTAGGACCTATTGATCCTGTCCCCTCCCCTCCTGCCCCACCACAGGGGCTGCCGCTCGAGAGCTCGGCGGGAGCTCCTACGACAGCCGTTTTCCCGTTCCCGTTGGATGAGAATCCCGCCAATGCACCAGTCGTGGACGCATCTTGGGCAGATAACACACTTGCACCAATGGTTTGGGACGAGTTAGCCTAACTACGAAGCAAACCTTTCTACCTTCTCATACTCTCTTATTCTTCATTGCTAACCGTATCTCAGCGTAGCTGAAGGAGTATCCCGGGTTTCCATCTTAGGTTTCCTTCGTGTAAATCTTTTTCAGGGTTTTCCTTTACATTTTAATCATTTGTTGTCAGCATATCCACTCCACGGGACAGGCGCGGCCATCTGTGGCTCAGTAATGTTCACTACAGGTGGTAACGGTACAAGCACACGCACACGTACTCACCTTTCAGGCCTTCAACTTCTGACTCCTTTCTCATTTCCGGGAATGTATTCTTTGACTACTCACACACAATCGATACTCTCTGTACACAGCGAAAAATTATTAAAATCCCAGATCCCAACAAGACATCGCGGATGTAATCGTCATCTAAACCGTGATAACCTACAGGGTCAGAAGATGCGAACGAAATAGATATTAAAAATGCCCTGTTCGCCTGTCGAAAACAAGAAGAATAAAGCTTCAACAAGAACGCTATTTTGCGTGGGAATTCCGCCAAGACAGACAGACAAGGTAACCGTAAGCGATGCAAAAAGACAAGAAAGGGGAAGACATAGTCATCGTAAACCACCGAGTTCCACAATGCATCCACAGAAGAAGAAATACGAAAGAGAGAGAGAGAGAGAGAGAGACTAAACCCCTAGCACAATCAAACCAAAATCAGCCCTCACCCAACAACAGACAACTCACATCCCCAAATAACACCCCTACCCTACCCTACCCTACCTTACCAAGCATTCCGGTCCCAGTTCGGATCTAGGCACCACCACCAAGTTAACACCAAACACCAAAAAATTAAAAACTGGGGAGACAAACCCTGTATAAAGCTCGCCAATACCTTACTCCCCGTCTGCAGGAGCGGGTGCCCGGCAACAATCTGCAAAAACCGCTGCAACCCTTCCCTGCGATGCTCGATGACGTCGTCACTGAACCGATTCGTAAACACCTTCCCGGGCAGAGGCGGAATAGTGACCCGCGTACTCTCACGCTCGAGGATATCGCGAAAGTATTCGAAGTCGGAGTAGCGGCGGCGCACGACGGAGTGCTTCAGTTTGAAGGCGGGGATATTGGTGCGGCAGACGATCTCGTACGAGGTGTACATGTTCCGGGATGTGCCATGCGTTTGGGGGTTTCGGACCTAGGGGATTCGTATATTATATTAATTGGTTGGTCTGGGGGTTTATTTCTTTTTATTTTTCTTTTTAGACTATGGAGGAGTCGGGTTGGGGGTAGGTTGTAGTATGCGATGGGTGATTTGGATTTATGACGATTGAGCGAGTGTGTGTGTGTATGGTAGTGATCGAGGGGGAAAGGGGAACGAACGCACCTCGATTTCGAGGAAGTTCTCCGGTGGACCGTATATTTCATCGAAGGTCTGCTGTCGCGACTCTGGGACGGCTTGCATTGTGTCGGGGATATCGTGTGAAGGCTGGGTGGGAACGAGGTGTTGAAACAAGGTGGGGAGGAGAACCGCGGGGAAGCTTGAGCCGCCGGACGACGAGGGGTGGAGGACGATTTTCTTGGTGAAGGTTCGGAGTCGGTGGAGAATCAGGGGGTGGGTTTTATATACGGTTGCCGATCACTCGTTCGGGGCGTGGTGAGGGAGAGACGCAGGGAATGGCAGGTGGCTTTAAAGAGAGAGGGAATTTTGGTATGACGACGACTGATAAACTGATTAAATTAAATAGCGCCGTATCGTTTTTTGGTATGCTTACCAGATTTGTTCCGTTCCGCTGTCATGCTAGGTCATGTGACCTACATCTTATACTAGTATACTATTTGTTCAGGTGATTGATTCTCTTGGTGAAGATTATTCGAGATAATTCTGTACTCGTTTTAAAAAATGATGAATATTGTGGAATTTGAATGGGAAGAAACTAGGCTTGATCTCGAGAATGGTTATGCACCACACAGTAACCCTAACCTACTCCATAGTTTATACGTCCAATTGCCTTCTTCATCCGCAACAGAATGATATTCCTCACCTAGTTTGTTATCCTAGACTTACCCATCAAAGTGATCCATGATTATCGTAAATGAATTGAATGAAAAACCATCACAGTTGTGGTGTGGTATATCAGTGACTACTGCACAGCCCATATGAATACCATTCCGCATATCAGCGCATGGATACATTCAACATGGATGAAATATTCATCTCCTCTCGTAGGTGAAGTGGAAAACTCTGCTGTATAAAAAGCTTCTTTAGATCAGACAAATAGGATACTCTTCTCTCATCTTTCCCCAATGACTCCTCTACTCGGCGATAAGCAGAAGCCAAACCCTAACATATCCGCCTGGTTCTGCTCAGTTTCATTGTCTCGAGGGAGGCATATAAAATCCCTCCTCTTCCTCTTCTTCCCCTATTCCTCTTCTTCTCCTCTTGCTTTTCTTTCCCTCTGACCTTTGACCAATACCGCAACCTGCTGCAGCTGTTGTCGGTGTTGAAAGAAGGGCTTATCACAGAGTGTGATTTATCTAGTTTCTACTGCACGTGAACGAAAAGGTCATCAATCATTACAGCAGGCTGGCTATCCCCACAGAGGCACTTCCATCAATAATCTCATGAAAGGCCATATGAAGAGCAGCGATCTGGTGATCTGGTTGGCCATGATGTAAAGGACGTTGGGCAAGTTGACCATATGAGATATGGGCTTAATCATGTCTCCGAGGCAAGAGAAAAATGGCCTCGAACGACGTGCACTTGGAACGCGGTTTATTGCAAACAGAAGAATTCGGCCAGATAAAAGCGGGCATGAGGGCGAGTGGACTGTTCTCAAGGAGACAGCAGAGAATCATACCCGATCAGGGTATAGTTGATACTAACGGGAACATCTATGCCCTAGACAAAGATCGTGAGTAGACGAGCACCTTGAAAGACGACGTCAAAGGAAAAAAAAAAAAAAAACCAAACAGAGCCGAGGTCTTAAGCTTCAAAAGCGTATCAGCCCTCTCTATGACTTCTCAGATGACCAGTCGAGTTCCAGCTAACTTGGTGCTCGGCCAGTCTCCATCCCTTTGGTACTGATGAGAGATTCACCCACCGTGTTACTGCGTTGATGTACATGTCAAGTCAGCTGCATATAATTATACAGGCGGAACGATGGCCGGGGATCTATGTCACTGTGGTTAGGGGAGTACGATCTTCACAGTGCTATCCAATTCGATAATGGATATCCTCTGCGTCATATGTTGGGTAGGTTGAATTTTGAATTTCGAATTTCGAATTTCGAATTCTAATGTAAGTGTCAAGGGCTAATTGCAGGTTATTTGAAGCAATCAGATAGAAATATGGGGTAAAATCCACGTATGAACAAGCAATATTTTCAAAGCAGGACTTAAAGGGGGAAATCAGACATTGTTCTGGAGCTTGAGGGTATACCACCTCACAAATGTGATGTTAATCGGCCTCAGCCTACGAACAAGCATTCTTCCTGAAGAGGACGCAACTACACCGAGCATTTACTGAAACGGCAAAGTCTCGAGTACCGCAGCCTAGAAGGTACGATGAGATCGCATAGATTTCGAGTATCGCCGTTTGTGTCCCATACTATTTGTTATCTCAACCAGATGTGGAATGGCAATGGCAAAGTGAGGGTAACGGGGGCTGTAGCTGTCCTGACCTAGGCAGTGCCCACAAATAATGAGTCCGACCTTCGCCACTGGTTAATGTTAAAGTGATGACTATAGCACTGCTAGGCATGACAGCAAAGCACAGAGCAACAGCCTGGAAATACGACTTTGATAGCAACGGGAATATCGAAAATAACAGATTGCCCGGTCCTCCCGTCGTTGCAAAATATAATTTTAAGTACTGACATTTTGTGTACAAAGGCTATTATGCACTTTGGGGTCAACATATCGGCGCGACCAAGCCGTGGTTGATAAACCAATACCCAGGAGGGCACTGGCGGAAAATCATGTTGAAATTGGCACTCTCCAATATCTTCCAGGCTTATGTCCCGGCATGCTTGGGACTGTTCTCTACAACGATATTCATTTGACACCCAAACTGACCGCCCTTTTCTGGGAGTTGTGAAAGATTCTTGATAGAATGAATGTTGATCTCTATCATATGATAAAAGGCGTATACTTGATCGACGGTGGATATCACGCCTTGGCTAGCCCTGTCCGTCTGGCTCTTCGAGTACTGGATGGGTTTATGGGCCAGTTCCTATAAAATTGACTCGATTAGTCTCGCTACACTGACGGACCACTCTAAGGAACTGGAGCCGTCAAGTGAGAATGTGGTGCCAGGAGATAGACAGACTATCCTACAGCATTCAGCAACTTGTTCTTCTGGCTACCCACTAGGAATACTCTGGATCTGCAAACGGGGCTTGGGAAAAAACATGGCCCCGATCTCGGAATTAATCTACAATACTCTAGAGAGAAAAGGTATTTGCCATTACAAGTAAAGCACGCCACATAACCCGTGTCGCTTCTGTCCGACCTCATTAGGTGCAGGCGCTGTCAAAGGAGACAACGCGTCTCATGAAGAGTACATGTATTAGCGATGCCATAGATGTCGCTCAACATTGTGCTGAGTATCCGAATGCCCCAATCTGGTTTGAAGTTTTTAAATTTTCCAAAGACATTCTCGACTTTAATAACTAAACAGATGAAGACTGCATGGTGGTGGAAGACCTTGAACAGTTGAACATCAGGGAAACAGCGAATTGGAGAATTGCGAGTTTTAAGACAATGAGATAGTAGATACTAGGAAACCAGATAAGAAAGAAAGAAAAAAAGGGCTTGATACCTGTGATAGAGCATGGTTCTTCCCCGGACGACGTCTTTAGTCAAGTATTATAGTACCGACCAACAAATGTTGCCTAGACTTGGACTTGGTATTGACAACTTTACTTTCTACTATGAGGGAATACAGACCTAGAGGGGACTAGCAAGCTGCAGCAGGTGCCTATCAACACCTAAGTGGCCACTGGACAACGACGAGTACTACGAGCCGCTTGGCAAATATAGACAGCATCGCCCTCGATATGGGGGTATACAAGGTGTCTCATATAAATCGAGCACATACACCTTTGTCGACTTATTGGAGTGAGTGGCTTGACTCCGTTGGTGACAGTAGATTCCACTAGTTGTCTTAGTCGGACTCCAAACAAGCGTCGGTTATAATCAGGCAAAATATGTGGTCAAAGAGCTATTGGATAAGACGCCCATCCGCCTATCTATAATCGAAAAAAGAAAGAATATGACCCAGAGAGAAAAGTGAATATCCTATCTACATCTGCTATCGAATCGCATGGATTACAGTGATTCATATTGCGCGCTCCGCCACCACTCTATGGCTATAAAATGGGATAAGAGAACTTGAATGCTCGAAGGGGATACTGCCGGATAAACCAGTAACTCCTGAATACATGAGTCTTTCAAATCCAGCATATCTCCAAGACAACAATGGCAAAAGGTTTAGCATCTTCTTGGTTGGAGGTCAGTTTGTGTCCTCCGCAAATGAAGCAGGACTTAGCTACCGTTCTCGTAGTAGGAATACCTGGAAAACTTGTGAGTGGCGCAAAGATCATCTATCAACCCTTCATGGTCCGAAGTACAATCACCCCATCATCAATAACGACCTCACCGTAGTCACAAATCATCAAAGTGAGGTTGAAGAAAGTGGGTGCTCTATCTCTTGATGTTTCCAAGGAAGCGCTGACGTGAGTGAAAAGTCGCCTCATACAAGCAAAGTGGAGGGAGTCGGTCATAGCAGCAGAAGGGGGTTGAAAGATTGGGCAACCGAAAGAGTGGATAACCGGGTCGTACGCTTTATTATCGAACGAGAGAAGCAGCACGTTGTGGCTCAATCTCCTACCAACGACGAACATACCCTCGAATACTTTGATGAGATCCTCTAGCCTCGCGACTTAGAACTAGAGCGCATTGAGCACCTTGTTTTGGAGGACGCAAGTAGCGAATATAAACGGGTTAGCCGACTCAGAGCCACCAACGAAGCCGGGGGATGAGGAAATTGATGCTATACTGAGTTAGTCGTATAAGTTCGGTAATAAACGGCACAACCGTGGAGTGTCTAGGAATTGTTATCTTTTTTGGTTATTTTGAAGTTATTCAGGAGCATCCTCTCCAGTTATCTAGTACTCAGATGCGTCCATTTTTCGAGGGGCCCCACCAGTCTAGATGATACACACACATACACATAGTCCTTACAGAATAGTGGCATAGACAGTTCACTCTAATTGGATACTTCTACGGGAGCTGTCCAATGTTGGTTTGTTGTCATCCGGGCTCTGTAGCTCCGACGACACGCTGTCAACCCATTGCTCGATCGCAGGACGTTCAATGTCGTCCATTCGCAAATAGATGATTGACAATTATTTAATGTTGAGAGTTGTGGTCGTGAGCTGAATTATATTGATAGAATTGACGGTGGGGAGACATGACCATAGAGGGTCCACCATTACTTGATTGAGAGATTTAGTTTTTTATAAAAGAATTATGGATTGCTAGGGATACGATTTAGGCCTTGAAAGGCTGGAGTCTCGTCAAGACGTTAGGGGCTAGCGCGGCACTTAAATATTGTTCAATTTAAGTTATAATCCATAGAGTAAGAAAATCAGTCAAATAGCCCTAAAATCTCTAGTACAACTCCCACTAATCAAACTATCACCTCCTTCGCCTCAGGCTTACAAAAGCCCTAAATCATACTCGTGCGCATGCTCATATACCCATGTTCCCAGAAATCCGATCCCACAAACTCACTATCTCCAGGATACATTTCTTCTTCCCACGGCTCAACCCCAGGATCATCGTATACCTCCTCGTTATATCTATGACCTGGACCCGGGTATCCCATGTCTCGCATAGTTATGCCCCGGACCAAAGAAATCCAGAGAGGTCTCTTGCTTCGGCTTGAACTCATTCTTCATTCTCGCCTTCTTCATAGTTTTATTGTACTTCTTCGGCGGACCGGAGTTCTTCCTACCCCCCCTTATCCTTCCTGATCCTCGCCCTAGCCGTCTGCATCGAAGTCGAATGTCTCGCTGTATTCATCGTACCCGTCCCTCCGCACCGTTTAAGGTTAGCAGTAACATCCACACCCTTCCCAGAACCCATCCCCTTCCCCATATCCCGCAGCTTGTCAAGTTTAAACCCCTCCCTCTCCCTCAACTCCCACTCCCTCCTTATCTCCCCATCAAGACTTTTTATCCACCCCGGAACAACAAATTCATCCCGGTTCAACTTATCCAAAAGCCTCATGGCGACCGTACCCTTATTCCCCATCGGCTGTAGCCCATAATGAGTGAGCTGGGCTCTGTACCAGTGGGCCGGGGGAGCATGGAGTGAGGTGTTGTGCGAGGGGGAGGTGAAGAACGCGCGGAGTTCGGGGATAGTGGAGCGGCGATGGGGGGTTGTTGTTCCGGCAGGGGTGGTGTAGAGTTCGTGGTTGGTGTAGGAGAAGAAGTTGTTTCGGGTTATTGTTATTGGGGGGGTTCATGTTCTCTATAAGGGTTTTTTTTTTAAAAAAAGGGTTGGGAGTTGTTGGATTGTGTCTGGTTTTTTTATGTAGGGGTTGATATATGTGATGGGAGGGGGTATACAGAACTATGGTTATTATGAGGTATGTTCCCGGATATAGATTCAATGGACATTCATTATAATCTCACTATTGAAATGGAGAGAAAGATATTCAATATCCCGGATAAGGCTGAACAGTCATAGCCATACAGTTATGTCCTCCGTGCTTGACTGGAAACAAGCAGTGGGAGCATCAGAGAACACATCATGTCAGGATAGATCAGGACAATGTGTAAGCAGGTAGAAAAGAAGCATTCGATTTGTCTAATACACCATAAGAAGAGCTGAAATCCCGCGTGAAAGTAACAACCAATTTCCCGTTAAACCGTTAGAATAAACAATCGATGAAGTAGCATTAAAAGCGAACCCCAAGGCGAAAAGAATGAATGATAGGACACTTAGATGGTAAAACATGTGGTACAGAAAAATAACGATTCCTCAATTTCCAGATATCGCCGAGGGAACAAACCATGAATTAAGCAAGGATATCGCAAGAGTCTTTTTCTTTTTTTTTTCCCTTTCTTTACTCTTGTCGGCTGCGCTTGGCGCCATGAGGATTCCACGATCCATCACCTCCAACCCCTTGGTTAGGAGGGAAGAAGTTTTGATTGAAAGCCGGATTAGGGCCTTGGAAACCGCCTTTACCTAGCGAAAACACCCGTGGTCAGGACACAAAGAAGAGATCGACCTCACCCGCAACGACACGTACCTTGCATAGCCATGTTTCCTCCCATTCCGCCCATCATCGGGTTCATTCCACCAGCCATCGGATTCATACCCATACCACCCATGGGGTTCATATTCGGCATGCCCATCATGTTGGGGGCCATATTACCACCTCCACGGCCGCCGCGCATGCCCCCGGGTCCACCGCGCATGCCACCCATCATGCCTCCACGGTTGTTGAAGCCATAATTTTGCATACCTCCTCCCATTGGATTCCCACCGAACCCTGCAGCCATCGGGTTTTGGAAGCCCATTGGGTTCTGGAAGTTCCGATTGTTGAAACCTCCCATGTTATTATTCATACCACCCCGGTTATTGAACCCGCCGCCGCGACCACCACGGAAGCCACCGCCCATGTTGTTCATTCCGAAATTCATGTTCTGTGCGGGCGAGTTGAAGCCACCCGACATCGTCCGGGCCTGGTTATCCTTTCGCATCGGCGCATCCTTTGGCAGCGTACGGAAGGGGTTCGGTTGAGGGTTGGTATAGTTAACAGAGTACTTTCGCCCTGATGAACCTGTGATGCTGAAGGACTCGATCTTGTGTTTGGTGGCACTCGCGGCCTGGGGTGTAGTGAATTCAACAAAAGCTTGCCTGGTAGTGCAAAACATTTAGCAGTGCCAGAGGCCCAAGATTCGTTTTATGCGTTACGTACCCTTTACTCTTGCCATTCACCTTGTGCTCGCTGAACGTTACATCTTTCAGTTCATCCTCACAATCGGCCTGACGGACCCAGCCGCGAATGTCATCATCGGTGGTCCACCAGTACAGATCGGAGATAAGCAAAGCAGGTGTGGCATCCGGATCCGACGGGCGGTCATCAAGTTCCTTGCGTTTTACGCCTTGCTGGGGAGTTGCCGTCTCTTTCGCCGCTTGCTGCTGCGGGTCTGAATGTGTTACGTGTTCCCCGTTGGGCTCTGTGGCTTCGGCATTGCCCTGCCTCGCCTTGGTATCTGCAGCGCCATCGGCGTGGGCAGGACCGCCATTCTGAGTATGCACTGGGGCGTCTAGGATGAGCTCGGTGTCATCATGCTTAATCTCATCCTCTGCACCTTGTTCGTTGGCGTTATATCCACCACCATCTCCGTAGATGTCAATATCGAAATTATCATCTTCAGTAGCCATGGCGTTAAGATAACAATCGGAAGCTCAAGGCAAAATTTTGATTGCTTGGATAGTGAAATATACAGTCCTTTGTTTCTTTTCTCAGTTTCGTGGAATCAATGGAAGTACATGTCTGCAGACATAGACCGTCAATTAGCACGGAAGTTGCCATCGCTTGGAGGTGAAACGTCGCTGCACGAGTTCTCCCAAGAAGTAGGGAGGTAACACTGGGTCACCTGTATAGCCAATGCCGACATCCATTTTGCAACGTCTTTTTTTTTCAACACAACAGGGGCAAGTGCAGTATAGACAGAGACAAAAAGAAAAGGATAGAAGAAGAAGAAAAAAAAAAGGCTCGAAGGTACGTACAATCCGAAGCGACAACAGCTTCAAAAAGGAACAAAGTCTTCACCAGTCCGTAACTCTGATAGTACAGAGCGTAACTTCTTGTGTTCAGGATTCCAAGTACAGGTAAGATAAGTGTGGCAAGATTTTCTTCAGCGTAAAAAAAAAGTATAGAAAAAGAGATGGAGATGGAAGTAATTCCACAGCAGATGCGGGCGCTGAATGTTTTAAAAAGTTCTGCTGCCACAGCCCAGGCAGAGAGTGCGCTTTTCGCTAGAGGACAGAACTGATACAATCCTCCTCCCGCCGGGAGTACACAAGAGACGAAAGGAGCAATCAACAATACAGCGCTGTCAGTTATAGGTCAGTTAAGAGGTTCCCGAGAACAGTGATGTTGCCGGGAAGGACGGAGGGACTTGCGCCCAGATAATATCCCCTGAATTGGAGTCTGTCAGCGCTCGGGGTGGAAGAAGGTGTGAGAAGTTAGCGGAAGGGATGGGAGAGAGAGATGGGGGGTTGGGGAGGTTGGTTTGGATATGGTAAAGGGAAACAGTTGGTAGGCGAAACAATCCCTTGGGGGGCAATAAGACGTGTCCGAAGAAGGACGTGCCGAAGTGGAGCGCGCAAGAAAGAGAAGGGAAGGCGAGAGCTTGCCGCATCTCAAAGGAGCTGCCGCGAGTGGAGCCCAGCCCTCGGGAACGGGTCAACTATTTATTCCGGACCCCAGAAGGCCAACTCTCCTGTTGCGCGACTGATGATCTGTCGATTATCACTCCAGATCGCCTCTTCAATTCTCCCTCTTTTTCCTCTCCTTCTTTCTACCTTCTTGTCCTTTCTTTGGTTTCTCATACCCACTCCTTTCCTTCCTCTCTGCTTAGTTAATTTACCACCTGCCACAATGTCCGACACATTCCAAGAACTTGCCGACATCCCCAAGGACTTCCTCCGTGAAGGCACACTCTTCGTGCGCAGATGCACCAAGCGTACGCCACATCTACAATCGTTTTGACTCTCTTTGACCGAAATCTAACTCATCGGTACACAGCCGACAAGCGCGAATTCATCAAGATCAGCCAGGCCGTCGGCATGGGCTTCCTTATCATGGTACGAAGCCCTCTACCCATATGCTCCGCGCAATATCTTCTTCAGTGAATATCAGTTCTAACTAGAAGGATAGGGTGCAATTGGCTACTTTATCAAATTAAGTAAGTCGGTCGCATTCACCATCTCTCCTGGGGAGAGGGACACAAGCTCCTACGGGCGAAAGTGTAGGTGATAGTCGATTGATCGCTAACATTGCCTTTCCTCCAGTACACATTCCTGTCAATAACATCCTCGTCGGTGGCGCATAAGCTAGGAGCGACCATATATCAACACACTCAACAACCGATTACCTTAACCTGATGTGGGGGGTTGGATTCTGCATAAAGAAAGTAAAAGGAGGAGAGAGAATCCGTCCACGCTTGTATCCGATACCCGTTACTCTTACCGCGCTAAAACAAAATATGTTTCTTAAGCTCAATTTTTAACTTCATGACATACCGTCATTGCGAGATGGAGCGGGAAATCTTGCTGCATGGAAGATTGTAGCGATGGCTTTGATTCTGTATAAATAGCGTTTTCTGAGGAATACCTTGAGAGGTTTATCTGATTCTTTGATCCTGCTGTTGACCCGCCGGAGTAAGAATAAATTTCAGTCCCTTCAGTCTCGATAGAATTTCGGTGTATCAAAATGCTACGCTCGCACGCATTTTTGGCTCTCAAAGCAGGCCATTCTAATCCGAAAAAGGGGGGGGGGAAAGAAATAAAAAAGAAACAGACGAAGAAAAGGAAACCGAAACACGCTGTCTTATATAAATCACCATATCTCATATGCGTAGTTGTCGTCTAGCGGTGTTCTCCGATAAACGGGTCGGCTTCGAAGGCGATGGACCGTCTCCTTGAACTGGTCGTACTCGCGCACGGAGTTCAGCCGGCAATCGTAATTCTTGGAGACCGGTGGGGTCCCCTCGTCCTCCGCGGCACCATTGTTCCAGGAATGTAACGTGCAGGTGCCAGTCGACAAGCCCCAGCCGTTCCATGACGTTGCTGCAAAACATCGTTAGAGGCGTTCACGGGTGAGTCGTCGGTGATCAGACTTACCAGCTAGTACAGGAGCATTGGGATGCCAACTTGCATCCCGGACACACGTTTGCCATGTCAACTCACCGGCGTGGCTGTTGAAATCATACGCACTATTGGCCATTTCGGGGAACTGCGGACGAGTGTCCACTGTCGCTTGGCCTACATCAATGGTTCCAGCAAAGGTTGCATCCAAGTTGTATACATAGACCTTGCCGTCTTCGCTTCCGGTATACACGTATCTAGAATTCGTGCTATCCGGTGGCGAGAAATGGCACCGTATCAGAGTCTTGAGGACCCGGTGGCCACGGAATGTGACAACGGAGCAATCATGCGGATGCGCCTGGTAGTAGTTTTCGGGATATGGCTCGAACCGGTAATCGAAGCCGCTGGTAAAATCTTGGGCTTCGATTGTATCGAATTTCGCAGTGGTCATCATCTTTCTCAGGTCCCAGAGCTTCATATTCTGATCCTTGCCATTCGAGAGGACGTATCGGCCATCACCCTTGCTGTCAACGTATGTCAATCCTTCCGTGTGTCCGATGAACACACCAGCTTCACGCCCGTCGCCCATCGAGCGCCTGTCCCACACTCGGAGCGTACTATCGTCGGAGCCGGAATATAGAATATGAGGGGAAGATTTGTCGCCAAAGCAGACAGCGTTCACGTCATCCTCATGGTTGCGTAGGCGTAAAACTGATTGCCGGGTTTCGAGGTCATACACAATAACCGAGTTATCCGACGTGCCAGCTACTATTTCACGACCGTCTCCTGAAAATCGCACTGACCAGATCTGTTGCAGTTGGGTTAGAAAGGCAAGAGGACTTGAGCATAGCGATAAGAACATACACCAAATTGTCTCCCAGTAGACGAGGTAAGGTCCAACACAGACGGCTCCGAGGTATCCAGTGGATCTGTAGGAGCAAGACAAACAAGGCTCCGTATCGAGGTGTATGCTAAGAATCTGTTGTCAGGACTCAAAGTGGCATCGGTTATAGTCCACTGGCCAAAAGGATAGTCGACAGTTTTGTAGTACTTCCACTCGTAAGGGTTTGATGTATCGTACATCCTAACCCTGAAGTCCTGGGAGCAGCAAAAGAAAAAGTTGCCATCATCGGAGAACTGCCCCGAGTAGCATCGTGAGTCGTAGTGGATGATCTTGTCGGCAACTGAGCCAGGTATAAGGCCCTATATGGTTTGGGAATGTCAGCGTTGATCACCTCTAGTCTAGTTGAGCACCCACTTGAGATATCGACTGCACCTCCTTCCTTGGGCCTCCCGGCAGATCAATACCTAATTCCCGCCACATGGTCCTCGTTGCAAGCGTTCTTCTCCTCTTTTTTAACTCATCCGTAAAGTAGAAATTGCTTCCAAAGTCGCCGGAAGCCATCAGCTTCGCCCCTTCTTCACTGGGGACTGCGGGCGCCGGATCACCTCTACCTCGCCGAGCTCGTCTCCTAAACCCAAAGAAGCCAGCAAGCTCCTCATCCTCTTCATCCTCGTCGTCCATAGGCCCACCCGCCCGACCACCATAATGGAGGACATGTCGCAGGCCATTTGATGCTAGTAGATTCAACAAGCGGGCGGCAGAAACTGCTAGCGATCAGTGATCAGTAGCCATAACCAACAAAAACACCAGATGACTGATATAGTGAATACCCCGGGAGTGTCTACCGCCGCCTTGGCCCACCGCTTCTCCAGGCTGGTCCTCACTTCCGTCGTCCATAGAGAATTCAATATGTATATTGCCTAGATGTAATTCGGGATCTACTCGAGTGGATAGTCGAGGTGGTTTCAGTACATAAGCCATATCACTAGAGACGGGGAACAACTATACCCAAATAATTTAAATGAACCCCATAAAAGCCGTCTTCATCGTTTTCAGGGATATCGTCACGCGGATGGGGTGGATCTTCTGAGTTCTCTGAAATTTCCGTCTCAGGCTCATAATCCATATCATCTTCATCCTCTTCGAGCCATTCTCTCGCGGGATGCCATATAGCGGGCGAATCTCTCTGAGACGGTGACTCGGGTCGGTTACGGCTAGCGGGAGGAGAGTTGGAGGAACTCATAGTCGAGGTGTGGACTGGGAGGGGTTAGGGCTGGGCTAAGGTTTAGCAAAGATCATATCAATCCAAAGGGCCTTAACCAGCTTCCAATGGTGAGAGGTAGCGACAACAAGCGTCAATCGGCAGTTGACCTCCGAATGGGATTGTCTTATCGATACGGTTATGTCATCCCGGGTGGTCTCCGCTTTTTTGCTTTGGATTTAAAATGCCCTTTTAACTCCTATCCCCGAAGACAGGTCAAGTAAAAAAAGATCTTCATTGAACATTCAACTGGCTAAGCAAAATCGAATAACGAAGTTATTCGGACATGGTATCGTAACTGCAGTGGATATCATCGCATATAATCCGTTCCCCCCATCCATCCAAATCCCATTAGTATCCGTGTAAATATACCACATCGTCTCATCAATCGTCTTGGTGACATGGATGTAAACCCGAAATTAAGCAAAGTATACAAGAAAAGGCCGAAGAGAAGGAAAGGTCGTAGTCATCATTTATACTGTAAGGCAATGGTCGTAGACGAGTAAATGGTATATTCACCACAAGCTGTGGCAAAGTAAGCAAATGAATCATCATACAACTGACTTGATAATGAAGCTGACGCACCTGAGTTTTCTAAATTCAGAGATTTGTCGTTCAATCACTGTCGGGCTAGCAGGAGATTCCAGGTAGCTCATCAAGACGTCCACAAACATGGATACCTTCGGCCATATCTCTTCCTCAGCTTTATGCATCGATGTTGCAAGTATTTTAGAGTCAACATTGTCCACCTCACTTGTAGTGAAAGCGCCAATTGCTTCTCGAAGCCATTGGGGCAAGAAATGCGGTTTATGGACTGTAACATCCGTTTGTTCAGACTCTGTATTGGGGTCAGTCAAGCTTCCGTCTTCCAACTGCTTCGAGTCTGGAAACGTGTTGGCGACGGATGCTTGCAATACAAGGATCTCAATAATGGCTTGAAGCTTTCTGCGCAACATAGAACGCCTCCTGCGCGCCAACTGATCTGCGGCTGAAGAGGCCACATCTCGTGGACGTGCCCAGAGCTGCAAAGACTGCACATCTTCAACCTCGCAAGTTGGATGGTAGGAAGTGGAATCGGCTTCTGTTCTAACTTCCAAAGTTGCAGGCTCAGGTTTGGTTCCTGTGAGATCACGCTTAATATTCAATTTGTAACATCGAACGAGTTAAGGAAGGGAGCCGGACACGTACCATACAAGGATAAGACGCCTGTTGCATATGGCTTGGCTAGCACAGTCTCGATTTGATAACTGTTGAAAGAAGGGGTATTCAACTGAGTTGCAAAGAACCCCTTGGGGATCTTTGAAAGGCATGGAATGGTATCAGGAGTCAGTGCTGCTTTTTGAGAGTTCGGCCCAAATGCAGCGTATGGGTCGCCAATACAGGTCAAGGTGCTATATAACATTTCATAGCATTCGAGCTTATTGGCCTGCGGTAATCGCAAAACTGGAGTTATAGTTGTGGAACGAGATTGCAAAACACGGACTCCAAAGACACATGGAGAAGTCTTGGCTAGATTCTCGGGGCCAGTGGCGCTGATGGTGGATTGCTCCGAAACATAAATTGCATGTCGTCTGTCGGTACTTGTCATAACCGAGACGGTTTGAGATGTCTGATTAAACGAAGTGTATGGGGGCGTATCCTTCGCCGGGGCTGTGCAGCGATTAGCGGTCCAACATGGAGTATCCTTGGCCTTGAAAGCCTGGGACGCTTGATCTAATGCCCAAGCGATCCTTCCAACTGAGCAATTCCGGTCTGAAGCCCCGTTGCAAGCCAAGTCGTAGTATTGGTCATAATCTTCCAGATCGTGGGGTGCTTCGTGCTGCTGGCTAACCTTATCAGCACAGAGATGGCATCTCTCCACGGCACCCTTCTGTAGCTGACACTTAGCACAGCTACCAACGATATGGCCGCATGATTTGCATTTCTTCGGGGGTGGGCTGTGAGGCTCAGGTGCGGGTTGTTTTGGAAGTGTTTTGTGGATTTGGCTTTGACATGGTTTCACCTCAGTCAGGCTGTTCTTGCTGGAAGCTGCTGCGCCAGGCGGGCCCATTGGGTTGTTTGATCTCCACTCGCTGTATGAGGATAAATCATCTGCTGATTCAATACTTTGGGGACTCATGTCGATGTTCGAATCGAGAGGCTGGTGATGATCCGCAAGATTGTTTGGTCTTAGTTGGTTGGTCTCGTTACTTTTCTTTCCTAAGCGAGAAGAGAGCAATCCAGTGTCCGAAGAAATATGGTTTACATGGGGGATTGGGCCAAGGGGGGATGATAGCCTCTGCCCGACCAACTGAGCGAAGTTGCTCCCCCCGGAATAGCTGTTTCCATAGTAATAGGATCCAAGTCCAGGATAGAAATCACCTCCGCCAGCAGAGCTGCCTCCACCTCCGTTTGGAAACTGGGGTCCCTGTCCACCAAATGGGTGTCCGGGAGCATGGTGGCCATTGAAGCCAGCCCCACCACTCCCGCTATCATCACTGTTTCTCCGGCTCTGGCTTGCGCTAGTGCCGGAGCTACCATTCTGTAAGCGGCAGTGCTCGGAGACGCAGTCGAAGTAAGCCTCCCAGCACTGCACCTGCTTGTTGCAAGAGGGAAAGGGGCAGGTTCTTGGTGGGCTTATTACAACGCGCCTGATGTCGCTCCGTCTGAGACTCGCTGGTGCTGGGTGTCTTTGCCTAAAGTGTTCATGAACCTTGTCCCTTCTAAAACTCACCCATTCACAGAGAGGGCAATGAAATTTGTACCGCGGAGCGTGGAGAGTAGAGACATGTCGCCGAAAGCACCCCCTAGTGCTGTATGTTTTCCTTTTGTAAGATGCACAAAGCCGACAAATATACCTTTCTTTGTCGCTGTTAGCACTGTTGGTGCTGTTGGGGGAATGTATCTCAGAATCAATCTCATCCTGGATTAGGGTCTCCAGCGAATTGTAATTGCTTTTCACAAGATATCTCATTTCGAACAGTTGAGAAGGGGAAACCTTCGTGACGCTGTTCCGAATAGTTGATCGGAGCCGGTCCAGGTCCGCTTTAACCTTGTCGAGGTAGTCCGGAGGGGACACGCTCGGTGGACAATAAAGATGGGGTATGGGTTGAGCACCTGCTCTGAAAGGTCCCTCCGTGGGAGACTCATATCCGAGGCCGTTAGGCAATGTAGGCGATAAGTCGTTGACCGCCGCCCCAATCGGATTGCTGGACATATCCTCCAAGCGGAAGTCTGTGTCAATCTCGGGGAGGGTGGCACCTCCAGGAAGGAGGTCTGCACTCATGGTGCTGGAGAGCGACAAGGGGGATGGGGCCGACGACTGGTAATTGGACTTTAAAACAATGTTAGTACCTCAACATGGATACGGCATAACCCTATACGCGGGACTTACCGTAGGCATTAAGTGGCCGCCATCCTCGGACACGGCATAGTCTGGTCGACAGAATTGAAGAATATACAATGCAACGTTCTCGTCGTGCGGAGGATCCATGTTGGTATTAGTTGATACAGCTATAGGAGGAAGAGGACAAAGCAAGAGAAGACAATGTAAGTTTGCACGAAGCTAAAGCAGAAGAAAGAAACGAGTGAGGGAAGGAATGAAAGGCTTTGGGGCTGAAGCCGACGAAGAGAAGTTGGCCAATACCAACGGTACTAAAGTACCGTCTGACAGTACGAGGTCTAGACCAGAGAGTCTCAAAGAAAATGGAATCTCTGCTGGCGATTGCGGTGGAGTCCAGTGGGAAGAAAGGGAAAGTAGAGGGGTGGAATAACGGCCGGAGACTCAGCTTTATACCTAGGTCGTTAATAGGTATGTGCCCGCCAGGGTAAAATGTTCAACGTTGACTCTAGCTCCATTGAGCCAACCAGTTGAAAGGTATTATTCCCTAGGTGATGGTCGAGGGCAACGCCCTCGGTGATTGGGGACCATTGCCCTATTAAACAGATTCGTACAGGCACACCGACACAAGTTAATATACTAGACCTTGGGTTTCCGAGTGGGTTTGATGGATCTAAACAGCGAACGGAGAGTAGTAAGATAACTCACCCAAATCCCAGCCATGCCGATACAGGAAGAGTACCTGGAATCTATAGCACATGCCCCAAATAGGGTAAAGTGGCTGCCTGAGGGAACGCAGGCAAACAAACTTTCTATCCATATATTGGTCAGCTTTTGTATTTTATTGATTTGTAGTTGGGGCGTTTTTCAAGGTATTCCTGTTCTTTGGCGGTAATTTGATTCTGCGCTATTGAATCAACACAGTAAAATAAAAAAGGGTAAAAAAAAAAAAAAAAAAGAAAAAAGAAAAAAGAGAGGAAAAGAGCAATGCAACGGGATCCATGAGTGTCTCAGTACTGTTGTACATGCACATACATCGAGTGGACCCGAGGATCATCGCCCCATTTCCTCCCCGTTGCCGTACATGGGTGGGGAACTACTGTTTAGTACGGTATAGAAGTTCCCTCGGCAGTCAATCATTACCGTCAGTCATGTATGACATTGCCTCTCCGCACTCAGAAGGAAATGCGCACATTCTGTAAGAGTATGTATGAGTAGGTATGTACAGTATGTTACGATGCGGCTCTGTCCATCACAGTCACACTTGCAGTCAAAGTTTTCATAACCTGGTCCGTGATGCACGGAGGTCAACACCTACAGAGTACAATTATTCCTACTCTATATGAAACAGATTCAACACTTGATCCTTCGCCACCCCCTCCTTTGGGCAGTCATGCCGTTTGCGCTCAAGAACGGTCAGCAATCGGAAAGATTTGAAGAGATGGAAGACACAAGGTCGTTCGGCAGCGGAAAGCGGTCAACAGGGAAAATCAGGCTATCTTGGCATCTCCACTGTTATATAACCACCAACTAGAATACAAGAATATCATACTCCACCAAAGGAAAAAGCAAAGGGAAAATATCGTCACTGTCTGGGCATTATTTGCAAGACAGTTGGGTGTCAGACATAATGGCTATGTTTTGCGCACATGCGAAAAGTATCTGCATGCAAAAGTGAGGCGGGAGAATGAAGTAATTCCTGTGGGTATCCGATATCTTATCAGCCATGCTTAGCGGAGAATTCTCAATCATCCATCGCGGTGAGAGCGTGGAAGGAGTGGGATCTGCAGTCAAATCCGACGGGACGTCGTCAATGGTCCAAACCGAGCTTGAGCCCCGAACTACCAAAGCTTTAGGGACCAACTCCGAGGAACTGCTTGTCATTGTTGATCAGCAACGAGGCTCAAGCTTGGGTATGACTATTCTCTCCAAAATATAATCCGGGTGGCAAATATCTCTGCAGGCAGTCGAAAGCAGAAAAAGAGCAGTGTGGCGGAGCACTGTAGCACAACTTGTGGCTGGTGCTTTTACATGGCCAGATACCATTGGCTACTTTGCTTGACTCTGCCACATCTCCCTCAGCAATGGCATCCCAGTCAAGCTTCGATCCTTTGAGGTTCCATCCCTGGAGTTTAACAAGTTGGTATGAACTCCTCGCCCGACTTGCTTGTCCAAACCCTGTATGCCTTGGGCTCTTAACTTCCCTAGCATAGCCTCAATCCTGGAGAATAAGCAAATGACTTGGGTTACAGAGATCATTGGTAACTTGAAGTTCGAGGCCAAGAGGTAATATCCCCACAGTTCCTCCCTCGATATTGTAACATTATGGCAATGACTAGTATTATGGGGTTTTATTTTACATCCAGTGTTATCCCTGTTTATTTCTGTAAGGCAGAAAAAGGAATGAAATTAATTGAAATAAATTAAATAGTGTTTTTTTTATAAAAAAAAAAAAAAGAAAAAAAAAGAAAAAAAAAAACTTCCTATCATCTGTAATCAGCATACGGTGTGATAGATATATGCTACCTAGCAACTAACCCATGAACAATATATCCATTCAACCCAGAAACAAACCCAAACCAGCCTCCCTCCCATACAACCTATGATCGCAAAAGCTAGGATAAATTCCATCTTGCAGCTACCCTCAATATCCGACCCCAATGTCCGACCCCAATATGCGATCCTATTTCTGAACCCTAGAAGCTGTGGACCGTTGCTCGCGATCTAAAGGCCGAGGGTGGACCAGACAGAGGTGGGTCTCCCCGGGGAGGTTCTACCCGCATAAAGTTCTAGAGCTTTTAATAATCAATCCCTTAACTTGTGGAGATGGTCAAAACAGCAAGAAAAAAAGAAAATGGAATGGAAAACCGTTTTCTGGGTATAGTTGGACGTGTTCTAGACTATTGTCTTTCGTTGTGCCTCTGGCCTTGCTGGGTTCTTAACTATTGACTTATGTCAGGGATTATATATGATACTGTGGGGATATATTCTTGAGTTGCGTTTCATTGAGGGAGGGAGAGAATTGGTAAGATGCGTAAAAAGAAGTTTCTTTTAATTCTATTTAGAGAGTAGATTTTGTAGTCTATAATGACGGAAAGATGCGCTTCTATTCGTGGCTAATGTACATGGATCGGGATTAATACGGTTTCGGATGAGCATAGAGAGATCAAGAGATGAGTAGTGACACCGCCTTACCACCCCCCCAAACCCAAGAAGAACAGATAATGCAAAGTTCATCAAAGAATGGTACGCTGTGAATATGCACTTTGGTCCTTCTAATCCGTTGAACGTATCCGAGAAAATGAAAGCGAAGGTAGTACTATACAGGCTTCGGATAGGATGGCATAAAGATGCGTTAGAGGCGGCGTGAGAGGTGTACTAAGAAGTTGTTCCGAAGAGGCGGAGGATAACCTCGTACCTATTATGTAGTTAGATATAGTGAACATAGTCATAGGATGGCCCCGTAAAGAACAACCTACATTCCGAACATGATCGCGGCCGACGGAACGACACGGAGCAAGTGTGGTGTCAGGCCGCCATACAACCCGAGCATGCCCTCTTCCTTCCAGACAGTCTTAAAGCACTGCATAAGACCGGTATATTTCATCTGCACCTTGCCGTCTCCGACGGATACAGTCGGCGCTTGCCTCAGTCTGGTACGGACAACCTCATGAGGGTAGGTGGCAGCTGCGGCGATCAGCTTAGCCAAGCCTGCGGAGCATATCCGTCCACCCCACAGTTCCACATCGTCCCAGCTATCGTAGGTATAGTTGGGGTCGGCACGCTTCGCCGATTCCCTGCGGGCGAGGAACATCTTCATCTGCTCGTACATCACCCATTGGAGCGTCGACTCGGTCACGCCAAGGTACGAAGCTGAAAGTCCTTTATATAAGCCGCGGATACCCTCGTGGCGCACCGTCTGCTTGATACAGTCCCAACTGTTCTTGTACTGCCGGCCCTTGCCATTGTGGTGTTCGGCATTGGATTTGTCTAATTGGAGACGTGTCTTCACAAGCCAAATCGGGTTGGTGGCTGTTCCCGTGGCGATACCGGCGACAGCCGCAGCGGTCAGATGGATTCCAACGGGCGTTTCTTGGGAGTTTTGGTAGTTGAAGTGATCGCTCAATATCCGTTTGCCATTCCCATATACGTAAAAGTTGATAGCGCGAGCAGGAACCACTCCGATCAAATTCGGCCCCAAGCCCTTAAATAAAGCCCGCCAACCTTCGTGTACGTGGATCGAGCGTAGGATCTGGAATGTTTCACTAAAGTGCACAAGAGCACTTCGAGGCAGGGATGTGAGTGAAGAAGACGGCGGTAAGGGATGAGCGGCGCGGAGAGATCGGAGCTGCGCTTGGTAGAAGTCGGATTGCAAACGTGTTTTTAAGACATCAAGAGGAGAGGTGAGCGTCGCGGCGGTCATACCACCAAGTCTATGCAATATGGAATGTCAGTTCAGGCTGCCAAACGCCGTATGAAAGGGCGTAACTATGGGTTAGAGTTGTATATGCTTACCCACCAGCGACAAAATGAGCGAAGGGTTTTGCCTGGTCCTTTTTGTCGGATTTCTGGACAGAAGGGTGGGCCGGTTGCGGGACAACATCACCGGTTTCCCTTGACTGAACAATTATGACTTTACCGATGTTCTTCTGGGTGTCCTCAACGGCCAGATGCGCCGGCGCAGAGCTGGTGTGAGGTGTGGCGGAGAAGGGCATATCAGCAGCCACGAAGGCTAAGCAGAACGGTAGATAAAAGAAGTGGAAAGCACGAGATACCAAAAATTAAAACCATTTGCTGTAGAACTCGAAGAATGGGCCTATGAAGGAGAAGAGAACGAGATAGTGTGAAGCTGGCCAGACAATCCCTCTCGATAAGTAGGCACCAAATCTTTTGACCAGAACATTTTTTGGGGACGGCCTTCACTATTGGCGGAGCCTGGGCGGATGGCTCTGTGACCGCCGATTGGAAATCTCTACGCCGCTTTATCTTAGTGGTCCAAATATTAGTGGCCTTGCATGACATTTGACATCAACCTTTTTTTTTCAAGTCTTCAAGCATAAAATGAAGGTCATAATACATTACACGTGTTGACAGTCGAAAGACTACCATATTTAAAAGCTTTCAAGCCAACAAACTACTTGCGCGTGCTTTCAGGTGAGCCTCTCGATCATTTGCCAAGGTATTGGCGACTCAATAATTGCAGTTACTTTGTCAAACATATAGAACACACATGGATACAGCTATGTTTGGAGTCGTGCGTGCTCATGTAAGTAGGCAGCAATTCTTGTTACACACACCAACATATCCCAATTCACCTTGTATTGCAAAGTGCAAGATTCCAGATCGTTGAGATTGTGGCGGGGGCAAGGTGTCCATATTTTTGTCATATTCTAGGGCTTAGAGCGGCGCGTGTAGCAAGTCAAAGGAAGACAGGTCAGAGCTCCGGCTGATGATGGCTGAACAGGGAATCGAAATTTTTGTTTTTTGTTTCATTCAGGGGAATCTATGCACAGGCTGAAATGTGCTAGTACATCCGAGTACCCTTTTTCGCTTCGTCTCAATGTAAAATCCACCCTTAGATGGCCAAACCCAGAAACACCAAACAACCGCATCGACCTGACCATTCTATTCGTTTAGATGTGGGTGTCGTAGGGGATGGGGGTGATGGTCTCGGCGCTGACACCCTCGACAACGTGAGCCTCACGGGGACCGACGGGCTGGCGCTTAAGGTGGAGGTGGACGCCCTGCTCCTTAGCCTGACGCTTCTTCTCGGCGTTCTGCTTGACACGCTTGATGAAGTCCTCACGAGAGCGAGAGTGCTTGACGTGCTCGATGCGGATGTTGACGCGCTTCTCGAGGTAGCGGTTGCGGACGACCTTGTAGAGGAGGACACCGACGGAGGACTTGGTGACGTTGTAGACAACTCCGGTCTTGCCGTTGTAGACCTTGTAGGGCATACTATTCCAATCTCAGCTAACGATCCTTCGCAAATTGACAAAGGTAAACGGCAAGTCCATTTAACACGGATTTGTCGCCTTTTTTTTTTTTCAACGGGCGGGAAAAACTGACCCCTTCTGAACGGCACCGTTGACCTTGATATCGACGATGTCGCCAACCCTAGAAACATATCAGATCCTGCACGTTATACACAATAACGTCCCATCCTCGCGATGAATTTTGGCGTACCGGTAGGTCTTCAGGTAAGTCGACAGGCGGATCTGGCCGTGTTCCTTGAAGTTGCGGCTGAAGGCATACTATCATATCAAAAAACCGTCGTCAGCGCACCCTATCCAATCAGGGTTATAATCCCGTCATTTTCTTCATTCGCAAACATACCCGAGTGCCGGATCTCAAACCGTGAGAGTGACCCATGTCGACGGTGTTGGTGGTGCTGGAGTTGGGAACTTGTCGACTACGAAGTGCTTCACTCTGCCGCCCTTCCCAATGGTGTAGACTTCTTCGGATGCTTAGTGCGCCGTCCCGCTTAGTTTGGGGTTGCAGCCCTAGGCCCTACTACCCATTTCAGTCAATAGCGGTTTGACTAGCCTTAGTCAGGAAATTTAGGGTCTTGGGGCAGAACCCTCTGGCGCTAGGCCGATTTGAGTTCCACTCCGATCCACTCTCGCTTATTCTCTAAAACGCAACTTCATCTTCGAAGTTCAACGATTTTCGTGTAGTTTGGTGTGTTCGACAACCTCGCGACAATTCAGCAGCCATGGCCCCCGTTCCGTGAGTTTACGGCTCCATGATGATCAATGTTCGAATCGCATTATGCTAATGATCATTCTCTCGTTACAGTCGCGTCTACTCCAAGACCTACAAGGTCCCCCGTCGTCGTAAGTAGCCTTATCGATGGAAATTTGATACCTTGCCTGGGTTTTCGGTCATATGCTAATATCTGCGCAGCTTTCGAGTCGGCTCGTCTGTTAGTACTCTCCGGCCACTAAGCAGAAGCGTGCTTCTGTTTATGTCGTGTGTTCCTGTTCCTAACCTATTTGCACTAGTGACTCGGAACTGAAGGTTGTCGGCGAGTACGGCCTCCGCAACAAGCGTGAGGTTTGGCGTGTCCAGCTCACCCTGTCCAAGATTCGTCGTGCTGCTCGGTATGCGCTCGTCTACCCCGATCCGAAAAAACCAGCACCCTGGATACAATAGAAGGGTTTCTAGACCAATGTCTGACCTCAATTTTAGTGAGCTGCTCACCCTCGACGAGAAGGACCCCAAGCGTCTGTTCGAAGGTAACGCTTTGATCCGTCGTCTGGTCCGTATCGGTGTGCTCGATGAGTCCCGCATGAAGCTCGATTACGTCTTGGCCCTCCGTGTCGAGGACTTCTTGGAGCGTCGTCTCCAGACCTGCGTCTACAAGCTTGGCCTCGCCAAGTCCATCCACCACGCCCGTGTCCTGATCAAGCAGCGCCACATCCGCGTCGGCAAGCAGATCGTCAACGTTCCCTCCTTCATGGTCCGTCTTGACTCCCAGAAGCACATCGACTTCGCTCTCACCTCCCCTTACGGTGGTGGTCGCCCCGGTCGTGTCCAGCGCAAGAAGGCCGCTGCTGCCCAGGAGGGTGGTGACGATGCCGCTGAGGAGGATGATGAGTAAATCATTTAAACCGGAGTATGGACGGGTTTCGTTATGGAACATAAAAATATGGGGCCTCTACTGTGACTGCAGCATAGCGTCTGATGTTGTACGATCATACCATTCAATGAATAAAACGATAGCCTTCAGGCTCATTTCGAAACCTGAATTTCACTTCATACGTCCATTTGTAGTCCCTGTAATATTGTACGCCTATATATCCGTCACGTATCTTCCGTAACGCCCGTTGCCCGTTATATCATAGTCATCCACGCCTCCTGCCTCCCAGGTCTTCATTATCCCTCAACACCCACCAAATGTTTGAGTGTTTCTTCCGCACTTCTATACCATCTTCCGACTTCCTCCAGCCCGTCACTCTCTCCTTCTTGCTTCTTCCTCTCGGCCTCACGAGCCTGGGTGACCGCCTCTGACTTCCGTCTTTCAAGAACACCCAGCTCTCGCTCCACTGCCTCCGCCTCTCGTGTCTTGCGGGGCAACGCGTTCTGTACTGCAGCAAGCTGCCGGTTTAGAGAAGCAAGCTCCGCTTCCCGCTCAGCCAAAAGCGACAGAGTCGCGGGAAGTGGAAGATTCTGCGAGGAAGCGTCCGTATTGGATGCTTGTTTGGCACGTAGTCCGGCGATCGTGGACTCAAGATTCTCGATGGACTCGGGTAGAGTAGAAAGCTGCGTGATCTGTAATTCAACATTATTATACCCTGTTGCGATACCAAGCTTGTTAGCGCGTCTTTGTGCTTCCTCTCCCTATTCGGGATCGTATTGGTGACCGCCAACATGGGGGATCGATCATTGCAGGGGACGCATGGGATACTAACGATTGGCGAGGTCGCGGCCCGTCTTCTCCATCTCTGTGATCATCGTACGGACTTCTTCTTTGCGCGCCTTCAGTTCCGCCTTCACCTCTGCCAATTGCGTCTCGAGTTCCACGTTCTCATTATGGCCGACCACCAGCGGAGGATCGCCCACGATCGCACGCAGGAATTTTTCTTTCGTCACTTGCTCGACATATGAAAAGCGTAGTTTTGAAAAGAGTTCCTTCACCGCAAGCGTTAGTACGCGTATGTATCCTGAACAGCAGTACTCGCACCTTGTAGTGTGTCAGGTCGGCCTCGAGCGAAGCGGGGGTGGGGTTATCGATAATGGAAGCATCCGAGGTACGCTTCGGTAGTGAGTTGCTTGGATTGTCAGCGTCAGGCGCGAAGATCGGTTCACTGATGCGAACAATAGCGAGATGTGACTTTAAATCCCCATTGTTTTTCTCCAGTTGCCGGAGCTGTTCGAGTGTAGCTGCAGGGTTAATATCCAACATGATTTTTTTTGATGTTTTGCAATAAGTAATGTTCTTTGAGATAGTATGCGTTGCGACAGTAAGGGACAAGCTGATAGCCTTTGCCGTGTCAATGTCAACGATAAGTCCCCGTCAATGCGCTGATGGTTGAACCGCGTCGGCAGAATATGCGGAGATAAACAAAATGAAGCACCGCTGATCTTCCCTGCAGGCGGTGAAGTCCCCACCAGGGTGAAGGTCGGCTAGTATGACGGATCAATTCACCATTTCTCTCCTACATCGCGGATCTCGAATCAGTGCGACAGATGCTGCGCTCTGCTTTGGTTTTATGGATCGCAAAGTGCTACAGTGCTAGCGGGCATCTGACCTTTCCGGCTTTATAACGGCATACCTATCTATCATTTTAGGTCAAATCGCAGTGTTCCTTCAATAAACGCTCTTACTACTTTTGGAGCTACGATGCCTCTCAATACAGGGAGAGCGAATAACAACCTCGAGGACGATGACTACGTTGCGCAAGTGCTCGCAAATGAAGCGCGAGATAGTTCCCTGAAGTATTCTGCGTTGGGTATGGGGGCTTATATGCCGAAAAGGTAAATGATCACTTCTAATGCCTCGATTGTACCAGAGCTGATAAGCATTGATCATAGGCCTACAGGAGCTGCCCCTAAACCGAATACGCGATTCTTACGGCACATAATCAAGGAGACAGATAGCCACAATGCGGCCTTGAAGCGAAAGGAAGAGAGGGAAGCCAGAAAACGAATGCGACAGCTACGGAGCCAACCTGCCCCATCATCGCACGATTCCAGGAGTGATCACCATAGCCGCCAGCATCGATCAGATGATCGTGAGTCACATCGGGACCGAAGGGAAGAGAAACATGTCTCCTCTCGAAGAAGACATAGGAGTCGTTCAGCTTCAGCAGACAGAGATCGTTCTCATCGACACCGACGGGGGCGTGTTTCCAATGGTGAAGACGAAGACCGACACAGGTCATCTCGGAGAAGCCGTCGGCATCGAACCTATTCCCAGTCGAGAAGTCGGTCTCCACAAGAGGGCCGTGAAACTAAGTCTCGCAGTCGCCACCATCGGCATCGGAGACGCTCTAGGTCACCTTTAAGGCCCCGGTCGCGATCGCCTGAAACGCAGGATCAGCGTAGGCACAGAGACTGCGAGCGCGCGCATTCTCATAAATCTCACGAACATGTCCCCTCCGGGAGGAGCTCTACGACTAGACACAAAGCATCGTCGCCACTTCCCCCCACAAATGCCCCAGATCAGCCAGAGTATGACTCGGACCCCCTTGAGGATATTGTCGGCCCCCTACCCCCGCAGGTGGGTGGAGCTAATAGCGCCGCGCCGGTTCGCTCCCGGGGACGGGGTGCCTACAAACCTAATATGAGCAATATTGATGCGCATTTTGCCGCCGACTACGACCCTTCATTGGATGTGCAGCCAGAAGAGGACGATGTGGATGCTGGAAGTAAGCCCAGTCGCCGTCCTGTGGCCGGCCTGATGACGGGAGACGATGACTGGGAGCTCGCTCTTGAAGCAGTCCGAGACCGAGCCCGTTGGAAGCAGAGAGGCGAGGATAGATTACGCGAAGCAGGATTTGATGATGCTTTTGTAAAGCAGTGGAAAAGCAACACTACTACTACAGCTGGGGACTCTGAAGGTCTGGCAGAGGAGGTGAAGTGGTCAAAGGAAGGTGAAGGTCGAGAATGGGATCGCGGGAAGTATATTAACGAGGAAGGGCATATTGATGTTAAGGCTTCTTGGTAGTTTGTGCCATGCCTATTCATAAGCTTCATAAGCGTACCTTGGGTTCGGCGTTCAGCGAGCTGGGATCGTGTCTATCTGTGAAATTCTTTTATTGCAGTTGTTTCGGTTCATCAATCACTAGATATCCTGCATGAATGACAGACTTGTATTTAATACCAATGCCCTGCGCAAAGATATATAACGGATGCCTTTGGCCTCACACATGACATTCTACCCAACCATAAGCCATCATTAACACTAACTAAGGTTACCTTTATGATCTAAAAGATGTTAAACATAATAACAACATGAACAATGACTAAAAAAGGAGAATGAGGATCTTATCAGATCCCATTTAACGTTTCCCGATCCACCATGCCAAGACAACCCTCCTGGAAATTCCGCGTTCCGTCCAGAAGTGCGGAACCACACCTATTCCTACATTTCTAATTGATTCCCAATATCACCAGAAATCCACATAATCACACCATGACCATAAATCAGCACCAGAGAACTGATTATTTTTCCAAAGGAATCAATTACTAAAACATATATTACCTTGCGTAATCTATCCACGGTACAATCTCTGAATAGACCTTGTAGACTCTGCTATATCCATACTCAAACTTGCCCGCTTCCCCTCTCCATTCTTCCTGCCCCCCACATTGCCCTTCATCCTATAGACTAGCACAATGACAGATGCATTCGCCTTTGAGTATCCCTCGCCGTTGGCGGGGTATGAGAACCTGGAACCGCTTCCGGTGTGAGTACTGTATTTGCCAAAGACATAAAATGTTCCTGAAGGCTAACAAGAACTGCAAGAGAATTCAACGAAGACGGCAAATCCATTAAGAATCCCCAACACGGCGTCCGAAGCAAGGCGTACGAAGAGTTCCCCGATCCGCTAGCCAAGGATCGACAAGGGGGATTCGACGTCCACATCTATCATTTCCAGGTTTGTGTTTACCTGTGATTTTATCGGTCGCAAGCCGTTTACTGATCGTGCAACAGAATAATCCCGACCAAGTCGCATACGCTAGGGCTCTTTACGAACGAGTCCGCCGTGAATGTATGTACTGCCTATCCCCTCCCAGCTTCCATTTTGCACTGCTGTAATCTCACAAAGGAGACTAGTTTATCTAACTCCTTTATCTAGTCCCCGAGCTACGCATATATCGATTCTATGAAGGACCACTTGGACCGCACCCCATCGCTATGTTCGAGGTTAACCTGTTCACTCCGGCCCAGTTTGGAGCGTTTATTCCCTGGCTTATTATCAATCGGGGCCCGCTGAGTGCGTTGCTTCACCCGAATTCGACTGAGGAGGAGGAGGAGCGGAATCATACGCAGCGGGCGACGTGGTTGGGGGAGAAGGTTCCGTTGGATCTGAGGATCTTTAAGCTGATGAAGAAGGAGGCGGCGACGAGGAAGAAGGAACTGAATGGGAGGAATTGATGAAATATTCGAGTATGCCTTTGTTGACATGTATTAGAGCCCATGATTCGATTGATATTAAGGAGTTATATCTTGGAGCCAGTAGGCAATTGTTTATTGTAGGTGTCAGTAGACTTGCTCTTGCAACGATGGTGGAATTCCCGATGATATCATGGGATGACCAACGTGACTTGTCGATCACACGCCACGTTGGTCATCGATTGGATGCTTATTTTGTCTCATGCAGCAATGTTCGCGGAGGGCTGAAATAGTCTACGAAAATCCAAACTGTGCTAAAGAAATGCCCCTCCTGATAAGCTTCTACGGTTTGATTCCGAGTATCCCCTGGCTGCGTGTGAGCCGAGAGAATGAAGGCATGGGTTTTCATCGGATAGTACCTGTCAGTCGTCACGTTGTTGATTTATGAGACATGCGTGAATCATTCGGATGTGATGGCCCGAGGTCTTGCAGGTAGCCGTCGGAGGGTCAGCTGCGGCATGTGAGTACTAGCAAAATCTGCATCACTTTTCCCATTTCAGTTCCTATCACAGGTCTTTGAAGGCTGTCTGTCTCTCGTGACCGAGTCGGGGAGTATGGCCGAAGGCCTTTTAAAGCCGGGGAGGTGATGTCGCAGAAGGAAAGAGCGATGCTCAGCGAAAGCAAAATAGAAATGCCCAACGGGCCCAAGGCATATTGACCTTAGCTACCAACTCTTACCTTATATTACTGGGGTCAAGATGTGGAACCCAAGTCTCCCGTGGCTTTCATGTGCTCTTCAAGTGCCCATCCTGAGGGCCGAGTCTCCTCCTGCAATGTTTCATGTCGCTCCACCAGACTTGTCTGCTACGGCGATACCGGGTTACGTATTGGAGTACGGTGAGTGATCTAATGCCTATGGATCACAACATTCTAACAATCTGTCAGCACCGTTAGTCTGGCTACATAGTCAGGATGTATACCTGCCCTCTGACATCGGGGAGCAGCTTTTACACACGGCGCCGACGGTGGATTGGAAGCCAATAGAGGGGGCCTCCTCGCCAGTAACGCTCAATAACCTTGACCAGCTCAACAACCATGGCAATACGAGTGTTTATCTGACTTCTAAGGAAGGCATTGATGCTGACCCCCAGCCGGCCTGGTTTGGAGGCGTTAAGCCTAATGCGGAGGGACGGACACAGAACGCAGTCTCTTCGACCATTATTGTTCGAGACCACGGAGATGGGACTCTGGACGCTTTTTATTTCTATTTTTACGCGTGAGTAATGTCTCTACCTTTCAGTGCGAATTCGCGTTATGCTCACCGGATTTGTAGGTATAATCAGGGCAACACGGTTATTGGAATGGAGTTCGGGAACCATATAGGAGACTGGTCAGTTACAAGGCCGATCATTTTCCAAATCTGGAAACTGACGCAGTTCTTAACAGGGAGCATAACATGATCCGGTTCTCAGAAGGTGTCCCACAAGCGATCTGGTATAGCCAGCACGCCTCCGGACAGGCGTTTACGTACCGTGCAACGGAGAAAAAGGACAAGCGGCCGATTGCATATTCCGGGAAAGGCACCCATGCTAACTATGCTATCTCTGGGTATGTACTTCCATACATCGTTTCGCCCGTGAATGATGAGATGTTAAGGCTCGCCTCGGTGAACGCAGAAACCACGACCATACCATTCCTGGTTTCAATCTCCCTGGTGGACTGATCGTGGACCAGACTGACCAGGGGACATTGTGGGACCCGATTCTGAGTGCATATGCGTACAAGTATGATGCTTCTGAGGAAATCTTCCAGCCCTATGACTCTGGATATCCGGTCGAGTGGTTGAACTTCAACGGCCAATGGGGAGATGATGCGCTGCCGGGAGGGCCAGAACTGTTTGGACAGAAAAAGTACGCCGCGGGGCCGAATGGACCGAAATTCAAGAAGCTCGTCAGGGAAAAAGTGTGCCCGAGTAGCCCCTGTGTTGTGCTTCCTTTCCGGATCTGGGAGAATCAGACATTGGCAGAGTATGGGCAATGATGGATCTACTGCATTTGCAAACGGTCACTGTGCATATGGATGTGGAGTCTAGGGGGAAATATCTCAGCCCCTGAAGGGATGCGTAGACCATGTTATATTTTATTTACTCTTCCATTCACAAGAGCATCGCGGCCCGATTTTGGATTGCGTCACGTAAGATGGGGATCGACGCGACAATTTGCGATCGCAATAAGGTGCCGGTCACATATGAACTAAGAATCAAGACTACTAATTAGTTAAGTGTTGTACTATTAACCTTTCCTGGCATAGCGATCTGGCCACAGGCTATTCTTTCTATTGGTATTTAGTCACCGAATACATGATTTTTCGGGAGAGGTCAGTTTCTTTATTCCCCAATGACATGCTATTCTGATGCATAAACGTACATTACGCTGCGCTGGAGCTTATCTCATTCCGCTTCCTCCGAGATCATTCTCCACCCCGTTGTGGGTATCCATACTCTTTAACTACCTATCAGTAATATAGATAGCAGACAAGGGATTCTTCGATTGGCCTGCTTCCCTGGTAATAGCATTCACTCGAGCAAGCAAGCAACGGTTTACGAACAGAGGCTTAGGGACTATGTCTAGCCACGAAGGCTATCTTTCGGCCATTCTTTCGACTCGTAGCTTGACCGGTGGTTTCGCCGCCATAGTCATCAGGATAGATTAAAGACACCGCGTGTTTACTGAGGGGTAAAGGATAGACCTCGTCAGCAGGATTATACTACTTAACGGACGTGGTACATCTGATTGTCAGCACATCATCAAAGAACCGCCACGGAAACCTACAACTCCAACTGCCACTGAGGCGCCATCCGCTTTTCCTTTGTTCTGGAGCCCTTGGAGGACCACCCAGATCAATAGATGCAATTGCTTCATTTGCACGAAGAACGGCTAGCCATCTTCTGGTGTACCCTCTCCGAACGGACGTGACCTGCCATCGTGGAGAGGACCACCTCGCGCAGTATCGATTTGAGAATCAGGTGAAACGACATACATTCTGCCCTAATCGTGAGACTTCGATAATGGTCGATTTTAAGCAGTCTCCCTTTGAGAAGGAGAGAAAAAGAATCGCAATTAATGTATGCCTGGGCTGATATAAGCAACCTCTCTTTTTGGAAGGACACTATTTCTAACGGCCCACTTTGTCTTGCCTGCTCTATTTCCCTCCTGTTCTCATGCTCTGTAGATCTGCACGCGCGAAGGCATTGAGGATAAGCTGGACGAATTAAACTATCGGGTTTTCGACGGCAAGAATAAACTTGGACCACCACCGTATGCCATTTGAACGGATGGATGGAGTTACCTCATAGAATAGGGTTCATTCCCTGGGGGTTAATTCCTGAGACTCGAAGCCTTTTGCACTCCCAGCGTTGAATTTTACAGCTTACAACTTGTCTGCGGATTCATGCGAAAGCTCCGAGGTCTAGCCAATCAGAACATTGGCTGCCGAACCAAATTTCATCCGGCTCTTACCGTACGGATACCTCGTGTAACAGGTTCAAGGCCTCGCTCGGTCCAAAAAAAGGGAAGATTGTTTTGTTTGTATGTACGTGTTCCAAGTTGATGATAGAGATGGAACTTCTAGAAATTGCTTAAAAAATGGAGCTTCATGATCTTTAATCAAATCCATGACGGGCGGAAATGCATGGCGGATGCAGTGTTTAATGACCGGAGGGATGTCAGATACCCACGTGTGGACATTGATCATCAATTGATCAAAAAAAGGATGCTTCCTTAAGTCATTTGGAAGACGGGTGAGAGTGGGCCTTACGTAATTCCGTACCGTACCGCTATCATACGTCTTGATCTTTCCATGGGATGGGGTGTGTTTACTTTCCAGTCACTGATGAGGCAATTAGAAGCACGATCCATTGCCTGTCTCTTGTCTCCAGCATTCCAAGTGTCAGGTATCATCATGTGGTACAATGTGTCATTCCTCAGGAACCAATGTCCCCCTTAAACACCAGGACTTTTAAGATCACCTCTCAGTAATGAGTATTGTTCAGTTTCTTTACTGTAATCGCAAAACCGGCTAGTGTCCCCGACCACGAGAAGCTAAAGTTCATCCACTCAGAAGCAGTGCTCGGCGCCTCCCCCTAACCTAAAAGACACTTAGAGCAGTGGGGGAACTCTGTGGGAAAGGCATTGCTTTTGTGTTGCCCCTGAATCTGTTCTCCGCCTCGGTGTGTGAAAAAAAAAAGCTCAAAACAAAGCAGAGACAGAGACAAAGATCAAGAATATCAGACTGCTCTGACGTTGAGACGAGCTTGACACTCACCACCAGGCAGCGTGGACTCTTATATTCCGGCGTGCTCGCAGTGCGAAGCAATAGCGGCTTCCTTCCCCCCCAGATATTGGCAGATCAGATAGAGGCAGAAGCATTGCCCTTCTAATATCCGTTCTCAGGCCGATCATCATCAGTTGTCCAACACTCTCGCTCTCTCATTTCGCTTCTTCCCTTTTACTGGCTCTCCTCAATTCCCGATTCCCCTTTCCCCTTTTGCGTTTCATGTTAATGCACCGCTTCAGTCGGACGCTGTGAGCAGGCTTCTTCACGGTCTTTATCTTTTTTTTTTTTTAATATTTTTTTTTCTGAGTCGAGATCGCATACACACAAGAAAAGAGAAAGAGAAAGAAGAAGAAGAAGAAGAAGAAGAAGAAGAAGAAGAAATATACGGCCGTAGTTCATCCGAGCTATAGCTTCAAAGTTGCAACAATCATTTCAATAGCTTATATCTCGGTGTCCTCTAGTAGAGACACTGGACTCAGCGCAACAGACACTTGCTGGGCTTGTGGATGTTGGTCAGTCAATTCCACTTTGACGTATCCGGACATCTCTTTTGTCGGGATTTTGCTGAATTGCGTCCGATAATTGCGCCCTGGTCCTGATTGACAGGAATCCATTGTGTGATTTGAAGCACTCGGTCACGAGGAAAGAAAATAGCTGGCGCTAGTGAGCTTCAAGACACATATTTATACTTAGCTAGATTGATTTGAGTGCGGCCCGCGACAGTTGATCAATTTCAAGGATCTGTAAGTGCTTACCTGTTAGTCCGTTGATCGTGTTGTTGGGGGGGGGGGGGGAGGGCTTGTTCGCATACCACATGGCCTTCCTCTATGAGCTGCGTCCAAGCGCATTGGCTGACATCTATCCACCATATGCTAGGTAACGAAGTCGACCAGGTTCGTTCCCGCTTCTTCAGAGTGAATATTTGGCAAGCGAATCTTTTATCTGAGACAACCATTCACAGTTACCCCACTTTTGCGCCAAAGTACCTCCGAAACCCCATCCGTGTTACCAACAATCGGGTGATTGGAAAGAGCCACCCGGGAAATACGACCAACCCCCCCGATGGCCACCACAACTCCAGGACCCCGTTCCCCGGGACACCATGCACCTTCCCCCGATATCGAGAACGGTGGTAAAGATCCACGCAGGAATTCCTCTTTAGGTTTCCTCCGTCGCTCCAAGTCAACAGAACCACTCGGTAAGAGCAAGAAGAACTCCAAGATCCCGGAAGACGAGCTACGAGCAATGCCGGTGCAACCTCCTCGTCTGCCCGACCTTTCTCCCGCCCCAATGCTGGAAAGTTTTGGAGGTGAAGAGCGAGGTCACGATACCACCAACGCGGCTGCTCTTTCGAACAACACACCCTCGTCCCAACGACAGCAACCCCCCTCTCGTGGCTCGATCAGCACGCCCAACTACGACCCTTACGCCCGTACAGAGAGCATGACACACCGTGGGCGTTTCAGCTACGCGAGCAGTGCCGTGAGCACTGTCAACAACCCGCGTAGGTTGCGTCGGCGCAAGGACCCTACCCCGTACAAGTAAGACCCGTTCCAATTACTTAGGTCATTCACCCTGGTTGTATATTAACTGTCCGCGTAGTGTCCTGGTCATTGGCGCTCGCAATTCGGGGAAGACATCATTCCTCAATTTCCTCAAATCGTCCTTGGCGATGCCAGCCCACAAGAATCCCTCTCGTCCAGCGGAGGAAATGGAATACCTAGACCATCACTCGCCCGCCAACCAGGGCTACACCTCCCAATACCTTGAGACAGAGATCGATGGAGAGCGCGTCGGACTAACATTGTGGGACTCTCAGGGGTTTGAAAGAAACATTGTTGACATCCAGTTGCGTGGCGTGACCGGATTCCTGGAAAGTAAATTTGAGGAGACCTTGAGCGAAGAAATGAAGGTAATTCGCTCGCCCGGAGTGCGAGACACCCACATCCACTGCACGTTTCTGCTTCTCGACCCCGTCCGTTTGGACGAGAACATCGCCGCGGCGGAAAGAGCCGCCCAGGGCACCCCTAAGGCGTCCGATGCACCGGTCCTTGGCGTTCTTGACGAGAATCTCGATATCCAAGTTCTTCGAACTGTGCTGGGCAAGACCACCGTTGTCCCCGTCATCAGTAAGGCGGACACAATCACCACGGCACATATGTCATATTTGCGGAAGGCGGTTTGGGACAGCTTAAAGAAGGCCAACATAGACCCGCTGGAGATTCTCACCCTGGAGGACCAGGAGGAATACACGTCTTCGGAGAGCGCTGATGAAGAAGAGGACGAGTCGCCCGAGGAAGACCAGCAAGAGCCCGGTTCACCTTCCACGAAGAGCCAAGGGTCTGGAACACAAGCCTGCTCTCAGATTCTGCCGTTCACCATTTTGTCACCGGACCCACACTCGCTGGCGGCTGGCGATGAGCCTGTCGGTCGTAAATTCCCCTGGGGGTTTGCGGACCCTTTCGACTCCGCACACTGCGATTTTGTCCGGCTCAAGGAGTCTGTGTTTAGCGAATGGCGTACCGAACTGCGCGAGGCTAGTAGAGTGGTTTGGTATGAGCGATGGAGAACTAGCCGCTTGAATCGGAAGGCCCCGACCCCTGGCGTTACTCCTTCGAAGAAGGTCTACGCTGGAAGGTTGGGTCCCCTTGACCAGGGACCTCGACTACGATAGTGGCAATATGGCTCTGCTAGGTGTTATCGGTGAATCAGGCGCCATTCCATAATGTACCTTCCCGTACGGAAACCAGGCCCCTTTGCTACTTGCTGAATGCCCTGGTAAACTCGACCGGTCTTATCGAAGCCGCAAACCTGGAAACTTGATTGATCTTGAGATAAAGCGACGGGCCGTGTAGTTCTCATTGCACGTCCCTCTCTACATTCGATTCTTTTTTTTTTTTTTTTTCATTATTCTCCTATTTCCTTTGTCCGTAACATTCCTGAAAGTGGGACGACCCGAGCTCAACCGGAACACCTCTGGGCAAGCCGAATGGCAGGCATAAAGACAGGAGTGCCTTTCTTGTCCGAAGGATTCCGGGGGAAAGAATACGGAGAAGCCTCGACTTTTTTTTTCTTTTTCTTCTTTTTTCTCTTCTAGTCCCCCACGAAATCACTTGTCTTGGGTACAGTTCCTACTGTTTCCATTTGCCTCGATAGCATTGACAGAAGCGGGTCTGATTTGTACTTCTGATATCCCCTATTGTGTGACCGTTTGTTGACTCTCCTTATACCATTGATGTTCTTACTGATATTACTTCCCCTTGATGTTTCGATGTCTTTTGATTCTGAGCACCCAACCCGTTTCCTTTTCTTTTTACCCCCGACAGAGTTTCCGGTTGATCAGCTTCATTTACCTTTTACTCCATATTTGCCCTATTCGCTTCCTTTCAAAACCCTGTATTTTTGACGTACATTGGTTCCTGTGACCAGATCTCTTTTTTTTTTTCCAAGCTACGCTGGCGTGGAGAAGTATGATTTTGAGAATCGAATCATTTGTACCTTTTAAAGAGCGGTCATTTCTCATGTCGCCCGCCATCTTGCTCGAGACCAAACCAGATTGTCCTTCGGAGTGCGTTACGCAGTAGAATCCCAACCTATTTCTCCGATGTAGGTAGCCGTTGGGAAGGTGTTGCACGTTGCACTAGACGGAAAGGTGATACCTGTACGATTCCATCATTTCCCCTCCCTTCTCCCCTCTTGGTGTGTATGAAGAATGGATCGGCGACGTAGGTGTTCCGAGGACCAATCATGGGAGTGGAAGAAGCGGCAACTCCGAGAGCCTTCAATTTCGAAGATACGAGAGACAAGTGGGGAAAAGAAAGCTGTCATTCGTGAGATTTGACCGCCCGGTCAGCTTCAACTACTAAGGATGCAGTAGCTTCGTGCGGCTCCAAGAGGCGGTAAGTCCGTCATCTTGGTGGTGATATGGGAAGTTTCATACCGGTCCCTCCAATCACCATGAATATCTTTGCTTTTTCTGTGTCCTTTCTTGAGAGGAGGCGCCGTCCGATGAGACTATTCGAATGCCGCTTCCACCTTCCCCTCCCCTCCCCCGATGATCCCTCCGGAACTAACGCAGACTATGTCCTTCAGCCTCGGCCACAAAAACTAAATTCAAAGGATAGTGGAGTGTGTGCCTGGTGACCTGCTCTTCGATCGCGCTCTCCTCACTTCCTGCCTCTTTGCTCCCTCACGTTCGTGTGCGCGCGCCAATTCATCCCACCTGTGGTTTTCTTTCTCTGTCGACTTGATTTTAACCAACGTGGTTTTTTGGCAGCACGCGACTGTGTCTGTCTGTCGCAAAGGATTGCTTTTGAACACTAATTGCGCCGGGGGTTTGAAACGTCGTGACTTTTGGGTTTCGTTCCTGACCGCGATCGCTGGTTCCTGTCGCTGTCATCCATGTCACTCCAGCCCGACGACCCACGGTCGCGCGGCCGTTCCAAGTCCCGACATCGCTCCAGATCGCGCGCTTCGGCTGCTGGGAATACCTACCTCTCTTCCGAACCGGCGGACGAGTACCTCCGACCTAGGTCAAGGAGTCGTGGTTATCGGACCAGCTCCAGTCATCTCCCCTCCGCTCCGGATTTGGGCCATTATCCTAGGCCTGATTATCTACGCGAGGACCTGAACCCCTCACGGTCCCCCAACATTCGTCCGGTCCGCTACGATGTTCCCTCGGACGATGCCTACTCGGATACAGATGACGAGGCGCTGGCTTATGGCGACCTCCCTGGGGGATTAGAGCGCGGCTACTACGGGTACACGGCTCCTTCCCGAGCTTCGTCGTCGCAGGTCAACGGCGCAATGATGTCGGGAGCGCTTAATGGAGACCCTCGCTCCGGACCGGGGCCAGCCCCAGGGCGCTCCAGCGAGGAGGCCCTGGGCGGTCACCCGAGCTACGCGAAACCTGGTGCGTTCAAATATGTGACCCCGGGACAATACCTTCACGCGCAACCGGACTGGGCGCCCATTCCAGAGTGTGAGCGACCGGGGTTTGTGCCGCCATCCTCATCGCAGGCCGAGGCACCGCATATGCCGGGTGCGTTTCCGCTGCCGACAACGACGGGAGCGCCGACGTTTCAAATGCCTCAGTACGCGAACCCGGAAGCACCGTCGAATCCGTACGCATCATGGAGCGGCCGTCCCGTCTCGATGTCGGGTACTCCCATGTACACACCCGCGGTCAGTTCTCCGACACATAAACGCGCCGTGTCGAGTGACACCACTGCGCCGATCCCATACGCCAATCCGCCTCAATATCAGTATGCGCAGGTCGACCCCAAAGTCCAATATGCCTCCAAGAGCGCACCGAAGCAGCCTGTCGCGTATTCTACGACGCCCCAGTACATGAAGTCGGGCGAGGCAGATAAGTTGCCGCAGTATGCGAACATCAAATACTCAGCCAACCCGCAATTCTCGTCCAGGACCCCCACCAGTCGGCCGGAGAACGAACAGCAGTATGTCGAAATTACGCCCGGCGACCGGACGGGCCCCCGCCCAGCTAGCCACTCGGTCTCGTCCGGTAACACTCTTATGGTCGGTGGCCCAGATCCCAACGTCCGATCGGCCAGTCCGATGCTGGAGCCTTACAAGGGGACATATCAGAGCATCTCACCTATGCCATCGCCCATCGTCATTCCCTCGAAACGGGATGAAGACGTGTCGGACCTGGAGCCACTGGATGGCGGCTCTGACTCGAGCGGACTCCGAAAACATCGGAGGAAGAAATCGAAGGACGACAGGGAACTGAAAGAACCCAAGAGTGATCGCTCAAAGCGAGAGAGGAGTCGTGTTCGGCACGACCGGCATGACTCACAAGAGCAGGCCGTGATGCTCATATCGCCCAGTACGCCGCGGAAGAAGGTCTCCTTTTATGACCCCGAGCCCGATGCGATCGCCATGCAGGATGCCCTATCGCGTACCCGGAGTATCGATAGCAAGATGCTGATCCGCGTGCTGCCCCACTTAACCAGCGAGGAGATCTTGGACCTCCGCACAGAGTACAAGAAACACGTGAAGCTGCACGGCAAAAGCGTCAACCTTGCCAAGCACATTCGGTTGAAGCTGGGCAATAGCACATTCGGCAAGGTGTGCTATGCTACCGCGTTGGGCCAGTGGGAATCCGAAGCGTTCTGGGCCAACTATTATTACCAGTCGAGCACGTCCCGACGTGAGCTGCTCATTGAATCGCTATTTGGCCGGAGTAACAGTGAGATTCGTGCGATCAAAGACGCGTTCCGGGACTCTCGGTACCTCGACAGTCTGGAAAAATGCATGACGGCGGAGCTGAGGGACGACAAATTCCGGATGGCAGTGCTCATGGCCCTGAAAGGAAACAGGCAAAGCGATCGCGAAAGGATCGAAGAAGAAGTTGACGAGCTGCACAAGGCGCTGGTGTCGCGACATGGAGGCGAGACGGCCATGATTTATATCATTGTCCGGCGGAGTGACTCCCATTTGCGAGAAGTTCTCCGCCGGTATGAGGAAATCTATGGCCGGAACTTCGCACGGGCCATGATAGCTAAGTCCCAAAACCTTGTGGTAGGTACCCTTTCCTGAATGACTCTTTTTTTATAATTTTTTTTTTGGGGAGTGATTAATTTCGGAAACAGGGTGAGACTCTCGCACATATTCTCAACGGCGTTATCAACCGGCCCATGCGCGATGCTCTCCTCCTGCACCAGGCTCTTCGGGAGTCCCAGACGGGCAAGGAGCGATCGGAATTGTTAATCTCCCGCCTGGTCCGATTGCACTGGGAGCCGCGCCATCTGGAGGATGTGAAGAGTGAATTCCGTCGGAGATACGGGCAGCGGCTGGAGGAGGCAATTGCCGAGGAAGTGTTGACAAGCAGCAGCAGCGATGAATGGGGGGAGTTCTGTATTGGACTGGCGCGCAGTTCCAAGGCGCTTTCGAAAAAGGGTTAAAAACGCGCAGTACTTTCGGTGGTCTGACGACGACTTGATGAGTTTATGGCCTTTTTTTTGTTGATGATCTGATGACTATTTTTGGTTCTATGGCTACGCATGCGCAGTACTCCGTATAAAACCAAGCGTTAAGCGACAAGGAAGGAGAGAAAGAAAAAAAAAAAAAAAAGGGCCAAGGAAAAGGGAGCCAAAAGGAGAGTGTGAGTTGTGACATTAGCTGTGTTATTATAATTAAAATGTTACATTGAGTATTTTGCCTGACCCATCTGCTTGATCCATGGTAGCTCATCTACCGAAACCGAGGTTGAGAGATACTTAAGGGTACTTCAGTAACATGTTCCCCTTTCGGAGTGTATCATCGATAACCTAAACTGTTACATGGTTTTAGAAGAGAGTCTTGCACTACTAAACTTATAAGAGAGTGGTCTAGTACAGTAAGTAGCTAAGACGGAGTCTACTCCGTCTGTCAAACCGGCTAAGACACCGCTATCCATGATCATATTATCAATGGCTATACATACATTAGTTAGTACTTTCTGTATGTCTATCTAGGATGCGACTCTGACGCGGAGGTTTTCCGAGCTACTTCACTTGTTTAAATCTGCAGCGGGAAGTCAAACAGGATGGTAGGTCGGTTCCTGCGCCCGATGTGATAAATCAGGCGGGGTGGAACCAGTGACGGTCGTGCCCTTTTCTTGTTAATTGGAGTACCAGATTTAATATGCAGGGAAAAGGAGGTCCTGGTCACACTGCAGTGTCAATAGATTAGTTGTCTGTCCCTCCTCACCTGATAGTATCACAACTATCGGTCACACGGATGGGAGAAGAACCATCGGCAATACTACTACTCCCTCGTAGATACAGTAGCATAACTCCCTTGGTTCGATTTTACCTCGTGAAGCCATTGATGTCGTACTTTCTCTCTTGATACCCCCCTGATCGGGCGGAAAGTGTGACCCCACGGCCCATCTATCACTTTCCTTTTTAGGGTTTGGGGAAATCACTGACAGGACTTGGCCTCAGGCCGTGTTTGTCTGCGTCTTTTCACTTTCTTCTTCTTGATCGATCTTCCCAGGTTGATGCAGTTCGGCTACCGGAAGAGATCTATTCTTAGTCCTCCGTCGAAGTTTAGGATCTCCCCCTCGCGTCGCTCTCTTATACTCGAGCTCACTGCATTATTATTATCGATATCCCTATTGATATTGATACGGATATAAGATAATTCGTGATCTATTCTCCCTCATTCACCGAGGTATAGTCATATGCTTCTTTCCCTTCCCCCCTCATATCAGTGCCGAAGTCTAACCCACACTACCCCATAGTTATTAGCCACTAGTGCCTCTTAGGCCTCTCATTGTTTGCTCAGGTGGATCTAAGAAAACCAAGACTATCATGGTTTAGTGTCTGGTTGTCTCCATCAGATCCTCTGCAGCTCCAGACCACATCGGCCTAAGAGTGGTCGAGGCCGGAGCGGCTAACTATAAGGTACATACTCATACTCTATTGACCCTTGCATCGTAATCTCCGATTATTTCGTCCGTCCAATTGACGTTCTCTCCCTCCTGGAATTCCGCTTCTCTTTCATTTCTCGGGCAGACGGCTCAAGATCTCACGAGTCTCCCCCAACAGAGTCTGACAGGTCAGGCGATGGTCGAGGGGGGAATTCCTCCCATCATGCGTGCCTTCATGCCGCATTTCCTTCTAGACCGGCAAGTCTTATGCTAAACTTTCATGATTTGTCTAGTCTCTCCTGGATTTTTTTTCTCCTTTCCTCCGGTATGCGGACGCGACCAACTATATAAGTGTGCCTGACATTCCACTCAACATTCCTTCGGCCCACATTCACTCGGACACGTTTTCGGCGGACCTGGATCATTCTTCTGAACGAAAACGTTTGGAATTTAGTTGCACATATAAAGAAGGATGTGCCCTGGGTGAATCTCGTCTCTCGGATCACAATGCATTTCCTCTCGCTTTGTCTGTCGGTAGCCTCCCTAGTGTCCTATGTGGGAGCCGCGTCAACCTTCTCTCCCGCGAGGCCTCCTGCGCTGCCACTGGCTGTCAAATCGCCTTATTTGAGCACATGGCTCTCTGCAGGTACAGATGGCGGTAATGGCGGGTACCTGGCTGGTCAATGGCCTACTTTCTGGTTGTGAGTAGTCTCGAAGGTGTCGGTATGGACGACATCAACCCTTCCGGCGCATTGGCTAAGCAGTGTTTCTGGTGGTAGCGGTCAAGTGAATGGCTGGGCCGGTCAGATCCGTGTCGATGGCTCGACCTACACATGGATGGGGGGTATTCCTGGAACTCCCATCGTGAACCAGACTTCGTATGAGTACACCTCAACTTCGAGTGTGTTTACAATGCGGGTTGGAGATATGGTGGAAATGAAAATCACATTCCTTTCCCCGATCACACCGGATGATCTCCGGAGGCAGTCGCTCATATTTTCCTACCTGGACGTAGAAGTCGAATCAATCGACGGTAAATCTCATGACATACAGGTGTACTCCGATATCTCAGCTGGTAAGAAAGAAGTTAACCCCCCCCCCCTGAGCTGTCATCCCGGTATCTAACCGCACCTCAGAATGGGTGTCTGGAGATCGAAATGCCATTGCACAGTGGGACTACGGTGTCACAGATGATGGCGTTGCCTACCACAAGGTCTACCGCCAGACACAGCTTCTGTTCTCCGAAATCAATGACCAGGCAGAATGGGGAGAGTGGTACTGGGCAACAGAGGATGGGGACGGAATGACCTACCAGTCCGGACCAGATGTTGATGTGCGAACTGCGTTCGCAAAAAACGGAAAGCTAGCCAACTCGAACGACAAAACCTATCGTGCCATTTCGACCAATTGGCCCGTGTTTGCCTTTTCCCGTGATCTTGGGTCGGTGAAAACGTCTGCGAGCACGTTGTTCTCTATTGGTCTCGCCCAGGACAGTGCAATCCAGTACAGTGGTAAGCCTGAGGGGATGACTGTGATGCCCTCGCTTTGGAAGAGTCACTTCAGCACCGCGACAGCTGCGGTGAGTAGCCATTGCTGCGATCTTAGGGGATTTTTGAGTCGGAGCTAATGTATAATACAGCTGGATTTCTTTCATCATGATTATGCAGCAGCAGCAGCGCTATCGAAGGATCTGGACAATCAAATAGCCCAAGATTCACTTGATGCAGCTGGCCAGGACTACCTGACCATCACCTCGCTTACGGTCCGTCAGGTCTTTGCTGCTGTGCAATTAACCGGAACGCCGGACGATCCGTATATTTTTATGAAGGAGATCTCCTCTAATGGTAACATGAACACTGTGGACGTCGTCTTCCCGGCTCATCCAATCTTTCTGTATACGAACCCTGAGCTCCTCAAGCTGCTGCTGAAACCGATCTTTGAGATACAAGAAAACGGAAAGTATCCTAACACGTTCGCCATGCACGATATTGGGGCCCACTACCCGAACGCCACTGGACACCCTGACGGTAAGGACGAACAAATGCCACTGGAAGAGTGCGGGAACATGGTCATCATGGCCCTTGCTTATGCCATGAAGGCCAAGGACAACGACTATCTCTCGCAGCATTATCCCATCCTCAAGAAATGGACGACGTATCTGGTGGAAGATGCTATTTACCCGGCGAACCAAATCTCTACAGATGATTTTGCTGGTCCCTTGGCGTAAGTGATGCAGAAATCCGAGGTGAAGGTTGAAGCTGATAGTGGCACAGAAACCAGACCAACCTGGCATTGAAGGGAATTATTGGCATCCAAGCAATGGCAGCAATCAGTAATAGGACTGCACACCCAGATGATGCCTCGAACCACTCAAGCATCGCTAAGGATTACATCACGAGATGGCAGACATTAGGCGTAGCTCACAATGCCAATCCTCCACACTCGACATTGTCGTACGGAGCTAACGAGACTCATGGTTGGTTCGCTGCGTAAGAGATGCACTTACAAATACTGACTGTCTTCTAGGCCTTCTGTACAATCTGTACACAGACCGTGAATTGGGCCTGAATCTGGTTCCTCAATCAGTGTATGATATGCAGAGCACGTTCTATCCGACAGTGAAGGCGAAATATGGTGTCCCGCTTGATACTCGTCATTCGTATACCAAGGGTAAGCTGGATATTATTTTCCATACGGTGGGATTCATTGCTAACCCTTCTTCTAGCGGACTGGGAACTCTTTGCAGCCGCCGTTGCATCGACCAGCACTCGAGATATGTTCCACAAGGCGCTTACGACCTGGATCAATGAGACACCGACAAACCGTGCCTTTACCGATCTTTATGACACTAGTACGGGAAAGTAAGTATCTGGAGACTCGACGCTTGGGCATCTGCTGACGATCGTAGCTATCCTGGAATCACCTTCATTGCGCGGCCCGTGATGGGTGGCGCGTTTGCATTATTAGTTCTTGAAGAGGGCCTTTGATCCCCTGTATATTCTTAGGTTATGATTCGCTTTTGTGGGCGAGACATTCGCTAGGCTTTATTACTCCTATTTATCCTTACCCCGGCCACTCGGCCGTTGTTGAATAGCGCATCCGCATATATACAGTTCTCACTTTAGCCTGAAGATACAAATTGGTTACTATCTTTGACGCTTTGTACATTCGTGGAGTCGACAGGATATTTTACCGATAGTGTCTGTAGGCTTAGCGTTGCCTCACCAATGCACCTCCCTGGGCTGATTAAATATTCGACTATCTCAATATCAGGTAGCGTTATTTCAGCATCTCCGGTTGTCTACAAATCGTGAGTGGGCTCGACTGAGCTATTCCACGCATCAAAAGCTCGAATGAGATCTACCCATGTCAGTAACCGTCTTCCTTCACATAAACCTAGAGCAAAGAAGAGAGAGTAAGACATACCATAATACAAAGCCATAGCCTCCAAATGCACATCGATGGCCACCCGCTCATCAACGGTATGGATATTCAGCGTACCGCCAATGCGCGACGGGCTCCACCGATAGATATTCCGGGATAAATTCCAATAAAATCTGGTATCTGTATTGCCAGTCATGATATCGCCACTAACAACCACGGTCTTGCCTTTCAAACTCGGCACCGACTCAAACACCGAGCGGGTGACACCAGCAAACCGCGTCCAGACGGCATCCTTGCCGGTGTCCGTGGGACTGACCGGAGCTGGCGACAAGGCACCACTCAGCGTTGAGATGGTCAAATGATTCAACTTGCCCTCTGGCTCTTCCTCCGGGAACGCGGCCAGAGTCAGATTATACTTGTCGACAATGGGTCCAACCACCCCCACAGCCCGATCCATGACCGCCTCAGGCGTCTCGTGCAAGGCGACCCGATAATTGACCACCGCCTGCACATGCTCCGGCAGCGCATTCGTCTTCACGCCTCCATGGAAGATATCCACCGCCTGCGACGTCTGCAAGATATACCGGAACTTATCGCCCCGCGACCGCGCCAGTCTCTCCGCCGTCGAGACATGATCATTCGACGCCAGCGCATCCGCAAGCCAAGGCTCAACACTCCCCGGCGAATGCCGTACCTGACACTCCAGCTTCTTGCGCGACGGATGACTATCGGACAACCGCGGCGAGAACAGCTCCTGCCCCTCAAGGCTATAAATGATCTCCGACAGAATCCCGATCCCCGTATGCGCGGGCGGAATCGAACTATGCCCGCCCGGCACAGAAAGCGTAAAGACGAGATCAACACTCCCTTTCTCCGACACGCCGGGAAGCGCATACACGACTCCACCACCGCCCTCTTTGTCCCTCACTCCACCCTCCTCAAAAGAAGGAGAGGAAGACTCAACCTCCTCAATCCCCATCCCCCCTTCATCCAACACAAACTCCACCCCATCAGCGCCATACACCCCCTCCAAATACTCGGCAATCGCCCCCGCCCCAAGAAACCCATGCGACTCCTCATCAAACCCAAACGCAAGCAGCACCGTCCGCGTCGGTCTCCACCCCTGCTCCAGCAGATCCTCGACGACGGAAAGGAGTCCGATAAGCACGTTCTTGCAATCGCTGGCGCCCCGTCCCCATACCCAGGTCCCGTCGAAGAACCCCGCGAAAGGCGGGTGCGTCCAATCCCGGGGATCGTTGATGGGCACGACGTCTTGGTGGGCTGTGAAGAGGAGGGGTTTTAGGGTGGGATCGGTGCCGGGGAGGGTGTAGAGAAGACCTAGGCGGTTTATGTGGGATACATTTGCCTTTGCGTGGCTGTTCATGTTTTATTTAGGTGGTTAGTTAGCTGTATGCTAGCTAGGCTACATGGGTAGAATAAATGTTCCGGTAGATCCAAGGTAGATGTGATTACATACGTAACAGGAAAAAGCCGTTCCAACAGCTCCTGGAACTCGACGAACGGGGCGAATCCCTCATCGTACGGATCTCGCATGTAATCTGTCACTGTTGTGGGGACTTGTACGGCTCTCGAGAGGCGGTTTGCCTGGCGGGCGCGGAAGGCGTTGTCTTCGAGGAATCGGAGGCTGGGGAGGAGACCATCGTTTGGTGGGGTAATTTTGGGGGCTAAGGGGCAGATTTCAAGGTCGGAGGGGACGAGGATTTGCTGGGAGGAAGTAGTAGTAGTAAATGGGAATGGGATGGTGAGGGATGATGCTGTTAGTGGAGTGAGGAGGAGGGCGAGGAGGGGGGTCTTTGGGTGCATTTTCTTTCTTCTTCTTGGTCTTATTTTATTCCCATGTATGTATGTTCAGATGAGGTATGTATATATGGGATAGAATTGAGAGAAACTGAGTTGAGCTAGGAGGATCTAGCTAGAATATATTGAATTGATCTTATCTCGACATTTGTCGCCATTTCCGTCCGTGATTACCATTTGTCCATCTCCGCATCCTTCTCCGCTTGCTGCCTCGGATAAAGATCAACCCTCAATGGTGCAATCGCCGATAAGAGCGGAGTCACCCGCCTTTAGTCGGCAGATAACTTGCCCGTCTGGGAAGGTCAAAGCCGGGCTGGCTTGCGGTGACAGAAGCCTGGCTTTTGGAGACTTGGAGGTTGTTCTCTGTTTAATCCGGAGAGTTAGCTTCTCGGTGGGAGACCGAGTTGACTTGGAGACTCGACTCGTCCAACGGACCGAACCCGCGTTGGATTGGGTTGGTGTGATGGGCTCTTGGCTTTGTCTTAGATGAGGGCCCTGTCCACGTCAATCGTGTTCGTGTTGAAGTGGGTTTGCGTCACTATATTTGGCGTGACTATGGATGCATGCTCTGTTTGGAGTCTGGTTTTCCAGGTCTAGACATAACATAACATACCTTATTGACCTGTACGGGCTCAATGAGGGGGCAACGAGGGGTACTGCAGGCTGGCAATTTTTCTAGAAGCGCCATGGAACAGCCCGATATGCGGTGTTGCATTAATTTTAGGAAGGAAGGGATGGCGCTCGTGGCCTCAGAGCCATGAGAATGGACTGCAACCCTTTATTCCTGTAGGGGGTTTGATTTGGAATTGAGGGGTGAAGGGAGTATCCATGTCTTGGGGGCGCGGGGGGGGGGGGGGGGGGTCGGATAGTTGACCGGATGAGTCTGATAGAGCTTTTCAGCTGGAATGAGACAAGATGACCTGTGAGAATTGGCTTGCTGAAGGGAGGTCATGAAATCCGTCAGTTTTGCTGATGCTACGAAGTTCCGATGGTTGAACAAGGGCTGTGGTGATCAGGTGCCGGTCTCGTGACAGCATGAATCAAAAGGAACCAAACTTTCAAAACAACCATAAACTAATAAACTCATCTTCACAAATTCATCGTCAACATTATTTCCCCTTTTACACCTGACAGATAGGATTTCCGGGTTCTTCAAGGCCCTAAGGTATTTGCACCCCCCTCCACGTCCCAGGAAAATAAGACAGGGTGCCCAATGAGGCGTGTCCCTGTCTCTCCCCGGGCATGCGCCTCCAAACAACCAAAACATAATAATCGATAGTCACTCGCGTGGTGGTCTCAGAAAGCAATAGCGCGGTCGATCCATGACATCACAGCAGGGGCATTCTCACTGGCAAGAGTGGAAACAAGTTGGCCCTACGCTAAATTGCCCGAACCACAGCTAAGCGACATGAACGGCGATGAAACTCACGTAAGGGATTGGCTGAAACTCCTTCCTGGGCGGGGAGTTTCAGCAAGTCGATCGACGAGCGAACTGTCGTTCAGAGGAGGGTTCCTGTTACGATCTTCCCGATCGGCATTCTGTTGTTGTGGTTTTATTGCTGAATTTTGCGTCAGATTTTCCCAAGGGGTTGGTTATTGATTTCCGTTTCTTTTTGGCTTTTTTTTATTTTTATTTTGCGCCCTCGCCCGAAGGGATTGGGATATTTCATATTTCAAAGCGTTTTTGCCCCGGACGTGTCTTTTCTTCGTTGCCCTCTTTGTCAATAAAAATTAGACTATCTTTAACGTTTACTTTCTTGTCTGTTTCATCTGTCGACCGTTCGTTTCCATTTATAAATCTGCCCGGCGCCGAAACGACCTCAAACAAAATCACAAAAAAAGGGAAAAGAAAAAGAGGCATATATAGACGCAGCAGTCACATTCACTTTCTTCTTCAGCACCATCAACAAGGCAGAATGACCAGAAACATCCTCATCCTTTCCCTTCTGTCGCTTGCACCGGCCCTCGCCTTATCCTCAGATACCAGCTGCTACAATGACGTGGGTAGCCTTTCCGCCTCTCATTCAACGGCCTACCAATCCGTTGCGATGTGCGAGCAATTCTGCCATGCAGACAAGAAGCTTGTCTACGCCGTGCAAGGCGAGCGATGCTACTGCGGCGACGAACTTCCCCCCGCCTCAGCACAAGTATCCAACAAAGAATGCAGCATCCGGTGCCCCGGATATCCCTCCGAAAGGTGTAAGTCATGCCATCCCAACCACCCTTCACGACCACCTACTCACAAAGCCCCCTACAGGCGGAGGCCCCAACACCTGGACAGTAGTCACGCACTCCAACGGAGAGCCCAGATCCGTAGACTCTAATAACGGCATCGTCACGGCCCCGGATGAGGACGGCGCGTCTGATCCCCTGGCTACCCTGAGCGTGAACCCGACGATGGTGAAGACGGCTACGGGGACCGATGCACCCAAGACATCTATCCCTAGTAGTATCTTGACCGCGCCGTCGGCGGCGGCTGATCCAAATCAGGGGGATGCGGAGGCTTCGCCTTCGACTTCGTTGTCGTTTGCGACATCTGCGGCTACGGCTAAGGCTTCGGGGTCGCCGTCGTCGCCTTCTTTTACCCCGTCTGCGACGGCGACTGGAGCTGCTGCTGGTCGGCCGGTGCTTGCCGCGTCGCTGGTTGGGGTGATGTTGGCTCCGCTTGCTGTGAATTGGCTGTAGATGGTGTGGTGTACCGGGTCGAGGACGATGACGGTTGGATGTGTATAGAGTGATGTGATTGTTTTGTCTATATGGTGGCTGGGCGCTAGATGCTCGGTATGTGCGACACTGGATGATTGCCTAGATTGATTACTTTCATCTACGCATGGCTTGTAGCTATTGAACTCGAATTGCTGGTCGATTCGGTGCCTGTACTGCGGTATAGTACTGGGTTGTTGCGCACGTTAGATACCCGATCCGCTGGCTATAATCATAATATTGTTGAACAATATCATTCGAGAAGATAACAATTAAGTCTATTAATGTAAGGACCATAGCCCAATAAAGTTAAGGCTAGAATGGGGAAACATAACCATCATTTAACCAATATACTCAAATAGAGCGCATATAAAGGGGTATCTCTCAACTCCGGCTATACAGGCAAGTGAAACGCGCAACGATCAAGCAAGGGCGTTGAATCATTCGTCATTCTGCTCCCTCGACGCTCGGGATACGTCAATACCTCGTTTCAAGAGCATGGCGACGTCTTTTTCTTTCATGGTAACATATTTGAAATGCCTAGGGAGAGGCTTTTGTTCTCTGTTCCTCGTTAGTGAATTAGACTCACGGGGTAGAGTGAAGCGAAGAGGTAACGCACCGAAGAAATTTGATCTTCAAATTTCTCGCTCTATCTTTCAGCTGAACTTGGCCTCGGCCCTCAATTCGGGATTCGCCTTTTAGCACTGACTGAGCCTCATTTTTCTGAGCGATCTTGCACCACCCAGAGCCCTTGGGTCCCCCCAGATCGGTTTCCTCAATCAACCGGATCAGGCGCGCGTCTTCGGACGGTGTCCATCGCATCTGCGCCTTAGTCGAAGTGACAGTGTGCCTGGCACTGGATGATACGGGGACCGGCGCTGGACTTTTGCTCTTAGACGCTGCATCAGGTGATTCAGGAACGGTAGTGGAGCGTGTGGTTTCTTCTAGGCCGTCCTGTAATTGAGCTGCTGACTCATCTTCATTCTCTCTAACTTTTTGGCGCTTCGATTGGGGCTGTTTCGGTTTCTCTGCGCGCTTGCGTGCGATATCGACGGAGCGGTTGTAGTTGCTGAATTCCTCGTCGCTTTCGTCCTCGTCCTGGTCTTCTGATTCGCTGCGTCTCCGTTTCTTGGACGGGCGTTCGTTGCGGCGCCTTTCAACGCTTCGATCGTTTCCATGGCTGATTGGTGAAACGCGGTGTGCATTCGTCTGGCGGTCGATAAATGCTGCGCGATCGGACCGTTGACGTTTCCTAGAAGGTCCTGGAGAGCCGTCGGCCATGGCTGCTTTCCACAAATCCAGGCTTGAGGGTATCAGACGGGAGGCATTGCTAGCCTGCGTGGAGGTCGTCTCTCGGCGCAACTGAGATGCGAAGAGCCTGCTCCGTACAGGACTGACCGTCTCGTGGCGGGGCTCGCGTGAGTTACGGACCATGACAGGACTGCGCGATTTTTCTAACTGTGAGCGCTCGCCAACAAACAGCTCAGATTCATCGTCCAAGGTAAACTCCGGTTCGTCATGGAGCAGAGTCGGGGATGCGTCGCGGGAAGCCGGTACTTCAGTGGTTTCTTCCGGCGATGAAGGTCTCGCTTGCCGAGGTGCAGGTAGTGTTTGGCGCCGAAGCTGGGATTCCTCAGGTACAGTTTGTGAGCCCGGCCTCACAACGACGTCAGATTGTCGACGCGCCCGTCTCTGCTTCATCCGTTCTATAGACGCTTCGTTCAGGAAGAACCTTTAAACGTTAGTCAGCTGTTTGGCTTCGAACTATATCATTGACTTACGGCTTCCCAGACTTTCTCCGTTCTTTGGGCTCAACGACGGTCGGTATCTCTCTTTGAGTCTCAGAAGGAATCGCAGAATCTCTTCGGCTGTCAACAGGCGCGACCGTACCCCGTTCGCTTCTTTCTTCCGTACGCCGGGGTGTAAATTCAGAGCGTGCCGCCACGCTGCTCAGACTGCGACGGTCCTTTTTCGGTTCGGCAAAGAACTTTTCGCGCATATCTTCTGCACTCTGCTGGCGCTTCAGGTTTTGGTTGATTTCCTCACATCGTTTGCGGACCCATTGAGATGCTCGCGAAAGAAATTTCTGCCAGCTAAAATAGCGTTTCAGCACCTCGATACCATCTTCATGCTCTAATAAGGTGTCACGCATATCCTCGAAACGACTGTATGCCGTGTCTTTGAAAGGGTCGGGAAGGTACCCGTCTGCACCGCCCAGCTTGTCCGGGTTAAACCCACGAAGGGGCCCATCGCTGCTCTCCAAATCTTCGCCGGAAGATGCGATCAGGAAGAAACCATCTTGCAGAATAGCATGGGGATCAAAGTCATGGCTATTTTGGTGCTCCTCCAGCTGCATGATCAAGGACCGGGTGCGAATCTCTAAGGCAAGAGCAAACGTGTCCCTTTCAAGCGCGCTTTTCCCAACGGTACCGCGCTGGCCATCACGGACGAGATCATTCATAAAAGGTAATGGAAATAGACTTTCCAAATTTCTGATTGCCTGATTGGTTGAATCTCCACTAGCCAGAAGCACTTCCAGTGCAAAGCGAGCACAATTAGCGCGATGGAGGATAGGCTCAGGGCTCCAGTTCGGCTCGACTCCGTCTTTGCTGGCCAAGCGTGACGAAATCAAATTGCTAGTTTGCAAGACATCAATATACGTTTTACCTCCAAAGTTTCTGGCTTCTTCCTTCAACTTCATTTTCGAACGGGTAAGACGTTTGCTTTGGGTGTTTCTAGGATCCGCAAGTCGCTTCACCATGCTGAGCATACTGGCTTGATCCGCAGAATCCTGGAGTAGGAAATCCAGGACGTTCATCGCAACCCTCTCCAAATCTGGCAGGGCCTCGAGCATCAGTTCCGGGTCGAGGGCATCCTCGGACTCCGGATCAAATTCTGGCTCCAGAATGGTGGTACCCGACATGGAGATGTTGTGCGCATCTTCCGGGGATTCAGGGATTACCTGGCTAGCACGAAACCCCGACTTAATAGATGATTTTAAGGGTGATTCTTCGACGACGACGCCCAAGCCTATGATGGAGATATAAGTTCCTGTCTAAAGGAAGGCACACTCCAGGTATCCTTCATACTGAAGGGCAGCACAAAACACAACGAACATATGAATCCACAGCTATGTGCAACCCAACAGCCCCCAACGAAAAGAATCAAAACTTAATACGGGAAAACGAAAACGATTTTTCTTTACTCTATATTCTCATTCTCAAAAAATCAACTGTACTGACCATTTCGCCCCTTATTCTTCCATCCTTTCTTCCTGCCTTCGGGAGAGGATTGGCCGGCAGGTACCATATACTGCTGAGCCTCGATTTCCCGACTCTGACTTCTTGTCCATCGTCTCTGAGGCGGACTCCCCTTCAGGGTTGAGAGGTCGCCCTGCGTGGTAGCAGCACGCGCAGTAGATCGTGGCATATGGAAAGGCGGTCAGCTAAGCGGACTCCACCTCCAGCTCACTTTGTAGCAAGTTCAGAGCGTGATACGGGACCCGAACAGGTGCGATTCAGGGAGTAATAACGATGATACAATGAATGAGAATCGATGGTGGATGACGGGCCTGTGGTGATGGGACTGGGGGGAGAAAACAAAGCGCGTCGAAGTGAAAGCGAAGTGGCGCTGTCTCGGTTTCTTAGGGTGTTCTTATGTAATCGCCATAGTTGCCTGATAGTGGCCTGATATCACAAACCCTAAAACAAACCCTAATGCAACACCCTAATCGTAATGCTAATGCTATTGGGAACACTAAATGGTCTCTGCCGATCGCCTGCCCTGCATTTCGTGCCAAGGTGTGGTTTGTTGAGGTTAATGATATACATTTCGGTAGTCGATGGACACTTGCACCCGTGTATGTACACAGAAGTTCACCAATAGGATTGTCTTTTCCTCCATAGGTCGTGATGGACACCGGGATATAACTGACCATATCCTGTAAATTGTCTTATCATCTATCATATTCCAATGACTTTCCGTAGACTATACCATGCCTAGCCCTTAAATGAACCTCATCTCGATGTCTATCCAAGACACTCATCCTCCTTCAACACCCGCTTCGAAACCAGCGGACTCCCCTTCAGAATCGTCTCGAAATCATGGGCATCAAGACAAGCCTGTCTCGAGTTCAGGACAGAAGTCTCCGCCCGCGCAAAGCTATCTCGTTCATACGCAGCAACCGACGATTGAAGAGTCTCCAGCGTACAAGACCTATATACCTCACCATTAGCACACCACCTCATCCATAGGCATAGAAGTATAATCAGAGCAGGTATGTAAAAAAGAAGCCCATACTCCACAGCCCTAAAATTAACCCTCTTAACCAAATCCTGCACATCCACAATCGCATTATTCGCCCCTTCACCCCTAACTGTATATCCGTTGTTAGCACAAACCCACTGGCCTACCACACCTCATCCCTCCACAAAAAAAAAAAAAAGAAAAGAAAAGGAAAACAAACACATAGTCATGGTATGCGCCGAATCCCCTACAAGCACAACCCGAGGATGCTCCCTCGACTTCTCGGGCGCGAAAATCCAATCCGCGACCCGAATCGACACTACCTCTGTCGTATCGGGGACCTGGTGGATCAAAGACTTGAAGGGATCGGCCCAGTTCTCTGTTAGGGATTTCATCAGGGCGATGCGCTCTGCGTTTGAAGCTGGGACATCGATGGCCTTTGATTCGGCCCAAGAGACGATGAGTTGGCAGTGGTATTTGTTTGTGCTGTCGGAGAAGTTATTGGGTGTGTCGAGGACTATATTCCTTTCTGGTTAGTATGTTGGGATGCTTGATGGGGAGAGGGGACAGGTACAGCTGAAGAAGAGATAGACGTTGGTGTCCGGGTGAGCGCCCTGGAAGATGAAAGGGTCGATATTCTGGGCGCCGTGCATCTCATCCGGGGAGTAGAGGGCTGTTGCGCCGAGGAGCTGGACGGGCAAGGTGTTCATTTCGTGATCGTTTGGGTAAAGGATTTGGCGCGTGAGAGAGCGCGATCCGTCACAGCTGAGAAGGATACGGCCTGTATATGAGGAGCCATCTTCGAAATGGGCCGTAATGGCGTCGGGGGAGGATTCGATGTCCTTGAGAGATTTGTTCCACTGTTGTGTATGACTGGTTACGATTTGTTGGCACGGTGAGTTGGGAACGTCTCACCTGGACTTCGATCCCCGTCGTCAACAACTGGCGCAGTCTCACCCGACTCACGCGGATTCGTTCCGCCGCAGGGACACTATATAGCGCTTCGCCGGACTTCAGATCGAAGAATTGGTACCGGCCGGTATCGCCGCGCGCTGCAGCTTCTTTGTTCACGTATGTCTCGGGGAGTCGGGCGACTAGCTCAGCTGGTAGTAATTGTCGCAATGCCGGTAGTGCCCAGTGTAGGGTAAGGCCCCATCCGCCGCTCCGTGCATCGACTGCCGGGTCGCGCTCGAAGATCTGGAATGGAACGCCTGAGGTTTTGAGATACTGGGCTAGGATCAGGCCGCTGATGCCGGCGCCGATGATGAGCACGGAGGGTTGTTCGTCGGCCATTGTTGAGGGATGTTCTTTTATCAATCAAGTGCAGGCAAAGTGGGATATTCCACTGATACTTTTTTTTTTTCCTTTTCTTTTTCTTAATTTACTAGTTGGTGGGGAGGGAGGGGGAGGGGATAGATTGGTCTCGTTGGATGGTGCGATATGGACATACAAGGTGGGCCCCTCTTTTTTTTTGAAGAAGGCAGATCCTGGCCTATAGTAGATTTCTCCGGGCCATAGTGCTATTGGGGGGTAATATCGCGAGAGTTTAATGAAGATTTGAGTTATATCCCCGGGTTGTGGATTGGCTGGAGACATGGAGGTTAAATTGACCGTCTCCACCACGTTAAGATAATTAAGCAACCCTAGATAACCCAATGGGTTCACCAACGCTGATTCCTTGCCATCATTGGTGAATCCTCGTATTCTGGTCGTCTGATGGATTCTTGAGGATCTCGCGAATCCCCTCCCGTGTGACCTTGAGTGTGGCACTCCACGGATACACTCGGAGTCAATCAATATCGGCTCACTTTGACACATATTCCAGCATCAGACCGACTAGCGCTTACGCACGGAGAAAGAAACTCTCTTCCTCCAAGACCTAGCTCTCTCTACATGCTAAATATAAGCCAAATGAAATAAAGAAACTAAATTAACCTCTTCTAAACTCTGGACGCCTTCCGCTCCAACGAAACCCGCAACTCCACAGTCATCTCAATTCCCCCATGACCAGGTCGCCCATCCAACATCAACTCCTCACTAGGTGAGCGCCTCAGATGCACCGGCGCCGACGCAGGCAATCGCAGCTGAGATCGCGGATCCTTCCATGACTCCAATGTGTATCTCCATTGGCTCTCGTACGGATTACTATTAGATCGGGAATCTCGCACTAGGCCCTTAAGTAGTGGAGTCAAGTAGGGGATACAAGTGATAATATTCTAGAAGCTTGTTAGCCCAGTAATTGGTCATAATTTGCGGTTGCGTCTGCGTTTGCGTCTGCGTTTGCGATTGCTTCTTTCCCTTCCCTTTTTCTTTTTTTGTGAGGGTCCTTGGTAGATCCCTCTAGATGAATTACAGTACTTACGCCCACATTAAACTCGATAGTCCCCCAGAGGACCAGCGCAGTGGAATTCCCGTCTCCGTAGGCCACGCGGTGAATCTGTGTTAATCGCATGATCGAGCAAATAGTCGTGAAGAGGCCCAGGAGGAAGAGACACACGACGCCGGCTTTCTGGGCCGGTTTGATCTTGAGTCGGAGGAGGAGTGGGATCGGCAGGAAGATAACAGCGATGTCGCAGATGATGGTGAAGATGGCGAGGCCGTAGAAGTTGTCGCCGATGGGAAGGCAGGTGCCTGTGATATTCGTGCGCCAAGCGAGTTCGACCTGATGTTCTGTTAGTACTAGTGATTCCTCTTGGTCAGGATCAGGGGGCTTACCGGGCGACAGTTGAAGATCAGAGTGCAGGCCCCGGCGATATGGCCGAGGGTGGAGATGATGACTACGGTCCAAATGAGGCTGCGGTAGAGAGACATGGATGTTTTGGAGAGCAAGCGGAGGTAGCTAAGACAGAGGGAGGCTTTAAAGCCGGCGATTCCGACCTGGTAGAAGGGACGGCCGGCGTAGTTGAGCTGGTCACTGTTAGATTGTGAGTTGTGACAGTGCATGGGTCTAATTCTACTGTTCAATACCTTTTTGTATGTTGGGAGGTTTTCTTTCGGGCGCAGGTTGAGTGGAAGTCCCAGACCGTATTTGCTTTCTGCGGATGTGAGTTCCTCGTCTGGATTCTAAGGTAGTGACTTACGGGCGATACATAGCGCGCTATAGATGACGCTAAAGAGCTGAGATGGATTAGAGTCGCCTTCTTCGATTCTCCGCTTCCTCGATAAAGAATGTCACTCACCATGCTCATCCCCATCACATAATCTGCAGCGCCCAGCCGACGAGCATGAATCCGAAGCCCGAGACGCAGGGAGACAGTGATGACCATCAGCAGGGTTAGACTAAGACAGACGCCCAGAATCTCGCGATATTGAGACTGGGCTTCGACATCGGGAGAGGCATGGTACACCCAGCCCATAGTTTATCCAAAGCATAGGAAAGTCGCCAGATAGATGCAAACGAGACCTAAGGAAGACCAAAGACGCCCGAATTGATATTTTTAAACGCCAGATGCCTCCTGCATGATGATCTGTATCCTAACACAAATAGTTACGCCTCTTTTCGCTATTATTATTACTTCAGCCAACCTCTTCCAGCCATCATTCCAGAGCAAGGGTGTGAGACATTTGGCGTAACCTCGTGTAGTCGTCTGGAATGGGCATTCGAGCGGGATAAAAAGCAAACAAATAGAATTCATTTAAATTGCAACCAATCCTTCCAAAAATTAACCATAATTAAACTACTCGGACAAGCAGAGCTTGTTTAGCAAAAGAGAAAAATCTCCACCACGCCACCGCACACTAAAGCAGCAGTCCCTTTAGGGCAAGAGGCAAGCAACCAACCATCTAGAAATGGGGAGAATTATCATTTTCTTCAAACTATAGCTAAGTCAAATAAATGAAATTAAACTTCAAATAGAGTTCTCGTGTCGGAGATTTTTTAGCTGGCAACTCCTGGCTTTTCTTTTCTTCTTCGTGTCCCGCCTGCGCCCTTTCTTCCTTACCCTTTTTTTGCTGTCACTGCGTGGAATGTTTGTTACCTAGTCTTGTGCTCTGTGAACATCTCTTTTCTTTTCTTTTCTTTTCTTTTTGTTGGAACCCAACCCCTCAGGCTCTACATGGGCAAGAAACACTCCGATGCCGTGGCGCACGCCATCCCTGCGAACCGAATCGACGATGCTGCTGAGTATCTGAACGGGCATGCCGGTGCAGCAGACGCCCAGGGGGTGGACATGGGCGCGCTCCGGCGCAAGATCGACTGCCGCATTATCCCGTTCATGTTCTGCTGCTACGTGCTGCAATTCCTCGACAAAGTGATGCTCAACGTACGTGAGCCCCGCTTAACCCTAACACGGGGACTAGACGTGACTAAACACAATCTAAGGGTGTAGTATGCGGCCGTGATGGGATTAAAGAACGATCTCAATCTAGTAGGCAATGATTTCTCGAATACCGCGACATGGTTCTTTATTGCGTATCTGATCGCCGAGGTTCCGAATGGTACATATCCTACCTATTCCCTGTCCTCATATAATCCCATACATAAACTGAGCCACTGATATGTGTGTGAACAAAAGTATACTTGCTTCAAAAGATCCCCGCCGCAAAATGGCTCGGCATTAACGTTACTCTCTGGGGCATCGCGGCAGCAGCCTCCGCCGGCGCCCATGACTACCGCAGTTTACTAGTAGCTCGGATCTTCTTGGGGCTGTTTGAAGCTACCATCGGGCCCTCATTAATGCTCCTGAGCAGCCAGTTCTATACACGCAGCGAACAAGCGCCGCGATTCACGTTCTGGTACGTCGGACTTGGCGTGGCGCAGATCCTCGGAGGGATTATTTCCTTCGCGTTCCAGCAGGTGCACAACTCGTTCGCTGGGTGGCGGATTATGTTCCTTGTTCTGGGACTAATCACGTCGCTTGTGGGGGGGTTGACGATGCTTTTCATTCCTGATACGCCGATGAAGGCGCGGTGGTTGAGCGAAGGCGAGAAGGTTGCGCTGTTGCGACATGTCAGTGTCAATCAGACGGGGGTGTGGAGCAGTCGGGTGGACGTGAGGCAGATTTGGGAGGCGGTTTGGGACGTGCAGTTATGGCTTCTGACGCTAACTACAATATGCGTAGGTACTTTTAGCTGATTCATTGCGGAAAAGAAGCTAATCCAAGGATTATTATACATTGATAGACATCCGTGTCCTCGGGCGTGGTCACGACGTACTCCGCAACCCTAATCAACGGCTTTGGCTTCACGCCGCCGCACTCGGCTCTGCTGAACACGCCTTCGGGAATCATAAGTATCTTCTTCACGCTGGCTGTCGGGATTGGCATTCGCAAGACTTCCCACCGCTGGGCCTGGTTCATCTTCTGCACTATCCCTGGAATCGTCGGTGGGGCGCTCATTGCGTTCTTACCGAAGCATGATAAGGCCGGGGTCCTGATTGGCATTTACCTCGTCAATGCTATCGTCGCGACCCTTCCTATTCTGTATCAGTGGACGATGGCCAATTGTGCAGGACACACGAAGCGCGCGTTCGCCAGTGCATTGGTGGCTGGGTCGTTCTCGGTAGGCAATATTATCGGACCGCAGACGTTCCAGGCGAGAGATGCGCCCGGATATCGGCCAGCGAAGATCGCCGTGTTGGCGACGCAGGCCGCCGCGGGGGCGTTGACGTTTGTGCTGTTCTTGTATTATGTGTGGGAGAATCGTAGAAGGGCACAGGCAGCGGGCGAGGGCGAAGGCGAGGTTATTGATGAGACGAAGTGGGCAGGGTTGACCGATAGGGAGAACCGATGGTTTCGTTATGTTTATTAGGATTCTCTCTTAAGGGAGGACTCTTGGTTGGAATGTCAATAAGATAGTGGATGTATATAGAAGGTTCCGGTATTTGCCTCGATCCATTTTGATATTGAAAAGTAATAAAACATCAGACTCATGAACTCATGGAAGGTGCTTTTTCATTAAAACGTAGTAGATGTCGAGCGCCCAACATCGCAACGCGCTCAAGGATTCGAAAAATATATGTTACATGAGAAGGTCCCAAACACATTAAGCAAGAGCAAAAGGAGATGGTCTAATAAAGTCCCTCAATCAAGTAGATGGCTCCGAAGACCAAGAAAGCGACGGCGCCGCCAAGAGTCACTGTCATCACGTTAGCCAATGTTTCCAAAACCAAAGCAGGAGCGCATGTACTTACCGACACGCATACTGACACGACCTGCAATGGCACTTCCTCCAATCACAGCCGCCGCAGTGCAAAGGCCGTGTCCAGAGATCGCACCGACCGTCACCCACCAATAATCTTGTCCCGCAGCCATGGCGATGGTCGCGATCTGACTGCGGTCACCCCACTCTCCGAGGAACGTCATGACGAATGTCTGCACCCACGCGGGGCTGAGAAGGAGCGAGAAGAGATTGTTCATGCCAGAGAGGATGCTATCTAACTGACGGCCCCGCGACGGGGAAGACCCCCGAGATGAGGAAGAGGACAGGCTCTCGGGCGGGGAAGGTAGACGGTTGCTCGCCGAACGAGACTTGCCGCGTCCGGCACGGCCAGCCTCTAGAGAATGGGGGGTCACCGAAGAGCGACGTCGACTCTTGCGGAGTTGTTCCTGTTCCTTTTCTTCCAATTCCATCTCCACTTCCTTCATTTCCTCGCCAACACCTTCGTCAGGCGACATCTCCCGGCCCTCCTTGAGCAGTTTCAGTCCAAAGACGAAAAAGAGGCCAGCAGCCAGTAACTTGGTCAGCGACTTGGGAATCAGAGTGGGCACAGCATGTCCAAGAATGGCAGAAAGCACAGTCATGACAAACAGCGCGGCGAAGGCGGCGGAGAAGACGAGGAGACGTGGGTGCCGCATGGCCATCAAAGCTGCCACCAAGAAAGTCTTGTCACCAATTTCGGAAACCACGATCATGGTAAACGAGACGATGAGCGAGTGCAGTACATCCACAGGCTCTTCGGGCGTGGCGGAGGTTTTGCCGGTAGAACCCGTGGGAGGATTGAGGCCGAGGGGGTCTTCTTTCACAGGAGCTGGGGATTTGGGATGAGGGATGTCGTGAGGCTTTTCCGGCAAATCGGCGGGCTTCTAGAATTCAGATTAGCTATTATGCAGACGCTAGTCAAGAGCTGATTGATTATACCTCGAGGACGCCCAGATTGGAATCGGAGGCTTTCCCTTCCTTGTCCTCCGACGAAGGAACCTTCTTTTGTTCACTATGAGGCAAAGGAGGAGCCTCCTTAGGGCTACCCGGTACTTTCTCTCCTGATTGTTGGCTGCCCTTGAGCTTCTCCGACACTCCGCCCTCTGTTCCACGCGTGCCCTCTTTCGGGCCGGTGCGATTAGGGTCATCCATAACCCCATCGTTCGAGTGGGGAATACGCTTTCCATCTGGACCGACCTGATCCGCTGACTTGGTGTCTGTTCTTTCCTCCGATGTTCTGGCGGTGCCTGTCTTCTTGCGATCGCGTTCCGCATTGGTCTCGACCCAAGGACCGGCGTGGGGCCGGCCGTCCTTGCCATCCACCGGGGCGTCCAGTGTCCCTTTAGGAGAGACCTTGGGAGCAGCAAGTCCGTCTACGGCGGAATTTGCGGTTGCGGCATCGCGCTCAGCAACGGTCGGGTTGAGCGCAGTGGAGGGAACCGGGGCGATGTCCCCTAAGGCTGTCGCAATGGCGGGTAGGAGGAAGAGAAGAAACGACGAGGAGAAGCGCTGGACCTTCATGATAAAAATGCGGGGGGTTTCAATCTCAAGGGAATTATGATTTGGTCAACATTCACAGGCTCAAGCCCATGAAGGGGCAATAAGTCGATTGATTCTATGACGGACGGCGGTCTATAGATGAGATCGTAAGCGGGTTATTGTTCTGACGGGAAGATCGTAAAAGACGAGAAATTCTAAAACGAAGGAGCGACAAAGAAAGAGAGATCACGAAAGAAAAGAAAAGAGGAACGAAGAGAAGGGAAGACGCAACGTAACGTAAGAGAATCCGGATCAATTAATTGTAAGGATTCCTTCCGTTATGGCCGCAAAGGGGCTCCACATCACGTGGTAGGGCTGGTTGCGGATGAGGGTTAGATCACGTGATATTACGTCCCCAATGCAAAGCAGGCAAACAACATTCCCCACATTCGGCAGCCAGGCACATGATTCCACATGACCTAAATCTTTCTACATCTACTGGCTACTGGTATCAGTCATGAAAATGCAGGGGAAAGCAAAGGGATAAAAGAGGAAAAGAAGAGACATGAAACGGTTGATCGGCAACAACACTCGTCATGGTCTTCTTAGCTTCATCTAGTTTCTCACTATTTTTATCCTGCCAAGAGGGCCCACCCCACCGTATGACACGTCGTTCCTCGCTCATTAGGATACTGGTTAATATCATGGTATAAGGGGGAATGGGTTGCGTCTCTGTCACTCTTTGCGACATGGATATGTATCATAAACCAGCGGACTTAAGGGAAATTTCAAAACGTTGTTGACATTTTTGGCCTACATCAGCAAGACAGGAAGCATAATTGGGTGTGCGGAATGCTGACGCTCGTTCAGTCACTATCTCAACACTTTGATGATGGATAACGGTATACGGAAACATTTTCAAGGTCGTGTGGGTGAAGATGCCGAGAGTAGGTAATATTAACATCAATTGTTTCGCTACAACAGCTTATTCCCATACAGGGACAATTGAAGCTCGTCTGAATCTACCTCTCCAACATGCATACTCTAATGCAGTGCGTGTCTAGGGTTTTAGCCACCTGCATTCTATATAGGTTAAAGTATTTTGTCATCCCAAAGAAAAGTTCGGTTAGTATTGGTCATAGAAAGGGGGGGGGGAAGCCTAATTCATTTCATATATACACTGCTATCAACCATCCCCTGAGCGCCCCCTCCAGAAACTCGATAAATCACCAGTCCTTGCTATGGCTATAACTAGAAAGTCTAAGAGCAGTTGCTTCCGCCGTAGATGAAAGTTCCATCGGAGTTCTCGCAGCCACAAGTGCCATCCTTAGGGCTCTTGATGCAGGTAGTTCCGACACCGGATGACTCTCCGTTGTCACTGTGCGCAGAGCTCGATCAGTATGCCATTCCATATATAATGCATACACATATGCATGTGTGGCCCCATAGCAGTGTAGCACTTACTTCCAGAAGAAGGTCCAGCAATCGTCGTCCGATTTCGTCATCTCAGCATCCGTTGGCGCAGTGCAGGTGTATGCCTTACATGTTCCATAGGGGGCACCGTGGGAGGAGTCGTACTGGTGGTCGGTCTCGAAGACGGCGAAGGTTTGCGCCTCTGTCACTAACATTAGTATTCTGTAAGAAGCGGTAAATGAGCAAGAAAGACAAAGGGAGGAAACTACTGGAGGTTCTCGTGTTGTAGGCGCACTCAGCAGCCTGGATGGCAGTGGAAGTCTTTGCAGCTATTTACTTTGTGAGTACGATGAAAGTTTTTGGGGTGGACAATAACACATACGACTGCAGTTGACAGTGCCGGGGCACTTGCCCTTGGTGTTCGAGGAGGCTGGGTCAAGGGTGGCGGCCGCCAGAGAGGCGCCGAAGATAAGAGCAACAAATGATGTAGCGGAGACCATATTGAAAGTTTGCTATTAGAGTGTGCTACTGAAAGAACAAATACAAGAGAGAACTTCCGGCGCTTTTTATATCTGGAATACATGGGATGCTTGGACGGAGTACTGTAGCTATTTGATTCAAGTAAGTCACGATGAAACTACGGGGTAGACTGTTTCATGAGAGTGGATCATACCGATCGTTCTAGAATTGGGCTAATCCCGAAGGTCACCCGGAAGATTAGAGTCAGGAGAGCTTGATTTAATTAAAGAAGATCCACTTGGTTCTAGCTATGAGATTAGACGTACGGAGTACGGGGTGTGGCACTGTAGTCAGGCTACACCAGTGCAGACGTAATCAGAGATCGACGCAGCCTGAATAGACTCGGTTTACCGTTCAATCGATTTTATTGAATAGAAAACCGACAGGTCCCAGAATCTCGTAAGTGTTTGCCTATCTGGAGCGGACGTTTGTAAAGATAGTCTCGTGGATTCGCGTGATGAGCACCGTTTTGGATATGCCGTAACCCTTAATCCATCTCCCCATAGTATCGAACTACCCAATGGCTGATATCTAAACTATCCTTAATAAACGGTTAAACCCACTAAATAGGAGGTCGTCCTGCAAGATATGTTTCACATGTGGGGGTTGCTAGTGATTTTTGGGAATGTTATTGGCGGCGCACGGAGACGTCAGCCCACAGCGGCCATGGTTGGACCGTTACTCTAGGAGCTGACTCGTAAGCGGGTATCAAACATGACGAGAGTGTATAAAGCCAGTGAGTCTAGGTTGACATTGGTCAGGAGTGAGGTACTGTGGCTGCGTGATCCTGTTCCATCTTCGGGGATGGAAGGGCGAGTGAATAAACGAGGTACTGAAAACTGGCAGTTGATAATTCTATCCATCGAGCATATTATTTACTTCTTGAGCCTCTAGTATCATAACAGTAATTTCTTTTACTTAAAGAAATTTGGATAGAATATCCCTTCACATCTTTTTATTCAACTGAGACGGTGAAGGGTACTACCCGAGATTTAGGCAGAAGTGAGGTTGTTAAGAATATAAAATCTATCTTGTACGTTCATCAGCCTCATTTCCTCTGTCTCATGAGCCCAGTATCAACTAAATTATCAGTGATTCAAAGAGCCTATTTATACCGTGCTCTACCACACATCTACTGTTCGATTGTACTAATTGACAACTGAACGTGTCAACCAATAAAGGTAGCAGTAGTGTTGAATGTGATGATAATCTAACAGCGAATGGCTTCATGGGTCTGCCGCAAAGAAGATTTCGTGTTAAGTTCAAGCTGTGATAATTAGGCAGGGATATCTCGCTCAAAAAAATATATCTTCTCTGAGGGAAATAGCGACAGAATCACTTCGTGTTGGAAACATTGGCGAAAATAGTTTTTCTTATCATCTGGTTATGAGAACATAGCGCTCTTCCTTCTCACCCAATTTCTTGACGACGTTTATATGCACCTGTTTGTCGGGATCGTAGGTGGAACAATGAAAAACCAACTTCATCGGTTTGGCATCCTCCAACAATTTGGTGGTCCTAGGGGAGGCTCGAACTCTGAGTTATCAAGGCAATCTAAAACACAGCAGTACCATATATAGCAGTTTCTCCCCTTTCAGGGTTAAGTGTTTATTTAATTTATAGAACGCAAGATTGTAATATCTACACTGTTATTATCCTTGATTTTTTTTAATGATATATATGGGCTAAGCCTTTAAAGCCTTGCTGGCTAAGTACAGATGGTTGTCTGTGTTGTGTCAAGTAGCCTCCTCTGGAGACTTGGGAATGGCAGATTGTGAGACTGTGATTGTGATACCGAGGAGAGATGGAGTCATGCGATGTTTTTATGTCTTTATAGAGACACCCCGCGGCCAAGGCCTTTCAGAGGAAGAGGCTATAAGCTACACAGAAACGCCTACGGGCCGCCTTTTAGGGGTAATTGTGTATACTGCGTGTAGGCTATGAAAGTGGGGCTTGAAGCTTTTGCTCCGATGATGGCCAGAGTAGTTAGGAGCCCTCGTTGGTTAAAGTGTGATGTTCCCGAGTCAGCTCTTCAGCTACCAGGTTCACTTCAATCACGATGTCACCGGGGGCTCACTTGTCAGTAGCGCCATGCAACTTCGTTATATGATACCCCTAGCTTCCCAAGATGGCGTCCAACTATACTCTTCGTCATGCTTAGAGCGAGCCTGAGTCATGCCGTGTACTTAATCTTCCTGGAGGCTCTGCCAATCCAATCTTTAGCAGGCCATGTATTGGGGACCATCTGATTTACGATAATGAAGGTTTTCTGAGTGTTAAGATTTTCTGCCTCATTTTATGCCACAATCTCATATACCGTGTTGGTTCTGCTAGACCTTGATAGACCTCTTTCAGCTGATCCTGGCATCTCGATTCGAACATTTCGATTGAACGTAAATATCCCCGGCCACTATCCTCGTTTTCGTTGGCTATGTACTCGTCGAAATTGTGATAGATGGGAAAAATTGGTACTTCAGGAAACACAACTCCCAACAAGCAGCCTTAACAAGAGGGAAGAAGACACATTGTGGGATACAAGCCATAGCGGACGAAGGATCGGTCCTCAAGCCTAACCGCAAACCTCTCAGCCGCCTGCCTTGGTTGCCTTGACTAAAAGGGTCTCTAATTTTCACCTGCCAAGGAGATCCCCTGGATGATATTCCGTAGCCTCTCCAAGGGTTATCATCTCTCAATCATAGAATCTGACGCCAAGCTGATGAGCTTTCTAAGGTAGCCTTTGGGGAAACATAGAAGGCTAGTGACCATTTAAGTATCAACCCACATGATAAATCCAGAGTGGTGCCTGGGAAAGATAGCAGGTCACGCCAACGACTGGGAGAAAAGCACGAGCAGTCACATTCCCAGGAGTTGATAGAATGCGAGAGGCAAATTGATCGCTGGAGGACGACATTAGAGGCGAACAATGAGAGTTCTGCAGAATCGTTCCCTGCCTTTGATGGCCTATACCTACGGTGGCTGTTCAATGGCATGCACTTGTTAGACCACTGCCAATGCATGTAAGGTGACTCAGAAATCAGACTGTGGTCTGGGCTATAGAATGTCCTTAGACACCGCGACCCCCAGCCGAGAAACAAAACCTGGAAAAGCTTTTGGCCCCCAGGTTACTAAATGCTGAGTGGGTCCTACTAGTAACTCCACAATGCATCCCAACAACAGGAAGTGTACGGAGTAGGCTGAGCAGTGTTATTCAGAAGTATTGTCCGATTAGAGATTCTACGCGAAACTAGTAGGATTTAGCTCCCGGCTTTCCCGTGCGGATTCAGCCCCTGACATAGGTGGCGTGGCAAGGCGCTCTGTGAAATATGCTGTGATAGCAGCTATTGGGAGATCATGGACCATATAGAAGGGCCCTTATCCCATTGGCACGGTATGATAGCTAGTAGAAGGCAAATCTCTGAGAGGGTAGGGTGTTCTGGAAGAGTTTAGTATACACAAAATAGATAGGCATGGATAGTCACAACTCAAGATCGAGTATCTCTCAACCAACCCAATTCGGGCCTGTGCGGAAAGGGTCAAGCTTTGATGCCATGCACCAGATATACGCCTTAGCGTACTTCGTAGAGTGGTATGATATAATCCCCATCGATATAGGATGCTGATTTGTCCGTTGTTATATTTGGGCCCGGCCGAGGTGATTCGGCTGTCGGTTACATTTCTTCCGCCACTAGTGCAATATCTTTCTAAATCGTAAAAATTTGTAGGAAATAGCTCGCATGTTGATTGCTTTGAGAGATGTGATAGTAGCTGATAAAGAATAGAGGATATAGGGATAAAGATAGGGACAGATTGTGAAAGAAAGTGCCCCTTTCTTCGGACCTTGAGAGTCTGCGAGCGTACGGTGGGTCGATACCGGTGGCAGTGAGGCAAGTCTATGAACGAATTTAGTATTGATCGGAGCTTTTGACAAGAATGCTCTACAGTTCCATGTATCGGTCCAACGCGGCCTTGATGTAGCCCAATTGTTGGCCAGAGAGTTCTTCCTTTGTCTTGGTCAGTGACTGAGCACTGGGCCAAAGAATTGGATATCCTGCGTGGAGGCCAATTCCACTTGGGGGCGAGAAGCTCGGTTGTAAAGGCTTCGTGCAGATCTGCCTACTCTCCAATATGCTCCCTTTGGGGGCCATTTCGTTGGTGAAGGCGTTGGACTCCAGCCAAAGTCGTGCCCATCCATGGTAGAATAGTGCGACGAAAAGATATAAATACCCCGTGTAGCTCTCCCTTAACGAGCCATTCTGAAATATCAACAAGCCAAACAACTTTTCCTCAACCACCACAGTGCATCTTCAAAAAAATCTTATCCATCATGCGTCTTCACCAAGTCCTGATGTTCGGTGCTGGCCTCATCATGGGGGCTAATGCCTACGAATGTGAGTAAATAATCTATGCAGATTAATCTCGGGTGAGTTATTAACATACTCCTCAGTCACTGTCTACAACAACGTTTTCGACTGCAATGCCAATAAAGATTCCAAATACAAGATCTACGAGGGAAACGCAGACACTTGTATCGCCCTTGGCAAGGCCCCGCCTTCTGACGCTAAATGCTCTCTTTACACCGACGGCGGTTTTGCTGACCCTGCTGCCTGTGGTGATGATGGCTTCTACGGTGACTCTCTCTTCTTCAACTCCCTCAAAACCCAGGTTCTTGGATCCAACACCTGCTGGGAATGCGAGCTCTTCACCGACTGGAGCTGTGAGATTCCGGTGAACCTGCAGACCGATGACAAATGTCAAGCATACGGTGGACACGGCATCGGAGGTGTCAAATGCGTAAGTCCCAAAGTCCCCCGCTAATAATCTCTTCTCTAACGGTTTACTCTCTTTCAGGGCCCAGCCAAGAAGCTTGGCGGCTGCTAGATCTGGACACATTGTTAGAAATCTCGGTAAGGTTTTATGATGTGGCAGTTTGATATGATGTGTTCGATCGGATAGAACGCATGATGAGAATTTGTACAGTGTTGAATGGTAACTACGGTGGGCAAATTGAACTCAATCATTGTAACGATAACTTTTTCTATATCGAAAGTATACCTGCCCCAAGTGATGGCTCTTGAGTTCCAGATATACTCCTGTAGTGCTATAGTCTTGGACTTCGGTAACTCGAGGCGTTTCTAAGGAATCCTTCTTGGAATCCAATGGCGTAGTTTAACGGATAAATCTTATATTGCATTACATGTTTAATTTTTTACCACTAGACCTTTCTCCAAAATCTATTTCATACCTCTGAGAAATTGCATATCAGCTTGCCTACGTCTCTATATCTACATCTTGAGCTTAGTGCCCAGCCCTTTGCCTGACACTGGACAGTGCAGCGACTAGCACCTCGAATACACGAACCGATAACTCTTGCCAAAGCTCTATTATGCATTACTCAAATACCCTACTACCGGTTTATCTATCCAGCCTTGGCCCTTAGCCCTTGGCTACGGACAAAGCCTACGTAAAAACAAAACACAAGCACTGCCCGTGATGGCGATATAATACACGGTATCCCAAGTCCATTTTTGTAAGTTCACAGTCTCTGCACCTATTCTCCCTTTTCTAGCCATTCTTGCATCACGAGTCCCATCCTGCGCCTGTTTCCTCCATACCCCAGCAAACTTCCACTGTACGAAAGGCCCAACTAACGCAACAAGCTGCACAGCAACACAAATCGTGAACGCCGCACCAACACCAACCCCATTAACCATAGGCATAATAAAGCTCGTCCCACTAGCCGCAAACAAGCACCTAGCCAGATTAAGACCCGCACTTGCTACCGCACTCCTACCCGGAAAGATATCGACAAGATAAGTCATAATAACAGACTGCGTAGAAACAGCAGTCCACCCGGTGATAAAAAGTAGACGCGATGGGAACAGCAATATGCACATGATCGGGGTACTGGATGGTCCAACCGAAAAGAATAATCGAGGGACACTGCAAAAGCGAGAACAACGGTACGTGTCGCAGACGGGCCCGTGCAATCGAAAAGTCATCAAAGTCATCTTCACTGCGGGTGCCATCATTCGCTGCTTCAGCGCCAAGCGACGCCTCGTAACTCTGTTTCATGCGCTGATAATCGATATTTAGAATTTTACCCGTGACTAACGTGCAGATCGTGGATCCCACGCCGTTGGCGATAAATGTAAGGCCAATTTGGATTTCGCCGAGGCCATAGCGGTCATTGAAAATCGAGGACATGGCCGTGATGCTCATCTGCGAGACGGCGTAGTAGACGGCCAGGAAGAGGATGATGGGAGTTGCCTGCTTGGTTACGAGCATTCGGAGGGATTCTAGGATGTCGATATTCTTTCTCGCTGCAGGCTGTATTGCTCCGAGTCGTCGTCTTCTGATTTCCATCGGACCTTGGTTGATCTTTGATAGATATTGAGCGGGTATCTGGTCACTGGGTTTGATGGTTTCAGGCTTCCATTTGCGACTTTTGACCAAAGGGTTCTGGGGAGGAGAAGGGCAAGTAGGATGAGGAAGACCCCGCTGTAGATGGCTAAGCACCAAAAGACTGAATGCCATCCTAAGGACCAAGCCAAGGCACCTCCACTTATCGGTCCTGCAGCGACAGGAACGAGTAACCTGCTTGGAAGATACCCATATACCCTTCACGTTCCGCACGCGTGGTGATATCTCCGACAACACCAGATCCAATGGCGATTGTACTGGCACTACCTGTGCTCTGAAGGCATCTTAGAACAACAAGGGCGGCGTAGTTCTTGCGTAATGCGAGGCCAATACATGTGCACAGAAAGACAATGAATGAGTATATGTAAGCAATTCGACGGCCCTTTACGTCGGATACTGGACCCCAGAGACTCAGTGCTAAGCCCTGGATGATAAGGTATGAAGTAACTGTAAGATTAACCAGTTCCAGAGAAACGTTGAGGTCGTCCGCAATGGTTGGTAAGGCTGGGAAATAGATATTTGATGCGAAACCGGAAACTGTTTTCGATATTATTAGGCCTACTATATTTGGCTTTGTAATAGAAGAGCATACAAGTCGCGGCAGTTGAAACAATTGCAATGATTAGCCATCTCTGTCTCTTATCGAAGATGCTGTAACGTGCTTCTGGAGGGGCATCTGTTGGCGGTACCATTGCTGGAGTAGTGATTTGCCAATGGGCTCTGCAAGCTTCAGTAGATGGTGGCCACTTTTTAATTGACTACTTAATAGCAGCGATTGAAGTTAAACGAGTGACAGGTGTGAGTCCTAAATGGTGGGGATATATACGGACCATGATGTTACAGTGACAAGAGATCTTTGACTCCTTTCTCCGGACCTGAGGTCGGAATCCCGAGCGTGATTCTGGGATCTCAACTTGGGATCTCAACTCCGTTAGGGCAAAAACCTGCAGGTATATAGATAGACCAGTACACTATCCCCATCGACAGCTGTTCTTGGCTCCTTGGCAAAAACGCACTTGACTTCGTCTTTTCTTTGAATTATAGTCTGATTCACAAATCAACATGTCGTCTCCGGCACAGTCCACCGACAACCGCCTGAGCTTCGGTGATCACCACGCCATCCTCAATTTGGATAGGATATCAGTGCTTATCGGCGCCGTCAAAGACACGACCGAAGGACAGGCGCTCGTCTCGAACTATTCACGATGGAACGATGCAGTACACCAGAAGCCTCCCCGCCTGCTTACCATCTTTTCCACTCTGTCCTTCGCCAGTGACCAGCCCCAGGTCCAGGACAACACCCCGTTCGCCAGGTTAATCGCACCGTTCGGAACCTTCGAGAATGGTTCCCCAGAAGTACAGATTGACAGATTGTCTACGCTTTTATACTGATGAAAAGGATACTATAATACATAAGACCAGATGGTCCGCTACCATGGCCAACAGCCTGGAGCAGATACTGAGCGCGCGGAAGATTAATACAGTTGTTATTGTACATAAGCCTACGCTTTTTTGGCTTCACAGAGCTAACATAAATTTATAGCCTGGATTGGCCCTTTCCGGCGTTGTGATGAGCACTATTTATCGCTTGTTTGACTTGGACTATAACATTTACGTGATCAAGGACAACGTGTTGGACCAGCCAGTGGAGACATACTACAGCATTCTCCGGTGTCTTGTTCAACAAGCTTATACCTAAGATGAGCTTGAACTTGATCTCTCTCGATGAGTCTCTGCAGGCTCTGGAGCAGTCTTAAGGTTTATTTTGGTGCATAGTAGTCTCAACTCTTTACAATGCACAACCTCAACTCTGCCTTACATCAAAATGGAAAGTTTAGACATTGCCTCGAACACCAAGTATTCACAATAGTATTATAAATCATCCATAACTGCGTAAAACACAGTTCCAAACTCATCAATATTTTCTAGCCAGTCATCCACCATGGGGCGTCTTTTCGCGATCCCAAATTCACCCAAGTCGGCAGGCATTAGCTATAGTTCATCAATACTCAAACCCCCTTTCATCCATTGCGCCATGTCAGCATCATCCTCTCTTTTCCAGACATATCGAAATCTTGCCTGCCACAATAATACACTCGCCGGCGCTGGTAACCCTTGTATACCAGTGCCCAAGAAAGTAGACAATCACTTTTGGGCAGAAAGAACGCGATCAAACAGGTACATAACATAGAGCGTCCGCCGCTTAGCCTCCGTGACAATCCACTCCTCCCATCTTGGCCTGACTCGTCGCAGATCAGCTGCACACATAAGCCCCCAGTGGGACGAAGAGCAAGCAAGCTCCTGGAGGTTGGTCATTGCTCTGCGAAAGAAGTCACTGCGAGCTTGGCTAAGTCGGAAGAAAAGAACCAATGAGTATATCAGATATGCTTGGAATGCAGCAAACAAGGCTTCGTCATCATATCTGTCCCTGGATTCGTACAGGTTCGACATTTATTGCTGGAGGACGCTCGCAGTTGTATCTTCGCTTCCTGGTAGGGGGTAGGGGGTTTGAGCGGACCGAACGAGACTCAAGCAGCGTGGTGAACCTGCCGGTTGTGCTACCAGTTGCTTGGCACGAATGGACGGCAGGATACCACGACAATGAACCGCGACCCCTGCGTATGGTTTCAGGATGCGGAAGATAAAGACAGCGATCCCAGCTGGGTACTCCTTGACTGTCTGTCCGGGGACAGGCATATACGACCAGCGGTTGCTGATATCGTCTACGTCAATGGGACAGACCAATTCAAGGTTTGAAAAGTCAAGCTCTTCAAGTCCATCAGATTTGATGTACAGATAAGAGGCCCGTCATCATCTGAAGTCACGGATCTTAACAGAGTCGCATAGGGGATAGTTCCCGGGTTAACTCTCAAGACGTTGGGAGAATGACTATCTAGCAACCTTGGTCACCTGATCAGTCAATATTCCTTTACAAATCAATCACTCGCTCTATAGTTATGAGATATATATGCAAGGTGCCCATTCTGGCCTTCTCCAGACAGACGGTCGATCGTAGCCGAAACATTATCATAATAGTCACGCTGAGAGAGGAGAATCCTTATATTCCAGTACTTTATCATGACTCACTGAGGTCTCTGATAGCTAATCTTGTTACGGTCACGATGCATAAACGCTTGATTACTTCTACCACGCCCACAAAGATCGACTGTCAAACTATCCTCGGTGAGATCCTCTGTCTTATTGCTCTGCAGTACGGCAATGTGCTTGTGAATTCCCATCCCCACGTTGCGCAAGTGATCCACAACCATAGCTACTTTCGAGTTAAGCCGATGACCAGACTCCATTACATTGACCAACTCAAGCCAAGTTGCTCTTGCGTAGGAAGAAAATATAGAGTTCCTTGAGGTATACTTACTCTACATATACCAGGTGGGTCTGATTATTCTATTACTGGTGGCCCACCAACAACACCGTTGAACTCAAAGCTAACCGATCTAACGAATCAGATATAATCTCTATTGTTGGGCCTCGTCCTCTTTAATACATTACTAGCTGGTAGAGATATGTCAAGCATTGTTTTTATATGAGCGTATAAGCATCATATTATGATTTCCACGAGTGTGCTGTATGCTACCCTATTATCATGTTGTGCGAGATGACTAATTCTTCATCAAACGGGTTTATAAATATCTCGCTTGAAGCCCGATCGTTCTCCTTCTTATTCCACGATTACAAGCACTGACAACTTAAAATTGCGGCAATGGACATTCTGTCACGGTTGATTAACCAGAGCACAGCCCTGGAGAAGGGCGAAGGGCAATCATACGCCGTCCAACTTCTATGCCTTATAGTTGTTGTGTACATAGTTCGCATTGGATATCACGCCTATGGCGGCCCTACTGGCCGGATCCCAGGACCATGGCTGGCGCGGTTCACCAGGCTTTGGGAACTTCGAGAAGTAAGCAAGGGTAACTTTGAACAGGTTAACATCGAATTACACCAGAGATATGGTAGGCTCGTCTGCGTGGACTCCTCATAATCTGCAATAAATAGATCGCCAATTAACATCAGCACTAACAGGTCCCATCGTCCGCATCTCACCCTCGACCTTCAGCATTAGCGATCCAGCCGCAATCAAGCAGATATATCTTGGGAGAACGACTTTGAGGAAGGCCAGGTTTTATGAGACATTCGGGAATCCAACACCAGGCTATGCAAACCTGTTCTCCGAGACCGATAACAAAAGACACGCACAAGGTCGGAAAGCGGTAGCAAATTTCTTCTCAATGTCGACGTTAGTCACGTACGAGGGGTGTGTCGATCGGTGCAACTTCCATCTACGCGCGAAGTTGAGAGACTTCGCACAGCAAGGGAAACCCTTTGATGTCGAGACTTGGATGCAATTTTATGCCCACGATGTGATTGGTGATATCACCGTAAGTGCTACCTTCCCCTTACTGGAGTTGCTATAGTGGCCCTAGGATAACATGTGAGACAATCAGTTTGGCGAGACCTTCGGGATGATGGAAAAGGGTCAGGATGAGCACGGCATCCTGGAGAGCATTGACAGAACCATGGCATACGCCGCTCGGGTGGGCGTCATCCCCGAGATACATCCATGGCTGGCGTGGCTGGCGCGAGTGATTCCGATTAAAATCCCATTTTACAATGTGCAGAAATATGTTCTTGGTCAAATTGATTCTCGTTCGGGGATCGATCGAGCTGGAAATGACTTTCTTACTAAATTGCTCACGCTGAGGAAGGGAAACAAGGTTACCAAACTTGATGTGGAGAACACTGTCGGGAATAATATCATGGCCGGCTCTGACACCACGGCTATATCCCTCAGCGTCGTGATCTATTTGTTGCTTAAGAGCCCAGGAGCGGCGAAGAAGTTGAGAGAGGAGATCGATACCTTTGCTGCCGCTGGCAAGCTGTCTAACCCGGCTACCTTTGAACAGGCTCGTCAAATGCCGTACTTGCAGGCTTGCATCAAAGAAGCCCTGAGAGTCCATCCTGCGGCTGGACGATCATTCCTACGCGTGGTGCCTCCTGAGGGGCAGACTATCGCGGGACAATACTTTCCCAGTGGGGTGAGTTTATATCCTACTGAGTAAAAGCGGGGTGTTATGCTTACAGACATATACTTAGGCCATGGTTGGTGTCAACCCGTGGGTCGTTCACTACAACCCAGACGTCTTCGGCCGCGACGCAGCAGAATTCCGCCCGGAACGGTGGCTAGACTTGGACAAAGAGAAGCTATCGCTCTTGGAACAGAGCCTTTTAACAGTTCAGTCTTCCTGAAATCATTTACTGAACCACGTACTGACAAATTCTAGTTCGGCGTCGGTGTCCGCACGTGTATTGGGAAGAATCTAAGCCTGCTGGAAATGTCAAAGGTAATCCCACAGCTGTATCGCGAGTTCGAGTTTAACCTTGCCGAGCCAAAAGGGACATGGACGACGTGGAATGATTGGTTTGTGAAGCCGAAGTTTCAGTGCTATGTGAAGTTGCGTAGCGATATTTGAGTCTGACGTGTCGTACATCCTTTCCCACTTAAGGATGAGTGCCCTGCTCGCATATTGCCCTGATATGATATGCCATTGAGTGGCCGTTGTGTATGCCTTCTCTCTATATATTCTAACAGAGCCTTAATCCTTCATTGAATGAGAATATTATGTCGCCCTGTATCTGGTATATGCGACGAATGCTAAGATGTCTCTATAGTTAAGGAGATTGCATATGAATCAATTCACAGATTATTCAGATTTCAGCAACACTTTCTGTTAACTAACGTATTTCCCGGGCCACCCGGCCACCCTACGCGTTTTGTACGCGCCTCAAATTTTGAAGCAATTCAAGAACCAGTCATACCAATGCCTAAATCATCAAAATCTTTAGTGGAACAAGAAGGAAGGATCCTGCTGGCTATATCCGCTATTAAAAACCAACAATTCGACAGTATACGGAAGGCTGCTGAAGTTTATAATGTGCCTTGTTCTACATTGACTGATCGCTTAAAAGGAAGCACTTTTAAGCCTCAAGTGCGCTTAGAGAATCATAAATTGAGTATCTCTGAAGAAGAATCGCTTGTACAGTGGATTATATCTCTAGATTGACGTGGAGCAAGTTCTCGGCCTGCTTATATACAAGAAATAGCTAATCTTCTGCTTGCTAAGCGTGATTCTACTGTTACTTTAACTACTATTGGCAAAAACTGGGTTTCAACCTTTATTAGGCGCAGGCCTGAGCTGAAAGCGCGCTTTATATATAGATATAACTATCAGTGTGCTAAAGCTAAAGATCCTAAGGTTCTGTGTGCCTGGTTCCAGCAGCTAAATAATGTTATTCAGCAGTATAGTATTACATTGAGTGATATCTATAATTTTGATGAAACGGGATTTACAATGGGCCTAGTAGCTACTGCTAAGGTAGTTACTAGGTCTGATATACAAGGGAAACCTTTTTTTATACAGCCAGGAAACTGGAAATAGGTTATCTCTATAGAATGTATAAGTTCTAATGAATGGGCTCTATCTCCTTATATTGTTTTTAAAGGTAAAGTGTATATAGAGACCTGATACAAGAATCAAGATATCTTATCAGATTAGAGGATTGAAATAAGTCCTAATGGTTAGAAAAGTAATGAAATTAGCCTACACTGGCTACAGAATTATTTTATACCTGCTACTACAGGCCGATCTGTAGAACAATACTGTCCACTTGTTCTTAATAGCCATAATAGTTATCTTACACCTTAATTTGATCAGATTTGCTTAGAGAATGATATTATACTAATCTGCATGCCTACTCACACTTCTCATAGGTTTTAACTGCTTGATATTACCTGCTTTTCACCTCTAAAAAAGGCGTACGGAAAGTCAATTGAATCTAAAATACACTATAAAATTAATTATATTAATAAAGATAATTTTTTATTAATCTATTCCAAGGCCCGCAGGCAGGCCTTTACTAGTAGCAATATCTACAGTGCTTTTTAAATAACTGGATTAGTTCCTTTTAATCTTGAGCAGGTTCTTGCTTAAATTACTGTGTAGCTTAAAACCCCTACACCTCCAGGCAGCAAACCAAGCAGTCAAGGTAGCTTAGCACCTAAAATACCTTATACTATAAAACAGCTGAATAAATCAGAAACCAGATTAAAAAAGCTGTTAAGAAATTAATCTAGAAGTTCTGATTTGCCTGTTAAACTGAATTTAAATCAGATTTTAAAAGGTGCTGAACAGGCTCTAGCTGAGGTAACTATTTAAAGCATTAAATTAAGCAATATCAGGCTACTCATGAAAAGTAGCTTAAAAAGCAAAAACGCTCTAAGAAGCAGCTTCAAATAGAGAGGTATATCAGTTCAGGAAGCAAGGGCGCTTATAGAAAGCAGAGAATATACAGATAAAGCTATACAGGCAGATGGGGCTTTACCAGCTGAATCAGCTCCTAGACGCGCCCCACCTAGGTGCTCTGGTTGCAATGTACAGGGTCATAAGATTACAAACTGCCCGAATCGATAGAACTACTCATTATTCTATAGCATTGCAATTATATGGTGTTTTGTATGGCTTCAATTTTAGAGGGCGGCTGGGTGGCCGGATGACCCGGGAAATACGTTAACTTATAGTCTTCTTGATTACTAAAACTAGACCCACTTACCTATGCCTGCCTAATTAGTCTCGCATTCTGCCACAACACCATTCGCTAACTCTCCACTAGATTTTACCGAAATATAGTCATTCTGCCCTCATTATCCGCCATATTACATAACGTGGCAACTAAAAGCCCTTATAGCTCAGTGGTAGAGCGCTGCACTGTAAGTCTGACCAATCAGATCCAAGTGTTTCTTTGATCACGTGACTAATCTTCCTAGCGTAGTGTAATGCAGAGGTCCATCGTTCGAACCGGTGTGGGGGCACTGCCCAACTTTTTTTATGTTTCTGTTTCCAGCCTTCGATTGAAATTATGAGAAGTACCTGTCGAAATCATTTGATAGCTATAGGTGTACTAAAGAAGTTGGTCTTGCATCCACCCGGGTCAGGCATATATGACTCGCATGTCTCTGTGCGGCCCAGTAAGCGTTACGCGCGGCTAAGTTAAACTACAAGTAGTTCTTACTTTCGAAGTAAAAGGCATGGAATGTCTCGCTTCTATCATGCTTAAAACTTTCCATATGTGTTCTCTCGGCATCAAGTTACTATTAGATCAAAATTAGCTACGATGTCCTAATTGACCTTCGGCTTTCAATATCTCGGTTCGATGTTAACATGAATATGATTCAAACGGTCAAGCGTAGTAGATTTCAAAGAACGATCACGCCCATTTCTCTCCAGAACCATATTTTTCAAGCCGCAGGTTGGGTTTATTTGCAAAGTACGCCGTGGCTCCGGCGGGGATCCGGTCATTCTCGATATATAGCACTTTCTCGGCGCCCTTGAAAATACTAACCACACCGAAGCCGTCGCGGTGAGACCAGAGAGGAAATGTTGCAACTGAGCACCCGTCTTTGCATGTCTGAGAAGCAAGGGTCTTCTTAGTAGCGGGGCCGTTAAATGTCTGTCAAGGATCAGTTACAGTCCGAACGAAATTATACGGTGGATACGTACCGTTGTGCCAAAAGTGACGCCAGCCCCCGTAGCGGAGGCATTGAGCCCTACCTCTGAGAGAAGACGATTCGGGCGGTATTTGGAGACTACCACGGTGATCTCTTCGCTATGCTGGTTTATGACTCGGATGCACGGGGGGATATTCCTACTCGTTCGGACGATAGCCCCGAAGATGCCCTATTGAGATCTTAGCAACGCGGATGAATGATACGTGCCATCCCCTACCTTGGGTACGGAGTCTAGAGGATAGCTCAGCGCATCTGCCCATTCTACGACATCTTCCGGTTCTGGGAGATGTGCTGCTAGGATACATTGATCGGCTGGTTTGTCTAGGGCATCGTAAAAAATGGTGTCGCTAGAGGAATCGTCATCCCCATTGTCGACATCGTTCGGATCTTGCCCCTTCGGGTGAAGCTTGAATGGAACATGGACGATGTCGTAGAGATGAGCGGCCGTCTTTACGAACTGGGCGGCATCACGCAATATATCGACGTCGAGATTCACCGACTCCACGAGATAATTCAGACTGACGGGATGGTTAGAGACCAAAATGACAAACCGCTCTTCGACGGGTAGATCGGTTGCAACACCGCTCGGCCAAGAAATCTGCGAGCCGACTAGTTCGTCGAATGAATTACTTCCAAGTGTAATATCAAGCTCGGGAGGCAGCTCAATGCCATGTGGCCAGGCGCTGGTCAATGATGTTACTGTACCGACAATGTTGATGTTCAACACCGATACGTAGACTGTAGCGTTCCCAGTATTTTCAAGTCGTATATAAACAGATTCCCCCTCGGTAATACGATCGTGTCCTTCCATTTGAAAATTGACCTTTGGCTCACCATCTTCTACCGTACCGACGGTGACTTCCAGGTTATGCACCAGAAGATCCTGTCTCCTTTCGCATCGAAGTTCACGGACGCGCTTTGCCCTGGCCAGCCGCTCTGCATCTGCGATAATATCACTGAATGCTTGTGCGGTAGCCTCTTCAGTGCTGTTGATCGAGCGTGTTCTGATCCGGATGCCCTGGTGGTTGACTAGCACGATAGAGCCCTCTTCATGGAGAAATTCGGCCAAAGGCTCCTGCTTATCCTCCGATTCGGACGGCTTGAGATACCTGGATTCTTCCACACCGGCTTTCAGACCCTCCAGATTAGAAGGCAGAGTCATAGGCAACTTGTCAACTATGTCGCATTTCAAAAATGCCAACGCACCCTCACGATGTATACTCCTCCATGACGGAATGCGCGTCAGGGCAGCCTTAGACTTAAACGCCGCGACAGCTGTAACAGTCGCCTCGACAACGGGCTCGCCCTCCTCCGCCTCCTCTGGAATAAAGGGAACGACCGTATAAACATTCCCCTTGCGCACACCAACCACACTGCCCGCCTCGATCATAGCCTTACCATTCTCCACCTTGACATACAGCGCGCCTGATTTAACATGCTGCAGCGAGAAATGAGCCCGAGTATCCGGCCCCTCCACCTGAGGATGCTGCCACTGATGCCTAGTATTAACCAACTGCGACACCCTCACAAGCGTAGTCCTCCACGACACATCAACACCACTGGTCTCCTCCATAGCCTTAGCCAACGCATCCGTCAGTGCCCCCGACCACTTCCCCCTCGAATTAATATGCTCGCATGCACTCTCGGCAGTAGCGGCAGCAGCAATGCGCACGGCATAAGGATTCCCCAACTGAAACACCTCACCATGAAAATACCCCTTCTCCCTCAACGACTTCAAATAAACATCCAAATCATGAAACTGGACTTTGTCTAAACTCTTCCGCTTCACAGCCTCCTCCTCCCCCGGGCCATCCCGAAACATCCGCCCCGAATGACAACAATCAATAATAATCGTCACATTCCGAGTCTTCTCCGTCGTATCCCGGAGCATGTAGGATATCTCGACATCTAGGATTCCACGGAAATCCCCTTCCGTCGACTCTTCATAGTCGACGGGTACCAGGAACTGGAATTGCCAAGATTTATTCTTCTCCTTGCGCGTCTCGTCATGCACGAGGGCCCCGTGGCCGGAGTAGAAGATCACGACTGCGTCGTCGGGGGAGGTGCTTTCGATGAGATTGGTCCAGGCGTTTATGATGCCGGCACGGGTGGCATTCTCGTTGTAGCAGGGGATGATCTCGAAGCCGCGTTTAGAGAGGAGGGTTTCCATTGTCTGGGCATCGTTTATGGTTCCATTTAGGCCGCCGTAGGTGCTGGCGATGAGCAGGGCTCGTTTGGTGGGCATTTTCAACAGCCCAATATGTCAATAAATCTATATTTCAATATTTCAGTGTAGATGCAAAAGATCTGCAAAAAGTTGTCTGATCAAAGTTAAGAAGGAAGGGCTACTGCCACAAGCTGCGGTGCGGATTTTGCGTGTCTTCATGGCCAAGGATTAAATAGGGGGCTCTGTAGTTTTGCAGCTATATACGACAGCCAACATCGTTCCCTATTGCAAGAGGGGGTTTTACGTCAGACTGTAGGAGGAATGTATCAGGGTCCCGATGAGGTGTAATGGGTATTAGGCATTGATGCAGTGACCGCAATGACTAGTTGCAGCTGCATGCAGCCGTACATATCCATGCGAAAGTGGGATGTGCAAGAGCGGATCATCACACTTTGGAGATAGTCTGAACGAACAGAGATTATTCTGAACGATGTTAAGCGTTAGCGTAATATGTAAATACATAGTTAACTGACGGCTTCCCTTGAATAATCATTTCACAGTTACTAACCGGTGTCTTCCTGGGTGGTCTACGTCGCAAATCCGAAGAATCCGTACTTGGGCATAATCATTAGATGCGGGCAGCGATCGACACAGCAAGGCGGCCACTGAACTTGGCAACGGTGTTTTCCACTTCATCATTGCATTCTTTACAGGTGCGAGATAGGGTCTGGGCAGCAACCTGGCGCGTGGATCGTACAACGCCTGGAGATATATCGTATGCAGCTTGTCAATAGGGCAGATAAGGCCTCCAAAGGCAACTTGACGTAAGGCCTCTATTGCTGTTGCTGTTAATCAAGGTTATAAACTCCGGAAGGGAAGCGACTTGGAGTTGATTGGGTATTGTTGCAGGTTATCATGGATATGGCTGACTGAGGTTGACAATGAGTAGTATTTCGTATACTCACTACTAATGGTCCCCTGTCTTACTATGATTGTTACCCATGCATTTAATACAACGCCTCATATCAACTTAGTTTAGACGTGGATATTAGGAGACGTCCAGGTTAGAAAGACTAGTGTATTTCCATGAATATTGTATGATATACGAGAGAACTCCCGATATCAGACATTATTGCCCTAAATAATAATGGCCCTAGAAAGAAGATGAAATGTCCCGCTAGTTAACGATATCCACCCTCTTGCTACCTGTTATGAATGCAAAAATGAACAAAGACAGCCCCTAGCACTCCCTCTCCCCCAACACACATAAAGTATCTTAGTACGCATATAAGACCCGTTCATTTGCGCCCGAAACAGCACCCAACCTAATCTGCCTATTTGCGCTCTGCAACCAGAGCCTTAAAACCCAAGCACAGGCGACAGTAGAGAAGCAAAAAGCCGCATTCAACGCTATAGCAGTCAGATAACGAGGCCCATCACTCTTGGGGTAGAGGTACGCCGTGTAAATATACGACGTATTCGCCATCATACTGATAAAAGATAGGGACGCGGCCTTCTTTTCCGGCGTCTGGCCCATAGTCGCGGAGACCCAGCCCAGATTGGCAGAGTTGATGGAGTAAGGGCCACTGGCCAAGAGAAAGAAAGATAAATACAGGGCAGCGGCATTCAACGTTATGCAGGAAATAATAAATCTGACGATGTCGATACCCATGCCCAAGGTGATGTGCCAGGTGCGCTCATTGTACCGACCAGATGTGATACGGACCACGATACCGGCGAGACAGGATAGGATGTACGCGGGACAGGTGAGGATTGACATGATTGACCGGTTGAACCCAAGACTCCCAATCACAGCCGGGAAGAAGCTGCTACAAGAGCAGAACTCAGGTGTATGTTTTGCATGAAGGCCTTCAGGAAAAGACGTGGGCCGGAGAAGGCCAGCTTTAAGCCTGCAATGAGGCCCTTAGACTCCTCCCTACGAACTGCGTCCTTCTCGATACGGTTGTGGACTACCAGGCGCTCGTCTGGAGTGAGCCAGTGAGTCGCCAGTGGGTGGTCTGGGAGCATGAATATTCCGGCAACTGCAATTCCGAAAGTGACCACGCCTTCGATTATGAAGAGCTATTGCCAACCCGTGGGACCGCGTTTCTTGTCTAGGGTAGCGAAGATCGCTGTGGCTATCAGGCCTGAGATCACGGTAGCGAGGATGTTGCCCGAGTAGAAGATGGAGATACGGAGAGCGATCTCTTTGCGGGTGTAGAGGATGGGCACCGGGGTAGAAGGGGGATTCGGTGATACCTAGGAAGAATCTTACCATAACTAGCCCGACATAATTCCTTGTTAATGCCGTGCAGGAAGAGACAGTCGCCTAGCAACCCATGCATATGCTCATATAAAGCGATGGACGGACTTTCTTTGAGAAAATTAGCATGTTGGACGGTATTTGCATCAGCAATTACCTATTTACGTTAGTCTTAACTAATGCATTCGCCCACGTTGCTGTTTTTTCTACTTACCCACGAAGGAAATTGAAATACATGTGTTATATTGGGTACCGACCAGGCTGAGGTCATCTTCGAGATTATTCAGACGAACATTGGCATTGCATTGCGATCAATCTACAAATTTCTCGCATTAGTGGTTTGATTGTGAGTTGTATAAAGTAGGGTTTATTATCACAAAATTCGTAAAATACATCACCCATAATATAGGCATGATTCGCATATCGAGTTTTCGAACAAGACGTATCTCTGCAGAATCGGCTTTCTTCGATGCTCCCGAATAATCTCTGAACGTCCTTATCGACCTTTTTGAGCGATTGGACTTCCTAGATAATGATGCTGTTGCTTTTTTCTCCCTCGGGAGGATTCTAGGTCTCCTTTGTTCTGGCGAGGGAAGACGTGGCGATAGGACCGAATAACAAACGAAGGCGTTAACATAAGATAATGCAATCTAGAAATTGTTGATGTATGAACTTGCCAATGATCGCAACACAGTCGATCCTTAGGATGAACGAGTCGAAGGACAGAATATGTCATATTTATATTCAAGGCCCTGGAGCAAGATGGAGTTGAACAACTGACAGCTCAAGTGTAAGCTCAGAGGACTGATTCACATCCATTCTGGGCTTTTGCCAACCAATCGATATCCTTAGAATCTTGACTATCAAGGATGTTTCTTTTTACAGATCTCTCCCCCGCATATTGCTATACTTTTGACGGGGTGATGTCCGATCTGATTGGCTCCAGGTGGCCCGGTAGATCACTCACGCGAAGGACGGCATCCATGAATATAATAAGACTTTCTTTATTTCCTACTTGAACAGTTCAACTAAAATCCGGGGTTTATTATCCGGGGAAACATGCACAGGACGACGGCGTACAACTAGCAGGCAAGTAAACAGGCTTGGCGTGGTGTGTAAGTCTTGGCCGTGGCATTGTCCCAACGGAGAGAGATTGAACAATATTTTCTCAGTTGCATACCGTTTCTTGACCATAGGAAGTGGCAGCTGCTAGCAGGTAGGTCATGTGAGATTTAGGTTTAACCATCATCCTGTGCTAATTGCCGCATATTATACTGTAGTTAACTTCTCAAGTAGAGCTGAGCTTTTGAGAGAATGGATTGGGGCTTTCCCCGGCGTCGAGGATTCGCCTTGATCTCGTGGGCGAATGATTACACCATCCCCTATGTGCATCTGCTTGGATAAATATCCTTAGAGGTTTAGATTGAACCAGTCAGTTGTATCAACTGGTCAATTGACAAGTATGCATTGTAGCGGTGACGTTGATTCTCCTTGTTAGCTTATTGACGTCTTGGACAGGAGCGCTTTGACCAGCATCAACATGGTGCCTGTGGGCACAGATTGTTATACCATTCATTCTTGACCCAACCAATTATTGAGAAGGTTTAATAAAAGCATGGTTCTGCACTAGTTATAGTCGAAGTATAATATTAGCGATTTCGCCGGCCCATAAATTACGTCTGATGTAGTAATTATTCCGTTTGACGATGGCCAGCCCTAACGGAAGTTACAGAACCACGTCTCAAATGATATTATCTCCTCATTGGCTATTTAGATGGTAGGACGTTTATTTCATGACGGAGTCCTAGAAACGAATGGATTAGTATGTCGTAAAACTAACGCTAATATCCTGCTGTGGATGACACTTACAGAGCGTGGGGTGAAGCGATATGGAACAATGCTCGTGACCCCCAAATGCCCTAACAAACTATATATTCAGCATATTTAATGCTCAATACCACAGAGGATGAAGGACCAGGCTTTAGTGTGGAGAAGGGCCCAGACTCCTGGAGATATTGCCGGATATCGGACATAGCACTCCCGCTCCGATTTCCGTCGGGCATGACAATGTCCAGCTTAGTGTAGCTAGCTTGTTCAAGAAATTATGGGAAAAATATGTATGGTAATTTGGATCGGTATGCCTCTACGTAAGAATAATAGTGCTCATTTAGTCGAAAAGCCGAGGGTATACGGAGGTTCGCATAACTGAACATGGACTTGCCAAGTATACGGCATACCTCATCAAAATTAGCAAGAAATGCAAGACCGGCATTTCTCTCGGCAAGAACGTCCCTTGCGCCCGGTAGCCCGCAAAGGAGTATGGGGTTTCGATTTGCTAATACAGAAAGCCGATGGAGGATCCGGTCATCGGGACATTGTCACAGGAAGTGGACCAGCCCGTTATTGATTGGACCTCCCGGGATTTCCCGGAAATATTACTGGCTAGTTTTTTCGCGGAGAACTATACGGATGATGCTATGTCGCTAATATCATGGAAGTCCCTGAATGAAACGGAGTATATATAATAAAGGAATGGCCTTTAGATACTGGCAAGTTGGACTAGGGAGATTCGCATTGGCTCTCAAGTCAAAGTCATTATAGATTCGGCATAATATACCCTCTTTCATCACATCTACTTCATCCATCCTGATCTACTGCATCAGAGTACTACATTGTCAGCCTTCACAACATGGCTCCATCAATTAGTGAATTCCCGCACAGTGTCTCCTCGGCCCAGCCTTCCGTCTGTAAAGTCGGCATCAACGGATTCGGCCGTATAGGTTGGTAGTCACCATCCCGCACCAGTCACCCTACTTCGCCAATCATTAACCACCACCACGTCAACCAACAGGCCGAAACGTCCTACGTGCAGCTTTAAACAGAAGGGACCTACAGATCGTTGCCATCAATCACACCTGCACCTCCGTCAAAGACCTCATCTACCTGGTTCGATATGACTCCTGCATGGGCAAACTGCCTGACGATATCCCCATCCATGCTTTATCTGACAACTTAATCACCATCAACGGCCACCAAATTGCCCTTACCTCCGAGCGCGACTTGCAAAAGCTCAACTGGAGCGCCCTCGGTGTTGAATATGTCGTGGAATGCACCGGCAAGTTCACGAAACGCGACCTAGCAATGCAGCACATTACCCACGGTAACGCCCGCCGCGTCGTCATATCCGCCCCCAGCTCCGATTCCCCAACCTACGTTTATGGCGTCAACTCTAATAAGTATACGGCCGATGAAGATCGGCGGGTGGTGTCGTGTGCGAGCTGCACGACGAACTGTGTAACACCTGTGTTGAAGGTTCTAAATGAACAGTTTGGAATTGAGCAGGGATTCCTGACCACGGTCCACGCGGCTACCCAGTCACAGCAGGTTCTGGACGGGTATAGCAAGAAGAATCGTCGACTAGGTATTTGCCCTCTCTGTCGGGTAGTCAAGGTTTTATTGCTGTGGAATGACGTTAACATTCAGCAGGCCGCAGTGTCTTTGACAATATCATTCCGACCACTACCGGCGCCGCAAAGGCGATCGCTACTGTCCTTCCTGAGCTAACAGGAAGGGTAACTGGAGTGTCAATCCGTGTTCCAGCGTAAGTACTAACCTTCCTTTTACTTTCCGATGCGACGCATGCAGGGTAGCTTCTAACTTTACTAGACCCAACGTCTCCATGATTGACTTGACAGTCAGCACAGAGCAGCCCACATCCCTAGCTGAGATTCTAGCTGCGTTCCGTCGCGCATCTAAATCTAATCTTGCGGGAGTTCTTCATGTCGCCGATGACGAGCTGGTCAGCAGCGACTACAAGGGAAACCCACATAGTGCAATCGTGGATGCGGCGGCATGTATGGAATTAAACCCTCAGGTTCGTTCTTCTTCCTTGATGTTCTTTTCTCCATAAAGCAGAGCTAATCGCAGACATAGTTCTTCAAAATAATGGCCTGGTATGATAACGAATGGGGCTATTCAAACCGACTCTTGGATTTGACGGCACATGTGTCTCTTCAGGAGCAATAGGTGTTGGACATATTCGTTTGGCTAGATGACGTTACGCCTGCTATTAACATTTAATTCTCTGATAATAGATACACAAATATAATTTAGTTCTTCATTCGATGAGTCTACGAAGGGAACACTTACGTAAAAAGCTGGCTGGAGGTAGGCAGTTGGGGCATGCTACCCCCATCCTTATACAGATGTTTTGCGTACTCTTCCGACTTCTTCCGAAGTTGGTCTTAATTGCGGTAGCGGCAGTCCAGTCCGACTTGCCTCGAGGGGAAGTGGGGAGCTGAATATATGTCAAAGCCCTAGATGACTCCCGCTCTGGGCTCCATTCCATCCATTGTTGACCTTCCAAACTTCTACTGGGAAGTTGCGAGTTATCGCTTTATAGATAACTTTGGGGTCAAAGGCATGGTAGGCTCGCTATCCGGCTTCACGAATTGATGACGGACCAAAAGAAACAAGAAAAGACAAAGGAATACTGAAACACGGAAACCATTGTCGTTGTACCGCACGCGACAAGTCACGGAAAAAGGAAGGAAAAGACCGAATGGACTCCCATGGCAGCTATATGCGAATAATGGTAAACGCTATTACAGCCCCAGTCCAGCCAAAAAGCTTGATAGCTACCAAATGGTAGTCAAAGTCATTGCTCGAATCCTCTGCCTCTCCTATAGCACGGCGCAACCCCATCGTCTGGTAATATAGGCCCAGACGCCTGGCCTGGCGTCTTCCCATATTGACCGTTCGGAGAACCCATGTCTACCATATCAAACGTGTCAGTTTCCATAACAAGACCATGTTAGGAAGAACTATTTAATATATAGAAGATACGTAGCAGAACATGGGACGAAAAACTGTATTTAGGAAATAAAATACACGTAATACATGGTCACCGAGTAGGGAACTAACAATTAATTGATCTAGGATGAGGCCTCGCAATATAGCAATTTGACAACTAGCGCTTGGGTTGTCGTGACATTTCCGGCGTTTATCTTTCCATAGGGTCCCAGCCATCTGAAAGCGGTTCATTCGATATGTGGTTACTTGGAATAATGAGATACACACTGTCTACATGATAGACAACTGACTTCCAAGTCTGATGGAGTCCATCTTACCCTTTTGTTCCTATCCCATTGGTTTTCTTTCTCTTCCCCGTCCTTTTCAATATGATGTGTTTCCCATTGCTTTCCGGCCGGAAAACAATATGAACAGACCTTTCGCTACGGTGCGTTACGACGACGATGGCAACAAACCGCATACTTATATATTCTTATATATTGTATGTTACCCCGGATCTTATCGAGACTTAGTTAAGTAACGAAAACCCGGAAGGTTACACAATTCAGATCTCACATAACGTTAATCCGAGTGTTGCAGCAATGTTCGTGTATACGACTAGAAAAGGGAAAGTGGAAAGCAGTACGCAGTTGGATAGGAGTAGAGGATATAAAGAGACATTTCAGGACTTGCATTCATATTGAGGTCTCTGGAGACTAAATATGCTGTGGATTGGCCAAAGGAAGGAATGTCTTCTAAGGACAGGTAATATGGGTAGTATTGAATAGTGCTCCGATTGGTTCGCAGCCTTGTTACTATTGTTCACCTAGACTCGCTGCAGTACTCATTGACTCATACTCTACGGCTACAAGACTCGTTCCCCTCCTTTATTTATACGCCCTATGACAATGCTTTAACATCTTACATTTGCCTTCGAATTGCACTGTTTTCAGGGTGGATGACCCTCTATTACAAATCTAACAAGCTTCTTTACTTACGCTGCCGATCGAGTGTAGGCAAGCTATCCTCTTCCATCTTGACGATGCCGAGACACTCACAGCCATGATACTGCCACACTCTTCCTTGTAGTCTGCCTTCAGTAATAGGAAGAAAACCATAATCCGTCGATTACAGGTAGTAGCTATGAAGTTGTAGGTGGCACGTAGCCTCCATGCTCGAGAGCTTCGAAGGATGGGTTATGTTATGTGGGACTACGCTCAATTGGTGGATATGGACTGGCTTACCTCGCCGTTTTTTCCGCTACCGGATCTGGCTTCAGTAACTACAGGCGTCAAGAAGACCATGTTGCTGAATCGATGGTTGAACGGCGAAAGTTGTCATGGAAGAGCATGGAAGAGCGCAAGGGGCTGGTGGGCTGAAGGTGTAGAGTCACACATCCGATGGGAACGTACTTACTATTCCTCGGATGAGGAGGAAGATATGAGTAGCTTCCGAGGCACCATATTCGCGTAGTTAGTCTTAGCTTTGCTTGATGCTTCGGTGGCTACCGCATTCTAAGCGGCATCCAAAGATACTTGCAGGGCATATAAAAGGCTCAAGGTAGATTGCAAGGAGCTGTCTCTGGTAAATATATGAATACATAGGAGATGGTAAATTAGACACATTGATCGATCAGTAACCCGCCCTTCTCTAATCTATACTCTGCGCTCTATAATCGAGATAGTGGACTCTGCTCTATTCGGAAATATTAAGGGGTAGTGATGAACTCTGGTTGGGTTGGGCGTATTATAGACATATACTACCAGCCAGTATAACAAATAACATAGGAGATGTCTGAAGCCATAAATGTGAGCAACTAAGACTATTTCGTCAGGGCAGTGAATACTCACCACGGATGAAAAAGAAAACCCAAAATCTTTACTGTCGGAGTCTCATGCGCGCTGTATCTCTGCGGAGCTGGCCAGGGTACCCAACAACGCTAGAGCATTGATGGTAACCCAAACCCAAAAAGCATAAACGTCAATAGTTCTGCATTTAGTAGAAAGAGTCAAGGCCGGCAAGAGACAAGATACCAACACTGTAGGCTATGTTCTCCCCTCTTTTAGTTGGACAGCCCGGAAGGCCCAACGGTCTCTAATAGCTGTACACTCTCCAAAATCCCAGTACAGATACGGCTTCGATCGCCCTCAAGTTGGCTGACCAAGTCTTTATAGGCCTCAGATCCTTTCTGCGTATCCTGATATTTTGCCTGTCAGTGCCGTACCTCGCGTATCAGTTTCTCTGAGTTGTTACAAGACCTTTCTAACTGTCTATGTAACGTCCTATTGACGCCCTTCAATTGTATTATCGTTGCTGTAAAAGAGTCGGCTTCGGCTCGGCCTAACAGATTGCTCAGCTTTATTGCAAACAAAGGTTTCTCTACATTGATAGATGGGTACTTACCTTGGGGGGAACTGTATGCAGAGCCTCCGTCTTCTACAAGATTGCCGGTGTCACAGCCGATCGACCGGCCCAGCTCCTCCATTATAGTATCGTATCGGCCGACTGACCCACTACTTAAGCTGGTATCTAACAAGTACACTTTCGATTCACAGACCGACCAAGCGTATCCATCCTCCATGGACGGCTTCAAGCGTACTTGATCCGGAGAAATGCGCAGATTCAACCTTTCATCATGACAAAGTTTTAGCCTGCGACAGAGTACAATGTTGGAGAGGTCATGCCCGGAATATACAGATATGATTTACCAATACTTCTCGACATTCCTGCCTTTTGGATACGCGTTTGTCGTTGCTCCTTTGGCCCATTGTGACACTAGCCTATCGGTACAGTAATTGAAAGGATGATCACTCAAGTTTCCCATTCTTTCTAAAATCGGCTTCGGGGGCTGAGCTCGTTGATTTATGGATCTACCGGTAGCTTTGGTAGCCCAGGAACGATATCATTGCATTCCCTTTTGCAACTCGCTTGTTGCTAAACTCAGCTGTTTGCCGTCAGTCTATATTTTGAGTTCACCGCATGGGGAAAGGATATGAAAACAGGAAATGACCGAAGGAGGATTATGTGTCTCTGTATTACTGGGATGTGGGCAAAACCGATGTCCAAGAAACACAGATGATGCTAAAGACGCCCTAGGCACCGTATCGGGTCATTACTTTATCTGGCGATGTCTCGCGGATGTGTAAAAAGCAGTGGGGCTGCTACAGAAAATCCGAAAGCTTTAATTTCACCGTAAGCTTATGGTTTGCCTCACCTTTTCCGTTCTTCTTCGGCCTTGGCCGCGCGGAAGGCCAGAAGGTTGGTTAGCATGTTGACAAACAGCGTGCGGCTAGTGCTAGGACAATGTTCGATTGAACCAGAATACAGTACAGTAATGGACTCAGAATAGATCTGGGCTTTGTATTTCCCGAAAGTAAATAACACTCAGCAGCAGAGAAGAATGAAGGAAGGAAGGTAGGAAGAAGAGGGAATGGAAATTTTGCAGATTGGATGATATACTAGGTCGGTCATGACTGGCTTGGGATCCGTTCCTGGTTATGCCATACTTGAGCTGGGCATCTTGTTGCTGAAGTATCCTAACAAAACCTCTCTAAGCACTGATCAAGAATATACAGGCTTTGCTATTAATAGTAGGCTTTGAATAGGCTCTAAGTTCCACTGGAGGATGGTGTATCGTCCTGCCTGGGCTCTGGAAAAACTTATATTGTTTATTTCGAACTTCAGAGGTCCGCTTGGATAGTTAGATGTGCTAGCAGTCACTTCTGCTTTTATACAACCCTTACCACGACTTCTATATTCTTTCTGTAGTTCTTTGCTGCAGCAATGCGACACCCACTATCGCCCGTTCCCGACGGGTTACCTAGAATGGAGTGCTTCTCCAGGTCCCTCGACGGGCAGTTCCACATATTAGGCCGCCCGGACAATGCGCACGATACCAAGAAAGACAACGTGATGGAACAAGCCGTCGGCCAACCTGTAGGAAGCGTCCGAGAGATGAATGTACCATTGAAGATATTCTCCCCGGGTAAAAGCGCCGGGACGGTTGCGATGCAACTCCTGTATGACAGCTGGCTCTTGCTGAAGCGTCTCCAGCTCGATGACTGGGTACAATATGCAATGCAGATGTCTTCCATCTCCATTGCGCTGGCTGATCTATTCCTACTACGATCGCCTCAGCTTTTCGCTATTTGACTTCCTGTCTTATTTTAACAAAGGAAGTTGATAACTATGCCTTGGTGGTGAAGGTATGACATGAACAGAAGATCGATATCGGATCTAACATACGCCACAGAAACTTCAAAAGAAAGATCCTTTCTTGCATAGGGCGACGGCTCATGCTCTTCAGTATTTCCAGCCACGCAGAATCTACGAAGCACCGGTTCTAGACACGGATTTTATGGCTGCTCCTCTCATGGCACTTCTCGCGGCACCGGACAAGGATGTGCTTCACCGTTTGCCGCACTGGAGGTACGCTACTCACGCTATCGTACGAGCCCATCTATGGTGCAGGCAGGACCCTTTGACCATTGATACCCATTTCCTCACGGAGGTCAGCGAAATACCTGCGGAAGTAATAGCCTGGCGACTGACGGAGAACGCTTTGCATGAGTTCCGACAACTTAGTAACCGCAGTGTCATCCGTTAGGATTCCAATCTCCGCCGTCTAGGCGTTAGGTGGGACCGACTCTGCCTCGGCTTTCGGGATTTAGTAGCTGTTGGAAACATGACAGATAAGCTTACGTCCTTGCTTTTGGGACCAGAATCATATGCCTTCAAAAGTCATGAACTGACTGTGCTTTTGGAGGAGCTTCACCGTCTCTGAGACTTTTCCCTTACTGCGATAATGCACGGTCTCATGCTCAACGATTTCCCATGCGAGGGCATCGGCCCATCCCATTCTTGACCAAGCTGGGTATGTTGGAAGAGGTCTGCAGTGGCTTGGCAAGAACCGGCCCAGAAATATGCCCGTAGATCCAATTTCACCAGTCGGCCCCACTCGCGACCCCAATCGGTGAGTTGCTTCCTTGCCGGCATGGTTAAATGATTCTGATAAGGATGTGTTACTTGAACGAGACTCTATGCCATAATAGGAAGGTAACTGTCCTGTAGGTCTCACCTGTTTTGAGGCAGATGTCGTTTAAATGAGGGTTAAGAAGTTTATGCTGAAATAAATAAACCATAACTCGAAGACTTATCAGCTACTGTAGCAACCATCGCCTAGTGTAAAAAATCTATAGAGATAAATACAGAAGGCCACTTGTCAGTATAAGTAAGCATTAATTAAAAGATTGAGTGAATGGTTAAAACTATTCTTGTTTGTAACCCGCTTCTTAGAGCGCCAAATATACCAGTTTTGTCACCGAAGCTCGGGATTCCATGGCATTATGGGTAAGACGAGGAAGTCACTATGTGGTCTTGCCATATGCCGTTTCCATTGCCAGCCTGATATATCTTATATTCGTGGGTATTGGATGTACCCACACGTCGTCTTCTCAAAATGAACTGTATTTTATAAAGTCTGTGCATAATACTCTGTGGAAAAGAGTGAATCTGGGGAATTGACTGTACAGGCCAATCTAATGGGCTTTAGCTCAACTCTGGAGAAGAAATTAACGGGGCTTATCTCACAACGATCAGTCCTTGATGATTCCTTAGTCGCGGTGGCAGGACCTACTTCAGATGTTTTATATACTCTGTACAATATAAGCAACACTACGCAGAATATAGGCAACAGCACCATTGATGGCGCGACGGGAGCGGTGGGAAATGCAGTAGATGAAGCAAAAAATCAGGCTCAGGATGTCTCTGATAAACTTGCCAAGATAGAATCTAATATACAGGGGTTCTACATTGTCGGCCTTTGGGGATACTGCCAAGGGAGCTTTAACGAAGCCGGTTCAGCTGTCATGAATTGTACAGCGCCAAGCTTGTCCTTCTGGGTCAACTTTACTGAAGTACTCGGGCTAGAGAGCGCATGGGCAGAAAAGGTATTTCCTAGCCAAGTCAAAAAGGTGATGGCTGTGTATAAGACGGCATCGAAGGGAATAAGTACCATCTATATAACTGCACTTATCACAACTGTACTCACCCTAATTACGGGATTAACGGCCACGGTCTCCCGCTGGGGTAGCTGCTTGGTCAGTATCTGTGCAGTGGTATGTAGTTTCAGGCCCAAGAACGACGGACTTGGGCGCTAACTGTATCTAGATATCGATGGTTTCTATAAATCTGTGTTTCATTCTGCTGGGATTAATGCAAGCTTGGGCCACAAGATGTTAGCAACTAGCTGGCTGGCTTCATCGTCATCTGTGGTGGCTTGTATTCTCTGGTTTTTGAGCATCTGTTGTTGCTAGGGAAAGTAGTGTCTGGACAAAGAATGGAAAAGGAACGGCCATATAAGATAGCAAACTGATCAGTCACTTGTTCTAACAATGCTGTGGCAGCCATATACAAACTCCAGTAGATATCGCATCCAAGTACTGTTCGCCTTGTTGACAAACAAGTCATTTAGATTGGGCATTGATCATCGTGTCCTCGGAAATAAAGTCAAGTATAGGTCCCAAAGTCTGTCAATGTACCCAAGGTGGGTCAAAAGTCTGATTACATTCGCGCGTTCCCGCGACGCGCCAAAAAACCTCACCTTCTTCAACTATCTGTCATTACATCAAAATGAGAGCTTTTGGGACAGGAATAAGCGGAAATAGAAGCCTAATGCAGAACTTCCTATGGAGACTCGAGCGGCTATTTTATCTGCTCTAGAAGACAATGTGTCTCCAACCCAATTGGCTAAGCAATTTAGCGTCAGTCGCAATACAATCTATTCAGCCAAAAAACGCTTTTTACGCAACCATACCTTAAAATCACTCCCAAGAAAAGGAAGGCCTACAAAGCTTGGTCGTTCTACTGAGCGCTATAACTATCTACTGGCTTGTCGAAGGCCTAAGCTTAGCTATAGAGCTCTATGTATAAATAGCGATTCTGGGGTCTCTACCTCAACAATCAAGCGGGTTCTAAAACGATTTTATTTAAAAAATGGAAAAGTAAGAAGTGTATAGCTCTAACGCCTGAGATAGCTAAAAAGCGTCTTCAATTTGCGCGTACGTGGTTGAAAAATTCCACTTGGAATGAAATCATGTTTTCGGACGAATGTTTGGTGCAGAGAAAGTCTAATTCCTCTACCCAATATATCTTTCGATTCTCAAATAAGGCCTATAGACGTGATCTAGTGAACCTAATAAACCATGGAAAAAATATTTCTCAAATGGTATGGAATTCTATATGGCTAGGTGGTCGATCTGATCTAGTTATAATGGAGCGGGATGGATTATCTCATCGAGGCAGTCATTCAACAAAGTCCTATATTGCTTGCTTAGAAAAGGGTCTTCTACCGATCTATAAGCCAGGCACTATATTTTAGCAAGACTATGTAAAGATTCATTTTTCGGCTGAAGTGCAGGACTGGTTTGAATCTCATGGAATCTGGGTTCTAGATTGGCCATCTCATTCGCCTGATTTAAACCCTATAGAGCATATCTGGGCTCTGCTTAAGCGCAAGCTTTTAGAGCTCTATCCTATGCTCTTTATAGGAGGAAGATCAAAAATTGACGGGAGGCGCTTCAGAAACCATATTAAGGAAGCTTGGTGGGCTATACCCCAGGAGGTGATAGATCGCTTAATCTGTTCTATGCCTCGCAGGCTTCAGGCAGTACATCGAGCACGTGGCTGGTATACAAAGTATTAAATGAGGGATATATAGACTCATTTGTAGATCAAAACCATTTGAATTGCTTGAGAAAATCGATTTTGAAATTGTTGCGATTTTTTGATTTTTTTGAGTGTAATCAGACTTTTGATCCACTATTGTATATAACATACTGCTCAGTAGCTTAGTAGAGACTCTATAACTCCTACTTATATCGAAAGCCGTTTGCCATAAGCTCTCTCGATATTATTTCTGAGGGGGTCAAGATTTGTGGTAGATATAATGATGTGCTCATCAATGAGGTGATCAACACTGGGATGCGATGTCGATCATAGGGCTACTGACCCTGGACTATAAGAACTGACCTACTTCACTTCTTTATCCCCTTGTCTGGTGGAAGTGGACAAAATGGCGGCTTGGCAAATATAAGGTATATTATTGGATAATATGTAGACTGCCCATTTTTCTGCCTCAACTCTAGCGAACGCGCTCAACGCGGGGAATCGCGAGGATTCAAGCATTTCATATTACACTCATCTTTCTCTGTTGACCTTGACTAAAGGGATTTATTTGCCTCTGATGAAGTGCACGGACGCAAGGACCTTGAATTTATCAACTGTAACTATGCTCGATGACCTTAATAACCTCGATGGACTTGATGACCTGCCTCACCCGGATATATTATTCTCTCTCCCACTGAAAGATGATACTTAGCACAGTAAAGCTCTAGGAGAGTCCCTGGGTACCGATGCAGCTGGGCTCTCCCCATCTAGAATAACGTCACTGAACGGACATTGCAAATTTCAGCAAAGCTCTACAATGACATCCACAATTTATAGAGATTGCATCTATTTTGAGCTGAGTTTACCTTCACAAAGTATTCCTTTCTCGCCTATTTACATGACTTCATAAAGAGCTTTCTACAAATGTTGAAATCAACAGCTAAATTCAAAGGCATTATATACCTGGTCCCTCACGCATTACGCATACATGACACACCTAGTCAGGATATTATTAAGATAGTATACATGATAATTGATATTAACAAACAAAAAATAATACAAACCAAGCGATCAATGCAACGCACTCCTATCTTAGCATGAATTGTACATAATCATCATGATTGACTCAGTGTATGTTTCAAATCCTATGATAGATCAGTCGAAAGCCTAGTGCCATAAATCCGTTTGTAGAATGACCAACCTCAAGCATATCCTTCACTCCTACAGCTCGCCCATCATTGGTATCATTCAGAGAAGTTGATATTAGATTCAGTTTCCATTCCTGTCTGCGTCGGATGTACTGCGTTTTCCAAAATTGTCAATCAAAACCAATATGCCTTGAAAAGTGGGAATTACCTCTTCAATTGAAGTGGCGCCTGTCACGATATAGCGGATTGCCAGGACATTTCTTTTCTGTCCAATTCTATGGACACGGTCTAGTGCCTGTCTCTCTAACATGGGATTCCAGCCTGGCTCAAGAAGGTGGACTTGGCTAGCAGCTGTAAGATCGATGCTAAATAATATTTGTCCGTAAGCAATGATTTAATAATAAGTCCTTAAGAATGAAGACGTACCAAACTCCAGCACTGCCCAAAGTGGCAAGGAATATAGTGCATGACGGACTTTCGTTAAAGATACGGAGTGCCTGTTTGCGATGCGAAGAGCTTTTGCTACCGTCAATCCTCTGAAATTGGAATCCAGTACCATCGAGAGCTTTCTCCACCAAGTCGAGCATTTTTGTCCAAGTGGAAAAAATAACACTGGTCAGTATTGTTAGTAATATTACTTGAGGTGGATATCGTATGAGAGAATTTATCATTACCTCTTGATCGGCATCTCTTCTGGATGTTGAGATGATTGACACCTGGCCTTCTGAAGATTTTCCAACAAAGCTTTGACTTTAGAGGATGGACGGTATTGTGTTTCAACCTCCATTTCATCCGTACCTTGACCTTCCTTCTTCTCACACCCTGACTCAGAGCATACGGGGCAGACGGGCTCACTAGGGCTATCGCCCTCTTGGACACCTCTAAGACAGGCTTTGCATACCTGATGCATACAGGCAATTGTATCATCCATGTTCTCTTCTGAGTCAGCCATGGGATCATTACAATGTTCGCAGGTTGGAGGTGGGGTGGTGGGATTCTCATCAAAAGACATAACGCTGTCCAGCCATTGCTGAGTCGTAGAAGGAAGTAACTCGCGACCATGGTTGCATATTTGTCGAAGCCTTAGAATATTTTGAAAAGAGCTCCGTGCCATCCCGCGAGTTTCAATAGCAGAAACACATGATTTGGTGAACAGCTTGTACATCTTTCTTTCCTCCATGTTGAGCTCCACCGGCTGTATAATTCCCTCTCGTACAGGGAGGTTTAGATCAAGGGCCTCCTTTGTTCTTCGAAGTGAGATGACTTGGACGAGAGATCTGAGCTTTTCCCAGCCACGTTCATTCCCACGCTCTATCGGATAAGTGAACGTGTCCCTGAAAGACATTCCGTCATCAAACGGCGATACACGGAGGAATTTAACAAGAGCTCCAAGTTCCTGCACCCAGTTCTGTATCGGAGTCGCTGTTATACACCAGCGGTGCTTTGCAGAGAGATTGTACACAGCCTGGAAGACCCGAGAGGATGGGTTTCGAATAACGTGGGCTTGGTAAATAAGGATCAGCCTAGTTTAGGTTTTTCTGTAAGTCAGTATTCATACCTTCATCTAAAACAATCCTATGCCAGCCAATCTTGCGCAAGATACCGTCGCGTTTAGATTTCTCGTTAAAGTCCACCTTGAGGGTATCATATGTTGTCAGAATGATGGAATGTTGGGCTAAAGAGCTGGCATCTCTTGTTCGAGTTGGTCCATGATAAACAGTGTAACTCAGTGATCCCTCTTTGAAGTGCCTAGAGCCACGTGTGAGCTAGGGGTAAAATCAGTGTATGGGGGTTGGTGAATACCCTTCTATTTGGTTCTCCCAGCTAGAGAGGGCTATCATACGTCAGTAAATGTTATGTGTCCAACAAAAGCTGGAAAACCACGACATACTTGATAGTGGTGAAACAATCAAGGTAGATTGTTTTGCTTGTTCTTGACCCTCTTGAGTTTCATTCAATGAACCAGCTATTAAAGCCAGCATAGAAAGTGTTTTCCCAAGACCCATATCCTGTTTACAGGTCAGAGGATACGCAATATCGATTGAAAATACCACTCACATCAGCAAGAAGACCTCCCATGCACAATTCTGGTTCCTTTAGTTGAACATTCCCAGTGACAGAATTGCGGTATCTGAGATAGAGGGGTAAGTCTATATTTGAAAGTCAAGGCTCTCTAGGGGTGCATACATTTTCATCCCGCGTTCCCCTTCCTCAACACCTTCTGACCAAAGAGATGGGAATTCACATCCAACAATCCGACCGGACTCCTTCTCAACCATCATGGCTAAAGCTTTTTTCTGGTGTCTGATTAAACTATTAGCATCTATTGATGCAAAGATCGAGTGAAAAACATACTTCAAAAGATCGGTCTTGATCCTATGGCTCACCTGTACCTTCGAGAATACGGTTGGGCCTGATGCGGAATCCATTACCTGAGAGGCTTGCGATTTTGCTTTCTCATTTAACTGGGACGATTGAGTCAATTCAAGACCATTCTTTTGCCATGACGCCCGGAATTCAGATCCCGGGGTTATCAGATATTGTGGGTTGTAGTATGTTGTCGACTCATCGAAATCATACGGTTGTTGAATGAAATAACCATTGTCGCTCAGGAAATCACCAATCATGTCGGCTTCATCGCCGATGCCATATATCATGACTGAAATACTGCCTCGGGGGTGGAATTTGGCAGAAAGCTTCGTTTTGTATGAGTGAGACAAGGTGACGATCAGCTGGGCTGCTTCTCTATTCAGATAACCGGCGTATTCTTTTGATTCAGCACCGCGAATGATCACGATATTTCCGCATATATCGAAGTATAAATCTCGGGTACTTTTTTCCTTTTCAAGGCTCTGTCTAATGACATATTCGCGGATGTGGATCTGCTGCTTGTATGAGTAAAATATCATGCCACTATTATGAATGGGACTTGCGTATCCAAAACAGGTATCATGGATTGTCTCACTGCGTTTGTCATCGGCTGTTGGTTTTGACTCGGATATTCCTCTATCGGGCGTTGATAAAGGTGTCTCGGGAGAATTGTGCGTGGAAGTAAAGTCGCCATCTTTGTTAGAAGGCTGCTCAGGGTCGCTGCAGGATGTCGCTCCATCGAAACCTTCAGCATCTGGCAAAGTGAGGTCGACCATCTCAGACGTAGCCCCAGCAAGACGTCCAGCAATTGGGTCGAATCCGGCAGCATTGTTTGCAAGAGACTGGCCAAACAGAGAGAAACTGCTATCGAAGTTCTCCTCAAAAGGCCATCCACCCACCATCGGGCACTCAGGGAAACTCCCATCATCAATGCCCATGTCGTAGCTTAGTGAATCTAGCATTCCATGATTGGCAGCAATCGACTCGTCATATTGATCGAGATCGCCAGAAGAATGTTCCGCGGGATCAGCACGTGGCCTCCCAATATCGGATCCAAGGGTACGAGCACGTTTTGAAGGGTTTCCAAAATCGTCATATTGTTGATGGTTGTCCGATAAACATTCGGTTAATTCGCCGAAATTTCTTTTTGGTGTATCAGCAAAGCCGGTATTGGAGTCTGCTATTGGCTGGTGCTGCTCCATGCCTTTTACTCGATCCATTTAATGCGCGATCTCTAACAGATTTGCATTACACATGCAGTGGTTGGCAGAAGAATCGTATGCTGGCTATAGTGGACGAAAATATAAATCACTTTCAAAGACAAGGGCGCAAGGGAATTTAATATTTTGGACGGGGCTTAGCTTCCTCCACGGCGCAGTAAGTGAGGCGTCTAAGACAGTCAGTCATGACCTCGTAGGTACCCAATTGGCTGGATGTTTTGTGGTGATTTTGATAAGTCCACGCACGCTCTTCTCGAAAAGTTTCCGAGTTATCGGGGAAAGCAGAATGAAACGGGCAAAAGAAAACAGAAACGGAAAAATTAATAAGACGAAAGATATTTTAGAGAAAGGAAAGATATAGCAAGATGGAGGAAGAAAATTTTAAAAGAAAACCGTAAACGTAAACATGAACCTGAAATCGTACAACACTTGCCCGGTGGGCCTAGAATCTTCAAACTCCGGCGTCATGGTCTACAGCGATCACTGCAGGTACAAATTGCAAAGCCCCTGAAGTTGCAAATGACAAAATGAGGCGCAGTTCCAAGTGGCGTAGTAATAGATTGTAGGGAATTAACCCGGGTGAAAATAATGCAATGATTCCCCTGTCAGTATGGAAGAGAACATTAGATAGGGCAGAAAGCCCTAACAAGGGGAATTTTCGGACTTGCGGTGTGTAAACATGCCTGTTTATGATATCGGGGGTCAAAGCCATACGTTGTAAGTAACCTCACTTAGATCTATTTCCTAATGATAATAAAAATACCAATAATACTCCATATTCAAATATGATTTTTGGCTAAAAATCAAAAAGAAAAAAGAGTATATATGGGGGAGAAAGAAGGCATTGAAAGTTGCTTAAATGCATAGTCGAGAACAGCACCAGCGGCCTTGACTGTACGCAACTACAAAGAATAACGATATCTGTGCTTTTCAGTGACCTCCACCCGAGGCACGGATACTTCTCTTTCCAAGTTACTTCCATCCAAGCCCGTCCTTTTTGCTTATTAAAAAAATAGGTGTTTAGGACAGCCATACTATGACGCATTTAATAATAAATAGAAGATGCAAAAAAGTCGAAAAAACATACAACAACAGGGATCCGCTGGTGGTCACCCACTCCCACCCAACTCCTGGCTTAAGACAAGAGAGTGAGGCGTAGGCAGCTATGGAGGCAAGACGCTAATCTTCTTGGCCTTTGAATTTGAATTACTTATTTCAAGGTTAACTGCTATACGGTGATGATCCCTAGGTCTCCCTCTCCTTTCAAAATCACATATAATTTCGAGGTGTCTCTTGTGGGTTCAATGTTTTGGAAGCTGCAAAACAACTGCGTGTGGCCCTCAGGATATACAGAGTCGTTGACAGAAAAGTCAACCAAAAACATTTCCAGCGTACTACTGCTTACTAGATCAGATTTGATGTTATTGATCAATGCCTTTCCATTTAGTTCTTCTCCCTTCTCCCTTCTCCTTTGCTCCATGTTTTTTTATTTATCTTTCTCACACAAACTGTTTGTTAGGATAGATAGTTAGCCTTGTCGCAGCCTTATACAATCCCAGTATCTCTCAGCACGCACCCCACCATCTGATCAGGCTATCTTTACTTTTGTTGTCGGCTGGACAGTCAGACTTCCTCCCCCCCTTTCCATCTCTTTCATCCATCAGATTTCTCCCACATGGTTAACTGCACACCCCCCCCCTCTTCTCGGTCAAGTTGCCTGCTGCCCTACCGGATAAACCCGACCGATGACTATTTCGTCCTCTTCAACAATGGCTGCTCATCAGCACGACGTTCGCAAATACACGATTGGTTGGCTGTGTGCCTTACCAGTTGAACTTGCAGCCTCACGACTCATCCTCGACCGGATACACACAGGACACTGGGCTGACCCCACTGACGGGATGCAATACACGCTCGGAACTATTGGAAACCATAACGTTGTCATCGGGTGTCTTCCAGCAGGAGAGACGGGAATAGGAGCCGCAGCTACGGTCGCAACGCGGATGCGAGGGCGGTTTCCTAATATGCAGTTTGGCCTGATGGTTGGTGTTGGAGGCGGAGTTCCAACCAAAACCGACGTGCGCCTGGGAGATGTTGTGGTCAGTCAGCCTGTGGGCAGTAGCACCTCCGTGGTACAGTATGACATGGGAAGTGCCACACCCCGTGGATTTGTGCGGACTGGCTTCCTCAACGCTCCTCCCCAGATACTTCGCCAAGCACTTGCGAATCTTCAGGCTCGGCACATGTGCGAAGAAAATAACATGCCCAGATATCTCGCTATCTTCGAACAGAAAAAATCATTCAGAAGACCACCTCCCGAGTCCGATATTCTCTTCAAGTCAACCTATGATCATGGCCAGGACGAGAGAAGCTGCGAGAACTGTGACAAGTCAAAAATAAAGCCCCGAGAACCACGAGACGATAACGAGGCTGTTGTGCATTATGGAACGATAGCATCCGGCAATCGGGTTATGAAGAATGCACGAACGAGGGATCTTTTGAGCAACGAGCCTGGTAGGGTTCTGTGTTTTGAAATGGAAGCAGCAGGGCTGATGAATAATTTTGATTGTCTGGTCATACGAGGAATTGCCGACTATGCAGATTCCCACAAGAACGATAGGTGGCAGCCATATGCAGCAGCAGTGGCAGCGGCGTTTGCTAAAGATTTGTTGGTCGATATCCCGCCAATTAATTTGCCCAAAATTTCATCTCTATCGGTACGTCGAATGGTCTAATTATTAAAGCGTATGCTTCTGATAACTGACAGCTAGGTTGACGAGGCAGATTTGGATTGAGGAATGTTACAAGTCCGCAAAAGCAAATCTTTTAGTAATATCGAGGGATAACGAAATAGACGATTCCACTGATTGTCAATCTGTTCTTGATATATATGCTGTATCAAAGGAGATACAAATGCTGCAGGCCACCCATGAAGGATTATGCACACTTGGAAGAATCGATCCCTACATCAAGAATGTTCATGAATTTGTGGAAGTAATTGAGACTTTAACCAGTATAAGCCAAGACAGAGTGTTGATTATCTGGGTAAGAAAATTCTCAAAGATTTTTCAACAATTGGTCAACGTAGCCTGGTCACTGATATCCGTCAATCCTTTTTAGAATACTTTCAAACTTCTTCTTAAGGTAAAACAATGACTTTGGTCCCATAAAACCTAGCTGACCTTTATTTTGTAGGTCTTTAGCTTAATGGAATATGCCTTCAAGAACATAGTATATGCTCTCACAGATATTGGGCGCGAGCTTCCTCAGTTCAAGGAACATATTGAACTGTTTGAAAGAAGCGAAGACGCAAAAGATGTTTTGGGTCTATTTTATCGGGAAATCCTGGATCTTCATCTTGTTATTCTAAGGACATTTAAGAAGAAAAGTACATTTGATCAAGTTACCATCTTTTCATTCCTGCTCTAACCTACGCATGCTCTCAGATACAAAATTGATATTTGAGTCATATTGGCCGAGAACAAAAGAAATGATCAAGTTTTTCAAAGAAAACATGGGCCGGTACAAGAACTTGTTGAATGAGCATGTCACCACAGACCAGATCACTCAAGAATATGATGCTCGCCAATTGGCATACGAGGCAAGGCATGATGAAGACAAGACGAACGGCGACAAGGATTATGAAACAGCGAGAAACTACATCGCACCGCGCTTCTACGAGGAAGAGCTTGAGAAGTTCCATAGAGGGATTAACCCGGAGTCTGGAAATTGGCTGCATGAGAATGATGATTTTAAAAGGTGGCTTGATACAGATGACTCGACAATGCGGACTTTGTGGCTTCAGGGAATCCCTGGCGCAGGTAATCACCATAAATACATTTTATTTAATGCATGCAATTTTTCGAGTGCTGATGGTGTTCCCAGGGAAAACAGTGTTGGCTGCAAATAGTATCATTCGAATGCGGCAAGCGGAGGCGCAACTATTGTTTGCATTTTTAACCTTCGATGATAAAGAGCAAGATCATGCAGTGAAGGTACTGCAATCCCTTATGTGTCAAATGACTAACAGAAACGCTCACATGTGGCCAATCCTCCATGAGAGGTACATCATGGATGCCGGCAAATTGAAAAGCAGCCGGTCATATCTTGAAGATCTCTTCATAGAGCTTTTGAGAGATGCAGGACACACCTTCATCATTATTGACGGAGTAGATGAAGTTGATCAGCTGCAGAGGGAGTGTTTGTTGAAATCACTCCTAAACGTCAAAGAATCATGCAAAAATATCAAGTTGCTCATCAGCTCTCGTGTGGAGACAGATATAGCTAGGGACCTGAAGAAAAGAGCATTCTCAATTCGCGTTGATCACAGGAATGCGGGAGATATTGAGACATATGTCAACCATGAAGTAGATGAATGGCTACCCCGTCTTACAGGTTTCGGGGCCAATGAAAGTACATCCTCTCAAATAAAACTCGCATTAGGAGGTCTCAAGAAAAAGGCAAATGGTAATGGACCTGGCTGCATAGTCATAACTGCGCTGACTTCTTTACAACTAGGAATGTTCCTCTACGCCAAGCTCGTAATGCATATTGTGAAAACTCAAGACAATCTCGAAGATATTCGAAAGGAGACGGAGAATCTTCCGAGTGGCCTTGAGCAAGCGTATGTCTCCGAAATTCTGATCGGTCTGCCAGGCAATGATGAAGCTCACGGTGTTCCAGATACGGCCGAATCTTGCAGGGAATCGAGAAGAGAGAAATCTATGACAGACTTGCAGCTATCATCATTCTACAATGGATTGGTTGTGCAACACATCCGCTCAGAGTACAGGAGCTCCTCCAGATTTTGGCTATACAGCACCACTCGGATAACTTCTCGAAAGGTCGTTGGGTTTTTCGTAATATTCAAGAAACGTGTGGCCCGTTTATTGAAATTGAGAAAGGAATAGTTCGCTTTGTGCATTTTACCGCAAGAGAGTAAGTCAGGTCCTCCTCTAAATAAGCTACAATTGTTAATTGCTACTATCCAGGTATGTGTTCGGGGGTCAGAGCAAATATTTCATCCGTACCCCTGACACACATTGCTTAATTGCGTCGACTTGTCTCAAATATCTGTGCTTTGAATCACTCAATGACATATTCAGTCAAGACATCAATGAAGAAGAAACAGGACAGAAGATTCTCCAGGGCGACTTTATCATTTTCCATTACGCGGCAACCCAATGGATACATCATGTAAGGGAATGCGCAAGAGAGATCAAGCCAGACTATCTTCAAATGTTGAGTAGAATCATTACCGACTTTTATTTGTCCCGGAGAAACCAACGTTCGACCTCTGTTATTCCTCAGCGATCAGCATACATTGATTTTGTATCGTTTGGCAAATGGTCTGATGTACAAAGATTCTTGGCTCTTGTGCAGGACTTTCAATATAGGCTTGAGATAGGGCATCTGTACACTGACGGTATTTAAAGCCCGTATGACCAAAGGCTGAACGTCCTAGCTGACCACCTCAAAACAGGCAAGGAGAACACTTGGATGGACAGGGACCCGACCAAAACCTCCGCTGCGCTCGTCCAATTAAGACGTCAAATTGAGGCTCTACTTTGCCAAGGCCACGATCACCTCCCAAACTGCTCCTGCAAAAAGATCCAAGAACTATATGGGACGAACCTTTACCGTTGTGATAGACAGTTCTGCCAATTCTACAGCACTGGTTTTGCGACGCGCAGAGAAAGAGACGTACATCTCAAGGTTCATAGTAGACCGTATCTATGTCCACATACAGATTGTCTCTTCACTGAACTTGGTTTTAAATCATCACCAGAACTTGCAAGACATTGCAAAGAAGCACATCCACCTCAACGCCGCATTGAAAGCCGGGTGGTCAGCGCTGAATTGATCCAACAAGTTTCAGAGAATGACATGAAGGCACTTATTGAAGACGCAGTCCGTCATGATGAAACTGATGCTGTATCGTATCTTTTGCAAAATTTCAATTATACGTCCCATGAGTACTGGAGTTTGCATCAACTTGCGGCGACTCATGCATCTGGAAACATGGTCAGGTGCATACTATACCAGGCGCAGAAGATTGATAAGGAATTGGACATTGAAACAGGGGTATTGGCTGCCATACGTGGTGAAAATATGTTAACACTGCAATATCTGGTCATCAAGGCCGACCAGATAATGTCGCAGAAGTTCGATACGTCCAGAAGGAAAAGGATCTTGACATACCGAGTTCGTTGCGCATTCGAAATGGGTAATGCCGATATCATGGACATTTTAATCAATGATGGTAGGCTGGAACTCCCATCAACCTGTCCAAACAATCTTTTCAGAGAGCTCATAATATCCAAGAGAGATGATACTGAGAAAGTGCGCCGGCTGCGCTCGATGAAAAAGTACGTCATATGGCCAGAGGCATTCACAAATGCCGTTTATTGGGCTGCACTTACAGGCTCTATAATAATGTTACAAGGTTGCCTTGACTGCGGGGGAAGTGCAAATGCTGTAGTCTATCGTAGTAGTGGTGACCGATCATTCCAGACAGCCTTGCATCAGTGTGTCAGAAAGGGCACCAATCGCCACGCAGAAGTTGTCAAACTCCTACTGCAAAATGGCGCTGATCCCAACGCCAAAGCAGGCCTCACGAGGCTCAAGGGGATTGCGAAGATTGAGAAATATTTTGGAGTGAGCTGGGAAGATCTAGTTATCCAGACCCAGGGTCACACGGATCATAAGCTAACGGATAATTCTTTCTCTCCTGATTCCTCAACTCCGGCCTGATGACTACACCACAAGCCAAGGATTGCCATTTCTACTGTGCTTGGCCATTTTCAAGAGTATCGAAGCGGAGGTAGACTGAATCAGAATATTAGCTTTAGTAAGGATATTTAATTGCTTTTTTAAGTATTTGCAGAAAAGTCCCTATATCATCCAATATTAGACCAAAGATAATGGGCCACACTAACTTGAAGATTGCCACGGCCTATCCTAAATGGGAACGTTTAGATAGGATAACCGCTGCGCTAGGAGCAAAAGACTAGACTAGTATTCAAGGATAGCGTCCTTGAACCGTTCTCGCTTTATATAGGAAAGCTGTACAGCGCTGTCACAGATGTCTTGTAGAACAACTTGCATTCATGTGTCTCCTACCATAGGGTATGTTCATTGACTCAATAGTATCAGTTGCACAAGCAATCAAAAGTCCCATGCCTCGTCACATCACTCCCTAGGTATCTCTAAAGGCCGATTATTATCGATCCTGCCGTCGAATATGCAGAGACGTTCGAGCATATTGTGTATCCACCCTTTGTTACCAATTCCTCAATCTAGTATGTTTAGTCAGTTTCCTGAAAGCCAAACCGAATGGCTCGATGTAAGGCCCGTTCCAGATACAGGAAATGTTGGTCTTAATTATTCTTTCTCCTTTTGAATCACTCATGAGTGTGACGAGTCATCCTTAACCTAAGAATATATAGCGAGAGCGATTGTAGATCTGCTGACCTAGAATACTAGTCTTTTGCCGATAACGCAGCGGCTATTCGTTTAGAACGCCCCCAGGGGAAGAGCCGTGACAATGAGTACGATTACCCTTCGCAAGTCGCCTACAGAGCGATCGTCTACGTAAGCTGCTGTGCCATGCAGTGGCCCTTACTATGCATAATTCCCTATTAACTACTGTTTCACGAGCATGATGACTGCATGAGAATACTTGCGATATTACCTATAGCAAAAATGCGAGGTTTATAACCATAAACCTCAATTGTCTCAAAGGCTTAAAATAGACAAATTCATTTAGCTCGCAATCCTTTTGATCTGCACAGCGGAGGCCCTTTGGGAGCTTTCATGTTGCCTCGTCTCTTGTTCTCTCCATGTTCTGCACGTAGCGCCTCTTCTGCATGACGGTATCTCTGAGATGAGCGCTTCACATGTTGAGGTTGAGACTCCGACTCTGGCGCGGGTGCGAGATCTGGCACCTTTGCAGTACTCCTCGTCGATCGCTTAATTTAGTCATTTCCATACACATTTTTGGACTTTTGTGTGAGAATCTGGGCTACGTGGGCCGAGGAATACTTTTCTAATCAATATGTTAGTTAAGCTTCGCGGAGAAGAGGATGGGAAACGGAGGAGACAATAGACCTTTGACGGCCGCGCTCAAAGTGCGGCGCATGGAATAGACAGTGGCATTTACAAGGTAACAGGTAACTGTAAATAACTTCTGAAGAACTTCTTGATAGCATTCCTTTATCAGCGGGTCCTCCTAATCTCTTTGGCTGTTATATGTCTAACAATGCAGCAATCTTTAGCGTCTTCGGTCCACGGGAGAACTAGTTTATCCTGTTCTTCAGGGATTCTTTGCTCGAAGATATCTTCAGCGAAAGAAAATCTATGAAGAGTATTATTATCAAGAGCTAGGATAAGTAGATAATGGCCTTCAAAATAAATAGACTCATCACAGTTCTATATGACTGTTCCAAATCTAAAAATCCTACATATCAGTATCCTTACCACTTGAGGGCTCTAATCTAAATGCCGCTGGGGAGACAGTGCTGTGAGTTAGATATGATATACACTGTATTATGGAGATCTTTATTATTCTTAATCCACTGCTGGTCAAGTTGCCATCCAAGCCTCCAAGGGGCATTGACGGCACAGAAAAGGACAAGTTCAATATACTGAAAGATATGAGAATTCTATAGAGAATAGAGACAAGAGGTGTTTTACCTTGTAATGAAGATCTTGCTCAGACTTTTCAGTTAATATAGATGTCAAAGAAGCAACCCTTGCATCTGTATATAAGAACTGGAGGATAATAAAATGAAACTGTACCTGGTACCTCCCGGCTATAAAGAATATATTATCAGTCTCCCAGAGAGCTATCATAACTTACTTAAAATTACTAAGTTTATAATCATATTTTTGTTTTTTAATTACTTTAACAGTATAGTCTTTAACCAAATCCTTCTTGATCTACTTTAGAAAGTCAGGAAAGAATTATATCAAAAGAGAAAAATAAACTCACCTTATATAAATTAATAGTGTCATGTGGAGGGATATGATTACCAGTCTTAAGAAAAGACTAGAACAAATTCTTGTATATAGTTAAGAGTCATGTCCATTATTGGCTGACTATCAGGGTCAAGTCAGTCCTTTGTAGAGTCAATAAACTATTGAATATATTGTTTAAGTATTTTAAATATTGGGACTGGATATCTCTCTCTGACCTTAAAGCCCTCAGACATGTTCTTCACCTTGATAAGGTACCTACCAATATTTGTCAATAGAGTATAGCTTATATAGAATAGATATAAAGGTGTACTCCTTATACTTATGCAATTATTTCCAGTACCTTTCCCCAGTCCTCTTTGATACCCTACTAGTGGTCCGTTCAGCATCTTTCTGCTGATAAGTATCCAGGTCATAATCTCTTTCTTAACGCAGTTCATGACATTCTATCTGTGACGGCTCAGGCCAATGTAGATAAATTGATCTTATTGGGTAGCTCTAATACGAGAGAATTGCTTGAAGAAGAGAATATCCCACGAGCGAAGCTCTGAGATATTGTCTATCTCAAATACAAACAGAACAAACAAGAATCATGCACTACTTGCTGATATTCACTATGAACTCAGCAGCCTGTATAGTGACTGCGCCGTCACACTATCCTCTTCTTTTCTTGCTGGAAAGCCTTCCATGAGTTGGAGCGTTTCCGCATTTTGAATGAAGGCAGTGTAGCAGGAGTATGGAGATAGCAAGATCAGGAATATCACAAAAAGAGATTATTGTTGATAGAATAATAAAGAAAGAATGTTTCTGAAGTGAAAGCTCACAAGAGAAGCGTATACTCAATTTATACTATATATTTAGGGCTAAGAATATAAGACTATGTAGTCTCTGGCTGGAGTTGGTTTTGCCTGCTTCTTCCGAGTCCCACGCAACTTCGCACTTTGTAAAAGAAGACAATATATGCATTGTTCAAGCTAAGTTGTTCAACCCTGATCATTGTGAGGGCTTATGGAAGTGTATGGGTGGAGACTTATAGACCTCGGAATTTAGTGTGTATACAATTTATAGACAATGATCCTATCATGTGACGGACGAAAAGCAGCAATATGATCTACTCCCGGATTTTTGTCAGAGGGCAAGCTGACAGACTGCCTGAGTACTCCGGGAGCAGCCGGAGCGGTCGGTGCGTGCTCAGTGAAAAATCAGTGAGTGCCCCAGAGCGCTCACGGATGGCTCCCGGATGGCTCACGTGCTGCCCTCACAAAAGCGGCGGCACCCGTATCGGGCAATCGGACTGGACTCGCAGAAGAACAGTTCACTTCTATACTAGTAAAACCCTTTCAAAACGCATATATATATCGGAATTTCTTATGGTACTTGCCGTATTAGTGCTAGTGCTCAGTGGGGCAGGCTGGGTAATCCTCAAATACTTGAGGTGGTCATCTTTGCAATGATTGTTGCATCACCGATTCTGCCGCTTGTGTCCGCTTTCAATAAAGTGCACTAGACAGGGTCTGTAACAGGGGACCGATTTGTCTATGCACATGGGTCAGGGTATATTGTACGATCATCAGGCCTAATCGCTATTCGGTCTGTGTCAATATCATATAATCTAATATCAACATAATTAGATTTTATAGGTTTTATTAAATTATTAAATTATCTATATCAATAGAAATCATGAGATCTTTTTGGAATCAGTCTAATTATAATAGTATTTCATAATCTATACAATTCTACAGGCTACCGATTCCTGCGATAATATGTAATTTCATGGATGTGTTCAATATCTATTCCTAGGCTGCTGCTGTAAAGCAACATTGCAGTAGAAGCACCCGGAGTCAATTTTTATACAAGTATTGAGGTCGAAGCACATCACAATGAGACTTCGGACATAAAATTACTAGTAGAGTGTGGGAGTTAAAAGAGCGTTGGAAGTAGCGGTAATAGTATATCTGCTATGTGTGCTGGATCTAACTCTACCTTATGAACTGGCTAAAATCGGGGTGTTCCAGTGTTAGAAGCAGTACTCTACTCATATGCTAGATGGATATGGCCACAAAGTGGCCCGTTTGAAATTCTCCGCTGTTTTGTTATATTGACCCAAGTGGGCGAAGACTAGTTATACGCCGCACACCTTCGGGAAGTCAAAAGAGGAAAGCAAGAAGATACATATCTGACCAAATGAGATTAAGGCCTGCCAATAAGAGACAATAGATGTGAGCGTTGTGTAGACCATGACATTAAACTACCTCATAAGGTATACCCCGTTCTGAACAGGAAGATCAGGCGCCATGGTCAGTTGATGCGACTAATTTTGACTCGAGAACCTACCGTATAGTAATTGCACAAGAGCAAGCATTCCGGAGAATTCAAACAACTGTAGATGGATAGCCTTCATGAATTACTAGCAGAGATCTCATTCTTCCACCTCAGGCGGCACTATATCGTTCAAACAATTCGCAACGGCATGACACACCTCGTTCAGCGATGCACCTCGCCGAATATCATTGATGATATAATCCACATCCGCATCACGGCCGTGCTGTATCGCGCGCAACAAATTCTCCAAGGCACTGCGATAAAATTTCAAGTCCTGCTCTGTCGCCTCGGCCGATATCTTGCGGCGCTTATCGCTGCATTCATTGTAGACGCATTCCCGGTTGTTTTGGAAACATGGTTCGCATGGACGGCCAGGGCCACACTATGAAGACGAGAAGTTAGTCAGGGAACATTGCGTGTGTGACCCCTAAAGGAGAAGGCTTGCTTTTATACGGCGCCTCTGGCACTCCAGACAGGCTAATGAGGCTCGCTTGCGTTTGCTCTGCTCCGCAGGGCTTGGTTCATCATGTGTGGATGGAGGCAATTCCTTTGGTGCGAGACGCCGGTGGTATTGCCGCCCAGTCATTAATTAATAAGTGGGGATCGGGGCGGAATCGAAGGGGAAAAAATTAAATGCGGGTTGTTCACGCGTTCAGACTCGATTTGTTGGATAACCGAGACCGAAAAAATGGATACAATTATGCGGAGATAGCTTTGAGGCTGTGTGGAGGTTATAATAGGGAGACTAGTGGATAACAGATAAGACTGGCGTTTAGCTGATAATCATGTCAAGAGCTCCAAATTCCAAATCTCTTCGGAGTAAAAGTGCCCCGAGATTCGGCCGAAGTTGGAGGGATAAGGACAGCTTTTTATACTCCACTCCCTTGTGCTTATGGTTAGTCAGATCTGACGAGCTGATGATCTTCCAAAACAAAAACAATTGCATCTTTTGAACGCGCACGCGATACCCTGAAATCCATACCTCCCCCCTTCTAACCCCCTCCTGCCTGTACTTTCCCTTACCTTCTATTTGTTTCTCTCCCTTTTTGCATGGAATGCTAGGTATTAATATCTTGGATAGCAAAGCAGTCTGCCCTAAGTACTAGCGTCTTTAAAAAAAAAACCCCCTTCCAACGACATGGGATTCGCCACATCTGTTACGCGTTCCTATCTCAATCACCATCTAGAATACTGATCGACCGTCTCTGGGGTGCCTGATAGTTGGGTTAATGGAAAGTTACCACACTTGGCCTATTGGCAAATAAAATAGGTGGTACCCAGTGACAACCGATTTTCTCCTTGCGTCGTCGTTAAATATTCCCGTGGGTATGCTATGCGCCAACCGAGAGCTCCATGCCGTTTCATCCGACAATTACATTAGATTGTAGAACCCTTATGCGAGATGGGTTCTTAAACCGGTAATAATTTATGATTCAGTTAGTCCCAGCTGTCTTCGTTCTCAACGGTTCTCCTCTCGTCCTGCCTTCGACGTGATTTCCCTTTAGCACACTTCAAGTGTGTAGGAGCCAAGGGGACTTCTTAACGACCTGAATAACCAATGTCATATCATAATTCATTGACTACTAGTTTAATATACATCAATCATTAGAGAAACATGAGCGAATCAATTAGCAGCACAAGCATACATAAGTACAGACTTAACAGGGTTGCGACAAATCATGCTCCAGTGATACCCGACCTCTCTCCATTCCTCGACTTCAAAAAATGGCATTGAGCGATCTAGCCAATGATGGGGATAAGTGTGAATTCGGTGTCATCTCTCATTAATGTATCCTGTATTGGGACTTTAATCAAGGTGCTCTTGGTCTGCATGGTTAGGGTTCCCTGGAAACATGTGATCCTCTATCTAGGCATCTACATCACAAGGCCCTATACGCGACACTCTCACACAGTAGTCACATGATTCTCACCGATGGTCGTGGGGTTATTCGTATCAGAAACGTGTGATGCCGTCCGTTTTTCCATATTGTTCGTCGTCACCAGTTCCTCGAAGACGAACTTGGAGCTCTGCCATGGCTTGACCTTCATCACATACATCGTATCGATCTCCTCGAGCGTGCGGCCTTTCCCTTCCATAACCGCGAAATAAACCAGCCCCGCAGCAAGGAAAAGACAGCCCGCAAAGACATATCCAAGTCGAAAGTCTATGGCGCTGGTGATGAACGGCGTGAAGAATGCCAACAGGAAATTCCAGAGCCAGTTGGACGCTGTCGCAAGAGACATGGCGCGAGCTCGGTACTCCGTTGGATACAGTTCAGCAATGATAGTCCACACCATCGGACCCCAGGTACTCGCGAAGCCGAGAATAAAAAGACAGGCGAAGACGACCATAACCACACCGGCGGAGTGTGTGCGCTCTGGATGCTCGTGGTCGAGGGAGAAGTGGCCGACGGAAGCAAAGACCATGAAGCAGACGAACATCCAGAGCGCCCCAGTAATCAGTGATCGGCGACGACCGTAATTCTCAATCAAGTACAACCCTAGGAATGTTGTGCCGAAGTTCACCCCACCGAGGATCATCTGGGTTACGTAGCTATTTTGGATTCCAGCTCCCCGGAATATGGTCGTGCCGTAGTAGAAGAAGTAGTTGGCGCCTGTCAGCTGTTGCAATGCTTGCAGCGCGACTCCGACAGCAACGCGGTAGGCCATTCGGGGCGCTCTGAATAGATGAACCCATGTTACCTGGCCCCGTTCTAACTCTTCCTGGTACTTTTGCTTTATTTCCTCGAACTCAATCTTCAAGGCGTGATGGTTCTCCGGAATACCGTACATTTTTGCGAGCGTGGATATAGCTCTGTCCGCCTTGCCTTTCCGATAGTCATGTCGCGGACTTTCCGGGAACAAGGCCATGCCGAATCCGAGGATCAAAGCCCAGATATATGTAACTCCCATGGGAATTCGCCATGATGCGGTATTTGTCTTTTTCTCTGTGCCGAAGTTGATACAGTTTGCGACGAATATGCCGAGAGTGATGAACAATTGGTATGTACTAGTTTACGTCAGGAGAGAAGAGAGCAGGGAACAACAAGCTGCGGTGAATCTCACCTGACTAGCGATCCTCGAATGTGTCTTGGACCAGTCTCGGCTTGATACATAGGGACAAGGAGAGACAAGGCCCCCACGCCGAGACCAGCAACCCAACGACCCAGAGCAACCTGGTACCATTTTCCCGTCGGGGATGAGATCTGGACAGTGATGCCCGCACAAAGTATCACACACCAGCCACTAATAGACCATTTGCGACCAACACGATCGGCGATGGGCGCTGCCACCAATGCGCCAATGAGTGTGCCAACTGACAGCTATCGTGAGTTTAGCGCAGGCCAAAAGGTGTATAATACAGTACAAAGCGAACATACCAGAGCAACGATGAGGCCCGACCGAACGTTGGAGAAGAAATAAGTGCCGTCGGACTTTTGTTCACCATAACGCTTTAGGAAATTCTCCATCTCTAGAAAACCCGAGATCTGACCGGTATCATAGCCAAACAGAAAACCACCCATTGAGATAAATATACACATCACAAAGGATCGCCATGTTAGAAATGGGATTTTGGTGTCTACCAGATGCTCGCCCCCATCCGCGCTTCCGCGGAGCGCGGCCTCCGACGGCCTTGAGTCCGTTTCATCCTTAAATTGTTGATTTGGGTCTGCGCGAGGAAGTTTCAGCTTCGGAAACCCCATTGTATAGTTCGTAGGACTTAATTGGGCGATTCGAGCTAAATCATTCACAAAGCAGGCATCCTAGCGCAAAGCGAGTGGGCGGATGATACGACCGACGTTTTATATGGTGAAAATTTGAGACGGTGAGAGTACCGCAATGAGGTCATCATCCGTGGAAAAATCTTGTATAGCGTCGTACATCGCGTATTGACCATGAATTCTATTGTATGGAGCAAGTCAGGCAATTGAGAACTGCTACCCGCAAGCGAACACCCCATACTAGCGACCCCGGATCCCCGGATTCCACGGGATGAAGACGTGGACCATTCCAATCATTGGCACAAGCTTGCTCAGCTGACAGGGAGGATTCACCTCTAAGAGGTTGAAGATCGTTCTCTTGTTTGGATCGTTCCATCCAGAACGGTTCGTTAACCATGGAACGGGTCGTTCTCGACGAGGCTTCATGGTTTAGTCCTCGGCTGCGACGGCTTGGCCTACGTCTAGATTACAGCATCCGTGCAACGAAGTCTATGGGATGATCCTTCTCTTAGACGGTGTATCGGAATTCTGTGTTGCCGATCATCTCCCGGAATGCCGTCGTGGTTTGCCACCATGTCCCGTGATATGGAATAGCTCACCATAGGGGTGTACTCGAACACATACTAAGAATGTTTAGCTCGGGTTGTATGAAAGATGGCGCAACCATGGAAAGATTCATAGTATACTCACCTCGTAGTACATAAGCTTCAACTGTACCTGATTACTGTTCATGGCGTCAGGAGCTTCGAAACACTCGATACAGATCTAAACATGCATACAGGGAACCTGGAAAGTTATTCTCATATATAACGAACCATAAAAGTTATCTGACTATTGTGAGGTTGTCATGATTAATATACGATTTTGTTTTCCTTTTTTTTTTTTTTTTAAAAAAAAAAAAAAGAAAAAAAAAAAAACCTGTACATAGAAATGAATGCAGAGAAACGAACTTGCCTCAAGACTCCATCGAGCGCTCTACAGTCCCGGCCAAAGAGCCCAGGGTGAATAGTCTGTTGGTATAAAGCCAAATCTCGCTTACAATGATCTACTATTACTTTTATAGCTCAATGAAAGTATTGACGGTTATTTGGAAAAGTACTTTAACGAAACGACATGTGGATTGATTGAACGAATTCAACGACGAAAGCTAGCAGGAGTCATATTGCATGTTTATGGAAAAGAAACATCCCATGGCCGAAGCCGTAATCCCTGTTCCCTGTCATCGTCCCTCTTTCCATCACAGTCCTGCTATAATATCTGTCTCTTGAAAAGAGCTCTATAACGGAGCAGTGTCGCTGTATGGTCCGTAACGAACTGTCCCAGAGACTGTTTAAGGGTGCTTAAAACGTCAGTTGAAGAGGAAGGAGAGACACTCCAGTTCCTGATCGTGTTCGCTTGGTTACCAGTTGGAACACCGTCAATTTGAGCGGGAGACAGCGAGTAGAGTGATCGTACTGCTCCTAGATCTTGATCTTCCCAGGTTAGCCTATTGAGCGCGACCTCTCGTAGTACAATAAGACTTTCATAAATAACGGGCTAGCGCGATGAGCCTGGGCTACCTCCAGCAAGTTTAGCCCCGTCGTACATAAGTTTCTCGTAGAGAAGTTTACTCGGACAACGCCGATAGGCATACTTCATGCGCCGGGCCCGATTGGCATCTGTATATACCGCCTTCGGGTGCGGTAAGGTATCGCAATGTAGGTGGGGCTTCCGCCTAAGGCACCAAGGCCTAACTACCATTTTTTCAGTCTGCTAAGCTGCCCGCCAAGCTGACTACACTTCGGACGGCAGATTAACAAAAACTCATAGAGCCATATCCACCTTGTTATGGAGTCGATGCGGTATAAATGATGTACTAGTCTTAAAGAGAAGAAGAGCAAGAATCAGCTTCTTTGTTGGTATTTTACTATCTGCGAATATTAGCTGTTCTATTTGGCTTTCACCATTGTATCTTTACCTAGTCGACAGGTCGTCTACCCTGTACCAGTAGATACGCAGAATAGGTTCTAGTACGAAAGGTTGCTGGCGTAATAGTATACACCGAAAACAGACAAAATAAAAATAATCTATTTAGCTAAATAAGCGATTTATCCATCCTAATTAGGACATTTATACAGAAATAGGCCGGGTCTGTCAGGTCTACCTCGTTTTCTGAGAATATGGACTACTATATCAGAAACCTCTGTGGGGCAGGACTTAGAACCATAAATTTCTCACTTGACAACAAAAATTGAGCAGATGCTCCTGTTAACCAGCTACAAGAATAGTCTGTTGCCACTAATTAACCAGCCATATATGTACCAACTCCGAGACCTTCACATTTAGCACATATTTCCAACCCTTCGTTCATAAACAACGACTCCAGCCAGTTCAGATGGTCAATGAGATAGATATATTCGGCTTAGAGCCGCCAGCGGGTATTCTTCTGCATGTTTTCACGGAAACAAATGCAAGTTCTGGGCGTTGAGAAGGTTCACATATCGAGCAAAGGCACTAATTAGTGCTAGAAAGTCCTCACGAGCCGTGTCTCGGACTCTGTTGTCCTGGATGCTACTGTTGATCAGGTCATCTATTTTCCGGTACGTCGAATGCAGGTGTTTACCACCGACGTAGCCGACGAATTCGGCTGGGGTGAAGGCGAAAACCCGGTATAACGTGATGTGGTGCTCCAGATTGAAGCGTGGCTGTGTGGTTGCCACACTGAGGATGTTGTTCAGAAGGTTGTACCCCAACGGTCTGATCTCCTCATTGATGAAGACCATTGTGGCGAAGTAGGAGCCTTTTGAGCCAGCACGCGAAGGAGTCATGCCTCGGTGGACGATGCTCAAGTCGGCGGAGACGCCGGACCAAAACTTTTCGGTCTGATAGCGAATTAGCACGGTTTCACTGATGTTCTGGAACAGATGTAGAACTACATCGCCTCGTCATTAATCTCCTGGACCAGACGTTTCACCGGGGCAGTGACTCCAGCCCCTTCAGATATGAGGGGGAGATTCTCAGTCGGTTCCGACATGTCAGCATCCTACAAAATTACTTCAATCACCTGTTTTGTCTTCAAGCAGGCAGCCCAGATAAGCTCCCCGGTCTTGCGCAGCTTCCCCATGTCCTCAGGATGACCCTGCCGCAGGGGGCAGCAGGAAGGTACTCGGTACGGGGTCCATACTTAATGGCTAGATGCCGCAGACCGGAAAGAAATACGGTACCATCAGGCTCGGTTACCCTGTTGGGGACTTTATGGTCCGTATGGGTGTACTAGCAGTCTACAGTCAGCCTGTGAGATTCCTACTCGCTACTCGCTGATCAGGGGGGCGATCACAATCAACTCCTCGGCGGGAACCAGATGGTACAGGTGATCTCCAGACACCAATGCATGGTCCTGTAAAGAACGATAGGGCAGGTGCTTGCAAAGCAGATTCACAAGGCGTGGGTTGGCCTCAGAATCCATGACGGCGCTCACTGTCGTATTAATCTGCGGCCATTTGACCTTAATCATGCGGGAGGACTGGCGAGTGTCAGAAGTCATCCTGGTGATTCCAGCCCTTCAAGCTCTGTTTGCCGAAGGTTGCGGCGTTAGATTGAGAAACTGTATCAATACGCAGCAAATGCGGACCAAGTTCGTAAACAGAACCTAGGGTTTATGGACAGGCAAATACCATAGGAAACAAGGGCGTTGTTCAGCGCAATAGGTCTATATGTAACAATAAACAACTGAGCTCGTTTCACTCCAACTCTACGCTCGACAAGCCGTCGACGTCGCCTGTACATAGCACGCTTCCAATGGTCTCAACTAAAAGTTGACAGTGATGATGCGTTTTAGCTACGCTCCGGAGGTACCTATTATGTGATTTACCGAGAGATAATTGGTTTGTCTAAAGATATTCTCCTTAGAACTGAAACTAGAATGCTCCTCTTTTTATTTACCTATAAATTATAACCTCAATACACTTCCGCGGTAACTCTCCTGTCATTGAGCTATCAGAAAGTTAGGAGAGTGTGTCCGGCCTATTGCTGCCGAAGTCCGAACATGGATAGAAACATTATCTAGTTTCCAGACTGTCTGGATCCCTGGGGAGAGCTTTCGCTGTCAGAAAATCGTCAATTCGACACAAGGAAGTTGGATTTTGTTCAAGCAAGTAAATTTCGTTGACCATCATAAACATATCTCATCAAATGGCATTATCTCAGCAAGGGGAAAAAAAAGAAAAATTCGCCCACTCCATGCTAAATGTATTTTGACATTACAGAATTTAAAAGACGAAAGGTTGAAAGAGAGATGGTCGTACTACCCTGTAGGTTCAGTCATGACGCCGCCATGCTCAAGGGTTCGGCCACTTGGTGTAGCATTCGTTACTTCATGGCCAGCAGTCCTAGACTTCGCAGGCGACGGATTGGTCGAGGTCATCGGGGATTCTTTGGCCTCGATGCTCGATGCATACGACGACGGCGTTTGGGGCGGCGGAATCCACTCCAGGACGTGCTCCGGTACTGACACGGGTCTTATATCATCGTCATCACCCTCGAAGTGGAAATCCTGGTCATTGAGTAAACCAGAAGCACTCATGGAGACAATACGGGCAACGTGCCAGGCCATTTCAAGCAAATCGAAACTTGGTAATGGAAGTCGGATGGGAGCAGACGTGTTAAGTCTAAAGATGCTCCCGGAAACCACCCTCTCCCCCGATTCTCGGAAGATAAAACACTCGTCGACTCTATCAATGTTTCTTGTTGATAATGGCTGTTCAACGATGGAGATGGTCGCGTCATATGTATGGTCATATCGAGGCATCCAGTGGAATTCAAGGTCCATGGCCTTCTTATCGTCGGAGAGGTTCATTGGGCGTAAAGCAAATCGGCCTTGAGCCCATGCACGCTGCAAGTCAGGTCTTAAGCATAGCAGATTGAAAACGCCGTCCTCATCAGCGGCCCCGTTGGAGTTGTCGTGAACGACAGAGTTCTTCCACTTTTCAACTTGTTCTCTAGGCCAGAACAAGAAGAGAACCGACCAGATCGTAGGGACACATCTGTCTGAGGCCGTTGGTTTATTTTTGGGTTTGAGTAAATAGTGGGCGAAAATATGCGCCACGTCACAAGGTGCGCTCTTGGACAGGATGCAAATACCACCATCTCGCTCCCTCGCTAGTTCTGCAAGTCTTCTGGAGCGCCCGGATGAACGAGAAGACGCATCGCTTGATGCAACAGAAATATTGTCGGGGAATTTAGGGGGTTCCTGAGCCCATAGCCTGGCACAACAAAGCAGCTATGTATTGCAAATGGTGCGAGGTCCGGAGCGGCCGCGATTTGTCGCAAGAGATTTTCTAGGACATTGACATTGGCCAGTTGACAAAAGGCCCAGAAGGGCACTGGAACGTCGAGTTCGTCCAGTATAACTTGTAGTTTTCGTAGCACCGCAGTGCGTTGTGGGGAGCGCTCGCTGAAATTCTCATCGTAGGGGCTGGTTGGAATGGTGGTTCTGCGATTTGGGGAGTCATCCGTCATAGGTTATATTCGTCCATCCCCGGGAACAGTTCACTGTTAATGTGATCCATTATTTCTCCCTCAGATCCGGGTTGAGGAATGAGATGCAGAACGAAAGGGATCTTTTCAACTGTGTAGCAGAGTATGTAGTAGGTACCTACTCTGTAGCACTTCTAAAGATGGCCGATCGGTAGGGATGACTCAGAGCTAGGTAGAAGTAGAGTCATACTTGGAGTGAGTCCCAAGGTTCAACCAACTTCCAAGTTCTAATTTTCAAAGCTTCAGCTGTGTTCCAAAAGTCATGGAATTGCGCTAGTAAGTTTGGCTGAACAACATAGTTCCAGGTTGCCAAGAAGGGCATATATAGATGCAGCGGATGCGTTTAGGCGGCACGGGAAACTCACAAAAGCGGCGATAGGGTAAGGCTATCCCCACCCCAAAGCGGTATCCGCAGCGTACCGCCTACCCACTGCCGAAAGGCGGTGGGTAAGCCATCATTTTTGAATTTCACAGCGAAATTGAAAATAATCAATCATTTTTGTATATGACTCTATTCCTAACCACACGATATGCCTAACTCAACCGGCGATATCAAAAATCGTTTATCTGAAGCTACTAAGGCTGCTTATCATGAAAAAATGTTGAACATTGCAAAAATCGCGCGAGAATTCAATATTCCCTACCATACTCTGCATGCGCGACTTCAAAAATAATAACATGATCGCCTACCCCCTAGACCTCTAAATAAAGCCTTTAATCAATATTAGAAGGAAGCTTTAGTGCAGTAGATTAGCTGTATATATGATTTGTATATTCCTGTTACTATTAGAATACTTGAAGAGTTCATAAATCATGCTTTATCATGTACAGGGTCAGATCAACGCGTTAATAAAATATGGCTATATTGCTTTATACAATCACTGCCTCCACACCTTCAATTAAAGCCTATAATTCAAAAAATAAAGGATAAAAGACGCTTAAATACAGAGAATACTGGAGAGCTTCAATTTTGGTATAATTAGTGCACTAATGTTATTAAAAAATTTCTCTTCTTGTCTTGTGTATAATTTTGATAAATACGGCTTTTAACCTGGTTAAGGATGACCTTGTAAAGTGCTTGGTACACAGAGAAGATCTTCTCCTGATCTTGCTAAAGCAGAGCATTTAGAGAATATAAGTGCAATAGAATGTATTGCTACGGATAGATGGATTATAACACCTCTTTTTATCTTCAAAGAGAAATTTATAGAGAGTTAGATTGATTATTCAATTCTTCCCTTTTACTATACTGCCCTCTTAGAAAAAGGCTATATTAACAATAAAATTGCTATTAAATGGCTTCATAAATTCCATAAGAAGACCAGTATCCCGGATTATTTTAAAAAAGATAAAAAACGCGTTCTTCTCTTTAATAGCCATACTATATATCTAACAGTTAGGGGTCCCGCAGGGCTTACCAGTATCCCCTATTCTCTTTATTATCTACTTAGGGGGGATCTTCAGAGCTATTGAACGAGTAATTCCTGGTATCAGGATATTATCATATGCAGATGATATATGTCTGCTGATATCAGCTAGCTCAGTACAACAAGCCTGCCAGGGACTAGAGCAAGCAGCTAGAATAGCTATTATACAAGCCAGAAAACAGACAATTCAGTTTGATACAGAAAAGACTGAGGCAGTTCTCATTACAAGAAAGAAAGACAAGGAGATTAAGAATCAAGTTCAGCGGGCTAAGATTCAGATAGACGGGCATAGAGTCTCATTCAACTTTGAAGCCACACGATGGCTAGGAGTATGGCTGGATAAAGGCCTAACCCTAAAGGCACATTACTATACATGCCTAAGCAAAGCCCGCAAGGCAGAAGTGCGGGTACAAGCTCTATGCCGAGGACAAGGTCTATCACCAGGCCTAGTACAACACATTCAGGTAGCTGCTTTACAGGCAGTAGCTCTATATGGAGCAGAACTCTGGTAGCAGGGTCAAAAAGGATCGAGTTAGGGGTATTCAATATATGATAAATCAACAGGCACGCTTAATCACAGGGATTCTGAAAACCACCCCAATTAAGCCACTTATCCAAGAAGCGGCTCTACACCCAGCGGAAGCCCTGCTAGATAGATGCCAGAGGCAGTATACCCTAAGGCTTCTAGGGCTGCCTAAGGGTCATCCAGCTCAGACTATTTCCATACTTCCCAATAGTGATCTTTCTGCATCTTCCTGATCGGGAAAGTAAATGGTCTATCCACGTTAGGCCCTGAAAATATAACGAAGTGCTAAGTTAGGAGGGATATCCATATAGGGGTTTATTGAATCTAAAAGCTATATTTTTATCTAAGATATAGAAATTTTAACATTATGCATTATTTCCGTGTGGTTGCGGGCAGTGCTAGCCGAAATAGTAATAATCAAACTACGATAGCTAACTGGCAGCCCGGCTACACAGAACTCTGGACCGAAATCCCTAATACTTAGCACAGGGCTAATAGGTAATTGGGTGGTGGCCCATAAACAAACATCTCTGGTAAAAGGTCCCATTCCCTCCGGCTTTGCTAACAACATTCCTGTCAGGCTCTACAATCACCTCTGAATCAAACCCTTCTGTCTCTGGCCATTGCACCCTATATCTTCTGATAGTAGCAACTAAGATATTCGCATCCTCAGTATTGAGCTGCAAAATCTGCCCGCCCGCTTTCTTATCTTCCGAAAGAAAATGCAAATGGAGTCCGACGACACTGAATGCGCTCGTAAACTAGGGAGAACAAAACCCAAAGACGGTCTCTTTCTAGCCCTCAATTGATCGAACTGTCTGCCGTTTCACAACCTCAGTCAGGGTCTTCCGAGGATGGGTCTGCGGCGGGGCGACTCGATACTTGATGTTAGGGAAAACGCCGGCGATCCGAATCGCAAAAGAAGGAATATGTTGGCAATGGACGGAGGCTTGATATCTCCCCTAAAAGAATGCCGTTGGAGTGATGAGGGATGGTGCCGCTTTTCGTGGGTCGGAAATAAGTGGTCACTAAGGAAGGGGGTGACATCGGAGGGCTCAAGCGCGCGCGCACCTCCGCTTGAGGTGAACTGGTATACGTGACCGTCAATGATAGTAACCTCGCCATCAAGCCCAGCTAGAGCACCTAGACCATGGTCCCCTTTCGAGAGTAGCTGCATGACTGGAAGGCCATCCGCACAGATGCCTTGAGCAAGGCTACTGATGATGGAGTACTGATAGATCTCGTTCGGGGCTGTCATAGTGGATGGGACTCATCTTTTTCAAATACTGCAAACCACGATGAAAGACAAAACAACTGACTAACTTTAACGTACCTTTCCAACTCAGACAAATACCTTACTGCCCTAGTTGACACTGTAAGTCCTGTTTGGCCTCCCCTAATACGCGTTTCTAATCAGGTTTTCCCTTTCAATAGCGGCAATATTGTCACTAGGTAAACGTCAGTTTCAGAATCAGAGTGTTATAAACAATACCATGACGCAAGGAGCGAGGTAATACTGACGCCTATGGCAAATATGGAGGGAGAAAGATACCATTTCATAGCATGGGCTAAGGTATTGCCTAATTAGGGTCGCTAAATGGTGACAAGTATTTTTACCTCCTGTGGACCTCAACTCCAAAAGTCATCAAAATTTAAGTTCATAAAGTAGTGTACAAGTTTAGGTTAAGCACGTTGCGTCAGCCCATGTGTTTCATGGCGAAATTAGACTTCAGCTATGTCGACGGTCACCAAAAGCAGGACGTGGGAAGTCATCACCCAATGACTACGGTATGTTCCAGGGTCAGAATTCTTTCCCGGGAGATGCGGCAAAGTTTAAGGTGAGACTGGAAGTCTTGCGTGATATCAGTCTAAATGACCCATTTTTACATACCAAATACGCGCGCAGCGCATGCTGGAGCGAAGCCGTCTGGTCAACCTCAGATAGCAGCCAGCAGCATTATCGATCTGAGAGGTGGTGAGATTATTAAACCTTATCGTAACGTGGATTGACTCCCGTGCCCAGCGGCATTTAGGGCAGTTTCTTTAGAAGTACTATAATATCGTAACATAGACTACGGTATGGTAAGTGGAGATGGACAGGAGCCCCAATACAGGCAGCAGATACACAGGTTAAGTGCGCGGTAATAGCAATTTCTGGCAAAAACAAGACTGAAGAGAATTAGGAGCAGTACGGGCCACCAGCAACATCAGATTCACCACCAAACTCACGTTGATCCAAATTCCCAAACTCACTCCCAGGGGACCAAAGTAAAGAAAACATTCGGCTCACCTCCAATAATGTCTGAGTCAACCAACCTAGTATAGGGTTCCACGTTCCATGGATCTGACCCGGTCCGTCCATGCTAGGATGTTGCAATCAGCGGGTGATATTTAATTCTCTAGGTCAACACTTCAGGATGTGTTCGACCAATCAGAGTAGCTAGCATCAGTTAGTTCGGTGGCCAGTCGCCAAAATTCTCATTCCCACCTAGGTCAACCGTAGAATGTCCGGGTTAACTAAAATTTTCAGTATAAAATTTGTTCAGTTCCGATAGATGCTAGTTTTATAGGTAGTATTGAATTTATGGATCCTCACTGCTGTACTCCTCCACCGGAGACCAAGCTGCGTGCATCACCGGACACAACTCCACCCAGACTGTAGGAGCTTGATATCTGATACAAATGGTGGACATCCAGGGCTTAGGGCTGCAGCGATGTAACTTCCCGCATCCGCTACTACGCGGGGAGAGATATACGTACCACCGAGAGAGTCCGTCTGGCAAAGGGGAGTTAGACGTTGGGCTCGTATAAATCTCTGTTCGGTGTATTGTGTAAATCCTGTTTCCTAAACTGTTTGCTGCCATATCTGGCTACTCGCTTTAACCACGGGCCGAGTGGAAGGGAGCTTGAACTGCTAAGACAAGGGTCCACAGTGAGCGAGGAGCGGCCATCGCCAGTGTTTAGGATGGCAGGCTCCAAAAGTATTTACCAGCCATCCAAGAATACATCACTTGCTGGATCGGGAAAATGACATCATCCGTCATCGTGCATGTGCCATTGAAGGACTGCATATTGAATCAGACGTTGTGAGCTAGTTGACGGGATCATCTGGCCCAAGTGAGTGGCACGGGAGGCTCCAACTTTACCCATGGTAAATGCGGGATCATGTCGAAAGCGGAAACAGTGTTTAATCTCCGCATTTAGAATTTTTCGGATTATTCTCGCCGCATGGGACCCAGCCGACAAGACTGCAGATCGTCCCTCATCCCAGCTGGTACTATTCCAAGTCTGACTAACCTTAGCCTGACTCCCAGGTGCATATTATTTTGTTTGATGTCATTGAACCAGATGTGAGGCAATCATATCTAGAATTGAGATAAATAGGGACTTCCGGAAAGTGAGTTGTGCGGATATATATAAAACCCGTGAATCATTCGCTTAGGATATACGTTCATGAATTGTTATTCTAACCCTTTGTTGATATCGATCCAGCCAAACATCTGCCATAATGGATATTACCTTTGCACAAAATGCCTTTCGCAACCCGGGTGCCATTGCCATCGAAGATGGCTCCCAGAAATGGACCTTTTCAGACCTCCAACACGAAGTGGATCGACTTTCGTCCATCCTCAAGTCACTGGAGCTTCCAACCGAAGCGCCTATCGGAATTCTCGAGGGCCTAGGTACCGCCATGATCATAGCCCAGCTTGCCGTCATCCGCGCGAGACTTACCTGTCTGCCTCTGGACCCATCCCTACCGAAGGCGCGCCTGCGTGGTCTGCTGGAAGAGGTTAGGGTTCAATATGTGCTTTCAAACAATGAATCCATAGGGGATGAGCTTCGGCTAGGTATCATCCCCATCACCGGTCATCATACGGACGGAGGGGGCGCCAGACCCCATGATCAGACTGATGAATTGGACGGTGGGCACAATGAGGTGGACAGCGGTTACTGTAGTCATATCTTATACACGTCTGGCTCGAGTGGAAAGCCAAAAGCGGTGAAGATCCCAGAAAGTAGTATCCTACATCTAGCCTTCAACACACCAGTCAGCCTACAGAAGTCCGACCGTGTGGCGGTGATCAACAATCCGGGTTTCGATCTTTCTCTTTTTGAAGTTCTAGTCTCCTTAGTTTCAGGGTCGACCCTTGTCATCGTTCCTCGTCATGTCATTACCGATCCTTTCATAGCTAGGGAGTTCATTGCGGAGAAGAAAATCTCGATTATTTTCCTGACAGCATCTCTCTTCTCAGTCATCTCCCAGGCATGTCCCAACGCCTTTAAGGATGTCCGGCATGTGCTCACAGCCGGCGAAGTTGCCAATATGACAGCCATGCAGGCCGTCCTCGAATCTTCCGGGCCGCCAAAGAACCTCTGGAACACATACGGGCCCACTGAGACAGCTGTATTTTCGACCATGCATCGCGTGACATTATCGGAGTTCCAGTACGACAACATCAGTATTGGAAAACCTTTTGGGGACACAAAACTACTCCTCCTGGACGGACAGTCCAACAATATCACCAAGCCTGGGCAGGTCGGAGAGATCTTGCTGGGAGGTCCAGGGTTGACCCCTGGCTATATCGGCCGCCCGGAAGAAAATGCGGCGCGTTTTTTCACCTCGGAAGACGGCACCCGATACTACAGAACCGGAGACCTGGCGCGATGGCGCCCTGATGCACCAGGCCTCCTTGAATTCACCGGCCGTGCGGACCTGCAGGTAAAACAAGGAGGGTTCCGAGTTGAGCTGAATGAAATCGAGCAAAGCCTTCTCTCCAGTAAGCAATTATCGGGTGCAATCGTGCTGCAAATTTGCCCACCCGGTGACAAGGAGCCATTTCTCGTGGCATTTATCATTCCAGCGATCGCGAACACTGTTAAAAAGCGGCAACTGGTTGAGTATATAGAAAAAAAGTTGCCCAGCTACATGATTCCGAAAGACTTTGTGTTTTGCTCTAAGTATCCGATAACAGAGCATGGCAAAGCCGATCGGAAAGCCCTGAAGGAACGTTACTTGAAAAAAATGGAGCAGCTCAACACCGATAGGAACCGGCCTAATGACAAGAGCCACAACACTGACGGTGTCATCAAAAGTATTTGGTCCTCGCTGCTGAATGTATCTGAGGTTAAAGACGCAGATGACTTTTTTCTACTCAATGGCACCTCGATTCAGGCGGCCACTATGATCACCAAGATTCGGAAGGAGCTTGGTAAGACCATCTCGATGCGCTCTTTGTTCGAAAACTCTCGCTTCAGGGATCTGGTTAACTACCTTGACGAGTATGCAGAAGGAGGAAATGCTCCTGATGATACGAAATCCTGGGGGTCAGATGCTAAACTTGGTGACAACCTGGACACTGCTCCAGATTGGCAAGATGCCAAAGAAGGACGAGTCTTCATGACTGGCGCCACGGGCTTCATCGGGGCCCATTTCATCAGCCGGTTTCTCCGGATGCCCACTGTGAACGAGGTAATCTGCCTTGCACGTCCAAAAGGTAAGGTATCGGGAAGTGAACGGATTCAAGGTGCCTTGGAGAAGTACGATCTCTGGGACAAATGCTCGAACAGTATTGCAAAATTGACCGTTGTGAGTGGTGATATCACACTAGACCAACTAGGATTGGCCGCGGACAAGTTTGAATGGCTGGTCGAAACGGCCAGCGTTGTCTTCCATCTTGGGGCGAAGCTCAACTTCTGCGAGCCGTACGATGCCCACCGTGACGTGAATGTGATTGGGACAAAGAATGTGCTGGAGGTGGCGCTCCAGGGTCGCCGCAAGGCCTTCCACTATATGTCCAGCATCGACACCTGGGGAACAGCCGGGCTGACCCTGGAGACCAAACGCCTCCTCGAGGATGAGCCGTTAGACCCGTATCTCCCTGGCCTTCGGTACGATACCGGGTACGCCGCCAGCAAGTGGGCGGCAGAGGCAGTTGTCCGCCAGGCCCGCCGGCGGGGCCTCCCGACAGTAATCTATCGTCCCGGGTTTGTGATTGGAGATTCTCGTAACGGATGCGGCAACCCCGATGATTTCTTTGCTCGCCTGATGGTTGGAACCATCCAGCTCGGCGCCTTCCCTCACCTGCCTAATCAACGAATGGAATATGTGACGGTCGACTACGTCTGCGACGCAGCTTTGCACATTGCATCCAACAAGAAAAACCTTGGCAAATCGTTCAGCTTAGTAGCGCCTAACCCTGCCGATTCGGTGAATCTGGAGACAACACCCGCGGTCATCAACAAAGCGGGGTATCCCGTGAAGACGATTCCATACTGGGACTGGGTTCAGCTGCTACAGCAGACGAACAATGAGAATAGCCCCCTTATGCCACTGATGCCGCTTCTGCAAGAGCCAGTACTAGCAGGGTTGTCCCGTTTTGAGACTAGCCGCAACACACCGCACTATACTAGCTTCAATACAGTGGCTGCACTGGAGGATGCCCCTGATATCAGATATGTGGCTCTGGATCCTGCCATGCTGAATCGATTCTTGGAATTCTGGGATCGGAAGGGGTTCTACAACGTCCACAGTAACTCGATTGTAGACAAGGTTAGTTAGGCATGGACCTCACTTACCATGCGACGTCGTCCCGTGGGGACCGGCTGCCTCCCAAGTCAGAAACATATGCACACCTTTCCACCGTGCAAGTGTACTGACTACACGCCAACCATCGTATAGATCGGAGGAGCTTATAAAACGACAATGTATTCAACTATCTTATTGGGTGGTTGTTCTCGCTGGGAGTGTAGAGTCGACAAGCCCCTATTCATATCCCGCGTCTTCCGGGGATACCGTCTAACTAATCCATGGATCCACTGCTTGGGTATAGCCTCTGATGGGCCTAGTCCTTTACATCATAAAAATAAATAAAAAATAAAAAAAAGAAGAAGAACTTGATAGAACTGACTTAAATAATAGAACTCATCCATATATCTTTCTGTGTTATCCTTGCTATAACATGGGATAATAAGTACAATGAGTACAATGAATTGTCCCTTCGCGCAGTGAAAGCCAGCTTATTGAGTATCTCTTTTTTAAAGAAAAAAGAAATCCATGTCATGGGGCACGTGTTTTCCTAGACAATACATCCATGAAACGTGTATTTGCAACCAACAGCGTAAGCCCCATACTGAATAAACGCCCTGATTCTACGAATCTCACTAACAACAATTTATGAATGGCCCTCGATCTGGTGGACTGGGACACTTTAATACCCTATTACGCTAAATAAAGCCTCAAGGTAAAGAATTCCATTCCGATTGCCTATATTACGGTCTTCAAATTCCAAGCCGGATTCTTTTCTTTTGGTTCAAGGACAGTAGTAATACGCTTATACTTCTCATAACCTACGTAGGTTTATTCGTGCTGGATGCAATGAGTGAAAAATCCTCTGTTTGGCAAAATCTCCCTATACCCAACTCTGCTTTTTTTTCGACAAGAATTTAGCTGATCCTCAAGCATGCCTTGCCCCTGTAGTTCTAGAGCCTACGCCGTAATTTAGCTTCTTGAAGAAACATCTTCATCCTGTATCCAGTCAACTATTAGTTAAAAAATACCTCCGCTACACCGTATACATTACTGAATACAGTAGCACAACCTTCTTTGCATACGGTTTAACGGAGCTTTCCTTGAAGGAACAAAAACCAAATTCACTATTGCTTGTGGATTCCAGGAGAGGTCTAGATTGTTTCTGGTCAAAGTGACGAGAAGGGAGATCAACATCTAGTCTCCGAAATATATTAACTAGTGGGTCGAAGATATTGCGTGAACCCAATTCACCATCCCTGCTCCGGATGTACAGGTGGGTATGAGCCTGTTCGTGTAGAGATCATTAGGTTTTAGATTTCCATAAATGCGGTATGAGGGCTTTGGCGCACTTTTTCCTGAGGCCCCAGTTAGGGTTTCCGTCCGGAAAACAATTCTAGATTCATAAGACCACACGAGAAAAGACGAAGCAATTAAATTGCTAGCTGAATTAAGGCCTTTCTGTTTGAACAATGAGCATCTACTTTGTAATTGTAAAGGATCTGTTTATACAGGGCAGAACGCCTGTCAATTAGATGAGAACCACTATTAGTGCCTTCCAGCGCACTCCCACCGCCTTCGGCTAGGGGGTGCGCCCCAGCGTTATGGAAAAGTCTCATACATAATATTTTCGAAGCTATTCCCATCCACACAGTATACCTAAATCAACCGGAGAACGTGAAACACGTATAGCTAAGGCCTGTGAAGCTGCTAGGCTCCAAAAAAAACTGAATTTATCGAAGATCGCGCGGGAATATAATGTTCTATACCGCACACTCTATGGTCGACTTTATGAGCAAAGGCAGGCTCGTACGGCCCGACAGCCTCTTAATAAGGCCCTTGGTGAGTATCAGGAGAAAGCTATGATCCAGTAGATTATTTGTATGTGTGATTTATATCTCTCTGTTACCCCTGAGATTCTTGCGGAGTGGGCTGCTCATACGTGCCGGGTCAGATCGCCAGGTTAGTAAGGACTGGCTGTATCGATTTAAGGAGAGACTACCAGAGCATCTAAAATTAGAGCCTGTGATTCAGCAGATGAAGGATAAAAAGCGATTAATGCTGAAAAGATTAGATATTTATAGCGTTGATATAATCAGCTTACAAACATGGTTAAAACCCTCCCATCATGTCTAGTATATAACTTTGATGAATGTGGCTTCCAACCTGGCCAGGGAAGATCCTGGAAGGTTATTGGTATAAAGGAAAAATGCCCTAATCTTACTGAGTTTAATCATGCCAAAAAATATTACAGTGATTGAGTGTATTGCTGCTGATGGGTGGATAATGCAGCCGCTGTTTATTTTTAAGGGTGAAAATAGACTTGTTAAGCCTAGCCCACGAAACCCGACCCAACCCGCGGGCCTAACAAGTCTAGGTGAAAAGTTTATAGAAAGCTGGTATGATTATCCTGATCTACCAGACTTTTGGACAGGTATTTCTCCGAAGGGATACATCAATGATAAACTCGCGATTGGGTAGCTCCAAAAATTTTATGCAACAACAAAAGATTAGACAAAAAAAGGGGGGGAATATATGCTAATATTTAATAGCCCTGAGTCCTATAAAACTGTTGAATTTTTATAACTCTGTAAGCATTATAACATTATTCCTTTTTGTTTTTAGTTTTATATAATTCATATTTATCAGTCTCTTGATAGCTAGCCTTTTCTTGCCTATAAACAGCATTTTTACAAGCAAAATAATCTTATTTCTCAGTAAAGTAGATAATCTAAGAGTAAGACTAATTTTCTCGCGGATATTATTAATATATAAAATAAGGCTCTTAACCAGCAAATTATCTAAAATTTATTTAAAGAATTTAGTATATTCCCGCTAGATAGCTCTACTATTATCCAAAAGCTTCAAGATACACTTCCTCCGGTATTAGAGCTTTTGGCGTCCGGTCTTCACGTGTACAGGAAGACTATACTACCACCTAAATCTCTTCTTATTGAGTATTAAAAATTACCTCTTGAAAGAGTGCTTAAGATCTTGAGAAAAACCAGAAAAAGCTTTCTAAGATTCTCTTAATTAAGGAGCTTACTCCAAAGCTCTAGCAAGATCTGCAGCGAGCGTTAGAGCACTAGAAAATATAGGCAGAAAATCTTGCAATAATAAATGATATAGTTAAGTGAATGAGAGAAATATAACAGCCCCGGAGATGCCAAATTACTAAAAGAGAGATTTCAAAGCTTAATAACTCTGGTACACTCGGTACAAAAGATGCTAATCGATCAATGACAACCAGAAGAGAAAAGGAAGCTGAACAAGAAGAAAAAAAGCTAGATAAGCAGTGGAAAAAAGTATACAGCCAACCACCACCCAGGCCTCCTACAGAGGAGAGCTCTATATCTTCCGAAGTAGCGACGAGAGCAACACAGAATAATGAGTTATTTTGGGTAGATAGTCAAGGAGGACAGCGAGAGTAATGGGAATAGCATTTAATTCTTCCATTACGCTGAAAATTTCCATTACGCTGGGGCGCACCCCCTAGCCGGAGGCGGTGGGGGTGCGCTGGAAGGCACTAATAATACCAAGCAGTAGGATTGATATAAGACCAAGCTTTGCAAGACCCCTCGAGAATGCGCTGGGGGTTCGGTACTCTATCGTCCATGAATAGTAGGGTTACATCTTAGTAGTCCCGATATCATAGTAAGGGTCCCGGCTCTGTTTCGTGTAATGCCCGAATCACTGAGCTCCCGGGAATTATCCTTTACAGTAATACGCCACAGAGAAAGTCGAGAGCAATGTTATCCAGAGAAACCCCTAGCCTTACTTCAAGAGAGCGCTCCTGAAATCAGCAAGCACTTTTCGGTAAACCAGATGGGTTGGAGATTAGCTGAGAAGTTGTAGGAACTTTCTTCCAGAGACCTCGGGTTTATTTTGAGGGCATTTGGTATTCCTTCGTATGCCTCCACGGGAACATGTGGAGATTTTGTGCATTGAGAAGATTGACATAGAATGCCAACGCACTAATCATCGCAAGGAAATCCTCACGAGCCTCCTCTTGGTTGGGGTTGCTCTCAACCTTCTCCTTGACAAGTTTATCAACCTTCCAGTAGCTCTCACAGAGAAATTCAACGCCTAGGTGACCAATAAAATCAGCTATCGATGGAATGAGGTCTCGGAAGAGTATGATGAGATGTTGGAGGGTGAATTCGGGACGCGTAACCGCCAGCTTTAAAATATTATCAAAAATATGGTAGCCCAGAGTTCGAACCACACTATTAGAAAAGACCATAGCACCAAAGTAGGATTCCTTTGATCCAGGCTTTTCTGGTGCTTCACCGTGATGAATCTTCTTAATGCTGTCAGAAATATCCGACCACGACTTTTGTGTCTATACCTCGGACTTTAGCTAGCGGTCGCCAACCACGGCAGGCTTGATCATACCTCTTTATGAATCTCATCTACGAGGTCCTTTACTTCTTTAGTCACTCCGGCTCTTTGCAAGTCGAAAAGCGAGAGCTTTTTAGGATCAGGCTCGGGCGTTGAAGCATCCCAGAGCACTACCTCAATAGGCCGTTTTGTTTCATACTGGCTTTTCCAAACCTGATCGGCAACCCAGCGCAATTTGTCCATGTCTTCATCCACGACCTTTCCACACGTAGCTACCGGCTGGTGCTCAGTCACCTCGCCAAACTTGATCACTAGGTGCTGGAATGAGGAAAGGAATACCGAACCATCAGGCTCTTTGGCTCTATCAGGGGCCTTTTTGTCGGCAGGTGTGTACTTCTCATGGTTAGTGGTGCAAATCTCCTCTAGCAGGTGCTACTCACAATCAATTGCTCTAACGGAACCAGGTGATATAGCTGGTCCCCAGCAACAACAGCATGGGTCTGAAGGGAGCGATATGGTAGGGCATCTCCAAGCAAGCCAACTAGTGTTGGGTTTACATCGTTTATCTTTACTGTGACCGTTGTATCAAGCTCAGGCCACTTGATCTTGACTTCACGAGGTGGCTGCGACTGGGAGCTTCTGGGACTGCCCATTGTACAAAGGAAGCGAAGTATTCTTATGGACTTATATTGTAGATATCCTTGCCTTGGGTAAGATTATTGATAATTCATCTGGTCCGGTCATGGAACATGTCCTTCTCTTATATTTCGGCCTATCAGCATAAACCTATAAGTACTTAGAGAATGTAATCATCATGTAGTCACGAAGTTTTATCATCCGGGATTGTAGCAAACCAAGCAGCGGGCCTAGGTCCAGATCACACCTAGCTAGGCCTGTGGAGAACGAAATCTTTAACCAAACAACTTCAGCCATATAGGCATAAATCATTGTATCCGCTAATTAAATCTTGTAGTTTTCTTGAATATATGGTTGACCATGGTTGAATCAACCGCGGATCCGTTAGTTTCGATTCCTGGAAGAGGCGGCCGTTCTTTTTCCAAATAACCGGGAAAAAGGACAAATATCTACCATGTCTTCACGTCATCCCACGTCATTAATAGTTCCTATCGCTTTTACATTACCTTATTCAGGCGATAAGACATTATAAGAAGAGATCAACGAGAAATATCAGCCGCTGTCATGAGCCTGGCAAGTATAAGACACATTGGGTTGTGCACGCTTACTCGAGACACGGGATAGAAGCAAAGGAGGCTTATATATACATAAACCTTTAGGTACGAGACCCTACCATCACGTCATTTTTGTGCCACTTATCCGTCTTCTTGAATATCCCCTTCCATTTTTCACAGCTCCAGTGTTGGACACGAGATTGCGTTCATCGTCTGTACATCAATAGGTATAGTGCACTGACCGACCAGTAGGACAGCATAACAAGATGTCTGGTGTATATGCGAAGGAGGCTGAAGGCGACCCCTACCGGAAAGCCTGTCTTGTCCCCTATGTGGACCCTGATACGGCACCTCCTGGTATCAAAGAAAAATTAAAGGTGCTTCCCTTTCGGCGCAATGTCCTCCTGACTCTAGCCCATTCCCACGGATTGTTTCCCCACTTTAGCGGCCTTCTCGGCGCTTGTTTTGATGGAAAACAGCGCAGTATCCCAGTCCTCGAGTGGCAGTTGATCGTGCTACGGGTTGCTACTCTCCTCAAGGCCAAGTATGAGTTTGAAGTGAATCAACCCGTGGCTGAGGTGTTTGGGTTCCCTCAAGAAAAGATGGATACCATTGGGTGCTCTATCAACGACGTATTGGAGGGTAAAGGCCCATGGACTGATCGAGACCGGGTGATTCTTCGTCTTATCGAAGAACAGCTAGAAGCTTATGATAATAAGCAGGAGACAGTCAAAGACGCTTTGAAATTGCTGTCTGTAGGGGATGTAGTAGAGGTCTTAATGATAATCGGTGTCTATGCTTCATTGGCTCGGGTGATTAAAGGTCTGAAGGTCGACGATGACAAGCCAACTCCTGATTTAAAGGAGAAAATCAAGGCTGCCATTACTGACTGATGGAAGATGTTTGGGAGTTTACGGTCGGTTGAGACTTAGGCCATATTTTCACTTATAAATGAAGTTTCTGAAATCGAGAGGAACGATAATATTGTACGTCATAGATATACTTTTTTTTTTTTTTTTTTTTTTTTTCAAAGCCGGCATGGTTTTTCTGCACTTAGGAAAGTGCCCTCGTCTTTCACGTATACACATTTCAACGTTTTAGTCCCGGAGTCCATTTTACCTATTTCTATCCTCATTCATATCTCATGCACGGTTAACTATACGAAGCTGAAAGCAAAAGATTAATATCGCCATTAGAGTATTGGCTCAGCCGTGTCTTTACTCTTGAAGCGGATAACTTACTCATTCCTGCTCCGATAAACAACCCCGCATAATATAAAAGCTGGTGTAGTAGGGCAGCCGCAGCGGGTACTAAGGTGCAATATGCCGGGGCGCCCATTACCTATTATTGTTCTCTAGTGCACGAATAGGCTCCTTGCTTCCTGAGATGTCTGACTTCATTGGCTGTTTACCAGAGTTGTCCCAGTTAACACGCTTACCGGCGGGGGATACGTTTATCCTGGACCTCTAAAGAAAAGACAGCTGACCAATGTACATACTAATGTCGGAGGTTCATGAACACTACATCGCGTGGCCGGGTACTTCTTGTGCCGGATTGAGCAATGTGTTGCTGTCATTCAGTGCTCCCATAAAGGTGCGCCTATCCGTTGCAACTGCTCCTAGTCAAGGGAACTGTAGCTGAAGACAGCATATTTCAGCACTTGAATGGAATCTAGAGGCCTTTTCAATATTCATTTACTGGATAGCTAAGTTTCCAAAAAGGACTCTCAACAACGACACGGAAGGATGCCGCGCGCTCGAGCCTAGTTGCTCGCCTCCGCTTTATCTCGATATAAGTAAACAGGAATGAGGTTTACTTTATAGGATTAGTACAGGAACGTCATCTTGCCACCGCAACCTTCGAAATTCCTGGCGCTTGACATAAAGAACACTCGTCAAAGGCCGAACATTTAGACATTCCATATTGAACCGTAAGAGAGTCTCCGTCCATTTGATGAGAAAGTGAGGTATTCGATCAAGTAACCCAGAGCTTTCAGACAGGTTGCATCTCAGGATTGGGGTATGTCCGCAGCTCCGGCCAACCGTTACATACCTCAGTATCCGTTTCCGTCTAGTTAGCATAAAATAAATTACGTAAGACACTGGCATGCTTCAATTGTGATGGTACTACCCATGGAAGAGGTGAAATTCAAATGGTTCGTACATGTATATATACTGCTTAGCCTTCTAGATCAGCCATACAATCACACACCATTATTCTATCACTACGCTGTGAAGATTGCCTCCCCAATCATACACGTACGACGCCTCTCTGTTTGGCTCGTACCCCATACTTATATTCCGGTCCCTGGTTATCTCATTACCAAACCAAGCACGAGCATTATTCGCGGATCCCCTTCTGCGGAGGCCTTCAAACATGGCCCACGTTCAACGGCAGAGAACCCTCCCGGGAGCTGTATTGCCTTTGGAGACAGTAGTCGCACTCGCGGCCCACTACTGCAAAGATAATTATTACATTTTCGAAAGCCATGATACCTGGCACCTTGGCCTCGGCACCCATGCATCCTTGATGCTGGATGCAGCAGGACAAACAGCGACCCGAATGGACAGAGATGGCCAAACAGAGTTGACGGCCATTACCGGCCTGCCCACAGACCAGGTTAGACGGTTCGTATCCGAATATTCTGGCAGTGGTAAAATATTCGGGCAGGTTGGATTCAATTATTCCGCACGGTGTTCAGGCCAGGCCTTTGAACCTGGTCAATGGCCAATGTTAAGCCTCATGGTTCCTAGGGTGCAGGTTACCGTCAAACGGAGTCAGATCACAGTCACAGGACACGCTGAAGAGGATGTCCGCAAAGCAAGCGAGTATATCATAAGGACACAGGGAGCCGATCCCGCCGGCAATATTGGTCTCCCATCCGCTCTTAATGGCGCGATCAATGCGAATGTGAATGCCGAGGAGTACCAAACCCGCGTAGCCCGCGCGATCGCGGATATCGCGAGGGGCAAATATACCAAGGCTATCCCGTCCAGAAAGGTACCTTTAGATTTCCGGGTTGATATGCTAGCAACCCTCCTTCACGGCCGACGCGCCAACACTCCCGCACGCACGTTCTCGCTCAGCCAGAATGGCATTCAAGCGACCGGCTTTAGCCCTGAAGTCCTCCTCTCCATCAATGGCGAGGAGGCCTATACCGAAGCGCTGGCCGGGACTCAACTGTCGAATTCCCCCCAGGCCAGCCTTGACCCGTTCGACAACAAACTCCATAATGATACCAAGGAGGTCGCGGAACATGTCATTGCTATTAAGGGCTCCATCCGTCGGTTGAGCCAGCTGTGTCTTTCGGAATCGATTGCTATTAAAGATTTCATGAAAGTCATGCCTCGAGGGAGCGTGCAGCATCTTTATTCTCATGTGTGTGGACGCCTGAGGGCGGGGTGTGACGGCTGGGATGCCCTGCCTGGTCTGATAGCCAATATTACCGTACCGGGATTACCGAAAGAAGAGAACCTGGCCGCAATGAGGTCCTTTGAACCAGAGCCGAGGGACCTTTATTGCGGGGCGGTGGTTATGCTAGACGAAAGCTCGAAACTCTTCGATGCAACGCTGGTTCTTCGCACGGTGTTCCAGGATGCGAGTCGGCAGTGGTTGCAGGCCGGGGCTGGTGTGACTATAAACTCAAATCCAGAACGCGAGTTTGCTGAAACATGCGAGAAGCTGTGGAGCGTGGCGCCGTTTGTGGTGCCGAAGTGTAATTAGATTGGGGGAGTATCGTTGGCATTGTGACGGACCAGTTGCTTTGGAAAAGGTCCTCAGCAAAATGGTGTCGACAGGATATCTAGATGGTCCAGACCAGTATCCTGCTCTTCGTCTTCTGGCCCCGACACAGCACTCTGCCGCCTCTTTCCTTTGGCCCTCTCACTCAGCGGTTGGACATTATCAAGTATAATATCATTGTCACTCTCGTTATCGCCCTCGTTATTTATCGCTGCGTGAATCAAGATAATCGGTATTGACACTTTTCCTCTCACTCAGCCTGCTTCTCTTTTGATAAGAGATACTTATTGATTAACGCCCGTTGGTCCTCTTTAATCTCAAACTTTGATATACACATAAATCTCTTAAGATCTTTAATTGTTGTGGCTTCTAAAGAGCCTCGACGGTGGTGATAGATATCTCAGACTAGGTTACAAAGTCGCTCTATACCTGCTCCAGCTAGGCCTCGGACTCACCCACGGAGGGTAAGGGTCAATTTGTGAATACGATGCCCGTTCAGCAAGTTTAATAGCTCTGACATAGCTTACCCTAGCTTGACGTTTGATCTGCAGAAACGGGAAACATATAGGTACCTGAAAGTGAGTTAATCATTCAGTTGTAACGTTCTAGTTCCAAGACGAGCTATGTAATGTCTGTCAATAAAGGATTGGCTATTTCACATGGAAGTTTGATGATTGAAGCTTTGAAGGCGATCGAAAGAAATATGTACATCAAAAAAAGACAGTAAAAGGGAGACACATAAGCGATACGTGTGGTAACAAGTGACACGGGCGCAATATTATCTATTCGAATATTGCGATAGCCGAAAATTAACCCCTTGGATGAGTCAAGGAAAGTGATGAGTCGTTTCTCATAAAATGCAATATTGAGATAAATCAGTCCTCTTCGAGGACCTGTAAGATCAACTAGCCGCTAGACACGACCTCTCAGATCTTGTGGCAGGAGCCAGAGATCTGGGTCTGAGGAGGACCAACATCAACAGTCTGGACACCGCTGACAGTTGTCACGCTGTGATCGATGCCGTTGAAGGTGCATGAAACACCAGCCGTGTTGGAGGTGACATGAGAAATGCTGAGAGGGTTCGCTAGGATTATGGTCAGTCACCACGAGTCACTAAAACTTGGGCTAGGGATACATACTGATCTGAGTAGAGGCTCCGTTGAGAGGGAAGGCTTGGGTGAACTGAGCATCTGCTGCTCCAACAAATGTGATGTATACCAGACCCTCAGACCACCGACGGGTAGCAGACTGGCGGGGGGCGGCGTTGCATGTACCCCATACTTGAGTCTGAGGAGGGCCAACATCCACGGTCTCTGCGTCAGAAACATAAGTAACGCTGTTGTCGATGCCGTTAAAAACGCATGAAACACCGTCCGTGCTGGAGGCAATGTGGGAGATGCTTAGAGGGTTGGCTGCAGTAGTCAGAAATAGATCGCCAGCGTCGGGGTATCTTTGAAGTTGGACCTACTGATGGCAGTGCCGGTCCCATCTGTTGGGAAGTCTTGAGTAAACTGAGCATCGGCTGCACCAATGAAGGTGATAGAGACTGGGCCTTGACCGCGAGGAATGCTGGCTCCATTGACACCAGCAAGAAGGGCAGCAACGAGAGCAGGAGTGGATGAAAGCTTCATTTTGCGGGACTTTTGGATGAATGAAGAATCCGAAGAGTTTTGCTTGTTCGTGGATTGGAGACTAGTACTCGGTGTGCTTGATGCCTGATTCTGATCTGGATTTAAGGATTGGAGCAGGAAATTTGAGAGTTTATATAGATATCTAAGAGCAAGGTGCCGAATTCCAAAAGTAAGACAACTCAACTCACTTACACCAGCGCCGGCCTTGAGACTCCCTCGATGTTGCTATTTCCAGAGCATACATCGAAATACGAAGTAATCCGTGGATTGAATGAGACATAGCCATACATACTGCCTGCTGATTTAGCGGACTAATGTTGCCGGCCCTACATGTAAAACTCGTATGACAAGACATCATTGGCACGAGGATGTCATCTGAACAGCTCACTGCCCCAACATGACGAAGGAAAAATCGGATCTGTCTTTTACGAGCATTCTACACCTACATCGGCCAATCGAGGCCCAGAGCCATTTCCCAGGCGCATGGTTCGCCTGATTTGGTGCCACCGGTCCTAGTTTTGAACCCATTCTAAATATATCGACAATTCAGCCTCCATCTGGGGAGATATCCATGGATCCTGTCTATGACATCACCTCTTTCGGATACCTTTCGCCGTCACTCTATATCACCTAGCCACTGCAATACTATTATTTTAGCACAAGACAAAAAGCTACTAGTTTGGAACATGATAGACAATGAAGTAGATCATATTAAATTCAATCTATGTGGTGGGATGACTTGTGATTCGTCACTCATTCTACGACATGGCTAACCCATGGGATCACTTTCCGGCCTCGAAACTCGAACCCCCGAAGAAAGGTGAGACTGACCACTTAGTATTATATTCGCTCCGTTATCCTTGGTCACTACCTGTATGGGTAGGTGGCCCTATATCGAGCTTTACGGATTTAATAACCGTGACAGGGTTTGTAAATGGGAGTACGGTGTATCAATAGAAGGGAGCCAACACCGATGACACGTCCATCTAGTAAGCACGATCAATAACGTATGTTCTTATTGAAGAGAAAAAGAAAGAGACAAAAAAAAAAAAAAAGCCGCGCAAAACTAGCCGGGCCAGCGATCTACACGGAAGCGGCTCATTGAGAGACCCAACCCCAGATTTTCACTATTTACCGTAATCTGCTTATTAGATCTGTGTGTCCATGACATCTCTCAATAGTACATCAGTCAGCGTGGCCGTTGCAGCCATTGGCATTGAGAGCTGGTAACCTGTCTGTGTCAGATCAGTGTATCTACCCAAGGTTGGTAAGGCACGAATGCCTTCTAGAAGTCAGAACACTTCCTTGTGGGAGCCCAGTGCAGGGGCTCAGTTGTATGTATGGATAGCAAATGGCCTTAACTGGCGATGGAACACACTCCACTTGGATACTAGGATAGTGGATCCTACCTCTCAATAAGGCCCGTAGAATGCCACAGTACATGACAACATACCTTAGCATTCCTGCGTTGCGTCTTGTTCTGGCGTGAAACCAGCACTGTTCTGTGTTATGCATGCCTTCTCATTAGTCATGAAATCAACATATACTATTTGTCTTTCCCGATAGGGCGGGATGCATACGTGGATAGTATAAGGCAAAATACTCGTATTCGATGGTGTTCGGGTCGCCAAATCCCCGCACAGGAATCACACAAGCCAACGGAGAGCCTCGGATTTCATGTTGTACCAATATCTTAGATTTACGTTACTGACTAAGATCTCACGTTGAAGTATATGATCTTTTCATCCGAGCCCTACCGGAAAGTCGTGTTTAATGCACTCCACCTCGTTTGGCCCCCACGCACTGCCTGGTTGCCATATCTCTACACGTGTACAAATGTCATTATTCACAAAGAAACAACTCTATTAAGACGGTGTAGAGAACGTCTTCATTATGGGCTGCACATTGATGGGCCTCTTAACATATTCTTTGGGTCTTTATCTTTTCTACTTTGCCGCTATCCTCGTATACCGTTGCCTTTTCCACCCCCTCGTGCATATCCCCGGCCCAACCATCGCAAGAGCGACGTATCTATACGAGTGGTACTATGACCTATATCTCAGTGGCCAATATACATTCAAGCTAAAAGAGCTTCATAAGCGATATGGTACTTTATCTTCCTACCCTCCAGACGGAGACAACCCTAACTTGAAGTCAAGGCCCCGTTATCAGAATTAATCCCGATGAGGTCCATATCGACGATCCCGACTTTTTCGACGAAGTATACAACCAAACTAATGGCCGAGCTGAGAAACACCCGCAGGTTGCAGAGGCATTTGACCCGTATCCAGCAGTACACTCCGAATCACTTCACATCCACTTATGGACCAAGTACTGATACTGGAATCTAGACAATCGGCACTCAATGGCATGCTTTGCACCGCGTCAGAAGGAGTGCACTAAACTCTTTCTTTTCAAAGAAAGCTGTGAATGATTTGATTCCTGCCATGAATCGTCCCATTAGTATACTGTGTGACCGTCTTTCTGACGCTAGCAGAAGCGGAGAGACTTTGAATATGAAGCATATCTTCGCTGCTGTGACTCTGGATATCATGAACAACTATTGCTTTTCGAGGGAACCTAAGAACATCATAAAGTCGGATTTCGGTCGCAAGGGATTTGACGATGTGGACAGCTTCCTAGAAGCCAGTTTATTGGTCAGTGTAAATTGAATGAACGAAGGCCAGTCGATATTCTGCTGACAAGGATAGAATATTCACATCCCCTGGCTCATGCGTTTCAGCTACTCTCTGCCTGTAGAGTGCCGCGCAGCACCGTAGATGCAATGTATGCTCACCATCAGCAGGATAGTGCCAATAAGGTACTTGTACTAGCCATGGCTGATATCCTTGATTTCCGAAGGGTATGCGTCGAGCTTAGACTGGTCGCATAACAACGCTAACACACTGCAGGACCTGTCCCGCCAGGTTGAAGATATTCGCCATGGACGCGATAGATCCTACGAAAAGGCCGGGCATCGGACTGTTTTCCATGAGCTCCTGGAGAGCACATTGCCACCGGACGAACTAAAGCGCGACAGGCTGCGGGATGAAGCCTTCAGCCTGGTGACAGCCGGATCAGGGACTACGTAGCGGACTCTGATAGGTATGCTGTATGTTTACGACTATTTGAGGACAGGGCATACGTGCTTCGCGGAACTGCTTACTATATCGCCGCCAATCCATCCGTGCGGAAACAACTATACCATGAATTAAAGGCAGCTATTCCCGACCCTTTTATTCAGCCTCCCCTTCAGGAACTCGACAAACTTCCCTATCTGTCTGCCATAGTCCAGGAAGGTCTTCGGCTCTGCAACCCAGTTACACATTGAATTGGAAGACAGTTTCCCGACAAGACCTTGACTTGCCAAGGATACGTGGTCCCGGCAGGTACAACCGTCGGGATGACCGCGTTCCTCACCCATCAAAATACGAGCATATTTCCCGAGCCAGAAGCCTTCCGACCGGGCAGATGGCTATCCGAAGACCGGAAGCGGCTTGAGCGATATCTAATACCGTTCAATCGTGGAACACTCGGTCGTGTTTAGGAATTAACCTTGCCCGTGCGGAACTCTTCCTGATTCTCGCGGCCGTCTTTCGGCAGGTTTGACTTTGATGTATCCCAGGTGGAGAGAGCAAGAGACGTCGAGATTAGCCGAGATCATATTCTGGGTGCCCAGGCTCCGGACTCTGCGGGGATTTTGGTTAAGGTCAAGACATGTTAAGGGTGGTTGGCGCGAACTGGTAGCGCTATCGCCGGTTGCTGTGAGGTTGTTAGGGTTAGAAGTGATTGATTGGTTGACTCGAGTATCTCGAGTATCTGTGACATCAATTGGGGAGAACGCGTACATATAATCCCCACTGCACCATCGTGCTCCTGTGGTACTTTCTATGTTTATGTTTTTGGTTTCAGGATTCGAATAACTTCGGTCTTGTATTTATAGATCACGAAGAGAAGTTGAGGGGTCACTTCATGGATGGATTAATTATGCGAATAATAGCGTGTCACGCCATTCTAGACTATATGGTAAGGTGTGAAGTGGACGTGATGACACACAGCGGTTAGGACTTGGATAATATAATTGGTGTTTATAAATGATATAAACCAAAATAATAAAAATCTGGAACTTAGGTCTAGTAGACTGGAAATATAATATCTAACTCTCGATAATAAAAAATTACTATCTTTGATAATATGTAGAAACAATCTAAAAACAATGATTTCAACTGTCTTAGGGTTTTGAACTGGAAAGGTCTGAGGGCGATGTTTGCCTTAGGACACTTTCGGTCCCAAGGTGCACTTCGAACGGTGTGAGAGAAGCAGCCGCTCTCAATAATTCTTCTGTCTTCTCTACGACCATCTCTTACCACAGTCGCTGCTAAGCCGAGATCTGGCCGAGAAGCCCTTGTACAATTAAGTATATATGATATAGTATCTTGAAATTTCAACAGGAGTTGGACAAAATGACGTCAATCTGATCGCATGCCCCGAGTTGTAAATACTTATAAATATCACAATGTTGACTATCTTAAATCTGCCACTTGCACCATATCTCATACATCACAATATCCTCCAAGGACTTACTTCAAAACAAACGGAAACAGGAAAAAGAAGAAATACCAGAGAAATATGCAATCCGTTCTGAAACCCATAATTGGCCCTAAGAAGGAGATCCACGATCTAACCGGTCGAGTCGCTCTGATAACCGGAGGGGCATTGGGCATCGGGCAAGTACATTCTTTCCAAAAAAAAAAAAAAATAAATAAATAAATAAAAACGACATTTGTCGACTGACCACCATTGCTCAGTTATGAGGTCGCCCGTGCCTTCGTCCTCAATGGGGCGCGCGTGATCATGGTAAACCGAAAAGAAGATCAAGGCCAAGAAGCTATCGAGAAGATCAAAGAGGAAGCCGGCCAAGATGCCAAGATTGAATGGCGCTCTTGTGATATGGGCAATCTCGCTCAGATCAAGGAGGTATTTACGGGTATCCGGGAACGCGAGGAGCGTCTTGATCTGGTATGCCCTATGTCCTACTCGAACGATCCTTTCGAGCAGAGATGCTAACCAACCATGCTGTGTATAGCTCATTCTCTCCGCGGGCATTAATGCAAACCAGTTCGGCTTAACTGATGATCACATCGACCGACACTTCCAAGTCAACTGGCTAGGCCAGTTCTATGTGTGCAACTTACTCTTCCCGCTGATACGGAAGACGTCGAAATTGCCGAATACGCCTGCGCCTCGAATCGTGTGGGAGTCCTCCGAGCAGCACCGTTCGGCACCCAAGGTTGTCCATTTTGGCTCCCTGGAGGAGATCAACAACCCCGAGATTGACCCTACGGAGCTGTACGGGAGGTCGAAATTGGCGATCATTCTCGGGGTCAAGTATGGGTTTTTGGATCGCGTGATTAAGCCGAATGATGACAATATATATGTACTTTCGGTACACCCGGGCGCTGTAAGCATCTCCTCGATACCATGAAACGGGGTGTGGTTCGTACCTAACCAGGAGATATCTAGGTCAACACAGCCATGCAGCAGCAGTGGCAAGATGCGTATCCCGGATTGTTCGGGAAGGCCAAGACAGCCGTGATGTTGGCAATCGGTCGGGATGTTGAACAAGGTTCCTTCAGTACACTCTGGGCATCCACGAGCCCGGAGATAAAAGAAAACAGTTGGAATGGATATTACTTCTCAGATTCTGTACAACCTGGGAAGGAATCGAGCCAGGCATCGGATCCTACTTTGGGAGCTTCACTTTGGGACCTCAGTCATCGTATCATCAAGGATAAGGTTGGAGAGGATTCAATTGTGAACTGGAACTCCAGCAAGCCCTAAAGTAAGGCTCCTGCTTGAAGAAATCGATCTCAAGATATCTCTGAAAACAATCTATGCATAAACGGGTTTGAAGATTCTTAACGATAGGCATATACTAAATTGATTAAGTTGTACTAAATTCGGCACGTTTACATGTCTATCGACGCAGTATAAAACCTCTTGAGTATCACAACACGCTCTTTTTCTTTCTTCTTTCTAGATCTAGACTAAGACCGTTGCACAGGAGAGGTGTGGGGTCACATCGAGCGTAAGGGCTTTCGTACACCAATAGGAAAAAAATGATACAAATAAGTTCGCCAAGACGACTTCGCCTGGCGTATTCCGCGTGTTCGGCGTTTTGGGTGTTAGACTATCTTGCTATCTCGTAATGTGACCATGAAAAAGGTGGCTCTTTTCCAACACACAGCTACCCGACAATTCTCAATCATTACGGGAGTATTTAAAACAGACTTCCGTTTCTTTCGAGTCAGGATGCTGTCTCATGACCTTTTTATCATCTGTCTACGATTAACCCCTCGATCTAGTGCCGAAAGCAATGGCTCTACCGACTTTCAAGCAGTACTTCCTCCCAGAAAAGAACGGTTTCGACAGACTTATGCTTCGTGATGTCTTGAAGGTCTCCCCCAAGAAGGGGGAAATTCTGGTGCGAATCAAGGCCGTCTCTCTGAACTGGAGAGATGGCATCATTGCCGAGGGCACGTACCCGTTTCCAGGCCCTGATGCCCTTGCCCCCGGTAGTGATGGAGCAGGTATAATTCTATCCATCTGACACCAGTGAATAGATATCCTAATGCTTCTGGTAGGTTATGTTGAAGAAGTTGGCGAATGTGTCTCAGAGTGGAAAGCCGGCGACCGTGTTCTAGCAAACTTCACCCAGGAACATATTGCTGGCCGACTAACGCCACTAACCTTGCTGACCCAGCTTGGCGGGGAGTCCCAAGGCCTCCTGGGTGAATATTTCATCTTCCCCAGGACAGGCGTGGCCCGTATTCCGGATTACCTTTCCTATGAAGAGGCATCGTGCCTACCTTGTGCGGCGCTGACAGCTTGGAATGCGCTATACGGTCTGACGCCTATTCGTCCCGGCCAAACAGTCCTTCTGCAGGGTACCGGGGGTGTATCCACATTTGCATTGCAAATTGCCTCCGCGGCCGGTGCAACGACTATTGTCACCTCGTCCTCGGATGAGAAGCTGGCCAAGGCGAAACAACTCGGCGCAACCTACGTGATAAACTACCGGACGACGCCAGATTGGGCCACTGAGGCCAAGAGAATCACAGATGGTCGTGGGGTGGACCATATTATCGAAGTTGGAGGGACGCTCACATTGCAAGCCTCTTTTGATGCTATCGCGATGCACGGGGTCATCCATTGTATCGGCCATATCACGAATCCGGATCCTCTAGGTGCAGGGAAAAATCTCCGAGGCCCAGATGCCGCATTTCTTGCTCTAGACCGGCTTTGTATTTTGAGAGGCGTGGTGGTGGGTTCATTGGAACAATTGGAGGAAATGATGCTTTGCTTTCAGGCAAAGTCTATTCGGCCAGTTATTGACCGTGTTTTTGACTTTGGTGACGTTAGGAAAGCTTATGATTATTTATGGAGTTCGAGTCATACTGGAAAGGTTGTGATTCGGGTTCCCCAAGTGTAAATGCGTATGCTAGATAATAGTTCTCCGCCGTTGTTTCACTTTTGATATTACAGATTCAGAGATTCTATAGTGAGTCCTAGTGAATAGGATCAATAAATAATTTGTCAGCACCCCGCCTTTAGGTAACTAACTAGCCCAATAATCCCGGGCTCAGTCATTCCCGGTACCATATCAGATATCATGGCCATATAAAAGAGATATAAGCATGTCTACCACGATAGCTGCGATACGACGGCGCAATGGCTCCAAGCATGATAGAATGGGTTGCTTGACCTGCCGCCACAGGTTGTGTCCATCCCAGCCCAGTATAACTACTCCTATTATTAACTCGTCGCAGACGCAAGAAGTGTACACCGAATACTTTCCCCATTTGCGGCGCATGTCAACGTTTAAACCTCGAATGTGTTCGCGAAGCTCCCCGGCAACTGTTGCCTTTCCGGGGATCTATAGTCCAGGCGGGGAGCCAGGATGCAGTCTACGATCTACCATCTGCCTCCGTCCCTGACTATGTTAAGACCAAGTCCCCCTTCTTGCAGATATCAGATGGTGCCGAGTCCAATAAGAGGCGTTACTCTATGAGGTTCTACATCACAACACTTTCTCAGTTTCTAACAGTCAGTGACAAGGACAATTCCTTTCTTTCAGGTATGCGCTCCAACACCAAAATATGACACAAGACACTGCCATGCGTATAGACTTTGTCCCCATGTTGCTCGAGTTTCCCGCTCTGGCAGATGCATTAGTCGCCTGGTCATGTGGTCATCTATCCTCCCTCGACAGTTCATATCACATCACAGCCTTGCAGGCAAGATCAGCGGCTCTTCGCTCGCTAGCGGAATCAATTGCTTCAGATGAGATCAGTAGCTACGAAACCAGCGCAGCGACCGGGGTTGTTCTGCTAACGTCAGAAGTATGCCTAGGCGATCATACCAGATGGTATAACCATCTTATCGGTGTGAAAAACATCATTATGCTAGCTCAAGCCAAGGAAAAATCAGGGACTATTCCACTCCAAGGCCCAGAAGCTCTGAAACAGAGCGCAGAAGGCCAATGGGTTCTACGCAACTTTGCGTACCATGATATCGTCGGCAGTGTGACTCTCGGCAAGCCGCCACTACTCCAAGGCAACTATCTACGAGGGATTACCGATGGAGTTGATACTTATCTGGGTGTTGCTACCGAAATATTGACCATGATCTCAGATATCAGCTGCCATGACCCACTCAACCTAAGTCTTGAGTTCTCCCGGTATCATCGGACGGCATACCTTATCGCCGCAAACCAATTCTGGACGTTAGATTCGAAGCTAGCATCCTGGCAATGTCCCGCATGGGCAATACCATCGTTAGCAGCGCTAGCGTATGCCTACCGCAGCGCAGCGTTGATATACCTCTACCGTCGCACACTTCGCGGACTGAATACCCTTACCAGCTGCGAGGCTCTCCGTCCTGTTCATAGCGTCGGCCTGAGTCAGACATTGAAATGTAAACTCCAAGATGCAGCAGCAACAGTATTACGACATGTTGCAGAAGTCCCCCTTGATACGTTACCTGAATCAGCTCTTCTTTTTCCTTTGTTTCTCGCCGGCGGAGAGGTTATGGACGACTTGGAGATAGAGATAATTCGCATGCGGCTGAGTATAATGCTCGAGAAGCGCCAGTTTCACAATATTCGACGTGCATTAGAGGTACTCGAGGAGGTATGGGAGCGTCGTCGGGCGAGCCTGGATTCGGACGAAGATCCAGATGTCGATTGGCAGGAGATAGTGAATCGAAAGAGTGGGGGACTTCTGTTGACCTAATGGTATGATTTGTAGGTCTAAAGGGCTGTTAATTGCTTCGGTTATTTTATTTACAGTTGCTTGGCTAGTTTCCAAGTTTTATGTAAGGGTAGGAAATTATTTCAGACATTGACCCATGGGGCATGATACTCGCATGGAGTAAGGGTTAATGCGAAGACAAAAGGAGTTCACATAGGGACAGCTTGACCGTCGGATTCCACTAGTAAAAGCAGGAGACCTGGTCGACCGTGAAAAGTGAGGTATGGACGCTAACTTCCATAATTCATAGATTGGCCCCTGTAATGATAGAAAAGGCCAGGTTCAAGCTGATGTCAGACGAAGCTTGTGTGGATCCAATTCTGTCTTCAACATTCCTCAAATTCCCCTATTAAGATCCTGAGCGTCGCGAAGATCTGAAAGCCTTTAGAGGATCAAAAGGGCTATTAAGCCACGTACTGCGGCTGATAAAGGTTGCCACCGGTTGCACCAGCCTTTACCTCCATCAAAAATGGGAAGCGAAGGCCAAAGTAAGTAACATATGGTTCGCTGATGAGGCTTGGTGTATCTTGCGTATCTAATAAGAGACCTTCTGCGATAGTAGGCCAAGGGTTGTGTATTGGAGGTTTCAATCTTCCCGTCAATCTTACTACACAGTTAAGATCTGAAAGCCCTGATTACAAGAAGATACCAGCAAGTTATAGCTTACCTCTGTTACGCGCAACCTCTAATCCTCGCGGTTTTAGATCGTTGATTGCTGTATGTAAGGCTTCTGTCCATTCGACCACCCCTGCTGGTTTCGTTAAAAGCGCCTTGAATTCCACCCAGGGTTCTCAGAAGCTTGATAAAGGTGAATGCCATCGTCAATAGCTAGATTAGAAATGCTAGTATCAGCATTTTTAATCAATTCTAATCAATGACCAATAACTGCCAAGGCAACCATATGCCCATGTGATTCACTAGCGACTCATGCGCCACATTTTCTTGCAACTGCTAACCCATGCTGCAAGCCCTACGAGAAAAGCTGAGCATGTTAATTCACTTTATGGACAGGTATTGTAGGATTATCCAGCCCCTATAGCCGCGACTGGTAGGCACAGAGTCATACAAGCTTGTACGCAATGCAGCCAGTCAAAGTTGCGGTGTGACAGAAATTAGCCATGTGGACGCTGCCATGTCCAACCGAGCCATTGTCACTACCATCCTTTAAAGCGCGCTTCCAAGCCTGAAGTTGATAGCAATGTCTCGGTGAAACGCCCCAAAGTCTCAGGCGTAGCTGGTCTGAAGTACTGAATCAAGACCACTTTCCCGGATCGGGGTGGCACAGTATACCGTCGGGACCAGTTAGGACACAGAATCCAGGACTGGACGGCTCTATTCTGGCACAGAGGTACCAGCACTATACTGCTTACAGTGAAGGCGGGGCAACAAGCGTGATGGCTACCATACAGGCCCTGTCTTTACCTGATGACGACCTGAATGACTTCACGAGGTTGGTTTAGCCTCTCTGTCGATCAAGCGCTCCCGCTAGACCTAGCGTCCCATGACCTAGACTTTTCGACATTGGACATGGTTCGACCCTCAGTTATGGAAGAGTTGCCGTTGCAGGAGCTTTCGGATTTTCAACCACGTAACGCTGCTCTACCACCCTCTGACATAACCGAGCTTTATAAGCACAATCAGCTACCAGAAATGGACAAAGATGCCGTTGAATCGAGACATTATGACCCTACCTGTGCTGAAACTGATGCCAGCTGATCTTCCCAGATATGAATGCCGTTCCCATTGAGAATGTCGAGGCAGAGAATCTGGCCCATGTAGAAGAGGTTCCAGCTGAGCTGACAGATATTGTTTTCCAACTGGCAAGCCAAATGCAGCTTAATTCAAACTACCCTCAATCCATCGAACTGAGCATCCCACCGGCACATGTCCTCAATGCGTGGGTTCAGTTATACTTTGAACATTTCCATCCGATAGTTCCTGTCCTGCATAAACCAACGTTCTCTACTTCTGGAACATATCAATTTCTTGTTTTTACGGTGGCTGCGATCGGTACCCACTTTTCGCAGTTGAAGGGTGCAAACGCTTGTCTAAAAGCAATGCATGAATTGATACGGCGGTACACGTCCTACACGGTGAGTAACCTCAGTCGAACAAATATGGGCTCAGGTAAGCTAATAGGTAATGGAAAGTGCGAAAAATGGAATAGAAACAGCCGTGAGCTGTGGATGATGCAAACGATACTCAATCAATTGGGTCTGATGTACTCAGGCGATTGGAGAGCTTTGGAGCTAGCTGAACTCTTCCAAGCTGTTCCAGTTACTCTGGGTCGTCGTAAGCGTCTCTTCATTAGCACGCTTTCACCCGAGGAGAAATAGCACGTTTCAAGTCTCGACGAACAGCGCCGGCGGACATGGTTTGCAATCTGGGTGTCCTCCTTTGACCCACCGTTGCTAAATTATAAGGCCTATGCTAATTGGGATGGCAGCTTGTCGATACGGCCTATGATTAACCAGTTTGGCCTGTGCACTATGATGAGGGTAGACTAGCTTCGAAATTGCCTTCCCCAATCAGAGGGTCGCTGGAATGCTTCCAGTGCTCAGAATTGGGCTATTTTTGGGGAGGGAAATGGTACGCGTTTATGGTCGAGAATCTGATGCGTATAGTTGATAATTCATACTATAGGTCTGGAAACTCATACAACCCTGGGACAAGTGATTCAGAAAAAGAGGTGGAATTCAGTGTGGTCAAAAACTTGGAACGCCCGGAAAGCAGACTATCTTGCAATATTTAACCAACATCGTTAAAGATAAAGGCGACATCTCTCCAGGGTCTCCTACATTCTCGCTGGAGGAAAGAAATGAAGCCATGAAAGTACTGGAGGGACTTTTAGAAGAAACAAGAGACGAATGCTACGGGTTTTCATTATCTGAAGTCAAAGCATCTGCCATCCACCGTGTTATGATCCTCTCCGCGTTGACAAGTTATCACACACCGACATCAGATATTATCTCTCACGCTATAAAGGTAATCTATGGAAAGATGGATGATAGCTCTTGGACCCAAATTATCGATCGCTGGTCCGACTTCCCGTACCAAGGGCGCCTGGCAGTTCTCTATGCGTTCACGTCTTTGAGACAATTCGGTCGGCTCGTTGCACTCATTTCATAACGCCTGTACACTTCCTGAGAGCAGCACTTGTCCTCTGGCTACATGCAACGATATACGATCGACTAAGACAGGGTCGGGAATACCAATTCCAAGTGCCTATGGTTGTTCTAGATTTTAAAAGTCTAAATACCACGGCTACCAAGCAGTGGATCTCGAATGGGTCAAGCTGTATCAAACCTGCGGGGGTTAGTAACCTTCTAAATAGAAAGGGACGATGCAAGATTTTGGAAGACTCCGTTGTTATCATGCGATCTCTCAAAGCCTGGGGCATCAGCACTATGTACGCACAGTTACTGGCGAGAGTACTAGACGCTGAAAATATGCGAACAGCGTGAGTTGGGTGTTAAATGTCGCATTGGTGACCTAGCAGATATACTGGTGATCGTAATCCAGCTGAATATGTTACCAATTCGATTCTAGGTTTACATCTCTGAGAAGTAAGAATTGAGGAGAAGCTGTAACCCACAGTGGCAGCGGTAACGGCACGGATATTGGTGGACAGGCCTCAGCCATACACAACTGAAACGGGACTAATAACTTTAGTAAGGCACTAACAGTGGAAAATAGGGATGAGCTCTCTATCGAGGGATACACCTCTTCTGAAGGCTCAGATTCAACAAGAAGGTAGCCAGCTTAGCGCTCAAGGAACCCCACGATAAGCGTACTCAAATGGTTATGTCTTGACCTTCCTGACGGGATCAACACAGTAAAACCCTCTTCTGATATTAAATGGAAATCTAAGGACATGTTTAGTAACGGTAGCACAAGAATCATTTCATAGTCATTGTATCTGGTGAATAAAGGCAAGAGAGCGAGAGATGGTTCAAAAGCTTCATAACGGGCTGAGAGAAGTTCCAACATACCAAGGAGATCGCGACACGCACAGCAGAGACTCCCTGTACCTCCAAATCACCAGAACTGGATATGTGCAGCCTTCTCTTCTTTGCAGATAGTGGTTCCGATTATATAGTGTTCGATTAGCTATGAACGATGCGGTAGGCCATCTGTGCAACCTTTGCTCACAATTACCCTCCCAACCATATGTGATCATTGACAGACTAATTGAAGCATATGACTCAGTATTAGGTGTTACTTCGAGGTAGATAGACAAAGGGAGAAAGGAGGGAAGCAGGAGGGGTAAATTGTGAAACAGAGATATTTGTAATTCACGCATGGGTAGGCCCGGTTATTGTACACGTTAGTTACCTATAACGATTGCTTTATCATTTCCAATATCTCTTCTGCAAAGTTACCTGTTTGGTCATGCGCTATATCACAAACCGGAGCGGTGCGAATGAGGGTCTAAGAGATATGTCCGTTCGGATCTGTACAGCAACGGAATGGGTGTTGGGGACAGCGAAGACAGATGCCATCCTGCTTTAACATTTGGGATACCTAGGCATTGACTACAGACTAGAGGAGAAACCGGTCTATACATTCAATTCTCTTGAAAGCAGTCGGTTAGCGGAAAAAGCCTTGTAACAAGTGCGTTGGCTCTTCATTACGTGGTGCAGTACTGAGTAGCAGAGCGAACGACTCTCGAGGACTTCTAATAGTCCATAGCAACGCTGGATGTAGTCCGTAATAAGAGTGGTACCTGATATACTCGTAACCAAGGACTAAATTACCCGACCGCTATAAGCCTTTCCAACGAGGAAATGGCTAGCTGGGTGTGTGCCATGCGTCCCCTACCCTGAACCCCATTGGAAAGGGATCACTTGGATCCAATACGACTTGTTGAAAACCGGTAATCCACGCACTGCCTTTCACTGTCGGCAGAATTGCTGGATACTTGCCCACTTGAGTGGTTCCCCTAATCTTACACATGAACTCAGTTCCTGTGATACCAATATGACAAAATGATTCTTGCTCGGCGAGCAGACCACGAGCATGCAATACCGCCATCCTCGCGCAGGTTCCAGTGCCACAAGGGCTCCGATCGAGACGACCAGGGGACACAATGACGGTATTCTTTGCCCTCTTACCGGAGGCTCCATCGTCCTCTAAAGGCTCGGTCAATATGAAGTTTGATACCCCATGTATTCCCGGATTGTCCGGGTGCACAGGATCAAACTTGGCCTGGACAGCTCGCTTAATCAGCTCACCATAATAGACCAGCTCCTTGCCATGGCGTCCATCCAGCGTCAATCCAGTAGCAGATACATCAACCATGGCATACATCATCCCACCCCACGCGATATCGCATAATACTTTTCCCAGGCCAGGGACATCGACTTCCAGATCCAGCTCATAGACAAAAGCTGGAACATTATCGAACGAGACCGCTTTGCATTTGCCGGCTTCACAATCAGCGACAACCGTTACCAGTCCAGCAGCCGTATCGAGGTTTAATGTCGTCGTCGGTTCTTGCATCTTGACCATACCAGTTTCCAGGAGCACGGTGGTTGTACATATGATATTGGACCCAGACATCGGGGGATATTCGTTGCTTTCCATGATAATGAAGCCAGCATCTGCGCGAGGGTCGCAAGGAGGTAGGATAAGATTGGCATTCTTTGCTGGTCTGCCCCGAGGCTCGTTCAGCAGGAGCTGGCGTAATTCATCGGCTTGCGTCCAGAAATGCATCATCTTGTCGTACATTGTGGCTCCAGGGACGTCTAGAACGCCGCCGACAATCACATCACCTACCTCGCCGGCAGCATGGACTCCTACCACATTGATAGTCCTTGAGAACCGCATAGCTCTTACTAGGTATTTCGACTGGTGATCTATACTACGCCTTGCTGGGATTCCAACAGCTCGGTCGAGAGATATGATGTCCTGGAGTTGGAGGGAGAGTGGGGGGGTAAGCAAACCCCTCACATCCGCTGATTTCAACCACTTTTCTCCGCGTTGTCCCTGATGCACAGACGCCTCGGAACACACGCAATGGAAACTACCCAAGAAATACTCTGATATTCCAGCGCGACCAGAGGCCTGCCTATCCAAGGTCCCACGCAGCCAGCCAGCCTGGACATATTCCAGTGGGAAATTCTGTACAATTGGTTATCTTCCCAGTCTCTTCACAATGTCAGTAGTGGGCAGCAGATATCATCCCAGCCAGGTACGGCGGGGATGCCCCTTGTACGATAGATGCATCCCTGTTTCCCTCTAATAGAAGCTGAATACCCCATTGGACCACACGCTATTGGCTAATAACATGCCTCGATTTACCATGGCATACTTCAGAAAGTAAGGTAGCTCTGATTGTCCAAGTACATACGACCATTAATCTAAAAAATGGAAAGTATTTCCTGGAATTGCCTTCTGATCCTGAGCTTGGGTTTCCCGTACGATGTTCAGTATATTCTTTCCCTCACTTTACTATGCTAGCCAGCACCACTGGTAGATACTACGCCCTCGCCGCGGTGATGGCGGAAAGATTGAACGATAGTGAAAAATGTGGGGCGCAAAGGTTCCCTAGTTCCAATTAACGTGGGTCACCACCTGCGGCACGTCACCGCCTGCCGCACGATATTCATACTCACCGACTTTCGAACCTCAACAATTTGAACCTTTATATCTCAACCAATATGACTCTAATCGAAGAGACGTTAGCAGTAATCGATTCGTTGGGACCTGGCAAATTGATTAATTATACTAAAATTGCAAAAGAATTTGGTATACACCGGTCAATCTTATCAAAACATCACTGAGAAAAATAATAGTCAAGAGAGATATAATATAAAAATCAGCAAGTTCTTAATAATCAACAGTCTAAAGAGCTTATAAATTATATAAATAAGCTAAGGAAGCGTAGACTTTAACTTTTATATAAGATACTTCAGAATTTTGTAAAAGAAATTACTGGAAATAAGCCAGATAAAAACTGGCCTGCTCAGTTTCTTCAACACTATCACAAGGATCTTATATCTCATTGTACAACCGGATTAGATACTATATATAAACAAGCTAATTCTGCAGCTAAATATACTTTATATTTCTAGTGTATTAAGCAGAAGCTACAAGAATATGAGATACTGCTAGAGAATATATATAATATAGATAAAAAAGGATTTCTTATTGGAATCTTGTAAAAAGGCAAGAGAATCTTCTTAAGATAGAAATATGAATAGAATAGCCTTAAGTAATATCTACAGAGTAACTCCAGGAAGTGGATTACCTGCCTGACCTATATATGTGCAGATAAGATATCGCTGTCACCTGATTTAATCTATTAAGCAATATCAGGTAAGATACAGGACTCCTGGCTTCAAGACTTCAATCCTACAGACTATTCTTGCTTTTTTTATCTCTTCTGCATCTGGTTGGATAAATAATATACTAGGAATTGCATGGCTTTGTGAGATATTTAACTGTGAAACTAAAGATAAGGCACAGCGGTGCTGGAGACTTCTAATACTTAATAACTATAGTTCTCATGTTACCAAGGAGCTAAAGCTCTGCTACCAGGGCCTTGAGAAAGCTATATTTAAAGAACAGAAAAAGCGCCAGTTTGGAAAGCCTATTACTTTTAAATTACAAGCTTCTGAGGATGGTGGTACCGTCTTTTACTCACCTAAAAAGATTTAACAGTTCCGTGATCTTCAAGCAGTAAAGGAGAAGGAGATACAGGCTACTAAGGCTTTAAAAGAGTAATAAAAGCTTTATTAATAGTAAAAAAAGAAAGAGAAACAACGCTTACTTAAAGAAAGAAAGTAATTCAGGGCCTCTTAATAAAAAATTAAACTTTAGCAGATAAAGAAAAGAAATATTAAAAGAAGAAAGCATATATTACTAAAGAGACCGCTGTACAGCTTTAAAATAACTTCAGAATAGCTAGAAAAGATAAACTAAAGGCTTCTAGATTATCTATAATTCAAAATACTGGAGATTCTATACTCCAGGGGCCTAAAGAGGTTGTTAAAGCGCCTTTGCCTATAAATTATCAAGACAGGCAGATCCGCCTGCCACATCGCTTTCGCGATGATTAAAAGCTAGATAGTATAACTTTCAGGCATCAAGAATACTACACCTTAATATTTCTGTATAATTTGAATTATATGTGGTTGAAAAGCGTCATTTTAGTTTGTAGTGCATTACCTCGAAATCGTGCGGCAGGCGGTAACGTGCGGCAGGTGGTGACCCACGTTAATATTAAAGTAATTCTAATTTCACTCTTGCCACTCATTCATCATCGACCCTACTGCCGAAAGAAAAAAACATTTATGATTCGATATAGCCTCTAACAACGGGCATGTATGGTGAGAAACAAGAAAGACGTGCACAGTCTTGGGGTAATCTTTCCGAGCCCTACGAGTTTTCCGTATGAAGCCGCGGCAGCGCACTGTTTGTAACAATTGCAGGATTCGGAAGCTGGGGGTACGACTCGACTCTATATTCTATCTTGATTTCAATCAGCGCAGCCCTAACCTTGCACCACAGTGTGACGGAAAGAGTCCTGCTTGCAGTCAATGTGTCCTTACGAGGCAGCAATGCGAAGGCTACCCAAATAATTGGACGTTTGTCTCACAGAACCGGATCGCCTCGAACAAGAAAAAGATTAGAAAAAGAGACATCCAGCACGACGACTCAAAGCCTAGTCATCCGACCTCCGCATCGAACAGCCAGCCGGTCCATCCAAGTGATACATTAAGAAGGACCTCGACACCACGACCGCAGTCCTTCAATCCGACCTTGGTACAGCTGAACTGGCCGATCACGAACCAATATATAGACTTCATCGTACAGGCTTACATCCCAGGCGATGAAGTATCTCGCGAATCTTCCGGGACTCAATCGCATGTATGCGGGTCTTGGGTTGAGGCTCTTCCTCATCTTAGCCGCGCCAATGATCCGAATGGTATCCTATCCGCTGCAATCAAGGCCTTGTTTGCTTCTATAGCGCAACGGGGGTCCTGGCGATTAAATGCGAGGCCAGATGCTACAGAATCCTACTACACCGCTATCCAGTCGCTACAGAGAGGCTTCAGCATCCCCGGATACCGTTTCGGAGCACAATTCGTAGCTTCCATAATGTGTCTATGCCTTACCGAAGTAAGCTTTAGCAAATGTCGTATACAGAAATTTCTATGATACACTAGGGTCTGACGAATATTCAGCTCATACTGCCCAAGTCTCCCTCGGGGCCAGTGCTGCATGCTAATGCTATCAGCGGGCTATTCGAAGCTCACGGCCCTCAAGCCTTCCGATATGGGATTCTACACAAGCTATTCGTTGGCTTTCTTCCCCTTGTGGTGAGCAGACTCTTCATACTCCCTGCTAGGCTGCATTGCCTAACTAGACCTTATAGGTAGTCGAAGCCTTTCGGAAGCGCCAGCCAACATTTCTTGCTTTGCAGGAATGGCAGAGTGAACCATTTAGCATCAACCCCCCTTCGATTATGCAAAGACTGCTTTGTGGAGTCGCGACCATTCCTTCTATACTATATAAGATTGACCAAGAATATGATGCAAGAATTCGGCCTACGACATCCACGTCTAGCCCAAACTTATGTTTACTCACTGATGCGCTCACAAGTCTTGAGCTTTTCGAATCCTTACTTATCGACACCCAGGGCAGGCCCAACTATGAGCTACCTCACGAAGGATGGGAGCTATCCAATCCTGCCCTCTGGTTCCCGAACATAAGTATAGCAAATATGTTCACACACCTCTGGGCCTTCAAGATCGTTTGTCTTGCTGAGATTTACAAATTGGATGCAAATTGCTCTCATTTCCCAGCAAATGAGACTCCACTGGCCAACGTCAATTCAGGCATTATTGGCCAACATATGATAACCCTATCACAGTGGATATGTCGCAGCATGGAGTATATGCTGCAGGAGAAGATGGCGCTTTTTGGCCCAGCGTCTACATTCTTTCCGCTTCAAATCGCCTATAGAACGTTGAGAAAGGACGCGTCGAAACAGCCGGATGTTACTTATTGTGAGCAGATTGTAGCACGTCTGGTTGAGAAGGGTTTCCAGGTCGCGCCTTATTTTGTGTACAGTGATTAGTGCTTGGTCGGTATAGGTCGTGAGAAATAATGAAGCTCGATAAATCGGAACCTAGTCCTACCCTTCAGTTCCGTTTGCGGTATAGTCACTGTAGCTGATACATGGACGATCCACTAAGGTGGGTCGGGTTGAAGCGCTTCCTTTGTGAGGTATATGTCGTTCATCGTATGGTCTGTGAAACTAAGCAAGCATTGTCATATTGAACTCAATACCCATGGGTAGACCCTTGCAGATCATAGTTACGTATTTTAGGTTTTCATTAAAGGCCACAAGTACTTTTGTCGCATTTCAGGAGAAGGAGCTATTCGTTATCCAAAGCTGGGGTCTCTCATAGGGTGTCCTGGGTTATGCCAGATGAGTTTCCAAATACTATTGCACCAGTAGCTCAATAATGACTCTCTACTTTATGCTATATCTTCATATAAGCAATGAGATATCGGTCAATTTGATTGGAATAAGAAATAGACGTTTTTGACTGGATAGAGTCATTGGTCATTGTGCTGAACACGTTTTCAGAGACTTAAATGAACGTTAGTTTATAGACAATGATCCAAGTTGTTATGCTTCAGCCATACTCAGATTCACCATCTGCCATAACAGTGAATATGAATGGATGTACATGCTCGCAGTACGTCTCTACAAGACAGTCCCTGACATAGTCTTGATTACTAGTTTAGCAGGAAATACTCCTAAAGGAATGGGAAACGACTGCGGGCTAGGTCCTTAGACCTGATGAATGTGTAGCGAGATGGATGGCTTAAGGCTTTCCGATAGAGTCGGAGCAGGCAGATCGTTCCACTATTTACAAACATATGATTCTATCCGATGATTGGCAGATATTTAATCCAGAGAGACTTTTTTTGGCGATCCAGCAGCAGCATGCGAAAGAACTGCGTGAGAGGAAACTCCAACACCAGGCAGATCGACGCGCTAAGCAGAAACGCGCTGGGGTGAATAAGCGCAAGAGAGATCGACGGGCTGGGTGGTCTCAGGAAATACGCAACATGTTCAATAAACGCCAAAGAGAGCCGAGGAAACTCGAGAAGAATGAGTGGGAAAGAGAGCAGGAAGCACACGACGAGCAGGAGGAGGATGCTGAGTATTCTGAGTAATATGGTATTCTACCTCCTGTACCCTTAGTTATTTGCCTGGTCACTTTCTTTTTCCTTGACGTTCTGTTTGTCATACTGTTTATGTGCTTCCCCTACGTTTGTCCATGTGCTCATTATTTGTTATTCCATGAGTATACATATTCTTATAGACCATCAACCCTGACTCACTCTTCATTCGATAACCTTTTCATGCTTAATATGACTTCAAACATCCTGCTTATTTGGACCTTTGAATACAATCCGCTGTGTAATACTGAGTTAAAACTTACGCCAGGTGACTTGCCGGGATGAAAGAACTATTTGTCACAAGTACTTATAGGGAATGTCCTGAAGCAATACCATTTGGCAGGTTAATACGTCTACCCCAAGGCTCTACTTCTCAACTATGCATGCCCGAACACACACCTACAGGTAGGAAATGTAAATATGCACTTGATGACTTTTGCTAAACTCCTATAATGGACCGGATACAAATACATGCACACAATATTATCCCAAGCCTTCCCGGATAGTTCCTCGTGGGGCAGGTGATTACTGGAGTCTTCCTTCGAAAATGTCCTGGTAGGATCCGTGAATAGTTGTTCATGGGCTCTGAGCTTGTATATAAACCTGCATGATTTAGGGTCTTTCGGTCCTCCGTTTCTAAATCACCACCCAAAACCTATTTCTTGTAATTCATCGTTTGACCTTTTTTGCTAGTGCTTCTTTCTAACGCCTTGGAAGGACATCCTTTACTTTTTCATAGCGGCCACTAGAGAACCACTCTATAACCCAAAATCTCGCATGCGGTTCGCGTTTCCAGCTTATAAAGATTTGCTCAAGGGTACTCGCTTTTTCCATACAACATGCCTTCCCTGCCTGTCATCCTGAGTGTAATCAAAACGGAAGAGTATGGCTCAAGGCTATATTCCTCCCCCAGCCCAGTGCCATATTTGGACCGCAATGAACAATTGGCCACTTTTTCGCACACATTCGAGGAAGATGAGCTATCGTACCAGGCCAATGGCAGAACCCCGAGCAGGGCCCTGCTACGCCATCTCAAGTCAGCATGCAAGCTTGCCCACGAGGATGGAATTCCATACATGTGGTCAGATATTATTTGCGCGTCTACGCACGATCTGGGGAGGTTGTCTGGTGAAGTGAATTCGATGTATGGAATCTACAAATGGGCAGAAAAATGCTACGCCTATCTTTCAGACGTCACCAGGCTGGATGAGCTGAAGTCCAGCAAGTGGTTCAAAATGGGGTGGACGCTCGTCCAGCTGGTAGCCTCGAGGGAAGTAATCTTTCTCAACAAGAAAGGCGAAGAAATAGCGAGGAAGAGCACACACCAGTCCATCTTGTTCTCAGCCACAGGTATTGAAAATATGGTCTTGATGAATCGAACATCTCTCAGAAACGTGTGTGTAGCCAAGCGCTTTTCGTGGGCTGCTTCACGAAGCACAGTATCTGAAGTGAACATGGCCTATTGCCTAATATCTCTCTTTGGTGTTTCTATGGATCTTGAGTATAATGAGACCTTGGAGGCAGCATTTCGTCGACTTCAGTTCAAAATAATGGAAAGATTTCCCGACGATCTGTCCATCTTCGCATGGGCTTGCCAGTCTAGTGGGGATTCTAATAAAAGCCAACTGCTGGCAAGGTCCCCATCCGATTTTGCCAATTGCGAACAGGTTACAATTCGACGCTATCCCTCTTATCTCAAAGTACCGGTATGGAACCGACGCTTGATTACAAGTGGTTCCGATGGAGCTCACCTCAACCTGCCTATCCTTTTGAAAAACAACAAGTGTAATATCATACTCAACTGTTCCCTCCCGCAAGCTCCTCCTCATTTTCTTTGCAATTCACTCCAAGTGATACCCCGGAGAGAAGAATGGGAAGAGGAATGGGCTGGACAATATGAGTATATTCGATTTCAACGCTCTGGACTGGAAGCGGTCTCTGATCGTACAATTCAACAGGATGTGACACGTCTAGTTGATGAGTGCATCTACCTCCGTGCAGATGGTGTCGCAGTGCCATATCGGCCTTAACTTGTGAAAACAACATCTTACGATGCAAGATACATTTGAATGCTAATTTCCTTCTGGTCTTCCATCTTCTGTTGCCTCTTTGTGTCTAACCCTGTGGCAGGTCAGCCTTGTTGGAACCAGTCAATCATTCAATTATTCGTTTACAAAGCAATTTCCATAGATAATAACAATGCCTTTCTCGTGCGACTTGGCAGGTTAATGACTAGAGTACACAGCTTTGGCTTCGACAGAGTCCCATTATTCTTAAATATCTAGATGCATCGTTTTGCTTACAAGGGTCTCTCTCTTCCTTCTTTGGCATCCAGTGTCTATGAGTATATAAAATCCTCGAATTTAATCTTAAATGCCAATAGGCTCCGTACAGACACACACAAAGATGTGGCAGCTAGTAGGCCAGAGTTTTGCCCAACCCTCGTTTTCCCCTGTCTCTTTACATTCTATTTAACGGGGCCTTTTTCGGTATATTCCTACCGAACGAAGCCCCAAAGTTCCGCTCTCAATCGAGCGTTGTATCGGAATATAGACCGCAGAGCGGCCCCAGCTTTCTCAGTCCTATGCACGTCCCCTTTGTTCTGTAGAATAGAAATTTGATCCATCGCTACCCCATCATCGGCCTTTGCCCGCTGTGTTCATTGTTTCTATTTTAGTCTCTCTCTTTGAAAATATGTGGATAAAAATTAGTCAGGGATTTGCGGGACTAGCCAGAATAGTAACATAAAACTGAGTAACGAAGAAACAATTTCGTACAAAACCTTCAATGTTCCTTGGGGTAGACCGCTGATATGTTGTACTTTCTGGGGTATATCCCAAGGGCCTCGCGCAGTATGGCGTTACCGCAGACAAAGGTCCGGTTGTGTCCAACGCCGTTCGAGGTATATACATGTGTTAACTGGCAGTCTCCACTTCGAATTGTTCTACATATCTACACAGCCAGGCCTCTTCCCAACTATGTTCCATCGACATGCGAAACAGGAACGTAGCAAATCAATTGAATACTGAAATAACCGACAGTCTCGCGCGATGGAGCCCATTTTGTGCTGGCATCTGCTCCTATAAAATGGTACACGCCCTAGGGTGAGTGAATGTTTCTAACGGATAATCCAGAATTGGGCTTAATATCACTCCTATTTCTTCGCGCTTATTTCAATAGTCCTGTCGCCGATGTACTATCCAGCGGATGGAGCTCCCCACAACCGGTTTCGGCCTCAGTCAATCTAGCTTCGACATTGCCTCCCACTTTTGCACCTCTAAAATTGCTGCTCGTTAACACTGGAACTCGGGAAACCGAGTCTTTCGAGGATGTCCGGGGTTGTGATAAGAAGTAGGCAATCTTTTCCTATGCATACATTCATTAAGCTGGGGTATAGTGACGGGTAAGATTAGGGCTACAGGCCTGGGTCTAAGAACCCTAAAGCTAGGGGCCCAATGCTCTCCCAAGTACATACACTTAATTAGAAGTAATTAAGTACAAGGGGTCTCTTAGCCTTGTAGAGCGCGTAATCTACGTAAGTGTTGTAGTAGAAATAGTAAGAACTATTTATTTCCTTGGAATGACGAACTAAAAATCTCTACTAATCTACTATCGCTACTAAGAAGGCTTTGATTTATGTATATCGTAAAATCAGGGATTTAACTGATTTTTGATTTTTGCGGAGTGGCTACCGTACCTGATCCACCTGACGCTCGATTTTCCATGAAAATCAGAATTAGAAATGAAGCTCTACCACCACATATATTGATTACTATCGTGAGATTTTTGGGAGTTTTCTATTTAAACTATATGGAATATAAATAGCTATTTTAATGGTCCCGAAACCGCGCAAGCAGGCGAATCTGCCTATCTCGACGATTTACACTATATGAGGCCTCTGCACTAACAACCTGATCTAGATCACTAATATCCTTCCCATTACTTGGAGCTGAAGGTATAGAGATCTTATTCTTATTCTTGCCTTTTCTGACCTGATTGATATTATTTGAAGCTGTAGGTTAGTTTCTTTAGTAAGTTTTTCGTCGTACTTTTGGGCGCTACTTTCGATTGTTTCCTGCTATTATTGTCACGGCGTGACCTCTGGGTGCATTCAGAAGCTTAACCGCTGCGTTATCAGCAAAGGACTAGGATATAAAGCCTTCCGCTTTGTACTGCACTCTCATATATAAGCTTGTTCAGGATTCAGGCAGGCAGGTAGGTGGCCCGCTGGCACACCGTGGCACCACTAAGAGATAATACAAAAAAGTATCTACGATACTCAGAATTGAAACCTTGAAACCAGGAATCCTGTATATTGCCCGAGACAGCTTGATATATAAGATCTGGAGAAGGACAGCTTCTATCTGCAGAGATATAAGCAATTGCAGTGATCTATTCTTTGTTTCGATCCTGAAGGCGTTGTTTATACCCCACCTCCTGTAAATTTATGACGAGAAAAGACTCTTTGCCTTTAGATAGTACCCCAACAAGAAATCCTTTATCTATATATTATATATCTTCAGGCTGTACGTCATATTCCTCGAGCTTCTTGGCCATTAATTTAAAGTAAAGAGAGTATTTATACGCTGAATTAGCTCTCTTGCGTTGTGGGTTGATTCCGGTTGTATGGTGAGCAATAAGCTAATCATTATATTTCTTTAAAAATCGAGTTGGCCACTATTTTCCTGGCTTATTCCCAGTGATTTCCTTAGCGAAACTTCGTAGCATTTTAAGCGTAGAAGAAAGGCCCTTATCAGTCAGATTATTGATCCAGTTTACAAGCGTTTTGGCCTGCTAATTGTTGAGGATTCGTTAATCATTATATTGCTCTTCTTGAGTATGCTGGACACCACGATGACGTTTAAGATAACGTAGATCTGCTTGCACCATGCTCATTGGCAATTTTGGTATAAACCATCGTTTTGCCTACTTTCAAGCTTTCGATATCTGCCAATGCTGCCTGAATTGAAGCCATATTGGCAGAGCTATGGTGATTTGAAATTTGTCAAAATATCGGTATATATCAAAAAATCGGGCGTCGGGTGGGGCGGGGCGTCAGGTGATAAGATACGGTAATTAGGCTGCCCGTAGTTCCGGAAGCTTGTCAGGCACCAGTGTTGATTCTCTGCCCGCCAATTCTGGCATTCTCCACTCTCTATCATAGCATGAACGGCCTGGACAGTTTAGTCTTAACCGCCTCTAGCTGTCTGCATACCTACACGACTGTCGACCTTCACCCTGGAAAGCCATGACCGACATCGAGAACCAGGCTTTGGGGAAAGCCCCCGCAGCCTCAAGTCGTTGCCCACCCACCGCCCCAACATCTCTAGGCCAAATACAGCTATTTTGGGAGCCATCCTCCGAATCAACTCCCCTTCTAGGTCACCAGGCCCTGAGCTCCTCTTGCTCACAGCAGCCCAGACAAAAGACACGCCGAAATCGATTGCCGGCCCTCACATGCATTGCTTTATTCGCTACAGCCATCCTGGCCGTTCTGGTCGCTGCTTTCGCCCTACCCGTCGTGGTGAAAGCATATGCCGAGCAAGCGTCCGTCTTCCACATTCAGTCGCTCTCCTACGAACCGTCGGTGCCAGAATGGGCGCGCGCCCGTATCAAAGGGACCTTTATCATGGATGCTGACCGAGTTGAGAACGCCGCCGTCCGCCGATTGGGTCAACTTGCCACATGGGTTGCGAGAGAGATTGAGACACGGGAGTCAGGCACGCTGGAAATCTACCAGCCCCTGTTCGGCCATGTAGTCACGATCACTGCGTCGCTGCCTCCCATCAAGTTGAACGTTCGGGACGGCCACACGAATCATCTTAACTTTCTATCCGACATCAAGCATCTGGCAGAAGATAAGAGTGAGGACTTGTTTGAGGGGGTTGCCAAAAGGGCAGACAGCGGGATACTGGCCAAGGCACAGGTGCATCTGCGGTCGGGGTGGATTGATTTGGGCAGCCAGGAGTTCTACCTGACGGTGCAGTATAAGGGTAAGTCATATCCAACGTTCTGAGCCGTCTTTTGTTGACAGATACAGGAAATTATCCCCAAACACTGGTAGAAGCAGGAGTCACGGATGTGGAGACTCGTGGGGTGATAGGCCCTCCAATGGAGTGAATGGACAGCGTGTGTGCGTCTGTCTGTGCTCAGCATCGATCTTCCTATTCCATTAGGCGTCGCTGCTGGTGAGTACGATGTGCTTGTGTCCAGCTGTACCTACAAGGAGCCTTATATCTTGGTCGGACAGATAATCATGACCAACAACATTGATATTACACCCGGTCAGCCCATCCTGCTCGTACTGGACGGTCGGTTCCGAGAGTGGCTGGACGAATTGCGAAAGAGCTGTAGTCGAGGCTCGCTTGTTGGCGCTTGGATTCACGACTACCGCATGACCGGTACTGTGCCACTCTACATCCGCCCGGTTGACACCTCGGACGGGATGGCAGCTCCCGAGCCGTTGACAGGAGAAGTCGTGGAAAGCTGGATGCTTGGTGCTATAAAGTACTATTTAGAGCAGCACCCTCGAGCAAACAATGTCATGGGAAGATTTGGGTATCATCTTATGGTTGCCTTGCTTATTCATGGGGAGCGCTGGGTGAATTTGTTGTCTTGCGACTGTGCGTCATGCCTGTCAGGTGGATTCTTTGCCCTGAGTATATCCTCGCTCGTTTCAGCCTAGGGTTGCGCCTTTATCTTCGTTATCATTTCTGCCATGGAGATCTTCTGAAGTAATTTCGAAACAATAACACTCGCTATGTCGCCCCCTCAACGAGCCAAGATGATACCCCGATCCTGAAAAGGTCCCCAGAGAGGCCAATCACTGCACCCCTTTGCAAACCCCAGGTCAAAAACAGGAAGCTAACTAAGCAAGTGGATCCACTCTTCCTCACGCACAGGTTGGCGGCAATAAAGCAATATAAATAATGAATATAAGTTATTGATCGAGACCCATTCTGTCGTGAGCTAGGGAATCCAAGATAGACTTATTCGATATGCTCTTGCATAGTGCAGGGCCTATTGTCAGGTGTTTGCTTCCTACTTCTGGAGGATGGGAGAAGAGGCTGAATATATCACACGAAGCAGCGCATTTCGGAAGGGATGTTCCTCTGACCCCTTCTTCAATGCTGTTTCAACTTGTCTCCCGTTAGGCATCTCGTGGCGCCATAAAAGCATCCTAGCATCTGCTTTGTCCACGATAGTAATGAAGAGCGTGGTGCTCAGCTAAAAGCAGTGATAGACAGAGAGGAGCCGAACATCGGTCACTACCGAGCTCAATCGGATTGATATCCATCGTCCAAGAGAAATTATCTCTGCCCTACCATTACTTATTCGCGAACGCAACCTTGTCTCCGCAAGGAGGTCCTCTTAATAAGACCCAAAAATAGGAGGGTAATCGACGCAGGAAAGTCCGCTTTCCGGGCAGGTGGTAATAAAGGTAATAAGGTCACTACGGGCAATATTTTCCACCTTGTCCTCGCTCACTGTGAAAAGACTGGGCCTCGGTAGAGGAACTTAGTCCTCGTTTACTTTTGTATTTATAGGATTGTCAATATTTCGCTGGGCCTGGAGCAGAACCTTTTGGTTAGATTCAGATCTGATGACTGCTGTTGTAGATTGCACCCCAATGAACGATATATCTCCAATACGGATAGTGTATGCGTTTTGGTGTGGGTCAGGCAACATTAGCACGTCCACCGTATGAGTTCATGTCATCAGACTACAAGTTTAGCCGTAGAATAAAGCGCATATTGGCTACCATACACTACCCAATCCACCAAACGGACCAAAGCGGTGGCGGCATTGATATTGATTTGGCAGTTCAGTCATACTTCGGCACCAACATCCACGTGTGAAGGTGCTCTGTCTCAATCTACATCAGATAGTAGGTCGCTCATCCCAACGGCCTGGCTATACGACCAATAATTAACCAATCACCGCTCATCCTTGGTTCAGGTTGAAGTGGTCCGTGGTTCATCCCAGGACCACACTAATCAGGGCTGCAAATGGTACCCGCAATTAAAATGGCGCGTGATTTCTATCTGACCGCCTACTGTATTCTCTTTATTCCTACAGCGTGAATGAGAGTTCTTGAGTAGCAATGCACACCCTCTTCATCTAATTCAAGCCTCTAAAGAAAGCGCAGATAAATAGTGTAAGTATCAAGACCTTGAGAAGAAATTGTCGGCAGCTAGCGTCCCGGTGCTAGCAGTTAATTCAGACATACGAGGACAGCACTTTTGTCAGGCAGAAAGAGGAGGGCGGTGGGTGGTCTTTAGACGGTCGCGTCGGTTGCGACATTCTATTGTGAGAGCGTGACCTCCCAAATTCCCAATTCCCAAGGCAAGGTAAAGTACATCGAGGAATCGAGCTGGTGATAGACTTTCAACGGGTTGGGGGGGGAGGAAGTTCCCCTGCTTCCTGACAGACCCTGAATTATGTTAATGTGCTGTTGAGTGGCAGTTGAGCCAGAGTATGGCCCATGTGACCATGTATGCCCTGGATTGCTGCGAATGAATAGATGAAAGATGAGGAAAAGGAATGCCTCAACTGTATTATTGCAGCTCGGGCGATTGGTGTCGAACGGTGTATTACCCAATCAAATGGGCTCGAGTTGATCAGGTAACAGCCAAAATGGTATGCGTGTGTGTATTCTGACTGGAGTAGAAGGCCTCGACGAAGGCCTTGGCGGCATTATCGATGCCGACAATCTCGAATGGAGGGATTTTGAGTTTCTCTTCTTTCACCCATTGTTTCATGCGCTCCATATGGAGCTTGCCCCACTTCTTCCCAAAACTAGGATCAGCCAGGGCGAATCCCCGAATCGTAAGTCGTTTCAGAACAGTATTGTGCAGAAACATGCCGATGATGGGGTCCAAAACGGTCTGCTCAGCGATCGTGCCGTAGAACATGATCCGACCATATCGTCGCATCGCTGAGAAAGCCGCATTCAGATGTCGGCTGCCGAGGAGGTCAAAGTGTGTGTCCAGCCCGCCGATGTTGAGACGGGACATCCAGCTCAAATTATCGTAGTATATGTCGATACCTTCTGGGACAAGACGAGGGAGAGCATCATAGGGACTCTCCTTGGCGTAATTGAATCCCCCATCAAAGCCTAATTCTGTTATGAGATAGTCGAGCTTTTCATCCGATTCCACGCTTCCGAACACCTTCAACCCCTCCAGCCGGGCCATTTGGCCAACAAGTTGACCGATCTCATCACTGACACCGGCGATGAGGATTGTTTCGCCTTTCTTGGGTCGACCGATTTCGTATAGCGAGGAAAACGCTAGAAGCCCTGGTATGCCCAGGACGCTGAGGAATAATCGAATGTCGTCGATCTCGCAGGGATTCTCGAGGAGTTTTAGCTTGGTCGTATCTTCAGCCTTGATGACCACGTACTGCTGAATAGGTAGGCGACCGATAACAATATCCGCTTCTTGGAAATGCTCATTGTTGGACCTGAGGACTTTCGCGATACTCATCGTCTCGACCGGCCGAGGTCCCCGCAACTCCGTCGCGTCAGCTGAGGAAGAGGAGAGGTCCCGTTTGAAGAGGTCGTAGGTCGCATAGAGCAACTGCACCATTAACTCATTCTCTGCGATCGACTCTGTCGCGTCATATGATACCGTCTCGAGGGTGACTTGTTCACCGGCCACCAGATATCCCGAGTCCATGTTCTTAATCACCAGGACCTTGTTCCCCGTGTCCTGATCCATTGTGATCCGTGTCATCTCCGCAGAAACGGAGGCGTCAAATTAGAATGTGGTCGATGAGGATCCCAGATGCATGGCGACGCGCTGGTTATAGCTGAAAGTCGAACGCGCCACGTCTGAATGGCTTTTAAATGTCAAATCGCGCGGAACATGGGGGAATTTGACATTTATCGAGAATAGACACAAATAATTGGAGTCAGTTAGGAGTAGTGGGGTGCTGACGACGGTCAATGAGGGGCAACCCTAACTATTTATTCCTATAGTGCGCCGTTGATCAATGGTCTGGTGGAGACGGTGAGACACCATTCCACGATCAGCAAATCCGAATGAAGGGTACACAACAGTTATAAATCGTTCAGACGGCAGAAATCTAAGGGACTGTATGGACAGTTTCCAACTTTAGCCCATGGTCCCGTTTTCGCGGGTTGATACTGAACATCCCGGACAAGGCTGTGCAAGTCCTGTACCTTTCAATAGTCGGTCGTACTACGTATACAGATAAACATGGATTGCGAATAAGGGGTCATGGTCACGAGGAGCCAATCTCCGGTGGTCACTCCCTGTGACTCTCATTGGTTGGCAGTGGCTTACCGCTCTCGCTTTGGGTCACTTCATGATCCTGGTGGTCAGCCCATCTCCCCACCGCCTTCCTTTTGCTCTTCCAAATGTTCTGTGTTCCCTTTCAGGACAGCTTTCTATATATAGGATCTTCCTCTCCACATCCAACTATGAAACCGTCAAATTACGCCAAGATCCGAGAATAACCCGTTTATTGCTATCCAAGCGTCGATTTGGATATAGCCATGGGCACCCCTGTGAATATCTCAATCAGAATACGTGTTCTCAGGTGGAACCGTGTGACAGCGGATTGAACAGTTGCAGTAGCCAGCAGACCTGATTTGTCCCCGGAATCCTCCTGAGGTGTCTCTACTGCCAGCATGCGTTAGTGCATACCCGTTTGGACCTAGAAGCTATGCGAACCGAGACGATAGATTGCTATCAATAATCGGAAATATTTTTAGATGAATTGATGTGTAGTCTAACCCCGGCCATACGGATGATCAGGGAATTCATTAACCCTGAAGTCCACGTGGTAAATGGTCCGGGAGTAGGGGCTAAGATCAGACCACAGTATAGGGAGGTTGACATTAATTGCTGCATTGACCTGTCAAGGTAATGGACAGTGCGCAGCCAAGACTAATCCGTTGCCGCCATGACTGAGGACATTTACAGCAAGAACAGCGACCCAAACCAAAGGAAGCACAGGTACAGTTCATAATTGAAGACATCTATCCAACACTAAATTTCTACACATTCTTGGGGAAGCAAACCAGCAGAGTCGTTGATCACTCTCCTCTCTCCTCCTCTAGCTCTTCGAGCCGTTCGATACATCTTCCAATCTGGTGCACATCAATGGTGCTTGCAGATAACGGATATATTTTTGCATCAAGTGGGCATCTACCATGGGGAATCTGAGTCCGCCAGGGTAGCTCTCAAGCGCCTCTTTGGTGTTGGTGGTGTCGTATACAGGCATGTTCTCGTATAGCTCCCACCGTGTCAACCCCTGGTAGAGCTTCTCCGTTAACATGGGCTGTAGAGGTCGAAGCCGTTCTGGTGACTGTTTTTCCAGCTCGCGGACCCATTCTTGATAGCTTACACCTTTCACAGGAGAATCGCCATCTTCTGGCAATGAACTAATCAACTCCATGGAGTCATTCATATCTAGTGAGAGATTTCGATTTGGAGGTACAATGTGATATACCCGGCCAACAGTAGTAGGCCTGTACGAGGCGATGTGCAGGATAGCAGCATTGACATAGTCAACAGGCACAAATTCCTTCCTTTGATTTGGTAGTAAAGGATAGTATCCCATGGCCCCGCAGGAAATGATCAACCGACTCAGGAAGTCATCCGGATTGCAGACGCCTGTTTGGCTATGCCCGGTAATGAACCCAGGTCGGTAGACAGCGATTGGGAACCCGTTGTCGATTAATCGTTGAAGCATATTCTCCACCACCCACTGACTTTGAGCATAGCCGTGATCAAAGGGGAGTGCATCTAGGTGTCGCAGAAGAGACTCGTCTTCCATGACCCTTTGGGTGCCTGTTATAGTGCCCGTTGGTCCAAAGCAGGAGATGCTGGAGACATAATGCAGGGCTTTAGAGCGACCTGTACATGCCAGGCGCAGGACGTTGAGCGTGCCTAGGACATTTGCGGGACGATGAAGCGAATATGGCTGCGTGTAGTTAACTCGAGCACCGAGGTGGAATATAACGCTTGCCCAGTGGGCTATTTCATCAAATCTATCCGGCCCCAACCCAAGACACTTATCCTCCAAAGTGCCACACAGTGGCAGCAACTTATAGGTAAACTGGTCCTCCCATAGGCCATACTTTGATAGAGCATTCTGGAGACGCTTGAACCCAGTTGCTGTATCCACGGCGCGTACCAAGCATCCAACTTGATGCACATTAGGCTGACGAAGTAAATCTGCCAGGAAGAATGAGCCTACAAAACCGGTAGCTCCGGTTAAGAATACTCGTCCTTCCGTGTCGCGGCACCAATCAACCACAGGGCCTGAATGAGGAGCTAGGCTGTCCCCGAGCTTACTATCCTCTAGCCACAGGTGTTTCTCTGATTCCTTACAGAAGCTCTCTTTGGCACCGAGTCTTCGCTGTTCCACTATACCGGCCAGCGAGGTCAGACTACTGTTGTCATATAGCGTCAGAAGTGACACTTGGACATCGAACACTCTCTGGATATGACTGATGAGGACAGAAGCTTGCATAGATGTGGCGCCAAGGAGGAAAAAATCGGCATTGTCATTGGATGGCGGGGCAGGGAGGCCTAGGATGCTAGCCCATAGATGTGCAAGTCTGCCGCGAGTGGTTTCGTCTTTTTCCAACTGGAGAGACTGTTGGGTCCACCTGTTGCGGAATAACTGGGCAAGATATTTTCGATCAACCTTGGCATGATTATTGAAGGGCATTTTGGATATGAGCTCGATCTTGGGAACCATATAGTCTGGCAAGACCGCTTTCAGCATATCCACCGCAGTTAAGATGGCGTGAGACTTGGCTCCAGAAACAGCAACTGCAAAGGCAACCAAAACCGATCCCGACCCATCCGTGCCAGTCTCAACCTTCAATGCTACTGCGTCTGAGAATTGACCGGTTCTCATCACGGCAGACTCAACAGCCTCAAGCTCGATTCGGTATCCGCGAACCTTAACCTGGTGATCCCGTCTGCCAACATACTCAATTTGCCCATCTGTCACCCGGCGGCGGACAATGTCACCAGTACGGTAAAATCGCTCACAGCATTTGCTGTCTTCGATGGCGATGAAAGAGGTCGTATTTCTCTCCGTTTCATTGATGTATCCTGGTGAAACACCTGACCCGCCAATGAGCAGTTCACCGTCTTGACCATCTGGAACTGGCTGACCGGCCTCGTCGCAGATATAAGCGACAGTACGTCCAATTGGCTTTCCAATACTAACCGCTCCAGTCTCTACATCCGCCAAGGTCACTTCATGCGCAAGACAGAAAATGCAACATTCTGTCGGGCCATACGCATTGATCAGCTGACCTGGCGGGCCCTCTCGGAAGATAGTGTCAATGGCAGAGACATTGGCCGCTTCGCCTCCGATAAAACACAACCGCAATTTCTCAAAGGCACGCGGGTATACTGAAGCAGCCAGATTCAGAATAGCAGTGGTGGTAGCCATCACTGTAATACCCTGGCGATCGATAAATCTAGCTAAGGTCTCAAGTTCCAACAAGACCACTTTGGTAACAACGACAATACAGGCCCCGCGTAAGAGTGGTGCCCATATATCGAAAAGGGAGACGTCAAAGCTTGAATTGTTCACGTGTGCTACCCTGTCCGTCGGGTACAGAGGTTCGAAAGGTGCATGGAAGACAACTTGCAAAATTGAGCGCGCAGCAATCTGAACAGCCTTGGGCTCACTGGTGGTACCGGAAGTATGTATGATGTGTGTCCGGTGCTCCCAGGAGGTCTGAGCAGGCTCGTCCATGTCCAAAGCATGCGCGCCCTTGACAGGGATAGAGTCCAATCCATCGACAACAAGTTGGCAGAACGGCAAATCCCGGTGCTGATTGATTTTGTCAACCAGGACATACCTCGCATCGAGTTTCTGCAGACGGGCCTTGATTTGTGGATCTGGTAGGGTCGGGTCTATGGGAACGCAAGTGCCTGCAGCATAAAGAATTGCCATCTGAGCAACCACATCTGCGACCCCATGCTGAACGACAATACCCACGGGCTCCTCTAAATGAAGAGGTCCTCCTTGAAGCTCTCGGGCGAGCATTGCCGCCCTTCCATGCAGGTCCTGATACGTTAAAGTCGTTTCGCCGTCAACGACTGCAACTGCTGAAGGATTGTCAAGAACCTGAACAAAGAATTGCTGAGCGAGACCCTGTCCCTTGCATATAGCCAGGTCATATTGTTCCTCATGTGTTAATATCTGGGAAGGCATCGAGGGCAGTGGTTATAAGGCTGGAACACTGGTTTCTCAATTGAAGGGTAATAGTGAGCGATCATGCTAACTACAGGATGGGCTCTTGACGGGAAGGAATTATATATGCACAACCAGGGCTAGGCCACCTAATATGTTTACTCCGCCGGGGCTATCTCTAGATTCACATCTATTGCGTGATAATTGGGGCGCCGCTTGCTTACTGTCCGATGTCTAATGGATCAGGCCGTCTTTCGTGAGACGTAGTCTTACGCTATAGCATCACGCTGACACATAGCAAAGGCTATTTACGACCATGTATGTTGGTACATGATGTGTGGCTGTGGGGACCAGTAAATTACGCCAATGGAGAAGGGTCGCCGGATGACCGGACTCGGCATTTACGTATGACATGTAAGTGGTGCCTACTAGATTTGTGGATGACGCAAACTATGCCTCGCATTCTCTATCCATGTGGAAGGTCAAGGGTGGGATTCACCCCGCTGAGCTCAACATAATAATGCTGCCTGTCATTCATGGCGCACATTCTAGGGCGAATATTGTCTATAAAAGCAGGCAGGGACGCTCGAGTTGTGATTTCAACACACTACTCTTTCTGCACCTTTTCGTTGTATATCTTCACAGACTTCCTTCCCAAAACTGGTCTACAGAACGTAGCGATCCCTGTCATTTCCATTAACATGGCGTCAGATCATAAGCTCATCACCATCTTTGGAGGCACAGGCAACCAGGGTGGGTCAGTCGCTCATTCGCTGCTTCAGAACTTGGCCTTTCGAGTCCGTGTTATTACTCGAAACCCTCAATCCGATGCCAGCCAAAAGCTTGCTGCCCAGGGTGCGGAGATTGTACAAGGGAATGGGTGGAGCAGTGAAGACATGCTGTCAGCATTTAGCGACTCCTGGGGAGCATTCGTAAACATCAATTCGGATGATAAGGTATGTATGTTGCTTGCCACTTCGACGACGGGGGAATATTAACAACTGTACCAAGGCTTTTGCCGCCGAGAATGGCACAACAGAGTTCGATATGGGCAAGGTTATTGTCGACGCCGCGGCCCAAGCTGGTGTGAAGCATCTTGTCTTCAGCTCGGGCCCTCCTTGCACAGAAATGACCAAAGGCCAAGTGCGAATGAAGGCAATGGACAGTACGCCGCTCCGCGTTAGGACATTATTAACGAGGTAGAGGCTAATAGCACGAGAGCAGTGAAGTATAAGATCGAACAGTATGCAAGGAAGTTGGGTTTATTTGAGACCTTGGTCCCCATTGGTGCTGGGTGGTTTCTTGAGAATTTTCTTGGCAAAGAGGTTGCGCCCATCTTCGGAGGATTTCCTCATTATGTTGACGATGAGGGATACCTCACCTTCCGGGTACCCTACTGGGGTGGTGATGAAAATGTTCCATGGTTGAGCATCTCAGATGACTTTGGAGATATTGTCCAGGGGATCTTTCTCGATCCTAGTCGATGGAACGGACGTCTTGTGCACGGTGTCAGCGATATTCGAACCTTTGCGCAAATGGTATCCGACTTTGCGGCTGTTACAGGACAGAAAGCTCGGTTTCAACCCATCTTACCATCGTGGGAGGCATTTGATACGCATGATATCCCCGAATTGGAGGATGTCAAACTCATGTTTGGCTTCACACAGCTGACAGGCGGTCGATACTTTGGGCCGGAGCCCACGGATGGAGAAGCCGCGAGTCAACTGAAGCGACTTACAGCTTCAACCTTGGGTCGACCACTGGATAAGCGCAATTTGATCTCTACGCGTGACTGGTTTGCTGCAAGGTTTGCCAACTAGGCCATTGCTTGTCAAATCAATCTCTTGCCATCTCGAGACTGTCTAGCGAGGCTACCAGCGGGGCTCGTGTGGTTGGGCCACACGACGTTGGGATTAGGGATGGTTATTTGTTCAATTTTGTTCCCTTATCCAGAATGCTATAGGAAGGAGTATGTTACGTATAACCCTCACATACTATGTAGAGTGGATTTAGTATCTGTCTGAATACTAGCACTAGCTTACGAACTCTTGTCTAGCCAAGAGTATACTTATCAATCAAGCCGGTCGTTGCTAACTTAGCATTCTCCGTTATTTTCTTCTCTCCCATTTCTTCTATATGCCGCAACTTAAGTCTCCGGTGTCAGCCCCATACCCTGTCACACACATATACAGTCAGATATGTTACAATGTGACGATTAATTCTGTCTCCGAGTTATCCTCATTGGATACTTGCCTGGACCTGTAGGAACACAACGCGGAAAGGGTCTGGCCCGTGGAGCTCGTATTGAACGCTGCTGCATAGCCCCATTGGAGGCCTGCTTCTGACAAGTGACTAGGTGCATACTCCTTACTGTTGATATCCTGTGTTCTGTTCGAAGCTGACACATGCTCATTACGCCAGCTAAAACACGAAACCCGCAGGATGGAAGCTTAAGTCTGGCGGCTCCTCGTGGTCCTCTTTCGCGAACCACTGGGAACGTCCACCCCTAACCTAAACGGTTGCACTAAGCTTGACATTTTGCGCTAAATATATCATGAAACTTCACCCCAGTAAGGGAATTCCCCCTCTATCTTGTGAAACTTTGCGGATCGCATCTTTCGTACCCGGAATGGTAGATATGACAATTTCACTATTCATAGAGCACCGCGTTGGAACGTGGGGCCGCCTTTCAGTCTCGAACCGAGGAAACCACTGTCTATCTGGGTAATGCATGAATGCACTGTACTACCGCAGCTGTCGATCATACTGTGTGACAAAGGGCCGTATTTCCTGGTTCGGTCATGAAGGCAATGGATCATTCTCGTACGTGAAAAAAAAAAAAAATACAAGAGGCCTTACGCTATGAACAGCAGCTCTGTGGTCGAATTAGCAGCGTGATAACCAACCTTCTCATGATAATTTCTTGGCTGTGCTCTGGGCTTACCGGCGCGGGAGGCCTGTCCTTGCAAAAGTTTAGATAGCCGCAACGGTGTCCTGGGTGAGCATACGGCGTCCGAGAGTAGGTAAGGGGATACCTTTACATCGATTCAATAGGGTAGCATCGGTCACGGTTACACAAATACGAATAGGTGCAGCTACCGGGTTCAGGCGTGCTTCCAATCCGAACCGGAATCTTACAATGTCCGCATCTAAACGATACGGCGAGATATTGCTATTTGCTTCTTTCACCCTTCACCTGAAAGAGAAAATTCTCGAAGAATGGAAATAGGTTCAGCCACAATCCACCCGAGTGACCTAACCGGCGCCTCCTTGCTTGTTCGCCAACCCAGCCAACCTCTGTGCACTGACCCAATTTCCTCACCCTACCTTCCTGATTCGAATGATGTGAGACAGATAAGGGATATTGAGGTCTGCAAAAAGCATATTGTCTGGGCGTTTCTCCAGAGGTTCGATGTCATAGTTCGCGATGATATATGCGATAGTGACTTTCATAACCTGAAAGGAAAACCACCGGCCGGGGCTTATACACCGTCAGCGCAGCTAAACTATAGTGACCCTGTTAAGTGCTTACCAGGCATGCCGGCCATATCCAAAGGTAAGATACTTCTCATTCGTCAGCGGCAACGAGGGCGCTTTGTCACTACTACCTTCGGCGAGCTTGGAAACGAACCGGAACGGCTTGTAGCTCTGCCCATCATCGTAGAAGTCGTTGTCCCTGTGCAGGTTCCCGGACAAAACACAGAGCCAAGTTCCTAAGGGGACCTTTTGTCCGTCAGGCAGCACAACACCCTCGCGGCGTACGACCTGCCGATGAAGGGCTCGCGGGGCCAGGGAATTCAACCGCAAGCTTTCGCGCAGTGCGCTGTCGAGATGATGTAATCCATGTGATATGGGCACACCGGATTCCTTGCTTGAAGCAAATACGCGCTTGGCCTCGTCGCGGATCGTTCCGTAGTAGGCGTGCTCCGGGTCGGAGGTCAGAAGGTCTAGGAGCGTGTTGGTGCATGTAACCCAGAGATTATCCGTCGGTAGAAGGGCCTGTACGTCGCTCGTTAGTCTTCCAAAGCGATGCTCATCGACAGAATTCCTGATTAATTCTCTTGCTGGTGGTCGGACACTTACCATGATACCAAGCCATGTCACCATCCCATTCGCACTAACGTCCTTCGGGCCAATGCCGGAAAGTACGGCGTTTGACATCCAAGTGATCAGATTCGCTGGCTCTCCCTCCAACAAATTGTCTGTCGCCCCTTGTTTCGCTTTCAAGCGTTCCATCTGTCGTCTGTACAGTGGGGTGAGATATGCCCGGACCCGAAGGACATAGTAGTAAACTGGCAAGCCCGTGAGCAGGGCTGTAACCTGCCTGAGGGGCCAAGGCGTAAGCTGAGCAGCAAAAACCATGGCAGTGCCTAAGGACCGGGCATATCCTTTCACCAATGCCATATAGGTGGTATCTCGGCAAAGTGGAAGGCCCACATAAACTCGCTGAGTGATTCGGTACATAATCTTTTCGAAAAGCAGAACCATGTTAATCTCTTTGCAGGTCTTAGTCTGACCCACTAGCTCCTGCATGACATGTTCTACTTCATCCAAAGCAACCATTTCCGTCTGTACGATGTTGCGAGTCAGATTATTTTGCAGAACTTTCGAGAATGAATGCAGAGCTGACGCATCAAACAACGGCCAGATATACCGCAGCGCATCAGCATCATCGCCAGCCTTGCCATGGGAGAGTATCTCTTCTGGTTGGCTTATCAACCAGCGAACATGCTCTGGAGGGAGGATGACTTGAGGACGAAAGTTAATGTTTAGCATGGCAAAGGACTCTCCTTTTTTCGAATACTGTAGCCAAGATTGTCAGAGAAGGCCGTATTATCAAGGATGTTACAAGCGAAAATACCAGCTGGTATCCTCTCGTGGAGGTCTGAGTTCCCGCCGTAATCTCGTTCAGACATGCCCGAAGTGCAGCTATAGGCCCTCTGGCTTGGATGGGCGATTTGATGGAGGTGGGTAATCGCGTGTATGCAATCCACGGGGACAGTAGCATTAGCAGTACTGCGATGCAGGCGATTGCTGAAGCCGACTTTATGACTACAGCCACGCTCGTATACTGTTCGCCAGCCATGGTGGTTGCTGTTGGTGATTTTTCTTTGGGTGATCTGCTTATACTAAGATCGAGAGGTACTTTAATACGTTCAACACTTGTCTCACCCATGCACTATGTCTTATTCCCTGTTAAGGTGAATGCAGTCAGACTTAGCTGTAGATATCAGTACCGGAACTTAATTCACCACCCCCAGCTTCAGTAATACGTGTGAAAATCCTTATTAATACTCTACTTTCACTTATCCATACATTGGGTTTATCCATTCATTTCCTCCCCTGGTCTCAAACATTATCACATCTAGACAGATGTCAATACTTTCGCCAAAGCTACCGGGTTGTCAAGAATGCGATAGTTGGAGGATCATAGTTGCACAGCATATTCGTGTTTGGCGTTTAGCCTTCTTGTCTAACGCAAGGGAGAGCACAGGGTCTCACCAAATAGCTCGTGTTGTATGCATGCATCATGACAAGTATGGCTTCAGCTTTTCATGCCCAGGCCCTTTTCTCAGCCATAATGGTTAAGCGGCCACAGTCAGCTTACTTCATCAATTAGCGTGGATAGCAGGTTATCAACCCAACAATTTAGTCATTTGGTTATGTATAGCATCTCGCGAAGGCTCAATGTTTTCCTCATCACCCATCTTCTGTAGCTAGAGCGCTGTAACAAGAATAGAGATGTTCGAAAATATCCCGACAGTGCTTAGAGATATTGCAACCAGCTTGACTGGGCAAGGCCTCTTCACCTTTTTTGGTCTATCGCTCTTCATTTTACTATGTCCTTGGTTTGGATATCTCAGGTTACCGTCCTCTATGAGATGGTGGCCATCGAAGCCTAGTGGTCCACTTTCTGCGCTCCGATTGAGTCTCAAGGGATATATTGGATCCAAGTCTAGCGAGGAAGGTTATAGACAGGTTGGCTCGCCTACGAACAATGAACACATGCCGAAATGTCTACTGACATACTCGCCAGATCTCTAGTCAGGGACAACCATTTGCACTATGTAACCCGAGCTTCTACCCACAGGTCCTTCTACCACCAGAGCACATTAGCTGGTTGCTCAGCCAGCCAGAGAGCGTCCTGTCCCACGAAAAGGCCAATGAAGACGTCCACGCTCTCCCGTTTCTGGCCCCAGCGTTCAACAACTACGACCACTTAGAACTGATTCGAGCCATTCGTAACGACCTGACCCGCAACATTGCAAGCACCGAAGACGCACTCCTAGAAGAGCTAGAACGCATCACCGATGAGGTTCTAGGTCCCGCTGGAGATACAGCATGGAGGGAGGTCTCTCTCACCCAAGCCCTGGACAAGATATTATTTGCAGTAGGTTTACGGGTCTTCTTCGGACCCTCACTCGCCAGGGACCCAAAGTTTCTCTACTATGTTAAAGCTTTCACACGTGTCACTGGAGCATTAATGATCCTCGTATCTCAATATGTCGCCTGGCCCCTCAAACCCCTCGTCGGGCTAATCGCCGGTCTACCCATCTACTACTACTGGATTCGACTCATCATCCTCCTACACCCAGCATTCAAGCAACGCATCAAACACCTGAAAACAGACAAAGAAACCGCCCCAGCAGACCTAATAACCTGGGTGATTGACCTAGCATCATGTCAAAACCCCACAAAAAGCATCCGCATAAGCGCCCTAGTCGTCCGACTCACCCTTATAGTACGCCACAATCCCCCTCCCATAATAAACTCCCAAGAAAAGCAACCCCAAATTAACCGAAATACTAGGCCTTCCTCCCTATCGACGTTCTGATATCCATGACCCAAAACTTCCTCCTCGACCTCCTAACCTCCGACCCCAAATTAGAATACTCTGAAACCCTCCGCACCGAAGCCCAAACAGCATTCACATCCCCCCAAAAGTCAACACATATATCGCAAAACATGCCCAAAGCCGAAAGCGCAATCCGCGAAAGCCTCCGTCTAAGCCCCCTCTCCGACCGCATGCTCTCCCGCCGCGTTGTCCGGAGCGGTGGAGTCACCTTGCCCGACGGGCAGTTCCTGCCGTGTGGGACGTGGCTGGGCGTCGCAGCTGTGGGGGTTCATAGGGATGAGCGGAATTACGAGGCTCCGGATGAGTATCGGCCGTTTCGGTTTGTAGGGAGGGATGAGGAAGGAGGTGAGGAGGGGAAGGGGAAGGGGGTGTTGGTTCCGGTGACGAGTGAGAGGTTTCTGGCATTTGGGCATGGGAGGCATTCTTGGTTAGTATTACCTTTGCCCTTTATCCTGGTCCCGATGATAGTAGAGCGTTGTTGGCTGTGCTGACTTTAGGGTTCTAGTCCGGGTCGGTGGTTTGCGGCTCATGCCATGAAGTTGGTTATTGGGTACATCTTGGTGAATTATGAGATTGAGCCGTTGCGTGGTGGGAGGCCGGAGAATTTCCTTGTTGGGCAGACTATTATTCCTCCTCTGGGGGTTAAGATTCGGGTGCGAAGGAGGGGGTAGAGTAGGGTGGGATATGATAGGGATGTGGTAAGTGTTAGTTTGGGTTGATATGGTCCTTTTGGAGGTGTATGGCAGACGATGGCTAGTGTTGTCGGTGAGAATAACTTCTACCTGCAAGATTTCGTAGAATGGGAAAAGTCGTGGTTAAAGTAAGGGATATTATCTCTGTAGTGTTCTCTCCTTGTTACAATGGGTACGCTACATAGTACAAGGCACATCATCCTAGGCGTGTTATGTATACATATTTTCAGATGCATACTGCCAGTCACTAGCAAACTACAGCGGGGCCATCCTTGTGTACGCATGATAAATAGCAGACAAAACTGACAGAAGCCTCAAGCCTTCTCCATCGGAAACCCATTCTCTGCCAGGTACACACTCAACTCCCGATCCTCCTCCTCCAAATCAAGCTGGCTACTCTCAGGCAAGAACCAATACACAATCATCCCTAGAATAGCAACCGCCCCAGCAAGATAGAACGTCGACTGCTTCCCCGCCGCTTCTTGCAACGGCGTAAAACACTGCGTCCCAACTGCAGCACCGGTTCTCCCAAACGCAGTAGCAACACTATATCCCATTCCACGCATAGCAGTCGGGAATGATTCCGAAGAGATCAATCCAATAGTTGCACCAGGTCCCATATGGCCAAGAGCTTGCAATAAGCCGTACAAGACCACGAAAGCAGGCATGTTCTTCGCGAGAGTGGGGAATGTCCCCCCGATAACGAATCCAAGAACCATGTATCCGGCAAATCCTAGGATACCGGTGTATCGGCGTCCGATTGCATTAGTCAACCATGCGCCTACAATCACGCCAGGCACGGGGAGCGCGCCGAGTATGACCTGCCAGATTGCGGTGGTGCGGATGTTATGGTCTTTTACGAGGGAGTTGATGATTGTGCTGGACATGATGCTGTTTGGGAAGTTGATGAAATCGTAGAGGAAGAAAGCTAGGGATGTTGTGAATAAACGCCATCTATAGCGTTTCAGAAGGAGTAGATAGAACTTTACGGGTCGCTTCTGACGCTTGAAGTTTGAGTAGTGAAAGAGTGTTGAGTCAGTCATGAAGAAGCGTAGGATCATGATTATGACGGGGAGAATGGTCGCAATTGAATATAACGCGTGGAATGTCACTGGCAGGTTCTCATTGCTGGCGATTAGACAGATGAGGTAGACGATCACTTGGATAGGCGCCGCTGAGGTTGCCATCAGCGTTGTGAATGAGACGAATATTGGGCCACGGTATTTTCGTTTGAACTGGCTTTATGTCAGTTTGGTAGTATTGTGAAAGGGAATAGGTCTGTCTTCTTACATCGTCTGATTCTTCTATTCCTGCTGCTGCGCTGGGAGGATACTCGCCGCCAACACCAAACCCGGCAATACCTCTCACCACGACGAAATACCACAACATATTGCGTGTGGGGTGTACCTGCAGGGCCAGGGTGGACATCAGGGTTCCGACTGCGACAAGGCCAGAGGTAAACAGTAAACCGGCACGTCGCGAAAACATATCTGACGTGTATCCCAAGGCGAGAACACCCAAGATAGCTCCGATCAGTAGTGAATTGCTAATTCGGGTCTGCATCTCGGAAGGGTAACCCTTTGTCCCTAGCAGCTTTTTAAAGATGACATTGGTGGGATTCGCCAGACTATTCTGGAACCCATCACTGAAGTTGGCGATGTACTAGAACTGTCAGATATTTCTTCATGAATGTAGGCAGAATCATACTCACACAACTGATAATGGTCAAATTACTCTGCAACCTTGTTGGCCGGTAGGATCCTCGGCGCCATGACTCTGGAGAATCGTCAGGGACTAATTTACTCTCTTTGACTGCGGTCTGCGTTGTGTCTAGCGCTTTGCCTTCCTCGACCGACGTATTAGCTCGGGCGTATGGCAGGCCATTTTCCGGATCAACCGTCATGGCGATTAGAGCGGGCGAATGATTACACGCCTCGATCTCGAGTCTAATGTTTAAAAACTTGGCCAGGCCGTTATGCTGATCGAGATTTAAATCCTTCCCACTTGTGAGTACTAAATGCTTAGTTTTCGGCCGGTCTCCGGTCTAGGGCAACGGACCCCACCGACGATAAGAAGTTGTGCAATCAAGCCATCAAGCACTGGATGAACCCACAGACACAGTGGCGGCTAAGCTCTTGCTTGGCTGGTGAGCTTGGTATATCCCTACACGTCTGGTTTATGGTAGACATGTTCTATCCGAGTTTAGCTCTTGACTGGTATGACTGGCTGCCTTATGTCTCCGTGGATGGACAGAGATTTTACTCTCGCTCTTTTTCTTTTCCTTTGATAATTGAACCATCCCGATAAATCAACCAGGCCTGGGCACTAATTACCTCCTGTGCAGTAAATTTTTCGCAGTTAATCAATCGTCTTGTGGAGTCAACATCCGGGCCGAAAACCGGTATCATGTTAGTGACCATGACTGAGTCTACCGCAAAAGGGGCAATCTAATAGATGAAATGTGCTGTCCGCATACTTTCTCCGTCTGTTCATAATGTCATATATATATTGTACATTTTTCACTATGCTTAGGGACATATTACTGCAGAATAATCCCCCCTTGTCAATCATTTCCCTTGAACCATTCGTTAATTACCCAGAACTAACGGGGGGAATAATAGCTACTTCATCCCCACCGCAAATAAATGCCAGAGTCCTGCTTTGCCCGTCTCGGGCAGCTTCCATATCGCGGAGCTTAATTCTTTCCTCCTCCACATCCACATATTCAGCATTGATACTGACCCCACAACTCGTCAACACCTTCTCCTCGATCCCGGGATACTTGGCCTCCAAAACATCAAATAATTTGGCCAGTGGAAGCGGTGCGGTCAGGGTTTCAGATTGCTTATTTGTAAAGCTGGATGCGCTGGCGAAGTAGTGGATGTGGAAGGTCCCGATCGGAGATTCAGTCATTGTTGGAGTATTTCTTTGTTGGTTTGCTCTTTTATCTTTTGTGAAATTAGTTATTTATTCGTGTCGTAGGACGATATATATGGTTACCAGAATTTTTGATATTAGCAGATGTCTATTATCCCGGTTGGCAGAAACGTGCATATCACTTTTTTTCCAAAGTGAAAGGCCTTGTCAACGCCAATAAGCAAATACCCGCTCTTTATCTCCGCGGACCCTGGTTTCTTACACCTCCAAGAAAGATCGCTCTGGACTGGAGGGGCAGAGAGAATGTCCGGTGCACTGACCGTGAGGAAAGGTGGAGACGTTCTAAAGTAGCGTCTCTTCCTTCTTCGGCAATACTAGTGAGCGAATCATCAATATGCGGTAGACTCATAGGAATACTTTTTCCCTGCACTTGCTAATGCTGGTTAGCGAATACTATACTGCGAACTGTTCTTTTTTATCATCATGACTAAAGCTATTCGAGATAAATGTCTCGGACATATCCGATTTATGTGGAAATATTTCTGAAATAATAAAATAGATTTCAACTGACTTGATGATCAACTAAATCTAATCGAGGGGATAGGTGAGGCCCTTTATATAGGCAAGCCCTACAAACGTCCTCAAGGTCCTATAACCCCTTTTCACTAAATAACGATGTAAAATGCTGGAAAAGGCTTGAAAATTACCAATGCATTCAACAATTTACAGTGACAAGCCCTGGTACTTATATATCGTTGAGATTTGGGGCAACCCTGATCGTACGTAAATCAAACAAAAGTTAAGGATGTGGAATTTGTGGAAGAATCCTGAAGCAGAATAATGACCACTCGTGGAGGGACCTAACGGTATAACATCTAAAACCAAGAAATAAATCCAAAGAGATCAAATTATCAGGAACCAACTCGGACGTTTTTACCAACAATGTCTAATCATCTATCCGTAGCACAATTCTATCACAGAAACTGCGAGATAACGGCAGGTCTAAGTAGCCTCATACCCCAGACCGAATTGGACCCATTATTAACGCCTGTACCAACGCCCCTTTCTCGACATGTCCCTGCCCAGGCTTCAATACCAGAAGAGCATTTGCATAAGCAAGGTTCCCAACTCTTGAACTCCGTTGCCCTGCTGCTCCAATTCCAGTACTAGAAGCGTACAACAGCCCGCCGGCTTGCGAGGCCTGGACAATAGCGCAATGATACTCGGTACGCTCATGATTTAAGGGTAGTTGATGCAGTAATGTCACCGTCACAATCGGCAGTCCAGGTATCGGGCCTGCTCCAGAACAAAGCCGCCCTTGACCTATTCCGACCAGCTTGTGCAGACAGGGTAGCACAAACAGATGCAAGCTGACCAGAGCCGACGCTGGGTTTCCGGGAAGTGAGAAGATAAGTTTCTTGCCCCATGTTGTCTGTCCATCGCCCGTCTCAGAGGTTGGTCGCTGGACAGGAATACTGGCAAAAGTAGTCGGCTTTCCGGGTTTCATGGAGACGCGACCAAAATGCACTGTGCCGCCTAAGGAACGTTCAATGGTGGGCTTTAGGAGATCCAATTCACCCATTGAGACGCCACCTGTTGTGATTATTACATCAACGTTTCCCTTTTCTTCCCCATTAATTGCGTCTCGAAGCCGTCTTTCTAGCTCGCCACTAGGTGTGTCGGGAGCAATACCCAAGTCAACCGTTGGAAGACCCCAAGACGCCAGACAGGCAAGTATGGACAATCGATTAGAATCACGGATTTGGCCGCCATGGAGTCGTCGAGGATCATCATGTGCAACTAGCTCATCTCCTGTACTCATCACACCTATGCAGGGCTTCATATATACTTTTACTGTGCTTGTTCCTGTTGCGGCAAGGAGACCCATTTCACCACCAACAGGGGTAATGATATCACCTTTTCGGAGGATTCTAGACCCTAGTTCGATATCACTACCGGGCTGCCGAACGTTCTGATTCGCTTTGATATCATCAGTTAGGATTTCCACCGTGGCCTCTTCAGTACCATCTGGTGTCGATGAATGCAAGACCGTGTCTTCAACCATAACTACGGCATTTGCATTGGGCGGAAGTGGAGCACCAGTCGTAATCCGGGAGATAGTCCCTCGCTCTAGCGGTGGCACAGTACCCCCTGCGTTGGCATGAGCTATAGAGACCACCGGGAAAATGCCCTTAGTCCCTTTGGATGTCGAACTGATACCGCCATCGAGTGGATCCGGTATGATGACAGCATATCCATCAACAGTACTCGCACGATAAGCCGGTACTGCCTCCTTGGCATACACATCCTCAGCAATCACCGACCCAGTCAACGCAGGTGTCACAGGAGCCTTGACGGCGACAGGATCCGGCGTATGATGATTAATACGCCAGAGCGCTTCATCCACCGACAACATCGGGTAAGGCGACAAGCGATTCCGTCGACTTGGTCCTGTGCTGGTGTCGTTCGACTTTGCTGTCCTGTTCCCACGACGGCGACTGTGCCCGCAACCGCCATGCTCAAGCCTGAGCCCACGGTCAAGATAGTTCACTTTGGTTTCTGCGTCGCTTTCAGAAGATATCCCTGCTTCTGCTTCTAGCTTCTCTATACCCTCTTCGTGAAGTACTCTGGAGTTTGCTCCTGCTGCTTGGATGCATGCGTGTGGGAGCAGTTTCACAATAGCCTCGAGATTTTCTTTCGCGCCTTTTGGCGATCCGGGGAGTGTGATCATCAATGTCCCGTTTCGGACCCCTGCGACGGGTCGCGACATCATTGCGACTACATTAACATCAGCGGTAGTTCCTGTCAAAGCACAACATTAAGACTAGCCTTACATGGGGTAATCTTCAATGAGGCGTCAAGCATGGCATGTCTTGACAGACCCGGTCAGCGATAATAGCAGATATAATAGAGCGAATACGAACATACACAAGCCCAGGGGCGTGGCGGTGGAGAAGAGGCGTTACTGCCTTTGTCACAAAGTATCAGTAACGGGGGGATGATAAGATAAATAAGAGTTTAACGAACCTCTGGCGTATTATCTCGCGCAGTAAAGCCAGTCCCACCGCTCAGAAGTACTAAATTTACAGCGTCTTGCCCATCTGTCCAGTCGCATATACTCTTCTCTATATCGCTGATATTGTCGGGAACAATATTGACGAATGGCGCCTTCCAATTTGATTCTTTGGATAGTAACACGGGCGTAAGAGCATCGACGACCTTATCTGTCGATGGATGCTGAGAGGCAGTGTCTGATACGATCAGGATTGCGGGTTGAAGCTCCTGTTCGGCCATGATGCATTTAGCATAGGCAGTAGAGGGCCACTCGAATAGGTGCTAATTAAGAGTAAGGACGTCAAGGAGGATAACAATTTACTTCAGTGCTCGAGAAAGGTCTACACCCTACACATTGTGTTGCCTCTCATGGTACTTGTACCTGTTTCACCGAGAACCGGCATTGTGGAGAGTTCAAGGCTCAGAAAGCTCCACCCCATTCAGGTTTATTTTGTCAAAATGCGCCTTTTTAAACATATCTACGGTTTCCAGTTCAGAGATTCGGATGTGGAACGAGGGCAAACAAGGATGAGCCTAGTACTCTCACTGGCCTCATTCTCGCCGCACATACCGAGTCACTGGCGAACTTCCGCCACCATATGTCCGACCCTCGACAATAAGGGAGTTTCGAGCGATCATCTCCGGCTACATAAGGAGAAAATTAGGCGAGAATTAGGCTGGAATTTCACATATAATCGAGCTTTTATCATTTTCAGCGCACGTGCTTTAATTGGTGAGTTAGTCCCTCCCGAAACGGCCTAGGGGCGCGCTCCACCTCAGCTGCCCGTTGCAACCCTACTTTCCAATGTCACGATCTCGAACAACCCATCGCTCTTCAGCTTTGCTAATCAAGCCATTGCCCAACACAGTGCATCTAACCTCATTATCAATCGGTATCTCATACATAGACTGTTATCACAATATAGAAAATAACCTATTACGCCTCACAAGTTCATAAACAAACTATCACAAACTATTTCGCTCCGATATATATATACTCTATCCTGACCACCCAACCAATAACAAATGAACATGGACATCTCAACCTCACCAACCTGTACCGTCTCCTACGCGCCTATGTCCTTCGAGCGCAAAGCCTCACAACCCTCTCATCTCGACCCATCCACATTCCCACGCACAATCGCCCTCCCAGACGAAAACATCTACATTGAACTAACCTACAATACACTAAACCCCGCCTCAGCATTATCATACACCAACTCTCCCGCAGCAGGGGCAAACGTGCTCTTCCTAGGTACGACACGAAATACATTCAACGATCGCCCAGTCGCTCAACTCAACTATACATCCTACCCGCCTCTAGCATCGAAGTCTCTTACTCAGATTGCGCGAAAGAGCAAAGAGAAGCATGGGCTTATCGGTGTGAGTATCTCGCATCGGCTGGGAGTGGTTCCGGTTGGGGAGGCGTCGATCTTGATTACTGTTAGTTCGGGGCATAGGCGGGCGGCTTGGCGGGCTGGGGAGGAGATTCTGGATGAGTGTAAGGCTAAAGTGGAGATTTGGAAGAGGGAAGAGTTTGTTGGGAGTAAACCAGGGGAGGGGGAATGGAGGGCGAATAGGGATTGGGATGGGGAGGGGAATTATGTTTCGGTGTAGGTTGTTTAGGGTTATTTAGGGTTGGTTGAATCAAAGTATTGATATCATTATATGAAGATTTTCTTGAGCTCTATCTCTTGAAGAAATGAGCGCTAGTATTCTGTTGATTGAACTTTAGCCTTACTGTTGATAGATATCTGGTCGGCACTGCGGGTGACATTAATGAGCAGTCGGTCTCTGTTCGACCCTTGATATAGGGCAACGTTGGAACACCCTGAGCATGCGCGCTAATTCCCTCGATGACCAACAGATCAAGCTTAGCGTACTTTGAATGATGGTATCAGTTCGTATTAATCGTGCCAATGTAATCTCTAAATTTATAAAGTATGAGAGAATACTGCCTCCTACTGATTGGTTGAATAGAGCTACCGGAAAGAGTTTAAGCTCAGTGTGGCAGTCAGAGATGCAGCACCAAGCTTTCACGCTTGACTAAATCCACGGTCAAAGGAGAAATAGACCTCCCCTCTGCATCTAGCCATTGAGTTCACCAATTGCCCGGAACAGAGCGGCTAGTCGAAATGGATCCGCCTGTTTCCTCTTGAGATGCCATGCCAAGGGTTCTCGTCTTGGCAACAATGTCTTGCAATGGAGTCTGTATATTCCCCGACGCTGCTACTGGTTTACAGCAGACAAATAGTCTTTGACCATGTTGCTAGTGGCCTATTGCCCCAAGGGTTAGATTCTTGACAAGGGTCGTGGTGCTATACATGCGGGGTTCTTGTCCAAGGTTCACACAGAAAAATTATCTTCCTTCTTATAGTAAACCCGTAAATATATAATTAGCGTGTTTCTCCCTCTTCCTAAAGCAAGTTCATAATCAACTACAACTAGTACCACCATTCATCTTCACAATGCGGACATCCCGGGACTACTTTTTGTTAGCCATAATGGCCCTCTCCCAGACACACTTAGTATCTGCAGAGCGGGTCCTGGGCGCGTACATATTCGCCCGTCACGGAGACCGCACCCCCAAGATAATGGGCAACACCCAGCTTACAGATCTGGGATACAACGAAGTCTTCAACACTGGCAGCTACTACCACAGCCGCTACATCAACTCCAGCTCAGTCCTCCGTATCGAAGGAATCAGTGAGGAAATCGTCAACCTCAAGCAGCTCACCGCGTCCGCACCATCAGATACAGTGCTTCAGAATTCCGCAACCGGTTTCCTCCAGGGAATATACCCGCCGGTTGGCTCACTAGCAAGCCAGACCTTAGCCAACGGGACCTCAATCCAGGCTCCCTTGAACGGCTACCAACTAGTCCCCCTATCGCTCACCTCAACCGGCACAAACAGCGAAGACAACACATGGCTCCAGGACACAACCAAGTGCCAAAATGCAAGAGTCAGTAGTAATGACTACTACAGCTCCACGCTATACAAAGACCTCCTCTCCTCAACTAAAGACTTCTATCAATCTCTCTCGCCAGCCCTCAAAAACGAATTTGCCCCCTCAGAAATAAATTTCAAAAACGCCTACCCAATCTTCGACTACATCAACGTCGCAAGGATCCACAACACCAGCACTACAGATATGCCCACAGACTCCCAATTCCGCCAACTGCTCACCCTAGCCAACATCGAGCAGTACAATCTAGCCTACAACTCCACCTCACCCGTCCGCGCCATAGCAGGCGCCCAACTAGCCGGGGAAATCCTCGACGCTCTGAATCAGACAATCACAAGTCAGGGTAAAACAAAACTAAGCATCCAATTCGGATCCTACGGGACCTTCCTCTCGTACTTTGGCCTCGCCCAGTTACCCAAGGATAACCCAGAGTTCACGGGTATCCCGGATTATGCCTCATCCATGGCATGGGAGCTCATCACTAAGTCTGATTCTACAAGCGGGTTCCCTGATCCGGCTGATATATCCGTGCGGTTTATCTTCCATAATGGAACTATTACCGGGTCTTCTCAGCCGAGCGAGTATCCCCTGTATGGACAGAAAAGCGTTACTATCCCGTGGACGGAGTTTGTGAAGAGTACGAAGGATATTGCGGTTATGGATACCACGGAGTGGTGTAGTATTTGTGGGAATACGGATGGGAAGTGTGCGGATACGGGGTCCGGGTCTTCTTCTGCTACCACTGAGTCGACGGAGGGGAAGCATGGTGAAATTTCTAGGGCTGTGGCTGGGGTTATTGGGGCTATGGTTACCCTGGCTGTTGTTTTGGGGTTGGAGGGTGCTTTCTTCTTGGTGGGTGGGTTTACGGTTGTTGCGAAGAGGAGGGTTGGGGGTGGGAGTATTGCGTCGGGTGGGTCGGAGACGAAGTTTGTCGAGCATGCTTGAGTATACTAGTAGAGGGTTGCCTAAGAGGATACCAGTAGCGTGGTGTGTATTGCTTATTTGTTGATAGGCTACTGTTCGTTATATTGGGGTGATGATTATGGATATGCAAGTTGAATGTAGTTATGAGATGAAGTGATGAAGCAATGCATGATTGATTTTTTTTTTTCATGTCTTATCGCAGTAAAAATGGGACTTTTAATGCGATATTTTTTCATTTCTTGTTCATCATCAATTTTATTAAAGATACGGTCAAGGAATAAAATCCATATTAAGTATCTTCATAACATTTTTGAAGGATAAGCAGATGCTAAGAAGTGCAAGTCGCAAAAGAAAGACAACATATACAGTAAATTTAGTACTCGTCAACGTCTCTGGGGTTCTTCTTGAAGAACTCCTTATATTCCTCCCAGGTTTGTGTCTGCAGTTCCTCTGGCCAGGTTAGGGGGGCAAGAGGCTGGTCGTGCGCCTTGAGCATCTCCAAGCGCTCCCGAGTCAACGGGCGGCTCTTATTGATACTGTACACCTTGATCCTGTGTGCCGAGCTCGTCACATGTAGACCCCAATTCCAGGCCGCACGAACAGCCAGAGGCTGCGTATTCAGAGCGTTATCCCAGCAGCGACACACGATTTCAATCCACCCCTCCACATCACATGGAAGGTCAATCTCCCACGTACGCCACGTCCACTGGCGCTTTTCGGACATATTCTCGAGAGGAACCGCATACCAGGTGAAGCCGCCATCGGCCGAGAGCTCGATTCGCTCCGGCCATCTACCACCACCGGAATAGCCCCATCCCTTGCAGCGGATCTTGCCGTTGTGGATAACGACTTGGTTCGTCCATGGAGACATAATGGCGGAACTGACGGGCATCTCTTGGATCTGAATACCGTCCGTGGGGCGCTGGTTATGCTTGCCAACCTGCTGGTTGAAGTAGAGATATTCCTTGCTCTGAACGGGTGCCAGACTGGGTGTTTCGATGGCTTTGATTCTGTACAGCCACTTGACACTGCGAGCACCGATATATCCCATCACCATCACCCTCAGGGGGTATCCGTGGATCTTGGGAAGGGGTTCGCCATTCATTTCCCAAGCCAGCATGACCTCATTGGCCTTGACCTTGGACCAGGGTACACTGACCAAATAGTTCATCACCTCGTTGTTCTTGAAGTATGTCTCCGCACCGTAGAGCTCAAGGTGTTTACCACCCTCGAGAAGACCACCGCAGTCCTTAATCACCTTCTTCAAGCTGATACCAACATATTCCGCGGTTCCAATAGCGCCTTCGGCCCACGGTGCCTGGGGAACCTCATCTCCCTGGCCGGCGTAGAGCGAGATCTGCTCAAAACGACGGGTTCCAGAACACTGCATTGTGATCATCTTCTTCATACGAGGAAACTTGGATTCATCCATCAGATCATCCATAGTATACGTCTTGGGGTTCTTGACAAGTCCATCCAGCTTCAAGAAAAACTTGTCCTTATCGATTAGAGGGATACCACCGTGATTCCGGACGAAGTGTAGGGAGTTGGGTGTGACGGACTGGGCGGTGGTGAGCCGCTTCGGGGGCTCGCCATTGTACGGGAATTGCAAAAGGTGGAGCATTTCAGGGTGTTTCTCCTTCAGGACAGTATTCCAAGAGTCCTCAGGCACAGAGGTGAGCTCACCCCCAACGGCATGATGCCACTGCTTCCAGTGCGTTCCAGGAAGCACGGGATTGGTATCAGGAATCGGTCCCAACTGAAACTCAGGGTTCGGAGGGAAGGCTTGGGAGATGAGGATCTTGTGCGCAGCTTCCTTCTTCTCGGGGTAGTTCTCCCACTCAACGTATCTACCAACGAGTCAGTTCCACCGCTCAACCACGCACATCAAAGAGAGGAAGGAATATACCCTTTCCACCCCTCCAACTCCCTCGCAAACAGCTTCTCAGGATCACCAACAGCCTTAATCGCTGCCTCATCCTTGGTCATTTTCCCATCCCATATTTTGGGCTGGATATACACCGGCTCAGGACCAGTTTGGTCCAAGAACGGCAACTTGGCAGCATTGATACCCTGCTCGATTTTCCACTCATCGGGACGGTTCTTAACCCCCATATCCTTCTTGGCCTCGTTCTTGACCTTGGGGTTGGGGCCGGGTTTGTTCTCCATTTTCTGGTCGACCTTATGCGGGACCTTTCGTTCAGATTTTCTTGTTTGAGGCATTCTGTTGAAATTAGCGGGCTAAATATTTATTTTCCAGAAGACCCAGCATGTCATTTCAACGCTTATATACTACGCAATATCCAACATCCCACCTGAAGCGGGGAACCTGACCTTCCGCAACGGGAAATAGTAATAGGCCAATCATCGAGCTCGCTCGACAAAGTTCCCAAACCAGCGCAAGAACCAGGATAACGTCCACGTTGGAAGAAAAGCAAAAACTGCCGGTGTAGTGGGTAAATCTAGCCACCCAATGACGGAAGCTGGGCAGGATCATCATCACCTCATCGTGCAGTCGCGGGAACTCACTCTGTTTAGTCTATCTAGGGATAGCAGAGGAATGTATGGACCTAGCCTGCCTCACAAGTGAATCTAGGGGAAAGGGTGGCTGGGTTCACTACTCCTAGCGAGCTTACGGAGTCAGGAACATTGAGTTTTGTTTCTGGACGGAGGTCATGAAGAAAGTGATTGTCGTCCTAGGGTTCGAAACTACAACCTGCTTTACTTATACTGATACCTACACTTTGCTTCATTCCGTGGTTCTGATGCGGGATTTCCCACCCAGGGCTTGGCCCTATCCATGACCCTCCTCCCCCTACATACCAACGAGGGCATGCCCCGAATGACCGTCTTGGGATCCAGACGTCGCTTCTAATTGGAATACTCGGTAATATTCTCCGATAAGCTTGGCCTTTGCTGTGGGAACAATTGGGCGATGGTGATGTGAGCCCACAAAGTGGAGTGGTTAGAAACATCTATTCCAGAAGGAAGAAAAAACAAACAGCTGTATGCGTGCACGGTCCTCTTAGCCCGGAAATCGGGTTCTCGGTCGTGTTCGAAGTTTGATCATTCCGCTACATTATGCAAGAGTCAAGAGAGCGCGTCGACTGTTCATTCGTAGAAATTAAAAACGGGCGCGAGCGATCTGTCGACTGGCGGCTTTGCTCGGAGGTGAACCATGTCTGTCGGAGGAAAAGGAAGAGGATTGATTGGTCGATGGGTATGTTGTCTGTTGCTCGGCTGGAGCTGTTAGACTTCGCGGTCTTTTGGATGGTTAAATATAATCGCTGAATATGTTTGGGGGGAGAATGAATGTACGAGAGGGTACAGTGAGGCGAATCGAAGTGAACTCTCAATATCGTGGTGAGTGCCGAGCGTGCTAAATTCTTATGCAATGGATGAAAAATGATTAGCATATCATATGAGCTGCATTATGCAAGTAGATGTGACGTGGCGGCATCTTCTATCTCCTGCGATAATCAGCATCACGTGCAGGGGTATTATTTCGCAGCGAAACGAGCAAAGATATGGGTGGGAGTCGGTGGTGAATCGTCGACTTGCAGTGAAGATGGTGATCTCATAGTGGAGGAAGTGATAAATAAGGGTCTGTGGTCTGGCCATCTGCCGATGTAACCCTAATTTCCGAGTCAAGCCAAGCTGGTCGTCCAACACCCCAACGTTAATTCTATAAATCCATTATCAATAGGCCAACGATCCGGTATTAACTCTTACAAGTGTTGTCTGCACTGGCCTCTTTAGTCTTTTTGTCCCATAGAAGCAAGAATCACGCGGTACGCGCGAGGTCCTTGATAACGGAATCCTATCAACATGTAGAGTACCCTTGTCACGATGACAAGCCTTGTGAGCCTGTTCAATCGAACTAGGCCATGCCGAGAAGTAACCTAGACTTTCGCTTTGACTAGTACAATGCTACTCAAACGATAGGGGCCGTCGGCTTTCCGATCGAGGCAACATTTTCCCCAACAGAGTATGAGTGCTAGCTGGAGACATCCGATCCATCTCACTATTGGTCGCTCTACTATATAGATGTGTATAGCCCATTGGTCACGAGGAGCGCGAGGTTCTTCAGATACGTGACGCGGATCACAATCCATATACCGCAACAAATCCGATGCTCATCAGGAAGATATCATCATAGTCACCGGATACAACTTCATTATGGTACCCAGTTAATATTGTCTTGAGACGTTACACTCATGTTGACATCGAACCATTTGCTTAATGCTGGGTAGGCGGATGCCGAATAGTTTTGTACATACTGTAAATTTCTTTGACTCTAATATCGGGCATGTAATTACCTGGACGTCCATACATTGTCCGTCGGGTCCTAAGATAGGTGTTGTCTACTTGTGACATGAATAAACCTCACTAAACCGAGTGGTCGGTCATTCCTTACCAAGTATTATTGTCGCAATTATCTGCAGCTACAGCATCTCGGCCTTACGAAATATGTATGTAGAGCTAACAATATTTTAGACTGCCGTATGCATATATTTCGTGCAAAAAGAGGTGAATAGCCGCGTCAAGATGGCTACAATGTCATTAGATTGAGATATAGGCAACATAGCACAGCTCTGGGAAGAGCTTGTCGCATTGAGTATTCGAAATATGAGAGCTCGTCACTAGAAGTGACTGCGCTCATTCGAGGGGGTCATCGCCAGGCCCAATGTGCCGAAGCTAATCTACACCCCCTGGGCTGGAATATGCAAGTTGGCTGATGGATTAACGCATGACGAGCGCGTGGTGGTACTAGTCCAGGCACAATATCTGGGCACGCAACGCGAGCAAGGTGTCCTTTGCGAGATGACAATGTTCCTGCAGCGGATGGTGACGACGGGTGGTCGCATTCATCAGGAGATCGCGCCCGTGCACTAGTCCAGCAATTGGATGAGATCTTGCATTAAATTGCGATCTTCGGTTCTTCAATGAGATCTCGGCTTTTGGGGACGAAATAGATGAGGTTACAACCATTGCCGAGTCTTCTCTTAACTAGGGCCAATCGCGTAACTCTCCGTTAGATTCCAGAGATTCGACGTGCTTCCCCTGACCACTGACTGACTGCGACATACAGTACTCTAGTTTTCTCATACAGAGCTGTGTGTTATTGGGTGTATATCTCATAGTACAAGGATCGATGCATGCTAATTGGTCCTTTCGGTCGAACGGGACATCGGCTGCACACCCCTTAATATATTTTCTGCCTGTCAATTTCCTTGCAATTGTTTGTTCACGCCTCCTTTGTCTATCGAATACTCGAGAATATTGAACCCAAGACAACTTAACAAGATGTAACTTGGTCAGCTAGAGGCGGGGTAATTGTGACAGTAACACTGGCCATATTAACAGATTGGAGAGATGTGTGTCCAAGTACTACTACGAACACGCTCATAGGGCGTCATATCGATGGATGAGGTCCCATGACCGGGTGAGGAGCACAAAGCATCGCTATAGATGTCGACAAAGAAACCGTTCAGAGAAAAGTTCAAGAAGGAGATTGAATACAATCAGACAAAGTGTGAAAGGACCAGTAGTTGATCGGCAGGGAAGGCTATTTCCGAAATAAGTTCAACGGTGGCTAGAACTTGCGAACCTTGTCCAGCCAATATTTAGAGTTACCTGTGAAGATCTTATGCTCAGGAGAACTATCTATTTCTCTGCAGGAACGGGCGGAAAGTGTTGTGTCTCATCCCTCGAATGCCAGGGCGTCCATGGAAAATGGGTTCGAGCCGGAAGGGCGCCACCGAACACTTTCAGAAAATATTAAGCAATAAGGGGTCGTGCGTAACCTGAGCAGAAGAACTCCTCAATAATTTCCATCTCATGTATTTAAGCCCTAGAGAGGTAATATCGCACGTGGAAGGCGCATAAGGAACAATCAGCAGATCTTCCGGCAGGAGGATGAAACAGTTTCACGGTAGCTTATCTCGCGGGTGGAATACTCCCTTGATGCATCACGACGAATCGCTGAATGACGATTGGTAAGAGAGGCAACCCTTGTCAACCGGAGGGTAAGCGCGGGGTCGCCAAAGAATGTGACGCCAATAGCCTAGATTGAGGTATTTCAGCGAGTAAGCGCGGTTGCTTCACTTCCCATACTGGCATGTGGTTACCCGGCAGAGTCCCATCTGATCAATAGCATCTCCGAATTGCAGCCTTTCTGTGAAACCATACATATGCGGCGCACCTTATCGGACGGAGAGACGGACTATAATATCTGGATTTGTAGACGACGTTGTTGGATCACTCTGCCGAAAGAGGTGATCTGGTCACCTGCATGGCAGTCGATTAGGGCTACGCACCTGACAGATAAGAATGCTTAGCGTCGACGACAGAGTAACTAACAGGGATTTTAGGAGCGATGCGATGAGATGGTATGATTTATGGGTACCTGCTCTAGACGAGGTAACGTCGTTTGCCCTTTCTTTCACACCGACGGGCCAAGCGTCTTTGTACTCCACTACGCACAATCGCCTCGTTGCCCTGTAATTCCGTTTGAAGCGCTTCAAGTGCAAACTACCAAGTAGCTCCGTTCGACCATTTCCAATGCATCCTATCCCACGAAGATGCAATGGTTACATTCCCTCCTCATTCATTATCCTCTCCACTATACCTCGGGGTATTGAGATCAAAGAATGAAGCCAAGGAATGTATGTGTACAACTCTATGTAGCCGGTGCCAAACACCCATGACGGGCGCAGATGACTCGCAATGTGGGCGATTAATCTAATTCTACGATATGTTTGCTGTTGGTGAGTCCTACCGAAATATGTATAATAAGGCTGTACATTCCTCCCTGTTGGTCTGCACCCCCTTCAACCCTGAGCCTTCTTTTCCATTGTTGTTCATAAGACCCCCACCATGTCCTTTTCAAAGGCCGTTTCGCTTTTGACACTTGCCCTCTCGTCTTTCCAAGGCGCGCAGGCCGCGCTCAATTTAAATAACCCAAATAACATCGCTGTCTACTGGGGTAACGTTCCACGAGGCACCACAAGCCTACCATCACTGACAAGGTTCTGCAGGACAGAATTCATACGGACAATCCACCGGTCCCTATGTTCAGCAGCGTCTATCATACTACTGCAGGAGTGAGTGGCCATCTCTACAGTAGAAAATTGACAATGCTGACATACCAACTCGATGTATAGACACAGACACAGATGTGAGGATTTGAACATATCATGACGGTGTGATGAGCTTACTAACAAGACAATAGGTGTACCAAATCTCCTTTCTCACTAGGTTCAATGGAGTGGGTGGCGCCCCCGAGGTCAACTTCGCAAACGCGGGTGATAACTGCACTACATTTGAGGGCACCAACCTCCTAAACTGCCCCCAAATTGCGTGAGTACAATCCAGTCATGTACCAACATCTATACTGACCAAGTGATATGATATCAGCGACGATATCAAAGAATGCCAGTCTCTGGGACGGACCATCCTCCTCTCAATCGGAGGAGCTACCTACAATGAGGGTGGCTTCGCCAGTGAGTCGGCCGCTAAGGCCGGTGCCAAAATGATCTGGGAGACCTTTGGACCTGTCACCAATTCCTCGGCAAAACGGCCCTTCGGCGACGCAGTCGTCGACGGTTTTGACTTCGACTTCGAAGCCGTTTCCAACAACATGCCCGCCTTTGCCAACCAACTGCGTTCCTATTACGAAACGGACACCTCGAAAAAATACTACACGACAGCTGCACCCCAGTGCCCGTATCCGGATGCAGCGGATGGCCCAATGCTGGACGGTACTGTGTACTTCGATGCTATTTGGGTCCAGTTCTATAACAATTTCTGCGGTCTCCAGTCATTTGTGCCGGGTAGCACGACTCAAAACAACTTCAATTTCGAAACATGGGATACCTGGGCCCATAAGACCTCTCTGAACAAGAACGCCAAGGTCTTCGTCGGGATCCCTGGTAACAGGGGAGCGGCAGGTAGCGGGTACCAACCAGTCGACGTTGTCAGCCAGATCATCCAATACACCAAACGGTTCAGCAGTTTCGGCGGAATCATGATCTGGGATGCGAGCCAAGTGCAAGCCAACAGCGGTTTCCTTTCCGGCATCCGGTCTGCGTTGGGTGGCAGTAGTGGTGGCGGCGGATCTTCCTCGACAAGCTCGACAACCACAACCAGTAAGACAACTTCTTCGACCCCTTCAACCCCGACGACAACTACAAGCACAACCTTAACTAAAACAACAAAGCCCACCACTAGTCCAACGACGACCACGTCAACAGCATCTCCCCCGTCAACCACCTGCCCGGCTGCCGGACGGACATGCCCCAGCACCGGAGCCTTCGCTTGTAACGGCAACCAATTCGGCATTTGTGACAATGGAAAGTGGGTGATGCAGCAGTGCCCAGGTAGCCTTGCCTGTGTTCAGAGTGGATCGGGTGTGTACTGTGACTTTCCGGGACCGGCTGGCAGTGTCCCTTGCTCTTGAGATTTTATTTTGTGTGTAAATTCTTCTCTTCTTTGACAATATTTGGTACGTGTTTGTAGGAATCAATGGATAAATGTTTGGTTCTGTTGAGGTATACATGCGTCCAAAGACGACAAGTTGTACTTCACCCTCTTCACACCAATAGCATATAGTTGAGGGCTATAAGAGGATCTGGTCCTAGGATTATGAGACCCAATATCGCATTCTTCCGATAGACTTGGACAAACGAGCCATGCTTACCTAGGCCTCCCGTCTTGCTATTATAAAGCCTCTCTTCCGAAGCAACCAATTATGGATATGTTTCCTCGCTAGCCCGTCCAGCCCTCCAGTTCTTCCACAACATAAGTACTTATCCCAGTGCTTACCTGTACCATAGCCATGGATTGAGACGAGGTGCCGATTGGCATTCAGAAATCCAGCTAATATCTGGAACGAATGAAGGAACTGACACACTGTCATATCCGAAGCCAGTCGATGCTGTGCCGCCTGTTATATAGAGGCTAATGATAGTCCAAGAGTATCATACCAAAATAATATGCGCTTAGGGAGAACAGACAAAACATACCGTTCCATAATATTGCCCGCGACCTTCTCTATGACAGCACCACACAGCCGGGCGACGAACTTAACGGCTCAGCAGGCAAGAAACGGTAAGGCTCTGATAGTGGTCACGGGGTCAGGTACTGCCTTGTCCCAATGTACCATTGAGAGAACCTTTCTCCCCTATTGATCAAGGGCACTACAAAAACAAAGTTGTCCTCAACTAGGCACAAGAGCCGTGACCCCTCCCATGGGGATAGTGCAGCCACAGCTTTAGGCAGCGACTCTCATCCAAGTCTTAGAGTAAGCCGCTCATTTTCCTACTCCAGCTGACTCCGATTTATCGAGGGCACCTTTGCCACATGCCGGTCCGAGGATCCGCTATTGTGCTTCTGCTTTCTGCCCTGCTATTAATGAACAGTAGCCGCGTTACACCTGAAGCCAAAGTCGACCGTGGCACTTGACCCCTTCTGCAAGATGCGCCTCTTTGTGTGTAACACCAATGCAAACTTTCTGACCGAGCCTGGGTTCCTATGCCCTAGACAGTAGTTGGCAATATCTTATCAGTAAACGCCAGTGAAGCACTGGGACCACGAGATATACCATACTTCAAACAGTGAGGTGGCTGTCTTCTACTTTTAAGTTATCTTGAAGGTCCTAATAAGGGAAAATTGATGTTGATTGTTGATCCTACAACTGAGGTTCTACCTAGGCGACTACCGAACAAAGAGCACACAGGTGCTGGGCCTATTTAGGAAGGCTGTGTCAACAAGCTAAGTTGAATATATTAAGGTTGCAAGGTTAGACCTTCAGCCAGCGTTGGCCTTTGGTGGAGTGGGAAAGTAGAGAATATTCCTCAAGTTATGAGAATAACCTCGCGGAGCTGGACGCGCACAGCCAGCTGATTAGTTTAGCCAAGTCCGCAGAAACAGACCGACAGAATAACCAACTGGTCGATAAGACGGCGCCCATGGCCGGATAGAGATTACTAGTCTCTCCAGAATAGAAAACCTAGCAGTACTCAGTGTACGGGATTTGCGCGCGATCGGGATGCAAATCACGCGTCCGCCAAAAGTTCCACGAACTATGCCGAAGCCCCGTTATAGACACCCGCGATGACAGCCTGCACAGGCCTGTCTTGGATATTCGTTGGAATACCGGGTGATGCCGGAGCCCGTGTTAAATGGGTACCGCCAAAATGTTATTCGCGGCAACAGAAACAGTTCCAATCCGCATAGTGCCCCCCCTTCACGTTCAATCGAACCGTACTCTAGGTTAAAAGGTCCTAGTGTCTCGCCAGGATACTCGCTCACAGCCCAAGGATGATCGAACGCGTACTGCTGGCCGATAATCCATTAATAATATCCCTTGAAGACTATGAACCAGAGCTTTCCATCCCACTCGATAACTGCTGGAGGGTCGTGTGGCAATCTATTCTTGCGTACGTTGCCATTAGACTCGATGTCATATTCCACGCGATGTTTCGCAACCCCAGAACATTTGAGTCTGGTAGTGCTTATACCCCTAGTTTAACGTGAGCATTCAGAGAGTGTTTAACCGGGCATGGGTTAGTGCGTCGGTGTTATTCGACTCGCAGATGGCTCTTGGCACATATAAATGATGCATCTACCCTGTCATCCGTTTGTCTGGACACTGGATGCACCGTGAAGCTGATAGACAGACGATTCCTATTAGGCCTGATGTCAGGTGCGATCATCAAGGAAACACCAGTTCTCATTCTCATACGAGGCATTGCGAATGGCTTTCCCAGTAATCATTCTTCTTTGCGGCAACCTTCGATATGATGTCGGAGCTTCCTCACTGCACAGACTAGACCAGATACCTCCAGCTCTGGAGGCAAGTATCGGGATTCTGCTTCAGTCAAAGATCTGCTGAGAAACATTGTCGGTTGTAGAAACTCTGAGCCGGTCGTAAGGGTTGGCCGGTTTAGTTGAAATAGGTCTATTGGACCGAGCCGAGAAAAGGTGGGCCGGTCGAGAAAACCCAGGCCGCGAGGCTGTTCCAGTTTCAATTTACGGATGGAACGGGGGATTGTTTCTTAGTCACTCTCCCCCCCCCTTTTTTTTTTGATCCCCGTGGACGTGACGTCCTCTCTTTCTCAGAAGAGGTGGAGGCGTTGGTAGTACAGAAGATGCAGCAGGAGATGCAGCGACTGGGGTCATGTCATAAATCGGTGAGGAAGGTTGAATTGAGGTAGCCAGCGTAGGGGTTGTCTTGGATATCTCTCTATTATCTAGAGACATCAGATTAGGTGCAGGAGCCGGCGTGACAGGGGTTGTCTTAGGCTTCTTCTTGTTATCTGTGGAGAGGTTACTGAAAGCTTTGACACCATGTGCAGGAGTTGAAGGCATGTAAATCTTGTTGCAGAGGTACCGGCCAAGTGAAACCTAGTATGGACAGCCTTGTGGAGGCCGTGTGAGACGAGAGGTTGGCTTATTTGGTGACATACCGTTAGCCAGGAACTAACAACAGGCTTTGGTAGATAGTTCACATTCGCAATTCTTGCGTATTTCGAAATCTAGTGCTCCAGCTCGGTTTGGCCTTCTGCTAACGGAGCAATGAGCGTGATGAACATATTATTTGGTTCAGTTATATCTAGCCTTGTCCATTGACGGTGTATTTCTGAACAGGTCTGCCCGCGATAATCGGTGGACCAGTAGAAAGGGTTCGTCGCGTTTACTACCCGTATCAACAGAATTGCCTTAGCCAGGTTCCGCAAGTTCACCACATTGTGGAAGCATCTTTGCCAGATCTCATATCGTACTCAAAGCATTATAACAGCGTTACTGTAGGATATGACAGGCTGGTCATTTGCATATCACCATGCATTAAGATCAGAAGATGTTTCCGATATCTACGACCCATCGAATCCCTGAAATGTCGATGCATTTCTCCCTGGTTCGTAGGCACAACACCAGTATCTGGGATATCGGCGTGCTCTTGCTTCATCCTTGCTGGGTCGTTGATGTTTCAGTGGTAAAATTGGGGTGACAGTTCTATCTGTCCATTACCTTTTGATGACTGCTGCCGCCCTCCACGTCTGGTGATGCATGGCCTAGGTTACATATTCTGTGTTATAAACGCGTTCGATGCTTTCCTGTATGGTCTTAGGGCAATTTTCAGTATGCGGTCGGCAAACGTGTAACTCAATCTCCACCACTCTGCACCTCAACGGCCACTATTTTTATCGCATCTTGAAGTCGCGGGTCTGTGACACAAATTTAGCCTCCCCTATGTTCTCGCGTTTTCCTTCACCCTGATGTTCTTCTAGCTCTCGCGATGATTGGTACCCTGGACTGCTAGAGAACGTGGCGGAGATACATTGTGCAGGAGCCCCTATTTCCGTGTAGCACCACCCATACATGCCAGACCTTCTCAGAAGATAGTCAGTCCGGCTGTCTTCATGTTTAAGATGCTAATACCGAGTGCTCTAAAGCACACCATACGAGCCTTTCTGAGCCTGCAGTAGCAACGTGTGGTCAGGTCATGCAATGATAGACTAGATTGTCCGCTTCTATTAGAGGGTCTGTAGTATCATTGCCTGACTCCTCTGCGATCAAGGCAGACTGGAGAAAGTTGTATTTCCCTTCGCTATACCAGGAACTTCTACCCTCCAAGTACATCTTCCGCTCGCCGAGGTCATTAAGGCTTTCAGGACATCTCCCAACCGTCGAGGCAATTGGGCTTTGTTTGGGAGCTTCGTAGCTAAAATGAAGCTACAGGGAATCCCATTTAGTTTGCATCTCTTTGGAGATACATGACCGAATTCGTCGCTTGCGCATTCATCTATGTGAACCGCGCTCTTTCGGGTGCTTCCATTTCCGTTGGACAAGTCCTGCTATCTCGTCACTGCCCGAGTTGCGGTTAGATGCTAGTTGTAGAGCCACCTTCTGACTCTCCTTAGGCTCTATGACTTACGTGAATTGTAGCAACGAGATAAAAGCTACCATCCAGTGATGCAGTATCTTCGTTGTTTGGGTACATTTGGATTATCTTGATCTATAATAAGGTCTTTCCAATCTTTAGACCTTTCGAAAAGTTTAGGAACCCGTTGAGATGGATTGGAAAAGGGTGTTGTCTAAGGGATATATCTCACGGAAGGGGACCTCATATAGCTGAAGATTGATTCACCAGTGAAGTAAATCATGAGTTCTTGGGAATTGATAATTCACAGGCAGGCTTCTGAACTTCAAGTGTCGTCTCTTGTAATTTAAACCTAGCAGCGTAGAGCAAATGCCTCCTTAAAGGATGCACACAAACGGTGCTACATTCGGCGTTTACGATCGGGAAATAATATGGCTTCCCGGGGCTTCAACAGCTGGAAATTTATTGCACATGCATTTCTTTGATACTCCTATTTACCTTTCTATGGCCCCTAGAATTATCTTATTCGCACCTTAGTCCAAAGAGTTGAAGCACTTTATACCCATTGCGTAGAGAAGGTGTGTATACTGGCAACTCCAGTATTTCCAATATTGGACTTAAGATTTGCTGCTCCATCCAAGAATATATGCATTTCGAATGCAAAGTGTTGACCGATAAAGGCATAATAGTCTTGAACAACAACTTGCCGCCCCATTCAATGACCACAGGGAGGACGCGTGGGAATCGACTTTTGCGTACATTGCTGTTTATTTCGAAATCGTACTTCCATGCTGCAGCGCGCTGAGCGAAAGTGGTATGTATGAGCGCCATGATCGCCCACGCATCGCTCAGTCGACAACCGAACGGTGGCCAGGCGACAAGAGTATGCGGCCGACTCTAACATGTCCGACTGCGAAGGCACGGCGGTCGGATTGATGTAGAGGACATGTAGACGTTCGACTTGCTTGCTGGTTAGGAAGCGAAGCGAATAGTCTGCATGGTTATCTGCACGTTGGACTATACTAGAGGACTCGTGGTACAAGCAGCATCCGATAGTAAATGAAAAATAACGACCGCAGGAGGCGAAAAGGCTGAAAATCTCAGGTGTATATTGAATCGTCGCCATGGGGGGTGAACGATAGTCGTACTTGGTAGATGAATATCCGTTCCATTCACCTATGTGGCCCTGATCAAATTTTACCAGTATGTGTTTTGATATTTGCGGATTTGACCCTTGGGTAGCGTCGACACTTGGCCTAGAGCGCATTCAATTGGTGTCCATACTCCTTCCTAGTGATGCTTTTGTTCACTCCGCGAACTTAACTTGAGGCGCATATCGAAGTATAGTATGGAATGAACCGTCCCACTGGCTCAAGCCCATACAGCGATGTTCCCATACCGATGAAAGATCACAGAGTCATTCTTTGATTCATACTTCATCGTGAAAGCTTCCCCCATGATTTCCGATCCATAGTACACCCACAAATACCACCACACCAAGCGCACCCCACGTCAGAAGAGTCCCAACAGCCCCCCTAAAAGCAATGTCTACATGCTCCTGAAATGCAGCAGTCGGATACGCCCTCGGCCACGGCTCACCAGGCACCGGTACGTCCAGAAAGCGACAAAGCTCCTCCCAGCCATCCCTCCCAACACGTAACTCCAGAATCCTCTCCTTCGGAATCGCCTCTCGCACCCGCTCATAATGATCCAGAAACGCCCGCTGGCACACCTCCTTCTCATAACAATTCCCACAGAAAATCCTCCACACCAGCTCATACATGCTATACAGCGGTCCGATCACCCTTCTATCCAGATACCGCCAGTACCGAAAAAAGGGCATCCTCATGAATCCAAATAATGTCGCATCCATCGACTTCCACCAGGCGTCTATGTCCCGTGTGGTAAGTATCACCTTAGCGTCCGGGTAGGCCTGGTACAGATCCTCCCAGAACATCGAGGCGGGGATGTCGAGACAGGCGTCGTAGGAGCCGATGAGTCGGTCGAATTCCTCGCGGCCGTATCGCGGGGTTCTTGTGGGGTCATCGTTGAAGAAGTTGCATTGCATTGCTTCGATCCAGAGATTGAAGTCCCGGGGTGGGTTGTTGAAGCATTCGGAGCCGTGGTAGGGGTTGTAGCCGAGTTTGCGGAGTGCTTCGACTAGGGCTATTGGGATCTGTTAATATCGTGTTGACCGGTATCAGGGAGGAGTCACACTGAAAGGAAGGTGTGTACAGTTTGTTCCGGTTCTGGTTAAGCCTAGGCAGAGGATGCGCATGGGCTTTGTCCTCCGGTTTGGCTCTAGGTCGATGAGCCGGGGCATGGTGTGGGGGTTGGTAGTAGTATTATTATCGACCGATCCGACGGATGATTGAGCGTAGAATATAACGTATAACAAACAGCAAACAGTATGGGGTCAGAAATGAGTAAGATCGCGGGCTAACTGAATCTTTCCTCCTTGTTTATCAGGGATTCGCTAACATGAGGTTTAAATCATCCCGATATAAAGTTCGCTTCCGTCACCGTCGCCACTGATCGATCTTCTTTGAACCATGGATACTATAAATACATTCTTACGTAAAATATGTCAGAAGTTCCAGGAATGGAGCTCGAATGCAGCTGGAGCTACTGAAAACCCCGCTACCTCATTGTGGCTTGCATCTAACATACATAACCAGCCTATCCTAGCATGAGACCGGTGGTTCGTCACCCCTTGTATCAGGAATCTGCTCACCCCAGTAGCCTCCGTTCGTATTTTCTCCAAGAAGGTTCACGTTTGTTTGGCTAATTCAATAGGCCCAATTTTGGGAACTTTTCCTTTTCGTAGGGTGCCACCAACCTCCAAACCGAGGGTAACTTGGTTACTTTAGCTTATAAAAGAAGTCTACCTATAGGGGCTTCCGGGAGGAAGCATGAGTCATCTACTTAGCATGATCTTCGATACGTGTTCTCACCTGTCACGAAACAAAGCATTTGGGAACGGGCCGTCCTTTTAAGCCATTTGGCGAGGGGGTTTCTTCAAGCAACTCCCATCAACATAGCTTAGAATCTAACATTAGACCTCAAAGTGCAAAACACAAGATATCATTCCCCGCACTCCTTCGAATAATATATAATGTAACAAAATTAAAAGCCATAGATTAACATAGCCCCAGTAGCCATCAAAGTACATTCTGCAAGGACGTGACCTGACGAAGGCCAAGCCCTCAGCGTGCTAACCATGGTAATTAGAGCCACGACAAGTGCCTAGGGTTACCCAATGCAATAGATTTGTCGATCAGTGACTACAGCCAGATCATGAGGCTTCCCCGCATTCCGCACTCCGCATTCCCCCCCAGGCTCTGGATAATGTCTTCTCTGTCCCGAAAGGGAAGGTTTGGGCACTTGGATGTCTCTCGGATCTTTTTGTCAGAACTCTTGTGTGGGAGGTTCGGGGTAATCGAGTACCGAAATTTCCTACTCCTGTATGAGTGAGTTGGTGTGGGCAGCAGGGGGTGTGGAGGTTGTGCTTATAGATATAAATTCGTCCATGTTTCCTGTCCTATGGTAGCGGACTTGTTTCAATCAGCATCGAGGGTTTTCGGCTACTTTTGGAAATATACCTGGGGGCAGTCATGGCCCCCCTAGCGCATCTACTCATAATATACACATCATGCCTCTCCCTCATCCCGGCCCTAACCCTCAACTCCTACCCCACCAAACCTCGAGTCTTCATTCTCTCGGATATCTCCAACGAGCCAGACGATGCCCAGTCGCTCGTCCGATACCTGACCTACAGCAACCAGTTCCAGACCGAGGGCATCGTAGCCACGACATCCACCTGGCTAAAGAATGAGACCCACCCAGCAGACATGCTCAAGATCATCGATGCCTACGAGAAAGTAGTCGATAATCTAAACCACCATGCACCAGCCGATGCGCAGTATCCGTCTGCGGAGTACTTGCGAAGTATAGTCCGGGCAGGATCTCCGGTAAATGATATACATCTCCCCAACTCACCTAACCTCCGTCTGACAACAAAACCCTCAAATCAAGAACGATACTGATACCAAGCTTACCTTCTAGACATACGGCATGGCCGCCCTCTCCCCCACCACCCCTCTCAGTGCCGGCGCCAAACTCCTCCTCAACAGCATCCACGCCACAACAAACAGCAGCGAACCCCTCTGGATCCTCGCCTGGGGCGGCACAAACGTCCTCGCCCAAGCCCTCGCCAAACTCCAGACCGACAACCCAACCCAAGCGCCGACCCTCCGCTCCAACCTCCGCATCTACACCATCTCCGACCAAGACGACACAGGCGCCTGGCTCCGCCAGCAATACCCAGACCTCTTCTACATCGCCTCAGTGCACGGCTGGAACCAATACCACATGTCGACGTGGGTAGGCATCTCCGGCGACGAATTCTACAATTTCGACAAGGGCGGCGCAAACGGCACAAAGGTAAGCAAGGGGTGGATCCGTTCGAACCTGCAAATCGGGCCCCTGGGCGCCGTGTACCCCGACGTAGCGTTTATCATGGAAGGGGATACGCCGTCGTTTCCGTATCTTGTTCAGAATGGGCTGGGGGTGCCGGAGCACCCGGAGTACGGGTCGTGGGGGGGTCGGTATACGTTGGTGAATCCGAGCCCGTGTGGGCTTGGGTTCCGGCATTATGGGGATGCGGAGGATGAGGTTATTGGGGTGGATGGTGGGGTTTATAAGTCGAATAAGGCGACGGTTTGGAGGTGGAGGGATGCGTATCAGGAAGATTTTGCGGCGCGGATGCGCTGGACCATGACTGCCGATGCGGCGGGGGTGAATCATCATCCTGTTGTTGGGGTGAATGGGAGTGTTGGGTTGGGGGTTGTGGAGGTTTGGGGGGCTGCTGCTGGGTCGGAGGTTATTTTGGATGCTGGGGGGTCGGTGGATCCGGATGGGGATGAGTTGTCCTTTCAATGGGTTCATTATCCGGAGCCCAGTGCGATCAATGGTGCTCCGGAGGTGAAAGTTACGGCTTTTGGGCCCCGTGGGGAAAGGGCCAGGTTGTCGGTTCCGGTTGTCGATAGGGCTTGTGAAGCTACGGAGCATTGCGATTTGTTTCATTTTGTGTTGGAGGTCACGGATTCTGGCTCGCCGGCGTTGACGACGTATCGTCGGATATTGCTGCACGTGGCGAGGCATGGTGGTGGCCGGTCATGAGCTGGCTGTTTCGTATCTTAGCTGAGGTGGTGGAAATTTAGGTCATAGGCACTTGAGCAGAGATCCTCCCTTCTTGGGTGAATGTGGTGGTAATCACGTCGTGTAGCATAAATCTTTATACACAAGCCCAGTCTCGATTGCCCTAAACGCCGTCCAACTCAATGTTTAATTGACATATGAATCTACATGTTCCGCCGCCGGTTAGGAAATGGTAACATCCGTCACTTTCCCAGATCATCTTCTGATGATACACGTTCCAAATGTGGCTTTCCGTGTAGGCTCTCGTTATAGAGCATCTTCGGGTTAAGCGCTAGCGATCCCCGTGGCACGAACGTGGATGCGAAGACAAGTACCGATATCACCGTAAACTGAACACATGCGACATTTCGTATTGCAGCATATATATTGCCACCGTTCTCGGCTCCTCCAGTTTCACTATATACGCGGTCAATGTAACTTCCAAGGACCGGGGAAGTGATTGCGTAAAGAATAATATATGTCGAATACAAAAAGGCCATGACTGCGCCCAGGGCGGAGACATTCTCGGTCTTCGATTCGACCCGCGCGAGGGTGGCTTGGATGTAAGCCGCCAATGAGACATCACCAGCTGCCCAGCCAAACGAGATAGGGATGAATGTTGCTGCAGCCATCCAGGCAGCGCTGACTCGCATTGATGGCCGCCAAAATGGCAGATACCAAGTTATGAGGAGCATGATCGCATCAAGGCGTAGCCAGGGCATCGGTGTAGTCACTAGGTTCGTGAACAAGATAACAAATAATGCGCCTAGAAGCTCTCCTAAGTTTGATCCACCCACGATAATCTGGGACCAGGCAGCATTGCCCAAGTATCGACGGGCAACTGCGGGAGCTACAGCATTCTCCAGATACCGGTGAGCGTACAGCGCCACAGAATATCCGGGAACCAGCCAGATAAATTTGCGCGAGGTGAAGAGAATCCGGGCACCTGTCCAGATCGATTCGGCAAACAGCCAAAACCCGACCGTGACCGCCTTGATGTAAGAAGGATGGTGTTCTAATACTTGTATACTCCGACTGTGAAGTGTTTGGTCGGTGAGTAGGAACCAGGAAATAGCTGCGAGCGCGAAACAGATTGGGGTGATCAGGAAAGAGTAGTTGTTCCCGAAGAATGGAATCAAGGCTAAAGCCGTACAGAAAGCGCCACCCGTGCCCGAAACCTCGTAGAAGATGTGTGTCAAGGCGTCCAACTGACGCAGCTTCTTGACATCTCCCCCGACAAGGTCACGGGGAATAACACGGCGCATCAGTTCCACCATACCATAAGCGACCCCCGCGACACAGTAAACAGGGATCATGCCATCGGTGTTGTATTGTCCATAGTAATGAAAATCATGTTCGGGGTGATGATCACGAAAACCTGGCGGTGCAAATGTGCCCCCGGTACTAGCATCCATGATGAGGAGGAGGGTACTGAAGAAGGCGAATACTAGCACTGCGCTGGAAAGCACAATTTGAGGGGGGAATCTCCGAATCAGGGGGGCAATTAAAATGGATCCGATACACTGGCAAGCTTGGTTCAGGCCCACCATGAGCCCAACTCTCTGGAAAGTCTTTGCGGGTGTCTTGGTTCGCATAGCATCATAGTCATATCGGTTCGTCGCGAGGGCTACAATCGACCCGTTGAAAGCCTCTAGACCAAACTTGTAGATCATAATGCCAAGGATATAAAACAATATATTCCGTCTTTCGGATGGGGCGAAAGCGCACCAGCATTCTCGAACAGCGTTGACAAAAAAGGGTGCCATAGCTTGGTTCGCTCCATAGTAGCGTCTGTGGGAAGATCGCCAGAGGACGACCTGAGACGATTGCCCATGATATAAATTATCATATTGCGCAGGAGCCCTTCGATTCGCCTGTATCTGCTTGGCAATTAATCTCACCACCAAGACGTGGCTTGGGTTATCAAGCGTACCTGAGCAAAGTCTAGTCATGTCTGCAACTTGGCGCGAGCGTCCGGGACAAATCCGAACGCGATCGTAGGGCACGTTGCCAAGTGCCGACTGACACGAAGAGTGGCATGGCTTGAGACATGACCCTGGAGCTCTACAGATTAGTGAAGAGGACCCAGGCAGAAGGTGACACGAACGAAAGAAAAGCAAAGACCCTTGGCCAAGCAAATTGAGGAATCGAATCGCACTTTCGGGCCACGTGCTGGACCGTCCAAGAACAGGCTAGTCTCGTTCATCACGGGGCTGGGCTTTTAGTATAAGAGGTCATACAATCTAATTTCCTTTTGTCAACCATCTCCCTAATTAATAGCACGGGGTACTATCTCTCGGTTTCCTGAATATTCCAAATACATATAGGTACTCAGACGATAGGTCTAGGGTGGAGTCAAGACAGAGTAGGTCCTATATATATGCAACTCCACTTCAAATGAATCCCATCTACCTAATGCAATAAATTCACCATATTTATCTCATTCTGTGACACCCGAGAGCTTATTTCATTGTCCTCGGTCTAACGCTATGTGATCTTTCAATTACATGTCAAGATCCAAGCATTTAGAAGTCTCCTTTCCAGTAGTAAACTTTAGATGACGCATAGCTGCCGGGGATATAGATTAAAAGAGAGAACAAACGTACGATCATCGCACCTACCTTCACGGAGAGATATATTTTAAAAGATATCTATAAATGTGAACAAGTCGTCGTTCGGCCGAAACCCCTGATCCGCTAAGAACTACCAGTGTTCCACCAACGTGAGGAATCCATCCGCTCATTCTATCGCTACTACAAACTACACTGTCTTCCTTGTCCTTTGGTGCTTACCCCCTAGCCCCCAAACGTGAATATCTGATGAAATCCTCGTAGAAAAGGGCTTCCTTAAAGTGAGTTTACAAATTCCTATCTCATCGCCTATCGTGGTTGCTCAAGAATCTAGCATAACTCCCGTCACTAAAGACTAAGAATATGCTGTTTCCTACTAGTAAAGATAGCTTAATGAATGCCAATATAAAAACTTACCGGTTCGACTATTTAATTTAATATATATTGCATGCTCCTTGACTACGTAGTAGATAACTAACTCGAGCCCGGGGCACGAGACCAAGGTAGCTACTCTAGTTGAGTGTGATGATGATGATGATGATGGATCATGCGCTCTGGTACTCGTTTTCCAGCATACTATTATCCCTGTACCGAAGCTCGTATATTAAGGTGAGTGGTAGGTGAGACCGTGCTCTATCTAGTCCAAGCTATAGCAGCTGATGGTGTTCTACCTCAATACAGATTTTATAGTACCTTTGAACGTATCCACCACCTCCCAATTTCCGAAGGTTTAGAATGGGATAGAGTGCCCCCCGCCAACAAGAGGCATCAAGTTCGGGGAATTCTCGGTCGTTTACACCATTGGGCGAGGGACCTTGTGTTCGACTTCCTTACATTGTGTATCATTTGCGTCAACAGTCTTTCTCAAAACCTACGAGGAAGAGGTACCTTCCATTCACCAGATTGATCTTCTTAGCCAGCCAGGTCTTTCACATATGGAGTGGAGCCAGACCAACATTGTACTGTATGGGAATATGGACGACGTTGCGGGGATAATTGACAGGGAAATAGCCGTTTTCCGTTCTGTCCATCCAATATGCTAACAATGAGCGGGGTCTTCGATGGAATTGACCTTCTATTGACTAGTTAGACAATTTAATAGACATCGGGCTTAACATCTAGCTCGTGGACTTGTGATTAGCACCAGCGGCCCGACCCAGCTGGTACCTTGACAATTGTTGTCTATGCTTCCAAAATTGTTGTAGGGCCTTCAAGTGCAAATGGAGTATATATCAGTAACAAGACGCTCCATGGCTATTGCCATCCTGGTCTGGAGAATTGACCATGCGGCCCGCTTAGTTTTATGGTTCGCAATCCGAAAGGTAGGGTGGCACCATGGAGCTACATATGGCAGATGATTCATAGTCGTATCAGGGCATGCCACGGGGTCTGCCGTCCACCTGGACTTTGAGACATTTTTCGTATTCGACTTCCGACTGGGTCTCACTGAATGACGAAATGTTCAAATATCTCCTTTTACTCAGGCAACTGGATGCCTGGAATTGTCCATTCGTTGGCTAACGATAAGACTTCGCCTGTTGTCTCCGTGCTTAGTACGGAGCAAAGGAAAAGTGAAAAGTGGTATTTCTCCCCACCACGTGAAACGCGCTGCAAGATGACGGAATTTGGCCGACTAGCTCAGGATCTACTCTGATGTGAGAAAATCATATGACTGTCGGGAATACCAATGGCAGCCGACGGTCCCCATAGCCCTGCTTTTTCGACGAAGTTAGTCTGATGTATGCTTTTTTTGTGGGGTAGGTCAAGTTTGTTAGAATCTGAGGATTATGGAACCAGCAAGGAATGAAGGGATATTCTAGACGGTCGTACAAGGAAATAGTGTCTGTATTACTTGACTACGCTATTCCTTATTTACTAGAAAAAAAAAGTCATAAACATGAAAAGCTGCTTTATAAAAAACAACCCAGGATTGAAATCTGTAAAGAAAATATCAGCCTCACAATTCACAGCTGCCGTTACATAATAATGCATCCATGTCCCCCCACATCCAGGTTTGAGTAAAGTTCAGTTTTGCGCCCTTTTTGCCCTCGCCCCAATAAACAATGCGTTCGACTTGGCGGAACCGTGGCCAATAGTAGACCGGGAAAATTGTCCCACGTGAATGTGTACCCTTAACAAAGCACATCATGTCCTCCATGCTATGCGGTGTGCAGATCTCTGAGTTTAAACAGTCGTTATCAGGGAGATTGACCTGCTTCTATACCACTAAGGTACTTTGCCCAACCAGAGTGCAACGGCGGACCCAAGGGTACCGTATAGGTACCGCTACTGTGCCCACCGCCTTCCTATAGGGAGATGATATGACACACTACGTGCGGTCTACTGATAAATGATCATCTCCTTTCTTTTTTTTCCTTCGCATCCTGTTTGATTACTCCACGGTTTCGCCGTTCTCGCTGGCGTGTGACGGCTCCCCGACTATATTTGTCTATTCACTTCCCCCCAGCCTTTCTGAGACTCTTTTCATCTTTTTTCTCTCAACTATGGGGTGGCGTCACTGCTGGGTTGTATTCGGTTGAAGTCTTATCTCGCTGGTCGTGACCGAAATTCCTGTCCTAAGAGAGTGTATGCCCTGGAGTTAGATACCGTTTTACCCCTCAGAAATTCCGTATCTATTGTCGCGCAGGTCGGACACCTTGCATAACGCGTATTTCCTTTTTCCTTTTTTCTTTTTTCGTTTATCTTTCTTTTTTTTTTTTTTGGGTCCACTTTATTACTTGTGTCACTGTGACATCCTGGACAGACATTCGATTGATCGCCACACTCACCATCTTCTTGCTTGAAATAAAGCGAAGTAATGACGGTTACGCAAGCACCAGGCTCCCCTGATGAGCATACAGGGACCGGGTCTGAAAAACCATCCTCAGGTCGCTGGTGGAGGAAAGTGTTAAGGCCCTCATCCGGCGATGACTCGGAATCCAATTCGGGAGACCTCAACTATCGCTCCAGGTCAACCTTGGGAATCCTTAGTGACAAGGAAACTGATGAAGTACCGGGTATGACTTCCAATCAGGCCCATCCTGATCCTCTATGAGGAACTTACTGACAAAAATCTGTAGGAACGGTGCTTCTGCTGTCGTCGAATCGCAACGAGCCGCTGGGACTACAACACCAACCGCAGCGCACGTCCCACTCGTCCCTGCCATCTCCATATCCCCCGTCTCGATCTTCCTCACGCACCTCGGCTCGGCCATCGAAGAAGAAGACCGCGGATGGTCAGATTGTCCTAGAACCTCAGCCAGACGACTCAGTGAACGATCCGTTAAATTGGCCCGTCTGGCGTCGAGATGCTGCTTTGCTATCGTTAGGTTTCTACTGCCTGATGGGTGGGGGAATGACACCAATTCTGGCCGCTGGTTTCAACCAAGTCGCTGATACCTACAATGTGTCGACCCAGCAGGTGGCCTATACCACTGGCTTATATATGCTGGGTCTCGGAGTCGGGTCGGTGATCATGTCTCCAACCGCGATTCTATATGGGAAAAGACCGGTCTATCTTCTCGGCGCCACACTTTTTGTGGTTTCAGGCATCTGGTGTGCTGTATCCCCCAATTACGCCAGTCTAGTGGTCGCCCGTGTTTTCCAGGGGATCGCGGTGAGCCCTGTGGAGTGTCTACCTTCTGCTACGATCGCGGAAATTTACTTTTTGCACGAACGCGCCTATCGTGTGGGTATCTATACCCTTCTCCTCCTAGGAGGCAAAAACTTGATCCCTCTTGTGAGTGCAGCTATTATCGGTAACTTGGGATGGCGCTGGGTGTTCTGGATTGTCGCCATCGTCGTGGGGAGTTGTCTGGTCCTTCTGTTCTTCTTTGTACCGGAAACATTCTGGGATCGTACCCCCCGCCCTCGCTCGCGCAAACGTCCGCATTTATATCGTAGTGTTTCGGATCTGGTTTCGCACGGCATCCGGGGACGCCCAACTCATGCGCAGCGCCTCGAAGATCCTCACCCAAAGAACCACGCCGACTCCACCGTGCCTAAGAAATCTAAGAAGGGCCATGTCGGATTTGTCGATGAGTCCAACAAGGAGATTAATTCTCCCGATGAGAAGGAAGCAGAAGCTGGAGACTATGACTGTGTCTCAGAAGCCTCCAATGCCCCAGGTGAAGATCATAACGCGGTGCACTTCCCACCCACCTCCAACCCAGAAAAGTCCAACGGGTTGCTTCAACCCCCGACTGCTGTCATCTCTCGCCCTGAGCATCCAGCCGATCCAGAGTGTGGCCGGCAGGCCGCTGTATCACCAGCCCGCAGCGATTTGCTTGCTCCGAGCGCACCGGTGAATGGCTCGATCCACTATACCAATCGGCTGCGTGAACGGCCCCAGTTGCCATACCTACACTACCTCCGGATTTGGAACGGCCGGATCTCCCATGACCACTGGATGCGAGTGGCCATGCGCCCGTTTATTCTGTTTGCCTACCCAGCCGTGCTGTGGTCGACCGTGGTTTACGCCCTGTCGGTTGGATGGCTGATTGTCCTGTCGGAGTCGGTCGCGCACATCTACGAAGGGCGATCCAACTATAACTTTACCGCCTTGCAAGTTGGGCTCGTGTACATCTCGCCGTTTGTGGGAGGCTTACTGGGTACTGCCGTGGCGGGGAAGGTGTCAGATGTGATTGTCCGATACATGACTCGACGCAACGGCGGCGTCTACGAACCGGAGTTTCGGCTAGTGATGGCGATCCCTATCGCCATCTCGACGACCGCGGGTCTGATGGCGTTTGGATGGAGCGCGGAGGAAAAGGATGCGTGGATCGTGCCTACGATCTTCTTCGGTCTAGTTTCTTTTGGATGCTGCCTAGGCAGTACAACGGCGATCACATTTTGTGTCGACAGCTATCGCCAGTATGCTGGAGAGGCATTGGTGACCTTGAACTGGAGCAAGAGTGAGTTTTTCTTTTTTTCCTTTCCTTTTTTTTTTTTTTTTTTTTGACTGGTCGCGGCGACTGATACCCAGCTCTAGACGTATTTCATGGATTAATTTTCTCGTTATTTATTGTCGATTGGTTGGACGCGCAAGGTTCCCGAACCGTGTTCTTAGCGTTGGGAGGCATTCAATTGGGATGCCTTTTGTTTTCGATTCCCATGTATATTTATGGCAAGCGGCTTCGGATGTGGACTGTCCGGAAACGCCTGATGGAACAATGGTAGAGATGAGTTATGATTGGGTGATGTTGTATATATGCATTGTTACGTCCCTGAGTCGTCATGATTTGCAATCATAGAGTATAGTTATATAGTATAGAATGATATCAGCATTGATTTGTCTGAAACTGACCAGGCGACTCCCATGATCGCCTAACTATCACCACGTGCCTCGCCTCCAATCGAGATTCTAGAACGCTTGTCAAAACCCCGCCTGAGGCCGCAGATCTTGAAGAAGATAAAACAAGACTGCGAAGACATTAAACAATATCAGCCACTAGTAATGGGTCAATGGATCGGGGAATCTGACTACTTTTTACACTAGAGAGGTATAGCACGAATCGCGCATGCATGGATTGACTTATGTGTGTATAAATATGTGCGGGATGGGCTGGAAGTGGCAACCTGTCGATCTCAACGCTTAGTGGTGGCATTTTCAACCGAAAACAGGGACCACTCCATCGGGCTAGGGCCCAGTCTGCAGGTGATCGAGTGAAAAGAGGTATTGCCAACTACATTCGCATCTCGTTTCATCACCTCCTCCACTGCCATTGCATATCCCCAATCATGGACGAGACTAGTATTCCAGATCTCCCCTTCCTAGTCGCCATCTCAGATCGCATGAATCAGAGTTTGGTGTCCCCTTGCCGTGCCAATGGTCTTTCCCAGGAACCCCCAACCAGCTTACGTTGAAGGGAACCGAACCAGCACAATGGCCATATCACTTCGACTTTCGAGTGGAGTAACCGGATTACCTCACTCAGGCCGAGATTTGTCATTTGTGGGATCTTTCCCTCTTCCCATCGCCACTGATTAGTTATTATTGTTTTCCTAAATTGGGGTCTTTTCCCTTACCGTGGTATTGGATTTGCAACACCCCGAGGCCCCAACAGTTACTCGTCGCTTGGCAGCATGCCACGGCCCGCATATTAAAAACCGGTTTCCTCTCTAGGACATTACTTATAAAACTTACTCAGGCCCCGGTTTCAGCCATTGTTTAATCTTCTCCTGGTCTTTTCCGCCCTTTTGACCTTTTTTGTCCTTCCCCTCCTCACGGTACCCTCTCTGGATTCGTGGTCCTTGCTCTTTTGGCGCCCTTTCGGATTCTCGCCACTTGAGATTCAATCGACAAGAAGTCCGTCCGAGCACGAGGAACTGATGATGGAGCGTGGCTGAAACCCTCAAAACGACTGAACTTTATTGCATATTTTTTTTACCCCTCTCCTTCCGACCGCTGGTCAATCCCTATATGATCATGGAGTCCAATCAAAGAAACAATGACCACAACACCGGTCGAAGAGTCCGGGAGCTCTATCGCTATTTCCAACCGGAACGAGCCTCCTCCAACGCGAATCGGACCTCGAGCAGTCATAGTTCGCCTTTCCTGGCCTCAGTGCCAGTGCAAGACTCGACTTTGCCTCCTCTTCCGTCACCCTCGATCTCCTCGCAACCACCGTTGCCGGTTCCTGCAGGCGCTGCGTCCGCCGTCGTACCCGAGGAGGCCTTGGTCTTGGGCAACCCCAATACGACATTGACCTCCTTCGCACAACTGGCAGCTTTGCGTCTTGATGTCGAGCGTGTGCTGATCAGGTAGGTTGGTTTTGGTTCGTTATCCGTATAACTGTTGATATTAATCAGTTCATGGCTTAGTGTGTCGGACCGCAATTCGCAATTCATCCTTGCGCAGTCCACCCGTTATTCCACCACACCAAACAAATCCGAGTCGTCAGGGGATGGGATCTGGTGTGGCTGTTCCACCATCTCTGCTGACGCGTGGAAGATGTGTGCGGTATATCTCGCTTATCCGAGAGAATGTGTTCATCGACTAATTGGTTCGCTCTTCGTGTAGGCTACAGTAGCACTTGGCCCTTCGAAACAAGACGAAGGCCAGTGTAAGTTCCTGGTGATCGACGATTTAACCCAAAACGACGAATATAAGGACCTTCACTTTGTGCGAGGAGAACCCAATTACCGATTCTATGCAGGAACTCCTTTGACAACGGAGACGAATATCAATATCGGCTGCCTCTTTGTCCTGGATACGAAACCCCATGATGGATTGACGGACACAGAGAAGGAGACCATGAAAACGTTAAGTACGCTTATCATGGACTACCTGCGAGTCAGCCGCCAAGCTTCCGAGGGGAGACGTGCAACCCGACTGTCCCGCGGCCTTAGCTGTTTTGTGGAAGGGAGCTCAAGCTTCGTCGATGCATCTTATCCTTCGTATGCGGGGAGTTTCGCCGCCGTGCCCAGCACCCCTCAATCCTCTAATATGAGGACAACTCACCTCTCGGTCGGTTCGCTGAACAGTTGTGAGCTCCCAACCCGGCGATCGCAAAGCAGTGATGTCCGTTCGATCAGCTCCATGTCCGAGGGCAGAGGCGATTCTGGTTTATCACCACTTCCAGATTGGTGGTCGGGCAATCGGCGGAACCAGAGGCTGGAAGAGGCGCATGGTAACTCCTGGGCCTTTAAGAGAGCGGCCAATCTACTCCGTGAGAGTCTGGAGCTGGGCGATGAGGGCGGAGTGATTTTCTTGGAGGCTGGCAATATTCCCATGCTTGATATGGAGAGTGGAAGCGACTGTTCCGCGGAAAACTCTTCTCCAGCTCCGGTATTAGCGATCTCGACCAATGACGAACCATTCGCGCCGGGGCCTGGCTGTGCAAATCGTTACCCGGCGGCCAACTTCGATAGTAGTTTTCTCCATCAACTGCTCCGCCGGTATACGAAGGGAAAGCTGTGGTCCTTCCACCGAGATGGATTGCTTTCAAGTTCCGACGACGAAAAGCCCTCCCACAGTCGTTCCCGGACCCCCAAGACCCCCGAATTAGCCAGGAGCAGTGGAAAGAAGTGGAAGTCCCTGGAAAATTCCATGTTGAACCTCTACTTCCCCAACGCAACCCAGGTTCTCTTTGTTCCTCTGTGGAACGCCGCCAATTCCCAGTGGCATTCGGGTTGCTTTTGCTGGAATACGGTTGAAACACGCGTTTTCAACTCGTCCGTGGAGCTGAGCTCTGTACTGGGATTCGGATCCTCGATCATGGCGGAATGCAGCCGGGTGGAATCCCTCATTTCCGATCGCCAGAAGGGGGACTTTATCGGAAGTATCTCGTATGTATAACCCGAAAGTTTTGGGATCCATAGATCGGTTATTGACCAGTATTATTCCCTATAGACATGAGCTACGCAGTCCCCTCCACGGTATTCTCGCAGCCGCCGAGTTCCTGGCCGGCACGAAGCTGGATGATTTTCAGGTCTCACTCCTGGACACCATCGACGCCTGTGGGCGGACCTTACTGGATACGATGAACCAAGTTTTAGACTATAGTAAGATCATCTCTTTGGAGAAGTCCTGGCGCCATATCAAGCAAGACAGGACCGTACCATCAGACTACCGGGCGTTGGATCGACTCTCGGCCCATTTAGACACGTATGTGTCGACAGACCTTGCTCTCCTCACAGAAGAAGTAGTGGAAGGTGTTTGCTTGGGACATGCGTACGGCCAAAAGTCGATTGTCTCTTCTGATCAATCGGTGGTGATGTCGCCCACGGGAGGTTCGCATACCGGCACCGAAAAAGGAAGCCTTGCTCAACCTCGGCCAGAAGTCGATGTGGTCGTGAACATTGCACAGAACGATTGGGTGTATCACACTCAGCCGGGGGCTTTGCGGCGCATTATCATGAATGTGTTTGGCAACGCTATGAAGTATACAGACTCTGGTCGGGTATCAGTACGGCTAGAGATGACTGAGGGAGAGGGTCGGGTTCGGCGATCAGGTATGGAGGAGTTGGTCACGCTGGTCGTATCTGACACCGGGAAAGGCATTTCGGAAGAGTTTTTGCGCGAGCGTTTGTATACTCCCTTTGCGCAGGAAGATCCCCTGGCTGTAGGAACCGGCTTAGGCCTGTCAATTGTCCGAAGTCTCGTGAAATCGTTGAATGGCCGCATCGATGTCGACAGTACTCCCGGCGTGGGGACAACCGTCAAGGTCACCTTGCCTTTCTTGCGACCAGATGTTGAAGATATCGCTGAGGACCCGCTGACACCCCGGTCACCGTCCATAAAGGAAAAGGACAGCCCCACGGAAAGCCGCCTTTTACGAGACAGCCACGCCGGTCGACGGGTTGGCATTGTTGGAGTGGAGCCACATGAGACAGCCGATCACCCGTGGTGGTCTGTTGTCAGCCGATATTTGACCGAGTGGTATGGCCTTGAGCTGGTCTCCTGGTCGTCTCGAAGCCCGGTCGATGTCGCCCTGGCCGATGGAACTACCTCATCTGGGGATCTCAAGAAGCAGTTTGCAACCAGAGTTCCAGCACTTCTCCTTCTCTGCGACAAGTACGTTGATCGAACTACCAAATTAAAGGAGTGCTCTTCTATCGCCAGCTTAGTTAATATCATTCGTCCACCGTGCGGACCACATAAACTTGCTCGAAGCATTCGGAAGTGTCTCGATTCACAGGTTGAGGCAATTCCCACCACAGCATCCATCGCCCTCCCTGAGCGCCCCAAATTTCTATGTGACAGCGCAGGCGATTCTGAGCTCGATTTATCTGACGACGTGGCGGATTTAACACCAGGCGGCACAAGCAGCTCGGGTGCATCCTCGTCTCTAGGGTCAGCGCATTCCCCAACGCACAGTTATATGCCAGAAATCCTGCCCACCATTATGTCTCCCTCCTCCTCTATACGACCTCCATCGCCGCCTGAAATCAAACAACTCGAATCCGAACCTCAACGTGCTGCACGCGTGCTTGTGGTGGACGATAACGCCATCAACCTCAACCTAATGCTTACCTTCATGAAAAAGCGTAACTTGGCTACACTAAGCTCTGCCGAGAACGGTAAAGTAGCGGTCGATGCCGTGGAAAAACAACAAGGAGGCTATGACTTGATTTTCATGGGTGAGCTCCCTCCATTTCCCTTGACATACCCCACCAACCGAACTACGCCTATTCTGACAGAATTTAAATAGACATCTCCATGCCCGTCATGAACGGCTTCGAAGCCACACGAGCTATCCGCGCTATTGAAAAAGAACGCGGCTGCAGTAACCCGGCGATCATCATCGCCCTGACGGGGCTCAGCAGCTCGCGCGATGAGTCGGAAGCCCTCAGCTCCGGTGTCGACTTGTTCCTCACGAAGCCAGTCTCTTTCAAGGAAGTCGCGCGACTCCTAGAAGAATGGGCTGAAAACCGCCTCAGCTCCCGGGGTTTGGCGTCGTGATCCAAACCTTACCAATAGAATTTCCGTCGATTTTTTGATCGAAACAAAACTCACATGTTCTTATGCCTTGCATATACCTCTGGTAGCTTGTTGTTTGCTTTTGCTTTTTATTATTGGGGGTGTGTATAGGTTTCTTTTTTTTTTCTTGTTCGCACAAAGATACCCTTGCATTATGATAATATACGAATCATTGCGTCTTAAATCTCCTTGCTCTTTCTTTGTATAACTATTCTAAGAGTATTAAAATAACCCTAAGTGGGACTTTGCCCATCCTCGTAGAAAGTTACAAATGTCAAGGTTGATAACAGTTAGTTAGCATGTCTGCCGTTCGACCATATGATCATGGAACTACAAAATTGTACGCAGCGACTTGCCCATCAATGTCCTTAGTTGAGCTATAGATATGCCAACAAAAAAAATAATCATGCAAGAAGAGACAAGGTATCATTGGTAACATAAAACCTAAAAGATTTGGAGTGTATCATGAGACAAGAACGCACGCCTTTTGGAAAAATGCCCCGTATGCAACGCCACCAGTTAAATGGTATCTATATGAAAAGCCAACTAATAACGCTCAATAAGCCAGTTCCGTTTGACGGTCTCGTCCATGTCAAGGAGACGTTTACTCTCGATGCGCTTGACGATGGTATAATTCTTAACAAGGGTTTCGCCGATGACGCTCTGCAGAGCGGAGTCCGCGTCTAGCGCGTCTAGACTTTGAGACATGGATTTGGGGAGTTGAGTGATAATTCCTAGGGCTTCGCGCTCGGACGGTGGGAGTTTGGCTGCGTCGTCTGGTTTTGCCTTTGTTAGTTTCTTTTGTTTCACTTCTGGGTGCATTTTATATTGAGGTGAGGATGAACTTACGGATACAGTCTTTGTTCGTCAGAGGGAGGTTCTCCTTGACACCTAAGTAACCCGCCGCGAGGAAGGCAACCATGGCGAGGTACATGTTTGCCAGTCCGTCCAAAGTTTTGATTTCCCAGTGGCCTGGGGAGATCTTGCGGATGGGGGTTTCGCGGTTCTGGGTGCCCCAAGTCACCCATTCACTGCCGGCCCAGAGACCTGACTTGACGCGGTCGTAGCTGACATCCTGAGACAAGGTGAATGCCGCCAGAGCTGGGTAATGGCGCATGATGCCGGCCAGGAAGGAGACTTCGTGAGTAGGCGGCGAGATGGAGACGTGTGCGTGAGACGCCGAGCCTGCGGCGTGGGGGAGGGGACGGGGGTGGAGCGTGGCGCGGAGTCCATGCTGCTCAACCACGCAGGTGACAATCTGGCGCGCTTTGAGCAGAGTGTCCACCGCAGTGATGGGCGAGCCTGGCGGCAAGACGAACTCGAATTGACCCGGTGCAGACTCGGCATGGAATTGTTCTAGATGGATTCCAACGGATGCGAGGGAGTCCACAATCTCCTCCAGCAAGGGAACCATCGTCCGGGTATCCCTGGTCATTTGGGACCACGAGTGGTTCTGGACTACGGGGACATATTCGGTTTCGCCCGAGGCATTGGTCGTGGGTTTCAGGAAGATGACTTCAATCTCGAAGCCACATTTGACCTCGATTCCATGCTCGCGCAGATTGTTGGTCACCCGTTGGAGGGTTGTTCGGGGACAGCCCGGCAATGGGGCGCCTTCCTCGGTCTTCCAGTAGGTCATTACCGTAGCACTCTTCGAGTTGATCCCCACATTGCGGCAGAGAGAGGATAGGTCCGGCTCCATGTAAAATTGGCCCGTGACCGACCCTTCCGGTGCAATGCTGTCGTCCTGCAGCATCAATTGGGTGCACAGACAGATGCCAATACGACGTTGCTTGCGTACGATCTTGGCGAACTCGGCGACGGGAAATATCCGAACCCGGGTCGTGTTCGTGTAGTCGATGAATTGCATCCAAATATACTTGACATCGGGGTTATTCCGCATGAAGGTGTCGAGGGTGCCAGTCGACGAAGGGGAGACTCCGTTCACTAATACCGGAGCGTCATAGGCGAGCTTCTCATTGAGACTGTAAGCGCGGTTAGAGTTGTGGAAGAGAATGTCGGCGGCTGCTTGTTTCGCCTGGTCGACAGTAAAATCGCCCTTGTGAACGTAATCCACGAAGACCGTCTCCATCACATCGCGGAACTGCTTGTTGGCCAAGTAGAAGGTCTCCGGGAAGAAATGGCCGTCGGTACTCCACAGAAGGCGTGTGGTGGGCACGATATCCAGACTTTCGCGCAAAATAGACTCCTGCGCATCGCGACTTACCATGGGAAAGACCTCCCCCAGGTCCAGGTAGACATTGGGGTATACACAGGCCAAATACCCAGCTTCTCGCGTGTAAGGATAAGAGGAATGCAACAATACGAAATCTACGTCGGGGTATTGGGCGATCAGCGATTGCAGGTGGGCCGGGTTGGAGAGCACCAGGTCAATGTCGTTATCGCCCAGTCCAGTGTGCAGCTGCAGCGGTTTGTTGGGGGCCGAGGCCGAGACGTTCTTAGCGGCCTGCAGGTGATTGAGCGTCTGGCGCACGACCCAGTCATTGAGCCGCTTATCCTCCACTCGGTACGCAGACCCCTGTCCTTGGCGAACCGTACGCGCAAATGATTCTAACAGAAGGGTATCATCGTCATCCTCGGTGGGCTGGACGTTAAGCCCAGTTCGGTAGCAAATCACCGACTTGAACCCCACCACTGCGGGGTCTCCGATCGCCCCGGCGATACGCCGCCTAAAACCCTCACGGAACTTATCCCATCGGTCCCGGAGCACCGAGGGGTCACCTTCCTGGGACCGGAGGTCATCGCGCATCAAGGAGGATATTGTTTGGGCAGCCAATATTTCGATCCGCACGATCCGTTTCGTCTGGGCTGTGGTGAAGCGATCATGCCATTCGTAGGACTCGATATCTTGGTCAGTAAGGAGATCGTCCAGAAGCAAGGTATGCGTGCCCTGCAAACATTCGCGAATCAGGCCGTCATAGTCCCGCTGCACCCATGCATCACGCGCTGCCTTGACATGATCCCAGTCTGGGGGACAGCGGTAGAGTGCGGCGAGCTGCGAGGTGGCACGGTGTAGTGGTAATGTGGAGGGGGCATTGCGCAGGGCGGCACCTTGGGCCTCTGAGGTAATCTGTTCAAAGGGATACTTGGCGTAGTTGCAGGCGGCATCCCGCGTAAGGAGGTTATGGGCATGGTTGTCAATAAGGGGATGAGTGTGAATCAACGATTGCAAAGACGTAAGGTCCATGATTTGATTAAGTAAAGATTGGTTATTATGATTAGGTAGATTTTAACGGAGAGAGGCCGTAATTAGAGGTATATGAAAATATGGTTCATCACAAGAAGTAGCTAGGGAATGTAGTGACCGACAGAAGAATGTCGACCGGACAGACGACCGAGGGGTATATAAAACCACCGACACGAAAGAAAAGAGTAGAAAAGAAAAATCTGAAAAAGGCGATAGGTGCTTACCCAAAGAGGCAAGTCCTCATTGTCCAGCCGTCGATCAAGTCGTCAAAATCATCGAATTGATGGGATCTGGACGCCCGATGTGACAATATCGGAGATGTTACCTCAAAAGAACCGATGCTTATGTTCAGTATCGGAGGGTGTTTCCAAGGGAGTCCGCCTGTCACAGGGACGGATAAACGACGAGTCAACCCAAGGAGGAAGACTTGACGAGAGTTCGACTGCCAGAGAAAGGCAATGGAACGATAGTGAACAAGTGGATGAGAAGCTGGAACAAGAAAAAGAAGATCAAACCGTTGATCACTGGATCTCTCGTGCACTATACTGCATTTGGCAATTTCCACGAGCAGCGGCAGAGACCAAAGGGGCTAAGTGCCGAGGTTTTTGCCCTGTTTGTCCCGTTTGGCCAAGTTTGTCTATACATAGAAAACCATCCCTCGGATCCGCTAGACCGCATCGGGGAATTAGTGCCTGTTCGGAGCCTGACTTCCGATTTATGCCTGAGGTCCGTGCCTGCTCTTTTAATCCTTTCGCTCTTTTAAGATATAGTCAGTCTCTTAGACCACAAGTATTATTAATTGTCAAATCCACTCGATTAGACTTCCTATATCCACTACTGCTAGATGATTTATGGGACCTCTCCTTTGCAAAATGACCAAAAAAAAGGACAACTCATCCTTTCCCGTGCCCATGCATCCCAACTGCACTTAAATCACACTAACCTGCATAGCACACTATATTGTATGGCTAGTACTGTCCCTCAATCGTAAGAGTTCCCGTTTTCGTCACCAGGTACTCATTCACGGCCACTTCCTTCCCGCTCTCCTTCCCGTATCCTGACTCTTTGATCCCTCCAAATGGTGACTCTGCAGCCGACGAGTTCCCTGTGTTCATACCAATCATGCCGGCCTCCAGATTCTCCAACAGTCGCCACATGCGGTCAATATTCTTGGTGAACGCGTAACTCGCCAGTCCCATGCTAGTGTCATTAGCTAGCTGCACTGCCTCTTCCTCCGTTTCAAATTTATAGAGTGCGGCGATAGGTGCAAACGTCTCTTCCCGAGATACCAGCATCTCCTTGGTCATGCCGGTCAGGATCGTGGGCTCAAAGAAGTACCCCTTAGTATCGGAGACCCGGCTACCTCCCAGGATCACATCAGCCCCTAGTCGACGAGCGTCTTCCACCTGGCTGAGCGCCTTGTCAATGCTGCGCGGGGTGGTCAAGGGGCCCATGGTCGTGCCCTCTGTAGCGCCATGGCCCACGACCAACTTCTGTGTGCGTTCCTTGAGCAGCTGCGCAAACCGATCATAGACACCCGCTTGGACATACACCCGGTTAGCCGTAATACACGCCTGACCGGCATGCCGCCACTTCAACGCCATGAGCTGGTCCAGCGCCTGGTCCAGATTAGCATCGTCGAACACCAAGAATGGACAGTTTCCGCCCAGTTCCAACGTCAACTTCTTCAGCCCATGGGCGCAGTGAGCCGCAATCAACTTCCCGACCCGCGTAGAGCCGGTAAAGGTCACCTTCTTCACCAACGGATGCTTACACAACGCCTCACTCAACGGCGGCGTATTCTCTAGATCCGTGGTCAACACGTTAAACACGCCGGCGGGGAATCCCGCTTTCTGCGCCAGATGCGCCAACACCAGCGCCGACAAGGGCGTCTCGGGACTCGGCTTCACAATCATTGTGCAACCGGCCGCGAAGGCCGCGCCCGCCTTGCGCAGAACCATCGCGATCGGGAAATTCCAGGGCACCAAGGCGGCCGCCACACCGATCGGCTGCTTGACAGTAAACACCCGGCGATTTGGCGCCGAGGGCACGCTGATCCCACCGTGGATGCGCTCGGCCTCGCCGGCGAACCACCAGGTGAAACCCGTCGCATAGTCGATCTCGCCGTAGGATTCGGCCAGCGGCTTGCCTGTCTCGTGGGTGACGATCTTGGCAAGGTCGGGCTTAGCTGCGCGGATGAGGGCGTCCCATTTCATGAGCCATTGTGCCCGCTGGCGGGGGTTGCTCTTCTTGTATTGCTCGAACGCGGCGTGCGCGGTTTCTACGGCGGATGCGACATCCTCGGCGCCGTTGGCCGGACAGCTAGCCCATGGAATATCGGTTCCGGGGTCTTTATATTAAAGTGTTAGTCCGGGTGGTCAAGTAGCTGCATGAATCATTCCAGTAGGCACTGTACCGATGACTTGGAAGCGTTTGCCGCTCTTTGATTGGACCCATTTGTCGCCCACAAATGAGTCGAAGTGGAGCAGACTCGGGTCGTCCAGCTAATAAATTTCATAAGTTAGTTGCTATGCGGGCGTCGCGACGGGGTATCACACACCTCAAACGGTAGTTTATATTGAGTCGCCATGGTTTAGATATTATGTGTTTGTGTTTCTGTCCTGGAAATAGAGACAAAAGTGAAAGAATGAAGCAAGAGCTCTTGGACTGACAAATTGACAGTTTATATAACTTCGAACCCCGCAGAGAAATTGAACCCCTCATTGGGCTGATCACCTCGGCTGCGGATCAAACACCAGCAATATCATACTCTTTTCTACACATAGTCATCATAACAAAATCAAGGAAAACACCGTAAAAACAGAAGAAGAAAGATATACAAAATCTACACCAAACTATCCATACTCGCCTCCCTCCCCTCATCCACTCCATGACTATGATTTGGTGAATACTGCACCTCCACATCCGTCCTCTTTATGACCCCAGCAGCGCCCTCCTCAGTACTACTTCAACTAGGACTATCCCCTCGCTGATATTTCCTCATCCCACGCTCTCCGGCAATAGGATCAACCTTCGCCTGGTACGGCTCCGCCAACTTAAACCCATCATCCGTTCTCGACCGCACCGCAGACTTCGGCCGTGAACTCCCGTAGCCCGATAGGAACCAGTTCGAGGCACTAGCCGTGCTGTATCGCGAGGTTTCTTCCTGGCGGGAGGTCCCCAGTAAGCGGGGGAGGTATTTAGTAGCGATAGCTTTCGTGGCGGGTGCGCAAGCGGACATGACGGCAACGTGGACTTCAACGGCGGAGCCGCGGAAGCCGATGTCGTATGTAGGATCCTTTAGTAGGAAGGCAGAAAAGAAGCCTTTGGAGAGGATGACGAGATGCCAGATGAGACGCCAGATGCCGACGAAGGTTGCTCTAAGCTTAGTTAGTGATATGGTCGACGACATAAAGAGTGTATGTTGCGCGCGCGCGCGCGAGAGAGAGAGGTGTAATAGTTCGAAGGGAATGGGGGATACGTACACACCACCCACGCAGAGGATAATGCACTCAGCTATCTTACGGCGAATCGGCATATATAGCGACCATCGTAAGGTTTGTAAGGCCTGTTGCGGGATCTGTGATGTCTAGAGTCTTGACTACTTACAGTACCACATGGCAACACTCTGGCCGATAGCGAGGATTTAGCAAGTCAGTATTTGGTATGTAGTCCAGCTCTCAGCGTAAGGCATACATATCTTAGGACAATTAAGTAGTCATCTATCCAGTTTAGTAAGGAGCAAGTTGACTAGGTTCAGGCTACAAACGTACCACTTTGTAGTGAACTTCTCGACAGGTACCGACCCCAGAATCGCTGAAAAGTCGGAGTTCCCACAAGCACGGAGAATGCTATAATGATTCCCAGCGTGGTCTCCTGATTGCTATCATCAACCATCGTATATCCCTCCCACCCTATGTAGTGAAAGTGTTTGCGCTATCCCGGCGCCGTTCTCATGGCAGTAATATAAACCAGCGGCTATTTCCACGCCCCAGGTGTACATGCAAGCTCAAATCTAGTAACACTCTGTCAAGTTATGGCTGGACCGTGGCCCAAGGTTTGATCAGGTCCCAGACTTCACGTAGTATGCGGGGCCCACCAAAACGGCAGAGAATATGATACAAGCCAGGACCTCAGTACATCAGAGTCGGGACCTGAGGAAACCATTTGTGCTGTTCTACAAACTGATTGGAAGCCCTATATTTGGGAAACCATGTTTGGCTTGTGACTGGTTTTGTGAAGTTCGGAGTATTAACTCTACAGGGTAAGGAGACTACACATCAACCGGTAGTCACCCATTGAACAACATATCAGATTGCCCTTAGTGTACAAATGGAATTATCCCAGGCACTGATCTCGCTTAGACTGTCAGAACGGTGAGAAGTCCTAATTCTTCTAGTACAGTTTACTACACTTTATCATTATTAATTTTGTTCACTGATTGCATAGTCTAGGCAGCATTCTTGCCCCTCGTGAGTAAATGATATGAGCACGGCTATTATGACAGCTCCAGGGAGAAGTGGAAGAGAAAGGTAACCGGAAACGCCGAATTTTACGAATTGCCCGTGGATTCCTCGATATCGTGGCCAAAGAAATGTCCAGCTCCACTGACGATCAGTGAAAGTCGGGCCGACAAAGGCATAGTGAAGAGGGTGGATGATCAATGGGGGCACAGAAAGGGATTGACACGAGGATCAACAGTCCTCCGTGGACCATGATCATAGAAGCAATTTCGAATGTATGTCTGCATTATTTTTGAACGCCATGATAAGGTGAGCCACTATAGTGGTACTAATTACTAACTGCAGAGTTGCTATGTGCTATCCATGCATGCAGATGACATAGTCGAGCTAATATCATTCTTCAGTCGGTACTGATTTGATCCTTCACGGGGCATTCCTGCCAATTAATCTCCGAGAAACTGGTTGTCAAAACCATTGTTAGAGACTTGATCGGTCTTTCATCCTTCTACCTTCCACTGCCTTTCTACCTCGGCTTTCTGCTCAGAGACACCAATCGAACCATACAGCAATTCTAGCAGCTTTAGTGATGCTATTCTCATAGTCCAGACGCGCTCGTATATTATGGCTTCTCGGTAGTTTCCTTGAAATAAATTAATGACACTCTCCAGTCTCAGCAGCCAAGATTGTAGTGTCCTGTATTTCCGATTCTTCCTGTTCTCGATGGAATTTACCAATATTCTTTCAAGCTCCAATGCCATCCGCTCATCAACTTTACAGGATTTCTCATCTTGTGAGCTATTATTCAGCCAGGCTATAATCATATCCCCGACTTAAAAGATGTCTAATCTGTTTGACTGAACTGTTTCACCTCCTGCGAACCCTACGCGTCTGACCCATGGTACCCTAAGTCTTTGCACCAAGTGGAGACGGGGTCGGCCATGGTTCCCGCAAGGTCCCAGTCACATCCAAGATTGCATGATGTTTTCCCTGGCAACGGCGTGGATCATCTCCACTGTATGTGAGGACTTTTACTGGTAGAAAGGCCCGGCAAGAGTCTCGCTGGTGTCTACCCTTGTCGGTGATCCCGTCCATGGAGGCTTTAGTTCAATTTGTAACCATAGTTTCTTACTCAAATCAGCGAGTTGGGGTATCGGTTATCTGGCCGTCATCTTCTCGTGTAATGAAGTGTCCATATGGGAGCCTAATGAACAAACTAAACATAACATTTACAAGAGCTGTTGGCTGGCCCCCTGACCTGTGACAGTTGGACTGACTCGCTTGTCAGCACGGTCCTCATTATCGCCCACTATTCGGCCGGCGTGCTCAGTAGACCGCTGTAGTCCAGAGGCCAATGATTTATGCATCATTACAACGGTATAACATCCCATAGATCTCTCGCTGGTACTGAGAATCTGTCTTCAATTCCTTATATCCAGCCTGCCTACCATTTAGCTGTGTGCGGGGGTCATTAAAATGGCTGCTACGTTGTCCTCCGCAAGCCTTCTATATGCGACCCTTGCGCTGTTGACTCCTCAGCAGGCAGCGCCATCCTATTCTGCACTGTCGCCGCAGCTGTGACTGCTGTTCCTTGTCCAAGACCGCCGCACGTGCTCCTTTAGTCCATAGCGAGACGCTTCAGCTGACGGGCAATGTGCTTAACAAACTCAATCTCCCGGAATACAACCTCATCTAGTTTGAGCCTGTCGGAAAACATTTCCTGTAAGGTGACCCCCGATGATGCTGCCTGGCCGTCCACCTCCACCTGGTCACTATTCGACCGCCTTTTCGGCAACGCTCTGATTAAGCACCGTTTCTCTGGCGGCATATTGTTATTCGTCATGGCCCGAATACGACAGTACGAAATGCAAGGTCGTCTCTGATAATTGGACTGTCTCATACATCCAGGACGTACCTAACTGGACTATAGATTCGTCTTCTTTTACTGACCAACTTGCAGTGTTGCTGACCCAACTTCAATCATGTGGCCGCTGTATGAAGGCAGGACATGTCTCAACTGGTGACTCCTCTGCCACCTGCACGGTGGGTGGACACAGTCGAACTGCCGTCAATGTGAGCTCGGTCGCCCAGATTCAGTTGGCCGTCAACTTCTCCCGTAACACAGGTATCCGTCTGGTCGTCAAAAACACTGGTTATATCTTCAATGGCAAATCTACCGGTGCCGGAGCTCTCGGCATCTGGACCCGTAACCTCCAAAGATATTCAATATTATGAGGATTATCAGGTTCATGGATACCGTGGCCCTGCAGTGAAGATGGGCGTGGGCGTCCAGGCCTCTGAGATATACGCGATGGCCAAGGAGCTGGGCTTCACTGCGGTCGGTTGTGAAAGCAAGTCTGTCAGTGTCGCGGGTGGTTTCGTCCTAGGCGGTGGTCCCTCGCCCATGTCGAGTATCTACGGAATGGCTGCAGACCAAGTGCTCGCTCTTGAAGTTGTTCTGGGAAATGGATGCTTTGTGACCGTAACGGCGGAGACGAATCTGGATCTCTTTTGGGCTCTCCGCGGTGGTGGTGGCAGTACGTGACGATTCCCAATGATTCATTGCCTTTTAAGCAACTTACTAAGACCTGTTCAGATACCTACGGCATTGTTACCTCGATCATTTCCCGCATTCACCCCAAGGTCGGTGTGACAACTTCAACCTTCAACTTCGCCATCAGCGGCAATGTCACTGAGGACACCTTTTGGGCCGGGGTCCGCGCCTACGTGGATCGATTCGCAGTCAACGCCGACGCCGGCACCTACGCCCACTTCTGGGACAAACTCGTTCTCGTTCCTCATGAACCCGTAATTCGCGGTCAACCACACTGTTGCTGAGTTCAATGCCCTGATGCACCCATGGTTCGATGAGCTCGACCATCTTGGCATCCCATATACTCCCGACACGAAATATCGTGGTAACTCCTACGACGCCTGGGACGTCGTCTTCCCTCTGGAGGCCGTCGCCTCCACGACCATGGTGGCTGGCTCACGTCTGTTCCTGCGTGCTAACTAGGAGGACGCCAGCCTCCTGAACAAGACCTTCGACGCGCTCAAGATCACTGTCACGGCCGGATACACGCTCACTGCGTTCAGCTCGAAGGCTGAGCTGGCAGACGGCTACCCGGAGAGCTTTGCTAACCCGGCCTTCCGCAAGACGCACCTCCACGCCATTACCTCCACCAGCTGGATTGCCAACTACATGAATACCCAGATCCACGGTCGGATGGAGCATTTTGCCAACGGTGTCTTCAATGTCTAGCGCAAGACCTATCCTGAAGCGGGAGCTTACATGTTGAAGGCAAACACTCTGGAGCCGAACTTCCAGCTGTCGTTCCACGGCTCGAACTATGAGCGGCTGTACAAAATCAAGCAAAAGTACGGCCCCTCAGGACTGCCCTATGCACCACCGGAGTTGGTAGTGCGGACTGGACGGTGAAGAGTCAAGTCGGTCTTCCGGATCTGAACGGACGCTTGTGTCGTGTCTGAACAGCATCATACATGCTATGCAAGTATTATAGACTTTAGAACGTTCATTTTATGCCATGTCCTCTAAGCAATGATGCCTCTTAAATCCTAATACGGAATACGTGTATATATTTGATTCGAGGGCAAAAAAGCAGTTCAAAAATAGACCTTCGGTTCCGACCTCGCCAGCCTCTCCGCTCTACTCATCTTCCCACTATCTAGGTCTAAATTCGCATCGGTTTTCGCGTCGCCCGTTACATTCTCAGCCAACACGTCTCTCCCATCCCCTCCCTCCCTCTCGAAACCACTAGGACCGCCGCCATCATTCTCAATATCATTTCCCCAAACTCCCCTCTTGACCCCCCACCACCTTTCCAACTCCCCCGGCCCCCTCAACGGCAACGCATCCCACTCTGCCATACTCTCCACCCGACTCCCCCTCGACGAAGCTACCACATCAACGGAAACAGCAGCGGCAGTCTCATACGTAGGGCTTTGCCTCGGCAGTTGTGTATGATTCCCAGCCCGTAATTGGGCATACACGGTGAACAGCGCAGCCTCTGTTGCAGCAAGACGATGTTCAAGATGGGTGATGTATCCTTGTGGAAGACCACTATCGTTCATAAGTATATAATCTATAATAACAATTGACTGTATGAAGGACAGCTATACGAACCGTTTCCCGCTCTCTGGGTATATACATTTGCTTTGTGTGGATGGAGTCGTGGCACATTGCGTGCAGATTGGACTGGTTATTTGTTAAAATTATCTTCAAAATGTAGTAGATATTCGAGCATACAGCAGTCGGTCACACTGAACATCATGTCAATATAAACTTTGTTCTAATATTCTAAGGAGTATCAAGTTGACTTGATGTACTGACTTTGCATTTCTTCTGTCGACATGGTTCGCAGGATATGGGGTTTTGGGAGTGGTAGGTGGTTAAGATGTTTGTGGACATTTTCTTGGGCTGTTATTTTACTACTATATGGGCTAGGTTGGGTATTAAGTAGTACTTTATAAAAGTTGGATGGAAGCTGAATAAATGTATGTTGCAGGAAAAATGCCCGGTCGCGTGTGATTGGTCGGGGAGGTTCCGTCTCAGGTGATTTAAGCCTGAGGCATCACATCCACAGCTTACGGTCGGGTGTTCTACCTCCTGAAGTTGATCGCAGTGTTTATTTACTACGTATAATAGTTGGAAGTTCAGTTATTGTGAACTTGTCTTCAAATTAGAGGTTCTATATTTTAATTTTTTCTTCTGTTGTTCTTCGAGTTGGGAGTGGTATATGGTCTACGTGCTCATGTATCAAGCAAAAATATATATCCGAACGAATTGGATTCTGTAAATCACTTTCACGCCTCCAACATGATCGTCATGGCTCTCAAATCCAAGCTCAGCAGAGCCTCTGGATAACGTGCGAGTGATATACCCACGCATATACTCCATGAGGACATGCACCCAAATGGAAATGCTGTACGCCAAGCTGTGATTGCCATTCTGTACTTGGCATGATGTTCTCCACCCCCACACGGATCCCCAACTCTATCAAGCTCTTCCGATTGCTATCACTTCCCAATCCAATAAGAATCCCATTCCCGAATCATGGACTCTCCACACCATGATTATACCGCTTCTCCCACTAAGAGGCGCAAACCAAATCCGTCGCGAGAGATCGGCGTCATGAGGAAACCCTCTGTCGAGAATGGCTCCGCCACATTCCTAGGCAGCTCAAGCGGCATCCATTTCACCCGCATAGTCTACAACGCTTTTGCCCGTCGTTCGGCACACTTGAGCCAGTCGCAAAAAGCGCAAGAGAATCTAGTTCCCGGCGAAGATGACCAATTGCTCCAGAGCCCAGGCTATGAGGCGCAGGCTGTTAGGAATGAGCTGTGGGCACCGCATGAGCTGGATCACCGATCTCGGATGGGGTCGTTTGAACAGCTGGCTCAATGGACGCGAAGCTACTTTGAGTGCTGGCATCCGATATTTCCGTTCCTTTCTGGTCCGGGATTCCTGGAGCTGTTGGAACGGATTAGCCGGGGCGGGTTGGACGGCGTCAAGACTACGGATGCCATTCTCATTCGATCCATTGTGTCAATTTCTCTCTTGGATGGTCGTCAAGCGAATTCTGCGAGGAGAATTCCTGTGCCCGCAAAGCTGGTCTTTCGCACAGTAGGTCAGGCAATGGAAAGTTTGCATACGCTCTTCTGTGACCCGCCCACGATAAATATCCTACAGGCGGCTTTCAGCGTCGCATTGTTCCTCGCGTCGCTGCTGCGACTGAATGCTGCATCGCGAATTGGGGGAGTTATCACCCGCACCGCGTTCCACCTTGGACTACATCGATGCCCGTCGCGGTTCCCCTGCTTCAGTCCAGAAGAAGCTGCACTTCGACAGCGGCTGTTCTGGTCGATCTACTGCCTAGAAAGGTATCTATCTCAATCCCTGGGTATCCCACTCAGTATCCGAGACGACGACATCGACGTGTGCTACCCAGGGATAGAAAGACACGGTCAAGGGACACACGGTAAGTAAGCACTTCCCCTAATTTATGGCGCGTCATGTCTAACTCCGCAGATCCAAACCTCCGCTTGCTCACTCATCTCGCCAAATTTGCCCGCGTCAGGGGTCTCGTCGTCGAACTCCGCAATAAATCCATCCTACATAGCCAAGAAACCTCGAACAGCGCAACCCAAGTAAACGGGGAGCTCGCCCACTGGTGGAACGAAGTCTACGACGATGTTTACCCAGTGGAAGAGGGACCCGGGGTATCGCCCCTTCATCGTCTGCTACTGACTGTCTTCCGTCATGAATCTATCATCTCCATGAACAGACCACTTCTGGCGGCTGAGCAATCATCGCCGGAGTATAAAACCGCGCTACAGATATGTATCGAGTCATCCAGGTCGCTGATTACTGCTCTCAGAGGTTACGTGCTGCCCAACGGTCAGGGAACGGTGCCGCTGGTGTGGCCATCATTCACATGGGCCGTCTGGATGAGCTGTTTGATCCTGGTATACGCAGCATGGGAAGGGGGATTTCCCGCGTTATCCGCCTCACGGTAAGGATCAATATGATGCCATCATAGTAATGTACGGGTCTAATTGCAAGGAACAGATACGCTAAAACAGGCCTCTCTATCCTCCAAAACCTATCCTTGAGAGGAAGCACCTGGCCCCAGACTTGCATCGAGGCCATTCGTGATCTAGAATCTGCATTATCCAACCCACTCCCAACACCTCCAACCCCAGACCGACCAACCAGTCCAGGTCCTGTAGACGACAAAGCCCCGGACTACCCCACTAACATCCCCGAAGACCCCAGACCAGCTCCACAGTACAATTCTTCAGTAGTCTTTGGAGACTCGTCGATCAAAAATTTCCCCTTGACTTACCCCTTCCTGGATACCGGAGATTTCGAGTCCGGGTGGAACGACCTCTGGACGGTGGCGGATGGGCCCTGGTTAATTGAGAACTTCGACCAAAGCCCTGGATTTCACATTTAGCCACGTCATAACTTGTACGCGACAGGGACGCAAAGTTTTGATTGAAACCAATACCGAAAGTCATTCCTCCCCCCCGACTTTCCCCATTTACTCCGGAGTACTTCGTATGAGGGGAGAAAAGAAAACTCCGGATAAATGGCAAAATAGACGAGGCGTGAGTGGTGAGGCGGACATGTTCACCTCCGGACTCAGTATACCGGACATGACAAGTCCGGCGGGGTTCCTCAAGTCCGTGTCGCGCAGAAAGATTTTCGCAAACATAAATATAAATTGAAAGCATACCGAAGAATCCCAGAAATCCAGACAAATTTACCCGGTTATTTTCTGTCAGAAAACGTTGCACAATGAAGACCTACAACATCGCTTCGATCCCCGCGGACGGCATCGGGCCCGAGGTTATCTCGGCCGGAGTTACTGTTCTCAACGCCTTGGCTGAGAAGCTTAGCACGTTCAAGCTTGACTTCACCCACTATGACTGGAGCTCGGACACCTACAAGGCTACCGGCAAATATATTCCCGACGGAGGACTGGAAGACTTGAAGCGTCACGACGCCATTTTGTTTGGAGCTGTAGGAGCACCTGGTGAGTACTTAAAAAATAAATGAAAATAGAAGGACGAAGAAAAATAAACATGAAAATTAAAAAACAGCCCCCATGTGGATCATTAAAGCCCGCATATGCAATACCACCTTAGTATGATACGAGAATTATTAATGTTAATATCGAGCAGATGTTCCCGATCACATCTCCCTCTGGGGTCTCCGACTTTCCATTTGCCAACCGCTACAGCAATATGCGAATGTGCGACCAACGCGTATCCTCCGGGGTACACAATCTCCGCTTCGGGATTGTCCCCTCGGAAAGCTAGACTGGGTGATTATTCGTGAGAACAGTGAGGGCGAGTATGCCGGACAGGGTGGTCGTTCCCACCGCGGGTGCCCCTGGGAAGTAGCTACGGAGACGGCGATTTTTAGCCGGCACGGAGTTGAACGAATCATGCGATTCGCCTTTGAGACAGCGGCCAAGCGGCCACGGAAGTTACTGACGGTAGTCACTAAGAGCAATGCCCAGCGCAACGGTATGGTCCTTTGGGATGAAGTTGCGACCGAAGTGGGGAAGGAATTTCCAGAAGTGCAGGTGGACAAGATGTTGGTCGACGCGATGACTACAAGGATGGTGTTGAAGCCAGAGACAGTGGATACGATTGTTGCCAGCAATTTGGTACGTGTGACCTTCCCCCCCCCCCCCCTTCTCCGGTTCTGATTCCGTGTTATCAAATCCTTTCGCCTCTCTTGCCTTACCCAGCTTTTTTTTTTTTTTTTTTCTCTTCGGTTTGGGAGGGGTTGTGTGCTTTTTAAAGGTTATCGGGCTGCTTGGCTTTTGGGGCCGGATTGATGTTACCTTATTGAATTATGCTTTTACGGGTTTGTGTGGGATGAGCTGATTTGCTGATCAATCGGGATACCAGCACGCGGACATTCTCTCCGACCTCGCTGCAGCTCTGGCCGGTTCGATAGGCATCGCACCGACTTCGAATCTCGACCCCACCCGACAGCATCCTAGCATGTTTGAGCCGATTCACGGGTCAGCATTTGATATTACCGGGAAAGGTGTTTCTAACCCCGTTGCCACCTTCTGGACCGCCGCCGAGATGTTAGCGTGGTTGGGAGAGGAGACGGCGGCTCAGCAGTTAATGAACTGTGTGGAGAATGTGTGTGAGAAAGGAATACTGACCGCAGATTTGGGAGGTAAAGCCACGACGAAGGAGGTCACAGAGGCCGTGGTGGGGGAGATCCAGCGACTGTAAAATATCCTTTTTTATGAACTCCATCGGTACCTCAGTTGAGACAAAACTAAGCAATTTGACTTTTCTACCCTTTGTACTAAAAGATAATGTAACATTTTTCCTTCGGAAGATTTCCACCGGGGATAAAATGTCCGGGACAAGAAAAAAGGACAAGAAAACGTGGAGGCTTGTAGATCTTATTTTCTGGGGGAGAAGCTTCTTTCCGAGATATTCTCGTCGGCATTGTTTTGCTGCAAACACGGCCAATCCTTCTCCAGATTCTGTACTCCGTACTACGCGGCATTTCTGAACACTAGCTTTATCCGAAGAAAAGCTCTAGTTCCTGTGCGGCGAATGGCCGTCTTGGTGATTAGATTTTTTTGGACAATTTCTCGGTCACGGTCCGAAAAGTGGATCACATATGACGCTCAACTGATATGGAACCCTACTTTCTTTCCCACACGGCTAACTTCCAACTAAAAAGGAGTCCACTTGAGTCGTACTTCTCTTTTGGTGAGAGTATAATAAATCTTTACTAAGATGCGGGGTCTCCACGCAGATTCTGTTCGGGGTCACTTCGTGGCAGACGTTAGGGTATAAAGGATTAGCAGCAGCCCTTCCACACAATCCCAGGGAAACACTGGAAACCTTTGGCCACCCTGTCTCTCACCACCCGATTAGTTTCCAACATGGGGTTCCAAGGAAGATCTCTCCGCCTGGCTCAGGTGTTTCTCATCGTCGTTCCCGCCTTCATCCTCTTTGGTTACAATCAAGCCGGTGTTGGTCCGCTGGCCACCCTGCAAAGCTGGGTTCATGTTTTCCCCCAAATTGATACTATCAACACTTCCGGTGCCGTCAAATCTGAGAATTCGACCAGTAAAGGTGCGGTAGTAGCATCCTTCCAGATCGGTGCTTTGATCGGTGCCCTATCTTGCTCGTTCCTGGGTGACTGGATGGGCCGCCGGAAGACCGTCTTCCTGGGTGCTATCGTCTCTACCATCGGTCAGGTACTCCAGACAGCCGCGTACAACATCATCCAGTTCACCATTGGCCGAGTCATTCTCGGTATCGGTATTGGTTTGTTCAGTGCAGCCGTGCCCGTATGGCAGTCCGAATGCACATCTGCCAAACACCGTGGCCAGCACGTTATCGTCGACGGTATCTGTATCTGTTTGGGTTACACCCTCTGCAACTGGATCGACTTCGGTCTCAGTAAAGTGTCCGGTGACCTGCAATGGCGTCTCCCCCTCGCCATCTCCTTCTTCTTCGAGCTGGTCATCATCTTCGGTGTCTTCTTCCTCCCCGAATCCCCCCGCTGGCTCGTCCGCGTCAACCGCATCGAAGAAGCCACCACCAGTCTCGCCCTCTACAAGGGTATCCCCGAAGATGACGAGCAGGTCCGCATGGAGATCGCCGGCATCGAGTCCTCGCTCGAGGTCACCGCCAACTCCGGTGGCTCGCTGAAGGAAATGTTCAGCAAGAACGACCAAGACCGTCTGCTGTACCGGTTCTGCCTCTGCATGGCCCTGCAATTCTTTCAGCAAATGTGCGGCGGTAACCTCATCTCCGTCTACGCCTCCACCATCTTCGAGGAGAACCTGAACATGGACTCCGACCTCGCGCGCATCCTCTCCTCCTGTGCCATGACCTGGAAGTTCCTGTGCAGCTTCATCGCCTTCTTCGCCATCGACCGCCTCGGCCGTCGCGCCATCTTCATGATCAGCGGCGCCGGCATGAGCATGTGCATGATCGTCCTCGCCATCACCAACAGCTTCGGCAAGAACCACTCCGCCTCCATCGTCTCCGCCCTCTTCATCTTCCTCTTCAACTCCTTCTACCCCTTCGGCTTCCTGGGCGGCAACTTCCTCTACTGTACCGAGGTGGCTCCCGTGCGTCTCCGTGTCGCCATGGCCTCCATCTCCACCGCCAACCACTGGCTCTGGAACTTCGTCGTCGTCATGATCACGCCGGTGGCCCTGGACACCATCGGCTATCAGTACTACATAATGTACGCCGTCATCTCCGCCTGCATCCCCATCGTCGTCTACCTCTTCTACCCGGAGACCATGAACCGCAACCTCGAAGCCATCAACAACGTCTTCCGCGACGCGCCCTCTACCTGGCAAATCGTCTCGATGGCCCGCCACCTGCCGCAGGGCGAAGCAGCCGAGATCGACGCCTACACTCGCGCCGCCGAGAAGGCAGAAATCGAACAGCGGGAAAACGTCTGATTTTTAGAAATATTTTTTTCACGACATGCACATAATGATTAATTGTTTCGTTGGTCTATATAGAATATCTAGAGTACAGTACATATATATACATACGTAAGAAAATGCAAACGAAGATGCGAAGAAAAAAAAATGAAAAAAAGAAATCTTGCAAATCTATCTCCCAAGACCAAAACAGTTCAAGTTCCAAGTCCAGATGAGATTAGTAAAACTAGTCTTGACATTGACATTCTATATCCATCGATACCTTCCCTTTCTTCCCCCTCTTCTTCCTCAACAACTCCCCCCGTCGCCCTCGCCGAATCATACCCCGCCCCCTTCCTCTCCGCATATCAGACAGCTCAATGCCCCCTTCACCACCCAGCCCAATCCTCTCAAGAATCTCAACCAGAGCCAAGGTAACAGGGATAATCAGCAACAAACACACGACGAAGATCTCGTGCGCGTATCTCCGGAGAAAGTTCGTGGGGATCTGTGTCGTGCGGAGAACGCGGAGGTACCGTTTTGTTATAAGTGTTGTTGAGTGTAGATTTGATGTGGTTGGTTCTAGTTTATCGGTGTTAAGGAAGGTTCCGTGGGGGTCATTGGTTCTGGTATTGGTATTTAGATTGTAGTTAGATACTAGTACGGAGGTTTGGGGTCGTTGCGGTTGGATTGAATTTGGTGGTTCATTGGCGATTGTGAGGAGATGTTGGGAATTGGGTTTTTCCATGGGGGTGTCTGTGGGATTAGCATCCTTGCGATTGTCGTGCTTTTGTATTCTTTGCCACTGGGCTGCGTTGAATCCCCAGGTTTGGAGTTTGGTGTGTTGGCTATCGTTTGCGGTCTCCTTATCTGATATAGGGCGTGGGAGAGCCGAACACGCTGTGAGGAGGAGAAAGAATAGAGTCCATTTCATGGTGGGATTGAGATTGCGGTGTCATGGTTTAACTACGGAGTATTTCTTTCTTTTTTTTTTTTTCTTCTTTTCTTCTTTTCTTTTGAGATACGAGGATATTTGCTTGTTCTTATAGCGAGTAGTTGCTTGATGGTTGCGGCCGGTAGAGTAGGGCATCCTGATCCCGTGCTGGGAGGCGCGTTCGGATTGGTTGGTTTTATTTAGTAGTCGCCCGGATTGGGAAGGTTATTTATTTAACCCTGAAAATTAACAAAATTGCTGCTTGGCTATGTTTATAGTTGGTTTAGTTATTTTGGCTAGGATGAAGGATATATTGATGTTCGTAGAAAGATGGCGATAGGTATTTTTTTAAACTATCATCCTCCGTTAAAATAGAATGAATGATATCACCTACACTCACAAGATAAATACTAGCAGTCTACCCAAGGGCATACTTACATACGCACTCAGTGAGGTCTACGTAAGAATATTAACTCCTCTCCTTCACACCCTCCTGCATGGCCTCAAGATGCTCCCACTTCAACGAGTCCTCGCCCAGACTCCAGGCCATGACACCACCAACCTTCTCCGCGTCCACGATATCCTTGAATTTCCGCTTGATCAGCGGCGCCGTATCCCAAGTCCAGAACAAGTTCACCTCCTTATCGAAGTAGTACTGGCCGCCGGCATCCTCGTCCGTGACACCGTCCTTCTCCGCCCGACGCCAGGAGTCAATCAACGAGATGCCCTTGCAAGTCCCGTAGTCAGACTGGCACCCAGCCTGGCAGTGAGCATCCGTGGTTCCGCTGTCCACCCGTCAATGAACGTAGAAGTAGATAAGGAAAGAAGGGGGGGAAAGAAAACATACCAAGTCCCATACTGGCTACAACACTGCCCACTCCCGCACTTCCCCTTGCCAAACCCACAGCTCCCATCCGTACTCTCCTTCGAATCCTTGGGCGGCTCCCCCATCGTCGCCTTCTCAAACGTCAAAGCCCCCGACTTCCCCGTATCCTTCCCCTTTGCATCCTCTAGCTCTGCAACCTCACACCCCAAGGGATGCGTGTCACACCCGGCATTCTCCTTCGTCGTAAACCACTTCGCATAATACGCCATCCCCAGATTCATCTTCTTCGTGTCGAGCCCCACCTCCTCATACGCCTTGATCGTATCCAACGACGCCTTCACATCACTATGGTGCGTCGTGACGTTATTCCGCCGATTCATCAGATCATATGTCATGACATTGACCATATCGACAGACTCCCAGATCTTGGGCCCCTGCTCCTTCGTAAACGCAATCATATCCCCCCGTTTCCCGGGCACAGCGACCGAAAGAATCTTGTCCTTCCCCAGCGCCTTGCGGATCGCCGCCAGAAATAGCGGATACGACTCGATCTCCCCCTTCTTCTTCTCATTCGGGATATCCTTATAATCCTCGCCATTCCCGGCCGGATACTCCCAATCAATATCTAACAACACCCAACCATCAGCACACACAAAACCCACCCCCCCCCCCCCCCCGCCAATTCCTATTTCAACATTTAAAGAAAAAGAAAAGAAAAAGAAAGAAGGAACAACATACCAACCCCATCCAAGCCAAACTCATCCACAAAAGCCCTCACATTCTTCGCATACCTCGTACGCGACGCCTCATCCTTCGCCCCCTCCGAGAACCCCGAGGTATCACCCCAGCCACCAATTGCAACGGTCACCTTGGCATCCTTTCCGAAGCGGTTGCGGAAGGTGTCGACGGGTTCAAAGGGGGTCCATTTCTGGGGCGGGTCGCTGGTGAACAGGGTTGATTTGGCGAAGGCCATTACGGCGTGGGTTATTCCGTTTGTTTGAGTGCCTGTTGGGAGGTTTTGGGTGTGGTATCTTTTCATTTTTTTTATTTTTTTATTTTTAGTGTTATTTTATTATTATTGGGGTCGGTTATTGTTGTTGGTGGTGGTGTACTTACTCGTCGACGTACATGACGAAGCGGAGGGAGGTTGCTGTTTGAGCTGCGGCGAGGAGGCCCAGGGCCAGGGGTTTCAATTTGAATTTCATGGTGAGTGTATTAGTATTGTTGGATTGGAGTTGGGAGGAGGAAAAGAAAGACAGAGAGAAAGAGGGGAGGGATGATCACCCGCAAGGCTGAATATATAAGATTTCTGTACACGACACGACACGACAGGTCACTTGGGCGCTACGGTCATCTGCAGGGGAAGGATATTACCACCTCCACTACGCCCAGGGTCACACGGGGCGCTCTTTTTATCATGCGAGTGCTCCGGATCAACAAAAGGAGTAATCTCATGGTCTACGTAGTGAGAATGCGGGAGATCAGTCTATGAGGTCAAGGAGGTATGTGGAGAGTGAGACACTAGTGATCCTGGGCAAGATCCTCCGTCTACCGAATGGTCGATTGGTTAGTCCCTGTCCGATGCTGGTTTTGATTGAGATGAATGACTGTTGGGGCTGGGGTTGGGTTTAAAATAGACCTCGAGGCATGCCGTGCTACATTCCTGTCGCATTCCTCTCTCCAGCCGAGTAGTATCGCTATGGGTATTTGTTCGTTCAGAATATCAGTAGAGAAAATTAAGTTGAAAACATGTTTCAGCAAGGAAATCTTCAAAGGAAGTCGAGGAAGCCTATGCTTCCAGCTCGCTAGTATTACGCTCTATCGTAGTGCCGGAACTTATAAAGAGCGGTTTCAAAAGACTGAAACCAAATGATTATTAATATGCTTCATAGGGGTATCTCATATCCCAGACCAGCCAATGTCCGGCCGGGCTCAACGTTCGAACCTCATTTCATCTCGCGGAAAAGACACCTAATCCCAATGTCGTCGGATGACAGGCCGTGCCGGATCCCACGGTCCCGTCACCACGTTCTTGTACTTCTGAAGACTGATGAGCCACCAGCTACATCCACCCATCGCCAAGGCAGCCAGGATGCTGCCCAGCACAGAACCGACGATAGCGGCCGTCAATCCGCCCCTTAATGTGATCCCAACCGCGCCACCAGCGGCGATCACCAGCACTAGTGTCAGGAACACATGACCCGTCCAGGAAATATGGCGCAGCTGCCGCCGAAAGATGGGGAACAGCCCAAACACTTCGATGGAGAACAGCATCAAACTGAACACATGTGTCGTGGACGGCAGCCGGGACGCGAGCACGGTCGAAGCCATCACGGCCGCGTTGGTTGACAAAGAAGCCGGGAACTTCGTCGCGCCGGCGCCCCCTCCACTTCCGTAGTCAAAAGAGAAGATGTTGGTGATCAACAGCCAGCAACTCATCGCCCAGATCGAGTCTTTGGCTGTTGATTTGGTAAGCGATTTGAGGATCGGACTGAGTCCAAGTAGTGCGCAGTAGATCAGAAAAGCCGATTTGACGGTAGATAGCCGCTGGCGATTACGCGAAGACAGTCGCGAAATCATCGGCGCATCGTGGGGGGGCAGGGGCAGGACGCTGCCGGCAGCAGCGCCGTTCGAAGTTCCGAAGGATGCCGCGTCCTGCGTGCAGGAATCGCCAAGGCCCGAGTTACTGCTCCTTCGACCCGGTTCTGTCTCACCATGAGACATCGTCAACCCAAGTCCATGGACCTTGTTTTCCTTCTGGCCGCTCAGCCGGGTGGTGGATGGGTTCACTGAGCTTGTCGTCGAGCTGGAACTGGAACCGCCGTCCCCTTCGGGTGCGCGCTCCGCGTGGCTCACCCCGTGCTCTCTGAACACCCACGAATCCCAGAGTATCCAGCCCATCGCCGTACCAACGCTACCCCAACACACGATCGAGACGGGACTCACTCGCTCCTTGAAGATGCCTATAAAGCAGCAGACAAAGATAGCCACCGAGCATACATGTTGAACGATGACCGTAGAATCGGCCACTAAAGGCCAGAAATCGTAGGGACGCACGCGCGGATTGCGTTGGAGATGATCAAGGAACGTCTCGGTATCGGTGTAGTTGTCAGGATCTGTCCAGTATTGTCAATAACCATTTTGACCTAAACCAATTCCGGTGCATACATGACTGTTTCACCCAGAGGAGCTTTTTCCACGCGCCCTTTCGTCTTCTGCGGCGACTGGTTCCTCGCAATTTTCGGCCATGGACCGCGTGCGGCGGTCGCAATGCGGCAACCGACGCAGCCGTGCCAGCGCTCCCATTCAATCCTCGAAGTGTTTCATCGTAACTCGCGGGCGCAGTTCGCGTTCTCACCAACGCAGGCGAATAGTACGCATCCTCAGGGGCAAGCCTGGTCGGATCAGGGAGTGTTCGGTGCTGTCCAGGAGGCTTGATCCCGACAGCTCGATAGGGATGGGTCTCAACGGGGACAGGTGGAGGAACTGGAGGGGGCGATTCGGACAGAGAAGGCATCGAGCAGTGCAGGACTCATGCTTGACGCATGGCGACGATGGATTGAGTGATTGATTATCTGCTTTGGGTTGATTTCCGATTGCGTCGCTTCGCCCACGTGGTCATTAGTCATCGCTTGCAATTTCTCGAAGTATAAAAAAAAGGGTAAAGAAAAACCTCAGTTATTACAACACATCCTAGGTATATCTGTGTTCAATGTCCCCATAAAATCGCTAGTCATGACTACATAGCAATGTTACGACAATCGCTTTTAACACCAGAAAATAAAACGCCACGCTAACAAACAATATTCAGCTCACTGAAGGCCTAGCACATGCCCGACTTCAACAGTTAAGACTCCGCTAGTGTCCTTCAAGCTCTTGACCTGCTCCACCAGTAGAGTAAATTCCCCTTCACTTCCCTCAAAGATAAATTGCTGTACACGCTGGGATGCTATCTGACATGAGAGGATCTTCACTTCAGCATTGCGGTCAAAGAGTTGGAAGAAAGTCCGAGCCTTATTGAAAAACTCTTTCCCTGTTTTGCACTCTTCCAGCGGAAAGCGGCGGATTGCCCCGGACTTATATGAGACGAGCTTGAAAATCACTTTTGATTCTTTGGGAGTGGCTGCGATAGGCTCGGTCAGTCGGGGCCTTTTGGAGGCCGGCTCTTGCTCTTGTTCCTGCTGTTGCTGTTCTTCTTCTTCTTCTTCTTCTTCTTCTTCTTCTTCTTCTTCTTCTTCTTCTTCTTCTTCTTCTTCTTCTTCTTCTTCTTCTTCTTCTTCTTCCTCGTCCTCGTCCTCCTCATTCTCCTCTTCATCTGAGGATTCATCATCTTCTTCAGACTCTTCGTTTGATGAGGATGACTCAGTTTCACCTGCCTCGGGGGCTGAAAGATTGTTTGCAGCAACCGGCCCCGGTAGACTCTTCCTCTGTGGCCTCATCTCCGGTCTTTGCACCTGCGTCTGTCCCGGCAGACTTCGCCTCCTCTTCGCGCCCGTTCTCGGTGTCTGCATCTCCACCTGTGGTTGTGTATTACTTGGTTTAGATTGTACCGCCCGCCGCTTGACCAGCGTCTCGAAAGCCTCCCACGCCTCAGGCTCGTACTGCACCTCTTCGATATTCGAGCGAAACTTCCTCACCGCACAAGTCGTAGGATCCCACCCATTCTTCACCCCATGCCAACCAATTAGGTATGTGCCATACGTCGTCCCAAATGGAAAGTAACACGAAACAAGCTTCTCCGGACCATCAACAGGATGCAGTATCAAGACATTATATTGGGCAGGCTGTTTGATCGCGAAAGAGGAAAGTTCCATATGGTTACCTTGGCGGTCGAAAGTCTTCCATTCCATTGTTGTGTATCGCCACATTTTATTTTTAATGACACAGGGCGGGCGTTGGGCACCATTCTCCTTATGCCATTCCTCCAGTATATCTACGAGGTGTTGCGGTAGGGGCCGATCGGGGCCGAAGATGGGCTTGGGGCTCAGGATGAGGGATCTAGGCGGGTTTTCAGTTTCGTTAAAAGGCGATACGGTCGGCTTGCGCTCTTCTTCTGAGGTGTTCGTGCCGAGGGAGGCCCCTCGCCTTGATCGATAAATATAAGCTTTAGAGAAGCGGAGTGGAGTCGAGGCAGACAAAGGGACTGTGCGTACCGGGTTGCCATACTTCTCTCGGTTTTTATTTTTGTTATTCGTTTGGCTCGACCCAATCGCTAGCAAAACGTGAGTATGTGAAAAGTCCGTTAATTGCTGACTTGCACGACTGCTCTGGGGAGGAGGGGGAGGGGTGGAAACTCCTGACTATGCGGAGGTAGTTCTCTGTTAGGTAAACGCGTGAATGACATCCGCGTGTCAAGAGGCCCAATGAGCTAAAAGGTAAGCTTAACATGCGCCACTCCGATTGGTCACGGTACCCACTATTGAGTCTTAGTTCTGTGGAGGTTTAGTGTCAATATTTATACAGTGTAGTAGCTCGTACCTATCTAATTATCAGCCCTCTTCGCGACGTTTCACGACATTCAACAAGAGTTTTGTTAGGCAAAGGGGTAATAGAATGCTATTCTATTTCCTCGCTCCTGTTCTGGACGCGTCGATTCCACACTCAGCACCTTGGGTTGCCTCGCAAAGGTGATGTGTCTCGCGCATGTAACCGCCAACTGTGCAACTTAAACAGTTCTGACAAACACGAAGCCGCAAAAATAGATTGTGACAGATATTATTCCATGGATTGCGTACGCTTGAACGGTTTTGTTTGTAGTTTTCACATTTCGCATGTCGCGTCTGTCAAATATTTGAAAACCGAGAGGCAATACGCTGGTTAGCGACTACTTTCTCATCGACATGCCAACTGAGTCCCAAATCATATAAGACGAAAAAGTGAAAGAGAGGAATATAACCCCTCCAATTTAGATTGATCCAGACGAGGGCGGTTAACCCGGGAAACCGAAAAGGGTCAAGAGAAAGTCCGAAAAGTGTTCAGGAAATATTATACAAATGTAGGTATGCCAATGTAACATCCGACTCTGTGATGTCCCGAGATATTTGCAACGTGCGCTTGCAAATTGTATATTCTTTTGTCTAACATGCAATGGGAAAATCGATAAGAAGCGGGTATCAGAAGCCCAGAAAACGAAAGGAAGGGCGTATAAATCAAACAAAAACAGATCATGCAAGCTTCCAATGATGCTATAGGAACGATGGTTCTTGGGACTCGTCAAGTAGAGCTATTCTTGAGATCATGTGGCACGGGACCGCCGTCGAGGCTATTTCTGCGGCCCCAGTTGGCTGGCTGTCGACGGAGGAAAGCTCCGACGGCACCGATATAGCCTTCGTGACGCAGGAAGTAGGCTTGTTTTTCGCCCTTGGACCAGAATCGGATGGCGTAGGATAGCGTGTTCATGGTTTGCCGGTGGCCTCGGATGAATGATCCACCGAAATAGATATGCTTCACTTGGTGTTTCTCAGACTGTAGATAGGCGATTTGTCCGATGTTGTTACTGAGAACTATGTTAGTTTGGGTCAAATCCGGGGATAATGGGAGCCCAAGGCGTACCTGATTGCATAAAGTAGGCTCCGGCTCATGTCTTCCGGCTTGAATGTTACTTCGCCATTCGTTTGGCCCGCCCCATCGTGGGACTGGTCTTCTCCGTCCTCTTCATGAACGCCATTCTTCAATCGGAAAACCTTTCCAAATGTGCTGGCGATGGCAGTGCTCTTCAGGCCAATCTTACTATAGTCCATGCCGTAGATATCGCCGACTAGCATATCGACCCCACTGTTGTCCCCGGTATCCGCCATCGCCAGCATATCGTCGAAAGTCTGAGCGCCAGTCAGAAGCGACATGATGCCCCAGAAGGTGCCACCGCCCAGATGGGTACCTCCTACACGCTGGTATTGCCTAGGTCCCGATACTTTGATCATGGATACACCCGAACCGATGTTGACTAATAGGTACGGATACACATCCGGTCGGGCCTCGGCAAATTGCATGGGGTCCGCTTCACTATACGTGAACACTTCGTTCGGGATCTCGGTGATGAAGAAATCAAGTCCTGTTGCCCAATCGAGTCAGCGCCCTTCTGATAGACGTAAATGCACGGGTAAAATTTATCGAGACATGGCGTACCGGTAATGAGGCATTCCATCTCGTCCTCCCGAATAATATTCACTTTCAACGAGTCCTTCAGCTTGTCGTAATACTTGTAGGCACCGCCGCCCGTCGCCATGACACATAGTTCATCACTAGATGGGCCGTGCGCTTTCTGGTACTCTTCCTTCAATTGCTTGATAAATTCAATGCACAGGTCTATACGATGGGTTTCAAAGTTGATAAAGTTCAATCGGCCGCCATTATCCACGGAGTCCAGCTCTCGTGTAAAATAAATCAATTTCGCAAGGGAACCTCCGATCTATCGAGGATAAGAGCGAAAGTTAGCGGCGTTATTGCTGAGGTGGTGATGCGATCTGGGAGCTGCTGATTCGATTGCGGGGGGAGGACCAATTTATGCGGGGGAACGGCAAAAGGATGAAGAGAAAAAGGGAAAAAAAAAAAAAAAAAAAAAAAAAAAAACATTTGAAGGACAGAGGACTCACATCAACTGCAACATGGCTCACCACACCAGTGTGATGAGGCAGTCGGATATCATGGCCTTCATAATGAACGCCATCCAACCTGACGGGACTCTTGGACCGAGGATCTTCATCGACAATGAAGGCGCCCTTGACATTGATCTTCACGGTTCCGGGATTGGTGATGGCCTTTTCCAGTCGGGTAGCACGCGACGAGGGGTGATTTGTGGACGCCATGGTGTATCAATGGGTAAGAGAAATGACGAAGGGAAAGGGGGGAGGGGACGACAAGCACGAAAATAAGCAAGTCACATCGAGAACCGAGAAATGGCAGTTCCGCTGAAGGTTTAGGGTGACATTTCGGAGTAATGGGATGCCGTGCTGTTCCCTACGGCGTATATCTCCTTCTGCCCGCTTTGGTTCTGTTAAGTGGAACCAGAAGGTTGATTGAAGCCTTTATTATCTTTATTCACTACCCGGAGTATGCACGGAGTACATTCTTAACTAAAAGCAAAACAAGAAGGAACAATTATGGGGCCGTATCTACGCAAGTCCAGGGTATTATATCCTTGCGTGACGTTATCATCCTGAGGCCATTCCCTTGGCCGCCACTCACAATACCTAGGTTACCCCATATAATATAATTGTAATTGTAATATAAATAGAATATCTTGTAGCTTACATATTCTACAGGCTTTCCTTCTTCGTTTTATTATTTTATTCATTTTTTATTACCTGTTTTTGCCCCCTCTTACAAAAGCACTCTGTAAAATACTAATATGTACTTGTAGATCACAAATATATATCACGGGAGCTTACCCCGGACCAGTGCGGGTTATTCTTACGTGAAATTAAAAAAAAAAAAAAAAAAAAAAAAAAAAAAAAATACCGGAGTTAACCTCCTCACCTATGGGAGCGAAGACATCTCTCCCCTTCTATCTACACATCAATTTTCCTTCTCAGCCAACCACCGCAGAATGAAGGGTGTGTCGGTGGTTTTCGCTGTTGCTCTTGCCCGTAGAGGTTGTTCCTTCTAACGTTGATAAAAGATAACTATAGATCTAACTCATCTAAAGCTTTTTGCGCCGCCCCCTTAAAAGTTACTCCTTCATACACCTCTCTTGTTCCATATCGGAAGTATGTATCTACTTGACCGTGCAATGAAAACAACTGACCTTGAGAATCAATCCATGACTTCTATGTCTAATGTACCGTCAAGTGAATGCACGGCAGCCTGCAGTGAAACCACTTTCAGTGGACCTTTGGATATACCCAATAAAATAGAACTATAGCCCTAAAAGTTGGTATGGTAACCCGGAAATGCGCATAAAATAATTCTGACTCCTGGCCGCTGATAGGGCAGGCCCTTACCTCTTATAACTCTGACCATATACTGATGATGATTACAAACGGTGGATATGTTTCTAGATCAATGTGCCATTCGGACACAGGAGGAATCATTCTAGTTGCTGTCACAATTTGATTTATAGACCGGGGTAGCGTACAGTTCCTCTGTCACTGGATACTAAACATACCAGGTAGCTCAAAGAGCAGGCTGTGAGGGTTCTCTATCTGTGCTCTGACATTCACTGTTCGAGTGGGACCCTCTCTATTGGCCTGCTGGAGTAGGGTGGCCTCAATCCTGCTCAGTGTGTTTATCACCTGAGCAACCTCTCCCCATCAAAGCTCCTCGTTGTTGCTTCTACTTCCCCTCTTCCTCGTACACTCGCCTTTTCTACTTCGTCTCCTAGCCTTCTCTTTGTACTCCCCTCTTGGCTTCTATCAGAAGTCATTCCCTTTCCCATCACACCCCCCCCCAAGCGACGAAACACGTTGAGTACATCCTCTCTTCCTACTCCTTAGATCTCCGCGTTGTGGTACCTGACACGCAGCAGTCTGCCAGTCACCCGCCCTTTTTGCTCCTCACGTGTATCCTTGCGTTTATTCAGGCACCATGGATAGCTTTGACGTGTCCAGCATCGGCATGGCTCTGAATGACGTGACTGACGCGCAGAACGCCAGAAAGGCCGAAGCTGCAAGTACTGCTCGTGAAAAGGGGTGGGTTGAGCCCGAGGGCTACGACTACGCCAAATACAATACTCTGCCCCAACTGCCTAAACCTGGTGAGAACATTGAACCAGAGCAGCGGCAGGAGCATCAGGGGCTCCCCGAGTGGGCGGCTAACGCTGCGAAATACGAGTGGAAGGACGAGTACGGTGACGTTGGCCCCCCCAATCCACAGTTGGAGGATATGCTGTTCCGGAGCGACTTCATCAACCGGACCGGCCTCAAAATTGGAAAGTAAGTGGGATGTATTCGCAAGTCAACGGAAAGAAACAGCTGATGATCGAAGTCTTCAAAACATTGAAGTGATCGCCGAGAGTAGGGAGCGACCTCAGCCCGTCAAGAGCGTGAGTCTGTCCAGGAATGATAACACGTCGAAAGCTTTAACGATAGCCCCAGTTTGATGATGCCGGGCTGCACCCCATCATATGCGACAACATCAAGCTCTGTTGCTACGATGTCCCCACCCCCATCCAGGCTTACGCCATTCCGGCTGTCTTGACCGGCCATGATCTTATCGCGATTGCCCAGACTGGTGAGTGACCGAGAATAGTATGAGCGAGACTGGACTAGCTATTAACCAAGCCAGGTTCTGGAAAAACTGCCGCTTTCCTGATTCCCGTCTTGTCGCAGTTAATGGGAAAGGCAAAGAAGCTTGCCGCTCCTCGCCCGAACCTGGCAGATGGCTTTAATCCAAGCACTGACTCTGTTGTCGCAGAGCCTCTGGTCCTGATCGTTGCACCCACCAGGGAGCTCTCCACTCAGATTTTCGATGAAGCACGTCGACTCTGCTATCGGTCGATGTTGCGTCCTTGCGTCGTTTATGGTGGCGCCCCAGTGCGCGACCAGAGGGACGAACTGCGGAAGGGGTGCGACATCCTGATTGGTACACCTGGTAGACTCCTTGACTTCATGGATAAACCTCATATCCTCTCCCTTCGTCGTGTCAAGTATGTATACCGTGGAACTTGTTAACCTCGGAACTTATTCACCTCGGAACTTATTTTCTTTGTTAGGTACACCATCATTGACGAGGCTGATGAGCTTCTCCTCGCGGATTGGGAGTCGGATTTTAATAGGATTATGTCGGGTGGAGGTAAGAAGCTAAAATTCCTGTTGATCATCCCTTGATATTGACCAACAAAGATATCAATGAGGACGCGGACCACCGTTACTTGATGTTCTCGGCAACATTCAACAAGGAGTGCCGCCAGCTGGCCCGCAAGTTCCTTGCTGATGACCACGTTCGGGTTCGCATCGGACGTCCTGGCAGCACCCATATCAACGTGGACCAGAATGTAATGCATTGACTAGGGAGCCTAAGGCTCTATAGTGTATGGATTGACTGACAAGCCATGCAGATTGTGTACGCTGAAGAACATCTCAAGAAGAAGTGCCTCTACGACTTGCTTCTGGCGATGCCTCCTTCTCGTACCCTGATTTTTGTCAACTCGAAGTCACAGGCCGATTTCTTGGATGACTACCTGTATAATATGGGCTTGCCCAGCACCTCGATCCACTCGGACCGTACTCAACGCGAGCGTGAAGATGCCTTGTGAGTTTTCCCCCGCTTGACAGAAATCGATCACTTGCTGAAGGCAAAATAGACGTTCTTTCCGTAGCGCCAAATGCCCCATCCTCGTCGCTACCGGGGTCTCGGCTCGTGGCCTTGACATCAAGAATGTTATGCACGTTGTTAACTTCGATCTCCCGCGCCAGTCTCATGGCGGGATTACCGAATACGTTCATCGCATTGGTACGTGCGGCATAGAACCGTCTATCTATTGGAAACCTGACCAAAGACAGGACGTACTGCCCGTATCGGAAATGAAGGGCTCGCCACCTCTTTTTACAACCACGATCGCGATTCGGACCTCGCCCCTTACCTTGTCCGGCTTCTTCTGGAGACAAAGCAGAAGATACCAGACTTCCTTGAATCCTACAAGCCTGCCGATGGTGAGACTTTGTTTGAGGACGATACCGACGAGGAAGGGGAAGGTAATGGCGAGAGTGCCAACGAGGACATCGGCAATGCCTGGGGTGGAATTCCGACGGGTGATACTAGCGATGCCCCTGCCCCTGCCGTCAACTACGACTTCTAGCCAACCCGCTCCAGGCTATCCGGAAGATGATAGCTGTCTATCCCACTCACCACTGGCATGGCGGAGTGGCTAGAAAAACTGATAGGTGGAGCCGTGACGGTTAATGCTGGTTCTCAGTCGTTTCTCAGTCTGTGGTAAAATGTTCTATGCAGTACAGGTTGCTGCGACTTCCCCATGATCTGCGGTCTCAGCTACGAACCAGGGAGACAAACAGCGGGCCGACTCTCTTAGCCTCGATAATTCCATGGGAGTCCAAGGTGTCTCTATCTCCTACTTCAGGTCCCAGAGGGCAATGATCGAGGACTTCCTAACCACCTACTGGTCGGGTTGGGGAGTGGTCGGGCAGTGGGGGATGGCAAGCGTTGTTTTCCTGTATGGCTAGACTTAAAAAAAAACCAAAATCAAAAAATCAAGAAAAAAGAAACCTCCCGCCTATTCTAGGACGCAGAGCTGCCGTGGATGATCAATCGCTCCTTCCGTATAAACCGAGTATTATACGATCTCCTCTTCCACTGATCATGAGAAAGAAAAAGCCCTCCATGCTACAGACTCATCACCCAGCACCAATATACATACCCCAGTCTCTCCTTCACAGCTTCTCATACGTATCCAGTCAACGGCAACCATGCATACCCTCCTCTATCTCTACACTCCACTCCTCCTCTCAGCTCTCACTCTTTCCAGCCAAACGACCCCCCGAACGCCCCTCCAAGTCACCTTCCTCCAACCTCCAACCAACACAACTCCCATAACCATTGACACCTTCGCGCACCCCCACAGAAACAACCTGGGGTCATGGCACGGCGCCCTGGAAGACCTCCCCTACACGCAAGGGCCAAACTACATCCGCCTAGCCCCAACAGACCCAGACCAAACCTACCACACCCAACTCTCCTCCACCACCCAATGCTTCAACCTCACCCCCTACTCAACCTGGTACCTCCACATCACCTTCGCCGGCCCCCCAACCTTCAGCATCTCCCTGCACCAACACAACCCCAACTGCACCCCCCTCTCCAACCCCTACCCGGAAACCTGGGACAGCGTCAACGCAGCCCACTACACCCTCCCACCCCCCGCCCCAAACCCACACGAAAAGGAAAATGAGAAGGAAATGAAAAACGTCTACATTCCCCTCTCGCACTTCAACATCTCCCAAAGCAGAGTCCTCTCCATCGCCCTGGGAAACTTCTACCCGCCCTACAGCGCCCCAACTACCGTCTTCAAAATCGAGCTCACACCATCTCCCCCAGTAGGCCTAACCCTACCGGACAAGGTCCCCAACGGGGATCTAAGACTGAGATGCACAAGACCAGGTTCGTTCGCCTTCGGGATCGACGACGGGATCCCGGCGCTCGCAGACGAGGTGCGGGAGATATTAGAGAGCGAGGGCGTGCAGGTGACTTTTTTTGTCGTGGGACGTGGACTGAGGGACTCGAGGACAGGGTTAGGGGCGTTTTATAGGGAGATGTTGGCCAAGGGGCATCAGGTGGGCTTGCATTCTGATGGTCATTTTAAGTGCGTCTTTCTTCTCCCTTTCTCCTTTAGCTTTTCTTTCTTTCTTCGTTTCCCCTTATGGTGCGAGATGGGCGATTTGGTCCAGGCTGAGCTGACGAGAGTCTAATCTATAGGATGGAAGGAATGGAGTCCGTGCAGGCGATCGACGAGGATATTATCGCGAACCTGGCGACCTTCAGATCGGTACTGGGGATTGAATGTTTGTCCTGGAACTTCTGTTCACATCCATCTATCTATGCAGTAAGTTAGTATAAAACTGATGGAAAACGATATATACAGCTCGGTATTTCCGTCCTCCCTACGGCACGATTGGGGCTCGGACTCGCGAACGTCTCGCGGTACATATCCCAGATCCTCAGATTATCAACTGGAGTGTCGATATCGAGGACTGGATGTGGGCGGATTCCGACACGCCCGAGCGACAGCTCGAGGCGTTTTATCGGGACGTGGAGCGGGGCGGGAATCTGGCGGTGCTGCATTATCTGGGCCCGACAACGGTGGGGTATTTTCGAGAAATTATTCGTTTCATCAAGGGGAAGGGGTTGAAGATTATGCGTATTGATCAGTGTTTGAAGGATCCAAGTGCTCCGGCGTTGGTTTGATCGGTTAATTCATGCAGTCATTTCCCTTGGTATAGGACTAGGCTGGTTTCGCTTTGCCAGTATGGATATATAAGGTATTGAGGTCTGAAAAACAAAAGTCGACAACTCCTATCATGCAAGTCCCCACCCCGCCCAGAGAAACATATCAAAACAAGATGAGCACAGCGAGAAGTGTAGTCTATAGTACAATTTCAACCTGACCAGCGTATATCTTGCCGGTCAGCATTGAGCTCGAAGAGAATACAAGTATACTCCAACCCATCACCCACGTTCGACCTGCGAACCGCCCAATACTTTACACCACCAATGTGTCGAAGAATTCAGAAACGAGAAAGAGAAACAGGGGGGAAAGGAATTTGTAAAATCACTCTGCTCCCCACTCCACACTCGAACAAGCCGGCGCATCGTGCAACATCGCCTCAACCTTCTTCATCACCCAGCCGGACCGCGCCTCCGAGCTAGACATGCCCAGCTTCGGCGTCTTCCCCGTAAAACAAGACCCGGAGCGGAAGGAGAACTGCACGCAATCCGGCTTATCCTTGCAGAGTGATTGGCATTCGTCGAAGGTGGTGATTTCGGAGTGTTCCTCGTCGGAGAGGTTGTCCCAATTATCGCGGAATGGAGAGAGATTCGGGTAGATGAGTTCTTTGAAGACGTCGCCGTGGAGAAGAAGGGTTTTCTGTTTCTGTGGTGCGCGATGATGTTAGCTAGTTTTCCAACAGTGATATTGGGCGGTTTAAGCTTACTTTGCTCCACCGGTGTTGCTCAAAGTTCCACAGATCTTGCACGTCACGCGCGCTCAGGTGGTGGAATGCGACGGCGGGGAAGCACCAGGGTCGACGGTAGAAAGCGGTCGTGAACTCGTCGAGTTCGCCGATGTTGGTGTTCTGCAGGATCGGCCAGGAAAAGTGCAATGGCACGTCGACGTCAACTAATACCTTACCCAAGACGCAGTCTCCGGCCCAGTGGGCGTCCGTGTACTCGTTCAGTTCGACATTGCGCTCCGCATACGCCTTTGCGACTCGCTGCATGGCCGGATTCGAGATGGCGAAGCCCGAGCCGCCGTGAGCGAAAATGACGTCGGCGATTTGGGTTTCAGTGCCAATGTACCACGGCTTGGACGCGTCGAAGTGCGACAGCCACTCAAGTAGCGTCCCCCACGAATAATACGTGTCCGCTTCCATGAAGACGTACCATTTTGCATCGTTCTTATAGCGCAGCGTTTCCTGGACCATCGGCAAGAACTTCCATTTATCCAGCTTCCAGCCAGGATTGTTGGGCTTGCCGATAGCGGAATTGGCCTCGTCGGCGAAATCAGCAGTCTCCAGGCCCTCTCGACCATGCTGCACGAGGCGGTTATAGATACTGAAGTCGGGTACGGTCCCTTTCACGTCCGGGTCCATGTTCCGGAAGGCGTCATGCACCTGCACGCCGTTGATTTCCTCCTCAAAGTCCGAGAATATTATGTAGTTTGGTACACAGCGCAGGGTGGTCCGGAAGTGCACCGGGACCTTGTCCAATGCCTCGGTAACACCTGTTTTCAGCACCACCAGCACATCGTCCATACCTGGGAGGGGCGGACAACCGACACGGCGTCGCCCATGGAAGCTCGATTGGAAGCGGGAGAAGTGATAGAGGAGGACGAGACAAAGGCAGGCAGTAATGGCGGTAATGCGACGACGGAATCGACGAGGAGGTAGCATCCTCGCTAGCGGGGGGGTAGGGTAAAGGAAGCTGGGGACAGCCTCCGCGCCGAACACCTGGGGAAATGACACGATATCAAAAGAGAAAAAAATTATAACCGATCCTCCAATTTGATGGCGGAGCAAAGGACCATTTTTCGTTATTTCCTTCCCTCTCGGTTCGTCGAACGCAATGTGGAATTCACGTGGGTATGAGGAATGTCCACCGAAGGAGAAAGGAGGTGAGAAAGGAGGAAGAATGGGGGAGAGAACCCAAGAGAGAAAAAAATAAAAAAATAAAAAAAAAGACGAGGGTCAACAACTCTAAGTCCCGACGATCGACAAGAGAATATTAGCAGTAGATAGTCGTTCACAGTTCAAGTCAACGGAGGGATGATCGACCCACTAGGATCTGAAGCTCAATGACGCGTATGGACTCAGCTCAAGAAATGGGACACTTTCGCCCAAGCCACTGTCAAAGTGAAACAGCTCCATTAAGATGGAACCAACCAAGGGAAGAAGGTCTCATTTTAGATACTGTGTCGTTCAGTAGCGGCCCAACGTGATTTTTGAATGGAAGGAAGATTGGAAAAGAGACTTCTCCAGGTTTTCATGAGGAAAGAACAGAGAACACCTGACCCCAAGGTAGAGAGAGCACTGTACTGTACTGTACTGTACTGTACTGAAGCGGTATGGTTTACCATACCAATACCAAGATAGGAATCTAAACTTCCTATTCTATTGAAACTGTACATACAGTATAAACTATCAAGCCTCGGTTCCTTTATTCCCTCACGGCAGACGAAGAAACAGCCATAGAACACTAGGAGAACCATTATACCATCCCAGTCGGAAAACCGCATTCTGCCCTTTTGACATAGTTTTGTTTTTGTGGACTTCTGTATATACGGGTCTTGCATCCATGGTTAGGCTTGCTTTGACACTATCGGGATTAGTAAATACAATTATCATGATATCGTCTCAGTTGCCTGCTTACTGGAAACTCTTTCGGACATAAACCAAGGACAGAATCATAACTGAAGTTTCTCGTAGGCCTTTCTGAAGCATCTACGCCTACCTTGTCGCGGCTTCATTTCGCATGTCTTTATACAGTAAGCAACCAATCCGCGAATACCCTGTGTAAGGTAATCTACTAACCCCAGGTGCCGTGGTGATATACTCTAGGCCATGATCTTTTGGAGCATTTGGTACATAAGGTATGAAAGGTCGTGCATTAGATCCTTGAGCCGGCTGGTTCTGAGAATTTGACACTGAGCTCTGTTGTCCAACCTGTCCCTGAGATCCAGCGTTAGACCCCTGAGCTGGTTGGTCATGCGGGTTTGATATGGGGAACGCTGGGCTTTGAGATCCAGCTTTTGGCCGTTGGCATACATTTGTCCGGGATCTGAAAGGGGGGCCTCGGATCTGGTCCTTGAGGTTGCGCACCGGGCTCTAGCAATGGCCCTGGTACAAAGATTGGATTTGGAACAAGGTCCATGGGGTCTGCAGCTACAAAGCTGGTGGAAAGGAGATGTAGGACTGCAAAAGAAATGATAAAGGAAGTGAATTCTTGTTCAATTAATCAGACATGATGAATCGGGGGGGGGGGGGGGGTCGTCTTAAGTAGCTCGTAGTTTCTTCGAACGTGATGCTGGGCAAAATACACCCTCTCATTTCTATAGCTAGGCGCTATTAATATGGATAATATCGTCCTCAGAATTATTAGTAAAACAGTGATTGGCCATAATAGAATCTCAAGATTCTGTTTAGTGGATGCAAATATTTATACCCCGATTGTATGTATATGTGTAATATCTTCCGCACTCCCTTTTCGTCTTCTTGTCCCCTCTTCGTTTTCTAGGAGCAGGGGCTTATAGATTTGGAGAATACGCCTCTTCGCCAAGCAGATATCAATGTATATTAGAGATTTCCTTAATTTTTCTCACAAGATTCAAGTAAAATATTATCTCGATCTATAGACTTCATGCAAGAAAGCTGGTACATACATACAGAATCTCAAAGGAGATTTAAACTATATAAAACTACGCCTTAGGTTTATGCCTCGAAATCATATTCGAATGCAACTTGACAAGCTCAGGAATGATTAGCGCCTCAATCTCCATTCCTTCGTGGCTGGGGTCCTGCCCCTGTTCGGCGTCCCCTTCCCCGGTCTTCGACGCCTGGGAGTCCCCGACTGCCTTTGCCTCGGCCAGTCCCACCTGTTCTTCTGCCCCGGAGATACTCTTACTGCGCTTAGACTTTGGCACCCGAATCCAGCGCTCATAGGGGAATTCAGGGGTGACAAATACTACCTCCCACTTTCGCGTCGACAAAAGGTTGCCGATCACGAGATGATGCGCGTACCGCTCAAGCGCCGTCCGTGCTTTGTACACGAGCAGGTTCGGATCCGTCTCGAGTTTGAATGAGACCACCATACTTCCGTCCGGTGCCCACCCGTCCACCAACCGGTGTAAGAACTTTGGAACAGGGTCCAGGTCGATGATCAGTTTCTTGCTATGGGTAGGCGGCTTGGTCTCCTGGGGTATTCCACCCGTGTAAATGTCCGAGGGGTCAATGGCTTCCTCGTTATTCAAGTTCGCGGGTAGCTCAGAAGACTGGATCTTGTGCTCCGACATCCGGTCACTCGGGATAAAGAAATCGCTGACCGCTGCGGCGAGGTAGAAGAGCGCATTGGGCCCCAGAGGTCTCATCAACATGGCCAATGATCGCAATTCAAACAGATACTCTGATACAGTGGTGAACGGGAGTAGCAGGAGGCGGTTATGCTGCTTTGCGTAACGGTATTTCCTCAGCACATCTCGCATCTGGTCCTGGTATTCGCTGTGGACCACGATACGCCCATGATCGGATTCGGAGGTGTTGGAGGGGGGCGCTTCATCCATGAAGTCCAAAAAGCAATTTGTTGAGTGGCTGTAATGGCGGGAGTATGGCAACAAACTGAATTGGCGATGGAGGAAAATCACGGCATATCCCGATTCCAAGAAGTACTCGGCACTCGTCGCTCCTCTCGTTCCAGCAGAAAAGTTATCGATGCTGAAGGAGACAGAGGGTCATCAGAGAGTTCTCATCGGATCAAATGAGCTGCTTACAAGCGAACCGTCTGGTTTTCCAAAGGAACCGTTGTACCTCCCGATGTGACGAGAACGAGGCGCCTGTTCGCCTCGACGTGATAATTGATGAACGCTCTGGCCAGCGCCTCATGTCTCGGGAGAGCCTTTGGTGGTGGATAATTGTTGAAGTAGACCGACTCTGCCTCAGCAGGGGTCATTTCGTTTGTGGGTGCGGACGCCATGTCGAAGGATAGTGCGGACCGGTGTCACCGGACCTTGTTCTGGAGCTCGGTTGTGATACCGGCGAGGTCAACTCTAAAGATAGATGACAATTGTGAGGTATAGCGAAGGTACGTTGTGTATTATTCACAAGTTGAGGTACAATATGCACCTGCACGAGGATAAAACGACAATTGAGTCCCAGCTGAGACAGATGAACAACTAATGTGTACTCCGCAATTAGTACTCGGTAAAGTCTTAAGGACATATCTAGATGACGGCGTCTGACATGGTACCCACCTCAGAGATCACTCAATGCCACCACAACTGCAATATTGTTCTGATCGTACCAGAAATCGCAGGTGTTGCAACAAAGGGGGAAGGGGAAGATATAGGAGTATGTTTTGATGTGATGCTGATATCTACAACGTTGTCTCCATCACGCCCGCCAAAAGATGCCGAGGGGCAGTTGAGGCGGGGAATTTGTTGTTTCACCGCCTTCAACGCATGACGCAGATGACAGCTATCAGCCAATCACGTCGCCCGGGCAAACGGAAACTCACGTGATCATCAATTCTTTGATCTTATCCTGCCTGTGGCAGAGTATAAGAACACTAGTCAAGAGTCTGGATAGCATTGATCGCAACTTGAACTTTATATAAGTAGCGCACTAAGGCATTGAGCCTTACATCGAGGCACATTGTATCGTGTTAGCAAACTCTAAAACTTTTATAGGTAAACCATCTTTATTTATCATGCTTTGGTCTTTTCATTGATATTAATATGGGTGCTATTGACATAGGGTCTTAGATCTATCTATCACTTGATTATTCAAAAGGCCGAGTAGTACGCAGAGGAGGTGTTCTCTACCATGTTGCTGGAAGTAGTCATTTGCAGCTAACCCAAGAATTCTCCATGTGTGACTCTAAGTCCTCTGGGAGACTTAAAAGGCAGCGCCGGTAGGTTATCCTCCCCGTCTTGTACCATATTGATAAGTACCAGTACGGTTTTTCAACTCAACCAGAGCATGTTGGCTCATAATACGATGTCAAGCGGCGTAGAGATATATTCCATGATCTGGCCCTCGATTCGGAGGCGTGCTATGGAGCTTGATCGGCTATTCTAAAGACTGACGTATCATGTAGATGCTAATATGATTAGACGTATAATAAGATCTGGAGGGACTTTACAAGGCGCTGGACCGAGAGTGTTATAAGCTAGGTAGTAAGAGAGGAGATTCTTCTGTCTGAAGTATGTTTCTGTTAAGGTGCAAGATTCAATATAGGGCAATGAGCGTAGTTCTTTGCCTTAACGGATGAGTATACTATCATTTTCTGCAAAGTGTGGATATGTGTTCTCCAGAACTTCTTTGCTAACGATTTTGGTATAGAAGAGTTCGCTAGTTAATGAGATCTGTGGAGTTTCCCAATATTCTTCTCCGTTCCTGTAAAGGCGGCACGATGTCACGCGTGTGTTTGATGCGGAGAACACGTTAACACCCGTTTCTGGAGCACTGGAACGGAAGCTTCCACGAGACAGTAGCTATAACAGTTCGATCTTACAATGGATAAGTACACCAATTCGATAGAGAAGTATCCAAGCATATGCCATCGCCAACCGTCATTTGTTCGATAATTGCTGTGCTCGTTGCTATCCCGCCATCCTGGGCTGTTTCTGAAAATGGAAAACCCTAAAGTGATTAACAAGCAATTAATTCTTTACAGATACCGACTCCGTAATGCCTGGCTAATTGTGCTCATTCGACTCGCCATTCCACCATGCTGCATATTACTCAGGAGAGCCTCCTCAAGCGCAGATTGCGTAACACTTGCGTCTGCCAGTCTCCAGATTAGTGAAAGGAGAACGACATATAACTAGAGACAGAGACTTACCATCGAGATCACTAAAGCTACTTCCCATGCTGGGCGTACCGTCACTCGCCTCCCTTCCAGAGGTATTTGACCTCCTGAGGTGAGCAAGGTCCGCTCGTCGAGGACTCAGCGGCGACGGGATACTGTTCATTCTCTGGTGCCGTACCCTCACAGGCGCTCCGGAACTCACCGAGCTTGTCGATGAATCGGCCGTGGTCGACGGTCTCGGGATTGCACCGTGCTGTGTTGTGTGATGTCGTGCTCCTGTCGGATCTTCCCTCTGTAGCCGGAGAGTTGCACTGAGATCTGGGGCTGACGGTTGTTGTGCAGATTCCGGCTGGCCTCGGGAAAGCGGGAGGAACGCGGGTGAGTCGTCCTCGTCATATTCATCATCATGTAGACTAGGTCGATGTGTGGAGATCTTGCCGAATCGGAATCGGAGTCCTCGTCTGCTGGCTAGGCCATCGTCTTCATCTGATGATGATGATGAGCTTGAACTCAGATCTTCTTCTTCAAGGGCCGGAGATCTATAGACTGGTCCCGATGGAACTGCGACTTGGTCCCGTTTGTTTGCTGAAGGACGTCGGCTATAGCTTTCCCGGCGCGGATCTTTGGGGTCCACGGGCGTTTCAGTACGGGGTGATTCCCGTGGAGGTTTGATTTGGTTTACAGTATTTGTTGAGCTCGTACGGCGTGGTGGAGGGCCTACAGAGTTTTTAGAACATCGTACACCGGTATGTCGTGCAGATGAAGGGCACCAAGATAGATCGGGTTTGCACTTACCTCGTTGGGGGAGGGTATCCGTCTGTTGCGAGAAAAGACGACTTGAAACTCGTGGGACTAAGAAAGATAAGCCGCGGGTGCATGCGCTTCTAGAAGACATGTCCTTACCTGTACCAGGGGCTCCCTTGGTGGACTGACCCCCGAGCGCTGTGCTCCCGGATACAGAACCAGGCGCAGGGGAGGGAGAGCTCGACTGAGTGGTCGGCACCTTGCGCATCTGCGCCCGGACCTGCGATAGTTGCCGATCATACAACCATGCTGCTTGCTGAAGTAGAAATTGGAGAGTTACACCGAATCGCTCCGCTCTAATAGTAGCTAGTGAGTAAAGGTGCCCATTTTATTCGGCGATGAACATACAGAGCTTTCCCTGTAATCGGTTAGCATGAGGCATGTGCAGATAGCTTAATCAAAAATCCGTACAGTCTATATCATCGCCTTTAGAGGGCCGCGAAAGTAGGTCCCAGAGAGCTTGATCCTTGGCTGAGTTCCACTCAGCCTGTCGGGGTCAGTAGATGTTCCCATGCAAGCTAACTGGGGGAAACACTTGCAGGTGGAGGGTCCACAAAATCGCCCCTAGGAAAGGGGAGACGTATGAAAACCGTAAAATTGGTATCCCTGGACTGGTTAAGGGATGTCATCCTGTGGTTGTTGTTGTTCGGTCGGAGATGAGCTAGAGGAGGGCAGTGGAGCACTCGGATAGCCAGGAAGACGCGGTTTACAAGTGTGGCAGGCTCATGATACAATTTGACCTTGCTCTTTTCCTCCTTAATGAGAGATCCAAAAAATACACAACGATGAGTTAGCACTGGTTAGTAACCGGTATATACTCCAAACTGAGGATTGATTGCGTGCAGTTAACCGGATGACGGGAAGCTGTGGTCATTCCGGTGCCGAACTATGTGCGTTGCAATAATAGAGACATGTCGTGCAGTTGGACCCATCCGGTGGGGACAAGTCGCCGTTCGTCGTATGAGCGATTATTGCCACAACAACAACCCCCCGTCCACGTGTACGTTCCAAAACCAGTAATTCCCTTGCATCACCTATTCAGATAATGTGATATGAAGGAACCCTACAAGGTAAATAGGAACTCCCAAAGCAAGCAAAACTTCAGAAAAAAAAAAAAAAAAGAGGTAAAGTAGCTGACCAAAACAACATCGGTCAGATTCGATGGATACTACATTACCTGTATAACATCTCTAGTTCGCAAAGAAGCACTAAGGACACATCATAGTCTTTTGGTTGCCACGCGAAAGGCCCACCGGTCCTAAATTAGTGAGTGGGTTATAAGTCTCCTTGGGCCACCCAGAGTATCTAATTGATTCTATGGTCGATAATTGAGACGTTCTCAGTTTCTACCAATTATCCGGAGTCTTCTGCCGCAGTATCTTACGAGCCTGAGCCGCGTGGTATCCTGGTGAGACTCGGCAACCTTCAATTTACGACGTGATAGTCCTCATTAAGAGCTCCACGCGGGACTCCACTATGTCTTTTCTTACCTATCTGTATTACAAAGTCCTTGCCATACTTATCAGGGCTCTCGCTAGCCGCGGTAGGCGTCCTATTCCCAGCCCTGATGACGTCGTTCATATTCCATCGCGAGATGCATCGAGAAAAATCAAAGCACATGTCTATCAATCGGCATCGTCGCTGAACCCATGTCCCATACTCATTAATTTCCATGGCAGCGGGTTCTTGATTCCCATGCATGGAAGTGACGACGAGTTCTGCCGGCAAGTGAGCCGAGAGACGGGGTACACGGTGCTCGATGTCCAGTACCGTTTAGCACCAGAACACCCCTTCCCCGCGGCCCTCCATGATGCCGAGGATGCGGTGACCTGGGTTCTCCAGCGCCCTGAGAAATTCGATTTATCTTGGGTGGCGATCTCTGGGTTTAGTGCTGGGGGTAATTTGGCTTTGGCCCTCTCCTCGAATATTTTCCCTCGAGGAACTTTTCGATCGCTGCTCGCTTTTTATCCCCCAGTTGATTTGTACACAGAACCGGGATCCAAGACTCCACCGGATCCTGCAGGAAAGCCGCTGCCTGCAGTCTTAGCCCGGGTTTTTGATAGATGTTACATTCCTACGTCCTACGATGCCAGAGACCCTCGAATCTCGCCCTATTATGCCCAACCTGACCGCTTCCCTGACCGCATTCTGATGGTGACTGCAGCTTGCGATAGCCTCGCAGGTGAAGCGGAGGCACTCGCCGCCAAAATCAACAAAGAACCGGGGAAAGAAGTTATGTCTCACAGGATGCAGGGTTGCAATCACGGCTTTGACAAAAGCCCTCCCGAAGGGTCGATTCCCGCAGATGCAAAAGACAAGGCCTACACCATGGCCGTTTCGACGTTGTCGCGTTAGATGACACTGCCTCTCTGACCGTTCACTTTTTTTTTGCACGGACGGTGCTACGTCTATTTCATGTCACTGCGTTTTTCCCTTTTTTGGGGCTCGGGTAACTGGCGGTGAATCAATAACTTCTGATCTAACTGCATATCATTTTGACCCACCCCGAATGGCGCCCGCCGGCACCCCATAGAAGGCCATACGGTTGACGGAGGTGTAGATACTGTGTAGTTAGGCCACCGGGATCATCGAATCACCAGCTGCACAATAAGTAACAGGGATGATCGGGTGGTGATGATCAAGGAACTGGACAAGAACAGTGGGCCCAGACGAGAAAATCTTCATTAGCCGTTGAAACTTGAAGCAACGGTGCCTGACTGGTGATGCAGTGGCTGAAACCACACCATGGACCATTCATTCAGTTTTGTTTTTGGGGGCGGAACGGACCGGCAGGTACCCTATGCCCTAAGCTCCTGAAAGCGGTAATACCCCTAGCAGGGGCAGGTGACTTGACTACTGAACAGTATTCTGTACCTTAGTATGTTACCTGTTTCACACCCGTGGGAACGGAATTGCTTTGGTGGAGCAGCCACTGACCTACATGGAGGCCCATACTTTGACTAACAATGGAATATTACGTATTGTGCCTGATTGGAAAATTAATAAATAAAATAGATAAATAAATACAATAAATTGTGATAGTTGTAATTACAACCATAATTATAATATATAATAATAATAATGATTATATATTATTAGTTCCTGATTTTGGTCAGGCGGGTCTTCTTCCTCGTGGAGACCGTATCAAAGCCAGAGAAGTCAAAAAACCAATCTTGTTCCTCAAAAAAAGGAATTAATTAATTAAATCAGTCAATCGTCTTAGTCCGTTTCCCTCCACTTTCCCTCCTTTCCCTTTCCCCTTCCCCGTCCGGTCTTCGTATCCAACTTGTTCCTAGTTCACACTCCGCTAGTCGGATGCCGCTCTTGAGCGCCTCCATCTCGTCCACCGTGCTGCCCAGTACTGTGGACGAGCCTGTTGGCTTTTTGTGACACACGTTCGTGAAACGTCTTTGATTTCCTTGTCTGGTTGTTTCTACAAAGATACGAGGTCTTTGATTCCGGGGTGTACCGTATGTTTTCTGCGGCATCTCGAGTTCCCCCAATCGCATGATGGAGTCTAGCAAACCCGTCGGGTTCGACGACAAAAAATACCGCAATGAAGTCCTCCTTCTCTTCTCCGAGGATGAAGAACGATCGCAAGAACAATCATTAGTGGAGGAGGCGCGCAAATTAGGATTAAATGTTCCGGAAGTGGAAATAGTGGCATCACTGGCCGCATCCATTGCGTCCGGCATGGTCGATCTTTCCTCACCTATTCTATCCTCGGGCTCTTCGACCGATCGCAATTCCGCCTGTGAAGTCATCCCCTCCAACGAGACATCTCCTGCCGACCAGATCGCATCGTCGCTTTCCGAATACACGCTGTCCCCCGACCCGACCAAATGTGGGAGTACTCGCTCGATCGCTTCGCTTTCCACACGGCCAACGTCTTACAGCTCGAGCGAAGGTAGACTAGCCCACGGCACGGACGGGTTCGCGTGGAGATCACCCGGTCACCGGAACTCTTTATTAAGCATCGCCTCGAGTGAAAAGAAGGAGCGGAGGAAATCAACCTTGAAGTCCGCAATTGACAAATTTCATTTTCGGAAAAGGCGCGCCCCCTCCGCGGTTTTACTCCCTCCGGCGGCGCAGATCTCGGTCGCAAAGGGAGAGGGAGGGATTGACAAATACTATGTGGAATCCAAGATCGATGACCCGCAGGGCAACGAGAGTGCGGAGGAAGAGAGTCAGGTACTAAAACTGGAGATCCCGGTCTTTGATAACGAAAGCCTTCGGCGGAGTCTCGAGAATGCGGACCTGAGACAGATGCGCGAGTCCCAGAAGATGGAACGAAACCGCCATATTGCCTTTCAGGACGCTTGTATGAGTCAACTTCGGCGCGACCACCAAAACATTGTTGCCGATCGGCTCACGGCAAATAAGCTGTCGGAAGAAGAAAAGCGTGAGAAGGTAGTGTTTCCTGTGCCAACTTACAGACCGTTCAGTTACTCACAGTTTTACGCAGAACGTTGCCGATGCTACCCGCATAGAAGAACGGCAACTCTCGGTGGAAATGGACCAAGTACGTGAGTTTGAGCGAGCTAAGCTGAATTCTCGGACTCGAATAAAGTATATGGAAGGCTACTTCCACAATGCGAGTCCTCCACCTTCACCCGGATCCACGTCAGGAGCCGAAACACCGCCGGCTCGGAAGTTCACTTCTCAGCAAAAGGCCCAACTGGCTCAGGCATACCACGACCATGATTCCATGGACCGGCTGCACGAAGCCAAAATCAAAGTACTACGGGACCGCCAAGAGATTAAACTCCAAGAAGCTATAGCTCGAATGGACAAGGAGCTGTACGACTTGATCGATAAGCATGCACTGGAATTTGCCAACCTGCAACGAGATCATCAACTAGAAGAGGAATCAGTTCTTCACATCTTTAATGCCAAGAAGACAAGGCTCCGCCATCGATGGAACCTAGAAGAAGCGATCTTGCGCAAGAAGCTCGAAATGGACCACGGCCAAGCTTACGGGCCACTCCCTCCACTCTCGTTCTCGGAGTCTCGTTATGAGACGCGCGACTCAGCGATTTCCGTTTCGGAAGAGAACCCAACAAGTGCAAGTAGTGATGAGGAACGGGTGCACCGAAGGAGAGGTGAACCGCTACTATAATTTATGATGCGATGTCTCAGTGATACCCTTTCCCTTTTCCTCTCTCATCAGCATATATACACATTGGTTACCCTACATATCACCCCAAACCAGCTTAATGTCTTATACACCAGCTCTTGCTGACAACTTACCCTTTTTTGTAATTATTACGATTTCCCTTCACTTCTTTTGAAGGGCTTCATTTCACACTGCGGCAGCTTTTCCATTTCTTGTTCATATTTTATTCCATTCCGGATGATATACCTGTCTTCTCCACTATATAGATGTTGCTTGTTCCCCAAGCATTTAGAGGTTCTTACATTCATACATTGGAAATCTACTGGCGGCTTTCGTTGAACATAACATCTATAGAACAAAGATTTCATGGGTATATGCTTGCTCTTAACTTAAACTAGGGTCCAGCTCACGTCTATTTCTCACCTGGAACCAGGTGCTGCTTCAACCTGTCTAGCACCGTCTCCACCTTGCCATTCCCGCCTGTCAAAACACCCTCTAGCAACTTATCTCGTCCGTTGTCACCAATGACTACTGCGCGCTCCACAAACCCTGTATTTGATATTTTAAAACGTCCCACCCGTCCATTTTGCCATTCGACCCGGACATAAGTTGTGTCAAGCGCGGTTGGGGAAATGGATACGATGCCTAGTTCATTCGCTTCTAGCCGGACTTCCTCCTGAGTGTCGGATAAGATATCTCGTGTCCAAACGCCATCATCATTATCATTATAGGGCTCAGCGGTGCGGCGCTGCACACCCAGCCTTTCCCTAAGAAAATTCACGGCATCCATCCTTAAATGCCAAGTAGCCAACTGCCGTCTCAGCTCGTGAACAAACCTTGTCAAATCCTGCTTGCTCGCACTCCTCTTCCATGGCTTCAAGGTTGCCTCCGCTTCTTCTTCTTCGCGGGCAGATGGCAAGGGTAAGAAAGCCTGTTCTAACTTCTCCACTGAGATAAACGCCGGAATCGTATGCTGGTGGACCTGCAGCCTCTTCCCTTCCCCGCGCACCCGCTTCAACAGAACGTAGTATGGTTTCGTAAAACGGCCATTCCGAGAGCAGATGTCAATCCGCACCCCGAGAAGATTTGGATTCTCACTATACGGCGACGGGTCTTTGAAGGGGAAGGTAGTCGCGGAGAATGCGACACGGTGGTTGTTCGTTTCGGCGTGTTTTCCTGCCGTGTTGACTAAGGGTGATACGTCTGGGTCTAGGGATGATGCAGGCTTTGAAGCTTGATATTCTTTGAGGCGCTTTTGGAAGGTGTCGGAGCTAAGGAGGCTGGTGGCTAGGAAGCGACGCTTGCGTTGTAGATTGCGGACTATGTCATGAAGGTTAGTTTTGCGCGGGGTTTGAGGGTAAGTGTAGTTGTACTTTCGGCACGGATGGAGGCTATTTCGGAGTCCAGCTCATCTTCCGCAATTTCGGGGGGTTCCGTAGAGGACATCTTAGATGTTTGTGTCTTGGATTAGAGGTTAGGTTGGGTTGATGGAGAATGCGGAGATGCGACAAACAATATACGGATGCAGCACCGCTGCCATAGGTTGCCGTGTTTGTTTTGTTTTGTTTTGTTGACGGCACGTGATGTGGTTAGTATACGATATTATTGACGAGCATCCCGGAGTATCACAGAACGGAGACATGGAAGACTGGGCTGTGGCATGACCGATTAACTTCCGAGGAGCAATCCAAGATGTTCCACATGCCACATCTTACGAGATTTTAATCCCATACTCGGATTCGGCACCTATCCTAAACAATCTAATACACACTGTACTCCGTACGACATCAAGACCAAGATCCAACCATCGCCATTCAATAATAGCCCAAGAAGGACCGCATTGACCAAACAATGTTACACCTGATCCCCACGTAATACCAATACCTTCAAGCCACTCCATTGTAGAATGTCCTCTTTTGCAATGACGCAGGAGCCTAGCGTTGAGACTTTATTGACACGCAGTGGAGCCATTCCTTAGGGCTCCCGACGATACTAAACGGTTATGCAGCACTAGTCACGACATGCATGGCCCCCATAGCTAGTAATCTACTGTCCACCAATAGCTTCGTAAAGTGTCTCTTTTACGTGACGAGACGAAGGAATGCGGCCGAGCGTATTATCCTCCGTGCGTACATATTAATATCTGGTGGTGGACAGAGCGGTCAGTGACGCTCATATTTGACGACGGATTTCACCATGACGCAGGAAAATACTAGTCCAGATTTTGTGGAGATCGATTCTGTAGGTGTACCTTTAACTGTCCGGTTCAAATCTACTAGATAAGTTCTGACTGATAATTCGGGCTTCAGAATACTCGGACAGATGATGAGTCGGGGTATGGGGAGAGTCTGCAATCGTGAGTAGATTTTGTTCTTTTTTCAATCCTCTCTATTATCTTCTGTGGACTGGCTACTTTGTCACTGGGGAGATTAGCGGAAGCTAATGATAATCATGTTCCAGAGAATGGACATCGCTGCGCAGCAGTATCATGGAATATAATTTTGAAAACGGTCGACGCTATCATGCTTACCATGCGGGCTCATATTGGTACCTTGCCCAAGTTCCAGCCCGATATGGCTCTAGTTAACTGATGAAGGGGCCCAAACGACGAAAAGGCCATGGAACAGCTAGATATAGGGTAAAAAAGACAGTACCCAATTTATACTAACCAGCTAATCAATACCCAGACACCATGTCTTCAACCTCCTCCTAAACGGACGACTCCATCTTGCGCCAATACCAGGGAATGTTGGGGTGCGTACAGGCCGTATCTCCTTCTGATATCTTCTCTAGGCAAACTAACCCAAATACGAAACAGCGAGTCCTCGACGTCGGAACAGGGACTGGTATATGGGCCATGTCTGTCCCCCATCTCCACTTTCAATTAAGACCACACTAAACAAGGTGAATGACACAGCGACTTCGCAGACATGCACCCCTCCGCAACAGTCATCGGAACAGATCTCTCACCCATCCAACCAGCCTGGATCCCACCCAACCTCCACTTCGAAGTTGACGACTGCTGCGATGAATGGGTATACAGCAGAGACAGCTTCGACTTCATCCACGTCCGCGGTCTCTACGGCTGCGTAGTAGACTGGGACAGATTTTACAAAGAAGCACTCAAGTACAAACCCCTTTCCTCCCTGCATGGTCCACAACAGCCTGTCCTGACTAATGAGAATAAAACAGACACCTAAAGCCAGGCGGTTATATGGAACAAGTCGAAGTCTCGGTGGTCCCCAAATCCGACGACAGAAGCACGGACAACACGATCTTCGAAGAATGGGGCAAGGTCTCGCTGCAAGCGGGAGATGCATTCGGGAAGACGCTCCGGATAGTCGACGAGGCGAAGGACAGGATGATCAAGGCGGGTTTTATCGACGTACAAGAGCATCGGTTTAAGTGTCCTATCGGCCCGTGGGCGAAGGATGAACGGTTGAAGGTGTTGGGGAAGTATAATCGGTTGGAGTGGGAGACGGGCATTGATGGGTGGACTATGATGCTTTTGACTAAGGTTTTAAATGTTGGTTTCCATCTATTCTGCTGTCTTGGTCTTTTCCCTTTCTTTCCATAACTGTTTTATTGTGAAATACTGAGCTAACTTGATCGCAGTGGACGCGTGCAGAAGTAGAGGTTTACCTTGCGCGCATGCGCCATGGACTTAGAGATCCCAGTATCCATGCCTACCAAGAGAAGTACATACCCCATCCCCCATTTCCATCTGCTCATGCTTTCGTAGAATGTAAACACTGACATCATTAAGGGTAGTAGTTTACGGCCGCAAACCGGAAAACCAAATGATGTATGCAGCAGAGTGCCAGTGATGTCAAGGAGAACTCATTCCATGGGTCACAAACGCCATGCCTATAGCTAAAAGAACAAGGTTTGCTGCTATGCTGAAGTAGACGTATATGGCCGCCGCTGATGGCGTGGTGTACTAGGCCCTTGGATTGAGATCTATATGTCCCAAGGGACTACCGTGCGCGCATGATGTCAGCGGCAGCTACTCCCGGTAGGCTATTGAATACACATAGACCGACAACTACTTACATTAACACCCTTTTTAAGGGATGTTTATCCTTTTTTTAAAAGGGATGTTGGCGTGTTTATACGTCATTGTTCCTGTATACGTCCGCATCCCGTATAGGAAGTGGATGAAGGGATTTGATGAGTGGCTTGTAGGCTTAGATATGTAGTAGTAGGTTAACTTGTGCGCAATGACGTATTTAAAGTAGGATGGCATATATATTGCCTATTAATGTTGAGTTCGAAGTATTGGCTATATATTGATTTTAGAAAGGTGACGCTTGTCCTAGTGTTGACGTAGCATATACACTCTGCCGAAAGCAACTCGATGACTGCATAAGCAGTTGGCGCAACTCTACAGCCGCTGGGGTGCTTGGTGTATGTACTTGACCTGTCGGCAGCTCTGCTATCTTGCTAGCAAAATACCGAGAGATATGCCTGACTATAGGTAAGAGGGCTGCTTACTTGGCAACCTTCAGACTAGCCACCGTTCTCTCTCTCTCTCTCTGCTTATCTAGTAAAAATGACAAATTTTCTTAGCATATTCGCTGTTTTGGTAAGTTTCCCCCTCCGATGCCAGACTTTCCAAGGCAAACATTGCGCCGTATGTAGAGCAGATTTCCCGGCCTTCAGAAGTTCTATTGCATTCGTCAGTGGTCTTTGCATGGGGCTATGGTATGGATGGATGGGGCGTGTGTATGTATGAGAGCAAGGCCGAGGTAGTATTCGTTGGCTGGGGTTGGGACCAGTTTTAGGCTACTGCGTCGTCTTCTAGGTAGTGCCATGTGTGGCGGCCGGCTTGATTTAGAAGGCGCCCGAGCTTGCGGTCAGTTTTGTTTGGGGTTTGTGCTGGCATTGTTACTTGGTGCTGTTGTTTTGGTTTTTAGTATCTAGGGTTGTTCCCTAGAAGCGCCATTAGGATGTGGAGGGTACAGTACTACTACGTAGGTCAAGTAGTCGACAGCGCCAATTTATGGGGTTGCCTGCGAAAGGGTCCGTTCCTTGCGCTAAAGCAATAGATATGATGGGGGTAAGTTTTCTGGAGAAGTCCTAGGGTCTTGGCTGGTGTGGATCAAAGGATTCCTCGTTCTTCCGGTGGATGAGGGGTTCTGGATAGGTTCAGACGTGTGCAAAGGAAATCATGCTGTCTGAGAAAAACCGAAGATAAATAGGTAAATAACTCAGGGGTGGCTAAAGGTAAACTATTGTATCTATGAACGATTGTAGTGAAGAGTGATGCGAACCTTGAAAGTCGGATTAGGGCTAACGGTTTATATATTTGAGTGGTTCTCAATAAGTACCGCCAGAATCAGTGCTTGTCTAGATCAAAACTAGGGCATCAACACGACAAATGATAAGTAATTAACCAGTCACTCACCGAGTAGTTTTGAGAAAGAGCTCCTTTAGAAATCCAATGAATAACCATTGTAGGTATTGGGCATAGGGACCAACCATGTTTGCCTTGCTGGTTACACAACTTCAAGAATGAGGGAATGATAACAGTCGACAGTCTGAGCAGTCCGGATGGATGCCCGAGGTCGATAGTGCACTGCACTCCTCTTCTTAGTGCCCACCTCCTAAAAAGATGGGTCAGGGGCTGCATACCGACTTTACAACCCATTCTGGCCAATCAGAGGCCATAGTGTCCCGGTGGAAGCGGTGATGTTTTCCCATCATGATGAGTCCAACGCCTTCCTTGAGAGGAATGTAGTACGCCAGCTAACACAATAGCTAGTTCGTCAGAAGCTTAGTCAGTGGTAAACAATTTAGTTACCAGTTACAACAACTGGTGGGAGGGGAGGGTTATAAGGAGTGAGACATTAGGCGAGAGGTTGTGAGACCCCAAGCAATTTCGTTTGCAATATTGCATTGAATAAGTCCTCGGTGACGGAAAAGACGCAGGCCGCTCGTATCGAAATCGAGCTGCTGTTGTATTTCATCTTTAACCCCTACCTAATCCGAAGCCCATGACGACTCTCAACTCCCTCTGCCGTGCATCTGAGGCGCTCATACCTGCGCCGTTCGGCTTCCTTACCCTCACATCCTCGGAAGAAGAGCCGATGTCGTTATTTCACTTGCCTCTTGAGCTTCTGGTGTTGGTTGCCGACTGCCTTGAGGCAGAGAGTGACATCAATGCTCTATGCCAAGTCAACCGCCTGCTTCACGCTGTCATGAACCCATACTTGTACCGATACAATTTACGGAGCTCAGGAGGCTCAGCTCTGCTGTGGGCTGCAAGATACGGAATGTATGCCACAGCACAGGTCAGCATTCAGGAGGGCGCTCTCGTGGATACAATGGATGAAACTGGCTCAACCGCGCTATCCTGGGCAGCAAGGGAAGGACATGAAGAGGTGGTCCAGCTATTACTTGAAACCGGACGGGTTGATATAGAGTCACAAGAGTTTGACATGGGCCGAACGCCGTTAGCCTGGGCAGCGGAGAATGGATATGACCGTGTGGTTATGCTTTTGCTCCAAACAGGACATGTCGATGTGAACTCCCGAGATTATACATTGGCAACACCACTATCGTTGGCCGCGGAATCGGGTCACGAGATGGTGGTAGAGCTTCTCCTTGAAACTGGCAAGGTACACGTGGACTCAAAAGATTGTACCGGCTCCACGCCATTATCGTGGGCGGCGGAGATGGGCTATGAGGCAGTGGTGGAGCTCTTACTTGAAACTGGGCAGGCTGATGCGGACTCAAGAGAAAACACTGGTGGTCGGACGCCGCTCTCGCGGGCGGCTGAGAACGGGCATGATGCCGTTGTCAACTTGTTACTCGAAACCGAAGAGGTTGATATCGATTCAAAAGACATAGATGGGAGAACCCCGCTGTCCTGGGCTGCAGGAAATGGACATGAGACCGTGGTCGAGCTTTTGCTCGAAACCGGACAGGTTGACGTGGACTCAAGAGATGCTAAGGGGCTTACACCACTGGCCTGGGCCTCAACAAATGGATACGAGGAAGTGGTCAAGCTGTTGCTCGATACTGGGCATGTTGATGTCGACTCAAAGGACCTCCTGGGCCGGACACCATTGTTTCAGGCGGTGGTTAACGGGCGTGAGCGGGTGAAGGATTTGTTACTCGCGACAGGTCGGGGAAATGAGTAGATTAGTACTAATCCTTGGTGAGAAAGAACAAGTCAAGATAAGTAATAGAAGATACACATTCATAGATGTTTATAGTAACAGAGCAATAGCAAAAGCAGTAGAAAAATATAGAAGCTCTGCAGATGTTCTTCTGCAGAAGCTCGGACCAATGGGAACATGCCGATCAGGTGGGTCTCCCGGGGAAGTCAAACTTTCCCCTTTGGGTTTAAAAACCAGTTAAAGTTGAGGACACCTTTTACTTCCTCGAACCTTTCGCCTTTCTTGAAACTCGGAACAATCCCTTGAACGGATCCCAATTTAAAAATCCACCTGATACTCTCGTTTGAGCTAGATCTCCACTCTTCCTTTTCACCATCGTCTCTCCTTTTAGGTCCACGTTGTTCGATAGCCGACCAACCCGAAGAGTTATGCAGAACTAACCAGGGACATCCTAAGAACCCTGTCTGACGCGCCAACGACCAAATTCCTTTGATAATTTTCCTTCATCAGCTTCCCTAGGACCTAAACGAACGACGCAAGACGCGACTCCGGCGACAGACCGTTTTGGTGCGAACCCATGAAGCGCAAGGACCGCACGGTGTCCAAACGTCGCTCCAAGCCGACCCTGAAGATCGCGACCGGCCAGAACGGTCATGCGAGGGACGGAATGAATTCCAACATTGAAATGCGTAAGAGGGACACCTCTATCGAATCGTCGTCGTCCGCACAAGCCTCCCGTATTATGTCCCGACCGAGTTTCTCCTTAGACCACGACCCCCCGGTCACCCCGGTCACCCCGTCTTTAACTACGACAAGTTTCGATAACCTCCCTCCAAGTGATAAGAGGAACTTTCTGCTATTATGTGTGCTATACTTCCTCCAGGGAGTGCCCATGGGCCTAGCCACAGGATCGGTCCCGTTCCTACTCAAGCCCTACCTGTCCTACGGCCAAATCGGTGTCTTCTCCCTTGCTTCGTACCCCTATTCGCTGAAACTGCTATGGAGCCCCATTGTGGATGCGGTATGGAGCCGGAGATTTGGCCGACGCAAGAGCTGGATCACCCCGGTTCAGGCTATTGCCGGGTTGGCCATGATCTATCTGGGCGGGCGGATTGGCGATATGATGGTGCAGGCGGGCGCTAACGGAGGCGCTGGGGTCTGGAACTTTACATACTGGTGGTTCGTGTTGGTGCTTTTCTGCGCCACGCAGGACATTGCAGTGGACGGATGGGCCATCACCCTCATGTCCCCACCGAATATCTCCTACGCGTCGACTGCACAGACGGTTGGGTTGACGGCTGGTCACTTCTTGTCGTACACGGTGTTTCTGGCGTTCAACTCGGAGGATTTCGCCAATCGCTGGTTTCGCTCTACCCCGGCGCCGGGCGGTCTCCTGTCGTTGGGCACATACCTGACATTCTGGGGCTGGGCGTACCTGATTGTGACGCTCGGCCTGGCCCTCCTGAAGAAGGAAGAGAAAACACAGGAGCGGGACAGTATTTCGGACGTGTACAAGAGCATGTGGAGCGTGCTCAAACTCAAGAACGTTCAGACGATCATTTTGGTGCACCTGATTGCCAAAATTGGATTTCAGGCTAACGACGGGGTGACCAGTTTGAAGTTATTGGATAAGGGATTCGGCCAAGACAACATGGCGTTGGTCGTGTTGATTGACTTCCCATTCGAGATTGGCTTGGGCTACTATGCGGGCAAGTGGTCCACGGAGTATACCCCCATGCGCCTGTGGTGTTGGGCATTTATGGGACGACTGGCGGCGGCAGTTCTGGCGCAGGTGACGGTCATGATTTATCCGGCGGCATCGGAAGTCCCTTTCTGGTACCTCTTGACGGTCATTGGAGAGCACGTCCTTTCGACCTTTATGAATACGGTCATGTTCGTCGCGGTGTCTGCGTTCCATGCGCGGATTTCCGATCCTACGATTGGAGGGACTTACATGACCATGCTTGCAACGTGAGTTTCCCGCCCTTTCTTTCTTTTGCTTTTTCTTGCCCCTTGGACGCGACATGAAATTGGTGTAACCGTATGAACCAACTAACTGGCTCGCACAGTGTCTCCAACCTGGGCGGTACCTTCCCACGCTACTTCATCCTAAAGCTTGTGGACATGTTCACCGAGGCGACCTGCACCCCTCCCAGCGTTCCTCCTTCGGCCGACCAACTGAAAGGGGAGCTGGTCACTTCCCCGTTCTCTTGCGCGCTGGAACCCGACCGGATTCGTTGCACAAATGGCGGCGGCTCCTGCCATACCCTCCGGGATGGTTACTACATGACGAACATCCTGTGTGTGCTGGTTGGAACGGTGACCTTCTTTTTATTTATCCGACCCGCGGTGATGAAATTGCAGGGACTTCCCCTGCGGGCGTGGCGGCTGTCCCCCAATAGCAGAAATTAGACCATGAAACTCGAAACATAGAGAAAAGGAAAACAAAAAAGCCCAAAAATAGGGGACCGGGACATGTTATAGAAGGAAATGGGCTGTATTTTTTTTTTCTTGACCAATACTCTGCATGTTTGATGTATGTACTAATAGAACCATCTGGACCATGAAACGAGGGTTGCATTGCATATTGCCCTGAATCTAGTCCCTGTCGTTCAGTACATTTATACGAGAGCCTGGAGCTTTGCCATTTGCCGTGTTTCGTGTACCCGCATTAGTGATCGATTAAGGTCCGAGAGTCAGCTGAAAAATGAAAACATAAAAAATAACCCCTATTCTTTTCTTCCTATAAATAAGTCCCTAACCTGGTTCCTGATCTGCAAACTTTCCCCATTTTTACTTAATCACCTAATACCCGAGAAGCAAACCCCTTTCAGCCATCAATACCTCGGTTACAAAATGTACTTCCACTGGTACACACTCCTCCCGCTGCTCCTCTCCCTCCCCACCGCACTGGCAACCGCCCAAGACACCGCCTCCACGCTAGACACTCTCAAGCCCCGAAACGTAACTAACCCTAGCCACCCCTCTTATCCCCCCAACTATATCCAAGCCTATACTAACATAACAAACCAAAAAAACAAAAAGTGGGATCTCCGCCTCCTCAAGCCAGGCTGCAAACCTAACAACTCCAATATCGACATCAGCGTCTACCATTCATCTGGCGTGTCGGAGCGAGCCTGTGATGATTTGACTGCGGTAAACAGTCTAAATCTGAGTATCGTGGATACGGTCTCGTGGAAGAGTCCCAGCGAGCCAAGCTTTGATCTGTGCATGTATAAAACTGGGGATTGTGATTCTGAGGGGTTTATGGGGCAGATTCGGGGGGGTTGGGCGGTTTGCGTTAAGTATGAGGGGTGGAAGGGGTGGAGGGCTGTTCCTAAGGGGGAGGAGTGTGATTAGTTTGTTCTGTATAGTCTGTGGATGGGTTGGTTTTAATGGATGTATGAGTTGAATGAGGGTTTAATGGGTTGATTTCGTTTATTGGGGATAGTTAACAGTACATATTGAGTTGATATCGAGAATTTGAAAGGACATTGTAGTAGTGTTGCTAGTAGCTATTCTCCTATGAATATGCAGAGGGTACTGAGCCGCCATTTATCACTAATTACTGTCGTAACTAGATGATTACTTGGAGGATAGGTCTGACTAATAGGTTTAGTAGAATTAGACCCCCTAGACTATTCTATTACATGCTTTGATGCGGTGATATAGATAGCTGCTTGTATAGTCTGATAGTTATAGAGTTATATATTGATATTTGACCAACCTTCATTCAGAGGATTACATTTATCGAGGAAGCAGTAACAATTTTAGGTAGCTTTGAGAAGGATTAGATGGATAACACTGGGAAAAGACAACACTGAAGGCAATGGGACAACAGATGCTTCTGAATCACCTGACAGGGGCTCCATTTTCAACGCCGCTAGGATAAGGACCAGGAGACATTTGAAGAGTCAACCCAAAAATAAGAAGAAAGGAAAGTATGACAGGAAAGCTTCGGGGAAAAGAGGAGGAAGGGAAGATCCCTTTACCTGGGGTAGTCGATATCCTTTAGGCTGGAGAGCACGGTGGAGGCCATGCTCTTCTATCCATAGTGTTTTCAGTCCACCAACAATTCTCAGATCCCCAGAGGCAGTCATCAATATGATGTCAGGGCCCTTTTTTCCCATACTGCTATCATTGGTAGACTTATAAACCGCATAACAAATACCAACGTCGGCTTCAGCGCAAATAGTCCCCATTACCTGGCCCACGTTGTGCAAAAAACCGCCTTGCACCCCGGCTTCACCCCAACATGCACATCTTCATAGGCAATAATTGACGCAGTTATCCTAGTATTATCTTTGTGCTTAAACGATATGAACTAGTGGGGGCCTAAAAGGAAAAGCTGTTAACAAAGCACCCAAAGACATAACCGTATCAGAAAAGAAAACGGACCAGGGGGCACGCGAGATGGCCAACTTGACAACGCACGCAAGCCAAACGGCCCGGGAGCCGAGCACACACAGCACTCTCATGCTGCGGGACCCGGTCAGGATAGCGGAGACACTGCAAAAACTAGGAGGCGGCATCCTCGTCACCGTCTTCTTCGTCTTGGAAAAACTTGCGGCGAGCTCCTTTCCTTCATGGGCCAGAGGAGCAGCCGCAGGAGGGGAGGAGCTGCCCGATGGTAGCAAGGGGGAGCCCGGAGGGGATTCCACGTTGGTGAACGCGTTGAAATGCAATGAAGATACGTTGAGGTTTCTTGTCCACTAAAAAGGTTTTGGAGACCTGTGCTCTTGTATGAAGAGAGCAGGGCCAACACTGTCGCTTCACTGAATCTGTCGAATATTAGCCGTCTCGCCCATGCTCCTTGAGCTGGTAATCTTCTATTGGTTAGCAAGATCTGGACGTACGACTTACCTATTTGGATTATGCGCTTAATGGTGTTGGGGTGTTTGAAAGCAAGTGTGGCCTATATATTTAATCAGGTCATTGTACTCCACATTGTGGCCGGGAAGAATACGTGTGAGTACTTGCAGGCCCAAGCTGTATTCAAGCTACAACAGTTGGAGAGTACGTAGACCTAAATGCTTCAAGTCAAAGGATAGGTCGTAGTCAAACATAATAAGATAAAATAGTTTCTTGAAAGAAAACCAAGTGGATGATTGAGGAGTTTACAAAGGTAAGAACAAGAAAAGGACGGGCGTAGAGGTGGGGGCGCTTTTATAGTGTAGGCTTCCTACGTAGTGACTTAGGGCTGTGAATAGCATCGTAGGCGGGCTTCAATACTTAGATGAATTTCTATCGAGAATTTCGGACAGAAATAACATGAATAAAGGCTCCATCCATTGAATACTATCTTACGAATCGACTATTCTCCATCATAGCACATTGCCGTACGCGAGGAAAAGCCTTGAGTAATCTCTAGAATCACCTTATTAGAGATCTCTATTTAATTTGAGTACTCTGTTGGCTACCTCGCTCCCACAGTTAGGGGGAAGAGGCGAATATATTAATCCATAGGTATTGTTCAGCGCCATTAAGTTTCACTTTCTTTAGTTGACTCACCCATTAGGAACTATTCATCTGGAGTGCCTTCAATTATTGAACATGGCGCAGGGCTGATTAGTTACCTGCATCGGTCCAACATAAGGGAATAGTTGACATTAGATCCGCGACAAAGCTCCCTTCATCGTTCTGTATTAAGCGGGCAGGAATATGGAAGGAATTGCTTGATCTTGAAGCCCGGGGTATGTCATTCCAGGCCAGAGGATTTTGGTGCAGGGTGGATCCAGGAGAATCGTGGCATCCAAGGCTGTAGAGTAAAGAAAGCCCATACGTCATGAAATCGTATTCCAGTATAACCACAATTCCAAACATCTTCGCCGCTAAACGGCGTAGCTAAGTATTACTCTATCAAAATCTCGCTTCCAACGCTCAAATGCAATGACACCAAACCATATAGACTCACATACAGAACAAAGTCCAGACATCAAACACCGAAAGCCACTCACCTCCCACCTTCCAACTCCCTCACAGCAGTATCCAACAAAAGCCTCGCATATACCCGATGCAACCGTCCAGTCCACTTCGGAATAGTCTTCTGTTCCCACAACTCCCCTTCCTCCTCCACAACCTCATACGCATGCGCCGACGCAAATCTAACCTCAACAAATGGCCCTTGACTCTCCTCGTCACCCTCCCCCTCAAACGGCCCCTCAACGCTCATTTCATGCCGTCCCCCCGTCATCAACCGCCACGGATATCCCCACCGAGCAATCTTTTCAAAGAATACCCGCGGCTCATCTGGCATCCCCCATGTCACTAACAAAGGTTCCTCACCCACCGGCTCCCGAACGACAGTCATAATCCCATTTAGAAGCTCACGCGGAGCCCCCGTTTCCGGTTCGGGGCTGAATCCCGCCGGACTGGTCCCCGTATCTCCAGGGTTGAATTTTCCCGTGCGGAACAGACCGATGAATTTCGCTTCCAGGCGAAGAAGGTTACAATTTAAAAGGGACTGTGCCCATGCGGTGTTGAGATCTTGTTTTGTTGGTTTGGTTTCGTCCGCTGGGTGCTTGATGCGCGCTTGCAAGGCGCGGAGCGGGATACGGGCGGAGTAGATGTCGATGTGTGGGACATGTTGAATTACCGGGTTGGCGGGTGTGCGGAGGAGTTCTGTGCTTGATCTATCTGGGGCGATGGGTGGGTATCGTGCCTCCAGGTTATTGAGCCAGTGATGCGTGCTGTAACCCGCTATTACCAGGGGAGGGGTTGTGAGGGTGAGGAATAAGCGGGTTGGGGATCGTGTTGCCATTTTGGTTTAGATCCGAGTGGATATAAAGCGAAGAATGGTGACGGCGAGGCAGAGGCTAGTCAGTCTATATTTATATATCTTCACGGGAGGAGACGCCGCTTTATTTATATCTCCATCGTGATGGATGATCACCGAATTGGCGGCCGCGTATGGGGCCAAGGGCATCACATGATGTCTGTCAACCCTTCCTGATGACTCCCTTTATGGTAAATAGCTTGGCTGTAGATGATCAGGACACCGGGACGGGATTTCTGGGCATTTGCGTAGCGCGTGGTGGATCTCTCGTTCCTTTCCGGGTTATTTATGGCTAAACTCGGTGGCTTGGGGATCCCCCGAAGCTCAGCATCCCTACTACTTAATGTCCACTCAAACTTGGGCGGCTGGCGGGATCCACCATGTTTCTGGCTGTCACACGGGGTAGGATTGGCGTGAAGGAAGAGCTGGATGAGTACTGGGATTTGCCAATCTGTTAAGCAATTAAGAGTTTGTCTAGTACTCATCAGCTGGATCACAGGATCACTCAAGTTCACTGTCCTGGGATGCTAGGTTTTTAGGATACTGGTGTTTGGGAACTGGACCTTTGGCCCCCACAGCTATAGTACTAGCTCTTGGCGGGTACGGTTTACGAACACGCCAATAGCAGTGCTCGAGGCATGTTCTCCACCGTCGAGCTGTCTTGGAGTTGGCCGAGATGTGCTCCTGGAAAGATCATAATCTTTTGAACGACGATATACGAAGAGTCAAGACTTGCGACGTGAGACAACAACTGGGCCAGAGCCCACTGATGTTACATATAATAGCTATCGTGGCTCTAAGAAAAGTACATACGTGGCTGATGTTAAATTTGTCTATTATATAAATATGCACAGCAATGATATCAAGATACATATTCCCTTCTGATTATCCTCGTAGATTCATTTTCGGACTGAGCCCCGGTTCCCGTTTTGCCTTAATTTGCATTGCACCTCCTGACTCTGCCGAACAAGCGAACTACCGATGAAACTTGTCGGACACCCAGTAGCTAATCCCATCGCACCCCTCGAATTGGCATTCCGTGACCGGCTTGTTCATATTGTCAGGATCAGACAGCCATGCAACAGCACACATGTATTTCGTCGTGACATCATAAACCTCCTTCGATCGCAGTTGGGAATCGTCCCAGGTGACATTCAATTCCAACACATCATTTGGTAGGAGAGAAGGAAACCACATGAATCCAAGGTCAGTCCTGCCTACACTTTGAACGAGGCGAATGGGATCAGAATCTGATTCCGTGTAATGCTGCATGAGCCAGTTAAAAGTCTGTCTGTGGAAGAGGTCGTTCAACATCGCCACATCAGCCGGTCCCGTACTGCTGTCTATCTCTTCGAGCTTACCCTTTATGGTGTCAAGGGGAGCATGTGCGTGAACTGATATCTCACCTTGATCTCGTTGCATTCTCTTCAGAAAGTCGTGAGCAGTTTCACCAGGCAGAAGGCGAATGCGGTTGGCATAGAAGGTCATTGTAGGCCCATCGATTTCGAATGGACTAGCATTTACGTCGGCATTCGGGATGGGCCAAAATCTGCCTGAATCGACGCCCGTAAAGAGAGCTTCTTCTTGTCCTGTGAGGTGCAAATTAACCAATGCACAGGCACTTTTGGCGATGGTAGGAGGAGTGATCTCGTAGGCCTTCCGCATTTCGGACAGTTGCGATAGGTGAATAGAGCGATTGATCCCTTGCGCTCCGCGGCTCTGTTCACCATCCAGTAATACACGGTCCCCAGCCCAATGATCCGGCGGAGTCCAACCCTGGGCATCCCCTTTCATCCAGCCTGGTACTTTCTGTGGAGGCCATAATGAATCTGAAGACAGTGACAAGCCTCGAAGCCTTTGAACATGGAAGTCGACCGCCTTCTCAGCTGCTACGCTGGTTCGGTAGTGTTGGTAATGTTCTGCGAAATCACGGTAGGGAAGATAGTATACCGGGCACTGGTCCTGACTTCTGAGGAGCTCTTTTAAGTCCCGGGCCCAAGAAAAGAGGGTAAGGCCATCGAAGATGGCGTGGTGGAAGTGCAGGACCAGCCCAACCTTCGATGAGTCCCGGATACGGAGAATCGTGGCCTTGAAGAGCGGCCCGACAGATTGATTGACCCAGTCAAAGGCAGGGTCGTTCAGTCCGTACATTTCTACACCATTAGCATCCTCCACCTCGCCACCATGGATAATTTGAAGTCTCAACCACGGTTGACTCAACCGCATGACTAGGTAAAGCTCCAGTTCTTCGTTGAATTTGGCAGTTGTTGCACGCAACAACGGGTGACGTTGAAGCCAAAGGCGTAATACTGCCTCCATACCGGCCACATCTATGGAGATATTCGTGACAAACGCCGCCCGGAGGTTCCAAGAGCTTGGTCTACACCTATCGCTTGAGAAATGCTTGACGTAGTCGGTCATTGGAATGACTTCCTCAACATCATCCCAGTCGAATCCTAATGGTGTCAATATAGATGAGGCCACTTCCTTGGCTCGGTGATGTTCAAGCACATTTTTCAAATTGCCTTGCGCACCATTCTGGGGAGATTTCATCCCAGAGATCTCACCAATGTGCTCTTTCCTGATGGAGAGTAATTTGGCTTGCTTTCGAATCGTATTCGCCCCCATAATATCTTGCTGCGTGAGTCGACCTAGTTTCCTTTTGTTCACCAGGTACAGGAACTGAATTATCATGATACTGTCCGCGAAAGCCAGTATCGGAGTGTCCATGTCAACTTCCTGTGGCCCTAGACCACTTACCGCAAGCCAGAGCGCTGTAAGCTCCGTAGGTAAGTCCGAGGATGAAGGCCTTGGAGCATCTAGCTTTCCCACATAATCTACGACCCATTGACGAAGGGTAGTCTTTCGGACCTTCCCTGATGTAGTTGTCGGATAGCTGTCCATCCCAAGGTCTCTTTGTAGGTCTAGAATGAGAGTGGGCGAGAACGATTGCCCGAGCAGGGACGCCACGCTGGACTGAAGAGCCAGAGCGGAAGCCCTATTTTTGTCCTCGTCCTGCTTAATCACCGCAATCGGCACTTCACCAGCAATCGGATCCGGTATTCCAACGACATACACAGCCTAGTGAACCTATTAGATCTGGGCGAAGATAGCCAAATAAAGAAGTAACGCTTACTTTTATCCCAGGGAGTTTCCCTATGCATTGCTCGATTTTGACGGGAGAGATGTTCTCGCCACCTCTGATTATAAGATCTTTGTACCGACCGAGAAGGTACACTTGTCCTTCATCGTCCATGTATCCCTGATCACCGGTTGCCATCCAATTTATTCCATCTTCCTCGTAGAAATTGGACGATTGCTCTGCAGTCGAGCCTAAGTACCCTTTGATCAGGGGAAGCCCTCCTTGGTGCAACTCACCCAGCTGCCCACAGCGAATAGGAATACGGCTACCAGGCTGACAGATTCGCATCGAAGCTCCTGCCTGAGGCTTTCCAAGACATACGTCCCCCTCGGTGGACGCCATGGTTTCTGCATTTACCAAGCGCATCAGCGTCGCTACGGCCTCCGTCGTACCGTAGCCTGCCACAATCCTCTTAGCACCTAGCAACTTGCTAAGATCCAGGATATCAGGCGTGATAGGAGCTCCACCCAGAATTACCGCGAATGGGGAACAAAAATAGGAACCGGAGCTCCTTATATGCGCGATTAAGGCCTGTACCATAGTTGCAACACAGGCTACATGGACTCGGGAGCGTATTCTGAAAGTATCTAGGGAGGCCGCCGGGTTGAACGATGCGCTCGGAAAGACGACTGTACCACCAGCGAGCCAGAAAGCGAGGCTTACCACAATGTTGAAGATATGGAAACACGGCAGGTGTTGACAAAGGCTGTCCCTTGGGCCTAAACCCCATTCATCGACCAGCATTAGGCTCGGGGTACCGATGCTGATAGTGGTATGGGGGCACGCCTTGGGGAGTGATTCCGTGCCGCTGGTGAATAGGATTAGCACGGTGCAATCTGGCCGGGGGTTTGGGTCGGAAATAGGGAGAGCAAGACAACCCTCCAGCATTTGCCTGCTTAAAGTAGTCCATCCGTTCGGTGGGGCACTGTCTGTGCAGTTTATGATACACTTCGACGGATGGAGAGTTGGTACAGATTTTAGAGCTTCGTCGACCTGCTGGGAAATGATGTTGTCTGACACAAATATCGCAGCGGCATTGATTTTACGCAGTAGATAAACGGCGTCTGCATGTTGATTGAACAGTCGCGGATCCAATGGTACAAATTGGCAAGAGAGCCGGGCTGTTGCCCAGAAGAGTAGCGCCCACTCAGCCTCGTTGTAGACGATGGCAATGATTTGACTCCCGTGAGCGACGCCTTGAGCCGATAAAGAGGCTGCTAGGGTTTCACTTGCAGCTTTTAATTGGGAGTATGTCCAACAAAGAGGTTTGTCAACATTGGTAGCATCACCGCCGAGCCCGAATCGGTCTCGTTGATGGAGAGATACCACGGCTTCCTGGTGAGGAAATCGCTCAGCAACATCGTCGAGGAGCAAAATGAGACTTTTGTCCACAGTCCATTTTCTCCCATCGTGGGATTCTGCCACTCCAGTTGCCGAGGTCGTGCGTGTCATGGTAGAACCCGACGTTGTTTCTCTGTTAATCCTTTAAGGAACCCAAAGACATGAACTATGAAGGCGAGTCCAGAATTCAAATAGGCTCCATAAGAATTAACACGCTAGTTGGAAGTGGCGCTTAAGCATCATACTGGCACACCCGGTAGGTCCATGGTGTTTATGTGATCACGGGGCCCATATCTATTTTGGTACACTGATATAACCTAACGCTTTCATTCATTCCGTTCCGAGTGCTCCACATCGTGCTTGATATCTCATCAATCAATCAATGTTCCCTGTCCGAATACAGCCGAGATGCTGCAGAGGTTAGATCTACCATTCCCTGGAATGTTGTCTTCTCTAGTCATCCCTTGCGTCAAGGCCTGGTTTCCGTTTTCGTCCTTCTCTAAAGGGATGGCTGGCGCTGGCTGGCAATCTATTCCTAGTACTATTCCGGACTCTGTTCTGCAAATCTAATTTAACTTTATTCCATCATGATTCTGTTGGGGCATTTTACCCAAGCTCTCCAGAGAGACGCATTTTGTATTCCTGGTACATGAGGCAGACTACGATTGCCTACAGTTAGAATGGCGGCGACTCAGCCGCCACAAATCACTTTCTGGACACCGAATTCTAGGACTACTGTTTAACAACGATTCCTTGACCAGAGAAAGGCTCCTATAGGGATATCCTCTATGATTTGTATGTATACCTTTGATACCATAGCACATACACACCCGTAGACCTATGGTACTTGGGAGTCGTTGAAAGTGTCATACATATCACGGAACTCGGGACATTGATGCAAGAGAACCGTGGGTGGCCCATCAGCAATAAGCGCACCGTCATGCATCATTAGAACTCGTTCATAAAGCATGATGGTGTCAAGCCGGTGGGTTACTGTGAGAACGGTGTGGTCCTTGAAATGGTGACGGATCGCGTCCTGCATGAAATCATCTGTAATTCTATCGATTCTGTTCCCCAATGAATCATGAAATTAGTTACTGCATGCGCATGGCCATAGAGTGGAAGCTATTTTTTCCTAACTCACCGACTAGTAACTTCGTCAAAGGCAACAATGTTTCCATCACGCAGCATTGCTCTAGCTAAGCAGAGTATCTGCCTCTGCCCGTCGGAAAAGATATCTGGGCTGACGACAATGTCAAGGCCACCCCCTGCTTCGACTAGACTCCAAAGTCTGACCTTCTTGAGTACATCTATGATGCTTTCATTGGAGTGCTTGCTGTAGGGGTCGACATTCTCCCGCACGCTACTCTGATCGAAGACATATGGGTCTTGGGGAATGCCGATAATGGATGACCGCACCCGTTCGCGAGGAATGGTGGCAATGTCTAGATCATCTACAAGGATACGGCCGTCTATGATCTCGACGGTGCGGAATAACGTAGATATCAATGTACTCTTACCACTGCGACGGACTCAGTTCCACGATTGTACTTGGAGAAGCATCTGCTACATACCTGCCCGTACGACCGCATATAGCGATCTTCTCACCTTGGCGAATTGTCAAGGAGACGTTCTTCATAGCTAAATCAGATTGACTTCCACGATTCCACATTAGCCTGGCCCACTTGTCCCGCAAAGATTATGATTATGGATTAAACTCACTTGTAGGACGCAGACACCGCTCGAAACTCGATTGACCCGAAGTTGGGCCACTGTTCCGGGACACTGAAAGTTTCTCCCGGGAGATGCTCTGAGCGTGTGCCCTCCACAAAGTCCTTGACACGAGTTATAGCACCCAAAGATGTTTCTAGAGAGGTCCAGTACGCAATGAAATTCTTAATGGAGGTGCTGAGGGATGCGACGTTGACTAGGGCCAGCCCAATAGAACTGGGAGACGCATGCCCCATAGTAGCAACGGCGATCCCCATCAGGACCACCACGAAGCCCGCTATTGACATATCAAGCACTACACTCAACCACATTTGAATCGATAGGAGTAGGTAGTATGGCTTCTGCGAGTTGTGCAGGCATGTCTGGTTAATCGCCTTATATTCCTTTTGCCATCCGAACGCTCGGATTGTTGCAAGCCCGACCGTCGTCTCCATGAAATTTGTAAATAGTGGGGATCTGGCTTCGATCTCCATGACCCGCAGCTGGCGCGATGTGCGAATGTAGTATCTTTGTATGCAGTAGTATGCCACGAGGCATGCTGGCAAGGTTGCCGTGATGTATTTCGCAGACACAGAAATGACGATCAACTGTCCGATGCATAGGAATAAAGCTGAACGGTAAATGATGAGCATCACCGTCGTTATGAGATACTTGAGAAAGCGGTGCCATATGTCTTACCAAGAGATGTGTTTAATGTAACTATAGGAAGCTCAAAGTCAATCAGCTCTAAATCCTGACTGAACCTAGCTCGTGGAAGGTTGTCAGTCATTAATGAAAACTGCTCGAGAAAAGAGAAGGAAGTGATAGACGTGTCTGTACCGGTTGAGAATTTCTCCCATGTCGGTCGAAGAAAAGAAAGAGATTGGCGCGCTAAAGTACTACGTTAGAAGGGCACGAATTGGGATGCCACGCATGCTTACAGCAAAACCGTCTGCAGAAGTCGAGAATGTATGGTTCGCATAGTGTTCTGCATGACACCCCTCAAAAGACACCTATAGCCGTCAGATACCACCCTTTGATAAATGATTCAGGGTTAAGCAGCTGTGGTACCATGCAGTAAACATCAGAAAAGCAATTCCCAAAATCCCCAGGCACCAATATACTCCCACGCGCATATGCCAGTGGACATTTGGCTGTTTATCATTGTCTGCTGCCCACCATTTCAACCATACAGCTGCAAGAACCTCGCGTTTAGGATTGTATTCGACACACCGAAGAGGGGCCAGGTACTTACTTGGGAAGACCTGCAGAAAGACATATATGGCTAGCGACATATAAAATACACACCATGCACAGATGGGTGCGGTCGAGAGGTAGTACTTGTAGGTTGTGAACAGCCCAGTGTGACAATTCTGCTCAATATTCTTTTCATCAGAATCCAGTACATGGTGCTGCGCTGAGGGCGCCGCCGTAGCCTCCATAACCGCGGTTGATGGTTTCATTTTGCGCTCTTGGTTATGAGTGTAGTGGAGATAGTCCTGAACATGGGCAAATTGCCCTTGTGCGAGAATTGATCCCTCTGCATTTAGAACGATGATATGATCTGCTAATGGTAATGCGCGAGCTTTTTGAAAGATGGCCACATTTAGCATGCATCGTGATATCTCGGACGGTGTGAGAACCTACTCGAGTTTGTTGTCATTACCACCGTCACTCCAAGCATCCTAGTTAGCCCCTGTGGCCCCAGTACTTGTGACAAAATTCTCTCCTCGGTAACGGCGTCTATACTACTGGTAATGTCATCTAGAAGCATTACGCTAATTTGTGAATAGATAGCACGCGCCAATGCCTGTTTGAGTTGCACATTAGACCACGGAGGGCAGATATGGAAAGGTGCTTACCAGTCGCTGCTTTTGTCCCCCACTTAGTGAGATGCCATTACTACCAATCAGGGTCTGGTCACCTTGATGTAGCTGCTTAAGATCATCTTGTAGACCACAAGCGGCAATCACTTTAAGGTACCACTCCTCCACATACCCTTCTGCTCCGAGGATATTCTCTTTGAGGGTGCCGTTTGCTAGCCATGGAGTCTGGCTACAATAAGCTATTCTGGCCGAGTCGACTCGGACCTCACCTGTTATGAACGGAACCTCACCAAGGAGTGCCTGAAGTAGAGTAGACTTTCCGCACCCCACAGTACCAACGACCATGGTCAATGAAGACTGTGGAATGACAAATGACTGATTACGAAGAATAGGGGGGCGATCACGTTTCCACCACACAGTGAGATTATGTGCTTCAATACAAGGTGTTTCAGAACCCAGCTTGCAGGTAGTATCGGAGTCTTGGGATGGAGTGGAGACTCGGGATATGCGAAGATCATGTCGCCGAGACTGAGCAAGGAAGTTCTGGATACGACCTGTGCACCCGAGAGATGTGGCAAGGTCTGCGAAAGCCTGGAGGAACCCCATGAATGACCCCGCAAAAATGTTAAATAGAGTAAGGGAGGTGAAGAGCCGCTCGCTATTAAGCACGCCGATGCTCTTACTCTGGGACATGATCGTGTAGATGGTGAATGACACTACTGGCGTGATGATTGTGTTGATATTGGCTAGAGTAAGCTTAGGATGAGCGCCGACTGGACTATTCGAGATAGACGTAGCTTACCCAATGCGATAAGCACTATCAGGAGTAGACGATACCGGTATGAGATGCTGATCTCATTCTCCCGCAGTGCGTGGAGCTTCGTGGAGAGCTTGCCAGTCAACGCTGACATCTTCACACTTTTTATTGCGCTGACCATCTCACTGGTAACTCCCAATCGTTGTTGTATCCTCTCAACCCACAGCTTCTGTCTCACAGATGCTATGCCTGCTAGCCAGGCCACCACTACCGTAGAGCCTGAACAACCGAGTCAGTGAGCTGAACAGTGGAGCATGAGCATTCTGGTAGCTTACAGAACGAGATGAGAATTGGTGCGACATCAGCGCTAGATATCTGGAGATATAGGAGCCAGAGACATAGGGGGAGCTCAATGAATGTTGCCCATGTTTCATGAATGTGCTGAAAGCCTGCCGTGACTCGGTCGACGTCGGTATTCATGGCCGTTATCGCGGAAGCGTCATCACCGCTGTGAATTGGCATTGTCATGACTTTACGGTAAATCATTGTGACTAGGATTCCTCGCATGCTAGCCATGAGGCGATAAGATTTGTGCTGGGTTTGGGCAGAGGATATCTGTGAAGTGCAATACATTAACAAAACCTGACTTGGCCTCTGTAGTGGAATCGACAGGTGGATTGACTCGTACCCCTTGCCCAACATAGACAATTGTATAGGCCGCAATCAGCCCCAGGCCACGACTGCGGGCATTGGTACCCTGAGTAATGAGCAAAGTCACAGTACTGCGGATCAGATATGGCTGGGCAAAAGTAAAGCCAATCTGGGCCAGACGAGGAATTATGCCAGCGAGAAGGTCCCATTTCAATGTGTTCAGTAAGGGGCCGACCAAGGATTGCCATTGATCCTGAGCTTCGTCTGTGGACCATGAATCAGCCAAATATAGGTCTTCAGAGCACCATTACCTACTCTGGATCGCGATAACCTACATCTATCCCACAATCGAGAGAACTGATCTACCACAGCGGGCTCTGGTACCATTGTTTTTTGCATCGGAAAAAGATCATTTAATGTTAACGTCTTTTTTGACCCGGCCTGCAGCAGCGGGTTCAGCCACCAGAATAGACCACGATTAAAAGCCCCGGCCCAGGTCTCTGGAGGCATCGCTGAACCGGATGCAGAAAGTATGTGCTTCTTCTCGGCCATCTCAAAGCCGAGGAGCAACAGACTTAGGATTGCGGATACTATGGACATAGCTGCAACGGCTTGTAGGCCCTCGATCGCCCATAGTGTCCTTAGGCGGGGTATATAAAGCAAAATCGTGAAGAGAAAGAAACAGTTGAGGGACTTGGACGGTCGAATAGATCGACAATGTTCGTAGTGAGATAGGCAACCGAATCCTACAATGGCGACCAGCGACAGACAGGAGGCCGCCAGGCTCAGGTCGGTCCGAGGCATGGAGGGTCTTGCCCACAGACACAGTTGCACAAGTTGAACCAGCGCATTAGTCGCGTGAAGGAGCTAGACTCGGATGAATCAGTCATTGGATAACCTGATAATTTTGAAATTGAGATACCCCACCACTTTAGTCCAATAAAGCCACTCTTTAATAACCTTGGGCTCCTGGTTCTGTAGGTATAGTATGCGTGCTATCGCGGCAAGAAAGAAGATTGAGGACGGCGCAATGGACATGAAGCCTTCTTCGAATAAGAGCGTGAAGTCGAAGCCATTGTAGCATCTCTCCACTGAAGGCCCGAACTGATTTTCAACCAGTATGGAGCATGACGCAGATCGAGGTGTGATATTCGACAACAGGCGCATCTTGCCGCACCTCGTGCCAGGAGTTGGCTGCACCTGTATCGGTGAAATACTATCAAATATTATCTCACGGACTGAGGGAAGTAACACAGCTGGTTTCAAGATGCAGGTCTGCACGCATGACCCACGGGTATATTATCCCTGGGGACTGATGCAAGCAAAAAAAAAAAAAAAAAAAAAAAAAAAAAAAAAAAAAAAAAAAAAAAACCTCAGAGTTCCGGTCGTTCTTAAGAAAGCCTATGGCGATAAGCCACGCTCAAGAAGTCAGGTAAATGAACAATGCCTACATCACTGAAGGCCTCAATAGTGGATCCGCAACAGACGTCCTCGACGATATCATATTTCACCGTCGTGACACTGCCTTTGGGTTCATTAGTTGTACTATGTTGATATCACCCTCACCAACCGGGATTGAATTAGAAACAGTCTGCATTTCGGCATTTCCAGAAAACCTGAATGCAGAAAGAAGGAAGACAAAAATCGCCTAACCAAACGAGATACCGGAAAATAGGAAGAACAGCACAGACCCTATAGGCCGGAGTGGGAAGTATGCAGAGGCCGAAAGCAGAACGATAAGGAATGTTGATCATCAGCATTCCTTACGTCCCAAGGGCTTCCATGGCACCCTAGAAGTTAATGAAGTTACATCGTCTTGGCAAACTTTACGGACTGACTGTAAGCTACTATTTCTCTAGCAAAACCAAGGATCGATGGGGGACCCTAAGTCTGGAAGAGAGGCAAGTATTCAGATTTGGAGCGGTGCGAAATGATGCTGTTAAAACATCAAGTTGGCGATTTCCTAGCGCATCGTTTTGAAGAACTGGCAGTTAAAGACTATTTCGTTGTACCAGGTAAGGAAGACTTCCTATCTACCTCTCGCAGGGGAAGGCTTATGACTATATTAACTAAACCCGGGATACAGGAGATTACAATCTCGACCTCGTGGACCAACTGCTCAGGAATCCTAATCTGCGTATGATAAACTGCTGCAACGAGCTGAATGCTGGCTATGCGGCGGATGGGTATGCCCGGGTGAGCAAAAGCAATATTGCGGTAGTGGTGGTCACATACATGGTTGGAAGTCTTTCGGTACTGAATGCAATCGCCGGGGCATATTCCGAAAAGCTCAAAGTAATAGTGGTCTGTGGAGGGCCAATGTCCCGTCATTGCTCGAGTGATCCTGCTGTTCACCACTCCCTAGGGATACCCGACAAGGACCAATCCAGAAAGATCTTTGAGCAAGTGACTTGTGCTTCTATCCGCCTTGATCAGCAGAACACTCCAGACGACATCGACCATGTCTTGCAGGAATGTTTGGCGAAGTCCCTTCCTGTTTACATGGAGTTTCCAGTTGACCTTGTCAATAAAGTATTCTTTGATCCGACTGCCATGAAGCCCTTAGTCAGACCGTCCACCTCGGGTCAGCTAGGCAATACTGATGAAGCTTTGAGATATGTGTGGCAAGCGTGGGTATCTGCACGCATGCCAGTACTCCTTGTGGGAGGAAGGGCCCGGCACTTTCTGTCCGTCAAGGTCATTGAGCGCTTTATGAGCGCCATAGGATGCGTCGCCTTCTACCTACTGGATGGAAAGTCTCAGTTATCCGAGGCTCATCCGCAGTGCGGAGGACTCTTCTGGTCCGTTGTCTCCGATCCAGGTGTGGAGGTGACCGTGCGGGAATCGGACCTATGGATCACGGTCGGGTGTCGCTGGAACGATCTCCATACTCTTCGGTCCTTAGACGTCTCGAAAGAAAGAAGTAGGATCCTTGCAATTGAGGAATCGTCCATTCGAACACCTGATGGACATACCATAAACAATATTCCTACCAAAGCGGTAATACAGGCTTTGATTGAAAGAGGCCTTCCACCCAACGACACATCTCTGAAGGCTTTCTTGCAGTATCAAGACCAAGACTTGCACAGTAATCAGAAATACTCACCACCAGGCCAGAATGCTGAGTCAAATGTCACACTGGACAACATCGTTGATAGAATCTCATCTGTGATCAGCCGCAATGACACCATAGTAGCCGACGCAGGTGAGAGTTGGTTTGCTGCCAGCCGCGTTCGCTTGCCTCCTGGAGCTGACCTCCAGACCCAACTACTATATTCTTCCACCGGATGGTCATTACCAGCCTCAATGGGCTGTCAGCTTGCACGTCCGGATGGCAGAACTATTGTGATTTTAGGAGATGGCAGCTTCCAAATGACTTGTCAGGAGCTGAGTACGATGCTCCGTTATGAGGTCAATGCAATCGTTGTTATAATCAACAATCATGGTTACCAGATAGAGGTAGTTCGAGACCCCTGTAAGATACATAGACATGAGACTAATCTATTTATACAGGAAATGATCCATAAGGGTCCGTACAATCAGATTGGGAGCTGGAATTACGCTGGACTTGCGGCCGCGATTTGGCATGAGACAGGAACTGGAAAGTCACTCCTGGGGAAACACAGTGTTTTCTCGGCCAAGATACAAACCATTAAACAGCTTGATGCTGCATTTCTTCATGCCAGTCTATATCCTCGAGTACTGGCAGTGTTGGAATGCTGCATTGATCCTGCAAAGCCTAGCAGTACTGTTCAAATATTTGGGTCTAAGCTTGTCCATAGTGACATAATCCCTTGCCCAGCGACTCCGCAGTGAAGCATTCGGGCTACCAAGACCGAGGAAATAGTATGAATTTATGATTGAAGAGACAATGCATCTACCTATACAGGTAGGGCTGTTCATTATTAGGGTATTAGACACAATGTTCCTGATCCTCCCAAGTTACTCGTACTCTATACCACTTTTCACCCTGGAATCACAGTCTGAATTTCAAATGATAAACCCGCATAAATACTATGATAGAATGGCATCTGAAGGATGACTCACGTCATGTACCGAGTTTCCCTCTGAGCTCATTGAACTTCCAACAAACGCAGTTGCTTCCGCATGATTTTGCCACTCACCGTTTTCGGAAGAAAAGCACGATCCACAAACTCGATCTGGTGAGGACAGTTGTGGACGGTGCTCCGCTGCAGGAAGTGTTCCCGGATCGCCTGCTTGAGCTGTGCTGCTGGTAGTGTTGTATTTTCTTCCTGAAGGACGACGAATGCTTTGATAGTGGCCCCCCGATCGTCGTCTGGCGTTGCAATGACAGCCGATTCCAAAATAGCAGGATGGGCCTGCAGCACCGACTCGACATCCACTGGGCCTGGAAACCGAGTAAGCTATATTGCAGCTGGGCAGCCTGTAGTGGTTATACTTACTGATCCGATGGCCCGCCGAAATTATAATGTCATCACCTCGTCCCTTGTACCAAAAGTAACCCTCGTCGTCACGATGTGCCCGGTCTCCAGTGAGATACCAGTCTTGGCCCTCTGCATCTCTGACAGTTGGTCTAACTACTGAGCCATCTCCTTGAAGATACCCCTTGAACAGGCCCAGGAAGGTGGAAGGGTCTGTAAGCTTTGGAACCCGAATGGCAATATCGCCCTCTTCAAATGGATGCGCCACCTGTCGTTTCTCGTTCAAAATGTACAGAGGTACCCCAGGAAATGGTTTTCCCATTGAGCCTTGTCTGAACTGGATAGTGGAGTAATTCCCACAAAGAATGGACGTCTCGCTCTGCCCGAAACCGTCGTATATCATAAGTCCATCGGTCATATCGTACCACTCCCTAATTACATGCGGCGCAAGGCTTTCCCCTGCACTGACGCAATGTTCTAGGGCCAATGGCTCATGGGCTGCAAATACGCGCTTACTTTCCCCACTAACCAGTTGACGATATATTGTTGGAGCGGCGCAGAAAGTGGTGATGGGGTGTTGACTAAGGTTCAGTATTACTCGCTCGGGATCAAACAACCCGGGGTATGCATCGATGAACAGAGCCGCTCCCTGACTCCAAGCGCCAAACAATGCCCATGTTGCCTTTGCCCAACCTGGCCAATACATCATTAGTCTGTGATGTGCGGCGCAAGGATATCCTGGAAGAGAGAGCTACCTTGTTCAGACATGTTCCAGAGCAGTTGGCTTGGGCAGAGATTCAGCCAGAGCTTACCAGTAGTGGTATGGGCTTGGCTTGCCTCGTCAGCTATGTGAAAGCCAAAGGGGTATTAACCAGCCAATCACTCACCGTATGGGTAGGAGACATGGGTATGCAGCACTATCTTGGATTCCCCCGTTGTCCCAGAGGTGAAATACATCAGGCAGGGGTCATCAGACTCGGTATCGAAAGTGTGTGTGCCATGTTCATGCGCCGTAGATTTTAACAGCGTTTCATAGGACAGCGCTCCTGGACTACATTCCTCGCGATCAGTGGCATTATTGATCCGGATGACAGTGTGCACAGTCGGATTATCCTGCTGGTCTCGAAGACGAAGAAATTCATGCACCTGTTTGTCCTCTCCAATAAGGACGGATGCGTTTGCTTTTCGAGCTCTAAGCTCGATTTCAGATGATACAAGCAGCGAGGGGCAAGGGCATATTACCACACCAGCGAGTATGGCCCCACAGAATATTTCATACCAGGCCGGTGTTTTGGATGATAGTAACAGCAACACATCGCCTTTCTGTATACCATGACTCCGTAGCCCTGCAGCTACATCTCGTGCGCGCTGAGAGAAATGACTGAAGCGCAACTGGAGTATCTCATCTGGCTTAGTACTCCCTGGCGGATTCCACACCATTGCAATAGGGTCTCCACCCTCTTGACTCCAGTAGTCCATTACATCTTTGATGAAGTTAAAGTGGTTGGGATTGTTGTTCCGTCCTCGGGAAATAACTGTCATTGTGGCTTTAGAACCGAGAGAGTCAACGATAACGGGTATGCTGGCGGTTATTCATACGCGACTCTTTGGTGTAGAGTACGGTAGAGCGTAATATGTAGAACGTATAATAAATGCTATTTAAGAAGATAAAATATGATGCATACATCATGCACATAATTAGCTAAATGGAAGCGTTAACTGCCAGCTTCGGACACGGAAACGGAAATATGGAGGCACGGGAATGTAGGGTTACCGCCAGCCTCCAAGAACCCGACCCTAGAAGCGACGTAACATACGACCCCAACATAAACGTCAGTCTATTCAAGCTGAGACCAGAGCGGCAATTGAGTTTAATTGTAGCTTTGAATAAGAATTTTACTTCGTTGTTCCGCTTTCATCGTCATGGCTCCAGAGGTAGACTAGAGTGATATGGGTGCGAGTAGCTACATATGACACACTTCGATGACCACCCCTTAGGATAGGGGATACATTTAACGCTCCCTTTAGTTTCCCCTATCCAGTTATACGAGCCATGAATCTTGGGTCTTGTATTTATCTAGTTTTCCTTTTTCAAAAAAAAGCCTACTAACTGTTTTGACGGACAATGGCGACCAATGAACCATCTAACCAGAAGGGGGTACGCCCAATCGCCATCATAGGGCTATCATGTCGACTACCAGGAGACGTGAGATCTCCAGAAGACTTTTGGAAATTTTGTTGCCAAGCTCGAAGTGCCTGGTCTGAAATCCCATCGACACGATTCTCAGCCGCAGCATACTATCACCCTAACCCGGAACGGCCAGGCGCCACCAACGCCAGCGGAGGGCATTTTCTTCAGCAGGATATCGCGTGCTTTGATGCACGATTCTTCGGAATGACTGCCGAAGAAGCGGTGGGGACTGATCCCCAGCAGCGTCTAATGTTAGAGTGTGCCTATGAGGCCCTGGAGAATGCCGGGCTCTCCCAAACAGCTATCGCAGGTGAAAATGTCGGGGTCTTTGCCGCCGGTTCATTCAGTGATTATGAGCTGCATAGCTTCCGTGATTTGCAGAATACCACAAATTTCCAAGCGACAGGTTGCGCGGCGTCGTTCTTGTCGAATCGGCTATCACACTTTTTTGACTTCCATGGCCCTAGTTTGACGGTAGATACTGCCTGCTCATCCGGTCTCTCTGCTCTTCACCTCGCTTGCCAAAGCTTGCGATGTGGCGAATCCAGCTATGCACTAGTCGGGGGGTGTCACTTGAATGTGACACCAGATTACTTCATTTCATATTCACTCTCTGGGTAAGGTGAACCCCAGGTTATAGAATGTAGTTGATTCGGATCCAAAGCTGATAGTGTGCAGACTCTTTTCCGATAGTGGCAGATGCTACCCATTTGACCAGCGGGGATCATCTGGATACGGCCGCGGTGAAGGGGCAGGCTGTGTTATCCTCAAACCATTAGATGCAGCCCTTGCCGCTGGAGATCTAGTGCGCGGCGTGATTCTTAATACAGGAATGAATCAGGATGGCCACACGCCGGGTATAGGTGTGCCAAGTGCCATGGCCCAAAAGAGGCTAATGGCGACGGTTTATAGAGCTGCGGGTATTAACCCTCAACGGACAGGTTATGTTGAAGCGCACGGGACTGGGACCAGAATAGGTGACCCAATTGAAGCCCGGGCACTGCACGAATTCTTCTGCTCCGGGAGAAATGAGAATGATCCGCTGTTGATCGGATCTGTAAAGTCGAACTTTGGGCACGCCGAAGGGGCGAGTGGCATTATATCGGTCGTGAAGACTGTGTTAATGTTGGAGAAAGGCTTTGTGCTCCCTAATTGTGACTTTCAGCATGCAAGGGACGATATTCCATTGGATGAATGGGGACTAAAGGTTGGTCTCTGATTTGAACCTACTAGTCATTTATGATCACTTTCTCACCTCCGCAGGTCCCAACGAGGCTAATACCATGGCCACAAGGGAAGCCCTTTGCAAGTATTAACAACTTCGGTCTAGGGGGAACAAATGCCCATGCAATCTTAACAAGCGCGTCCGAGGTCGGGGCCTTCACCTTGTCGCCACCTAGCGATGGGGGCCGAGTTCATCGAAAGAAGAGAAACCGACAGCCCTATCGGATCTATGTCCTATCTGGCTACAGTGAAGGTGCGGTCATGGCTCAAGCCAAACGGCTGCACTCCTATATAGAGCAGTGCCCAAATCTTTATGATAGTCAGTTCATGGCGGACCTGGCATTTACACTTGGCGAGCGGCGCGGAACACTTCCCTGGAAATTAGGCATCCCCGCGAAGTCTCCGAAAGACTTGATTTCTCTTCTATCAGAACAGGAAGTCCGTCCCTGTCGCTCCCTTCGCGCCCAGAGTGTTGCGTTTGCCTTTACAGGACAAGGAGCTCAGTGGTGTGGGATGGGCAGGGAGCTTATGGATGTGTATCCTGTCTATGCTGAGGTGATACGGGCGGCGGACAAACACCTTGCTACTCTGGGGGCAGATTTCTCCTTGATAGGTACGTATATTGATGGTGGGTAGCTTGACTTGAGAACTACTCTAACATTGTGCGATTAGAGGAGTTATCGAAAGATGAACATGAATCATCACTCTGGCGCCCAGCTGTTAGTCAAGTAGCCTGCAGCTCTGTCCAAATGGCAGTAACAGTCCTTTTAGCCTCGTGGGGTATTCACCCAGAAGCTGTCATAGGTCATTCTAGTGGTGAAGTTGCGGCTGCCCATGCCGCGGGAATCGTAAGTTTAGAGGATGCCGTCACATTAGCTTACTTTCGCGGTTCTGCCGCTGAGAAACTGACCCACGACTTCCCGGACTTGAAAGGTGGCATGATTGTTGTGGGCACTGGGGTGGAGGAGGCTGAAGCACTCTGTCGGGATGTCAAAGACGGCCAGGCCTCAGTGGCCTGCGTCAACAGTCCACAGAGCATCACCATTTCTGGTTGCGAGCGTGGTATTCAGCAGATACAAGAGTTGGCCCAAAGCAAATTTATCTTTCACCGAAGACTAAAGACCGGGGTGGCATACCACTCTCATTATATGAAATTGGTTGCAGACAAATACAGGTCTGGGATCAAAGGTGTCACGGCGGGTGTCTCCAGTATTCCTTTCTACTCGTCAGCTCGAGGGTGCCTGGTTAAAGGCTCTGAGCTACATTGCTCCTATTGGGTTGAGAACTTCATCTATCCTGTCCAGTTCGTGGCGGGCCTGACTTCGTTGCTGGACACTCAAACTGCCGCTCAAAAGAAGACAGATTATATCATTGAAATCGGGCCTGCCACATCTCTCAAAGCACCAATTCAGGATACCATACGGTTATTGAGGGCAGGTGATGATGTAAAGTATGCGCCCAGTCTGCAAAAGGGTGAAAATGCACTTAAGAGCATGCATGAGCTCGCAATAGCCATGTTCCTAAACGGACAGCCCGTCCAATTTGGTGCAGTGAACTTCCCGACATTGAATGGACCCAAGCCACGGCTACTGAAGGACCTTCCATCTTATCCTTGGGACCATAGCAAGCGTTATTGGCACACCTCCCGAGTGGGACAGAATACCATTTACCCGAGTGTTCCCCATCATGACCTGATTGGGTCCCAATTGGCCGAGGCCAATAATCTTTACCCTCAATGGAGGGTTATTTTTCGGGCAGATGATCATCCTTGGATACGTGGCCATCAATTCCAGGATCAGAACATTTATCCATTAGCCGGCTTTGTGTCTATGGCGATAGAAGCGGCTTCACAGGAGTGCAAGCGGGACGGAACGATACCGGATTCTATCAGCCTGCGAGAGGTATCGGTTGGCAAGGCATTGGTGATACCCGATGCCGCAGCGGTAGAGCTCATGATCTCTCTTAGGCCGTATAAGGGAGGCACTCGGGCTATATCTAGGAGCTGGAGCGAATTTCACGTCTGCTCCTGGTCCGAGCAAAAAGGGTGGCAAGAGAATTGCAATGGCCTCATTTCTGTCCATACTGCGCCGAAATCCAACCCAGTCAATGGAGATCAGCTTCGGCGTGCCCAGGAAATATTATTAGCTAAAGAGCTAACAACAATCACGACAGCAAGTAACAGATATATTGACTCAAATATCGTCTACGACGAGCTACGTGGCATTGGCATAAAGTACGGGCCCTTGTTCCAGGGATTGAAAGCATGTTATGCCTACAAAGGGAGCGGAGTGGCGAAGACTCAAGTACCTGATACCGCTGTGGGGATGTCCCACAAGCCGTTTTCCGAGTTGTTGATCCACCCAGTGACCTTGGATATATGTTTCCAGACTATCTGGTTGACGCTTGGTGTCGGGTCAGATGGATTGGGGAGAATCCATCTCCCCTCTTTCATCAGAAAACTCACCATCAAGTGTAATAGGCCAGTACTATCCGGCCAGAAGCTTAGCCTGTACAGTAAACGCCTAGGCCAAACGTACGACCACCAACCAACTGTTCACGATGTCTGGGCACGCAAATCCGATGACTCAGAAGACATGGTTTTACAAGTAAGCGGGCTTGTTATGACCCCGATTCTTGATAGTGTACCAGCGTCAAACCATGCGGCAGAGAAGCAACTCTGTTACTCAATGGCAACAGTCCCGTACACTAAAAGCACGGCACAATCACAGCTTCTCAATAGTATTTCGGATGAAGCTTCGGAAGTCGCAGTGAATAGACGCACCAACGTACCGCAGAAAGCAAACACAGACATGGTTTCTAACACTATCCAACCCAGTGGCCTACTTCATAGGCGGAACGTTACCATAGTATATCATGATGAGTTGCAATGGTTTCCACTCAGCTCTTTGGCTAGAAGATTACAAGCTTTGACAGGGAACATACCCACTATCCGGACCCTGGCCGACAAGAGCGAGGTCAGACAAGACCTATGTATCTTTCTCGGCGAGGTCGAGGGGCCACTCCTGGCAAACTTGACACCAGACACCTTTAAATCGATTCAGGATCTTCTCACAACCTCCTCCGGTGTATTATGGCTTGTCCAAGGCGGGCATAGCGGGTTTGAAAGTCCTGTTGCGAAAATGGCAGTTGGTCTTGCTAGATCAGTGAGATCGGAAACTGGTCTGCCAATTGTCACGTTTGATGTGGACTTCACCAACAGCACTCCACATGACGCTGTATTGCATGGTATCCTATCTGTTTTTGAGAATATGCTCCAGCCACCATCGGACACGGACTGCCTAGATATGGAGTTTATATCTCGGGGAGGTGTCCTTTCCGTTCCGCGCGTTGTCCCTGACACTGTTACCAACAAACAAATCTTTACGGACGGTCCAGCCTTTTCATCGGCAATACAACCCCTTCATCAAAGTAACAGACCACTGCAGCTAGCTATTCAGGAGCACGGGATGTTGAATTCCCTGTACTTCACGGATAGCGGCAAGGTATTGGGCCCTCTTGGCAACGATCTTCTAGAGTTAGATGTACATTACGTCGGGCTGAACTTCAAGGACGTTATGTACGCTAACAATCAACTGGCAATGGATGGATTTGGTGTTGAGTGCAGTGGAATCGTTACCGCTGTTGGGCAAAGGGTTGCCGGCTTCAAAGTGGGAGACAGGATCTGCGCCATCTCGGAAGGCTGTTTTGCGAGTAAGACCCGGTGTCAAGCGTCAAGGGCGTGGGTAATACCGGACGGGATGTCCCTAGAGATCGCTGCCACCGTGCCGGTTGTTTACTGCACGGCATTCTATTGCCTCTATAAAGTTGCCAGACTGAGCGCAGGTGAAACGATCCTTATCCATGCTGCTGCGGGCGGAGTCGGCCAGGCGGCGATCATCCTGGCTCAGGCAGTCGGGGCAAATATATTGGCAACTGTGGGTAGTGTCGAGAAGAAGAAATTCCTTATGCAAGTCTATGGAATTCCGGAACACCGTATCTTCTTCAGTCGGGATCTTTCCTTCGTCCAGAGCGTCATGCACGCGACCTCCGGAAGAGGAGTCGACGTTCTACTCAACTCACTAGCAGGCGAGGCTATGCAGGCTTCCTTTACCTGTGTCGCTCCCTTCGGGAGGTTTGTAGAGATCGGTAAACGCGACATCTTAGCAAATTCCCACATAGAACTATCCCCGCTCGAGCACAATATATCCTTTACGACCGTTGACCTGGGTGTTTTCGCCAGAGATCGTCCTGACCTGTTGGGGACCTTGTTCGACAGTGTCTTCAGTCTATTCCGCGCTGGCAGCGCAAGAGCTATCGCACCAATCAGTGTATTCGATGCAGCGAACATCGGGCCAGCGCTTCAAATGTTGCAGAGCGGACGTAGTACTGGGAAATTGGTCGTTTCCCTCCGAGATGAACAGGTTGTCAAGGTGTGTGCTATGGAAATTCACCGTAATCCAGACCTCACTGACAGGAATTGTGAATAGGTTAGCCCAGTCACCCGAGATGGGTCTCATCTCAGCCCAGGTGCTTCTTATGTCGTTGTTGGAGGATTTGGCGGCCTTGGTCAAAGCATCATTGCTTGGCTCGCTGACCATGGAGCGAAACACATCATTGTTGTTTCCAGACGAGGTCGGGCTACCGAGTCGACCTTCCGTCTATTTGAAAACCTACATTTGAAGGGTGTTGCTGTTAATGTGGTAAAATGTGATATTAGTGACCGGGATCAAGTGGTGACAACGCTCGCCCAAAAGCTTGGTGAGGTGCCTACGGTGGCAGGAATTATCCACAGTGCCATGGTCTTACGGGTAAGCACGTTGTCTCCTCTGTCCTGTATATGGTTTACCGGTAGGTACACAAACTAACAATATCTTAAGGACACTCTCTTCGAACAAATGACTTTCGATGATTATGATGCCGTTATCCGGCCCAAGGTCCATGGATTGTGGAATTTGAATGACTTGCTTCGGACAAAACAACTCAAACTCGACTTCTTCGTGGCACTCTCTTCGGTCGCTGGGATTGTCGGGAACCGAGGTCAAGCCGCATACTCCGCTGCTAGCACGTTTCTTGACGCTTTTGCAGATTTCCAGCGAGGCCGGGGAGTTCCCTTCACCACGGTAGACCTCGCTCCGGTATCCGATGTTGGATATCTAGCTACCAACGCGAGAAAGTTGCAGCAGGTCAGCGACACCTTCGGGGGGCAGACAATTAACGAAGGTGAATTCCATCGATTGCTAGCTACCATCATCTTCCCCGAACCTGCACTAGCAGATCAAAGAAGTCAACTCATCACCGGGCTAACTGTTCCACGGGATGGTGACGCTCGGGCACGTATGGACTGGCTCAAAGACCCTAAATTCTCCATGCTTGTGGATAGCTCAGAGATCCATTCTTCTTCGAAGCCTACAGGTGCACCAGCTAGGCTCCAGTCCGTCGGCGAAATACTCAGCAAAGCCACATCTCCGGCTAGTGCCATCCTTGTCGTGACAAATGCCTTGGTGCATAAGCTCTCCGAGGTGGTTATGTGTCCTGCCGAGGATATCGACTACAACAAGCCGATCACAACCTGTGGAATCGACTCGCTTTCGGCTATTGGAGTCCGCAAGTGGTTATCCCGGGAAATGGAGGCTACACTTACCATCTTTGATATCTTGAACTCCCCCTCCCTAACCCAACTAGCAGAACTATGCCTGCGCAAGTCAAATCTCGCTTCTTCTGCATTGCGAAGTCATTGTGGGATGAATTAATTAAGTGGATATTGCCTGTCCTCCTGTTGAGGCTATGGCTTGTTACTGCTATTGATTGTCTCGTACATCACTTACACTTTGGATCTGTAATGCCTTTTATCTAGATGAGATGTCCTGATAGTCAATATGGACAGATCATCTATACCTAAGGAGTCCCTTAAGAGCCAATATATGTATCTTAGAGTTAACCCAACTTAATCCTTTTGTCCGGATGGGTACCTTTCACCAACCCAGTTTGGTAACTTTCGCAGTAGATGATACAAACCCTTAGGCTAATATTCCTTCCTATATTTAGCACTCGTGACACCAATCCGTGAGAATCAAAAGGGTGGTCGAGCTCTATCATAGCCTTTGTGTCATGGATTGTCCTTTCGGACATTACTACTGTTTTCCAAGGCAAACAAGCAGGCGAGATTGAAGCCATCCAGCTCTGTATAAAGGAGCGGAGCATAAAAAAATACTCCCACGCCACGACCAGTACTTCTCTTGTCCTTTCTCTATGCTATATGGTATTTCCGATTCACGTAATACTTTATCTGTAGCAAAATAATCTCTTCGAAATCGTGACTGCCTCAGGCTACCTCACAACACCACTTACTGGCAAGGTCATGTAAAGTCGTACAGTTTATCATCTTATTCTGCCTATATGCACACCCAGTAACATTCTGACTTCCATATCACAGTATCTACATCTTTCCCTACTGCCCTATATATTCTCAAAAGAAGCAAAACTAATAGGATCGTCAGAAAGGTAATTGGCATTGATTAAGTTACTTGTTGAACTGACTGTGCACTAATCACCTAAATAGAACTGCTCAGCAACGGCAAACCAGCCACTATACAGAAGAACTCGCACAATGATGAGCTCTCAGAGCTCCTGAACAAGGGTTCTAAATCCATACATCACGTCCTTTGGGGTGGGGGAAACTGGATCAAGCAGAATTTGGTGTATGCTCCTCCATGCCTGAATTATGTCAGCGAGGCTGAGTCGCTTATTGGATTCCCATCATCAGAATGACTGTAAAGAATGAATAGTATGATGAGACGACCGAATTTGCTAGTGAATCATGAGTATATGCTTTCCTTCCCCCACAACTCTTCCTCTTCCTCTTTCACCCTCTTTGCTCTATCAACTTGTCATCGCAGCTTGTCCTAATGGCACTGGTAGTGGATCCTCTAGTGTTTCCCATCACCTCAAGTGAGGTTAGCTACGCGTCGGGACTGTTCCCACGGCAGGGCATAGAAACCCAGGCCAGATACCAAACCCGCTCAAGAAGATCCAGCAGATCATCCAGCGATGAAGTCCTAAACCCAGTCGTAGGACGGATTCATTGAGGAGGATCTTCACGCTGGAGGAACCATCTCTACCAGAGACTCAGTGCGAGAAACTTCGAATCCCGCTAGGCTACCGTTATTATAGGCGTCTGGCTGGCTCCGAGAGTTGGGATCTGTCCCCATGATATTCGGCAAATTTGTCGATAACATAGTGTAAACATCCTCGAACTTGATTCTTGAGGTCGGCGCTGCGAGTTTGAACCCGACAAGGGTCCGACCTTGACCGTCCTTCTGCTGGCGCGCCGAGAGCCACACTTTGCCTCAAATTGGGGCTAGAGGAGAGTGTTCTAATCCGAGTACTGGATCCTGATCGCAAGCCATCTACCGGTGACTGTGCCGAGCCGCGGGTGAAGAACATTGTTTACTCCTATCATGCGGCGGCGACCCTTCTCCAGAGCGAGAGCTCGAAAAAGATGGTGATACTCGTTGTGCTGCCTGCGTCCGGGGCGGAACCTTCCAACCCTGTGTGCTGAGTCCCGAGTTGTCTTCCGATACTCAGGTCATAGGATTTTACCGGGGGCAATGGATTAAGGCTACACGTGCAGTCCTCAGCTACCTTCAAGGGGAGGGAAACAACGCCATCGCGGTTGAGATCGTAGAACCCCCAATTTGTCGAGCCCCTAGGCCTGATCTCATGCATTGAACCTATAACGGGCTGAAAGACGCCCATATTGTGACCAAAATTGTGAACGGAAACGAGGATTCATTGTCACATACGAACACTTTATATTCACATCTACTAGTGAAAAGAGTGTAATCAAGGAAGGTGACCCGGGTCACTTATATTTGACCGAGCTGGGGCTGTTGTTAGTATGTACTTTGGAGGCACCCATGATGGGATACCGGGAACTTCACATACATCCAGGGGGGGGGGAGTGATATCTTGGAGGATATCAAGACCAGAACAAGGGCGCGGGATATCCGCCTCCATGGTGGTGAATATTAATTCATAGCACCAGGCTTTTGATTCTAGCTAGTGGTTCAAGCAATACTATTCAGCAGGCGTTGTTTTTGGTACTTAACAAGCAGAGCTATCGGCTGCAAACGGGGCCTCAGATAGATAACAAGGGGACGTCAAGTATAGTACTATTGGTATGTCAATCGCTATCACATAGTGTTATAATATTTAACCAAGAATATCTGCTTTACAACCCATACATGCCGTATAAAAGATAACCTCCATCATCACTAGTCCAACATAGGAAAACCAAGCGAAGATCGTCCCGAGACATATTAATCGAGAACTTCCTATAGCTCGGTTATTGCATAACCACCTCATCGCTTCTCTACTGAGGGGCGATCGCGCGATTTCAGAAACCTTATGCTGATCGCTTAGTACGTTGATTCGACCGAAGCTGTGTCCGGCAGAGGTCAAGATTCTTGGCCGCCAACTACTATACAGATATACCAGATAGTGATCATCTTCACCCTGGCCAGGCTCTATAATACGCTAGGGGAAAGCTACGACGATGTCTTGGCCGGGAAATAATGCATCTTGGCTGTATGATACAATTCTTGGCCGATTGTTGCAATCATATGCGGCAAGTATATCGGAAGACTTATCGCGAATACATAAAATGGAGATGGGAGAGAAAGCGTCCCAATGAAATAAAAGCGAGACGGTTGTACTTAGTTTTGTACGTTGAAACAAACCAATTTTCTTTTCGTCTCTGAATTGGCTTATACTATGGGGAAGGGTTCCTTCAGTCGCGAGTCCGAAGCAGAAAGTGACAACGGGTTCCATGGAACCCGTGTACACGTCTTTGATGATCCGGATACTGCAGAGCATTGGGCTAGTATTTATGAAAAAGCTCAATATGAGGGTCTGCATCGCTTTGATCCTGCTTTCACTTGGACACCCGAGGAAGAGAAGAAAGTAGTTCGAAAGGTTTGGCTTCCCTTGTCCACACCTGCTGCCCTATGAGATGCGCATGTTTGGCGGTGTATTGAGTGGCCATATTTAGGTGGACTTGCGAATCATGTTCTGGGCGTGGTTGATGTTCTGTTCGCTGGATCTCAACCGAAGAAATATCAACAGGGCTATCACTGATGATATGGTGAGTGTCAGGTGTAAATTCAACACGGCATTTCTTCCTCAGCTGACCGGATTTAGCTTCCTGAGCTAGGCATGAACACCAATGACTTCAATTATGGACAGACTGTAAGCGTGTCTATCACAAGGAGCTACCCGTGGCACTGACAATGGCAGATATTCCTAGTGTCCTTTCTCGCAGCCGAGCTTCCCAGCGGCCTGATCAGTAAAAAGGTCGGCCCGGATAGGTGGATACCGTCCATTATTGTTTCCTGGTCAGCCATCAGCGCAGCACAAGCTGCTCTTTCGAGCAGAGCGGGATATTTCGCCTGTCGAGCGCTCCTAGGGCTTCTGATGGGTGGCTTTATACCGTAGGCTCTCCTGTTAGAAATCGCTCAAGGGTAAAGCTAATCCCCTACACAGTGATATTGTGCTATGGTTATCTTACTACTACGTGAGCGTCAAGTGCGGCTTTAGAATCGTACAAAGAACTAATGTCCAACAGAAAGGCCGAGAACTGCCCATTCGTCTTAGCTGGTTCTGGACTGCCCTCAGGTGAATGACTACTACCCCACCACGTAGATAGATACGATGTTGGCTAAATCTTGATCAGCACTTGTAATATCGTCGGATCCCTACTCGCCGCTGGAATCCTGCAGATGCGCGGAATCCGAGGATGGAGCGGATGGCAATGGCTGTGAGTGCACCTCATCACCGTGCATAAACCGACAACTAACACAACTATCTGCTACAGCTTCCTGATCGAAGGCCTAGTCACAGCAATCATCGGGGTCCTATCCTGGGGACTAATGCCGCCAGGCCCCTGCCAAACAAGAAGCTGGTTCCGAGGCCGAGAAGGCTGGTTCAGCGAGCACGAAGAACGCATCCTAGTCAACCGACTCCGCGACGATCCATCCAAAGGGGACATGAATAACAGACAAGCAGTCGGCCCAGTTGCCCTCCTCAAGTCCCTCCAAGACTTCGACCTCTGGCCCTTATACCTCCTCGGTCTCCTAATCTACATCCCACCACAACCGCACGCAAACTACCTATCGTACGTCCTCCGCAGGCTCGGTTTCTCAACCTTCCACGCCAACCTCCTCGCCATCCCCTCCCAATTCATGTTCGCCATCAACCTCCTAATCATAACCCGCATCTCCGACACCCTCAACGAACGTTCCATCGTCGCCTCAACCTCCAACCTCTGGATCCTCCCCTGCCTAATCGCCCTCGTCGCCCTCCCAGACTCAGCCAGCACTTGGGCCCGCTACGCCATCACCACCGTGCTCCTCAGCTATCCCTACCCCCACGCCATCCTAGTCGGCTGGAACGCCCGCATCAGCAACACGGTGCGCACGCGCGCCGTCAGCGCTGCGCTGTACAATATGTGCGTGCAAGCGGGGAATATCATCGGGAGTAACATCTTCCGGGAGGATGATAGTCCGCTTTACCGGCGCGGGAATAAGGTTTTATTGGCGATGTGCTCGTTTAATGTATTGGTGTTTTATGCGGTTAAGGCGTACTATATTTGGCGGAATAGGGCGCGAGAGAGGAAGTGGGCGGCCATGCCGGCAGAGGAGCAGAGTGAGTATTCGTTGTCAACGACGGACGAGGGGGTAAAGAGGTTGGATTTTCGGTTTGTCCATTGACCTTTGTGGTTGTGCGAATGCAGTGAGACTACTACGAGTACATGATATTTGTGATTCCGCTGTTCATATTCGCTACGGCTGCGAGCGCGTTCAACGGTTCAGCCTATGCGCAAACGCTTCGCTGAGGTTTGGGAACCACCACCTCGCACTGATCGATGTGTACGCTAGTCTAGATAGAATCACCGATTGAGAGGATCGATACAAGAAGTACTTCACCACCCCACGGGTCCTAGGTCTAAATGGAACCAGACGATGGACCAAGAAATCACGAGTATATACCAGTTGTAACTGTTATCTGGGCTGGTGTACAAGCACTGAGCAGTCTGCAGGTTTCGAAGGATACTATGGGCTATTGAAGGTGAGAAGCGAGTGATATGTGATAATGGCGATGGTGATGATGATAGCAGAGGAAGAGAGGAAGAGGAAGCATTGCGCAAAGTGCAAGAGAGGGTAAAGGCGGTATGGGGTGAATTAATAAATTAACAACTCTCCCCTTTACCGTGGCTCACCGCCCAACGATCGATTTTGGGATACACCGACTTTTAGATGTAGATTTTAAACCAATGTAACTCATTCAATTCAACTCCAATGGAGGCGGCCTTAGCAAATTTAGGATCCTTGAAGCCAGGTGAACAGAGAAACCATACTTTTTATGCGAAAAAGCACAATGTGAACTGAATTACCCTGTCAAGACATCACCAAGGCATTCAGGGCACTAGGGCTGACCGTCAAGAAGAGCAACAATTACTTATCACCAGCAAGCCAAAACACTTATTAAAGAGATCAATAAGCTCTCTAAATAAGGCTTATATGTATCCTCTTCTATATTTCTATAATAGTAATAGCATTTATTTAATGATTTATCTATCTTATTTAACCCATTCCTTGTAATCTCTTAATATTGGAATCTTTAGTTCTTTGGCAACATACTATAGCAACCAATTGGAGAATTATTTATATACTTGCCAGGGTCTCAGCTCTTTTACAAGGAGGGATTTCTTCAGATTATTCTGGCCTAGCTAGAAGAAAGTCTTATTCTAGCCGAATATTAAATTAGCTTAGAAATTAACTGAATCTATCCAAGAAATCCTGAAGTTATTTTGAAGCGCTTTAATAAAGCAGGGAACCAGAGATCTTCATTCAGTGACCCCTCGCGCTCAATACTACAGGCAGATAACTGGAAACAAATCAAAAGACTTCTAAAGAATATAGTGGCTGATATATATAATAAAAACACCAAGAAGCTTAGTATAACTATCTATAAGCTTATTACACAGAATACTCTTCTTAATCTACGCCGTGAAGGCCTTGAGACAGCTCTTCTGGGTAAGAAGAAGAGACAGCGTGGGAAGCTATTGCTATTTCAACTACAAGCATCTAAGAATAGTAGTGCAGTCTTTTATTTATCTAGGAAGGTCTAGCAAGCTCGAGATCTTTATAAAGAGAAGAAGAATGCTATATAGCTGGCTATAGCTGCAAAAGAGAAGCTCCGCCATTAATAAGAGTGTTGTGATCTCAGGGGAAAGATGGGCAGGATGAGGCTGTATCAGCTACACATACGTAGCCTACTGAGGACCGGATGCCATTCCGATAGATACTCAATTCTATGGACGACTATATCAACTATCTTGACTGCTTCTTCCTTCCCAACTACTAATGAGTAAAGCCTTCAGGGGCAGAAGAGTTGGTGATCCGGCCAAGCCACTAGGTGGTCACGTGTCTCGTATAGATTCATAACAAAGAGAAAGAAAAGAAACAGCGTTTAGTTAAAGAGAGAAAGAGAATCGGAGATTTTGGGAGTTCAGAAAACCATATATAGCTTCATTTGTATCTAGGCTTTGCTCCACCAGGCAGTTGTATAGATAATTCCATTTGTATGTGGTTGTATTGCTTCATTTGTTGCCTGCTTTAGTACTGAAATCGATCAGGTCTGTCTCGCTAAATTAGTCCTCACTATGTCACCGTATCGCCTCCCTTTAGGATACGATGATTTCTTATGAAGAACTGATTGTGTTTGACTAACTTCGTTAATGTATATAGACTAGTGGGGGGTATAGATGAGGAAGAAAAGGAACGAAGGCGGTGTCAATGGGCGGTCAATTTAATTGCCTGACAGTACTTCAAAATCGATCGTTGGGTGGTTCCGATCATTTGGCGGTGAACCACGGTATCGATAAGAAAATAATTATTTCTCCCCCCCCCACATTCATTACTAACGATCCTTGTATCTCTCCAATTTTATCCTTCCTTCCTTCGTCTTCAACAAACGATATCTCTCACTTTTAATTGAAGAACTATTACACCGATTTTCTCCACAAACCACTGCTCTAACCGCCCCGACTTCAACCCCCTCAACCCCCTCAACCCCCTCAACCCCACCATGACCTCACCGTCGGAAACAAACAACAATCTAGATGACATCTTCGGCTCCTCCCCACCCCACGAAGAGCATGTTCGCACAGTCAACACAAATCCCAACGCGGACCTCTCAGAACTCCCCTCCCTTCGCCGTCAACACGTCACCGCCGGCTACCGCGACGGTGTGTCAGCATCCAAGGGCGAACATGTCCAAGCCGGCTTCGACGCGGGCTTCCCCATCGGCGCACAGCTGGGTATGCGGGCTGGAACAGTACTGGGGATTCTCGAAGGCTTACTCCGCGGGTATGAGAGTCGCACAGCGTCGGCTGTTGTGAAGAAGCCCGGCGCACGGGGTGGGGCAAGTTCAACACCGACAGAGAGCGAGGAAGAAGTCAAGGCACGGCTAGAAAAGCGGGAGAAGATCTTAAAGCTCTACCAATCAGCCGTGAAGGACCTGGATGTCCAAGCAGTGTTCGCGGGGCTGGATGGGACGAATGACGGGTTAAAGCCTGAGGAGAAGTTAAGGGCACTTGGGGACGCGGCCGTGTCACCCTGGGAGGGTAAGGTACATGTCGCGGAGTGGGAGGCGAACATGGACGCGCTTGAGCCGAAGAATATGGACGCGGAGAAGGGGCAGGAAGGGGAGGGACGCAGCTAATGTTGGGAATCTCTTTCTGCATTGAGCTCCCGTTGACTTTTCTTTGTCTTTCCCTTGTTCCGACCGCTGACAGGGCCAAATCCCTATTTCGTGGCGAGGGTGTCTCACCTGGGCTTTCGTCCCTTGCGGTTGGGAGGGAGATTTTCCCTGGCCCGGTCCGCGGGAGTCCTCTCCCCCGATGTTTCCCTCCCTGCAGGGTCTTTGTTCCTGCGCATGCCAGATGTCGGTCTCAGGGCCTCGCAGGGTAGTCGATTGTGGCGACCTCGGGCTGCAAAGGTTTCGGAATATCCGCTGCGGGTGTTTATGCTGGTTCCTGAGTGAAACTCGGTCGAGGTGTATATACCCGTGGTGAGTGGCGTATGGATCGTCGATCATCGAGAGCTGCAGGTCGCGAGTCGCGCCTGTAGTATTGGCAGCTGTGTCGAATGGATATCGGTGAAGGGATAGTCGGTACGCATATACAAAGGTACATCGACGATAGACATGGCCTAGAGCCTGTTTTCTTAGACACTCGAACCATTTTTTCGGGCCAAACAGATTATTTCTCTACGGCAGACCGCTTCCTCGTTCTAGATGAGATCATTAGCTTTATTGTATATTGCATATGACGGCACATTGGGACCATTGAGATGCTAAGGTTCACCTGAAGGATCTCCATTGCTGCCAATTACACATAATCCTGTTAGCTCTCGTCCGTGCACACCGGCGCAAATTTCCGAAGGAAACCGGTGCAGCGGAAGAAGAAGCACAAAAGCACGAATACTACAGGTGGAGTGCTAGAAGGTAAAGGTTATGGAGAATAGAGTCAATGTCGTTGCTCCTTTAACATTCGCGTTCTAGTGGATTGGACACGTTCACTCGAAATGCTGCGTACTCAGCAGGTATACTTTTAACCAAGGGGGTATAGTTAACTAAGCCAAGTTTCGGTTTACATGAGTCAATTCAAGTGGGCATGCCATTTCTTTCCTGTACAAGGCAACAACCCAACAAGTTCCAACAGTATTGATCTGAAACTGATCGTTTTCGAAAAGGGGATTGTGCTCTGAAAGCTCCCATGCCCAGCGTTGAGCATTCTACGGTTACCACCAGCAAAACCAAGGAACAAGGTTAAGCAAAGGAGAAAAGTTAGCGAACATAAACTCCAGCCCCCGAAGAATGCGAAACAATCCGAGACCTTGGTTCTAGATTTTGAAGGCGGTCATGAACGGGGCTAGGAGACAAAAGGTTTTGACTAGCAATGCTGTTGGGTGCGCCACAATCAAGGGGGACCAAAACAAAGCAGAAGTACCAAAGGAGCTGTGGAAGCTTTACCGCCCATTCCTGGATCTAGATCTACATATGTTTCTTGTTTTCCTAGGAGTAGATAGATAGAGCGTGTAAACAGGTATCTCATTGTAATTGATGAAGTATGGCTGCGTCGGCTCGCGCCTAGCCTGGACTTGTATCTAGCCCTGTTTTGTAATTGGAGTTCACAATAAGGAAAGAAATTTCACGAGTGTCGGTTATCGAGTGAGCTGAAATGAGTGGCAGCTGTCAACAACATGTGGACCATAAGGAAAATTCATCAGGGAGTGTGTATGAAGGAAGGTTGGAAAAGAGAGACAGGAATACCCGATAGGAAACGAAATATCACCGAGAGAGTGAAAAGAGTCAGGCACGGAAAGCAGAGATGAGCGAACAGTCAAGGACGGGGGAGCAGTAAGATCCCATAACCTCATCATCGTACGTTAATCAATCATGGCAGCATACGGCATTAGCAAGTAGCCGTGGGGTCGCGCTCGGCGGGTTGAGCTCATAAATCATGGAAAGGTCCCATTAAACATGGCGATCATGGAGTTCTTCATCACTGGGTGCCAGGGGTTAGGGTTCGTAAGGCAGCTTCATAAGACATTATATAGAGAACAAACGTCATCGTTATCGTCCGGACGGTCAAACGAGAAAAGATTGTCGTAAATACCATCGCTTTTAGAAAGTCTTGTCACACCGGTTTCAAACTCATAAAAGCTCAGCATCAAATCAAAAGACAAGACAATTTACATGGCCTTGCGGGGTCTAGGAGGCGAGATATCCCCATGACAGCCGAGCACGCGCAGTGATTCCCACACCCGCTTGTAGAGAGGTTGCCGTGACAGTGTTAGGCTGTGCAGCGCTTTATCCGACCGCTCCTCGCGGCACATGGTACATATCTTCTCCCCGTGGGTTGATAGGGACGTTTGGGGTGAGTTGGACTGAGGTTTACGCCTCGATTTCGCCTGCATAGCGGCGGCGGCCGTGGATCGATCCATGTCAATGTTGGGACGCTCGTCCTTGCTGTTCTGACGGGACCTTGGTGTTCTCGGCGGTACAAGAGACGTCGTGGAAGGAGGCACCAGGCGCAGGCTTTGTTGTGCAGATGGGTATATATCGGCCAGTCGAGCTTTGCCGATTGACCTTGAAGGCGGTGGATAGCGTTCTTCCGGAGGCTGCTCCGGCATCGTCGGGAACTTTTCCAGAACCGGGGTGTTGTTGTTTGAGTTCTGAAGTTTTGGGGCCGATTTGGCCACCCGTAGGTGCACACGGCTGCGGACCTTTTTGAGCGTATCGATGGGCTTGCGCGACAGCGACTTCGGATCCATGCCCTCACCGTCGGAGTCCGATTCCCACACTGACTGTTCACAAACCATTTCAGACGTGGACGTGGACGGCCGATCCCGCCCAAAACCAGCTTGCCGTTCTATAGAAGGAGAGTTAGGGCCCGGACTTGGAACAGGACTGGGGCAGTCATTGGCCGGGATGAACAATGCTTGATCAAAGTGGGTGGTGTGAGGCTCCATGGTAACGGGGTTGATGCGGCAGGGAGGAGAAATCATTGATGGTGCAATTGGGGGTTTCCCACCAGGCAGTTGTACTCTTCTATTTGCTAGAGTATTCCCGTTGCGCGCAACGGGAGGAAGGGATGGCAGGGGCTTTCCACGAGGGGACTCTTGAGCGTCTGGCAGAGGCATGACTAAAGTGTCAGACGACGCGTTGGATGGAACAGTTCGAAGACTAGCTTCTCGGGTTGGGGTAGCTGGCTGCTGAGCAGGTAGGATCGTTCGAGAACGATTCTGGGCCGTCGACTGGTAGAGGACTGCCTGGTTACCGGATGTCGTATCTTTATAGGAATGACGAGCAAACTGCTCACCCGCCTTTGAGATGATGTCAGGGTGTATTGGGGCAGAGTAGTTCGAAGAGAAGGAGCTGCTTGGGGTCAAGTCCGGGGTAACCTCCGTGTATACGGATCCAAAGGAGCCTTGACTGTAATGGCTGGAGTGGCCCCACGGTTGGGGTGTAACCTGTTGAAGGGCGAGCTGGTGTTCCAGTTCGACCACCGATAGTGTGGACCGATTGATATTAGTACGAGATCTTGCAGACCCCCCACGGATGGCGTTAGAGACTGGAAGCTCTTTTCCGGGCTTCACGGAGGATAACATATAATACTGATTAGCTTCCTCACTGAATCTAACATCGCGAGCGCCCGGCTGATAAGCTCGCCAGGCCCCGTCCTCCAAAGTGTGGTCCAGGTAGAAAGGGTTTGTGTCGTCTGGCGTTGCCGGTTCTCTCGGTGGATAATATGATGAAGCTCGCTTCGTTTGGGGTGACGACGGCAAGCCAACGGTCGTCTGTGATCTGTTGCGGCCACGGCGGAAAGCGTTCAATTCCCCCGGGAGTGGATGATATGCGGTAGCCATGGAGCAATGTTTCCAGCGATCACAGTGCTGTTGAGTGTATGCTCAAAGGTGCAGGGCGCTCATCGGAAGAAATGGATACCGACGTGCAATATCTAATGGTAGCCAGGAACAAGGAAGTTTGGGGAGGGAGGAGAGGGGGGTGACTAGAAGACGGAGAATAGCAAGGGCGAAGGGGTTGTGTTTATACACATTACCCCAAACTAGCTGTTGATACTCGTTAATGTCTCGAGCCCACCCAATACGTTTGGTGGCTAGGCCGGGAAGAGCAGCCGGCGCATGCCAATGCACGGTGGTGTAAACAAAGCTCAATGATCCGAAAGCACGGACGTTAAAAGACCTTACATAGTCCCCTTCCATAGGGATGGCGCTGGCAGCAAGGCGCAAGCAATCGAGGTTGGAGTAAGGGAGACACCCGGAACTCGATCCGCAGCTTAAGGACGCGGGGTGTACTCCGTGAAAAGAGTACTTATCAACAATGGTCCCGTTCGCGTCGTCGATTTGTTTCTCAACTGGAGCCAGGCACCCAACTTCAGGTACATTATTGAAACATTGGAAACCCCGTCCTATCATTGGCAAAGGTTGGAGTGCTGTGCCAGTTGGGTTCTAAACTGCACTGCTTTTCATCACGTTCTTTGCCCTTTTTCGGTTCTCCAGCGATATATTTAGAAGCTGTGTCGGCGTAGGGCTTAATTCGGCGATAGGGTTACTTTGCCACCGCGCGGACATGGTAATTTGGAATCCATGGAGCATTTCATCCACATACGTAGTGAACCTACTATCCCTGGGAGACGTTGTACGGGATTTGAGTCCTTGTCCCAGCTACCTGGTAACTACGAAATGTGAGATATCACTCCCGTGTAAAGCGCTTGGGCACCGTCAACCGCGGAAGTCTTCCCAGGATCGGCCACTAACACTCCATCGGGTTGATGTGGCGGTCGATCATGTCGATCCATCAACATTATGCTGCAGATAATTCCATGTTAGCCTAGTCATCGGGTTTTGATTCTATAGTCACCATCATAGAAAGTCAGAAAGCCACAACAGACCAGAGGGAAGCTTAAACGATGCCCCCCGACCAAGCCATACCGTCACACATATACCCTTCCATGCCTCTCTGATCGCCATTTTTCGCTTTTTGAAAATTCGAGGTGTCGAAATACTCCACCAATAAGCGACTCCCTGCGAGCTTGGACCCGCATTCCAGGAGTTTGTGCTGGTTGCCATGATACAGCGCTGTCCATCTTCTCAACGCTGGGAAGCCAAGACCATGCGTCCTTTGAAATTGGTGGGGATAGACTAGGCCCTAGTCCTAGCAGTTACTTCGTACAGTGGCTGATTGTAGGGAGCAACCCTCCAGGTCGTTATTCTCCGGAGGAGGTTGGCTTAAAGCGATGGAATCATTCTCATTCCCCATATCCTTGCTGGCCAGTCTAGCCGTGATTCAACGTCCGTTTCCCGTCCAGCAAGGTTATCTCTAATGTTTCGTACAGTAGGTTTGCATGGGACTTGGTAAATCACCATTAGGCACTGCACCGCGAAATCATCAAGGGCCTGTAGGTAAAAGTATAATGGGGTACTAGAGTGCTTATGTATGGGTCCATTTATTACTTAGAAGCGTGTATCGTGATCTTAACCCTAAGGTGGCGACCGAGCGCATTGGCCTACTAAAACCGGTCAGAGACATGTAGTCACTCAACTCGTATTCATTGATAGAATTGGTTCCTTCTGACCTGTCGAATTGTTGGGATCTGCGCCGTCCAGCAAGTAAATTTCCCGGGCTCACACGAAAGGTTCAGAGCCTTCCAGACTATCTCACGAGAAGTCTCTGATGTATTTAGAGTCCACTAATAATATATCCGAGAAGTTAAGAAGCCACCAGCCGTCCAGACCCTCGATTCATCAAAACAGCTGCATGGTGCGCATTCCAATCACACGGAAGGCGATCCGATGTTAGAGATTGAGGGACACATGCACATTGGCGGGGACCAATGACTTGACCAAAATGTATCCATTGCTCATTTTCTGTACGTATGTACATGCATGCATGTCGAGTATGTAGGTGGGTAGAGGCGGCGACAGCCGACTCTTGGTGTCCTAGAAAAAGGTTCCATGCAGTTCATAGGTGAGGAGCAGGACCTAACATCTCCTTCGAGCCTCATATGCATCATCAACAAAGCTTTCTTCACGGGGAAGTCAGGTTTGCTGCAGCACGCTGCCGGTTAATCCACCGGCACATTCCTCTGAACGTGAGGTCGATGGGAGAGAGATTTACCGAACTCTAGGGCGTTCGCATCACCTACTAGCACTGTGGCAATATATAAACTATCCCTTTGACTCTGGTGAATTGGATAATGAGCCACTCTTGAGCTCAGAGAGACAGGGTGCACCGGCATCCTGCAATCATTCACGCGTCGTACTATCAAAATGAAGCACCAACCAAGCTTAATTTTCCCTGCTGAATTATACACCCGAGCACTTAGCATAGTGAATCGTGATCTGCAAGGTACATCGACAGATATGAAACCGGTGACCCTCCCACCACTCAATCAGCGTCGGGGAGTATAGTGTGCATTTGCCCTTGCCGTTCGTCGTTTCTCGTTGTCTCCACTATGAAATATAATCCACTTGCCTCGAGCTTTCATTGCCAAAAAAAAAATCGATGATAGCGCCCAACTCGGGTTAGAAAGGGTGACAGTAAACAACGCGACTAGATCGGGAAAGCGATCAGCCTCCCTCCTTGGTGGGTTTTGCGAGTGATATTTCAGGTACGAAAAGGGAGAAAATCCTTTCTTCTTTTCATTTGATCATCATTTCCCGAGATTAACAATATCTCCTTGTGTAGCAATTGAAGGTAAGTTGTGGGGAATCTCGTTCCCAATGAGTCGTGGGGAAGACCGGATTGTTGAGGCCAAATTGCATGGCTAATACCAGTCCGAGCCAGAACATGTCCGTGCTTTGTTCGGACGAACCCGATCGGAGTTCCAGTGTGGCTAAACCAGTTGAACTTTTTAGTCCAGGGGATTGATCGGATGTGATTCGACGAATTGGCAGGGCCAGTCTTCACCACTCCAAGCTTCAGCATGACTACGGAGGAGAGTGGAATTACACAAAGATGGTGGATGTTAGCATGACCTTAGGATATCGACAAGGCATCAACACCGCGTGGATCACATCCAGTCCGAATGTCTTGCCAGCGCATCGGGAGAGATTGAAATTGCAATATGTCGAAGAATAATTTCCTCTCCGATGCAATTCAAAATGAGATCAGGGTAACAAGGGTCGTGAGATATATGCAATAGTCATTATTATCATCTCAATTGTCCCCTTAGCGGGAGAGAAGGAGTAGGCAGTAGTAATTAACCGACTGATACCAGTCAAGTCGGCCGGCATCATGGGGGATAGGAGGGTCATTTATAAAAAGACAGTTTTGTGCTGTCGGTAAAAGATGACATTGGATGCATCAACAATTCAATACAATGGGAATACAAAGGAAAAGAAAGAAAGTTGGTGGTTTTAACCCGTGACTGCTGACTACTCCTCTCTCCTCCTTTGGGATTAATTAACCAACGTGACCCTACACTTACTTACTTTTCCCTCAAATCAACATTCTTTCGCGCTGTACAGTCGGTACATGTACAACTGTCATCTCCACTCCACACACCGGGATTTCTTTGCCTTGCCGTCGGCAGCCATCGAGCGCTGCTCTATGACTGCTACGAGCTTCTTCTGGTGCTCGTGGCGGTCTGAGAGCGAGCTTTAAAGGTAACAAAGCCGATTAATCCAATTCCCAGCCATCGCATTTCCTCGCATACCCGACACTTTCTCATTCGACCAGCCACTGCCTCTCACGAGCTGCCCACTTTTTCCTCGCGCTTTGCCCTCTCAATTGTCCCTTTTTCCCTCCCCTTCTGTACCTATTATTGTTTTTTTTTTTTTTTCCCAGTCTCTAAAAGAATACCCACATTCCAACGTGTTTTGATTGTGTACCTACTTACATCTTTCTCTCAATTCAGCCCGAAGACCCTCTTAACAAGTCGGAATCTTGGTTCGGAACGTTTCGAGGCCACACGTCATCGGAATTGTCCACCGATTCTTAGGCGGCCGCGTGCCAATTCCCACGTTGTCGCATTTTCCTTCCTACCATTCACAGCCATCTTCAGCGGTGTCTCCCCACACCCAGGGCGCATTTGACGAGACCTACGAAGTTCACGACCCCTCCACCCTTACGACAGATCCACGGCGACGCCAGCAGCAGGCTGCTTCCCATCCTGCCCCCGACCCGCCCCTAAACGCATCCCCGCGCCCTTTGAGTAGTCAAGGAAGCACCCGTTCCTTACGGAGAAGTACTCGTTCCATTCGTCAGCGGCCAGGATCAGTATATGCTTCGGGCCGCCCATCCCAGATAGAGCAAACGATTCCGGTATTGGTCCAACCCGTGTCGGATCGTACTACTGGAGTTGCTGCTCTTCGCCCTGCGCTTTCCGAAGCCCAGACAGAGGACGACGAAGACGCTCACTCGTCCGCCGACGATCGCCCTCGACCGTCAGGCGAATCATACTGGCCTCGCAGGTCTACCAGGGTCTCTCCACGCACGGCGTCTGCGATTCTTTGGGCGCTAGAAGAAGCGATTCGGAAACCGCTCCCCTTCACACCAGATTGGGAGGAAGTGAATGCGTCCATGTCTGACTTGGCAAGTGCAACCAGTTCGATTGGGCTCGCAGGCAATGGGCGTACACAGAATGGCGCTTCACGTGCAGCCCAGGGTCCTGTCCCCGTCAATCCTCATCCCCCGAGTGGTGTACGGACCCCGACGGATATCATGAGGCAGCGCCGGGACCGAGAGGCTCGCAGGAAAGCGGAACAGGAGGCCAGAGATAGGGAGCAGGAGGAGGCCGAGCGCAGGCGGCAAGAGTCACAAGAAAGGGCTCAGGATCCCGCGCAGCCCTACGCTGCGGGCGTTGCCGGTGGTAGAACTTCCCAGCGGAGAGCGGGCCCCAGTGCTCCTGCGGGGTCGGAGATACAGCCGGAGCTTCGTGCATCAAACTTGCCGGGAACATCTGCCACGACTCAGCAACCTCCTGGGATTCCAGCGGGTTCTCAGCGGCCGGATTCCCAGGCTCAACCTCAGGGTCCGGGACCACAAACCCACCCGAGGCCCCCTGTGTCGTCTACGCAGCCCATCCCTCAACAACCGCCCGGTTCCGCTGGCTATCAAAAACAACAAGCACAGCCCGCAACTCAGCCCAGCGTCTCCCAACCACAGCAGCCCCCACGCCGTGTCGCCTTTCCCCACGCCTTCGAGCGGTGGGAAACCTTGTCCTCTCACTGGGAAGGACTCACTGGCTACTGGATTCGAAAGCTGGAGCAGAACAATGAGGCTCTAGAACGGGACCCGATCAGCCAGCAGCTGGCCCGTCAGGTAACTGATCTCTCTGCTGCTGGTGCCAACCTTTTCCACGCCGTGGTGGAATTGCAGCGCTTGCGGGCATCATCCGAGCGGAAGTTTCAGCGATGGTTCTTTGACACCCGTGCGGAGCAAGAACGGTCGAAAGAGCTTCAGGCCGATCTGGAACGACAGACGAGAGCTGAGAAACAATCTCGCATGGAAGCGATCACCGCGTTGCAGAAGGCTGAGAGTGATAAGGCCCGCGCCGAGTCACTGCTCAAGGAAATGCGCCGGGAACTTCAAATCTCTAAGGAAGAAGCCCGCCGTGCATGGGAGGAGCTTGGTCGTCGTGAGCAAGAGGAAAGGGACCGGACTAATTCTCTGCGTAATGGTGAACCCACCTTGGTTGGCGGAGTACAGGTGGTACCAATGATCCAGGGCTTGCCAACTCGACAAAATACCTCCAACCGTCCATCAACTCGAGATGGCACATACGCTAGTGGCGGTGGCGGTCAGGGGAAGGCATCTGACGGTCATTACTACGAAGAGGCGCCGGGATCACCTACAGAGACCGATCCGTTCGCGGAAGGGCAACGACCTTATCCTGAATCTGATACTCAACGCTACGCTGCACCACAACCGCACTCGACGTCGGCTGCAGAAGTTCCAGGGCAGTATGCCGGTCATTACTATGAACAAGAAGGCACGTATCCTGGTCGACCCATGTCTGAGAATGACAATCGCTCTTACGATCCTAGCGCGGCTAGCAGCGACCCAGGTGATGATGAATATGGCGGCTATCGCCGTACTCAGCCTCAACAGGGTCCTTCTATAGTCTACTCGCGTCCCATGTCTGAGGAGAGCGATGACTATGAGCGTGGGTCCGTAGAGGACGACGGTGGCTATGTGCCTACCACCATGCCCCCAACGTCGGCATCAGGGTACAATCAGGGGACTGTAGACTACAGTGGTTCTGGATGGGGTGTTGGATCAACATGGGATTCCGTCACCCCTCGCCATCGCCATCCTACGCGCCTCAGTGACGTTATGGAGGAGGAAGAGCCTCGAACTACACCGAGTCGTGCTAGCCGTGCTAGCCGCGCCAGCCAAGCCAGCAGAAGTGTACATTAGACCAGTTCTGCACATGGCTTTCCAACAGTACATACAGCATTGGTAGTTCCCAAAAGCTGTTTTCTTTTCTTTTCTGGTTTTCCTTTTTTCTATTTCCTACTTGTGAGTATGGGAATACCAGTGCTTTTCTATCTAGGGACAATTCCTTTTCTTTCCTAACTTTTTATTTCTTTTCTCTTTTTATTTTTTTTTTTTTCTTTGTCACTACATATGCGTTGTTGATTACCCAATTCGGCATTGTCTTTTCCCTTCTTATTTCATTTGGTAGCAGCATTTGTGTTCACGAGGCCAGGGTGTTATACGATTATATCCAGTGTCGGGAAGCGTAATTCAAAACCCATTCGCCCCCACTCCAAGCGAAGAGCTGGATTAGTTACTGTAATTTTACGCTTGATGAGCTCGGTTTGACTCCTTACATATACGCTTGTGTCATGTCATTAGAGAATGGTCCATAGAAAGACATACTGGTGTTGCGACTCTAGACAAGATGTTTGTCCACGGCCGAAACAAGTGATTCCGCGATTTTTCCTACTGTAAGAGTCTTGTGTATGTACTACATAACTCATTAAACGTATACATATTCGATATTCGATACACCCATGAAATTACATAGTATTGCAGGCAGCTGCCGTATGCTTGCTGAATAGGCGGCCTGCGGAAATCATGTAGATCATTGAATACTATTGTAATCAGGCCGATTATAAAAGGCCTTATGACTCCCATCTAGATAGGCCGGCCTTCTTGATAGTTTGACAAGGACCATAGATCTGATCGTTTTGATACTGAATCATACGATATCTTACCAAGTAATTCAACAATACACCATGTTTTTACAACCTCCAGCCTCTCTGTATATATTCACCATCATAGACTCTCCGTAGAATAGACACCACCTCCCAAGAACTCAAGAGCGATACAATAAAGCTAGGATAGACATCTACTAGTATTATTAACATTGATGCAACCACTTAGTTGCCTAAAATTCAATCAATATCTTTTTGTCTGCCGGTTCTAGTGCACCCTGAGCTCTCTATGTATGCGGATACATATGTACATGGCCACAACGACCATCGGAACCAGCCAGACCAGTAGTACCGACTAGACAAACCTCAACCCAACAGTTGCCCTGCAACCCCGCGCAGATAGTCTGCGGGTAGTCCTGCGGCGCCAACGTATTGCTGCGGGTCGGGAACCCGTAGTATCTGGCCGCGGTTAGATGCGGGGCAAGGAGAAAGGGGAAGAGTTGTATCCAGATGGCGTGCATGGTAAATCACAGCGGGTGGTTCAAAGGAAGAAGGTAACGAACTTGGAAGAAGGAGATCAGATTAGGGACGGTGGGCTTCACACTCTGTGTTGACACAGGGCCAGAATGCAATGCTCGCCTTCCAGCTTCCCTGTCGTGACGAAGGGAATGGCATCGGTGGCATAGGGCGAGCCCCTGATGTAGCCGAAATAGTACCTAGATTGATTATCGGCCACCGGCCCAGGGCTGCAGTCGGCTTACGCGTCTGGGCAATCAGGGTTACAGGGGTATCCGCGTAGAGATGCCCATCACAGTACCTTGAATTACTACATTACTGTCTGGATATCAACCAATCAACATACTTATACTGACTATCATATCCCGCAACGGAACAAAAACAGGCATAGTAAGCAGACATAATCAGGCTAGAACCTAGAGACTAAAGCTTGACGTCGTGGCCATAAGCAGATGTCTGCCGAGTTCCCTTGATCGCAGAACTCCAATAGTGCTCAAATTGGCCCAGCAGGTCTGGTGCACTCCGAGAAAGAAAGCTCCTAGCACAAGAATACTCCTCCTCCCATATGGACTCAAGTGGAAAACTCTGATGGTACTCCTCATAGAGGCCACGCTCCTATATAAATATAGGGATTAGGCATAACTCGAAATTAAATATAATATCCTCCTCAGCTGTAGGACCAGCAGAGACTGACCTTGAGTATTGCCATCCACCGATAATACGGCCGGCGTCTCTCCGCCCATTCCTTGCTTTGAAGCCGGCGTAGTTCCTTGTCCGAGATCTGAAACTCCTCAGGGACAGGCCCCAGCTGATCACGTATCTCGTCTAATGTAGCATTGGCCGCTGGCAATCGAAAGTCTTTCTCCCACGGATCAGTAGGCCATCGGCGTTCCTTTCTTCTTTCCGGATACTTGTCCTCTGCATCACGCGTATCAGGAGCGGACGCCGGGGGGGTTTTATCTCTATTCCGAACCTTGGAAGCCATCTTCGGATGCTGTTTTGGTTGTAAACCGACTGTAGAATAAATGATACAGAAACTAACCTTGGATTATTGAGGCAGATCACTTAGCAGGAATACTGGAAAGAAACTACAAGCAGCTGGTGATCTAGGCGAGGGTTCTTAGCCCGCTTGTAATATCATGAATAATCTGTCAGGCAATGGAATCCCAGACAATAAAACCCTGGCGTAGTTTACTAAAGTGTCATATGATGCTAACCCAGGAGACCGACCTATCAAAGCCAAGTGATAAACCAACAAACGGCTAATAAAAGCAGTATTTTCTATCCACTGCCCAGGCATCTATGTTTCAAAGGGCTTAGAGCCGTATAGCGCCTTGAAAGGAAAAGGTACAGCTTACTACAAGAGCAGAAAGTGATCCTAACGTAATACTAATGCAATACTAATATAGAGAGAGATATATCTAGTCTAGCCCAACAACCAATAGAATCACGATTGTCTAACATTTAGGAAGTGTGTCTTTTTCTCGACAGAAAGGGCCGACATTGCTACCCAGAATATAAACACTACACACGGTACTTGTCCTATACTACTTGTGCCGGACAGTTGTTCTGACCAAGCCCCTAAACAAAGTACCACAATCGCCTTTTAACCATGTTTCTCAATGCGACCACTGGCCCTACTCCTCGTTGCCTTTCCAGGGCAGTCATGCGGCATGGCTACACGTACAGAGGACAGTAAAGCATGGAACGCTGACCTGTACTATTTTCCAGTCTGCGCTGACCTCCCTGCAGTATCCAGGTCGAAGCTCCCTTGATAGTCATCAAGGCTTTGTGGGGTCGAAACCGCGCGACTATAGGAGTTCAAACACTCCATGGAACATAAATACAATGATAGACGAGAGTACAAGACGTTCATTGAGATGTCACGTATAAGACGCGAGTGCAACGAAAAGCAACAAAAATAATCATACATGTGTATAGTACAAGATTTCTACATATCCACCCGCCAGGTGCCGGGGGTTGCACATAATCCTAGCATTATCATCACAAGTGCCACTTACTATTTACTACCACCCTCTTCTCACTCGCCCCGCTCAGTACGGCCTGTCAAATGTTGCAAGATTTTGGATTTAGCAACCACGCGTTCAGCCAAAGAGGCCAAGGACTCGGCGCTGACAATCTCCATAATTTGGAGGTATGCCTCCAACTCACGGAAAACCCAGTTTCGTACCTCGATAGCGACAAGTGAATCGAGCCCGTAAGCAGCAATCGATTTAGTAGGGACTATGTCCTCTAATGGAACCATGAGCAAGGTCGACATTCGCCGAGACAGAGCGTCTAAAACTATCGCTTGAGCGTCCGCCCGCCTATTACACTTCTTGACAGCAGTTGCGAGTGGCACAGCTGCTGTTGTCGGCTGGTTGTCGTCGCCTTCCTGCGAAGCCTTCCGAATGGCGATACTGGCACGCACGAGATGAGAGAACCGAGGGTCAACCATCCAAAACGGGCCTTGTTCGCTTGACGAGCTGGTTGTGATTTCAAGGCTAGTGATGCAGTGGCCGTTGCATGTGCTGAGGAGCTTGCCGCTAATCGCTCCAGCCAAAAGAGCACGGAGTTCGTCCTCCTCGACTCCCTGGGTTTCGAGTGTGTCGAGGACCTCGTTTACCGTCCCTTTTTGCTCCGCGAGGTAGCCTATCCCTTTTACAGGACCCAGGTCGATATTGGTGTATGGATATCCGGCAGCGATTTGGGCGCGTGCAAAGGCACTCATAAACGTACTTGAAGCGGCATATGCAGCTTGTCCTCGGTTCCCGATAACACCAGATACTGATGAAAGGTTGACAAAAAAGTCAAGTGATTGATCCGCCTCCCTGAGAGTGTTATGGATGTTCCATAGACCATTGACTCTAGGTGAGATGACGGAGCTATAATCATCGTATTGCATCTTTTCAAATAAGCCGTCCTAGTTTGAAGTCAGTATGCCCCTTGACGGGAATGATATGGAAAAGTAGACTGACCCGTAGTACCATTGCGCCAAAGATGACGCCGCGAATAGGAGGCATATCCCGCAAAACAAGAGAAATGGCTGCCCTAACGTCCGACGCGTTGCTAATATCACAGCGAGGGGCGACCATCTTTACCCCGTCGCTATCTGCTCTCTTTATCAGCCGTCGTACGTCTGGCTTTGTGTCTCCACTTCGGGCTAGGAGAACAATATGCTTTGCACCATGCTGAGACAGCCATTCTGCAATATTTCGACCGAGCCCGCCAGACCCGCCGACGACGATGTAGGATGCTTCGGCTGATAAGTGTACTGGCGACTTTTGGGGCGGATATACCTAATATGTCCGTTAGCTTATTATCTCAAGCTTCTGGAAAATAGAAGAGAAAAATAGTGCTAACCTTTACCAAGGCTTCCGGCTGGAGCTCGATAACGCTTTTCCCAAACCCACGTCCGCCTTGTAAGCTGCGGAACGCCGCTTCAATGTCTGATACGCAATAAGATGCTATCGGCGTTACTGGCCGTGCAATGCCCTTTGCGAACAACTTGAAAACATTGGAAAGAAGCCGTTTCATAACCATGGGTCTCCTTTCGGTTATGGCCGTCAGGTCAACGGAAGAAAATGAAACGTTATCATCAAACCGGGACATCTCGAGGCGCGAGTTTCTCAGAATGTCCTTTTTGCCCAGTTCCACAAACCTCCCAAATGGAGCAACACAGTCCCAACTAGCTCGTAGCATGTCACCAGCAAGAGAATTTAACACTAGGTCAACCCCCTCCCCATTCGTAGCTCGCTTGACAGATTCCCTGAAGGAAGAGTCGCGACTGAAGAAGATTCTTTCCTCGTCCACGCCGTACGTCTTCATGAGAAACTGTTTCTTTTCAGGGGTGCTGACTGTGGCGAACACGTCGGCACCGACCATATTCGCGAGAATGATTGCTGCTTGACCAACGCCACCTGCAGCCGCATGAATCAGGATCTTTTCACCTTGCACCAGCCGCCCGAGGTCGAAGAGCGAGTAGTACGCGGTACAGAAAATGAGCGGGATTGTAGCTGCCATTTTCAGCTCCATATCATCGGGTATCCTCCATACGCTGGTCGCTGGACAGGACACATATGTAGCAAATGCCCCTTCGCAAACCGCACATACTCGATCACCCTTCGCAAGCCCTTCAACGTCACTCCCAACCTTAGTAACTATACCACTGCATTCGTTTCCGAGAGTATCTTTGCTCATCTGGCCCATAGCAGTCATGACATCCTTGAAGTTGAGACCCACATACTCGACTTGAATCTCAACATGGCCGTCGGGCAGCTCGGCCAATCTGTCTTTGTCATCTGTGAAGTGAAGCGTGTCTAGAACGCCTGGCTCACCGACAACCAGTTTCAAGGGCCTTCTCGTTTGTCTACATGGCTGGGGCTCTGGGCCGCTTCGCCCGGCTTGTATGTGGACAAACTCGTTCAATGAGGTATCATTAACCATTCTGGGCACATAAACAACCCCATCCTTCACGCTGTACTCCCGCTCCGGTTGCGTAGCGTTTGAATGAGCACTAAAGCTGCTTTGGAAGACATCGATAATGTGTTTTATTGCACCATGGTCCGGCTGTGACTTTTGGGACTCCAGCTCCAGTGTTACAAGAGGAAGACTCGTTTCGGAGCGCACGGTTCTGGCAAGCCCAGTAATCATGTGTGACTCTGGATGCCTGCTATCACTGTTACATCCGGGGCGAATCACCCAGAGAAGACCAGCTGTGTCCTGCAGTAGATTCTGAATTATGCCGAATTTGGTCTGATCAAGCTGAGACAGGAAGGGGCTGTCTAACTCGCCGAGGAAAATGCATAGCTTTCCTTTAGCGTTGATACTGGACAGGGTGCCCATTTCAGGGCGAGAACCCGTCAGGCTCTCAATATCGCGGGCGAGGTCTTTAATTGGAAATGTACTGCATCTCTCCGGGCAAACAATGGTCACTTGGCGCCCTTTCAGGTCAGCATCATTCTGGGACGTGGCGACCACCAGGCTGCTACATTGTTCAGGAGCACCAGGATAGTCATCGAGAGAGAGTCCAGGCCCAGAGAAGCCCGTTTCCCTGAGCAGTGCATTCCACGAGGCCTTGTCTAATAACGGCCCGTCGATCCGACCATCTTCGCTACGCCACCAACCAGGAAGCAAAGCGTAGATGAACTGCCTCAAGCGCTGATTATTTTCCTCAAGCAGCAGCAGCTTTCCACCCGGCTTCAGTAGCTTGTGTATGTTTGCCAAAGTCTCGTCTAATCTGGGCGTCAGATGTAACACATGACAAGCGATAATCACATCATACGAATGTTCTTCGTATCCCTGTTCAACTGGGTCCCGGGATATATCCAGCCTTTCATAATCCAAAAGGTCTCCCCAAGCATGGAATCTCTCTTTTGCGTCGCCCAAGATTCGGCTTGAGAGATCCGTGAAGGTGTAACGGTTAAAGCGAGGAACCTTCTGGGTATCACCGCCGCCTAAACGTTGGATAAAGGGAAGCGTAGCACTTCCCGTACCGGCCCCAATTTCCAGAATTTTCATATTTGGGTTCTCATCTGCCATCTTGTCTAACAGCGATGCAGCTGAAATATAGCAGCGATGGAATGAATCGAGCTCTTGATAATACCGGTCCAGGAGGCCATTCTCGCGCATGACCGAGCTTGGGTCAACCTCACGGCGCAATATCTGGGGAAGCAAACTACCTAATTGATATATCATCTCCCCTGCTACTCCCATTGATCGTGTTTCTTTGATGAGGGCTCTGCGTTCTTGGTCATTGCAGTTCAACCAGTCGTAACATTGAAGAGGCAAATCTCCCGCTCTTACTTGGTGGCGTTTCTGTCGAATCCAATCAAGGAAATGGTGATAATGTCCCTTGACAGATGCGTGGTCTGTAGCACTGAGTTTGTTCCATGCGTTCTCCAAGAGGTAAAAGGAGGCTTGTTCAAGAACACGGACCATTTGTAGCTCGCTTGACTTTGGGGTGCTAGGGCGCTCTAGCAAAACAAGGGAACGCGAGTTCAAAAAGCCAAAGCTGGGCGCTTGCAGGATCTTGTAGCACTGATTCTTTATTGGGATATTGAGACAGGCAGTTTGGTCAATCAGCGGCGTGGCTTTGACATTGTCCATCCGGATAAGCACGTCGCTAGGATCTGCGCCATGGGTAGCGACGATGTCCAAAACAGCCGGACGGCGTGGATGCAGGCTCCCAGGTCGGGAACCGTACAGCTTAAGACGATCGCCAGCTGGGCGATTGCCGTTGCCGCTGACATAAAGACAGCCAACAAATGTAGGCAGGTACAGCTGTTTTTGACCTGGGCCCCGATAGCCCACCAGAGGCCACATTAGCTGGATGCAGAGATCCAACGTTACCGGGTGCCAAATGTAGCTGCTCTCGTACCCATCTGGCATGACCGACTTCGTATCTGGAACGCTGAAATCTGCTGCAGCATGGTGATTTGATGCCATGATGTGTGTCATACCGCGAAATATGCTTCCATACTGTATTCCACTAGCGGCCAGGACTTGATACATTTCCTCCGAGTCAACCGGAGCCATGGCTGGAGAAGCTACCATTGCTTTCCGATGCTTTGCATCAAGCGCCCTTTCTTCTAGTTGGCGAGAGCCATCAACTGGATTCGATTCTTTTTCTTTGACGCCGGATATCAGACCTCGGCAATAGTCCACCCATTCTCGGCCATCAGAGGTAGCAGATACTCTAAATTCAAACCAGACTTCAGATGAAACTCGTGTCCCTTCGGCGAATGGTCGTAGCGTTGTTATCATTTCCACTGTGGAGGTTTCGGAAATAACGAGGGCTTTTTCAACCGCGACTTCGCGGAGGCAATAATTGTCGATGGAGATGTTCCGCAGCGTTGCGGACTGGCAAAGCGCTTCAATAGCCATGGCCGCATATCCGACCAGCGGGTATACATTTTTGCCTTGCACTTGATGTTGGCGAATCCATGGATGATCATCAACCCTAATCACATTTCGCCATTTACTCTCAGTACACACTGAGTCGACAGAAAGACTGCCCAAAATATCGCTTCGTGGAAACTGCCTGTGGGATAAAGTCCGCGCCCATCGAGATTCATGCCAGTATTTCACTGAGTGATCCCAAGGATACTTCGGCATGTTCGTTAACAAACTAGGTTGTCTCCTAGAGTTTCCAGTAGTATTGATAGCACCAAAGCTGATATTTAGCCCTCGCATGAACAATCCAACTGCTAGCTGTTGCATTGTCTCGACCGCATTCTTCTTCCTCCGAATACAGGGCAAATACTTCACGTTCATTCCTCTGCCGTATCCTTGAACAGTTTCTCGGACTGGCGCTTCTAACGCTGAATGAGGTCCGATTTCGATCAGGGTGTCGATAGGTTTATCAGGGCGAGACTTTCCTTCAGCGAGGAGGCTCCGGAGACCCCCTACAAAGTTGACAGGAGACAAGAGGTTCTCGACCCAGTAATCGGCATTGATCTCAGATGACTGCACATGTCGGCCATGTAGAGAGGAGTAAAATTGGATGTGTGATTCTCGCGGTTGAATACCTCCCATCAATTTCCGATATGGTGCAGAGACGAGGCCCATATGATGAGAATGATACGCAACATCGACTCTTAGCTTCCGATGGAAAAGGCCTTGGTTCTCGGCCAATGTCTGCAACTCATTGATTGCTTGATCGTCGCCAGAAACCGTAACGCTCGAGTCGCTGTTGATGCAACCAACAACAACAGTCCCACTGTGGATCTGCGTTATCATTTTCTCTGCTTCTTGTTTGGAAATCCCCATCGCCATCATGCTTCCCTTCACCGGAGCTTCTCGTAGTTTCCCTGCGACCGCACCTCTGGAATATGCAATTCGCATGCAGTCATCAAATTCCAGGATCCCAGCGGCGAATGCGGCAGCAATCTCGCCACTGGAGTGTCCAATCACAGCGGATGGAACAACTCCCCATGACTTGAGCAGCTGCGTGATGGATAGCTGGATCGCTGTGCATGACGCCTGACTGTAGCATGGGTCCGTGAGCAGCGGAGACTCTTCCTCCATTGTTAATTCATCTACAGGTGTTAGGCATCATAGGGATGATATTGATAACCTTGAATGGAAAATCCTACCGATAATTGAAAACCCCGCCCCTAAATCCAGGATGTATTGGTCTGCCCTCTTCATAGCCTCGTCGAAGACAGTATACCTCGTGATGAGTTCCTTCCCCATTCCATGCCACTGCGCTCCCTGGCCAGTAAAAACGAATCCGATAACAGGCTCTTCCGGCGCTCTCTCCGGCTTGAAACTCGCTGACGCTATTTGCTCAATTAAGTCGGTTGAAGAAGCTGCGGACACTGCTGCTCTCCATGGAAAGACAGTCCGTCGCTCACCCAGCGTATACGCCAAGTCTTCCATCAGAAACATGTTGAAGGCCTCTGGCTGCTGTTCAAGATAGGTTTCCAGTCCCTTGAGTCGTTGAAGGACAGCTTGCTTGTCGTTGGCAGATATAGGGAATACCCTCCGGGGCGAAGGGTCGATCATAGTAGTATCTATGCTGCCATTAAGGATCTCCTCTACATCTGGGGGCATATCTCTCTTCAATGAAGGGCCCTTTGTCAGGATGGCATGGGCGTTAGATCCTCCGAACCCGAAGTTGTTGATACTCGCATATCTTTTTCCTTTCGGCCAGGGTATTGACTTCGTAGGAACCTAGTATCAAACACAAATGGAATAGAGGTTAGAAGATCGCGACGCTTGACCAGGGCCATATTGTATCTCGACAGCACTAACCTTCAAATTCCACTCCTGCATGGGAATTGCTGGGTTTGGTTTCTCAAAGTTGCAATTCGGCAGTATCAACTCCCTCTCCAGGATCATAGCCGTTTTGATAATCGAAATTACACCGCTGGCTGATTCGGCATGGCCCACATTGGACTTTACGGAACCTATATACAATGGACGTCGTGATGTTCGTCCTCCGCCAAACACAGCGTGCAGGGCTGTGGCCTCCAGCGGATCTCCAATTTTGGTCCCCGTTCCATGTGCCTCGACATATCCTGTCTCTGAAGGGTCGATACCGGCCGACGCGTAAACAGCTCGTATAAGCTCCTCCTGGGCAGCGCTGCTCGGTTGGGTGATGCCCTGTGTTCGACCATCTTGGTTCACTCCAGTACCCACAATGACCGCCCGAATCGCATCGTTCGTTTGGATGGCCGCATGTAATGGCTTGATAATAATACATCCGCAGCCTTCGCCGCGGCCAAACCCACCAGACGCCCGATGGTCAAAGGCATAACATCGTCCGCTCTCCGAGAATAGTCTGCCGATCGCATCATCAATCGTTAGCACTCAACCCAGTGGCCAGTTATTGCTCGCTCCGCTCAGTCCACTTCATACACCACTCTCGGATATCCTCACCTTGACAGCGCCATAGAGATCGACTGCTCAGCTAGCAAGTTGAGATGGCATGCACCAACAATCGCGATATCTGATTCTCCGGATTTCAAGCTCTGACACGCTAAATGCAATGCAGATAAGCTAGAAGAGCAGGCTGTATCCACCGAAACGCTAGGACCCTTGAAGTTGAAATAGTACGAGATGCGATTCGCCTGCATCGACATTGTGCCACCAGTTGCCTGAAACATCGGGATGGTTTCTGGATCCTTCAGGTTTCTCGTATTATATTCCGAGGCCGATCCGCCAATAAAGACACCTACCCGCTGCGTCGACAGAGACTTCTTCGCAATACCGGCATTTTCGAGAGCTTCATATGTACATTCGAGAAGGATACGTTGCTGCGGGTCCATGGACTGGGCTTCTTTCATCGTCACATTGAAAAACGGTGCATCGAATAGGCCAACATCTTCGCCCAAAAAGTGGCCACCCTTGTAATTGAACGACCCGGACCGTCCAGGCGTCGGATGGTAATATCCTGCAGCATTGAAGCGAGACTCTGGGACTTCCGACCATGCGCTTCTAGCACGAGCACACAACTCCCATAGACGACTCGGGCTATCTACCATACCTGGAAGGCGGCAGGCCATTCCCACGATGGCTGCCCTATCGGGGTCCTCGCGATCGTGAGAGCCTCCATGTGCTCCACTGATTCCATTCATGCTGATAGGGATCTTGCTCGGGTCGCAAAAATGGAATCTATTGTAGGGCTGGGCTTGAGCTGTGGTGCCACTCGCGAAGGTCTTAAGTACTACTACGGGTATTCTCGAGGGATGGCATGGCCTTCTAAGGCGTGTCAGGATGGACTGTTGCAACGCCACACTTATTTTACCCCTTGCCTGGGACCAGGCCCGAGGACCTCTGATACACCAGTGATAAGTGCACAAGGGGCCCCATGGATCCCTTCATTCGTGGTCCTATTCTACGCGTTGCAGGTGTTGCTCGGGTCATCAGGGGCAAACGAGGCAAAGGCTCATGATCTGCGTAAGGGATAAAACTTTGCCTCACAGGTCAGGGCTTATATTCACATCTTGGTCCGCAGCAGCTGTCCATTGGTTGGAGCAATAAATAAACAAGCTCTCAATCACGAGCCTGCAGCGCACGGACTGATGCGATGCTTTTCGCCGCTTCTATATTATCTAAAACCTTGATAGTACACCGCAATATATGAATATAGCCTACATACAGTGTAGCGATCCAACCAATATACATCCCTAATCCAGCCACCACCACCACCCCCAACCCGCTCCCTATCTCTCTCTATACTAAACACTTACCTCGATGGAATGGATATCCTCGTTTGAACCCTTCTAACCCACACTAACAACACCCATAATGGAATTTCTCTGCCTCCCAGGCTCATTCGGCAACAAAGCCGTAAGCCCTCCTCCCCAACCCCCCGATACCGACAATTATATCCTAACCAGCTCATCCTAATCTAAATCATCCTAGACCTTCAAAATGCAACTCGACCCCTTAATAACCGAACTCCAACGCACCAACACCGCAAAATTCCATTTCACCCAAGGCAGCATCCTCACGCACCCACCCCCCGAATTCACCAGCTACTTCGGCCCACCCCCCAACTACCGCTTCATTCAAGTCCGCTCCGACTTCATGAGCACACTCCGCAGCCTGCCCAAAATCCGCACCCGCGAACAAGCAATCCACTACCTAGAAAGCGGCACAAAAGACGACCTGGCGGTCTCCACCTCCCGGGACGCCGTGAACTCCATCATCGCGGAAATCGACCAGAATGACAAGATCCAGGGGCTGATCGGGTACTCCGAGGGGGCAGCAATTGCGGCCTCGGTGATGGTTGAGGAGCAGCGAAGGTTTAGAGAGGAGGGAAGGGCGGTGAGGATTAAGTGTGCAGTTTTTATAGCGGGATGGCCGGCTATTGATGTGCGGTCTGGGGAGTGCATTGCTCCTACGGAGGAGGGGGAGGGAGATGAAGAAGAGGAGGGACGATATATTCCTGTGCCGACGTGTCATGTTATTGGGGGGGAAGATGTGTTTTTGGAGGGGGCGAAGGTGTTGTATGATATTTGTGATGGGGAGACGGCAGAGTTTTTTGATCATGGGGGTGGGCATATTATTCCGAGGAATCAGAGGACGTTGAGGGAGTTGGGAGATGTTATTCGGGAGATGATTAGGATTAGTCTTGGGGAGCAATGATGGGTGTGCTTTTCTTAGGAATTGCTACGTGGTTTTATGGAGTTGGTTTCTATATCTTCATTCGCGATGTGTTTTGTATATTCGGCGGGAGGGAGGTTCGATGCTTGATAGAGGCATGTTGCAACCATGTCGAGGTCGGACATTACTAGATACTCTGTACTCCTCAATGGTATAGGAAGGGCTTCGCCAAACACGAAAAAAAGGACATTCCTCTGGATCCACATTCTTGGAGGGGATGTGTACCTTTCGCGAACAACGCGATCCATGTCAATAAACAGCAAGATAGAGAGGGCTCATCAACAAAACTGGATTATGAAACACGGAATTCTAGTTCTTTTCGTGGGCCGCGCTCCCCGCTCCATTCCTTCGTATCCCTACCTATATTTCCCTAGAAAGATCTTCCTGCCACATCAATCCCTGGAGTTCTATCTATGAACCAATGTACCGCAACAAAGAGACATGAAGGTTCTACTCGGCAATCGATTAAATTTCGTTCCAAGGAAGGTAAACATAAGCTATACCTTTTAGTTTGAGTTTCGTGAACCTGAATTCTTCCGATTACGACGCAACGCAAGGCACTGGGTCCAATAAAGGCAAGGGAGCGGTCGAGTCCAACATAGGGTTTCTACAGGTCACACTAGCCCTTCAGCGATCGACCATACTCAAACCACTGGTAGACTTTTTTACGTGAATATATTCTTGAACGTAAAACCTAGTGTTAAAGTTGAGGTAAGGATATATCCTGCTAGAGGAGTAAGTACTAATAGTTAAAACATCTAAAAATGAAGACGGGGGTGTCCAACCACCATCACCACCGACGATTCTAATCTAATTCGGCCCCAACCCCTACAAAACCCCCTCTTAGAACTGTTTATCCCTCTCTGCTACGTAACTACCAGGAACTGATACGAACTCTCCCTTACACCCAAACCCAACATGGGATGTCAGCCTCATGCTTTTCTAATCTCTGAGCAAAGTCTTAACCAGCAGGGTTGAGAGTCAAGATGGGGAAGCAAGGGAACCGAAACATCCGGCAAAAAAGCTTTACCATGACGGTGAAGTTACATCCGCGCTGACCGGAAAATACACCCAAGTAAAATGAATATTCTACAGCTTGTGCCGGAAACAGACAGAGCAATCTAATTTTTCGCATGGTAGAGGTCACATTACCAGTCAAACTATGGTTCACAGGTCAACGGTCCGTCGGTTACGGGGGGCCTAGAAGGCAAGTTTATTTGGGATATGCTACGGTCTAGATTTGCCTAGACCCTCCCGTTCCCCAGGAATATCTTTACACAAAGTCTGCGCCGTCGAGCGATTTGAAGATGAAAATGAGGGGGTCGTGTTGTCTTCGCGATCTGAAGACGTGTCTGCGTAGATTTAAACATTATTGCGACTGCAATGCGTGAATGAACAGGAACTATAGGAGAGTGGGTGAGCTTATGAAACTACCTGTAATAGGATGAGCATACAGATTGTTTTAGGGGGATAGGAAAGTGTGAACAATAGATAATAAATAATTGTATCATTAAGATATGGTATCACTCTCGCTGATTCACTCGTGCCGGCTAGAAATATATATCCTGGCTAATCACAAACTCCCAGCTCCCCAACGCCAAACCAAGACCCAAAGCCCATCTAAAAATCACACTAGTCTTTGTAACCCACGCTTCAAAAGCCTGACTTGATCAAACGAGCTACAGTATTCCTGTAGGGAGCTAAGTGCGTCCTTATCCAGATCCTTATTGCTGCCCCATTCATAGGTATTCGCAGAGAGGCTTGGTGATTTCCAGGGCGAGCTGCGACTCGAATGGCCCGATGGGGTTTCTCGAGTGGACTTGTGGATCGAGTCAAAATGGATTGCCGGAGGAAGGATGAATGAATTATCATAGTGTGCCAGTGATACTGGAAGCGCTTTCTCAGGCGGGGAGCTGGGAGTGGATTCCAGGTCGTGCATGAATTTGGAGCGGGAATTACTCGCGTAGGTCGTGCTCCCCGGGATTTCAAGGTAGCGACCCCGTGGAATCTCGAAAAGAGAAGACATTATTGGGGGTTTGAATAGGTATGCCTTTTGAGGTATTAAGCAGCGGTTTAGGAGATTCAGAGGTTAGAGGCTTGGGTGGTATACCGAATCTCAACTGGGGGGTTGTTTAGACTGCGACAGTATACGGAGGATATTAGATGAATTTAAATAGTAACTATCAGCCCAGGTAAAAGTGTCAAGCTCATATACGCCACGGTGGCGGTTCAGTAAGATACAACAATCCCAACCGCTACACCTCCCGGCTGAATGGGAATGCTTGGAGTGTGTAGCCGAGAGCCAGGATGTAGGTGTCATATCTCTGTTCCACGGGACAACAGGGAAGGATATTTCGTCTATACCACTTGGGGACAGGAAGCAGACAGCGTTGATGCTTACTCCTCGGTGGTGTCAGATACCATCCAATAATGATCCGTACCTTTCTTTTTGACCTTCTGCATGGTGAAACGTCAGCATAGGTACATTCTCAAACGGGTATCAGCAACCAGGTGGAGAAGCAACTTTATGATCGGGGTGTAAACTTCTCTGTTGAAGGAAATCACTTCCAGACCCTCAATAGGGTTTCTGACAGCCAGATTCTGGGGCCCAAGGATTGAAGTTAATTCCCCGGAGTGCAATCCAAGCAATCCAATCATATAGACACCGTCGAAAAATCCTTGTAGGATCCGTTGTTAATTGGCGGTTGTTTCTACCGAACCAGAGGTTTGAACCATTCTTCTTCTTCCCGACTTGGTCATCGGGGTTAATTGCTGCTATCTAACTACTACCAGCAGGGCTCTTCCTCTCGATTCTAGGATTTATTAGTGGGCCACAAGTTAAATTACTAATCAGGATTCATCTTCAAAGAACTTTCTATACAATGTGTGATCCAGTCTTCTAATGAAGAAGGTCGTGCCATTTTCGGAACACATTGTTAGGGTCATAGATTTTCTTCAACTGTTGCAATCGCTCCAAGTTATCACCAAATAGACATGCCGCACTTTTATGCCCTATCGACCATCAGCTATTGAGGCCATTTCTCCAAAGACACACAAAATTATGAACAGATTATCCCGTAGAACACTGGTACTTACCAGCATAGTTCGCATATGCGACTACCCGCTTCTCGCCTTCACTCCGAGACCCGAACCCGAACTGTTCGATTCTCGAAATAATAGCTTGTTGCTCGGTCTGCATTTTATGATCAATCTCGGGATCCTGCCAACAGAAGATCGACCCGACATTGTAATAACGACCTCGATTAGCGCAAGCCGTAGCGTCAGATGGGACTTCGATAATGTGAGAATATGGTAGCAGCTCGAACATCAGCACACTATCCCCTACCCTCCTATAGCTCCTCATCACCCTGTCGAACTGATTGCATACATCATGCACAAAATCGATGTCAAGCGGTAGGGTAACGTTGGTGCCGTTAATGCTTTTGCGACCCTTGGGAGAAGGCTCTACGTTAGCCACAGCGTTGATTTTTGTATAAGACATCATATCGGTCTGGCCCATGACCCGATCCACGGATAGCAGAGGTTCAAAAAAGGCTTCTGCCTCTTCTCGGGTACCGTTGTAGAAGAGAACAGCCAGCACAGCAGTCCCTGTCATGAAAGGAGGCGCCGTAAATCCAAACATAAAGCCGCTATTCTCGTCCTTGCGACGATGGAATTCGTTTGCGAAATCCACTATCGTGGGTAACTTATCCAGTGCGAAGTAAAGGGCCCCTCCAAAAACCTTGTGTTTCAGATCATACGCGCGAAAGACAAGCTCAGTCACCACGCCAAACGCTTGTCCCGCACCCCTGGCTGCCCAGAACAGGTCCGGGGAAGAAGTTTCCGATGCTTCAACGATGGACCCATCCGCTAGCACCATCTTGACACTAAGTAAACTGTCGATGATCAGTCCGTAGCGCCCCGTCAACCATCCGCATCCCCCACCCAGTGTTGATCCACCCACCCCGGTATGGCTGGACGTCGAACCTACAACGACTAATCCGTACGGCGCTGTCGAACTGTTGACATCTTGCCAGGTGGCGCCGCCTTGTACACAAACGGTCTTCGAGGCGGGGTCGGTGAGGACTTTTCGCATCTCAGCGAGGCTAATCACAATGCCGCCGTGGGTTGAAGAGGATCCGGTAGTGGAATGTCCCCCCGCCTCTACAACGAAGGCAATGCGATGCTTTCGTGCGAAATTAATCACCTCAGAGACTTCCGACGTGCAGGTGACTTTGACTACTGCTCCCTGTGGTACTATTAACCATGCGATCTGCGAGTCAGAAATATGTAGAAGTAGCATTTCGCTGAAAGGCTAGGCGTTGTGCAATGCACGGTTTGTTTTTCATGGTATCTTGCGATCTAGGAAGAAAAGGTATACACACAGCTTCCTTCTCACAGGTATCACTCCATCGCTGGATGCTCTCGGCGTATTCGTCTGAGCCGGCACATATCACTCGGGCCCGAGTGCCTTCTAGCTCTTGCTGGAGCTCAAGCACATGAGCGTACGATAAGAATGGCATATTGAAGATCAGAACATGTCAATTGACTCACGAAGCTATTTGCCGTGCAGTAATCTGCTATGGTAGTTGCCTAACCAGCATTTACGTAGAGCAATGTACGGCTAGTGACATAGTACTTACACATATTGTACAAAAAATGCCTTTTTTGCAGAGTATCATGTGACAGATATCATATGATTGTCTCAATTCCCTGGGACATATGTACCTAGGAATAATTGATTTATGGTGCGCATTCGTCCGAAATTTGGACTTCAACCCCTGGTTGGTGACGGCACTTTCGGCTCAGGACGGCACACATCCCATACAGAGTATTGCACAAAATTATCTGTTCGCATGGTTTCTTTTTCTGTCCTCAATCATGTAACACAGAATATCATCCGAGATTATACACGGCTTGACGGAATTGGTACAGAATTCCTCCGTCTGGGGGCGGAGAGGGCTGACAGGTCGTTTCCTTGGTTGAGAAAGGCTCACCTTTCCAATGACACGGCATTAGGGATGTGAGCCGATAATCCTTTATAAAGTAGCTTATTCCTTTGACACAATACCTTTTAATAATCAGGTATTCAACACCACTAAGAGCTGCACGCTCTTCAAGTCCCACGTTGAGCATACCTTATTGGAAGATGGAGTCGCCTGCTGGGACCGAAGATACAAATACGAGCAATGACTCGTTAGCCTTTCAAATATTGCTGGTAGTCTGTTTAAGCGTATACGTCGTGACGGCTATTTGGTAAGAAAGTTTTCATTCCTTGCTTTAGAAAGCTGAAAATCTGACCTTGAGGGCCAAGCAGGCTACTCTTAAGATCCTACTGTCTCGCATATTCGAGTCTAGCGTTTAGTACATCAGATCCCTCCGCAGATGTGTCGCCACAGGAAAACATGGAAAGAAGACTGAGCTGTCTAGAAAGAGTCGCCCCAACTAAGCCATTCAAAAGCTGGTGGTTGTCGATCCAGACGATACGATCCCCCTTGAAACAGTCGGATCATATATTCACCTGGTACGGTTCTGTATACTGCATACTATGCTGTTGTTCCTACTCTACGATTCGCCTGTCCAATACTGATATGTCGAACTAGTTCTATCTGTCTTGAAAAGGTCCGCAAAAAGGACCCTATCCACACCCTTCAATGTCGCCACGTATTTCATCGACAGTGTCTGGAAAATTGGTTCTTGGGCTACCATAACCAATGCCCGATATGTAAAAAGCCCTTCTTTGAAGAGCTCGATATGGATCCGGAGGATGCAGTGTAGGGCTACCTTGGATTCTGAAGGTCGGTTTCTTTGTTTCTTTAGCATCCTATTACCTAACGTGAACACCCAGTGGTTGTCTTATTGCATATTTTATAAGCGTGGAGTTGCGCGGCACTCGTGGGTTTTACTGGGAGTGGACTTTGACACTAAGAGTTCCATATGCCAATACAATCAATTGTAATGAATTTGTACATGACTGGAACTGTGGGGGTGGCGAAGGCCTCAGTAAGACGGTGCAATCCTAACGTCGCCATGACGATGATGAAGCCATGGTAACTCTCGGAAAGCTGCGGGTCAACTATTGGCAGTCATTGATCAATGTTACGGTCATGGCGACCATCAGAGAAGCTCTCAACCCATGAAGGAAACGCTTAGAAAGGCGAATTTAAAACCCATCCGTCTGAATTGGCAGATTCGGATGATCTGTACCCCGTAGCGTGAGAGTCCGTTATTGGAAATAGATAATTTCGGATCATAGGGATCATCACTGATTGGTATTTGGATGATTATATTTGAGGCATAAATCTAGCCCTTTGGCCTTTAGTATCAACTTCACATATGTCATTGGCGTGAGGACTATTGGTAAGCATGATGAGAGGTGACGTTGAACAGACAAGGAAAGATGGATACCAATTTCTGCCTCAGGCTTCAATTCACACGTGAGTGAGTGCAGTTCGACACCTGAGGCATTAACACTAGTCCCCAACGGGACAACGGATCAACAGGCGGAGATCTCGAACCATCACCGCTTCACGATCTTCGGTATTCTCTCGTCCTTCCAGAAACCAGCCCTGTTATATCCTAAGCACCCCCCTCCCCGCCGGCAATGACGTCGTCAATGAGACCTCTCGTCCAAATGGCTGGACGGGTGTCGCGCTCTTCCCTCCCATTCTTCGAACGCAGCGCCCTCCGAACAATCCCATCGCAAAATGTCTTCCTTTCTCTCCGAACGAAGACAGCCCAGCCCGCACATCTCCAGGTCCTCCGACACAATAGCCTTTCCTCCCAGCGCTCCTTCAGTACGACTACCCTCCGCGCTCGGGCACGCACAATGGGCCAGCTGAAGGCCCGGAACTCCACAGGTCCGTTTTCATGGAAATCGGCCCTGCTGTTCGTTATCACCGGAGGAGCCATGATCATCTATTTCCGCGTGGAAAAGGAGCGGTTGGCACGGAAGCGCGTCGCGGAGATGAGCAAAGGAGTGGGCCGGCCGAAGGTCGGAGGGCCGTTTGTGTTGAAGGATTTGAACGGCAACCAGTATACCGAAGAGAATCTGAAGGGGAAGTACAGCTTTGTAAGTACTTCAATTGCTCCCGGGCAACCATATGGGTGCTAACTGTGACGTTGTTAGGTATACTTCGGTTTCACGCACTGCCCTGATATCTGCCCGGACGAGTTGGATAAGATGGCCGAGATCATTGACAATGTGAAGGAGGCAACCAAGGGCGAGAACGTCTTCCTGCCTGTGTTTGTTACTTGTGATCCCGTTCGCGATACTCCCGAGGTGCTCCGGTCGTATCTCCAGGAGTTCCATAAGGATATTGTGGGCTTGACAGGCACATACGAGCAGGTGAAGCACATGTGCAAGCAGTACCGGGTCTATTTCAGCACGCCGCAGAATGTGAACCCCGGCGATGACTACCTGGTTGATCACAGCATTTACTTCTACCTGATGGGTGAGTGGTACCGTCTATACAATCCATGAGCCCAATTGCTAACTACGTGGCCCAGACCCCGACGGCGACTTCGTCGAATGCATCGGCCGACAGGACACCCCCGAATCAGCCACCAGAGTCATCATGGAACACATCAACGACTGGAAGCGTGAAGGCAAGCCCCTGAAGAAAGACTAGAGTGTATGTCTAGCGAGGAATTTTATGTACAATAGAAATACCCTACTCAGATGCGTGTAGCATTATATATAACAATCCGTAAAACCGTGAATGTATATATCATCTAGAAAAAACAAGCAGCACAATCAATCCACGACCCTCTTCTGCTCACCATTCACCATACGTATAAATTCAGCAGAACCAAAAACATAGTATTATATTAAACATCAAGAAACCACCCTCCCCTCCGCATCCCTCTCCCTATTCTCCCTCCACTCCATCCCCCCATCCACAAACTCCTCCCTTTTCCAGATCTCCGCCTTCTCTTTACAAACCTCCAATACCTCCTCGCCCGCCCTCCACGCCGCCCCCCGATGCCCCGAACTAACCGCAATAACAATACTCGCCTCCTGGATCGGCACAACCCCCAACCGATGCGCAATCACAATCCCCGTCAATCCATGCTTCGCGACTGCATCCCGTGCAATCCCGCTCAGGGTCTTGAGCGTCAGCGGTGGATACGCCGTGTAGCTCAGTTGGGACACGGGGCGATCCCCGAAGGTGTTTCTCGTTGTGCCGAGGAAGAGTACGTTTGCGCCGGCGGCCGGGGAGGAGATTTTGTCGAGTGCAGATTGGGGGTTTAGCGGGGTGTAGGTGAGTTCGAGGTAGATGTTTAAGGTGGAGTCGGTTAGGTGGCGGGGGTAGGTTGTTGGGTCTAGGTGAGGGGGTGTTGGGTTTTCGTTGTCATGGTCTTTTGGGGTGGTCATTTTGAGGAGAAGGGGGTATCCAGGAGGTTGTTGGTGTTTTTGGTCGTGTTTGGACGTAGGGATGATATCGGAGGATTTGATGCCTTGTGTTGTTGGGTTGGTTACGTCATAGAGGTGGGTTTGGGATCTGAGTGGTTGAGTTTGTGAGGTGATCGAGGTGTCGCTTGTGTGAGATGTCGTTCGAGGGCGTTCTTTGGTCGTTGGTGTTGTTTATTGGGGCGTGACTCTTAAGCTGTGGAGGTGAGGGATTGCATAAATATGTGGTATGCCTGAGGCAGGAGGGGTCTTATCAGGACTGTGGGGTAAAGTGGGATCACCTATCGAGATAAATATATATCAGACTCTATTTATTGCTCATGTCGTTTCGTAACTAAAGGTTCAACTTCGCTGTTATTTTGAGTTCCCTCGAGGGTCATTGGTAGCTTTTAAAAATAATGGAGAGAATACACTTCTGAGATATAGAACAATGTTGTCAAAACAGACAGGATAAAAGAAAACGTGAAGTATCCTTTGCTTGATCTATACCTGCTCAAGGGTATAGCGAAATGACTACACGACTTTTGAATTTTCACCCGTTTTGTTTTTACGACTATTGCAAGGGAGAAGAGCTAAAACTCTGCGACTGACTAAATATAGTAGATAGCTGCCATCAGGATAGCGTAGTTACTGCCTTGCTTGAATACTTTGAAATCTACTCTGGCACGAAGCTTTGCACCGAGGCCCTTTCATGAATGACTTGAACGTTCGTCGGGGAGTTCCAGTAATAATATTGGTTCATAGATCAGTATGATACACCTCCGGGGACAGTGGTGACAATGTTGACTCGAAGACATCCTTCCCAGCCTGATCATATAACACATCGACCCACATAAATGACTCCATAATATCCCGCATCTCTGACCATGAGTTTATATTGCACAGTTGGATATTAGCTCGTAACCAACGCTTCAACCACTGATCGTCGCATTGACGGAAAACTGAGATTTCACCAACCATCAACAGCCAGAGCATAATATGAGACGAAATACCATTCAAAGACTTCAAGGACAACAGACAGTTTTTGTAAATAATAGATAGCTGATCATAAGACCATTGGACGCCCTGCCACTGCAAGAAGACGTGGGAAGAAAAGGCTAGAAGGCCAAGGCGGATAGCTTCAGCAATGGAACCTGGTTCAAACTCCATCAGGAGGAGGCGGTACATGACCAAGGTCATTGTCTCCGAGAGTATCTCTATGGGAAGCCTTTGTTGCGTTGCGGTGGCGGTGTTGACAAGGAGACAAAAGCCCTTCATGGTATCCCAAGTTCTAGCTAGAGTGGCGTCTGTGTCTTCAAGGAATCGCGCCGAGTCTATGATTAGCGGATAAGGGATCATGTCCACTAGTAGGGCGTCAAAGAACAGCGGTGATGTGCAACATCGCACTGCAACTGACAGGTCGCACCTAGATTTCAATAGAAGCACTTTAGTCATATGGCCACGTAGTAGTGGGCGAGTCGCATACCGGTAGATTTCGGTTCTCAGTTTGACATCGTCAGTGAATTTAGTGACGCCACCTCGTAAGTTCACTAGTTTATAGAGACCATTTAGATGATGTCTAGCGAATTCAATATTTCCGGTAATATGGGCATGTATTGCTAAGAATAAAACCACCATTATGGTGGCAATCGACGGCTTCACTTGTTCATCTGGAAGTGATAGTCTCACACGAAGAAGTTGGAGTGTCTTTACAAAGTGAGGTGATGTTGGCCTGTTCGTACTGTTTGTGAGTTGTTGACTGGTGAGTCCGTCAAAGAAGTACTGAGTTATAAATGCCATGGCATGAAGATAGACGGGGTCCACTATCAACAGATCATGCCACTGCTCTTTCTTATTGAAGTCAATGCACCTCTCTAGAGCGAATAGAACCTTCTTGGACATCGTCCCAACTGTATGGTTCTCGGTAAGTATACGTTGAGCAGGCCTTTATTGAACAAGATCGGCGTAATGAACTTACATCTCAGGATATTCGCAGCCAACAACGGCTCGATCGAGTCAGCAAATTGTAGCAGAGATGCATCTGAGCCAACCCTTTTTGGGATAATAGGATGTGGCTTCTCAACTAATCGAGTAGACCGCTTCTGTAAAGCTCTATTTCTTTCATTCCGACACTTGTCGCGTTCGAAATCCGTTAGTTCCTCAGGCCCCGAGCGTCGGAACCTCCCCCGGTTCTTGCCCAGCATGACATGGCTTCTGATAAACTTGCGTGTGTCTGGGTTTGGCTTTGTTGAGTCTGTCGATATGATGATCGGTAGACTTACTAGCAGCTTAATGAGATAAAGTCCCGATTTAGAAAACAATACCATGACTAAACGGACGGACTTACCTGAGCCACCCTTCAACACCATCTTGCCTAGTAAGCTAAAAGAGAGTAAAATGACCCAAGCTCATATGCAACGGCCTACTGTGTAGCTTTTACCTTCAATATTGTTTACCTTATTAGGATACAGTGAGAAAAGGGCAGAAATCTGTTGACGATCAAATAGTTAAGACGTAGTTCTCGGGGCTGACGTTGATCACCTAGCAGCTTTCTGCAACGTTGATTGGCTGCATGATTGTTTTCCTATTCTGGTATAGCTTCTTATGTAGGCTGCGATTGGCCGGTCCAGTGTCTTGACCTTCACTAACTCTTTTAGGCAAACAATATAGATTGGTGGATTTACTTCACCTTCAGACCTGCTAATTCCGTGGAATGGGCCTAGAGGGAGAACATATAAAGGCAATAAGATGGCTGTAATGTTGTGCCTCATTATATCAAGCATCTACAAGCTAGCAGGACCACAACGAAAACTACGAACACCCCTCTAATTCTTAGTGTTACGACAGTGACTTGATACAGTTCCACGATGTCTACCTCAAGAGACTTGCCCCCCTTTACTTCAGCTTATTTCCCCAGACTTTACTTCAACTCCCATATTTGCTCTAAGCCCCAATATCCCTCGCCGCAGACCAATCTCATTGATAAAGTGGCCATCGTGACGGGGGCCAATACCGGCCTCGGTCTGGAAAGCTCTCGCCAACTCCTCTCATATAACCTGTCCCACCTGATCATCGCAGTTCGCTCAGTCACAAAGGGGGAGACTGCAGCGGATACCCTTCGTAAGCAGTATCCCATGGCCACAATCGTGGTCTGGCAACTGGACATGAGCTCGTACGATTCTGTCCAGGCTTTCGTTCGTCGCGCAGAAAATCACTTGCCTCGTCTAGATATCGTCATTTTGAACGCTGGACTGGGAAATTTGAACTTCAGTGTGGTTAAGAGCACAGGTCATGAAGAGATCATCCAAGTCAACTACCTCTCAACTGTGTTGCTCTGTATTCTTCTGCTTCCTGTGCTCAAAAGCAAATCTCTGGACGTAATACCCGGTCGACTCAGTATTGTTAGTTCCGGACTCGCCCTCAATGCTGGGTTTCCACACAGAAAGTACTCGCCCCTCCTTCCATCCTATGATGACCCGAAAAATTTCAACTGGCGGGAACAATACAGCGCATCTAAATTCCTCGGTCACATGTTCATGTGGAAGCTCGTCGACTACGTATCCGCGGATGATGTCGTGGTGAATGTGGTGGACCCAGGCTTTACCAAGGGCACTGAACTCCAGCGTGAAGCGTCTGGCCCTCTATCGGTGGTCTTTTCTATTGCGAAGGCGTCCACTGCTAGGACGATCAAGGATGGAGCTTCCACGTATGTGGATGCTACAGTGGTGAAGGGTAAAGAGTCCCACGGATGCTTTGTTATGGACTGGCAGATTAAGCCGTAAGTTTTCCGGTCCTTATTGGTTTATACTTGCTACAGCATGCTCTATCAGATTCGCGACTTTCCTATACACGCCCGAGGGGAAGCAAGTAATTGAAAGACTATGGGATGAGACTATGGCCGAGTTGAAATTCGCTGATGTTCAAGGTATTCTTGATTCCATGAAGAGATCTTGATTGGTTTTCGCTCGATAGTGGACTGCTCTGCCAGATTGGGATTGCTTTCATGATTTTTCGCTTCTTCTATCGGAGAGGTATCCCTTTCTGTATTCTGGAAGTCCTTATTGCTTTGGGCGTGATTCCTCCTAGACCTTTCCATACTGTAAATTTAGTCTAACACGTACTTTATTTCAAGCTATATTAAAGCCACCCGGACATCTTTAGCAAATTTATACTCCGTTCACCTTAAATGTGTGTTAAAATAGAACCTCCACTGATTGATCGACAACCGGCAACGGATCCGCCGAAAGCTCACCGTGTCGTATCATCATTCGATCAGCCATCAAGTGGAACCAATTTCCTACCAAGTCTCACTGGCCGACAAGCTTGATCAGACCCTCTATCCAAGAGCTCCCCCTGTTGAAATGGAGTCCAAGGTGAAAGACTATAGGCCACCAACACATTCGCCGATAATTTCTCCGCAGGAAAGTCCCTGCCCCGCGGTACACATTATCCGATGACCAACTGCCCCTCCAACAACAACAAACCCATGTAGATACCTAAACCCTCGCTCTTCCCCCGTAAATCCAAGTTCTTTCTGGGTAATTCTATCTCACCTGAATAAAGCGACACCATGGTGAAGCCCGCCGATCAGATCCACCGAGCCTGGTGGAAGGAGAGCTCCGTTTATCAGATCTGGCCAGCTTCCTTCAAAGACTCCAACGATGACGGCATCGGCGATATCCCTGGGATCATTTCCAAGTTGGATTATATCAAGAACCTCGGTATTGACATCGTCTGGCTGTGTCCTTCGTATAAGTCACCCCAGGTTGACATGGGATACGATATCGCGGATTATTACAATATCGCCGACGAATACGGCACGGTCGCAGATGTCGAGAACCTGATCAAGGGGTGTCATGAACGGGGCATGAAGCTCCTCATGGACCTAGTCGTGAACCACACTAGTGATCAGCACGAGTGGTTCAAGCAATCGCGCAGCTCGAAGGATAACGAGTACCGGAATTGGTACATCTGGAAGCCGGCCAAGTATGACGAGCAGGGGAATCGTCAGCCGCCCAATAATTGGGTGTCGCATTTTCAGGGTACGCTTTACTGTTTGTGGCTTTTCGGTTTATATCTGGCGTTATTGTAACTGTATCTCACTATGATGGTAGGAAGCGCGTGGGAATGGGACGAACATACCGGCGAATACTATCTTCACCTGTACGCGACAGAGCAGCCAGATCTTAACTGGGAACATCCGCCGGTCCGCAAGGCCGTCCACGACATTATGCGCTTTTGGCTGGGCAAAGGTGCGAACGGGTTCCGTATGGACGTGATCAACTTCATTAGCAAGGACCAGCGGTTCCCGGATGCCCCAATCAAGGATCCACGTACCCCGTGGCAGTGGGGGGATAAGTACTACGCCAACGGACCTCGGTTGCACGAATACCTGCAGGATCTGGGTAAGATTCTTAAGGAGTATGACACATTCAGCGTTGGTGAGATGCCCTTTGTGAAAGATACGAATGAGGTGCTCCGCGCTGTACAATATGACCGGAACGAGATTAATATGATCTTCAACTTTGAGCATGTCGATATTGATCATGGCACATATGACAAGTTCGAGCCTGGGAGCTGGAATCTCACCGACCTGAAGTCATTCTTTGAGGTTTGGCAGAAGGTCATGTATGAAAATGACGGTTGGAATGCTTTATATTGGGAGAACCATGACCAGCCACGGTCGGTTGACCGCTACACAAACGCAAAGGAGGAAGACAGACTTGTTGCATCTAAGATGCTGGCCACGATCTTGGCCTTGAAAGCTGGCTCGCCTTTTGTATACCAGGGCCAGGAGATTGGCATGAGCAACGTCCCACCTGAATGGGATATCGAAGAGTACAAGGATATCGACTGCCTCAACCACTGGCACAGGTAAGCACTTCATCGTTTCTCTCCTGCATCGCTTACCGGAGACCCTCCTAACCATCAATAATCTACAGACTACTCAAGTATAGGCCAACAGATATCGAAGCTCAGAAGAGCGCTCGCGAGGAATACCAGAAGAAGTCCCGCGACAACGGCCGCACGCCAGTTCAATGGTCGAACGCTCCGAATGGCGGATTCACCGGCCCCAACGTCAAGCCCTGGATGTCTGTTAATCCCAACTACGCGCGTGGAATCAACGCCGAGGCCCAAGTCAGCGACCCTAACTCAACTTACCATTACTGGGCATCGGTGCTTGGACTCCGTAAGAAATACCTAGATATCTTTGTTTACGGAAACTACGATCAGGTCGATCGGGATAGCCAGGAAATCTTCGCATACAGCCGTCAGTATGAGGATCAGAAGGCATTAGTTTTGGCCAACTGGACTGAATGCATGTTGGAGTGGGACTCTTCATCTCACGGTGTCAAAGACGTGAAGGACGTGTTGTTGAACACTTATGATAGCGTAAGCGATGCCAAAGAGAGATTTTCCGGTACCAAATGGACTCTTCGCCCCTATGAGGCCGTGGTCCTACTCACTGAAGCTTGATTCCCGCCATCTATGGATAAGGAATTAAAGGCTTCATCTCAGTCTCGAGCGTTATGGACTCTACAAACTAGATTATAGTCATAGATAGATTTCAGTCTGTCCTCGTACAATGTCTTCTATTCATCGTCTTATTTTATTATTATCCTTTTCTTCTCGACCTCTTTCTTGGAATAGAGCATCCGGAAACGGAAGTATGTGAATTAGTTGCCTAATTAGGTAAGCGGTGACTTGTGCCATGGTCTTCTATTGGTCAGTCAGACCACACCAAACCCTTTCCGGCAGACCGGATGCTATTTTCGGCAACCACCCAACCGGGGATGGCAAACCCCAGGTTTCAACAGTATTTTGATCCTCAAGTAGTCACTTACGTTCCCGGAAACGCAGAGCAAAACCCTAAAGCTTCAAGAATGTGCAATTTCTACCATCTGCGACGCCAGTGTGGCGAGAAAACCCACCTCACCAGCAAAGCGCAAACCATCCCGACTGCAATATGCACTTGCATGTGTTGAAACCACCTTCCTGACACTAGCAGTTAACCTATTGGACCTGACCAGGTCGCACTTACTGAACCAATGGCTATCGTGATGAGCCGGTGGACTACGAAGACCATTCTCAAGCTGGTAGCTGCAGCTCTCTGCAGCTACTTTATTTTCAGTATACTGTTGGTCGATCGAGAGGTGTACTACTCGACCACTAAGAATGTTATACGTGCTGGACAGCATCACCTTACGGAGGAGACGACCTTTGATCACATCAACAATGAGACTCTCGGGGTAAGCTTGGGTGTTTATGGTTTGAATACACATACTGATTAAGTCTAGTTTCAACATATCTATGCCATTGGCATGAAGGAGCGTACTGATAAACGGGACTACCTCACCCTGGCAGCTTCGTTTCTTGGGATCAATATTGATTGGAGAGATGGGGTGTATCCCGATACTGTTGTTGAGAAGGCTTATCCGTTGGTGTGTATATTGGATTCTTTTACAGGGACGTCAACTGATCGCCATGATAGAGATTGGGTGAATCGGGAGTCAAGCCCGCCGCCATAGGGTGTTGGCGCGCTCATATGAATACGCTTATCGAGTACGTACTACTTCCGGTATTCGGCTAGCGTCACTATATTGACAATGAATGCAACAACAGTATCGTTGAAAATGGCTACACCACTGCGCTTATCATGGAGGATGACGCCGACTGGGACGTATCGCTCAGACAACAGCTTGCCGAGTTTGCGCGAGGTGTGCGCACTTTGACCAACAACCAAAAGGAATCCAAGAAAGCGCCGTACGGTACAAACTGGGACATTCTGTGGATTGGAGGCTGTGCATCAGGGGCCCATCAGAACGAGACCGATTTTTATGTCATCCCCAACGATCCAACGGTTCCAAACACCACAATTCGAGGGCCGTGGGAATCACCCGCAGGGCCCTCTGTGCAATGGAGACGCGATCATCCAGAGTGGCCAGTAGATTCCACGAGGTACATCTATCGCGCTAATATGGGCTGCTGCACGTTTGGATACGCAGTGACGTTGGAAGGGGCGAGAAGGATCTTGGCTGAACTTTCAATCAACTATTTGAATTTGCCGGTGGACAATGCCATGAGCGACTTGTGTGCGGGAAGCAATCGCCCCCAATTGCGCTGTTATGCGCCTTTTCCTAACCTGATTGGGACGTTCAGAGCAGAAGGGTATGTGTCGCGTGATTCTGATATCGATGTGTGGGAGGATAGGAAATTTGAGTGGCATCAGGCTCAAGCGTACAATATGGTCTACAGCACACGGCTCAATATCCACCGCCTGGTTTCAGGGGCGAAGACGGTCTATTCCCAGTGGAAGGAGTCTCCTGACCCGTGGTCGAAAGCTGAGGTGACGCTCGGGGAGATTGAGTATCCAAGAGGATTGCTTGTTCATTGATATACTGGAAACTATATCCAAATCTCATTTAGCATTTTCGGGGGTTAGCTTTGCTTGGTTACTTGGGCACTTGTTTTTTGTTGGAGATGTTGTACTTAAATGGTTGCATTGGTTAGTGCCCTTTTGAGACATTGTGCACATACATACAAAATCTCTGTTTCATGGAAAGATCATCAGAAACAATAGCACTGCGCTGCGTCTAGGCTCTCTTCTATGGCCCTTCGCTTGGTCTATGTAACATCGTACCTTTCCGTAGGTGGACCAATGCTACTACATTTCCGGATGCGGAATCAAGCTGGGCCATGAGAAGATGCGGATCGGACCAAAAACGAATTGTGTAGTGGTACACCCTGTAAATTTTTATTGAAGCTCTGTTGCAAAGCAATGGTAGATTCCATTTGTGATGTCTTCTTGATAGTTCCTCGATATCACAGTTCGACACGGATATGTGGTCCTGATCTCTATAACTCATTCCTACAATCCGCCAAAGCAAGCCGTCTGCGACATATTCGTGCAAAGATACCGGACGCACAAGGTTAGCGCCGCATCCAACCCATGGTCTATGGAAATAGACTTATGCAAAGCAGGAAGCAAATCTGTCCCCGGATCAAAACGTTGGGCTTGGGGTAGCATTCAACCTCCATTCATAACCAAGTGGTAAACACGTCCCGCGTTCTCGAGAAGTGGTGGATGTATGTGCTGCAACTTCGCTCGCCGATCAACCCACTGCCCCAATAGATTTCAATATATTTTCACTGTATGCTTGTCCAAGCCCTGTCAAACAAGCATGCATATCTAGAGTGCATGAACACTAACACGAAGTCTAGTTTAAATATGGTCAACTCATCACAAACCCAAGAAAAGGAAGACCTTGAGACGGGCCAATTGATAAAATCAGCTGAAGTACACCAGGATGAAAAGGTCGACTATGATATCAATTATGTCTCCGAGAAGCCCACAGAGCAGCTAGTCCCAGGACTCGGCTTCATCATCTGGACGGGTATTAACATACTTTCAACCGTGGCTATTGTAAGCCCGATACAAACCACCCCCAAGTGCAATTGAAATCGCTACTAACATATGCCCTCAATTGGAAAAGGTTTTCACGAACAAAGCTATCCTCTCAGACCCCTCCTTCCGCAACTCTCAACTCTCATTCGCCGCATACCATTTTTTCGTCACAGGCGCAACACTATGGGCCGCATCCCGGCCCTGGTGCGGCTTCTTCGTCCCTAAAAATGTAGCAATCGTCCATATGCTCCCACTAGCAGCCGCTATGGGTGTCCAAGTGATCCTCCAGAACCTGGGCCTGGCACACTCCTCCGTCATGTTCCACCAACTCGCCCGGTTGCTCCTCACCCCGGTGACAGCATTACTGAACTACATGCTCTACGGGGCAAGGGTACCTCGTGCGGCGATCATCCCTCTCACCCTACTCTGCATCGGCGTGGGATTGGTCTCATACTACGACTCATTACCTACCACAGACGGAAAAGTCACCACCTCGGCTGCGGGCATTGTATTCGCATTCTCTGGCGTCGGTGCAAGCGCAATCTACACCGTATGGATTGGACACTACCATAAAAAGCTGGAGATGAGTAGCATGCAGCTCCTGCTTAACCAGGCACCTGTGAGTGCGGGCTTGTTGCTCTGCACTATTCCTTGGGTTGAGACGCCGCCGAATGTCTCGTCTGTGCCGGGGTCGACTTGGATCTTGATCTTGATGGTGGGTGCATACCCTTATAGTTTCGCCAACATCTAATTTCACGGAATGGAATATTAACATGCATACTAGAGCGGTCTATTCGCCTGTCTGGTCAATCTCTCCGGTTTCTATATCATCGACGCGGCCGGGCCGGTGAGCAGCACCGTCATCGGACAGCTGAAGACATGCATCATAGTCGGACTGGGATGGGCGTCTAGTCGTCATATCATCATGAGACAGAGTATCTTGGGTATCTTCATGGCCCTTGTGGGGATGAGCATGTGAGTATCTCTGTTCGAACACCTGATGCCTTGAATCTTTCCCGACATAGACTAACTCGCCTGCGCGATAGGTATATGAATATCATTCTCCGCAACCAAAGCAAAGCTTAATACGGCTACTGGACACGAATGTATAGAGAACGATGCACACTCGCCTTAATATCTTAACATGGCATGTTGATTGTCGGTTCGCGGTGTTTCTTGGTTTTCTGTTCTTGCTCTGGCGTTTGCATTGTAGGTTTCATGACTATTTTGTACTTGCTTTTAGTTGGTTTGTTTGTTAGGCCCTGCTCAGCTAGAGCTCTCTATTAGTTTACTTCGCTTCTGCAGTAGTATCGCATATCCGACTGATATACACTCTAACACTCTAATCCTACCTTGGACATGGCGGAGATGTAACTCAGGCCTTTTGGATGCTGCCTAGCCACAATCCCTTCATAACAGAGCCAGCACTAGCAAATTCACAGATGATTCGCGGGTGGGTCTGAGGCTGTTGCGATGACCTGGGACTAGTTCAGGGTTCAGGGGCGTGCAGTGGAAATGATATAAGCATCCTGTTTTATTCAGAACGTGATCTGATAGGTAGTCATGAGTCTAGAAAGAATGCAATGTCTGGCTCGTAGGCTTGACCTCGAACTACCTAGTTGAGTGTGTTTATGCAAGGCTGAGAAAAAAACATTGATTTGATCTGCAAGGTCCGGGCAAAATGAATCCCAATGACGACCAGCTGAACTGACAAAGAGCACCGAACAGTGGGTCCTATCCATATATCAAGGAAATAATATAAACCATTATCAGCCTAAAAAACCTGGCATTTCGCATGACACGACGCAGTGACAATTTCAGCCGATGCAAGGAATTTAATGGCCCCTCATTCCTGCATGACCTCGTGACGGATAGACTGGAACTATACCTGCACCACAAAATTAAACAGAGACATAATTTCAGCTGCATAGCCAATGGCACTGATTATCGCTTTCGTTTATTGGGGGGAAAATAACTCAGTAGCTGCGAAATTACTTTTCTTCTCCTCTTCTCAGCCGTATAAAATCATTTCTAGAGTTACACTGGAACTCTACTCATACGAGAAATTATATTGCCTACTGAAGCTATAAATACATAGGTGGTGAAGAGGTAAGACAGTCATGATATCCATTTTATCCTCATTGCCCATTCACTATGTTCTCCTTGTTACTGCTGCTTGGGGCTATCTGCCCTACGCTTGGCGCTGTTGTTCCTAGCGTGGTTCGCAGAGGTATTTTAATTAAAAGCACAAACCTCGGTTTGGGATTTTGGTCAGAAGGCTAAGTGATCCGTAATAGATATCTCCCCCCCTCTTCTGGAGGAATTCAACCGCTTCTCGCAGTTCGCTGCTGCCTCGAATTGCCGAGCGAACCATAATGAGACTTCTCCTGGGTCAGCGGTATACTGTGACTCGGGGTTCTGTAATCTCGTCCGCGAAGACGAGACGCAGATCATCGAGGGGTTCTGGGGGTATGTCCTTCCTTCACATTACCTTCTTTTCCACAGAAAGCTAACACACAGGACACGGTAGGATCTCCCCCGGAGACACAACAGGGTACCTCGCGCTAGACAAAACCAAGAAAGAGATCATTCTGGTCTTCCGCGGCACTGTGTCCGACGAGAACGGCCAGACGGACCTGCAATTCTTCCATACTGATGCATCGGCCGCCTGCGCAGGATGCAAAGCCCACGTAGGCTTCTGGGAGGCATCGAATGCGGCGATAGCGTCTCTCCAGCCCAAGGTCGAGAAGGCGGCCAAGCAGAACCCGGGCTACAAGATCGTCTTAGTAGGGCACAGTCTCGGCGGCGCGCTTGCTACGCTAGGAGCTGTTACCTTACGGCATGCAGGACATGTAGTCGATCTGGTACGATCCTTTCTTTCGTCTGTAAAAATGCTTCAACCCAGCGCAAGAATTGACAACAAGTAGTATACCTTTGGCGCACCATCTGTGGGGAACCTGGCCTTTGCCGAGTTCATTACCCAGCAAACTTCGGGCACCAATTATCGTATCACGCATCTCAATGACGAAGTACCCAAGGTGCTGTATAAGGCGCACAGAAACTTAATCCTGGGTATTCTGGTTCCGGAGTATAGTCAGACTTCGCCGGAGTATTGGATTACCTCGGGTAATGGTGTGCCGGTGGGGGTGGCTGATATCACGGTGGTGGAGGGTATCAATAATGAGGCTGGTAATCTGGGGACTATGGAGGTGACGATGGAGCCTCATGGGTGGTATATGGGGAGTATGAGTGTTTGTGCTGAGATTTGAGATGTGAATCAGTGTACACGTATATAATATTGTCTATGGTATAGTCTGGAGAGTGGAAGAGACACCACTTTGTGTGGTTGGAGTCACACGGCAGTGATAGGTATACACATATATATATATATATATATATATATTTAATTTAATTATTTAGGATGATTTTTAGGAAAATATACGGAAAATAGATAGAGACTATATTATAATAATACTAATAAGATGAACCTGAATGTGAAGGCATCATTAATGTTAGGACACGTGATGTGCATGTTCCCCTCACTGTTCTCCTCATATTCAAGTTGGCGAGACTTACAACCTTGAATCATCCGATCCAGCCAGGTCGGCCAACTGGTGGTCCAATCGGAAAGCCTAGTGATTCAAGGAATATGACCTGCAGGGAAACTTCCCCTCAATTACTACTTGGTGCCCGACTTTAGCCAATCGCCACATAAATATGCGGACTCACAACGGACTTTGAAACATAATTCTCCAGCGTACTCACCTTCGGTGGAATTGAATATGCAGTAAGCTTCCTTGGGTGTCCTTCCCTGATGAGTTGTAGCTGACATGCTGGTAGGGAATCGTTGACTTACTATAACCTCGGTCCGCATCGGCGGTCGGTGACCACCGCCTCCGCAGAAGCTCAGCTCTGGTTTACCCGCGGGTTTCTATGGGCTTATTCATTCAACCACGAGGAAGCACATCGCTGCTTCGTGCGAGCGACCGAACGTGATCCGAAATGTGCGATGGCGTACTGGGGTATCGCCTACGCTATCGGTCCCAACTACAACAAGGCGTGGAGTTTCTATGACCGAGCCGACCTTGAGGATACAGTGAAACAAGCGAACGATGCATTGGCGCGTGCCACTCTGCTCGCGGGCGATGCCACTCCCGTGGAACGGGACTTGATCAAAGCACTGAGAGCCCGATTCCCTCCATCCGATAATATCCCATCCAGTATGAGACCACTGGACCGCGCGTATGCGGAAGCGATGCGTCCCGTATATGAAACACATCGCTACGACTTAGATGTGGCAGCATTATTCGCCGACGCGCTCATGTGCATTAGCCCTCGAAGGCTCTGGGACTTAGATACGGGGAAGCCCACCGGCGACCATACCGTCAAGGCTCAGGCTGTGATTGAATCAGGATTGGCACGAGGAGCCGAAGGCCGGGACCATCCTGCCCTATGTCATCTCTACATTCATTTGATGGAAATGTCGCCCGTCTCCGAGCGGGCATTACCAGCCGCCGACCGTCTTCGTCGCCTGGTTCCCGATGCTTCTCATATGTTACATATGCCATCACACATCGATATGGCCGTGGGCGACTATCGCCGCGCAGTTGACTCCAACGAGGACGCCATCGTCGCTGATGACCTGTATTTCAATCGCGAGCGCGGTTCGGCCCTATACGTCGCGTATCGGGTGCACAATGTATGTGCGAAGTTGTATGCGGCTTTAATCTCCGGTCGGTCGCAAGAAGCCATATCGGCTGCGAAGAAGCTTGATCAGATTATTGATATGAAGGTGTTAACAAGCACCACTCCCCCGCTCGCAGACTGGGTTGAGAGCTTTTTGGGAAATTATGCTCATGTCCTCGTGCGCTTCGGACGCTGGGAGGAGATCCTCCGTCTGAAACTCCCTACCGATCGCAAAATCTACAGTGTAACCACCGCAAGTATTCTTTATGCGCGTGCAATCGCGCTGAGCGCCCTCGGTCGCATCCCAGAAGCAACGGCCGCCCAGGCAGAGTTCGAGACAGCGCGTGCGGCGGTTCCACCGTCTCGCATGAATAGTATCCCGTGTAAAGAGACCGACGTGCTCAAAGTCGCTGCGGCAATGCTGAACGGCGAACTGGAATATCGCAAGGGGAACTATGAAGCTGCGTTCTCCGATCTCCGGAAAGCCATTAAGCTGGAAGACGCGCTCCCGTACTCCGACCCTCCGCCGTGGATGCAGCCTGTGCGTCATGCCCTAGGCAGCCTGCTTCTGGAGCAAAACCGGGTTGCAGAGGCAGAGCAAGTATTCCGAGAGGACCTTGGTTTCGCTAAGGAATTCCCCCGCCGCAAGGCAAGACTGAATAATGTCTGGGGGTTGCACGGATTGCACGAGTGCTTGATGCGCTTGGGCAAGTCCGAGGAAGCTCTCACTCTTAAGGTTCAACTCGATATTGCTGTCGCCTCTGCTGACGTCCCGATTACTACCTCATGTTACTGTCGATTATCGGCGGTTGGGAAAGCAGAGTTATGTTGTTCTGCTAATATTTAGAGCGGGCTTTATAGGGTACCTTACAAGCTGTTCGTAAAAGGCTTTTTTTCAGTATGAGATATTTGTTCAGACGACCGTCCCCTCACTATCCTATGCCTCTGTAATTATTAATAACTGTTATTGGTATGTGATAAATAGCCAGAGATCATAATTTTGAGACCCACTTCACGTCTAGCCAGGGCTAATTTTTAGCAAAACCCCACTCTAGAATTGAACATTTCCCCGAAAGAGTAAAATACGCTCTGTAATCTCTAGCGGCCCGTATTAGTGGGGATAGGACGTGCTTAATTTCCACAACTGGAGCTTCTGGCTGAATCGCTTTAATGTGATTGAAGGGAAGGATGAGATTTCATGGCTAAACTGTAACCTGAGAGGGTAATTCTCCGATCAGTTAAGCATCACGATAGACGGAGTCGCTCGATAGCTGAAATCTTGTCCTCTTCCTTTGCGTAGCCTCACCGTTTGGTTATATTGGATACACAATCCTCCATATATTCTGTTTGCTAAACAGGTCTTCGAAGGAAAGAAAAGTAAGTAGTCAACATGAGTTCCACCACGCATTCAGGGACCGAAACGACGGATAATGACCTCTTTATAAAGGTACATAACTCTCAAGCGCAATATGAGTTCGTTATTCCACGGGGCCCTGTTTGCTGCAAATCCAACAACAGATTCATTACGTTTCATCAAAGAGGAGTATGATGAGCTGAAAGAATTTCTCACAAAAGGCGTTTCGTCCTCGGGACAGTGATGGTAGCCTCTGGGCTGATTGAGCGCCCACTGGCCAGTGTTCTTTGTGGTGACCCAAACGTGACTCTTTCAATTATCAACTGGGCGCTGGTTTGGCTTAGCGAAAAATGTCTGCCAGGCGAAAACGAGGTACGTACTATTGGGTTTCATTAACATACTCTTCCCTGCAGTCAGTCGTTCTCTGACCTAGACGCGATCAACTAACAGATAGCCTAGTTTCCAAATAATGTGAGAGATAAACTTCACCTCCACAAGACTGGCAAGCTCGCGGGATTTTGGCACGCGCTTGGGCAGCCTAGACAAGGCTTACATCAAGCTGGGCCATTCGACCGGTGGACCGGGGGAACAATGGGAACATGCAATGGGCTGAACGATGCCAAGATTGCCACCAAAATTGTGAACGAAAAGGGAGCTTTATAGTCACATATGACCATTACATATACACATCTAGCAGCAAGAAGAGCGTCAAAGAGCGGGGTGACTCAGGGTCACTCGTGATGTTCGACCTCAGAGGGGCTGTCCTCGGTATGTGCTTCGGAGGAAACCAGTATGGAGGCATTGGCTATTTCACACACAATCAAGGGTCTCCTAGAAGACATCAAAAAGAAAACCGGGGTGCAGCATATCAGCCTTTATGGTAGTGGTTGGTTATAGATGCACTAGTGCCCCGACCTACCCGACACATATGTAGGGTGTCCATCCCACCCGGCGTAGCATGCGGTAAAAATTTAATCGGTAGCATTGAATACCAGGAATCATGCACTGTTAACTATATCAGTCATAATTGTTCGATTTACTAGGATTAATTAACAGTCGCTATTAGGAAATAATATGTATACATGCTCTGTAAATGCTATTATAGGGCGGATAAGCCAAGAGTATGTCAATATGCCCCAAAGCATACATAAATCGACTCGATCAACTTTAGTGATGGAAGTATCTTTCAGCCATTTACAGGGTTTGAATTTACACCGATGACCAAATTACAGCCTTTAAATACACATACCATGCACAGCAGCTCTAGACATCGATTCGCCAGGGTTACGGCAAAGAATCTCGTTTCGTAAGATTGCTAGTTACTATTCGGTATGGCCCGGTGTATTACGGATTCCATGGTTGAACCCTAATTCCGCCCCCAAATGATGGGAAGTTTCTAATGGGTTAAGCATCACCCACTAACAAGGAAGGCTAGCAGCCTACAGAAGGCGGCTATCAGGGGCTCTAGGCTCCTAGAGACATGGAAGAGTTTGGCAACCTAAAATAGGTCATATATAGGAGAAGGGAGCCAGTTTTTCCTCCTGACCTCTTCCTCTTTTTTCCCTTCCCAGGGCATTCACTCACTTTTTGTCACTTTTTGTCACTCTTTGTCCTCCCTCACGTTCATTTAACCGACCGTCAGTCGTTCATTTTGACTACAAGTTTGCTGAAAATGAAGTCGTTCACTCTCCCCATCCTCCTCGCCGCTGGCCTGGCTGCGGCCCGCACGGATCTTGTTGGTTGTACTAAGTCCGCAACTGTGAATCAATGGGGCCAGGCCAGTATGATCTGGTACGTTCCCGATACCGGCGAGATCTGTGATTTCCCCGACTGCGGCGGCGGTCGCGCTCCTCCCAAGCACAACCAGCCCGGATGCGCGGCCTACACAGGGACCGAGACCCTGACTCCAAGCTATCTTCCCGGCTGGGGTCCCAATGGCAAGGTTGCGCCCTCAACTTCGGCTCTCTCCGCCTCGGTAACTGATTCCGAGTCCTCGACCATGCCCACCTCGGCCGCTTCCTCCAATACCAAGACCGGTAGCACCTTGATCACTGCCGCGCCCACCCTCTCCAGTGGAGCTTCGTCTTCTGCCGCCGCCGGGTCTTCATCTCTTGCGGCCTCATCCTCGAGCGCTGCCTCGTCCCGCTCTAGCTTGTCTAGCACATCTGGCTCGCCTAGCTCGAGTGGCACTTCCAATGCGACAAGCTCGTCAGGCGCTAGGCCAACTGGTAACGCGGCTAGCGTGTCAGTTTCTAATGTCGCCAGTGTCCTGGCCTTTGCGGGAGCCTTGGTAGGCGTTATGGCCTTGTAGAGAGCCCAACTTAGCTGTATAGTCTTGGCATTCCTTGTCAACGGTAGCTCGCAATGAGTGATGTTGGGAGTAGATTAATATATGATCAGTATCATTTGCGGACCTGCTCCTTTTTTTTTTTTTTTTTTTTTTTTTTTTTTTTTTTTTTTTTTTTTTTTTTTTTTACCAACCTTGGATCACCTAACCCCACTCGATGAATTCTCAGCGTTTTTCCTCTTGATAATGGTATACAGTAATACCCGGGCGATCACCCGTTGATCTTCATGATCGTCATGATGATTGTCCACTGCGAAGTAAACACTACGGTCGGCATAACAAGCCGTAGTGTTGGAGACTCGCCCTTATATGGCAGGCATATTTACGCCCCATCTACATACAAGCTCCGACCAGTCAACGGACGCGAGAGGAAGACTACTTTGGCTCCAAGCTTTCGATTGCTATAATTGGCGTCTGGTAGAAACACCCCGGAATTCGAGGGTTAAATTTAAAGTGTTCTCTCCCTTGTAGTTTATTTACTCGGCCGGTCCAAGGATGTTCCTTTCATAAACCGACGTCGTCTTTCCGGTCTTCCGGTTCTCAATCTACCCAACTCTATTAGAACTTTTACAAGGCTCGAGCGTCACGAACAGGCTTACTTCGTATCTCGGGTTATCCTCACTTGCGTCGACATTCCGACTGGCCTGGGCTCCGGGTTCAGTGAGGACAGACCTAATGGTGCCGATGCTCTCTGGGGTCCTCGAGTCGGGGCCTTTTGAAATCGATCATCAAATCATCAGAGGCTATCTTTACTTTCCAGGAGACCTGGTAAACATACCACCAATGGGCTTGTAGATAACATTTTGGCCGTTGCTGTACTGAGGCATCTTGTTGGATTATGTGCGAGTGGAAGAGGATATTGATAGATTGATCGATTGCGGATTAATTAACTGAATAGAACAAGGAAAATATATTCCATGACACCAATTTATATTCTGCTTGTCCATCGTCCAGTGTGCCTTGTTCGTAGTATTACATAACTGGCGGTCTGTCAAAGTCGTGAGGCTATGATGCCGCCCTTACGTGCCTGCAGATCGGCCCCAAGGGTTCAGATATCTGCTCCGAGTAAGATATCTTGGTTCGACCTAACTACAACACGCTGGAATAGGTGACGAGTACATCATGGGTGGTTGGTATAAAGTCCCCACATCGTGACGTCAGATCTTGTCTGGACTCGATTCGATCCGGCTTTCCGAAAGATGTGTGATTGCATCAATCCGGAATATGAGTCTGTGAGCAGTCGATACAGGGCCCTCATTTGTGGGTCTACGGGTTCTGTCTTTGACAGTTCGTCAATAATCCATCTGTCACTTCATGCTTGAGCAAGTTAATTGAGGCAAATAATGGCCTGGGCCCCACCCACCCAGTGTTTGAGAGCATAACCCAGAAGTGAGGTACTGCATAACCAGGTAAAATTATGTTGAATTAGCCGCCATCAATAACTCGTTCCATTTAGAGGGTACGGCTTATCTACGCAACGGGGCAAGTTCCTTGAAAATCCACGTTAATGGTTGAGGAGTTGGGAAAAGAGAGCTATATTGTACATATCGAACTTAGTAAACAAAATATATCATAGAGAAATACAATCAATCAGATACAGAGCTGCATGAAAATCTATTAAGGAGTCGTAAGCCCCTTACGTGGTGCACGGCCAGTTTTATTTTCGCCTGTCCCTCCACCCTTCATTGTTTCTCGATCAGCTTCCGACACGAACTTCGAGCGTCCAAGTATAACCTCATCGTTCTGAGCCCGGTGATCGCCCTCTGACACATACGCTTGGCTTCTCCGTGGCGAAAGCGCTCGGAAAGCGAGCCAGCTACCGCCAATGATAGCGAATATGCTTAGGATCGCTGTTCTGCGGGATCTAGCTATATGTCAGCTTCCTCGTGAAATAATGATCAGAGACAGAGGGGGGGGGGGGGGGGAGGGACAGCTACATACCTGGCTGCAAGTGATCCACCCTTCCCTGTTGTTAGGCTTGGGCTCGGCATGATGATGTTGATAATGATTTATGTTTGCTACCGGGGAAAAGCTATAGTCAATCCCTATTCTTGCCCACTTCAAAACACTGTCGGTAGACTCTCATTCTTTCGACCCAGATATATTCCAATGAGAAATGATCATTCGCCTCCATGACCGAACGATGACATTTAGTGCCAAGTCCCAGGTTAACCCCATCCTTAGGATCCTGCGGCGGCTACTATACCTATTGTCCTGACCGGTTCAGTCATGTCAATGACGTTAGAGGAATCAGGCCATACCTTGTCGCCCCTGACTCGGTTTGCGGACCAAGCTAAAGAAAAACCTCAGCCCCACCAGCTGAACACGCTCAAAAGGGCACAGAGTAGACAGGATGCCCCAATTTGGTCATCAATTGATTCGGTTGAAACGTTTATGATGGTTCTATTCTGGACCCAAGGGTGGGTGATCGTATTCATCTAGGAATAGGGCCATGATAGACCGCTTAAATACAAACTAATCGGGAATCCGCTTACTGAGGTTCTGCCGCTTCAGTATGAGTGTCTTCCTGGGGCTTTCGAGAAGGGTATGTACGCTGTGAGATTGGCAAGCTGCATATCCTGGTCTGCAGCGATTCGAAGCAGAACGTACTTTTTGTTCACCCCTGCGTTCCGAAACGTGCCTCATTCCCTTCACAGTAATCTTAAGTTATCCGATATCTAATGTCGAGTGTTACGAACCTCCGACTTTCACTTTGGTTTCAGGATGACTCTTATCCAGGGCCAAGTGCCGGCAATCTACTCCAAGTTAGGGTTCTTCCAATCATACCTGTGCCATTATCTGCTAGCCACTGGGTTCTCCATCTTAGTTGCTGTATATACGATATTAGCCAGTAGTCATGTCCCTTTCAACGGCCGAGAGACTATCCTGGGAGTACTGTATCAAAACAGGACTATACGCAACTTATCAATACGCGCCTTCACGATATATGCTACTAATGCCCCTCAGGGGGACCATGATGAGATGCGAGAGAGTCGCGTTCAAACTCAAATCAGAAACTGTGCCACAAGAGATAATCCAGCAATTTGGTGATGTCGTTGAGATTGATGTTGCCTTTAGTCTAATGGCCTACTCGCACATCCCAGCAAAAGTAGATATTGTCCCTGTAGCATGTAAAATTCTGCCCCACAATCGTTTAAGCATGCTTAACAGAACTCCTATATCCTTTGCCAATTGCCCTTTCTAGTCTAACTCTAAAGTCTTCGCAATGATTTCTTTACTCTTCTTTTTTTCCATTGCTAGATATTTAAAAGTTCTGCGGAAGGCCGAGAAGATTACTCGGTTTGGCGACGAGCCCAAACGATTTGTTCGCCTCTCACGTCCGATTCTCCGAAGACTCCTCGCTTGCTTCGAAGATCTAAATGGCGTTGAGTTCAAGAACCTCTAAACAAAATGCATCCATGAGATCCATGAGAATGCCTGGCAGCGGTGTCCCGGTCCTATCCGGCTGGGTTACTGCATTCCGCTTTTGGAATGAAGATGGTCCGCCCCTGGACGAGCCAAAATCGCAATGTCAGCTTGACCGGGTTTCGTATCATATGCTACGCGAGAGCAAAGTGCCTTCGGGATTTGATTCAGTCCCCGTGGGTTTTAACGGCATGCAAACAAGGGTGGTCGCTGGGCTGGTAGGTCTCTAATTTACGCCTGTGGGGAAACCGATTTGCGTTCGACCGATCTCGGGCTGGTGGATGTACGAGCTGAGAACAATGTGGCAGACGACAAGTTTGAGCCCCAGGATGAGACCCATAATCTTTTAAAAGTATGGTCTTCTTGACAAAGCCGAACATTATTCCATACTATACAGAGAATACGAGATTGTTCTCAGGGTCTGTCACCGGACTTGCGGAGAATGATCTTGTTCAAGATTTTTAGGGTTATTCAATTTACTGCGTGGCAGGATAGATCCTTAGTTGGATATTCTCCATTTTTGTCACACCATTGAAGATCCCGGTCATCTGTCATCTTATTAGCATTAAAATTTCCCCAAAGCTTCGGGCTGCCGTTGTACCGCATGACAAGGCTGTGGGCATCGGAAGGAATATCCTGGCCCATTTTTAATCTCCAGTCGAAGCACGGGCTGGACCAACACCATAAGGCATCAGGACAAAGAAAACAAATTGCAGGAGTGTAACTAAATCATCCAGCTAACTGTCCCCATGGTCCATCATTGGTGCCCTTTGTGCTCCCTAATTAAACTCACCGTAGCGCCGCTGTCCATCCCAGAGTCTATCCAATCCGGTGAGAGTATGGCTTGTTGTTTCATCCCGCGGATGAGGTTGGATACACAAAGATCTTACTGGGGAGGGTAATCGTTGACTATGAATGGCCTCATTCCCTCTACTTTCCCGTTTGCTACAGGGTGAATGACGGGCTTTCAGGGATGTGATCCACAGCTCATCTTCGTCGATTTCCGAATCAGGGCCACTTAACCCTTCTCCTAAGAGGATCTCGACATTCACTGAACATCTTTTAATTCACTTCTCCAGCAGAGCAGGCTCTGATGAATATGACTTCAACTTTTCTCATTATTTAGTCACTCCTTACAATAGTTCACCGCAACTTTTCCTTTAGATCGTCGCTCCTTTCCTCACATCATCTAACTTGTCTGTCATCCCTTCGCAAAATACCCAGAATCAAAGCGAAAAGGGCCTTCCTTACAACAATGAAGATCTTTAGTATACTCCTTCTTTTTGTCACATTTGTGGCCTCCGTCCCGACCCCCAAACCAAACGACGCTATCGACATCTCGAACCTTTACAAGAAAAGGGAGGCCGCCACCCCTCTCCAAACCTGTAACTGGGTCACTGAGTGCAGCCCTGGATATCTCTGCTGCGGTGGTTACTGCCAGAATGTTTACGACTGCAGGCGGGTTCCTCCCAAACAGCCTCCGCAACAGCTCCCGGAAGAGCCAGATCAGGATGAAGATGGTGAAGATACGCCTGGAACACTTGAGGAGCCTAAGCTGAACAAGAGGCGCTATCGCTCACCGAAAAATGAGCCAGATGAGAAGCCGGCCATCAAGCCAAGCGAGGAAACAGACAAGAGTTGCACACATGCGTGGGAGTGCGGAGTTACCGGTGAACATCAATGGGCCTGTTGCAATGGAAAGTGTCTCAAGTGGTACCCTGGACCTACGCCCTGGATTCGGCCTAAATGCATGAAAATAATGAGGAGACGTTGATTGCTAGTCCCTTGAAGGATACGTCTAAGGACTGCTATAATACAATTAGGGGTGGCTGTTTCTCGGTGGTTCAAATTTCTTAATTAGTGCTGGCACTGACGTTCCAAGAACTGCTTTCAATCGAAGGTAACCGTGGCGGAAAAACTATAAACGGCCTGTTTTGAAGCTATTCACCATGGGATGCTTAGGTTAAGGTAGTTCGGGTTGATCTCTTACTTTTCTTTTGTGTTATTTCGACAACGGTGCTTTTACTCTGCTTACTGGGTTAAGCAAGTCAAGCAACATATTCATTTCTCATTTTCTACCAAACATCGCTGTAGTAGATGTGATGCCCCATGTCCCCTGCAAAACAAAATAGCCAGAAAAGTAGACTATGCACACACAAGCTGACAACTGTCCCGACCTCGTCCAAAGCAATACTTCGGTAAGAGATACATTGTTTAGCTCCTCCCATCAATCAGCATATCCAGATTCCCTCACAGTATGATAAAGCCCCCTCCACTACTCACGCAGCAACGTCGTGAACTTGAGCCCTATCCAATCCACTCTACCACTCCATATCATAATCACTATCATCCTCCTCCTCCTCCCCCTCCCCCAACCCCCCCAAATGATAACTCATAGCATTAGGATGCACGCGATCCCTAATCGCCTCCCCGAGATCAAAATCCCCTCCGAGCCTCTCCTCAACGAACCCCTCCTCCTCACTACTCAACCCATCCCCAAACGCAACCGACCGACTCAACCACGCAAAGAACGACCTCGCCCCAATCCTCGCATGACACTCCGCCTGCAATATATGATTCTTCCTCCAATAAATATCCTCACCCCTCGTCTCCACCGGCACCGGATACGGATATGCATCTCCCGCCTCAAAAATGAACGCCTTCCGCATCACCCGATTGGTAAAATACTCGTTAGCCGCAAACTGAAACTCGAGGACATAGTCAAACCCCTGGCCCCATTCGATCCGGATATCGGTCAAGGCTTTCAAGGGCCCGATGTCGGGTTTGGTGACTGCTTTGCGGGTGGAGGGTTCTTTGCGGAGGGCGAGCAGCCAGAAGTCCTCGATGAGGGGAGTGTGGGTACAGGTGTCGTTCGTGTAGCCGGTTGCTTGTTGCGAGCGGTGCTTGTAGAAGGGGGTGTTGGTTTCGTGGTGGGCTTTGCGGGCTTCGTGGAGGGTTTTTGTCCAGGTTGTGTTTAGGGTGGTTTCTTGCGTATAGAGGGTTTTTATAAGTTGGGTTGGTGGGGTGGGGGGTGGAGTTGGCATTTTTGGTTCGTTTTCCTTTTTATGAGGCTGGCTTGTTTGATATGAGAACAGGAGGTCTTTTGAGTCCTGCAGGTCTGTTGTGAGCTGAGGTTTGGTGTGTCGTCGGTGAGGACGGCGATGGTATTGATGTTGATGGAACGACGCGTTGTAAGAAAATGTGGGTGCAATCGAGGGAACACCTGGGTTTTTTGAAGGCGGTGGAAATCAGATTTATGTTGCTATAACAGAAGATATCGACGCATAGATATCATTGTTTTCCTTTCTCGGTTATTGTTTGGACAAGGGTCTTCTTCTCTGTCTCCATCAACGGCGGCCATATTCACTAGGAGCCTCTTGGAAAACTATCTCCTTTTTGGGATTAATAGAGGCATATTCTCTTTTCAGCAGCAACAAAGGCAGCGGTCCATTTCTTTTCAAGTGAGCTATATGGTCTTTGCGTCACGTTATTTGTAGAGATTCTGTGAATATCATTGCCCGGAAGTGGCGTAACAGATATTGGATAACCAACCATGGCTAAATCCACTCTCCTTTAACTTGGAACCTTCTTCTTGCTTTTGTAAAATCGACTATTACGTCCGTCAATGACTTCTTTAGATGTCAATAGAATAAATATCTTGTTGAAAGCGGCTCTAACAATCCTATCCCTATCCATTAAACCTGAAAGCTGTCCACATGTTTCACGCTTAAATTTCTCTTTATCTGTTGTCTTTGTTTTCTATAAACATAGAAAAATGCAGATCCTTCCTTGCTTTATTGTTTCATCAAACCTCAGTGAAAGGACAGAACAAAGAGAGAAGGAGAGAGTGCACTGCGTCTATACCGTAGGGAGATCCCTTTTTCTTAATAGATCTCGCCCCGGCTACCATACTCATAATGTGTTATAGTGTCTCCATATGCTATTGTATTTGAATACTACCCATGGGACTTACTGGTTAAGTATAGTTGATCCGCAGAAGTCACCGGCTAACATATCTCATCCAATATCTTGTGTTTGTGAGTAGCAGTAGGGCTAAGGGAGGTAAAGATTTGCCGACTCCTCATCAGATGCAGGGCCCTCGACACTCTCTATAAAACTGTAAGCTATTGTATACCTCAGGAACATTACGAAACACTCAAACACGCATTAATGTAAAGTATAAACCCTGTACGTTGAAACTTGAAATAGCCAAAGCACTGTCTTTTTCTCTAAACTCTCTTTCGGATCCCTAGGGAAAATGTCCCATGAGTCGCTATATATTATTTTCTCTATCGCCACTAGCTGGGAAGTTCCAATACAATTTTGACCTGCGCTCTTCACCCCACGCAATCAAATGATCAATCTTCTTGCAAAGCTTTGCCCCTTTAAGTGTAGTCGAGCCTACGTCCAACTCCTTCGTGACAGGATCGTACACATGAGTATCGATATCGAGATCACCGTGACACATAATTGCCTGGCGAAGCAGTTCCGCACAGTGCACTGGCGCAAAGAGATTCAGCCAGGTCCAGCCTACTGGTAAATAAGAAAGGGGGGAAGCTTACTGATATGATCTTTCATCTTAGGTATGCGTTCCGGCCAATAAAGCATATGTCTCATCGAGTACTACCGCACAACGTAAGTAACGTGCCATATCAGAAAGTATCCAAGTACCAAATCTACCACGCAATGCAGCCGGTGGAATGCACCCACGCTACCTATATAACGGGTGTCTGCATCGACCGAGGTATTCAACAACCATTCAACTTCGTGATGTTCTAGGTCAATGAATCCCACTACCCGTCTTAGCCAGGCCCACTTCTCCTCGTTTTCCTCGTTCGGTCTCCCATGTACACTGATCCGTCTCCGGGTACTCCGTCTGAAAAAGTGCGGTATTCATACTGAGGTATGTGATCGGGGGCCGGTGCTATCAGCCATTTAATACTGGTTTTTGGCAAAGAAGGGTTCACTGACTGTATAGGTCGGGTAGAACATTCTAGCTCGTATTCGCCTTGCCGGAAGACCAGTAGTCGCTGAGCAATGGGAGGATGTAGACGACTATCCAGGCGAGGAACAGCCCGCCATGAATATACCAATTTTTTTCCGGGAGGCCGAGAAGGCCAGTACGGGGCTTTCAGGATGGGTGATTGGGGATGTCTTCGGGGTCTCCCTCGTGCATCAAGGGAGCTTAGTGGATGCTGGTCTCATGACGGGGAGCCATCTAAAAGGGTTTATGAGTAGGTCCAATTTGACTGGATAAGTGGGATAGAGTTATATCAAGACTTCTTACTATGTATATAGGCTCTTCTGTCAGGAAGGGCACACGGGACAGATGATGCCAATCGAAATCCAGCCAGTGAAGATCTCAAATATAATGTCGAGAGATTCTACCGCAGTGTAGTAAGTGATCCGAAAATAGCCATTTATCCTTGCAGGTTACATGTAGGTGTCGCTGCGTTGAGGGTTCGGTACTTGAATACAAGTCCATCGCCTGCTTTATGCAAGGCCTGAGGGACGACTTGTCACGGTCTTGTTTCTTTCACCGGTCAACGTATGATCGCCCATCTACGCCAGCTTGAGTAATTTGAGTAATACTGGCCACTGTGGGATTGAGTACAAATAAAGGCATCCCTTTCTACTTGGTCTAATGTGTGACAGAACGATGGGTCACTGGAGTCCAGACGTGTGGAGCGAAGGAACTTACTTCATCGGACAAAGTCATCGTCGCCCACGCGGAAATACTTACGTACGAACTGTAAAGCCATATGAAGCATCTACTGCATTTTATCTACTGCGTTGATTAGGAAGGGGAGATGGCGGTGACGGTACAACGGCGTGGCGTTCACTGTGCCCAAAAGTGCGGACTTTCGTGGACTGGTCATGAATATACGTCTATATTTATATTTACTCTAATACTCGATGTATACTGAACTTCACCGCTACAGATAGCTGTTAGCACCTAACTACTTCTTCAAAGAACTAGAATCGCGATGCTTATACGCCGCGCGGCTGCGAATCTTGACCTTGACCGTGCCCAGGGTACGGTTAAAGCATGTCGTGTCCTTGTCCATGAAGAATGATTCAATGTCGTGAATATCTGTGAGGTCCGTGAATTCTCCTAAGCTAACTCGAACAAAGCGGCCAACAAGTTTAGGGTTACCCAGCTTGGCACGGCATGCGCCCCAGTTGATTTTCATGAAAGCCCACTGAACAACGCGGCCGATGGGGTTCGCGGCCAAGCCACCGCCCAGGATACGCATAACAGCTGCAGCCACCACGTTCTCTTGAGGGGTGGAGCTAAAGTTGAATGGAACAATGACGTTGGGCAGGAGGCTCTCATCCTCGGCGGCTGATAAAGCCTGGAGGCAGGTGAGCTTGCCATCGATGGACTTGGTGTTGAACCACACCCTTCTGGAGAATCTCGACCGCACTGGCAGAGCCGTTATGAACGGTACTGGGCCAGACGGCGCTCTTAGCGAGGGATGAACGGCGTTGGTCTCAGGGTCCTAGGCCCATAAGTGGAACCACTTGAGAGCCTCGTTGAAGACACTGGTGGCAACTAGTTAGCGAAATAGCACTTGAGAACACAGGAAGTAGAGGCCTCCCTGTTGTGACTACTGGTAACGGCGAGGCCAATGAGCTGCTTGCGCAATAGGTCAGTGAGATAGTCTTCGCCTTGGGAAAACTCTCAGCCGATGATGTCGACCTTATAGCAGATGAGCCGGACGCTAAAGTTCTCGATGTCCTTCTTGATTCTCTTATCCTCGGAGAAGACGCTTCTAACACTAGAAATAGGATCAAGAATCTGAGTCCAGACTAGTGGATGGGTCTCTTTCTGGAAACTTTCAAGAAAGGTTAGCAACGAAGCCGTCGTACCATGGCCTGAGAAGGCCAGGTCTGCAGCGGATCCAATGATGGCAATCTTTCCCTCGGTAGTGAGCATGTCTAGCTGATCGCAGAGCTTAGCCAAGAGACTAGAAGGGTAATTTACACGGTAGAATCCTGTGGCGCTGTTGTTGAGATAGAAGTTGTCGTCAACGCCATGATTTCTTTGCCATGAGCGATAGGTTGGAAACCCCTTCCAATCCTTCTTCCCCTTCAATCCAAAGGGCACCCACCAAATGGTGGTGTCATCGGACGGATCAAGTTCGCCTGTGGACAGAAATCGTGACTGCTTAGTCGAAATCTTGCCAGGCTTCTCCGCGACAGTCAGGACTGGATGGCCAATCTTGGAAATTCACGGACGCATGAGGGCGCTAGCACCTTGGTCTGAAACCTCTGTCAAGGCGTGCCACAGAGCCTCGGCCTTTGCATTGCTATAGGCGTGAGAGTTAAGGTACTTTGACACGCCTCGAAGGAAGATCTTCACCCCTAGGTAATGAGCCAGCATACAAATAGTGGAGCAACTTTTGAGGTAGCTGATAGAGTCGAATATATGGTTGACATCAAGCGCACTGCGAACAGGGACGTGAATTGGGTGACTGACGCGAATGCCATCGAAATGGAAGGCAGCCTTCATGCCCTGGTTGACAGACCGAGTCCAGACCCGCCACTCGGGGTGTAGGTGGTCGACAGCGTATCATCCAACCCAGGTAGCAAATCATCGTTCAACTAGAGCTCATCCCACCAATCCATGGTGCCTAGATTGCCGAACTACGGATGGGCTAGCTCGTGAGCGACCACATAAGCAATAGTACTCTTGTACCGGGCATCAGACGTCTTATCATCAAAGAGAAGCTGAGTGGTGCGGAAAGTTACCAAGCTCCAGTTCTCTATAGCGCCATAGGTGAACTCATGAACGGCAAGCAGATCCGACTTCGGTAGGGAGGGGGGTTCTGATCCGAGGATGTACTTAGCACAAGCCACTGGCTGTCGGCGCATTAATTACTTACTTTTCCAATCAAGGCACAGTTTAATCCACAGATCGAACCCCCTTACGCCATCAATGTTGCACAGCAATACATAAATTGTCTAGCAACGCTATCTACGCCCTCCCTGGCAGAGAGGGCCGTACTCCTTATCCAAAATATACTTCTGGTGCCACATCTCACTACCAACGCAGGTTGGACAGTAGAACAGACTGTCCGGATCATATTTCTTCTTGATCAATGAAAAACGCTTATAGTTAGCACCATAAAAGTCCTCAGCCCAAAGAGGATCGTTTCGATCAGCCTAAACACGAATTAGCTAGCCCCTTACCATGTCAGAGATTTTCAAAAGGTCTCCTGGACTCACCTCATTCATATAACTGCCCAGCTTTCGGGTCAAGGCCCTCATCCCCCCACCCTTCTTATAGGTAATATCGTTCTTGACGGCTTGCGCGGTTGACTTGTCTGTACCATTCGTCCAACCTCTAGCCACAATATTGACCATGTATGTCGAGCGCCAGGCTGGGTTCAAGCCAGAGAACCGGTCTGCTCCGTCAGTCAACACCTTTCCTCCCCCGACCAGTTCCACGCTGTTGATAGTGTACTCCTCTGGGGCCCCGGCAATAGTCCCGACCATCTTCCGAAGGAACGTGCGATTCTTGGTCAGAGACCTTTTGTCAAACATCCGAGAGCTCATAGCGGAATTCGCCGAACCCACTGGCTGGTGTACCCCTGACATGGCGCGGTAATAGGCCGGATATGTCGGGAACTGGTACCACTGAACCGAGACAAACAGAGAAGTGCCATTGTATTTCTGCAGCATATGCAGAAGGGGTGCAAATGCCCTTTCTGCTTGCTTGCGTGATTTACCCATGGCTGCGACAGCGTGGACGTAACCGACCGTCTGGTTCGCGAATAGTGCCATGGGGCCGTTGACAGACCATGTCCCGTAGCCGGAGAACCCTGCATCAGAGATGGCTGGATACTCGGTGTGGATATCCGTGACTGCCTCCAGAAGAACATCGGTACTGTTTCCAAGCGGCACTACGGTAAGGGATTGGGCCACCACGGGCTTTGACGGATAGGCCTTGAGAGTCATGGAGGTGGCAACGCCGTAAGTTCCACCTCCGCCACCGCGGATCGCGAAATAAAGGTCGGAATTCTGGCATGCATTGGCAGTAACAGTGTTGCCGTTAGCCAGCATGACTTGGGCCTCTAGGATTTGGTCTGATCCAAGACCGTAGTCACGGCTGGCAGGTGAGTGGCCGCCACCTTGGATGTAGCCACCGATGCAGCCCACAACCTAGTGTACACTGTCAGATAAAGTTACTCCGTGATGTGTTCTTTTTAGTGCAACATACAGGGTCTCCTCCTCCTACAATGGTCAAGTTACGCTTGAATGCCTCTTGATAGACGTCTTCCCACACGTAACCACCCGCGACCGTGAACGCGGAGCCGGTCCAGTTTGTGTTCTTGCAGTGGTCCGATGGAACGTACGTTTCATGATAAGTGATCCCTTTTTGGATATACTTGATCCAGATTTGCAGAGCACCATAGCCTTCAGACCTAGGAATAAATGAGCTTAAGTTACTCTGACTCAGGCAAAATACTGCACTCACTTTCCAAGAATATCGTGACCGGTATTCCTAACAACAAGCCGGATGTTGTTCTTCTTTGCAAACGCCATTCCGGTCGCTAATTCCCCCGGCTCCGTCGCGTTGATCGTGTACAACGGGGATGGCCCCAAAGTACATGTTCCGGGCTTTTCTCCCGAGCTGGGATCAACAGGCGGACAGTTATTGTCGGTAGGGTATATGTACCCCACCGGCTCGAGAGACTGGAAGGATGAGTTGTACCATTGTGAGAAAACATACGCACATTCCTCGCCGTTCTGGTGAGGGCCTGGATAACAGGAAATAGCGGGAGGTGTGTTCTCGATGAGCTTTCCGGATACCGAAGCATTCAGCCCATTCCAAGCGTCAACAGACGGCCAGCATGAATCTCCAGGTGTCTGTCGCAAATATTAGGACCACTTCTCATATGCTGCCTTTCGGAAATACCCACGCATTTACAGGAGTCATGGGCGTTGGCATCGGCCAGCCCGGTAAGGGCTAATAACGACCAAAGTGTTGAACGCATGGTCAACGTCTCAGGAGACCTATTGTACGTGAAGCTCACGAAGGCCAAGTTGAAGTGCGGTGGGGACTGAATCTAAAAACTTGCATTCATTGGCTGCGGATACGAGGGCCGCGATGTAACCGACATGATTTGTGCCAAGGACGTGCATAGATGTGTCTGTGAAATCTTTCTCTCCTATAATTAACTTAATCTGATGGTCAGATTGGGGAAATGGGAGGGCATTGATTGCGAGGTACCATCACCGCGGTTCTCGATGCTACACCGAGGTCGGGAAGATTTGCATATCCCCTAAGGAAAGGGATTGACCTTGTTGACTGTAATCCCCATCTGCCCCGACATGATGGGAAAGTTCTATGAAGGCTTGCAGGAACAGGCCGTTGATTTAGAACTATGTACATACATTCATTTATACATGCACGATATGTCTGATCACTCTTTCCCGTATCAGTCATCCCTTCAACGATACCCTATCGTCGACCGTTCAGCTCGCGCACACTAGGATAACTTCCAACTTCCAAGCATCTAGTCCTCAAGAGGCCCCACTCACAGGCCCACATAATCAAGCGGTCCGCCGGAGGGGCTAAGGTTGACAGCAACGGTCCGTTTCGCTGTCCCGCGCCTTCGCTTAGCTCAAGTGTCTTTGCCTCTAGATTAAAAATGATCCCCCACTAGATTAAGACTAAGGGGGCCTAAAGGATAACAATTGTGCGCTAACCTCTTGGCTTATGGATATATTTGGCGCACTGTTGCTCTACACATTCACATTTTCCCCAGCTGCCATTGAACCGTTGGCTTGTACACCCATATAAAGCTGTACTGCCCTAGGAGAAATGGCTGATGACAGGCAACCGCAGAATATCATCCTTGAACACGAGCAGTCAGCAGCGGCACATTTACTCCGGAGTGCAGGGCATATAATGTGCGACTAGTTGGGGAAGAGCTCTGATCTTGCGTAGAGTGACAGGGATTGTTAAATCTCATCAAGCCACTGAGAGAGTTAAGATATTACAGTGTTTGGAATATTTTCGGAATATTTTGCCCTTAAGACTACGGAAGATCAGACCGTGTTACATACTTCAAAATGACCCCCATTACAGCACGGACCAAGATAGAGTACATCTGGCCTTGTGGGCCAGTAGTCGGCCGACGCTCGGGTTCCCAATAAGATCGACTCGTGATGGTTCTTTTTGGTCATCAGCCATGTTGGATGACGCCTATCTTACATGCGTCTAGATAGATATGCATATTACGAGTCACGACTTTCGTGAAACATCCATCATGTCTTCCGGTCTACGTTTGGCCTCTGGTTCCCCTTCATCTCCCTCCCACCTAATGACCGCAGTATCACCAGTATGAGCAGTGCCACTGCTCCCCAGGACGTGGCAGCCCACCTGTCCGCCAATGGTCTCAGTGGTATTACCTGGACAGGCGTGGCGCCGGGCATAGCATTCATCGCGACCCGCACAGCCATCCGTCTACGGAAAATGAAGCGTTTGCTCGCAGACGGCTACTTTGTCCTGCTTGGACTGGCTCTGCTCATCACAAACGCAATACTGCAGACACTCCAAGCGCCACACCTCTTACTACATGATCCTAACCCCCACAGGAGAGGACATACAATAACAACACCATAGCCTGCGATACGTTCATTTCGAATTCGTCATTCGTCGGTCTCTTCTGGACGGTCCTCTGGGCCATCAAGGGCTCCTTCCTAGCGCTATTCTGGATGATCTCAGACGGGCTCCCAACACATCGTCGCGCATGCAGCGGAATCGCCCTATTCGCCTTCCTAGCGTATATCGGATGCTGGCTGGCATCAGTATTTATATGCCATCCCCCCATCGAACTACTTCAAATTGGGTATTTAGCACTTCATATCGCATCCAAGCAAGCCACTTATCCGTCAACTCGGTGGGACAATGCTCGAAACCAATCGACATCAAGGGCGCTGTGATCTCCATCTTCTACAGCACAACCGTGGACATAGCCACCGACCTAATGAGTACCAAATTCTATCCATCCAAACCAACTCCTACAGATCCAATAGCTCCACTAACCAAAAAAAAAAAATTTTACAGTAATGTGTCTCCCCTCCGCCTCCTTCAGAAAGCCAAAATCAACAAACACCAAAAGCTCGGTCTCGCCGTCGTCTTCTGCGTCGGTTTTATCATCATCGCAACGGCAATTGTCCGCGCGATCGAAATCACCGGAAAGTCCTACTCAGACCAAGTCGGCCTCGCAGTGTGGAGTATCGCCGAATCATCCATTTGTACGACCTATACCCTCCCCCGCGGTGTATTAAAAAGAGAGCAATACTAACAAAAAATAAATGCAGCCGTAATAGTCGGCTGCCTTCCGCCCTTCAAATCGTTCATCTCGAAGAAATCATCCACAACGCCGTACCTGTACGCATCCTCGTACACAGGTAACAGATATGATCGGAGCGCGACATCGGCGCGGAAGAAGAGGTCCTTGGTTGCGACGAGCTGGAGCAAGATGCCGCTGCCGTTGAAGGATATGAAGTCGTACCGGGAGTTTGAGTATGAGCCGCATTCGCGAGATGTGCATATTACGGGTGGGGCGAGTGGGCAGGAGAGATTGCAGAATACGTCATGATTTAAGGTATCTGAGGAGGATCCGAGGGGGGAGATTAGGATGGTTAGGGAGTTTGTGAGTTTTTTTTTTTTTTTTCGGGTGTATGCTCTACAGCCATATTCTTTAGATTTGATAGATCAGGCTTAGGAGTCAGATAGTCAGGTGATTCAGGTAAACCCTCATATAGAGCTTGCTGTGTTGTTTTCACCATCCTATAGTTCTGGTAGGTGTTCGATTCAGTATATATATAGCAGACTTCATGATTTCAGGCCACAGATATGATGGGATACCAGAATCAACTGATAGAAGGCGAGCTTTTGAGATAAGGGCTGTTTTCAATTCCTGGTCCTTGTTTTAGGGTATTGGGGCTTACTTATCTGGACAGAGTGTAGTTTCCTTGAGGTGATTGCCGTCTTTTTGAGGACTATTGGATGCTATGGGAATATTGTATATAGGACACATTTGGATATATACTTTGACGGGGTCACACTAACATAGACAGTTGTTAACAGGTATGAGATGGTTCGGAGTAACTCTGTGCTTATGTTTGACGGCATAAAACATTAATCAGAAATCCAACGGAGTATTAAAGATAGAACCCATATGCGAGAATATGTCAAGATCAAGTCAATCTCCTTAGCGCAACTGAGTCATATGGCAACCCGATATAATATAAAATAGCAAAGGCGACTGGTCCACATCACCCCCATGACGAATACCCAGGCTGCTCCTTCAGGCTATCACTAACTCATGATCGCCATCGAAGCATCCTCATGACTAAAAGCTTTCCTACGATATAGGGCATTGGCACATCCCCCTGGCATGATCGCAGCGACAATAAACCACAGGGTTTAAACATTCGCAAAGTCTGTTTGCTGCAGGACCTATCACAGAATGCTACCTTTTTCTAGGGGATATGGATTATTAGTCCGTTTGTGGGAGATGGAAGGGGCTAGTTTGACATGCCTGTCTTGCGAACAAGCTGCTCGTGTCAGGCTTGTGCGCGCTGTTGTCGTTAACCTTGAGGGCCTCAATGTCTGTATCGGAGGTCGGAAGGGCAATCCTGGTCTGGAAGCTAACACAGAATGTAGCGAAAATGGTGAGAAAGGTCTTGAATGATATCATTTTGGATAGGAACTGGATAGCTTCTAGTTGAGTGCTGTGTGTAGGTAGAGTTAGGATTGATTGGAGAATAGTTGTGTATGGGGGTTAGATAGAACGAGAGACATATCAATCGATGAAAAGGCATCCACACGCTTCAGTTACACTTAGACATTTAGTAGAATTCACAGTTAGCTACTCCAAGCTGCTGCAGCTGCACTGTGATGGTACTAATCTGTAGTTACATTAGTGAGTCATTATCACTTCACTGCTGGTCTAATGGATACTTGCAGCGAAAATCTTTACATATCTTAGATTGAAAACCTTGAGCTATCGCCAAAGCGCAGCATTCACACCGTGTAACAGGGTTGGAGTTCTATTTTGAGAAATTATACTCGAGGGGCTGTCAATATTTCCTCCGGCCAGCTACATCAATGTAGCATAGTGAACAAATAGATAGCCTAGACTGTGGAGCGCTAGTGTAAAACATTCACTACATTTTAATCCATGAGTCAGGTTATAATTTCACCGATATTTGCGAAGGTCTTCATAACATAGAGTGATATAATTTGACATCGATGCAACCTCCTGACTATATATGCCCTAGAAATAAATTTCGGCAGACCAAGCACATCGGACCAAACAGGGCCAGCAGATCTACCGTACTATGTCTAAAAATTGTCAATCTAAAGAACGGAATTCCTCTATCTCTCTCTGGTTAAGAACCTGCTCCTCGGAAAACCAGTTGCCATGCATCCCGTAGGGCACACGCTGCGGCAACAACACTCTCGCGACAATATCCCTCATAGTGCGAGCATCGATAACCCAGAGCTCACTGCGGGAGGTCGTCGGCGCATTTCCGTTTGCATCAAGCTGCGACTCGTCGAAGACATATGTAACGAGCCACCCATCATCTTCCACGGTTCCACCTTCGCGTGGCACGAACGAACACTCCTGTGCGTACCATCCATGTGGAAGGGCAAACACCTGAATAGGATCATCCTCACTGCCAGTTGCAATTATCTCTTTTATCGACCGGTGGTCAACACACCCAGTCACCTGGGTCTTAGGTTGACACTCGGCCTGCTGCAATAACCGTTGGACGTCTATTTTGACAATGCAGTCAATCTTAACGCTGGACTTATGTGTCCTGGCAAAGTTCCCCTCGCGCATAGAACATCCGTAGACGAACCGGGCGGCTGTCATCTCTAGATGTTGTGGGATATGCGGGAATTCGAACGGTATGGCTGATAGTGCCCATTGCTCGGTGATGTTAGCGGACCCATGCGCAGGGAATTGGTAGTAATACAATCGACATTCAGGGCTCAGGGCGATTGCCTCTGGTGGTGCATCCAGGTTTCCCATATGATAAAGATGAGCAGCGCTGTTCATTCGGCAGACGAGCATGTGCACACGAGTTCCGCAGGAGACACTCTCATCCCAACTGTTTACAGTATGTATGATACAGCAAGGGTCCGTTTCATACCATGTAATTTGAGCGGGACAGTATCGAGGGAAGACACCGAAACGGGTGTGACCCTGAGGATTATATTCTATTATGGGCTTATTTCGGGTCATATTCACCGGGTCCAAAGAGATAGGAAGGTCAAGCATTATGGTATGCTTGCGTGACACTCCAAAGTCATGGATCAGCTTTCCCGACGTGTAACCAGGAACTGGTTGGTTAAGGTAGGACACATGTTTGCCCGCCCGCCCGGGAGGGACGATGGAGTAGTGCACGAATGGAAAGATGAATGTCGAATGGAAGAGCAGTAGCTCGCCTGTAGAAGGATCGACACGAGGCTATTTGTGTTAGAAATACTGTCCGTTAATTCTAACAACTTGGGGACATACATGAGCAGTAGTCATCTCGTTATAGAATCCCTCTATTCCCGGACCACCAAATGACGGCCCTGGTATTTTGGCAGGGGGTTCGCCCTCAGCTGTGCTTCCGGTGAACCAGCCTACCGTTTGGAGAGATGGAAGGTAGACTCTCATCGGTGGTCCAATCTCGTTTGTTGCCAGGGCCCTTCCATCGTGGAAGAGAATATTGGTATTCGCCGAGCCAATTCTCCGGACTGGGCGTACTACAAAGCCAATGAATGACGAGAGAATCAGTGCTATGCTCCGCAGGAGGCCCAGAAAAACTTTCAGCGGCGACACTAAAGGGTTTATAAGCGTTGTAACACTGGTTAGGATTGGGTTGATTTTTGGGTACTGCGCAGTTGCACAATGCACGTCGGTTAGGATATAGCGATTTGAATACAACGGCCGCACCGTCGAACCAGACACGCGCTTGAAGAAAACGCCCGATAGCATACCATCACCATCGAACCAATGTAAGTCCTGGTGTTCATCATCTTGAAGGGAATTGCTGCCGTTACGGACGTACTGTCCTCCGATAAGCTCGTCTGGAATTTCACCTTGAAACTCGCAAGGATGCGAGTGCTGGACAGTGTAGATCGGGGCATAGTTTCCCGAGAAATATCTGCCACAAAGCTCAATTAATACGTGCTCTGACTTTCATGGCGCGTCGACATACGGGTGTCTGCGATCTTCTTTCTTAGGGGTCATGTTGACGGATGTGGAATGAGTCTAGGTACGAATCGACTAGCGGCGAAAACGTGCGATTCAAAGGCTAGGTATTTAAGCCGCACCACATCTCCAAGCAATTGCTCGTGGCCGGCGTGGTTTCATGGCATATGAAATCATAATTTACTAGGACCTGTTTTTCGATCGCTCAACTAGGTAGACGCTTGGTTCAACTGAACTCTCTTGATTTTTGGGTTTGGTGACTCACCAAGCACCCATAAGCTATGTCCTTGCTGGGATAATACCGGTGATTAGTTGCTGACAATATACCTGACTTTTTGTGGGGAACTAAAGCGTGGAACCGGTCATAGTATGCTGCAAGGGGCGAAAAGTTGGATCTCCGAATGTGTTGTCGTATCGGGAGCACGCTATAAATCAGGAAATATCCCCACAACTTCCACCCATCTCTATAGTTCGAAAGGTCAGAACGCGATTAGTTCGGGTCGTAGCCATGGAGCTCGCCTATGCTTTGGTGTCAGTATTTCAACGTGACATTTCAACTTGAAATTGCTAACCTTTCAGACATGTCACCTACAACCTACCCTTAGCGGGACTCATGACACTTCTTTACTGGCCATTCATGACACGTTTGGATTGCCAACGGATTCTTACCCTCGTCATAGTAGGTCCAGAGCTTATCAATGGGAGCAGACAGCTAACTGATGTAGATATCACTCGTCGCTACCATCCCTTGGGACTCGTACTTGGTGCGTCATCATGTATGGACATATGCGCCTGACGCGGTAATTGGATGGACTCTATACTCTATCCCTTTAGAGGAAGTGCTCTTCTTTGTTATTCAAACTTATAATACCAGTTTGGTGTATCTTATTCTAACTCGGCGGTTTGTGCTGCCAATATATCTGGGTAGATCATCACGAGAACACACAACTACTGGGGCTTCGATAATCTTGCTCACTATTGTCGGGGGGGTTATTGCTTTGCTTTGCGGAGGCCTCTTCACCTATATTGGGCTAATAATCATATGGGCTGGTCCATTTCTTCTCATACAATGGTAAGTGTTAAAGGCCCCCGGTGCGGCCATATCTAACATATAGACAGGCTACTCTCGTCCAGCTTCATTATAGCGTTTCCTAGATCGGAGCTTATAGCATCCATTGTATTACCTACAGGGTTTCTATGGCTCGTGGATACAATGTCCATAAAACGAGGCATCTGGACGGTTGAAACGCACACCAAGCTGGGCATTCAGCTGTGGAGTGATATGGATGTAGAGTATGTATTATGAACTCTGATAATGAACAATGCGCGCGTACTAACTGAGTTAGAGAGGCGTTCTTCTTCCTCGTTACTAATGTAATGATTGTTTTCGGTCTTGTATCCATTGACTATGCCTTCGCTTTGGCGACTTGCGAACTAGTGCAATCGTCGGAGCCAACCCTGAGCTATCCATCGTACTTCCAAGTGCTGGCACGGTTCCTGACCAACAAGCATCGCCCCAACAAACGGTTCGTGGACAATCTGGCTAGGTCAGTTGAGCGTCTAGCTTCATCCAGCCAAAGCATGTACATGGGAAGTGCCATGTTCCAAGGACCACTACGGATTGATCTAATCATACTGTGAGTAATGCGTAGACCTAAATTACTACTTCACTATGGACACGTTTAATGAATGATCTATCTAGGTACTCGTTCTTTCGAATAGCAGACGACCTCGTTGATGAAGCCCAAGATACCGAAACCGCATGCAGGGTAATCGAGCAATGTGATCAACTTCTCGAGGAGAAGTTCTCCTTCCCGGGCTCATTTCCATGCCTGACTGCCTCGAAAGGAGTCGACTATCCCGTGCCTCCAGCCCTCATCGCAGCAATCGATAGTCTCCCCGTCTCCCGCTTACGCCTCGAACATCTCAGAGGTCTCCTCGAGGGCTTCCGTATTGACTTGATGTTCAGCGACAAACCCAGGTCCTTTCCGTTTGCCACAGAGTCAGACCTTGATGTCTATTCTTTCCATGTCGCTGGCATGGCAGCTGCATCAACGCTAGGACTAGTTGTGCACCATTTTCCGAGCCATCAATTTGCCAAGAATGTTTTCCTTCGTCGGCGCGTTGTAGACGCAGGCGAAAGGATGGGCCAGGCTCTTCAGTATATCAATGTAGCCAGGGATGTTACTCGAGATGCTTCTATTAAGCGAGTTTATCTACCTACGAGCTGGCTGAAGCAGGAAGGGCTCGTCCCTGAGGATGTTCTGGCCTTTCCTATGGATTCTCGGTTGGAGATTTTGAGAGATAAGGCGCTTGAAAAGGCGAACCATCTCTGTGCCTCTGCACGGAATGAGATTGCATTTCTACCGAAGGAGGTACAAGGGCCGTTCTTCGCGACCGTAGACAGTTATTTGGAGATAGGGGTAGCTCTGAGGCAAGGTATGAGGCCAGCGCAAGTCGGTGACAAGGTGAAGTTACCGATTGCGAGGCGTCTCTTCGTTGCTTATCGCTCTATGGCTCTGAGGCAGTAATATAAAGAAATCCCTATGGTCGGGGACTCGACTAAGGATATATTAGTGCCAAAGAAACAAATATATCGGGGTAAAATGTTCTGTTCAAGTGTTAGAACCAGTGTTGCTTCCACAAAAGAGACACCACTAATGCTAAGAAAGCCATCATCACTCCTCTTATAAGCCCTATTCGGGACCTCCTCCCCTGTTCCTTGTTCCAGTCTTCCATTATCTGTTGCGCCACAATCTTACCCCCTGCCAGACAAACAGGAACTCCTGCCCCGGGGTGTGTGCTAGCTCCAACAAAGTAAAGCCGTCCAATATCCGGGTGCTTTGTCTGTGGCCTAAAGCATAGTACGTTGAAGAACGAATGCGACAAACCCAGGATAGCCCCACGATCCAGATTGAACTTTTCTTGCCATGTAACCGGAGTCTCGACCATCTCATGCACCAGCCTGGACCGTATATTCCGTAAACCCGTACGAGCTTCAATGGTGTTCATAACCATCTCACGTGTTTCATCAACTAATCTATCCCAGTCAGTATTATCAGGTTGTGTCGGTGTCAAATGGCCAACTGGGACTAAAACCACAACAGCTTCTTTACCAGCCGGTGCAGCGGATGGGTCAATCTTGCTCGGCACATTGAGATAAAACGACGGCTCGTCTGGGATACGGTGCTCCGCGAAAATGGCATCGAAGCTTTCCCTGTACCTTTCGGCTAGGAAGATATTGTGCACTCGTAGTTGGGGTAGTTTCTCACTAAAGGCCCAGAAGAATGAGATGCTGCTGCATGATGCGGGTCGTTTCTTAAGATTATGTGATCGGCGTGTGTGTGGTAGAAGTTCATTGTATGCATAAACCAGATCGGCGTTTATTACGACCAGATCAGCGTGGAGCTCTTGGCCTGATTCTAGGCGGACGCCTTCTGCGATACTGTTGCTCTCGTTCAGTAGGATGGATTTAGCGGGGCTGTTCAGGAGATATTCAACTTTCGATCGCTCTCCAATGTCGACTAAGGCGTCCAGGACCTTTTATCAGTTAGCAGTTGGTATCGATGACATAACGGGGTTGTTGCCATAGCTCACCGTCTGGAACCCACCTTCGGGGTACCATATTCCGTCCACCGTCTCAATATATTGTAGCAGCGAATACGTCCCGGGAGCCTTATATGGGCTTATACCTAGGTACATGCTGTTGAAGGTCCAAGCTCGCCGCATCTTCTCTGAGTAAAAATACCGTGCCACACGAGAGTAGGTGCTTGTCCATGGATGCATAGACATCAGAGATTTCAACACATCCATCTGCAGCAGACATAGCAGGCGGGGAAAGTTCTTTCGCAATACATGCTGAAGCGATAGATTATAATGCGTACCAGCCTCATTCAAGAAGGCGCAAAACCGATGAAAACCACCAGGGCCTTCATAACGCTGAATCTGCGGCCTAAGGCCCGCCAGATCAGTCGATAGCTCAATAATCTCCTTGTCGTCAAACCAAACACAATAATTTGGTTCGCACTTGAACAAACGGATATTTTCTTGCTCTAGTGAAGTACCAAGATCCTGGAAAGTTTCTTGGAAGACCTCGCGCATCAGGAGCAGTGAAGGGCCCTGGTCAAAACGCTGGATTATGTTAGCGGCAATTTACCAATTTGCGTTGATACATACGTAGCCATCCTTTGAGATAATGGAGCAACGTCCTCCGGTGAATCCGTGCTTTTCTACGACTTGGACGCGGAAACCTTGTTGAGCAAGTCGCGCTGCTGTGGCAATTCCTCCAGCGCCCGCACCTGGCATTGTTAGAGGACTTGTTTCGGTCCTTGATATTGCAATATGGAGACACAAGACTGTAAAAGGCTATAGAGAGCAACCTACCAACAACAATCACCGTAGTCATTTTGATTGAAAAGCTTCTGGCGACAGTACTAGGGTTCCTAGAAGGCCACTAGATTCTTCGTGGCCTATATTCCGCGAAAATAATGCAGGATACTGTTTGTGTCTTTCTAAACCCTGGGCCCTCTGAAGGTCTTATGCTTATTACTTATTTCCTCGATATCAAAATCTTCTATGACGTGTCACCACATGGGGAAGCTTTCTAGAATCAGGATTTTCAACTTCCCTCCGACGGGCCAACTAGTATGGCTTGATGCTTTACCCGAGACAAGGTTCACGATAGACGGAACCCTAGCCTCTCATGAAAAGCCAACTGCAGGTGAGGAACAGCTCTAGGCGTGAAAGTCTAGACACCATATCTCTGCTTTTTACCTGCAGCATATTAAATTTTATTCGTCCCAGTCTGAGTAGGTTACTTAACCTCAAGCTGGTGAAAGCACGATGGGCAGCGTTTTCACTAAGATGGTCTGGACTTAGAAGGGCTGTCACTGATGCTTTCCAGTGGATCAACCGTGGAGATGGTATTGTTAGTGTCCACCTATCTCTTCTAATCCCTCGTGGCGAGTTTCACATAATATAGGCATTTCCAGGTTTGAGGAAGCAGTACATTCTGCCACTCAATGCCTCCCTTAAAGTCTTGAATGTGACTATAGATGGAATGCATATAAACATAGAGTTGCCTTGTCGTCTCTCTAAACTCTTTGCGAGCTTCGGCGAAGAGTAAGCAACTGTCTTCCTCGGTCCAGCCTAAGACATGAGTAAAGATGGCTAGAGACAATGGCTCGATGGCATCTATCGTTTGCATTTGCATCCACTGGCCAAGCTCCGTGAGACTCGGACTCTTTTGCTAAGATCTAACAGGAACCTTTAGCACGTCTTCATGTACGTCGACAAACCCAGCCGCTTTCATCTTTTCTGCCTGCTGTTCGACGGTACGTATGGACTTTCCAAAAGTGATCATGCCGTCCACAAGGTGGCGATTCCATTGTCGAGTATAAGAATCATCTGAAAGTTCTCCATCCTGGGTGTGAAACCAGACAGGAAACTCTTCCAATTCTAAATATCCGCCTGGCCGAGTATTACGGAAGGCCTGTTGAAAGAGTCGATCCCAATTTGAAACACTGTCGGCTATATTTGGTTTGTGAACATAGTCGAATTTCTTGCTCGGCATGAAGCCACTCGGCCTCGACATCATTGACAATAAATTTGCAATTCGGCGGAACACTAAGAGCAGAATCAGAAAGTTTCCACGAGCCAATTAATCTAACCGGTTGATATCGGAGAGCTTCTATACCAGTGGGGTTGAATAGGGCTCAGGGAAATTCCAAGAATCTCTGCACTAGGGAGTTCATCTGCGATATCAAGTGCATAGATGCCAGTGCCTGGCCCAATATCCAAGATGTGCTGTGGGGATTGAGAAATCGGGGTCTTATAGAGGCTTCCTCCTAGCATGAGGGGATAGATATGATGTAGCATGTCCATTTTGATCTTGTTCAGTCTCGTCATTGGGGAATATGTATTCCCCTTCCCGAAATCCGTGATAGCGCCGGCTAGTCTCGTAGACGTAATTCTTGATACTCGAGGCAATAGATGTGGTGAAAAATGAAATATCACTGTCACCAATAGCTGAATTCACGTCAGACAATCGGTTTTCCGCTTCGATGGTGAATCCTTGCAACGGAACAGTCGCCATTGTATAACTTGCTCTAAATTCTGTGGCGAACGAACGGCATGTTACTTACTCCGTACTCTCTTGAGAGACACAGGCGAGAAGTTCACATTGTGCCACGGGTTCAGTGGGAAAGGCCGACAATCCAATTGATCAACAAAAGTACTGTTTCGTCTTTACCTCCATGGGTTTGCCCAAATGAGTATTTCTGAAGCACGGAGCATATTATTGACGGGGTGCTAGCATTATCACTCAAACGCACGTTGCGCGAATTTACGCCCAACAGTGTCGATGGGACGTATGGATTATATTTCAAGCTCCTCCTTTTCACTTTTTAGACTCAATTCTTTACAGTGAGGTAGAGCCACGATCGAGAGGCATATCGACTATTAGATGGCCTTCGAGCGCGACAGGTTCAGGAAGACGGGCTTGCTCGTTAGTGGATAGGGCACCAAGGTTGTCAATTATTGTATGGGGGATGCATCTCAGCCTAAAAGTCTTAGTGGAGTGAGGGTAGAGGGAATATTTAACATGCTCTAATAGGGGGAAATGAAAGTTGAGTGAGTTTTCCCTTTCACGCTCTCCAAAGTTTCCAACTATATCTTTCCAAAATGGGAAGGATAAGCGACAGTCGAGTCGAAGAAGGCGGTGGGGAATTCTGCCCACTAAGTATTGCTCCCTCAAGGCGCTCACTTTGCGTACGCATCCTCCATCTCTCCCATATCACTTCATCATGTCTCATCTACCCCCTGAAAACAACAGATACCCTCCGGGTCCTTCCTATCGGCCCTATCCGCGCCGTGATGATAGGGACGGCCGCATGTACGACGACCGTTCACCCTCGCGCTCGCCTGGCGGTATTACGCTCCTCCCCGCACGATAGTATAGGCGTGGATGCTTGAAGAAAAGCCGTACAGTTTCTCTTTCCGACTCGGCAGTTGCTAACTGTGTTTTCGGATCAAAAGATCATTCGCGCTCTCCCCCACGAGGGCCGGCCTCGGACAGAAGACTCGATTACTCCAGGGACCGCCCGGATTCCAGACCCCGTTACCGCAGTCGGGACCGCGATGAGTATCGGCGACGTTCGTCACGTTCGCCTCCACCCCGACGCGGGAGGCCGGCATACAAAGACCGGGACCGAGAAGGTTATCGCTCGCCTGGATACCACAGCCGGAGCAGAAGTCACAGTCGGAGTCGGAGTCGAAGCCCGCGACGAGGCCGCTATTACGGACAAGAAAGCAGAGAAGTGATGATGGATGGCTTGCCGGTGGATATGGCGGAAGAAGACGTGGGGATACTCCTTCCCCCTGAGATTTCATTCCCGTGGAAGCTCAGAGCTGCGCTCCACAAACTGTTTTGGTAACAAGAGGCTGAGATGTGCATGTCACCGGGATTCCGGTCGACGTGTTGAACAGATTACGAATGAACTTAGAGACGGTTATCATATTGAAGGTCTTGAGGAAGTTCGAGTGATCCGCGACCGGCAGACTAGTACGATTATACTCTTCTTACAATGCAAGGTTTCCCTGACAGTTTGCAGAAATATCACGTCAACTGGGCTTTCTCCGGTTCCGAGACCTCAATTTTTCGCGCGCATTTGTCGAACGCAATTTTCCGTCCATCTATCTTTACGGCCCAAGCGCTGGGCGGGACGACCGCGGTACCAAAGTTCGCATTGCATATAGCCGGGAGAGGGAGGACCGTGCTCGCGCCCGAGCTGAGGGAGATTGGACCTGCAAGAATGTTAGTGTTTTACAACGTGCAGGCGGGGTTACAGCTAATATGTCCATTAGTGTGCGATTGTCAACTACTCCACACGTTCAAAATGTTTCCGGTGTCAGGCCCCACGGCCCGGTATGTATCTTCGTCTCAACAGCTACAATCATATTACTAACGAGCACAGAACCTGGCCCAACAGGACCTCCTGGGATAGCAGCTCCCAAGGTAGAAAACAACGGGGACAATGATGCGGCGCCCGAAAACCAGCCGTCTCAATTCCTTTTGTTCCGAGGACTTGAATCTACCGTGACAGAGGAGCTTCTCGCCAAAGGGGTTGCAAAATTATATCGGCCTGCTCCTAGTAACTCTGACTCCACTTCTGCGAATCAAAAGAAAGGGGGTAAAGTGGCATCCACTACTGGCGATTCCAACCTTGGGGCTCGAGATGGGTCTATCCGCCGTGTGCTACTGGTCAGAGATCGCAAAAGCAATGACAGTTGGCGTTACGGCTTTGCGGAGTTTGCGACTATTCAGGTATGGAATTCACCTCTCTTTTCCCTTGGCATATGTTCTTACAGGGTTTTACTAGGATGCGCAAGCTGCCGTCACACGGCTTAATTCGTTTGAGAAGTTCACTATCTCGTCAAGGCCTGTGCTTGTGAGCTACATCCACGCTGGTGTATTTGTACCTGTGATCAATCATTCGGCGAGCACGGATAGATTCACGTTCAGCCCTCTGAATAACCCGTCCTTAAAGCTGATGTACTGGGATGAAGAGGCCTATGTCACAGAGCTCACAGTGTCTCCGGGTGACAGTGACATCAACCAAGGCCTTCCGAAGAATGACCAGGCAAGTCAGTTGGAAAATCTAGGGAAAAGTCAGAAAGACGCAGACAAAAGCAAGAAGAGGAAAGCTGATGCCTCGGCCGCCGCCGGTGGTAAGAAGCTTGCAATGCCATCGCACTTACAATTTTGGAGCAACCGCCACGCTGAGCTACACGGCATACCAAAGAAGAATCCAGAGGACGTGGGAAGCGGCTCGGACCGAGCAGCATCACCGATGGATTCTAGCGCTCCGCCAGCCCAGTCTTTTGCGGATCTCACTCGAAACTGCTGCTATCTGTGTATGCGACAATTTAAAAGCTCCGCAGAAGTCAACCGTCACGAGCGACTCAGTCAGTTGCATCAAAGTAATTTACAAAATGACGATCTGAAAACCAAGGCGATGGGCAAACTCATAAAACACGGCATTACCCAAGCGACGCCTGAGTATCGCGACCGCGCGAGAGAACGTCGGAAGGCTTTCGGCAACTCCAAGGCTGCTGTTAAGAAGAGTGCGCCTCCACCGGAGGAAGAAGAGGCACCAGTCGAGACCACGTCGAAGGGCGCCTCGCTTCTCAGTAAGATGGGATGGTCTGCTGGAACAGGACTCGGCGCTCAGGGTACTGGCATGACCGCCCCTATTGCCACTGAAGTCTATGCTCAGGGTGTTGGTCTCGGAGCACAGGGAGGCAAGTTAGGCGATGCAGTCGAAGAAGCAGGGCGAAATACACGGGGTAGGTATGACGAGTTTCTGGAGAAGACGAGGCAGACAGCGCGGGAGCGTTACGAGCAGATGGAGCGATAGGTGTAATATGAGTCCTTGTACTGTACAATAATCGCAATGAAATTCATGACAATCGAACAATGCAATCTATGCGTCCAACTCTCACATACAAAGCCCTAAGGCGCCTGGCCTGGGTAGTCGAACAGGCTCTACTTAAAACATCAAAACGCAACAAGAAAATACAAACACCTCAAAAAGAGAAAAGGAAAAAAAAAAAAAAAAAACAAAACCAGGGGAAAAAAACCAATATCTATTTAATCAACATGAATCCTCCTCAAACAACGATCCGACTTCGCCGTAAATGAGCTCCGTGTATGCATCATCGTCACATTATCACTCACCACCCAATCTCCCTCCTCCCACGAATGCCAATACGCCACCCGCCGATCATGCAGCAACGAATCCAGCGTCCGGCAGATCTCAGCCGAATTCGGTACACCCTGGATCGTAATATACGTCGGATCGAAGGCGGTCTTCTCCTGCGGCCACGGCTCATGATAGCGCAGACAAGGCCTGCCGTGGGCGAAATGAGGCTCGACGAGCGGCAAGTCAGTGAGGCGGGCCTCGTCAAAGGACACGGTCTCCACTTTCCAGGAGAGCTTGGAGAGTTCCTCGAGGGTGTAGTTTGGGGGCAGGTAGTGCCAGATCAGATGGGAGGCGCTGAAGAGGGTGAAGCCTGTGTCTTTTGGGGAAGGGGTCATTCCGGTGAAGAATTGGAATCTAGGATCGGGTCAATTAGATCGGTTGTTCGTTGGTCGTAGGGAATAGAAGAGAAGGGAAGGGCATTTCGTATAACATACTTGGGAGGACAGGAAACCATGACTTCTTTGCCGTCGGCGTCTATCTCTTTCTTGATTTTGAAGAGTCCGTCATAGTGGAACGGCATCCATTCGGCGGATAGGACGTTGTTCAGACCCTGGGATTCCGTTCCGTGGTCTTTGACCTCCAGAATCAGTCCGAATTTCCACGCCATTGGGGTGCCCATTTCCTCGGCTTTTTGGATATATAGCTCCCGGTCCCGGGTGTCGGTGAAGCCGCGGAGGATTACGGGGGAGTTCTCCTGGGCGAGCTCACGGAGTTTGAGCATGTCGACTTGCGTTGCGGAAGCGGTTTCCGTCGGACGGATAATCAGGCCACAGGGGTACTGGGGCTCAATTTCCACGGGCTGCGACCAGGCGTATAGGTCTGACTTGACGCGGTAGTACCATGGATTTCCATTTTTGTAGATCAATTCCACGTCCTCGCGGTTGTCGAAGGTCTCGCGCAGGCCGTATTCGACCTGCCCGTCAACTGTGAAGCAGGGGGACGAGTGCCAGGGGGTTATAGCATAGCGTGCCAGAGGGAGTACTTTGATTGAGATCTTGGAGGAGCCGCAGGAGGGGTGGATGGAGAGACGGATGTAATCTGCGTAGTTCTTGCGGATAGCTTCTGCGAAGGCCTGGTTAAGAATTAGAGACTATTGAAACCTAGTATATCTTTTTTCTTAAAACATCAGGTCATACCTTGCCACGGGCGATCATCTTTTTCGCGATCGCTTCGAGCTTCTGCTTGTGCGAGCGCTTGGACACGCTCCCATCGTCGACAAACGTATGCTCCAAGTCCTTTGTCAGGAACTTGATATACCCTCGATACGTAGCGCACACATCCTTATCTTCCCTGATGCTAGTCGCACAGTCATAATCCAGCGGCGTGTAGTTCTCAACTAGCCTCTGACGAAAGTTTCCGGCCAGTTGCTCATAGGCCACAGCATCGAGGGGTATATCCTCGTGTACATGCAGGAGATGCTGGAGCCGAATAAACTGGATATGCTGGAAGCCCTGGTCGCGGACCAGTTGTCGCAGGGACTCGCCGTACTTGTAGACTTCTGCATCGGGCACGCCCAGGAGATCTGTATTTTGTCAGCTTTGATATACTTTACGTAAAAAGAATTCACTAATTCCGCTCTGACCATTGTATACGAGTCCATCGGAGGCAATGGTCAACACGGCGCCTGGCTCGTAGATATCTTTGATAGCCGCGCACAGGCCGTCGAGGTGTGCTAAGGCAGTTTCCTCGCCCTTGTCTGGCAAGGCGCCCAGCACCTTGCTCTTACGGTTGGGGGATTTGAAGGGGAAGGCGGGTAGGATCAGGGGGATCTCCTGCTGGGCTTTCACCCGGGAATAGATGAGAGGGAGGAACTTCAGAGTTCCTTCATCGCTGCGATCTGCTTCGGACTCTGGAACCGGGGCACGATACCGGTAGAGGACGTTCAAGATCTCTGTTGCTTTCTGGAGGGCTTTTGTATCGAATATGATAGAGTCCACGGGGGCCAAGGATGAAAAGGAGGAGCTCGTGGGAGCAAATGGAGCCTGGACTGCGGCAGCGCTCATGGTATAAGATTTTCTCTGAGGATTAGATTGAAGAAAGAGGACTGTGTTTGGAGTGAATCTGCTAGATGAGGTGATACAAGCATCGTGGACTGTCGCGGCATATTTATATTGTTGCGCGACGACAGCCAGCTGTTGAATGCCAAGTCCCACGATATGAAGCTCACAACTCTTCACGAGAATAATTAATTCTAGTTCCTTTTCGCCAAGCGAACCAATTCGTGCAGGCGTTAGGGACCTGCATAGGCTTAGCAGCTAACGCTGTATCATATCATATGATGGGTGTGTTCCTGCAACCTTGTGCAGAAGGAGACTGCAGCGGTCCATTTCCGCCCCGATCAGCTAAGCCAGAGATGCCTAAATGAAAGGAGCCCTAAGGAGCTAAGAGTCGTAAGAGCTATGGAGTATATCTTGGGACTGTTCAAGCTCTCGTCATCCAATTATCTCCGAGACATACTGCTTCAGATGCACCGCCACAACGGTCCTTTCCATAGAGGCTGTCGATTCTAGATTCTGAGTGGAATGATCTACGCACAAAAGGTTTAAGGTTGTTTCGAGGCTCTTCTACGGATATGGCTCCCATGATCGGAACAGGTAGTGTAGACGGGCATTTTGATTGACAGGGTGTACCCCGGACCACGGTAGCAGTCCAAAGTACACGCCAAGAGGTAGAGGTGAGCCTAGGCGCGGTACTCCTCCTCTGGTACTTGTCATTTGGATATGAGGCATTATCAATTAAAGTTTTTCTGACTCTAGGTAGAAACCGTTGCGAGATGGGACATATGTTTCAGTGACCACGGTCACAACAGAAAGCACAATGCGGCGATTGTCTTCCTTCTTATCCAGAAATCAAGGAATTGAATGTCCCAGAAGGGCAACCTTACCAGAGCGGCAATCATTAAGCAATGCCCTTCATTGCCGAGACAAGACTTGGGTTAATCTAAAATTATATCAAGGGCTTGGAAGCCCGTCGGGGGTGATGGGAGTTAGGCGGAGGCAACATCCTTCGCTCCACTTGAGAAAGTTCGACGGCGTTGTGTCTAACTGAAATAAGTTTAAATACTAAGCTTTGAGACCCGTTCCCTCCGCGGTTCAGGTGCAACGATACTCCACTTCTGCAGTCTCTGCAACCCACCCAAGGGTCGTGCAGTCGGAAGATTTCTCCCTTGGACGAGTGAGTACCTTCGGGGCCCGGTCCGTCTCAGGTTCCCGGCTAGGCGACGTTTCATATCGACGATATAGTTTTTGCCCTCGAATTCAAGGCCGTTCCAGATGGGTGGCAAGGCCCACGAAAGAATGCAATGAGGAACAGTGGACACAGCCAGGGTCAGGATCCACTCGTCAGGCACTCCCGTACCATCATCCATAGGGAAATTGTCAGACTAAGAGGCCTTTAATTAGCTAATTTAGACTTTTAAATGAAACCATACCCATTGCGTGATTTGTGACCATTTGTAAGCATGGGGAATTCCCATCAGATAAGGAGCGGAATGCCGCCGCGCTGCAGAAAAGAGGTCTTGGCATCTAATATGCCGGACCATTGACTGTGTGGCCGACAGTAATGCCGAGATGTATATCGTCGTACTTCCTCGTTTCAGACAAGATGAAGAATCGTCGGGTGCATCGTACGACTTTCTCCTGTTTCTGATCTTTGGGCTCTAATCATAAATCGTCTCATTTCCCTTCTTGAGATTTTTTTTTTTCTTAAATTTTTTTTCCCCCTCCATGTCACATAGCGCAAGCATCTCTTAGTTCACAATGGAGAATATGTCGCAATCAGCATTCAATGTCGATCTTGTTATCGTGGGTGGTGGCCCGACGGGCCTACTATCTGCTGTCCTCGCACGATCCCTAGGGCTCTCGGTGTATATCATTGGTAAGGAGCCTCCATAACCAATGGACGAACGCAATGGGACGTAAAATCAAAAGGCTAATTGGATCAAATTCAGACGCCAAACATGGCCCATTAGATCTCGGCCGCGCCGATGCCCTAAATGCCAGAACCCAGCAATACCTCGAAGTATCGAAAACATTGTCCCTCCTAGAGCCCTTCGGCCTGAAATGCAACAGTACGTTAAGTTCTATCCAAATGCGATACCCAGCCCCGTTAACTCACACCCTTCAGCAAGCTCGACATACGAAGCCGGTGAATTCACCTCCCAGCAGAATAAATGGTGGACCTCCCTGAAACACACCCATCGGCCCAACTTCCTCATGATCGGCCAGTCCCGTGTGGAAGAGGCCCTCCTTCACCAACTTGACATTCCGGTCGACTATAACTCGCGAGTCAATGGCATCCAGGAAACCAGTGCTGGTGTGGTGGTGACCACGGATCAAGGAAGAACGGTAGTTGCCAAGTATGCCATTGCGGCGGATGGCGCGCGCTCGTTTGTGCGCACCTCCCTTGGGATTCCCTTTACGGGGACAAAGCCCGAGATGGTCTGGGCTGTTTTAGATACCTGGATTGAAACCGATTTCCCTGTTTGTCCTGAGATTATTACTTTCCAGAAGGATGGACAGTCGCGAGTTGCGTGGATTCCTAGGTGGGGCTGTCCGTTTTGTTTCTCTTAGGGTAAAACGCAGCTGACTCCGTTATTTTGACTGTGAATAGAGAACGTGGTATGAACCGTTTTTACATTCTCCTCGATGGAGAAATCAATCAGGAGAACGCTGAGGCCTCTATCCGGGAGCATATGGCTCCGCACAAGGTGGAGTTCACGAAGACTGAGTGGTTCAGTACTTTTGAGAGTACGCAATCTGCCCGCCTTAATACTCCAAGCTACAAAGATATATTGACAAAATTATCTAGTCAAGGAAAGAGTCGCGAGTACCTTCATTTCTAAGGATGGAAATGGTCGCATCCTGCTCGCTGGCGATGCAGCCCACGTCCACGCTGTCAATGGCGGCCAGGGTCTGAATACCGGGATCGCGGATGCATTCAACCTCATATGGCGTATCGCCTTTGTCACCCAGGGACACGGAGGCTCTGCCCTGCTGAAGAGCTATGACGAAGAGCGACGCACCACTGCCAGCGGTGTGATCGATGTTGCCGCTAAGCTGGTGCGAACCACAGTTAAGACAGCTTTAGAGTATGTCGAGATCATCGAAAAGAACGCGGGCTACATCACAGGTACAACTCTACTTACTTTTCTCTTCTCTTCTAATTTTCTCCGGGACACCAGCTAACACCGGTTTCTAACCGCAGGAATGGGCGTTTCTTATTCCCCAACTACTCCATTAGTAGTGGACTCTAGCCATGGCGACTTTGTCGCCGGCGATCGCTGCCCTGATTTATGGGTCGCCAAGCTTCCTGCGACGCCATCCCATGCCCAAGTGGAGGAGCCGTCTCAGGTCCGATTGTACGAGCTGTTCGGGTACGGGAAATTCAAGGTGCTTGTGCTGGGAAACGAGAAGCCGGCCACGTTTCAGCAGGCAGTCGAGGTACAGCAAAAGGTGGAGGTATGGCATATCCATGACCAGGAGCACCGTCGCACTACTCTTCCCTATGAGTTCCGCGCCGACTGGGTGAAGAGTGACGAAGGCGCGGTTGTAGTTGTAAGACCGGATTTGTATATTGGCTATGTTGGGAAGGATTGGATCCAGTACCTGGAATCTGTATTTAGTTGATACGGATAATGGACATTGCTTATATATTGGATGCGAGGACCTAGAAAATGGACTAGCAGCACTGGGACTATCTCCACAGTGGCTTAGGAATTAGGCCACTGCCATGCATTTGAATTTAGTTCATCATATTCTGGATCTGTGCGATATCATTTGGTCCCCCAATATCGAAGGTGCCCTACTCAAGTGGAACCACTCTTTTTGAGTTTGTGCTCGTCCGTCAAATCGGTAAAATCTCAATTTCTTGCCAATAGAAATTGTACCAAATCGTCGTTCGGCAAAGCTTGGGGATTGTGAGAGATCATCTCCGAGTTGGGCAGGGAGGGTGATGTGCCAGCCCAATGAAGTGTCGCTGGATGGACGCTTGCATTCGATAAGCAAGATCTGGCACTCGGTCCACCCATCTGAAACTTGAGGATCCTGGACTAATGCCCAGACCCGGATGATAGCGACGTCGGGCATATTGAGCGTGAGGTCTTTGAAGCCCCATTTGTAACCCTCACGGCCAGGAAGCCACTCGCTCACGATCTCCTGCCAGACCATTTGGACAGTGTCTCCCAGGCTGTGTGGCTTGACCAGGTGCAATGTATTGGCGAAGCCGAGGTTTTACAACATTGACGAGGTATAGGCAGCCATGAAAATGAGAGTATAGGTACGTCAAGGAGATTCAATCAGGTAGTCAATAAAATACTAAATCATCAAACTTGAAATCATTAACTTTGAATGCTGAAAACCCACCTAAGCTGCAAGCTATTCCTGTCTGAATCCGTCACTAAAATATACACCTTAGCTTAATGGCCCCTAACGTTTACTGCCCTTTCTGTGGAGTCATTCTGTTGCCCTATTACTACAATGATGATCCACATCACCCTTGGTACGCAGAAGTACGAGGCATTTACTCCACCAATCCCACGGTTGGCGATATCACCATCTCTGGGCTCGAAGTAGTACACAACCGGAACAATCTCTGTGCCCCAACTGACAACAATCTCTCCTATATTGACTCGGGGATTGGAATGGAAGCTTTGCGATTCATCTGACAGCTGTTTGTCCTTCGGCTTTCACAACTCAAACTAGAGAATGCTTCTCCTCAGGCCCAGACATAGACAGGATAAATGGACTGGTCTCAGCTTTAATTTGAGACCAGAACATCTCAAAAAGTCCGACTCCTTCCTCTGGTTAATCGAAAAAGAACCCGGCAGCCCCTGGATCCCATTGCTGCTTTGTGGGTCTAGGAACTGTTTTTCGAAAATGATACATACGGACCTGCCGTTCATTCGACGCAAAATAGAGTCCCCTATCTGCAGCTAATCAATGGTAGGAGGAATGGGAAACCGTCTCAGCTCATAGAGATAGCTAGCTCTTTTCCCGGTCTTCAAGCCTCCGTTGGCATAGATGATCCCTTGGATGAGGGTTGCCGTGTGCTCTTCAATGGGTGTCCCCGCCTCAGCAGCATCGAGAGCGAATAGGTACCCCAGCGATCCAACTCGGCGCACAAAATTTTATATGTTGAATAAACCTATGCCCGGCATGGGAGTGCAGCATTGCTGGTCATCCAGTCGGATATTACAATCCAGCTTCCGAGGAGTGGATAGAGATACCGTCAACATCCTGTGAAAGCTCTTGGTGTGGCATTTTGCTCAGAAGGGTTGATGGGAATCAAGTTCATTCTCCCAGCGTTGGGCCCGTCGGACTGGTGTGGTGGTAGCAACGGCCCAGGAATTGCCCAGAGCATATCATGTCAGGAGTTCTACCGTGTTGGGGGGAGCGTACGAGCCCGAGGTTTTTCGGGCAGTTCCATGTGGCTACATATCAGTAGGAGCATGAGGTTGGGTGTTTCATACGCCAGCTACGGATTAGTGTACTTGTGTGCATATGGATGAGAATGATCTCCACATAGTGACTTAACATATCTTACCTCCCCACTGGAGAAACGAAGCGCATACGAAAGTTGTAAGAGTGTTACTCTGGTGTCGAGGCGAGAAGCTACGTAACTGCGAGGCAAAACTAATATCCACATCTACAATCCACATATAGGTGGATATATGGAGGATGTCAGTGCTGTGCGGGTGATTAGTGCAGAAGCCCACTCAGTGCCAAAGGACTTCCAATATCTTCTGATGCAACCAAGGGCAGTTATCATATCCACGTTCGGGCATTCCTCGGTAAGTCCAAGATGAGGCAAAAATGAAATCGCAAAAAGTAATGTTTCCGATGCGGGGAATCGAACCCCGAGCTGCTGTGTGAGAGACAGCGATGTTAGCCATTACACCACATCGGATTTAGTTGAAAATCTGGCTTAAGTTTGACTAGACAAGCAAGGTATAAAAAAAACTTCTTAGATTCATGTTTTCGCTCAATAAATGTTGGGTCTTCCTTCTTACCCATCGTATCATGAATGTTAACCCTCTTACCATCACAACTTTATCTTTGTTGCTGAGTGCCTGAAAACACACCATCCCGCTACTGGAATTGTCGAAATGTGTTGAACATATCTCCCCCAGAAAGACTAACACTCGCTCCATTATCTGGGAGTAGCTTCCATTTAAAACCTTCACCATCCAACAGCAGTGTTAAGGAGCGTCTTTACATCAAGTATTGTTGCCAATGCTTATCATCGGGAGTGCAATATCCAGCAGCTACCTACCAACAATCTCCCCGACCCGTTCCCAAAATTCCTCTTGGCCGAGCATGCCCTATGTAGTCTAGAGGCAAAGGAGAAATGACCTTAGGATATACAGTCCCACGCCCAATGGGAACCCGTACAACCTCAAGATGAGCAGTGGGCCATCGTGCACAAAGCCTGGGAAACTCCGGTGCTTGGCACTGCAGGTGCTGATCGGGAGGAATTTGCGTCCAAATGGGCGGAGCTATTTGGCTGGTATCTGCCTCTCACTGACTTGACAGTGTAGCCGAAGATAACGAGTGACCGGTTTAATGGCTTGTTTGTGGCTACGCTAATGCTGCCTGAAGGGTAATTCAAGAGTACTATTTAGCTACAATTTAGAGATAACAGAACGAAATACATATCTACGATTGTTTTTCGTTGGGTTAGATACGTAGAGGCTACAATGGGTTGTAATTATAGACCGTTCTTTAGTACCTGGTTTTCCTTTTGATACAAGACACGGCATGAGATAATATCTAAGGTCCTACATAATCATACAATGTCCCTAGGAGATCTACAACAAGCTTCTATTAACACTCTTTTACTGCTACAGATGATGATATAACATGCATGAAGGGCACCCATTGATCAAAGGGAATGGTTGGGAGAAAAAAACAGCTTGTGCCACTATACGAAGGGGTAGTGCGGTTCACATTGATCCATAAACCTCCATATATATCCAGTGCATAGTCACGAACACGTTTAACGTGATACACCCCTGCAAGGCCCTCCTGGCCTCTTGTGTGTCCAGTATGACATCGGAGTGACCAACTCTTGACACGTCCGTTGCTAGTAGTACCCCAGGGCATTATGGCGAAACTTCTCCATCTCCCTGCACTTCGCACCGTCATCATCGTCCCAGCTAACCCCAAATCGAGAAGATCGCGCCTGTCCATTGTCAACTCTGAAGGTTTTCCACCGTTCCGCTTTAAACTGGGCTTCCCGGCTCTCACACCTCCGAACCTCCTTTGTCGACCATCATATCCCACTTGGTCGTGGTGAAGGTCAGGTGAGGCCAGAAACTCTCGTAGCAAACGTTATCGAGAAAGTCGAGGCTCTCCTTCACCCCCGTAGAACTCTCACCGATAATGCTCTGAGCGTAGAAGATGCCATGAATGCAATCAAGTAACTTCGTATAGCAACTAAGATTGCAATACAGCTCCCTCTGCTTAACAGTGGATCGCCGAGCCTGATGCTGCCAATGGAGAGGAATTTCTGCTCTACTATCTCGGCTAAAACACTCTCAACTCGCTTAGCGGCTTCTATCTGTCAGGATCATATCTGGAATTGGTTGGGTGTAGGCGCATAGATGGGGTTCGTTACCTCGGATACGGTCACCTCTGTTGGCCAGCATTTGAATCGAGTCCGTTTTCCCTGAACTGGCGGGATCAACGACCAGAATCACTTTGGCTTTTCCTTTCAGCTCCCTTCTCAAAAGTTAGTATACGTGGTTCCGTAGATGGAGATTGCCTGTGGGGAGGGAGTGTTGCGCACCCAGCTTTTACCCGGCTTGATGTCCCGTCTGGGTCGTACTCCTCCTGTCTGCGCTATGAAGGAGAGTGGATTTTGACGTGCCGTGGCGTCATATTTGACTATGGACTTACGCGTATTGGTCTCTTTTGTACGCGCCATGGCGTGCCAGAAATTCATACATTTCGATGCTGTCTACACCACGAACTTCTAGAAGCGAACCGTAGGTCATTAATACGTTGTAAGAACAACGGTCTCGTCTCAACATCTCTACACAAATTAAACCCCAAACTACCGAGACACAAAGAAACCGACGTCGAATGTCTCCACGTTCGGCGTCGGCCAGTTCCCAATTAGGGCAAACCCCGCCGAATACCCCTCCGATGGAGAACGAACCCTAGCTATAAGTTCCAAATGACCGAGGAATAAGGAATAGGTGGCACAGCAGGGGAATGTACTTAAGCTAACTCACATAGAGACGACGCCGATATATATGGCTTCAGGATGAGAAGAAGGGCGGTTGGGAAATCAGTTTGTCCCGCTTGATAGGCTGTATTTGAAGATGGGGAGGCTTCTGGTTGTATTAGAGGCTCTGAAGCTGTATTGCTGGATGTCTCGCTTTCTTGGGAGGAAGGTTGGGAGAGGGGATCTTGTGGAGGTGTTTGCGTACTTGAGACAGACACAGAATATGAAGATAAATGAGAAGGAGTGGGAAATGACACAAAGTAAACGGTCGTCCATTCGAGTCCCTCAATGAAGCGGCGAGTCTCGTTGAAGATCTCGGCGAGTGGGTAGCTCAGTGTGAGGGGGGCCTTGTCTGGATGGCCTCTGCTACATGCAGTCAGTTTGGAGATGACAGCCGACGGTGACTCGAACATCTCTCCCCACGGTTTGTCGTTGGGAGTTTGGTAGAGGTGCAGCTGCCAACGAGGCACCGACAGTGTCATTTTCCGGATTTAGGCTTGACCAGCCGGTCAAGTGCTCCGTAAGCAGAGGCTCACTATCTGACGGTGCCCATGAAGCAGGATTAGGTAAATTGAATATGTCGGACAGAGCCCACTCCTGAAGAGGAGTCCGGGGGACCGGCGGAGGTTCTGAAAGCCTCGACAGCACCTGTGGTCTGACACCCAACATCTCCCTGGCTATCAATGCCGCTGTTGGTCTCGCTTGTAGCGATAGGGATCTCGTTCTGGGAGGTAGATTATATATCAAGGCGTCAGACTATTGTACATACTGCATTTCTCATATCATTGACAAACCTAGTTAGGATGTTTCCGACGCATCTTCCCCCCATTGGAGCTCCCCTCCCCATTTCTCCGTGCTGGACTCCACATACATAGGCGATTTAGGCGATGACAGCGCACGCATTCATCACTATTGTTTGCTTTGGTACATCGGAGCTTCTGGGTAGGACACCGATCACAAGCCACTCGACGTGAAGAAGGGTTGACAATGACGCCTGTGTGTGAGAGGCGTTGACAGATAGAAAGACGTGTTTCATAATTTATAATTCAAGTTTTTATTCGTATTCGCTAGTCATCCACCACATTAAGGGCGATACAAGAAGGGCCCAAAAAACTGCTGTGAGATCTCGCCCCACGAGAGCCTTAAGAGCCATAGGTCAACCTACTTTTGGCTGCGAGAACAAATCTAAACATTCAACGTACGGAGAACCACCCACCCATAATGGCACTGTAAACCAGTTCTTGACAGCAGTCTAACAATCTTATTCCTGTACACAGAGTATAATACAAAAGTGGGGTATTTCAGTTCAATACATGCATGACCATCGACATATACACATCAACGCCAGCCCAAGCCCTAATATCCATCTTATTCCATATCATCCCAAGCCATATTCCATAGGTAATTGCTCAGCGACAATAACGTCTCCATCAACTAATTCCCTCCCTCCATTTTTTCATTCCTCTGCCTCTCCTTCTCCTTCTTCAACTCCACCGCAAACTTCTCCCCCAGCACATTCCCCACCCAAGCCTCAACTTCATCCTCCAACTCCTTATCCACCTTCATCACATCCCCACCATCACCGTGAAAACCCCGCCTCACAAACCTCCTCAAATCATCAATCCCATTGATGTCCAACGCACACAAAACACCCCCCGTAGCCGCCATCCCGAAGGAAAGCACATTCAGCGTCGCCAGATTCAGCGCTTCGAAAGCCTCCGCGCCACCGCTAACATCTGGCTTGTGGAAAAGCGAGGAGGTGTAGAACGGCGGAACGGAGGCGAGATAGCGGCGGTTTAACGAACGGCGGGTGGTCCACAGGGAGAAGGCGAAGAATGCGAGGCCGCCAACCAGGAGTTTGTGTTTTGTTTGGGGGTTGATGAGTTTTATTTCGGGCTCGGGTTCGGGTTGTTGATTTTGTACTTGTGCTTGGGGTTGTGATGGATGAGGTTGGTTGGCTTGTTGGGGGTTTGCTTGTTCTGAGGATGTTTCGGAGGTTTGGCGAGGGCCCCGGCGGAAGAAGGAGAACATTTGGTCGTTGAGGATTGATTAGTGGGAGTTTAGTATCTTCGTGGGTGGTGTTATAGATGTCAATTAGTAAGAATTAATGTGTGAATCTTGTTAATCGAGCGCTATGAGGGAGAACAGTGCGGATGGGAGCGGAGATCTGAAGCTCAAATGTGGAGTCGGTGATATTTTGGCCTGTCATGTGATTTCTGCCTTAGGCAGAAAAATATTGTAGTCCTAGAAGCATCTGGAAGCACACTTGAGTTATATCGTTTAGTTCAAGTTGTCTCTTGGAACAAGCCAAAGTCATACCTTATCGCTGTATTATGTGCATTGTAATCTGAAGGCTATGATACAGAACCGTAGCGTGACTAAATCCGACAGGCCAAGACGCTGGGCGGTTGCCTCCAAATAGGTACGAGAATGTAAACGGCTTATGTTCCCAGCGCAATTCTTCAGTATATACCAATGCCCAACGCAAAAACCGTACATATTTGTTGAGCCGATCACATAACTCGATGTTCGAAAGTGTATATCCGCCAGATTCGGTGCATCTGGCTTTTTATCCACGCCAGCTGTTCATCTGGTAAACACAGATCAGGAGAGCAGAGATTCTCCAGGTAACCAAGGATCAGCCACCCGCCGAGAAGGGGGCCCGTTTGTTGATGGGCCAAAGTCACCGGGCGCTCCTCAGCTTGGGGGTACTCGACCTTATAGGGGTTCAACTGGACAGACATTGTCTGGCTTCCTAGGAAGAAGGGAACTGCAGCGCAGATATCGGTAGCCAGCTTTTGGATAGTAGACATGACATTGTCAACTTTGTCGGGTGTGCCAAGGTTCGGGAGAAGACGTAGGCAGTTTAGAATAATTTTTTGGGTGACGATCCGCGATTCTCGGTAGGTGTTCCATGTACTTGCGGTCCACATTTCTGTATAACAGTCGCATCTGTTTTGGAAAATGCCTGCTTCCCGGACAGACTGGGGTATCATGGTTGCCTGAACTGGAGCCCAGTGTGGGGGAAGAACCCAGGCCCATGCAGAAAACCTGTTGTCGATACTTATAGCCATTGAGTATATGCGATTAATTTCATCCGTGCCGTGTAATTCAGGATGCGATGCAAAATTATCCCACACTTGCCTGAGGTTTACCAATCCAGTTGCAGCCGCTGTTAGTTGCGAGGATGCGCATTGAGGTATTGGTGCAGCTAGGGGCCACACGTCTGGTATCTGGACCGTCGGAAAAGCCGGAGCAGTCGAGGCTTTGATCTAGAATGAAATGTCAGCGACAGGTCCGGAGCTTTCAGAAGTAAACATACAATTTGGCTTTGTATTGAATTCGTCAAGACTTGTGAGTTAGCGTCCTCACATTGTGTCATGTACCCGCTATTGATCAAGGCAACGGCTCCACGCAAGTGAGTTTTTGCTGCAATTCTGTGCTCCTTCACAGCAGAGAATTCCTAATATCATTATTAACCCTGAGGTTTAATAAGAACTAAACAGGTTGCACCCACCTCATAGATAGAAAGCAAAAGAACTGCCATTATAGTCTCGACTAAATTCCCCCCGAGATTACTTTGCAGGGAAACTCTTGTCTTCGCTAGCGCCTTCACGAAGAACTGCTCCGCCATGCGGAGAAACGAGTGATTACCCGTCCAGGCAGAAACAGAGAACAGTGACACGGCCAGAGTCCCGAGGTGTAAAGGAGATCCAGGCAGGGCGTTATGGTACCGCTCAGGCACAAGCTCCAAAAAGCCAATCCGGATGAGAGGGTCCCTCGGTGAATAAAGATACGAATTGAAAAACAAAGAGGTAACCGTACTCTCCAGAGGGAGGAATAGACTATTAGGAAGGCTTGGTGATAGGGCTTCCAAAAAGTTTACAGAGACGGGTGAGGTTTCATATTTTGGGGAGCTCACGACCGATGTAGAAGATGCAGTCGTAGGCGACGTAGTCGTATCAGACACCGTCAATGGAGGCGACAGTTCTTTCGAGCTTGTCCTGCCTTTTGTCGCAATTACCGCTTTGGTCTTAGAAATATTACTTTTCTTGCGTTGAAAGGCCGTTCGATCTCTTAACATAACATCGAGCGGGTGCGGGTATCCCGGGCACGTCCGGCCGGTCCGGACACACGCCCTACAGTGAGGACGAGTTTCATCGCACTACAGCAATTAGGACGGGCCCGTTTCAGATATTGGTACTCCGCATACCTTAATATGTCTAGACCGGCAATTTTGACACCCGGTGCTAGGCTTCCCACGATAAACCATGTTGGCAGCTTCGGGGTAATCTTGATATATCGCTGTAGAGTAACCGACAAGGAGCGGTTATGGGTCTGCTGCATGTATGCTGTAGTATGTACAGTACGCGAGTTCCCCAGCGATGTCGTTCATCGAGACTCCCATCGGCGAGATATTTCCAGAATAATACGAAAGATATAGTAAGAGAATATTAAATAGATCAAAATAAGATCGACCAAGTAAACTGGAGCCTAAACATCGTCATCGTCGAGAAACAGGGGAAAATGTGTCTCGCCCCAAAACAGTTTAGCGCCTCACGTGGCGGGTGAGTCAGGTGTTTATCTTATCGACTTATTTTGCTGTAGATCCATCCATTCATCTATATGAGAAACAACACCACAACTCCCAGCTATGGACACATAAAAACGTCTTGTAAGACCCCAAGGCACGAAGGCCGTTAACCAAAGATCGTCAGCATATCTCATTAGTGATCATTACTTTTCTCCGTCATGTCAAAATTAAAACCGAAAATTCATATCGTCCATCTGAAATCATACAATCATACAATCATTAAATATACTCCATAGAAAGGCTGGCTGGGTCGGAAATTTTTGAGGAAGCCGGGTCGAGTGTACTGTGTCTGTGAAAGAGTAGATATTTCTCCCACGGCCTTGGTTTCAAGCGCAAGGAAATGACCCATGAAAGTCGGTCATCATTTCATCGAGCCCGTTGTTATGAGCATGTCTGCCCGACCAGGTCGATAAAAGCGATCGATGCCAAGGTGTTCCTTGCCATCTCGCCCCACATAGATACCAAAGCCATACAAGGGATGTTCTCTATCTCCAGGAGGTGCCATGACCAGTCGCGTAACAAGATCAGCTTTACTCCTAGGTTCACGGAGGATCTTGTCTGAGAGCAAAGGGCTCTGATAGAGGAAGCTTATCTGATCTGCTAGGGTGCTGATATCGTGGGGCAGATAGCGGCAGCGACGGGGCCAGGTGCACAAGAGTGACACCGTGTACAGTGCGCAAAAGGCAACCATGGCATAGAATGCGGGCATTAGAGCAGCAATGCGGATTTCACCTTGTGAAGGGTAGTTAAGAGCGATGAAAACGCCGCCAGCCAAAATGGGAATGGCGGCTGAGGCAACACTCATGAAGGAGATCCAGGCCACCTTATAATGTTTGTTCAAGATCGCCAGCGCTGTCACATGGAAGGGGAAGCATGATGGATAAGACAACAACAAGCTCTGTTCGGCTGATGTGCCCTGCGGCGAAGAGAGCGAGGCAAATGGTTGTAAGGCACGGAAGTACACATCAACCGGCTGCCATGCAAGAAACAGAATGTTCCCAATCAATGCCGGAATAAAGCTGTACAAGAAGTTGGACGAGGAAAAGGACTTGGGCGATGGGAGTGTGGGTAGCCTTGGTGGAAATCCGCCTCGGATGGCATCGTGAATAAAGCTGACAAGCACAAACGCAATGAACAGCGCACCGATAGTGACCGTCCAAGCAACAATAAAGGTGTCTCGAAGGAACCACGGGGTCCACCGGTAACGAACGGATGGCGCATACATGTGCTCATCAAAGCCGTACTTCCCCTCCCCAACCTGCTGTTCTATATCGTAAGAAACCCTAGATAGCGGTTGCCGCTCCGGGCTCTTCTCATTGAAGTGGAGAGACGGATTTCCTACGGATGCTGCAATCTCACCAATGCCATAGAATGTTGTCTCACGGTTACGGTTAGAAAGTTGCCAGTAACCCAGTCGGAGAACCCTAGGGTTAAGTGAATCGCCTACATCAGGCAATATTTCTGACTGTTCAAAATCCCGCAAGATGTTAGACCGCTGAATGATGGATATTAGATCAGCTAGGCTAACTGGATCCCACATCAGCCCTGACCAAGTGCGAACGAAGCGAAACATCAGTATGACCAATCCAATGGTCAGAAGTCCATATACCGCCACGATCGTCCAACCAACATCCTGAACGGCAGTCCAACGCCATGTTCCTCGCTCCTCCATGATGAAGAACTTCGCTTGGAAGAAGCAACTTAGTAGTGGCAATGCGATCACATTTGACAGCCAGATTGACACCAGCGAGAACCCGACCAGCGGTTCTCCATGTTGAAACTGCGAAAAGTCTGGGACCAAAAAGTTGCGCGAAAGAATCGGTAGGCGGTCCAAAACATGGCCTAGCTTCCTCTCCGAGGCCATGATCGCAAATGGCATTGTGCGATACACTGCAGCCTGGATAATAAACGTCCACACCGTCATACTGACAGCTAAAATCTGCGGCAGGAATTGAACAACAAAGTATCGCCCACCACCTATGCCATCATAGTCCCAAAAGCCTTGGTGTCTCTGCGACCATACATTGCAAAAAACGACCCCCGCAATCATGAGCAAAGAGCAGAAAATGACGGCGACGAGAGCCCATGGCCGTAACACAACCGGCACAAAATCCAGGCGTGGATAGAGCAAACTATCTTTTGGAGGCTCGACTGCAACAAACGCTTCCGGTTCCACCGAGTCCTGAGGTGGCCTATCGACTGGCCTTGGTGACGGGTGCAGCAACAAGGGCTGCTGGGCGGGTGGTGTATTTGACGCTTCTGGGGAGCGAATGAAGTAGCCCAACCCTTCGTCCCAAACTAGACGCTCAACCGGATAGTCCTCACTCGTAACTGAGCTTGGTCTTCGTAAGCTACGAGTATCTTCGTCTCGTGTCAGTTGATTAATGGCGAATCGGAGGTATGGTACGTTGTCCATAGCGGGGGCGGGAGAAGGTCCCGCATAGCTACTATCGCGGGGGACCTGGCGACTGGTACTCTCCGTCATTAGGCTTGTGTGAGCTTCTCTGTCTTGTACGGAGCGTATAGTGCTCCTGACGGGCGATGGCGCATTTTTGTTATCGCTTGGCATCTTCACGTGGTGTGCTGGCCGAGAGGTTGACGCAACTACGGGCGGGGCTAGATGCGTTCGAGAGATGGCAGGAGATGAGGTCTGAGACACGGGATGAGAATTCGGCGTGGCATACCTCACAACAGTAGCATGGCTGCCATTGCTCGGAGATCTTGAACCGGAGTTGTGGTCTGAAAAAGAATAATAATCGTCCGAAGCGGCAACCGATCGTTGATCCTCAGAACATAGTACTTGCGGCCTGTTTGCTACGAAGAATCAGCACCAGAACTCCCCATCGGTCGGATTGGTTATGGAAGAAATATGTAACGCAGCTTCCAAATAGAACTTACAGCTGACGGTCCTCAGACTTACATTCCCGGACCCCGAAGCAAGCATGACGGACGAAGGAATGTTTGTGCTCAGCTCACTTGCAGCGAGTGTCATGCGATGGGCATTCCCAAACGCAGATGTTGCACCTCGGAGTGAAATATTAATTGTCGTTAATCTCAGTCAAGACGCAAGGAGAGAAGCAGTCCAAAGTTGTCAAGCGACAGGCATCGCTGCTGTCCATAGTGAGGTGGTTGGGTTGAGCTGGATGGTTGGTCGGGAGACGCCCAGCCACCTCGGTCCCAGCCACCGATCGAAGCCCGATCGATCAGATTAGAATTTGTCCTCGACATGGCTCAATATTATTGGTGATGAGGGGGCTGTCAAGCAGGGGTTGAAATTGATATGGTTGGGCAAGACATACATGGACCTTGCATGTTGAGAGTGGTGCGTTGGCATGGTGAAAAGAGAGTGAAGTTCAGGTACGAAGCATTGCGGCCTGAACAATGTAGGGCATAGGTACGGCATGTGACCTTGGCCTTAGGATATCATCAAGTGCCACGCAGGACATGAAATAGCGATAGGGAGAGTAAATAAGGCTCTAAAGCATGTGCTGCAACAATAAATATATAATTTGTATATTAAAAATAACATCCCGGTAATAGGTTTTTTTTTTAAAAAAAAAAAAAAAGAAAAGAAAAGAAGAATTCATAGGAGGATGCAAGGCCACGCTAAGTGCTCACGCAACTTCTATGTGTATGTAAAAACCTATCTATACGAACACTGGTGAGGACGTCATTCACCAGAAGGTAATTGAATATATGCGCCACTGTTCCCAAACCCTTCTCTCTTCCCGCTTCATGAATTATACAGAAAGGCCGCAACCACTCCTCCCCAACCGCCAGCATTATCATCCTCTTTGGCGATCGGTGTCACCCCCTCGATGATCATGTTAGCCGTACTCTTCGTATTTGTTCCATACAGATACAACGCAGACGAATCAATGATCTGAATGGTATTCTTTTGGCATTTGCCATTGCAACCGCCATTGTTGTTAAAGAATGCCCAGTTACACCCTCCGTAAAGGAAGAGGTTTGATGCACCATTAATCCGTTCGAAAAGCGCCATGCGACAAGTCGCATCGTCCGCAGCGCAGAACGAGAAGTCTGGATCACTCGCAACCAGGTGATCCGTCCATGGAGCTGGTGCGAGTGTGTTCCCCACGCCTTGCCAGTACGGTGTTTCGCTCTGTTGCATGGTGGCCAGAACGTTATGCGCATGCTCAAAGTTATACTGGTAGAGAGTGTGGTGTTCAAAGCCGGTGCCGATAAGCCACGTAGCGGCAGAAGCTTCAACTAAAATACCTCTGCCTGTGGATATGGTCTGCTTGTTGGATCCATCAAGATCGTGATCTGCCGTCCATCCCCACATGTTCTCGATGTACACCGATGATGTGCCGGTCAGATGGAGCAATCCGTATGCAGCTTTGCAGTTCTCGGGTGTGCTGGTGCATCGACTCCGGACATTACTGCCGACTGCACCTCCTATACGGAAGTGCGTATTCCAGAGCCCAACGTCTCCGGGGCGGTTTCCGGCAATGTTGACTTCCACCTAGTAGTTGAAGCTCTGTTAGTATTTCGAAAATGGCTACTTGGAGAGGGGTAGACCCACCATTTGGCATCCTGGCAATATGTCTCCCACAGTAAGTATCATGTCACTCATCTGTAGCACCCCAATATCTCCTGGGTACCCCATACGGACCATAACGCGAGCAGAAGCAGAGTCCTGAAAATTGCTACCGACAGCGCTGATTGTCGAAGCAAACGCATCTCCAATAATTCTCGTGCCACTCGGAACGAAGATCGTGTCCGTCACGATATAGGTACCGGCAGGGAAATAGATCACTTTGCAGTCCTTGTTCTCAGACAAGATTTTGTTGATATTTGCCGTGTCATCCGTTTGGCCATCTCCCAGGACAGGCCTGGAGGATACCGTTTTGACATTCAAAACCTCATTCACTCCGTATTCTTGGTAAGTCGGCGGCGACACTGTGTAGTACTTATCTCCAGATAACAGAGAAGAAGACCGTTTGGTGGTCACTGTTTGCCCCTCAACGCGCTCTTTGCTGGTATTTCCTGGGTTATACTGTGTTTAGCAGTTAGTATTCGATACTGCTCTATCATTCGTTTGCAATTGGCTTACCAAGGTTCCGTGGACCCAGGTGGCCAACACACTCCCCGATACCACGGCTTTGCCCCCGAGACTAACAGTAACGCCAGAGCTTTGCACATTCTCCAAGATGATTGCATTGCCTGCACCACCCGAGTTACCAGAGATGATGAAAGCGTCCAAGCCGGAGGCGCTAGAATCAATGACGGTCAGGGAACCCGAGGTGTCACTCGCATCAATGCCTATTGTACCTTGTTGGAAGCGACAACCAAGAAAGACGATATTGGTACCCCCTGCAATCACACCCGTAGTCGTCCCAGTGAAGGTGAGATTTTTGAAAACCCATTGCTGCCCGCTCAATTTCATCCCGATATTACCACCACTAAATGAAAGATCATTCTGTGTATTGTCAGTGGCTTGTCTTGTCCGTTCATACATAACGAAGCCTTACCAGAATGATATTACTGTTATAGTCATACTGCGTCGTCAAACCAACATGCTTGCTACCCGTCGGCATACGAAACGCAACATTGGTGAGCTGTGTTGCTTGGCTAACAGTCCAATCAAGGAGTGCCAGCGACGCGCCCGAATCAACGCCAGTAGAATCCAGAGCGATATTCTTAATGCCAACGTAGAAGTTGTTTGTGCCTTCATGATTGGGGTCCTTGGCGTAGACCATGTGGCTCAGAGAATAACCAGCAGCCGCTTTTAGGATGGGGGGGTTCGTCGGGTCACCGACCAACACCGTTCCAGCGTAGAGCTGAAGAGAGCTTTTGAAGAGATATGTTCCCCCCGGAAGATAAATAACGGCTGGCTGCCCTGTCGTGCCCATTGATTTCGAATTACGAGACGGTCCGTTTGATGCCCCGGCTGTCGTAGACTTCATCCTTAGCAGATGCCATTGCCCGAAAGATGCATTCTTCGCTACTGGTACTTACCTTCAACGGCCTTCTGTATAGCAGGTGCAGCGTCCTCCTTTCCCGTGTTATCAGCTTGATAGTCCGCTACCACATTCCGAAAGACCTTGTAGCTGTCTTTATAATCCAAACTCAGAAACGACGACTGGCCGTTATGCGCAATCTTTTCGTACCAATAGCCAGAGGATGGCCCGTTACTAGATGAGCAAGCAGACGTGTTGCCAACAGGCGCATGGGTCGCAGGAGGAGTGTTGAGGTGATTCCATGGTTCCGCCGTGTCGTTTTTTGTTGGGAACGGTATCCCCCTGTTATGAGATATAGTTAAACAAAGTTGAGAGAGAGAAAGGGAGAGGAATGGAATACTGTTGACTCACGTTGGATGAGGAACCCAATCCAGTGGAGGTAAGAAGGACACCACATCGTTCACTAGTCCAGTAAAAAACCCATCAATTATACCTGCGTGAGCGTATAGAAAAAGAAGGCACAAAGAAAATAATCGAAGTACAGAGAAGGAGACTGCCATTATATCAACTAGTATTCACCAATACAATACCCAAAATAAGAAGCAAAAGAAGAAGATTAGAACAGTTAAAAATAAATACTTCGACCCTCCACCCAGTTCGTAAGAGGCACCTCTTTGCCGTATATATCCCTGTGTAAACAGAGGAGCCACTCGAACTGGGCCAAATACAGGTCTTAGGATGGGAAGGGCGCATCAAACGTCGGAAGAGCACCAAAGAGGTTCATGAAGGGCAGTCCAGAGCTTTATCTAATTTTCTGATCTATTTTTACCCCCTGAGTTGCTGTGCATACTTGAAGTCTAGGCCCAACGTGAGAGTGAGACATGGCCATCACCATCGCGACGCAGAGCATAACTGGAATTCTCCGACCTACAGGTGATGGACCCTGACTCGTAAGCTGGTGTCTTTCAACTAATAATCGCATTGATTCTATCAAAAATCAGTGAGACCCAATATGCTTGGCTCAACTTTGTTCGATTTGTGTCGCGCGGGTCGTACAGCTAGACCCCATAAATATACCCTAGGGATAGGTCACATCTAATAGGTAGCCTTAAACATCACCCAAAACCTACGAGGTCAAACTGAAATTTACCCACAGATGGAAGACGGAGGGCCAAACCAGTAAAGATAACTTACAAATCCATACATGGCGCGGTCGGTGGACCATGATTCTAGAGGAAAATCAAGGGTTTGTCACCGTTGTGCCTTGCTGCCAACAGACATACCAGAGAGCGGAGGCATTTGCAATCAAGGGAGACTTTCAGGGCGAAAATGCTCCACGTGCATGAAGGACTAACTTAGACGCCCTTTTTTTTTTATTTACTTTTCTGGCCTTACTCTCGCCGATATAATTGCAGGAAGTATTGGCTGTTCAAGCTATGTCTAGTTTACACGGCGGCTATAGCGGCTCTACCCAAGGCCAGAACCATGGCCAGACTTCATCCCTGTCGGCAGGAATTTCAACATGTTCAAAAACCAGCCAAGCAAGCCCTCCTCCCACATGATAATGGCAAGGGCAACAATTAAGTAAAAATGAAGAAAGGGCAAACCATGCAGTGAACTAAGATTGTTGCTTTACGCGCGTAGGTTGGAAGTTGATGGAGAAGTTTCGCAATCTAAAGCCCTTAGGGCTCCAAGCATAGTCGGTGCCCTAAGGCAGTAATTATGCTGGTGGTAGAATCGGAATTAGGTTCAATTTGTACTGCTCGGCGATGTCCATCGCATTTCCTTTTGGAACTCAATTCAGCGTTGAGGTTGAACCACTTTGTGTACGTGGAATGTATTGTCTAAGGGGTGTTCTCAGGCTTTCGAGTAAATGATTTCTCACATCTGCTTTCCATGAATCTAATAGCCCAATATGGTGAATATCCGATCTTAAGCTATTGTTTTCTTTTATCTTTGTTAGCATAACGATTGGTCTGTTTGGTGTGAGTGTTTCTGTTTCCTACCTCTCCAGCAGCCCACACAATCTAGTATTCTCACTATCGCTCCCCCTGAATTCTAGAGGCAACATTTAGATTGTTCTAGGCAGGGTAAGTCGATTCTTGTAGATACTCTGTGGAAGCCGAGTCCAAACCAGGAGCGTCATTGCGACCTAGATTGCAAAGCTTATGGACTATGGATACGGGTTGACTCACCAGCGTTTTCCAGCAAAGATCATGGAGGGAGGGAGCATTTTCGTATCTCAATACGTAGTAGGTCTTGTAGAGCAACTGTCTGACCTATTCCTCGAGAGTTTACCCCGTATCGAGGGAGTCAAACAGAATCAGTTCGGATCAGACATACTCGAACGTGAAAATACATCTTGTGTATTGATGAAGCAGTTCTCTTGAGGCGTCCCTCATTCGGTGTCAATGATACAAGGCCAACTAGCTCTGGCTTTGTGTGATATCAACTGACGATATATTGGCAATGTGAATGCCAAGGGAACAGCTGGGCGTACAGATTCAGTCAACTCAAGAAACATGCTAGCATAGGTATCAAAGAAATAAACTGTAATGCGACCTTCAAAGCATGTTGAGTGCTTAATGAGGGCTCTTTCATATGATTTAAATCCCAGAGCCGGTTAGAAAGATACCGGGTTAAAATCGTCTCGTCTCGGGACGTAGCCACCCAAGCGTAACTGACTGCGATTACCAAGAATCTGTTTACGCTGGAGCACCAAACGGGACGTTTGGATGGGCAGGGGCAGGGGTTGAAGTTCGGCTGGGCTGTGGAACGATGTCTGTGTATAATATGAGCACTGATGATGCTGGGGTGGTTCTAAGAGAACATCGTATTACAAAGGAGAGATCGATCGAAAGCTGGAGGATATGATGGTTGAGCTAACCCCTACGATGTTGCTAATTGCTAATTGACTTTCAAGTCGTTGATCCTTACTAAAGGGAATCATATATTAGCATGCTATATACTGGTTCGGCTCCTGAGTAAGCTTAGTGAGGTTACACTGCATTTTTCTTTCTCTCGCTTTTTTAGTTTCTCACTTTCATAAACAGAGATTTTGGAGGAACCTTTGGTTGATAGCGGATAGATGCAGGAATAATTAGCCTCTTTGTTTGAACAGCTTTTCTCTACATGTCCGCATTAAGATGATCATCCTGGATTGGTATACCAGGACGGGAGTGGAGTCGAATCGAAGTGGAGGCGGACGGGCAATCACCTCCACCATAGTACGTACCTTTTTGTACCTGGTACCTGTCAATCCCATTCGATAGGACGGGACTATCTCGAGGGCCGCATAGGGAGCGAGGAAAGGTGCAAATCGATCAGATCATGAACCGGTTTTGAACTCTTTCACCCAGTGTGGTATCAAAGCCACAATAAAAAGCCAGTTCGTGCCCGAATTCCGACGGTCCTGTGCAGTGGGTTAAAAGATGTCCTTTAATAAATCTTCCGACCTTGGGGCGTAAGGATGCGCTAAAATTGGTCTGGCCCTCTGATCGCGACAGCGATAAACTCAAAGTGATTGTGGGCGAAACGTTTCTGTGGGACCGATGGCCCTCTTAGCTTGTATCTTGCGACACTTGTTTGTCTCATTATTCGGTCAGAATTCCAATCAACCCTCCAATTGAGAATGTTGAGAGTTTGTCATTCAGGGATCATAACTGTTACAAAAGCATTCATCCGCATGCATACACCCTAAAACGTGACCTTTGAAAGGTTACGGTAGTATTCCCAACCCACAATTCGTATGCGCGTCGTTAAAGCAAGAGCTATCTCCTCAAAGGATCCGACGGATCGTGATCTCTGGTCGGGCGAATCAGAAGCGGATTTGAATCGCACTGACGGGAAGCTAAGCGGACGGCGACACAGCCACCACGAGGAGTCTTGACTCGAGTTAAGTTGGTGAGATAAAGTAAAGTAATTCTTGACTTCCTTCAAATTTGTTGACCCAAGAGAGGGGTGTAGTGAATGGAGAAAATGGTATTGCTGTCAAGGATTCAAGGTTGACAATTCATAGATTGAAAGATGTAAGGGGAGGGAAGGACAGGACTATAAGATAATGAAAGATAACAGTGGCAATGCCCGTCATGCGGGTTTGACACCTGAGGCCGGAGCAAGGCCGAAACGCGGTCGCCTTTCCTCCCGCTTTGTCTCTTCTCTCTCTCACTGTCTCAATTCATTCGCTCGCTATCGTTCTCTCTCTTCCATTTCCCTCCAATTCTCTCTCCCCCTGTTTCCCTCTCGCATCTGCATTCTTTTACTTCTCCTTTTTAGTTTAATTAATTTAGATTGTCAGCACGCACGACCTATCTTTTGTGATCTCTAACGTTTAATACATTGCCTGTCCGGTCATCTCTGGTCGCTTCCCCTCAGTTTGATCATACATAACTTAGTACTGGTACTAGTTTCTCTCACGGGATCTCAAGCGCTTTCCCACCCCCCGTTTCAGGAGACAGACCGACAGCAATGTTCCGACCAATGCTGTGAACACTCAATTTTCCTATTGACTGCGTGTGTCGCGGTCACCTGGGATTCGTTCCCCTCAATTAGTCGCATAGTCGTTATTACTATTATTGTTCTCTTGTTCAACTTGACCTTGTCTTCGTCATTCCTTTACTACTCCACGGATTGTTCGTTCTATCCCTAGGCAACTCCGCCCCTCCGCCATGCTTCTCAAACCCGCGACTCCCCTCACTATCCTACTGCTAATCGCTTTTGCCCTCTTGCTGTTATCTGTTATCTCCACCCCCATCGTCAAGGGTATCCCGTTAGCAACTTTCGAGAATGTCGACTATGGAGTCTTTGGCTACTGTAAAGGTGGTCAATGCACCGATATCCATATCGGCTACACTAACGGTGCGTCCGGCCGAGCACAACAAATTCTTATAATGCTAAGATAGGGACAGATGACCTTTCGAACACCGGTGATGACTTCAATCTTCCATCCAGTACACGACGATCGCTTTCATCGATTCTGATTGTTCACCCCGTCGCAGCGTTTCTCACCCTGATCTGCTTATGTATGGCCGCCGCGGCGCACTTCCACACTCCGTCGCATTCGCCCCGCTACCTCCTAGCCTTATTGATTCTGCTGCTTCCGACGCTCCTCGTGTCCTTGCTTGCGTTCCTCGTAGATATCCTGTTGTTTGTTCCACATCTAGGGTGGGGTGGCTGGATTGTACTCGGTGCGACTATTCTCCTTGTCAGCTGTGGCGTGGTTACCTGTGCAATGCGCCGGACCCTCGTCAGTCGCAAGGCGCGAAAGAGACGAATTGCGGAAAATGCCGAGATGAGTGGTGAAAACTTCTACAATCGCCAGAATGCCGCCGCTGCCGCTGCCGGGCTGAACGATCCGAAGCCGCTCAATGGAGAGGTCAAGGAAGCTTTTGTCACTGGATCACCTCCTGGATCGGACACGGGACCCACGTTTGCGACATTCCGAACGACCACGCATGAGAGTGATGATGATCGCACCCCGCTGAATTCACGAACACCCCCAAACGACGTTCCATTACCCGATCATCAGATGCGCGACAATGGACCACCATACAACCCCCTCCGAGACGAATTCGGAAACCCCCTTCCACAATCTGGTCCCTACGGTCCCGGTCCTCGCATACGCCCTGGTCCGGGCGATCCCCGGTTGCGTAATCAATATTCGGATGGTAGTATGGGATCACGGAGAGGACCGCCTCCGCCGGGGTTTATGCCGCGTGGACGGGGTGGTTATCCTGGGCGGGGCGGCTACGGCCGCGGAGGCCCTTATGGTGGACTCAGAGGCCCCCCTCCAAGAGGACGAGGTAGTCCAATGGGTTCGATGCGAGGACGAGGAGGATATCGAGGGCCGCCGGCCGCTAACTATGGACCTAATCTTGGACCACGACCAATGCCGCCACCAGAGGAGGATGGCTACGACTATCACGCTCCAGCTGGCATGATGCGCCAGCCGTCCCCTGGACCGATTGGAATGGCTGTGTCGCCTCCGGATGCAAGCCCAATAGGTCAGGCGATTGAAATGACACCGCAGCCCAGGCGAACGGGCTCGGCAGAGCCAGCGCCTCAGGAAGTTTTGCTAGACCCACACCAGCCACATGCTGTGTCGGCAGATGGCTATCCTGAACCTGTCAGTCCTTCGAGCCTCTACAGCCGCACAGCGTAAGACAAAGAATAGGCTTCTGATTAGTACGGTTGCGTGTTTATAACTAACCCTGGTTAGGTCTTACATTCCTCGCGCTGCCTGGGAGCAAGGTGAGCGTCGCCCCGGACACTCACCGTCACCCGTCCACGCCTATGAGCAGACGGAGCCCGCGCGAACCCCGCACCATGCTCGTTCCGGATCGGCAGATTACTTCGAAGACGTCGATCCGCGTTTTGCTAATCGTAATGAACATGCCGTGGGCAACCCGCGGTTGCCCTCTGTGCTTACGCCGGGTGGTTCTGGTGAGCCGAAACTGCCGGAAGATTTGGCTGAAGGACCCAGCTCACCCACTACTAGCGATATAAGCCATTTTACGTCGATCTCAGAGCGGCCTATTAACCCGCGCTGGCAGCCGCCTCCTCTTCCCGCCCAGCAGAAACGAAATGTGTTATTGGAGAACAATCCCGACTTTGATCTGCGGGCGGGTATGCGCGGAGGCGGTGCTGCTGGTGGTGTAGGTGGCCGGATGCCACCCCTGTCGATACCCCGAGAGACCTCACGATACCCTCTACCCTGAACATAACTACTAGCGTCGCATTTGTGTTCGACTCGAGTCTTCATTTCTTGCGGTCAATTCCATCGGTCCGTGAATCTACAGCACAACTAGCATGGGGAGTTTTGGAGTTTATTAGTGGTGGCTCCTTGGAGTCACGTTTCCCTTGAGTTCCTTTCGCTTCACAACCGTTTTCCTTCAGTTTCATCGATGCCACTGCACATAAGAATCTGTCGCTTCGTATTGTCTACAATTCACCAAAAAGGGGTCACAGATACTCAGCGACTCATGCATGGTGGTCCCGTGTACAGAGTCACGATATGGTCCTTTGTATCGAGGGACGCTTGTATCATACTGTTGTGGTAGGGGAGCCTGGTCTCGCTCACGATTCTATTTTGACCTTCCACTGTCATTCACCTTCTCGACATCTTTTTTTCTTCTTTTCACCGGACAGGCTCCATGGATGATAAATGCAGGTTTTATTCTTATGATTCCCTTCGCACACGTGGGAACAATTAGCGATTCTCACTATCTAGATAGCCTATGGAATAGGAAATCTTCAGTTGTTTACGCTTCTCAAGCTATTGTTCAAATCCGCAGCACCTCCCAATGCAGAATATGCGGTGACCATACACTCCTACCTAATGTCTCTGAACGAAGCAATGTCTAACCTGAATGTATCATCACAATATAATAACGATTAACATCGACGGGGGTATTGTACACAAAAAGTCAACCAAAATATGCAACTAAACCAAACCTTCCCTCAGACCATTTGAATCACCGATAACCCCCCTTCCCACTCCCGTCCAACTCATTCACCCTCTGCGTATCACTCATCTCCACAACCGCACTATCCCCTGGCAACTCCGCAAACACTGGCCCCGCCGCCGGCTGATAAGCAGGCACCGGACTCATTGGATGATTCTCGTACATATATGCAAGACCAGGCTTCGTCACTTCCGCCCCCATATACCCCCCATTCGATCCCTCCGTGCCCCCAATCGGTGTCCCAGGCTGCACATACCCTGCCCCAGGCCCCGATCCCGACACCGACCCGAATCCATGCGCTGCACCTTCCCCAGATCCTGACGCGGAGCCCGATCGCCCGCGGTATCGTCTGCCAAGCCAGAACGCACCACCCAGGAGCGCAACACCCGCAACAACCCCAATAACTATCCCCGCCACCGCGCCGCCAGATACTGATGAAGACCCATCCTTATTACCACTACCATCCCCATGACCAGGTAAATTCGTCGCCGTCGCCGTAGATCCCCCTGTAGTCGTAGCCGTAGCCGTAGCCGTAGCCGTCACCGAAGAAGAACTAGAAACAGCCATACTCGACGGCCCATCCTTATCCCCATAACTCACCATATATGACCTCAAATCCGTCGAAGCAAGTTTCCCCCAGCGAGCGGGCGGCGTGAACCCGCTAGGCGGACCGGTACAGTTCTCGTTGGTCCAGAGATAGAAGGAGAAGGAGTCGTCGCTACCCGAGTAGACGAATTCTTTGCCTTGGGCTTGAGCGATGGGCGTGCAGGGTTTGAAGTTGGCGCTGGTCTCGATGAAGGGGTGGTTGGAGGCGTCGCGCCAGGTGAAGCTCCAGGCTTTTGTTAATGAGGATGTCATTAGGGTTAGAAGGAGGGTTGGTATTGTTTTCATTTTTTGTTTTGTGTTTTAGATTTCTGGCTTTTGGCTTTTGGCTTTTGGTATGTATGGGTGTCAGTTTGATTTTTTTGGGGGTGTATATGTGGGTTGGTTTTGGTGGTTGTTTTGGTATACTTAGGGTTTTGATTGAATTGGATAGGATAATAAAAGTGCGAAAGAGGACGGGAGAGAGGGGGAAGAAAGTGAAAGGCATAGTAGACTTCTAACTTCTAACTTTTTTATTACGAGTTCATGTTAATTGTTTGTCTATCGTATTCATAGGATTAACGCGTTTCATTCCTAGATTGACAGACGAGATCGTATTCAGGGCCGATAGTTACCTTTCCTGGGTAGTATGATCTGCAGTTGAGGTTGGACCCCACGTTCGCCCCTTTTTCGCACCCCGTTTTCTACTGTTGATAGATCATGGGTGCAATTTGAGATAGATTAACAGGAGATGTTGTTTATAGACTTCTCTTGTTCCAGTCCAAGTTCACGGATTCAATTTAATATTGTCAAGTCCAGACGTGATGAAACATGCCAAGTGAAAATAAGGGCTGTATAATTTTGGTGATAAATATGACCAATACCTCAGGTCACTATGGAGTCGATCGGCGGCTTGGTGAGGACACCATTAAAGATGAACGGCCTAATACGAGGTGTTCAGACGCTCCGTCGATTGATTAACTCGGGAATAGAGCAATCATGTTCCACGCCCAGCTTCAAAAGTGGATCTCGACCATACTTCAGGAGTAAGGTACAAATGGAAGGGTCTTTGGGTCGACGTGCCAGTTCCCCCTCAGCCCCTTGGATCAATTTTAACAGGAGGGTCGGCTGTAGATAGTCTTAAGATATTTTTCTTCGAAGGATGGTCGGTTACTTGTGAGGATCGGAAATTGAATGTGGTCATCCCAATGTCTTCAGCTATATTATGACAATACTTTGGAGTATGAACCACTGCTCGAACTAAGCACATAGAGAGAAGTCGGTCGCATCGTCCACCTGCCGTAGCCTTCCAGCCTCTACTCAAGAACCTCCTTGACGCCCATGCCCTCGCGAACGATCACCTTCTTCTTCTTCAGAGATGCCTTGACTGGATTCTTTTCGAGGAAAAGCTGTTCCAGCTCCTCGATAGTACGACCCTTGGTTTCCGGGAGAGTGAAGAACATGAAAGCGTATTCGAGGAAATGTAAGACCACTACCCAGGTAAGTCAGCCTGTTTTTCTGTAGTATCAAGTAACGCGGGACTTACAGAAGATAATATACATCCGCCAACCAATGTTGTCCATCCCCACTGGGGTAGCATACATATTGATGAAGTTAGAGCCACCGTATACCACGTTTTGGAAAGCCATTCCCTTTGCTCGGACGCGGCTGGGGAGAATCTCTGCCGGATAGAGTGACTGCAGTGGAGTCCAACTGAAGGAGAAAACGATGCCGTAGAGGAAAATACAAGCTATGAAGCCATATCCCATGCTGGTTGTGAGACTAGATCCTTCGTAGGAGGAGATTACGTTGATGGGGATATAAATCAGGCCGGTGATAAATGTGCCATAAAGGAAAAGAGTACGGCGACCCCAGCGGTCGACGAAACAACTACCACAGATACCACCAATAAAGGAAAACACCGTATTGAGAGCATTCAAAAGAAGCTGTTGTGACGAGTCGGTAATTCCGGCGTTCTGGAGCATGACTGGCATGAAGTATCTAGATAAGTTAGAACTGCGTCTCTCCGCAAGGTGTCGAGTACCCACGTAATGACGGATCCGCCGATGAATTGCGAAAACACACAAACGAGGAACAGCAGCCAGAGGCGATAAAGCATGTCTCGGGATGAGAACAAGACTTTGTAATCCCACCATCGACGGCCCCCGTTCTCTACTTCGAAGCGAATGCCTTCCTCGATCTCACCGCATTCGTGGGCAACAAGCGCAGAGTTAGGGTCGCCATTACCGTGGTATCTGACCAGCATCTGCCTGGCTTGTTCGGGTTTATTGTTAGCAAATAGCCACCGAGGACTCTCGGGCATGAAAAAGGCAACCGCCAGGACGATAACAGAGGGGGCAGCCTGAATGATCACTGGTATTCTCCACGACCAGTTGGTACCCAGGAAACCAGTTCCGTAAGCAATCCATGTACAGGCTGTGAAGAGATCATTAGCGATATGAATGACCTGTAAGTCGTATATGACCATACCTAGTGCCCCGGTATAATATCCCACGACGTTATACAATCCTCCAAATATTCCACGCCACTGCGGGAGAGCGACCTCCACTAGATAAATTGGTGCTGATGTATTGGATATGCTGATCCCCATCCCGATCAGAAATCGGCCCCCGATGAACTGAGCAACTCTAGGGGCGGAGGCTTCCAAAATCGTCCCAACGACGATCACCAGCGAGCCAGTGAACATGCCAAAGCGTCGACCAAAGGTATCTGCAGCGGGTGCAGCAACCACTGCACCTGCCAAATTGCCTATAGCGTAGATAGAAAATAGGATACCAGTGCCACTGCCTTGCATACGGGTGCCAAAGTGCTCATGGAAGGTCGGCATGGCGTTGATGGAGGACATGAGGGTTCCGTCAAATCCGTTCATGCAACAGTCTACAACGTCAGTAATTGAATGGACAGATCGTCCTAGATGGGCAGAGAATCACGTACTCAAGGTAGTTAAAGCAACAATCCCATAGAGGCGGAACATTGCCCAAGACCAGGGTGACATACGGTCCTTGGTGATGGCATCGTTGAGCCCAACGGACAGAACCTGCTGCCGTTCGACATTGTGGTTGGAGCTCGCATCATCAACCGCCTCCCGGTTTTCCACCGAGGGCTTACTTTCAATAACTGATTCAGAACCCATAATAACTGAAGGAGTAGATAATTGAAAATGCCTTGCTGGGGGAATCTGGTTCATCCCCATGGGGTATTGATCTGTATATAAAGCACTACCCACATATGGCAGGCATAGTGCCTGTCAACCCCGGATTTTGGCTCGTGCTCACTTCTTTCAACACGGTGAAAGATCCGCACTGCTCCCCGCATCAATACAGGTCGACGAAGCAGTTGGAGCAAGACATTGGATGCATGATGGAGGGAAAAATGGGGGAGCATGTGGTTCCGTTTTGGTATTGCGCGGAGGACTAACGTAAAACGACACGGGGAAAGGTCCGCTTTGGAACAAAAGCCTTGCATTATAGGGTTAGTGTTATGATTAGTGGTGGTTCGACATAGGGTTATGGAGCCTGCCGGTGGAGATTCCTCGGGTCGCTTACTGGTGGCGACCCCAGTTCCAATCCGTTTGTAGCTAAGTCTTGGAGTCGATATCGAATTCCCGGAAATAATCAAGGAAGTCTAGGTTAATTGAATACTCGAATGGGGTGATGTGATATCTTAACACTATGAAAGCCTCTTCGTATAGCGATCCAGTTCTGTCACCCAGACTAGGTAACCCTTTACAAAAATCGCGCAAGTTTGAAGATACTCAAGTCCCGGGCCCTTGATTCGGTAAGATAGACTTCTTTCGGGAGCCAATCCGTGACCTTGCCTGCGGGTCGGCCGGGTCGAGCCTCGAGATGATCATTCTCACGTCCTAAAACCATGAGTCCGACAGCTGTCCCGGAAAGCCACGCTAGCACCATTCCATCGCCATTAAAGCCGGCTGTGATCCATTCGTTTGCTGGGGTGCTTTCTGGGTCGGAGGTTGTCCCCCCATGTGGATTGGAGACCCTTCGCCGTTTCGTGAATGTTGGACTAACTTTTCCGACGAAGGGGACGAGATCGGGCGTCCATCCCATACACCCTGACCACAGTTGCAGCACGTGTGCATGTTCGTCTTCCAGAACGACTGACCAGATTCCACCCAAGTAAGCACTGACAGTGGTGTCAACATTATTATCCTTCCAGATCCCAATCTCATCCATGCCTTTTCCATCCGATTTACATAGACCGCCACCGAGCATGATTTCTCCACCAGGGCTATGAGGGCCTGCGGATTGTCGAGGTCGCTGTGTAATATACTCGAAACCTTTTTTGCCAATAATACTCCACGACCTGGAGCCATCCAACTGTGATGAGGGCCCTTTGGCTGCTTGAGCAGACATGTGCCCGCGAACAGGAAAGATCTTACCTTTCAACCCGGGGATCAAGTTTGGTGCATATGCATCCGTAGCATGAATGACATGGGTAGTACGTATGTTGCCACGGGACGTACGAACAAGGTAGGGCATATCATCGTTATCTTGAACATATATCTCCTCGACCCTGGTACTCGTTTCGATGGAAAATGCCGATTGGTACTTAGTCTGCAAGCTCTTATAAATCGAAGTGACCAGTCGGTACGGCCACATAGCTCCGGCACGGTACGAAATAGCTCCGTAGCAATGACTATTCGCGCCGAATTTCTGGGCACCAGTCAACGCGACGAAAATATCCCCGTCCACAATCAACGTACCTCTTGCGCTTGTTTAGCATCCCAAATCATCGTATCCTGCGCGCACTCCGGAACCTCCCGTCGCAGTTCTTGGACCATAACCTGCGCTTTATCCCACATTGTCTGTTCGATGAAAATGTCCACAGTTTCCACTTCCCTTGCCTCTGCGTCCTCAAGACCTTCAGCGTTGACCAGCTCTAAAATTGTAGGGAGATGTCTCATTTGGAAACGGAGCACTCTTTTTGCACCTTCTTTGCCCAGTAACCCCTTCAGATCCGAGTACATGTGGTAAGGTGAACACTTCAAATGGCCACCATTTCTTCCCGTTGCACCACTGCACACCTGGCGTGCTTCCAAAATTACAATCCTTCTGTCTATACCCATTGCTTGGCATTCTGTCAGAATAGTGTAAGCCACGCTCGCCCCGGAGATTCCGGATCCAATGATCACAATATCTGCTGACTGGGGAAGCTCCGCAGACCTCGTGTCCACCAAATCAGGATATTTTGGGTTAGTCTGCCAGAAAGCGATGGTGGGATCTGGCACTGGAAACTCAGGAGTTGTGATGCGTTGTAAAAGGGCATTGCCCTCAGAGGCACTCTGTGAGAGCTCCGACCAGAAGGCGGCTGACGCGTGATAAGTCTCATTGATGGTAGACAGTACGGCGCCCATCTTTTAAGTACGTAAGTATTCGCTAGAGAGATCTAATTAGAAAAGCTCCTCGGGGGTGGATGAAAGACGCTTGGCGATTATAGTCCCGATGCGATAGATTATTCACCGGGTTTGGAACTAAAGATGACAGATCCTAGCTCAGAGAGCAAATAAATAGTAAGAAACCGTGTTGAGAGATGAGTCCGGCTTAGGCAAGGGAGAGAAGTCAGAGACGGGTCTTTATACGTTGACTCTAGTTTAAAGAACACTTTAAGTATTCGGTATTCGGCATGTTGTGTTTCTTCCACTAATCCTCCAGGCTAATCTAGATGTAGTTAAAAGGTACCTTAGTCATTTCTAACTTTGACTAACGTACACAACCACCGAGTGATGCACTCCGTATTTCATATAAAATCGACATTTTTCAATTCCTTATATCTCAACTATACAGCCCTCAGTCAAGTCTATTTTAAGCCAGTAGATTGTATATATAGGTATATGTTGATGTCTTCTACCTTTTCTAATATAGATCAAGGGAAGTCTTAGATACAGTCTAATGAGGAAACAATACAGTGTAATTTATATTACTCAGGTATTTAACACACTACACTATATAGATATTTAATAGACAGGCTAGTTATTATGCCAAATAAAGATATCTAGTATATCATATAAAATGGGGATCAAATGGTTGAATATACAGGATTGAAAAATGTCGACTTTATATGGAAATACGGAGTGCATCACTCGGTGGTTGTGTACGTTAAATCTGATCTTAGTTCTACTTAAATTTTATGGAACAAATCATATTTAACCAAGTTTAAGGAGATTGAGAACAACATTCATTACGCTTCCGTATCCGCTTAGCAAAAACTGGGGTATATGAAAAAGTCCAAACAACACCAATAAAGAAATACAGGCTTCAGTCGTCTTCTCGTCGATAGTTAGAGCGTAGTGCTAGTACCGGACCATACTGCCGAATCATTACATCAGGTATAAGGAATTTTGGATACCCCCAACCTTAAATAGTAGGAATAAAATGCTTTGACGAGTCTTCTTGCTCGCTAAACGACTCACGGAAGGCCGCGATACCAGCGATAATGCCAACAGCCATGAAAAGAAGGGAGATAATGGACCAGATAACACCCCAGCATCGGGAAGAGCCCCCATATCGCTGAGCGAAAACACTAGCATCGGAGGTATTGACCTTCCGAATAATAAGGTCGTCACACTATTGTAGCGGGCGCGATTAGCAGGAGTCGGCAACATGAAGACGGGGGAACTCACAATATCCCAGACGCTGTAAAGGGCGGACATAACACCAATGAAAAGCTGCAGCTATGTTAGAAGGGGTGTTACTTTGGACATTCAGAGTACTTCAGTACTTACCACCACCCACTTCAGCGCCTCTCCATGTGCAATGAACCAACACGCCACCAACAGCCCAACCGCGAGGAGGATGGTGACGATGGTCAACCAGTCTCTCCGGGCCCACCAGAGTGTGAGCAGGAAGCAGACTCCCAGAACAATACTGGCAACCTTGCTCGCGACAATATCGAACCCCGCGAAGATCAGGAGGGCACCGATAATGGACGATCCCAGGTAGCCAGCGGGGAGCGTGACGGCGCTAATACCACCTTGCATGTGTGTGACTCCCCCTTCATGGGGATCAAGGGAGATGGACTTGACTTTGCCTCCAGTGCAGCACGCGGTGATCGCATGGCCGAATTCATGGAAAGCAATAACCAACATCTATTAATTGTCAGTACTTCGATAATCCATAGAAGGATAGTGGAAATAAGTTGTCCTCACCTTAAAAGGCCATAGCGACCACCGGAGATAAGGTAAGTTCCATAAAAGCGCAATAACCACCACGTAAACAGCCATCACTCCGAGTGTCACCGCCTGTGTGTGAGTGACGGTCAAGTCGCGCTTTGCGAGATGGGAGCCCGCAGTCTCGAGGGCTCTGGTTTCGAGCATCGCATAGTGTGGTGCCATCGTGAATATTCTTCTTCACTGCACCGAATAGTTCGAAGAAGGTCTTCTTTATTGAATTCTGATGTTGTATGTTTATGAGTGTTGCCTTACGCGTCTAACTTGTAGATCCTTGCCTATAATGGATTAGCTTGTGGCTGGTCCAAGGGGTATTTTTAGCATGTTTGTACGTGGCTGACAATGGTAAGGCTGCCCAATCAGGAGTCTCTGTTCTACATTCTGCTTCAGGTGTCGATGCCACATCAGAAAGTTGAATGATCCCCTCTCCTTCGGGTTTTATGGCACCACATTTCTCAAATGGATCTTTAAACCATTTTTCTAATGCTATAGTCCAATTATAAGCCTTCAAATTTCCACATCAGCACCTTATGGCGCAGTACGGCAAGTGGATCATGATCCAAATTAGTTGCTGGGCCCATCCCTTCACTGCATGCTTTGGGGCACGGGGGTTTATATAATTCTCAACGGTCAACTAGATCAGCTCCAACAGGAAGTTTCCCGGCAGGCCTGGCACATCTACTTCCCATCAATGAGCTCAGGCAGCAGAGCAATACATAGCCTCCCTCAAGGGCTGCTGCAATCAAAATAGGAAAAGCTTTGAAGTATAATTATTCTGGACACCGGAAATCAACTATCACAACTCTGCGGAACGCAGGTTGTACAGATCCACTTGTCCACATGCATAAGTGAACTAAAGATGTGAACTGTTCTTGAAACTCCCATGCCTCCCTGCACCGCGACTAAATTTTGTGGCTCCTTTAATACTCTCAAGGTCCAAAACCTCCACACCCTTCTCATACTCCTGTCTCAGGGCATCCTGGAACGAACTAGCCTGATACGCACTATAATAGCAAGAACCACGGTCCGTGTTCATACAAAGCTGCGGAAACGACAGCAATTGTTTCGCGATAGCAGTGGCCTCCTCCACCGCTTTCCCCTTGGCTACAACACGATTTGCCAAACCCATCGAGAAAGCCTCGGTCGCACTAACTGGCCGCCCGGTCAATATCATATCAAGCGCTCTACCTAATCCAACAATCGCCTGGAGACGCACGGTGCCTCCGTCGATAAGTGGAACCCCCCATCGCCTGCAGAAAACACCAAATACAGCATCCTCTTCCACCACGCGAATGTCACAGAGTAGACTTAACTCCAATCCACCGGCCACGGCATGCCCAGCGACAGCTCCAATGATAGGTTTCTGGATGTGGAGCCGGGATGGACCCATCGGCCCGAGAGAGCGTTCGCCGGATTTTGGTGGCGCTTGAAAATGGCCCCGTCCTCCCTTTGTCGCTTTATCGCTATTGCCCTGTCCAGCTACTTCGTGAAGGTCGGCACCAGCGCAGAATGTACTGCCCACTCCCGTAAGGATGCAGACTTTCTGTGAGGGATCATTTTCGAAGGCTAGAATCTTTTCATAGAGAATCTGTGCCGTGCTTGGATCGACGGCGTTTCTTCGATAGGGCCGGTTGATTGTTATGGTGGTAATTCCTTCATTAGTGGATCTAACAAGAACTGGATCGGATTCTGACTGCATATTGCCGTTAGACTTGTATGGATGATCTGTGGATGTCCTTAAACAAGATGCGTGCGGAGTCAATATATCCTAGGCTATGTAGCCTCGGATCAATTGCACAGCCGAGGCCAGGTCCCACCCCATACATAGGAAATTAGACGTCCAACGCTATGCATTCATTAGTATAATCTGCATAGCTAACCTTCCATTACATTGTCACTAATAGTATGGAGTTGAGATTCAAACGTGCCATCTAATATCAAAAACAGCGCCACTCGGCGGATGATCATACACTGTAGAATATCTGGTAAGGTATTCGTGTGAAACGATATCAAAACAATGAAATTTATGATCCTATCGAACTATCGAGAAGGTCAATCTAGGTGGGAATTATGAGGCCTTTTATATGTGGCCTAATTGCCATAGTATTCAACAATCCACATACTTCCGCAGGTGGTCAATTCACCAAGCATATCCCAGGCGACTGCGATACTAGGTAATTTCATGGGCATATACAATATACACTCCACGCTCCAACGAGATACATATTCGGTTTCCTCGTCTCAGAACTAGAAGAGGGAGTTAGATCGACATTACGCTTGAACCAAAACGTCCTCGAGAATCAGTCCGATCGCGTAGTTGTTGCTTTAATAGCCTCATGCTTTGATTCCCCAGGGATTCCTCCGTATCGACGATAGGTCCACCCTTTTAGACATTTCTAACACAGCCTACCAGGTCGGATTAAGCCATGATATGTCATTACGCAAGTCGAGATCAATCATGTTCATGGCTTGCACCGATCTGGTGGCACCGTGGATCCGCTTCGGGTGTTCCGACCGGTAGGGTTGCAATGATAATCTCGGGAGTCGGGATTGAAGAATCGCAAACTCGAGATTGAACAGCTCGGCGAAATACTTTGGAAGACATTCAAGGCATGGAGGACGCTAAATTAACTGTGGCGTCAAAGTTATTGTTCCTTCCACACATATCTATTTTTTTCAAGGCCGGTCCATCAATGACATCTAGCTTCGGCCTAATGGTTAGGCCGAGGGGTACAGAGGCTCCAGGTTCGATGGGTTTATAGACTCCCATATAAGGCGTGGTGCCTTCCTACTGTTGCTCGAGAACTTTTTGTAGTCCCCCTGTGTATCTCACAGCCGCACTGAAAAGATGAGTAGTCAAATCTCACAGTCCCTAGTCCAAAGCCGAAAACTTCTGGTACGGGCACTGGTAGCACTTCAGAATCCAGTCCTGTAAGTAAAACACACCCCAACTCCAAATTATACTGGCAACTAACCACCGACTTGATAGCTCCGGTGTCGGGGCCGCAGCATGCACACTTTTTGTCTTTCAATTACTCCGGCAAGCCTTCCTGCAAATATGGGGTCATGGCCCTATTAACGCTACGAAGCGGTTATACAAAGCAATCAGAAGTCAAGTATACGGCTGGCTTCTAGCGTCTCCTTTCCTCCAGAGGAAAGTGAATTCTGAAGTGGAAAAATCGGTCGCCCAAATCACGGCAAAGTTTATGGCGGAGAGCGCCGAAATGGAGCGATATAGAACCCTTCCCGACAACGGCTGGGACGATGAGGAGGTACTGGCCGAATTGGAGAAAATCTCAAGCATGGAACATGTTCGCTGGGAGGATGGGCGAGTGAGCGGTGCAGTCTATCATGGCGGGAAAGAGATGCTCGAGCTACAAAACAAGGCATACAGCTCTTTTACTGTTTCAAATCCTATTCATCCAGATGTCTTCCCCGGTGTACGTAAGATGGAGGCGGAAATTATCTCGATGGTATGTTTATCTGCAACATGCTACGGTTGGAAGGCGACAGAAGTGTAACATTTTGTTCAGGTTCTTGCACTGTTTAACGCACCGAACGATGCAGCCGGTGCCACAACAAGTGGAGGCACAGAGTCGATTCTGGCCGCCTGTTTAAGTGCCCGTGAGCGTGGCCGGGTTGAGAAAGGCATTCGGAAGCCGGAAATGTACGCTTCCCTCGGAGTTGAGCTTCGCTAGGATTCTCATTAACAATACAGCAGGATCATCCCCACTACTGCACATCCTGCATTCCGGAAGGCAGGCAACTATTTCAACATTAAAATTCACGAGGTCGACTGTCCCGCGCCGTCGTATCAAGTCGATGTTCGAACGGTGTCACGCCTCATTAACCGTAATACAATTCTCTTAGTTGGCTCGGCACCCAACTACCCCCATGGGGTCATCGACGGGATCGCCGATCTCTCTCGGATTGCAGAGTCCCGAAACATTCTCCTACATGTTGACTGCTGTTTGGGTTCGTTTATGATCGCATTTCTGCAGAAGGCAGGCTTTGAAACCGTTCCCTTCGACTTTAGGCTGGCAGGCGTTACTTCCATCAGTTGTGACACCCACAAGTACGGCTTCGCGCCTAAGGGAACCAGTGTGGTCATGTACCGGACCAAGGAATTACGCGCGTACCAATACTATATCTCTCCGGATTGGTCTGGAGGGGTGTATGCATCACACGGCATTATGGGTTCGCGTCCCGGTGCTCTTCTCGCAGGATGCTGGGCGAGTATGGTGAAGCAAGGAGCAGCTGGCTATATCCAAGCATGCCGAAGTATTGTTGGCTGCAGGAGGAGCATCGAAAAGTCCCTCCGCGGTCCCCTACTATCTGCTCACTTGCAGGTGATTGGGAATCCCTTGGTCAGTGTTGTTGCCTTCACGAGTCCAAAATTGAACATACTGCACATTGCCGACGAGATGACTGCGCGTGGATGGCATCTTAACGCCCTACAAAACCCTCCTGCCATCCATATTGCCGTTACACTACCGATTGTCCAAGCTGAAGACCAGCTGCTCAGCGACTTGCAAGAGGTAGTCGAGGCAGAGGCAAAGATGGTTGAGAGTGGTGAGATCGAACGGGGAACACCAGGCAACTCGGTTGCTCTATACGGCGTTGCTGGAAGCTTGCCAAACAAGGGAGTCGTGGTCAAATTGATTCGTGGATATCTGGACGCCCTGTATACTGTATAGGCTTCCCGTATGTTTTATGCTCTCGTTTGTTCCCCGTTTATAAACTTATGTTCTTATATAGTTAGAACCTCAAGTGTCTGTCTACAGTTTCCTATAGGTTGTCGTAGAAGACCCATCGGAGATTATCCTGCGGTTGTAGAATATTTCCGAGGTGTCTACATTATATTAAAGTATAACTAACGAATTCCAACAGTTATGACTATTTCAAACAAACATTCTTATTCCTCTTTGGAAGGTTAATTTCCCCAAATTTACTTGTTCAGAAAGTTTCAACCAACCTTTTCTTCCTCTTGTCATCGCCTCGGGTCTCGGGTCTGGACCCAATCGTTCCTACTCGGAGCTCGGGAATCGGCAAGTATTGAGTGGGGTTGAACAAAACTCCCTACTCCACATTTAGAGACATTGATGTTAGATCAATTCCTGCCACTTAGAATCATTTATACCTTCCACCATCATGATAAGGAAGAGCGCGTGTCTCTCATGTCGGTCCAAAAAGCTTCGCTGTGATGGACGGACGCCGCTATGCAGCAATTGCCATCGTCTCTCGCTCGACTGTCAGTATGCGACGCAGAGGAGGAAGACAGGTCCAAAGAAGGGTTATCTAAAGGATATAGAGGCGCGTTTACGTATGTCTAGCCCATCTTAGCGCCAATGGGCTTGCGCCCAAATCCTAACTAAGGGCTTACTAAATGCTTCTTTTGGATAGTGCGAACGGAGCAGCTCCTTGAACACCGAAGTGAGTTGGACGCCACAAAAAGGACTGTAGATGGCCCTTCAGTTGGCAAGAACCCTATCCTTGGTCGAGGGACACCATCCTCACTACTGGATACGAACGCCTGTGATGGTTGCTCACCATCGGCACCAAGGCCAGATCACGACTGCCACGCGAACACCAGTGGTTTACAGGACCAGCAGAGCCATGAGGCTTTTGCTTTGTCAGACGAAAAGTATTCCCAAGTACCCCCAGATTTTGCTGATGAACTGTAAGAGCCTTCATCCTTCTATAAAGCCTAACACTTGTCCCTGCTGCCTACAGATAGAAAGATTGATTGACGGGGATATCGATCCTGACCGAGAAGTCCCCACGTAGTATTCGTCGCGAAGAACTGATTTAGCAGCTAGGGATCGTATATATTTCCAAAATGTTCATCCTACCATGCCGATTCTTCACACGTCACGGTACTTAAGCAAAGTGTCATCGCCGATCTCTGACGGCGGTCCACCCCGTTGTCTGCGATATATTATGTGGAGTCTCGCAGCAGCTGCCTCAGAGAAGTACCCCCAGAGAACAGAAGAGTTCTATCAGAGCGCCAGGCATTATGCCCATGAAGATGAAATGCACAGCTATGGAGAGACTGTAGTTTCGATAGCGCAATGTCAATCTTGGAGCTTGATCGGTTACTACGAGATTAAACACGCTCTATTCCCGCGAGCCTGGCTTAGTGTGGGCAAAGCAATTAGAATCGCCCAAATGCTACAGCTACACCGGCTCGATGGGGTTGGAGCGAAAATGAAGGCAGCCATGTTGCAGCCTCCCAAGGATTGGACCGATATAGAAGAGCGGCGCCGTGTTTTCTGGCTTATATTCTGTCTGGATAGATTTCTCAGCATGGGCACAGGCTGGCCGATGACACTTGACGAGAGCCAAGTGAGCCGGACGATCATCTTGACCTACATCTTGCTAACCTCATATACAGATATCAACAAATCTGCCGTCTTCCGAAGAATCCTTCCAAAATGACAAGCCTTCCGTCTCTTGCTCCCTTCGAGAGGCCCTTCTTCCAGAAAAAATGGGAACTCTGTCGCCACTCGGCGCAGTCGTCGTTGTGTCATTGCTTGCCGGACGGAACTTGAATCACTTACAGCTCTTCAGTGATGAGACTTACAGCCCCAGTGAATTCTGGAAAACCCATCAAGCTATGGACAGCGTGTTACTAAATCTCAGCTTATATTTCCCGGAATGTCTTCGCATACCTCTCTCCATTGACGAGCCGAACGTAGTCTTTGTACATATGATGATTCATGTCCTGACTATATGTCTACACCAAGCAGCCGCTGATCAAGCGCGTCGAGGCTCAGAGCATAGCCAATCTGCATCTGAGTGTGAGACAAGGTGTTTATCGTCTGCTCTTGCCATCGCAAACATCATGCGACTTGCCTGCCACACCGATCTGGCTGCAGTGAGTTTCACATTCCATTCGGAGTATTACCAGCCCTTGTTAAATTTATCCTTAGATGCACGTTTTCACCCCGTTTTGCCTTTTTGTAGCCGCCAGAGTCCTCCTCGAGCCAAGGCATCGCAACTCCCCCGAATATGAGCCTCATCATGAATTCCTCCGGCACGCCTTACAAGCGTTCAGGCGCCTGAACCCACTAACAGCCGTGTTCCTCATGGGATTCCGACAAAAAGAACTCGCGCGCGATGGAATCTATCTCTCCACGGAAGCGCTATTAAAAACACCAGCGTACGATGGGGACAGAGCCTCGAAGAGACTAGTTTTCATTCGAGGTTTCTAGTAAGACTTCCAAGAGATAAAGCCATGAGCCTTGTATGCATACCCTGGGGGACTATACTAACTTTCACATAGTCCCATCTACGAAGTCCCTGGGAAGGGCTCAAACTCTCAAGGAAATGAGAGTCAACAGGGTGTCTCCCAATACATTGAAAATTCTATGCCCTCCGCCAATGCTGGGTATTCCTCTACACGTTCCGATGAGGGGGAGCCCATTACGCCGCCTGCTGTAAGCATAAGTGTGCCGCAGGAGTACCCCGGCTATCCGGACGCCGTGGATGGATCTGACGTGAACCAATTCGAGCAACTTGCACAACCGTTCAATATGTCTAGTTTCGAATTCTTCCCCTTTCTGGCCTGCTCACCCGTCGCCTTCCCTCTGAATCTAGAAACCAGCATTTCTCCGGAGATGCTAGAATGTAACCCACACCCACCTTGATCAGGTTAGCAACTAGATAGTTAATACCTTTGTGCGTCTATATCTCAATCTATTACTCAAACCGCTCACCATCGAGATATGCAACATAGCTAATACACTCAAAGTATCAGTACCACATAATCAAAACATATACAACCAAACTCCCAATAAAAACCCCATCGCTAAACACACCAAACACCACAACTCCTCAATCGCCAAACCTCAACTACGTGAACACAATTTCCTAATAATCCCAACACACAAAAATCCTCTCAAAACAAAGTACAAAACAGGAGAAGAAGAAGAAGAAGAAGAAGAAAAATAAAAAGAACTGTCACCCCTCAACATCCCCCTTCCTCGCCCCCTCCGCCCTCCAAACAACCCACGCAACCGTAACCGAAAACTTCAACCCCATAGCCAACCACAAACTCGCCGCCATAATGGTAACCCTCGACAAACCCCCGGCGGTCATGGCCCCCAAAAACAATGCCAAGAACGCGCCCACCCGTCTATTCCGCTTGGTATTAACCCTCGCCGTCAGCCTAGGATCAACCAGCAAATCACACAATAGCGTAGTCAACACGACGGTGGGGATTTCATCTATACCCAGGACGCGGGACGCGACGATTTGCCCGCCGGCTTGGAAGGAGAGGAGGGAGATGGGGAGGATTTGCATCCACTCGATGGGGGCGCGGGGATCTTCGGGTTTGGGGTCGATGATGCCCAGTTGGACTAAGATTGCGGCGACAAGGAGGGCGGCGGTTTGGACGCCGAAGGAGAGGATGAGGGTTGAACGGCGACGGGGGGTGAGGAGGCGGGAGACGTGGATGAAGAGGATGTTGCTGGTTATGAAGACTGTTAGGGCGATGAGGGATTTGGCCCAGAGGTAGGAGGGGTATGCCGGTTGGCCGGATGCGCCGAGGGCAATGAAGACGCTGTTTCCTGCGGGGTTTTCGTTAGTGACTAAGGGGGTGTGTGGGGAGGGGGGGGGGTTGTATTTGGGTGAAGGGTACCTGTTTGCATGCTGGCGAAACTACCCCAGGCATTGAAGGAGAGTCCGTCGACGAGGCCGCTGACGAAGCTGCAGATTATGAGGACGATGTCGGTGTGAGTTGTGTCAATATTGGCGCGGAAGTGCCGGGATAGTGTTGAGCGGAGTGTTGTTTCAACTGGCTCTGCGAGGGATGGCGCCGTGCTGCAGCCTGAGGACCAGATGCCGCCGGGTTCTTTGTCTTTGGGGTTATCTTCTGTTCGGGGTAGAGGTTGATTGGGGCGTGAGGATGGTTCCCAGTTGATGGAAGGGGTGTTGTTTGGGGCTGTGACGAGAGAGATACCCCCCGGTAAGGAGGGAGTAGTACTATGCATTGCTTTACTGGTAGATACTAAACAGTAATGGAATATCTGATAGTGAGTTCAAGATAGGGTTCCAGGTAACTTTGTAAAAGCTTCATGGGAATAGAAGGCGAATAATCTAGCACAGCCCTCTACTTAAGTCCAAGGTATAACTATGCTACGAAAATCCTCTCCGCACCCAAGAACTAGTATTATCTGTGCCAAGATGAGATCCTGAAGTCATCAGCTTAACGCGGGTCAAACTGATATGAGCTCTCTGGATAACAACATCCAGGTAGATCCTTGCAGAACTCGTGCTTGCGCTATACGGCCGGAGGCAGCGTTTCGGATTGACCAACTCCACTGTATGTACCCAGATATAGATAAACTGCAACCTAGACACAGTCAATCGGGCCAATATCTGATCGGCTAGATGACAACAAACTTCGTAAACTGTTATCAATTGGGTACCCTTTGGCCATCGCGTCTACCCGACATTGGATTCGTCTCATAGATCCATCTTGGCAAACCCTTGGCACCATCCGAAGGCGTCATGGACTGCATGCGGTTTTCGTAGCGGCGTTCCTCCGACGGGCCTGACCAGGACTTTAAAGTCTAAAGTCAATCATGACAACATGAACTCAGAGGCTGACTATCCGCGAGTCAGCCGCTGATCGGTGGGTTCGCCAAGGCCTCCATCCCCAAGCATCTCCTTTCCCAGTGCGTTGGAAATAGGACATCGCTGACCGGCTCAGACTCTCACGCAGTGAGTGGGATCTTGGCAAGTGATGACAAGTGGAAGAAAGCTGGCCTTGAAGTCCGGGGTCGGTGGGCTGTGTTTCATGGGGTGGAGTTGGATGAAGATAGCGAACCTTCGGATAGACAGGCCTTCTTCGTCAACCAGGATTTAGGTTCAGGACTTGAAACGTGGTCGGCTGAAGAGAAGGCAACACCGTTGTTTACTTGGGTTAACCATGTGGCAGATATACGAAAGGGAGAAAAAAAGAAAACATATCCCGGCGGTCTCCAAGGATGAGAATCTATATCATTTTTCCTGCAAGAAACAGATGCATACAATGGCCACGTCTGGGCCCCCCGACATAGGGAAATCAACATCTGCCAAGGGGATCGACACCAAAAGGAAGCCGAGTGGTCGCTAGTGCTATCTAGTTCCTTTTTCAACCTCTCTTTAACCTGGTTGGCCAAGGAATGATCTTCAACAAGCGACAGCGTGTAGTTTGGCTCTAACCAGTGTTCTGGCTGCGGAAAATGGGACTGTCACAGCACAGCCTCCTATTCATTTCATGTCGCTTGCTTGGAACTTTGAGTTCACCCAAGCCACGCACGGTGGGATTGGAATTTTTGGTCTTGGCAGGTTCTGGGCTCAGCGTGATGGACATACCAAACACGTTCGTTGTCGAGCCGACGTTTTCTTCCCGGGCTCTTCCGGTCTGCGCAGCAATACATGGAGAACATTTTGAGCACCAGCACCATTGAAATGGTATTTATGTCACTATATTTGCCCATTATTGGGGATTCTGAACGCCGAATAAATCTCTCTATGAGGGTATCAAGCAGCATATCAATGGATAGCATCGATAGGACAAAAGAGCAGGGGCAATTCGCACAAGTGCCAAGTAAAACACCACAACTTTTCATCCCACGCAAGGATCCTTCCTGATCCTTGTATGCTTATCGCATCTAGATTCTAGATACTAGCTCGCTAGCTCAGACCAGCGTGACGCTTGCGATTTCTCGGCATTTCTCACTGTATCTTGCTGATCAATCCAGTCATTGGCCAACTTGGCGAGATCCCTCGGTGACTGTCCGAAGAGATTCTCTGGGTACAGTATGATTTCACTTATCTTAACTGATGCGGCGTTTCCATTCTCGTCACACTTGCAGGGTTAACTGTCGTAGGTCTAAGGTCGCAAGGGTGAAACAAAAGCGCCACCAATGCCACTTTCACTGGTTAGGCGAGCAATTGAGCGATACGCGGATGTGCTACATCGGTTTCCCGTGCATTATATTGGCTAATTTAGGAGGCTTTCGCCGATGCAGTATTTTAATTCATGGCAGACATGATGGCACCTTCATCTGGTTTTCCTGTCGTGGTCCCAGATCCTTGAAATGGTTTCACCACAAGCAATAAAGCACCTGCTTCTGCTTCAGCCTAATTGATTCTGAAATCCTTTTCTGGGGTTGGTCGCTACTTTTCTACAACAAGTGAGGAAAATTGCATTTATACGTCTCTGTTCATGTAACCAAAAGGGAAATGCGGATCGGGGTTTAGGGCACCGAACTAGGCTATGAGACTGATGATAGAACATTCAACGGCGCAAACGACATCTATCTGATATTTATGCGCTTTTGTACTATTGAATCTAGTTGAGGGCGTCAAGACGTGTTTATATTTAGAGCTCTGATGATGAATTGGTAGATCACAATCGTGAAGCCACCACTCTGAGTAAGAACCCTTTCTGAGCAGTATACTTTGGAGCTGTCATTCGAGGGTTTTCTTTTTAACCCCGCCACATCTCATGTATCCATAAACTAATTCCACTTTTTCGTTTGGCTTCTAGTAAGGAAACATGTACATTAGATGCCCCAACCGATTACCCCGCGCGCGTTATAGAAAAATGTGGAAAGTATTGCGGTTACAGAGTATGGGCGCTGGACGTAGCTTTTGGGTATACAACCAATAGAAACTCCAAAATCAAGACCTGAACGGGGAAATACTTTGTCCTAGTAATGCCTCCCAGGAGCTAACATTGCAGTGATAGGGGTCGTTGTTAGTAAAGACTTGGCATCATAGCAGGTATGTTACGTGCTGCGAAAGCCTCATCCTAATGTGGCGACAGAGTAATTCGTACTTTACCCATAACGTTGACGTAGACCGTTCTCTTACGAAGCTGGGACAAGAGGCTGGCGTAACTATGTTCATCGACCCTAGCGATTATTTGGATCCTGGGATCGTACATGCCCCGGCGAGAAACAACTTAAATATCCAGGCTTTCTACCTAAGGTTCCGTGACTGGAGACGCTGAGAAGTACATTGGTAGAATTACCATCGGGGTTGAAGAATGGGTTAAAAAGACTGGAAAATCAAAGCATTCGACGCTTCGCATCCTGCATTCTCAACGGGATCAACTCCGCATGAGTCGAAAGTCAGTACAATTGCCATTGCCCCTGTAAACCTACTACGGCCGATCTTCACAATTATTTTGTCAACTTTCTTAATGGTACATAATCCCGAGGCCAGATACTGACGATCGTTATAGGGGCTGCCGTGGCTATTATTGTGAAAGCGAACGTCTCTCATAGTCTTACAGAATCTTGCTGCACCACGTGGAAATATCACGGCGATGCTCAATATCAATAGTATCTAGGTAAAGGAAAGCTTCAGCTTTGCAACATGTCTTGTAACAATGGTCTTTCCAGTTCGATATTAGACATTTCATTAGAGCGTTTGCGTAGTGGCTCTTTAGCCTGGATATACATGTCTACAATATTCTAGGCTCTACTACAGTATATGCTGCTTATCAGAATACCGAAATAAGGGACGAACACGATATCTCCAGCCCCAACGTCCGCAGCCGATCAGATATCAGGCGCGACAATCGTTGGATCAAATACAGGAAGAGTAGCCGGACTCTTGAGGAGGGACGCAGGAAGTTGTTGTCATCATAGATATGGGTTGCTACCGCTAAGAAGAAGAAATCCCCTAACATCATAGCTAGTGTCATTTAGTTGGTCGTTCTGTCTGGACCTCAGACTTCCTAATAGTAAATCCTCTACGATTCTTGTCATATGTCTCTGGTCATTAGCAATGGACCGGCCGTGCAATGGTGGTCTGTTTGATGCATGAAGCAAGAGTAGGGCTAGTTCATAGAAATGATATGACTACGAATACGAGGCAATGAAAAGGTGATATTTCGGCATATACGCGACCCAGTCTGCTTTCGAAAATCTATTCAGAGAGCATCATATGGTAGTTTAGAGAGGATAGTATGTTTAGGGATATGCTTGTAAATCGCAGCGAGTGCGGTTACGATGATGGTCGGGACGACTGAACCGAACATATAAGTAGAAGAAAAGCATACTCTCTCAAAGAGATGGACTAAGCTTTATTTTGATTAATTTATCTTCCAATGATATTTAAAAAACTTCGGGAGTTCTCTAGGTATATTACCGGCATATTTACCCAACATAGTACTTACAGATCACGAAGAATATGTATCTCTTTGTTTATTTGCTCATTTTTTTGATTATTAAAATTTATTTATTGATCTATATATTTCTAGAATCTATTTTTCAAACTTCTAGATAAAATCTGATAATCACCGCAGGTGTAAGACTCGGACGTTAAGTCGGACCGGAACCAACAAAACAACGCCAGGTCTTACTTTCCGCCTTCCTGTTCATTCATCCGCAACAATGCCTTGCCAATTGAGTTGAGTTGATTATCTCTTAACACTCAAACAAATGTAACTGGTGGCAATTCCTCAAGTGCACTCACATGTCATGGCAGATTCCAATGACCATCGTGTTGAGGTGGTGGTACAGGAGAGCCGAAACAACCAGACTCCTAAGGTCCCTTCTTGCGTGGTCTGTGCCCGAAGAAAGGTCAAATGTGATCGCACTCATCCTTGTTCTTCCTGTGCCAGACATGAGGTTGAGTGCATTTACCTTCCCCATAACCCTCCGCAGCGCCGCAAGAGGCGGCGCTCTGAGGGGAACCACAGACGAATCAGCTTGTCCAGGCAGAGTCCTACCAGGAAAAGCAACCTTGCATCCGCTCGTATAAGCAACGTAGACCATGCGCCAGCCACGCATAATGATTTCCCCGTGGCTCCAAGGGCAGAGCAAGGAATGCTGCTGACGGGTGAGGGACAATCCATTTATCTAGATAGGTTGGGCTACCTTGGAATGGCCAGTAACCATACATGGCTAACGGGTAAGATAGCAATCTTTGGTCTAGTGTCAGAGGCGAAGTCCGAATTTCCACCTAATAACTTCTCATGAAGCGTTCTAACTCTATATCTAGCTTCCTCAGGCGGAGGACATGTTACGGGACATGTCCGATCACGGTTCAGATCAAGAGGTAGATAATGAAACCTCCTTAATCCTAGGAGGGACAGTGAAGAAAGACTTGAGTGTGCTGCACCCGTCTCCCCTGCACATCTTCAAGCTGTGGCAGACATTCCTTGATAATATAAACCCGTTGACCAAGATACTGCATGGACCCACCATCCAGCAACAAATTCTGAAAGCCAGCGACAGCTTACACACGATCTCGACAGAGTTTGAGACTTTACTTTTCTCTATATATTGCATCTCATTGGTTTCACTGAGAGAAGAGGACGTACAGAACACTTATGGAGAGTGTAAAACCACTCTGCTGTCAAGATACCGGCGTGCGGCTCGTTCAAGTTTTGCCAAGGCTGGCATCTTGCGTACATCAAAGATTGTAGTTCTCCAAGCGTTTATTTTGTATTTGGTAAGTATATCTAAAATCCTGTGGCATCCGCACTAACTCGGTCCGAATAGCTCGCCATACGTGAGTCCTCTGATCCGCACTCTGTTTGGTCGTTGTGTGGCCTTGCGGTGCGAATGGCTCAGCGTATTGGCCTCCATCGAGATGGTTCGGAACTTGGTTTGTCACCCTTTGAGACAGAAATGCGCCGCCGTCTTTGGCGACAACTTTCGATATTAGATGTTACTACTGCGCAAAGTTCTGGCATTACCTCACAGCTGTCCTACCTCTCTGCTGACGTCCGTCCACCATCAAATGTGAACGACAGTGAGCTAGACCCACGCATGACGGATACTCCTCGAGGACATGACGGAGCGACAGAGATGATATTTGTCCTTGCACGGAATGAATTTGGCGAATGGATGAGGCGTTGGTCCAAGGCCGACGGAGGTGCCCATAGAGGTCGAGGCTTTTTAACCTCTTCTTCTTTATCACTTGAGAAAAAGGATAAAGCAATCGATGAGTTGAATGACTTGTACCAAATGAAATTTCTCCAATATTGCGACAAAACCATTCCGCTGCATTACATGGCGGCTAGATTGATGCGGGCTATAGTGTGCCAGATGAGATTCACAGCACACCATCCCCGCCAGTATGGTGAAACAGACCGTCTATCACTACCAGTACGAGGCCACATATTTTCTACCTGTCTTCACATCATTGAGAGCTTCGAGGATTGTCATAGCAATGAGCTCATACAGCGGTTTTTATGGCACGTGGATAACCACATTCCATGGGATGCGTTGATCTATATGCTACATGAATTACGAACTCGTATAGATGAAGGGGAAACCAAAAGATCGTGGGTCCTCATTGACCGAGTATATAGTCGGCATTATGAACAGATGAGAAACAGACCCAAAAGCGCTCTTCATACCGCAATGCATGCGCTAATCTTGAAGGCCTGGAAAGCCCATACTGAGGAGCGTACTCGATTTAAACGATCTGTGCTTCCCTATCCTCATATCATTTCGGTATTGGCCGAAAATTCGGAACGGGGCACATCATCTCATCGATCTGGACTTACACCTGGGCCTGAGCCCGGTGAGTCGGCAGTTGGTAGCCCACGAGAACAATCGACGCATGGTATTCCACCTGATGGCACGGAAGTAATTGATCCCAGCTTTGAGCTTGACCAATACAATCACAGTCCGTTGGATTGGAGTCAGTGGGATGATCTTCTGGACCAATTCCAGCAAGATTTCACGAATAGCGAATTGTTCACGACAGATGCTTCTTGACTTATGTACGACTTTTGTATCCTCCACGTTTGTCTCCCAGGGTCCAGCATACATGCCACTTCTTTATTTCTCTTATACCTTCTCGAGGCATGCTAGTTCGAGTCGCACATTTACAATTCAGGCCGTTTCTCTAAGAAGCCAAACGCAACTCCTGGCCTAGCACTGTCCCCATGATACCTGCTTCGATAGATCAAATTCTATTGCATAAGAGGACTCATGGCAAAAAGACTTGGAAAGCTTGGTCATACTTATTTAGTACCCAATATCATAATTCACAAAGATGTGTTTAATTTCATCCCAAGGGGGGTTTAGGGAAATAGAAGGACTGAATATCATTGATTAGCGGGTTTTTTAAAGGTCATCCGACCCATAACCTTATACTAAGTACGCAGTCTAGAACAAACAAGCCACACCATCCCGTCTCATCTCCACCTACTACCCGTCTCGTATGATGCAGGAATTCGAGTGGTCGAGAAGAAATGAAACAGAATACTAGAGATAATCTCCCATCTACTAGTACTAGTACCTAAGCTGAATAATCACCCATTGGGCCAATAAAATAAAGTTGCATATCCTGAAACCTGAAACAACAACGGATGAGATTTTCAGTCACAATGCCTCCATGGGGTACTGAATCATGAGCCCTCCTGTCCTAGAACGAGTCCGAAGTGTCATACACAAGGCCAAAAATTCCGCAAAGCTACGAAGGAGATCGACCATGTAAGCTGGCCAACAGCCTTATCCATATCAGATCAGGGGGCTAACCAAATCCCAGAAGTAATCCCAGCACCCAGAAACAATCCATCTGGAAAAGACTTCCAGACCCCGTTCTGGTGCAGATCCTCGCACAATGCGATTTACAGGACATCTATTCACTCATGTTGAGCTGCCGCATGCTACATCGCCGAATCAGCCAACATGAATACCCAATCTCCCAGGCGTATCTACACCACCGAACACTGCCCTACCAGTGTATCACGGAGACGGGCCACGAGCTCGTACCCTCCGCCGGGGATGATCTGACCTTCATATCCAGCTTATTCCCTCCCCCACCACCCCAGTATACCCACCGCGATGACCTCCCGGAATATTCATTCGGGTATCTCGCGGACCTTACACGCTGCTGGAAGACATGCCTCAAGCTCTCGTACTATCTCGCCGAGTACGTCGTCCATCAGCACCTCCAGAAAGACCCTGCTCACTCCCTCTGGTCATCGTCCAAGACGGAAAAGGAGCTCATCTACAGTAAAGCCGTCGGACTCCTCCAGTCCCGTCTCCTCTCTCCCCTGTACGTCGTAACCAACGCCATCAGTCTCCCCCTATTTTCTAATAAGATCACCAGAGCATACATAATCCTCTTCCTAGAAACAAACGCCTCATGCCCCTCCCCATCTCTCAAATCCCAACAATCCATCCTCCAACAATCCCCCTTCACAAACACCCAAATTCTCCTCGAAACCCACCACACCATGCACCTCCTCTGCTCCTCCGTCCGCCACCTCATGGCACCCGAGATTGCGCACACCTCCACCGAAAACTGGCTCAGTCTGCTCCTCACCACGTCCACGCTCGAGCGTATCGTCGAGTTCTTCGTCGCGGCCGCGACAGACGAGTCTGGCAAAGGCCCCGCTGGCAACGCCGGTGGTCCGTCATCAACGTGGACGAATCGGCTAGAGTTCATGTGGCAGATGCGGCGGGATTGGGGGGAGTTTGTTGCGTCGGGGGTGATGGCGCCGCCGACGTTGGATGAGATCTGGTTTGAGGCGGCGCGGAGGGAGATTTGTTGGCGTGGGGCGATTCCGCATGGGTGTGGGGAGGAGATGCTGATTTTTCATGGGTTGGGGGATAGTTTGAGGTGTGAGTTTTGCGAGTAGGGTGTTTTTGGTAGTTTGTTTACGGTGGAAGCTTATGTGGTAGGGCAAAGACTTAGACTTGATATCATGGTGTCTTATGTGTGAGGATACCTGGGACAGCCTGAGGCCAAAGTATGTAATTGGTTCATGTCAATGCCTAAATATCAGAGGCCAGTATGGTTCTATGAATAAATTCAGAAATATGTACCTGTAGCAACCAGGGCAATATAGAAAGAAAGTGAACATGAAATCTAGCCACGCCTGAAAAAAATAAAAATAAAAAAAAAGGAAAGAAAAGAAAGAAAAGAAGGCCGGTAGAGTTCGAATAGGGCATGCATAACTCATTCATGCACAGCAAGGAAAAGTTCCGTATTAATATAGTACATTAGTAAGAAAGAAGGGGTATTTCTATCCTGATATCAATACCCAGAGAAGGAAGAAAATCTGCTGTAGGTCAGTATTCGAGTACTATTGAAGACAATGGGGCAGCCACGCACCATTAAGACTCCGAACATCTTAGCAATCAGCCATCTGTTCCCAGATACTCGGGTCCAGTATTTCATAAGCTCGCGCTGTGCGCCTTGGACGTTATCCACAACATCCTCAGTGTTTGCATCTATCCGTTGAATCATCTCAGACTGCTCGCTGACCATCTGCGCAAGTTGGCCGAAGATGCCGCCCAGTTCATTGATTGTACGTTCAATCGCATCAATTGCTTCACCACGTGCTTCGATATACGAATTGTTTGTTTGCGCTTCCTCCATCACCAGCAGTTGTTGGTCGGTGTGCACAGTCGGGCGTCCAAGAGGCGACGGGTTTGAGGGGTCCAAGGTCAGCAAATCTGAGGAGCCACCCGGCTGAGGCGTCCTCCTTCCCGAGGTGTATAGTGGCGAATCCGACCGTTGCGTATCCAAAGCTGTCTGTGATTTCGATGATACCGACGACACAAAGTTCTCTGTGCGGGAACGCGACGCTTGGATATTCTTCGTTCGAACCTCGAGCACTTCCTTAAAGTTTGCTCCAACATCCGCCAATTTTCCCTGCAGCATAACCACGACCTGATAATCTTTAGCATCACCAGCTCACACCAGGATCCATCTGCGGCGTATACGTACATTGTCATTATGCTCTCCTTCCTGATCCGCTTTCGACCGATTCGATTTCGGGTGTTGTGCGAGAGTAAGCGCTTGTAACGAGGCAATCTGCTGGTTCAAGGAGGCAAGGTCTTGCTTGATGACATATGTCAACTCCGAGATCTCGACCGGCCTATCATCAAAAAGAGTCTTTCGTTTGGCCACTGGCAGTCTCAGTTAGGCATCCATATTGTCAAGCGAGCGGTTCTTACTCACGTTCAGCCAGCCTCTGCAGCTTAGCCGTTGTCGCAGTGATTCCCCGTCCAATCTCAACAGCCTTCCTGGCAAACTCCGATCTCCTCCCGGGTCGTGCGTCTCCATTCACAGCCCCACTGGCTTGTCTTCGTTGTGAATCCGTCAGAAGCGCTTGGCGCTGAGATCCAACTTTAGAAGTGTTCACCCGTTTCTGGGCTTGTCCCAAGATAGCGTGAAACTCGCTGGTGCGATCCTGAATGGATGGGCCGGTCATTTCGCTGGTAGTGTACAGTTGAGGTGGAGTGCAGGTAATTATTTATGGATAGAGGAAGCGAAATCCCCAGGATCTAAGAGATTGGGTAATGCGATTATACGGGGTTGGTCTAATCGATAAGGAGGCGACTGGAGACGTGTCCGTTCGTCGGGGGTCAGAAGGCAACCGCGAAAGGAAATGAGCGAAAAGTATAAGTGGGACGGGCGGTGTAAGAGGGCTATTTGAGTGTCATATCATTGCAGTTGCAGAGATCATTAGTCTCTGAGAGGACGGTGAGATATCGCAGAGAAAATGGCCGGAGACGTACTTTCCACGGATCCCGGGGAATTCGTCGTCAATCCGAAAATGGACAAGGCGCGGGTAAATGCCACGTGACAGGGGAGACCCGCCACGTCCCCGGTGCCTTACCAGCCACATCTTCTATCTATTCGCTTTTAGGCAGGCGAATACTTGTCGGGCCTTCTTCAGGGGTACTACTTAACACTACGAAATACTACGCACTGCATACGAATCAGATTACGAAGCGTTGGATTTTAGATTGGTCCAAGAATATATTTTCGACCACGTCAGACACCCAATCCCCTTCTCGTGGCTGAGCCGGTGCCCATACCTTGCACACACCCACGTCATCGTCGTGTTACTTGCTTCTTCTCTCCCGCTCTCTTCTCACCTCTCCACTGGGGCCAAATCCTAGATCGCATTCCATATCAGATCTCGGCGACTTCATACGTCGATTGGATAATACCCAAGTGGATGTGGTCCATTCGGTTCACAACCTGACCCTCTTGTATAATGGCTCGCCCATTCCAGAGCCCGTTTGACCCAATGTAAGTACATGCAGCGATTGCATTTCGGCGCCTTAGGAACTTGCTGATCAGGCTTCTCTGCATCTTCAGAAACTCTCCTGACACTGATAGCCCTTTGTCACCCCAACCACGTGGCGGTACCCCTATATCTTTTAAAACGAATGTGAATCGCGCGAAGACAAAGCGTTGGGTGGAAGCAAAGAAGATTTCTTACGATGGCAATGACTGGGGCGACGATGAGTTTGACGAATATGATGAAGATCCAACACCTCCTGTAACGCAAGCACGAACTCCGAACCAAGGCACCGGCGATCTCCCAAGTGCTGCGTCCAGAAACGTACCGAGGCCCTGGGTTCCGGGGATGGGCATGGATCGATCTCGATCAATGGACCAGGTTGTGACTCTAGGTACCGGCCCTGTGGCGGATAGCCGTAGTCGGTCGGTCGATCGTAACGCGGCAGAACAGGATCACACAGTTCCATTACGCCCTGCCCTCTACAACCGTCTACGCGAGCAGTCAGCGGAGCCAGGTCTAAGTCGGTCCTCCACGGAGCCAGTACCTATGGCTAGCGCGGCAGAACAGGAAGCGAGTGGCAAACAACCCGAGGGCCAGAGTGTTCCTCTGAGAGCTCAGGATGATGTTCCTGTAATAGGGCTCCCAGATGTCAGGCGTCTCTCTGGAGCCGGTGCGACCATGGATGCCGAGAAAGTCCAGCCAGCTGAGCCACAGCGGCAAGAATCTGAATTACACCATAACCCCTCCGTCGGATTTCGGTCGGTGGTTCATCAAGCCTTCGACATTCCGGAGACCCCAAGCACGTCCATAGATAGCATCGCACGGTCGGATAGCAATAGCACGTCTGTCATCAGTCCAATCATTCCCCATCGCGGCACGAACGAGCAGACACCAACGATTACAGAAGAGCCGGAAAGCTCATCTCCACCGAGGGGTTTCAGACCTGGTCATCGCCGCGATCTGAGTGTTCCCAGTCCCGGTAATAGCCCTTTGAGGAGACCGATAATTACCAATAATGATGCTATCGCTCCAGAGTCTTTGGCAGAAATGTCCTCGCCAATTAACCTACCTCAAGACCCTTCATCGCCACCGTATCAACAAACTTGCGTACAACCAACTGACACAAGTGGGGAAGGACGACCTGCACCGCTCAAAATTAGTGGTAATATGTCGCCCGTGTCTGGGGAAAACTCCATACCCATCATTGTCCCCTCATTAAGTACCGAAAACTCCCCGCAAGACACGGAGAACGACCGTTTAAGGAAAGAGATCATCCGTTCTTTGAGCCGGGAAAACACTCCCTCTGAGGAGCCCGACCCGTCTTCCCGTCCACAAACGAGTCGGCAAGATAGTCTCATTCCGAGCGAGTACGAACGATACTGGAGCGAAGCAGGTAACGCCAGTCCCCAGGAGGAATACAAACCCGCGCTCGGATATAATTCCATCCGGAATGAGTCCCAGGACTTATATTCCAGCAGTCCACTTCAGGCACCCACTCCTACAGCAAACACGGCTCCTCAGCAGGAAATACGGCCGAAGTTGAAGAAGCGTTTCTCATGGGAGTCTGCCTCTTCAGAGGACGAACCTGCACCCATGGTCGATGTCCCACCTATGCCAGGTGTCTATTCCCCTCCAGTAGGGCCAATACCTGGGCAATTTCCTATGGTCGATGAAGGTAGTATTCAGCCAGATCCCAACCCCGTGGCTTCGCCAATCCAATTGCTCGATGAGACTGAACGTGATTCTGGACCTGAGAAGCCCAAATTGACAATCATACCCCCGTCTACAACAGACGACAACAGTATAATTTCAGATCGGCATCTTCCAGAAGTTGTCAATGCCCAAACCGTTGGAGACGCTTACTCCCCAGTCGTCACAGACCAGCACAGCGCAGCGCCTGCGCCTGCGCCAACACAATCGCCATCTATCGAATCAAGTTTGCTCGGTTTCCGTGATATTCTGGAATTGAAGACCTCAGATGAACGGGTGCAAGCTTTCAACAAGACCAGGGATCAATTCGTGACGATCGATACTGGCTTAAATAATTGGCTCCAAGTTACCATCCATGCCCACCCAGAGTATGCGGATGTTGTGCAGCAGAGCTTGAAGCAAACACCGGGTGAACCCAAACATCCCGTTTCCCGGGGCAAGTTTCCTAAATTCTCCTCCCTTGGAAACCTTGTGTCATCCCATCAGGAAGGCACTTCGTCCGGATCGGGCCATGTCAGACGTCCTTCGGCCCCTCTCGGGTCCATGATGAATAAACAACATGTGGAACAACGAGGAAAGGATCTCCTGCATACGGCTGGTGTCTTCGGCGGCAAAGCTGGCGAAGCCGCGAAGGGTCTGTTTGCGAAAGGCAGGAGTAAGTTCAAGGGTGGAGGGTCAGACAAGGTAGAGCCTTAAATTTTTCTTATTATGGGCGCTGGGAGCGAGTGGTAACCTAACTCAATTGTCCATCGCTACGCCTGCGTGTTTTTTTTTTTTTTTTTTGGTTTGTGCTTTTTTTTTTCTATTGATACCATGTCTGTAATTGAGGATATCTTCGCACTCAGAATGTGACATGATTAATGTCTTGTACATGGAGTTGGGAATGCTTTTTTTGGTCTACATCGTTTGTTTCTCAAACTCATCTAATATTATGATGATTGTAGGGGTTTGAATCGAGTCGTGGTTATCGCAGAAAATTCTCTTTCTCAGAACTTGCCATAGATCTAACAGAGGACCACGACAAGCGACGGACGGTCCACTTTGGAAGTCTCCCACTGATGAAAGGCGCTCGGGTCAGCCAAGTGAACCGGTTCAGTTTGGATATAAAGCGCAAACAAGTGCCATCGGTCTCGGCGTGTAGGCCTGTCGAGAATGGATACCGCACGGATCCTGAGCCTTCTCCTACTTCTTGTTCTTCTTCTTCTGCTATCCAGAAACATCAATCTGGTTTAACACAGAGTCTAGAGAAGGAGGTGGTTGCGGCACTTGGGTTCAGTGACGGGGACTCGCGATCCGGTCATTCATCCACCCATCGAGGAAATTCAGCGGAACTCGAGGCGACTCTTGGGCATCACCAAGGCAATAGTGTCTCCTCGGCGCATGGATTAGCGTCAGTGCAACCATGCAGGGATTGTCTTCCCCGAAAGCCTTTATTGAAGAAGGAAGAGTCGCCTCCGATGACTCCGATCCAGGTGGCCATTAACGAGGCGCCTTTGTTAGTCCCCGAGTACAAAAGCGACCAGCGGGACATTGGGAACAAAATTCTTTCGTGGGAACAAGCCAGCAATATCGACGGCAATCCAGTGGACCAACAAAATAACGTTCAGCCACAGCCTGCGGCGGACGAACCGCCTCCCGAATGCAATACTACTACTACTCGGCCAACCTCGACGACCATGGGGAAACGATATTACTCCTCGGTCACGGAAACAAAACCCAGCAGTGAACGGAATGTAACGCTGCTGGAGCCTAATCATAATCACCACCGGAGGGGCTCCAGCGTGCAAATACGACTCCAGCCCATGCCGTCAGTCTCATCATTGGGCACTCTAGAGGCTGATCGAGACCCGCAGCGGCCATTGGGCCAAGTACTCGGTGAGTGGCTAGTCGCAAGGTTCCTTTCAACGAATAATTAACGGTATGTAGGCCAGGCCAACTCGTCCCGAGTGTCCTTTCTCTCGGATGGGGGCCAAAGTCTTGGCGTCCATCATACACGCATACGCGACAGGCCGAAGAGCCCCTGGCCAGCTGATGAGGCTGAACATCGACTTAGCGGTGTTTTTCGACCTCTGCTGTCAGGCAGTAAACCTGCGTCCAAGTCCACCCACCATGCTCGCCCTGACCTGCCCGTGCAGCCTGCCTCGAAGCAAGCCCCTGCGCCTAAAGCTTTATCGACCATGGACAAGCTGAAGGTCGTCGGTAACAAAATCCGCCGCCCCTCCATAGGCTCGGAATCGGGTCAGCCGCACAAAAAGGCCTTAGACAAAATAAGCGTATAGACGCCGCTGTCAAAGCTCCCAACTGGATTCCCTCCCGTACTAATTTTACAATTAGGGCTTCTTCAACCGTTCCAACGCTCGAGCGGGACACGACCGGCCGGAATCCAGAGCGACAGAGTCTCACGTTCCACCGGTGCAACCCCATCGTCACACCCATTCAATGGACCGACTCTATCCCGTCTCCTCACAGTGCACCTCACACTCTCGCGTGCCTGCCGCTGAAATCGGTCGCCCCCGATCGAATATTGAAAATCACACTTCCAAAGGGCAACCCCCTCCACCGGAAGGATACTTCGCTCCGGAATCTTTCTCTCGCTTCCGAGATCATCAGGAACCGGGCGTCCCCTTGACGCAGCAGATAACGGTCGAAGATATCGACAGCAGTGCCCCCGCGAATAATCCTATTCCATCTCCAACGGAATTTCTCCACAGACACAGCGGAAGTGGAAGTGGCAACGGTCGACTCACCCCCCAATCACCTCCATACCGACCGTCCGCTTCCCCCCATCTTTCGTCCCCGCCACAAGCATCCCCGATCCCCTCCCCAGTCCCCGGCGCCCCACAAACCCCATCCTCCCGCGGCCGGTCCGAAGAAAGAACCTACGCCCAAGACCTCAACATTCGCTCCCGCAGCCCGAAAGCCTTCGCCCCGCGTCCCGAAGAGAGAAACATCCTCAGCGCCGACACTTCTGACCCAGCCTACCACCTCGGCATCTTCCGCCAAAACCCCCGAACAAGCCGCATCGGCGACCAAGAACGACCCTGGAAATTGACCATCCCAGGCGAAGGCGAAGACAACAATACCCCGGACGACGCCCTCACCTGGCGCCAGCAGACCACCCAGGGCGTCCTCCAATGCGGCCAACAACTACCCACCTACGAAGAAGATTCGCGCGAACACCAACACCAACCGTTGCAGGAGACTCACCATGACCAAAAACTCCCTTTGACCAACCCTGCTCGTCCCTCCGCGCCTCCCCATTCTCAATCAACGGGCAATCTCCACCCAACGAGGGGCGAAAGCCGGGTCCTGAACCACGACGCTCCGGTCGAGCTGCCCGTTCACGCGGACGACGATTCCAGCGAGGAGATCACGATGTCCAGCACAGCTTATCCGGGGCAGGAGTGGAGACCGGCGGGGTTTTCCGGGTGGGAGTAGTTTGTCCGACCGGTCAACTGATCGTTGATAGTTTGATATTTCGTGGTTCTCTTTTTTTTTGGTTGAGGTTGGCTTCGTAGATACCCTGTTTTTCACTTTCTTTGCTTTGTTTTCGTACAGTTTATCGGGTTTCATGGTTGCTCGGGGTTAGAAAAAGATATTGTGCTGGTAATTTAATATTGGCGTCTTTGAAGCATAGCGAGTTTGGTCTCTTGATGATTACGAGGCATGATATGATATTGATGTAATATGTCAGATAGGTCGATATATATGAAAACAAGATGATTCATCTAAGTATTTATGGACCTTTTATTTTGTTGGGATTGGAGTGTGGACTCTATGTCTACGATTTATGGTACATCGAGTTATAAGTAGGAGGGAGGTAGATGGAGTAAAGGACTCCCTACCCCTCGAACACATTCTGCTGCAAATCCATCCCCATATCCCTGGCCATCGTCTGCATCTGCGCTTCCAGGGAATCTTCCATCCCCCCGCCGAGTCTCAGGAACTGTCTCACTTTCGTGAAGTAGAAGTAGATATCGCTGGTGAAGAGCACGAGCCGGAAAAGGAGATGACGGCCGTAGTTCCGGATCTTTTCGTTGATCGGGAGATCGGGGGACTCGACGAGCGCGCGTGATGCCCAGGTGCCGGTGATCTTGATGCGGTTGACAGGGGAGCCGAGGAATTGATTGTTGGCTTGGACGATGCGCAGGTTGCGGCCGATGAAGATGAGTTCCTTGGGCCACTTGGTTTCGTCGCCGAGGATCTGACGGATGCCCTTGCGGGCGGCTTGTTGGGCTTCGTAGTGGCGCTGGGCGCGGTCCTTTTTGGAAAGGCCTTCGAAGTGTTGTTGGGTCGAGAGGTCGCCGCCCTGGTAAGGGCGCATGAGGGTGGCGGAGGCGAAGATGTCAGGGTTGGTTACGCCCCATTGTTTGACGACGTCGTGGATGGCGTTGTTGTCAAAGGTGAGAAGCGCTTTCCAGAAGCGGGCGTATTGGTGTCTGAAGTCTGTTCCCATGTGGATGTAGAGGCCGTGGTCGATCAGGACGAGTTCTGGCTGGCCGGAGGGTTTGCGACGGACGAAGATATTGCCCGGGTGCGGGTCACAATGCACGATCCCCCAAAGGAACATCTGAGCGGAGAACAAGTCGACCATCGTGGTCATCACTTCTTTCAGGGAGAGGCCGAGTCCGCCGCGGCCATTCCATCCGCGCCAGTGATCGCGCTCTGGTTTGATTTTGGTGACGGTCGGATTTTGAGCGATCCTGGCCGATGTGCTTTCGGGCTGCGGAGGGTCCAGTGGAGCTCCATGACATCCTGGGCTACCCTGGCGCCATCCACCTCGCCATGATCGCGTGATAGTATCCTTATCCCAGAGTCGGACGCCCTCGATCCATTCCGCCGTCATGACACGCTTGGAGCTCAGCTCGCGATAGACCTTGGGGATATAGACCCGATTCCGGAGGCGCGACTCGCCTGCGACGAGTCGGGCCATCTTCTCTGAGTTATCCGCTTCATTCTCAAAGTCCGTCTCCAGGGACAGGCGCTCGCTGACATATGGGACCAGAGAGTAAAACGGGATATCGAATACGCGACTATAGATCCAGGTGACGACTCTATCGTTTTGTCAGTAGGTGATCCATCGCCAATTCAGAGGGAAAGGCATATTTACTTAAACGCCCATAGATCCCATTGAATCTGCTGCGCAATTTCCCGCTTCTGGATCTTCACCGCGACCTCTCTTCCGTCGGCCAATCGGGCCCAGTGGACCTGCGCTACACTGGCACTGGCTCTGGCCTTGCGCTCCATGACACCCTTAGTCGGATCGCCGGTGAACGACACGCCAAAGACCTCTTCCGGTGACTTGCCGAAGTCCTCACGGATGACCTTCTCTACTTCCCTCCAGTCGTTTTGCGGGGCATCATCGAACATGCGCGAGAACATCTTCTGGAACTCAGGCGGTAATATCGCTGACTGCATAGCAATTGCCTGGCCGATTTTGAGGTAGAGACCGCCATTCTGCCGCAGTAAGTCCGATAGTCGTTCGGCATTGCGAGTGTGCAGGTCGTTGATGGAGTTAGCGAGGAGAGGTTCCGGTCGGAAGTTGATCTTATAATCCAGAGCCACGATTAAGCCTAACGTAAACGTTCGGGCGGTTCTAGTCAGAGATGATGCGTAGAACTGGCTATCAATGGTATAGACCACCCCGCCGGCCAGCGACAGGTAGACAAGACGTCGGAGCCACTTGCGGGTCCGATCATAGGTCTTTGCGGGGGCGGGTTTCCCTAATTCGCTGGGGGAGGGAGGAACAAAGGGTTTATAAGCGCCCGGGTGAACGTACCGAGCGGGCTGCTGAGGGGATATAGATTGCGGAAGGGAGCGAGGGCGTAAGCACGATCGGAGGAGAAAGGAGGTCGTGTGCGTGGTGGGAGTGGACCGCAGTGCGCGGGCGAGCGACGTCATGGGCGCCATTCAGAGGTGTCGGGAGATCGTATTAAATAGGGGTTTTCATGGCGTAGTTATCCGGAAACCAGAGGATATCCCAAAAATTATAGGAACTAGGAATATATATCCAGGAAAGGGTAAGTGGAGGATAGTGTTGTAGAAGAAGAGAGAGAATTGAAGTACTCCAAAATGCTGACAGGAACCTAGTGCCGCTTTGGGGAAATCTCCGACCCCGTGATATCAAATAGAACAGAATATAATAAAATATATACTACAAGTACGGAGTAGCAAACCAACAATCTATAATTCATCATGGGCCTCGTCTGAATCACTCTCCACCACTCCATCCCCTAATGTTTGGCACACACTCGCGTACTCCTTCATGTTGTTTGGGATAATCTCCTCCCATAACTGATCCGTCTTGAGATACTCGTACTGCTCCCGACAAACCTCCTCACTGACCATAGGTAGCAATGTCGGCAAATTCATTAAAGCCGCCCGGACGAAGCTCTTTTTGAAACAATTCCCGAAACCCGCCAGCGTCTCCGAATCCGAACAGAGATCTCCGCCATGGAGCATTGGACCACACCGACGCTTGATAATGTCCGCGACATCGTCTCCCAGTTTAATCATCGCCTCTTCTTGTCGCGGCGCATCGAGTCGTTTCATCACGCTGCGCACGGCGGGGAGGAAGGAGTTATCCCGCGTCCAGAGATCCCAGTGTGGAACGGTCGGTCGGCAGCCTCGATCGCAGATATGCTGTTGGAATTTGTCAAAGAGGTCACTGGGACGGCCGGCCAATGCAGTGACGACTTTCACGCATGATGTGTTGATCTTGGCCGAAGCGCGAGCGATATTGAGCAATAGGAGGAGGATAAGGGGGAAGAGATGGCCTACGAAGAGGCGCATCGTGGTTCAATTGAGATTTTTACTGCCGGTACCAAATTGTAAACTAATTAAAGAGTGCAATTCGAGAGCGGCTGAGAATTGGGGAGGGAAGAGGAACTTAAGATTCGCGGCTGATTGATGGTTCTCGACCCATTTTCCGGGATGATCGACGTCTTCCCCCGCATCCATGATCTAAAAGCCTATCTTTCAGGTGAAGAGATACAAAGCGACGTGGCTACGAGTAGAAATAATTCATAGATATGGATCTGATGTTCTCATAGTGTCGTATTCCTCATGTGCAAATTGGTCCCCTTGTCCAATGTTTGTATGCTACTGTCGAGTAGGGCTAAATATATATATATCTCAGCCATTACTGAAGTCGCCAGAACCTCACAGCTCCATCTACATCCGGAACCACCAGAGCAGAAGAGTTAGAAAAACAAACCGGTCGTGAACCAGTCATCTTCTCCACTTGATCCCCAGGCCCTCTTGCAAACAGTAGCTTCGAGTTTGTCGTCAAGTCATATACTTCAGTAGATCCCTCACCACTGCGAAACATCAATTTCCTCCCTTTATCGATAAACCGTACCCCACGAATTTCCGCAAATCGCCTCATCACTGAGACTTCGAACTTTAAGGTCCATTTCATTTTCTCTTCTCCTGTGTATGGATCCAAGGCACGAAGTGTGCTGTCGCTGGCACCGACCGCTAGTAGTTTGAAACGAGAGATCTCCTCGGCTGACGATAGGTTGTAAACATATACCGTAGCCTTCGGGCTGCCCTGACTGAATGTTATGTATTTAGAGTCCAGCGAGAATACACCGGACCACATCTGTCCACCAAATGGTCCCAAGACTTGCAAGCAGGTGCCACCATTCGTATCCCAGATGCGAACCGTGCCATCCCAAGAGGTAGATCCAACGAGCTTTGCGTCAGGGCTTATGGCTAACCACATGATTGTATCTTTTTGCCCGGGAGACGATGCCGGGTCACCCTTGCCTTGACATCCGAGATATTGACACAATATAGAGCTTCTGCGTCGCGCACCTTTTCTACCAATCTGAACTGAAAAGTGTACCGAACGCGGTAAAGTGACCCTCGAAAGTAAGTGACTTGGTGTCCAAGGTATGGATGTCAACGGCCTCAGTTATGACGGTTTCGAAGTCCTCTGTAATCGTCTTTGTCGCATTTTCCTCTGCCCTCCAATCATGATCTGTCACAAGTTGGGGGATAACGGTGTCTGCTGCTTTGGCTGAAAGAGAGCCAGTATCTACTCTTTTGTCGTTCCCTCCACACATATTCTTTCTATTCCCTTCAAGTTCCCAAACAATGATCATATCCTCTCTACAGGAGAGAAGTGTGTACTGCACATCTCCGATCAAATTTGGAACAAAAGACAACTGTTCCACAACATCCGAATGTCCAGTTAGGGTTTCCACGTGTTCCTGGGTGACCGCAGAATGGATGTGAATATTCTTTCCCACCCCGATCGCGACAAATCTGTCATCCGGAGTTAGGGCCGGAGTGGACAATTTCTAATCGAGCTAGATTTTATTAACCTCTTGGCCCCAGTGGAAGGGATGGCCTGGAGCCCTAGTTGCCGGTTCGTTGCCCGGATTTTTGAAGTCACTCTCTAGGTCGTAGACGTATTGTTTCATCAGTTTTGACTGATTCATGTATCCCATGGTGATTGAGACGGCCTGTATCCCTTTGATAAATAAAAAGAATGTATCGATATTGAATGCGGAGCAGGCATCGTTTACTTATAGTAAGATCAGCAGAGCTACTCTGCGATAGAGGCTTTGCCTATATGCAATTGAATCACTGGTCCAGTCTGGCTGCACAAACACGACGGTCGGTGAGACTGAGATCTTATTGGACTTGATGTCTACTATGATATCAGGGCAGGCGACAAGTGCACATTGGACATAAGAGTTTTAATGATAAACTTAGATTAAACCCGAGTAATAAGGATATTATACCTGTTTCCGAACACCATATTATTGACTCTTAGAAGCCCTAACTATACATCCTGCGCCTGTCAAAGTGACCCATTCACAAATTAAACCCTACTATATAAGAACCCTAAATATTTTTTCTAAAGTGTCTGTGCCATTTCGTGGCTTGATCAATCTACCGGTATCACAAGTGAAGCAGTATCCAGCGGATTTCACTGCATTCTGTGAAGGTAGATAGACGCCCAAAGAGTGAAATTGGAAAAGCGAAAGAAAAAAAAAAGCATGTATTCATCTAGGAAGCTTTACATGAATATAAATTCACTGTGAATACTACAAAATGTTCCTTTTCAGTTCAACTTCAAGGCGTTCCAGTGCAGCTCCCAGCATAATCTCATATTTACACTTGTCTTGGTCTTCCAACCCCCTCTGCTAACATCTTTCCCTTCAAACACCCAGATCTCATATCTCACCCGTTGCACTTCCCTATATATACGAGGTACTTCCGTGATCCTAGGTTCTCTTCATGGCTCGTTTTATCTCTGGAAATCAAAAATACAACCGTCAGGCCGATCAACATCTTCATAGCTTCAACCAATCCTAACTAGACCAATATATACAACCCATGAACATACTGGGAAGACGCAGATTTCGCTCGACATCTTGACATCTAGCCTTTAGCTATATGGCCAGGCCACTCATCCGGAAAGGCCACCAGAAAATTCCCTGGATAATAAAAGCGGTTCTCTACTTGAGTGCCCTGGGTACAATACACCAGTCCTCAGCCTGAGCTTATATTATCCTCTCCTGCATCAGAGTTAATTAATCAAGAAGATGACATTTTGATCAAGATATTCGCTTCCGCCTAATCAATTCTACTGTGGTCAATGTCTACTGCTACCGCTGCCATATTGGTTACTTCACCCAGTGCTGAGAGATCCAAAGATGGCTATTTTCGGGCAGCCTTTGACCTGATATCCATTCGCGCAGCATATGATCTTCATCTGAACAGACATCTCTGTGCACAAGTGACAGAATAGATCAAGGTGATCCCGAAGCATTATATATAGCAGCTTGGACAATACATGAGATGCTCGGGCCTTCTGCACCCAGCGTCTCGGTGCACCGGGCCCAAATAAGAGATGGGTTGGGTACCGAGATGAAGATGCTTATAGCGACTGAAGCCAACAGGTTGGCAATGTCCAAGCTCAAAAAGAAGGCTGGACGCATTCCCCCCTATCTGTACGCAGCTCTGACCTTCCACTGGGGCGGTATCAATCCATATCTAGTTTGCCACAAGTTCCTTTAAGTTACCGGGGAACAATTTGGCATCCAACACGGACCTATAACACTATCTTTTGAGTTCCTCCCGTCAACTCCTGAGACCAGATCAGCGTTCAACGAGGTTGGACGAATCACCCCTAACCCAACAGATCATCCAGCGACGAAGACCTAACCAGGTCGTGGGAAGGATATATTGAGAATCTTCGTGCCGGAGGACCATTCCTACCTGAGACTCCATGCGAGAAATTTCAAATCCCGCCTATCCACCTGTACATACGAAGACCAGGAAGTACCTTGAAGATCGCCATTATCGAGAAACAGTAGTAGCATCTTTGCATCTGATCCGCTAAAAATATGGTTAAGATGCTCGAGAAATCTTCAGGTCACCGATATCATATATAGATTAGTGACATTCACTCGTCCTCACACCTTGGCTACAAAATCCCGCAAGCTTCCACCCTTCTGGCCTCTTCTTGATATCCTTCTCGCATATCATCTACGTGCTCCCTATCACACCGGCAATGACGCGGCGCAATAGCTGCATTACGTCTTCTCATATTGATTGAGCTGTGATCTGATTGGTTGACAAAAAAAGTAGAAAACTACTGAGTCTATAGAACAAAAGCCGTATAAGTGCGTACCCAAAAGTGGTACTTCAAGACCGTGCATACGGATCTGCCGTTGACCTCCAGGTCAAAAGGATAGGATACAGCTGACTGACTGGATGTACGGCCGGCGACGATGCGCTATCGTGCGGCCGTTGTCATTCTCTGTCCTAGAACCAGCGCTCTCGATGCACGGCGATAATCTTTTGCGATATCACGGACGCCCTGTTACGGTGCGTGTTGTTCGTGGCACAGAGCCCACTATGCTGGTGCGGTTGTTTAGACTTTTGGGATCCGGACGCGGCAGCGGCGTACACGATGGTTGCGGGGGAGGTGGAAGAGGGCCCAGTAGGTGAGTTTACCACATTATTTATACGGAAAAAAGCCATGGCACACTGTATGGCAGGGTGCTGGGAGAAGATTTGGACACTGAAGGAGAGACACTCTTCATATGAAACGGCCCTTTTTGTATTATAGAAACAAGTATCATTCTAGCAATCAGAGCGACACCACCACGGGTTGTTTTTTCCATCAATTTTTCATTATTCCTCTCCCAGTGTCTCGACTTCGGGTGTTAGTATTCCTCCTCACGACCGGTATCAGAGCCCTGGTTCCTCAGCTTAAATCTCTCTGTCTGTCCTCAAGGCATACATCCCAGTCTGCTCTAGTGCTATAGGCCTTCTAGTTAGGGTGTTAGGGGTTGAGCCCGCCATTCTTCGACATATTATGCGTGTCACCCGTTGGGGAGAAACAGTACGACTATTGCTTCAATATTGTCCATGCCTACCAGTAGACCATCGCATCTTTTACCAAAACCAAGATACAATGAAAGTAGAAGATTATATTCTTCACGCACCGTGGAGACATGAAGTCAACTTAAGTTCTGAGGAAGAACAATTATTCCCCGCCCCCGCATCAATTACTACATCTTGCCACTTCGCAAGGAACCGTAGATTCATCTGCCACCATTTTACACTTTGCACTTGACGGAATATGTCCGGATTAGGTCTCATAGAGGTTGATTCCCTTGAAGCCCTTGTCATAATCGACAATGAACTTGATCCTCTCTCCCCACCTGCCCCAGACACCGTGCAAGTGTCGGGTCTGATGGGTTCTCTGGCTCTACATTCCCCACATGAAAATCACGATCGAGGCGAAGCTGAAAAGGAGCTGCAGATGGAAGATATTTGCTGTGCAGCGCATGGATTGTCTATCCTTGTGGTATGGTCTCTTTCACCCGGAAGAACCGGAGGACATTATATACTGATCGTCCTAGACGGCAACAAAAGGCGATATTAAACACTCGATCCTCTTCGATGCAGGTCCGGAGGGCGAGATATGGGAGAGAAATGTCAAGCGGCTACGCCCGGACCTGTCTTCTGTTGAACTGATTCAACTTTCTCACTGGCATCGGGATCATTCCGGTATGTACCGTTTTGACTGACTCTTGTTGAGTTATTCATCAATTATCTTCTAACAGACCCAGGCGGCCTTACTCGAGCCATTGAAATGGTTACTGAGGCCAGAAAGGCCAAAGGTCTGTCAGACAAGGTGCCAGTAGATCTTCATCCTGACCGTCCCGACTATCGTGGGTTCGCTCTAGGACCGAATATCATTTCTTTCCAGGCGGACCCTTCCTTCGAGGAACTCGAAGCAGCCGGAGGAACCATTCACAAGCATGATGAGATGCACACAGTACTTGACGATTTCTTTCTAATCTCGGGTGAAATACCCCGTCAGACAGCCTATGAAAACGGCGTGAAGGGTGGCATGCGCTTTGACAAAGAGGAAAAGGATTGGTTCACTGATGAGCTTATATCCGACGAGCGTTTTCTCATATGTAACCTCAAGGGTATGATAGTAGACAACCCTTCCGCACATTCTACTACTCTGGATCGAGGCCTCTAACTACGATTGTCGCATTCCAGGCAAAGGACTTGTACTGTTCACAGGCTGCAGTCACGCAGGAGTCGTTAACTGCTCGCGACATGCAATCGACAGCCTCGATGGCTCTGTGCCTCTTTATGCGGTCATTGGGGGCTTTCACCTGGCCACCAGCACTGCTGCTGATACGGAAATCACGGTCAAAGACCTCCACAAGCTGGATCCTGCTGTTCTTTTGCCGGGGCACTGCTCTGGTTGGAGGGCTAAGTTTGCGATTGAGAAGCGTATGCCTGGGAGTCTAGTGCCTTGCACTGTGGGCTCGAAGATCACCTTCTAACCATGTGTTGAGTCTCCCCGTGTTCACAGCATACCCTTAGGTTTCACCAGCCGGGCTGTCGTGGACTTGCCATCATTCATAGCAGGCAACCTGCATACTTCTTTTACGACGGGTTTCACTAAGTTGGCGATACGTGTAGGTCGAGTTAAGTTCGACAAGCTAATACAGTACCGAATAAGGCATTCGGTTGGGCAGAAGCTTCTTCTCTGGAGAAGGGTCTGTCCTGTACATATAGATATCGACAGGGCTCAAGCAGTGTGGGCAACTCTCAATGGCTCTTCCATATCTAACCTCATCTCGTCAGTAAAGACTGTAGACCAGCAAGCACTTATTTTCATGGCACGTATATTCATAGTAACCTATGTCGGCACAGTTGTGTAATACACCCCATGTGCAATGAGATAAAACTACTGCGGCCATGTGCCAGCTCTCCCACTGCCATTGTGTCTACATGGGGTCCTCACAGGGGCAATTGTATTCTCTAGATATATATGTTCTAGTTTGTGAATATTCACATTCACGAGTACTAGTACTTGATCTTCGGATAAGATACATATTCATACGCCTCGCCGAAGCGATTATATGTTCAACTCATACCAATACACTACCCATATTATATACGAGAGTATATAGTATGTATTATAAAACCAAAACATATAAACAATTAATCTCCTTCACATCTCTTCAGTTTCACCCCAATCTACTGGCAATAAATCCACAAACTATCCACCAGTACCACGAACCCCAACATCACCCTCGCACCACATAAGCCAAAAAGTCTACCTAGAGATACAAAATCCACCAAGAGGTCACACTACCACACTCCACTACCAACCGACCAATATCCGCAACCCGAAACGAAACCCAACCAAAGAATCTCAAACCGATCCAGTGACATCACACGAAACCTCTACAAAACCCGAAACGCGAAAAGCAAAAGAAAATCCAGACCCCAAGCCCCGAATTCCCACATTCAAACTCAACCCGGTAGAGGGTAACCTCTCCCTCTCTCCATCCAGTTTCGAACATACCGCAACCAACCTACGCCCTCGCGCCAAGAATTCCAATCCCCGAGAAAGAAAAGTACGTGGCATAGCATATAGCATTGCTACCCTGCAGAACGGGGATCCGAAAAAAATAGAAAAGAAAATGAATAAATGGTATTGTCATATGATGGAATTGATGGGAGGTGACTGTGTTGTGTTACCCCCTTTTTTTTCATATCCATCTTGGTCTATAGTTCTAGTTAAAATTCTACAAAAAGTCAATTAACTGTCCAGGGAAAAATAAACATACTAGCTTTTAGAGTTATTGTACATTTAGATTTCCCAAGACAGGAACCTCCAAAACAAAGCAACCCACACCCATACCCGTAACCCCCCTATCTAGTGTTATTATCTACCTCTCTCATCTAAATCCAATACCGTACATACCATCCAATTCTATAAAGCAGATCTAATAAGCAATACGAATACCAAGACTTGGACCCTCAAATTTGCGACAATCAACAGAGAAACGAGAGAAATGAGCTTAAATATTCGTACGACAATAACGCCCATCGACGATCCCCGATCCGCTTTCCTTCACTTGAGTGAGGGAGGTTCTTGGCTGTGATACCCTTTTTTCCCTTTCCCTTTCCATTTTCTTTTTACTTTTCTTTTGGCTTTTTTTCTTGTCTGGGGGGCGGTGCATATCCCCTTTTGATTTGAGTTGATTTTGCCAAGAGGATACATGTAGAGGAATGAATGTGTGGCTTGGCGGAGGGAATTTGAATTTGCGATTGAAGGGAAGTGGTTGGGGAATGTATGGACAAGTCATGTATTCACTGACTACTACGGGTGAGATTTCTGGGGATGGACTGGGATGATCTCATTAATTTAATTATTATTATTACATTATTATTATTATGTATGAGATTAATATTGTTTCTGATGACTGTGGAGTATTACTTAGTATTAGGTGATTACAACTATAGGGGTTCGAGAGAAATATAGTAAGGGGAAAGGGAAAATATGGAGTACTCCAGATGGAGAAAAAAGTGACCAACTTCACTAACACGCTTCGCCAAGAGTGTTAGCTGGAATTGGCTGGAATTGAGGGTGAGGTAAGTGTAGCGACAAGCAGGATGGTCTGATATGTATGGTCCCATTATGTGATTCGCAAGGTCACTGAATTCCCTTTCATTTACTAGTACTATTAGTACTATCTGTGACTTGTACAGATCTTTGACAGTGTTGATTCGATTGCTATTGATAGTTGTCGAAAGGGGAAATATGCCAAGGACCAGCCTTGCTGATGCTGCACATCATTTGCTTGGCGAGAGTCAATGAATTGCTTCGTCCCACCCCCCCAGGTGGTTGGTGTCCCGACTCACACACCTTTCCCATTGTATTTTTACAATTGATTGAATGGAGTAAAGTATTACCCCTCAACTTGGGGGGGGAAGGAGGGAGAAAGTCCATGATGACTACTTCATATCTTAGGTTCACCACAGCCCCTGACGCATTGTCGATCATTGTCGTTTTCACAGACAAGTCAACATGCAACAATCTATGTTGCCTGAAGTGGTGGCTGGGGGTGGGAAGTGTATCTCTGCAATCACTCCATCAATCATCTATCGCCATTGACATCGGCCTGAACAACGTGTACAATGGGGCTACGTATGTTAAATGAGTATACTGAAAATAGTCACAAGAAAAAAAAAAAAGGGAAAACAAAACTCTGACATCATGCATGGGGCGTCGGTTGCATCGCCCTCCTAGGTAAGCTGCTTTGTTGTAGGCAGATAGCGATCTGCGCGCTGATGCTGTCGATCCGATATTCGTTTTTGGTAACTGTATGGAGTATGAACAGTGGTTCAATTTGCCTTCTAGGAGGTTTTTTTTTTCGACGGGGATGAATGGGTATTGCATTGCCTTGCTTGGCTTTGAAGTATGGGGCTCTGTATGTAGGAGTATGTGACTATGTGTATGTATCTGTGTGTAGACAGCGCAGCATCGTCAGATGACGTCGTGGATATTTTAGTGCGTCTCAAGCATACCAAGGAGCAGGGTGGAAGTGCCACGGTGAATAATATTCTTATGGGCTACCTTGAAGGCTTCTCCCACGCAAGGGAGCTGACATTCCTAGGTTGACAACGGTACATACAAATGAGATCACAGATACGACGAAGTCAGTATAGTATGTCTTGTGCGGGGAAAATCCATGCAGAAGATCCCTTGGCAGCAAGTGCTACACAGGCTATTAGGGGCCGAGTATACATTGAATATACTCTGTTGGGCAAAGGATAGATATCCATTATTGCGACGACCCGGTCTGGGACAAAGCTGTAACGAATATCACATCCCTAGGGAAATCCTGGTCACCAGCTGGACCCAGGATTTCCACCAGGGCAAGGGAGGTTAATCCCCGACTCTATTGCGTTCTATTACCTTGGCGGACAATTTCTCAGCATAGTCCCGGCATAGTTCGATACAGACTGCAGAGCGGAACAGAATATCTGAAACGACACGGACAGTTTGAGACTCGTCTCACGGAGTAGATTTGCCTTACTGGTCTTCAACCTTGGTTCGCGTCGGCAGCTGGAAGGGGTAAAAGTCTTTAGTCGCTCACCGAATAATTAAACCATGGAACAATCTCGGGTCGCTTTATGTATCCATGGAAAGTAATTAGATTAGAAACGCTAGAAGCGTCAAGAGAAAATTCAGGCAAAAAGGGTAAAAATATAGATAGAGAAGGCAAAAGCAGCGTGCCGATTCCCGCGACGCCGATGGCGGCGAGTTCTCTGGCTGGGCCGAGACCACAACAACCTTGCCGAGGTGAACGTCCCGATGTCATGTCAGATATCCCAGTTTATGGGAACATCCGTAGATTATTGAATTTTTATGGAGACTAGGGCCTGGAAAGATATCGAGTCGACTTTTTTCAGTTCTAGATGTTAAGTTATTCTAGTCATCATGGTGCACGTCGTGGCAGCCGTTGCAACTGCTGGGGAAGAAACAGACAATAAAAAAAGGCCGCGTGTAACCGATGCAGAATCCTGAACAATGATTAAGAACAATCGCGCACTAGATGACACAGAGACAATGGCGACGACGAGCTATGGGTTGTGGTCAGATCATCTCCGAGTCGGGCTCGGCTTCACCCCGAGATAGCCGCTATGATTTCCCTTTTGATTTGCCAATTGTTCTCTGCACGGAGCTCTTATCATCTCATGATGGATTATCTAAGATTTCCATGGAGTAATATAATTGAACAAGCTGATTGGTGTCATTTGGCGTTACCCGCTGCTATCGTGGTACCAGAGGAGGAAAGGACCTAAGAATGGGGGAAAATCTCTCATAGTAGCAGTCCACGTTAGTAGCTTCGTCTGAGCGCGGCTGTCTTATACGGGATAGGAAAGGTGGGAAGGATGTGACTAAGGAAGATGTACCTCCGTCTAAACTGCAATGGGATCTGGATGAGCAGGCGCCCCCATCTGGGGCAAGCCGATGTCGTATTCTTGGGAAGACATGCAGGGGTGACTTCAATTGACGGAATCCCCCGTGAATTGTGTATATATAGGTAATAATTGATCGTTCCACCCCAATTGGCTTTCCGACGACAATTGCTTGGCTCTTGGCAAGCGATGAACAAAAGCGAGGGGATGCAATCCGTATCGGAGAAGTATAACAACACCACACTCAAACCATGGAGCAACCTCGGGAAGCGACAACGATACGACCGCACTGGAAAATCCCTCACCACGATCCTCGATGAGACAGCTTGGCGACGGGCGATCGCCGGTGGGGATTGGGGGGATTATTTGCAATTTAGCATCGGTGAGTGGGAAGTAATTTCCCCGTTTCTGTTACTAGTGGTTAGTGAGCGGGCTAAAAGAAGTACTACTGTAGGTACAGCTCGTTAGCTATGTTTCATTCAGGACCACCGAAGACCTCGGTGATCTATTTGAGATAGCGCCATTGTCCTCTCATGACTCTGTATGCAATCTGCCAACGAGGTGGTATGTCGCAAGAATGCGAAGTATGCTGTAAGTCATGGGCACGTGGAAATATATTCCATCCCACCCAGAGAGAGTGGTTACCAATTCCGGACTGGCAATTGAGGTTAGGTAGTACAATATTTACCACTAGGGCCTATGCACATAGATAAGGCTAGAACGGCAAGATCCTCCGCAGTAGGTGTTTGGTGAGGAAACTAATAATTTTCCTTCGTACAGGTACTTGTGCGGCGGCTCTACTCTATCAGCCGGGTCGAGATAGATACCTTCACAGGCGGACACGAGAGGTACTTACCTAAACCGGCAGGGGCTTACTCATCCAAACTTACGTAACAGGACCATACGAGGCTAAACCTGTCATGGAATCTCGTCCTTAGGTTGCCTCTATCCCGACCAATTTACCCGACCGTGTCGAAGAACATCTCCTCGGACTGCCGATTATGACGTAACATTCTGGAGTAAAACCACCCCTGTGCGGTGAAAGACAAAAAAAACTCACCTGCCACACCCGCCCAACCATCCGATGTAACCAAAGAAACAAGAAAGAAGAAAAAAAAAAAGGGAAGACTCAGATCACGCTCAGATTGCCGACATCCGATTGAGAATGCGACCCGGAGTACGGAGTAGGAATTCCCAGTTTCTTGGGCAGAGAATGCACCTAAACGCACCGTTCCATTCGATCAAGTCTTCTAGAAAACGTCGAGAACGGGCATCGAAAGCGGTCGGTCGAGTCACGTATGGGACCACACCCCCATCAGAGCTGCGGCGACCCCAACGCGGTGGCGATTATTTCCACTTTCCTCTGTGTTTTATTTCGACAGCCTCACTTTTGGTTGGCTGGGGTTTGTTGCGGGATAATAGTGTGTCTTCTAATGCACATTTAGGTCATTCACTGTGGATATCCCAGTCGATGCATCTCCATTTGCATGGTATGAGGCATTTACGTATTGTATTGGCAAGATCTATCTCCAGTGTAGAGAAACCTTGGCTTGTTCTTTGTTTTTCTAGAATGAGTCTGATTTGCATTCTGCAGATGTGCCAGCGGGCCTTTTGCCTCTTCCTCTCAATTCTGCCTTTCAGAATTTTATTCTTCGTATAGAGAGAGGTTAAAAAATTTGTGTATGTGTGTGTGTGTGCGCGTTCCCGTTTAAAAAAAACCAAAACAGTGGCAAACCCACCAACGATGAAACTGTCAAGGAAGAGAAAATTTACCCACTAACCCTCGACGATCGAGGCTCTCTCTCAATCAAATTCGCTTGATTACTATCAACGGGAATTGGGTCAGGGTCAGGAATTCCCAAAGCCATAGAATTGAGTCTCAGTTTCGCAAGCTTAACCACGGCTCCGATGTGGGGTGTATTGTTGGAACCCCAACTTCAGTAGATTCCTTGACTAACTCTGTTTCCCATTCTTTGCCCACCAAACTGCTCCCCCCACTAGGATAAACCATTATCGATTAGGACGGAATCTACACTACGAGTGTAATTCTCATCTTGAAAGGAAATTGGGTTCAGCCCTGTCAACTGTCATTGTGTGATATTTTATGCTTTTCATAAAGTAGCCCGCTAGGGCTTTCATGACCACAGTATACTAATTTTTTTGGCCCTCCAATCCCAAAATACCAATGAGGTAAGATGGTATGTAATAAGAATAACACAAATCACAATCCAAGGTCAAAGGAATGGAAAAAGGCTCTTGGCTGACGTCCCTGTACATCCCTCTCTCTCTCCCCATTTCTTACCGCCCGTGAGGTAAAATAAACCCCCGGCAACGGTGAGAATCCCCCGGAATTCGATTAACTTGCGTAAGTAATGATATTAATCTGGTAACTTTGCTCTGTTGCGTGCACGGGGCTGTTGGTGGATGAAGCTTTGATCCAATTGTATTGACTAATTAATTAATTTGTTTTGGAAGCTCCTCGGCCAATGACACAGTAGAAGTAAGGTACCTTTGGAAATACTAAATGGAGGAGGCTGGGTATTCTTTTTTTACATTGCGTTGCACGACAGGCCAAGTACCCGTTGTTTTTTTTTTTCTTTGAATCGGCACAATTTATATCTGACCGATTTTTTCGTACTTTAATGGGATCGATGCTATATTTATTCCCTTTATGGCAATCATGGTTCTTTTGCAGAACAGCTACTAGGAAGCATGCGGATGTCAATTAGAAATAATCATGTTGATTGTTGATTACACCTTTGTTTGATATGGAAAAGGACTAAGGGCACAAGTGTATCTACTAGTGACACTCGTAACGGAGTCCCATCAGCCGCGGAAAGCGCCCGCTGCTTGCTCAGCTACTTAGTGCTATCCTCGTAGAGTAAGTATACAGTACTATCGCTCGAAGTTAACTGGAATAGGAACAGACGGCATTCGATCCGCGGACCTTGTCCAGGAAGTCCGTCGGAAGGTATTCTGTTCGAAGCAGTTAGACTCGGACCTGTCAAGCATACAGTACAGAGCATGCATCTGACGCTACGGAATCGTCCATCAACAAAGAGACCGCCACGCAAAAGGAAAAAAAAGAGAGAGTCAGAGAGAGAAGAGCCATAGTCTTCCCCATTGCATCTTTCTTATCAACTGTGTAATCCCATGTTTCACACGGGATCTTTTACGCCAGGTCGCACTTGTGATGGAAGACCGTGATGGTGAATCCCGTAGATACGGTATGGGGGTAGGGGTGATGCAGGCCATGGCCCTTCTTTCTCCCCGACAGCTCAATGCTTGTAGTCAAACTAGACTCCCTAGAGAGGACTCGCTGGTCGAAGGTGGCTGCATGAGGGTCCAGACTGGCCCCGATCTTCGACCGGAACTTCGAAATATCCCGAAACGATAACTACTGAATCTGAATCCCTTTGCTGCTGACTCTATGGGGTTGATTCTTTTGCTTTATATTACTTTTATTTTGATTTTGATTTTAGGTTTTTTATCTTGTCTTGATGGATTGTCTATCTACTCCAGACATTTTCACCGAATCCCGCAATGGCGGGATGTCCCTCCCCCAAACCTACCGAAGAGTAAATAAATCAAAGTTAAACGTACTAAACCTGGATGTGGAGGAAAATCCTTGGCAGGCGTAAATCTCATACAAACGTACTTTACTTGCTGAGGCTTCGTTCTCGTGTACAGACAAGCCTTCTGTCGGAGAAGCTAAGAAAGTGTGGAGGAGATCCCGAACCAGCAAGTTCCCTGTTTCATTGAGAGAAAGATAGAGGGAAAAAAAAAAAAAAAAACCGGGCTTAGAAAACTCATGGAAAAAGTTGTTCTATCAGATGCGAGATGTCAGACGATCTGGGGATGACCACCACGACTTAGCGCTACGTGGGTGGTTGGTGTTTGAGGATGGTGGTTGGTGGTGGCGATCTGTCAATGCCAAAGCCATGCCTGCATAGCATAGCATAGCATTAGCATGACAACCCTTGTGGTGTCCGGAGCATGCAATGAATTAATTGGATAGATCCAGATTCCATGCGACTCCGAATCTGGAGTTCCCGTTTCGTGCGGGAAGGACAAAATCATCATGGCGGTCTTTTATCGGCCAGGCGGTTTTGCCTTTTTGATATCACTCATTCACCTGTCATGGTTCAGACATCAGTCTAGGATCATATCGGAGCCACGGGCGATCGTCGGTCATCATCATGCATAAGCAGCAAATCCCTTTGGTGTTGCAGGAGGACTATTGGTCCTCGTCACGCCTGCGTGCATTCAGTCCAACCTGTCAAGTAGATGGAAAATTGTCGCAGCGCAACGTGGTGGTCTCTGAACGTTGTGTACTCCGGACGGTGCAGTGAAAGTAGCGGAGTCGGTCCGCATTACAATAATAGTGTGTACTCCTGTACTCCGTCTGGCAATCGGAAAGCGGCGAGATAGATAGTAGAACGATGACGATGACCTCGAGAAAGGATCAACGCCGATGAAATCATCGGCGTGCAATCCATGCAATACTCTACTCTTTACTCTAATCTATTCTCAGAGTTCCAGGCTATTATAGCTCCTAGTGTTATACACCAAACAGGACTAATGAATAACAACTTAAGTATGATGATAGTCCGTGATCCCATCACAATAATCGAAAAAGCAACCAAATGGAGAGCGCGACTAACTAGTTGGCGGAGTCTCGCACTAGGGAAACGACCACTCACAGGAAATGACGCTCGTGGATGGAGACCTTTGCCTCCCCACGAGACAAGACGGGACGAAACTCAATCAGCGTAACAGAGGGAATGGAGCGAGGCTAATGAAGGGAAGGGTGGACGCCCAGTCGTCATACGTCTTTGGTGGGAAGAGAAGCGATCGACTTCTTGGGTTGGTAAGTGCCTTTTTTCTATTTTATTTTATTCGTAATATGTTTTATTTTATATTTAAGTATTGTGGTTTTTTTAGTCACATAACCAAAAAAAAGGCGAATAATCAAAATACAAATTGTATGGAAGAGAGAGAGCGGGGCGTGGGGACAAGGTCGACGAGTGCGTCTGCAGAAAATAAATGATAATTATTATTGTTCATCCTTTCCACTGATAACAAATGATCGATAGGAAAAACTAATCCTGATGACATAACAATGGGCTCTGGTCTGGGAATACTCTCGCTACTCCTGTTCTGCTTGAAAGGTGAATGCCATAAGATTGTGGTAAAGATTCCGTATTGAAGTGTAATCTGGAGGTCATCCACCGGGTGGGAAGAAAAGGTACATTACACGTCGGGACTTCCGAACGGTTGAGACGACCATTATTATTATCAAATGAAGTCTCACGATGATCCATTGATGATGCCGAAGCATCGTATCATAATCAAACCATACAGGAGGAGAGACTCGAAATTGTCTTTTGTTTATTTCATTTCATTTCATTTTTTTTTAATTTGCTCTTCTTTGCCCTGTGGAAATGGCATGGACTTTACCCCTTGCGTTTTCCCGCTTGGTTGAGCTCGTGGTTATTGGTGACGGGTACGTCGGGTAGGACGGCCCTTGAATGGGAACCGTAAATAGGGTATTTCCGGTCTGAAGTCTGAAGTAACCAAACGGAGCATTTTGCTGCAACGAGAAACAAAAAACAATGTTAGTTTTGTTTGTTTGTCTTGTATGTCTCGTATGCACCCGTAACGGAACATTTTACTATTACTACTACTACTATTAGCACTACTACGTCGTACTCCAGATCTCGTACTATTGGATTTCGAACAAAGATTAGTCTTCTTCTTTCTTCATCATCCGCTGCAAGGAGGTGGAGGAAATAAACAAAAATAAAAAGTAAAATGACGGGACCCTGACTGGTCATTTGATGCAGGGCAAGGAAGATAACAGAAACCGATAGTGTTTTCTTGTCATTGTCTTGTCCGTCTCCCGTTGGTCTTAAATTTTCTGGAACTTTGATGGCAAAATGATGATTATGATTACTCGAATCCATTGAAATTATTTGGTGAAGGGTCGAAAAAAAGCCTTGTCGCAAGCGGATGGAAAATCGCGCATAGTAAACGAGGTTGAATGGGTGGACGCCAGGAAGGATTAGGAAAATTAACGAGGGCCACCCGCACGCGGCACTGCGTACGGACTGGACTGGGCTGGACGCAGTAGTAAGAGTAGGACCCCTAGAGCCAGAGCCAGGTACGAGAGCGAGGGAGACGCCGGGCCAAGCGTATGGTACCATACCAGTCGCATACCTCCGAGGGGAGAGGTATTTCACCTACTGGCCGACTTTACCGATGTATTGTAACGTACCATGACACCCCAGAATCCTCTTATTGTGCTTTACAAGTGTATGGAGAGAGTGGAGGAGAGGGGGGGCAAACTCGGCACAGAGCTGCCGGTCATGGAGACTAAGCGTACAGTAGAGATTTCCCCATTGAGTATAGAAGAGAAGGCACCTGAGGCGTAAGGCGGCGTACTATCGTGTTAATATGGAAGGTAAGAGTTTTTCCCAGTGAGAAAAGCTAAACTGAATGCGGGAAGTGGCCCACAATTTAGTTCTGGAGAAATGAGCCATACAGGGAAAGGGAAAAAAATCAAAATGTGAAAAATATGTTGAAAAAAAAAAAAACATATTTTCTTTGCCTCGGGGAGGGCGTCCCGTTAAGCAAAAATGTGTGTGCGTGGGAGGTTTAGAACCGAAGGAGGGCCGGAGGTCGGGTCGGTCTTTCAGGGACAGCGAACTTTCGATCAAAGTGGCTACTGCTCCCGGCCACACCACCCAAGAAATTCAGAAACCCAATAAAAAAGACAAAGAAGGAAAAAAAGAAAAAAGGGAAAAAAAAAAAAAAAGTGGGCTTACGCACAGGGAAGGTCGCCCGTTGGAGCTTAGGGCCCAAGACGTGTTTGTTCAGGTCCCGTGCAAATCAGTCTCGCTCCCCCCCCATCCAGACATATTAAAGAGTACATCCCTTCCACCCCTCGGTCTCGTTCCCCTCCCTTCTTTTCTTCTTCATAGGAATTCCGACTCTTGCCATTCTTGCCATTTCTCGTTTGCATCTGCTCATATCGTTGGGTCCCGAAGGCTGTGTGAGCCGAAGCAACAATGGCGGAGCGGAGAATCTCCTATGCTCCCGACGTGGAGAATGGTGACCATTCTCGCACTGCTGATATCAATGATGGCGCCGGTCTCGATGAGTATGCCGCTTTGAACCGTTATATCTCGACCGCTCGCGACAAGCGCCGTGGCTCAACCTCTTCTGCTGGTGCTATGAGCGCCAAGAAGGCTAAGAAGAGCTGGCAATTCTGGAAGAAGGGAGGAGATGGTGTTGAGGAGGGTTTCGTCTGCCCCGATGAGTGGGTTGACACCGACATGCGCACTGGTCTTCGCTCTACCGACGTCGAGGCTCGTCGTAAGCGTACCGGCTGGAACGAGTTGACCACCGAGAAGACCAACTTCTTCGTTCAGTTCATTGGTTACTTCCGTGGTCCTATTCTTTATGGTATGTTGCCTCTTGACGGCTCAACCTGAGGGAGGTCGCCACGCTAACAGTCAACTAGTTATGGAACTTGCTGTCTTGCTTGCCGCTGGTCTGCGTGACTGGATCGATCTTGGTGTCATTATCGGTATTCTTATGCTTAACGCTGTTGTCGGTTGGTATCAGGAAAAGCAGGCTGCCGACGTTGTCGCTAGTTTGAAGGGTGACATTGCCATGAAGGCTGTCGTCGTTCGTGATGGACAAGAGCAGGAAATCCTCGCTCGTGAGCTTGTTGCTGGTGATATTGTATGTGTCTGGCATGATTTGGTTTCACATTCTTTGACTAACTAATTTGATCGATAGGTCGTCGTTGAGGAGGGTACTGTCATTCCTGCCGATGTTCGCCTTATCTGCGACTACAGCAAGCCCGAGATGTTCGAGACCTACAAGGAATACCTCGCCACTGCCAACGATGATACTCTCAAGGAGAAGGATGATGATGATGATGGTACTGGCATTGAGGCCCGTGCTGGCGTCTCTCTGGTCGCCGTTGATCAGTCCGCCATCACTGGTGAATCTCTCGCTGTCGACAAGTACATGGCCGACACTTGCTACTACACCACTGGCTGCAAGCGTGGTAAGGCCTACGGTGTTGTTCTCGCTACCGCTAAGCAGTCTTTTGTCGGTAAGACCGCCGCTCTCGTTCAGGGTGCCTCCGACTCCGGTCACTTCAAGGCTGTCATGGACAACATTGGTACTACACTTCTCGTTCTTGTCATGTTCTGGATTCTCGCTGCCTGGATTGGTGGTTTCTACCGTCACTTGAAGATTGCTACCCCCGAGAACGATGACAACAACCTGCTTCACTACACTCTTATTCTCCTCATCATCGGTGTTCCCGTCGGTCTCCCTGTCGTCACCACTACCACCCTTGCTGTCGGTGCCGCCTACCTCGCTGAGCAGAAGGCTATTGTCCAGAAGCTTACCGCCATCGAGTCCCTTGCTGGTGTTGATATCCTATGCTCTGACAAGACTGGTACCCTTACTGCTAACCAGCTCTCTATCCGTGAGCCTTACGTCAATGAGGGTGTTGATGTTAACTGGATGATGGCTGTCGCTGCTATTGCCTCAAACCACAACGTCAAGAACCTCGATCCCATTGATAAGGTTACCATCCTTACCCTCCGTCGTTACCCCAAGGCCCGTGAGATCCTTGCTCGCAACTGGGTTACTGAGAAGTACACTCCTTTCGACCCCGTCTCCAAGCGTATCACCACTATCTGTACCTGCGACGGTGTCCGTTACGTCTGCGCCAAGGGTGCTCCCAAGGCTATCCTCAACATGTCTGAGTGCTCCGAGGAGGAGGCTGCTAAATTCCGTGAGAAGTCTGCTGAGTTCGCTCGTCGTGGTTTCCGTTCCCTCGGTGTTGCCGTCCAGAAGGAGGGTGAGCCCTGGCAGCTTCTGGGCATGTACCCCATGTTCGACCCCCCTCGTGAGGATACTGCCCACACCATCGCAGAGGCTCAGCACCTTGGTCTTTCCGTTAAGATGTTGACTGGTGATGCTCTCGCTATCGCCAAGGAAACCTGCAAGATGCTTGCTCTCAGTACCAAGGTCTACGACTCCGAGCGCCTTATCCACGGCGGTCTTGCTGGCTCTGCTCAGCACGATCTTGTTGAGAAGGCTGACGGTTTCGCTGAAGTTTTCCCCGAGCACAAGTACCAGGTCGTCGAGATGCTCCAGCAGCGTGGTCACTTGACTGCCATGACTGGTGACGGTGTCAACGACGCTCCTTCCCTCAAGAAGGCTGACTGTGGTATCGCTGTCGAGGGTTCCACTGAAGCCGCCCAGGCCGCCGCCGATATTGTCTTCCTTGCCCCTGGTCTTAGCACCATCGTTGATGCTATTAAGCTCGCTCGTCAGATCTTCCAGCGTATGAAGGCTTATATCCAGTACCGTATTGCTCTGTGTCTCCATCTTGAGATCTACCTTGTTACCTCCATGATCATCATTGATGAGACCATCCGTGCTGATCTGATTGTCTTCATTGCTCTGTTCGCTGATTTGGCTACTATCGCTATTGCCTACGATAACGCTCACTTCGAACAGCGCCCTGTCGAGTGGCAGCTTCCCAAGATCTGGGTTATTTCCATCGTTCTTGGAATCTTGCTCGCCGCTGGTACCTGGATCATCCGTGCTTCTCTCTTCCTGTCCAACGGCGGTATCATCCAGAACTTCGGTTCTCCTCAGGAGATCCTCTTCCTCGAGGTTGCCCTTACTGAGAACTGGCTGATCTTCGTTACCCGTGGTGCTAAGACCTGGCCCTCTTGGCAGCTCGTCGGTGCCATCTTCGTCGTCGATGTCCTCTCTACCCTGTTCTGTGTGTTCGGCTGGCTCTCCGGTGATTACCGCCAGACCAGCCCTCCCAGCAAGGCTGAGTTCTCCGTTAACGGCGATGTTGACATTGTCACCGTCGTTGTCATCTGGGCTTACTCTATCGGTGTCACCATCATCATTGCTGTCGTCTACTACATCCTCACTATCATCCCCGGTCTCGACAACCTTGGCCGCAAGAACCGCTCCAAGGCTGACACCAAGATCGAGAACCTGCTTGGCCATCTCTCCAAGCTGGCTATCGAGCACGAGACCGACGCCCACGGCAAGTCCCGCTACACGCTGGGTGCCCGTGCTGAGGTTGACTCGGATGACGAAGCATAAACGCTTGATTACGCTCATTTTATTTAATATTATCCAATCTGGATATCACTTGAGCATACATGCATGTGCTGGTGCACCGGCTTTATTATTTACCCCCGTATTATAGACTTTTTATGCCTTTATTACTTTGCTCTAAGTTCATAGAGTGAATTTTTTCCTTTCTTTTATCATGTATGTATGTCATTAATAGTGGTAAATTAGTCAATCAAGGGTTTCCAAAGAATTTGCTTTTTCTTTCGTAAAATTTCTATTTTGCCCCCCTCTCACCCTCTTTGTTTGGTTTTCTTAAGATCAGCTTGGGTCCTTTCCATCATTCCGTATTATTTGGATCGGCAAATCTGCGCTTAGTCTCTTAACTAAGACACGGTCCACTTAACGCACACAGAGCCCCTCTTGGCAGGTACGGTGGGGCCTCATTATCTCAACTGCGCGGACAGACTGGTGGCCACACTTCGGAGGATGCCCGATAGAGAGAAGAGGCCGAGGTAACTTCTCGAATGTTTGAATCATGTAGCAGTTTTGGTGGGTAGTCGAGCTGACCTGGCCAGCTCGAAGCTGTGGTGGATTCGGTCCACTGTGCGATTAGTCGAAATTGATCATATGAACAATTGCTGCAAGGTACGCCCCGCTCTGTTATTGGGGTCCGTCCATGCGAGAGAAAGAAAGAGAAGAAAAGAAGTACAAAAGAAAAAAAAAAAAAAAAGACTCCTTCAGCGGGCCAAATATTCGCCTGTAATTTGAGGCATCATATATGTTGGCCCGAATGGTACGATGAGTACCAAAGTGGAAGGTCTCCTGAGTTGAGCAACAGGAAAAGGATGACACAAAATGTATACCAGAGGCCTCTCTGTTCATGAGTCTCATGCGATATGCTTGTATCTGAATCCATACCTACGCTTTCTTATTCTCCATGTACTGTACTTATGTACCACTCGCGACTCTACTCCACATATCCCACTGCAAACAGAATAATCAAAGCAACAGAGTAACAATATGTCTCAAATTCATATTCAGCATACTAGTACGTATGGACCTTCGCTGGATACGAATAGTATCGCATCGTCCAATCCAAGGGCCAAAAGCGCCTACAGGTGGAAAGCAATTCTCCGCAGACAGCATCCAAATTTCTCCGTCTCCCCCGTCTGGGTAAATCCACGCCCAAGTACGGGGTGGAACAATCTCCAATGCCCCCAGATTCATCCAATTAGTGGTTTAAGAGGCTATACAAGCTCTTGTGCCATGGCTAAGCCTTGTGATCGTCAGCGTATGCTTGACCAACGACGTTGATCCTGCAGGGTTGGGTTTACCGGTCTGAATGCATTGCGTCTCTGCAATTTTTCCTAAGTTAACCGGACAAGAGACAGATTTTCCGGATATGAAGTATAAAACGTTCATGGTGCATTGGGGAATGAGAGCGAGAGGAGGGATTGTCGGTCTACAACAGTTCGTTTCTATAGAGAGTGGTCAGCATGCGCTCATTTGGGCGGTCACTCTTGCTCGGTGCTGTTTTGGCATCTGCTAAACACCTCAAACCCTCCAAACACACCTGCCAAACGATCCTCACTTGCCCGGAAGGGACAATCTTTGTCTCCAAAACAGACCCCTCTGCCCATTTCACCACCGTTCAAGACGCCATCTCTTCTCTTCCGAATGACAACTCTACCCAGACAATCCTTATTCTTCCAGGAACGTACGAGGAACAAGTAAACGTCACTCGATCTGGACCGATTACGCTCCTCGGCCAGACTGATGATCCCAAAGATGCTACAAAAAACAAAGTTACCCTCACGTGGGCCCAAGCGAACCATGACAACACCGGCAAGGCAGTGGACAATGTCTTCTCGAGCGTTTTGACCGTAGCGCCCACACTGGAAGCAAGCTACACGGGGTCCGGCACGACAGGGTACCCCGTGCCAGAGGATACACCGTTTGGAAATGTAGATTTCCGTGTGTATAACGTTGATTTCACGAATACGTGGCGAGAGTATTCCGATGGGCCGGCACATGCGATCAGCTTTAGTCGCGCCAATGGCGGATTCTATCACTGTGGGTTCTATTCGTATCAGGATACTGTACGTCTCCAATTTCGCTTTCCCTTCTAGTCCGGTGCGAAATGTTACTGATACAAGGCATATTAGGTTTACGTGGGTAAACTCGGCAACGCCTACTTCTATAAAAGCATCATCGCCGGACAAACAGACTTCCTCTACGGCTTCGGCACTGCCTGGATTCAATCTTCTGAAATCCTTCTGCGCAACTGCGGTGGTGGTATCACAGCCTGGAAAGGGACCAACACCACCTTCACTAACAACTACGGCGTGTACATCGTCGATTCCACCGTTAAGGCAGCCAATGCATCCATTGCCCCCGAAATCAAGGGTAGATGCGCCCTAGGCCGTCCGTGGAATAGCCTGCACCGGTCCGTATTCGCATGCACCTCAGAAGACGCAAGTATCCTCCCTAGTGGGTACATCGACTGGATTGTTGACGGCCAAGGTCGACAGAGCAAGGAAACCGTCATGGCAGAGTACAGGACTTTTGGACCGGGCTACAATGCTACCGGTCGAAGGGACGGCAACGTCACGAGAGTACTGGACGACAAAGAGTACACGCGATACAGTTCTCCAGCAAGAGTCTTCCAGTATCCAGATGGCAAACTGGGAAATATCGGCTGGATCGATCAGAGCATTGCCATACCAATGACTAATTAACTACTTTAACCCTTAACATACAAATACACCCAACCACGCTCAACCATATCATACACAAAAAATCAGGCAATCAGACACCGAAGTACAAGACAGCTTTCATCATCATTCACACACCCCCCTCCAACCCCCCAACCCTCGCCAAATACGCCGCCCCCGTATCCGCCCAAACCTCATAAACAACCACTTTCACCTCCCCCAACTCCTCCTTAAGCTCAATCCGATACGCAAACGTTTCATCCCAAGCCTGCCCTGTCTCCTTCCACTTGAATCGTGCCTTACCCCGCAACGAAACAGCCATCGCCCTCTCATCCACGACCCAGTTATCCTCTGGTTCGAAATCCATCTGCTCGATGGTAAGGTAATCCGCCAGGAGCCCGAAGTAGGTTGTTAGGCCTTCGTGGCCGGTAAAAGGACGGCCGAGGAAGGGGGCGAGTTGTGGGAGTCCGTGTTCGAGGGCCGTGGGGGGTGGGGTTTTTGTGAAGTTTGAGAGGAGCGTTGGTAATGGGGAGGCGGTGGAGAAGTTTGCACATAGGGTGCGGACTCGGGAAGTGAGGGATTCGCGTTGGGACATTTCGCTTCTTTTTCCTTCTTCTTCTTTCCTTCTTTTTTTTTGGGCTTCGGGCTGATTCGGAGGTTAGGCTGATGATATTGAGGTTTGGTGGTTGTAGTTGTTGTACTTGATTTTGGGGATGAGGGGGAGAAGAGGGTTGTTTAACTATGACGTCGAGGTTTGGATATTTTCTTATTTGTGCCCCAGATGGATGGATGAAATGATTGATGGACTGCAGTCAACGCACTTCGTTAATCATGTATCTACCGGCACTAGTAGTCAAAAATACAATGGCAATGATAAATCTTGCGGGGCTCAACCTGCTTGCCGCCGAGAATGACCTCTTTTAACAACCAAACTCCACGCCGTGGCGTAATCAGACAAATTCGGTAAGACAACTATAGAAGATAAAAAGAGGAAATGAGGTCCATGGGATGAATAGTAGAAAAAGAAAAGGGGTTGGGTAAAGATAGAAAGACTAAAGGAGCAGCAATGAAGAGCAGAAATAAAAAGTTACTGCTTCCAGGACTTTCCGCAGTTTAGACAGGTGCAGAACAGCGTCATCGGTTCGTCTGCACTGCGTGTCTGCGCCTCAGTGTATGTAACTTTGCGCTGTCCGCACTTGCCACACTGCAGACTTGTACTGATACTGCGCTCTGCTTGTGCGACCATTGCCTTGTCCATGTTCTCCTTCTGGATCTTGCGGTCATTCTCACGCTGTTCGTCCGAGCGCAGCTCATCGTGTGACATGCGCACGAACTGCTCGGGGGACACCTCGCTGCTGAGGACACGGATCCGAAGACTGGGATTCGACTTGTTCTTGAGGTTCTGGAATAGACTGCGGATCTTGGTGCGGTACTGCTCCTTGGTCTCGGGGCCCAAAAAATTGTACGCCGCGGCTTCCACGGCGGACGCCTTGGACAGAACGGTGCGCGGAGATTCCGTGGAGTTCAGACACAGTCCGTCATACATCAGCCCAATGCAACTGTCACGAATTTTGTTTCCCGTCTGATTGACATCCACCCCATCTGCTTTCCATGAACGTTTATCTGGGGCAACTGACGATTTGGACGCCTTGTCGGATGGTGTCGTACCAGCAGGTGAGGCTGTGCCATTTTGCGCTGGGCGCGGCGAATTACTAGATCGCTGGCTAGGTGCGGGCGATCCTCCGGCCTTCTGCTTGTTGACTTCATTCCGCCATTTGGAGACGATTTCACTGGATAAGCGGGAGACCTCGGGTGACTTGTGCTGTTTGAACTTGTTGACAATGATTCCCACGCGAGTGGATCGAAGCAGGTCCTCGGTTGCCTTCACGCCTTGTTGGAGCTCTTTGAGTAAAGATACAATGTTGGCTGCGGGCTCATTCTGAGTGGCGGCCTTGGTCAAGGCTTTGGCCTTGAGCTCGATTTCCTTCGCTTCCAAAGGCATGATGATATAAATATGATCTAAACGAAAGGCAGGAGGCTTTGAAGCACCTGTCAGATGAAACTCCATGGTTAGCGCAAACTTGAGAAGATATTGATATCGAATAAGCAGTCAACGTAGAATGTGATGATGATGGAATCCATAATGCCGATTTGAACACAGTCATTAGCGTATAGGATCGCAATAGCTAATGAATAGCCCTCCCCCGAAACTGCTCAACTTTATGAACGCCAGGGGTTGGAATATGGCGGGACCCCAATGCGCACGTGCCTCTTCATACAATAGTCCATCAGATAATGCCACTAATACAAAGGCATAGATCGTCTCCAACCCATGCGCAGGTAACATATTATATCGAGCGCCCGTAGAGCTTCCACAGAGAACGACGGCAGGCGACGGTGGAAGGAATGCAAGAAAGAGGGGGATTGACAGACACCACACTCACTCTTAACGTTTCACAGCGACGCTCAAGAAGTAGCGCAAATGACCGAGCGCAAAGATTGAGATGGGCGGAAGTAGATACACTCCCCAAAGACAGGGTGGAATGAATGAGGAGATGGGTGGGGGATGTAGTGAAAGAAGAAGAGGTGGAAGTCGGAAGTAATTTATGAAGGCTGCGATCCGCGCGATTCCCAATACTCCACGCCAAGCCCGAATTGCCTGTTTCGGAATGGCTCCTGTTCACCGATTAAGAAGTATGACAGATGACCATTTGATTCCTCCTACGAACTCTCTTCCTCTCTCTATCTCTCTGTGCCGGTGGATTCCATTCTCATTTTTAGTCCATTATATACATCACTCGGGTTTAGAAAAAGTTAAGTCGTATGGTTGGAACAGGCCAATGGCTGTGTCTATTCTAATGTCCCTGAACAAAAGTGAAGAAGATACCAAGATGCGAACATGACGATGGGCATAAAGCATAAAGCAGAGGACGTCGGTGGTATCCATGTAAGCGCGCAAGTCACGGTGACGGATGTCAGGGCGATCTCAACTGGCACGTTGATACGGACATTCGCGGAGCCCATTCTGGGTGACTCTTTTGACCGTAGCTAACTGACGTATGCCAGCTGGCGCTAGACACATCATCGGACATGACCACAGCTCCTGCGCGTAAAAAGGTACCGCCGGTGCATCCGATATATGGGGAATGATGGAGGTGGGCGAGTAATCGGCCAAGCCAAGATATGTTTACAGGGCAGTTTTGCCAAACGCCTCCGCAAGTTCGTCAACGTCCAGATCCTTCTTCTGAGCAACTTTTGCCTCTTCGTTCTGGGCATTGTCTTTCACGAACTTCTCGGCCTTCTCCTCTTGCTCTTCGGCCTCTTCCTCTTCCTCCTCCTCGTCACTTTCCTCTTCGAGCTCATCCAGCTCGTCCACGCCCCACATCTCCTCAGGGTCGTCATCCTTGCCGTGCTCCTCCTTACGAGCCTCCAAGATCTCACGTAGCTCATTCACGTTGTCATCCTCCTCCATGAACTTGTTTCCATTCAGCTCGATTCGACGCAACGATGACAGCGCAGTCTTGGTCGCATGTAAGAACTGCTTGACGCCCTCGGCCGAGATCTCGTTGTATTGCAGACGAAGGGTTTCCAACTTCTCGTTCTTGGCACCAGCCAAAGCCTGCGCAACCTTCACACCACCACGGGCAGAGAGCAAACAATCGCCCACGCCAAGTTCGCGCAGGGCTGTCCAGCCTGGCAGCACTTCGGAGAGAGCAGTAGAGCCCATGACGGTGAAAGTGTTATCCTGCAGGTCAAGAACTTCGAGGCCGCTGGCGTGGCGGAGACCCTCCCTCAACAACAGGGAGATGCCCTCCTGACGGATTCCATTTTGCGTCATCTTCACCGAGCGCATACCTGCAGCGTGAACTCTGTAGGCACGGGCCCAAGCCGCCATACTTCCGTTCTCCAGTCTGTTCCGTCCACAGACGATGCTCTCCAGTTGGGGAACCTCCTTTCCTGCTTTGCGGGCTTCCTCCTTACGCTTTGCAAGCTCCTCCAGCGCCCCAGCAATCTCCACACCAGCATCGGGGCCCATACCATTATTGTTCAAAATCAGATGGCGCAAAGGAACGTGGGCCGAGAGGAAGTCGACGAGGGGCTTGGACATCCGCTTGCCGAACGCATTGTCGGAAAGATTGACAGTGTGAAGAGTCGGGATCTCAAGGAGCGCATGCAAAAGGTGGGTCAAGGCGATCGGGATCTCTTCGATCAGACGTGAAGTGAAGATGTCGGCAAGTTCAGCGACTTCCAGGTTCTTCTGGGTGGAGAAGGCAGAACCCAAACGCTCACAGGCTGTCACGCCAAAAGTATTTCCACCAAGACGGATTTCCGTATAGTCGGTGCTCTCGAACAGAGGCTTGATGTGGGCTTCGACATCCTCAGCGGTGTCCAGCTTGAGGCCTTTGCCTTCAAGAGAAAAGACCTTGGGAGGGGCCATGGCGGGGTTAAATTCAGGGGGTAGAGTATTGAAAGGAGACAATCAGAGAAGATAACACTAAAATGGTGATCAGTATAATGTCTAAGGCGACTATACGAAGTAATGCACTAGTGAAAAGTATAAAGAGAGCGTGTGGAAAAGTAAGAGAAGAGCGAAGGCGAAAGGAATAAAAACTTCAAGAAAGCCCAGCAGGATGATTATCTTCCAATTGACAGCCATAATATCACGCTAAGCCTAATTCGATCAATAACAAAACTTCCGATCGCCGCTCCGGGATTCCACAGCAACCACTTCCGTCATTTGTCTCCGTCGCATCATCGAATTAATCAGCATATTTTTCACCAGCTTGATCCATTCTCCACGGTCTCTACAAACATCTGCAGTCTCTCACTTGAACCTACTAGCCAGATCACTGTTTCCTTAAATTCCTCCCACCATCTCCCATCCCAACACCTCCCATCATGTCGTGGCTCTTCGGTTCCAGCCGTAAGTCACTTCTCCAAAACCTCCGGTTCTCCGCAAGTCCACGCTACTAACAACCAAATCTCCCAGGCACAGCAGAGAAAGCCCCCGAACCCACTCCGGCGCCTGCCGAAAAGCCAAAGGTACAACAACCCCTCACCTCTCTCGGTCCCTCTATGCCCACAATTCTAATCAAGAAGCCATATACAGCCCTGCTGCGTCTGCAAGGACGAAAAGACTACCCGGGATGACTGCATGCTCTTCTCAAAATCCGACGACCCGGCCCAAGAATGCAAGTCCGTGATTGAACAGTACAAGGCCTGCATGGCTGGCTATGGATTCAAGGTCTAGATATACTTGTTGATGTGGAGCTGGTGGACAGGATCAAGTGCATGCAGCTTGGTGTTTTCACTGCATGGCGTTTCGGGGTTTGCTTATGCATAGACTGTATAATAGATGTATTTGTTTCATGGGTTTTCCTGGTCTCTCCATTCTTGTATAATTCAATTCAAATGTAACTTATGACTTCTGGTTTGGGCTGTACGGTTGCTAGAGAGTAGCATGTCTTACGGTGTCCAGTTTCGGTGAAATTGGCTTTTGTAGACTGCGCGATAATATTAATATACACAACGCAAGTGTGCCTGGAGTTCTTGAAAAGAAAATGGGTATCGTTCGAATTAACCTCCTGATCTAGTTTGAACATAGGAAAAAAGAGCTGGGGTGGATTATTGGTTCTTTTTCTGCATATTCTTTTCCATGTTGCGATCAATCGTCCACCACTGCAGAACCAGCTTCCGCAAGCACCACAAATACGCAAGCCCGAAACCGGCAGCGCCAATGAGGACATTGAGCACCACCCAGAGATCCGGCTTTCCAGGCGGAGGCGGGACGAAGGCCTCCAACACATGCCATCCGGTCATGGCAAAATAGAACATCGAATGGATAAGTTTGGTGATGATGTGAGGTTCAGGGAGCGGGTTGGAGTCATCTGAGGATGTTCGGCTACGATAGACATCCCAGGTGGTGGGAGGAAGTCCAAGCAGATAAGCCCAGAGGAATGTCATGACGAAGTACGGAACGCGGAGGCCGTCGCGCTGCAGAAGGGGGAACATTGTCCAAGAGCCTAGCATATTGGCCCATCCCACCCATGCGCGAGTTTCTTTGCTTAACCCTGCATCACCCGCGAGCAAAAATGTCATGGGCAACAAAGGGAGTAGAACACTCTTTTCGTGAACCTGGAAGGAGAACAGAAAAAACCCCCAGGCTACGGTGGACAAGGCCGGAAGGAGAAATGAAGCGCGCGGGTGACGAAAGATTATAGCGCAAGGAATCGTTATCGATGCTAATGTGGCGCCTAATGACACTCGTTGAAGCAAAGCCGCCTCAAATCGATGGAGCTTGTAAAACGTGTGGATGGCGCACCATGCATTGGCGACCTTGTCCTCAAACAAGCCACGAGAAAATGGAAAGATGCGGTGGATAATTTGTGTCAGCTGGAGTAAAGGCGCGTAAAGAATTGAGTTTTTGTCCAGCTCAATGGGTAGCGCCTGCAGCACAGGTGGAAGTGGGATCGAGGACAGGTGATTTTGGGCATCAACACTAAGTGCAGCCACTACCAGTGGGGAAATGAGAACGGCGAATGAAGCAATAGTGACCAGAGAAATGCAAAGAAGACGGGTAATGTGAATACGGCGGGACAGGCAGATGCCCAGGAGAAAGGCGAACATGACGGGGGCGTAGTACAGTGCCATCTGCTTGAACCCCAAAGCACCCACAAAGAATATACAGGCCCAGAGCATGCGTCCTGCCAGAATTGCATCCAGACTTGCAGCAACAAGCCCCAGCATCACAGTGTTGTATTGGAAATGGCCATGATCAATGAGGATGGTTGACGGCTGCAAAAGGATAGCAGCCAGGGAGATGGAGGCAGACCATACGGGAACCCCATGCATTTGTGTGTACCGGCGCAGAAAAGTGACGACTGCTGGGATGTAAATAAGATACTCGGATACTACCACCGTGGCTCGCATGAATATTTTTAGCTGTGGATCCTCAAATCCACGAGACGCATCCAGAGCAAACCACGACGGATCAAAGAGAGTGCCACTATTGACTATCAGCATCGATACAGCTTATAGTTCGCTAAATCGATTGTTCACGTACATCTTTCCCAGCAGCCAGCTATGGTATGCAGTCAACGGCGGATAATCGAGTCCCCAGTATTGCAAGTCGTATGTATACCATTTTGACATCGGCAGGTGGATGGTTATTTCCATCCAATGTCTTTGCGCCTCGAAATCGCCATGCATCGGGGGCACTTGGAAGCCTACATTTGGTTAGAAATAAGCCTCGTAAACCGGGGAATTGTTCCGCTTACCAGAGTATCCCCACAGACTAACGGCCCAACGAAAGAGGCCCACTGCCATCAAAATAAGAGGGAGAATAAGCCATTGAGATACGCCAGCCCGAGAAGCCCATAAGAAAGATACTAACGGGAATGCCGGCGAAGGTTTACCATCCCCAGCATCTATAATGAGGGCGTTGTTCGACCCGGAAGAAGACAATGGGAACTTTCTCTTTTTCCGCGGGCGATAGGATGAGGGCAGGGGGGTCATGGTTTCGAAAGAAAAGGAAATTACGGTATACCCATTGACTGTATGAAAATTAAGCGAAACCGAGGCAGAAAACTATTTAAGCCGAGGAGAAGCGCTGGTAGATGGAAGAAGAAAGGTACACCTCTTGAATGAATGCAATTGTTGGTTCCGGAGAATGAGACTCGGAGGTGGTAATTATTCACCAATCAAATCTCTATCGGCGTCCCACTTGAAAGTACCTTGAGCTAGGGTTTATCAGGCAAGCGGTGATCAGGGATTTCTGCCTACCTCCAAATTTTCTTACTTTTTTTTTTCCTTCGGGGGTCCACATCTTATCTGGAGCTCCAGCTTTTGAAATTTTCTTTTCTTCATCTCCCTCTATCTTCACCTACTTCTTTGTTTTCTGTTTCATTCCTCCCCCATTCACCTTTCTCATCCCCATACCTTTCACTTAGTAGTATTTGCTACCAAGTGACTGTTCTGTATTCATCAACTGACATCTCGTGGGCTTAATACACTGAGGGCTGTGGGCTGTGGCATATTGCAATCTACCTTGTGGGATCTGTGGGTTACTCTCGTGGGTTTCGTATCACAAAGTTGCGTATTTCCTGTCCGTCTCTTGTGGGCTTGAACATTGTCATTGTGGGTTACCTGTGGGTATCTGAGAATATTTTTTAAATCGGGTGATTGAGGGATTATACGATTTGCCGCACATTAGTGGGTTCGATTGTTAAAAACTCTTTTTTACTTTAACTTCTACTTGAGAGTCTACAATATCTTGGTTCGTTCTATTTTCTCCTCTCGGACCGTTCCTTCCTGTCCACTAACACGTCGGTGCCACCAGATTCAAAATGTCCAAGACTAAGTCCGTTACCAAGAAGGGTGAGAAGGCCGTTGACAAGACCTTGAGCAAGGTCAAGGACGCTGGTGTCACTAAGGCTTCCCAGTCTCCCAAGAGCAAGAGTAAGCAGATTGCTCGTGAGGTTGCCTCCAAGGGAGACAAGTCTAAGCGCAAGAAGAAGGAGCCTACTCCCAGCAGCAGCTCCGAGTCTGACAGCGATGAGGAGATGGAGTCTTCCAGCTCCAGCAGTGAGAGCGAGAGCGAGGAGGAGAAGCCTGCCAAGAAGGAGGTGAAGAAGGCCGACAAGAAGGCTGCCAAGTCCTCTTCGGAATCTTCCTCTGACTCTGACTCTGACTCTGGCTCTGGCTCTGACAGCGATGAAGAGATGGAAGATGCTTCCAGCAGCGAGAGTGAGGAGGAGAAACCCGCTAAGAAGCAGAAGGCTGAGCCTAAGAAGGAATCCAAGAAGGCGAAGGACTCTTCCTCGGAATCTTCCGATTCGTCGGAGTCCGAGTCTGAGGATGAGAAGCCCGCTAAGAAGGAGGTGAAGAAGGAGGTGAAGAAGGCCGCTGAGTCTTCTGAGTCTTCCGAATCTGAGTCTGACTCCGAGGAGGAGGCGGCTCCTAAGAAGGCTGTCAAGGAATCTAGCGACAGCGATTCGTCTGACTCCGAGTCTGACAGCGAAGACGAGGCTCCTAAGAAGGCTAAGAAGGTATGTGGTTTCACTGTCTCCTTATTTGACTGCAAATGCTAATGGTTCTAGGAATCTTCTGAATCCTCCGACTCGGACTCTTCCGATTCTTCCGATTCCGAGTCTGAGTCCGAAGATAGTGCCAAGGACTCCAAGAAGCGCAAGGCTGACGAGGAACCCTCTACCACCCCCAAGAAGGCCAAGACTGAAGAGCCTGCTGCCGGCGCCTCCAGCAATCTCTTCGTTGGCAACCTCTCCTGGAACGTTGATGAGGCCTGGCTCCAGAGTGAGTTCGAGGAGTTTGGTGAGCTCTCTGCGCGTATCATGACCGAGCGCGACACTGGCCGCTCTCGTGGGTGAGTAATCTCTAACTGAACCGTCTGCAATGCTGTACTGACTTTTCCAGATTTGGTTATGTTGAGTTCGTCAACGCCGCCGACGCCGCCAAGGCTTACGAGGCTAAGAAGGACACCGAGATTGACGGTCGTAAGATCAACCTTGACTATGCTACCGGTCGTCCCGCAAACAGGGAACAGGGTGGTTTCCAGGACCGGGCTCAGGCTCGTGCCCGTTCTTTCGGTGATCAGGCTAGCCCTGAGAGCGACACCCTCTTCGTCGGTAACATCCCCTTCAGTGCCAATGAGGATTCCCTGCACGAGGTGTTCGGTGAGAAGGGAAGCATCTTGGGCATCCGTCTGCCGACCGATCCTGAGTCGGGCCGTCCCAAGGGCTTCGGATACGTCCAGTTTGCGTCGGTTGATGAGGCCCGTAACGCCTTCAACGAGCTGAACGGTGCCGAGATCGATGGCCGTTCGATCCGCCTGGATTACAGCACTCCCCGTGCCAACAACGGCGGCGGCGGTGGTGGTGGTCGTGGCCGTGGCGGCTTCGGCAGCCGCGGTGGTGGTGGCTTTGGTGGTCGCGGCGGTGGTGGCCGTGGTGGTGGCCGCGGCCGTGGCGGCTTTGGCGGACGTGGTGGTGGTGCCCCTAACAAGGCTCGTGGTGGCATCCCCGAGTATAAGGGTACCAAGGTCACCTTCTAATTTCACACGATACCTTGACGAACCGTTGTCTGCTTGATTCTCATTAAACAGGAGTCGGGATCATTTGTATGATTACGTACGGGTTGTTTCTGCTGACTTGCTTTGAATACTCGAAAAGTTTTTGTGGATTTAGCTTTTTATTCTAATTGGATAGAATGAAATAATGAATGATCGTTCTCGATTTGATAGGAATGTGCTTTGATCCTGCTTCTATACTTACTATTTAGTAGAGTCTGCAAGGACAGGTTCTCCGTCTTGGGAAACAGTCCATTTAATTGATTGAACGGTAAGTGCCTTTTATTTCTGGGATTGTTCAATTGTCGTCCTCAGTGTCTTCTATATTTTTCCTTTTTTTCCTTTTTTTTTTTCTTTTTTCCCTTGCTTTTCTATCTCTCGTTTTCTTTGATTTTCTTTTTCTCTTTCCCTTTTATTCTTCTTTGACTCTTCAAGAGTACTATTGTTTGGTCCTCTGCCGATGTCGGGTGAACTGTGAGTGGTTCTTGTGCTGATCTGCTGATTTGAACTTAATCAACCCCCAAGTCAGCTGTGCATCGACATCATTAGGTATCCTTCCCTCGTCCAACTTCTATTTCATACCTCTTTCTTCTACTCGTTCCCCATCATCCTTCATCTCAACCAACCACCTTGACTTTGCCGCTGTCAAGGTCGTGGTTGGATATCTCTCTTACTTTTCTATTATCTTGATTGATCTTGATGTGGTCTCTGCTTCTGATAAGATAATCGCGAGCAATAAACTCATTCCCCACCCCCACTTGCCTTCACCCCCTTCCTGATAGTTGACCGCTTCGGACGGTTCCCCTGCGGCCACTGGTGGTCTGATTGAGCGGGATTGATCGACAGCACCCCTCCTTCGACCTTATTAGATCTTTAAGACCTACTTCAACCATTTCAACCTCTCTACTTCTTTATACTTCTCACAATCAAGATCAAGTATACAACAACTATGCAACCAAACCACTATGACCTGCTAGGTCAGGTGCAATCTGATGAGCCTCGACGAGCGACACGAGACGCCCGTCATCAGAATCCCTTCCAGTCACGTTCTCCATCTGGTGTCGCACCCACGAGATCCGAAGGTGAGTATCCCATTCTGCAACAAATATCTGCCTTCGTCCTGTGTCCCCTCTCCTACAACCTCCCTGCGCGTATAGCATGCATAGAGTTACACCCCTCCCGTTAGATACCGCCCTTCTCGTATCAAGATGTACTCACTCCAGTATTATATAGATTCATGGATCGAGGTCGCCTCTCAGCCCTCCTCCTCGTCCCTTTCCTCCATTGCAACAAATGACGACATCATCACCACCGGTCTGCGGGTCGAGCAAAATGGACCGGGAGCATATCATCACCGTAGTCGGCGACGGCGTCTACGACACCTGGCTGCCGTCACAACGGCACAGGTGGACTACTCATCCCGTGAACAGAGCAGTAGCCAAGACGAGTATGAGGAAAGTGAAAGTGAATCAGACCGCGTTATGACTAGCTCCAATGAGGACATGCCTAGACGGTCGCTTGGAAATCCACTACAGTCTCGCGCTGAACCTCCGTCAATATCTGATATTCCCTCGAGTGACGAGGATGATGCATCGACAGCACTAGGGATGCGAATAAGCTCGTCCCCATTCGTCCCACAGCCAAACGTCTTCTCCCATCCGCCATCATCCCGGGATCCCGCCTGGACAAGGCCAGTCGAGAGACACCGTCCCCAGGATAGTGAAGTGTCAAACTGCAGTCGTCAAACAGCTATCCGACGAAATTCACAAGCCAGTATAAGAACAACTCGCAGGCAGTCACAACAGCATAGTCCTTACAATATGATTTCCCCGTCTTACCAGGCAGACCATGATGCAGCCCTCCGTTCCAGTCTCTCTACTCTTCTGTCCTGTGCCGCCGCTGCACGAGGTCTACCGAAATCGGATCCGCAACCCTCTTCACCATCGGGACAATCGCGAGCACAGCCAGCGTCTTTTCGACTGGTATCAGAGTCAGTCGCAATGGGGGAGGAGATCACTGGAGAAGTTCCCGCATCGGCTACCGAGAACAACTCCCCTAGGCGACCACCTGTGGCTCCTTATTCACCACGCCCCACACCTTCTACTCCGAGGGTGAAGCGGCGGTCTAGCTCCCCGAAAGAACACCACGCTTCGGCTTATAGGAAAGGCCGTCGAGCAAGCACGGCGGACTCAGCAGCTAGTCCTACGATTATGACGTGGGTAATCAGCGCTGGCGTCGTAGTTCTCTTTTCTGCAATTAGCTTCTCGGCAGGATATGTGATTGGTCGTGAGGTCGGAAGGATGGAAGCAGGCGCTGGGGTAGGGTCAGTCATAGGCGATGGGAACTTTTCTGGTGGCAGAACGTCCGCGGCTTGTGGCCAGGAAGCCATCAAAGGAGGGCTGAAGCGTTTCCGATGGGGCTCTGGGGCCGCTGGGTCAGGAGTTATTGCATGAACAGCTCAGTACTAAAGCAACAGATCAACTGGATGGGTCTAAAAGGCATTTATGAGCCAAAATGGCGTTTGTTAAGATTTGACAGTGACATGATGTGACGAAGACTTCGGATCTGTCAGTTCCTTTCTTTCCCCATCATTTATTTCTTCTCTGCTATCTTTTTGGGATCCATATACTATACTTTCCTTGATTTCTTTAGGAGTTGTTTTGCACACCAATCGTTTTCGACTACTTCCAAATGATGTATGGGCTGTCTGGGGATGTCTTGGAGGAAGAATTCCTGGCCGTGCTGTTCTTATTACCTTAGGTATAGTTTTTGGTCTTTTATGGCGTTACGGTTGCTACATTATATGTTCTGGATGCACCCTGGAATCTATACCCCTTCTCTTACTTACATTTGGACATAATGGTGGCTAGTTATGAATGCAGTTTGCTATACGTCTATAGTTCTCGTGTCACATAAGGCTTTGGGTCAAATCTTTTCCTGGTGTGACAGGAAATCACAATTCCCGCGCTTTCAGATAAACATGGTAGATCAACGATGAGATGAGGTCTCTTTGAAGTATATCCTCAATTGACAAGATATGTCCTGTAGTGTTGAAAAGTTGGCTATGATGTAGATGTAATGTGCGATAGAGCTGTCAACATAAGCACGAGCTGCACTTGTAAGGCTTATTATGATTCCCGGGAATCAGCTAAGTAGGTACGTAGCTTGAATAGCCATCTGAATTTGGAAGAATTACTGGTCATGATACAACCACTACCCTTTTCTATACATTTATTCCATTTTTCAATTTATCCCCGCCTTCAATTTATCCCCGCCGTAAATTACCTCGACAAGGCAATGTCGTCAATTCTCATGATCATCTTAACGGTCTCGGCTGCGAGTTCGATCGCGCTAGTGCTCACCAGGAGAGGTTGGAGGATGTTCTCCTCGGTTATGTCGTCCTTCACACCACCGCTGCGGATGCTCACACCGGCGTTGTGCTGGCCTTGGGCGTGGCGGTGGCGCAGGTCCGTAACCACCTTGATCGAGTTGAGACCGGCGTTTTCAGCCAGCGTGTTGGGAATGACTTCCATTGCCTCCGCAAAGGCCTTCCAGCAGATGGCCTCTGTGCCAGTGAGCTCACGAGCGCGCTTTGCGAGTGTATGGGCAACTTCGATTTCAGGAGCTCCACCACCAGCGATGAGGGCACGCTTCTTGACTAGGCAACGGATTACACAGAGAGCGTCGTGGAGAGAACGCTCCGCCTCATCCAGGATGAGGTTGTTAGCACCGCGAGCGACAATAGACACGGTTTGGTTGGTGGTAGGAGCAGACTTAATGCCGGTGATCTTCACATACCGGGCACCAGAGGCCTGGACTTCCTCCACAAGGTCTGCAGTGCCAAGCTTGTCCTCGGTGAACGATTCGACGTTGGCAACGGGCTTGCAGCCGAGACTCTTGCACAGGAACTCAACCTCGTCACGCTCGATGTCCTTTACGGCAAGGATCTTCAGGCGAGAGAGGAAGTGAAGAGAAAGGTCGTTCACAGCGTCACGGAGGATGGATTTTTGAATGAGAAGGACATTGCACTTCGTCTTCTGGATTTTCTTAACCATGTTAAGTAGGTACTGACGCTCTTCCTTCAGAATCTTATCCATTTGACGGTAGTCGTTCACAACAATCTGGTTTTCCATCTGCGTTTCATCTTCGTCAGCAATGCAAATAGGGCAATTGAAGAACAGCAACCTACATCAGGTTTGGGCGGGCTGAGCTGGAACTGAATTAAGCCTATCCGGGCCTTCTCGATTCTTGTGGGACCTCCACTGCTCTTAATAACGGGCTGGTTCAACACCAAACCGTCAACCATCTCACTGTCTTCAATTGTACCGCCAACCTTCTTGACTATCCGAATATTCCTGAGATCAACGTTCTCAGCAGTCTTAGGATCCACGATCTTCATCACCGAATCAACTGCCATGGGACCAAGGAGGCCAGAGTGCTGCGCCACGATTTTCGATGAAAGAGAGGTAGAGGCCGCCTGGAGGAGAGTGGAACGGTCCAGAAGGCTGATAGGACGGGACATATTGTGAAGGATCTCGACAGCTGCGGCTGCAGCTCTTTGGAACGACTCAGAGATGACGGTGGGGTGGATACCCTTGGACAACAGACGCTCAGCGGCACCCAACAAGCTTCCTGCGATAACAACAACCGATGTCGTTCCATCTCCAGCCTCAACATCCTGAGCGGCACTCAGGTCAACGAGCATGCGGGCTGCGGGGTGCATAACGCTCATATCCCTCAACATAGTATTTCCATCGTTGGTCTGCGGGGGTTAGCAGCGATTTATAAGTTTGGAAGTAGGATTCGTACGATAATGGTGTTGCCCTTGGGTGTTTGGATCTACAGCCGTATTAGCCATCTATGAACTAGAGTGATGTGTACTGAAAGACCTACCATTTTATCCATTCCTCTGGGTCCCAAAGACTAGATGGTATGTTAGCCCCTCATTTTGGGATGCGTCTTGCGGTGACGTCCATACCGTTCTGATGGCATCAGCGACGGCTGTTCGCAGGTCAGCACTATACTCCACAGTCTTTCACACGATGATAAATACCTCTAGCTGCCAGAATGTTGGACGTCCGGACTGCCATAGGCTTCTCCTTGTCCTGTCCGACTATTAGCACCCGTCCCACGCCAAGTAATTCTCTCAGTGAAACCGACGCACCTTGAACGTGTTGTTGCCAGCGGCCCCCTGGGAGACTGCCGTAGCCATTTTGAAGGTAGTCTCTTATACCGAACCGTAGAGGAACTAAAGATAAGAGTCGAGATGGGGGGGTAACTGTGACGAGGGAGATCCAGACCGTGGAGGCGGCTCTGGGAATTTCTTGTGCTGGTGTTGGGCTTGGCACCACTAGCGCCAACAGCTCGAACCGACCGCCGCAGCTCATTACTTCACTCTCTCACTCCTTCTCAATCAAGCTCCCATCTCTCATCCATCCCCCATTTTTTTTATCCATCTACGCTATCTATACGTATACCGCCAACTTTAGACTACCTTCCCCTAGTCGCTCGACTTGATACACCGCTGTTGTTTGTTGTCTTATCGTCTCACAGCCACCTCTCACCATGCCTAGCGCCACGGGAGAGAACTGGGAGAAGTACCGAAAGACCTTCGCCGATGATGAAGAGCCGGAGAAGAAGATTACACCTCTCACAGATGAGTACGTACTCAAGATGATCGCATCTAGATAGGTCCATGCGTCCCGGGGATAGATGACTAACTTGTACTTCTAGTGATATTGCAGTATTGAAAACATATGGCGCCGCTCCCTACGCGAACGCCTTAAAGAGACTCGAGAAGCAGATCAAAGACAAGCAAGCAAGCGTAAATGAGAAGATCGGTGTCAAGGTACTTTGCCCTAGCTATACCGGTATTGAACGAACCTGACATGTATAGGAATCCGACACCGGTCTTGCACCTCCGCACCTTTGGGATGTTGCCGCAGATCGGCAACGCATGGCAGAAGAGCAACCGTTGCAGGTGGCCCGCTGTACGAAGATTATCCAAGATGAGAAGGACTCGGACAAGAGTAAATATGTCATCAATGTGAAGCAGATCGCCAAGTTCGTTGTCAACCTAGGAGAGCGCGTGAGTCCGACGGATATTGAGGAAGGCATGCGGGTTGGGTAAGTTCATATGCTTTCGACTACCCATCGTCCTTCTAACCCTCTCTCTAGTGTCGACCGGAATAAGTACCAGATTATGTTGCCTTTGCCTCCTAAGATCGATCCCAGTGTGACAATGATGACTGTTGAAGATAAGCCCGATGTGACATATGGAGATGTTGGTGGATGCAAAGAACAGATCGAAAAGCTGCGAGAAGTCGTCGAGATGCCTCTTCTTTCCCCAGAGCGCTTTGTCAACCTCGGTATCGACCCACCAAAGGGTGCACTTTTGTACGGACCTCCCGGTACTGGTAAGACCCTTTGCGCTCGAGCTGTCGCCAACCGAACCGACGCTACTTTCATTCGTGTCATTGGTAGTGAGCTGGTTCAGAAGTATGTTGGTGAAGGTGCCCGGATGGTTCGAGAGCTTTTCGAAATGGCGCGGACGAAGAAGGCGTGTATCATCTTCTTCGATGAAATCGATGCCGTTGGTGGTGCTCGTTTTGATGACGGAGCTGGCGGTGACAACGAAGTGCAACGTACTATGCTTGAACTGATCACTCAACTCGATGGATTCGATGCTCGTGGCAATATCAAGGTCATGTTCGCAACAAACCGGCCGTCGACGCTAGATCCTGCCCTGATGCGTCCTGGACGAATTGACCGCAAGATCGAATTCTCGCTTCCGGATGTAGAAGGCCGTGCGAATATCCTCCGGATTCACGCCAAGAGTATGTCGGTAGAGCGGGACATTCGGTGGGAGTTAATATCTCGTCTGTGCCCGAATGCTACGGGGGCTGAGCTCCGAAGTGTTGCAACAGAAGCCGGTATGTTTGCCATCCGGGCACGCCGAAAGGTTGCCACGGAGAAGGACTTTTTGGCCGCGGTGGACAAGGTGATCAAGGGCAACCTGAAGTTCAACTCGACAGCGACATACATGCAGTATAATTAGATAAACGTTTCCCTTTCCTCTAATTCTTGGGGTTACATTGCATGGTTGAATGGATGTGTATGACCAATTTTAGCTAGTGATTCTATTCTACGAAGGTTCTCATAGTAGGAATTCGCATATACCTGTATTCGAATTTTCAGAATATGAATGCTGACGTCTATTACCTTGAGCGAAATATCACATGACTATGACGGGTAATAGATTATTTCAGCAAGACATGGCCGACATTGTCTTGTTCTAATACTGTAGTGGCTCAATCTGATATACAAGAAGCAGAATCCCGTAAGGACTCTGGCTATATCGATTCGAAATGCATGTTGGATTCTCAAGGCTCGCAATTCATGCCATCTCATATACAGCCCGTTTTACCGTCTGTCTCCGGAATTCTTCGCTGCTGGCCGGGTTAAAAGAAGACCGGCCACGTGCCTTGAGATACTCGGCCAATCAGACGGTGCCGGCCGCCCGAGGTGATTACCACTACGAGACCTCTCATTGGCGGTCTCGGCCCCGGTCCTCCCCGTCGGCAAGTGAGAAAAGACTTATGTCAGCCAGGAATTCGGCCCAGCAGAACCGGCGATCCAAAAGTGCAGCTTTGCGAGCACCACCACACCGTTGACTTCAAGACTCTCCTCTCCCTATCGTGCTGCTTCTTCCGGCCCCCTCCCCCCTTCTTAATTCACCCCTTTCTTCGGCTCATTAGGAAAGTGTTTCTTTTCTTTTGATCCGTCATCATGAGCTCCCTGAGCTTGCGGAGCCTAGCTCCCGCATCCAAGGTCAGTTAGCCGACGGTCCTTACAAGACCCTTCGGCGCAATGAGCCCCCTCTGTTTACAATACTGACATGGCAGATTGCGCAGATTTCCCGTGCCCTTAGGGATCAGAGACGCAATTTCTCCTCGTCCCGGTCTGCAGGTACGCATTGAAGGCCGCGAAACTGTCTGTACCTTCATTTACTAACACGTCCCTCCGCAAGCCCGGATTTTTGGCAACCAACCATTGCGCGCTAAGGAAGCCAATGGCTTTATCTCTCAAAAATACCCCATCATTGTAAGTTTATATAGCAGAGCTATGATAAGCCGATGCCGGGTTCTGACTTTCGACAGGATCACGAGTACGATGCTGTCGTCGTCGGTGCTGGAGGTGCTGGTCTGCGTGCCGCCTTCGGTCTGGCGGAAGCCGGTTTCAACACTGCCTGTGTCTCGAAGCTCTTCCCCACAAGAAGTCACACTGTTGCTGCCCAGGGTGGTATCAACGCTGCTCTTGGAAAGTAGGTCACCCCTTGTTCAGCATATCAATAGCAGTTTTGCTAATTCTATGCAATACAGCATGCACGCGGATGACTGGAGATGGCACATGTACGATACCGTGAAGGGCTCTGACTGGCTCGGAGACCAGGATGCCATTCACTACATGACCAGAGAAGCTCCTGCTAGTGTTCGTGAGCTCGAGGGTTACGGTTGCCCATTCTCCCGTACCGAGGACGGCCGTATCTACCAGCGTGCCTTCGGTGGTCAGTCCAAGGAATACGGAAAGGGCGGCCAGGCTTACCGTTGCTGTGCTGCCGCTGATCGTACTGGTCATGCTCTCCTTCACACTCTCTATGGACAGTCCCTGCGCCACAACACCAACTACTTCATTGAATACTTTGCCCTGGACTTGCTGATGGAGGATGGTGAGTGCCGCGGTATCATTGCCTACAACCAGGAGGATGGTACCCTGCACCGTTTTAAGGCCCACCACACCGTTCTGGCCACTGGTGGATACGGACGTGCCTACTTCAGCTGCACTTCCGCCCATACTTGCACCGGTGACGGTATGGCCATGGTCGCCCGTGCCGGTCTTCCCAACCAGGATCTCGAATTCGTCCAGTTCCACCCCACTGGTATCTACGGCGCTGGATGTCTGATCACCGAAGGATCTCGTGGTGAGGGTGGTTACCTGCTCAACTCCGAGGGTGAGCGTTTCATGGAGCGTTATGCTCCTACCGCTAAGGATCTCGCCTCTCGTGATGTCGTTTCTCGTTCTATGACCCTGGAGATTCGCGAGGGCCGTGGTGTTGGTCCTGAGAAGGATCACATCTACCTCCAGCTCAGCCACTTACCTCCTCAGCTCCTGCACGAGCGTCTACCCGGTATCTCCGAGACCGCCTCCATTTTCGCTGGCGTCGACGTCACCAAGCAACCTATTCCCGTCTTGCCTACCGTCCACTACAACATGGGTGGTATCCCCACCAAGTACACTGGTGAAGTCCTGACCCAGGATGAGAGCGGTAATGACAAGGTTGTTCCTGGTCTGTACGCCTGCGGTGAAGCCGCTTGTGTGTCCGTTCATGGTGCTAACCGCCTTGGTGCCAACTCCCTCCTGGATCTGGTTGTCTTCGGGCGTGCTGTCTCCCACCGTGTCCGCGACATTGCCTCCCCCGGCAAGCCTCACCGCGAACTGAGCTCCGATGCCGGTGCTGAGTCCATCAAGGACCTCGACTTCGCTCGTACTGCCGACGGTCCCAAGTCGACGTTCGAAATCCGTAACGCCATGCAGAAGGCCATGCAAACTGATGTCAGCGTCTTCCGTACCCAGGAGAGTTTGGATGAGGGTGTCGCCAAGGTCACCGAGATTGACCAGTGGTACGACCAAGTTGGTACCAAGGACCGCAGCATGATCTGGAACTCTGATCTCGTTGAAACACTTGAACTCCGTAATTTGTTGACTTGCGCGTATGTATCAACCTGATGAACCCTTAAAAGACACTATAGCTGACCACGGATAATATAGTACTCAAACCGCTGTCGCCGCCGCTAACCGCAAGGAGTCTCGTGGTGCCCACGCCCGTGAAGACTTCCCCGAACGTGACGACGAGAACTGGATGAAGCACACCCTCACATGGCAGAAGAACCCCCACGGCAAGATCGACCTGGGCTACCGCGCTGTCGAGCACAACACCTTGGACGAGAAGGAGTGCAAGCCCGTGCCCCCCTTCAAGCGTGTCTACTAAGCGCGTTGCACCCGTGTGATCCGATGAAGAGGCATGTTTAGAGAAACGGGTGTTTTGAGTGGAGGAAAAATAGCGTCACGAAAATCTGGCAGTGTTTATTTCCAGTGTGTTTATATGTGTATATCCATTTTCCCAGGCGATGAGTTCGGTGTACTCACGTTGTATTGTTATTTTATAGCCCTTTATTACCGATCATACAATTGGAGTTTTCTTTTGTGTTGCAAAGCCCTCTTTTGGACTGGGTAATGGATGTTTTAGATGACTTGGACATTGTCCTAATTTTCCTTCCAGTGCCTAACTGGTTATTTAGGGCTGGTTCAAAACCGTGACTTCTGAAGCTAGCGGGATTTAGGTTTTTGCCATTTGATCTTGACTACGTCGATTCCTAACAACACGGCTGGGTTATCATTTGATTGGCTGGTCACTTGTCATGGAATGATTATGTCTACTAGGATCTTGTCCGACCGGTGGACGCATGGGCAAACCTAACAAAGAACTGAGAATACAGCCACAACCATATCTAGTATAGAGCCAACGCACTGAGAAGGCATCTCCCCCAGATGCGCAAAAAAGCACCGTTCTCGCCAGGCTGAAGTCGCGGTGAAACAGGGTCTTTAAGGACCCTTACAAGCGGACACACTGATTGATTTTCTGTTTGTCCGTTTCAGGACATATTATTAGACTAAGAGTCATCACATCAGGCGCTCCAAAACACCCCAAAAGGGTACCGACGACTACGTCTTGAATCGGGGCTCGCTGACGACCACATGTATGCTGAGACCCTCTTCAATGATTATCGCATTGGACCACATCGGGCTGTCAAGTCGTGTAGCAAACAAAGGCGCAGAATCCTACCCACCACGCATACCGTCTAGCCTTCTTGGTCTAGATAGTGTGGACATACTAGTACACATTGAGCGACAGTGCTTTTAGGGCTCATCTCTTTTCCTACTCAGGGACTAAATAATAGGCTCTCAGTCCCCTTGCCATGCAGGGTCGCCTAATCCGCCTTGGGAATTCCCCCATTTCGTTCGATCACTCAGATGCTCTTTTGAGATCCCAAAACCTTTCTATCATATATCACCTGTTTATATGATCGCTAATCAATCTTCGTGATGAGCCGTTCATGCTCAGGCCAGAAACAGTGGTATGTTTGCTCTCAAGGCCCTTTCCAAGGATGCTGTTCGGTAGATCCATGCGCTTCCGGTGGTGTCTGCCCGGACGATGATGATGATAAGTCAACAACAACCAAGCATACTAGCTCGTATACTATGGTACGAACCGTGACTCTCACGACGTCCGGATCTTCCACACTATCTACGGTTGCGAGTAATGTAACTACGACTGGTCGCCCGGATACAACTAATCTTCATGGAACCACGGCTGCCTCCACCACCAGTATCGATACGAGCGCTGCCGACAACGTGGGTTCCGAGGCGGAAGGCAGCAAAGGAACCCCCATTGGACCCATTGTCGGAGGTGTTATAGGGGCCATCGTATTCCTCATACTGCTTATTATGGTTCTGATTTTTGCCTATCGCAGGCGCAAGAAGCGTGTAAGGCGATTCACTCTTCTCCGATGGCACACTCCTCTCACTGATGATGACAAGGAGGGGCCATTTGAAATCGATACCAAGCCACCACAGAATGACCGGATGACTACAGAACAAGAAATACATAGTATGCCATCAAGACTTCTTAACTTCTCCAATCTATACGGCGTGCGGCAAATGACCTTTTCTCTATCAGCGCCATTGAAAAAGGAAAAAGCTGAAGTCAGCTCCCTTCTCACGCCAACTGACTATTCCACCAACGGAACCACCCCAACCTCACCTACATCCACCGCAGCAGAATTAAACGCGTACCACCTCTACCCTCCGAGCCCGTACGCGCCATTCAGTTGCTCAAATGCATCAACATCCGAGCTCAGCGACACGGGCGTGCACCGACCACGAGCCGAACTAGCATCCCCGCCCACCAGGGAGCTAATAAACGTCCCACAGCAGCAAAGACCGTCCTCAAATCAATCGATATTATCACTGGGACGTTCAAACCCAGGGTGCGTCGAACTGGCAGCTCAACCCTGCAGGGAGTTAATAAACGTTCCTCCTCGCCAACGTCAACAACCTCTTACGCTGCCCGCATCGCCCCAGGGACAGTTAGACTCGACTTGCACAAGCCCGCCGCCCGTCATCACCGCTGATGGCGTAGTCTTGACTGCGAACTTTGACGCTTCTTTGCCGGAATCTTCCTCCGGCCATGGCACGCTCAGTAGTCATGCCATGGGCTTCATGGATTACGAAACTGCAAGGAGGTCAATGTTCTCGGCTCATCGACCGGAGTGGGAAGGATAGGCCCGACGAGGCTAGGTTGGACAAGCACGAAGGAGAAGGCCCTCCCAAGAGGGCCAGATAATAGTAATAATAATGAATGAGTATAATGATTTGACGATCTCGCTGCTGAAGGGCGGATGATCTTGGAATGGGAGCCTTTTGCCTTTTGCTTTCTCCTATTCGTTCTTTCTCTTACGTATGTATGGTCACGGCATGTTATTCTTTACCTGGTGTGCTCAGCTTTGCAAGGTTCATATCGGCGTGTATTTATGATATCATAAGCATTTCTTTCATTTGGTATATGCCGTTCATGGGAAACAGCAAAAACGTAATAGAGATAGCTAATACCCAGTTTTGCGTGTGAACCGGACACTATAGCCAATTCCACAAGCGATTGTCAATATATCATAGCCATAGCAGTCGCAAAGCCTAAGTAGAATATAGGGAGCCAGTTCAACCCCTGTTTCTTTGCAAATAGAGACGAAAAGCAGTGCTGGCAGTGACTGATCTTTGCGGCGGTTGATTCAAAACACACGAGTTACTCCAATTAGGCGTCTTTACTGCACAAAGCCCTTCGGCGTTGCGGAAGATATATCATCAAGACAGGAACGAAGTCCCTGACCACCAACCATCAGGCTTGAATGTGTACGAGCTACCGATATTCGTAAGTGGAGACCTTGGTATAGTTTGCTGTTGTGGTTGATTTATTAAGTCGACGCGTCCTGAAAAAGTGCTACGGCCCATTTAAAAATGGATCGCTTCCGATGATAAGTCTGGCAAAGAGCAAAAATGTAAGGTTGTGTTTTCCAACTGGAGAGCTGGTGACGTGTCTGAATCTTGCAGTCTGCAGATACAGGAGTGCATTTATCTGGGCCTCCGACTACAGGAGCAGAGTGCAGGGTTTTGGAAATATTCTGTGAGTTCAATCGTTTGCCGACGCTGCTTCTGTCTCCGACAAGAGAAAGGTTGCCGCTACATCGAGCAGAATGCTGGACAGCCTTGAGCCAGTTGTGAAATTTCCTCGCTCAACATGAAGGCGGCGACTGTGTGAAAGGATGGGCTGAACTATGGGGTAAAGGCGACTGCCTCGACTGAGATACAGGGGTTTCTAATCCAAATAGACTCATCGGCAAACCCAGATTCTTGCCTTTAAGAGGGCATCTGGTCTGACTTGAATATCCAAGACCCAGAGTTGCTTCAGATATGGGTCCACAATGAACAGCGTCATCCGAAGAATACTGTAGGCCCTTCACTAATGCGAGAGAGAAGGGACCCGAGTCCAAGTGCAATCCAAATGTTATATATTAAAATATGTATCTCATAACTCAGATATCACTTATTTACTTTTGTCCGATAACCCGAAATTGAAAATAGAGGGACACTCACAGCAGACTCCTAAGGACAGAAGTCTGCTCCAAGACAGCCCGCCGACTGGTGCCGCCGATAGCATCCTTCAGTTCAACTGCACGCTCGTAGTCCAGACAAGTGCGCACATCTTCGTCAAATCGTACATCGACGGTCTTCAGATGCTCGAGGGAGAGCGTATCCATGGGGATGTTGGTCTGTTCCGCTAGGGCAACAACGCGACCAGAGATGTGATGACCCTCACGGAAAGGAACACCCTTGCGAACCAGGTAGTCGGCAATTTCAGTGGCGAGCATTTCAGGCGCCAAAGCGGCGGTCATCTTTTCGGGAATGACGGTGAGGGTCGAGAGCACACCGGTTGCGATCTGGATGCTGTCGCTAACAGTCTTGATGTGATCAAGGAGAGGTTCGATGCTCTCCTGTAGGTCTTTGTTGTAGGTGGTCGGAAGGCCCTTGATAGTAACCATCAGACCGGCCATTTGGCCAAAGGCTCGACCGGCCTTTCCACGCAGAAGCTCCAGGCTGTCTGATATTTTTTGTTAATGGTCACTTCATGTAAATAACACTCATGGAAAGGAGTAGTAAACACACCTGCGTTTTTCTTCTGAGGCATCAACGAAGAACCAGTTGAATAAGCGTCGGACAAACGGACAAATCCAAATTCCAAGCTGCTATAGATGATCAGATCCTCGGCCCAGCGAGAGATCTTGAGCATAAATGAGCTACCCCACTGCATAGTCTCCATGGCAAAGTCACGGTCGGCGACCGTGTTCATCGAGTTGTACAACAGACCATCGAAGCCCAGCTCCTTGGCCATTGCCTCACGGTCAATGTTGAATGGGTTTCCTGCCAGGGCACCGGTGCCAAGGGGGCTGCGGTTGACACGCTTGGTGACTTCACGCAAACGTTGGAGCTCGCTAGCGAAAGCCGTGGCATGAGACAGGACCCAGTGACTCCATCGGACGGGCTGAGCCTTCTGCAAATGGGTGTAACCAGGCATGAGGTAGTCAAGCTCGCTCTCTGCACGAGATATCGAGACCTTGATGAGGTCGCACAAGATGCTGTCCAGCCTGCGGAGCTCGTCCCTCAGCCACAGACGCATGTCAGTCGCAACTTGTTCGTTACGGGACCGACCAGTGTGCAGCTTGCCTCCAATCTCCTTGCCAACGATTTCCGATAGTCGACGCTCATTAGCGGTATGAATGTCCTCGTCGTTCTCCTTAACGACGAATGTATTGGAGCTCCATTCCTCGGCGATCTGCTTGAAGCCGCGCTCGATCTCGGAGAACTCATGCTCAGTAAGGATACCGGTCTTAACATTGGCCCGAGCAAAGGCAATTGATCCGGCAATGTCTTGCTTCCAGAAAATGCGGTCATAGGGCAGAGACTGGTTGTATTGAACCATGAGGGGGTCGAGGCCCTCTGAATGACACTAGGCATTAGTATTCCGAACCGGGAATGAGGGGGACAATTGAGTGGGAGAGGGAAGTACTAACGGGTAAATCGACCTCCCCAGAGCATATTCTCAGCGACAGCCTTGGGACCGCTCATTTTGTATCTTGAATAGCAGGAAATTGGAATATTGAAAGAAAGAGGGTTGCAAGTTGATGGAAGGGGTCTTTATCTCGGGAATTCTTTAGGCGATGATTCATCCAATGATTCATGACGGGGAGCGACATCGGGGAGCTAGTCCAAATTAGGTGATCCTAGTCCCCAACAGGAAATTAACTGGAGAATCCACCATAGAAGCCTCTCTTGAGTCATTCTTCGCATATACAACTAACACCTTTGAAGAGAAGTTGGTGGCTATTGAAAATTTATCAGAAATAGTAAAATCGAAATTTATCGCCTCCAAGCTAGTCTTAAGCCTCTCAAGTAAGAGCCTTTATCTCTTTATAGCGACCACTACTGGCTTCTTTTTATTCTACTTTGATTTGTTTATTTTCTATTTGAAAAAGAGCGAAGAAAAGATACATATGGAAACTAAACCTCTGCGTAATATTTCTGTTACGGAGAATGCATATTCAAAGGGATATGGGTGAATGGTAGTTTGGATCTTGCAGTAGTCCAGGGAAGTAGTGGTAAAATTGAATAACGTCTTTATATATCTTTCTACCACATAGTATTGCCATCAGATCTCAGCTATCTAGTAACCCAACGAAATAGATCGAAACACCAGTCTGCTGTTAGAAAAAATCTTGTACATCTTTATAACCAACATATATTGATACTGTCTCACACAATAGACCTACCATAGACGTGATATACAATCTATCAACATAAATAGTTCAGGTAGAGGTCTAATACTGTGTACAAAAACATAATCTATATACCATATTCCACCACAGTCCAGGTACAAGTCCATCCAATCTCACCTCCTAGTTTCTCCATTACCCGCCGACTAGCGAGATTGCTTTCCAATACATTGGTGTGCACCCAAACCTCATCCTCCTCTCCGCCGTCCCGCCAGATGCCACCCTCGGCCATCCCGCGGCGCATAGCCTCCTTAGCGACATATAACGCGAGCCCCTGACCCCGATACTCCGGTTCAACGTGCAAGGTTGCTAAACCGCCGTCAATACCCAAAAAGGCCCAGGCAATGGGCATTTCGCCGGGTGGAGGCTGATCATCTGACTCAGCAGCGCCCGAGTTGTCAGGCAAGTGTGGTCGCAGCTGGATCTCCCGATCGGAGTAAATAGTCACTCCAGGGAGCTTGGCTAAAGTTTCACGAGAGCGTGGAATACTGGTACGAAACCGTATCAGGTCGTATTGATGCGGCAGGACGCCGACTAGGCCCTGTTTATTCGCGAAGCGAAAGCCATCTGGAAGCGGAGCCGGAGAACTGTCAGTGCTGTCAGAGCTATCTTTTACGAAATTTTGTCCCCTAAATAGATACTTGACGTATGGTGGATAATCGTAGCGGTGGATCCGAAGCCCTGGAACAGGATCCGGAGATGTGTACTCTCCCGAGGCTTTCAGTAAGGAAAATAGTCCCGTATGTAGATTGCCAATTAGGAAAGCTCCAGGGGGTGGGGGTGGGATCAAACCCGAGTGTTTGGATGCGGGATCCAGACCCAGTTTGTTGGGTATAGGGGAGGACCCGAAGCCTTTGATAGATGACAGGTACTCAGGTAACATATGTGTCTTGACATGCGATAGTAGAGCCAATAGTTGCGCACGAGCCTGCTCTAGAGACTCCTGTGAAGCACGTAGAGTCGAGATAAAATCCCCGTCAATGACAGGGGACGTCGCATGGGCTTCGAGGCTTGAGTAGATTACAATCTGGGTCTCGCGACCAGCGAAGAGATCCACATAAGCAGCCAGCCACGGAGAGATTGGCGCATCTGCCCCTGAGAAGGTAGTCAGAATCTTGGCAGTCGATGAAGGATACGCTAGACCATGCTGGAGGCGCCGTAGCAACGGAATCGAATGAGGAAGCTGAGACTTTAGTAAAGGAACGAGTGCGTGCGGATCATTTGTGACGATATGAAACGCCGAGGAAGGCCTTGGGGAACCCATCAAAGTGGATATGACAGTGGAGATATTAGTAGCCTTAGGGAAATGTAATTCCGGGCGAGGCGATAGGCTTGTAGGATTAGGGGTTAGAACTATGCTTCAACCAGTCAATGTTCATACCAGAGTACCCCTTGATCTGGAGAATGGATATAAATGGCATTATAAGCGGATTGCGCGAAGGACATGAGTCAACCCGCGCATGTCGTGATTTTACCTCAAATGGTATAGTTCAGGGCCGAGTTTTTGTCATGCCAGCCTAAGTTAATGACAGGAATCCATGCCAAAGGAGGTAAAGCGCGGTTGCGGAGCTCCCGTCAAGAGTCGGAGAGGCCGACCTGTGGCGGTGCGCACTCGGCCTCGTACCGCTACTTTAATCCTCAGATTAGCCGGCTTCTTGAAAATGTCAATTGGACACTTCCCGAGAAATTATGCATCCCTATGACATGCCAAATGTTAACTCAACCATAGTAAGATTGATTTATTCCTTAAATCACGGATGATAAAAATAAAGATATTGTAGAAAACTCTTCAGAAGCGCTAATGCACGTGTTCTTGGCCATGTGTCGCGACCTCCGAGAATTGGATTCATGCTGAGAACAATCTAGAAAGCCTTCCATGCAGGTTGACGCATATGACAGGTCACTTTTTCAAAATTTTATTCACACCCATCATCTATGTAGGATCCTAAGGTTTCAGGACCCGAAGCGGCGCTAAGGGTAGCACTGTGTATGGAGTAAGATGTAATCAATCTAAATTAAATTAAATTGACACGCTAAATATAAGTCCGAATTTTAGACCTGTAAACAACCCTTAAAAAAATAAAAAATAAATAAAAAAGATAGACAGAGGGAAATATGATGGAATAACAAAAGAAAGCAGTAAAAGAGTGACAAATATCATCAAGTTCATAGCTCGTCGCTTCATCAGACCCAGTCACCATGGGCTACGCGGTCCCACCATCCAATCTTCCATTGCTAGCCATTCACTCCACCGTGACTCGGCGATCCGTAGCTCCTCCTCAGTAGCCTCACGAAGGGGCTGAAGAAATGGAGCCTGCTCATCCGGAAGAATGTCATATGCCGCTTTGGTCGATGCCCACCCTCCACTCTTGGCAGTAAACAAGTAATTAATTCGTTCCTGTTTCCAAACACACCCGACTCCAGCTTGCCAATCGTTGCCGAAAAATGCTTGCAAAACTGATGGGGTATCATACCCAGTCACGATGAGACGTCGGATAAAAGGCCTCAACGGTACAAGTGAAGGGCCATTCTGGGCTTCTTCCACACCAGGGTTCATGGGTTGGGGCATTGAAAATCGAGTGACTGGCGTAGAAAATCGCTGGTATGGAAGCCGGATGTTGACGAAAGCAGCTAACGACTGCACATTAGATGAGTGTTGTCCTTGGTCGAGGAAGTATTGCATGCAAGCCCAGTACCGAGGGTACCATTCGTTGAGATCCACCTGAGAGAATTCCGTATCCACAGGGGGTTCCTCGACGGGAGTAAGTATTCCCTGATTCGGCCTCATATCACATCCTAGGGGGCTGTCGGAGACACAGACAGCGGGAGGTTGCCCATGTCCATTGTACTCAGTGTCCAAACCGGTCGATTCTGCCATAGGACTGGGGCTTAGAGAAATGCCTTCATGAGAGTCGCGTAAGCCATTGGGGAGTTTCTTACTAGCAGGACGATAAGCTATGGATGCGAGAGGAGAGGACTCGTGCATGTCCATACATGGTGAACTTTCCCAGTATTCTCTTCCAGAGCCCTGAACGTCCATTGTTACGGTTAACTTTGAGCATGTATGGCAAGTGGTACAAGTCTAGAGTGCAAGGCGAGAGAGACTTGAAATGTGTTTGGAAGCAAATTCAATGAAACAATATAATTAACTTTTGGATTGGGAGATGTGTAAAGGAGAATCGGAGTGTGGGAACGGTAGAATTTATGTTTCTTTACGTCCCTTGGGAAGATGGATCGTCCATGTCGGCCAACGGGAGAAGCACGGGCACTCCGAAGGACAAAGTCGGTGAAATTGGAAAGAATAGAGTAAGGAAGATCCAGAATGGTTCATCCGTGGTATGAATATGGGCCTCATAAGCTTTAGCCTTGGTCGAGTGGAGCTCATATTGAAGATCTGATGCTATCCCCCATCGTGCTATTGGAAAAATGGGTCAAGCCACACATATCTCTAGCCACAGACATCAAGCCACTTCAGCCCTAGTACGTGGCTCAGTTGGGTTTACGCGTGGCTGTGCACTGCTAGTTGACCCGATGGGGTCCCCCTAAGACGCTAAGGCCTCACCAACATCCCAACCCTGCTGTGTAGTCTCGATGGTCCTGCCCCATGTGGTAAGCGGATCAATGGAATCATTGCGGTTTGTGATTAGTTCTCGCTAGACTATTGATTCTTTAGTCCCTCTGGACCCGGGGACCTGGAAACCCCGACGATACTAAGGAGTAGGATTTGGAAAACTTTTCCTACTAGTGATGGGTGATCCTTGTAGGCTCACTAACAATGTTCAGCAGCCTCCTCAGCTAGCCCAGGCAATGGTTACTAGGGTGTCGTTACGAATGACATTGACAGTTGACAATGAAGACTCTACGCATACGACGCCAGGTACCGTCGAATGGGAATACTGGCCAACGCTCCTACCCAAAAAGGTATCGAGCGAAACGGGCCTCTTTTACTCGAGTCAATAGTCGATGCCGCAGCAGATGTGACAGCTCCCCTGCTGGCATAGTGCTGCAGCGGTTAGGAGTTGCTTCAAGTCGTGTCACCAACACACATGGTGTCTAGGTTTGTCATGATGGGTAACACAAGGGTTGTTGCGCGTGGGTACTCCCTGAGTATCATTGACTCGATCCCGATGCCTATTGATCAGGGACAGTCTCTTGTACAACGTGGTGAGGGTGAACATGACCTTGCTGGACGCAAGGGAGAGCGAACTGAGTCGCAGAATGGGGTATGTTGGCCTGTCGATCAGTCCAGATGGTGATTGAGATTCGGGTGTCAAATAAGGCTAACCTGGTTAGTGTACTACAGCTATTGGGTGACTAAATAGAATGACTAACGGGAAAGAGGATAGTGATTTGACCGATGTGCTTTTAAGATGTTCAGGGACTGTACTCTTTGAGTCTTTTGACTCAGTTACAGAGTCTGACTCTCTGTCTGCGTGCCTGACGGGTGGGTCGACCGAATGCGCCCGAGAGCTGTGACTGGACCGTCACACGCACATACCAGGATATACGAGGTCGGCTAAGCATTCCTAAAAAACACTACGACTGACGGAGTAATAGATTGCGAAAATGAGTTCGACATGATTGGGTTTCCCACCATTAGGTGGGTCGTTTTAATTAGCTGTCTCGTGAACTGTACCTCATGATGAGATCATGACTTTAATCTTTCTGTTTCTAAAATCAAATCATTCTTCCTTAATCTGACCCATTGTCACACTAAATCAGGATCTTAGATGGCGCTAATCAGGGAAAAAAAAAGAAAATGGGCAAATGGAAATAGCCATGTCTGTCTCCATGCCATGCGTTCCCAAGTCCCCACCCAGGTCACTGTGTGGCTGACGACCTCCACGATTGTCATGCTCGTTATAAAGACTTCAAGACTTCTCGATCACCCATCACACTCATCCCAAAAGTTAAAAAAGCTCTGAATATCCCAAGATCAAGATCCATACCGAAAGATAAAAAGATCACCCCATTCCCTCTGACTACCACTGCCTATCATTGAACTTTCCACAACCACTTGCAATCGTTCTTCCCTTCTTCTAAACTTTCAAGATGTGCTACAAGACCAACTACGAGCCTTACGTGAGTCCAACCTACCTCTTTCCCATGGTGAATGGAAGTAGTAACTAACCAACTGCGCAACAGAGGAGTCAAAGCCTGGATATAAGACAAGAAGAGCGTTCATCAGAAGAACTTCTCTACCCATTAGGAGATCTCTATCCACATGTCGTGGCTCTTCAACTACAATCTGAGGAAATCCCATGGTCCAAAGCCAAGAACTTCTCTGGATATCAAGACATCAGTTATTGGGCCGAAGCTTCATCACGGCCGCCTTCGGAGACTTCTTCGAAGTATACCTCATGCAGGTACAACAGCGGTGAGTCTCTTTTCCTTCATCAAATCTTACCTGTCATTTATGCTAACGATGATGAACTGCAGACTCCACAGCCTCCAGATTCGTCTCTCGCATACGGCGCCTTCTCAGCCGAGATGAATTGCGCCGACGCCAGAGAGCGGCTTGAACTCGTCTCGAAGAGGCATCTCTTACGTTTCATTTCGCTTATCTCTACTGCATCGACGATCAACTGGAATTCTTCTACTTGCATTAGCTTTATCCCTTTTTTTATGTTAAGCCGCAGCAAGCGAATACCCTCCCGTCTAATGTTTCATTTGTGATTTTGAAAGCATGCTAAAGATCGCTGAGGATCTTGGAACTCTCACTCTCTATTTTTTTTTTCTATTGTCAGTCTCGGGTTCATCTGTTTTCCTTCTATTTCGGACAGTTTAGATTAGCAAGGCGTTCGTTGGGCAAGCATACGCAAGGGCGAAACAAAGGCACCGTCACTTGATTTCTTACTATTATCACACCATTACTTATCATGTCACAGGGTCAGAATGGCCTGATCAAATCCAATCCAATCCTATCCATGACAACATTACCACTTCCATCCCTAATCAATAGAAAGTTGAAAAAAAAAAGAAAAGAAAAACAAAGAAAAGCCCTCAACCCCAACCCAAAGCATGCTCCCGACGATCGATTGAACCCAAATGTCAAAACTCAAAAAACCAAACCATTAAACCATTAAACTCACCCACCCTAAACCCAATCTAATCAAAAGAAGATATCAAAGCTCCTCCCTCTACTCATTCCCTCACACCGCCTCTATATGAGAAGGCCCCAATCACTCCCAAAACGCATGGACCGATCTGACCCGTCATCCGCATCAAGGGGACCCCGCATTCCCATTCCGTATCATCTGCAAATCTACTTACTATCTACCATACGAACCTAATAGTTCCTTTCAAAAAAACTCACTGACGAAGGTTACGGAGGGGTCACGGGTGTGCCCGTCTGGAATGTGGTGGTGATTATCGTGCGGGTTTCGGGGTCTATAGGTGGTTTTGTTTTCGCGTTCTTGCTTACATGCATATATCATATCATATCATATCATATCATGCCATCCGTACACACTGTACATACTGATTCTTTATACTAGGACTCGAAATTATTATCTGAATTAGTGAGTAAAGTTTACTTTGTAGATGGACTGCTTCCTGTCTAATGCTAATATTAAAACATTCAATTATGCAGGACTAAATGAGGTAGGAGTGAGTACATAGTGTACTATTATCATAGTTAAACTGATAGTCAGGATGACACTTATCACTATCTCCACTAAAGCCCTACAACCAGGGGCCTCAAGGGAAAATCGGCACTCGATAATAGAAATAGAAAAAGAAGAAAAGAAAAACACTCATCCTGAATCATTTGCAGACTATCAATTTCCCGCAACAGCCGTGAATAATCCCCTAATCGTTCCGTGTCACTCTATCCCATCATGGAAGGAGGGGTGGTCAATCCCCCTGGACTCAAAGGCTATGAAGTCATGCATACATGCAGTGCTACCCTCCATGTTGGCCTTCTCACTTTACTTGATTTTGTCCCTGGCAGGAGGTGTTCACCGGTATTTCTTGATGTATGGATTGACGGTAGTGGGGTAGAACCCTAGATGAAGATACTCCATCCCTCTACCAAGGCCATAGTAGCGCTAGTGCCCTGAAACACCAACGCCAATATTGAATATACCAACTCTCAAACAAGACGAAAACAAAAAACATCACGTAAAGCCTGTTCACCACCCAAAGTCTAAGCAAGATGATCTCACAGACCACGCAGATCAATCTCCTCCCCCCCTCTCCCGACACACCCCAACCATAGCTGTTACGGAGCTGGACATCATAGATCATCCCCAAGCTAGACAAAGTAGCGTAGCATAGCATAGCATAACATAACATAACATGTCGCATTACACACATCCCCTCTCCCCGCGAGCATCCAATTGCCGAAAGCATATTAAAAGCCCGGCATTATTCACCGAACAATCCATATCATATCATATCGAATCGAATCAACGCAGACCCAAAGTCTCTACTATGTATGACCTATCTTCCAAGCACCAACACCATGGAGAGAAATCCAGATATCTGCCCCTAGATTGGCTTTTTTGACGTCAGTAAAAGTTCCTCATTCTTGTTTTTGTTCTGCTCGTCTGGCTGAATCGGGTAATTAATACTAGAGCATGACTTACAGATTTAGTAGTAGTAGTAGTAGTGTATGCAGGTGATGCGGCTATAGCGGGACAAATGAATGGTTAGGGGAGAAGAAAGGGTTAGGGATTAATGAGTTAGGTAGTTTTGTTTGTTGGCTAGTGAGTGGGGTTGACACTTTTCTTTTGTGTTTCAATATGTTTGCTTTTCTGATTGTTTAGAGTTTTTCTTTCCTTTTTTTTTTTTTTTCTTTTTTTGTGCTGTTCTAAGCCCTGGAAGGGGAGAGAGGTACGTACCCGGTTTTGATGGAATGAATGTGATATGTTCCTGGGGGGTTTCAAAGTGTTCTAGCAGGGAGTGAGTGGTAAAACCCACTGTTGGAGGACTCCAAACTAGGTAGTTGTACATTGCGCCTTAGGTCTAGCATTGTGTAACGGACCCCAGGGGGACCTGGAAATGACACCCATGGATGCAAGCCCCTGTCTGAAAGACAAGTTGTCTGGACGAGTTTACCCATCAAACGGACGAGTGACTACTATAATGGGTAAAATGATTCTAGACGATGTTGATTTCTTAGCCTAGAGCAAAAGTATACATATCTGGCAATTTGACGTCCGGCAGCGGAGAGCCATCTGAAAACAGAAATTGTCCCCTTTCGGCTAGCGACAACAAATGTTTCAATGTCAATGATACAAAACAATGCCAACAATAGTGCCATGTCGAAAGACATAGCAAGAATGCTTCTGAATAAACAGGATGTTTGCTGAAGAATGATAAGAAAAATTCCCAAGCCGATGATACCATGTAGTTGCTGATTGAACACCATTAATCCACCATAAAGCCCTTGCGAGATCCCGATCCGAACACCATACATACTGCACATATTTTAAAACGAAGATGGAAAGTCTTTGACTGTAAGACAGCATTACATCAACCCCAAAATCAAAACCTTAGGTCCCCACTCTACATGGGAGGTTGGTCGGGCTTGCACATGAAATCATCCCAAGAATCCATCCCATACTGATCGCTCGGATTGGCCTCCAGCTGCGGCTGGACAGTCTCATAACCCATAAAGGTCGAGCTGTACATTGGATCCATCGGGTCTGTCAGGAAATCCATAGGATTCTGATCAAACATGCTGGGCACATCACCGAATCCGCCGCTCACGAACAACAGACTCTCATCGGTTTTGGCTTGCATATATGGTTCAAAGGAGAACATCGAATTTTCAGGGAATGGGTTGATAGGATCGTAGGGAGAATGAGTGCTACCAGAAGGCGGTGTGAGAAATTCGCTCGATCCGGAGGCAGGGCTTCCAACATTGGGCATCTGGGGATGGTTCAAGTCGAAGTTCGCGCCAGGTGGGAATCCATGGAGATCATTCAAGTTGTGGTATGGCGAGCCGCCAAGTGAGGTCGGACTATTCGAAAAGAGTTGGAAGTCTTCAGTCTGGGTCGGAATGGGAGGGTCGGCGAATGAGAATGGTACGGCCTCTGGGAAAGCAACAGAAGACTCGTTAGGGGATGCAGTGGGACCCGTAGTGGGTGTAGAGAATTCGCCCGCTGGATTGGAAGCGGCAGGAGATGGAATGCTGGTGGTCTGGGGAGTGGGTAAAGCGGATCCTTGCTTGACAACTTTGTTTTTGCCGTTGTTCTTCGTCCGTTCGTATACCCAGCCATGTGTCTTCTCCATGTGCTGCTTGCAGTTACTCTCTCTTTTGGATGCGTAGGTGCAACCGGGCTGATGGCATCTGAACAACCGGGGGTTCTTGCAGTGCTTGTCATTATAATGACGCTCCGTCTCCTTCTCTGTTGGGAAGCCCAATTCCGCATACTTGCAAGTCCTTTCCGGGCACTTGTAGGGGCGCGAGTGTGTCTTCTCGTGTTTTCTACGACTTGTTAGTACCCACATCTCCGATCAAGGGACGGTACAGTACTCACGTCAGATCGCAGGGTCGCTTCAAGACCTTATCGCAGAACTGGCATTTCTGATTAATATCCATCGGGGGAGCATTCTTCTTGCGTCGCGCCATAGACCGTTCAACTCCCTCATCAACCGTTTCAACGCTCAGTGTACGCTTGAAGCTTGGGATAGCATGCTCATCATACGATTCCCCTGTCCGCAAGGAAATGGACTTGCCATCCCTGTGCATGACAAGCTCAGCAGGTCGCCCTGTTTCGGACATGCCGCCCTCAAGGGTAAGCTCACTGTTACAGTCAGTCTCCAGAATCTCTCGGACGCAGAGTACAGTGACATACATAGACTTAGGGGCCCTCGCGCCGTTAGACGTAGATTCCTGTCTGGAACGCGCTGCGTCCCGAATTCTTGCGAAACGGTTGATCTGTGTAACAAGATCGACAAAGTAGTTGTTTGTATATGGTGCATCATTAGGCAAGGTCAAATCCCTACCCCGGAGAAAACCCGAAGTCTCGTGGATGCAGTTGATCGTAAAGTGACAAAAAGTGGACCAGGACCTAATCGATGCTTTCACCTCCTATATGCGATATGAGCTAGGCGCCAACATGCTTCGGCGGAGATCAACTTACAACGGTTGAAAAGAGAAGGGTTCGTTCCACGTCACGCAGACACTTGAGCTGGTCTTTTTCGATCTGCCGATGGGCGCCTCGGATAATAGGGTGGAAGGCTTGAAACTTCTCCGCCATGAGCAGACGGAAAAGAATACGGCCCTGGATCTCAACGCGGGCAGCAGAAGACAGTTTGTGGCCAACGCTAGCTTGGCACACTTGGCCAGCTGTCACTACCAGAGAGTTAGACCATATCAGGCACTAATTGACTTGTCAACAGAAGACGTACCCTTTCCCTTGGTAGACAACATAGTTTCACTGGTTCCAACAGAAGTACCCAGTCCACTGTCAGACGTATGGTGGTTCACTCTTTGAATCTTCTTGCGGGACTCCTTGGGATCCTGAGAATGTTGGGATTTCTCGCTAGGAACCTTCACCGAAGCCTGGGACTTAATGTGCGTCTTCAAAATACCGCGAGGAACAGGAAGTTCGTCTTGAGGTCCCGAGGAGTCGATTGTAGAAAGAGAGTCGAGATCAAAGCGATTCAGGATATGGGCCATACGCCGTTGGCCGGCGGCAATAGCTTCCAAGGCTTTAGGACATGTCGGGGAGCGACGAGGCAATAGCTTTAATTCTAGTACGGGGTCACGATCTGAGTGAGGTCGGTTGGTAGAGTGGAAGGTTTCTCCTTTGATCAAGCGCAGATTAGACGGGAGGTCGCCCGAGAGAGAGGGAGGAGGGCGATTTAATACCCGACGTCGAGGGTGACGCCGGTCTGACCCATCAACTGGCTGGGGTGTCGACATAGTTGACGATACGATCGAAATAGTCGTCGTCGAATAATTAAAGGTCTATCGGTTCATGGATCAGTAACCATTCTATAGATCATAACCCGAAGAACACAGAAGGAAAGAGAATAAATGAAAGTATAAAGGAAAGAGAAAAGAGAGAAGAGGTTCCTCAAGTTATGGTTGAGGTACGATTCTTACATTTCTTGGTACGTCTGTGACGCAAAAGCGATGTAGTGATTATAGACCGAGAACAAGCCCTTGAAGTCGGGGTCCAAAAGGGGGATAGGCGCCCCGTGGAGCGCTTTCCGTATCAGGCAACGCCCTTAGCGGTTGCTATGTCGTTGTTTTTGAATAAGGATAGGATTCGAGAGAAGGTAGCAGGAGATATAGTAGATTGAAGCCTTGTAGATATGGGACTTTGAAGGAGAGAATGGAGACAGACATTCGATGATATGTCTGGCAGATGAGAGACAACGATGGAGGCTGAGGCGTTTTGGATGTCTGCCTGATAGACGAGGTCCTCTAAGCCACAATTGGAAAGGTCGATGTGGGTACCAATCATTGCCATTGGGTTCTGGTGGCCTTACAGCCCCACAATCCAGGGAACCTCGCCCATACACCCATCCCTCAGCGGCTACCCCCAACACAACCAAATGTACTCCGAACGACGCAATCCAATGAATGACTTAAGTCTGCACCTTCTCTGCCGTCGCAATTGTCGATTCTCAATTAAATTATGGAGGATAAATCGGGATCGTTATCTCCCTTTCTCCGCATCCTCAAAAGTCCCACTTTTCCCTCTTCAACCCAGCGATGCGGTTGGTAAGTATTATACTGCCTGGTACCAGTAAAACATCCCACTTGGAAGATCGTTCGGCCTCATGGGAGAGCCCGTTCCGAAAATAGCCACCTATACGGCTAGACTCTGGTTTTTACGTCCTTTCCTTTCTGAGTCCCCCGCGGAACCTGAAAAAAATAGAATAAAACTCAACCAGAGGATGGATTCTGGAACTAAGAATTTTTTTCTGAGACCACGATTTGACCCTTTTCTTTTCTATCCTATATTCTTTTTCTTTCGTTTCCCTTTTCTTTCTAAGAGATGAAATAATTCCTATTTATTTTTTCTTTTACAAGACAGTGCGTCAGCATTGCAAGGTCTTTGGTCAGAAATATAGAGTTTGGCCGATGTGTCACTGCCATCATTATCATCATATGATACTTCGTACTGTATTAGTGGTAATTCGGTAATAACGGATCCGATCTCACTACCAACTGGAAGTAAGTAATGAGTGATTGCGTTGGCTCCCTTTGCCAAGGTTCTTTTCTGGAATGGGAATGCCGTTCGTCCTTGAGTCCGACCGTATTGGCAAGGAGACCTATTCCTATGTACCACCGTAGTACGGAGTACACGACATCCTTTTCACCCATTCAGGTTATACAAACATAGTATTTCCCCGACACACTGCTAACCTTACTGATAGAATTACATTTTGGCCAGTGAGTGTTGGCCTCGTAGCCAGAACCTCCACTTCAATACATTACTTGGGAGGACTGTGTACAGTATATGAGCCTCATGACGTTGAGTCGCTTCATTGAGTCACTGGGTTTTTACTCCCCGACCGCTCAAAAGCCGGTGACAGCCAATCAAAAAGCTCAGGTAAAGTCCAAATGTCGGTGACGCTTACAGTTGGTGTTTATTTACTACTCTACGTAGTACTAGTAATAGTTAACTAGTGCCTAGTACTAAGTAATCACCGTCAAAGCGTTGGAAGTAGCACTCGCACAAATGAACTGTTGATTTGTCCTTTTCTCTGCCAGAAAGAGGCTCTAGAAAGTATTCTCTAGGCTAATATTCTCCGAGGAAGTATGCACGAACTTCAATCTTTTGCAGATCTACGTTACCAATTTTGAATTCTATATCACCATTCCAAACCCTTCCTTTCATTGTTGCCTGAGGTATATCGCCCATAATCCACCGTGATGGCATCACTTGGTTCATATATACTTGAAGTGGGTGTGGTTACTTGCTGTAATATGGATGCCTTGATGTCTTGCGTAAGTCGATGATAAACTAGCCTTAGTATATCATCAAATCCCATGTAGGTAGCAACAATTCCAAGAGAATAAGTTTTCCGAACACAGAAGTCATTTGTCTCTCCAAGAAAAGAGGGCAAATCTCAATGAGAATTTGAGTCACTTTTGACAAGCCAGCATAATTGAACAAGGGGTTATGGTTATGACGACACTGTTCATGAGGCCATGGCTAGACTTCGTAATTTAATGCCAGATTTATATCCTAGATTTAACACGAAAAGAAAATAGTCATGATGGTATTTGCAGTCTAGTACAACTCTCAACACATGTCTCGAGTCGCTATGTGCTTCTCTTGGTTTGTGTTTTATTAATTATTGCTTTGCTTAATGCGATCAGAACGATCTTTTCTTGCATTTATCTAGAAACCACTGTCATTGATGAGCTAGCTACTCAGTATGCTACGGAGCATCCCAGAAGAACAGATGTCCAGGAACCTCGGGGCCACTGCACCTGCACACGATCTCATATCAATCCCATGCAACAACCAATCTTTAACAGTACATATATTGTCTTCGCAAGAAACATGCCGATGCAGATATACCGCGAGGTAAACTAAGACACCCAAGACTTGATCTATAGGGCTGTCTTGTGTCTCTTTCTCTCCACATCAATTCCGTTTTTCATGCTAATACAGTAAGGTGCCATTCAAAACTATCACCGAACCCCCCCCCCACAAGTTCATCAACTACACATGAGATGATGAGAATAAAGTCGCTAGTATACCTTTATTATTATCACAAAGATCCATATTCTACGTGAGACGCGTAGAATATACACACATGCCATTCATAGCAAACCGATATCTGATAGTGATAAGCTTTCCCTTGTCTTAAGTTATATTCTGCAAATACCACTCGATAGGCATCCAGACATTGGCAGGCTAAGGTAAGCTCTTTGAGGTGTACGATCCTTATCTTTCTTTAGATATTCAGAGACGACATGCGATGGTGACTATGTAGAGTCCTTAAAAAATGTGACAACAGCCAAATTGTTATTCTGCTACCTATGTAACCAGTCATCATACAATGTCTCGCCGAAGTTCCTTCGAGGGATTGATTTTACCCCGGTCGTTGCCTAGAGCATGTTGTGGCTAAAGCATCGCTCCTGAAGAGAAGGTTTAAGGTCCATTTGACTACATAGAACACCAGCACAAATAAATCGCATATATAGTTCTGGAGACCAATTGTTCGAGTAGTCTCTTTAAAGACTACAATGCTGTGCCACTGTGATAATCAATATAAATTGGAAGGGAACCAAAAGGCATGATGATGGATGTACACATATAATTTGTCTTCTCTCTATTCTAATGATGTTATATTGCAAGACTTAGAGCTTTGACCGCTTACCCAATAGATTGATTCTAATGCCTTCCGTTGTCCTCCAGATTTGTGGAGATCATTGCTTCGTACTATTAGAGGTGGAGATCTAAGTTGGATGTCGAGTCCATTATTTAGTAGTATGGATTATACTCTTACCGAACAAAGACTAATATTAATCAAGTCTTGTGAAGCAAGTGTTTTGGACCTCGGCTTCGGAAATGGGCAGAAAGTGCGGGCGGTGCCGAGAGGCCGGCAACCGGCTCCCCCAGACTTTCTCCAATGTCACTTGCCCTGAGTTTATCGGTGAATTATACCACTCCTTAGGACGTTCGTTAATGCAATTCATGACTAGGGTGATTGGCTGATAGATATGACTGGTTGATTTGTTCAATTCGTTTCCTTCCAGTGAACCCTTTCTTACTTTACACACGACATCTACTCCCCCAGCCGACGGTAATTGACTAGATACCCAAGGAGCTCCAACATGGATTTCGAGCACCGTGGCTTGAATTCTGACCAGCCGAAGCGACGGAGGCGGAATATCGGGCGGAGGCATTTGCGTAACAGAGCTCCTATCGCTGCGCGCTTCACCCTAGACCACCAGCTGCGTGGAAGCGTCGGTGTTCTATCCGATGACTTGGCGAATGACCTCTTTCAATCCTCCTCGACTGGTAAGTGAGAACGGTTTCAACTGTCTAGGGAAGCTTATCTAACTTGACCCTTCCCGCTGGGGTGAAAGAGGGGCAGGAAGATACTGAAATCCGCTACGTCGCTATCTCACCGTACCTTCCGGGTTATAACTCTGTTGAGGATCTCGCGTGGACCGTCATCCCCATTCGGCCACAGTCCAAGAATCGTTCTTACGGGACCCCGATCCCTCACTCGACCATTGCTTTCCCTGACTCTGCAGACTCGTTACAGCCATTCATACAGGCCTTGAGCAAGCTCGACCCCACACGCCATACCCTCCAAGTCCAGCGATCTGTCGAGATAAGGGTTTTAGATGTTGTCCCTTTGCACCTAGATACCATCTACGTCACTGTGGAGCGGAATCTTCTGCGAAACCATGACGATATCCAAAATAAATTCGCTGGCGGTTTTACTAATAGCTTAAATGAACCTAACGGGCTTTGGGCGAAGGCGGGGAAAGGATTGGATACCAAAAGATATTCCAAGAAGGCTGCGGCAGAGTCTGAAGAGAGGCTCACTGCTGCGGTGCGCGAGGCTCTGGGAGCGCAAAAGGTAGTACACACTGGTGATGTACTACCGCTGCCACTACCACCGCATCCCATAACATATGCCCCACCACCCCCAGCGCACATCTCGTTCTGTGAACCTGTCTCCCAGGGTCTGCTTATGCCGGCGACCAAAATTGTTCTGATTCAAGCCCGGCCGCATGGCTATCGGACACAGCGAAGCTTGCGATCGGGCTCAGGCTTACTCAAACAGGTCGCAGAAGATGAGGCCGATGATACTTCCAATGAGCAATTCTACTCAGCTGCTGAAGATAAGGCGACCGAAAGTAGTACGGAGGTAGAAAGTGCATCGGCCGCAGACGAATCGGAAACGGAGGGCTCGGGCGGGAACATGAGTGACACATCGGATGACTCTTTGGAAGATATGATCTCCCTTTCTGCCCCTGAACTTCCTCAACCTCCATCCGGTGTTATGTCCGGGATGACTGCTGCGACGCCACGTGCAGGTGGCCGACGGGTCGACGGCATCCACACTCCAGGATCCGTGGCATCGAACTTTACTTCGACTACCATGCGCCCCGGTAGGGTTGGCGGCGGCAAGGTCTTTAAAGCGGAGGGTCTATTGCGTGGCATTCCCAACGAACTTTTACACCCCAGGCCCCGGGAGGAAGACGACTCCGAGTCGTTTATATTCGTGGATATCAGCACACTTGCGAAGATAGGCTGCTTTTCTGGGGATTGGGTGAGGATCGAGGCCACAGAGGAGCCACAACTCAATATCTTTGCCTCGATCAAATTAGGAAGCTTCAATGAGCAGAATGAGGAGGCTGGTGATTGGCGTGCGGTCAAGATCTATGGCTTGCCTGGCCTGCCATCCGCCAAACCCCGGTATTCAATCAATCAATCCGATGAGAGACGCCCCAGTATCTCTCAGCGCCCTCCGCTGCGTTTAACTCCCTCGGTTTTTGTTCCTCCTTTACTTCTTAACAACCTCACCAACCCGAAATTTCTCCGCATATCACCGATGACTTTTGCCGGAGGCAATGGAAGTTCGAAACCGGGTCTTTTGAACCAGATGAAAGCAACCTCGGTCAGAAGCCCGCCTTTGGCAAAGGAAGTAACCCTGCTCAAAGTATCCACTCCGCTTTCCATGGATCGTGCTCTTCAGCCAGCCTTGTTTGCCGGACTCAAGCAGTATTTTGAGTCTAAGCGGCGTCTCCTCAAAAGTGGCGATCTCGTGGGAATTAGCGTCGATGAAGGTCTTGGTAGAGCTGTATTCGCAGGGCCTACTGCGAGCGATGGAGCAGCTCCAGATGAAGACCTCACTACTCGGTTGGGCCAAGCAGTAGATTCTGATCGTGCAGGGTCGAGGAAAGTCGGCGTCGCTTGGTTTCGCGTTGGGCAAGTAGTTCCCAGCTTGTCGGATGAGCCAGATGAAGCGAGAGAGGACCACTGGGGAGGTGTTTCCATTATTGATTCGGCAACTACCAGAATGGTGCAGGCTGGGAATGATGTGAGCAGAGTTCCAGGTACTTTGAATAACGGCTGGGAATACTGGCTTGGAGTGAAGGCCATACCCAAATCTGTCAGCGACATCCAAACACCTCATGGCCTGGTGACCGAATCACCACAGCCATATGTACCATCTCTCCAAGAGCGCATCCGGGACCTGATGTCGGTGGCTACAAGCCCTCGTGCGATCCAGCTTGGTATGAAATCTGTCGTCATCCTCTTAAAATCTCAACAAAGGCACATAGGAAAGGCTACTCTCGCAACACGGGCATGCGCGGATATTGGCCTCCATACTTTCTCGATCGATTCCTATGATATACTGACCGAGGGTGGCGCAAATGGCGGTGACGTGAAGACCGAAGCATATCTGAAAGCCAGAGCAGAGCGCGCATTTCATTGTGGAGCAAACTGCACAGCCCTTCTTATAAAACACATTGAGGTCTTAACAGCGGACAGAATCATCTCCGCCATGAACGAGATCGTGGCTGATGCAAGGGTTATCGTAGCAACGACAACGGACGTCGAGCAAATTCCGGAGGGCATTCGCAGCATATTTACCCATGAGTTTGAGATGGGCGCGCCCGAGGAAAAAGAGCGTGAAGGCATTCTGCATAATGCTGTTTCTGAACGCGGCATTAAGATATCTCCTGATGTGGATCTAGGCTCAGTGGCTCTTAAGACTGCTGCTCTAGTTGCCGGAGATCTAGTGGATGTTGTTGAACGCGCTTCTTCTGTGAGGGCTGCGCGCCTGGAGAAGTTAGCCGAATCTGCAAGCAAACATTCCCCTGGCTCGAAAGTTAGCATCAGGGATGTGCTCATTTCCGGAGGTGATGCAGCACGAGGTGTCACTAAGGCCGATTTTGACGCCGCTGTTGATGCTGCGAGGAAGAATTTCGCTGATTCGATTGGCGCACCGAAGATTCCGAACGTTAGCTGGGATGATGTTGGTGGTTTAACTAACGTCAAGGATGCCCTCATTGAAACCATCCAATTACCCCTAGAGCGACCTGAACTGTTCGCTAAAGGCATGAAGAAACGGAGTGGTATCTTATTCTACGGACCGCCAGGTACTGGTAAAACCTTACTTGCCAAGGCCATTGCCACAGAGTTTTCTCTGAACTTCTTCTCCGTCAAGGGACCTGAGTTATTGAATATGTATATTGGTGAGTCCGAAGCGAACGTTAGGCGTGTCTTCCAACGAGCTCGGGACGCTCGCCCTTGTGTTGTCTTCTTTGACGAACTTGACTCGGTCGCCCCGAAGCGCGGAAATCAAGGAGACAGCGGCGGTGTAATGGACCGTATTGTCAGTCAATTACTTGCAGAGTTAGATGGTATGAATGGTGGTGAGGAGAATAGCGGCGGCGTTTTCGTCATTGGCGCTACAAACCGCCCAGACCTATTGGATACGGCACTTTTACGTCCTGGTCGTTTCGACAAGATGCTTTATCTTGGTGTTTCTGATACGCACGAGAAACAAGCCACGATTCTAGAGGCGCTTACTAGAAAGTTTGCTCTTGCGCCTGAAGTATCACTGAGCCGGGTTGCGGAGCAGCTGCCTTTAACATATACGGGTGCTGATTTGTATGCCCTGTGTTCCGATGCTATGCTTAAAGCTATCACCCGCAAGGCGACAGCTGTGGAAGAAAAGATAAAACAGCTACCTGGTGAACCTGTCAGCACTGCTTATTTCTTTGATCATCTTGCCACTCCGGAAGATGTAGCCGTTACGGTTGCGGAGGAGGACTTCATTCAGGCACAGGATGAACTCGTTCCCAGTGTTAGGTAAGACTTAGTGATATTGAACTATAGGTCTCCCAGAAACAACTGATTACTAACAACATATAGTGCCAAGGAGCTGGAGCATTTCGAACGTATCCGACAATCGTTCGAGTCTGTTGATAAGAAGCAAGATTCTGGGGCGCAACCACCGCGAACTATCGCAGATGCTCTTGAGGCCCTCGAACTAGGAACTCACCTAGATATGGGTGGGCCTGTTACGAATGGCGACCACCTCCCTACAGGAAGCGGCAAAGGCAAGGGGAAACATGGATCACAGCCCATCCGGAGTGCGAGCATTAACTCGACTAACAGCAAAGGGAAAGGCAAGAGTTCCATCAGTACTGGAGAGAAACTGAAGAACAAGCCCATCGCCTCCCCTGGCAACGATTCTGATTCTTCTCTCGATGGTCCCAATTCAGGAACCAGGGTTGGTAAGGGATCTTCCCGCTACGATGACGTTGGTGAGGAGGACGACGGTGTTGAAGATGGAGCTGTGAATGGTGATGAGGACTACATTGTTCGAACGGATCATCTCATCCGTGCTGATGGTGATAGTTCGAAGTAAGCAGGAGATGTTGATGCTTATTCGTATCAACTTCTGTAATAATGTGGAATGGGGCGATGCTAGCTGTGTACAGGTATGGGTGAACATGTGTATATATTACTATATTTGAGCGGCATGTATGTATGTGTATCTGGCGAAGATGATGGATGATGAATGGCTATGATGATCGAAAGATTTGATTATGTGCATATCCCATGATACCCGTGGCCTGAGGCACCGTGGAGACTAATGAATCGGTTTATCAAACAGAGTATTTATTTAGAAATCTCCACCCAGCCTTATCAACGGCTTGATAAATGACTCAACCCTCTCGATAATATCTGTTCCCTTCGATTTATCGTCCATATCTATCTCTTAATCCCATTTGAAGGTTATCTATCTTTTCATTATATTTCGATATTACAATAAGACAAGCTCCCACACCATTGCCGACCCATAGAGGGAACGGCCAACGGAAGGCTGCGGTCCCTCTGGACCTAAGCTTAGGTTCCATATCTCCCAATACTTAGTACTACTTTTAACCGCTGCTGATCAACTAACGACTCCTTCTCACTGGCCTTCGGCGCCAGGTGCTCGGCGATACCCACGAATCACCGTGCCGCGTGGTAATCAACCTCTGATCCGTCCCATTTCGATGTTCTTTTCTTTATCGGAGCTACTCCGGAGTATATCGCTATCAAGGGCGAGGTGACCTATGGCCTATTGGATAAGCATGGGCTATGTCGCCACTATCCCCCGCAATCCACGGTGGACCCGATTATCCAGAGAACGAGTTGGGGGAAATTTTGTCGCTGCTATCCCCCGAGAATGACAGATTCCGGTGGAGGAAATGGGGAAAGGGATGAAGTGTGCCTCGTGGAGGGTTGTTGGGTTATGTCTGCTGCTGTCTTGTTTTGTCCTCTTTTCCCTTCTCCTCCTCTTCCCTGTGTGATCAGTATCTTTTCAACACCTAGTCCAATCGAGTTGATCTCTTTTGATAGTATTATCCTCACGTTACTTGGTCTTATCTTCAGGCATTTGATCATTCCCGCTTTTTCCTTCTTCTTCTTCTTCTTCTTCTTCTTTCTTTCTTTTGATTGAAACATTGGTTCTGTGGTCAGCTATCCCTACAATGGCCGATATATCCGCCATGAAAGATATTCGGGGAGACGATGATGCCCAGTTGGCAGCTATGGGTCACAAGGCCGAACTGAAGCGAAATTTCTCACTTCTGTACGTTCCAGAATGTCCGCGGATCTTATATTGATTGAGACTGACTCTCATATGCATCTAAATTAGGTCCATGCTAGGTCTGGCCTTTGCTATTCTAAATGTATGTGACCGAACACAAGGATCCTTCAGCTATTGGATGCTACTACTACGTTGTTGGGCCAAGCCACAAGGCACTGGAAAAAGTAAATTAACTTTAATTCTGGTTGCAGTCTTGGACCGCTCTCTCGGCAAGCTTATCTCTTAGTCTACCATCCGGAGGCCCTGTTGGCGTGGTCTGGGGTAAGTCATTATATCTTTCGTGTTTTCTTGATTCACTTTCATGTCTCTTTGTTCTTTGAATCATATATTACTACACCCTACTAATTTAAATTTATTCAGGCTTATTTACAGCGGGTGTATGTAACCTTTGCATAGCAAGCTCGCTTGCCGAATTCTTGTCTGCCTATCCTACGTGAGTTACTACCTCGCACGTCTCGACCCCTGACTCGTCTGACTATCGATCTAGCGCTGGTGGGCAATACCATTGGGTCGCAGGTAAGTTTATACTACATACCTTAGTGGCAACATAATTTAAGTATTCGCTAACTTTCTGGTTTAACAGTTAGTAAGTGTTTGACATTGATATGCTTCCACTATGCAATATACTGAACATGACCAAGTTTCTTGGGAACGATGGATGCCTATACTCTCATGGATTACCGGTTGGGCCAACGTTTCTGGATGGGTAGGCCTACTTGAGACAATACTGAACATCAGGCACAAGGCTGATTAGTCTAGCTTGCATTAACCGCCACCGGTGGGCTGCTGGGCAGCCAATTGATCCTGGGTATAATCTCATTGATGAACCCAGTAAGGAACCCAACACTCGACACAAATGTACTCGCTCGCTAATTGTTCTTGTTAGACATATGAATCTCAACGCTGGCATCAATTCCTGATTTATACTGGCTATAATATTTTTGCGTTCATCATAAATGCCTTCATGAACAATGGCCTTCCTTATTTCACTAAGGGTGCCTGTAAGCTCACATGTGTTCCTATGCCTTGCTGCCCAATATTTCTGACATTAGTCAAGTCGTCTGGTCACTGACTGGGTTCGCTGTTGTTTCGATAACACTGCTTGCATGCTCATCACCGAACTATAACTCGGGAGAGTAAGGATGATGTTTTCCCTTCAGCTCTACGATAAATGTACTGATTAAAACCAGGTTTGTATTTGCAAAATTTATCAATGAGACAGGATGTATGTGTATTACCTTTATGTATTAGGGCTAAAGCTGATTGACTATAGGGCCGGACGGTGTTTCTTGGTTACTTGGAGTACGTTATGCACATGGTACTCTCAGATGAACGATTTCTAACCAATATGCAGCTTCTTCAAGGTGGACTTGGTCTCACTGGATTTGTAAGTAGCCTTCTTTCGCTTAGCTTGGCATCCATCAGCTGATAACTGTAAAAGGATGGGGTTGCCCATATGATCGAAGGTACGAATTATACGCAAGCCATACGGAAAATCAGTGCACTGATTGATTTCTATACAGAGATCCCGAATCCATCCGTCTTGGGCCCGAGAATCATGATTGGGTGTGTTGTCATCGGTACCGTCACGGGTTCAATCTTTTTAATTGTCCTCCTCTTTGTCGCGGGTGACATCTATAATGTTATCAATTCTGCTGCAGGGTGTCTCCTTCAGATTTTCAAGGATGCAACTAACAACAATGCTGGATCGATTTGCCTTCTTATGTATGTTTCTCCTATGACCGTCTCCTTGCGGTAGGTGCCTTACTAACTAATATTCCATAGGTTCCCTCTTGTTTGCATCCTTTTCGCAGCGACCAGTATTATGGCAACTAGTAGCCGTATGATCTACGCATTTGCAAGGTAAATACCTTGATTCAGAACAAACCTTTCTCTCACGGCGTACTGATCAATATCGGCAGAGACGGTGGCCTCCCGGCTTCTTCCTATTTTTGCAAGGTTCACCCAAAGCTCAACGTCCCATTGAATGCCTTGTACTTGACTCTTGCTTCTGTTACTATCTTCGGACTTATCTTCCTTGGGTCTTCGAGGCAAGCTTTCCCACAATTCTGGCACAATCGCAGTAGGGCATGGTCGACTAACCTGAGCAGTGCTTTCAATGCTATTATCTCATCGTCAGTAGTGATGCTTGACGTCGCATACGGTTTCCCGATTGCGGTAAACTGCCTACGTGGTCGGAATATGCTACCTGAGCGGTCTTTTGTTCTCCCAAATACTTTGGGTTGGATCGCCAACTTGGTAGGTCCGACCAACCCCGTTAGCATGAGGCTTTTGACTAATACTGCTGATAGGTTTCTCTTGCCTACATCTCCCTCACCACAGTGCTCTTCCTCTTCCCTCCCGAGCTGCCTGTGACTGGTAGCAATATGAGTGAGTGTTGCACATCTTTATATGCGAACATACTATCGAAGAGATTGCTGACAGATCGTGTGCTACCAGACTATTGCGTTGCTGCTTTTGGAATTATTCTCATTATTTCTACGTTTCAATGGATAGTGGATGGTCGTAAGAACTTCACTGGGCCACGGGTTGATGTGGATGTCATAGCAGGCGTAATTGAAGTGCCCACACACACCGAGACTGCTGAATCTCACGCAAAAGGCGATGGAAAGTGAGGTTACATTTACTCAATTTTTCTGAAAGTATTGTAATTAGCTTTATCATGACCCTACACGATAGAAGATAGAATCCTAGAAGAAAGTGTAGTCTGGTGTTCAATGGGGTTTTCGATACGATGACGTCACTTCTGGCACATGCCAACCTCAGGCCACCAGGTGGACCACTCATTTACTAGAAGTAATTCATCCAATTCGCCCCAACAACTTTCTTTCCCCACATTTTGCTGGGATCGCCATAACCACAGCACATTCAGTTTAGTATAGGAACCGATATATCGTACTAACCATTGGTTATTCCAAAGACACGCCGAGTACTGAACATCGTTAACACCCGAACCCTACTCGAGAGACTCTAAGCAGGAGTTTTCGGCACGTCAAAGAGCTTATAGTACTCCCTCAACGAATATAGCTAACAAGCTATGTTATCTATCTCGTTGCCTTCCTTGAAAAACTTTCTGCCATGGCGCGATCGAGCCTTTATCAATCTCCCATCAGTCAAGATTCATGAGATTGATACGGCACTCGGAAAGCCGGCTCGGGCTCTAAAACATTTGCTCAAGTTGAACCATGCCAACTATTCCGTATTGTACAACGAACGGAGGTTTCACAACCATACACCTCATGTAAGCTGCTCCTCTAACTCATTATATCTTTCATGTGAAAAGCGTTATTGACTCGATGTAGATTTTGAGCTCATCTTTCCTGCAAGGTGCGGACGCGGATGATCTAAACCGCATCTATGAGGCCGAGTCCAAACTTTTGGACCCCTGGAGTGATTCTCCGGGTGAAATCAGTGCATATGACTGGAGAGATTATCTCGGTCAACGAGAGTATGTAGCTACACTGCGTCTGTGATCTTATGAATGAGCGGCTGGCTAATGTGCGAGGTTAACTAAATGTGTTTTCAGATACCAAAGGGCATTTGTTGACTTTTTCGAGGACGAGCTTGTCCGCCACGGATATGATTGGAAGCAAGTTGTCGTAGATTACCTATTTTCCGGAAAGGAGCCATTATTCAACTCCCTCGTCGATGACCGTATGATGACGCCGAATATGCACTAAACAGTTCAAGAGTACTGATATTGTTTAGTTGGCCACCCTTTAATACATCTTGCTTATGCATTTGAAATGTCCAGCCGCGAAGTTGGGATGGAAGCCCTAGCTCTGGCAGCTACATGCTACGGCAAGATGCATAAATATATCGACGACCCTTCCTATTCACAAGCAGAGTCTCTCTACTATTCGACCTCACCGCTCGAAGTCCTAAACAAGGTACGAGCTGACAAACAGTTCAACGGCCTCTTTGGTACTCCAGGCGACAACAACATCGACACCATTCTTCGTTATCACGAAGCCGCACTCCTGAATCACTGGAACGCGTGGAAGATCGAGGACCCCGTGCAGCAATTCCGCGAGAGCCAGGAACTTGCCGTGGCTCTTTTAACCGCCACTCGATCTGAAACATCGGACAAGTATGACTTTTTCCTTGTCCACACCTTGACAACTAGCCATGCCGTCCGGGTTCTTCTTCCACTTATCCCGGCACGCTTCCAATACTCACTCGTTAGGCAATGGTGGCTTCTAACTCTGGTTGTATACATCGCGCAACTAAGGCCGGAAATCAAACTCGATCAGATTAAGGGCTACGAATTGAAAGGAAGAGATTGGAAGTGGACGGCGCAGAAGGCTGTCAAGGGTGAACATTCGATAGACGCGCATTATGTCAAGGCAATTCGCTCGTGTAAGGAAGCTGCCGCAACATGGGGAGACCCGGAATCGTACTACCTGAAAGCGGCAGTCAAATTTGGCGAGGAGTTCGATGGTTGGGGAGGTTTTGTTTAATGAAGTAGTACTTTTCTTCGATTGTCTCTCCTTAGGTTGGACTGCATTGGTATAATGGTTGGCAATGTAATGTACCATAAGCATGTTCTGTTTGTTTCCCTTTCTGCTTTACTTTTTGCTCAAATTGTGTGATAATATTATCTTAGAAAGCGTTGAGCCAGAAGTAAAGGGTGGCACATCACAATTTAGAATTAAGGTCAATATTTGCACGCTTCTACCCGAGTGACATTTACAATAAGTACTATTCTTTAGACAACCATGCTCTTGACCTTCATAAAGCGTTAAGTATGATATATACGCCTGAGGCACTAACTTAAGTCGTAGATCACGTGATATTTGTTTAATTTAGAGCTGATCTGAGCTCGAATCTATTCTCTAACATTTTTGATCAACGCCAGTTTCTATAGCCTACACCCATGAATTATTCTGAACACATACCATATTAACAAAGACAGCTAACAATATCATCGTGTAATAAAGGCGCACCCCAAATCACACGATGATCACAGCACATCATCGAAACGAGCCTACGCCGCTCTACCTACACGCCGAACTGCTCCCTAACATCCGCCACATAACGCTCTACGCGTCGCTGCCTGCAACGGTACAATCGCAAAATATCCAGCCGGAGATCTGCTTATCCGGCTCGTGTCGTGCTATTACTATATCTCTCCCGCCACCGTACGACCATGTCACGGATACACTCAAGTTACCCGCTCGTGTAAATGAAGCATCACGGCGGGCCTTGAGTATGGCTGGACAGCAAGCTGGGGATGCTAAGAACCAGCGAAACGGTCAACGGGAATACTCGTTCAGAATGCAGATCGACGATGAAGATAATTCGCTGCTCTCGAGAGAAGAGCATGTGGATAGCTTTGTGCCGTGGACTGCGATGGACATGACTCACTGTACTATGCTGCGTTGTCGCCATTGTAAGAATATTCTTCTTGACTCACGTGTGTCGTGCGACTCCAACCTTGAGGCGAAGAGTATACAGGGCTGGGTGTGGAAAGACTTGCCTAGCGGGAATTGGGCTGAGATGATGGATTTCTGGCACTGTCACAAGCCGGATCCTCATGAAGGCCATGACCATGATCATACCAATGGTATTGCCACGGAGGACCAGAATGCTACGGTGAAGGGGTATGGTGCCCTGAATCAGGTTGTTGCAACTCCAGGGACTGTTTTAGTGGACGTCGCAACTTTTCTCATAGCGGATATCGACTGTAGAGGCTTGAAACCGGTAAGCACGAATGTTCTTTTCAGTTGTGTTTTGACTAGCATTGCTATGGCCATCCTTTTTAGTGCTTTACGCCCAGGCCTTATTCTAGACTGCGATCCTATCCAATGTATGGTATGGGCAAAAAAAGAAGGAGGCCATTTCATTACCATGCTTTGGTCTTCGATACAATTGCCCTACAATCACTGCATCTTGGTCTCTCTTTTGGTCCGATATCTGCATAACGAAGATTGAGTGGTGCCATGGCTTGGTGCAGTTATCCTCTTCGTGATGGATTTCGCGTCCTGCCGTGTTTGCCGTTTGATTTTCACGGTGTTCGGCCTGGATCAAGATTTCGCCTCGCCTCATTTCTCCGTTGATTCAGTCTTCTTACCCACAGGCATGGGATTAACGTGATTACAGCGAGGTACATGTGGGAAGGAATTCGGAGATTAGGTTACCCGTTAATCCGGCAACCTCGACCATTGTCTGGTGGTCAAGAAGCAGATACTAGACTGTAGCATTTCACGAATACAATTTATATGCGCTCTATGACCAAAGCACACCATGTTCTTAAGCCTATAGTTTCTTACATAGCAACAGATTGCTGATAAAGTCATTCTTCTAGGTCGAAAAGAAGAGTGCAATTGCCGCTTCCATGGAGGCACAGACGGATTTGCTTTGCGACAATTGCAATGGCCTAATAGGGATTGAAGACACGGTTGCCAAAGGATGGCGATTATTCAAAACAAGCGTATCTGTAAACCGGCAGTTGTCGCAAGGCGCGCACGAAGACCCAGCATGGGAAAGTCATCCTTTGGAGGTGGTTGTAGCAGCTCAATTGTTAGAGCTAATTGAGAGAGAAAGTGCTCGACGATTTGTTCTCCATTGTGGACAAGGAGATGGACTACTGGTATGTCGTCCACTTTCCCTCAGACTTGTTACATTCGCTCATCGATGTATAGATCTGGGTTTTCAATCCAGACATGCAGTATTCGAATTCGCACTCTGATCACAGTATCAATGCGCAACGGGCCATGAAAATCTTGTTTCAGGATGTTACTAACGTGGATGAGATGCTTCAACCTGATCGTGGCAAGGCGTCATCATTGTCCCTGGAGGAACTTCGACTGCCATCAGGTGTCTTGTCTGTTGTGTCAGAGACTTTAAAAAGAAGAAACGAGATGATACCTGAGTCTGCAAGGGAGTTTCGGGAATGGAAGGTTGGCATTATGCATCGGTTTGACCGGGCAAAGAATGTTTAAGAAGTAAGTTGGTATGCATTCCCGCTCCGTTTGTGGACAACGCCTTAGGTGCCATCCTTCTTTGAGAATGCATGACACCGGACCAACTTCCCATTCCAGAGTGAATCAACCTTCCTCTGCTTCATCCACTGTGCCACTTTAACAGTTCGTTCCTCCGGTTCGCGTCTAATGTCTCTTTTTAAATGGCTTGAGCAGTCCATGGACTTCGTCTTGATTTCCTTCTTTTTCACAAAAAATCAATACAAGCTTTCTGCCGATTCCTGCTCTTCAAATGACGACTGAAAGCCGAGATCTACAACCTTTAACAGCAAGCAACCACAATGAGGATGATGTCACCTGGGAACATTTGGAGGACGTGGTCGAAAAACATACACCAATAGAGTGCCATGTTTATTCACGCTCTACAAGTGCAGTCAAAACCGAAAACCCTACCAGACAGGAAGCACTTCCTTTCCCTGTCGAGATTATGGGTGTCACGTTTACGAACATAACTATTCCTGAAAAGAACTCGTCGCATTCCTGCATTATACCTCCAACAATCATGATAATCCCTCCTAGTCCTTCTGAAGAAAGACCACAGGAGGCCTCAAACAGCCATCTTGAATCTACGTGAACACGCCTGAGTTAGATAAGACCACCACCCTCGACACCCTTTTGACGCGAAGAGTTGCGAACAAGCTTGCAAGGTCAAGTCAAATGTTCTAAGCAAGGCTCAGGCAAACTTAGTCGAAATACAAACTCGAAGTTGTGAAGACTTTGGAAGATTTGCCAAACTGTTCTACATCAGAGCTCATACACGTGGGTGGTGAGGTGTCCTTCCTGCCTCTCATTTATTTAGTTAGAATTTAATTTTTACTTTTCTTATATATATGTATATATATTTTTGTGACAGCGACACCCGCCAGTGTGCAAGTAATTGATTCCAATTCGCCAATCGTAAATCGTTTTTATATAATATCATGGCGCCTTACCATCTTGCTCATATTCCAACGCTGATTACGTTGAGGAATAAGCTGCTCCTGCTGCCTCTACCCTTCGAATGGTGTCTCGTATGGTCTTTCTGCCTGTGGCGTGATTCTTGCGAGATGCCGTCTCTGGCCATCCTCCCAATCGAAAATAGCACTGTGTGCAACAACGCGGTTCTAATTCCCAGTTAGTTTTCCTTGCATAAAAGACAACATCGGTAAAAGTTATTCTTACATCCCAGACTACAACAGTTCTTGGCCGCCACCGTACACGAGTCTGAATGTCCTGGGACAAGGCAATGTGATCATATAAGAACTTGAGCAGGAAATCCGACTCCTCTTTCTTGTATCCAACGATGTATCGGGTGACTAATTACCGTTAGAGCTCTAATAATGATCTAACAGCGTCAATCAAGGACTCACATTGTGGGTTCACAAAAAGAGCTTTCTCCCCGGTGACGGGATGGGTCCTGACAATTGGGTGTTCCGTCGTGATGGGATCGCGTCGTGCAATACCGCCCTTGTTTAAACTGTTGTTGACTTGCTCAACGCCAGAGTGAACGGCTCTCAGGCCGTGCAAACGCTTGCGGAACTCGGGGGACAACCGTCTGTAGGCCTGAGCCATGTTACAGAACAAAGTATCCCCACCGCTTGAGGGGCCATCTAGCAGGTATAGAAATGTAGTACCTGGAGGTTGCTTCTCGAAGGTAACATCAGAGTGCCAGGTAAGCGAGTTCGTGTGGGTTTCCAGGAATTCTGCACCACTCCTGTCGTCCGCTCCACGATGGACGAGGTGAATCTCGGGGAAGCCCTTTGGTGCTCCAGAGCTCTGGTGGATGTGGTGTCGACCGAAATAGCCACCAAACTCAAGGGCCTTCTCAATGGGTAGCTGAGCGAAGTCCTGGTCTCGAAAAGCTGGAGAACTCTGTCAGCAAAACAATATAAGGGCAATATCTTCTTGTATTGAAACATACCGACAACTTTTCTTTGGGCGATGAACAAGGCTAGCTGGTCTTTACCCTTATCAGTTAACTGACTCAGCTGGATACCACGAACCTCACTGCCAATGGTTGGAGTAAGCTCCTCCACTTCGCCCTTGCCCTCAGGGAAGAGATCGGGGAAAGTTGGATCTGCATCCTTCCCATGCTCATAATGCTCAAAGGGCTGAAGCGGTGGGTACCTATCAGGTAGTCAGCTACGATGCTCAAGCGACGAGACGAAACGAGACGAGACATGTTACGACATTGGGGTTATATACTTTTCCGTTTCGTTGTCCCAGACAGGGAGATAACTGGGGAAAGATGCCGGGGGCTGCTTCGCCGTCCCTTTGATCTCGTTCTCATGCTCATAAGATTCACGGTACCCTACCCCATTCTCCTTGTTAAAGCCAGTATCGGTTCTGAGAGCGGCCTTAGGTGCCGTGCGAAGAGAGAGAGTCTCAGTTATGGATGGAGCCATCTTTGCTAAATTTTGTTCAGAAGTTGATACCCTTTCAGTCTGTCTTTTGTTCTAGCAACAAGCACTGGAGTGATGACAGGGGCTATCTCCTACATATAGTCATCCCACCACATTCAATCACCCGTCTCGAGATCCGATTATCCGACTGGCCTTCCAATTATGCAATGTTTGCGGGGTATGTCTAATCCCACTTCTTACTCGAGACTTCATCCTAGAGTAAGTTCACGCGAGGCGCGGGGTTCCTCGAAACGATCACCACAACCAGTGCTAAATCATCGAGTGAATCATCGAATGATCCGATGGCGTGATAAGACAAGATTTGCAAGGATTGACAGTCTGTCCATTGTAGACTGACTCGCCATCACGGAGCTTTGTTGACTGCTTCATGGTAGGCTCACGATCCGGACCGACCACGGCAATAAACACCGTAGCATTTTCGTCGAACCGATAGAAAATTGAAATATCTAGGCTGATTCTAAGTCGTAGCAGTTGACGCTGTCGCTGTCTAAAGTGATACGCAGCCGTTGTTGCAGGCCAAGTATGACGTGCTAGCGCAACCTGTTCGCGCAACACGCGATAGCCCTAAGGGGCAATCTAATCCCCCCGCTTGTGGAGTTAGCATGTTTGCACATACACTCAAGTCAAGTAGGCTCCCGCCGTCGAGCTAGGTAAGGAGACACTGGAAGAGTCACTGCCTCCCACAACCATTGCGTTCTTCACATCTGGAAAGACAAAACATCATTGACACTCCATACTCGGTCGAACGATGAGCTCTTGAGATGGCAGCACTTTAGATAAAAGATACTGATAACAGCTCGTTCTGAGATAGTAGAATAATCGCCAATCAGAGCTCGCTCCAATGTTGCGATGATGATGGCAAAATATGCCACCATAAGCCAATCCAATGGTGAAATTGTCCCCTCCACGTTAGGTACCTGACCGGTTTATCGTTGCTACTACCGTATTCATTTGCGAAGGTTGGCAATTGTTGCTTGTTGAACAGTCTAGAACAAACGCTAAATGACATCTCTGCCTCTCTTGCGTTGACATGACTTGTCTTTTATAACGTCAGCGCTGTTCGATTTGCGTGATGTACCCACTATGCAGTCCTTAATGGGTCCTAGATCATCGGTTCAATACAATCAATAATGTCTCCAGTCTTGTTAATTTATCAGAGCTCCACACATGTGGACTCCAACCCGTACACGCGGATGCTGGCCGCGATCTGCAGTGTCTTACTGCATTTCTATCAGAAAGATGATATCGTCTTCATGCTTTACATGTCCCTATTGGCTCTAGACAACAACCCACAATGCGCGGTCCTCGCGTAGTATCAGCTAGCTCCAGCCTTAAGTCCAAATTGCGATTACGTGCTAGAAAACACAACAACCTGAGGAACCATAGCTACGAGGTAGCACTTATTAACGACCTATGATGCCCTTATAACTTTGACGACTCATCTACTCCCGCTACTGAGCCGGTCGGAAGACTGCCTCATCTAATAATACGGGGCGAAATGGCTTCCGACGACCGCAAAGGAGTGATCGTAAACGCCGAACCAGTAAACGATGATTCCAAGCAAGTGTCAGCCGGGTCATCCTCTGAAACGCTTCCTGCTCCTGCGCCCAAACGAGTCAAGGATATTAGCGAAGGCGCTTTTGATACTACTGAAGACCCGAGATATTACAAGCCAATCGACGACTATGAAGGCATTCATCGTTGGGACCCGGACTTTGAATGGGAGGAGCAGGAAGAGAAGAAGCTCATAAGAAAGGTATTCCTGATAGAGCTACTCGTTCAAATCAGCTCAAGCTAATAATAATGCCAGATTGATTTACGGGTCTGTACGTTCGCTTGTGTCACCTTTTTTGCGCTGCAGCTCGATCGAGGCAATATCGTTCAGGCGATGTCCGATAATATGTTGGATGACCTGGGCATGAACACAAACGACTACAACACTGGCCAAACAATCTTCTATCTCGTTTTCCTGTTTGCGGAGCTCCCATCTCAGTTGATATCAAAGAAAATAGGGCCAGATCGGTGGATTCCTATCCAGATGTTCTGCTGGAGTTTAATTGCTGCCTTTCAGGCATTCCTCTCGGGTAAAACATCATACTTCGTCTGCAGGGCCTTGCTGGGTCTTTTTGAGGGTGGTTTGTAAGTTTAATTTCCCAGCAGTGAGTATAATCCACTAACGTATAGCAGTATCCCGGACACCATTCTTTTCCTCTCCTTTTGGTACAAGTCTAAGGAGTTGCCTATCCGGTTGAGCTATTTCTGGGTTTCCTACGAGGGAACCTCTATTATCAGTGCCTTCCTGGCATATGGCTTCTTGCACGTGCGAAGGCCTGATGGAACCGGTGGTTGGCGGTACTTATTTGCCTTTGAAGGCCTGATCACGGGTATTATTGCGATTATTGCCGTGTTCTGGATGCCAGCATCCCCGACCCAGACGAAAGGCGGGTTCCGTGGCAAGGATGGCTGGTTCAACGAACGCGAAGAGAAAATCATGGTCAACCGAGTAATCCGCGATGATCCAAGTAAGGGAGGCATGCACAATCGACAGGCTGTGACGCCGAAGATGCTTTGGGAGGCGCTTTGCGACTATGACATGTGGCCCATCTATCTGTTAGGGTTAACCTGGATGATCCCCAATACTCCCGCAACAAGCTACATCACGCTACAGCTGAAATCGCTGGGATTCGGTACATTCGAAACGAACCTTCTGACAATTCCGGCTTATGTGATTTTCATTATCAACCTGCTTGTATGGACCTGGATCTCCGAACGGTTTTACCAGCGTTTGATTCTTGGCGTCGGGTCTATGATTTGGTGTCTAGTCCTCTTGATTGCGCTTGAGACCCTGCCAGATAATGCCAGTCCTTGGGCTCGATGGATTATTAACGTCTTACTGATTGGAGCACCATATGTGCATGCAATCATTGTTGCTATGACCTCCCGAAATGCAGGCACGGTTCGAACAAGGACTGTTGCTAGTGCGGTTTACAACATGATGGTTCAGACGTCAAGCATCATTGCCAACAATGTGAGTAACCTCTGCTAGCTCCTGCCATTCTCGCTACTAGATGTGTGCTGACCTTTGAATTACTAGATCTATCGTGAAAACGATAAACCGTACTATCGTACCGGAAATAAAGTCCTCATTGCGTTAACAGTATGGAGCATGGCTGTATTCATTGGAGCCAAGTACTATTACATGTGGCGCAACAAGTACGTTTTTCTACTAGAAACATGTAGGCTTATCAGGGAAAGATACTAATTCATCTAATCTGTGTAGGAAGAATGCCGAAAAATGGGATGTCATGTCCAGCGCCGAGAGGGAGGAATATCTGGGCGCTAACAAGCACTTGGGCAATAAACGGTATGCTACGTTTTGGCTCTTTTGACAGCACACCTTGCTAATTACTTCACAGGCTGGATTTTAGATTCATCCATTAATATACAAGCACGGCGAGCTAGATCCAGCTGGATATGGATCATGGGGCTTAGTTATGATTGAAAAGTCCTTTGTGATACCACTTCGTTTAGAATTAGAGGGCCAAGCCCGAATGAATTAGAAGAACCTCAAAAGCATGTGCCGCTCAGTGACTCACGTTAGGCCTCGTTAGTCGTACCCCCGCTATGTGTACGTCTATTCGCATGCATCATATCCGAAACTCTTCTACTCTCCGATTACATACTCACATCCATCCTCTCCAATCCATACCTCATGCAACTTGCCAGCCGGTACATCGACCCGAGCGCCAACACCAAATGTCTCCTTTTTGACCTCTCCATTGTGTAGTTGAGCATTGTCCTCCGGATACGTAATTGTAAGGGTACCTTGTCGTATGAGATGCGTTGTTAAGCCCGCATGTCTATGAGGTGAATAGTACGCATTGCTGGAAAATCACAGGGAAGTAAGCACAAGCCCCTATAAAGCTGATCGTGTTTTTCCCCAACTAGAAGATTGACGATAGATATACCTTCCATCAGACCAGGTAAATATATGTTTGAATCCCCAGCCTCGAACTAGACGTTCGCATTCGCTGCGAGTTCCGATAGGGTATATTTGGGTTTCTGTCATTTTTTTTAACCGTATGCTTCTATGAGGAGAGTAGTGGTACAGCCACGCTCGAGTGTAGGTTAGCGTTAAAGAGCGAGAGAGAGTAATCTAGTGTTGTGGTATGTATGTTGAACTGATTTGCTGCGGAGGCGATGACGTCGGCCCAAAAGATAAATACCTTTTTCAGTACTAATTCACTGGGATTCGATTCGGCGGAAGGGACCATCACGTGGATGATGTTCTTTCCTTGTCTTGATTGGACGGATACTGTTTCCATACTTGTGAGGGAGTTTAGTATGTATTGACCTAAAAGAGGATTGGACTTTTGTAGGTTCATGGAATCTTACCATGTACTGTCCCGTTTTGACGAAGTCGAACAGATATATGGAGTACCTTGGGTACAATTAGTATATGCTACCTTAGTAGATTTACTTAGTCTGTCCATTACTTCCTTTTTCTCGTCGACCGTAGAAGTAGAATGCCTGCATAACAGGGCACTACACAATGCCAGATTAGGAAGGAGCCACGCGTGACTTGACTCTTGTCCGTCCAAGCCTCATTCCACTCGTTGATTGTTCTACGTCGTCCATGTTCTTCGCACTTTACAACTCCTCTCATCCGTGAAGCGTATCTATTGAATAAGACAAAGTGCATCATGTATAACTGTATTGCGCTCATGTGTATCCTATGCTATCGTACAATTCCTGTCTCCAAAGCCTTCTCCAGCTTTGTGGTCCATCCCAGATTAAGGGCTCCTGTCTAAGGAGTATGTGGTTTTCGCCGCTGCTATCGTCCCTGACTATTCCACCGTCTGTTCCACCTCCAAGGAACAATGAAAAAGAAAGGGCGGTTTGAGGGTTTCCAAGGGTGTCTTCGAAGCGGGTGGCATCCGTCTTCTTTCCCTTCCCTAGAAAATGAGATGCTTAAGTCCCCCAGCGTTGATTAAGTTCTCCGAGTCGTCTGGCATGACAGAGAGTCAGTATATCTGTACCACAAGACAATGTGTCTCTCTATCTGGTTGGTTGTTGGAGCTTACCGAACATGATCAACCAACAGGAGTACCGCAGACATGGCAATCCTTCCCAGGGATAACCCATGTTTCTTTCCCACTTTTCTCGCATTCTGGACAACGTTTTCCTGGCATCTAGCGATAATGGATACATCGCATACGGTCAGAAGCGTTCTCAGACAGGAAACCTTGTGTCTGGCACTCACCGGCATGTTGGCTATTGTGGCTACCCAGTACTTTGGATCGGTTCAAGAGAGGAATGAGGGTCGGTTGCCTCCGAGAGGTGAAAGGTCTCTCAGGTTCTCGAAGGCTGAAGATGGCCAAAGTTTAAAGGAGAAAATGCCAACAAAGTTCAAGTTTTAGCGCACGTCTTGTTGGTTGCTGAGAGCTTAATCTGTTTTCTGGGACGCCAGTCTCCCGCCCTTATATAGTTCGGCGGTACTCGATTGATCAAGGACCCTCACTTAGACCCGAAATTTCAAAAGAGCCATCGGGAGATCTCCATTCCCGGGTCGATCGATCGATTGATTGATGGACCGCATTAGTTACACTCAATGCATCGAGACAACATGCATGTTGGAATCCCTGCCAACCCAACATGTCGTGTCGAGGCCGAACTATTCGGATGCTCCCGTTCATGACAAGCATTGCATTTCAGCGACTGGGGCCATCACACAGTGTGATCCGCTCTCTACATGGAAGATACGTGTCCAAGCTCAAAAGCGGGTACTGATGATGAGAGGAGGGGGATGGTGGGGAAACGCAAAGGAAAATGCAAAGGAATATCCTTGTACGGCAAGGAGGGAACGTCTTCGGCGTATATTTTGGAAACCGTTTATGCAGCTAACCATGGAAACTCAGCGTTCGGTAAACCGTCCATTTGGGCCATCTGGGTCCTCTCGAACCCTAAAATGTGACTGGTTGCGAGTCATGTTGGAATGGCACGCGATCTATCCCACCGCCATCACGCACAATGGACTGAGCACTTGTATCACCAACAGGTACATGTCACTCATCAATTTTGGAAAGCCGGCGCGCGTCTACCTCACATAGGACATACTCGGTCAAAATTTAGCTGTGGTTTGGAATTGAGGGGCCTCTGGTCAGCTTGTAATCGGGTGGACCACACACATCACATACCATTCTTATTTTCTGCTGCTCGACCGGGTCTAAAGTCGCTAATTGGCTCCCTCCTAGTCCATGCATCCCTGTTCTCCGTTTGGACCAAGGAGCACATTGCTTGCAGGGAGATAAATGTACACCCATGGAACTTCAGCCCTGGCTTGTGGTCTCTCTCATTGTACTAAAAGCTTTCACATCACAGTCTAGTGACTAGCGTCAAGCCCCACCCAGCGCCAATGTATGTTTGCTCGCATGCTGACCCCGTGGGACAGGCAAGACTTTCGGGACCAGCCTTTGTCTCTTTTTCAATCCTTTTTCTTTCTCTTTCTTGTCAACCCTTTATTTGCGAGCCAACTCTTTCTCACTTTATTACCCCCTCGCTTTTGCTGGGCTGTGGAGGCGTGTGCGATCCTTTTTCCTATTACCTATTCTAAACATGTGCTTCCCACGATATGCAGCCCAAGTAGGAACGAACCAATAACCGAACCGCTGCCTGTTGCACCCTTGACAAGTTTCTGCGCAGATCCGTGCCGGTGCTTCGGGTACAGGGTGAGCTTCAACAATAGAAAACACCTCCGAACCCCCTTTTTCATTTTCCCCTCTTGGGTTCAGTCCGCTCAGCCACCTGCAGACTGCCGCCTGTCTGGGTTGAGCTGGGTTGCGAAACTGAACTCTATCAGTATCTCTGCCCCACTGCTGAGGTTGCTTAGTGTAATTTCTCACATCCAGGCTAATGATTAACTCGGAATTGGATACATAAAAAGCGTGCCTCATCAGGGATTTCCCTGTGAGAATTTGGGTTAGAATCTGCGAGCTGTGCCAACACCTATTCTCCGATATCGTGCAGGTGGCTGATTGAGCGGACAAAGTGTTGTGCGACTCTTGGCCTTGGCTTCTTCCGAATTCCAAGTCTCTCACTGTTTGTTACCGGTTGGCTCTCGCGAGAGCCACGACGAGAAATTGCAATATCTGAAAAGAGATTCTTGAATTAGCTGGCACGCGTCAGACTAGCGTGGTCTCCAACGCCAAGGCAGCCCCTTCCTATTGATATTCATCCAAATTGACAGGTCGACTTCGAGCAATTTCGGGTGGTCATCTATCAAATCAGAACTGCTCCGGCTCTTCCTTTTCTCACCCTTTTCATTACCCCTCCTTTTTTTTTTCCTATTTCTCTTTTCTTGTTCTTCGCAGTTTCTGGATTCTTGTTTTCTTTGATTTTTTTTATTTCTATTTCTACTTTTATTTTTTTTGATCTTCTCGCGCCCCTCCCCCTTATCTATGTAAAAGTGAATCTTCAAATCACTACCTACTACGTCACTCGGTGGAATCCGATGCAGTGGAAAGTGTATCCCGTACACAGATATATACATAACATTCATGGTCAAGGATCCAGGTTGCCCACCTCAGGTAGGGGTCCATTCCAGTAAAATTAGGTACAGTCTTATGGAGATCCATCACGCATGACCTATCCGTAGATATACCTACATAACCTAAATTTAAATTGGCAGCTGTCTGCCGTGATTTGGAATGTACCCTGTCTTCTGTACTCATACCTGTGGATATGGATTGGGTGGAGTCAAATCAAGGATGCACTCAGATTCCATATATATATTAACTAAGTGGGATAAGCCGAGTCATGCTCGCGCTAAAAACACCGCAAAAAGCGAGTTTGAGTGTAGTGTGCTAGACTGATAGCACGGTTACAGGATGATCGGCTACGTGGCTAGCGGGCCAAGGGCTAGTCTCTCATTCATGTCTGATAGCCGCTTAATTGCAAGGTGAGATTCAAGATAATTGATGGGACGTAAAGGCCTCCGCGGATGCGCGAAATCACTGAAATAAGGGATAGGCTGCATATTTTTGAATTCCGACCAGTTTATCTGCAATGTCGACTCCGGATCATTTTTCTTTTTTATTATTCCCGTTTTATTTCTTTGCTTATTCATTTCCCTGCTCTTTTTCTTTTCTTTTCATTTTTTGCCACCCAGGGTTCAGATGCCTTCGAGATTATCAAACACTAACAAGTTTAAGCGACCCGTTTGATGATTCGAACGAGTAGGACACCGTCGGTTTTTCCTCCTGAACAGTCATACAGGTGGATTAGGCGATAGCCCTCTTGGAGACGACTTAGTTTGATACATGCCCAGGCGGCCATGGAGTCTCGACCAAATTCGTTGTCTTTGACTTTAAATCTGTGGGGTCATTAGCGCGTATGTTTTATGGTTACGAGCCTGGATAGCCGCTCGTTGGATCGGAAGGCAACTGCCGCCGAGAAGGAGTACGTACCGGACAAATGTTAAATCTTCGACTAGCCCTGACAACGTTGGAAACTGGATCACTTGGCCTTCAAAGTCCGGGCTGGCCCCCGTAGCACTCTTGGTCGTTTGTTTGTAGCTAGATGTCTCTGACTCGCCGTCATCTTCCCCGTTGGGGGAACTGGTATCCTCGGGTGTTTCGGTATGCAAATCGCAAACCACATACGGATGAAACCCCTTCTCGTTAGTGTCACCTGGAGGTAGGGGGATATTCTGACCGGCAAGGATCTCTATGGAAAGGTCGAGCTGGTGACGCACGATGGTACAGGGCGCATCGGTGCTTCGGTACCCTTGCGGTTTGAGTACCCAGCCTTGCTCGTCGGCAAACATGGCGCTGTTAAGCATCATTCCCTTATCCAGGCTCTGCCAGTTCAACGCTACCACCTGTGCACCTCGCCGCCAAAAGAAGCTAGGATCAAGGTTTGAGGAGTTCACCCGCAAACCGTACGGGTAGATACGCATGAAGTGCCTGCGGTTGTGTTCAAACAAGGCTTCGGGATCTTTCGCATGCGCTGCCCGGGCCGCACTTTCTGACAGTGAAAACACGTGTCCGGGCACTTTGGCCTCTGTTACACATGAAGTTAAAAACAGTCCTTAAGTTCAATGAGTTCATTCAAAGTAGTTACCTGGTTGCGCAAAGTGACTGAAGTGGAACCCCTTGGTGAACACAGCCAGTCGGCTTAGAGCATGTAGGATCTTCGACGGTTTTTTTGGGGGCATGTCAGATGGCTTGTGGGCAGTGTTACTTGTGTCGCCCTGATTGGTGTGCTGCTCTAGTGCTTCGAGCGCGTCAACGTTATTTCCCGATGTCTCCTCGTCTTTGTCTTCGCCCGTGGGTGCCACGTATTTCACTTTGATCAATATCTTCCGCATCAAATCCTTCGGTGCAGGCAGGGGTTCAGTTGCTTCCCTTTCGGGCGTGACTTCCACCAACATCCCTTTCCAGGCCTCCTCCATGATCTCTACCATCGCCTGTTGTTGCTCTAGAGACGCATGCACTTCCAGGCTAACAATGACAGGTAGGTCGCTAGTAACAAAAGCACTATCACGGATGGCATGACACACATCTCGGAAAGTAGTCTCTTTGGTGAGTGTGTGACCATGAAGCACCTTGGGCTCTGGGAGTGGTGAAATTTCGGTTGCAGGATCCACTGGGTCACCGGTGTCCTCCCCAGAAGATGCCTTATGGCCTAAAATACCACCTAGTTTGGATGATATGGACCCTAAGCGCGAGTGTCGTTTGGCCATATTCTTAAGCTTTTCTTTTCTTGACTCGTCCTTTTTCTTTTTGACCGAGCTTGTGTCGCTACTGCTACTGCTTGTCCCATCATCGGATTGGCTGTCGGGGCTTTTGTCACCATCCCATACGTCAATCTCAACACATCTACATCCATTCAGAAGGACCTATGATGCTATCAGTCATTGCCATCTGAATATGAAGGACTAAGCTATAGTTTGACGCCGGTGCCCAGGGCACGGGAGCACGAGGATGCGGGGTTACACTCTTTCCAGAGAACTCTCCAATCCGTGGAAACCACTGGTCCTCCGCGGACCAGAACGCATCTCAATGGGGGAGGGGAGAGTCCTTGAATAGATCCACTGTAAAATACTAAGGGGTATGCATACGTTGATATAAGCACTCGCATCCGAATCACTATACAACTGGTTTCCAGTTAAGTAAGTGTTATGGCTCGAAGAAATGAAATAATCGTTAATTGGTGCTGAAAGGCTCTGCTGCATGATGGGGCGTACGGCAGAAGAGGCCGAACTGGCCATATACGCCCGGAACGCTGCTAAAGAGACGAGGGGGTCTGCAGTTCCATTATCACCGCCGTCACTAGGAGACTCATGTTGAATGTCCCGGAGAAAATCAACCCCGGACAAGGACTTTAGCGAGCTGTAAACCACCTCCAAGTGAGACGCAACGAAAGGTGCAAAGTCTGGGGAACTCTTAGGCTCCAGGCACTTCGACGAGTCATTGAGCGTGATTTGATCAGTACGATCGGCGAGTTCGGCCATTATCCCCACGGTTTGGTCGAGTGGTTAAGCAATGACACAGCGCATGAGATACGAGCCGTAAGTGCAGCACAATTGCTGATAATGAACCACAAATGACGTAGATATTTTCGCTACCCTTTTTGTTGTTGTCTCCTTTTGTTTCCTTGTAGTGGAGGTACGAGACGATCCGACACGCCGTGGTACCGCCAAGTCGGGAAATCGGTGGCCTAGATAATGCTATGCGGTGTACCCCTACGAGTAGACAAAGTCGAGAGGTTGTTGGTCAAGACAAAGAATGAAAGGGTATAAATGAAGGATAAAGGGAACGGCGAAGCATGCATATATCAAACAGACGGGCAGAGGGACAAAGACGGAAAGAACAAGTGTTGAGTTGGCAGAGTTCTGGCCATTGCTTTTCTGGTCCACTCCACTTGGACTGTTTTGGGTTCTAATCACTGATCAGCCGATACACAATCCCCAAATGACGATCTGATCTGATATCCAATCTGGATGTAAGGCTGTGCTACCACTCGATTTCTTTGGTCGTATAGTTCGGCAGAATGTTGCTGCCTCTAGGCAGAGACCGCCATTTCTCATGGAGCGGGACAGCCGCGACAACAAGTCAAGCCAAGATGCGGATGAGCATGACATATCATATGGGGAGGAGATGTCGGAGACAGTTGTACACCAGATCTGAGGTGGTTGTGGTTTTAGATCTCGTGGTGTTGAACTCTAATTACTCTACTTGTTCCAGCAAGTCAGGTGAGTCATTGAAATTACTTCATTCCCTTTTCAATGTTTTCCCCTCCATATTATATCAGATAGGGCTCTTCCGATAAGAAAGGAGACTCAGGGTACCTATTTTACCTTAAATGGAATATCATAACAGCCTAAAGCTATTCGGTCAGCCAGCTATTGTTAGATATTAGTTGAGACAACTAGAAACCACCGACTAGACCCAATTGATTAGAAAGATACGAAGAAAAGCACATAATGGCTTCATAATGCTCCACTGGGGTCAATCTACTCGTTAGTGCTTGCCGATTGCACCAATAAAAAAGTAGACCTCGTATACAAGAGACCAAAAGGAGAGACATGATCCATCTTGACGAAGCTTTCGACCGAAAAGTCAAGGATATATAAGCATAGGCATACCCCGCCATTGGAACAGAGCACCTCATCTCACCTTGAAAGCACTTCCACTTGCGCTACATCGTTACCAAAACCACTATGGCTACCGACACCCCCGTTCATTTCTTCGATATTACTTCAACTCTTCCCGGTACGTTTCATCCACCCCAACCGTTGTGTGTATCGTCTGTAACTAACATGCTATTCCCAGGGCCTGCCAAGGCATGGTCTGTTAATACATTCAAGACCCGGATGGTCTTGAATTTCAAGGGCATCTTCTACACGCAATCCTACATTTCGTATCCGGACATTGCACCTCTACTTTCCCATTACGGCGTCACCCCTCACGCCTCGGGAGCTCAGTATACCCTCCCTGCCATTTTGCACAAGCCCTCTGTGGATACAAACACCCACGGTGTATTGATGGACTCCTTAGCGATCGCCACGCATCTAGACCAGGCCTTTCCATCGCCGCCTCTATTTCCTTCCCGCGATGCCAGTTATGCCCTTACCCTCGCAGTGATTAAGCTTCTCAGCAACGTTACTGTAAAAGGTTACAACATTTTGATTCCTAAAGTCGCCGAATTACTCGATCCCAGAGGTCGGGAATACTTTATCAAGACTCGGTCTGCGAGGTTCGGGAAGCCTTTGTCGGAGGTGTACCCAAAGGAGAAGGGCGAGGAACGGGCGACAATAGAAGCCACGAAGGCAGAAATGGAACCTGTAGCGCAGATGCTAAGAGGCAGGCTCGGAAAGACGGGGCCTTTCTTTGAGGGCGAGAAGCCAGGATACGCGGATATTCTGGTCGTTTCCTTCCTAGCTTGGGTTGAAAAAACCCACCACGCGCTTTTCCAGGAACTTGTGGCTATCGGAGAGGGTGAGGTGAAGGCACTCTGGGACGCATGTTTGCCCTGGGTGGAAGGCCAGGGGGAAACTAGGGAATGGGATATTCCCCAATGATTCGATGGTCTGGTAGAACAGATAGATTTTGTCAGTGGTTCAAGTAAGATTCCAATTATCGACGCCAAACCTGTGCGAATATGTATAGCGCGCAGTGTTTGAAATATAGTGAAAAGAACAATCCCACGGATAGAACAGCAAGTTTCATTTAGCGCTTTGCCTGGGAATTATAAGTAAGATGAATACAAAGTTCCATAAAATACATCTGAAATATCCCGAATGGGGCCTTTACATCAATATCAGTCAACACAATTGTACACGGGTAACCCTGTTGGAAACACCATAAAAGCGGGGCAAGTCGGCACCAAACATGGTCAAGGCTTCCCAAAAGATTAGAGACCGCGGAGGAAGTTGGCCTCTCTAATGGCCTTTCTCCGAGCCTCTCTCGCGCTCTTTGTGATCTCGGAGCGCTTCTCAAGACTCTCGGCGGCCTCAGCCAGGAGATCGTCGGTCGCTTGGTCACCGCGGTTGTATGGAGCAGGAGTAATATCAGTAGCATGGTGATGAACAGGGATCTTAGGAGGGAGGGTTGCGGCACGAGCAGCCATTTTCTTCTCATAACGCTTGCGTTGCTTCTTGTTCAAGGCTAGAAGAGGTACGGTTAGCATTGTAAGATGGCTGTTGGTAAAGCAAGATAGACATACTGCTCGGATCCACTCCGCCCTCAGATTTTGATTGCTTCTTAGCATCGTCTAACAACGACCACAGCCACTCCGGGTATTCAGAGTCTTCCAAAGCGACGACGTCAGGCTTATTCTTGAAGTAGTTGAGACCGTTCAACTTCGTTCCAGCAGGGCAGGAGCTTGGCGGGCGCTCCGCGGCAGCCTTCGTAGGCTTCGTAGGAGCATCAATATGAACTTCTTCCGGTGTGCTGAGTGGTTGGGACACGCCAGGAGTCGCTGATGAGATTGCCGACGGGATCGTGATATCCGATGCGACAGGCTGGCGGGGAACTGAAGAAGGTGGCGTGGCGGATACTGTAGGCTTGCCATCACTGTAGTTCCGAAATTGACTCCGGTGAATTGGCAGCTGGCGTGCGCATAATGAGGCAGAAAAAGCAACCGTGTGTTGCGGTTGCAGCCGAGAAAGGAGGCTGGTTCGGCAGCGCTGGCAGATCATTCTTGAGGTGTTTGAGTGTAGTTATTGGGTCGAAGACGGTAGCATAAAAACCATTTGACTTTGCTTCTCCTGGATATGTTTGGAAAACCGCTTGAGGCAGTCCTGTAATCGGATGAAAAGGTAACTTTCTAGCACAGAGCAAGCTTCAAGAAAACTGCGGGATGAATTTGATGCCAAGCCGGAGTGTCACGGTCACATGATTCAATATCGGCAATAGTCTTCGTAAACAAAAGTATTCGAAAGTACTATAGGTTCATGATATGCGGTTGTGCGTAGGGCCAAGCGATTGACTTCCTTGGATTAATCTATGATTTTTGCATGTATTTTAGATCACAGGGTAATGGCTAGGGAATCTAGATGCCTTTTGTTATAATCACGTGATCCACGTGATCTACATGGAGATGTCTTACATCGAATGTGAAACTAAATTTTGAGTGTCACTCATTATTGAAAGCAAGAGGTGCTGGCTTGGTTGTATATATTTTCATCCTTAGAGACTAGGGTACTTTGAGCCAAGGGTGGCTATACATAAAGTATATCCATACATTGATACATTGATGATGTATGAACTTTGAATACAGCCTAGTAGGGTACAATGAAATTGCTTAATATCTGGTATCGTTATATGCTCAAATTACCCAGCGACTCGCTTGCCCAGTCATTCTTCTTTCCCGTATTAGTATATCAAAGCCAAGTACGAAGTATCTCCACTATAATATGGTATGCATCTAACAGACAATAAAAGACACCAATAGCATAGACTAGGCTACGTGCTATCAGTCTTTCAAGTGTGGGTTCAGGATGGCCGGTGAGAGATTGGTACGGGTGATTTAGCCATATACTTTATGTTCAACTTGTCACTAAATCTCTTGGCCGGTCCGAAACAAGTATATATATCCCATAGATCTATGTACACACCCTAGTATACTTCGAACCTAACATAAGCCACCTAGAGTAATAAGGATAACCGAACGTAGAAGCCCCAATGATAACTCGCTCTCCTTCGTAGACACTGAGAGTTGTATAGTATACATGATAGAGCAACTGAATAACATTCCGAGGATGATAGTCCTTTTAGGTAGGATAACAATTCTTAGACACCAGAGGGTATAATGACAGCTTAGCGAATAGCTGTTCGTGAAGCTATCAGATTAATCTTACGAGCATCAGATATCCGTGCGAAACTAAAGCACGATAGACTTTTCCTTATCATCTAGATCTCTCAAGATCCAACCGACAGTCGCAGATTTGTATCGGAAGCTCGGGAGCGCTGACACATGAAGCCAGGCCTAGGCCGGTATAAAACGAGTACAGCATATCTCAATCGGGCTGCTCAGGCTAGACATGAAGCCATTCGAGGTTGGCAGCGCCGATCTCTGCCCATATAAGATGTTTCTTTCTTCGGGTAAGCACCGAAGAAGCGAGACGACGACGCTCTCTGTTTCGCGAACCCTGTCTACCTGCTTCACCACAAACAAATTCGAAAATCCCTGGTATTGCGGTGATTGGTTCGTCCTGTTGCATGTGGAGGAATTAATCCTTGTTGGTATGTCGCTATTGCGTTGTGATCTGCGGTGGAGGGGTTGAAATAAGATGATCCTGAATGGCATGACTAAGCTGACCGGGACACTCGAAAACATTTAATTGTCACACTTCTCCCTCTCCCAATAGCGCAGACCAATACTTAGACTGCTTTATTGAGACCTCTTCTTTGCGAATATCGCAGTCGGTACGATCAGGATCACATCAACGTCAAAAATGACTGTTGGCGATACTATCACCGTGCACTTGTGGTTCACCATAGGTTCTGACTGGACACTATGAAAAACTCTTTTGATTTGAAATTAACTATTATAAAAGACACACGCTCTCTGTTCCTGACATCAGTCTTCAGCTTTTTCACAATATAAAGTCAGAGAATATACTTATGCTACACCGATATTAGATACAGGTTGCATTGTGGATGCCTCATTAAGAAGTGCCTTCTATCATGCAAAAAGAACAAAGGAAACAATTAAGCTGCCGAAATGTTCTCAATATGAAAAGGACAAAGCAAGTTAAGGGGTGATATGGTGAAGATGAAGAAAAAGAAAGCTCACGAATGTGCTGATGGATAATTCAGAGGAGTCAAAAAAAGAAAAGGAGAAAACACCGCTAAGCGCCACACCCTATGGAGTATTTGAGAAAGAGAGGGAGGTGGAAGGGATCAGAGGACTATGAGGAGAGTCCGCTGACATTCAGAAAATTGCACAGGCTGGAACAGGCGTCCTTCAGTGTCTTTTCCGTCTTCCACTGCAACTCTTCTTGTGACCGGGTGGCCACAGCAACGCAGGAACCGACGTCGCCCGCACGGCGGCCAGCAGCCTTTCTTGGGATCTCCTTAGAAGACACACTCTCCATAGTGTTCACCACCTCCATCACGGAATGACCTGTACCAGTTCCCAGGTTGAAGGTGCGGAAATTCTCCTTCAGCTTCCCCTCGTGGGCAGCACTGAGGGCTGCGATATGCCCCCGAGCCAGATCGGTGACATGGATGAAGTCACGGACAGCTGTGCCATCTTCTGTGTCCCAATCGGTTCCGAACATCTGCAGCTCCTTGTACTGCCCAGTCATGACTTTGACGACGACAGGAAGAAGGTTGGTTGGTGTCTGCCTAGGGTCCTCGCCGAGAAGACCAGATTCGTCACATCCTACCGGGTTGAAGTACCGTAGGGCTACGATTGTCCACTCTGGGTCGGAGGCCGCAAGGTCTGCAAGGATAGCTTCGCAAATCCACTTTGTGCGTCCATAAGGATTTGTGATGCCTGTACACCCAGGCTGCATGAGTTTCTCCGATCCGTCACGGCCCCGGAAGACCTCGTCCTTATGGACACAAAGCTCCTCCTTGAGGGGAAGGCCTGAAGTCGCCAAAGTTCCGTATACGGTGGCAGACGATGAGAAGACGAAGGTTTTGATACCAAATTCACCCAACGTCGTGGCAAAGTCAACGAGACCGCTGACATTGTTTGCGTAGTACTTCAAAGGATTTCTGATACTCTCCTCAACTGCCTTGTAAGCAGCAAAGTGGATGACACCGGAGATCTTGGTTTTTGGCGTGCCCCATCTGGACTGAATCTGGTATTGCTCAAGAAGCTTCCGAAGAGCAACGCTGTCGCGATAATCGTGGGCATGCAGATGCAACTCGGGCATCTTGGTTCCTTGTTGCTCATGGTACCTCGAAGCCAGAAGCTTGATGCGGTCGAAGACGTTCTGGAAAGCGTTGCTCAGGTTATCGATGACGATTACGTTATAGTTCGCCTTGAGTAGCTCCAATGTTGTGTGACTTCCAATGAAACCGAGACCCCCCGTGACGAGGATATACTGATCAAGGGGAAAGTTGCGCAGTAACTCTTCCAAATTGCCATCAAACAAAACGGATGATTGCGTTGCCGGTGTATCGATACATCCTGGGGAGCAAGGCTCCACCGGAGTGCTTGCATCAGACTGTCGTGGACTCTCCATCATTGGATGATATGATATGATATGGGAAATGAAAATCCAGCGAAGGGCAATGAAAGTTGATTGAAATATTGAGAAGCAAACAGATAACACTGGAGCAAACAATACCGCTATGAAGACAAACGAGGGAAGATAAGTGTTGCTCGGTGAAGAAACAACAAGTGTGAGTGACTTCCGAATCGAATCAATCAAAGAAAGAAAGGGAAGCACAAATCTTATACTTCCTGAACGGAAGGAGAAAGACACTGCCACTGGTTCGCCGATGTAACCACCGTATTCAGCTAAGGTCAAGGAAGCCAGAATATCGTGACTTGTGTTTTTTTCCCCCTCTCTCTTCTGGCTTTTTTATTTACAACAAACCAAGGGCATTGGAAGCGAATGGATACAGAAATTTCAAAAGAAAAAAAAGAAAGGGAATATTCCAAAGATTTCTTTTTTTTTTAATTTCTCTCTTTCTTTTTCTTTTAAGAGAGGGAAAAAAAGAAAAGATCAAAAAGAAAAAAGGAAAAAAGAGAAAACAAAAAGAATTGAAAATAAAAAATAAAAATATAATTTTATAATCAAATTAAAACGAAGGAACAATTATTCCAGGACTGTCAGCCCTTTCGCATGGAAAAAATGCAGTCCAGATCTCACTGGTGTGTCCGAACAGAGTTCGCCTCTGATGGGGCAAGAAGCAGGAGGTCTGCGAACTTCTAGCCGCAATACTCCACAGGGTTAGGAAACCACGGCTAGTACTTTGTAAAGTGCCTTAAGTCAGGGAGAAAGAAATTGTTCGACATCGTCACTTAATGATCCGAGACCTACTGCTGCATGGTCAGAAACCTGCCCCGCTCTATTTTGGGCCCGCGGCGTGTATTTTTCTGGTTCACAACAGGTCCACCACCCTCTTGGTAAAGGCTCAACGCTAGGTTTCGAGGGCTGACTACTTAATTCTTAGTCTTCCGGCTCCTTGTTCTGGCATAATTCCGCCCAGTGCTCAGAAATCCACTTTCTGCCCTCTTTCGTCGCATACTAACGCTTTTAATTGCTCCCCTAACATGGCAGCGATGGGGCTAGACAAACACGTGAGCGGTCGACGCTGTCTACAGAGCCGTCGCTCTCGAATCGCTTTGGGAGTCTTCGTTTTTATTGCCATTCTCGCGGTCGTTATACCTCCGGCAGTCGTGATTACTCTACGCAAGAAGAACAGCATGGGCCCTAAAGCTAATATCTTCGTACCTCTCTATGTGTACCCTGCCCCTGGTGCCTGGGATCCTTTAGAAGCTGAGTATGTTTTTTTTTTTTTTAAGTCTTTTTTTCTTTCTCTCTTTGTTTTCTTTTTCTAAAAATTTTTTAATTTCCAATTGTTACCTTCAAATTTCCCCCACATTATACCCCTTCCTTCCCCTTCTAGATGGATACGCTTTGGCCCATGGAATGGATATCTACAGCATAAGCCAGCTAAAACCCAATTTCATAATGCATGCATGTGGTAAGCTATGATTTGGGGGAAAGTAACTAAGCGCCACAGGATCTCTTCACACCCGGAGGCCAACTTTACGGTTGTGATTAACCCTGGCAGCGGCCCCGGGCCCAATGCCCTGCCCGATGCTAATTATACCCGGGAGATTCCCAAGCTCGCCTCTTATGACAACGTGCGCCTATTAGGTTATGTCCCTACAACCTGGGCGAAACGCAACATATCGGCAGTGCGTCGCGACATCGAAACCTACGCAGCGTGGCCGACCAACAGCTCTAACCCTAAACTCGCGGTTCGGGGTATATTCTTTGACGAAACGCCCCAGCAGTATGATGTCGATGCGCTGTCATTTTTACAAGATCTCACCTCATTCGTGAAGGGCCTTTCTGGCCTTGGGCCAGACAACTTTGTATGTGTGACCCTTCTCTTTCTCCTGCCTAATAAGCTACTTCACCCCTCTGTAATGGTTATTACCAAGCTGTAATCATGGTAACATACATGATTACCTCTTCTTTCCGACCTTTTAACATTGGTGTACCTCATTTGCCTCCCGTACTCTTCTTCCCCCCACCCACTATATTTTCTGGTTATTCTTCTCTCGGATAGCCAATATGCCCTATACTCGCCTTCGATCGCGCTAGATTTCATTATAGTTTCTGACGACAAACCTGACCATCCCATTGGGTCGACCTTGGTGCTAATTGTGGCTGTCTAGGTGGTCCATAACCCTGGAGCGATTCCAGACTCTCGCTACATGTCTTCAGCTGACTCGACTGTCGTATTCGAGGCAGCTTATGACACCTTCAAGGAGCGCAATGGCACGAAGCAATTCGAGGTTCTTCCGAACAGCCATCGCGGTCAGCTCTGCATTGTGATCCACTCGGTTCCAGACCGGGTTGAAGGGTCGAAGCTTCGTGATCTTGTCAAGAAGCTTCGAAAGACCGCCGATGAGATTTTCATTACCCATCTGAGCACGGATTACTATGCCAACTTTGGGGGCAAGTGGGGCGAATTTGTCGATTGGATGGCTAAATGAGTCTGCGGACGAGCGCTTTTCCGGCATACCTGATGCAACATTGCTTATGATCAGGGCACGACTGGCATTGATGAACTATACGACGGCGCTTTCTTTCCGGCTTGTCTGCTCGATCGACTAATTAAGTTACGACCTGTCTATATTGTATGAGCGTCTATATACTGTATGATGGTTCTACTGGAAATATGTTATTTGACTTTTAGCCGTTGTCGCTATTGAAGGATATACCTAGAATAAAGATAGAGTTATGATCGTCAAGTTTCCCTTTCGTTCTCTCTGTTCGCTCTGCCTTTTAAAGTAACCGATGTTGAAGAACTGTCGGCGGTAATGTATCGTAACCGTATCTTACCGCGTTTGCGAGGTAATTTTCATCTGGAGTCGATACGTATCCTGAGCCCTAGCTCTCTCGACTCGGTCAAGGTCCGCCTCCGAGAGTCAGTGGAGTTCCCCGTCAGTTCATGTTGGTCATAATCGAATCATTCCACCTGTACGGAGTACCATGCGTTCTAGTCCATGCAACTAGTTATACATACATTATCATTAGTGATGTTATTACACTTTTCCCAACAACTACCCTTAGTGTGCATCATGGGGTCTGTCTGTGAAACCCAACGTAACTAGGAATAGAAGCTGTACAGTAAGGGCTAACCGTACCTGATGTGTCCGTCTGCAATAAGTGTGACACGGTCGGTTTCATGAGCGGCAGAGTGAATCCTAATTAGAGACTACACCGTATGGAGGCATCAGATAATAGCCTATAAGAGGGGGAGCGGAAGAGGAAGAGGTAGAAGAGTGTCTACCGAGGTTTCCAATTTAGCCAATCAACAAATTGGAAGTCAGTCATGGTGACGATGTGCACGGCCATATGTAATTTGTGATGACAAACTTCCTATCGGAGTCCCAAATGTAGTAGTCCGTCTTGGGTGCTGCACTTAGCCTGTCCAGTGCCTTCGTTCCACGGTTAGCACTAAAGCATCTACAATCGTATTGGACGGATGGACTGGTCGTAAGGTCATGCTATTCCATGTATGTAGCTGAATTTTAGGAACTTGTCTAATCATGCATGGCTGGTCTGGTACTTAGTAAGACATGCATATTACCCTGGTAGGATTTGCTTTGTCCGCAAGTAAGGAATAGGGGAAATTGCTTTCCCTTTCCTTTTCTTCTTTCTCTATGCAATTGGAGACTTTTCTGACCCCATGTGCCCGTCTAGTAAGCTATAGAATGGATCTTATGACAACACATCAGGTTCATTGGGATCCCACGCCATCTCACGAGAACACTCCCTAGAAGTCAGCGGGAATTACTTAATTTAGGTACCTACATGTCAGATTATGACTCGTTCGTACGTTAATGTTGCCATGTTGCATCCCGGAGTAATAAGGCCACGGCTGATAACTTTTGTCCGGACGGTCGATCTATGTCATACTGTGTATACCTGATATACCTTAGAGTAAGCAGTCTTACCTACGCTCAGGGTCGGTTTCCGGAGTAATGATATCATGACCATGACTTATATCACATCGGTCTGTTCTCTACATATTGACGAGGTGTAACCATACCCTCAAGTACATGTAGCACGAGCGACATAATTATGTTTCATGACGACAGATCGGTAGCGTTTAAGCCGCGAGTTCACCAGCCTCATCACCTTCCCCGATGGGAAAAATTACAACAGTAAGACTTCTGCCTCTTAGTAATCCTCCCAGGTCAGAGACCCATCAACAAAAACTCAATGGATTATTAGGTACCTGATCTGCCGAGAAAATCCCTACTGTACGGAGTAGCGACACGAACGGTAAAATTGCAGAGGAGATAGCCGAACCATCCATGAGAAGACAGCGGTCAAAGTCTTACCCACAAGCGCTATGCCGACTATTCCGGACTAACAAGCAAACGAACGCCAAGGCGCCGGCTGAACAAGAAATTTCAAATCCACCCTCGCTTCAATGCATGCCGAAGAGAATGGCCTCCTTTTTTCGCCATATTTTCTTTTTTATCCCGCCTGTTGTTCTAACTTTTCAGCTCTGAAGCCAGCCATTCCTTGCTCTAGCGCTTTAGTTGGAGCGTTCCTGACCCACCACCCGATGTCCCATGGTTTCCAACGATAGAGCATCCAGGAACATCCGCCAGGAACCACTTTTGTTCCTTTTTCTTTTTGGCTCTGATCCGCCGAAACTTTATCTTCCGATCTGATCAGTTGAACGCTGAACTATCAGTGGTTGAGCTTTTCTCACGCCCGCTGAGAAAGTACACTTATGGCGAGGTCAACATAGTGGACTTTTTAGTTTTCCATACTAACTGGTAACTACCTAGTACTTAGTCTATGCATTATGCATATCGCATAGCGCCCAGAAGTTCATTTAGTTGCATCGACGGTACTGAAAAGTGACTCACCGGACCACAGTTACGGTGACACTGCTTCATCTCCTGCTGGACTGTAACTCTACGTTTCACTGTTGGCTGATTTCTAATTTTGGAAGATATTAGATATCTGGCACTTTTATTTTATCCCATTAATCATCCAGTACTGTAAAACGGAGCTTCCTTCAGAAGTTTTCTTTTTTTTTTTTGCCGGTCGTATGTAATACACATACCCCACGGTACGAATGACGCCATTGGAAATTACGCCATATGGTACCCGTCTGTTCTCATGGTGTGTATTTTTGATACCCGTGTGATGATACCATACATGCCCATACATACGTGATTGGAGGTCAGGTAACAACCTCGGTACGGTACTAGCACTAACTAAACTACTAGGTAAGTAGTCTAAACTAAATCAACAGGAAGAAAGAAGGGAACGACTAGTGCCGAACGAACCCATCCACTCGCGATCAAACACACCAACTCTGCCCTAAATAAAGCTAAAACCACCTGAAACCAGGCCAGTCCACGAAAATCACCTAATAATAGGTACGGGAAGGGAAGGGAAGAGGGAAGGGAAGCGAGCATCATTTTGGTTTCTGGCGATTCGCCCTAGTTTACCTGAGTAGAGAGTATGGAGTAATGTACTTAGTAGATTAGTCTAGTGTAGCTAGTTTTCCGTTCGCGTGGCTATACCCAACTATCCCTACTTGTGCAATTAAAAGGCAAAAAGCAAAAAAAAAAAAAAAAGAAAAAGAAAAAACCATATGTATGTAATAATGATAATAATGCTAGCCCTTTATTCAATGTATGGATTAGTAGATACGGGGCAATATTTTTGCTTTTCCTTTTTTGCGCTGTTTTTCCTATTTGGGCACCTGGTCCGGCCCGGTACACCGAACATGTGGCTTGCGACATACGCCCATAACCACGGATACAGACCATCTGTACTTCCAAGATTCCATGGAAGAGCTATAGAAGCTCTTGTTTAGTGTTTACATCCCATACCCCTCCCCCTTCCCTTCCGTCCACGCCCTTGGGTTTTCCCTCTGCATTGGTCCTGACGAAAGTACCTGTGGCAAAAAAATATCGTAAAAAGGCCCTAAAAAAACTAAGTGGGATGTACTCCGTATCCATCCATGTCGCTCATCCGTATCCAACAGTGAGTGGGGCGGGCGGCTTCTGATCTGGCAACTTGCAAGATCTTGGGTCACATCGATGTAGTATCTTGGGTTGTCGTGATGGTTCTTTTTCCGATTTTCATTCTAAACCGCGGAACCCGATTGCCTTCTTCTCGGGATGGATAGTTGCCCGTTCGTTGCCCACCCCTCCCCGGTCGCTCATGGGTCCCTTTCTTTTCCTTGCCCTTGTGTTTTGGGTGTTATTCAGTTTTCGGCCGTTACTTGCTTTCGGTCCGCTAGACGATCGATGGATGTCCACATTCGTAGATCGGTTCGGACGGTGGAGGGGCAGGGGGGAGAGGCAAATCTGGACTCTGGATTCTGGATTCTATCTGCTAGCCGAGGTGACCCCGAGTCTACTAGTTCCTAGTATCGTAGGACTCCCGTGTATTCCTCCCTTGTTCGGGAGTATCGTCTGTGTTGGATTGAGGGGTCCGTCCACTCCTCTGATGGGTTATGGCGGTCGGTTTCCGAGGGGGGTTTTGAGGGTGGGTGTTACGTTTAGTAATGCCGTTTAGAGCGGCGCGGTACGTTATGGATGGGGTGAGTGCTTCAGGTTATTGGGATATTCTAGGAAATAGGAAGCCGAGAAGGTGGGCAGTATGGGTGGGCGTAGAGTTTACTTTCGTCGTATTTGGTTGCTTTGAGTTCGGGTCTTGTGTTTTGGATGGAGGGGTTTACTTCATATGTTTGTAACGTTAGACCTCTATATATAGAGTCAGGTGTAGGAGCGGGATGAGAGCGGCTGGGTGATGCGCAACTCTTTTTTAATATATATTTAGTATCCTACTTATTGGTTGCGTTTGTGGTCAAACTACGGGGTTAATATGCCGGATGAAGTAGAGTAAATATATATCATGGATCCGTCGCGTGGAAAGATTAGTTCTGTAGTGTGAAGCATTGACATCTTGGTTTAATGAGAATCGCATATCAAAGTTCAATTACATCATAGACAAACTATATAGAATGGAATGAGGTTGATGGAATCCAAATCTTAAACTCCCGGCGCCCGTGCTGATCGAACAAAGAATCCAGTGGTGGGTCAGCTGTACAGCAACTAGCAAGCCTGGATCCAGTTGTCTAAATTCATGTTCTTGATGACGGTCGAAAAGTTGGAAGATCCGGAAAAGTCGCAAGCTTTGTTCTTCTGGTTCGTGGTGACCATTTCGTTGTTGTTCGTGTCGTCACCCTTAGGGTATTCGATATGGAAGACGGGCTTGTTCTTATCGATGAAAGCGGCATAGGTGTCGCACTCCTCATATTGCGCGCATTGCTCGTTCACGCTCCACTGCATGTTGTCGATCACTGCGGGGATGATCGCCCCGGCATTTTTCAATCCAATGGACATATTGCGCGCATGCGCTTCGTTGGCAAGCCACATCACAAAGTTCGCCGAATCCTCCTTCTTCATGTCTAGGCCGTTCTCGTTGTCGTACGCATCGACGTTATCCGGGTCGACTCCATCGCAGTTCTTCTCGACCGCCATATCCAGACGCGACGTCATGATCTTGCGCACATTCGCGGAGTTGAGATTGAGCCATTTCTCGTTCGGCCATCCATTAAGCGTGCGGCCCAGGTCGGAATCCTTGAACTTGTCCTTGTCGGGTCTCCAGTTCTCGTAGCTTCCGGCGGAAAAGTAGCAGATCACCTTGCGGCCTTGCTTGTGCAGATCGTCGATGGTCGACTTGTCGTTGTTGAAGAGATCGATATCGTAGATATCCGCATCCACCGAGGTGTCGTTGAGAGCATACAGAAGCTCGATCTGCCATTTCGTTCCCACAGCCGGTTGCCACTTGGCCGTGGTCACGCCCCCTCCAGAGGTGGGCGGAACCTCGCCTTCGTCGTCGTCCCCTCCCTTATGCAGACCAACACCCAAACCGACACCCAGACCAATAGCGAGGGCGATCACGAGAGCGACAGAGCCGATGATTAGCATGCGCTTCTTTACGGACCAGGCCTTCCAGCCTGTCGCGGCTTGTCCTTTCAGGGCCATCGATTCTTCCAGTGTGCCCGCCATGGTGCAAAGATTTCCACAAAGAAAAAAGTAATAAAAAAAATTCGTTGAAATGAACGACTGAAGAAATTGAAAAAAAAAAAAAAAAAGATCAACGAGAGAACTTTAGCGAAAGTGAGTCACGACCTGCGGTTTGATTACACAAAACCACAGCAGCGGGATGGGGGTTTAAGAAGGGGAAAATGAAAATATAAAGACCACCTGCGATGAAGATCAGTCGATAAGATAATGAAGCAAAATGAAGTGGCGTCGTTCCGAAGTAGAGATCCGCGGCGGTCGAGGCAACCGTTAAATGAACAACAAAGAAACAAGGCTCTCAGTGGTTACACAGAAACTATGAAGGGGGTTTTCCAGAAATTGCGTCGAGCGTCTCCGGGGAATGGGAAGGAGAGAAGTCTGGTGTTTGTTGGAATTAAAGGCGAATGAATGCCTTACCTCTGACTGCGGCTGTCCAAACAATGGACTCTGCCACAGTGGCTGTTGGCTTTGAAGGGTCACCTGCCGTGTAACCCAGCTAACGAATGATGGCTTGAAAAAGTGAAGGAAAATGAGGAAGAGGAGGAGAGAATGCGGGAGCCTAGCGATGAAACTATTGCAGTTTGCCTCCGCGATCTTCCATTATACTCTTTGAACCTCGAGCGCCAATAAGGGTTCTGGACTGAAGGGTCTACAGGCAGTCAGCGCGCGTAGGCTGAGAACTATGATTATCCTTGGGATCCGGACCGGAGTCTCATTAGCTGCCAGGGGACCTCACGTTTGGTTTGTTTAGTGGGTTTAAAATTGTTGTTTGGGGTCTATCAGAGAATACTTATGGCATACATTAGGCATTTGGGCGAAAACTTAGCTACGAAAATCATTCTATGAATAAGAAAGGGAATAAAGTGCCACCCGGAACAAAAGAAAAACCTTTAACGCCGAGAGGGAAAACACGAAGAGGTCAAAAGGAAGGGTCAGGAACTGCTGACTAAAGGATTGATTAACTAAACAGAAGAAGATCCACTTCTTTCTTTGTGAGACGGATTTTGACTTCTGACTTTTTATTAGACTTTTTTTCTTTCCTCTTCCCGATTTTCAGCCGGTCTGGAACTTTGCCAATCACTCCTTAGTTGGTCGTTTAGGGTCAAAGTTGAATCTGATCAATCCACTGTCAATCCACGGACACTAACCCTTAAGTCCCGAGTAAAGTGGGCCGCGTTGAACTGTTACCCATCGGTTTGGAATACCTTACATACGGTACGTACAATACATACGGTTCGTATCTTTTCAAAACCTTCAATACCGAGCCGTCCCTGTACCAGGAACATATGATGCATGTATAGTCGATATTTGAGGCTATAGTAAGCTGGACTCATGAGACATTTCACTAGATGCGTAGGTAAGAAATACCCCCCTCCCGGCCGTCTCGTATAAAGGCTAGCCCCATGCTAGAGCTGCAACAAAGGCACAGAATGAGAATCAACTTGGTGGCCGGCCAAGGGGAAAAATTTGCCAGGCCGAACGACTAGACTGAAGATGGGATGGATCGGGTTTTAGCATTGCGATTCTATCGACAAGGTTCTCCACCTACCGAAATGAAGGGCATCCTATTCTTTGTTTCTCCACTACCACGTTTAATATCTACTGTCTTTTAGTATGTACATTAGTGCACTCCACGACCAAGTTTTTGTTTCTCCGCGAACTCGGTCTTAGCCGAAGCATCCATCCCAACCAATCGACTGGAAATCCTCTTTTCAGCATACGGAGTCGCTACGAGGAGTCTGGGTTCCCTTGAACTGAGACTTGTTGCAGGTTAACAGCGCGGTGCCAAGAAGAGGCCCCATTGAGTGATGATGTTTGTCGATAGCATAATACAATACTACTTCGTGCTAGTAGGAGTCTTGTTTTTGTGCCGCTGTCGGCCGGGACTAGGTGAGAGACCAGTCATCCTTCGCCAGCGCAGGAGCCCTGGCAGTTGGCGGAAGCTTGTCCTGCAGTAGGGTTACTACCGTTTTGTCGACATCAATGGACATACATATGTAGGCGATAGATACATCAGAAGTAGGCTTTCGGGGCTAAAGAGGATAAAAAAGAAAGGACAAAAAATCAGACCGGAAAAAGCCAAGAGCTCCCTGACGACATCTTCCGACTTTTCCACGTAGACCGCTCTCGCCTCTGTACGACTGGACTGACTTTAAAACAAACCATCATGATCAGGTCACTAAGTTCATCGTCAGTTTCTGGTAGATTCACCGAATACGAGGGGAAGCGGGAAAAGCAGAAAATAAAACCAATAAAGGATTGCCTGTCTAGACTGCTGTTTTCAGATTATGTTATTTCTCCGAGTCATGTCTGCTGCAAGAATGACACCTTGGCAATCTATAAACATCAACGAAGTGGATTTCCGCCGTGCTTTTTTCTGTCCGCTGTATCATGTACCGATAGGCGGGACAAGGGTATCGGGAATTATCGTGCAACATACTTAGTAGTACATCGTACATGCTTCAATTTCCTTGACAGATGTCATGTCCGACATGATATCGATATAACGTTTCCAAAGTTAAACCGCGATAGAGTCACTAGTTGGATTATCAATCAATCATTCGCCCTTGTTTCTTCTTAAAACCTTTAGGTTAGGTGGAGATGTGGAGTTGACCTGGAGGGACACTACTATCTAGTAGTAAAAGTTTTGATACCAGTCAGGTGTCAGCCCATACCTCAACTGAGTCTGTGCACCAATCACCGCCCAGAACCACCCCTTGACAGAGAATCCATTTAATATCAGAATAATACCATAATTTGGATGATTAGCTAGCTTTCCCACCCCCAGCTCACTAAAATTAGCCGTAGGCAAGTGCTAAAAACCCTAATGATCAACAAGGATCAAAACAGAAAATACGATCAAATCATAACTCCTGCCAAGTCCGCCATGTCTCACTTGTTTTTTTCCGAATCAATGTGGCAGCCGCTCTGCTAGGGGACAAGGGAGAGGGAAAAGACAAAGAAAACGGTCAGATCATCTTGCGTTCTAGGCCAATATGTGGCGAAGCCAATTAATTGGCAAAGTTGGTTTTTTTTTTTTTTTTTT